TAATCAGATACCTTAGGTATTACTACTATAATTATTTTAGCGCGTTATTAGATAGAGTATATAAGAGTAAAATAAAAGCTACCTAAAATTAAGAAGAACTTATTATATATTAAAATCTAGGCATTCCTCAAAATCTATAATTAATATTAACACTTTATTAAAATTAAAGAGTGTTTATAGTTTATATAAATACTTATATCAATATTAAAGGATCGTAGAATAGATAATAATTTAGAGGTTTTAATTTTAATAATATAAAATTTATCAAGAGGAATAAAAAGTATAAGAAGGGAATAGAGAAATCTAATAAGGTAAGAAGGTAATTTAGAACCCTATTAAAAAACTCTTAATAATAATATTTATGAAGTGGTAAAGAATTAATTATTATAAGTTTTTCTATTTCCTTCTTTTTATATATGAATATATAGCGAATAAATATATATTATCTACCCTTATTATTAGAATAGCGGTAAATAAATATATACTATTAACCCTTAGTTATTTAGAATAGTGGCGAATAAATAATTTATTTCTAAAATAGTGATATTATAATATAGTATTATTTCACGATTTAATTAAAGATAAACGTATTAAATACGGGCACAACTAGAATTTTATTATAGCCTAACATAAGAGGTTTGTAATCTTATATTATATTTTAGGCTGAGAAATTCTTTAAATTTAAGTCATATTAAATTATGCTTAACAAGTCTTGGCGATCAAAATCAATACTAAGACCGAGCATCACTACCTATTTAGGCGGTATAACTACTTAAGTAGGCTTAGCTTAGTCTTATATAAGTGATAGGACCAGAATATAGGACTAAAATATTTCTTGTCTTATAGGAGTTATAGCGGTAATTTCTAAACGTACTATTATTATTCTATATTAGTTTCTTTAGTAATAAATATATAGCTAAAAAGTTACAACCTATAGAAGAATTTATTTATTGTCCATTTTAACTGTATATTACTTACATTCTAATAGTTAGTTAGTCTATTTTACTAAATAGAAGTCTTTCTTAAATTACTAATTTCTAAGATCTCTTTAATTTCTTATTTATTATCTTTTTAAAGCGTTAGTATAAGTATTAATTGTCTTTTATTAAAATAATTATTCTATTTATATAAGAGCTAATAAGGCAAATATCATAGGAAAGAGTATATTTATTAGGTAATGTAAGATAAGACTAGACCTTACTAACACTAATAGATTAGATAGCTTACTTATAACTTATAGTATTCTCACTACCTTTCTAGGACTTATTAGCGAATTATACATCAAATATTAATAAGTTATTATTATACTATACTACGTAATTAAATAATAATAAAAGTAAACTTAACTTGACCTTAGTAATATTTATTGATTTTGCTAATATATATAAAGGTTATAAATAAAACAGTACTAAATAGTAGCTAAGAAGGGTATAGTAGATCAACAAAAATAAAATATATAATAATTACTAAATTAAAAGATATTTTATTATACCTAATATAATCTCCTTAAATAAAATATTATACCTTTTTAGACTTATAAAAATATTAATAATGTTTTAGAGGTTTATTAACTAAATATTATAAGAATACTTTAATGACTTTATATCTATATATATAGATAATATATTTATCTACTTCAATAATTTGTTAGAAGATTATAGTTATAATAAATATATTATAGAAACCTATACTACTCCAATAAAGTATAATATTAAAGTAAAAAGTAATATGATATATAAGACTAATAACAAAGTTCGATTTTATATTTTGTTATTTATTAACTTAATAAGCTTATTATATTCATTATCAAATATCGTATTAAGAATAGGCTAGGCTTTGTTATAAGATGATATAGATAAAAAGGTCTTTGATTAGTTATAATAGTTTAATATAACTAAATATATAAGGATTATAGTATATATTTATTAGCTTATATTCTAATATACAAGAAGGGTAAAAAGATATATAATAAAAGGGATTTCAACATTTCAACTATCTATAAACATCATCACTAAGAATTCTTCCTTAAAGAATTCTAAATTACCTTCTTACCTTATTAACTATTCCTATCCCCTTCTTATACTTTTTATTCCTCTTAATAACTATTATAAAGCTAAAGGTATAAAATAAAAATTTCCAAGGAAAATTAAGTAATAATATATTAAGTATATATTTTAGCGTTAAATAGGGCGACCGTCGAATCGTTAATAAAACAAAAACGATGATAAGCATTTTCAAATACTCAATAAGCGAGGATTACTAACCTTTCGATAATAGATATAGATCTTTAATAATAAATATTAAGAGTAAGAAATATTTTAAGAATATATAACTTTTAAGTTACTGAGTACCTAGGCTAGAATGCTATTTATTTGATATTATCTTAAGTAATCCTTTAGTTTAGCGTAAGGGATGATACGCTAATTCTTATACAACTATACTATTTATAAAAGATCTTTTATTTAGTGAGATTTAGAATATAGACTGTTAAAATTACTACTAATTTTTTAGGGATTCTAAGTTAAAATAACAATAGACTCTAGTATAAAAGCTACCTTTATTCAAGGAAGGTAAAACTACGAATTTATTATTTATTACTGATTAACCTATAAAAGAGATAAAATTAGTTAAACAAAAGGAATTATATAAAAGCATAATATAATGATAGTGTTTTTAACGTATTTTTGTCTATTTTTTAGGTTATTGTTAACGATAAAAGTCCTTACCTTATAAGCGGGTTTTAGCAAATTATATATGAAAAGCTAGCGATCTAACTCTATCTTTTAATTACATTTTTTCTCTATTTGTTGTTATTGTATTAGTTCTTGAGCTGTCGATATAGACAATATTAATAAGTTAAGAGATATGACTATATGGTTATATAATTATAAATAAATCTTTAATAGCACGGCTATAAGAAGCTACTTATTCGTATAATCTATAATCGCGGCTATATAAGAGAAGTAAAAAAATAAAGCGAATTGGTCTTAAATGGCCCTAATTTACTATAGTAATTAACAATTAAGTATAAGTCAACCTGTATGATATCCGTAGCTAACGCCCGTTGAAGAAGATCGACTAGGTCTATACTTAGTACTGAATTATAGATATTCCAACGATATATATAACCCAATTAGACGTACTAACAAACTTCTACTTAGTTTTTAAATTAAATTAGTATAATCAATTATTGGACTTATTTCTATTATAAATTATTCATAATATATAGCCGCTAATAGTTAAGGTTAATAACGAATAGAGTATAAAGTCAGAGATTCTCGACTTACTAGAGAAGTACTTTAAATTAAAAGTATTAGTGAAGTAGACTAGGTACGTAGGTGTGAGAGCGTGCACCCGGGTCAACACACACTACCAACTAGGCCAAAAAGACCACTATGTTAGCCGTCAGGCTAACATGCCTGGGACCGATACATATATTACTCAGTGCGCACATTGCTAACAGCACCACGCCGTTACAGTAGGGATGATGCAAAAGAGATTAGACGTTATCGATAATTACTTAGTATTAGCTATATATAAGAAGCGATTCGGTCCCGTATCGGAACCTTCCCGTTACCGGATCGATGGGGACATCGTTAACCCCGTTATACAATTACTACGTTGCTAAAAAGTAAGGAGGGGGGTAATATTATGTAACGGAGGGGATCCTGAATCTTCAGAGTCCTGTCATAGAGACGGGTTATCGCCAGCGTGTCACTGTCGATCACAGAGCGTACTCTGACCGCCACTCTACCCCGCTCCTATCAATGATAAATAGTCCATTCTTAGGAACCTGGAAGTTCCCCAAGAATCAGTCTCTGTACTATTCACACAATACATCTGTTCCGGAGCCATCTTCGTCTTACCTAGTTGACAGGCCCTATCCTGTAAACACTAGAACCCCCCTATACTTCACATATCACGGGCTAGAGCCTAATAGATATTACATTAGACTACGTGACCTATAGCCGGGGTTACTACGCCGTACCCTACGTTAGATAGTTCCTTTCTTTAAGATTAATGTGAATCGTATATCAGCCTAGCCTTAATTAAATTAATTTAGCTTTAGCCCTTTATACCTAGACTGTATTAGGTCCAGGTTAGGTCTAGGTCTTACTAGGTTATACGGAAGTCTGATTAAAGTATAGTGCTTAAAGGTACTTAATTTATATTTATATAGTAAGAGGGAGTTCTTATTGGGACCTAAGTGCTAACAAGGTCTAATAATATGATAAAGTAACTAGTTCGTATATACGAACCAATATAGGGCTTAGACCTCGTAATGCGAGGTAACATAACCTTATATAACCCTATATTTATATTTAGGAAAGCGGTTATAGAACTAATCGGTCCCTATTAATATATTTATATGCCCTATGGATTGGGCAGAAACCCTGAAAATTTAGGCAAGGGGGGGTAAAATTATCAATATGCTTTATTTATTCCCTAATGTTCAAATTTGATAAATAAATGATATTTTGAAAAATTTTACCTAGGTATCTATGTAGCCCTAATTATGAATTTGAACCGACAGATACCCAAAAAGATAAAAGTATACTGATAGACTGACTCGTACGGCGAGTCGGTCATGGTAAGACGGGTATATACATAGCTATTTATATATGTAGTCAGCCGGTTGCTCAGAATACAAATGTAGTTTTGTATTTTTTTTCCGCCTTTAGGTGGGACATAAACGACATGAGAGAGATCGTTATAGTAATCAAAAATCATGTTGGCATCCAACCGAAATACCATAAAAAGGATCCCGCAGCAAGGCCTTCGATATATATTAACTACATATGTACCAGTATTTATGTAGGTACATACATATATATACACTGGATAAGTTGATATAGAAGCGGTGGTCGGGTAGTCGGCATCAATGTGGCGACATGACATCAACCAATCATAGCTCTTGGTATTCGCCTTATTTCCCCGACTCTTCTTCACTCTCTTTTAAATTCCTCCAACTCTCTCTTCCGTCGATTTAAGCACCAACAATGTCGTTCTCAAACTTGGTATCCGACATTGCCTTTCGCGATGCGCGTGTCGACGATGGCAGCTCACAAATTTCACATGCCCGATCGCACGCGACCGCTCGGTCGTATACCAGCACCGCCGCCACAAGTGTCAGCATCTCCGGTGAAGTTTCCAGTCAGCTGCATTCTGGATATAGTCACCCCCTGAGCAGAGCATGGCAAGCCGAGAGACAATTGACCAAGGTTCGTCATATACATCTCATTGTGGCAATTGTAGTTAACACACCCAGGACATGCTTATCTATCCCTTGTTCATTACTGATAACCCCGACGAGGATACACCAATACCCTCCTTGCCTAATCAACACCGCCGTGGAATTAACCGCTTGGTCCCTTTCCTTGCCCCATTGGTCCGCAAGGGTCTGCGCTCGGTGATGTTGTTTGGCGTTCCTCTTCAACCCTCAGCCAAGGATGCTCTCGGAACTGCTGCAGATGACCCAGATGGCCCGGTGATTCAATCCATTCGACTCCTTCGATCTCGTTTCCCCCAGCTTTATATCACGACGGACGTATGCCTCTGCGAGTATACATCGCATGGCCACTGTGGTATTTTACGAGAAGATGGGACTCTCGACAATGCGCAATCCGTTGACCGGATTTCTGATGTGGCGATTGCCTACGCATCAGCAGGGGCCCATTGCGTTGCTCCGTCAGACATGAATGATGGAAGGATCCGGGCTATTAAGCTCAAGTTGATCGAAGCCGGTGTGGCCCACCGTGTGCTCTTGATGTCATACAGTGCCAAATTTAGCGGCTGTTTATACGGTCCATTCCGGGATGCGGCTGGTTCCTGTCCCTCATTTGGAGATCGTCGGTGCTACCAACTTCCCCCTGGTGGTCGTGGTCTCGCCCGCCGTGCGATACAGAGAGACATGGCCGAAGGTGCTGACATCATCATGGTGAAGCCGGCTAGTAGCTACCTTGATATCATTCGTGATGCCAAGGATTTGGCACCGGATCTTCCAGTGGCAGCTTATCAAGTCAGTGGTGAATTTGCAATGATTCATGCAGCTGCCAAGGCAGGTGTTTTTAACCTCAAGGACATGGCCTTCGAAAGTACTGAAGGCATATTAAGAGCGGGCGCTGGGATTGTGATCAGTTATTTTGTCCCAGAGTTCCTTGATTGGCTTTAGTTCCCCTCTCCCTTTTACAACTTGCCATCTCCTCTCCACCAAAAGTGCGATTCTCGGATGGGGGAGTTATGCTCATTTTTCCACATTTGACCACATTTATAATGGGTCTGATAAATTTCTGAACATGTGATTGTGCATGATATGAAACTGGATAGATTCCTCTTATGTGACATGATGGTTTGATTTATATACGTTGCTCACGATTACCCATTAGTACTGTTTTTTTTTATCACTCTTGTGAAGGATACAAATCAGAGGCTTCAATCAGATCCCAGAATTGAGATACAACAAACATTACAAAGAAGAAGAAAAAACATGGTAGAAGTATTATATGTATAGGCTACAATATGACACTTGATTCTACCACAAGATAGAGAGTGCTAATAACGTACAAACATAATCGAAATCATTTGTCGACTTGTGGATATCAAAACAGAAAAGAAAAGAAATAGAAACATACACCATAAAGATATTAGCCTGGTCATAATTCCTGTCTTTCGACCCAAAGCCGCCGGTGAATAGGAGTTGGAAACTCTTCACTCTTCACTGCAACACCCATACAATCATACACGTCAATTCGTTCACATGTAGGTCTCAGGGGATGGTAGGTTTCAACCCCTGAAACCCGTAAGCTGGAATGTCCGACGTAACAATTTGACCTGGAGCTACATAAACCCCCCGGTAGAGACGAACACCCGGGTAGATGATGCACCCGGCGCCCACGTAACAATCCTCTTCGATAGTGACTTGACGGCCTTGGTACCGACTCTGCGATCCCTTGCGTTCTTGCATAGTATGATTAGCAGTTGAACTGAGCACCTTGACGTTTGGGCCGATCCACGTGTGGGCACCGATACGGATGACACAATCATCTACGAATAAACAGTTCTCCGAGACCATCACATCTTCTCCAATGTGGATATTGTATCCATAATGGTAGGTGAAAGGCGCTTCAACAACCGCACCTTGACCAATGGACCCAACAGAGCGAGCTCCGACACCAGATGGTGAATTGGAAACAGAACTTGCCGGGGGTACAATGACCTCCTTCAGCAGGCGGGTTTGTTCCTTTGAACTGACCCCGGTGAGTGGGTTACAAGCATTATTAAATCTCCACAATGCACCTCGGCAACGATCCCGATCCTCCATGAGGTGAACGTCGAACGGTCGATAGAGTTCACCGTTGATCATTTTTTCTTTCTCGGTCTCCTCACTCGGCATGGAGTGAGCAGTCATCTGGGTTTCCACATTTAATGCCATGCGAGCCTGTGCCTGAGGACTATGGGTATCCAAAGCTGCAAGGGGTAATGGTCGTTGCTCAACGGTCCCCTGGAACATGGGCATACTGGCTTTAGGAGGAGGTCCATGACTCAAGTCACGAATAGAAGATATTACCGGGTAGTCAGACTTGTGTCGAATCTCTTGCGATGATTCATGAATAGATGTGACCGTGCGATAGTTGCCTTTTGAAACAGGATCGGAAGCATAAGGAGAATGACTAGCTCCCGCGCTTGGCCAACTTTGTTTTGACCAGGCGTGATTTGATGCTGTGATTGTTGGACTGGTGTTGTATTGTTGGGCAGGACGTTCGTTATTCTCCACCCCCAGGGGCCTTATATTTGTCGTGTCAACATGTTCTGTCATACTAGGTTGTCGATCTTGATGACGAGAGGTTTCTTGTGTGTACGGCGGGCCCGATTTATCTGAGTAGCCCTCTTTAGATTGCAAAGGAACCGGGGTCTTTGCATTCGATGGCTTCTGCCAGGTGCTTCGCGACGAATATCCCTCGCATATGAAGCCACCCCGAAGACAATTGTTGCCTACAGTGCATGGTTAATATAGGCTTTCTCTCTTTCTCTCTCATTTGTTTTTGTTTGTGTTGATTTCTAGGATACCGATGAGAAAGCTAAATCCACCGGGTATGGACTTACATGCTGGATGTTGCTCGTCGCACTTCTTCTTTCTGCGACGGCAGGTCATACAACCCGTCTTCGTTCGATTACTAAACACTCGCTTCCTCTTTGGGGCGACATGCATTGTTCCATGTCGGTCTTGGACATAACCAGGAGAAGAAGGCTGCTGAGCGCTAGGGGTCGAGCGGTTGCCCGACCGTTCATGGCCTGCCTCACGTTGCAGAGCATCTGCCAGATGGGCATCCGAGACATCCATTTGCTGAGCCCGTTGAGCTTGGGTGATCAACTGAGAATCATATTCCGACCATGGACTATTGGCAGATGTTTGACCCACATCGTTGCCCTCGGACCGATGAGAGGGCGTTGCAGAATGATTGGCGCGTTCCATCTCGACAACAGACCCAGCTGTGCTGCCATTCGGATTAGAATGGTGAGTTTCGGCGGGACGGCCCACCGGACTTTTGGAAGCATTCAGGCCTTGATTTGAAGAATCTCGTTCCTGTGATTCGGATCTCTTTCTTTTATTCTTATGAGAGGGGGGAATGTCTGGAGATGAAGATCTTGGAGGTATTTGCTCCTTCTGATCATCTGCAGGATTCTCCCGGTTACCTCGCCGATTGTCATCTAAGTTGGACCTTTCCGGAATTGAATGATCTCCAATGGAGCCGGCAGATATCCCATTCCCGGGGACGAATTCCCTGCCATTGACAGCCGTGAAGCGGGAGGGACTGTGTTCTGTCCCCGTTTCCGTTCCAGAATCGTGACCATTCATCAGAGGTACAGCAGGAGCTGTCATGGTTGAAGAAGTTGGAAAAAGAACAAGAACTGGGTCAAACAAAAACGAAAATGAAACCGTAATTCGCTGCAATAATATCAAACAAGATAGGGCTGAGGTTACACCCGATTGAAGTTGAGGTAATAGAGAGACACTATGCAATAGTATAGTGTATATGTCTTCCACAAGCGATGATATATGGGAAGAATAAGACCAGACTCAAGTGTAAGAGTCTCTCTCTTTCTCTCGCGAAACGCGGCAAAGTCGCAAGCGCAAGCGCTTAGAATAATTTTGTAGCTTCAAGATAACTTTCTTTTTGAAAAAGCTCTTTTGTTTCTGATTTCTCTCAATGCTTTTGTAACAAGTTCATCCACGGTGGGGTAGAAGTACCGGGAGATTGTCATATACAACCCTTTTCTATACGAAAATGATGTAAAAGCTAGCGCCAAAATGAAAAGGTAGCCAGTAGCCAGTAGCCAGCAGCCAGTTAAAAAAAAGAAGAAACAAAAGTCGCCAGTATAAAGTAAAAGGTAGAAAATAGAGTAGAAAGTACGGAGTAGAAAAAGAGAAAAAAGAATATAGAAAAAAGGAAATCCAAGGAGAAGCGGGAGAGGAGGGGGGGGGGAAATAGTAATGAGAAAGGGAAAAAAAGGGAAAAGGAAGAGAGAAAGAGAGAAGGTCCTAGCTCTTTTTCTGTATAGTAAAGTACATAATAAAACAAAAATAAGGGGAAGTTGGCGCGCGATCGGCAATGACGGCGTCACAAGTAGTACCCAATCGGAAAGTGTGATGAGTTCTATCTTAGTGAGGCGCGGGTTCTGAGACACTTCATTCATTCGCTTCTTTTTTTTTTTTTTTTTTTCCCTTTTGCTTTTCTTTTTCAACTTGCGCGCGTTCCCTGGCGGCCCCCTTCTTCGTCCCGCGCTGACTAACTTACCTTCTTCCGATATTCGCCATTGGCGCCCGTGTACGCGTATAATGGCGGTTATGCGCTTAGGATTTAGGATACTTCGTTTTCTTTCTTGATTGATATATATCTACACATAATTAATGCGTTTCTGAATTAAATTCATGTTTTCACTTTCTCTCTTTTTTGCCCTTCCTATTTGACTTCTCCCTCTCTGATTTTTTTTTTATGGGACTGGCGCCCATCTCGGGAATTATTTGATGACTGCAGCGTGCCGCGGCGCTAGGACCAAGAAACTAAACTAAGAAATCGGCTGGGCACGGATACTTTTGGGCTTACGCTTGCATTTTTAACACTTTAGGCGACTTTGGTGCTTTTGTTTTGTTTTGTTTTTCTTTTCTGCTTTTCGGACGTTTCTGCTTATATACAAATTCCATATATGTGTAAATTTTTCGCGTTTGTTTATCGAATTTGGAATCTACATTTTGATCTATGTAACGGTATACGTAATCAGCATGGAGTATACATATAAAGAGTACATACATATGTACATACAACTATGTAACCATACTCTGTAGAGGTCATGATATTTCTAACTTAGCCCAATAGTATTTATCCTTATTAAAATTATAACAACCACCTTGACTCTCATTATAAGAATGATAACAAAAAAAACCTAACAAGTACATATGTATACATGCATTCATAAGATAATATAACTACATACCCGTGGACATTTGTATAGACTTGAACTTGGAAGATGGAAAGCGCCCGCGGGCGGAGAGTGCAGCTGACATAATATCGAGACCCAACTTGGGACAGTTCAAACATCAACGCGCTCTCACCGCCAGAGTCTGGATAGCTTCCTTTTTACCCCCCCAAATCTCGTGTTTTTCTTTTCTTGAAAAAAGCTGCCTTGGTATTCTGGTAAGTCTAGACCTGCTTTTCTCTCACCCAATCATTTCTCTGTCGGAGACCCTGCTGACCCAACCCCTCCAAAGGATCTCACTACCCCACCGATCCTATTGCTTCTCATTTCCCCCCCTCCAATACTGCCCTGCAGCCGCCTTGGCCCCCTCATATCTTGTCCAGGCGGTTTCCAATTAACCCTCAAATCGTGATTCTCTTGTGACCAAACCCATTTCGTGATCTGAGGCGACACCGCCAGTCTGCGCCGGGATGTCGATTTCAGTGCAAGAGCTGGACAACACGGTCCGAGCTTTGTTTGAAGGCAAAGGAGAAATTGTAAGTGCGATCCAATCCAATATGATCTCTACTACATTCTGGTTGAATCACAGATCTTCTGCTTCATCTCCGTGGCCAACGCTGACACTATTGAACCCATCTAGCAAAACCAAGCCCAGCAGACCTTGACAGAGGTAAGCGGCACAGTCCTTGACGATTTTGTTATGAATGCAAAACTGACCAATTCTTTTTTTTCTTCGTGTTGCAGTTTAAGCAGAACCCCGATGCTTGGGTCACCGTGGGCAATATCCTCCAAGAGGCCTCATATCTTCAAACCAAATGTGCGTATCAAGCCTTTGGGACAATTCTGCCTTGCAGTATCTGGAACATTGACGCTGACCCCATATAGACATTGCCCTTCAAGTACTTGACAATGTGATCATGACCCGGTGGAAGGTTCTACCACGGGAACAATGCCAGGGTAAGATCAACAATCCATTGTTACTACGTGCCTTATGCTCACATTATTATTACATCTATCAGGCATTCGTAACTTCATCGTGAAGTTCATTCTCGAGAACTCCGAAACAGAGGAGAAGATCCAAGCTGAACGTCCCCTCTTGAACAAGCTCAATCTAGTCCTCGTCTCCATTCTGAAACAGGAATGGCCTCACAATTGGCCTACTTTCATCAACGAGATCATCTCCTCCTGCCACGCCGGCCTTTCAATCTGCGAGAACAACATGACCATTCTTCGTCTCCTGTCCGAGGAAGTCTTTGACTTTTCCCAAGATCAAATGACATCCGCCAAAGCACGAAACCTGAAAACGTCCATGACATCGGAATTCGCATCGATTTTCCAACTCTGTTCCGAAGTTCTGAACACTGCGAACCAGCCCAGTCTGGTCAAAGCCACCCTCGAAACACTTTTGCGATTTTTGAACTGGATTCCGTTGGGCTACATCTTCGAAACCCCCATTATCAATACCCTCCTCACTCGATTCCTTGGTGAACCCGAGTTCCGCAATGTGACCCTGAAGTGCCTGACCGAGATTGGCGGCTTGCAGATTGGTACTCCCTACAACTATGATGAGCGATTGGTGCACATGTTCACCGAGACACTCACTACCGTGTCTAATGTCATTCCTTTGTCCCTGGATTTGAAGCAGACATATGCCATGAGCAACGGAAGAGACCAAGAGTTTGTATCAAACCTGGCCTTGTTCCTTTCGAGCTTCTTTAGTGCCCACCTAGATGTACGTGTGAACCACCTGCTTAATTCTCCCCGAGATCTGTTTGCTAACATCCCCCTCCTTCCTTCTAGCTCATTGAGAAGTTGCCGAACCAAGACTACCTCACCCACTCACATTTCTATATGATCCGGATCAGCCAGATTGATGATCGGGAGGTGTTCAAGATCTGCCTGGATTACTGGACCAAGTTGGTGCAAGAACTCTACGAAGAGATGCAGCAGCTCCCCATCACGGATATCAACCCGCTGGTATCAATGAGCGTCAGTGGTTTAGCCAATGGCGGTGCCCCCAATCCTAGTACCCTCGCCGGTTACCCACTGCGCAAACACAAATATGAGACTGTGCTCACAAACCTCCGCACTGTGATGATTGAGAAGATGGTCCGCCCGGAGGAGGTTCTCGTGGTTGAAAATGATGAGGGTGAAATTGTGCGTGAATTTGTCAAGGAGAGCGATACCATCCAGCTTTACAAGACGATACGCGAGTGTTTGGTCTACCTCACCCACTTGGATGTGGTTGATACTGAGACCATCATGATCGACAAACTGGCTAAGCAGGTTGACGGTACAGAATGGTCGTGGGTGAACTGCAACACGCTGTGCTGGGCAATTGGTTCCATCTCTGGTGCTATGAACGAAGAGACAGAGAAGCGCTTCCTGGTTACTGTGATCAAGGATCTGCTTGGCCTTACAGAGCAGAAGCGTGGAAAGGATAATAAGGCGGTGGTGGCGAGTAACATCATGTACATTGTGGGACAATACCCCCGGTTCCTGAAGGCCCACTGGAAGTTCCTCAAAACCGTTGTTAACAAGCTTTTCGAGTTCATGCATGAAACACATGAAGGTGTTCAAGACATGGCTTGTGATACGTTCATCAAGATCGCAAACAAGTGCAGACGGCACTTTGTGGCCCTCCAGCCAGGAGAGAATGAACCTTTTATTGAAGAAATTGTCCGCAACATGAGAAAGATCACCATGGATCTTTCTCCCCAACAGATCCACACTTTCTACGAAGCCTGCGGCTACATGATCTCTGCCCAAGGTCAAAAGAGTCTCCAAGATCGCCTGACTGAAAATTTGATGGCACTCCCTAACTCTGCCTGGGATGCGATTATTGCGGAAGCCAACCAAAATCCGGCAATTCTCCAAGATGGCAACACCATCAAGATCGTCGGAAACATTATGAAGACCAATGTCGCCGCTTGTTCCTCAATTGGTACCTACTTCTCTTCCCAAATTGGTCGCATCTACCACGACATGTTGAACATGTACCGTGCTGCCAGTCAGCTGATCAATGATGCTGTTGCAAATGATGGTAATTATTTCCGCCTATTCGCGAATGCCTGGGCTGTCACTAACACATGGCAGGAGCCATCGCACCGAAAAACCCCCAAGGTCCGAGGACTTCGGACTATTAAGAAAGAAATCCTGAAGCTCATTGACACCTATGTGGACAAGTCGGATGATCTTGATATGGTTAATACCAGTATGGTGCCCCCGCTTATGGAGGCCGTATTGATTGATTATGCCCGCAACGTTCCCGATGCACGAGAGGCCGAGGTCTTGAATGCCATGACCACGATTATCCATAAGCTTCATGTATGTCTCCACTCTATCTCCTTACTGAGTGGCCATATATTTGGTCCGCTCCTGGGCATAACAACTAACACATCAACACAGAATTTGATGGAGGACAAGATCCCAGCCATCATGGACAGTGTTTTCAACTGCACTCTGGAGATGATTAACAAGGACTTCCACGAATATCCCGAGCACCGCGTCGAATTTTTCAAACTACTTCAGGCCGTCAACCTATACTGTTTCCAGGCACTTCTGAAGCTCGATGCTGCACAGTTCAAGTTTGTCATCGACTCATGCATGTGGGCCTCGAAGCACGACAACCGTGAAGTCGAGAACACTGGTCTCACGATGTGTTTGGAGCTGATGAACAACATGGCTGAAACTGACCCGCAAACTTCGAGCATTTTCTTCCGCCAGTTCTACATTTCGATCCTCCAGGATGTGTTCTTTGTTCTGACCGATAGTGATCACAAGGCCGGTAAGTGGGACCTCGCCCAGGTCTTCGGACATATTCTCACAATTTTTTTTTTCTTCTTCTAGGGTTCAAATCTCAGGCTTTACTTTTGTCACGCATGTTCTACTTTGTTGAGTCTGGCAAGATCCAGGAGCCTATCTATTCTACCGACCAAGCTCCGATTGGCACCTCCAACAAAGACTTCTTGCAAGAATATATTGCAAACTTGCTTAAGAATGCTTTCAGTAATCTTCAAGAGTAAGCTACTCTTCTTGGATCGAGATCTTTTTGAATAATACTAACTGGTCTGCACAGAGCACAAATCAAGCAGTTTGTCCTCGGACTATTTGCCTACACTGATGACTTGAACAAGTTCAAAACTCATCTCCGTGACTTCTTGATTTCCCTCAAGGAGTTCTCTGATGACAACGCGGAGCTCTACGCGGAGGAGAGAGAACAAGCGGTTCGTGACGCCCAAACTGCCGAGCGAGATCGTGCCATGAAGGTAGGAGGCTTGTTGAAGCCATCGGAGATGGAAGCTGAAGATGAGCTATGACTCGACCAAGAACTACGTACCGAGTTCGTCACTGCTTCTTCTGGGCATGAACCGGTGAAGTCGATGAATGATGGCCTCGACGGCTGGTCTCTCTACCAGTTTTAGGTTAAGGGAAAGTTGCAAGGCGGAAAGATGTGTGCGAATTCATCCTCTTTTTATCTTTTCTTCTTTCGCCTTGGAGGGGCATGCGGAAAACCCGATTCTAAGGATGAACAGGTTCCTCAGTGTTGCTGTAGGCGTATGGAACAGATACCAGGCTTCATCTTGCCCGCCCAAGGCGCTGTTTGATAACTTCAAATGTTTAAAGTGAAAACAAAAAAAACACAACAACAACAACAAAACACTTTCCCAACTCAAATGATAAATCAAAATTCAAGAAATAACTGGACGGACGTAGAAGTAGAAGTACACATTATACATATCTTGATACAGAGGGCGGTGAACCCTTATCAGTTGCATCATACAGGAAAAGTCCCCCCCCTCGCCATCTTCAAACTCATCCACTCTACTTGAAAATGTCTCGATCCCGACAGCCAGCCTCAAATTCTCTCCGGACTACCACCGAGTCCCGGGAACAATCGGTTCCCTTCCCGGCAACCCTCAGACTGCGAGCTGAAGAAGCACCAGCCGCTGAAGAAACCTCTTCATCCCGCCGAATAAGATGGAGCGAAGATGTCGTAGATAACGAAGGCATGGGAAAAAAGAGCTCAAAGGGTAAGTTCCTTCCGTTTCACTACGATATTAAATTCAATCTCTGATCGCCACCCACAGTATGCTGCATCTACCACAAAGCCCGACCAGTAGGAGAAAGCAGCTCGGAGGAATCATCCAGTTCGTCAAGCAGCGAGAGCGAGAGCGAAGACGACCGTCGTTTAGCTAGAATGAATCGGACCCGTCGTGCACCCTCGCACGGGGACTCCCACAACCGTGTCCATGAACATGAACATGAACATGAACATGACACAAAGTGCTCAGATCACGAACACGATCATGGCTCGAAATTGAAAAAAGCAAGGAGGAAACCGAGCCCGAATGCATACGAGAGAATGCCCAAGCCGTCGAAGAATCACAATCCTGCGCGGGGCTCTTGATCCCGATCTGATTTCTTCGGTGGCGACAATATGGATCGGGGGAAAAAGAGACAAGATTTGGAGATACAAGCAAGGCCTGGGGAATGATTGTTATGAACAAACAGGTACTAGCTTATCATGTCTGTACGTAGGTTGCTTGCGGCAGACAGACTCTCTGCAGATACCTACAAGACCTGCACGACACTTGAGATACAGATACATCCCTTGTCTACGGAGTAGAGGGACGCAGGATGCGCAGTGCAGTGGCATGACCAGCAGAAGGTCGGGAAAGGGCGGGGATTGCTTTGTTCCATTTACGGCCCGTTGCATGCTACTCATTTGGATCACAACCAATAAAGCCCGTGGAATACATGTTTTTTTCGCCTCGATGCGGCATTTCGAAGACCTTGTACATCGAATAGAGTTGGCAGAAGCCCACATTTGTATATATTGATAATTACTTGAAACGAAAAAATCAAAGAGAAGCTTAAGACAGAGAGTGCAAATTTATCAAGTACGCAACGCAAGGCACATGTCGTTCTTGTCTAGTATTGCTAGTCACGACTTCAAGAGTCAAAATAAGAGAGAGAGAGAGAGAGATCACACGAAAGCAAAATCGAGCAATAGACTTTGCCTGTTACAATCTACAAAACTTACTTGGTAGAATATTTGAACCACATAAAAACCAGACCAATGTGAGACAAAACAATGAAATGGTATCGTGAACGGATCGCATCGAGGGGGTATCTGAAACATAACTGCAGACCGGTCTATAATGAATGATTGTACATAGGTGATGGAAATTTTGGTTTTGCATTGGCATTACACCATCATGCTTTTTCTCCGTGCTGCAATGCGCTGACCACGTCTGGTATCTGCTGGTCCCGGTCCAAATAGGTCTTCATCTTCAAGAGAGTCTCCGTTTGGGGATTGCGGTTCACCTTGATCGAGATCGTACTGCGCCATGTTTGCAGTGCTTTTCGGGTTAGACGAGTGACGTCTAGTTTGCCGCCTCGAGCCCACTGTATCGTGGGACACCTGGGCGGATATATCTGCAAGGCTGTCCTCGATTCCTTTCTTGAGGTCGGTACTGAGATTCTCCGCCTCGCTTTCCTCTTTGGGGGCAGATGACACCTTGCGCTTTCTACGGGACACCATCTCTAGTACTTGTTCCTGAGAAGCATGATTTGCAAGAGCGAAATCAGCGGGGAGGCTACCAGGCTGGGTACTGTCATCTCTATCCAGACTAGGCTGGAAGCTGGAAGATCTGCGGGAGCCAAATGCAACTGCGTCGATCATCTCCTTGGTGGGGCGACGCATCTTGTCACGCAGGTTAGGCTCAGCATAGCTGACCACGGCGCCACGACGTCGGGAAGGCCGACTCCCAGCATCTTCCTCTGCCTTCGATGCATTGGGGTATGGCGATAATGCTGGCAGGCTTTGAATTGGTTCTGCTGGCTGGGCGGGAGCAGGGCGGCTGGCGCACTTTTCTTTCTGTGGAGGAGCGAGTTTACTCTCACGCGGCTTTTGATGAACAGCTTTGCCACCGAGTTTCTCCGAACTTTGGTTTTTCTGCGGTGAAATTGCGTTCTCGTCGCCTTTGGTAGGCTGTTGCAAAAGCTTAGAGTCCTGTTTTGAAGACACGCGGGCCTTCTTGGGAGATCCTAGATTGGAGTTTGAATTCTCTGATACAGTCATTAGTCTGAATACCACCAAGATCAAACAAGCGAAAAGATGAACAAAATATGGGAACATACTGGGTTCGAGTACCTTGCGCTTGGTAAGCGCAGGGGGTTTAGACCCTCTTGTCACTTGGACATTCTTAATGGGTGACTGCTCTTGACGTATAATCTCGAAGGGGGTTGTTTGCTTCTTCGGGCTGTGATTGGGCCGGCGGAATTGGAATTCATCCTCATCAAGGTTAGACGTAAATCGGTCATCGTCTTCGGGAATGAATTTGCGTTTTGTCGAGGCCAATGGTGCGTGTTTTGCCGTGTCAATTGGTGGGCTTGTTTGCCGCTCAGAGGGCACAGGACCAACTTGAGGCGCGAGAGTCGAGGTTGACTTAATTTTCTTCTTGCGGTTCTCGAAAATGGGGGTAAGCACTTGTTCGGGGTCGGGTTCTTCGGAAATGTTGTTGTCCAGTTCAGTCCTGTACGTTGCGTCTGGAGGGGATGGACTGGAATGGTCGACGCTGACGTCTACGTGCTCTGGCGGAAAGCTAAATTGAGGAGGGGAATCCAAAATGCTTTGGTCATCATGGAGTAGACTGTCGAGCTCTTGGGCCCTGTCAAACAAGGTCAGTACTTGGGAATCATCTGACAATCACGAAGAGCTTACTCGAGAGTTCGTCGGGGATAATATTTATCTTCCACAATGGCGGGGAGCCTTCCATCGTCCGCTCCAAACAAGTCCTCAGTTCTTGGTCGTGATTCTGGTGCCTGCTTTGGTCGATCGGACTGTTCATTATAGAGTTTATTTACGCGACGGGGCAATGATCCCAGGTCTGTTGCCAAGCTGCTCAACTCAGCTAGCTTGGCATCCAACTTGGATTTGATGTCGTAGATCCCATCGTGGAGCAATTTCCCTGCTTCCAATCTTTCCGTTTCTTGAGTGAGATTGATGACCTGTTTTCGCAGCGAGACATTTTCAGAAAGTAGATGTGAAACTTCTGACTCCAAGCTGCGAATGCGAAGAGATTGCATAGAGTTCACCCGCGCAATCTCACGGTTTTGTCGCACAAATCGACGCTTCACTAGGTGCACAGAGCTTGGTTAATTACCTCGGTAAGAGATAGCATTTCATATACTTTGACAACTTACAGGCATCAATGGACTCGGCAGGAGCCGCATAGTCATTCAACCGAGCCATGGAGGCTGGGACCACTGCCTAACAAGATTTGGAAAACAATGTTGGCAGATGAAATTGAATTGGAAGGAGTAGTCAAAGTAATAAGCCCAGAAAAATGGTACATCAATACTCCAAAGTCAGAGTGTGTGGAGTGAAACATTCAAAATGTTGAAGTGAAAGAAAGAGAAGAAGTGTAAACAATAATGGTCGAATGCCAAACCCTTGTTGATGTTTGTCCATTTTGGGGTTAGTGTGTCTGACTCATCACACCCCCCTCCTGCCTTAGGCACTTTACACCTTTTTTGGGAAGGCGCGGGGTGAGAACGCGTCTTGACTCGAACTTATATCGCCATACCTACACAACTACCCATTTTATCTATCTTCTCGCTACAACACAATTCTTCATGGCATACTCATCAAGACCGACCTCGATGCTTCCAGGTGCCCCTGGCGGATCGTCCATGCGTCAGCCCAGCGGTTCACAATCTCAACAATCTTCGGCCCTGTCGGCCCGCATTGCAGCCAAAAAGGCTGAGCTAGAGAACTTACGTCAACTGCGCGACTTGAGTGGAACATTGGCAACACAAATGCAAGCTCTGGAGAATAAAGTCTCCACGCTGAAGGAGGGAACTGAAGGTAATCCTACCTATATTCCCGTTAATTCAAAGTGTCACTCATTGAACTTTCTTTTTCTTTTTAGCTGTGGCATACGTTCTTTCCAATTGGGATAATGTCCTCCGAGCCATTACGCTCGCTTCAAGTATGTCACATCGAACCTCTTATCACCTCAACAAAACAAAGTTTTGTACTGACTGAGTATCATAGAAAAAGCAAGCGGCCTCCACGCACCTCTGGCCGAGTCAGAAAGCAAGAATGTGGGTAATGAACCTTCTCTGCCGGCAACACTGGTTCGCATTCCAGCTGAGCCACGTGAAAAAACGGGCGAGTGATTCAACATTCAGCTGTCTCACTATGCCCAGCCACCTGGCTACTCGGCTGAACAGCCTTCTTTTTTACACCTTTGTCCGCTGTGGCTGGAATAAATCCACCTCATATGCCGATTCCGTCATTCTCTCAGTGGAGCACTTGGCTGCCTACTGCCTCTCTTGACATCGGATGGGACTCGGCCACATATTGAAATTGTAATGAGGCCCGTGAACGGTTCATATGCTGAAGGAGGCAAAAAAGAAAAAAAAGAAAGAGAGAGAGAGAGAGAGAGAGAGAAAGAAATCCCCCTCAAAGAATCAAGAATCAAGAATCACAACACTCCCCAACACTCCTGACCCATGAGGAGGATACTATTTCCGAGTTGGGAAGACCCAATCATGACTTAGATGTGCCATGAGTGCAAAATCATGTTCAGCTCTCGCGTGACCCTATTGAATTTGAGCAAACATTGCCCCAATTTCTGCATAGGCAATAAAGTTGGTTATCTTGAAATGGGCAACAAATCAAAGTGGAGAGAGAGGGGGGATGGTCTAATCTTCTCCTCAATTTAACTGCACGGGCAATCATGGTCAATGAGCAAATCAAATGGGTATGGAATTTGATTGGATAGCGCAAAGTGCTTAATAAAGTGCATTCGGAAATATGTACAGTGGTTGATTACTATCACAGATCAGGATCAAATACCTATGTACATATGTCGGTATATACATAGTTATTGTAGGATATTAATATAATGATATCTCTGAATACGTCTGTGTACATATAGGTGTACATAGGTAGGATATAAAGGCAGTACTATATAGTCGAGTAGAAATACTAAGAATACATGTACCAAAGATACTAAAGATACTAAAATAGAAATAATCGATAATCAGAGTAAAATATAATAAGTTTCGGCTCAGACATCATGAGACGAATGACAAAAGACCAAGTGACGAGGATTACCAGTTCGAGGTTCCTGCATAAGTGTTTCTTTTTAAACTATAATAATTCTTTTTTTTTTTCAAATTATGATTGTACATATGTACGGAGTACATAGGTTGTAAGTAGAGAAAAGAAAAAGGCGCGAAATACATCGTGTCTACTTTGCGAGTACTTGGGGCACTCGGACCCTAGGTACATATGTACCTATCTCCGGCTCTACCCATGACCCACACGTCAGGTTGCTCCACGTACACGATTTTGTACCAGATTGTACCCCCGTGTATCTACGGGTATCTGGATCTGTCACCAATTCAGGTACCTTGGATTATTTTCCACTTTAAGCGCGCGAACCACCACAAATTCCGTCAGCCATATTTTACCTCCAGGGCGACTCCATACATAATGTACATTGTAGTCATAACGTGGATCCAGTTCGATTTGGCATTCTTGCCTATCTTTTATTATTAGTCCTACTATCTACAGTCTACATACAGTACCAGAACGTGCGCCATTATTATTTTTTCCCCGCAATTGCCTCGTACCTACATGGTTTAGGTTCTCTTTTTTCTTTCTCTTTACGCTCTGGGACCGTTTCTCATTCTTAAACATTCCATATCGTTCTTTATAATATTGGAGAGACATATATGTATATACATATTTATTTTATCCACTCAAATTCTTGCGTGCAAGGACCTTCGATGGCATGATCGCTGTGTGACACTTTTATTTTTCTCCCTCACTCTTTTCGAAAGTGGAGTCCAAATGAGGTGATCTTCTCTTTAGACTTGACCTTATTATTGACCTTTTCTCTATTTTATCTCTCACTCTTCCTCTTCTTCCTCTCTCTCCATTCCTCTATTGACCTATACAACCTTACAATATGTCAACTGAATGGTCTTTGGATTTCTGCTTGGTCTGTGATCGACAGACCTTGGGGGCTCCCTACTGCTCCCAAACATGTCGTCTCGCGGAGTTAGACATGGAAGGCATGTCACGAAGATCGAGTGAAGCATCAACACATTGGTCCGAGACTGCTCAAGCCCAATCCGATCTACAACCTCAAATTCTTTCTGCCTCCTCCTCTCAAACATCTCTCTCTTCCTTGAAGAATAACACATCAACCAACGTGGCCGACCGCCTTCAAGATGAATTGCGCGATTATGCAAGTTCCTTCGACCAAGTCCGTGACCTGAAACGGCGCATCACAACCACTTAATATCCACTCAATCCTCGACTTCATCCTCAAAAATCCATACTCGAAACTTCGAATCAACCTCAAATCATGCTCAATGTTGGAGCAAATTGCATGCAGCCTTGCTGCTTTGTTCTTCTTTCTCTTTTGTGAAATGTGAATTTGCATATACCGGGCGTCAATATTGGAAAAGATACACTTGTGTTTATGTTCTCTGTTTGTTGCTTTCTTTTTCTTTTTCTTTTCAATTCAACCCCCACTCTATTGGATCGTTCTCAGCCTATACCCTCATCTTGTTATATACAATATCTATTCATCAGAGTTGGGATGCCTAAGGTGCTTCACCCATTGGCATAACTCTTGGAGTACCTTTTTTTACATTTATTTACCAGATTGACCATAACAATCAAAATATTAAACTACATTAACAAACAACTATGTTTTTGGATATTCATTGCTCTATGTGAAACACTATAAATTCTAGATGACCCTGGAAGCCCAATCTTGGAAGCCTTAATTTTCCACCATTGGGGAGGGGGGGACCTTGAGGAATGTGTCTAATGCTAACCGGAATGCCAATATCGGTTGTGTATGAAATATCAGCTGTATGGAACCAACTGTCAGGGTGCAGTTTTTTCCACGTCGAGCCCATACCCCAAATTTGGCAGCCTGCATATACTAGCGTAGGTTGCTTTCGTCCTCTAAAGTCGAAACAAGTCACGCCATTCATTGCGCAAGAACTTTCCACAAAGCTTTCTCATTCTTCGGTACGAATCGGATCTTGTAGCGTTCAGGAATGGCGACCAAGCTGCTCGGGTCCGAGTTACCCCGGATCGGATGACAGTCGGTTTTGTCATGAGGCTCGAGACGGAAGCTATTGAGGGTCCTGATGAAGACGAGGTAGAGCTCACGATTGGCTAGCAAGGACCCGGCACACATACGGTAGCCCATGCCATAGGTAAAGAGCGGTGCATCAGGTTTTTCGAGCCAGCGATCGGGACGGAACTCATCCGGGTCAGTCCACACGTCCGGATCTTCGAAAATCAGTTCATTGTTTCTGTGTGTCTGGCAGATGATCTCTGGATGGATTTGACTTACCCATGTTGCAGGCCCAAGCATTCAAAAAGAAGACGGTGCCCTTGGGGATGACGATACCGTTGTAGGTGATATCCCTGATCGAGGTGCGAGGAAGTGCCAATCGCAGTACAGTGAAGAAACTAGCAAGACTGGTCAGACTAAATTTCGTCTTCCAACCTCTGAGCCTCTGAACCGAACATCAATGACATACCGAAGACATTCCTTGACTAGGGCGGCAATATACGCACACCTTTGATCGTCATCTACAGAACACATGGGCTCATCCTGACCATACATCTCCTGTATAGCCTTGGCCGCCCGATCCTGAATATCAGGACGTTGAGCCAATAATCCAAGACTCCAAGCGACCAGCGTGGTAACCGTATCCAGACCTCCCGAAAGCATAGTCAAGCTGATGGAAGTTAACTCCTCGTTGTTGAGCTTGGCTTCCTTATCAAGGATAACATTGGCCTGAATACAAGGCTTATGTGTGCCCTTCGCCATCCGATCATCCAAGTCCCGGTTCAGCGCTGTAAGATACCGATCACGACGAATCCGCATCTCGGCAGCCTTCTTCGAGTTGGAGCTGAAAGGATTCAACCTCAACAGAGGAATATAGTCCTGCAGGTTTCCGGTGGTACTTCGGAACCGGCTGATCTCCTCTTCGACATGGGTGATCTCATCGAACAGATCCTCTTCCTGGGATGCAACGCGCACACCCCAATTCAGTGTCAATGCCAAACTCAGACTCAGTCGCTGGATCATCGGCATAGGGTCGACCGGGGTCTTTCCATGATTTCCATAACGATACAATTCTTCCACAAAAGCTTTGGACTCGACATCCAAGTGCGAGACATACGTTTCGACGGAAGGCCGATTAAGAGCCGATGCGGCGCCCTTCCTGCGTCTCTTCAAGGACTCACTGTACGGTGAGGTTCCAATGGTTGTACCGGCGGTGTTGGAAACAATCTGTAACCGTATCAGATAGTCACAGAACCAAACCATGTCATAGAACTGACCTTATGAAAAGTATAAAACTCCGGCCTGGAACTGAGTGCTTGGGCATTCTGACCAAACAGCACCTTCGCCGACGCAGCAGAGTTCACAATCACAACAGGGATATTCCCCAGCTGGATCTGATACACGGCGCCATGGGTCTTTGACCAAATCCGATACTGCTCGGCGGCGTTCGTACGGATATGCCACAAGTTTCCAATCAATGGCCATCCAGTAGGCCCTTTCATACCCTTGACACGGGCTGCAGAGCGCACGAATTCATTGAAAATGACATAGAGGATCGGAACGAGGACAGCGGCTGCTGTGAGGGAGTGGTATGGATACTCGATTACGCTGGTCTGCAAAATAGAGAGCACGGCAGCGATCGCCATGGTGTTCTATATGGTTGTGTGTTCGAGGGAAATGGAATCAACTTGGAGTAGTCTCCGGTATGTAAGTTATAAGTACGTTGCATTGCAGCAAGCGAGCTTGCAGGGAAAAGGAACATTTCCGTGCAGCGTTGCTAGAGTCCGGCTATATTGTTCAGAGGGCTTCTTTGTACCCCCGCATATTACCCCAGATCTGTGCTGGTTTGAGCTGGTGTTTTGCTGTAATTGGGCTCAACCGAGGGCTTTCCGCACTCCGGAATTCTTCCGCTTGCCAATGAGGGGTCCACGGGTTGTGTATCGGGTTATGTGGAGTGTTCATGTTCATACATCATATATAGAGATACACCCAAGTATAGGTTAATGATTGGTACGCTGTCACATCGTTGTCGATCAAGGTTCAGGGTAGATGTGTACTAGTATATATACCTGCCTTGGCCGCTTTCTTATCTATGTCGGAGGGTCTTTTCCATATTCCTTTCGTCTTGTCATTTTACTGACCTATGTATGTATACTCCGTACCTAGGTAGTGTAGTAAGTATTGCATTTTACAATATATTTATCACTTCCCGTTTAATAGTTTTAATCTTCATTCCAGGGTTTGAAATCTGTCTTGTTGGATTTGAAACTATTCACTCCGTACAATTGTGCACTTTATCCCCTATGCTGTCGATGATCGAATCATCGATGTATACATCCATCCAGTTAATTTCTTTTTTTTTGATGGTGCTAGTCTTTTGAATAATAGATATAGTGATTGATAGTCTAAACTGGTCGAGACCACAATTGCACATGAACAGGGGCTAATGAAGATCATATATCCACTCACGCAAGGACTCCTTTATTTTTGGTTCGAAAAAAAGAAAAATTGAAGAAGCCTTTAGAAGAGGCTCGATCGGATAATTGGCATTGACACATTATGCACTATAATGCATATGGTCATTTCATGTGAACATTGGCACCAAACTGGAATATTGTACTCTGTATCAGATAAACCTGTTGCTAACTCGAACACATTCCTCTGAAACCGGAATCTTAAGGTGGGTCAACACAATTCCCAGTGGATCAGATCCAAACAAGGTGTTCATATAAACGGACGGGGGGGGGGCCCTGGACGGCCTGGGGACAATAAGCTATGAACAGTCAGGTGGCCGCGAAGATTTTGATCCAGGTCCAGACCCTGAATAGATCGGAAATTTTTTTTTTGGTGTTTTGTTTTCTTCTGTTCATTTTTCTTCATTGGAATCGTAAGGTATTGTCTCGGCTTTCCGAATGACTCAACGCATTGAAAGAATGATTTGCCCACAATGCTCAATGGCTATGAACATTCCAAGGAAATCTCTTCGCGTCATGTGTGTCGGGGCAAAGACCCGTTGATGGAGCCGGTTTCCACTTTCTTCTGCCGAGTCAGTGATTGGTGGGAGAAATGGGACGATTTGAGAGACGCATATGCATTGAATCCACTTGCCAAGGTGCTCCAATAGTGAGCTGAGCTGTCCCCATGACGCCAGAGCTTCTGATTTCACTCGTGACATCCCTGTTTTCATAGCTGTGGAAGGTGTAGCGATCAAGTTATCTGGTATTCTTGGCTGGTTGTCGCAAATCTTGCCTTTCGTAGTAGATAGGGACGTGTGTACTCCGTATGTGTTATAGTGAATAATTGATGAGTTATGTTTCTGAGTTAAAAAAAAAGAATTGGGCTTTTTTTTCCTCTGCTCTCTCTCTCTTCCCGCCTGTGGCTCCCTTTCTTCTTTCTTCGCCAACTCTTCTCTCTCCTCTCTCCTCTCTACCTTTTTGGTACTCATCTTTAACTCATTTTTTGTGAGAAAAAAAAAAAGAATTGCACATTTGAACTTTTGCAACATAAAACAGCAACAGTTACCATTCCGCACATAATGGCCGCTCGGCATTCGCGCAAGCTTTTGAGACCTCTCCTTTACACATCCGCGGCAGCCGCGGCAGGAGCTGGTGTTCTCTACATTTCTTACCGTCCACGAAACATCCCCGGTCTCGAGGCCCCAGCCGTTCCCCCACCAGGTTATCGGGAAGGAAAGCTGGTTCCTCCTAGCTTCCCCCCAATTAAGTCTCGTCTTGAACAGATTCAGGATTTGAAGCGCAGTAACGAGGAAGAAGAATATGATCTGTTGGTCATTGGTGGCGGTGCTACCGGTTCCGGAATTGCACTAGATGCCGCCACCCGAGGCCTCAAGGTCGCAGTGGTGGAAAGAGACGATTTCAGTTCCGGTACCAGTAGTAAGTCTACCAAGTTGGTACACGGTGGTGTTCGTTACTTGGAAAAGGCTGTGTGGGAATTGGATTACAACCAGTCAGTTTGACTACCCTTTGCTTCTTTTTTTGTTTACCCTGAGCAATCTTCGAAAAAATCGCGCAATTTGCTGACAATCGCATTATAGATATGCGCTCGTCAAGGAGGCTCTCCGGGAGCGCAAATATTTCCTAAACACAGCTCCTCATCTATCGTCATGGCTACCCATTATGGTGCCCGTTCAAAAGTGGTGGCAGGCTCCCTACTTCTGGGCTGGTACCAAGGCCTATGACTTCTTGGCTGGTTCCGAGGGTATTGAAACCTCGTACTTTTTGACCAAGAGTAAGGCGATTGACGCCTTCCCCATGTTGAAGCGCGATGACATCATTGGCGCAATGGTGTACTACGGTCAGTAGCGATCGACCTCGAAAATCAAGGAATAATTAGAGCTAATTGGGGAGTAGATGGTGCCCATAACGACTCCCGCATGAACGTTTCCCTCGCTATGACCGCTGCCCTTTACGGAACCACCGTGGTGAACCACTTGGAGGTGACTGGACTTAACAAGGATGCCTCCGGCAAGCTGTGCGGTGCGCGCGCCAAGGACGTGGTCAGCGAGTTGAACGGCGAGGTCGCCAAGGAGTTCAACATTCGTGCCAAGGGTATTATCAACGCCACTGGTCCTTTCTCTGACTCCATTCGCAAGATGGATGAGCCCGGTGTGAAGGAGATTGTTGCCCCTAGTGCTGGTGTCCACATTATTCTGCCCGGTTACTTCAGCCCCTCCAACATGGGTCTGATTGATCCCTCGACTTCCGATGGACGCGTGATCTTCTTCCTGCCATGGCAGGGTAACACCATCGCTGGTACTACCGACCAGCCTTGTGAGATCGAGTCCCAGCCCCAGCCCACGGAGAAGGACATCAATTGGATTCTGTCCGAGATCCGTGGCTACATCGCCCCGGATATCAAGGTTGAGCGCAGCGATGTGCTCGCCGCATGGTCCGGTATCCGTCCCTTGGTCCGCGACCCCAAGGCTAAGAACTCTGAGTCTCTGGTCCGCAACCACCTGGTGACTGTCTCCCCATCTGGCCTGTTGACCTGCGCCGGTGGAAAGTGGACCACCTACCGCCAGATGGCCGAAGAGGCCGTCGACGAAGCCCTGAAGGTCTTCAAGCTTCAGCCCCGCCAGGTGACCGCTCTCCCCGATATCTCCGGTGTCGGCGGCAGCGGTCTGGTTTCTGACGGCGCCGTTCTCGACGGTAGCTGCCAGACCCACCAGGTTCGCCTGATCGGTGCCCACGGTTTCTCCAAGACCCTCTTCATCAACCTCATCCAGCACTTCGGTCTTGAGACCGATGTCGCCAAGCACCTGACTGAGTCCTACGGCGATCGCTCATGGCAAGTCGCTGCCCTATCCTCCCCCACCAGCGAGCGTTTCCCCGTTCGCGGCTGCCGTCTTTCCGCCATGTACCCCTTCATCGACGGTGAAGTCCGTTACGCCGTTCGTCACGAGTACGCCCAGACTGCTGTCGATGTCATTGCTCGCCGTACCCGTCTAGCCTTCTTGAACGCCGAGGCTGCCCTCGAGTCCCTCCCCAATGTGATCGACCTCATGGCCGAGGAGCTGAACTGGAATACCGCTCGTAAGGATCTTGAGTGGAGGGATTCCTTGACTTACCTCAAGTCCATGGGTCTTTCTCAAAGCTTCATGGGTCTTTCCCGACACGATGTCCAGAATGGTCGTGTCAAGCAAGTCGATGACCAAGAGCGTGCCACTTTCTCTCGCAATGGTATGTCGCTTGCCTCCAGATATTGATGAATTATAAATGCTGACCTTTTTTTCCCCTTAGAACCCCCTGCGGACATGATCGAAAGTGACGTGAGGGCGACTACCGAGGTCCCTCTTGATGCCGCTTCCAAATAAATGGTACATATAGACCGATTGTATAAATATAAGCGTTTCTTACCTTTTTTCTTCTCATTTTAATATTATCTTCAATAGATTTCAATCCATCCAAATTTCCTCAAAGGGTTAGTCGTCTCATATGTACATATGTATGCATAGAGAGAGAGAGAGAGAGAGATCTTCGTAGTTGCCCAAAGGAAACGAAAAGTGCTACTTCTCAACGTCCTCAACTCTCCCCCGTTTCTCTCCCAATTTCCTCCCCAGTTGCTTGTGTGTTTTTATCATGGATCTCAATCAATCGGTTTTTCCAACCGAGTCTATGGATAAGCTGGACCAGCTGGATTCGTTGAATGTCAAAGATCACTCCGAGAATCCAGAAGATCCCTTTGGAGACGAGAGCCAGACTGGCATGAAGTATAAGACTATGACCTGGTGGTGAGTACTCCTTTTCTGGCAGAGGGCGCACAAAATCTGATATATCAACAGGCAAGCTGGAATGAGTAGGTCGACGCCCTCCTTAGAGCATGTTCTCGCGACTGACCTAGTAGTTATGATTGCTGAGACAATCTCTCTGGGGATTCTCGCACTACCAAAAGCACTTGCAACGTTAGGATTGGTTCCGTATCTCACCCATTCTCCCTTGCGAGGGTCAAGAGGCTAATTTGTTCAGTGGAGTCTTGACCATCCTCGTAATCGGACTCATCTCGACCTATACCGGATACACCATTGGCCAGTTCAAATGCCGTCATGTGCAGATTCATAGCATGGCTGACGCTGGTGACATTCTGGTGGGAAGAATCGGACGGACTACGCTAGATATTGCTCAGCTTGTATTTTTTGTGCTGGTAATGGGCAGCCACATTCTCACCTTTTCAATCATGATGAACGTCCTCACCGAACACTCCTCCTGTACCATTATCTTTTCAGTTGTCGGTTTACTTGTCTCGTTCTTACTGACTCTCCCTCGACGCCTTGAGCGGCTTTCTCATATTTCTTCCGTTAGCTTTGTCAGTATCACCGGGGCTGTTCTCACTGGTATGGTTGGAGTGGCTCTTGCTAAACAAGGACCGACCCATGTGCCTGCTTTTTCACCCACTCCCAAATTACACGGTGCGTGCCTCGCTATCGCGAATATCATTTTTGCGCATGCAGGTCATGTCGCATTCTTCACCCTCTTCTCGGAGCTAAAAGAGCTCAAGAATTTTCCAAAAGCGCTGGCGCTTCTGCAGATGAGTGAGATGGTCTTGTATACAATCGCGGCCACTGTGATATATGCCTATGTTGGACCGGATGTCAATTCACCCGCTCTCAACTCTGCTAGGGAGTTGTTTCGCAAGATTTCTTATGCCATTGCCATACCCACGGTACGTATTCATGTATGGACTTGGGGACACAGAACTGACATTCTGCTAGATTGTGATTGGAGGTGTGGTCAACGCCCATGTCGCTGTGAAATTCGTCTATGTTCGTGTTTTCCGGGGCACCAACTCCATGCACAGCGGGTCTTTCACAGCACGAGCTCTCTGGGCTGTGATCTGTGTGGTGCTTTGGATTTTGTCGTGGATCATTGCCGAGGGTATTCCGGTATTCAACGATGTGCTGGGGCTTGCGGTGTGTACTACATGTTTGACTCTTTCGAAGTGACAGGAAACTAACCTGCCCACCAGAGCTCACTGTTCGCTAGTTGGTTTTCATTCGGTCTACCGGGATTGTTTTGGCTCTATCTCAACCGAACTTGTTGGTTCCTGAACTGGCGACAGAAAGTTCTGTTTGGTATCAACATTCTTCTGGTCTTTCTTGGATTCCTCATTGTGAGTTATGGCGGTGGACATTTGCAAGACAGCACTAACTTACGCCACTAGTGCATTGTCGGGTTGTATTCGTCTATTCGGTCAATCTTCCACAACCTTCGCGAGGGGTTTGGAGGAGGCAGCTTCTCATGTGCGGACAATTCCCTATACTAAGAGGTAGTCCTACAGACCCGAAAAGAAAAGAAAAAAAGGTGATTGGAGGGCAATTACGGGACACAGCATTGCCGGTACACAGCATTGCCGGTACAGCAAGGAACTCTGGAACTCTAGAACCCTTCGCGTTATATGAATAAAAAATTGGGTTCTTCTGTATAGTAACACAACAGATGTGGGCACGCAAGCAGTTTCTTTTATACAGTAAGTCGATTACCATCAGGTCACGACCAAGGAGATGTTATGCACACTAGCACAAGGGATCCTTGTCCGCCCGGGGGCAAAATTGGATACATAAGTCGACAATCAATATTGTGACGTTTCAGGCCAGACGTAAAAGGAAAAAGATGTACCTATCGCCTTCTAAGGCGTAATTAAGGGAGAACAGAAGTACCTCTCACGCACAACGTATGCACGATGGCTTCCTTTTTAAGTCTAGTAAATTCGACGCTAAACAACACTAAGGAAATGACTCGCAGCCGAATAACCGAGTCATTTCGGAGAAATACTAAGTCACACGCATAATATCGTGGCACAATCTTACTTTTTTATTAATTTTATAAATTAAATATGATATAGTAGTTTAGTACCTAGGTATAATGATAATAATAATAATAATAATATATTTGCCTGCGAAGTAGTATCCTAGTATTCTAGTATGGTTAATACATATGTTCATCCGATACATTGCTCATGTACATATGTAGTTCTATAGTATATGGCCGGCCGAGAAATCACGACTCTGATACATTAATTCAATTAATTTTTCATCCGTTCTGAAAGATCAATTCTTTTTTTGAAGGATCGAGGTCTCTAAATTATATATTTTTAGCTGAACATTATCAATATATTGGGTTCCCCTCTTTAATGCATTATAGCCCAACGCATGTACAGTGTCCCAATCCAGACAGGGATCAACTTGTACTGCCACCACTGGAACATGCATGTCTGTAGGACATGGCAATGTGACCGGGAGACCGCTCTTTCGATTTGCTGGACTCCGGTCACCGCGGGCAAGAGGCATGTCCCTTTCGTTTTCCCCCAGGGAAAATAGATCGGGATCGGGTTCTCGTTTCGTGTACCATGCAACACTTTGGTAGCCCAAGCCCCAGACGGGCGCAATTGAATCCCCTCTAGGTCAAGTCCAGGGACTCTTGAATCCAGTCCTCTTGGAGAAGAAAAATGAACATATTCGGTGCAAACGACCGCGAGTGTTTCAATCGCTTAGTTGGCGACACCGTCACAACCGCCGGTTTGTTGATAATTGTTCCAGAAGCGAGCCACTGCTTGTTGAGCGACGGGGGAGCCCCGATAGCGTGTTGTGAGGAAATAATTAAAGAGGGCGAACTCGTCCGGACTGAGGACGTAGGTATCAGGTTGGGCCTGGATACGATTCCAGAGCTCGGTGATGGCGACCTCTAACACGGCGGCGGTCTGGGCGTTCACAAGACCATCTTCACACTCTCTGGCGTGCTCGAGGGCCTGTCGAATCTCAGGCCAGGTTCTAGATAGAGGTGGATTGGACATGTTGGGATGTTGAGGCGAGGGAGGTTGTATAGTTTTCTCCTGGGAGAAAGGAATAAAGGAACGCACGCCGCGCTCGCGACAGTATTCGAACCAAGGAAGAAGTGAAATTGTGTATGAGAAACGGAAAAGCCGAATCCTTTTCAATTAAAACAAAGAGTGGAGCAACAGGAGAGGGGGGGAACCGGGCCAGTGGTCCGAAAACCTATGTTAATAAGTGTGACATCCGATAGAAAGGTAAATGCAGATGGAATTAGTTGGCCCATCAGGTTGTGGGACATTCAGGAAATCAGAGTCGGACTTCACCGCGGAGCGGGTAGTTTGGGAAGGTCAATAGATCCAATTGTCACCTATTTTGCCCCTCTTTCTTTCTTTCTCTCTTTCTCTCTCTCTCTCTCTTTCCAGGGGTATGAAAGAGGCAGATTAAAGAAAAAGGGAAAACCATAAATAATATAGGGAAGTGGGGGTGTAGTTTGTGCTATAGGCGGGCTCGCCCGCGGCAGGGATTGGGCGTAACGGTTTTTTTTTTTTCTTACTTTCTTCCTCTCTCTCTTTTTTAATGACATGCTCGGGTAGGATCGAACTAAGCAGTCGCGGGCCCAATTTGAGAAAAGAGTTCGAGTCTGATTCGTCGATGAGCTATATGGTTCAAGGTTCAGACAGGGTCGCTTAAAGCCGTAGCCCGAGAGAACCAATTGGAAGTGTATCGATGGGGTCCAGTAATGGTCCGGTGCATCAGTTGAGTGGAACTTGAGGCTCGTGGGACCTATAATTTGTTTCCAATGTCGATTTGGGATATAAACACTGCGTTAGTTCCAGTTGGATTTCCCCTAGGGTGGATAATTGGTCATTTCTATTTTTTTCCTATTGGTGAGATGTTTCGGCCGGTGATCTCACCCTTGGACCATTTCGAAACGGCAATGCCTCGTGCCGATATATAATTCACTTCCGAGACACTTTGTTTTTTTTGGGCGTGTTTTATCTTTTGTTTTCTGCTGGCGACATGACATGATTCATGCTTGATCCCACAAGCGGTTGTTCGCCCGAAATGAACATGCAGTGTCCATCAGGATGCTCGAACTTTACCGAACCCGCATGTTTTGATCTGAAATATGCTCAAATCCCGTCGTATTCGGGTGTCCGCTTCCTGTTTTCCCCGTTCTCTCTCCGACAGATGTAAAATTTTCAAAACAGAACTGAGAACCAAAAGAGAAAGAACGCATCTACATGACGAATTGATGCCTTTTGTGTGATGGGCCAAGATGATCGCCAGTCGGATTGTGCTCGGTCGAGTGGGAAAGGAGGGTACGGACTACTCCAAGAGCCCTAAAGAGTGTAGTCGACCAAGCTTGAAAGTCCAACACAAAACATTGGACATTAGTCACACAATTGCAAAGAGAGAAAGAAGTGAAGAGTAGAAAAAGAAAAGAAAAGAGGTTGAGTTGTCCCGTAACTCTAATTCATCCAAGGTTCTCCCGGGTTCGACCTTGACCTTGTTTCAACTTCACTTCTTTTCATAAATATATACATATGTATATTATTTTCAACACTTGTGATAGTTTGAATATATTCTTCCATTTCTATCTTCCATAGCAATACTATAAGTTTAGTCACATGATTAACAACATATGTAGTTAGTAGAGATATACTATATACATGTGTAGATATAACTACAACCCAGATATGATAACACTATCATGGGCTATATACACACAAGTGATCTCGTTGAATATCCAACCAACCAAGTGGCCGAGCGGTAACTCAGTCATCTCATCTTCCTTGGTCTAGTGGTGATGATTTCCGCTTGTCATTAATCGTGATAAGCGCGGGAGACCGGGGTTCGATTCCCCGAGGGAGAGATTTCTTTTTTTATTTTTCCCTTTCTTTTCATCTTTTTGGTATATGGAAATCCCTTGATATAAAGGAAGATAAACCAGATATAACCTAAGCAGAGTCTACTTCTCAAGTTTATACTATTTGATGATTGGAAATTGAACTAAACCTCTCTCTCTATATAGTAGTACTGGAGGACCTCGGTTTTTTTTGCTGGAGCCCTGGAGAACTATAGACCTGACTAAGCCATAGATTTCGATAAAGAATCCCCCCACCAACGCCTTTTCAACTTTTGACTTGCGCCGATCGCACCTTGAATCTCAAATTTCCTGGAGAAAGTTCAGATTTGAGACGCCGACATGGTTTTCTATTTCACCTCCAACGTCGTGTCGCCTTCCGCCTTCATTTACGTCGGAAAGGACAAATTCGAGAGTATGCCTCCCAACCGGTAACAGGTCAATCAGCCTGGGGGAGTTCTAACAATGTAACTAGACGAGGATCTCATCCAATTTGGATTGGATAATGATGTCTGGTATGTCACTCGGGTCCCATTTGTAGAATGTTGCGACTGATGATCTTGCGCAACAGGGTTAGTCTTTCCTTCCGACCTGCGACAGCGTCAATTGCCCTAATAGTCTGTACTCCCATTAGTTCCACGTCGACAATCTGTCAAGTGCCCACGTCTACGTACGTCTCCGTGAAGGTGAAACGTGGGACAACATTGCCCAACCGCTCCTAGAGGATTGCGCCCAACTTACAAAAGCCAACTCCATTGAAGGTCAGACTTCAACATAAATCCAAGTGATTCGATACCCGAGACTTACCCTTGGATAGGCAACAAAAAAGACAACATCACTATTATCTACACACCATGGTCAAACCTAAAAAAAGATGGGTCGATGGCCGCCGGTCAGGTCACATTCCATAATCACAAGCTGGTTCGCAAGGTCTACGTCAAGCAGCGAGAGAATCATATTGTCAATCGACTCAATAAGACCAAGGTTGAGAAGTACCCCGATCTTCGTGCTGAGAAGGAGGAATATTTACGGAAGAAGATGCGCGGGGACCGCAAGACCCGAGAGGAGCAGCGGGCGCAGGAGAAGAAGAAGCAGCAGGAGTATGAGCAACTGAAGTGGCAGAAAGCGCATGCTTATGATGACATGTTCACTGAAGAGAACCTCGAGAGCAGTAACAATCAGGATCGCGATGAGAACTTCCTGGACGACTTCATGTGATGGTATCTTTTTTTCTTCTTCTCTTCTCTCGATTTAACTTGAACTTCCTCCGTGTTACACACAGCTAGCGAAGCAAAAGAAAACTAATACCCTCTACATACTGCATAGCTCGGAGGTCAATTGAACGTTTATGGCAACCTTTTTTCTAATGTTGAATCTACGTTTAGGACTGGAGGATAATTTAACATCAAAGTCTATTGGGAGGAAGCATTCTGTATGCATTTACATATATATATTTGTGATCATTTGATACTTATGTATGCTTCTGTATACTTCGATTTTGCGTAGGAGAGACATTTGGTACTTTGTTCCGTATAGACATCTCAGGTGAACAGAAACAACCTTATCAAAAAAAGGCACATGTTTTATATAAAATACTAAAGAGAAGAATGGAAACAATTGTAGATATCGATGGCTAAGTAGAGATCAATTTACTATCGATCTTACACTGAAGTTGACAATTTCATTCGGTTCCTTAATGGTCACAAAATGAAAAAAACCAAAAAAGACAATAAATAAACGCAGAAAAAATAATAGAAAAATACAACAATTATATATAAGTTAACAATATAATATAAAACTATGCACAGGTGAAGAAACCCTTGAAATAAACCATTTCATAATCTCCCCCCAGCCTTGACGTGGAAGTGAGGGCGGAAAGGGCGCTAAGCCATGTTGACAGCTTATGGGAACCTTAGGACATTTCAACTTCTTTCCCACCTACCCACCAACTTAGTTCCACGCAAACACCATACAGTATGACTGAGGATAATCCACCGTCTGTCGCTTCAAGTAAGGTGATACTGTCCTGCTGAATTGGATCCCTCCCAACTGACCAACCTTCAAGGCGCAAAGTCCAAAAAGAACAAGAAGAAGGCCCCCAAAGCCAAACCCGGCGCAATCAATGAGCAATATCCGCCAATGGATCAGAATGACAATGTATGCAATACATGCAGCATACCCCTGAAAGTCCTTGCACCTACTAAGACCCCACCAGAATGAGCCCCATGATGCCAGCGAAGACCCCACAGACGGACTAGAATCCAACGGCACCGAGCCCGAAACAATAGGTCTCCCAGATCGATCAGTCAATAACAAGGAGCCTATGACTACTGGTGATGCTTCCTCAACCACCGATGTCCAGTCCGACCCCGGTTCCGACAACACCGAGCAAAAGGACCGATTCGATGCTCTCGTTCGAGACCGCGACTCCTTACGCGCAGAAGTAGCCGACATGCGGAAGTCATTGGAGGAGATCCAATCCAAACACAGTGCCGACATGGAGCCTCTGCAACAGAAGTTGGACGATGCAGAGAGCAAGAAGGAGCAGGCGGAAACGCAGTACCAGAAGCTCTTGGAGCGTGTGAATACCATCAAGTCGCAACTAGGAGAGCGACTCAGAGAGGATGCTGTGCGTTGTATAGACCTCACAATCCCTGTCAATTGGCTAATGTTACTCTACAGGAAGAATTGGCTCTTGCGCGATCGCAAATCGAAGAGCTTGAGGATGAGAACAACAACCTCAAGGATGAGCTGGGTTCCAAGTCTAATCAGATCCTTGAACTCTCGGGCGACTCAGCAGAGAAGGAAAAAGAGTTGGCAACTCTCCGAGACCGAACGAACCTATCCCAGCAGAATTGGTTGAACGAGAAAGAGGAACTTATTGGGCAAGTCTCATACCACAAAGTGGAGTTTGAACAAGCAAAGGAGGCCATGCATAATTGGGAAGTTCTTGCTATGGAAGAGCGATCGATCCGAGAGAATTTGAACGAAAAGGTCGGAGATTTGGAGGAGCAGCTCGGCAGCCTGAAAGATGCCTATAAGCGGGTCACCGATGAACGCGATACCCAACAGTCAACGGTTGATGGGCTACAGCGGGCTCTGCAAGAGATTCAGTCAGCACGGAAGCAGGAATTGCGAGAGCTTGTGGAGAGCTCCGATTCTCAACTCGAGGAGCTCCGACGTTCTCTGCGGGAGGCGCAAAAGCAAGCCTCCGATGCCGAGAAGGGTCTTCTAAATCTACAAGAAGAGATTGAGCGAGTCCGGCCATTTGAGAAGGAAGTCAAAGAGAAGAACCTTCTCATTGGCAAACTCAGACATGAGGCGGTCACATTAAATGACCATCTGACGAAAGCTCTACGATTCCTTAAGAAAGGAAAGCCAGAAGATAACGTCGACAGGTAAGTTCATTGCACAAAGCAAATCAAATATCATTGACTGACTCCATACAGACATATTGTCACCAACCATCTTCTGCACTTCCTCGGCTTAGACCGATCTGATCCGAAGAAATTTCAGATATTGCAACTCATCGCAGCTTTACTGGGATGGAATGATGGTAAAGTGCCCTCAATGAAGACCTTAGCCTTTTTTCTTCTTGTTATTCTAACATTCAAGCAGAACAACGTGAACAGGCAGGTCTTGCCCGCCCAGGGACCTCAAGTATGTCTGGGAAACTTCGAGTCCCTGGTACTCCGGTACGGACACCGAGCACGCCGAACCTGACGACGGAGTACATGGACAATGGCGCCTCCAGTAAAGAGACGCTAGCCGAGCTATGGTCTAATTTCCTGGAGCAAGAAGCGGAGGTTGGCAATAATATGAACCCCTCAAGGAGAGGAAGTCACCAAGGGCCTCTCAAACCATAGACTGCAGTTGAATATTCATGTATAAAGACAAAGACAGCGAGCCATAGAATTGAATATTGATACTTTCATATTGTGACACTTCGTGATGTTTTGAGGATTGGGATTAATATTCCATACCGCCTGATCCTGCCAGTTTTCTGAATGCGGTGTAGTCGCACAGCGTCTAGAATTAACTTGGCGACTTCACTTTTAGCTTCTCTTGTATGTATTATTCACCTTCTCGTGCCTTCTTAGCGTCTTTTAGACCAATAATTCGTGCTCAACGCTTTGCATCAACAATGTCTACCGGTATGAAGCCTAAAATCAACCAAAACCCTCATTCCACAGCTAAGGCAATGCCCCAATCCAACAGTATCCCAATTCCGCCCCGTGGTCATCAGTGGGCCCAGCGGCACAGGCAAGAGCACTCTTCTCAAGAAACTTTTTGAGGAATTCCCCGAGAAATTCGGCTTCTCGATCTCCCGTGAGTAACACGCCGCGGAACAAAGACCAAGAGCCTGACAGAACCAGACACCACTCGGCAACCGCGCGCAGGCGAGCAAGATGGCCGCGAATACTACTTCACAACGAAAGATGCATTCCTCGACCTCGTCGCAGCAGATGGCTTCATTGAGCATGCCGAATTCGGCGGAAACCACTACGGAACATCCGTGCAGGCAGTGAAGAATATCGCTGAGAAGGAGCGCATTTGTATTTTGGATATTGAGATGGAGGGTGTGAAGCAGGTGAAGAAGACTGATCTGAACGCGCGATTCTTGTTCCTTTCACCTCCTTCTTTGGAGGAGTTGGAGAAGCGTCTTCGTGGTCGGGGAACTGAGAATGAGGATTCTTTGGCCAAGCGATTGGCTCAAGCTAAGAAGGAGCTTGAGTTTGCGAAGCTACCCGGATCCCACGAGAAGATTGTCGTGAATGATGATCTTGAGAAGGCTTATGTTGAGTTGAGGGATTGGGTTGTTGATGGTGGTCGTTTCGGCGCATAAAAGAGTCCAAATTTAGATGTGATTCGAGTACTTACTATAGTCCTGCAGTTTATTCGATAGCGCCGAGGAATCGTACATTGAACATATGAATAAAATGGTTTCTCTCATCAGTTAATTAAGAAAACTAAGTACATGGAAAGCACCAAGAGTTGGCAAGCGCTGGAGTGCCAATTCTCTTTTTTCCCTGGCAATACAAATCCTAGAGAAGAAGAGACAAGATAGGAAGGGGTGTAGGATACAAGCCGAAAACAAACAAACGCAAAGAAAAAGAAGAAGAAAAGGGATATCTGCAAGGGCCTGCTGGCGTCAAAGAGGACAAGTTTTCAGAGCGGGAAGGACTGCCCGTGTCTGCTTTCGCACAACGGTCACAGCGCTCGTGTCAAAACATCAAATCTACGGACTTTAGTATCCGTTCATGGCGGCGCGCTGGGAGTTGCGGCTCAGCTCACGGTCCGCCGAGGGGCTGATGGGCCGGCTGCCACCGGTGTGACCACCGGCACCGCTGCTCTCCTTGAGGGCCAGGAGCTGCTTGGCACGGAAGGTCTCGTAGTGGATCTGGCTGGTGGTCTCGACCAGGTCCTGGAGGTGGGTGCGGGTCAGGAAGTTGCGGAGGTAGACAAATTCACAGTGGTTCTCGTCCTCGACGTTGATGACACCCCAGCGGTTCTGGCGGCCGCGAACCTGCTTGCCGTTGACAACGATCGTCTTCTCACTGCCGACAACGGAGAAAGGAATGATGTCCTGTCGCCGAAATTTAATATTAAAACTAAGTAATTCTTCAATTATTCGAGCATACCTTGATCTGGGCGTTGATGGCACGCTCCTCATCATCGAGCTCGTCATTATCGTAAGGGTACATCTTCAGGTTGTGGAAGGCGAATTCTTCCTTGATGCGCTCTTTGAACGCCAGGCGCTCATCAAGAGTGAGGGAATCGGACTTGGCAATAACTGGAACGACATTGACGACATCGGACAGCTTCTTGAGGACAACAATATCGATGGGCTTAAGGCTGTAGGAATAAGAAAGATTAGTTTGTTTGGAGCCGAGAGAAGGGAGAAATAAAAGCCGAAATAAGGGCGGGGTAAGCTCACGCATGACCAGAGGGCTGGATGAAAAACAAGCAGCAGTGAATACGGGTATCTTGGATGTAACGCTCACGCTGAGCAGTGAGTTCCTTGCGGAGGTATGCCGAGTGTTGATCCTTGATGTACTTGACAATGGGGTCCCAGCTGAGACATGATTAGCCACATGCCGGTAGTATAGTGTGAAAGAGCTCGAATTACCATCGATCATTGTTAACCTGATCACCGTAACCAGGTGTGTCGACAATGTTCAAGCGAAGACGAACGCCGTTCTCCTCGATGACTAGTTTCCATCAGCTATTCCAATTCGAACTCTTCGCCATTTTGATCGATAACATACTGTGCGACACAGTCTGAATCTCTGTTGTAGAGCGAACGGGCTCAGTGGGGGTCAAACGACCCTTAGAGTCAATCAGGTGGGATGCGAAGATAGTGTTGACAAGGGTAGATTTTCCAAGACCAGTTTGACCTAATTCACACAATTTCCTTTATTAGTTGAAATGGATGGATCAGAGAATCCCTGATTCACACGTACCAACACACATGACATTGAACTGGAAGCCACGCTTCAAAAGTTTCCGCTCAATCTGAGAAGTGATACTGTCGAAACCAACATGGCTATGAGGGAAAACAGTAGGCTGAGCCGACGTTGGAGAGGTAACGGTAGCCATTGCGGAAAGATATTCAGAAGGCTTTGAAAGAAAAGAAAGAATGAGAAGAGAAAAAAAAGACCGACAACACCTTAAAGTTGACCAGAAAGAGAAAGGCAAGAGCCACCCCTTATTATAAGGTGAGTAGTTTCCTTAACTCAGGGGGGATTGATCTATACCTAATTGGGCTTAGCGTATTTCCAGAAAACTAACGATGCGCTTTTGCTTCATTTTCCTTTTTGTGATAGCTCTCTCTCTCTCTCCTCCAGTATAAACAACTTCAATTCATTCCCCCCTTTTTTCCTTTTTTATTATTTAAATTATCATTGTCATTATGGCATTGAGACTTCTACCTTTTGCCCCGGCAAATATGTCACGTTCCCTGATCTCCGAGTCCCTCCAATTCCGTTTCAATCGATTTCTTCCGATCACACCTATCGCGACTACCGGATTCCTACAACCCTTTGCAATCTCTCTTAATATTCCTGGTTTACTCTCCGACATTTGGGAATCTGTCTTGCGTGCCGTTCCCAAGAAGAAGACCTCTCACATGAAGAAGCGTCATCGATTCATGGCCGGCAAGGCTCTTAAAGACGTGAAGAGCCTCAACAAGTGCCCCGGTTGCGGTCAGCTTAAGCGCGCTCACTTGTTGTGCCCACACTGCGTCAAAGGTAGGATTGAACCCCCATTGTGTTACAATTTGGTTCCGCGAATCGAGGCACAAAGGACTGACTTGGACTTGTTTCCACAGACATCAAGGATTCGTGGAGAACCCTGGACACCGCATGAACGATTTTTCATGAATAAGGATCCGGCTTGGTAATGTGACTCGTTTTGGGTCCTAAATGTCAAGTTTGGTGGAGATTGTATTTCTAGAATTGGCTGTGGAAATATGCTGCATGGCACCTGGCGTCTGGTTTGTTTTTGCGGGGAAAATTCTTTTCGATATGACTTTATAATTTTTCGATCTACTAGATCGAAAAACCAAGATGATCTTACAATGTACTGTTACCCTATGAGTTGGAAATTCATTGAGATATATACACTATTCATTGCAAATGATGTGACACTAGTACAATACGTTGACTATAGCATACACAGAAGAAGCATTGGAGAATCTTCAATCTCCATATATTGACTCTCTCCTTTACATACTTCCCATCCATTTATACCTTAGTCATGGTCTACGTGATTGATCAAGTTCTTTATTCAAGCTTCCTGCCGATTCTCCAAAGAAGGTTCTGAGCGAAAAGAATAAGCTTTGTTTCTTTGTTCTTTTCTTTCTTTACAAGCGGAAAAAATTATATAGCAGGCATCGCTGTCGAAAATTAATGAATATACCTACACTGCATTGCTTTTAGGTCATGCAATGCCTTCGTGAACACAGGTTATACAGTATACATGCTTCTGGTTTGTTGATCGGGCTTCTTTCATGACAAAATGTATATAAGATCATGAGAACCCTTAGTTAAAGAAAGACTTTTCTTGATTTGCCATATCCCCTCCTCTGTTTCCTACATATGCGTAATTCATATGACCATCTATATGCATTCGCATTCTACTCTGTACCTTGGGCAAATTAACCAGGAGTATCTGACCAGCTGACCCAGGGCACGTGACGTGCTGGAACAAACTCAATATTAGTTACGTGATCATGTATGTGCGCTGTACAAAAGCTGTTCGGACACTTGTTTTTCCGCTGCTACAATTCACACCGCCTCAAAGCACCGATAACGATAACGAATATGCCGGCCAGAAAGAAACACAGAAAGAAGGCGGTAAGTCATATTGTATAGCTTTCATCTGAAAAACGTCATTGCTTCTCAATACACTGCATTGAGACACTGTAGCGCGGCTACGATATTTTCAGAATGGCATGATATACACCGTAAAATTGAAACACATTTACTGACCAGCCTGTACAGTCGAAGCAATACCTCACGTGGGGTTCAGCAGACAATGGTGAGATACCTGCCGTGCTTTATTGATTAAGCTAATACCTGGGTTTCTAGCGCACATTATGGACATTTTCACCCTTGCAGTGACCGACAAGCAAATTCTCTCTGGTGGAGGCGACCCAGCCATCAAGGTTCACTCTACCACAGGCCCCGAGTTCCCACTGGTTCAATCCATAGACAACGCGCACGATATTGGCTGCCACCACCTTGTGACCGATGGAACGGGCACTCGAGCCGCCAGTGCAGGTTTTGATGGGAAACTCAAGATCTGGTCTTGCCAGGATGGTTACTGGGCTCTTGATCAGAAATTGTCAGGTGGGCTTTGCCCCTCTTTAATAAACTGGAATATGCTAACACGAACACAGCCAACCTGAATGTTGGTGACGTCTGGGCCATTACACTATCTCTGGATGGACAATATCTCGCTGGAGTCACGCAGGCGGGCCGAATCAATGTCTGGGATCTTGCTGCCGACGCTAATAAGATTCGGGACCACGAGACAAGGGGAAAATTTGGCACTTGCATTGACTTGGTAAAATCCTGACTGCTGCCTTTTGCTACTGGCTTGTACTAAACTCAGACTATAGTCTGCCGACGGTCGTTTCATTGCTACCGGCCACGATGACGGCTCTGTATACGTATTCACCACTGAGACAGGCCGCATGCCGTTTTCCCTAGCAGGTAGGCGAAATTGCCGGATCTACGTTAATCTTCAAATTATAACGCGCTATAGGCTTGGTCAAATCAGTCCGGTCCGTGGCCTTTTCACCAGGAGGAAAGATTCTTGCGGCAGCTGGCAATTCTGGTGTGATTATTCTGTACGACACTGCCTCCGGTGAACAGATTGCGAACCTCAAGGGTGACTGTGGCTGGATTATGTCTCTTGCTTGGAGCAATACCGGGGAGTATCTTTTAAGCGGGTAGGTTCACTCATTTATATGTTATTACGATGGCAAGCTAATGTTGCAAAGCTCATTTACCGGCAAGGCCAAGGTCTGGTCGATGGAAACCAAGACCTGTGTCGCGACTCTTTCTCAGTCCGAGAAGACAATCTGGAGTTCTAAGTGGATCCCAAAGACCACCAAGACAGAAGGGTTTGCGACTGCGGGTGGAAACAGCAGCATTGCCTTCTACCGTGAGGCTACTGGATAGGGATGTGGCCGAAGATATGGGATTGAAAACATTGCCAACCACCACATCTTTTAACGACATCAACGGATAACTAAGCATGAATCCTGACCTCAGAATTGCATAAAAATCATGACATTCGTAACAGACATCTTATCCCAAAAGAAAATAATTGCGCAATCTCTAGTTCATCGCCTCAACAAACAACTTGCGCATACGCTTCAAGAATGCCCCAAAGTCCCGATCGTCATTAACAAGATCCACTACATGCTCTAAAGCATCCCGGTCCACTTTGGGGCGCGTATGGAAAACCTCGTAGTCACGGCTGGCAGTGCCCAGCTCAAACCAAGCCTCGGCCTCCCAGTCCTTTTCCAGCAAATGGCTATAGACAAACTTAAGTCGGTCCTCCCGGCCCGCGCCCTCAATCCGAATGCAAAGATAATCCTGCCAGAACTCCAACTCGGGAAAATTGAGACGAGACTGTGCATCCAGACTCTGCGCATGGGCTTTCTGCGCCTCAACTTTCTGATTGATAGCCTTCTGAGTCTCGGCAATCTGTTGCTTCAGTCGGTCCCGTTTAGTGAGACGAGTATCGCGTTCTAGGGTGATTGATGAGATGGCGGCGTGCATTTCGGCAGCCTCAGCGGCTTCTTTTTGGAGAGTTTGTTCGTGGGTTTGTGATTTCAGGTTCAGAATCTCGATATCGCGCTGGCGCATGCGCTCGTCCTCTGCAAGGGGTAGGTTAGTCGCAAGATTTGAGTGAATAGGAGAGTCAATAGTCAACCAACACATACCCTCATATTCGGCCAGATTGATGTGAAACTGGTTTCGTTCCTCCAAGACTCGTTTCCGCCCGCGCTCAATGAATGCATCGAATTTGACTGTAAATTGGGCCATACTATTGCGTAGGTCGTCGAATCCAAAGTTGATGCTTGGCAGTGAGTCTGCCATTGATGGCGCATCTGCTGATGCAAGTGGTGGGCGCATACCACTAGTTGATAGCGACGGTTCGAAAGACATGATATCTTGTTTTGAAGTATAAAAAACAAGAACAAAAAACGTGGCGAGTAGAACGTGTGCCCAGGTGTAGATGTAAAGACGCGTGGGAGATCCATATGGATGTTTTGGGTTGCGGCGCAACGATCTTCTTATCGATAAGAACCTCAAAAAACTTTTTGCGCTACGACTATTGAATATTCCGGACATTAGCATCTTTTGTCGCATGTACATGGCACTCATGAACTTAAATTGTTTTACTTTGACAGTATCGACATGGTTTGGCCGGCCCTCGAATTGATCGCAAAAAGCAAAGAAAGATCCGATGGATGAACATCCTGACAGTGCTCTACACTATGGGCACGTAGGACGAGCTGTCTATCTTCCCGAGGAGCAGGCTTGGACATTTGCTCGTTCTTTCACTAGATGTGAGTATCTACTAAAATCATATTGAGATCCATCTAATATCTTTGGAAGCCGCCCCGATTCTGTATACCGGAGTGACCAAGACAACCGTGTCCTCACCTTTCACTCCAGATGAAGTCGAACCAATACGAAGAGTTCCCGATAGGGATGCTGGGAAGTTGATCACGGAAGTATACCCAGATCTAGCAGCATCGTGGTCATCCATCCGCCAAGAACCTCTGTCCAAAGCTATCACGACAGCGACTGAGCAATTTGACCCGGAGAGCTCCTCGCTCTTCGATATAGGGTATGCAGTGAATCAACGACGCTATCCCAAGAGGCTACCACCAGTCCATATTTCCGTGTCCGTGACAGGCGAATGTGGAAATGCACTATCATTTCAAACAATAGAAGAGGATGATTTGGAGCTTAGTTGGCCGACCCGAGTAGCGATGCGCGCTCCGTCAATCACTGGCACTGAAAAGTCACAATGGTCCAAATGCGGTGCACCAATACGTCAAGTTAACTTCGCGCGGCTCCTCGATGATGATCCCGTCTTCATGGCGGCTCGTCTTATCACGAGCACCGTTATTTTCCGACCTCTTTACCACTTGGATCCCGTGCCCATGCGCTTCCCTGATAATGCCCCCAAGAGATCATCTACAGCTCCAAAGAATTCTCGACTCGATGCAAACCCAGTCTTGGAAGTTTCAGTGGTGCAAACGGGTGGCTTCCCGCACGCCGATGTGACCTTCAACCCTTGGTATCAGCAACAATTCGGCATTGTCGATATCAGAGGCAACTGGACTGTGTGGGAAATCGAAGAAGCTAAACAACCCACACAAAGTCATTGGTCCGCTAGGGTTGTGAAATCAGGCTCGTTGCCCACATCAGATACCACTTTCAAAGGTGGTCGCCCTCGGCTTGATGGCTGGGCTTCAATCGAGTGGGCTCACGAGATCGGGACAATAATTGTCGCCAACCGTCGGAATGTCGCGATCTATGCATTCTTGGACGATCAGGTTCCGCCTCGGACAGTCGAATTGGGGATGACGAAGCAATCCGAGTGGGTTCTTGGTTTGCGGAGAAATCCGCGTAATTTATCACAATTCTTTGTCCTAACGACAAATCGAATTTTGTGGTTTGACATGACAACCCCACCCGGGGAAACCAGTATGGGGTTGTCTCTATATCCCCAAGTTTCCCGGAGGCATTTCCGAGACCCGAATGATACAAGTCTACGACTCAGCGAGCTAGTCGTATACCAAGGTGTGCAGTGCACTGAAGTGATATAACACCCGCTTTGAATGCTAATTCTTCGTCTAGACCTATACATTGTTCTCTTTTCCCAGCTCACTCATCTTGTGCAAGTTTTCCCCAGTCCTTTTATAAGTGACGAAGAGACAAACTTCGTATCTGTACCCGATCCATTCGTGATCGATGCGCCGTTGATGATGCATATACCCTCAAACGGACGGGATACGGTACAATTTTCAACATTTCTGTTGAAAGAAGTTGGCCATACCCCTTTGCATACCAAAAGTCTCCACGAACCAGATCTAGCAGTCATCAAACTTTTCTGGATGGATTCAAAACTTGCAATCCATGAATCTGTTTTCCAAGGCCCGCAGGGAGATCCAGACGAACCGGATTTGGTTTGTGAAAGCCGCGTTTTGCGTCTACATAGGCGTTATAATCAACCGAGCCGGCCTATCCCAGATGATGATTTTATCGTGGACGACTGGGACGAGCCAGAGATGCAGCAAGAGTTCGTTCATCCCCGCACAGACAGGGCTGTCCCCATATCTATGGAAGAAGACTGGCAGTGGACTTTGGATTTCTCTGATGTATATGCTATGGCGATTGGTCAAATCGAAATCCCGCAGAAAACGTCAAAAGCAACGAAAAGGCAAAAGCCAAAGGCACGAACATTTGATGGCTTTATCTCGGATTTGGAACGCGAGATGAAGAATTTATCAACCAAGCAAACCCTAAGCGAGACGATGGTCGAATTGAGCGACAAAACGCTTCTGACCGAAGATCTCGACAAATGCACAGATGAAGTGAAACGACTATTCTCTGCTATCATGCCCAAAGACCCGGACCCGGACGCTAGACATCGGTTTCTGCTTCTACCGCTCCAATACCAAACCGTCACTTATGGCATCCCATCCCGACTGCCAGGTGAAGCAGACAGGGATATGTTGAATATCTATGATCGAATGGTCGATGATTGGGTATCAACTCTGTCCCGGGATATCCCTGTACCGCTGCGACTGGCAAAAGAGAAGCTCATTCGAAAGATCGCCGCCGACCTTCTTCTATCCCATCTCGTAAAAATCACCACTTCGTTGGATCGTGTGATTTTGCCCAAACCAGCAGATCCTATCATGGATCAAAACGAAAAATCCACTACACAGAACAAATATCTTCAATCAAGCTTCTTCTCCCAGTCAAACTACCATATCCCTGCAAGCCAATCACAAATGACCAATGGCAGTCTCGGATCTCAACGGAACCCGACACCGAAACCAGCCCCTTCCAAGTACTCCGCAGTCCCGGTGTTCGACGGCCTCTCAGCATTCACCACATTCAAGAAACCACGCGCAACAGCAGAAAACGTTTCAAATGTACTTTCTCACTGGTCAGTCGGTAATAATCCTTCCACGTACATCTGGGAAAGGATTGAAGACGAGGAGACGCGGCGCAGCGCAAGTCAAACGCCCAAACGAAAAAAGAAGCGCCTGCAGGCCCGTGATCAACCCCTGCCTCCCACCCCATTGGTTCCTATGGTCCGATCATGGGGTACTCAGCCTCTTACGCCGCAGATCAATGTCAGTAGTCAGCCCGACGTATCGATGACACAGACCGAGCGGGGCATATTTGGAGCTCGTGAGTTGAAAAAGAAAAAGAAAAAGAAAAGAATGGCGGGTTTTTAGATGTATATAGAATAGAATTCAAAATGATACCCCTAGTTATAAACTCCCTCTTAACCATAATAGAATCTAATATTACATACATATGTAGTTACGTAGTAGGGTATAAAAAGACCAAATATTGCATAATCCATTCATTCACCAATCGCGAATATGGCTCAAACTCCCTGAGGATGACAAATGCCCCTCGATTGAATTATTCAAGATACATACAAAGGACTCATCGCATATCTTCTTCCACTTCCCCTAATTCAAAGTGAAACAAGTCCACCGTGTCCTATTCAATCCCCCGCCAAGCAACACTTTTTACTTTCTTTTAACATTTACCCGCACCCCCGCAGTCAACAAAACACACAACATGTCAGACCACCAGTACAAGTTCAATGTGACTATGACGTGTGGCGGATGCTCTGGTGCCGTAGAGCGAGTCCTTAAGAGATTAGAAGGTATGCGCAATCTCTCAACGTGTTTGATCGCTGAGTTGACCAACAACAACAGGCGTCAAGTCCTTCGACGTCAACCTCGAGACGCAGACCGCCGAGATTACCGCCGCCTCTACTCTTTCCTATGATACCGTGCTGGAGACGATCAAGAAAACCGGAAAGACTGTGACTAGCGGGGAGGCGGATGGTGAGAGCAAGGAAGTTTGAAGGGTGTCTGCGTCTACACAAGATCTGTTGCGACAGGATTACAAACAGGGGTTGTGAGCCTGGACTTGAGGCTATCCTGGGATAAACAGTCTTGGTGGAACTGGAACTAAATAAATAAATGATGACTGGGAGAGCATCCTAGATCCGAGATCCAAGATCACAGATAGAAAGAAAAAGAATCCACTTTCTTATTCAAATTGGAATTAAAAAACCCGAGTAGAGAAATTTTAACAATATGCAACCAGGGTATCATGGACAACTGCAATGCAATGCATGCGAATACACAAAATCATGGATTCATGGGATCATGGAAATCAAGAGAGTGAGGTGATGTGACTGATTTAATCGACGATAACAATATGTCTTCCGTCTGGAACGGAGTAATATGGTTGACGGGGTTCGGTTCGTTGAGGTTCGACTCTTTGGACGTAGACTGGGCGGTTTTGCTCAGCCTGGGAGGAAGGATTGTAGAAATGACTGTGAATGTGTTAGTGGAAGCTTGCGAACGAACCATGGCGTAGGTTGTCGATCGTGAGCTGATTGGTTTTCCCGACGAAGGCTTACCGCGAGGAGATGAATCCACCGCCACTGAGTGGTCTTTCCCGAGAGACTTGGGGAGGAGACGCATGAGGTTGAGTCTTTGCCGTGGAGTCCGAGAAGGCGCGGAGATGGTCAGGACGAGCCACTCGCAAGTTTATGGGTAATGGGCCACGTTGATCAGACGAAACCTGGGACTGGGAGATATGCTTGGTGCCAAGGTAGTCGATGTCTCTCTGTCTGGTCCGGGTGGGTTGAGATAGATCTCCCATGGACTTGGGCTTGGCCTCGGGAGCGAGGCGCCGAGAAGAGTATTCAAACGAAGGGGGCTCACGGTGGTCAACAGGTCGGACGAATCCATCGGCGTATAAGCTCCTGTCCTGGGGGTTCTCTGGCATAATGCGACCGTCCATGGGATTTCGTCGCATCCCTCTCTGGTCACTGGGAATGCGATCCAAACGGGGATTATGGTCATGGTAAGGATGCCAATGTTCTGGTGCAGGCTCAGCACGACGATAAATCTCTCTGGGCCCGAATCCTTCGGAGATGGGGAATCCCGTAGGCCTTGCGATCCGGGGGTCAATCCGAGATCCTTGACTTGCCAGGCGTCTCTTCTTGTTCGGCTGATCACCGTTACTGTCCTTTTCAATGGCATCAGCGTGATGTATCAACTCTCCCTGTGGTCGACCAGGCGTGACTGATCGAAGCGACATCCTATTAGCCATATGGACCAAAGGGTGAGCAGTGTCGGCTCGCCAGCTTTCGGGTTGCCAGCCATTCTTTTCGATTGATGGTACGACGGAATCCTGTATGTTTGAACCTGGCCTGGTTTGGGGGGAAGTGACGCCAGGACGGCGCCCGGGGGCCAAATTATTCTGAGGCTTCTCCTTTGGTCCACTTACGAACACAGGGGCATTTGGCCTGTTCTCCAACTGATGAGGCAGTCTTTCTGTCCGAGGAATGGGATCCACCCTCAAGGGAGGAACATCCTGCAAGTGGACCATGTTCATGTTTCTGGGTCCAGAAACAGCCGGAGGTGCTCTGAAGGTGCGTTCGCCCCCCGAGACAATAACACTAGAGCCCGAGACCAAATTCGGAGAACGATGCTCCTGTGGTCCGCTCACACGTTGGCGATCCAAAACTGACCTTGAATCTTGGCCATGTTGGCCACTGACATAGGCAACCGGGCGTTGGTATCCTACAGCAGATAGTTGCTCCATTGGCATAAAGTCCCGACGAAATTGGGGTTGTTCCTGGGGGCGGTGTCCTGGGGCAAGCTCAGCGCGACGATAAATCTCCCTGGGTCCGCAAAGCTCTTCCAATACTTGCAACTCGGGTGATTCCTGGGTGGTTAGTCCGGTTTTGTTGAGTTTATAGGCCGAGGAACTTTGCTGGGCGTCCAAATGAATGTGATTATCCTGGACACCTACATGTCTCTTGGCCACCTGTCGGTCCATTAGTGGAATAGTAGGCATACGCTGTCCCTGGTTATCAATGCTGGCCGAGCCTGGAATGACTCGCCGATGAACCTCGGGGTGCTGGGGAAGAGCATCCTGGCGTCTAGCAGGGGGTGTTTCTGGTGCAGCAGTGCGTTTTTCTGTGTATCGCGGGCTTTGCTTTTCTGCCAGAGCACCGGAAAATCTGGGTTGTTCAGTGCCCTGTATACCCTCTCTGTATTCCTTGATGGCACGATTCCATGCTTGGTATCTGCTGAATCCACGGCGATTATCGTAATGATTTGCGGGAACTCTTGTAACAAACCGGAATCCAGGTGGTGCTTCCTCTGACAAGTCCCGGGGGAAGTCCTGACTAGATTTCGCATTGCTGATAGGCTGAGTGCGGGTTTCATGGATCCGGGCATCGATGGGAAGTATCTCCACGCTGGTGTTTTGATGACCTGCTATAGAAACGGCATCTTCTTCAGATTCACTGTCTTCATCGTCGGAAATGACAATCACTTCGCGGAAGACATCCTCAAGGACTGTCTGTCCATTCTCATCGTCCCCTCGCCATTCAATGACTTTGGCTAAAGTCGGGTGTTCAACGGTTGTTCTTGCTTCGTGGAATGAGGTCGTTTTCAGAAGGCGATCATAGTTAGTGTAGACATGTCGAATGTGAGCAACCACCGCAAGTTGCGCTCTGCGAGGAAGAGGCAATTCGGTGGCCGTTCCAACTTTTTTCTGGCCCTGATTTGGGATATCAGGCTTTTCATATCCTCATCACTCAGGCGTTCAGGATATACATACCTTTTGAAAGGCAGTCGTGATAATTTGGCTCAAATCATTGTCAGGTATGTTTGGGAAAAGATCTCTGATGGTATTTCGAGCTTCTGTGTTGATCGTTTTCTGAGAGGCTTCGGATGCAGCCCGCGTCTGGGTTTCTATCCTGCCCATGGCATAGATAGGTAACGTTTTACCGTTGCTTGTGAGATAAAGACCTTGCTCAGAACAGACAGCTGCGACCACAGTACTGGGAAAATGGTAACCTATCCGATGAACATGCTGGGACAAATTATGAGTTTTGTGGTGTGGTGTGGTCTAGAAAACAATAAGCAGTGTTGAGAGAATGGATAGTGACCAGTTGGGGTTCTCACAGATACTGCATGAATCTGGAGGCCTTCATTTCGACACCGCTCTTTACATGCAGTAGTAAGTTGCGGGTTTCCTGCAGGAATGAAAGTATAACCGCTTGGTGCTTGTGCTTCAAAACAAATCTGGGGGTTGTTTTAGCATTGAATCAAAATAAAGTAGAGAAATAATATAGATAGGATGGATACATACGACACTTCGAAGTTTCTTCTTCTCTTGAGTCACAGATTCCATAATGACTTTGTGTCTTCGAGCTCTCCTCTCAACGGCCCGGCTAGGAGCGCGCCTGACCGTGGCCGAGGCAGCCCTTCCCATGACGCGGGTCATTCTGGTTCAGTTCTCTAAGAACCTCACTGAGAGTGATCCTCACACATAGTTCACAATAGAAGTGAAACAAGAGACTTGATGTACCTCGAAGAACGAGGAGAAAGGTGTCAGTCAAGTCACGTCTATGCACTGCAGCAACGTGAGAAAGTACACAGTACGAGGCGTATAACCCCCCGCATTTGACTTTCCAAGAGAAACCAGTGAACCAAGTACAGAAAAATATACAATATAGACAGACTAGTCACAAGCAAGCAAGCGAAGCAAATAAAAGAGAATGAAGGAGGTTGAAGATAGAGGAAGAGGGAGAGAAAGAGAGAGAAAGGAGAGTTGTGTTGTATAGGTCAAGAAGAAGAGAGAAACTGATAAGATTGCGGCCCAAAGTTCGACCTCTCCCGATCGGGCTAGTTCTGCCTGAGGTTTCTCAAACTTCTTTTTTGACCATCTTTCGTCCCTTGTCCATTGTCTTTACATGTTTTTTCACCCGATTTTCTATACTTGGGATCATTTATTATTGGAGAATTAGAATAGCTCATTGGTTGTACACACAAAATGAGCACTTCAGTTCAGGCTGTGGATCGATCTGTGGTTCACGCATACCGTCACCTCTACCGACAGGGGTTGAAAGCGATCCAGTACTCGACACCGGGTCGGCATATGCTTCTTAAGTCATTGCGAAAGGCCTACCGCTCCTCTCCGATTGAAACATTTGATGCTGTCAGAATCAACAACACCATTCGTTTTCTTAAACGAGCTACAGAGGTCGCAGGCATAGAACACAAGATCTTGAAGAACCTCTTGATGACAAGGTATTGGGAACAAGATTACCTTGCAAGGGATTTTCGTGTGTGAGTGATATCACATATAGATGTGGGGAAGATTGACGCTGACATGACTCTAGGCCACGAAGTCTAGGACTTGGTAATATCGAGAAGCAAATGCGAACAAGTGCCTTCACCCACTATAATTTGACATTGGACCGTTTGAATGAGAGTTTAGGGACATGTCTCAGATGACTGGAGTCTCCACAAGGTCCCGACCTATTACCTCGGTGCCAATCCGACCCGCTACACTATGCACTCGTTAGGCCTCATTGCTTCCCTTGGGCATGAATACACCTACATCCACCTGGATCCACCTCGGGGTGAGGCAGCTCGCCCGAAAGGGGCTGCAGTTACAGGATGATTTCGTGGTCAGAATACTAGCATACCATTCAACCGCATCAGGATCCTACAACGTATGGACACACGATGACCCGTCCTGTCTGGGACATTGTACGTTGCCTGGTTGCCTATGGTGTATAACCCATAACGCCCACACCATAAAGCCTGGATTGATCTTCAATAGAGTCGACTGTTGTCTCCAAACCCCGAGAATCAGTATGACCCTACCCCCCCTTTTGGATATATCTTCGGTGCCTTTCCAATAATCTATCCAGAGGACTTTGTTTTTCTGTCCTTTGATGACTTTGTTACAAGTGTCTGATTGGATAATATTTACACTTATGGTTGGATATCAAGCAAGGCGGAGTTTCGACCCTAAGTAGAATAGCATCCAGCCTCTGCAGGATGACCGCATTGAAACAATATACCTCTTGAATAATATTCTAAACCAAGCCAAAGCAAAATCTTCTTAAGATTCCCTCTACTATTTTATTAATATATTGTATGTATATCTAAGTTACATACTAAATAAGTTTGTATACAAATTATCAAATCGAGAACCCCATAAAGCGGAGAGCCCATGTGACGACGATGATTCAGCACCGGAGGCGGTGCCCGGGGACGTCACATGCCACTCAAAAGTCGCAAGTTTGGGGGTTTTGACTTGTCCTCAAGCATCGTGAAACTAAGATGTCAGTTTATTCTTCATGAGTGGCTTCGTTTCTTCGCTGCTGATCCAAATTGGAATACGATCTCCCGATCTGCCCCCACCAAGGCCCCAACCGCATGCCACTGAACACCTGAACGAACCGCCCGGTGATAGCCAAGTCACTTCTCAAACAGGCCACGGCGGACAACTTATCTGCGGAGATGCGGGTGCAGGGTCCTTGCATAGCCCTCCCTTCTTCTCAATCGTGCCCAAAGATATGGATGGTCGCAACTTGCAGCAGGGCACTCAATCAGTGACCCATAGCACATCTGGATCCATTCAAAACATGACTGTAACAGATGGCTCAACCGACCCTCCGCATGAAGCCAACGCCAGCCCGCAGTCGGTCAACTCGACTCCACACCCCGGCGAGGGGGTGTACCCGCAGAATGCGTCACAGGATACACCTTTGGCAATACCGATTGAAAGCGCTCATATGTCTGTTAGAAATGCCATCGAACTAGAGGGATTGGCGCAATCGTCTCTTCCAGAGGATGATGGAATGGGCGTTCTGAGAAGCAAGATCATCGCGATCCGGGATCAACAGCTTGCCAATGCCGAAAAGGCACGCATGGTCCATGATCTGATGACAGAAAGTTACAACTCTTCGCGAGCCCATCTGAATAATGCAGGGACAACGATATTCTCAGCGCCCACCAATCCACCAATCCTAGGACTACCCGTGAGTCCAAGGACACGCCGAGCTTTGGAGAGCCAAGCTTCTGAGTTGGACCAAACAAGCGTCAGTTCTATACCGTATGAGAGCGTATACAATCTCACATCCGAGGATTTACAACCTACTTTTGTTCCAAAGGCAGAAACAGAGGTGGAAGAGTCTATGATAGCTGAGACGGGCGACGAAGACTTAGATACAGAAGAGTTAGCAGAGGCTACTCTGGGCTGTGTGCATTATCACCGCAATGTGAAATTGGAGTGCCATACCTGCAAGAAGTGGTACACCTGTCGGTTCTGCCATGACGAAGTTGAAGACCATGCTCTCATTCGCCGAGACACGGAAAACATGCTTTGCATGCTATGTGGACACGCCCAGCCGGCAGGACAAAATTGCAGAAAGTGTGAGGAACAGACAGCGCAGTATTACTGTGACATATGCAAGCTTTGGGACAATGATAGCAAGAAAAGCATCTACCATTGCGATGACTGTGGTATTTGCCGGATTGGGCAAGGACTGGGAAAGGATTTCTTCCATTGTCAGGTGAGGCCTCCATGACTGAAACTGTTTCTCATGACACTAATAACCACAGACGTGTTCTGTTTGTCTCCCGATGTCTATCGAAAATACGCATCGTTGCATCGAGCGTTCTACTCAATGTGACTGTCCTATCTGTGGTGATTACATGTTTACTTCTCCCGAAACTGTTGTCGTCATGCGATGTGGCCACAGCATACATTCCAAATGCTTGACAGAGTACTCCAAAAATTCTTTCCGTTGTCCCATTTGCAGCAAAACTATCACAAACATGGAATCAACATTCAGGAATTTGGATCGCACAATTGAAAGTCAGCCGATGCCCGCAGAGTTCAAGGATACAAAAGGCCTTGTCTACTGTAACGATTGCGGCTCGAAGTCGGTTGTCAAGTACCACTGGTTGGGCTTGAAATGTGACTTGTAAGTTCTCCTTCAGTAGAAAGGCATGGAAATTAACTGATTGCCCCAGATGCGAGTCCTATAATACGGCGCAATTACGAATTTTGCAAGGAAACATCTCGACTCAACTGGAAGAAGATGCACAAGACACCATCCCTCGTCCTCGATCACCTTCACTTATCGAGAATGATGAATCGATGTCGTCTTCACTGGCAGCACTGAATGTCAACAACGCCTCAGTTCCTCGCTCAAGACTCAGCATCCCTAACACGGCCGAAGACAGGCAATTTGCATCATACAATATGACAAGGGGCCGCGCCGTCTCTCCAGTCGTTAGTAATTACTTCGGGCTACCAAGCGAGCGTGAATCCGATAAACCCTCATCGATGCCTTTCTTTGGAAGTCAATCTCGAGGTGTGAACGAGGCCGACTATGGTGCATTGAATTTCTTGAGCAAGAAGCTTACATATCCATATGGGCTGTTTGGTGGCGAGACAAAAGCAACCGATACCATATCCGAAGCTGGAAATGATGAGGACGATGGGGAATCTTCGGATTCTGCTGAATCTGCTGGCTCGCATGGCAATGAAGAAGACGAGGAGGAAGATAATGACCACATTGACATTTTTGGTCATCGATAAGGCAAGCGCCGATTGACCTTTACGAAGTGATATATGCATGATGTCTGTGCGTGACCGGGTCAGCGACTTCTTTGTCTTTGTTTCTCTTGACAACAATCCGAATCATTCATCTGGGACACTCCAACTGAGTCTGCCATTTCCAATTTCTGGCCTGTCGATCATAAAATCTCAACACCGCATGGTGTGTGGTTCAACCGAAGAATGACTCCAGGCTATCTTTACAGTTTCGAGTGAGCCCACCAGGATGTGCTAGCCACTAAAACCACCAACGACCTGAAGATTTTTGATTCAACCAATTCAACATACTTTCAATCGAGTGATCGGCTGACGCATTTGGAGCATGTTGAGGTTACAAACATCAGGCAGGTTTTACATACATCAAGCAGCCGGGTTTGCTGCAGCATAGCGTTGAATCTTTTTGTTTTTTATACTTTAAGCACAATGGTATCATGACGCAACGACAGCAACTTCATCAAAACAATTCTCGAATCCAATTATCCATCTGTTTCCAGTACAATCCTACAAAGTGTGCCCAGGTGATTTTCCATCTTCAACGGGATCGAGAGTATGAAATGCAAGCGGCTGAACACTTTGGGCCAACATTTATAGGATTGATACAGCCACCCCAAAATTTATGATCTCATTACACAGCAGGTTTCTCCAGCGCCTGAGAGTTCTCTTGAACATCCTCCAAATGAGCAGCTGGAGCTTCATTTCCCTTCATTATGGCTAGGGCTTCACGTTTCTCCGAGATCCCTTCACATTCACCAGCCTCTACAGTATCAAGGCCCCCGAAGATCTTGTCCATTCGCTCAAGTGAAATTCCTTTTGTCTCTGGGAGAATAAAAAAGACAGATATCTATGAAACGTAGATTGATCAGTTATGTGAAGAATAAAAGTAGATTGAAACATACCCCGGCAGCTACATTCAAACCAAAAAGAAGCCAATAACTACGACCTCCGACTGTGTTGTTGAAAGAGGGCCATGATTGGGTGAGAAGAATAAGCCAGCATGTTTGACCAAGCATCGAGAGACCAAATCCCTATAATGGTGTCAGTGGAGGCTTTGAATTCTTTTCAATGTTCAACAAAATCATTCACGTACTTTGTCTCGGACATGCTGAGGAAAGATTTCCGTCACCACCGTCGGGGCAATGGGGCCGTTAGACCAGCAGTATGTCAACCCAACAATGAAAAGCATAGCAACCTCAACGATAGCAGCCGCTTTATTCCCATTTGAAGGGAACGCAGTCGTAAGACAAGACATGATCAAAAGAGCCAACGACTGAATAGAAAAACCAGCAAGCAGAAGGCCGCGTCGACCATATCGCTCAACAGTGAATGTGTTGACAGATACAATGAGTAGCTGGAGAACGGATTGAATCCCATTAATCGACAGCGCTTGAGACCCAGAGTCCCACCCAAGACTCTGATAGATCAACGTGGCATACATTGTTAGCGAAGCAATACCCCCACACTAAACAGCACTGTTAGCTGGACAATATCCAATCAATATACAAGATCACTCACCTGCTGAAGACCCGCAGCATAAACACCATAAAGCAGCCGCTTCCGCATATTTTTATCCTTCAGAAGCCCAATATAACCCTTATCATATCTCTTCCGGAACTCATACGAAACAATAAGCTCATGGAACTCCACTCGAATGCGCTCATCCGTTGGTGCACCAGATCGCAGTCGACTTAGCACCTTCAAAGCCCGTTCAGGTGTCTCGGGATACTTCTCCAACATATAACGCGGGCTCTCAGGATACCAGAACGAGACAACGACAAAGGCCAACCCGATAGGGATTTGAATGACGTTGGATACTCGCCAGGCAACGTTGTAAGGCGATTTGTGGAATGACATTCCATATCCGGCCCAGAAAGCTATTAGTGTGCCTAGCTGGTAGCCGAATTGGGATACTGTGCCAACGAAGCTACCGCGAAGTTTGGTGGGGGCACATTCGGCAACGTAAAGATTTGTTGCTATGTAGACGCAGCCAAAGCCGAGTCCTCTATTGAAAGAAATTAGTAGTGTTCATGATTGGTTCAGGGTGTATGTAAAGTACATACGTTAAGAGTCTTCCCAATATTAGAACACCAAAGCTATTCGGAACGACTTGGACGATGCTGGTTCTTCATGTCAGCGCTGTTCGTACTTGCCATCTCGTTTATTTCTCACACTCCAATAATCATGATACATATAGAGATTCGCAGCGCCCAAAGACGCCCAAGCCATGCAGCGAGGGAGCCTCCAAGCCAAAGTTGGGCCACACCTGTTCTCATGTCAGTCTTTCCGCGACGAAAATAAGAACTCAACACCTACCTGTCATTGCCCAGGGTATCGTGGCAACCAAACCCGACTTGTTATCATTAATACCGTAGTACTCGATAAATTGTTCATCGGCTAGAATGACCGTCATGATCCCAGCATCGTACCCGTTGAAGCAAGTCGAAAAGACCATTCCATACAGCAGAAACGCCGCAACGCTACAGATGTTAGCCAAAAGCCTCGTTCACGCCACAATACATCTTACCGGTCATCTTTTGGGAGAAACTTTTCCACAAGACCCATTTTGAAATTGAATCGATATCGTAAGTGGCATGTTCTGAGGAACAAACGAAGCACCCTCATGGATATACAAAACCACTGCATTCGGGACTCCACATTCAAGATTCAAGTGGAGAGAGTCTGGGGAAGGATCCCCAGAAAAGCCAAGCTCAATAGCCCAATGCCATTGAACGCCAATGCGTCGGTGGGCGCACTTGGCTCCGAAGCCGCCCCCGCCGGGTCTCCGCCGGAGTCTACGGAGCCTCCCACTTGAGCCCTAAGTACCGGAGGGGTTTCGGAAACGTCTCGCTCAATGTCCGATGTGGTATTCCGAGATAAAATATTTAGTTTTACTTTCAGAATTCTCACTTTGATCCCTTAAGCTCACGTCTACTATGGATTATCCACAAGAAAGCTTCGTCGCGACGACCTTCGCCCCGGGATCTTTCTGGGCGCGACGTCGGGAAGTAGTTCGGACTCAGACGCTGCGCCATCAGTTGCATATGCTCAAAACGACTGGAAGGTATGATGCATTCAAATTAAAATGGCATCCGAGCTATTCTGTTCCACCGACTGTTTGGCCGATTCCGAATCACCAGTTCTGGGACTCGGATGTGGCTAAATGGATTGAAGGTGGTTGTTATTTATTAATGAATTGTTATGATGAAGAGATTGATGCCGCGGTTAAGGAGCTGGTGCAGATGATTCGGACTGCCCAGCATCCTGATGGGTATCTTAATATTCATTACTCTGTTGTTGAGCCTGGAAAGCGTTTCACAAACTTAAGGGATATGCATGAGTTGTATGTGAATATGACTCCCGAATGATGGATGATGAATGTCGCTAATATAGCCAGATATAATGCCGGCCATCTGATTGAAGCTGCACTTGCTCATCGTCTCCTTTATAAGAACGATGATATGCTATCACCCATTCTGAAATATGTGGATCTCCTTACGGCAACTTTCGGAGACCAGGATGCTCAAATTCCCGGATATCCTGGCCATCCAGAGATAGAGCTGGCTCTGTTGCGTCTTTATAAGATTTCTGGTGATGAGAAACACCTCAAGCTCGCCAAATTCTTCATTGAAGAAAGAGGCAACCCTACAGGCGGGAATGAAAAAAGACATTACTACGACGTTGAAGCTGAAGCAAGAGGCGAGAGTAAGCACGAGACTCCCATGTATTTTCCCGCAGCCAGAAGCTACTGGTAAGTTCAACATAAATTTGACTATTTTCATGGTGATTTACAATAATCTAGGTACCAGCAGGCCCATGTTCCAATCGTCGAACAGCAGACAATCGAGGGACACTCAGTCCGAGCAATGTACCTCCTCACAGCAGTTGCGGACCTCGTTCGAATTTACCAACCAGAAAGTAAGGTGGGAACTACTTTCTTACCCGCTGTGAACCGGTTATGGTCCAATATGGTAGAGAAGAAATCCTACGTCACTGGGGGAATTGGAGCAATGAAGCAGTGGGAGGGCTTTGGTATCGACTACTTCCTACCCCAGGGTACCGACGAAGGCGGCTGCTACGCAGAGACTTGTGCTGCAATTGGCGTCATGATGCTATCAGAGCGATTGTTGCAGGTTGATCTCGATGGCCACTACGCTGATATCATAGAACTTTGTCTTTACAATGCGGTTTTGACAGGCATGAGTTTGGACGGAAAGGCATTCACATACGTGAACCAATTAGCTTCCTCTGACCAGGATCTTTCCCAGCGCCACGAATGGTTCGAGTGTGCGTGTTGTCCGCCCAATGTCACCCGGACACTGGGCTATCTTGGTGGGTATGTCTGGAGCCACAGTACAGGGCAAAATGCCGTTGTCAATGTGCATCTATACACATCTGCTACTCTCCGTCTTCAGGTGGCAAATTCGATAGTCGAAATAAATCAGAAAACAGACTGGCCTTGGAATGGGGATGTAGACTTCGCCATCATCACAGAAGGACCACACGTTGATACTGAGCTGCGACTGAGGATCCCTGGATGGGCGAAATCGTGGCACATCACTCCGAGCCCTGAACTGGATATCCGAAAAGGATACCTCTATCTAAGTGCTAATTGGGTGAAGCAAAATCCGACGTTTCGATTATCTTGTCCAATGCAGCCACATGTAACCAAACCTCACCCATTGGCTAGGCAGCCCGTGGCATACGTCACGCGAGGGCCGATCGTTTACTGTGTGGAGGATTTCGATCATCCTTGGGAACATGATCATTTCAAGGTATGAAATTTGCATGATAGCAGCAGTATGAGAAGTCTAATTATATATAGATGACGATCTTTGATCCGACAGTTCTACGTGAAGAGTCACGGTCTCAACCGGATCAGTATATCGGCATTATTGCTGAAAAAGGATGTAAGGGAGAGCTTGACACATCATCTTGGAATAAACAGATTGTATCTGAGGGTGGAAGTATCAATGAGGTCCGAAGAGACTTGTGTTTTATTCCATATTATTTACGGGCGAATCGTGGTGGACAAGGGCAAATGAGGGTGGGATTACGGGTTGAATGAAATCAGGATCAGGTATATCAATAGCGTTAATTGAGACTGAAATGATCAAGACCATATATGTATATACATATATGACATGAATGATAAACGCTAAACATATTTACACATAAAACATCGTGAAGTCATGTACTCCATAGTCGCGATCTATATAGATTACATCAGCCAGTTATCAATGTTCTGCTTGCGGCCACCAGTTTCCATCTTCTCAATCCGAAATCAGTAATCAAACTTCCTCATTTCCGAGTTCAGGGGTAGATAATGACTGTTTTCATGATGAGCATCATTTCTTACTCTTACAAGATGAATTAATTTCCCTTTTTGACCTCATCCTGAAACCAAGCACGGATCTTTTACACACATGACCTTGATTTCCACCTTTTAGAGACCTCCTTTCTTTTCTTTAAGTCTTTAAAAAAGGAATAAAACAAGACCAGGATCTCCATAATAATTGAACGCGAAAGAAAAAGTGAAAGAGTGAAAGAGACACAGAGAGAAAGAGAAGGCGTTATCAGTGCCCCTCACAGAGAAGACCGCAGTCGCATTCCCTTCACGTCTACCATGATCCGTCGCAACTCTGACATCGAGATCCAACTTCCGGATGCTGGACCAACGTCACTGTCCGATTCAGATTCACTTACAGATGTGGAAATGCTATCCGACCCGACCCTTCCTCTAAGCCTCCCTCCACACATTGCAGCCCGATTCTACCGCAAATCCAGCAAAGTCCGCCGTTCCTCCTCATCTCGACGAAGCTCGATCTCCTCCTTACATTCGCAATCCAACGCGTCCTCGAGTGCCCCAAGCCCAGACCATATCGCCCAACATCTCCGCCGCACGTCCATTTTGGAGAGTCGAAAGGCAAGACTCGCAGATCGGGCGTTACATGCGGAGAAAGTAAGGTTGCGAGCCGCGCTGGCTAAAGCGGCCACGAGAAACTTACAAATCGAAGAAAGGGCGCTCGCCGCGCAACAGGCTCGTGAGCGTGTGTTGGCCGATATTACTGCCAAGTGCGAGGAACAGGTCAAACGAGCTAAGAAGAAGGCCGAAGATCAGCGCGATAAGAAAGCCGCTGAGGAGGCGCGTCTGCGACTGGAATTGGCGGAAAAGTTCGCCGAGACTGAGAAACGTCGCACGGCTTATAAGCAGACACATCGGCGTCAGCGGACCAGCAGCTTGCCCCTTGCTGTGGAGAAGAAGATGTCCCGGGAAGTCATGAAGTCACTTACCGAGGATGCGGCTGCGCGAAAAATCCAGCGGGTGTGGAAGACACATCACGCAAAGATGATCATGCAGCAGTTTCATTCGTTGGGTCTTTCTGTAGACCGCGTGCAGGAAATGACTTTTGAGCAAGTCGGCGCCATGCTTTCTAGCGGTAACCTGTTAGATACCATGACAAAAGTCCTTCGGCTCTGCGGGCTGCAGGATATGGAAGGTGGAGCGATGGGTGAGAGAGGTGCAGTGCGCACTTTTCTCAGTAGCTATCTCATCGCCACTCATCCGAAAGAGGTTTTGAGCAGCAATGGAGATCAGGAGCAAGATTTGATTTCCAAGGCTCGGGAGCTACTAGTAGTCTTTGATCAGGTTACGGCGCTGCTTTCGTCGGGTCGTTGCTCGCCTTCTGTGATCACTGCGGATCTCCAAACCTTGTGTGAATCACATAATGTGTTCTTCTCTGCTTTCCATGCCTGGAAGTCCCATGATTCGACCGTCTTGATTGAGATCATGGTTGCCCAGTTTGTCGAGCTGGAACTGATTTGGCAGACGGTTAAAAACGACAAGGCTGGCGGTGCTGCAGAGGATTACAGACAAGGTATCCGACAGAACCAGGTTCTTTTGCTCGCCCGTCTGAAGCGAATTGCAGGACCTGAACGCCACATGGAGATGATCCGAGATTCACTGAAGAAGGCCAAGCGAGAAAAGAAACGTGCGGCTTCGAAGCAGGCTATTCCACGATCTGCGGGGGCCGCCCCTCCCAGTGCGGATGTCCTGACGGAGAGTGTTACCTCGCCTCTCAGCGAGTCATTCAACAACCTCGATGTGGCGGTGTTCCAGCAGCTGGACAAGCAACGGACATCTCCTCACGAGCGATTCACCAAGATTCTCACCCCGCTCCCTGAAAACAGGGAGCTGGTGCATGAGCTCCTCATCAACAAAGAGTTCAAGATTGAAGAAGCACATTACACTGAGCCCCGCAGGCAGATAATGAAGCAGATGTGTGACGCAATGAGAGTAGGGGTCGAGGCCGGACACGGTACCAATTGGACTGTGGCTATGGCCACAGTGATTCAAGATCGCTTACTGCGGTCCCTCCAACGTGGAAACTCCCTCTACGTGATAATAAGTGAAGTTCTGGATCCTAAGCTGGTTCAGGGACAGTGCGAAGCAGGCACGTTCTCCTATGATAATTTCTTCAAGTTCATGAACAATATCCTGCCTCGCCTATGTGCTCCATATCGAGACCCCGTGGTGAAGGCATACGTCGAGGACACCTCGGGTGACGCAATTGACCGACTAGCGCGGTTGATGAGCGTTATTGACCTACTCTCCCTCGACCAGACCAACTTCATGATCCAGCTCGCCGCCCCGCAGCTCATTGAAGAAGCCCCCGGGTACGAACAGCGAGCTTTCGACCGAGGCGTCACCGAAGGAACCATTAGTCTCGACAAAACCCGCCGATTTTGGCGCCTTCATCGCAAGATCATCGTCGATGAGATGAAAAAGCGAGACCCAGAAGGCATCCAAGGCGAACCTCATCCACCTTCCGCCCGAGTCTATGCCCAAGGACTCACGGACACAGTCTTCAGCAATGCCCTCGTCTCCTCCGATTTCGTCCCCGAAACCCTAAGCCTTGACCACCAACGACTGGAACGTCTGCACGCCCGAGCCTTCCAAATCGTCGCAACAGCCTCCATCCTTCTAACAGCCAAGAATCTCCTGAAACGAGATGCCCGCTCCCAATGGAAACCAGAGGCCGACCGCATTCTCTCCCTGGACTTCAACGAAATTAGTCAAGAACGCGTGCAATCAATCCTTGAATCAACACATCCCATGCCATCCGCAGCAAGCGCCACTCTATCAGCAACCATTAAACGAGTCCTCGCACCCGTGGCAACAGCCTGTCTCGCGGCCGCACCTCAACTCGCCATCGTGACATCGGAAACATCAGCTTCGGAAATGTCTCCTTCGGCTGAGATCCATGCACCCAGTTTCGTAGACCCCGTCGCGAGACTGATTTTGTCCCGTTTACGAAGCCATGTCCTCAGTCGACTTAGTGCTTCTAGTGCTTCTGAGCGTGTGCGTGCAACTACGACTGCTAGTCAGAATCTGGCTGGGGCTGGGATGCCGGAGTTTGTTAATGAGGTTGGGAAATTGGTTGAGGAGTTGGAGAAGGTTAGGGAGGTTGATTGGCTTTGTCATGGGAGTGTTTACGATGGATTATATGACTAGAATATATACATTATATTTGTTCGGTTTTGGCTTGAGATAGCATTTTATAATGAATTTTGCTTTCTTATATACTGCTAGTATTGGTCTGCTCTTTTGCTCTACAACTACATACATCCATATGTAGAAACATAGACTTGACTATAAGCTAATTAACAATACTGGCATGGAAAAAAAGTAAGAAATCAGAAATATAGCTAACATCAATTAATCAAGCACGAGGTCTTACAGGAATATGCTGAAAAGTCAAGAAGTTAACAAGGATCGTTTAAAGTCCTAAATATTTGAGTAAAGGCTATGATTTGTGACCTTCGAATGTATACATATGTATATTGTGTCTCTCCCACCAATGCAATCTAGAGTATGCATAGCTCTATAAATACGGCCAAGAAATAAACAGGCAACCAACTTACTTCAGGGCCGCTGCTGAAGTTTCAGAGCCACCATCACTAGGGTTCACATCGGTGACCACCCTCAGACATGTGAGAGAGGTGCGTTCCACACTGCCATTTCCAACGAAAATACTCAAAACTGGAGTAACCTTATACGCCTCTCCAATCAGAGCGTTGGCCGAGTAGTTCACCTAGATTGGATCAGTGCGGTTCAAAATACCAAGGGAATGATCGAGGTATCAACTCACATCAAAAGTAACTTCGGCAATCTCCATCAACCGATCAGACTTTTGCTGCACTGGCCAGCAATCCTAGGAATTCCTGACTTCGTAGAAATCCCCAAATGACTTGACACTAAAGTTTCCCAGCGAAGTATCTCCGCCCCCAAACCCACTGCATTCATTGAAATCATTCTTCAATTCTTGCTCGACATTGTCACAGATAGTCCAGTCCCGTTGGGATTTCTCAGTCACATTGGTCGCCCGCTGCTCAATCATATCGGAACACGTCTCCGTCGCTGCACAGGTATCAATTCCATTCCTGCCTTCCAGCTCAGATCCTTTGAACTTCTTTCGCGGTGGATCGTTGAAGATCACAGCGCAGCCTTGGAGGTTTGGGGGCTTTGCATCCTCCGGCGTTGCGCGGTAGTAAATTGATTTGAATGGACGGGTTGGCTTATCATTGTCCTTGCCGGCCAGTCTAGTTGATACGTTGACATCTTTGAGAATGGATAAGCCTTTTAGTGCCGGCGCAACTGAGAAGGGTGATAAACCGACTCCTAGGAAGATATTACCTTCAGTCTTGCAGCGGTCGTTGGTCCCTTCTTTTGGGCAAGAGAGTTCATTGCACCCGAGTAGGTTGGTATCTTTGGCAAATATGGGTGCGAGGAATGGAGGCAGGAGAAGTATAAGGGTAGATAGGTTTAGGCAAAGCATTGTTAAGATACTCTGTCCGTGGAAAGGCGGGATAGTATGTTGTACACTAAGAGTCCAGGGAAGCCCTCAAATATTGGAAGAGTTCTGGTGTCAGGTAGGCGCTGTCCCTGCATGAGCCCTGTGTATTGTAACGTGTATAGCCTCCAAGTACGATGACATCAATGTTGCTAGCTTTGTACTACGCGCATGGCGATTGAGGGCGGATTCACATACTCGAATATTTCGGTTACAGAGGAGAAGACTTGGCCGTCGGATAGTCGGCTTACATGTCTTGGCCTTTTCATCCTCGGGCTGACTTTATGTGTCTGACCTGTTGGTAGGTCATTGATTCGTTGTTTTCTTCCTTCGGGCACCATCTATGGATGCAAGGGTACTTACTTTATGCACTCTGTACCAATGGAAAGAAGAAATGCTTTGAATTGGAGTCTTCGAGTGTTATCACAGCAAGAGTTGGTACAATGAATCTCACTGTTACAGAGCAGTGGTCAGGTCGTTGCTCACGAGTTCGTGACTGGCGCTAGAGCAGATGAGCTATTCGTCGATAAATGCATGTCTTATCCTGCACTTCCTTGAGCTATCTCTTCTGATACGGTCAGTCAAATTGTATCTTCATTTGCATCTTCATTTTATACCCAACTATCTCTCGATTGAATCTACTACTTTGGGCAAGATCTAGTGCTGATACGTAGCCTTAAAACAGGCAGGTTCAGCCAAGTAGCCAATTCATAAACGAGATATTCAATTGGTACAACTCTATAACTCTCGATATGCAAATATAAATGCAATATCAGAAGAAAAAGATGAATATATACCTACTAGTACTACTAACTATGTAAAGTCATCAATATCCGTATCTAATCGGCAACCCCACATGGTTAACCAAAATTCATCCCACTTCAATTTCAACATCATCCGATCCTATGAGTCTACCTCTACCTACCTCTCCCTACCAATCCAAGTCATAAGACACAGAAAATCGCCCAAAATGAAAATCACCCACCTAAGCGACCTAACCCCTCCCTCCCTGGAACGAACCTGGCTCACAGCTCCACACCCAACCCTCCCAATCCTCGCAACATGCAGCACAGACAAGACTGTCCGAATTTACTCCCTAAGCAACTTTACCCTTCTCTCAACAATCACAGGTGGCCACAAACGCTCGGTCCGCACAGCCGCCTGGAAACCACACAGCTCGGGCGAATCCGTCCTCGCAACGGGCAGTTTCGATGCTACAGTTGGCATTTGGCGACGATGGGATAATTACGGGCAGAAAGACGGTGTTGTGCCACAAGCTGAGACCTCTGATGCGGAGTCGGCAGAAGACTGCGAAGAAGAAGAGGAGTGGCGGTTTGCTGTTCTGCTCGACGGTCATGATAGTGAAGTCAAATCTGTTTCGTGGTCTGCTTCTGGAATGTTACTTGCTACTTGTTCTCGGGATAAGAGTATTTGGATCTGGGAGGATCTTGACGATGGCGATAATAATTTCGAGACCGTTGCTGTGATGCAGGAGCATAGCGGCGATGTGAAATGTGTTTCTTGGCATCCCTCAGAAGAATGTCTCGCTAGTGGAAGCTATGACGACAGTATCCGGATTTGGAGGGAGGATCTGGATGATTGGGGCCAAGTTGCTTGTATCAAGGGGCATGAGGGGACAGTTTGGTTTTTGGAATGGGAGGGCGTTGATAATATGCCGGCCTCTTCTTCTTCTGAAGCGTCAGCCGAGATCGAGAAGACTCAATGGCGCGATCAACGCTCCCTTTCTGGTCCCCGCTTGCTTTCCTGCTCAGACGACAAGACCGTTCGTTTGTGGAGACGTCAACCGAAGGAGACGAACCAGGGAGCTCTTTCTTCCGCGTCCACGGGCATTCCCAGTATTATTCGGCCGATGGGCAGTGATGAGGTTTGGGAAGAAGATGCTTTGCTTCCTCATGCCCATGAATTGGCTGTTTATGCTGTTGCTTGGAGTAAGCGGAGTGGGCTTGTCGCTTCTACGGGGGCTGATGGGCGCATTGCGCTTTATCAGGAGCGGTTCGTGCAGACTTCGGCTGATCCTGATGCTATGGATACGTCTGAGGTGCGCACGGAATGGGTGCTTGTTGCGGTGAAGGATGGGGCGCATGGAATCTATGAGATTAATCACGTTGCTTGGGCGAAGAGGGCGGACGGTGAAGCTGGAGAGGAAGAAGAGATTCTTGTTTCTACGGCTGATGATGGGAGTGTCAAGGTGTGGACTGTGGGATGATCCTAGGCAGTCATGTATATAATCCTAACAGTGCATTTGCACATAGAAATGATATCAACATCATTCAGATATTCATTCTCGTATAATATTTGAGAAAGAAAATCCAGATTGTTTATACAAACCCAAGGGCAAGCCTCGTCATGTCCGCGTTTCATGCTCAGGCTCATGCTCGTGCTCATCATCACTGACATCTCCAACAGCATAATGCTCAGGAGAATGAAGATTGTCGAGCTCCGACTCATCAAAGTCACCAGCCTCAACATCCCTTCCCGAGCGCTTGGACTGGAATCTATTCAGGATAGAATTATCCAGCATCTCATTAACCTTCACACCCTTGTACCCCTTGTGAGCACGACGACTGCGCCAGATAAAGAATCCCCAGATCGTGACACCAATGATAACAATGACGAGAATCGCCTCACCAGACTTGGTATAAGCATGCATCTCAGTCTGTTTGAGTTTCTCTTTCTCATGCTGCTCAGCAGCAGTACTATTTGCCTGCCCACCGACAGAAGTCTGAGGCAATTTTTCACCATCGATGCGCGAATCGGTTGGCTGGCCACCAATACTCCCAATATCGACTTTCATAAAGCGATCGAGCATATCACGGCTCTGACGCGGATTATCGAAGGGTACCATGTGGCTGGAATTGTAGAACAGGACATAAGTCAAATTCCGCGCGTGTTGGTAGATACCCGCAGGTTCGCCTTCAAAAGACCAGTCGTGACGCGGGGCCCAGACACCAGGACTTGTTTCGAAGCCTGTCCCACCCTTCCACTTCATGTTGTGAATAAGGGTTTCCGTGCCAATATGGTTGCAGATGAGATCTTTGTCGCCGCTGAAGAGGAGGATGTTGATTCCCGACTCGATGAGGTCTGGGAGGAGATTTACGGAGGGGACGGAATTCTTTGCTGTAAAGGCTTGGCCGACGAGACCGGAGCATTCCTGCCAGCCGGATTTCTTGGCTGGGTTGATGTTCAGAGCTTTGATGACGTCTGGGCGTTGGAGGTAGGGTTCGATATTTTCCAGGTCGGGGGGCCAGCTCATGCCACATGAGGGGTATGTGTCCTTTAGTCGGATGTCGTACATGTTGTAGCATTTTTGGTCCTCGGTTGTGAGCTGGAGGAATTGTCGCAGGACGAGCTCGCACGAATCGACGTCCACTTTGTTCTTTGCGCCGGGGGTTTCCAGCTTCGAGAGGCAGACTTCGTTGAGCACGTTCAGATTGTGGTGGATTGGGGTACCCTCTTTGATGAGACCTTCCCTCTCGGCAAATTTCACGTACGAAGGGTACTGGTCTGCGGGTGAGATCCAACCGTTGCCGATGAGCAGACCCTTGAGGGGCCACTTGCGGCCTCCATTCGCCACAACAGCCTTGTTGCGCTCTTGAACGGCCTTTGCAATGTACGGAATATGTTGACCGGCGTAGGATTCACCTGCGAAGTAGAGCTACGCATCGTCAGCGAGGTCATCAGAAGGGAAAAAAAAGGGAACGTACGTCATCGCTTTCATATTCAGGGAACATTTCAAAGAACTTCTCCATGAATATGATAAACTGGGCCGCCATCTCATCCAGCTCATGGACATAGCTGTCAGTGTTCACGTAGCTGAATCCAGTACCAACAGGGTTATCGACGAACAGGAGGTTCGCGAACTCATCCCACCGACCCGGGTTGTATTCCAACGTGTGGTCGTCCTTCAGACGGTATGGACCGACTTCCATCAACGCACCATCCATAGAGCTGCATCCTGGACCACCATTTAGCCAGATAACAGTCCGCTGTCGGTTCGCGATATGACGATTCTGGAAGTGCCAGAAGAACAGATTGCCGTTGGCTTCGGGGTTGACTTCGATGTGTCTGTAGCGCGTTAGATAAGCTTTTCCGATGAATTTCACGGCTGCAATAGTGATTCACTCACCCAGCATGCATCTTCAGGAATGGACCCTCTGGAGCTCCTGGTAATGAGTGGACATAGTAATCTGCTGCTGATTTGGCCGACACCGGGCTCAGCATCGATAATGCGCATAGTAGTATTGTGAGGGAATTCCCCAAGCGGAGGAATGGTATTGAGAACATCTCAACGGTGTATGCGAATCATAAGAATAATTGAGGTGTTAGCTTGATTGAGGTCCCGAGAGGGACTCGTAGGCACCAATCAACAGATCATCGAATCTGGACTTGGCGACAGAGTATGGCAAATCAAGATAGAGAGGTTGATATGAAGGATAGGTAGCAAAATGCTCAGAATAAACAACCTAGAACAAAGAGGAAAGTATTGTATGGTCAAAGAAGAGGCGATGGAGTCAAAGGGTGAGAGCTGGCGTGGCCTTGTATTGATACAGTAAATACAAGATATGCACTACCCCTCGTCGAGTGCATTGCTGTATTTATTGTATCATCATACACAGAATTGCCGAATCCCATCCTTGAAGACGAACTAGTTGATTTCTACATATATATATGATTTCTGTACTCCTTAGGAGAATTTGAGGAATACCTTTGTATGTTTTGGGGGTTTTTGATATATATATATATATATAAGTAGTCACATTTTACCTCAATTATGGAATATAAAAATGCCTCTTACATCAAGTCGTCGAGAGACTTGTCAGCGTCATTCTTGATCAGATCCACCATTCCCTACTATTGTCAGCTTGATCTCACTCGTAATCTTGAACTAACTTACATCAGGCATGATAGGCTTGCCATCGGCATCCTTGACATAGCGGAAAGGCATCTCAGTGCGTTCATGCTCGTTGATGAGCAGTTCAGGGTAGTCGAGGTAGGGAATTTCCTCAAGGGGAACTGAGGCAATCAGTATATATCATTCACAGAGATAAAAAAAAATTATCCACTCACCTTTCTCATGAACAACCATCCGTGTAACACGCACAGCAGTGTCGGTAGTCATCTGCTTAGGACCCAATCGACGACCAACGTAACCCTTCTTCCTCAATTCAGAGGTACGATCTGTCCATGTAGTCTTAGTCTCAATCCCATACCTGCTATTTTAGATAGAAATCACAAACCTCTAGGGGGATCATCGCCTATAAAAACAATCAGTCAGTCGATTCAAAAGAAGCTCAAATTCAAACTCACCCAAAATGCCACCGAAAAGGAAGACATCAAAAGTCTTTCCATCCTCGGGACTCAATTCAGTCTGCGCTGAAGGATCCAACAGACAAACCTTCTCTTTGCGATCGGCAAAGATATCCTCAACACTGCGCTGCTCAACTTCCAGACCCTGGGTGGCAGCCAAATCAGCGGGCATCTGCAGCTCGGCGGGAACGGAACTGAGTAGGAATCGTGCACCGCGGGCATGGGATTCACGTGCGATACAGGCGTACTCTAGGGTTGACCATGGTCCCAATTCAGGATCCAGGTGTTCGACCACGAAGGTTGGTTTAGAGGTTGTCATGTTTTTTCTTCTTTCTTTTTTGATGTTGGTGAAAGTGGGAGCGACGTCACTGAAATTAATTTGGGAGGGATTTCGGGTCCACTGTGCGTCTACAATATTGCACCAATTTTGGGTATAAGAACAATTGAAGAGGTGAAGTACACTTACAATATTATAGTGGACTATACGTTGTCATTGTGAGGTATCAAGTCTCGTGTTTTAAAATATTCACATGTATATATCCAGATTTAACTATGTTTGTCGAGGTGATCTAACCATTAGGATACAATAGGATCTAGTCAACGAGAAGACTTAGATTATAGAATGACTATAGAATATCAATTAGCATATACTTATCTTTCAAGTATAACTATGAAACTATTTAGTTAATTTATTCGCCTTTGTACAGCGTCATCTATGGCATAGCCACATCCAATAATGAGAGACTGTTGTATTTCCCCCCCCCACTACATATGTAGTTAATTAGAAATAAGTTACTTTTAACCTCTTCTCTCTCTCTCTGTTCTCTACTCCTCTCTCCTGTCTACTCTCTACTACTCTCTACTTTCCATCTCTACTTTCTACTTCATAACTTCATTACTCGCACTCACTCTGAGTGCCACCCTTATCTTTCCCTCCTCAACCCCACCCTCCCTTCTTCAAACCATCATGAATCCCCATCAACAGAACAAAGTGGACATCAACGTGAGCACTCTTACTATCTAAACAAGCAATCCTCCAACTAACAACTACCAGTCCCTTAGCCCAGAGGAGCAGCGCTTGCTGCGCCTCTATGGCAAGATGCCCACAAAGAAAGACGTCCTCCAGAACAAGCTCAAGGTACCACACCTCCTACCCCACACACAGACACACACACAAACACACCGTAACCACCAATTAATCACTAATTACAAATTAACTAGGAACGTAAATACTTCGACTCGGGCGATTACGCCCTCAGCAAAGCCGGCAAAGCCTCCGACGTAGGCGTGACCAACGTCGGTTCCCGCCACCCACTCCCCGAAAACATCCCACACCTTACCGCGACATCGCCCAACGCCGGCAATGGTAGTATCAGCGCCCAAGGTGGACAGCAGATCCCCGGCAGCATCAGCAGCCACCCAGGTTCCATCGGGTTCCAGAGTCGCTCACCCGTCAAAGACAACTTCCTGCATCGCAATTCCACTCTGAGTAGTGACGATAATGAGAAGGGAGATAACGAGAAGGAAGAGGAGGATCTCAGTGTTAGTCCCCCGCCTGCTCGGGAGGGTGTGCCCATTCAACGGTGAATATGGCTATGGATACGGAGGTCGTTGCATGCATGTCTTTTGAAGGGTCTGTGGGTTCTTTTCAAAAGCTGGCGCTTTGGGAATTTCATTTGCGAATTTGGTGACTTGAGGGTTTCGGGTGACTCGATAGACTAAGTCTTTGATTGTCTGGTCTGTCGACCCTCTATGCCTTTTATTTCTTCCATTTATCAATTTTCATCCAACTGGCATTGGGGTTTGTTTGTGTTTGTTTGTGCTTCTTGATATCTAGTTATGCGTGAATTTGTATTCCCTGTCTGAATCAAATCTATGGTGCTATAGCCATCCAAATTGTTCATATCTATCAAGATAATGGCCTGAACTGACTTGACCGGCGGACTACCCCCAGTAAAAACATAGAGAGATTTTACGTTGATACGGCTCTATTACACTAGATCTAAAAAATCAAGGATAAATCGAAATCTCTATTAACCCAGCCTAACGAGGCAATACAATGAAAAATCAATCATATGTACAGATATTGACTTCGGGATGAATCAACCGATAGCAAAAAGAAAAAGAGCAAGGGATGTCAAACAAGACAAGAGGGTATAAGTGCCGAACGGAACAGGAGACACAGATAGAGAGAAATGAAAAGCAACGGTCATGAAAAGGCGTGTCCCGAAACGGGAATGATTTGACACACAATCGTGCAGACCACGACTTGTAGATGGGGGTATACAGACCCAATACACCTAAAGCAATCGGGGCGTATTGGGAAAAGAAAGTGGAACGAAACCCGATCACAAGACCGGAAACGCAACACGGCTTGAACTCGCATGGGGCGGGGTATTCCCGGGCCGTGTGGCGTATTTCGATTTTAGGCTGCGAGATAGGTCACTGGACTGGGCTAGGACCGTCATGGCTCATGCAGCAAGATACGGAAGAGATTAATCTCCATCCAGGTTGGAACAATGATAAGCAAAGCGCAGTATTGACTGGCCATTCAGTCGGTTTTCCAGTGTCCTGCCAGGCCATTGTCGAGATCATCGTGTTCTCCGAGCCACAGTTCCACGGCGTAGAGGGAGATCGTGCACGCAAGGTTGATCCAGCGCCACAGATTACCGCCGCCGCTGCCTTGACTGCTCCACCACTCGCCGCTGCCGCCCATTGCTTGCGATGTCGACGAGAAGTGCTGCATCAGCAAGCTGGTGTAAACGGCGATGAGGATCGTAGGTGCGAAATAGCTGAGGAAGCCGAGAACTTGGCCTGCTGCGTCGGAGTCATCTATGGAGGCTTCTTGGGAGAGGGCACGGGCGCCGGATTCGCGGACGGCGGGGATGATGCGTGTTGATGCGTAGAGCACGAGGAGGCGGTAGGCGAGAGAGATCAGGACGGAGGGAGTGACAGCGCTGAAGACGGCTGTGATCACATTGAAGGCTGCGTGGATGATGGAGGGGAGGAGAGAGAGCGCGTGCATGAGAGTTGTGTACGAGGCCATAATGATCGGTGGGAGAGGAGGGAAGTCTCCGGCCTGTGCTGGTGAGGGAATCTGTTCCACCGGGTAGGAGGGCTGGTAGTCTGTAAAGATCTGGTAGATGCAGAGCACGATGTAGGCGAAGAGGAGAGAGCTCTCGACTGGGTTTCCGCGGCCACTGCCAATACCCCAGGCACATAGGATCACGGCACAAGTAACAGAGACACCGATCAGAGCGGCATCAACGTTGGAGATCTCGGGGAATTGAAGAACACGCCAGAGGAAGTAGACGGAGCTGGAGATGATTGTAGCGGACAAAACAAGAAGACCGATCTAGGGAGATTGTTAATATCGCGATACTGCGAGTAGAGTGAATGACTGAATGAAGAAAGCAACATAAAACGTACCATCCAGCTATCACTGCGCCCGCCGCGATTCACCAGCCAACGAGTAATCTGCCCAGCAGCCTGAATCACCAACAAACTACAGAAACCCTCTGCAAGCTGAAAGACCGGAGTCGACCATCTCAGGAGTCTATCCCAGTTCCCGAGAGCGACCGTTTCAACCAGGCCATCGCGACCAAAGAGCCATTCATGGATGGAGGAATCTTGCGCCCGTTTCCCATTGAAGGTGCGCTCAACCCAGGTACCGTTATCGCCGTCTGCATCGACGGAGAAGCGATTCAGCGACCAGATAAGGAGAACGAGAATGACGGCCCATTGCGTGAAGCGGATGATGGCAAGGATGGAAGAGCGAAACCAGGATCGATCAGGAGTTGTGAGCTTCAGTAGTGAGACCAGGAAGTAGAAGGCCGCGAGGGATAGTGAAAAGGCCAGACCGCATGTCTTGCCGCCCACATCAAAGGCTAGTGGGATAGACGAGACCGTGACGGCCAGGAACAAGGCCGACGAAAAGACTCGGAAGAGCCACATCGGGTGGGCGGAGGAGAGAGTCTGGGTGTTGGTTGAAGGTTAAGTAAGTTGCAGGGAGGGGAAGCACTGGTCTCTTTTTTTCCCCGTTATCGATTTTCACGTGGGTCAAAGTGAAATCGGAGTTAAAGATGTCGTTTTTTTCAGATTTCACTAAGATGTCAAGGGCTAGATTGGCGGTCAGAGCGCATTTCTTAGGGCCAGGTAGTTATATTATTAAGTCTAGTTATCATACCTTATTGAACACATTAGCTATATACATAGTTATAAATTACTACATACGTATGTAGTTGTGTATATCATTGATATGGGGGCATTATCAAAGGCAACAACGAGAAAACAAATTCGATACAATGTCACCCAAAACTGCTTATAGAACTATACTATAGAACTATACATTCTATAGTTATATTAGATATTAGAAGACAGTATTGTTTATCATGGTTATGAAATATATAGACTAGAACGGCCGCCTAATAAGGGGGACCGTCTTTCTAGGACCTAACTTTAGGATTAAGAAATCTAGAGCTTAATTGAATATAAAGTATCGTAATCTGATCCAACCCTTCGCCGTGGACTTTGGCGTTATTACTCGGACTATAAGCTGTAGAACCGAACCGCTACAAAGAAAGTGCTAACAATCTGTTATTATTTGAAACAAATAAAAACGCAAAAAAAGAAGTGGTTCCAGAGGGGGTCGAACCCTCGACTTTGGCGTTATTAGCACCACACTCTAACCAACTGAGTTATGGAACCCGATGGTGTGCTGTTTCGAACTTTTGACACTATCAGCCAGTGAGACTGACTTCAGAGAGACCAGAAATCATGACTAATGTGGCTGTTTGTCTTCATAATAGCCTAGTTGGCTGATTGGTGCACTTCCCATATGTACTTTCATTCACTGTCACAGCCCCGAGAACTATATTGAGCGAAATTATACGATAAGCCAGACGTCATGAATAGCCTTCAACAGGAGACCAATCACTATATCCACTAGAGACTGGACCTCTAAGATAGACAAAGTATAAGTGGCTGTGTTATGGCGTTATGGTAAATTTGTGACCTGCATTGGTAATTCACATCTTGGTTCCATTAGATATCTAGCAACTGTCCACTTCATCCGCGGAAAGCATCATTGTGAAAAACGAAGAACCGGCTTAGTCCTTGTCGAAAATTTGGAAGGTATGACTGAGGATGGTTTCGAGGACGCGGACTTGCGAAGCGACATCGCGGAGGCCAATAGACTTAGTGCGTATGAGGATTGTACTGTGATAATTAGGTAGCAAGATTTGAAGGGGGTGTAGGTATGTATTGTAGCTTACCTGAAGCAGATTGCTAGGTTGCTGGCGTTCATATGGTTTCTATGGTAGTGTTCCTGGACCTTGCTCAGGTGCTATAGCGCAATTAGTTTATTGTTTGTGTATGTTTAAACTCTGTTTTGAGAACGTACTATAGCAATGGCACGAATAGTAGCATAGTGCGGATCGGGGAGAGAGTTGACGAGAGCGTGCACTGAGTCACGGCGTTCGATATCATCCTCGATTCCTGTGTCACTGGGTCAGTTTCAAGGTCATAGAGGCTATCTGTATGGAAGCATTTACGGGCAGCAACGACAAACTGGGAGTATAGCTTCGACGTAAGTAGAGGGTCAGGCAGATCTTTGAAGAACTGCTTCACAAGTCCTGCAACGCTGTTTATATCATGATAAAAGTTTGCTGGCTGGGTAAAGTTTGCTCGTGGCAAGCCTAATTATAGATTAGCACAAATTTGACAACTGAGAAAAGATCAGATCTAATCAAGCTCACCACGATCAAAGACGGCTTTCATATTGCTTATATGGCCAGCATTACCAGAGACCCGATAGAGACCCTCCACATCCAATCCAAACATCTCAACGGCTCGGAAGCACATTTGGAGTAAGTACGGCGTCGCACACCCATCACGAGCATATAAATCCTCTAGAGACACGCCGAACACTGGCTTTAACGCTTGGTAGTGCAAAGGATCTTTGTCCACCAGCAGTGGATCAGAGATTATAAGCGGCCCCTGAGAACCGGATGGCCCTGTAGCGGCAGTTGAAAGAACGGAGCGATCATCGGATATAGGTGTTAACAAAACGTTGGTGAGATTAACGATGACACGTGCATGCACAACCGGGGTTTTGTGCGGACTTGTGAGAACACGTGTGATTGTTTCTATCTCGACGTCAGTTAGCAAAGTTGATAGCGTTGTTCGTTTGGACTGTATGGGGATGTGGGATTGATCGCACCATCACAGGGGATCGTCAAGTCAATAACGTTCCCAACTCGGATATTCATGACACCCAAAAGCCCCTGATCTTTTTTCTTGAGCTTCTTCATGTCAAAGATCTTAACAGCTAAGATGCTATCTTCATTTACCATGCTGATAGACGGTCAATACCTGTCTTTTTACTAGAGCATAAAATTGAGGTGCTTGAGGGAGGAAGTTGCATACAAATTCATAGTGTGGTTCCAGTAGGGGTTCAGAGTTCTTTTTTGGACCGAGGTCGAGCGTCTTTGCTCGCCATTTATGGTCGCTATAGCGAAGGGGTCAGGAAACTCTGTAGAATCCAATTAGTCTCGGTCTTCATAGGAAGTTCATAGGAAAGTAATCGCTTACGGAAAATGTCTCTCTTGTCAAGACTATCGGCAGCGATGACTAGATTAGGATGTGAGCTAAATGAAATGTTTAACCATGAAACTGGATTGGATGTCGTCAAACTTACTGGTGATTTTGATCTTTGTCTGGTTGCTAGAGACTGTCCCCTCAAGCTCTTCTACCTTGCCCAAATCTTCTTGCTTGTGATGTATCGCATTGAGATTTGTCAAAGAATCTATCGTATCTGCATGCTGCGCTCCAAGCAATTCACGTCGCAGGAAAAAGAGCTCCTCGTAAGCTTTCGCCGCCTGTTCATACTTGCCTTGTTCACGATATGTCACAGCAAGATTATCCATGGCCTTGATTGTATCCGGATGCTTGGGGCCAAGTACTTCTCGTCGCAATGCGGCCACTTCTTTATCAGTATCTTCTGACTGTTCGTACTTCTTTTGTTCATGATATGTTGCTGCAAGCTTTACCAGTGCGTCGATTGTATCCAAATGTTTATTCCCAAACATTTCACGTCGAAGATTGATCACTTCCTCTCCTATCATCTCCGACCGGGCATACCTCTTTTGCCTACGATATGTTGTCGCGAGATCCGCCATTCCTTTGATCATCTTCAGATCCTCATCACTAGGCGCTTCTGGCTTGAGCGTTTTGGTCTCGTCATCTTTCTCTGGCTGACTGTCCACTACCGCCAGATTTTCTATATCACTTGCTAGTTGAACTTCTGCAATTTGTTCTTGGGACGGAGAAGTGGGAGAAGGGGTGGGCATCGAAGGAAACTCTGACTTTGGCTCTGGCTTTGGCTCTGGCTTTGGTTCTGGCTCTGTTGGAGGTGTGGTAGGCGAAAGAGGCCATGGCCTCTGACTATTGGTGCTGCCATATGTGTTTGACCAGGCGTTAGAGGGCGACATGTTCCAGGTAGTCGCGCTGGTTGCCGGTTTTGGACTCAGCTCACTACTTATTGAAAAAGTCAGTGCAGTCACCTTATATAATGTATAGAAAAATGGGCGCTCACTCATCAGGAGCATCCGGCTGCCCAGAAAGCCAATCATGGGCGAGGACATGGTCGATCGTGAATCGTCGTTCAGGGAGTTCTGCCATTGTACCCAGCACGAAGTTCATGCAGAAACCACTCGAGCTACCTAGTTTCCGGAGGGGAAACTGGACCCTGTGGTCTCGAGCATAGTCTAGCAAATGCTTTATGGTGCGGAAAGGAGGATCGCCTGTCCGCAAGCAGAATGCCACAGCCCCAAGCGACCACACGTCGACAGCTGTGGTGTATTTGACCGACGGGTCGCCGTATAGCTCTGGTGCCATATATCCAGGAGATCCGATATAATGTGTTCCAAGAGAAGTGCCGTCTGTGTTTTTGGAGATTCCAAAGTCGGCAACTTTGACATGCCAGTTGGGCCCCGGGCAGGATACTAGGATATTCTTTAGGTAGGTCAGTGGAATTTCATCGTGAAATTGCCCGCGGGGCATACCAAGGGCTTGATATCTCGATGAACGAATTTCTTTCGATGCATGTACTGCAAAGCCTGGGCAGCTTGTGACACTATCGACGCGGCCTCGAGTTCGGGGAGAGGTGCAGCTATATATTTTTGAAGGTCGCCATATTCCAAAAATTCCATCGCGATATAGAAGTACTCCAGGTCGTCGAACCAGCCGAGGAATTGGACAAAATGCTGCTTGTACTGCGTTGGAGTCAATTAGCTGCTAATGTTCCATATTCTATGTTTGAAACACCTACCTCAAGCGTATCGGGGTCGGAAAATGTGACTAAAGCATCGAGCTCCCGCCTCGACATTTCCAAAAACTTCGATTGCCGTTTATGAAGATGTTTCACGGCGCGGATCGCATTCTGCGAGGTACCCGAAACACAGCGCTCTTGCCAAACATCGCCAAAGGTGCCATTCCCTATGAGTTGCTCGGCACGCCAGCACTCGGCGCCGGATGGTCGCTGATGGTACCGGCGTCCGATATCATCGTAGGTGGTTTCCAACCTCCAACCTCGCAGAGGATCGCTCATAAAGGGATCCATAGATCATTATAGCTTTTGAAGCCAGCAGCAGTGAGCGGTTTGACAATGAGAGTTCACCAAAGGTCAGAAAATTCCGTTGCTAATTCTGTGCGGGGGTTTTCGTATTTCCAGCCTCTGCACACGAGTTATATTTGGCGTCGAAAGTACGAGTCTGATTGGTTAGCACCATAAGGGGCGTTGTCAGATCTGCTTAAGGGGGTTAGGGATTATTCGATTAACCAATCAACTGCAAAGAAGAGAACATACAGTATTAGAGGCTTCAATTGAGCCTTTGTACAGAGTAGTGTGTGTATATACATGATGTATGTATGCAATGACGCTCTCGTGGTTTCATCGCCTTTCACTTTTGCGACAAGACATCGATTTACCCCCATTTCCCCATCTCTACATATGTGAATAGTGATATCTTGAATATTCGGCTTATTTGAACATAATTTTGGTCCCGTTTACTACCAGAGAAAAACCAAATGGTGTGCAAATGACCCCTTCCCGTTGATTTTGATCTAGAAGCTAGTGGAACAAGTGCACCTCGTCTTTCTTCACAATGAAATCTTGTTGAGGGTGTTCAGGATCTTCTCAATAAATTGAAGTGCAATAACATCATCGCTCTCCACCTCTAGACCAAGGTCTTCATTGTCATCATCCAAGCACGTCAGACAAGATACTACTACCTGTGCATATTTGTCGCCCATACGTGGGGCCAGCCTCTTGTGGGCCTGTTCCACCAAGTAATCCTTGAGTTGGAAGGCCAAGGCATCGAATGAGGCTGTCTCGCCCTGCCGCTTACTCCATGCTCTAAAGTCATAGTAGGACTTGCCAAACTTGGCCTGGGGCGGGCCATTGAACTCCAGCTCGTTGGTGTATTCAACAAAAGACTCCCAAAGACCAATTTCAAGCAAGCAGACTCCAAGACTGTAGATATCGTGCTGCATGCTGTACTTCTCGGAAGGGTCCACGCCCTGCCGGCGAGGGTGACGGTAGACATTGCGAGCCCAGCTCATGTCGCCTCCCATCATCGTACCAGCATCTGCAGCACGGAAAGCATCAAAGCCAACTAAAAAAGCGTGACTATTGATACCTTGTGGATCTTCAAAGCATAGCACCGACTCTGGCCGTACGTTTTTGTGCACAAGTGCGAAGGTATGCACGTAATTGATAGCCTTGGCAAGTTCGCATGCCATGTGTATTTTCCGGGATAGTGACAGATTTTCATCTGAGTTAAGCAACAGGTGTCGTAGTGACTGCAAGACCTCCATGCCGTTCGGAATTCGGAACACAATCTGGAAGTGGGAATAATGTGCTTGGTTCGGAGATGGCGAATGTGCACGAGGCAGAGAAGTAGGGGGAGCCAGCTCTAAGCCCAACTGCAGAGGTGGAGTAGGAGATACATGCTTCTGGGTAACTGGCATGACTCCCTTGCAATTGAACAAGCCAAATGCGAGAGGGTCGGCCTGTGAGAGCTTAGCCGCGAGGACTCGCACATCCCGCGCGACATTGCGCACTTGAGTGGCCTGCCCGAGCTCGATAGTGTCGACAATGTACCATTTCTTGTCACCGTCCCTGCGTCCTGCTTTTGCATCCGAAAAGGGTATATGTAACCACTCCATCTGCAACTCCTCAAGGAAAATCGCCCTGGTTCGTTCAACCGTAGGGGATAACACATTGCGTAATCCAGCAGCGAGAGCCAGCGGAGTCTCAGCGACAGTTGCAGGTCCGTGTGCCTTGGCCTCTGTAATCTTTGCCAAGGCTAGTTCTTTGTCGAGGAGAGGATTTGCTATTTTCATAAGCAAAAACCATGAAGGGTCAAAGCGACGCTGCCACTCTTCGAGCTCGGATATAATCCCGTCGAGTGCCTCCTTCTTCCACACCCAAGCAGCCTTCTTCGCCCTGAAGCTAAATCCAAATATGCCTGATCGGGTCGTCGAGTTCCTTTGAATCGCATCAAGGCTTTTTATGGCAAGCGAAAGACTAAGCCAGAGCTGATTCAGGAGCTCGTCCATCACGCGGCCCTGCTCTACATCCATAATTGATATGATGCGCATGACAAAATCAACCTGGCGCTTTGTGCGATCCCAGGATGCCTCGACAATAATTACACGCTTCTCTACTTCAATATCGGCATGTTTCCACGTTGAACATATATTCATGATCTTGGACCCGATACTACTACAAAGTCAGCGGGACTTAACAACTTGTTGTTAGAGAGGGTCTTGGCTTACGTGTAGCATGTATCCACAAGGCCAATCACTGAGACTGGATCCATGATGTAGTCCTAGTTTGCTAGATAGTGCGTTGAAGTTGCCGTTTGTTTTGTTCTCAGTGCGCGCGTGTCTCAAGCTTCGGGGTTCAATTCAAAGCTTGGCTTCGGCTGAGCGGGGTATTACTCCAACCAACCCAATGAAGCTAGAGTGAGTGAAAGGTGAGTGGAGGATGGAAAGCAGCGAAGGCTGAAGGGGCGAATGGGATGTAAGCAACATAAGCCGGGCTAGCCAAGTGATATGATGCTCGCTACAAGAGGGCAATCGAGCCGAGCGTGTGGTCGAATGACCAGGTGCGTGTGCAGACTGGCATCGTAATCTATTTTATGTTGGGCATATTGATTTTTAGATGATCAGTCTCGAGTGCTCAAGTTCTTTCCCACTTATTGCAGACAATATACCTTGGTACGCTATAGTGCTAGATACATATATATGTACAACTATCACTTTTCATGCCGCTAAAGATATACAATCACACCTCATTAAACGTATACTAATTGATTGTAACAGTACCAGCCTGCTTATAATTCTCCGGCTCTTAGACTAGGAGGTATAGAAGGCCTTATACATGACTCTCCCTGAACAGTGTAATCCTTACTAACGAACTCGGGACATTTAAGCTTCGTATCGGAAGGGATTCGTAGGCTTTGTGTAGTTCAAGGATCGGGCGAAAGGTACCTAAATTTTTAGAGTAGCAAAGATATTTACTACTTATGCCGAATCTAACTTTGGAGATAGTTAATTAATAGAATTGCCCTACGTTTACGTAATAACTAGTAAAACTATAGGTATCCAGTCATGGCATATTCGCATTCTTTAACCTGTAGGGCTTCAATGTGGCCTTGGCCCGTTACACCAGGCGAGCCATATATCTAGTGTTAGGTGCCAGGTCAATTAACAGGAAAGAGTGCATTCAAACTAGAAAAGCAAAGATGGGGAAGAAGGAGAGAGAGCAAGTGGTGAATCCTAGGGATCTCATAGCAGAGCTATCCCACAAGGCAAACAAACCCCTTTCCCAACTAGGAACAGTAGCAGTTTGAAGAACAAAGGAAATAAAGCAAACAAACAACGATCTCGAAGCATGTGATAATGTGCAGATCGTGACACCTAGTTCGACATTATCAATTAAGCTCTATAAGTTCAAAGCTTGTATATCTCCGATTTTAGGTTCCTGATTACTAGTAGATAAAGGCTTTGAGGACTTTAACTATAATGCAGAGTACCAAATGATAAAGCTTTCATTATATTAGAACTTTTATCCCAATCCTGTCGATATTACATGTGATATTGATACCATATAGCCCATCATTTCCCATAACATTGAACCAATCGCTCCAAAACCTAACCCAAGCTCCGACGGCACTTGATCCGACTGAACAAGCCCCAATGCCCATATACAGCAACTTTAGGCGGTTAAAGCCTGATGATGTTTCCTCTGGTGACCAATCAAGTTGTCTTTTCGGTTGAAACACTTACCACAGATCCCGCAAGAGAACGCGTCTGGCTCAACATGTAGCGTTTTGACGTGGCGTACGAGGAGTGCCTTTTTTGAAAGGGCAGAAGAAGAAGCACAGTCCTTCCAGTTGCATTGCCATGCGCTCTTCTTGTGTCTGAAGAAGTGTCGTGTTAGTTCATTTCATTTTCTTTGCAGCTCGAGCAAATTTCTTACTCCCGATTTGCGTGACACTGTGGGTTTATATGCTCTGATTTGATATGCTTCAACAATGATTCATTGTGGGAAAACGTAGGGAGGTGCATGCATTCCTCCCAGAAGCAGTGCAGAAGCTCGGAAGAATTCCTAAAATAGGGGACATGTTAGCAAGACATGACTCTTTCCTCCTCGTCGTAACGTAGTGGTGGATAACTTACACTTCGCTGGACACAACCCCGTCAGAGGCTGGGTGTTCCTCATCATAGAGAACGTATATGCTGTCCTGATCTAGGTTCGCTTGTTGGTGTAGAGGCATGCTGGCGACGAAGGAAGCAGGACTGGCATGAAGGAAATCGTATCTGTTATTGAGATTGTGCGGGCTCGAGCGCTCGGTGGTATTGTATTCTCCAACGATAGAGCGAGGCATGCCATCGAAGATAGGAAATTGGCTTGACCGATCCTGTTCACGATACCCCAATCCCAAAGGAGTGCTGATGGTCGCGTCTGGATATGCGGAGGATTGAGCCGTGTGAGGATAATAAGAATAACCTCCGGTCGGCATGGAAGACGCTACCTCCGAAGATGACAGACTACCCTGGACTTCATGGAAGCTATTTTGGTAGTTCAAAAAAAGATCGGGTCGGTAAAGCAAGCTCAGATTGACCAGTTCGTCATCGTCTGGTGGTGGCACTGTAAATCGCATCGCCCACGAGGCTGAATATGAATGCAGAGATAATGGGTAGAAAAGCAGCTCAATAGCTAAGTACGCCTCGCACCGAAGCTTCCGATGAAGAAGGTCTCATCTTTGCAGGGACATCCCTATATATACTCAGGAAGCAAGTCGGGAGATTCAGAGTGAAAAGTTGAACCTCATGGAGGCTCAGATCCACGCAGATCAATCCCACATTTTGTGAAAATAAGGGGATATCAGGATATCGAGGATTTCTCCCAAGCACAAGAGCCTAGACAGTTGAGCTTAGGCAAACTTGCTTCCTTTGAATTAGAGTAAGAAAAAAAGGTGGGAAATCAGTTCGGTTTGTCCCTGAAACCTACATACCAAATCCACTGGGGCTCTCTACCTCGGTGGTGTGGTTGGTTGCACGGGTCCCTTGGCCCACTCACACAGGTTTCAAAAGCACACTAAGGCACACTATCGCCGTCGTCGCACCCTGGTTGTTGACACCGCTGGGTTGTAGGGGGTGCAACGGATCTCTAGAATTATCCTCCCGAACGCGGAGTCTGCCCCAGCCAGGACTGGAAGACTGCAATATGATAGATGGGTAAAAAAAAAAGAGACCAGTACTTTTGTCCCACACGCGGAGCTTGGGGATTTGCGTGCCTGAAAAATCCCATTTTGTCCTTGTTGGCATGGTCAGCCATCAGACACGTTCGGAAATATATTGATTGAATTTTATTTGTTTATGTCCTTTTTCTGTCAGCCTCTTATCCAGAATGTTTTTGAAATTCTAATTTACACCAAGACAAAGAGTACGATTGGGGAATTTTTGATTGCAAATGATTGACTTGACTAGCTAGCCTTAGCTATTGAAAATCTTCTGGCTGGATAGGGGAGAAAATTGAAAGTCTAGGGAAAAAGTGCCGTATCAATTTATTTTAACCTATGATTTAGGAAAATGTGGGCTCAAGAACAAGGGTACTTGGGCAAATAGGTAGATCATAAGTAATTTCGTAGAGCGATGACCAATGCCGATTTTGCTATCTTCGCTCCGAACGCCACAGGTACAGTTAACTTTAGGTATTCCGACAGGTTCATGAATACCTAAGAGGATCATAGGTACGTGGGCCGGAACGGGAGTCCCGGCAGATCCGAGAGCTTCGATTGTTCTAGAGCAGTGTACCCCAGTAATATACATATATCGATCGCGGGTCCTCACAACTCCGCATAATACTTCTGATTTTTTAATTTATTTCAAAGATGAAATGAGATGAGATGAACTGTGATGAACGGAGATGAATTGTGAATGAATGTGAACGAACGAAAGAATAAAAACGCTAGTATCAATGTAAATATATAAACTATAAACTATAATCTCTAAACGATATAATATGAAATATGAAATATAAAATAACAAAGAAATACAAAAATCTTTATTTTTATTCTTATTTTTTTTCAATCACAGGGTGGTATATTTGGAAATCCTTTTTATCAAACTCCTTATAAGGCTTTCAACCCTGGAACGTCATGTAATTATTCCCTATTCTCTTCTGAAAATTCAAAGAGAGCCTCGACACTGTGATAGTGAACAATAAAACAGCAAATTAAACATGTACAAGATTAAGTTTCAACAGTGGGTAAATAACCCGCATCACCGTTGAGGTTTGATTAAAGACATCTGTTGAATCCAAACTAGTGCGCATTAAGAACGGTTGCTAGGGAACTAAATGATTTAAAATCTTGAATTGAATAGCCCCTCCAACAATGACATCCGAGGCCCGATCCTGCTTTCTGATAATGGACAGAGTTGCGGTGTAGGTGGGCATGAATATCGTCTCCCTACACACTCCGTACCTAAGCGATTGCTCTGCCCCCGGAGGATGGAAATTGTCTCTCATCATAATGCCAAGTCATTCGATACCTCCCAACAATTCCTATCACAACCCCTGAAGCTTGGGCTCGAGCGCTGGGTAAGCGCCTGCGGAGTGGATCTTTCCTCGCATCACAAGTGACTGAGTAAATAGTTTTCGTGAGGTGAACCTTTTTTCTAAAAGACATATATTCCTTTGGGTGTAAGTACCACAATGCACGCACAGAGTCAACAGAACTCCGCTCAAACCAGTCGACCGTTACCGCTAACTCATCAATAATGTTCAGCCGGCATACTACACATGTCTAGTCTATGCCAATCGCGAGAATACTTCTCAGCACTGTCATTTGTTTTGGTTAATGTTTAATCAATATTCTCATTCCCAATCATCGCTATGTTGATGCTAGAATGAAACAAATCAAACTAAACCTAAAGGCTTGGATCCGAAAAAAAAGAGTACGACGAGGAATCCAGAGGAGAAACCCAGCACAAGTGTATTCACTTAACTAGAAAGCGAGGGGGAAAAAAACCAGAACAAGCGGAGAGAGCATGGGGGAAGATTTGTGTGTTCGCGAGAATAGAAGACCACCTGATCTCTAAAAATTACGAATGCAGCAGCTGACTTAGGGCCCGCTAAGGGTAAACAAAAGATGACGAACAAATATAAAAAAGGGGTGGAATTAATTACCTTGACCTTGTGTGCCTGGGCACGACCTGGGTAGAATGAAGGTTGTTAGGGTGGACTCCACCCTGAGGCGACTGCGCGCCAGCAGAGTGAAATTAGCGATGAAACCGGCCTGGATATCAAGAAGTATGCCTATTACTGTGTTAAAGTTCTTCCACCTATTCAAATTGACCAAATTCGATTGGTCAAGAAGCCTTTGTTGTACAAGCTAATATGCAAGCTAGATTGTAAAAGAACTCCCCCATTGGCTAGGTCCAACTCGGGATTTTCCGATGTTCAGCTGAAAGGGTCAGTGCAGTGGTCGCGCGACTTGGGTGATTCTCACCCTGTCTACAGTGCACTCACCTTGATCACCCCTGGACGCTCGACCACAAAGCGGCGCTCACCCATTTCTCACCCAGGCGACACCCACCGGACTACTGACCACGTATAAGCCACACGCCGGTGAGTTATCAGTTGGGTGGCTGACCACCAGCGAACCCTCACTGTTGAATACATTTGTTTTATTCTATTTTTGCTTCGTTCGGAAACTCCCTCTTGCCACCCTACTCTTTTAGCACATTCACTCTATTCTACACCCTGCACGTCCCTGAACCGCTGGTCGTCACCCACTACTAACTTACCGGCGTGTGGATGATGTACGGCCAGTAGTCGGGTGGGTATTACTGGATCGAGTTCAGGGAGAGAACAGGTTTAGCGTCGCAACCGGGAGCTAGTTTCGTTCTTTACACTCCCCTCCGCATCCTGGAGCTTCTCTCAGTGGTGGTATATACAGTGACGATGTATCAAATTTGAGCACCGGCTAGATTGATTGCCGTCGATAACCTGCTGATCCTGTTGACAGCTGGTTAGGCAACGTAAATCGATATGTGCGGCAATTTCGACCCTTCATGATTGATGGCGAACCACCTTATCTTATTCTAAGTATCTAATGTGATCCTATATTTGGCAAGTGGTGGTCTAAATAGCTAGCCGTGCCCTCCAAGATCCGACAGGCCAGCCTTGCACACTTCATCAAGAATAATGACCTATCCCAGTCTGACAGACACCCCACCAGATACCGATATTTCTAATGCATTCTAGTTCCCACAGCTCACAAGAGGGGAAACATATGCCAGGCTTGCTCGACGTGGCCAGTCGATGACGCAGCTTTGCCCTAGCTTGTATTCGAGCCGACTAACAGGGCTTATTGACAACGCAATGCCAAGTGCAGCACAGTGGAGTGAGGTAGGAAATTCATCATCCCGTTGCTATATTGAGCGAATAGATCTCAGGGTGGCGGAGCTGGGAACTGATATGTACGCGCTTTACCTCGCAGAGACCTCAGACGACAAATTTTGTACTGACACACCGGGTGTAACGGATATTTTGTGGACTTAGAACGCAGATACCACTCCATGTGATAAGCTCTGGGCCTGTACTATCCAGAAATTATGGATGAAAAATCCCAGTTTGATGGGGAACATCTATGGACCTAATTCGAAATCACATTCGGGCCTGGTTTCATGACAAAAGAAATACCAGAACTATGACACCACATATCGAATCTACTTGATGGTTAACGAAAAATCGCTGCAGACATTTCTGTGCTCCTCAACTTAAGACATGGTGCCGGACCAGAAGGAACTGAATCCGAAGGGTTCCTTTAAGATTCTAAATAAACTAGTAGAGACTAAGGATTTAAAAGAGTAACCCTATTTGATGGTATATAAGGTCCCGTCTAGAAGAAATTAATTAGTATCTCGATATTCTAAGGCTTATTCTTATATAATCTTTATAACTACTATTTCAAATCGTAAAGCGCGCCTAGATTTCTTAAACTCTAGATCTATATATTAAGATAACAATTTATACGGAATAAAAATTTAGCTTGAGTATTAATATAACTATATATATTAGAAGAGCTACTTAGTGTAAATTAGTATCTATAATACTTACGCCCGCGATATCTATATTCTAATACTACCTAAAACCCTTAGAATATACCTAAAACTTTATTATAATAAGGCTGCGCCTTATCTATTTTACCGATCACTTCGACGACGTATCTTCACGCGTAGAAGCAGGTCCTAGGTATCCATAAGTTCCTAAACTAGGCATGCAGAAAAGTCGTTCTCCATGATTATCGTCGCAACAGTCTAGCTCTTGGTACATGGCATGACATCCCTCATTACCAAAACTAAGCGTCTGCAAAGACTCCGACAAAATGATCTGGCCACTAGTCAAATCCCACATCCTCATTGCACCGATGCTCTGTACTTCCGTCCGCCTCCTACAGTTGTCCATCTTCTCGAGAGGCGAGCTGTCAGCTTTATTCTGGATGGATGTGATTGCGAATGATAAATTTGCGGGTTGAAGTCTGTTTCATTTGGAGTGTTTGAGGCGGAGAGGAGCTGTTGTTATTGTAACTTTGTAATGAGGAGATGTGGAAGAAGTGGAAGTGAAAGAAGTGGAAGTGGAGAGGGGGAGTGGGAGAGGTGGGAGTGGAAGAGGTGGGAATGATTAGGTGTATAAGTCCTGAAGCTTTGCACATTGGGTTGGCGCGCATGGATTTTGTTATCAATAGCATAATGTAGCTTTGGTTTCGCAATATTTACTCTTTATGCTTGCCTTTGTATCGCTCTTCTATGTTCTTTACTGCTCTTCCGTTTTCTGTATTCGCGGTGGAAGTGTTAAGCCTTTCCCACACGTCGTTAACGCACCTTGACCGACTAGCGTCTATCATGCTTATACTTGATTTAGTCTTTCTTAGCTAATTCTTTCTGTTACATCTCAATCATTCCTCTTTGCGGTGTTGCTGATTGGTTTGCCAACCCTTCTTTCCGTTTCCATCATTGGTGCTCAATACGTTCTACCGAGGTCGGGATTTACCTGTAACTGTCCTCTACACTCAATTATTTCGGTAACCATATAGAGAGAGGAGGACTTCATGATTTTGATTCCAGGCCTATATTGAGATCATTCCCCATTGTATACCGTAGCGAAGCGACCAAAGCGATCGTTTATGCCCTCCAGGTATGCTTGCGATATGCCATCAAAAACCTCCCAATAGCTAAGTGGCCATTGGCTAGAGCCAGTCTTGCCGCTCGTTTTCTGATGATATCAAACTCTTCTGTGTCAGGATGGTGGTTCAACAAGAGATGCAAGGTATGAAGTCTGCCATTCTCCGCAGCGCCGTCAGTCGCAGTGCGTCCTTGTTTAATAGCGGGCGCTGCATTGACATGCGCTCCAGCTTGAATTAGCATAATCACAATGCGTATTTTTCCTCCGATCGCAGCTCCTTGAAGCGCAGTAAAGCCCCCAAGTCGTGCTGCTGGTAGGTTAGGATCTGCCCCGCAAGCCAGTAGGTACTGAGTAAGCTCCACGAAACCTCGGCTTGCAGCCTCTTGAAGGGCTGATCGGCCTCTGACTGGACTTGGCATACCGTTGATATCTGCCTTGTGGCTAATCAAGAGCTTTACCATGGCGTGGTTGTTCTGGGAAACTGCTATCTGTAGCGCAGTCTGTCCACCATTCTCGTTCGCTGGGACATTGACATCGGCCCCTCTTTGAAGCAACAACCTGACAATGTCATCATGCTTCCTCCGCACAGCAGATTGCAGGGGAGTGATGGGACTCTCAAACTCGTATTTCCAGTGATGGTTCACATTGGCGCCAGCAGAGACTAGGCATTCAACAATTTGGAAACTGTGTCCTCGTATTGCTCTTTCAAGAAATGACATCGAGTGAGGGTTTGGAGTTTTTCCAGCATCTGCTCCCTCCTTGAGGAGAAGTTCCAGCAGAGAGACATCGCATTTCCAAGATTCCAAAGCTTGACCTATGATTCGACATTTCGTGATAGAATCAGAAGATATGGCGTCAGGTTCTTTTTCGAGAAGAAGTCGAGTAATCAGATCATTACATCCACGAACAGAAGCTTCTATCGCAGAAATTCCATCGACACTTGCAATTTTTGACTTGATGTCTGCGCCATATTTCAAAAGGATCTTGACTGTAGATTCATGCCCCATCAAAGCTGCAGCCTGCAATGCTGTGCGTCCACCGTTACAGTGAGGTGGAGCATTGACCTCTGCACCGTGCTTTATCAGCTCTTGGACGATATCGTTATTTCCTCGGTACGCAGCTCTCTGCAGAGGAGTTGTCTTGGAACCGCAGAAACCAATGTTTGGGCTTGCTCCTCTCTCCAAAAGTGTTGTTACCATGCTCAAATCTTCGCGTCTGACTGCAGAGTGAAGAGGTGCATATTGCTCTTGGCCGACTTCGTGTGCCCTAGAAGACGCACCAGCACGCAGCAGAAGGTGTACAATCTCGTGTTTTACTACCTGATCTGTAGCCATGAAGCCCGCTTCAAGGGTTGTGACCCCCCAGTGAGACTAGGGTCGATATTGACAGTTGCCTTTGCATCGAGCAGTATTCTAACGCCTTCGATGTTACCGGCCGCGGCTGCTATCTGTAGAGCAGTCCTACCTCCAGACCGAGCCGGAAGAGCATTGACTTCCGCTCCTTCTCGAAGTAAGAGACTCATCAGTCTTGTGTCCAGGTGGCTTGCAGCAGCCTGAAGTGCTGTTCTTCCATAATAGACACCAGCAGGAGCATTTATAGATGCCCCCTTTCGCAAAAGGATGTCAACGAGCCGTTCATTGCCAACGGTGGCGCCAATTTGAAGCGCTGTAAAGCCGTGTTTTCCCTCCATCTTCTGGTTAACGTGAGCCCCATTGGCTAGAAGCATGCGGGTCATAGTGATATTTTCTGCCCGAACAGCGGCCTGCAGTGGAGTGAGAACTGGTGTTTCGAAGTTTAACAATTCTTCTTGGGGGACTCTAGAAGATCTTTTTTTGAGACCGGCATTAATGGCAGCCCCTTCCTCCAATAGAAGTTGTACCGCTTCCCAATTCTCATTTTCCGCTGCTAACAGAATAGGAGACTTGGTTGAATTCTCAACCCCAAATACATCCCCATCATCCTCAACCTCGTCACTTGAGTAAGACTCTGTATCACTATCCGCATAGTCTTTCTCCTCTCGGGCATGAAATCGGTAGCCAGAGTAAGAGTCAACATCAGCCCCTGCATTTATCAAAAGCTCAACAATTACAGCGCTCTTTGACATTGTACACGCTATCTGCAGAGCTGTGCCAATTTTGGAAGTTGTGAAGAGGTTTGGATCTGCTCCCTTGTCGAGAAGGAGCCGCACAAGCTCAGGATTCCCTGTTCGCACGGCAAGCTGCAACGGAGTAAGTCGGGCGCAATCCTGGGGTGGGTTGACACGGGCTCCGTGTTGGAGTAATAGATCCGCGATATCGAATGCTGAGTGAGATCGCAGGTACGAGCAGGCATTATGCAAGGGTGTCTTGCCGTCAGCTACTAAATTTGGGTCTGCACCAGCCTCTAGTATCATTTTTGCACATTCAGCTTGGCAAGATGAAATTGCTCGGTGAAGTGCTGTTGTCCGCATGGCCAATCCACTGTGGGCATCCAAGTCTACCCCGGCCTCGATGAGAATTCGACAAATTTTGGCATCTCCCACGGCTGCTGCACTGACCAGAAGAGTGCTCATAAATATTTCAATCGACGTAGTGACTGACTCCAGAAGCGCCTTCAACATTGAGTGAGAATGGGTCTTGGCGATAAGTAAAACAAGCTTTTGTGTTGAAAATTCAGAGAGGAGGTTATTAGATGCCAGGTACACGTATATCTGGAGATAGTTGGAATAATCCTTTGAAGAGGCGGATTGAAAGACATCTTCTGTTCCTGTCGTAACGGATTTCAAGGCTGTGGCCAAATCACTGCGGCCGTTGTTACTGTCCCCACTAAATTGTGTCAAGATAATCTGAAGGCCCTCCTCGGTCATTGGGTCGGAATCGAGAGATTTTTCATGATCATTGGGAACGGCAGATGGAGATAGTCTGGGAGATAAGATATAGTGCTCCAAGGCAAAATTTCCGGGGGATGAGAAAACGGCCGGCAACTCATTCGAGGAAGAGAAAAGCCCAAAACCTGATGGAATCACTTCTTCTAGATCAGGCTTCCACGTAAGACATTCATAGCTCGATGGAGCCAGAGGTATATCCACAAGGGTTGCAAAATCGAAGCTTTCATTGTGAGGCCAATCTGTGGCACCATCGGAGATAGCCTCGATCTCTGCTCTAGGCGTACCCACGAGGATCCCATCCGGGGTCTTCGGGTCTGGAAGATCGATGAGTAATTTGACCAGAAAAGCCATGAGCTACTAGCAATTTTGACTTACCAAGGTCTCCGAAGTACTGAGAGGACAGAGTTACATGACGAGAAATCTCTTTCCTGACCTTAGCTTCAGGAATAAGGTGGCCATGCATCCTGACAGGGCCGAAATCTTTCCCATCGCGTTTCCGCTTCTCGCCACGGCTCGCAACAAATATCCACTCTTTTTCTGTCAGATTTTTCTTGAATCCCCATTTCTTAAACTGTCGAGAGTATTGGTGCTCCCTGATCGATCATTCCATTATTAGCTGGTTTCAACAAGCTTCTAGAACCGTCGTCAACTTACTCCTTCCAAAAATTGTGCATCTTGGACATGTAGTCCTGCACCTGTTGCACAGTCATCCGCTGTTCTAACCACAAGGACTTGAGCTCCTCGCGGTGTCTCCCCCAAGCTTCTTCTGTTTCTGCTTCCGCTTTGTTCGGTGCCATGGGCTTCGGTAGTGACTGGTTGGCGGGTTTTTTCGCCCAAAGCTGGATTACCCATACGGCATTTATACCTCGAACATTTTGGAGGGTAAGGAGTGCCATGAGAGCGGATATATTTCAATCGGCTTCCTATTGGATCTTTCCATAAGATACAGAAAAAATTTCCACCCTGCATGGCGCCTTGGCCTTAATCCGCAAAACTAGAGATTTAAAAAAAGGGATTCGCGAAAGTAGACAATAGGGACACCATGAAACAGCTCTCGGAGATAATGACCTGTGTTGTTTATGGCCTCGACGAATGACTGTACACCACGTCGATGCACACTAATGCACCTTTCCGTCCATCCTGTACCGTGCTTACTACTGGTCGAAGCCCTTTTGGGGCGGTTGATGGCTGGAAGCGAATAGCTCATTCTGATCCCTGCCAGGGGCAATTCCCCGTATTTGCTTTCTTTCCCCTTTATCCCGTCATATCGAATCTATGCTATTCAATGTACTCTTCCATTGGTTGACTATACCATGCAAACATGCAAACAACAAAAATATCAAGAAATAACAACTCTCATCCACCGGTTGTCTACCTCCCAAAACTAGCACGAGCTTGCTTCTGCTCCTCGCTGGTGGCGGGTGATTTCTTATTTCCTTTATCAAGTAAGATAGCACCTTGCATTATAAGACAGAAGCCTTTTATAAGCTGGTTCAATACACGATCTACGACTGGGATGGGCCGAATAGCGTACACTCCATAGTCATTCCCGTTCATCAGGATATCCCTATCCCTATACGTATCAGGTGTCACTTTTCTCCAATTTTGGGGCTCTATGGCCGCACACGAATTGTGGCATTGTTGCGGCTATGCCCCGACCCCTGTCATTCCCCTGAATTGTCGCATTTAGCCTAGTGTCCAATCTGAGACTTCTGGAGGCCACAAATTTTGGTTTAAGCCAATCATTTTTTAGCAAGCGGCTCCTTGACAACAAGGCTCAAATCAAATGATTCAGCCGCAATGCAAGCTCGCCCTAAACCAGGCTCAGAGCAGTCGCAAAAACCAATTTAAAAAGTGAAAACCCACTCCTGGCTTGGTTTGTGATCTTTATAGTCCTGCATCCTATTCATCTTGTAGCCAGGCTAACATTGGTTTTCCTCACCTTTTCTTTCCAAACCTTTACTGCATCAGCCTCCCTGATAACCCCAAGAATGACCAGGAGTTCGGATGAAGAATGGAGGAACCATCGAGAACAAATTACAAGTCTATACCGAAACAATACCTTGGATCGTGTCATTGAACTTATGAATGAGAGGCACGGATTTCTGGCGAGGTGTGACTGATTGTTTGTCAACTTTTTGCTCCAGGAGGACTCATATAACACAGAGACCACGAATACAACAAAATGTTCGCAGCATGGGGAGTCAAGAAAAATGGCACAAATAGTATACATGAGTATATCGACAGCGAGGTCCGGAAACGAAAGTTGGAAGGAAAAGAAAGTGAAGCGCTTGTCCATGGGAAGCTTTATTCACCTAAAAGCCTCAGGAAGGAGATCGCGCGACATTTCACCTTGACAAGCATCTACTTGAGATCAAAAAGTGAGTCTCTGTTCCAGGTGATACCCTGGTCATTGTTGGTATGTTGAGAGTCTGATATGGGAGAAATTTTCTGTACAGGTTTTGATCCTCCTACACCAGACGGCGTGGTAATCCGCAGCCCTCAACAATCAACACCACTCTTAGTTGGAGCAGCCTTCGAACTGAAAATATTCCTTGGTATTTATTTAAGCTTGAGGTTCCAAATTGTGGGATACTGCCGCAGGATATGTCGGCACATCAGGATGACATTTCCAAGTTACCAGTCATCCCAAGTGGCGAACAACATTTCAGACTGTTGAGCTCCTCACAGACCGACTTTTGCTGTGATGAAATACCCAACGCAGCAATGAATCCCTCTCATGATGTGCTCTGTGACCCGATGGAAATTTTCAATCCAACTTCGCATGATTGGACCTTTGAGAATGATATCACTCGAAGCTTGTTACTGGATATCGCAATTTTTCGAACTTCCCTAGAGGCAAACCAGGCCGGGTTGATAATAAGCTCGTCAAGCAATGTGAACATTAGCCATGAATCCGCGGTATCCTTCCTTTATGAATCATCATTCACGCGGTTCAACCCGAAGATAGCGCTGTTAGCGATCTTACAGCATTTCTCAGACGATATACTGTGGACGACAGCAATCTCGAGCTCAGTTTATCCTTGGATACCCTTGCGAAGTCTACGGATTGTATAACTTTGTATCGCTTTTTCAGCTTGTTAATATACCTCATATCCAACAACTTGTTAACCTTAAGCGACACAAACAAAATTTTGGCTTGGGCAGTGGCAAACAATTGCACCTGGATGATCACGAGTATTCTCGAATTGTCGTCCACGGCGGTAGACGTTTTTGCAACTAGGATTTTTCCAGCTGCTGTGCAAGCTGGCCAGATAGATCTTGTGCGCAAACTCATCTGTCGAGGTATAGATGTCAAAAATTTTGTTTCTTCGAGAGAGTCATAGACTCCGTTCTCACTTGCGGTTGAAAGCCGAGACCCAAAGATGGTCGAGCTCCTTCGTGCCTCGGGGGCAACTCCTGAAGTGACGGGAATTTCTATGATTCAAACTGACCAGAGTCACGGCTCTCTGTGGTCTTTCAGCAATATAAAGATTCTCTCTTTGCTCCTCGAACTCGGTGCAGACCCAGAAACCTTTGTCGCCGACAAACCAAGAGGTTTCCCGCTTATAAGTGTTGCTTCTGAGGGAGAGGTGGAAGCTTTTCAACTTCTTTTAGATGCTCATGCACAACCGGACTGGGCCATTCTGGAGTTTGGGACTGCATTACAAGCTGCTGCCGCACGAGGCCATGAAGTTGTCGTTAGGATCCTCATCGAGCGTGGTGCAGGTGTCAACACCACCTGGTTAACATCTAACCACTATGACCCCATCCACCATCGCCAGGTTCGGGGCTATGCGGCTTTCAAAACACCAATTCAACTTGCAGCAAGCGGAGATCATCCAGGTATTGTACAGACTCTGCTACAGAGTGGAGCTCTGGTGAATTACTCTCCCAGTGTTGCGGGCCTTGGACTCTCCAGAATCGAGGACATATTCTCGCACTGGAGTGAAGCCGGCCCCGGCAAAGAGATGCCTCTTGCATATGCTGTCCAGTACGCCGCAATAAATCAAAACGTTACTCTTGTTCAACAGCTTCTTGCTGCTGGAGCGAATGTGGACTCTAGAATTGGTACAAACTACGGGGATACCCCCCTGCAGACAGCGGCCGGGTTTGGCGATGTGGCAATGACACGACTTCTACTTGATCATAAGGCTAATTTAAATGCCCCTGCGGGAAAGTACTGTGGTCGAACAGCAATCTAAGCAGCCGTGGAAAGATAGAGATTATGAAACTATTGATAGATGCAAAGGCAGATATAAATGCCGATGGGGGCTGGCAAAGGAGAACAGCTGTCCAAGCCGCGATCGAGAGACGCCATCAAGCTGCGGTAGCAATATTGTTATTATTGGGCGCCGATATCAACGCAAAGCCGGCTTTCCGCGACGGGATGACTGCATTGCAAGCGGCAGCATTTACTGGCGATATGGGACTTTTCCAAATGGCCCTACAATACGTCGCACACATCAATGCTCCAGCTGGATCCGAGAATGGAATCACTGCGTTTCAAGCTGTAATCAAGCACAAAAATCTCACTGCTCTCAAGAGCGCGCTCCAGGCAGGCGCGGACGTGAACGGGCGACCATCCAAGCAAAACGAGTTTCATGCTTACTCTGACGGCTACGTAGCATCAAATAAGACACCGCTCCAATATGCGGTGTATTTAGGATGGCTTGATGGTGTGCAATGCCTCCTAAATTGGGGATCAGATATTGACGCGCTCCCTCCTCACCCTAATTTTGATGCATACTCAGCACTGGGTTGTGCCATTGAAAATAATCATGAGGATCTAATCGGATTATTGCTTCGAAACGGTGCTGATCCAAATACTTCTGCCTTCAATCATGAATGTGCACCAAGGGCTTTTATTCTGGCCCTCTCTCAGGGCCGCTCAAATGAAAGAATCAAGCTTTTTCTGCAAAATAATGCTGATATCACTGGTTGTTGGGGCACTAAATTAGCACTCGAGGTTGCAGTTTTTGGCGATGCGGCCGATGTCGTTGAAACGATCATCAAATTGAGTTCACAGCTTCCTGGTGACCAATACCAATATTCGATCAAAGGCTTATTAGCTATCGTAATAGTGGCTTCTGGCTGGTCGCTCCATTATAACCTTGTGAAAATGCTGGTTCAAGCTGGTGCTGATACCAATGCGACTTGCTCTGAAACTGGGCAGACGTTACTTCAAAAGTCTATCGGTGCAAGTGACGTTGGTGTCATTAAACTTCTGCTTGAACACGGGGCTGAGGTGAACATATTGGCGACAGAGAGTACAGGGAAGCCTTTGCGGGTTGCAATACTAGAAGGTAATGTGGAAATAGCAGAAATTCTTCTTGAGCATGGCACCGATATCAATGCTCCTCCATCCAAGAAAAGGGGTGCTACAGCGCTTCAGGCAGCTGCAATAACAGGGTATTATAGCCTTGTCCTACGGTTATTAGAATACGGTGCTGATGTTGCTGCCGCGCCATCAGCCATCTTCGGCAGAACAGCAATAGATGGAGCTGCTGAACATTGTCGTTTAGAGATATTGCAGCTACTGTCAAATTTATATGGGGACCGGCCAGATTTGGCACTCGTTTGTAGCCATGCTGCTTCTGTCGCAGAACGAGAAGGTCATGTGAATAGCAATCTTACTTAGGAGCTACACAGCCTCCTAGTACCAGATGAGCTTTTGCCGATGGCTTTTTTTTCTTTTCCTTCTTTCGAGTCATCTTTCGCATACATCGTCTATTTTAATCATATAATTTGATATTTCCATCATAAATATCTCAGCGACCTTACGAACAGATAGAGATATGTCGTACCTGATCCAAAGCATAATTTCTAGGGCGCTGAGTTGATTTTGGTGGCACATTTTATGACAATCATGAAATCCAATCATTATAGTATTATAAACTGATCATGGGGATTATACCAGGACTTGGGCCTACTGATAGATCGATTTCGTCTACAATACACTATATCTTATCGCACGTCTCTTTTAGCATGCGACATGTATGAGGGAAGTCTTCGGACATGATCCTGTAATTTCACCACTGCAAACTGTCATCTCCTTGGTCTTGTTCCATCCTTGTTTGTGGAGATCATCTATCGATTATCAACCGAATTGTACGACACGTGGACTTTCGTAATAGCTCTTCGACAGACGAGTCTCTCTATAGAATCAATTGTTTCTGTTAGTTGCCCAAATTTTAGCTTTTGAAATCAGAATATAGCCATACAAGGACCATGAACACTAACTAGCTGGAATGCGATAGCCGACAAGACCATCTTCGAGAATGCGCTCGTTGTATCCAGTATATTCGCTTTCTGACATCCACAGAAGCGTGATAGACTGTCCTCGATCTGATCAGCTGGGTTAGATATAGCTAACTTGTCTTTCTTCAACTACTCTTATTCTGGTCAAATTTGAAACTTACCAGAAGGAGCAGACTCCCTGCGTTCTTGAAAATGAGTCCAGAGGAGCACAAGTGATGGCGGGCCGGTCACAAGTAAAGTAATGAGCGCGATAATTGCCTCTAGTGACCAACTCATTCTTCAAATCATTCAGACGCACGAAAAATATTCATTTTGGGATAAGAGAGAACTTCTATCCTCTTATAGTTGATCTCAAGAAAACATTTTGGTGTACATGGACATGAAATATCATATTTGCTATCGATTTTGTTGGTGAAGAAGCCTGTATGGACTTAGGAGGGTACAATTTGTGGTAAGGGTCAATCATATGGCGTAGAGACCAGCTTTTTGATCACTTATCATTTGATGGTTCCATTTCTGATTTCGGAGGATCCCAGCGAAAATCTGGTCTCCACCAATAAATAAGGGTCTAACTACCCACCTTCCTTGAATTGATCAACCTGCATCGGACTGCGCCTAGCACCTAAGTTGTACGGCGATTTCTGATCCCTCAAACTGTAAGGGCACGCAAGCACTGGTAACCCTCCCTGGTTCTAGTGATAATGATGTTCTTATAATTTAACTCCTTGAAGTTCTTATCATCTCCCTAACTTCCAAGGACAGCAAAGCTTGACCAAGTGGAAGTTAAACGGTTTTTCTTTTCCCTCTTTCATTATGTAGAGTTCTCCGTTGATACGGAGGTGATAGCGAAGTCGTTCCCCGGTTGGCAAAAAAAGATGTCATGGCCCGAACCGCGATTCGAACGCGGGGCCTCTCGCAAATGTGTAGGTACCCAAAGCGAGAATCATACCACTAGACCATCCGGGCAATTTTCGGTGTTATTTGTTTACTTTTAAGATTCAACACTTATAATATCAATCTAATCTTCGCCCTGCTTACTACTTTCATTTCCTTGCGCAGGTGGGCGCCCATTTCTATAACGGAACTGTTCGTGATAGCCTCTTGCCTACTAAGTCAGTGACGATTCTTCTAAATTCTGCTACGCACTAATATAATGAACGGAGCAGATAGATATATATATACTAGCTGGGGACTTTATTTCAATTCCTTTCTTTACTTTCAGATCTGGGTAAAATCGAATTCCTTACGACAAGTACCTACTACTCAAGTGGCTTTCTTCTAAGCCATCTGTTTCCTAATAGTCAACTCTATTATATTGGGCTTAATTTACTAGTATATATCTAGCTCATCGAAAGGTAGCACGACCTAAGATTCACGTACAGTATGCAATAGAAGAAGTAGGATACAATTACATACGCGACATGACAAAAGTTTCGAATGATTGGAGAACTCAGTGTAATAGATAAGCCCATAAGCATAGATAAAACAGATAGAAACAGTCGTTGCTGATACGTACTATATCATAGACTTTTGACAGATTTGTAGCGCAGAAATCAGAGTGCCGATAGGGGTTTGTGTTTAATATTCCAAATTAGGCTATGCCTTCCAAGGTAGAAGGGACCCGCGGCCACAAGGTTCATCCACGAAAGAAGGGCTTCGTAGTATATGTTTCATTATTGCCATGTTCATGGAGATCTGGGACCGCAATTTCTGCTGGATAAAGCCGGTCCAACTATGATCCCAGGCCTAGGCTTGACAAATTATTTCGGCACGGGTTCTAATAGATGACACCCCAAGCATCTCAGGGGCAAAAGAGCCCCCATTCCAAAAAAGCCCCTCATACCACATCCAAAGTCTATAACCACAGCAATTGTCACGCAGAGAAGACAGTTAGTTATGATCTGAATATGCTAGAAAGACGTCCACGAGTGTGCTCCCACATGCTTTTTGAGTGTGTTGTTATCAAATTCGTACGTCTTACCCGGCTCTAACTAGCTCTTTCCAAGTAAAGTAGTAGTATCGGTGTAAGATCAGGTACTTCTTGCTCATGATAAAAATCAGATTATGAGGATTCTATAGGAAGCCCTGAGCATTTTTCCGACGAAAGATTAAAGGTTCGATCCTTTTAAATGTGCTTAGTATCAACCACAGTTAGACCTCAAATACTTACCAGAATGCATCTCTGAAAGATTCATCGAAGGTAGTACTGCACTATGCTCAAGCTTATTGAAAAGCTACATATATACATATTCAAATCTGTGTCAGTTTTCAATAAACCTGCATCTTCTAGCGAAGCTAACTCAATAAAAACACTCTCCTTAGACAGTTCATGTAATGGGAGAAAGCTAATGAGAGACGTATTATAAGTCGAAACAAATGAAATATCTATTTTCAAATGGCCCAACTGCCTAATCCTATAGGGAATAGTCATTGATTATTTAATTTTTGTCACCCGGAAGATCTTCAGAGCAAAGTTCAAGATCAGCATCCCAATCATCGTTATCCGTATCATTGTCCTCATCGTCAGAACTTCCCAGCCCCCTGTGCCCTGTGCTGACTTTCTGGATACCTCTCCCACGAAGGGCCAACTGTTCCCTCCACTGATCGAATATCCTATCTACCGGTCGATGCTCACACCGCCAGTACTGCACCGCAAAAACGCGCCTGCCAGACATTTCGGCCTCTAAATTCGCTGCCGATGTCTCCCGACTTGAAAATGATATATTTGCTTCGTTATCAAGTGCTCCCAAATCGAGCTCTGAAGTTGCAATAGCAGGGATTGGTAAGGTTGTCTGGGTATCAGACTGATTTGAGCTCGAGACATTCGTTTTGATATGTGCATCGTTGACGAAAAGAACGGCCGTGATCATCCATATAGTATGCGCGTGAGTATCACGCATTAGTTTTTTAACACTGGTCGTCACGTCCTTGTCGTTCATGAGTGCGTCAAAGGACAATCGCGCATTCTTCATCCCTCTCTTTGTCACCTGGGTGCTGCGCAACACCACATCCCCCTTACTTTGGTGAGAGCCTCCTATCATGAGAGCCCTACGAACACCCGCGTTCGTTGAAGAATGAGAGACAGAAGTGATGCAGATTTCGGCATTTTCAAATTGAAGGTCTTCACCAATAAACTCTTCTGTGATAATTCTGGACGGGTTTTCTGGCTCGTAGCCCTGCACACCGGGGTTCCATCGGTCAAGAACAAATCGGCCAAGTAGTTTGTTGACTTCTGAGCCCGGTAGCTGGTTGAGGGGCTCGAGGTAGTAAAAGCTGGGCTTTGACATCTTGGAAATAACCAATCAATATGTGCAGTGAAACTGCAATAATGAAGATGAGGTTTCAAGGGAAGGTTGCCTGTCTAGTACTTTCAATGCGCGCCGGTTGTCGATGATGGAGTCGAAATATGACCTTGAATTAGGATAAACACATATATCCGAAAATCATAGCAATAAATGTAAGAGAAAAAGGTAACAAAGAATTATTTAGGAAAGATTTCAGTACTTAAAGATCTTTTTCAAAAAAACAAAAAGATGTTAAAGAGAAGAAACCAATTACGAGGATTCTACTTCTCGGGTAGAGAATCCAGCAACCCTAAAAACCTCGTAAACTCAGCCTTGGCTCATCTCCAGCTGACAGTAAGCCCCAGCCACGAGCATTTGTGGGATTGTTGACCGGCATAATTTACGATATAGAAGAGAGCAAATTACATACCTTTTCCAATTTCTACTTTTTGCCTACTCAAACTATTTACAAGAAAAAAAAGAAATGCACATTTCTTGCCGACAGACATCGATTTTATCCCCTTCGACTTGGAAGGTGGTCATAAGCAACGACGGCCAAGACAGAGTGATCAATTTACAAGATCCCTTCAACCCAGAATCGGAAGAACTGGTCCAGTGGTATCTTGAAGATTATGCCGCTTCTCCTTATAACAATTACCGTGCCAGTGCAGCGGTTTCGGAACTCCAAAAATATAAAGAATCGCTGTGGCAACAGCTTCTAATCAACACGGCGGAGTCTTCAACAGCTCTGAACAGTTCTAGTGTCATTCATTTGAGCATAATTTTGTCCAAGGCTCAAGATGGCATAGATAAACTTCACTGGGAGCTACTCGAGAGTCTGGAAACCATTCCCTGTCCTATCATTATTCACCGGGTCTTACGAAACCACACTTCGCCGGCAATCTTTCCACCCCCTCTAAGTGTTAAACTTGATCATACTCTTCGAATTTTGGTCGTTTCCGCAAGATCAAAAACAAAGTCAGATATAAACCCGCGGCTAACGAGTTTGCCTCTTGTACAGACCTTGGGGGGCGATCCTCGAGTCGAACTGGAATTTGTGCACACAGGGACTTTCGAAGAGTTTGAAAAGGTTCTAAGCCAGAGATCAGTATCCGAAAAGCCATATTTGGTACATTTTGATCTTCATGGAAGTATCGACCGAGAAAAGGGGTAAGAGTATCGTTACTCAGGTGTCTCACCCAGCCTTGAAAAAACCTCGTCTTGCTGATTCTTTGGACTTTGGATCTCGACAGACCGGTTCTGGAGTTCTCCGATCAGCACCTGAAACACCGCAAAGGTCATACTGCGTCTTCTGTCGCTGAAATCTTAAGAAGAAACGGTGTGCAATGGGCCGTTCTATGCGCCTGTCGTACTGCGAAAGTCACTTCCACCTTCAGTCACCTTGCGCTCGAATTTTTGAATCATGGAGTCACTGGCGTTTTTGCAATGAGATACGAACTGAAAGCTGCAGCTGCAAAGATTCTCACATCCTCCTTTTACTTGGCCCTTTGCCGAGATGGAAAGTCATTTATCGAAGCTGGAAATGCTTCTCGCCGTGCCATGAAAGATAACGCGTCTCGTCCCGCTCGCTTTGGAGAAAGGATCGAGATACAAGACTTTCTGGTTCCAGCTATCTATTCAAGAGATGGAGCAGATTTCTGCTTGGCAGATCATCGTCCAGCAGATAGTATCTCCGCTGTCTCGCTTCGAATACCCCTGGGCCTGCCCGAGCTTATTGGGAGGGAAGATGACATTCGCCAGTTGAGTGCCCTTTTAAAAGGGGAGAGCTCGTTTGTTATCTTGTCAGCTGATATTGGAAACGGTAAATCCCTGTTGATGAGACACCTGGCTTGGTGGTGGAAGGAGACACATTTGTTCGCCAGAACCACTTACGTGAATGTGTCAATGGCAGAATCTGGTCATGATATCAGCAACTCTGTGGGACTTCTAGCCGTTGCGAAAGGCATATGGCGGTCAGTTAGAGGAGACGGTGTTGCTTGCCCAGAGTATTCGGATCCAAAGAGATATCTCTTTGAAGCTATGGAAGCAGCAAAAGGTCATGAATTAGTTGTTCTGCTAGATGGAATTGACGAAACCTATCTTCCTTCATCCGAAAGTGAGGATACATCTGCAGATTGGGCTGATTTCTTTCGAGTCGCCAGAATTTTATCAATCACCGGTTTTAGGTTGTTGGTGGCAACCTGCACACCCTTGCTGCTTGTCCTTAGCGAGGCTGAAGATGTTTTGTTTGAACTCGGCGTCTCTATGACCAACGAAGAAGCTTGGCAGCTTGCCTGTTCTGGCTCAGACGATGGGACATTACCGCCTCCAGGCTTGTCAAAGGAGTCACCAGACACGCACCTTCATTCCACGCTTGAAGTCTTACAATACAATCGCGTCGTTCTTAAGAGCCAATCAAATTTACTACAAGGGAGATTTCATGGACTGGACACTGTTCTATCGTGGGATATTCCATTTGAGGAAGATAGTACAGATGTATCATTTCTTGAAGCTCTCGTTAGCAAGACTACTGCGATTTTGTCTCTTGACCTAAGTGACAATAAAGGTCTCGACCGTACACACCATGTGATGATTGCAATTTTGAAACATCTAGCCCAATTGAACCGATATCCTGACATGTGTGCTTTGATATCAATTGGTTTGTGGGTCGATGTACTACCAAATCCAGAAGGGATTGTGAATATTTTTGACACAGAAGATATTTCATTGAAAATTCCACTTCTTCAACACATTTTGAATAATATTCCGGAGTCCCAGGCAGACAAGGCGCATGTTCCATTTGAGCTGTGGTCCAGCATGAGGGTGACTCCTGCTACTGAGAAGAAAACATCTTTTTCCTCAAAAGAAGAAGTTGCAGAATCTTTTAGATATGCGGTACGACTTCTTGTGGCAGCCAAACTGATCACGGGGCGATCAGAAATTTTGATAGATGGAAGACAGGGATATCGACTTCATCCGGCTCTTACCATCTGGCTCCGTCGAATCTTAAGCGTGTTACAACGCAATGTCATTTGCTTCAACTTCATTGGATGCATGGAAGAGCGAGCTTCCCAAATGGGTGGCCTTAACCCCAATTCCAATGACTTCAGGTCGGGCAACGCAAAACTATTACGGGCCGTTGAATCTCCTTCCTTTGATTTTGTCGAAAGAGAAAAATGGAACCTGATGGCAGCCATTGTCGGCTTGACCCAAAAGGTTCATTATTTCTCGGGCATAGGGGTGGAGCTTCCATCAGACGGTCCCAGATTTGCATGGGCATCGTTCATTGCTCTGTCCCCTATAAGTGCCTCCAGAGAAGACTTTTGTGCCTGGTTCCTAACACACGTTACACTCAAATCTCTCAAAGATATAGCACCACTCATGCCCGAATCTTACAGGGAACCCCTCCCTAACACACTCACCCACTTTCTATTTCTGGTGCTTTTGAACTGGATCATCTGGATGTCGCAAAGATATCGGCTAGATCAAGATCTAGTCATGCCTCTGAGGCTTCGTAGGCTGGTTTTGGACCGGGTACAAGACATACGAGACGCTGGAATAAACTGCAAGGAGCTGCTTGAACCAGATTTTGCCATGGCAGAGGCCCAGGCATGGCTTACTGAGTCATGGATTGCTATGAGGCCGGGCGAGGTGGAAGATAAGCAGCCGGCCTTGAACCAATACCGGGAGAAGATCATTTTTTCGACAAAGGATCTCGAACGAGGCTGGGACCCACGAATGGATGTCATCGATCATTTGATGAATGAACAGTCCCTGTCCAAATTTAATTCCCCGCAGGATCCAAGGTTACCCCGAAATGAAACTACGGGCTTCGCTACTCCCCTTCCAGATCGGGCTGCAATGGCATCGTTTGCCATGGATAGGTTCCGTCAATCAGTCATAGCCCCCGGCCAAAATTGTGATGATCCAACTATCAATGGTTGGATCATGGACATACTCTCATTCATGGAAACGGACATTGACTTCATGTTGAGCTTGCGGCCTTGGTACATGCACAAACTCATTCCCATTTTCACTCACCTTCGCAAGGGTAATATACCACGAGCTATCACCGCCGCCCTTAGTGGTCTTAATGTAGCTGAGCGTGATGGCGACATACTATTGGCATCAAACTTCCGTCAACTCGGCCGTCGGTTAGCCGACCTAGACACCATTGATGAATACGATGTGCAACAAACTCGGCTCGCACGCACTGCTGAACAGTCCGCGCCACTTCTTCGAGATTTCTTGGTGATCTACATGGCTAATCACGACACGCCTGGTGCCTATCAGCATATCGAAAATGAGCGTATCAAGCTAAAAGCTATGGTACTCGAATTTTCAACATTCCGTACGATCATGAAAAGCATTTCCAGTATGATTACCGCTCCAGATCAAAAGTCGATATGGGAAAATATGCCGGAGAGTAACGCATTTGCGCAAACTGGCCTTGAGGGACTGGATCAACTTCTTGGGCTCTTGGAGCCGTATAAGAATGCGAAGTTGGAGGATAAGACAGAATGGGTTCATCTGATACGACAAATTTGGGATCTAATGGATGAACTTACTGATCAAAACACGCCAGAGGATCGAGCTTGGATTCATGATCTCTACAAAACATACCCTGAACCGAAAAAGGCGAGAGCCTTCTGGAGTAATCAGGGAGTCTCTAAAGATGATGCTCCTGGTGATGAGCATCTGCATATGGAGTAATTGTTCCTATTTTCTGCATCCTGTTATCTATATCTCTTTCCAATTCACTAACGCTGAAAACGCAATTTATGGCATCTCTTGAGCTAGTCATGGGGTCCAGCACACAACCTGACAGTCCAACGTTGAAGATTTATATCCTAGGCTGACGTAATAGGCAATATGTTTTATATCAAATGACATGTACTTTCGAGATCTGTCAAGCTAAGCTATTGCATCACACAGCATATAACTACTGAAGGAAATGTAAGAAAAGTCGTCGATCCCCTAGCGACATGTCTTTGTACATCCCCTCGATCGGAATTTGTGGTATAAGTATCTCGTCTAGGTTGACGCCTATCGTTTTGTATACTACTGATATTGAAGAAGGTGGTGCTCATGTCTCTATATAACTTTAACTTGATTAATCATCATCACGCACTGATGGTTGAGTGGTACAATACCTCTCTTCCAAAGAGGTGGCCGGGGTTCGATTCCCCGTCAGTGCATTTTTTTTTATTCTACCTTAGTGTCTAATTTTTTGTAGAAATACATATACTTCTAGGATTTGAAACTTAATAACAGTCCTTTTTCCAGGGACTGAGATAAAGGACATGACATAAGGATATAAATAACTAAATAAACTATAGGGACGACGTCAAAAAAACACATATATAAAAAGCAAACAAAAAATGCACTGACGGGGAATCGAACCCCGGCCACCTCTTTGGAAGAGAGGTATTGTACCACTCAACCATCAGTGCGTGATGATGATTAATCAATTTATAGCTACTTATCAATGCGGTGATCACCGTTTCCAATCAGACTCACGCGGCTTAGTTGGGAGATCTTTGGTTTGATATTCATTATCATTGGGGTCTCAGGAACAAATCAATTCTGGCCGCTTCTGGGGAACCTGTCATACCAGCTTTTGCGGATGCGTTAATGGCTTTTGCCCCCGAGAACACTCTGCTGCGAAAGCATTGCAAGTATATATTTTTGTTTCTGTTCGCGTCAATATTGACAAAATGTGGCAAAAGTGGAAAAATATTAATGTGTTGGACAGGTGAACCTCAAAAGAGAGCGCTCGGGGAACAGTTTGCAGAGGTATGGGGCGATACAGTTGGTCGCTCTGGCCGCACTATTGGTGCACCAATAGTGCCCCAGCCCTTGCTGTTGGCTATCCTCATGGATTAAAGATCTCATGGGAGTATACCTCGTTATTCAGTCTTCTTGACTATCCTTTTGTCATCTTGCCAATTCCAAAACCCAAGGTATATCCTGAGCTAGACTGTGTGGATGAAACTATCAACATTTTGAAACGAACCCATACGACAAACCCAATTATGAATTATGAAAGTCTCTTTAGCCGGTTCAGTCTCTTCTACCTTCACTAATTCTGGTTTTTTTTGTCAATAATAGATGATACGAATTTTTTTGCAACCAATCGTTAGCCATCCAGATCGTTGGGTGCCCTTTCGAGGACGAAGAAACTAGTCAATTATCTTCGACACTAGATACATTGCTCAAGGCTCTTTAACTTAGATGAAATTGGTAATGACAGATAGTTCCACATCTTTCAGTTCAAACTTATCTTAAAGCCTTTTAAAAAAGGCAAATATATACATTTCACCCAAATCATTCTGTCACGATGTACCGATGTACACCCAGAAGGAATCCATAGATGGCCTCAGCCCCAAACTAGAATCCATCAACTTCAGGGATGTGTTTCGATGAGCCCACAGGTAACCCCTCACTCCCTTTATCGGATCCAGGGCCCACCTCTTCGGACGTGACGGATCGGGAAGTTATGATCGACAAACGTCTTGAGCTCACTAGCCAGATCCAGAATTACGTTCATGCGAGAGAAATCTCGCTCTACTCGACAAGACCAACATCAAATTCTGTATTTTCATGTTTATTCTGGGAATTTTTCAGGAACAAGTGATGAAGATCAACTCCAGGCTATCGTGGACCGAGAAGGAGAAGTTGAACGACATGAAGCTTGCGATCACGACTAAGCTGACTAAGCAAGGGCGCCGGCCCTGGAGTGGACCCGTGGACGGCTCCAGCCTTAAACGGTGGACCCACCCACTCTTCACTATGACAGCCAGCAAGCAGGTCTGTGTGTTCTTCGTATCTAGCCTCGGATGATTTGCTGCAAAGCCTTATCTTCTGTACCCCATGTTTGTATGGCTGATTTATGGGACCTGATCGAGGATGCTCGTAGCACTGCCCAGAAGACGCTGATTCATATCCTTCGCCAGGCCAACTCCACTGACTTGGGTGGCAAAGACGTGTGATATTCTGAATTATTTTCCAGGCGTTGGTAAGTTCACTATTTCCAAGCTCCTCGCCGAAAAGCTTCCGACCAAATACCTGATACTCCTGGACAACCACCCCCCAATCGACCCTGTGAATGCCATCATCTCAGGGCGCACGAAAAGTCACAAGAACCTTCGTAGTCGATCCCGACAAGTCGCCTTTTGATTCTTTGAAGGATGATCCCAACTCCAAGCCCACACTCATCCTGAACGGCTGCACTGCAGACAACGCCGATGACGCTGCCGTATTTGCTGAACACTTGGAGATTGCGCAAGCCGGAAATGTGCCTTTCATCTCGATCAACATTTTCTGCGACACCGAGGATCACCAGCGCCGATTCGGAGATCCTACTCGATATGAAGAATTAAAATCAAAACTACGAGACAGACAAATTCTACAGCTGCTGCTGTCAAACCACGAGCTGTTGGATCCGACAAAATGTTCTCCGGACTGACTGCAGGATACCAAAGCTGCTACACGTCATGTTGGACTGGAAACTACCGGTTGACATATGTAGATCGTAGTACCTAGATAGACTGACTATTCTTGAGTCCACAAAATATAAACAAGGCTAGGTTATCATCAATACGGTAGCTATTAATATTACGGTCTGTTGATTCCAAATGTTTTCACAGATACATATGTACAAATGTAGCCATACTAGCGGTCAATAATTCATCTAAAACTCTCGGTCTAGTTGTTTATTACTTTGAGTCTAAAAAAAAAGATCTAGACCCACAGTCTCTTTCAATTTTGTACTTCATACTCCGTACTCCTCTGCACTCTGTAATTAGTATGTTGTATTGAATTTCAAAAGAGTGGGCTTTATACTTGATTGGACAGGTGGAAGCGGCTCGTTCTGGTTCACCTAATCGGGTAAGCGTCTTTTGTCAACTAGTATAAGAGATTTAAATATTTTGTTCTCATCATGTTCTCTTGTTCTTTATTTACTGAAAAACTTGAATCAAACCACCAAAATGACAATCAAAACAAAAAGTCTCGATGTTGTTATCACTGATAGAGGCGGGATTGTTGAAAATCGACATTTGGTGCACGCAGCGGTTGTCGATTCGACCGGAAGACTTCTGTTCTCTGTCGGTGATCCAACACGCATGACTTTATCCCGATCTGCCGCAAAGCCTATTCAAGCCCTGGCAATTCTGGAAACTGGCGGATGCGATCAATTCAATTTCGACGAAGCCGACCTAGCATTGATGTGCGCCTCGCACAACAGCGAGGAGAGACATGTCTCTCGCGCTCGTGAAATGCTCACTAAAGTGAATGCCAACGAAGCTAATCTTCGTTGTGGTGGTCATACTGCTCTTTCCGACATCGTCAATCGTGCTTGGATCAAAAGTGATTATGTCCCCACTGCTGCATGCAGTAATTGCTCGGGAAAGCACGTCGGTATGCTGGCTGGAGCGAAGGCACTCGGTGCCACAACAGAAGATTATCATATGCCGAATCATCCTATTCAAAAGCAGGTTCGACATGTTTTTGAAGAACTCTGTTATCCAGATGAAAAGGATGTACCTTGGGGGCTTGATGGCTGTAACCTCCCGGCACCGGCGACCTCTCTTCGCCTGCTCGGCAAACTATATGCTATGATTTCCGCTTCGCCAGATAATGTGGATAAGAGATTTCCTAATCAGAATATGACCGATCAGCTTCGCACACGATCGCTGAGCCGGATCTTCCATGCCATGGCGCGATATCCCGAGCTTGTTGCCGGCGAGGGTCGTTTCTGTACAGAGCTCATGCGCGCATTCCAAGGGAATTTGATCGGGAAACTTGGTGCAGATGGCTGCTATGGAATCGGAATTCGGGAGTCGGAGCAGACACGAAAGCTAGGGGCTGATGGTGGGCTTGGAATTTCAGTCAAAATTGAAGATGGAAATATCAATATCCTATATGCAGCAGTGACAGAGATCTTGGAGCAATTACAGATCGGGACACCAAAAGTGCGCCAGGCCCTCGAACATTTCCACCACCCGAAGATTTGCAACACTGTTGGTGTTGTCACAGGTTGTGTGTCTCATTCGATTGCTGTGTGTCCTGCATTATGAATGAACTGTTTCATAGCTGCATACATTTGGATATTGATAAAGCCCTTTGTATTCTGATTTATCGACTTACATATGAATATATCTGGCTTGTATCTATAAAGATGGTACAATATATATCTCCATGTGACTTTATATACAATACTCTAGAAGATACCATATATATTATACAAGAAAATTGTCCGGTTTCCAGCAGCTTTTAGTCTCGGAATTTTTTATCAAAATTAAATAACAAATTTCTCAATCCAATTTGGATTTTATTGCATGACTTCATATTTATTATAAATGACTACATACTTACCACATACATGTATGGGCCTGTACGTCTGGTACATATGAGATTACAATTTGTCTTCATAATTTAAATCAATCAAACTATCAGTACATACGACCATAGGGTGTGGAAAACAGGGCTTCCCGTCCGCTCAGCCGTACTTAAGCCACACGCCGGTGAGTTAGTAGTTGGGTGGGTGACCACCAGCGAATCCTCACTGTTGTATGTTTTTGTTCACCTATTTTTTTGATTTTCCAGGAAAGGTCCCTTGCCTTCCCTCCTCTTCAGCCCCTTCAGTCCGTTCCACTGGTAGCCCTAAACACCACTACTCTGTACCTGAATATTCTACACACCCCTGAACCGCTGACGTGTTCTTCCCCTCCTATACTAATCTTTTCTTATAGGTATGTTGTTCTGATCACTTGATCACGGGGTGGGAGAGACCGAATGCCGGAGCTGAGCAGAGATCATACTTATCTTCGATAAAAAAAAGGTCAGAATAAATTAAGAGGCTTTATGGCCAGACGCTAAATTGCCGAAAATCAAGCGTTGGATGTATCAACAGTCGTGAAACACCGACACCCCGTCACCAAGCTCAACGAAACTTCACCGGCGGCTGCATGGGCCTCATCTAAAACCAGCGCTGGACTTGGAAGAGAACGCGATAGCGGAACTGACCAAATGTCGTTTTTACCCATGAACGCTCAACAACGCTAAGACTTCATCGAGGCCCATTAACATAGTACCATCACTTTGAAACCGTGGTTGATAATATCATTTATTGTTGCAGCGTAAAAAAGCGTCGACTTCGTGGTTTCTCAGATAATAAATAAAAACTTACCTATCTATTTGTTGGGCTTGCTTGGATAATGGCTAGATACGTGTGATGAACCCATGCATGATTTTCCATCTACAGTAGGCAACAGTGCCCTGATCCCAGAGCCGCCCAGATATGCTTTCTAGGTATAAGGCTGGTAAGGCAGATAGAATACAATCAAATCCGGGTGAACTTACCAACCAAATTCGGTACGTGACACGTTGCGTCGTGAGACAATCACCACGAAGAACAGCACGTAGATCGGAAAGCCGAAGAACTCGTAAATGTAAGTTGCCGATTTTCATAAGTCTTCTGGAATGTGCGAGGGAAATCTGATTTTGACTTGTGCCGCACTGCAAAATGCGAGAAGTATGACGAGGGAAAAAAGCCGGACAATCTGAAGGGGCGTTGCTGATATTCATTGCGGTCTAAGACATGGTTTGGGTGGTCGACTTTGGATAAGAAAATATCGCCTTCGAAGAAGACCAGAGACCAACCATGGATCGCGAATGCTAAGAGATACTAGGCGTACCTAGCAGAAAATCAGTGGTCACCGGTTAGTTATTGCCTCCCTGTGTATCCTGTGCGCTATTATCGACTAGCCTAGGCTTTTATGACGAGAATGCTCGTCACTTTGTTCCCAGACCAGTATAATAGCCTTCGGGCGCAGCCTAAATGGATCTTTGGTGCATGCGTCTCACAATCACCGAAGGACCATTTTTCTGAATTGGGCTCACAGGGGCAAATTCCCATGGAGCTGGCCAATGACCTATATGCCTCCCCTGTAAGCTTAACTAGCATCGTGGAAATACACCACAATATTGTGATCGAGGGATTGACTGCCCAGAAGGGCTGGGGGAAGTGGATATGGTGATCCCGACATTTTGGGCCAAGGAGTCCCGGAAGCTTTTTCCGTCCCTCTCCCATTCCCTACAACATTCGTCCTAATTTTCACTCTGTAACAAGGATAAGCAATGTTCGCCCATTTCCAGATTGGACCCATCAGCCTCGTTGACCAGGCCAGAATCAAAAGAAGTTAAGCCATGGTTTTCGCCCAACCGCTCATAAGCTGCCCCATTGCCACTTTGGAAACCTCAAGCCCCCAAAGTACGTCCTTGAAAGAGAAAGGACTTAGTATTCCCTTGGCGGGTCCACGACTGACCGCACGATTCATCTTGCCATGAGTCAACCGACGTGGCAAATATAAGGAATCATGGCAGAGAATTGGCGAAACCGACTGGAAAGGTTGAGAGGATGATCAGGGGATGATCACAAATGGACACAGGATGCTAGGAAGCATCATGTGGTAACAGTGAGTTATAGTGACCAACGTCTCCCCAAAATGCTGATGCCGATGCTCCTTTTTCATGCTCAGTGCTCACCCCCTCCTCAATAACCTATTACGAGGCACACCCCACGGGCGCATACACGGTGCCGGAATTTTGAAAACACCTGAAGCCGGAAAAGGGAATTAACTGCGAAGTGTATCATCCCCATAGGTATGTTCTCGCATCGAGCATGTCGAGCATGACAATTACTTGTTTTAGCTGATCAGCTTTAGAGCTCAACTTCCGATGCTTTGGCGTGGGGCTGAAATTGTGAAAACTAACCATCAGTATGGCCATCTCAATAGTTCCCATCGAATCCCTTGTCAATCCACACCTCGGACCATCCTCTGCATTGGACACACCGGCTAGATGATGACTTTCTTGACGTTCAATGAGAAAATTTCGATCTCCTTCGCCAGGAGGTAATGTCATACCGAAATGGTTTTGGCTCGTGAAGCCGCAGTCATTTTGAGTACATCAAATTCTGGCCCCAGTCACATAGCCTTGTTTCCTGGGGGTGTGCACTGCAACTTTTGATCATCACGACAACAAACAACCTGTCCCTGAAGTCCAGATTCGGGTGACGAGGATCACGAAGTCTACCTGACTTTGAACAACCACCGAGAATCTGTCAGATAGCCGAAACAGCACAAATGCTACGGGTGTGTTTGCTTGCCCGAAGAGGTAATTGGTCTCGCACCAATACATGTCACAGGGATGACGACTGTTCAGGGACATAATCGAAAGGGATACGTTCTACCAAGAATGTTTCTCCAGTACCAATATTGGCACCCACCTGGACGACTCAAGAACCTCGAGCGAGGTGGTGTTCATGTCGATGGAAACTGTTGGTGATCAATCAAACCATCATTTCGTCCACAAGGAGAGCACAGTGAGCTAGGAGCTTCACACACATCGAACACCGAGGGTTCGATTCATCCGCCTGGATGCTCGTCAACGTGACAATGAATGTGCAAGCAAGAACCAATTGCCCAGGTCCTCGGCACTGTTTCCAATCAAATGATCATGGCTACCTCAGATCCAGCGAATGAAGTACTGAGAGTGGTAAACGCCTGAGCGGTTTGCTTTTGCGCGAAGGCCGTCCACTCTTGGGCCTTACGTGGCCGCTCCCGGTTCAAGTGGCTAGAGACTTCTATACCCGTCAATCAGAACGGTGACCGTTCCGGCCCAACGGGTGACCAGCGGCCATCCGGCAGTATTCCCTCGTCTTTAACATCCACACACACTTATATGATCGATTTTGACAGTATTCAGAGACTTCTGGCATCCTTTATTGTGGTGTGCTGCATTTGCCCTATTGGGGCTCCGGGTCTGGCTGTTTTGCGAAGATGACAGCCATCCTCAGTCGACAACCGCACGCGAGATGTGACAGTGATGAGAAGTGTTCATGTATACGTATGCATGAGTTCGGTCGTTATCGCGTTGTATGTGTCTTCGACTTGATGAACACCGTGCGAATCACAGGCCTCGAAGCCGAGTACTTCATCAAGCAAAAGTCTCGAAATGATATACCCAGAAGAACTCTATTTCATGCAGGCCCAGAGACAGAAAATTGATCAGATCACGTTATCTGGGTGTGTTTAGGGTCGTCGTGTGTGCCGCAGGTAAGGACTTCGAGAGCGTTGCTAGAAGGGCCGAGAGGGTTAGCCTGCTGTCTCACACATCCCAGCTTCAGTGGCGTTCGAAGTTTGATGACGGATATAGACCAACTCACTGAAATTTGGAGGCGATGCGCTGAATGGTGGCTGTGACCCCGGTGTTTTGTCCTTGCTAAAACTTTCGAATAGCACATCAAAAATTCCGATCTCTATCAAACATCATCTGGGTAGGCATCACCTGTGATTTTATCAATATCATAATACCGTTTCTTTGGAGCAAAAGTCTAATCTCGTCTTCTCTTCTCAAAAATGACGATGATCGGCCTAGACTTACAGAAAGACAGACGGGCATCATCTGCAAACTAAGCAAATTCGCCACTCTAGCACCAAGTTTCCCTGTTTCTTACAGTACAGGGCTCGTGAAGCTAGGTCTGTTATGTGGAATGGTGGCTGTTTCTTCGTCAAGGGTGGACATATGTGAAGCGATCGGGGCAAAGGATGCGATATCACGTGAAGACCATTGAGCATTGCGCTATATCCGCCAGCGTCAGCGATCATACAAAAACTACCGAACAACCTGCAACATGCTTTGATCAATTTGAAGAGCCTTCATGCTATGAGAAGGGGGTGTGAACGACAAATTTACCGGTACATGTTCCGGTTTTTATTAACGATATACAAGATATGATACGCCTAGGTTGGGGAACTACTATGACGGCCATGCTTGAGCTCTTGCGCCACAGCCTGAAAGAAGCCATCTAGTGCAAGGACGCCAATTCGAATGCAAGCAAGCCATATATGACTGCTAACGTTGCTGCACTAACAGGAGGGTGACTCCGGGATGTTCAACGTCACAATGACTCTGCAAAACACCATAGGCTCCCTGTTACAGTCGACAACCAGGCACTTCAGCCGAGATAGTCAATATCACTTGACTGCAAAATGCAAAACCAAACTCAATATCTTTGCTGAGATGGATACGAACTGTCGGAAAGTGGAGTGGCAAACAGCGCGGCTTTCGCATCCAACATATCACAATCCGCTATTCTGAACTAACAACCCATAATGCCTAAAATTCTTGTAATGTAGGGGGTTTATTTTTCTTTCTCTGTATTGGTAATTTAATTATGGCGTGAATGGATTGTTGTCGGCAATGTTTCGGATTTGTTGGCCTATATTCTTTGTGTATCTTTATCCTCCAGGCCTCGCACGATGAATCCCGAATACCCATCAGACCATCCGGAACCCGAATTTACCCTCTTCGGCAACGACTGGATTGTCCCCTGTTATACATTTCCCCCTGCCTTCGACCTCGCCGCCAATGCCCTCCCTAACCGTGACGACTTGGCCACCGGTGACCAGCCGAATGCAAAGCTCCCGATTCCTCGAATTGCGCACTCTGGTAACTGGAGTAGCAATGGTCGAGTCAGTCAGGCCTGCGGGAACTGCCGTGAGCAAAAAGCTAAATGTAGCGGACACCGCCCCGCCTGCGATCGTTGCAAGGATGCTAGCGTCCGGTGTGCGTATGGCGATCGGAAGGGGGAGAAGATGCTTAAGTCAGTGGCTTCTGATAGAGCAGCCGCTCACCTCTCATCTACCTCTAACAACTCTCCAGGCAGCTCAGCAATCTAACCACACAGGTGGAAACCTACAAAGCCCTCTTGCAAGACCTCTATCCCAAATTAAACACGCCTTCTGCCCGCCATGTTGACCAGACCCTTAATGAGGTGGGTTCCATTCTTCTCGCTCCCCTATTATTGCTTCCTTCTTACGATGCTACCGTGTTCAGCTTTCAGATTCTTCTATCCCCCACGCCCACCGCAAGAACACTGTTTTCACCCTCGGGGCCATCGACTACACCGAAGAAGACTTTAACAGCAGTGAGAAAATCCAGGCTATGGGATTTGTGGGGGAGCACTCAGAGATGGGATGGCTATACAGACTCAAACGGGAGCTGGACCAAGACAGCTCGACGCTGGCCAGCAACAGTTTCGATCGCCCTTCCATCTCATCCGTAAACTACTTCCAAGACGAGTTAGAAATATCCGTGCTCGACGACGTGGATCTTTCAGCACGCCCTCCTCAACACGTCGCTGACCAGCTTGTCGACGGCTATTTCCATACGGTGCATCCTGCTTTCCCGATCGTTGGCATGACGACGTTCCTCGGACAGTACAACTCCTTCTATACGAATCCCAACGTGCGACCTGGAAAACGATGGCTGGCGGTGTTGAATTTGATATTTGCTATTACAGCGAGACATTGGCTGCTGATGGACTTCCCACTCCACCCGGACGCGGATAGCTATTTGCTATATTTTTCGCGGGCATGGCGACTCGGCATCGACAATGTGGCGTTGCTTTCACACCCAAACCTACAACAGGTTCAAGTTGAGGGGTTAGCCGCCTTCTATCTGCTGTCTGTTGGTCAAGTTAACAGGTATGGTTTTCTACACGTAATCTTGCGAGATTTGATGTCTGACCAGTGTTTATTCTAGATCATGGAGAATTCTGGGATTCGCGATCCGATCGGCCGTGGCTATGGGGCTCAACCTTCGAAGCGAGAGTGATTCTGTTGGGCACCTTTCGAAAGAGACAAGATATCGAGTGTGGTGGGCGCTGTTTATGTTGGATACCGTGTTATGCGTGATGACTGGTCGACCGCCCAGCACCGGTGAAACCTTCTGCTCTACGCCTCTACCGTTGCCGTATACGGAGGAGGACTTCACAGATGAGCGGATCATACAGCTTATCTCTGATCAAGAAGCCCGGAACGTTTTCATGTCTTCACTGCTCTCTACTGACCCCGCGATCGCGGCCAGAGAGACCTTCGCGAGTCGACTCCGTTCTGCGCAGTCGGAGAGCAAAGGAAAGCAAGTCGAGCAGAATTCCCAGGCCATTACCCCTAATACTTCGCTATTCTTTCTATGCGCCGTGGACTTGGCGTTTCTCACCCACCAGGCCGTGGAAATTTTGTACGCGCCTCGGGCGACGCGACAATCATGGTTAGAAATTGAAATCCAGATTTCTACCCTCAACAGAAACGCCGACAGATGGCTCTCTCGTCTTCCAACAGAATTCTACTTCAATGAACTCGATGCATCGCAGCCTTTCGCTCGGGAGCGAGCCAGCCTAGCCTTTCGCTTCTACGCCACCAAATTAATCATTTCACAGCCCTGTCTTCGCCGCCTCTCTACCCTATCTGGTTCTACTTCACCCGGGGCTGTGTGTGTAACCATGGCTGCTATGTGTGTCCAAGTTGCGGGACAGGTTCTCGATCTTCTCCCAGATGAGGTAGATACGGTGTGGTTATACAAGGTCACCCCGTGGTGGTGTGTTCTTCACCATATCATGCAATCCAGCACGATCCTTCTAATTGCACTGTTCAGCCGAGTCCATCCCGTCATAGCTGACGCAACCGTTGTTGTAAAGAAGATCAAGAAGGCTACTCGATGGCTGAGCGAGATGTCCACCAAAGATCTCTCTTCGCAGAGAGCTTGGCTTGTCTACATGGATATCCTCTCGCGGCATGATTCTGAACTTGGATTCGAAGTTGACCCTAAGTTCAAGGTATGAACTTCGTCTTAGGCTTGACCGCAACGAGACCTGTCAATTTGGCTCGCGAATTGGGCACTATCACTTGAAAACTTAAGGCCAATTCTGAATCCTGGGTGGATTTTGTTCCTTTCTCCCTTTTTTTTTTGTCGAAAAGTCTCTTATTGCTTCAGCGTTCTAGTCACTTTCCGTGAAAGCTTTTGCTTATCTTCGTGTGCGTGTTGGCCTAGGTCCTTAAAAAGACGTTCTGGGTCTCTCAATGCCGCTAGACGACAACCTGCAAGTTCGAAAGGAACTCACATTCGCTCTTTTCTGGCTTGCTTTGCCCACATTTTCCCGGTTTCGCCTTATCCACTTGCTCTTCCACACTTTTTGGGGAAGAGTCTGAGAAACATTTGCATATCTCCAAGGTCACCAAAAAAAATGGAGAAAACCTCATCACCCCAGGAACTAACATACAAGCTTTCATTTCCCCGACGATGGTTTATGAAGCATCTTGAGTCATATCTAACCTAGTTATACTAGTGAGAAGAACCCGCATCCCTTGTCATTCTGGAATTACCTATCAGGTATTCATGTGACGATCAGGGCAATTACATAACATCCGCCTACTATATAAGAGCCGGTTATAGCAAATGTTGGACCACGGGCAATCTAGATTTTTTTTTGTTAAAGGAGATACAGACAGTCCTTCCAGCTACCATTTGGTTCAATAACCGATGCCAACTATCCAAGGCAAGGGAATAGATTATAAATATATTTCCTTCGAAGTCAATCACCGCTTTTCAACACTGATGCACCCGAAAATCCTTCCACTAACCATCCAATATACCACAAGGAGTATTGCTACCTTGATACATCATCTATCAGGGTTTGCTAGTCGGTCCCATATTTTGAGCCCGTCCGGAATCAGAATTCTATGGAAATAGCTTCTATTCAATTCGCACAGGGTCCCACAAAGACCCAAGCTCTGCATTTATTGAGCATCGTCCAGGTCAGGGTTTCTGAGCTGCGCACTCTGGATCTCCCCAATGATATCGTGAATATCCTGATTCGAGGCCCCAGAGCGGATAAGATCCACCAAACGAGCGACTGTTCCCGTCTCCGGATGGCTGATGACAGAGAACAAATCTTTCGCAAAAGCCCGGTAGAACTCCAACTCTTGCTGTTGGCTGAGTCGATACTGGTGCTCATGGAGGGGTTGGGTCGATGCTCTATCTTGTTGTTTGTTGCTTGGGCTGTTAGGTCATCAGAATGTCAATTTCAGTTTCAGTTCCGCGTCCATCAGAAGTTTTCTAGGAAGGGTGGCAAGGGCTTGAGCTGGGAGGAAGACAAGAAGAGAGAAGAAGGGATGGAGCAGCGATTCATTTACCTTCCTTTGCCCTCTATGTATGACGATGCGGCTGCGGATGATGGCGATGGCTGATGGTTACCGTTCCCTGTCAGACATTCTTCGTCGCATGAGATGTCTTTTTTTGCGCTGTAGTCTGCCATCTTGGGGTTCGTAGGGGCAGGTATCATGATGTATAAATGCAATATGCCACAGAATGCTCAGGACCAGAGCTAGATTTCGAGATACACGAGGCTGAAGGTACAATCGGATATCTTGGAACTCTATGGCTGTGGTTTATAGAGTTTCAATTCCAAGGTTGTTGAAAGTAAGAGGCCAGCAATTTGAACTGAATCCCAACTGCAAATATGCTATGAATGTGACGTGAACGGAAAAAGATACATTTCAGATATATTCAGCACTGGTGAAATCTCTTGGGCATCTGTTAATTTAGTGTAAGTGGCGTCAAAAGATTACATTCTTATAAATGGAGCTTTATTGATCGGCTCCGGGAAAAATTGCCGGCCAATCATGATTCAACATGGTGCGAGGGTCTGCAGTTCTCCGCAGATGTTGACAAAACCACGAGATATAGAATTGGTCAAGACTCAGAGAGTCAGGCGAGAGCTCTGCCAGTTGCAGCAGCAAATGGAGTCCATGATTGCCGCTTTGCAGGAACAGGCCCTATGGACTGATATTCAGCGGCTATTGGACCAGGCACATGCAGAGCTGGTATCAGTGACCACTCGATTTGTACCACGACCGGGGTCCTCCAGAACAGATGACTGGCATCCTATTTTCCAGGTTCCGGGGTAATTCACACAGATTGGCCTAAGCGCGGGGGGCCTGGCAGCTCAGCGCCACAATGTCCCCCTCGGCGTCTTCGAATCGAAAGTCTCGCTTCTTGGTACACATTGGGTGGTCGCAGCGATCAGCCAATGTGTACCAAGGTGTGACTATATGTGACGTAGCTCACATGCGAGCTGGCCACCCCGAAAACATATCGTAAGATGGATCAATTACAACTCAATATCTTAACAATAGGGCTCTATAGGAGCATTTCCTTTAAATCTAATACATATCATATATTTTCTAGCCATAAATAGAAGTTTCAACCTGCAGGAAATTAAATCAATGTATAGTTGAGATATGTATTCAAAGTCGAGCTCAGCATTGGAATTTTCGTTACCGTAGTAATATAGCCAATGGATCAACTTAAAATTAATACCACCTGCTTAAAACGTTTATCGAATGCTACCTAGGTATCTGCAACTATTAAATACAAATTAGGACGTGGTTGTTAAGATATCGAGTTGGACTTTATCCATTTTACTATGTGTTTTGGAGATGGCCAGCTCGCATGTGAAATACGTTAGTTAGCGGCCAGGGTCGGATGCCTAGATTTTCAGGTGTTGAATACCCCAAATGTGCCTGAACATGTGCCTGAATTTGACCGCTTTTTTCTAAGGTTAATGTAAACAGTATGTTAGCCCTAATTGAATCAATTCAGCTAAAGCACTTCACGGGTAGACGGAGCAGAACTTATCAGTGAACCAGAATATAGGAGCTTATAAAGGGCGTTACCTAGGTATAATTTCGAAAATACATATCCTCTCCCTATTACTAGCGGATCAATTAAACAATGTTGTTAATTTCCTTAATGCCGAGCTGCTAAAATCCTTACAGCTATAGGAAGGTGCCTTTCTTTTTCTGCGGGTATGATAATTTGATGGTTTTATCAAACCGATTAGTGATAAGTCGCTAGAGACATCCACGGGTGGATATAGACATTCGCTACTCAGCAAGTTCCAGTGGTGGAGTGGACTAAGTAATCTTGGAATAATGAAACCTCTTCGGGACTAACACATGGCGTAACTATATGAGAGGTAAGTAAGAAATGAGGCTAGAGTGACGCCGGCAGCCGTAAGACGGCAGTATTCCGGTTTTCAGTATATCTTTGTCGGATCGTTCCAGTAATGTACACATTGCCTGATTCGGGGGCAGTTCCATGTGATGACCGAAGGGGCAAGGGGATGGTGGAGACGGGCAGGACCTCGGTGCATTGGGAGCAATTTCCAGCGCCCCGCTCGCCGTGTCAACTACAGTAATACTCTATAAACAGATAACCGTGCAGATTTAGATCGAAAATCTTTAAAATCAATATACCCCAGCGACACCTATCGATAATCTTGAAAAGAGTGTAATTCGTGGATAAAATCATGCTATTATTTAATTTGATACAAATATAAGAGTATTAAAGATAGCATTGAAAACCTAAATTTCTCCATACAAAATGTTAACTAAGGGAAATTTATATTCTGCTCTAATATTGTCTTTGTCTATTATAAACTTGTTCTAATAATTAACTTATATATAATGATATATTATCTTTTCGTCAAGATATATAAGATTAAAAGATTTTACGTTAAGGTACTTTTAGTATGTGCGCCCTATACAAAATGTATAAGTGTGATTGAACCCGGAATGTTATCAAACCCAGGCACGCTGACGCCGCCAGGTGGCAGGGTGCGGCGACACTGGTAGATGGTTAGTAGTCATCTACCTAAATACTAGCGCATTCTCACTATTGTATGCCTAGGTGTTTCTATTTATGCATTTCTATATGCATATATAAACAATGAGCAGATTTTCCTAACAGAACGTAACAACATCACGAATCACATAGTAATGACATATAAAACTAGAAAACAATCAATCTTTTTAGATTTCCTTATGGAATAACGAGATCCTTTAATATCTTATTATAGCCTGCTTGTTTGACATCTTTTGTTCAAAGCAGGCATAATGTGCTATCTTGCATTGATATGAAATCACTAAGAAAGTTTTTCTAATTATAAAATATACCATTACCGACAAAAGGACTCAAGCTTTGTGGCCGTTCAACTAAGAATAGTGGCTCACTCATCGTATGCATAATATGTCGACGACCTCGAGAAACTTTTGTAAGAATCACAAAGTCCTTAAGGAATAGACTATATTATCACAGCAAACAATCTGCACTCTCAGCAGATTCACTCCACTTATACCATTACTCTTCCTCACATTGCCTCTACAGGCACGAGACCCTAACAATCTTCAACGTTGCAAAATTGCCTTGCCAAGATCGGGTCGATCACCATCACCACACCATTGTCACTGTCACTGTCAAAGTCGAGTCGATGACGATCACTTTGAAATCTGCCGTCCAATTAGTGAGCCGGCAAAAATAAAAAGTTGGACTCAATGGATGATTATGTTGATTCACCCAGGCGCGAGACGTGGCACCTGGTTCCACTGCACTGGTGCCCTATTTGATCGTGAATTGACGATTGAACCTAACAATCGATTTGATAGCTGGGGTGTCAAAAGCAAACACTATCTCGGCCAAGTACCTGTGTGCTTCTTGTACTGTCGAACGAGAGGCCGAGAAGGTCCTCCCACTGCAAAGTTGCCAGACCTGGGTTTGCTACTTGATGCTTAGACTTAAGCTCAAGGGACTACTCCCGGACAAATCCCACCACTATCATATGCACCATTATGAGTATAACAGAGAGGATGGTCTTGGACCTGGACTCGGTATTATAATCGAGCGAGACTGATTGTCTACATTTCGATTATTTACAAGTTTTTCAAGCCTATTTTGTTTTGTGGTTACTTTGCTGCGTCCTTTGCGTGCAGGTTTTCGTGGATAATCTTTCTGGCTCTTTGATGCAAAGATTTGAATGAAAACAATTTGAGAAATTTCCTTTCCATATTGTAGAATTTTTTTACAGGTTCAGTAAACCCCTAAGATTCAGTAGGGACAAATGAAGTATAAGTCAAAGCTCTGCACGTGCTTGTTTCTGGCCCTACGTTTGAGCCCTAACAGCCCGATATGGAAATCGAGATAAGAAACTCAGCCAGCCAGAGGGCAGCAATTAATACAGCATTCGAAGGTGATCTGAAAGTTTTGTTTTCTGACTCTCTACTTTTCATTTTGTATGTCCAGATTCTTCAAAATGGCCGAAAACGTAGCAAAGAAGCTTAAGACCTCCTCCCCCTTGATTGGGACTCACAAGTAAGCTTCCCAGTCACCGAAATTCCTGCTTCTATACTGACAAGCACAGCGGCCACTTCCACGCCGACGAGGCCCTGGCCGTTTACCTCCTTCGACTGCTCCCCACCTACGCCTCTTCCCCTCTCATCCGCACCCGCGACCCCGCAGAGCTCGAGAAATGCCACACCGTCGTCGATGTCGGTGGTGTGTATGACGCCTCTATCAACCGGTACGACCACCACCAGCGCACCTTCTCAACCACCTTCCCCGAGCGCAACACCAAGCTCTCCTCCGCCGGTCTGGTCTACATGCACTTCGGCAAGGCCATCATCGCCCAGAAGCTCTCCCTGCCCGTCGAACATGCCGACGTAGACCTCCTCTACGAGAAGCTCTACACCGACTTCATCGAAGCCATTGACGCAAACGACAACGGTATCTCCGTCTACGATCAGGCCGCCATTACCGCCGCTGGTATCGAGAAGCGCTTCAAGGAGGGTGGTATCACCCTCGCCTCAATGGTCGGCGACATGAACAACCCGGATCCCACCAGCCCACCCGGCGAGCCCCAAGACGAAGACAGCCTCTTCGGACGCGCCAGCACACTCATTGGCAACGCCTTCGCCCGCAAGATGCACCACGCCAGCACATCGTGGATGCCCGCCCGCACAACCGTGGGCGCCGCGTACGCGTCCCGCAAGGACGTTCACCCCTCCGGCCGCATCATCGTCCTCCCCCAGGGCGGCGTGCCCTGGAAGGAGCACCTGTACAACTTCGAGGCCGAGGCCGCGGGGAGCAAGAAGATTGACCCCGAAGCCCAGGTCTACTACGTTCTGTACCCCGAGAACGCCACTGAGGATGCCAAGTGGCGTATTCAGTGCGTTTCTGTCTCCGAGAGCAGCTTCGAGTCCCGTAAGCCTTTGCCTGAGTCTTGGCGCGGTGTCCGCGACCAGGACCTTGATGGTGTCATGGCTGCGGAGGCAGAGAAGAATGGTCAGAGCAAGATCCCTGAGGGTGCTGTCTTTGCTCATGCCAGTGGTTTCATTGGTGGCCATAAGACACGGGAAGGTGCTATGGCTATGGCTGAGCGCAGCCTTGGTCTATAAGCTCTTCTATTGATGATTTAAATTGTTTGGATAAAAGTTGAATTAACGAGATATTTTTATGACGACTTAGAAATCTATGATTTATTTTGACATGATTCTTTCATTTGCAAAATACCTACCTTGTAGAAAACCAAAAAAAAGACTGAAGACCTGCGAGATCAGAGCCTTCAAGGTAAACAAAATGGACATGTTTTTCTTTTGAAGTTTTGCTGCTTCAGCATCCTTGGGATTCCCGGAAGATTCTGATATATCTGGTCATCATGGAGTGCCAATCGCACTTCATCTCGAATTGGCTTTGAAAAGGATAGACCAGAGGATGATCGGCCATCTAGCAGATATAGAAATTCAATTCGCGCGGGGGTATAGAGCACATAAGCGAATCCTTCCGGGTCGAATGGCCTCTGACGAGCTGTCTGGGTCTGCAGTCCAAATTTTTGGAGCAATCGCAGTGCGGATCGGGTGATAATTATGACTCTCGCCAGAAATCCAAGTTTGTGTACCCCGATACGAGGACCTTCGTAGATGGGCATCAAGTGGATGCTGCGACGCTTGATGTTGGGAAACGGTGCAACCAAGCCCTCAGTGACGGATGTTCAAGGCGCTAATGTCTTCAATACTGCCGCTGCCATCGCCAGATGCTGCCATATCTTTGGGTTCAGCCTGAGCACTCGACTCCTCGCGTTCACCCATTGCGCGCTGGATGAGCTTGGTCTTGGTAGCGGCACCCTTGAGGCGTTCATCCACATCATTGACAGCTTCCTCTGTATTGCTCATGTCCAGTGTAGCCGGGTCGACGAGCTCAAGAAGTGTGTGGAGGTTCCTGACGAGGCGTGTGCTGTGAGCCGGGAGACTTGGCATATCTTTGCAAATGGATGGATCAAGGGAAATGTCGTCCGTGGTATTGGCGGGTTGCGCTGTGGTGCTATCTGATGACTTCAATTCGAGTCTTTGTGCCCAAACCAGTGCTTTGCCGTACAGACGTCCCATCTCAACAAACTTCTCGAAGCCTTTCTCAACGGCGAACACACTTCCTTCAGTATATCCAGTTTCCGCTCCATCCACGGTACCAAGTCGGAAGCCCTCATTATAGAATTGCTCCTCTAGATCAAGGAGACTGTCCAAGAGATTGGTTTCCATTGTTCAAGAAGTCGAAAAGTTGATGTTCACTTGATATGAAAGTCGAAAGCCGATAAGCACTTTTTTTTCTGATATGCGCGGGGGTCACGAGATGTCCACTTTTTGATTTTCCCGCCTTTGCCCCTCCAACTTCCCAACTACAACAATATGTCGAATCCAATTCTGCCCAAAGAGGGCGAGCGCAATATTCTTGTGACTAGCGCTTTGCCATACGTGAACAATGTTCCTCACCTGGGCAATGTTGTGGGCTCAGTGTTGAGTGCCGATGTCTTCGCGAGGTATGACTCAACCCCACGTAATAATGTATGAAGCTAACAATTCAGATACCACAAGGCTTGTGGCCGTCGCACACTGTATATTTGCGGAACCGACGAATATGGAACAGCAACCGAGACCAAGGCGCTGGAGGAGAAGATGTCACCCCAGGACCTTTGCGCCAAGTACAATAAGATTCACCAGGAAGTGTATGAATGGTTCAACATCGGCTTCGACCACTTCGGTCGCACACCCACAGAGAAGCACACCGAGATCTCGCAGTCCATCTTCAAGCGCCTGCATGAGAACGGGTTCCTCGGTGAACGCACCGCTGAACAACCTTTCTGCGAGAAGCACGGTTCCTTCTTGGCTGATCGCTATGTTGAGGGCGAGTGCCCCCGCTGCCATTACGATGATGCCCGTGGAGACCAGTGCGACAAGTGCGGTCATCTTCTCGATCCCTTTGATCTTATTAACCCCCGCTGCAAGCTCGATGGTGCTGCCCCAGTCCGCCGCGAGACCAAACACATTCACATCCTGCTCGACAAGCTCCAACCGGAGATTGAGAAGTGGGTCCACCCTGCGATTGAGAAGGGTAACTGGCCCAAGAACTCCCGCGTTATCACCGAGTCTTGGTTGAAGGAGGGTTTGAAGGATCGTGGTATCACCCGTGACCTTAAGTGGGGTGTTCCCGTCCCTCTGGAAGGATATGAGAACAAGGTTCTGTACGTGTGGTTCGAGGCGTGTATCGGTTACCCTTCAATCACTGCGAACTACACAGACGACTGGGAGAAGTGGTGGCGCAACCCGGAAGATGTGCAGTTGTGGCAGTTCCTGGGCAAGGACAACGTTCCCTTCCATAGCGTTATCTTCCCCGGTACCCAGATTGGTACCGGAGATAAGTGGACCATGCTCCACCATCTGAGCACAACCGAGTACCTCAACTACGAGGGTGGCAAGTTCAGTAAGTCGCGTGGAATCGGTGTCTTCGGCACCAACGCCAAGGAAACCGGTGTCTCCGCAGACGTATGGCGTTACTATCTGCTGAAGAACCGCCCTGAGACTGGTGACACCCAGTTCGAATGGCTGCCATTCGTGGAGGCCAACAATGGCGAGCTCCTTGCCAAGTTCGGCAACCTCGTCAACCGAGTCATCAAGCTCGTTGCTGCCTCCTACGGTTCCGTCGTCCCCGAGTTCTCCGTCCCCGAGTCCTTCAACCCCTTCCTAGAAGAAGTTACCGGCTACTTGCGCCAGTACCACGAAGAAATGGAAGGCGCCCACCTGCGTGCCGGTGTGCAGACCGCCATGCGCATCGCCGAAGCCGGAAACGGTCTCATTCAAGCGAACCGCCTGGACAACAAGCTGATCGCGGAGGAGCCCGAGCGCGCCGCTGCCGTCGTCGGCACTGTACTGAACCTGATCCACCTGCTGTCCTCCGTCTTCGAGCCCTACATGCCTGCCTCCTCGAAGTCGATTCTCGAACAGCTCAACGCGCCCTTCCTGGTCATTCCCACCGGAGAGGAGCTGAAGGAGGGCTGGAAGCCTACCTCTCTGAAGGGTGGTCACAAGATCGGCAAGGCGGCGTACCTGTTCTCGCGCATTGATCCCAAGAAGGCTGACGAGTGGCGTGAGCTGTTCGGTGGATCCCAGGCCGATCGCAAGAAGAAGGAAGAGGAGGCGGCAAAGCTTGCTGCCAAGAAGGCAGCCGCCAAGGCCAAGAAGCTGGAGAAGAAGGCGAAGGGTCGCGCTGGCGCTGGTGCCGGTGCCGATGCCGGTGGTGTTGAGGGCTCTGCCAAGGGTGGTGCAGAGAAGATTTCCGCTACCACCGAGGGCAAGACTGACGAGGCTGTTGAGAAGATTGCTGATGGTGTGGCGCAGGTTACTCTGCCTACTTCTTAGATTCAGCCCCGCATCCTCATTTATTCAAAGAGGCTGTCTGTGTCTGAAGTCCAATATATGAAAGGCGTGCTGAGTGGGTTTCTTTTCATGATTTACGAGAGATGTGCATATCATGGTTTGGGATCGTCCTTTGGGAATAATTAGCTCGTCTCTTGCAAAATTCAATCTTTCATAGAAATACAACGATCTGTTTAAATTTGAGACGATTTAGACCTATACCCTACGGTTTATATAGCAGATATCCGTTACCAGGCATATATAAGATGTTATTGTCTAAGGCTTAGTAGATACATACCTATTTTCAAACCATATCTTGAAATTTTGATTCATATTAATGGTGTTGTTCGTCAACAGTGACTTTTTCTACATCTAGAATTCGCCCGTTCAAGTTCCCTGCTCTCCAGACCCCGAGGGCTATCCCGAGTCAGAATCAAGAGGTTTTTGGTGACTTGGTCAGGTTGAATCCAACCGCTTGAAAAAAGCGAAAATGCTTGCTAGAATGCTGGTAGACTCTCCAATGCACTAGTGGCCTCAAATCCCAACATTTTGAGGAAGATACTCTACTGATTCGAGCAAACCGAACTATTCAATTTGATAGTATTACATTTTGAAGGGATTGAAATGCCTTAAGGCCCAATATGAGCGTGAAAATCAAATCTGTGCACTATTCAGCCAGAGTGTTACGAATTTTTGACTTTCTCTGAGATGAAGATCAACTACTTCTGAATGTACAATCTTGAAAATACAGGGCAAGCAGTATCTACGTACATACATGTACATACGTGTTCTGTACGTTACGGTAGGGATAACTAAATATAGCTATAGGCTAGAAAAAGATCCCATTTGCACTCTTTAATCAATACACGCCGATATGGTAAAAATTTCATTACATGCTCGTTGTAGCGATGGGTCAAACTTCAAGTGCATCCATCCCAAAAAGAAAAACAAAAGACAGCGTAACTTAACGCTTCCGCGTGTTGGGTCGGGGCTTTGTCTCATCTGGTCCGATAGGATGCAGCATGACTTTGTTGGTGGTCTGCTGAGTGTTGGCGGCGTAGCCCTTGCTCCAGTCATAGCTGACGGAGTAGGCGAAGATGGTTCCAGTGTGGTTGAACGCGGTGGTAGTGATAGGGCCTCCAACGGCAGGGTAGCCCTTGAGACGGTGCTTGGCGTCCTTATCCCAGAAGTGGAATGTACCGTCGCTACCGGCCGTGCTGAAGGTTCCGTGGATGGGGTGGAAAGTGATAGAGTTAACGGAGAAGATGTTACAGACGTCGCGCTGGCCAGTGGGTGTTTCACGATGACACTTGAAGGAGAAGTTTGAGGCGGAATCCTTCTCCTCGACATACTGGATAGCACAGCGACCCTCGACGGATCCAACGGCAAATCCAGAGGCATCGGCAAAGCAGCTGACTACCCGCGTCTGCCACTTGAGGGGGGATTGCATGGTCTTGTAGAACTTGGTCGGCTGGTCGAGGTTGACAATGTTGATGTAGCGGTCTGCGGTTCCGATGACGAGCAGCTTGTTCTTGACGTCCATGGTGTAGATGCGGTCCTGGCATTCCAGTGATGCGATTGGTGTCTGTTGGCGGATATCCCAGTATTTCACGGTCTTATCCCACGAACCGGTGATCAGCAGCGGCGATCCGCCGACTGTGGGATTGGGAATCATGTGGCAGCTTCGAATCGGCGCGTCGTGTGCGGCCACCTGGACCGCGGTGGTTCCACCTGCTCCGAGATCCAGCATGCGGGCTGCCTTGTCGGCACCGGCTCCGACAACCTTGGATCCATCCTAGATTGAAGAAAAAAGCAGTGTTAGTCTCTGGGTACGATACTCAACCTGTGGACTGGCAGCGGATGAATCAGGCTTACCGGAGACCAGCAGCAGTTCAAAACAGGAGCTTCGTGCTCGAACAATGCCTTTCCTTCACTTTGTCCCTGTGCGTTGATTTCGTAAATGCGAACTTTCTTGTCCCACGAGGCGACGGCAAGGTGGTCGCTGACTGGTGAGAATCGGAGATCGGAGATACCGTCCTCAGGAGGTTGGTTCAAAGCAACATCCTTGGAGATGTCGCCGGTGGTGTTGGTCGCAGCTGCAGGCGCGGTCGCGCTGCCGCCGCCGAAAAGTGACATCTGAACGGGCGTGTAACTCAATGGAGGGTATCAAGGGAAAAAAGAAGTGAGTATGAGCAGAGGCAAAGCTGATACAGCAGCTTGATTGGCATGTAGAAAGGACAGAAACTCGAGCTCAAGGGAGAACAGAAAGTGAGACAGAGCCGAGTGATGATAATTGAAGCTCGACAGAAACCGATGCGCCGGCAGAAAACATCGCTCACCGCTTTCATATTGGGTTATGTTCGGCTTCAGCCTACGAACATAGTCATCTTCCTATCTTTCCTTTTCTTATTTTTGAAACTGTCGGACTTCAATTCTCCGGCGGAAAACACAGTTATCAGAAATGATCTCACTACCTGTGACTTCATTCGCCAAGAAGCAATCTACCAGTATTGTATTGTTTCAATGTCTGATTATTTCCCCTTCTGCCTCGCGTATCAGTTGTTTACCTCGCATAATCCTGTTCTGGTTTCGATGTTCAATATCGATTGCTTGGCTACCTCCATAGTGCCCTGTCTTACAACCACTTAACATTTACCTAGGAAAATGGTAGTATATGTCAGTTAAGCTACATACCTAGGTAGCGTCAAGATATGAGATAAGAATGAATATCTCCGTATAGCGATCATATATGTTCAGTCAACTACATATTTATGTCTAATCTTTTTTTTTTCTAATTATTTGCTTATAATTTAATTTTGGACTAATATCTATACATATGGAGATATAACAGCGTGGATTTATCATTAAGAAAGCTAACAAAGTCGAAAGTTCAAAATGAATACTAATTAGTCGACATTAGCATGCAACTAAAAACGTCATTCATTACCAATGAGTCCATAGAGTTGATCGGTAGAGTTTTCCGGAATTGATATTGGGCGCCACCGGATTGCGTTACGAAGTTGTGGCATGTACTCGGTAGCTACATAAGTACCTAGATGGTTAAGGCTGGTAGTATGTAACCTTGAGAAAAAGTAAAAGTGCTAAGAATGCAAGGAAGGAAGTGGTAAGGGTGGTGGTATGATGATCATGTGGTTAGTACCTAATTTATCGTATAATATGTTATATTTTAAAATATATAGATTTATACCTGTATATTCAATTAGATTAGTACTAACTAATTACAGCTATATCTATACAGATGTATATGTAGAAGACATAGTGTTACTATATCCTATATACTACCTATATACTACCAAGAGGGTATATAAAATCCAAATTAAGGTCTGCCGATCCGAGAGTGGAGTCAAAATGCGGGGTGCAGCGCTAACATTGGCTCCGCTTGTTATGTTGATGTCACTCCGACAAAGCCGATATAGGTATTAGGGTGTCAGAGGAGGATACCATATAATAGAGTAGAGGAATAGGTAACAGATAAAACATACAGTGTGTATAGTTGACATGTTGAAAATATTAGAATAGTGAACGGCACAAAATCAACCAAATTAAGGGTAGTGTGGAGGTAATGTGAGGTACTTCTACTTGTACCAACTGAATTATGAACCCAGAAGTAGCATGACATCCATGACTACACACACCCCCGCCCTCTCACAATCAGGTCACCTGCCTCATTTCCCCTCTCTTCTCTTCTCCTTTCTCTTTCCATCTCCTGATTCATCTGAGATTTGGTATAATACCCTCTCCTCCCATTTTCATCCATCATCCCTCATCTCTAACATTGTTTCAGTTCCCATTATCCAACATGTCTGTTCCTTTAACCAAAGTTGATTCGGCCATCGCTGGCTTGTCTATAGACGAAAAGCCAATTGAAAAGGATACCAAGCATGACAAGAAGGGCCACAAGCGGAATTCCTCAACAGCAGAAGGCGTCTGGACTATGAAGGACCTTGGTGACCATCTCCTCCCACATCATCATCCCATCACTTCATTGTACTGACAGGGAATCAAGAGGAACAAAGGATCGAGATCACCCTGCCCATTGAAACCCAGAAGACTGGGTGGTAAGTACATATCTATCCCTTCTCACAGAGCTCTCATTTGACCCATTAACCTATCTAGGAAACTCAACACCTCACCAAACACCATCGAGGACAAAGACATCCTCAAAATGCTCCTCATCAACCCCCCAGTCAAGAAGATCGACCTCCACTTCCCCCTTGGTCTCGAGGTGACCGCTCGCAATTCCAAGGGTGTCACAATCAAAGACGCACTAGACGCCATCCACAAGCAGTTTAAGAAAAAGGTCAGTGGTTTCAAGTTCCAAGTTCAAACACAAAGGAGTTAGATGACTGACGTGACACCGCTAGGCGGACGACGAACTCGACAACCCCTACCTCGCTGGCTTCGAGTGGGACAAGGAAGAGTGCTGGACCCGACTGGTCGTGCACCAGACAAAGCATGGCGCACCAGCGGCTCCAAGCAAAAAGTCCAAGAAGAAGTCCAAGGATGAGGCATAGATTGACTCTCGCCGTCGGACCGTTCGGCCTGCCTGTCGGGTACTCGAACTCTTGCCAAAGATAATGCTCTTGGGTATCGGGACTATTGACTCCCTCCGCGTGATATTTTTTGACTCCCGCTCGACTGCTTTATTCATTTTGTTTCGAATGTAGAAACGAGAACTAAGACGGTGCGAGGGATTTTGTTTTGCTTCATTTTTTCGGTCCTTTCAATGAGACTCTTATGTATCTACCCTGGGTCGACCGGATCGCCGTTCACTCTTTACTGATACCCAGCGGAGATAATCAATTAATTCATAGTGTTTGATTTTTCATGGTAGATTTGTAAACCTGAACAGTTTTCCAGTAAATAATCGGAGTCGCGTGAGCATATAGCATATCTATAGCTAGTACACTGCCAAGCCCGGTCCGGTCCAAGCCATAGTGGATATGCCAAGCCAATCACCTAATCCACAATTTTTCAGACAAGGACATATTTAGTTACATATGTATATAAATTAAGACTTTGTTGATTTCAAATGGAATTGTTTCATAGCTTCGAATATTATTTCCCCTAAAATTCAATGGAACACAATCCAAGTTGAAATCCAATTAGGTCGTATGGAGTATACTCTCAGCCAATCAGCTGCTTTAGCGAGTTATTCTCTCCTCGATACTGCACTAGGCATCTTGAGATTGGCCAGACTCGCAAGATATGCAGATTGCACCCATATTGATTTTTCCTTGTTCCAACGCGTGTATCTACTCCTATGCCCAAAGCCCTTTCAAAGCATCAGCAAGACTTTTCGTCCGTCGACCAGAGCTTTTCTGACAATTCATGATAAGTTCCAGTGTACGACGGCGCTCCAGGACGCCATTGGTGACAAGACCTGCAATATAAAGGCATTGCGTGGATATCAAGCTCCAAGCATCCGGTACACCGGCATTGGAAATGAGGAAGATCTCTTCGCGGGACCTTTCGATTCGACAATGATTGGCCAGGTACCGGGGCTGGCCTAGACCATGCTGGGTTTCAAGAATTGGACAATGCAGATTGAGCAAGATCTTCGAGGCATGGTATACTTGATGTGCAATTGCTGTACATGTAAGCTGCTGCAGACTGAAAAGGTCATCAAACATACCACTTTGGGGGTAAATAAACCATATAGATCCAAAATCATGCGCCAGCTCACTCTCCACCACTGAGGATCTCTCAGAGGAGAAATGGGCCATAGAAAGCGGCAATTTCAGCTTCCAATCTTCCAGAGCCTCATACAACTCCTCTGCTCTATATTGCCTCGCCTGGATCCTTTCATCAGCCTGGAGACCCTCTGTAAATGACCCATCATTACAAAACGAGACACATTGACCAAAGATAAATATCGCCCGATTCGCTATATCCTCAACGGAAAGACCCTCAAAGCTATCGACAACTTCAGGCTTCCAATAATCTGCACCGAGAAACATCCGACGCCGGAGTTGGAGCGCAGCCCAGATCTCATGTCTATACCAGGTCCAGTAGGCCGCGCCTTTGAGACCACCTGCGTTGCCGTGGACGCCTCGGGACTGTAGGAAGAAAGCCACGCCTTTGAGGTGCGAGCCGAAGGTTTCACCTGCCACGTCAAGCATTTCATATCTGTGGCGAATTAAGTATGGACATCAGGGCTGCTAGTCTGATCACGTACGTAGAGAGAATAATGCTCGAGGCCAGGATCCCATCATTACCCGCATACCGTGGGTCAGACAGTAGAGTGCCCATAGCCTGGACGGCTTTATGGTGGTAATGAATAGCGACGTTCTCGCGTTCTCGAGATTCGTGAGCAGGCGCTTTGAGTGCCAGTTGCTTTGCTGACAAGGCGAGACAAGAGTACATTAGTGAATAGCAGCGAAGGGCTATTACCGGTACTATGGAGTGGAAGGGCTGATCTCGAGAGAAGGAGTCGATCCAAAGGGAGACTGTGTCGACATAGTTTCGGAAAATGAGGATTTCTGAGGGTTTTAGGTCGATTTGTTCGCCTGTTGGTAGTTCGTAGGGTGAGCGGGGGATTGGGCCTGGGGAGAGGGCTGGGTGGTTGGTGCTGAATTGATAGGTTGGATTTAGTTGGTCTTTGTAGAAGACCGAGGCGAAGTCTGATAGTGAATGAGAGTTTGGGGGTGATAGATAGAATGGGCTTTGTACGTGTATATTATTTAGCCCGTTGCCAATAGATGGGGTCTCTCCGGTAGGAGCAGTGCTCCGGTGCGATGTGTCAATTTGACGAAGTGGTGGATTATCACTATCACAATGATTCTGCTGGATGTTTAGTACCAGCTCTCTGAAAGACAATGTAAAGCTATTATATGGTTTGATCGTACTGTGGAGCCATGATCTGCATCAATTTGTTCATCGAGTTCCTCCAATTGCCGCGCAGGACTGGGTTCGATATTCAAAGGCGAAGCGGTCGCATGATTGACGGGATTGGAGTTAGAACCACCCAATCTATGTGAATCTTCATAATGACATGAACGGTTCTTCTTTGCACAGTTTCTGCAGCTAGGACGGCTCTCGTCGCATTTCACTCGACGAGCACGACATGTCTTGCTGTAAGGGTGTTAAATATTGAATTCGGTCTATGCAAGACTTGTACACCTACCAGCCAGTGGTGACGCGTAGCCTTTTCCGGGTGGATACTTCATCTCCGGCCATTTGCGCTATTTACAACGAGTGTCTTTCGAAGGACCGAACTCGTGCCGAAGTTCGAGGCGAGGGTTGGAAGCCTCGCAAGTTACGTAAGCCACCGACTAGCCCTAGGTGACTACCTAGTTAGGTAGTCACATAACTATCAATGTACATTCTACTACATACATAACTTTGAAAATTTCTAAACATCAGAGTCGTTTCAGGTGATAACAAAGTCACAAAATGAGCTATAACAGTTTCATGTCTGCCGCTCGTTCCACATCCTGTCGAAGACGCTAAGCGATCGTTGCGCTAAGAGACAATTAGACAGTAACTTCGAGGCTTGATACTCCCTGTACATACCGGATGGAACAATATCAAGTGCCTTAATTGAAACATTGATAGGTAGCTGAAGCATGTAAACAGCAGCCTGAGCAATATCAGGAGCGATAAGAGGTCTATCATGGCATTAGCGGCTGATAACCCTAAATTTCCGAGTCAATGCAGAACCACATACTCGAATCCCCTGAAAAACTCATTATACATCTCCTTGTCATGACCAACGCGAAGGGAGTGAAAATTCGTAGCAACGCATCCCGGCCGAAGAGCAAGCACCCGAATATTGGAACCACTCAGCTCATTGCGCAATGAGTTTGTGAAAGCTTCCTGACAAGCTTTATTTGCGTGATAAACTGCTTCGCCTGGGAAAGGCGGGACTTCTAAACCCGTGATAGATGTTACGTTCAGGATGGTTCCTTCTTTTTTGTGGAGCATGGAGTGATTCAAGACGGCATGTGACATAAACATGTATCCATTGATGTTGGTGTTGTTCATAGTCATGATTTGAGATGGGGTCAGCTCGTGAAAGGACTTTGGCGCACCGAGGGCTAGGCCAGCCTGATTTTTATTAGCATTAAGATTGAAGTTCTTTTGGTGAGAGGGGTAGGATATTACATTGTTGATTAGAATATCAATTTCTCCCATTTCCTTAGCTGAAGATGCAACTGCTTTGTCGACGCTATGGAAGTCGCCGACATCCACGGTCCGATATATGATTTTCACATTGGAGTTGGTGGACAGTCTTTCTTTGAGCTCTTAAAGTTTGTCCTTGTACAAAGTTAATATTTGAACATTTTCTCGGATGATTGATGGCTGATGGCTTACTTCAGAGCGTGAAAATAGAATCAAATTGGCACCAGCTTCAACCAAGGAGGAGGCAATTGCTTCTCCAATTCCCATCGAGGCACCAGTCTGGCAGGATTAGATGGGTTCTACTTTTTCAGTAACAAACACTCACAAGTAGAACAACTTTTCCAGAAAGTGACATGGTAATATGAACTTGTCATAACTGAAAGTATCCAAGATGGAGAGTCATTCCACTTATATAGGGTCGCGAAGTATCTCGATGACATCATCTCATAATCTCGCTACGAGGATCTAAGCGAGGTCTGATATTGAACACGGATGCATTTCACCACGAAAAAGAGTATGACTCGACAGTCGATCACAGTGCATTGTCCCAAACTGCTAGAATGATGTGAGCACCTCAAACAGCCGACATTCAAAATTCAATCATTGTATCTGTCATCTAAAATCTTGGTGAGCTTAATGGCAATACATAGATAGCTCTTATGTATAGATAGGAGTCTTTAGGAAGGTCTCTTACAAGCTTTGCTATAGCAAGCTTGAATAGTTCATATAATTGAATTTTACCCACTGGTAGGTGGTATATTGTAGTGAACGTTTTTAAATTTCGAAAGGCCCCCCAAGGGGAGCCAAAATCTTGTCGAACATGAGTAAAGTAATATCAGTCCCACAAGAACTCATAAGATCTCCTCCTCTTAACAACATTTTCATCAGAGTGCTTTGGCTTCAACCCCAACAGTTCATACGTGTCTTTAACCAAATCCATAGCCTTCCGATCAAGACACGGCGAAGATTAACCTCGTGGTCCAAGTCGCCCCCACCCAATAGAAGTGAAGAATATTAGTCCCAAATCTGCCTGTAATGTGCCAGATTGTTCCTTTGAGCCTCACTACAGGTGATCTTAGCACATACTGACTATATCAACTACATATGTAGTTATATCTAGATATGGAAAGATTGGGTTGATTGAAATGTCATTGCTATTATGTTGAGACCATGTTAGGACGTAATGATGTATATACAGCGCTCATAACGACAAAACAGAATCATGGACTATGCGCTGTAGCAGACAAAAACCGCATTCGTGATACAAATAAAACACATTAAATCTATCATCATCAGTCAAAAGCATGTTAAGGAGAAAGTTCCCTTGACACGCAAGGTTCAACGAGCACGCCCAGACGGCATACCGAAGAGAACTAAAAAGATCTCATCAATAATAGTGAAGATCAAATGGGTGTTAAGATGCTGATTGTTGAGCGTTGCGAAAATGCGCCTTGCAGCAGCTTGAGCATTCGCTCTACCAACAACATTACCCGCCAGATCAGGAATAAGAGTAGCCAAAACCACAGTCGCCTCAGCCCGACTGTTGAGACGATCTGCCGCCGAGCGCGGAGGCACTTTACGGAGCACTCCACCAGGCCACATAGTATCACGAGCGAGAGCAAGGTACTTTAGCAGCGAATCATCTTGGACAAGGCCGCGAGCTCCGTCTCGGACTTTGCGCTCGATCGTGCCGCCAAGGAGCTGGTGCAGAACAACGACGACGGCCCGGCCGCGCAGCCAATTGTTGCCGCGGTTTAGCTCGAAGGCTTCAAGGAAGAAATCACAGATGGGTTTGATGAAGGGTTCGAGTTCACGGTCTTCGAAGGCGTTCAATTCTGCTTCTGCTTCGGCGGCAGTTACTGCGTCTTCAGTTGCGAGACTGCTGTCTGGCGTTGTGACATTGCCGGCTTGCTGTGTTGCAGCGGATATGAGATTTTGGCCGGCAGTGGATAGCTGATCCAAGACACCGAAATTGCCGAGGAAGTCGTCCATGCCGTCCGTGACGGAGTTGTAGATTCGGGTAACTAGGTCTTTTGACTCGCTTTCGCTGTCGCGGGAATTCTCTTTGTGGGGCAGAATCGCGCGTTGGGATAAGAACGCTCGAAGATCGCGGCTACGGCAGACATCTGGCAGAAGAAGAAGGTTTCTCAGGTAGGCTTCGAGAGCGAGTCGTCGTTTGTGAAGAAACTCTTTCTGTAACTTCATGACGACGCGTCGGCGAGGAAACTCCAAATGCCGGACGGAGGGATAGCGCTGGCGGAGTTTTTGATGCAGATCGTGAAACTCGCTGTATCTTCGTGCAACGACCCAGGATGCAGCGGGCATTTGCTCTCCCGCATTTCTCTGAACCTCCACAACATCTGTAGGATATAGTCAGTATAGGTTGGGCAATTTTTATGAGACCTGCTTACACATTGCGTATTCACGGCCATCATCCTCCTCCTTGCCTACAACTGTAGACTTCAGGCTGACAGTCGATCGTCCATAGAGACTGTTATCGCTTTCCTGAAGAATATATTGCTGCCGCTGCATTTCCTTGCGGTGCATTTCACGCTGAATGCTAGCCTTAGACTTGCGCAGGATCCGCAATTCCGCCGTGTTGTTTGTCAGCTCAGCTTTGCGTGTCAATGCTTCGACAACAGCGTCCTGAGCTGCAAGCTTGTCGATATCCACCGACAAAGCCTCAATTGCCTCTGTCAGACCAAGGTCACCCGGGGCGGCTTCATGCACTTCATCTGCTAAATCCTTTTCATCGGCTCCTTCCGGTTCTTCATATTCATCCTCAATGAACTTCTGTTGATCCGGGAATAATTCATCATCAAATACACCATTTCGTGATCCTTGGCCGACCAGACCGAGTGACGCAATGCTTTTCCTCATCTTTTCATTGCCACGATTGTCTACCTGAGAAGTCTCGGACAATTTGCGTGCAGTATCAGGTCGCTCCGGTCCAAACAGCCCAGAAGAATCTCCTTTGAGGTCTTCAAGTTTGCCGTTCTTAGGCTCGCTGGTAATGATATCATTGAGCGCTGCCTCCATGGTTTCGAGGACTTGGCTTTGACTGGTTTCATTCTCTCCATTTTGAGAATCTTTACCCAAACTATGGGTAGATGTAGCCAGGTTGTCTGTATCATAGTCGTCGTCAAAAAGACCAGATCGTTCTGAATCTATGGATCGTCGTGGTGAATCATCGTCGTCAAATAATTTTCCCAGGCTCCGGACATCACTCGATGAAACTGCAGCTCGCCGAAGATCCTTTGAAGGTCTCAGACCCGGCTGAGAGGAGGCTCGTGATAATAAAGGAGGAAGAGCGCGTCTCTCCGGAATTTCAAAGGTGACTGATATTGGGGACGATTGACGGGCCAGCGGTTGTGTGGTCGCGGATGCTTCATCTGAGGCAATATACTTCCAATACAGATCGGATTCTTTGAATTTTGGATAGTACTTCTCTTGTAGATGCTCCAGAATAGTAGACTGAGTAGTCAAGACAACCATCCGTGCTTTGCGGTACTGTTCCGAAGTTGCTCGCTTTCCGGCACTTAAAAAAGCCTTGACTGTTCGGCGAGACTCGTCGGAGACCTTCAGCTCCGGCTTTGAGAGATAGGATTCACTGATGAGAGCAAGGTCATTTCTATCTGCTGGCTGCCACGTGATTGAGCTGGGTGCTGCCTCATCTCCAAAGTCATCTTCTAGAGGATTGCGGAACCCGTCTACGACAATCCAAAACTGGACAAGGGACATTAGCTTTTGGCGGTCCATGAACTCCATGAAGTAAGACAACCCGGAAGCGCTGTGCATCACGTCAACCAGTGACGTTTCATGCGTTGCAGGGCTAATGTTCTCAGGTCGGAGATCCAAAGATGGTGGCACATCAGAATCATTGCCGGTTTTGGCGAGTTTGGCCACTTTTTGGTCCAGCAGCCGTTTGCCTGTTTCCAATCGCCGCAAGTAAACCTGATCTTGGCCCTCAATCGCACTCTCTTGCTTCAATTGGCTGGAAACCAGAGCACGGAAGCGGCGCGCATCGGAGAGATTATTGCATTTCCTGATTGCCCTGACGAAACGCTCAAAGGCTCTCTCTGAATCGGTTACCGAGAGTCGTGGAAATGGTTGTCCGCGCTTGGATTTGGGCGCAGGCGATGCATGCTCGTCCAATGCAGCACGTAATTTACGTACGGTCTTTCTGTCCTGCAGAGCTGTACGACCATAGGCTTCCATTAATTGATTCCATGTGTCTGGATCAGACAATGCTGTGACTATTGGAAGAAGCACAGCGCACGAAATGATTTCACGAATCATGACTGACACAATTCGACTGTTCAGCACACTCCCTGGAAATAATTGGGGCAACAACCCGACCGCCAGCTTGCGCAGATACTCCTGTTGAACGCCCTTTTGATCGGAAAGGGACAGGGAAACAGCTGGATGTAAACGGCCTTCGCGATACTTCTTCGCGATTGCCAGATCTAGCTCGCCGGACTCGGTCACATTGCGATTCAGGTTGCGCCCCCGGACCGACCTTTCAGCCACATCAAATTCCTTCAAGTGCGAAGTTACGATCGGAAATATCCGCGATATCACCAGCGATATCATGTCCTCATCCATCAACCTATCCCGTAGGTTATCAAGAGCGATCCGAATCGTCCGATCGACTTCGTTTGCGAATGTTGGGCTCGGACTGATGTTGTGGTACCACGAGGAAACAAAGTCTCGTGTAATGAAGGATAGAAGCTCGTCGATACCCTCTGATACAACAAACGACTGAGGATAGAGGGGCCGGGCCCGGTATCGAGTGCTTCGTCGGACATTAAGCACTTCCTTCCGCCAATGCTCAGGTTTTATGAAAGCCACAGAAACGTTTTTGGTGTCGTATTTGTCATTGTGTTTTCGAATTGTCAATGTGACAAGTCCCAGAAGACCCAAGGAAGATAGCACGGCACCCAGTGTCACGGCATATCCTAGATATCGGAGAATCGGCAGCTCGCGAACCACGAGGCCCCAGGCAATAAATAAGCCGACGCCTGCTAAAGCTAGGTCACGACGACTAAGGGACATTCTCCCCACACTCTTATTAGAGCTCCACGGCTCATAACGATCACTCCCAAGCTCTTGGGAGCGAACAGTTCGGCATAGTATTGTGACGGTCAACGGGGGTTTGCGGTCGCAATAAGTAGCTATTGTCGTGATGAATTCGTCAAGACAAAGCCGAGTGATTCCGATAGCGTAAGATTAAATATCTCCGATCATCAAAGAACCGAAGCTCAAAGTGAAGATAGAAGAAAGTTGAGTTGAGAAAGATACGATCCCGTGACCCGCTCGGGGAAACGTCACTTGTTGTTTACTTAAGCTGTTGATATTCCCCCGGTTTTCCAAGGTTAAAGTCCTTCCCCTCTTCTTTTCTCTTTTCTTCTCTCTTCGTTTTCATTTTGCTCGTAGTAATATTTGCAAGATGGCCTCTCTTACGGATTTCATCAATTTCTCCTCTAAGCCTTTACTATGTCAGTCAAATGTTTCCTTTTAGCTCCTCAACAATTTGCATGTGATTGACTGAGCTCAGGGTCTGCCGCAACAATCGCCTTTAACCCAATTTTCTGGAAGTAAGTGCCACAACAGCTTTGGAAATCAAGCCGAAAAAATGAATCTTTTCATTGAATATAGCTAACCTGACTCCGTTCTAGCATTGTTGCCCGCACAGGTTGGCCGACTCCACCCGAGGATTGTCGCATTCAACCTTGGCTAACCGCTAAACAGAATACCGCAACCACTTCTTGACCCGTATCTTCGGAGGCGCGTACAATGGTTGCTACTTCCTCGCGTTCACGATTTTCTCCCTCGGAATCCTCCGTGACCATGTCTACCAGCTCGCTCTGGCAGACCAGCCCTTCTACCCTCCCGTGCACCAACCCATCATCGGTGGTGTCTTGTTCACCGTCGGCTCGGTCCTGGTTCTCTCCAGCATGTGGGCTCTTGGTGTGACTGGAACCTACCTTGGTGACTATTTTGGTATTCTCATGGACGCACCTGTCACCGGTTTCCCCTTCAATGTGACCGGCTCGCCCATGTACTGGGGCAGCACTCTGAACTTCCTCGGTGTTGCTTTGTACCATGGCAAAGTTGCCGGTATTCTCTTGACTGCCCAAGTCTTTGTCATGTACTGGTTCGCTCTTGGCTGGGAGGAGTAAGTTTGGATCCAACGATTGACAAAACTCAACTGACCATGTCCAGTCCCTTCACTGCCGAAATCTATGCCAAGCGTGAGCGCGAGCGCGCCAAGAAGCAAGGTGGCAAGAGGCAATAAGCGCCATACATGTATACCAGGATTGTCCGGGACTTTCAACATCCACTATCCGCACATGACCAAAAGAGAGACTGAGACTGAGAGGCCTGCTCACTCAAGGCAGCTTGACGCCCAGGCGTGAAGCTGCTCCGCCCCAAGCTGCCAGCACACGGATGCATCCGAATCTTCAACGATGCTGGAGCTGTAGAATATAGACATATCCTTGTCCTTGACAAGACCCACTGTGATTACCCTTACGCGACTACAAAACACACAATCGAACCAACCCATCGCGACAAACCTGCACTGCAGCTGAATCAGTAGATCTTTGTGGCTCGCTCGGAGTGACGGCCAATGATGTGCACGAGGCTTTGGAATCCTTCGCTTTTCCAATGGCGGACGGAGAAATGTCTGTTGCGAGAATCCGTGTACCAGTAAACAATCAATAAAACTTTCAGTCTAATCATATCGATTGAATTGCTCAATTGCAAGACATCAAGCTTTTCGTCATGTGGACTCAAAATACTTATAGCGTCGCGGTCAAAGGCCTCTCAGTTGGCAACAAGGTGAAAGAGCGATGTCCTGGCTCATTCATCCTGGACTCTGGTCCATCGCCATCGCCAGTTATCCCAACGGCCTCACCGCTCGTCAGCTCACCCAGGACTGCGTCTGCACCATCACCCTTAAGAGGATTGCAAGCAGCACTAATAGCAACACTACAAGTCCCGCTAGCGCATAACAGACTGAAATTTCTTGAATGACAACCCGGCTAAAATCAACACCATAAAAGCCCCAACCAACTTTATTCATATAATGTCTTCACAAAATTGGTGCTCAAAGTAAGTCCGTCAATTCAGCCCGGTCACGCTCGTTGGGAGTCTCTGTGTTGCGTAGGGTTTGGGACATAATGAGTCTGCCCATGCCTTTGAATGAGATAATACCCGCGAGATAGACCCATACCTTAGAATCTGAAGTAACGGAGACTCACTTTTGCTGGAAAGAGATCTTGATTCTTTTTCAACCCCCAACTAGCTATGACTTCATAGCTAGAGAGGCATGTTCCAACAAAGGGAACTGGCAAATATGTGTCAGAGAAAAAGCATCAAATTGAAAGATGTGATATCTCATGCATCTGAGCATATTGGCTATAAATGAGTTGAAACTACATATGTAGAAATGATACATGTATTGGGCAATGAACTAATTAACTTACTTCAAGCCCTGCCTGGGGCTTCAACGGAAAGGTTCTCTCGTAAAAACTCTACATAATCCTTGATGGCCTTCTCGAAGGCCTCATCATAGTATATCTCAAAATGACCCACATCTTCATACCATTTAACAACACCGTTGGGCGCTATGTTTGCATACTTCAACGTCGGACCAGCAGGGGCAACAGAGTCGTCACCACATATCCCAAAAAGAATAGGACAATGAACTTTTGCGGCATGAGACCCAGGTCTCAAGAATGGAAGCTGCAGAACCAGTCGAGCAGGCACTTCATTCTGAAACGAATATCCCTCGGGAATAAGCCGGTGAAAGGTACTCATCACATCTGGGGCATTCATCAACGCAGCTAAAATGATCAGCCTCACTTCAGAGAAGAAGAAGAAGAACATACCATCCCCCGAGCCCCCCACCAAGCTCACCATAACAGGCCTCTCATCCGAGCTAAACAACCAATCCCTCAATCCTGCCCAAACAATCCCAGGCAAAGCCCTGACCCCAACACGTAACGAACTCCTTACTCCACTCGTAAATGGACATTGAGCAATAGCAGCCCTAATTCTTCCATCCTGCGCAGCAAGCTGAATAACATGGCCCCCACTAAACGAAGTCCCGAACAATGCCACAGCATCTGGATCGACGCCTTTCAAGTTCCGCGCGTACTCAATTGCCGATTTCCAATCTTCCTGCTGCATGTTCCAGTCTATCAGGCCGCGCGGAAGACCGGGTGACTCGCCTGTGCAGCGGTAGTCGAAGACCACGCATGTGTAGCCTTGTTTGTTGAATATGTCGGCGTAGACGTCGAGTTTTAGTTCTTTTGTGCCGCCTAGCCCGTGGGCGAGAATTATTGCTGGGCTCGGGGATGGATATGAGATTTGGGATGGGTAGAGCCAGCCCTGGAGGTGATTGGGGGTTTGGGTTGGGATTTGGATGTTTATTCGGTTTTTTATACCAGCGGTTGCCATTTTGATGTCAATTGCTTGTTTAGTAGATCGGTGCTTGGTGCTTGGTGCTGGGTTCCTTGTAGCATAAATATACTTGAACTGTGCTACCTCGGCTTCATTGGTATCTGATGTTCGGCCCAAATATTGGATCTGGAAGTGGAACCGGATGATCAGTGGAGACAGTAGGAAAAGGGAATTCTTGCGACGTTCATAAATTAGGGATGAAAAAGACTCCAAGAGTCACAGAATAGAGAAATCTCCTCGCTACTTGTACGATATTGTTATCACGTTGTGATACCTCGGGATTTAGTAAAATCATGTTTATTAGAAATGAGGGTATAAACCGACGCCAGATGAAACAAATCCTGAGAGAAGGGAATAGTGTAGGTACACATTAAGCACCTTCAACACCACGCTAGTATGACTAGACAATGACCCAAAGCAAAGCAAAGGTCGAAAAAAGAAGGGACCAAGAGAAATCAGCGAAACACAGACAAAGTGCCCTAAGCGTGCAATGCCTATGCCCTTACTGGCGTCTCCCCCTCCCTCTTTTGGCTTGAGTCCGACTCTCATCAACAGTCTCAATCTCATCCTCATCAGTGCCCTTCTTCAAATCTTCCCCATCAGCAAGTCCCCACTTCTCCCGATCGTACCAATCCTCTCCATCGCTCATCTCGCCAACATGGCCTTCGGCCTTGCACCATTCCAGCACATCGGACTTCATCCGACAAGACTTGAGAAGTGAGTTGAGCATATGTTCGAACCCACGCACCGTCTCTTCTTGCTTCTGGATATATGACCAAAGCAGTCGGCGCGTTTCCTCCGCTTCGGCCGGTGGCAAACCGAAGTTTGCGTCCGGGCGAACATTGTCTGGAATGAGAAAGAGAGGGTGCGGGGTGGGCAGGGTCGATGCCGTGTCGGCAGAGGAGAGAGGGGATCCATCTGGGTTTACAGCATTGGCTTGGGCGCGTGTTGTCATTCGTCGAGGTGGTTCTGGAGACGAGCCATCGTGCATTTCCAGGTCTTCTGTATCATCGCCAATTTCAGGCTCGCCGTCTTTGGAAGGGTCCATGTTATGTTGTTCGTTATAGGTTGCAGCCTTGGTTTCTTGGTCGTTCTCTCGTAGGACTTCGTTGTGAGGTGGGAGGTCCTTGACTGTGGCGTCGGTCTCTTCCGATTTGAGCTGCGGATCGGAATCGGTAGCTTCCACCCCAGTGGTCAGCACCTCGGCCATCTCAGTATCATTCGTTGGCTCAACCCGTTGTGTCTCGCTCTGCATGTTGGTTTGTGACGGCACTTCGTGTGCTACATCCTGCGGGACGCGGGGTTCAGTGGCAGATGGAGTCCCAAATCCACTAGGGCCCTGTTGGCAGGCTGATATACTTGGGTCATTACTGACGATTCGAGGATCGAAGATCCAACGATCATCGGGTGTCTCAGTCGCACCACAAGGCACCCATCCGCCATCACCGAGGAATTGTCTGTGCAGATTCCTGGCGCGCCAGAGCAAAGCCCGTTCCTGGCGGAGTTTGAAGTCAACCGCTTGAGTCATCTGTTCCAATGCTTGCGATGTGTATGGTTGAGACATGGACGGGTGATTGGGAAGCTCAGAGGGATGTTTCAGGGGACACAGAAGATCTAGAAAAAAGAAAGCCAGATCAGTAAATAAAAGAATATAAATCAAGAAAAGAGTAAGTCCTACTCTCAAGCGCAATCCCAGAAAATGGATTCTCTTCAGCGGCCGCAGCATCCGCCTCGGAATCCTCATCATCTTCATCAAGTTCGTCGCCTTCCGAATCATACCGAGCAGGATTCGGCTGTAAAATGTATCGCGTATATCCAGCATGCTCAACTTTCTATGCCGCCGAAAAAAACCCATTAGTTCCCTATAAAATCCCAAATCGAATTCTAATCTCATCACAACAGAACCCGAAATCACCAACGCACCTGCTTGTAGAAATCCTCGCCATTGATATATCCGAGCGCACCCTCACTAACGAACTTGGCATTGGCATGCATTTTATTACCCCGGTTTGTGGGCGCCAAAATAGGATCATCTGGGGCAGCGTCTATAACCCGAGCCAAGAGTCAGAAAACAAAACTTTCAAAAGAGGCGTCATGCCCATGCTGTAGGTAAGAAATAACATACCTTCACGCTCTCTGCGCAGCGCCCGCTTCATCCCCGTGATCGTATCGGCGATTAATGCCGCTTGCGCTGCCATTATTTCGGGTTTGTAAGCCTTTCGGGAGACACGACTGGCGCGTAGAGGGGGTTAGAGCGGAGATGTGGGCGGGGAAACGGATCCCGGGAGGGGAATGTGCCGAGTTGTGGTTTGTGTATGGTCGTCGCTATGTAGATCGAGACTGTATGCTTGAGGAAGTAAATCTGTAATTGCTTTGATTGAGACGAAGCTCTTTTGACGGCAAGACTTCGGAAGGCCGAGATCGCCGCTAGGCCGGATTAGTTATGCAATAAGGGCTACACGTGACCATCTATAGGTTTGTACATTATCTTCCAACTTGAACATGCATTGTATAAATACATGTATAATAGGATGGATTGTTTCTATTTCTTTATACAATATCACTCGTTACGAGGCAGCTCAATTCATCTACATATAGATATATCATCAATCATCCGCATCAACCCAGACCAAAACCCCCTTCTTGTCAGAACGCATATCACCCGTTGGAAGAACACGCAGAGTCTTGTTGAAGTAGGTATCAATAACGACCAATTGAGGCTGAATCCACAGCCCACGCTTCGCAGCGAACAGATTGAACTTCACCGTGTGGCGACTGAGAGGCATAATCTGGACAACCGTAGTCTTTGGTCCGCTGAAAGCGAAATGTTCACTGGCTTCCATGACCAAATTGAAAGTAAGGAAGTGTGTGGAGGAGTTCTCAAGCACATACTCCATATGAATAAGTCCTGCCATTGCACTGGATGGTGTTGCTGAAGCCAGAACTCGAGGTTCGCCCATTGGGACCACGAACCGTGGGATATCGAGGACGGAGGCTGTGGTGTTCTCATTAGATTCGGATTGGCGATGCCACTTTATTTCCAATGCACAACTTAGTGCTGTTGGTCTGCGGTCGCCGAGCATTGTCTTCTGGACGTCGAGACAGAAATTCGATTCTCGGAGCTCTTCCGGTGAGAGATGAAGTGTTTCCGGGCTGGCGAGCTCTTCTGGGCCGACGGTGCAGATGGCTCCTCCGTTGGCTTCGAGGAGAATCAATGACATCTTGTCGATTATCAATGGCTCCATTGCAAAGGAAACAACTTTGGAATTGAGAGTCCATTTCTGAAACAAGCCTCCCGCGACGGGAGTGGACCTGTCATCGAGTAGGTCGTCATTGACTGCGAAGAAATTGGGCCACGGCTCGGGGTGGATGGCTGGCAAGAACTCGTAGTTTGCTTCAAATGGTCGGATGAATGCTAGATCCACGGTGATGCTCTTCATAATTGGGGTTTGAATATCAGACACTAAATGGTAAATGGTGGAGACTTCCAGTGTGAAATTTGTCGCTTCCTCGTTATTGGCAAGGACAATCGCGAGGGTCTGTTCGGAAGATCGCTCCATGACTCCTACTGAGCGTTTCAGGAAATGGGACGGCCCTTCGGTCGGTGTGCTGGCACCCGACTCGAGTGGCTCGGTATCGGTGCCATCCAACCACTGGATTTGAGCGGCGGACTCTGTGCCGAAGAGTCTTATTTCAGTCGTCACTTCGGCAGATTCATCTTCTTCGTTGTGTATGCCGACGTGAAGAACCACCCTCTCGTTGGTATAATAAGTCTCCTTCAAATTGGGAACGCTGAGGCGAATTTTTGGAGGCTTAGGCATGACCTTACATCGGCCAGTATCACGATCTTTACCCACCCTTCTGCGAGTGACGCCCTTTTGTGTTTCTTGCCACCAAAAAGACTCCCGCTGATCGGGTTCCGTGATTGCATAACCAAGATCGAATTGTTCTTCCTCAATCAAAATTGTGATCGACGCAACCCGGGCTTCACCAGCTTCGCGAGGGATGCAGGTAAGGTTGAAGATCTTGTTTTGGGAGGGTCCCAAAGTCAGGTCTGCTACCCCGACCAATGTGGCCAGCCCACCGGTCGGAGATTGGATTGTGCCATCAGCTGGGTTACTCGGCTCACGGAGTAGAGTAGTCGAGATGCAACAGGGAGTGGTGGTATCAGCGTCCTTGTTTTGATCAGATTGAATCACCACTGGTCGGAGACATCCCTCAAACACGAGCTTAATTTCTGAGAGCCTAATGGGAGCTGAAGTTTTGTGTGCACAGGATGAGATAGCAAGTTGAACGTGTAGAGGCTCGCCGACGTTGCCGCTGGATTTCTCAAATACCAACGATGTGGTCACTAATAGGGTAAGTCAGCGCTTGTGATCCACCGGATATGCTTCCCACTTACGACTTGTCATGACATCCTCCGCACGCAGGACGAGAGAAGGTTTAGGTTTTTCAACAGGCAGACCTTCCAAGCTCCTGTGGATGTCATAATGCCAGCCAGGTCTAGCTTTGAAAGCTATCGAAAAACGTGAGCACAATATAACAGCAAGAGAATACAAGCCAAATTCTTACTCTTGTTAAGCAACTCCCAATCCACTCGCAAAACAGTCTCACTGTCTTGCACCCTTAGAGCACTTTCTCTAAGAGCCCAACCAAAATTGAGCATAAGATGCCACCAGCCTGACCGTCGCCAGCTTAGAGTGGCCCAAAGCGGCTTGAGAAGACTATGCGCCTCAGCCCATGCACTAACCCGCATATACTCCTCAGCAGTCTCAAGGCTCAAGCTTTCAACTTTTCTGGTCTGATGGCGTTTTGAGAATTCCTCCAGGGCAGCCTTCAAGGTGCTCAGTATCAAAGCAGAATGATCGAAACCAGTTCGACCCTCGTGTGGTGCTTCGGCATGAGTATCGGGAACCAGATACGTATCGTAAAGATAGGATTTATTAGCGAGTTGCGATGCCGGTGATTGTCCAGGTGGCTTGCGATCTTCGATGGGAATTTCAAGCGCAAGTGCTCGGCGAATCATTGTATGCTTCGCCGAGCGATGGAGCCAGTAGCCCTCGTGATGGAGATGTTCCCAAGGCTTGACGCGTTCACCGGTTGGAATTGATTTCTCTGGGAGGGTATAGAGCTCACCGGGCTCTCCAGGAGAAATTTCACTGGAAATGGATGGAATTTCAGCTCGGCGGATAAGTTGTGCCATGATCATCGACCATCTTGCCTCCCAGGCTTCCCATCCGTAATGCTTACTTCCTTTGCCTCTGCGGTTGACGATGTCCTTTACTCGGGTTCTGTGGCTGTTCCAGAGCCGCGCTGCGGCGGTGGTCTGACCTGTCCACAAGAGGCAGCGCATGATTCGAATAGCAAGTGCGTCAGCCAAAAGGCGTGCATCGTTGAAACGAGGATTCCACCCCGCAATTATCTCGAACACTTCGTGTCCAAATAGAGTATCGTACGCACTCTCATAGTTCCGACAGGCTGCGTCCATCTCTTGGCGAAATTCGGCGAAGATTCCAAGTTTAAATTCGTATCGCACATTCCAGCCTTGAGATGACAGTGTCTGAGATGTCCCCGTTGTCGGTGGCGCTGTCGGAGGAGGAATACTATTTCTGTTCCTTTTGCGCCTAGCATGTTTAGAGAGATCTCGATAATATTCCACGATCGAAGGTTGCAGGAGGGAGAAAAGTGATTTGACAAAGTCATGTAACTCGGACGAGGTCGCGTCTGGTGGGATCACAAAGATGGACCTGGGGTCGAGATTCGTTGCTCGTCGAATCCCTGCAATACGGTCATCGATTTCGCCCTCGTATCCGCCCTCTTCTCCATCTTCTGATAACAGAACCACCACAAATCGCGTCTTATATTCAGAGGATTGCCATTCTTTCTTCAGGCTGTTTATCTCAATCTTGAGCTGATTGTCGCGCAACGAGTTCATGTTCGGGTCCAGAGAGAATGGGAAGAAGTTTATTACTGCCGCAGGAACTAGATTCTGGTGTTTTGTCACCCATAAGGGTGTAAGAAGGCCATCTGGGAAAGTCGGAGAGCCTGGTGATAAAGGTGATATGGGGGAATGAAGAATAAAGCGGGTGGTAGAATCTGATGGCTCGCTTCCTTTATCACTTGGGCTAGTTGGTGGTGAGGGGATAGGAGGGTCCGCTTTTCGAGGTGGAAGTCTGCACGACTGCATATAGACCATTAGGAAGATGTCCTCGGTGAATGCCGTGAAACCGACAGTATTGGAATTTTAGAGTATGGACCTACCCGGCCAGAGCTTTTGATACGATAAGCAATATTTGCAGTTGCAGTATTCCCGCTCACATTGACTCTTGATTTCCATGGCATCTGGGAGCCATCTTCTTGTAGGAGCAAGCTCCGCAGCTCCTCCGCAACACCCCCACTCAGAGGGGGGAAGTCCGAGAAGATATGGGTTCCTCTCTCTAACAGTAAAGGATATTCTGAGCTTGCTTCAGAATCACCTTCAGCATCTGCCTCGAGTCCTGAAAGTAGGACCAAAGGCAGATTATGGTTGACGTAGTCTTCGGGGTAGGCGTCCATTGCGGGCAATGGGTACTTTGTGGGGCGGTCACCACATGTCTTGAGTAAGTGCGGGTTCAGAAAGGGTAATCGAGGATCACAGCCATCAAGAAGAGCTATAAAATTGTAGGTCTGTGTCAATACTCCGTGGTGTTCAGGTGTTTGGGTAGGATGACAATGGGTCTGAGATACTGCCGTGGGCGGTCAGGTATGTTTATCTCGATATCGGAGATGATTTGTATGTGTTTGAGAGTCTTCATACACTCAACTCAGGCTATTCTTGATATCTTGGCATAACTATTGCTCGTATTGCCATTGAATGATTGCTTCAGGCACGCCATTTTGGGGCAGAGTATTTGGAATATTTTCTACATGATGTTTCAAGAATGGGCTACTATCCGTCTGCTAGTACCTCGTATACGATACCATTATATATATCTGCACAATTATCACTTTGACAAACCTTCGTGTATAAATTTTAGAATTGTCGAAGATCCTTCAAGTCATAACACATGATGTAATTTTCTATGTATTCTACTCCAATTGATTCATATCTGAGATCTGTAATATGAGGTTGTCGATCCTTATATGTATATAGTCCATAAAGGGGGCATATTTCTAGAACGAATCCGAGTCGGAATTTGTAAAGATCCACGTGGAATCACTCAAATATTTGAGACCCTGACAGAAAGAAAGAGTACTATATCCCTTGATCTAATATGGGGATTGATGTAAATGTATTGTATTTAGATCTTTATATTGATATGAATCGGTCATAAGCAATTTAACCGTACATAAGATGGATCTCGGAAATGCGAGTGCATACATATATCTGCAGATTACTGGAGACTACTGCAGTCTCTGGATCAAGCGGGATATAAGTGGAAAAAATGGGAAATTAAAGATCCATCGAGTAGTGGAGTTGTCTATCACGAACGCTAAAGATCGCCCCATAGAAAAGGGAAAAACAGAGAGAGTGAGAAAGAGAGCCCGTGAGGAACTTTCTGCCCCTCGATTATTTGACCTGTTGAATATCTCTCTCCTTTTACTATATTCATTCACACACTCATTCTCTTCTCTAACTTTCTTTTATTTGCTTTACTTTTCTTATATCGGTTATTACCGAACAGACCTTCATTTTAAACCCATCTTTCTACAAGTCTTATCTTCACTGTAAGGGGGTGTTCTCGCAAGGAGGAAAAAAACAAAAACATTGTCGCATGCAGTGGATCATGCGCCCTGTACCCGTTCGAGTTTGTGTTTGGGAGGTTACACCCCTAGACTATTGAACGCCATGCGTCTGAACGAGAATCTGTCGGCCCCCGTGCAAGCCGAGTCCGCCCTACTCAATCGTCGCCGCCGCCGTAAATCACTGCCCTCGCGCAATGGAAACACAGATCCAACATCACCTGAAGTCATTTCCTCTCTCATTTCCTCTCTTTCCACCATATCTGTGCCATTAAATTCGCACTTTGATACCATCCCCAAGATCGACACCGACTCCGATCCTGGTCTTCCAGAAGTACCAAATACCGCGCCGGTTTACTCTATCCTCCCGTCTGAACAACATGGGTTTGGAATGAGCTACGGGGCTTACAAGCCAGCTGCCGAACCTCCGGAGCCCCCACAGGCCCCATTCCTGCACCCCGATGATGCAGCTTCGTCGCCTGTTATTCGCATGGCCAGAGCGCCTCCATCACCAAAGTCCCCACGATCCCCAAGATTCAAACCCTTTAGAGCGACCGAGTCGACACGTCCGGCCTCCAGGGAATCCTATACATCTTCCATAGCCCAGGAGCCGTCATCTTTCGGAACGATCAGCACAGAACCCGGTCCCCGTGTGTCAACTACCCCGAGTATCGCTTCGAATAGTTCAGGTCGCGCGAAGAGTTTGAAGGGTCAATTTGGTTTCTTGAAAAAATCATCCTCGCGCGAATTTTCCAGTGAAAAAGATCCACAAATCGAGCGCTTACGAAGGACGACTAGCCATAACGACGGGCTGCGACACATCCCGCGCAGCCGTGCAAGCTTGCGCTCATTGCATTCCATGGCGGAAGTAAACGAGAATGCCCGTCCTGCGGACCTTCAGGAAGACCCATATGAAGAAAGAGTGGCCAACTCTCCACCCACTAAAGATCACCAAGTGTTCCACACCCCGGAAGCCGGGAGCCCCGGTGGGATCGGCAGTGGGAGACTCATCCCCACCCGCGACTCATCTCTGCGCCATCGACATAGCCAGTCCTCAGGATCAAGAAAACACCGATCTGCCCGTCACAGTAGATACTCTTCCACAGCGAGCAAGGAGTCTACTGCAGACAATGGGTTACCTGGAACGAGCAACGACGCCGAGCAGGTGACCAGACGCATCCAAGAGTTGAAAGACCAGCAGCAGAAAATTAAGACCGAGTTGGATGCGGATAATAGTCCTGATAGCTCGGCCAAGACGACGCCGGTGAAGCCAGTGAAACCAAAGGTCTCGAAAGCGTCGCGCGTACTAGGTCACGATGTTAACCAGGCTATCATTCATGATGGGCCAGCCCGTGATCAACGCCCACTGAATGAGAGTGCTCCCTCGCCATCTGTGATGACAGGCAAGCTCCGCAGTGGAAACCGACCAGGCGCACCCCTTGTATCAAAGCCTAACGGTTTACCGGTGTTGTCCAAGTCGTCTGCGGACAGACCTGAATCCGAGAGAGCTCGATACAGACAGTCCCTCGAGCCAAATACACCGACTAAACATCGTCGTACCCCATCCGGTAACCTGTCGCATTTGTCAAATGGGCGTCCGTCATATAGCACCGAGCGGCCATCAAGTGCGGATTCAATCGATCTCGCTGTAGACGACTACATGTTCTCTCCTAAGTTGACCCAGAGAGTCATTCACCCGACGACTGGTCGTACTATCGCGTTTTCCGAAGTCGGCGATCCTAAGGGTCATGTCGTGCTTTGCTGTGTCGGCATGGGCCTCACCCGGTATCTCATGGCATTCTATGACGAATTGGCTCGAACGCTCAATCTCCGATTGGTGACATTAGATCGCCCCGGCGTTGGCGAGAGCAGTCCACACCAGGTCGACGAGCCGAGCACCCCTCTCAGCTGGCCAGACGATGTTGCCATTGTGTGTAACTACCTCCGCGTAACCAAATTCTCCATCCTTGCCCATTCTGCCGGAGCAATCTACGCTCTCGCAACAGCGCTGCGGATCCCACAACACATTCGTGGTCGCATCCACCTTCTAGCCCCATGGATCCCACCATCTCAACTATCAATCATCGGCTCCCAAAAAGACCCTGCACCCACCAACGCAGTCCCATACTCCCAAAAGATTCTCCGCGCTCTCCCAACCTCCCTTCTCAAAGTCGCAAACTCAAGCTTCATGAGCGCAACCAGCGCAAGCCTCACAACCTCTCTCCCCAAATCTCCCCGGCGATCTAAACGTAAAGCCGCAAAAGAAGCAGTCAATGCAATCCCAACCCCAATTGTTCCGCCCCTAGCTCCCATCGAAACAAATCTCAATCGCGAAGACACGCTCCAAAATCCCAAGCCAGCCCCCACAGCATCCTACCGCAAAAGCGACGCAACGCTCGCATCCCGCGCCAAGTCCCCAGAAGACGAAGTCGAGCGCCAACGCGACTATGACACTCGTCTCACCTACAAAATCTGGGAACGCGCAACCACAAACGCAAACCCCGCCGTCGACCTGCTCATCTGTCTTGAGCGTCGACAAACAATTGGGTTCCGCTACGTGGACATCACACGCTCGGTCGTCATTCACCACGGCCGCAAAGATCCCCGTGTCCCGGTGGAGAATGTGCAGTGGCTGGGCAAGACGATGAGACGGTGTGAGGTGCGCATTCTTGAAGGCGAAGGCCATGGGCTAATGGCTTCGGCTGGTGTGATGGGGGGTATTTTGACAGAGATTGCTAAGGAGTGGGAGGATTGGACGATTCTTGTTCAGGGGAAACGTCGTGCGACTACTAATCTTGCGCGACCGGGTTTGTCGATTCAGACTTGATTGATTCCCGTTGCTACTACTATTTCGGCCCTGGTGGCCGTGCCTAATCACCCTCTCTAATTTTGTCTGCAACTGGTTTGTTGATATTTCCTGATTTTGCTTTTACTACTGTTGCCCTAAACCTAATGGTGTGTTCATGCCCTGTCTATGATTTTTGCTGTTGACATGGGATCTTGGACAAAAGATGTTTCATTTAGCATAATACCCAGTCATGTCTACTTAACCAATATTCAATCTTTCTAATGTCTACTACTCGTGATAATGTATAGACCACGTCTTTACTGCATAACAAATATACATCCGCCAAGAGTAAAGGCCAAGTATTGACCCCTTAAACCCCACTTCTCCTGTAGTTCGAAGCTCATTGGTATTTATAGCATTCTATTATTCTTGTCAGCATCCTGAAGTTAATAGTTATTCTTTCAGTCTTCGTATAAGCATTGTGGTATACGAAGCATTGCGTAAAGCGGCTCAATTTCTTGGCAGACCCTTGTCACGTTGTCGCGTCCAATTGGATTTTACTACTCTTGTACTCCGTACACCTTGATATTCAACTCTGAACAACATTGCGCGGGAGAACCAAGCAACATTCAAAATGCCTTCACAAAGGCGACTACGATTAACCGTCATCGCCGTCATCGCGTTCCTCGTCTTGACAATCTACTACACCGTACGTCACCGTCTTGGTCTGATCTCTTCCGCGGGCGCTTCGCCAATTTACACTGCATTGCATGAAATAATACAAGGTCTAACACAACACAGGGTGAAACCAGCAAAATTCAAAACCAAAAATTTTACCGCTCAACGCTCGATGCCATGAAAGCTAAAGAAGCGAAGACCGCCAAGATACAAGAGAAGATCCAGAATGCTATGCATGCGCCGGGAGAGATTCCCGCAGCTGTTGCAGGTACTGGTGATGCACTCAGCGCGGAAGTACAGAAAGCTGCTGTTCCCCCGGCAAATGTGAACGAGGACACAGAGGAGATCCCCATCGCGGGACGGACGAAGATGACTGTTCCGAAGAAGGGCCAAGACACGGATATCCAGAAGGAAGACAAAACCGAGACGAGCGAGATGAGCGAAGAAGACAAAGAGCGCGCAGAGAAAGAGAAAAAAGAATCTGAAGCGAACACTGAGCTGAATGATATTTTGAAGAGAGCTCCTGGTGTGTTCCCCTCCTTACTCATCCAGTCCAAAGCTGACCGATCCAGTCATTATCTTCTCCAAATCCTACTGTCCCTACAGCAAGAAAGCGAAGTCAATCCTGCTGGAGCACTACTCTATCCAGCCGAAGCCGTTCGTTGTCGAATTGGACCAGCACCCACTCGGTCCATATTTGCAGGCTTTGTTGGGGCAGAACACTGGACGACGGACTGTGCCTAATGTTCTTGTGAATGAAAAGAGTATTGGTGGTGGAGATGATATTGCGGCTTTGGATCAACGCGACGAGCTGGCTTCGACGCTGAAATCTTTGGGTGGGAAGTGGATTGTGGAGGCTGAGCATTTGGATTTGGAGGAGAAGGGTCTATAAGATTAGTATATCATATTGTAAACCGATTGGAAGAAGGAATTGGGCAGTTTGTATATAGTCATAGCGAATTGATTTACTATAATTGTACAGAGAATGACTACCAGAGAACCTTGGAAGAACGCCCAGGCTGAGTAGATAGATGGGATTAATTCTGCAAGTATCGATACTTAATGCTGTACGATTATAATATACAGTGGTAAGTACTGATACTTTGCATGATAAGACGATAAGGCGATAAAGAACCCTAATCAAAGGCGGTCAGTCCAGAAAAGTGGCCCTAAGCGACGCACAATCCCGTGACCAAATTCAATTTCGCTCCACCACCAAGTCCATTCCGAATTTTGAACCTCCCCCGACAATCGACAACCACACCCCCGGCCAACACCAACAGTCACGTCAAGATGCGGTACATTCACTCCGAGGAACTGCTGCCCATTCTGGACAATGGTGAGCGACTTTCTTTTTCTATTGAAATATTGGAATAGTTGGAATTCTTGGAGGATTTCAAGATATGAAGAGGACCCGGTCGCACACAATATTATGAGGGAACATGGTCAACAGCACATCAAGTCTCGCAAAACGCAAAACGCACCACCAACAACATCAGCACTACGACAGGAGGAAAAATATTGTGTGGGACCGGCGACTCTAGAAATCCTTGATTTGATGCTGAATCCGAATCCGTGAACACCACTCAGATTCAAATTCAGCATCAAATTTCAACTCGAATCCAAGCCAATCCAAGATCCAATTTGAGCACACCACTAACCAGTATTCCCGCTACAGTGAAGGTTCACATTAAGTCCCGTGTCGTGACCGTCGAGGGTCCCCGCGGCAAGCTCGTCAAGGATCTCTCCCACATTGCCGTCACCTTCGGCCGCCCCGAGCAGAACGTCATCTCCATCGAGCTGCACCACGGTGCCCGTAAGGGTGTTGCTACCCTCCGCACCGTCCGCACCATCATCAACAACCTTATGATCGGTGTTACCCGTGGCTTCAAGTACAAGATGCGTTACGTCTACGCCCATTTCCCCATCAACGTCAACATTGAGCCCAACCCGGAGACTGGCCGTGCCTCCGTTGAGATCCGGTATGATTTTGATCCTTGTCATTTGCTAGAAAAAAAAGTGAATAATTCGCAATCAACTTGTTCGCTAACTTCTCTATAGTAACTTCCTCGGTGAGAAGTACGTTCGTCGCGTGACTGCCCAGCCCGACGTCGATATTGCTCCCTCCGCCAACGTTAAGGATGAGCTCATCCTTACCGGTAACTCCCTCGAGGGTGTCTCCCAGAGCGCCGCCGATATCCAGCAGATCTGCCGTGTCCGAAACAAGGATATCCGTAAGGTGAGTTATATACAATCTATCTACTGACAATGGATTCACCTCAACTCTATGTTCTATACTAACATGACTACAGTTCTTGGACGGTCTGTACGTGTCGGAGAAGGGCAACATCATTGAGGAATAAATGTGACGCTTGGGAACGGGTGTCCGGGAGAGGTTTCTTTAATTTCGCCTACTTGCATATAGGGAAGCAAAGCGAAATGTCAAAAACAAAACGACCCTTTTGAAGTTCAATTCCCTTACGCAAATAACGCCTATGATGTAGAAATGCGCCCGTGGCAATCTGTTTATTCTTTTCTTTTAAAATGAAATTATATAATATGTCTACGGGTTGTAGTCCAGTACGGGTTTATTTTACCGAAAGATGAAGATCGAGATCTGGGGAATTTGGTGTCGAGCTCGAGCTCGGACATCATCATTTCTTCGACACCTCAACCCTTCATCTCTTCAACTATTCAACTCCTCACCATCTCAACACCTATACTCAACATTATTCTTAACTTCCAATGCAGTACCAAGAACAAGTCATATCGAAATACTTGAATGCGCATCACATCGGCGTTTGAATGTCTCAATACCGCGTGACCTAGCATGTGAAAGACCGGTCCCGCATGTGCACCTCCGCAATCAAAATGGATTGTCTCGGTCTTTGGATTATGCCAATCTTCAATATGATACTAGATGTTACTCAATTCTGGAGAGATGTGAGTGTTTTATCTAATTTGCATCCCCTCGAGACTGCTCCCCATCTTCAAGAGTAGCATGATCCATATTGACCCAACTAGAAACTACTATCCTGGTGGCACTCCAAGTCCCCTCGAGATCGTCTCTTCCACACCCTAGCCAACGCCCAAAGCTACGAAGAATGGGAAGAAGCAGCGTTCGAGCTGGACGAGCTCCTTAGCAAAGACCTATGGTACTTCCATCATAAATCCAGACCAATTGAACATCCTAGTTAACCCTCCCAGGCGCCAAAACCCCATCAGCCGACACTACGATTACAGACTAATCCTTGGCCGGCTGGAAGCCCTAATGAGCGCCCGTGAATCCGAAGACATCCTAACCCTCGTCAATCTCCTGCGCTCCGGCCTGGTCCGCAATCTAGGCAATATAACCTCGACGAAATTATTCACCCATGCCTACGCAGGCACAAAACTGCTTATAGATGACTATATCACCCAAGTGGCACTCTCAATTCAATACGTGACAGGCGTGCAGCCGACGCTCCCAAGTCTGTTCACTTCCCAGGCCAAATTAGAATTGCTGCATGATACGCGGCAGGCGTTCGGAAGGACGACGCTGCTTTTGCAGGGTGGTTCCGCGTTCGGACTTTGCCATCTGGGCGTTGTCAAGGCGTTGCATTTGCAGGGTCTCCTGCCGCGGATTGTGACTGGAACCGCGACTGGAGCGATGATTGCTGCCCTTGTTGGGATTCATTCAGAGGATGAACTGCTTCCCCTGCTTGATGGGGAGGGGATTGATCTTTCGGCATTTGAGCGTAGAAAGAAGGCTAATGGTGCCGAGGGGAATTCTGATTCTTCGTGGTTCGGGACATTTTACCGTCGCATGAAGCGGCTGTTCAACAAGGGGTATTTGTTTGATGTGGCTGTTTTGGAGGAGTGCGTGAGAGCTAATGTGGGGGATTTGACGTTTGAGGAGGCTTATGCGCGCTCGAAGCGCATTTTGAATATCACCGTTGCGACAACGGGGAAGAATGGAACGCCGAATTTGTTGAATTATCTCACGGCTCCGAATGTGGTATGTCTCGCTTTGATGGATACGCTGATATTGTTCTAACGCCCTACAGCTCATTTGGTCTGCAGCTGTCGCATCTAACGCTTCCTCTGCTACGGCCCTTTACTCTCCGGTGACAATCTACTGCAAAGACGAAACAGGAACAATCGTCCCGTGGCCACACACTCAAGACGCCATATTCCGCCCCTGGCGACATGTGAACTACAACGAAGGCGAATCTCCGCTCTCGCGAATCTCCGAACTCTTTAACGTAAACCACTTCATCGTCTCACAAGCCCGCCCGTACTTAGTTCCATTCCTGCGCTCAGAACTCAACCTCCTGGACAGACAACAAACAGGCTGGAACAATCTCTCCCGCTCTTTGATGCGGCTTATCATTGTCGAACTCAGACACAGACTCCGACAACTCGATTATCTGGGTCTTCTGCCTTCGGCATTGAGCAGACTCCTTATCGACGATACAATTCCAGGACCTAATCTGACTCTGGTTCCGGATTTGTGTTTCTGGGATTTAAGCAAACTGTTCCAGAGTCCAACCAGAGATCGCGTTGCGGAGTGGACGCTCAAAGGTGAGCGTGGTGTTTGGCCTGCTATTAGTGCGTTGAAGGTTAGGGAGGCTGTAGAGATTGAGTTGGATAGGGGGTATCAGCTTGTAAGGAGGAGGAGACCGAGTGATGCTTCTCTCTCGGTTTCTGTGCCTAGGCAGCCTAATATCATGAATGAGGGGGTTCCGAGGAAGAGAAGGGGTGGCAGTGAGAATGAGGATGGGATTCTTGCTGATCGGGAGTGAGGGTTTACTTTAGCTGCGAGGAATTAGAATACCGGAGCGCTTTTATGTAGGCCCTTTAAGGTTCTTTCCCTCATCTTATGGTGATTATAATTGATTGTTTCATTCAGGCAAGATGGCAACCAGAGTCATAATAGACACCATCGAACATCAGGAGTCAGAGTATGCTAGATAAAACTAGGCCATTGTTCAATTCAAGTATAGATTGAGGGTAACTACTAGAATGTTGATATCGCTTACTAGGAGAATAAGTATACTTGTAATTGAATCATAATGTGATAATAATAGCCCAGTGCACTATAGACCTCAAATCAATCGAGAGCATCAGACTCAGGCGGTCCTTTGTAGTCTAAAAAAGTCAGCAATCATCCTCAGAGCAGCACATCCGGAGATCCAACAGAAGGGAGACTTACACTTCCTCGCATATATAACATACCAACCCGCCGAAATAGCCATGAACCCAACAAAAACGACAGAAGCATAATTCATCGACACAGCAGTCACCGGCAAAGCAGTGGGCATACTAAACAGCACCAACTCAAACGCAATCCAAGCAAGCGCCATGACATTCATAAACCTTCCAACCCAACTCCCAAGCCTCCAAGGTGCCCGACTGACCTCCTCTCTCCCATGCCAAAGACTCAAAAAGATAGGAATCGCATAAGCAGCCGCCAGTGCAATAACACCAACAGAAACAAACGCCGTAAACGCACTCGAGCTCCCCAAATTAATCAACCCAAGCAACATCTGAATCCCCGTCAACAGCACAAGCGACCAGACAGGAACGCCCCAGCGCTCGTCGACCTGCGCCCACAGTCTCGCAAGCGGGACTGCGTCATCGCGCGCCACAGCCCATGTCGAGCGCGACGCAGCAACGGTTATACTGATGGAGCAGAAGAGCGTTATCACCAAGACGAGGAAAATCAGACCCAATCCGCCACCTGGCGAGCCCATCACCCGTGCCAGGATGTACGGGAGGGCTTGGCCGCCCGGCGCGCCGATGATATCCTCCAATGGAGGGAGAGTTGCGCAAAGCGGGATAATGAAAAATAGACCTGCTATGCCGCCGACTGGGACGCTGAGGGCGATTGCGCGAGGCACTTTGATCGCTGGGTTTGAGCATTCTTCTGCCATTGAGGAGATCATGCCGATGGCCGAGAATGTGTATGCGGCTGGGAGCAGGCCGATGAAGAAGGTGAAGCCGGACCAGCCGGCAAAGGACTTATCGTAGTGGGAGAGGGTGTATGAGACTGAGTGGCGGCCTGCGTCTGCTTTGACGGAGACGGCGATTAGGATGACTAGGATTGTGATGGCTGTCCAGGTTGCGCAGGCGATGTCGACCTGGGGGAGGAACCTGTTTGCGCAGATGCAGATTGCCAGGGAGCCGAGACAGACGGCATAGAAGATTAGGAGGAGCTGCCAGCTGTTTGCGGACCAGGTTGGGTGGTACATTGAGATGGTTGCTGAGAGCATGGAGGCGAAGCCGAAGTTTACGGAGAGGGTTATGGTCCAGTTGCCTATTAGCCATATCCAAGCATTTATGAAGGAGATGGTGGTTTTGTTGCCACGGGAGATTTGGAAGGTCCAGTAGTACGGTCCTGCGGAGGTTGGATAGCGGGATGCTAGCTCTGCTAGGGAGAACGCAATGCATTGGTCGAGGAGACAGACGACTATCCAGCCTATGAAGATTGAGAGAGGACCACCGCCGTAGATTGCAGAGAGGAGAGCGGAGCCTTCGCCGTAGGGAATTGCTGCTATTGCGAGAGTTTGGAAGAGAAGGGTTAGAACTGAGCGGTTACGGCGGAGTTCTTGTTTGTAGCCGAGCTGGCCGAGCTCGATGTTCTCTGCGAGGGGAGAATTTTTGCCTGCTTCAGGATCTGGACCTGGATCCGGAGGGGCTGGTGTTTTTTCGAGCGCCATTTAGCCGGATTGAATGGGTGAATCGGGATCACTAGCAGTCGATCAAAGTAACGGCACTGTTTTGCTAAAGCTAGTATGTTATATCCAAGGGATCAGGGACGGTAGTCGGAAATGGTGGCGTGCAATCCTTAATTGTACCCGAATTAAGTATAGAGCAGATGGGATGAGGGCCACAGCTTGTAGGCAAGATGCGCAATATATAGTAAAAGTGCTCAATGCTTATAACAAGTCATATGCGGAGGTGCAGCGAATAGCACCCATAGGCTGCGTTTCACAAGCCACATGATGCCTGGAACATAGTTGCAGATACGAGGATCGAGGAGAAAGGGGTTTATCTCGCATTCTGCAGTAGGTGATAGGCAAGGATATACGATTGGCAAGGGTACAGGGTTAGCTTTGATAGGAGGTTGAAGATGTTTGTTCAAGCTAAAAAGGGGAGACAAGGATTGCATTGACCAATTGGGAGTCATTGCAGATGCAATAGTTATTGAATGTTCTAGGCCTTTGTTTTTCTCCTATCTTGGGTATTTGGCTTATTGGCTACGTCGAAGTCGAGCATCTTGTTTCCTGAGTAATAATCTACATCACTCAACAACTATAGGGGGATGTCAGTAGAGGTATGTCCAAAAGAATAAAAAGCACGAAGAGATCAATAGAAAGCAACATCCGAGTAAATGATAAGAGAAACCTTGACGCCAGGCCTAACCCTGAAAAGTAACTATATCCATGCGAGGGGAACAACTCCGCATTTGCCTCGCATGGAATCTCCTATTACCCAGCGATAGTCAAGTATATTCAGCTGTATTTAATTATATTTTGCGATATTCATAGTATATGATTTGAGAAAAATTGAATTTATTAAGACTAAAGATCAAATAGAGGGAATTAGAGTCAAATCCTATACCAAACAACAAAGAGATTGAGGTATCAAAAAAAACAAAACAAAAAACAAAAACTCATACCCTCGAGACATCAAACATTATAAACGATAGATGATAATCTAAGAAAACATACATTACTGAGCCGTTGAAGGCCGACCCTGATGCGATCTACGCGAATGCAAGCTCAACCGATGACCCGTCTGTGGCGGGCCCTCGGTAGCAAGTAGAGGCGGGATACTAAATCCATACCCCTCGGTGGCAGCGCTCCGATCTTGAGGATCGATCTCAACTTGAACCGACACATCAAGACCACCAAACATACCACTCTGAGCGGTAAACCCATCAGCAGCACGGTGATTAGTTCCCGCACCGACTTCACCCTTGTGAAGTGGCGCGTGTCCGTCCTTAGGGAGTTTCTCCAGCTTCGAAGTCTCTGTCTCTACAATGCCGTTGGAGCCGGTAAGACTCGGCGCCACAACTTCGGTGAGGGTGGCATAATTGCGAGATGGCATGGTGACTTTGTTCCAGGTGGCGCTCTTTTCTTTTCCACCCGGTTGCTTGTCGAAGAACGGCATAAGGGTTTCGTGACAGTCACGATCCAAGTGATGGATTTTGTTGCGGCGCGCGAGCAGATTAGCGACGGCCTTTGGAGGGGGTTTATTGGTGATGGCGCTGCTGACGACGTTGACGATGAATCGGTGGTCGTTTTCACCGGCCAAGTTGAGTTTCGGGTTCGAATAGAACCGACCAATTGCTGCAAGGTGTACGTCGCCACCTAAAATTGTTACACGCACGCTGTGGCTGCGCGCTAATTCCTGCAGACGTTGCACGAGCATCTTGCGCTCGCGCTTGTGTTGGCGCGCGGTGTAGTGGTCGTCTAGGTCGTCTAAAAGATCGACTTGGCCGTCGAATTCGTTGAAAAGACCGCCTGCCAAACCGAAGCGCTTGTTCAATAGGCGGATTGGGGCGATGACAGGCGAGGTGAGGATATTCTCTAGCCAGGCGAGACGGGGATAGGCGATTGGCACACCGAGTAGCACGACGAGGTGCTTGATATCGCCTTCTGCGGAGACAAGCTCGCGTTGTAGACGCTCGAAAATCAGGTCGTAGGTATCTTCGTAGTTTACTTGGTGGCGCGTGCGCTCTGTACGGGCGTCTAGGCCCATGAATGCGATGCGCTTGCCGAACCGCATGTACAAGCTTCGGCTGCGCTCTTCCACGTACGGGCCGGGTCGCTTTCCGGTAATCCAGCTGTCGTCTTCGACTTGGTTATCCAGAACGTAGGTGTTCTCCATCTGGCGTGGGTCAACGCCTGATGTTCCGTTGACTGCGTGCATGGTTTGCGGGGCGTCGGTAGTGAACGTCGACTTGGGAGGAGCCATATGGTGCTGGAAGAGGCAGTAGTACTTGAAAGCGACTCCGCCGATACCGCGGAAGACAGCACACTTCATGAAATGATCAGTGTAAGAACCGAAGCCGTCAATGATATCATGGTCATCCCAGATATTGACCTGGGGAATGCGCCCATTAGCCGTGCGGAAGGGCTCGGTGTTGTACCAGCGCACGTAGTTGGCATAGTAGTAGTCATCGCAATCAGCGCGCATTTGATTACTGAAATCATGGTTGCGCCTCTTATGCGGGTTTCCAATCGCAGTCCAAGGCTTGAGCGGGCCATCGACACGAATACCATCGTTGTAGATTTGATCGCCGCCGCCAACCATAACGTGGAAGGGCCTCTGGCTGTGCACGCGCATCACATCATTCCACAGATTTGGGCCTACCCAGGCGTTCATATCGGTGCCAACAGAGAAGCCGTTGCACGAGTGGAACATGATGCGCATGGACTGGTCTTCTGCAGGAACGACAAATTCCCAGGGTGCCTGGACCTGGTCCCCGGACTCGTTGTGCAGACCAGGGATGTCGTACTCCCAGCGCGCCTCGAAAGTCTCCACCGGAACGGCCAGCGAGAATCGCCAGAACGCCTTCGCGGGGTCCTCATAAAGCTTGAGACCCTCAACTGTCTGTGGCTGGGCATTGCCGCTCTGGCCATCGACGGAGCCTAGCTGGCGCAGGCGCAGCTGGGGCTGCTCCTGACCTGGCTTGGTGACGATCAAAACACTACCGTGCCAGACAGCAGCGGCTTCGTAGTGCATGTTCTTGAGGTTGATTAAGGGGCCGGAGATGAGCTCAAAACGGCTTGAGCCTGCGATTGGTCCGGTGTCACCATTTTGGAGGGTCCCTGCGATTTCAACGTCCTCGGTCAGCTTGCGCGACACTCGTATCCAGGGCTGGGGTTCCCAACTTACCATTGACGGTTTGCGCATTGTAGTCAGCCATAATAAGGGCAATTGGCGCAGTTCACGGATATCCGGTATTAGGGGGAAATAAAAGGACCGTGGACTGGTGTCGCACGGGAGCGGGGAGGGGGGTATTATAAAGGCAAAAGTGAGCGAAGTGGTCTCAGATTAGGGGGAACTAGGGATGAAAATGAAATTAGGCAGACTCCAACGATAGGGCTGCAGGGCTGAAAGGACCAGAAAAACGAAATGAGCAATAGAAGCGAGATTGGAGCTGCAGATCATTGTACTCGGTACCTTCGGAGGCCCGCCGTCTTGGCAGTTAAGAAAGGTACCAGCTACCTGTGCATTTCTCACAGCTCAGCTATTCAACATGACGCTGCCAAGACTTTCCGCGCGAAGTCATTGACCAATAGGAACACAGATTATGTCGGGGCGACCCGCTCTAGCCACGTAGCGCCACACAAGTCATTTTCAAGCTGTTCCTGATTGGTTGAGTATTGTGGCGGTGCAATATTAGCTTCGATCGATCGAGGGTTTTGATTTGTTGCGTTGTGCACCTACGTACTCTTCTGGGTTCGTGACTGCACTTTGCTGTACGTCGTTATTGATCACCAGATTTGGTCCAAGAAATGCTATTCGCTAAGACCTGCATCAAACAAGCTCAACACTTCTGTTGTACAAGATATTTCCGGTGGCCCCGACCCCACCAATCGTCCTCACTGATCTATAGTCACAAGTTCTGCAAAAATTTTACCCTACCAACCCAGGTCGACCAGACCTAATCACAAAAACAAATTAAGAACCGATCTTTGAGTTGAACAGGCAAAGCAGATACGTCCTAATGAGCAGGCCTCTCTATTCTGAAAGCTCAAACGACAAGATATTAATTATTGACTACATGTGCGGGTCTACAGGAAGTCAATGAATGGCATATGAATGATCCAACCCAACTCAAACATGACACAAACCCAGCTTCGGCACTTTGAACCCTTATATTTCTTCCAGGGATGCTTTCATATCACCAGTACCTATGGAATGTTAGCTGAGTAGTAAAAAATAAAGCTTCGTACCCTATTTGCTTTTCAAATGGATCGTTACGATGGGGTACAGTCCAAGTCCACGTCGCACCTGAGAGAGATATGGCGCATTCATAGTGTGAGCGAGCATGCTGTGATCCGGAAGGTTGGACTTTAGATCGCTCTTTGTTATCTGCCCGGTGATGAATCTGGAAGACTCTTCCAAGATTCCGCGCTCAGTATCTGCAGAAAGGGTTTTGCTGCTGTTCCCATTCGAGCCTAAAAAATATTCCAACGAATACGACTGACAGTGGGGCTTAGTGCATTTGAGAACTTTCTGGTTGCGGAAAACATGCACGTCAAAATGATTCTCGCCTTCAATGGTTGACTGTGGAAGTGTAGCTAAGTCGAAGTATCCCCTGTCTTGCGAATTTCGGCGACAAGTGTCTTGAAGGGCCGGATTTGATATCATGCGACTCATGCTTCACTATCATAATTCTGACTATCTGGGTAATCGTGTCCGCAGAAACTTTCATAGTCACCATGGTTGAATGTGGTATAAAACCCTCTCGCTGTGACGAAGCTGCTGATTACCTCCATGCTGTCCGATAATTTTGGGTTTTTGATCGGGACCCCAACCGGCCTTCCATAGATTGAAAGCAGACATCTAGAAGACGGTAATCACTGTGAGACAACTTCCCATAGTCTGCCTTGAAGGTGTGGTAGTCCTGCTCAACAATCTGTGGACACACTTGATGTCAGCCTCGTTAATGGCAGAAAAAGAGCGACTGATTATATTGAGCATAAAGTCTCAAGCACTAACTTCCTTTGGCATACGCCAATGGCCGTCACAATGGCTTGAAACTAAGCTCGTAATCGGGGGGCAGCCTGTCATATGTTGAACCTGCCGGATGTTTTCAATTAAAATTGAAGATTTTGAATGATATAATACTATTGAAAACTGAAAACATGAGGTGCCTTTCAGCCATTCAGGAGCTGCAGTGACCCCCAAAGGTTGCCGTAAATCACCAATCGAGATGATCGTTGAAATCGGCTAAAGACGTAATTGTTTTGACCGCCACTCTTGGTCAGCGCCTAATCATACCTAGGTATCGATTGGAAAAATATTCCATAGTTTGATTCCTGAGTATATACCTGCAGTAGAGCCATGCGCTACGCCCACCATTCGTTCAGCTAAGCCCCAACGAAAGCTAATAGTGAGTAGTATCATATGCAACCTTTCGCATCGTGCATATGCATCTTTTGCATAGCTCCGTTTCAATGGGCGATTGGTCAACAATTTTGGTCTATGGCCATCATATCGGCATCTCTAAACGGTAACTCATACCTGGTTAGTGGATTACAAAATGACATGGACCATGCACACGAACTCTAGAATGATGGCAGGCTGTCCAGCGGTGGTTACACGATGACGCCCACACAGTCATTTTTATGGCAATCAGGTTCGTTACTGGTCACAACTTTCAGTCCTTACACCGGACCGGGGTGATTGGGCAAATATGCACAAAAATATCTCCAGTTCTATCCTCGGTCATCTTCCTCCACTGAGCGTCAACCTATAGGCTCAGAAAATCATAATTATGAGTAGTCTACGCCACATGCAGTGCATTGAAACTGGTACGTGGAATATTTTTCCTTTCATGAATCTCAGCATCAATGGCCAAATCTTGTTTGATCGGTACGTTGAGTTGTCACTACGGTCCCTTATGTGGCTGTTGGCATCTGGTGTAGTCGAACATTGATCATCAACCACTGACAAACACATGGAAGTATCGTTGGAAGAGATAAATGCTCAATATTGATTACCATCCAGGAGGACTGTTTGAAAGAGACCGCGAGGCTCAAGTTAGTTAGAAAGCTGCATCAAATTACATATGCCCTTCCACTTCCAGGAAGCGTTCTCGGCGTTGCGTGTCATCTACACAAATGAATCAAATATCTTAAAGCCCAGTCACATTCAAACTAAAAGGGAAATCTAACAATAAAAAGACAAGCCAACAAGCCAATGAGTAAATTTCACAAGAAACAAGGGCTAAAAGACAATGGAAAAAATCACCTTTTCCAAATACATTGATCTCACGAACAAGTCGATTGAAAGACAACCATTCAAACTTGACTACGATCTGGGCCTGCTGCTTGAACAGCCACCATCTAGCCGCTTCCATTTTCAATGCCTGTCCAATGAAAGAAATCCATCGGAGCAATACTGGTTGCTGGATCTCCTGCTTGAGAGGCATCAATCCAAACATACTCATCTTCTGAACCTCTCGAATGAATGGAATCCATCGAAGCCATCCCGAGCTCGGAGTATGCTGCTGAAATGGCAGCCAATTAACCAATACCTGTGTCAGATTGAATGGAAACCATGTGAATAGCCCCCTTTGCTGGTTGTCCCACTCAAAAGGCCACCATCCAAGCAAACTCACTTGCTGTGTCTGCTTGAAGGGCACGTGAAGAGACGACGGCCATCCAAGATAATACAATCCAGGACCCAAAATATAAAGAAAAAAAAGAATAAGGGCTATGACAATGAGATCCCAGACCTGGGTGCGTGCAATCTGACCTAAACGGTCATTAAAGGTCTTAACGCGGGGTTGAGAGAATTGAGAGCCAAATTTCGCTGCCTGATCTCGCAGATCCACGACACTTTGCCCGTACCATAAAGCCGCGCCAGCAACCTTCCGCAGGCTCTCTTGGCGAAATTCTTCAATAGTACTAGTACCCGTACCATCTCGGACAGAGAACCAAGCCTGCCTCGATCCAGTGAGAACGATGTCTCGCAAAGTTTTCTGGCACTCACCATATTCTTCTCTCATCTTACTGCCATCAACCCAGATCATATCCGCAAAGTCATCGATGAATTGCAAAAGTTGGATGACGACCATCATGTCTATACCAGCAGGGAGTGCCTTTGTCGTCGCGGCATAGTGATGCAAGATCCCAATCTCTAGCACCTCAATATTCGTGGTAAGAGTTTCCTGAACGATCTCCAGAAATCTCTCGACCGGGAGGTCGATGACGAGTTGTCCAACGTTCCGTTTCCAGTTAAACCACAGGTCGCCATAGTCTTCGATCGGAGAGTCCGTTTCAAAGAGATATCCTAGAAGATTCTGAGTGATTGGGTCAAATCCTAGGATTAGTTTGCTGTGGCGGTTGTGGCATGGAATGGGAAGATTCATGAAGAGGATTGTAGGGTTTGTGTTGTGGGCGACATTGCTGAGACTCATGTTATTTTGTAAGATGACGTTGTTGATGCCATCTTGTTCGACGAGATAACATTCCCTCAAGCGATGCTGTTTGTCGCGGTTTTTCTCTGCGTGGGTCAGGTAAATGTGATAGTCGATTACACCCCATGGATGCCGACTGCTCTGGCTTAAGTAAGATGTGGAAAACTCGTTGGCGCAGGCCAGTGTTTCACTGCCAGAGTTGGAAAGGCTAGGAAGTTCCCAGTGAACACCGCTTGACCGCGGAGGGGAGGGGGATGGGGTGAGACGAGGACTCTGCATGGTGCTAATTGCTTCTGGCGCTGGGGGGTTATTACCTGTACTTACAATCTGCTACCTTGTAAGTGAGTGAGATAGGAGTTGACCCTGGACTCACGACAAAGTTCACAGCCACAAGAAATAGTCAAGTGTGGCGTGTGAAGGATTTTCTCGTGGAAAAGCAAGACGATTTCCTTGGTGGATTGGTAGATAATAGAAACGAGGGCACTGAGGAAGAAGAAGCTCTTTGGGTCAAAACGAAGCGAAAGAATTTGTGCGAGAGAATGGAAGAATGTGTCTTCCTGGTAGTGATAGTAGTAAAGGATCTTAGCAATGTGATAAATGACGGCTGCTTGACCTACTCTGACAATCCAATGGGCAACGACGAAGGTTACGGATCCGAGCCAAATGGTGAATACAAGCCAAAAGACTGATTCAGAGAGCTCCTGGAGAGCGATATTAGTCGGAGGCATCTAAAAAAATAGACAGGGTCACTCACAGTATATACAGATTCAATTGATTTGATTTGGATTGTTGAGTTTGAGACTGAAGTATGAGATGATGATGTCTAGGACCCAGGCGACGAGGACCCTTTTGTATTCAACAAGGCTTGCCTGCAAGAGAGTAAGAAAAAAAAAGGAACAATGAACACAAAGGCTTTGATTATGAATATATTTGTTCCCAAATCCTAAGTGTGGGATATCGCCTTCGAGTTTCAAGCGGAAAATAGCGACAAAGAACACAAAGAGCATAAAATTTGTGGAATCGGACGCTAAAACTAGATCAACAAAGTCCTTCAGTGTTTGACTCGGCTTTCAAATCCTAATAGCTTTGTGAGTTCTTTGTCCTCTGGTACTGGAATGAAAGAGCTTGTGTATTGCTCTGGTGGTAGACTTGGAATGGAGATCAAGCCAAAAAAGAGGCATGAAGAGAGCTCTTGAAAAATACATAGAGAATGATATGATTGAGATTAGATGAAAGAAAATTGACAGTGAACAAAATATTGTGCTCAGCAAACTGAATAATATTGACTCACTGAGCAGGGAGGGGAAAAACAAAAGGAAAAGAGATCCCTAGAGCCCAGCGAAATCACATCTATCAACACCAAGATTACGACTAGGTTAAGCAAATAAGGCAGTGTATAGTCTATGAGAAACTAATTTAGAATAAAGAGCAAAAGCCACCGTTTCTCGAAGACAAAAAGATTTCATGTATACGTAAACCCGTTTCTAGAACTCGAAGATTAGAAGAATGCCATTATACAACCACCTGGACAAAGCCCATTGTCTCCAACACCGGTTCACAACCTTCACTCTGCATATAGTATATGTATGAATGACCTCAGGACCTCAAGTTTTCATATCAAGTTCCAGAATTCCACTAGAACGAGCATCTTCAGCTCTCACAACCACCCAAGTCGCCAATTTAAATCAACCTCACAGTTTTCAAAATGGCCAAAAGAACCTCCAGTGTATTTGTTCAAGTTAATAAGAACCGCCGGATCAAAGAATATTCAGAAGAAGGTCACTACTGGATTTCAGTCCGTCTGACGGATGAGATGGAGTTCACTCACACAGACGTCGAAATCATGGCATTTGTGGTCAATGCAATTAAGAACAAGCGGGACAAACTAGCCGACTGCAGCCTTTATAAACCAGGTAATCGATACATCTCGCTCGCGGTGAGAGAAAGTATGGACTTTGACTTGCTGTGGTATGAGGCCGAGAAAAAGGCATCATTTATTCTTACTCAGATCAAGGCGAACAAAATTCGTCTTTCTCGTAAACTTCTCTTTGGTCCGGACTATGATGAGGAAGAAGACGAGCAATGTGATGATGGAGACGATAAGCTCGATCGATTTGACGGACTGTATCGCATGATGGAATATATGTTCGATTAGCCTTTTATATAGAACTGTAGGCGATTCGCTCTCTCGCATCTACCGTAAATTATATATGTTAAATGCTGACAATCATCCCGAGATTCATTTTCAAGCTTAGAGTACATAAATCATCAAATACATAAGTCGTCAAGCGTATCAATCATCTAGAACCATACATGCAACCACCATAGAAGCCGACATACCTCCGGTGGGGGTATACAAATCTCTAGGCCTATTTCCCAGCCCGCGACCTTTTGGCTCCAACTCACAGCTTTTATCCCACATCTCATGTATCTCAGCGGCTGATTGCAACTGCGTTGCCAAATAATCCTGTAACTCAGGAACAGACTGCAAGCAATACGGAGCTTCTTTCCATCGCTGGATTTCATGAATTGTCGTTGCTAACATCGTATACTTGTGAAAATTGATGAGACCTTCGGCCGTCACGGCTGGATTGCCGTCTTCAATAAAGGTGAGGTCTTTTAAAAAGAGGCCTGTGGATATATAGTGAGCCAATGAAAAAACAACAGAACAATGTGCAATATACTAACCGAGAAAAGGTATACACGGTGACACAGTCACCCGCAAAGTCTCCCGATAAGCCTGATAGTTCTGCGCACTGAGTATCATTGCCTGCAGAGGCCTTAACATGTTGCAACTGCGTTCCGTGACCATGGCCCACGTGCGAGCAAGTCGATGGATAGGCGCGCTTTCTAAACTCGACAGAATAGATATCACAGCGGAGTAATTTTGAAGTTGATGGCAATTCTATAGATCAATCAGCATTTCATGATAGATTACTGGGAAGGGCTAATATTTACGCTGGCCACACTGACTAAATGATCTACCACCTGGGCGCGCTTTTTCAATTCTGATTCTGCGAGTACGGTGGCGCAGACCCAATTTGAGAGTTGATTGGAATACCGGATCAAGGATTGGATGTTTGGTGCTAGCTCTGGTGTGGTACTCTTTTGCCAGTTCTTGTGTAACAATTCTTCTCGTTGGAGTTTGTTGAACATGGATGCTTCCATTATGGTTAACTGTCGGGCGACCTCTTTGGCGTCGATTTTTATGAATTGGAGCTTGTCTAATTTTCGGGGGAGGATTGGTTTTGGCGGGTTCGAGATGGAGAGGTGGGACCTTTTGGTATATGCGTTGCCGGAGAGTCGGCGCTGAATGATTACGTTGAGTTGTTGAGTCGGTGTTTCGGCGGCGCGCTCTGCGAATGATTGCATTCTTTGCAAAAGTTCATCTGTGTCGAAGCCTTTTGGCTCGCTCCAAAAGTGTTCAAGCCATTGTTTCAAAATGTTGATCACTCGCAATTGGATGAGAGGTTTTGTTTGAGTCGACCATTCTTCGGTCTCGGTGGGAGGCGGAGAGCAGTCAAACCTATCAATCAGAAGACCAAGCAGTTCAGCTCCCGAGGTAAAATATTTATAGGTAACGAGGAAGGTTCGGTTGAAGGCGCCGTCGAGTTTGTCGTGGCGTGTCAGATTTTCCACCAATGCTGGTAGAGTCGCTGCTCTGATCATCTCCGCACTTTTATTTGGACTCTGAACGAGTCCAACTGTGGTGTCGTGACATCCAGAGTCTACCCGTTCTATTGTGTCTTGTTGAGCCATTGTATCGAACATGCCATGAGAAGGTCGAATTGTCGGGTATCATTCAAATTGCTCTCTGTTCAGAGGGTCTTACGTACAACGTAATATTCCGATGACACTGCGCCGGTATCATATCAACATGTAAGAGCCGCAAGGGGAACGCTCGAGGATCTAGGACCAAGGTAGTCTCAGTGATGTATTCGCGTGGGCAGTGGGGTCTTTCTTGGCGGACCACCATACCAACAAAGGTGTGCACTCCACTTCAAATTGATAATTCGGGTCCTACGCCTTTAGCGGGATAGTGTTGGCCTTGTCCGACCTCGGGTTGAGTCATGGACACAGGTCTTACGATCAGCAGGTCCAGGTCCGGACTTCTTGGCCGAGCATCGAATTTCGCTTAAGCGCTTGTGCCGTGGCCCCCACTCTGGCCACTGGTACCCACTAAGATCACAAACTTTCAGTTATCTGATCCGAAACTTAATAGAATTGCTCATTTTGATTGATCAATTAAGAAACGGTTATTGCCGGACACGACCCACCTTGTGACTTTTTGGACTAACGAGCCACGCGGACGCCCCAACCGACTCCAAAGGTTTAGATGTTTATGATGGCCAATGGCAAACGGCAAATACCATAACCTGATTTGGAAGGTTGCAAGATGTTGTTCCGAGGCACATGAAATCTAATTCTAAACCTGCCAATTCCCGTGTTCCCGTATTCCCTAATGCCTGCCATTTTAAAAAACCGTACCACGAACCTGTGGCTTCCTTCTCAAGTCAATGTCCCTCATTAAGACAGTCCAAGGGATTGCCAAAACAATAATACCACACCCAACCGAAAGCAGTCTCAGCTCGGAGTAGGCATAGGCTTTCTGGATAGCCACCCTGGTGGGGCTTCCAACAGGGTAACTCCGCTGTGTGACGAGATCTTCGTAGATTTTGTTCAAATTCGGCATTGACGATTCAGGAAGGTATCTGACCAGAGCCTTGAGGTAAGTATTCTGCCAGATGACAGTGCTGATCGTAAGACCCGCACTATCCCCAATAGTGCCCACAACGTTCAATAGTGCGAGCGCGGTAGCCACATGCTGGTGATCGACAGCTGCTAAGATAGCGAGCTGCTCAACGAGAATAAAGGTTGAGCCACTGATCGCAAGGAAAATCTGGCACATCACCTGGTAGCCAACGTTAATGTTTGGCTGGCGGAAGTAGATCATCAATCCCTGTGCAAGAATGTAAAGTGGAACGGCGATATACAAGGTCCATTTGAACCGACCGACCCTGCGGATCAGCCAACCAGTGAACAGTAGAAGCACACCCGACACCATATCAAAGATATTGACAATGTAGTTTGAGGTGGTGATGCTAAGGTCGTTGTTCACCTGCAACCAGGATGTGAAGTAGTAGCTCCAGCAATAATTCGACAGTTGGTAGGTTGCATCCAACAAAACTGCGCCGATGATAGTGCGGTTCGTAAGAAGTCGCCATTGGAAAAGAGGGACTGGAGCTAGCCACCGCTCCCAAATCGCGAAAAAGAATAGGGTGCAGAAGCCAACCACGACCATAGCAATGATATAGGCGGAGGCCCATCCGTCGGGGGCGTAATCGGCGATGTCAAAGGGGAGTTCGAATAAAACAAGACCAGCTGTGAAAACAAAGACTCCAATAACTGGTGATTTTCATTAGATGCTTGTATCTGTTCGGATAAAGACTGCCAAACTCACCGTCGAATTCGATAGTCCAATGACAGATGCTTTCCAGTATGGTACGGCCACTGGGCCTCTTGATGCGGTAGCCTTCTTGTTCCGCCTTATGTAAATTCCATTTCAGCATAATGTATAGCGGCGCCGCGAAGATAGGCATAATGATCGCCCAGCAACCGAAGCCCCATCTCCACGAAATCTCATAGTAAAATTGTTCTGCCACCTTCGGACCCGCAAAGGCCGTGATAATATATGGCGAGGAAGTGAATGCGTAGGCGAAGGCACGATTCCTTAAAGTCGACACATCGGCTGTCACGACATCGACTGCGTATTCCATTCCGTAGAATCCGGCGTAATAAAACACCTATTGCAATCAGTCTTTGGATGGTTGTGTAGTTTCTTGATCATGAACTTACATTGGCAGCGCAATATATTTCAAAGGAATGGCATGTTGCCATGAGCACCAATCCAATAGTCGCACAGATGACCATCAGCAGGAAACCTTCCGCGCGCCCCCATACATCCATCATTTTGGCCACGGGTAGATATGTGGCGGCAGCAAACGCATCGCCGAGCGCAGTCGGGACCGCCGACAGTGAGTGCTTTTGGAATGAACTAGTCACATAGGGATTCAGAGTTGCGGTGACAGTTGATTGGAATGCATTTGCAAAATATAGGAACCAGATGCTATGAAAAACTTGATATTAATGGCTGTCGGCATAATAGAATTGCGCACGCGGCGTATCAAAGTCGAAATGAACATAAAGAACATACTTGATAAAGACTGCGATCAAAGTCTTTTTTGACCAGGCCATAGTAACAGCCTCAACATCTTGAACACCATGCTGAGCACTCCCATCCGGCACCTCCCTACACACCACAGAACTGGTATAGCTCGGAGTCGGATGGACTCCATTGTCCGAATTTTCTGTATGCTCGTTAAGAGAAACATCATCATTCTCTATTGATATGCGACGAAAGGCCACGCGGGCCCTGCGGATCAAAGGGCGAACACCCATAGTTGCTATACAACGTACATAGGAATATGAGATGCGGAATCACAGACATTAAGTCAAATGGGAAGATGTGTGGGTCGGTAGGGGATCGTTTCGCTTATAGTATACAAGCATCGAAGTTGAATGGGGGCTAAAAACTAACTGGAAGCGCACTAGCCTTGGAACTTTGCATGGATCGGTGATTGGTTGTGTGGAGTTGAGTTAGATGAACAGGAGGATCTATGCGCTGCTCTATCCGCGACTAGTGAAAAAGATAAGATCCTCCAGGGCCCGAAACACGCCACTATTTTGATCAGAACGTGCCTACTCCGTACTAGTACAAATTTACGATCTACAGCAATGTAATATATCAAATCTCTTATTTATTTCGAAATGGCATTGTGGTTGTCGCTCTCAATAATAACCTGCAATCCACTTTTTATCCTAGTGGGATGTGCATGATCACTTAAGGGGGAACAAGTCCAAGTTGGACAAAGCTAGCAGGACTGAAATTTAATTAGATGAATATTGTACATTGTTATATACTTGATCTCGCTTGTCAGATGCCTGATACTATTTCCATTTAGGATTAGTATAACGTAGCGCCGACAATGTCGGAGAATTAATGTTGAGACCATACAAGTTCAGTTGTGATGCAATCTTATCTGATTATACATAATAATTTATGCAGATAGGTCTTGCAAATTCACCCTGTGCGTGAAATTGGAGCACAAATGCTTCTGCAAAAGCTTGGCCTACTGTGGCTACCCAACTTGTCGATCTCTCGTGTGCCGTTCCTAATTCGATGTTTCTGCGTAGATCCTTGGACAATAAGGTTGGAAAGACATAGCCTTATTCGGGTTTCCATTTGAGCGAATTATACTGTGAGTTATCATCGGCTATAGCTATAATACTGCTGATCTATGATCGCCCTTTAAACCGCGGAGATTAGTTGGACTTATTGATAGTCATGAAAATAAGCTTAAGCTAGGACGGAGAAAATGCTTTTCAAAAAGTTATGATTAAAATGATGATCAACATTGGACTTGTCTGCTTTAACATGAGCCTTCAATGACTTAGTGATACAATGAACCAGGCTCATTTTGGTAACATCAAGACACACTGGCCTTGCCCCCCAGAGTTGTGACCTTGAATCCCGCAGGCAGGGTCATTTGACCACTTCCTGATGTGCTCCAGATTTTGGGACCTGACGCATCAAAAAAGTCAACTCTTTGGCAGTCGAAACACATAAATCGTCTGTCGAAAGGCTCCTCCAGGAATGTATTTGAGGTATGATATTGGTATTTTCGTAGTTCGAGAGGTTGAGTTGTGAATGTTGTCCAGCTAGATTCCTTCGAGGCATTTAGCAGGGCAGATTTTGTGAATGCATCAATCAACTTACCAGCATTTCCCTCAATTCGGTCACCTCGCCGGTGTCCGCATCAATTTCTTCATCATGCATGAGACTTCGCATAATGGCACGACCTTCTTCTCTATCCTCCTCGTTGAAGATTTTCAGCCCATAGTCGCTGAGAAACTTGAATTCACCCCCGTAGTGCGTCTTGAGCCATTTTTTCTCTTCGGCTGTTACACTTGACAAGGCCCGGAGGTAGGACTCTCGAGGGCCTTTAGACTCATAGGACATGATAGCGCGTAGAAGACAGCGGCCTTCTTCCTTGAAATCTGGCTTGAAAATGTTTGTCCCAACAGAAGAAAAGCCCGGAAGCTCATTCCCGTATTGCGCCTTTATCCCTTCCATCTCAGTAATAGTTAGCTTTTCGGTGCCGGGGGCTTGTTGTTGACGTGGACCATCGCAGGCAGCCAAAGCTCGTAGGATAAAACGACCTTCATCTCGAAACTCATCCTTGAAGATTTTCTCCCCCTGCGAACAGACAAGATTGAGTTCGCTCTCATATAATGTCCGTAGCCAGGCCTGCTCAAAGGCTGTCAAAGGGCCAGATGTCACGAATTGTCGGTTCCGAATGGCTAGCAATGCTTCAACTCTCTTCCTCTCCTCGCTAGGCCAGATGACATGAAGCATGTATAAGCCGGACGGTTTGAATGGCGTAGGTCCAACCTGAGGGCCAATCGGGAGCCCACTAAGACGCACCTCAAAAAGCGGGACCAAGGGACTGAATGGCTGGAAATAAGCTGCTGGTTTACCGCTAGTGTCGGTGATGTAACCAGCTGCATGGCTATCACTGGAACATGATATTCGGTAACAGTCATCAATAGGGTTGCCGATCAAGTTGCAGAATATGTTAGGTGCGTGTAGCACCCTCTTTAATGGAAGGATGCCGTGCGAGCTCGAACCGGTCTGAGTTGGTGAAATCTTGACAGGGAGACGAACAGTTCCGATCCCAATGACTTTGATTTTTCCTCCCTCTCGAGTCGTAGCAAAAGAATCTATGGGGACGTAGTCGTGAGAGAACCAAGAGCGATCTTTCGCGACACTGATTTGGTTAGCTAGAGACATAACTGGCCCCGGGCTAACTCTCACTGGATGTTAGATGTGTTTGACCAAATCCAAGACGGACAAGGAAGAGAGCTCTTCTCAGCCTGAGAAGATGACATGATGAGCATAAAGTCTTTGAAAGCTCTGGAAGCGTTGTGAAGAAAGTAGCTCTAAATTGGGAATGAGAATGCTTGAAGAAAGAAAGGCAAAGATGGAAAGAAGGAGAGGTGAGAGAAAGAAAGGAAATCACGTTTCAATCCTCTCAAACCTAGCAATACTAATAGAGTTTTGATAATACAACCCCCCCCCTTATCAGAATTTCTGCCTGATTTTGCCTGATCCCTTAGTATCTGATGACCGCTTTCCTATCAATCTCTATGCAAATGCACCTGCAATAATAAGCATGGCAGAAATAATTGATGCCTGACAATAAATGTGGATGTCTTAAGCATCAGGCATTTTGAGGCAGGGGGTGTAATACACATTATCAACACCCTACTTATATATGACTACCGCAGATCAAATAACTAACTAGAGTAGAACCGATCTCATTGTCTATCCAGCAATGCCAGACTATTCTAAATTTTCCGGCCAGAACCATCATTTTGAAGCTTGGGGCAATCGCATCTGCCCATCTCCCCATGCAATACCAACTGTCGGACCTGATAGATCGAAGATATGAATGCACTCGCATGGGAATTATAACATTCGCTCAACGGGCTTATCCAAGCTTTTAGACATGAGGGCTCGCGCACTACGATGACCTACCTCCCGGCCACTCTCTTTGTCGATACTTAGCCTATACTTTTACAGAGATTCCATTTCAGTATTCCACTGCTCTGCAAGTCACGCCTGCTCTTTCTCTATCAGAGGCATGCCAAGTGAGTATAGAGTGGGATAAGTGCCTTTTCAATTTTCTCCGGTAGTCTAAAGTAGTTTTGAAAGGTGAAGGGTGAAGGGTCCAATTGGGGAAAGGTATTTACGCTCAAGGAATCAGACAACCGGATTTCTAGGATAAGTGGGAGTTCTTCAAACCCAAGCAGCTTTAGTCCCTTTACTGAAAGGTTTTCCCTCATTCTGTGGCGGGCTTCCTCTTGTATCTCCATTGTAACTTTGACACGAGGGTGGAATTACGTTGACTCAAAGCAGATTGAACATGTCTCTTTGTTGAACTATACTTAGAACTATGGATATTTACTCCAGGGAGGACAAGGTCATTAAAGGGATAAACTCTGACATTTAAAGGTGATTGTTCCTTTTGTTCCCTTTGTTCCTAAAGCATTGAAAAGAAGTATCATCTCGATTCTGCTATATAAACCCTCGAGTCTCTCGAGTCTATGCCCAGTTTGATCTACCAAAGCACCTCTAATCCAAACCAACCAGCGAAATCAAATTTCCAGCAAGACTCGAGCCTCCACAAAAAGAGCTAAGCTCCCCCAAATCCCCTAACCAATCGTCAAAATGTCTGATGAAAATTCATATAGGTATCAACCAAGTGTTTTCATTGGCGCTAACAAACGCCGGATCGCAGATCCCCACCATTACTTCGGCAAACATTGCTGGGTCACTGTGAAACTCCCAGAAGGAATGTCTTACCAATCCCACACTGACAGCGAGGTCATGAGCTACGTGTATATGAGGATCCAGAATGGACAAGTCTTTTTCGACGGCGAACCACAGCACAGCAGGGGGAAGAAAAGTATCTCGCTCCCAATTCGATGGGATGAGCCCTACCCACAGGATGAGGACGTACTCCTACTTGAGGCTAAAAAGCTTGCTGCGTGGTGGCTCCATCACGTTCGTAAAACCACAGTGACCCTAGACCAGCGTATGATTTTCGAAACAGCCTTTCCTTTCGAAGTGCCTGCATTGTCTATGGTGGATGTTCCTGTTTCTTGGGAGAGGCCGTTTAATGCCCCGTGGTACTAGGTACATGAAGACTGTAAGTATGTGTTGCCTCGTTATTCTCTATTAGATGAAGTCTGTTTTCTTTTATAAGTTTCAATCGAATTTGGTCCTGTAAGGTTAAACTCCGTAGAGATATGATAAGGTATTTAATCTTAATACAAAGTACTTGCAGTATACCGTGAGCGCTGTCTCCACTGTGCACCATAACGCACAACCAGTACAGGAATGAGAGCAAAAATGATGTCCAGAATCCCAAAGACAGAAAATCCCCCACCGTAGCCAAGCCTGTCAGTTAACCGTGCCATTGAAAGCGGCAAGAACGCACCAGCTAAGCATCTAATTGATATGAGGCCAGCCATTGCAGATGCCGAATAATGACCGCAGGCATCCACAATGTACGCGGTCAACGGCGAGGTTGCCAGCATTATTGAAGTGCGAAGCCATATCATTGTAAATAATAGAATAGGCAAGGGTAACCTGTACTCGGCACACCATCCATACAACATCACTGCAGGGGGGAGTGTGAGGGCTCCGATGATGCTCAACGGTAGACGGTACTCGGGTAGACCAATCCCATTATTGAGGGCGCGAAGCTTGACATATATCTTATCGAGGAAGACTTTTGAAATAATGAAACTGATCACTGTGCCAAGGCCTTGAGGTAACTAGATTAGCTGGGAGACGGACAGATATAGAGTGAATACTCGCGGCAGACTCACCATTTGCTATGAAAGCCAGCCCTGTTGCAGTTGGGGACAATCCATATATTTTCTCCAGGATATCCGGAAGGGTCGTAGACACGATGTAGAAGTGAGCGAATATGAAGGAGCCAAATAACAAGAGGGCCCCTAACACACTCGAATCATAAAGAACCATTATGGGACGCATAATGGAATCTCGCAAGCCGTTCAACTCTAGCTTGGCGCGTGTATTTTTCTCGGAGTTGTTGATCGAGCTCCCTTTCTTAGACTGTAGCACCATTGCCTTCTGCTTGAGAATCTGGACTTTGTATGTTTCTCGAAAAAAGAGGAAGAAAAAGAGCTGGCAAATACTTGCCATGGCAAAACTGATCCATATAATAGTGCGCCAACCTAGACTTTGCACGATAACACCACTAAAGACAGGACCCACGGTGCCGCCGATGAGTGGAATAAACATTATCAGACTAACGGCAGTGCCCCTTTGCTCGGGTATGAACATATCCCCAACAATGGCAGGGTTCAACACATTTGAAGCAACCGAGATGCCCATCAGTGCACGGGAAACAATGAGTAGTTCTGTGCTCGGCGATAAAGCCGCGAATAAAATGGTCATTAGGAACATCGTGTTCATCGTCAAGTAGAGGCGGTAACGCCCGAACATTTCAGAAAGTGGTGCGATGAAGAAGGGGCCAATTGCCTCGCCAAGCTCCCATATTGTTACAAGCATCACAGCGGCAGACTTTGCCTCGACGCCGCCGTTGAGATCCTCAATTATGTGGCCTGCTATTGGGACTATCGAGATGCAAGTGAATGTGCTAAATAGAACATTAGCTTGAGTTGGAAATTTTGCTTGGCTTGAAATGCCACATACATGGTGAAGCCCATAAAAGATAACAAGGCCACAATACCGCATTTGAAGGAGTATGGCCAGTCAAGTGGATTTTCCGAGTCCCCATTTCGTTCGAAGTCAATCTCGTTGCAGGAGTATTCGAAACTACTGCGATAGTCACTTTCAGATTCGCGTAACAAGGGATTTGCCTCTTCTATATGCGGAGAATCAGGCATTACACCGGTAAATAGCTTGTTGGAATGAGTTTTGGTTGATGAGGAGATTAACAGAAGAAAGGTCGTTAATAGGCCCAAATTTTCTGGTCGTCATTTAAAAATGATCGTCTGGAGATCATACTGCCTCTAGATTGCGATGACCTCTGGCATGCAAGGGATGTGGGCTTTATGAATTGGCTTCGTGTATTGAAGCGGCCCGCACCAGCCATCTCCCTAAAATCGGGCCTTCAAAGTCAACAGGAAAGCATCATCTGGAGGATACAACCATGTATAACTCTTTTCAGAATAATATCATGATTGAAAAAGTGCTGGTTTAGGAGGCTGCGTTTTCACCAGGATTGGACTCGAACAATAAACCATGCTACTCAAATGCGGGGATAATACGGATGCAGATGGTGGTGAATTGTTGATTGCGCTTGTCTTTGACCCCTCGGTCTGCATCCGAATGAGTGACAATCTGCAAAATGTGAATATGATAAGTGGAATGAATAGGTAGGCTTTACCATAACGCCGGTATAATACATAAAAGCCAACATGATAAGATATCAATTACGAGACTAGAACCACTTTGATTCCCTCGCCTTCTTCTCGCGCTCTCTTTTCTTCTGTGCGAGTATATACCCACACCCAGCACCAGTGACATACCCACCTAGATGGGCAGCATGGTCCATTTTAGTAAGTCGGGAAAGTGGCCAAACGCGGAAGAGGCGTGCTGGGGCTAGTAAGCTAAAGACCTCAGTTGCGACCAGACAGGCGAGGAAGAACCCGCCATGGGTCCAAATCTTGTCGCGGAGCTCTTGGGGGAGGATCCACAATGTGATTTTGTCGCTACGTGTTATTAGTTAGGAGTTATAAGGGGTAAAGAGTGAGTAGGATGAGAACATACTCGAAATGGGACATGCACCATGCGGCGACGATACCGCTAGTTGCGGCGCTGGCACCTAGGGATGTCGTTCCCAGGGCTCCGAGGAGGACGCTCCGTGTCAGTGAAAATATGGAACCCATCGCTCCGGATGCAAAGTAGATCGCGAGGAAGTTTCCACGGCCGATTTCATCATGCACTGTCCGAGATGTTAGTGACGATTGATTTTTGGCTACTCGTTACAGCCGTTTGCTTACCTCTAGTTCCCATGATAGCCAATACCATCATGTTAGTTCCGAGATGTCTCCATGTTTGATGACTGAATGTGCTTCCAAGCATTCCAAGTGAACTGGGATAGAAAGGAACAATGACAAAGTAGCGGTTGAGAAGTCTCCACGAGGGAGGGACGTATTTCCATAGCAGAGTGACAGCCAAGTTGGCACCAATTATCGCACCCACGGTTGCCACCGCAGGAGGGACATCAGGCATGAATCGGTCTTTTCTCGCGGGGAATTCATATCTCTGGGAGAAAACATAGCAAAGACCCAAAACCGCAATGGTAAACAAGATCGGGGCGAGTAGACGTTGGGACTGCCAGTAGAAACAAAGTCAATGATCACATTTCCACGCAAATTCTCCCGAAATGGGCAAATCTCACTGTAGTAATGTTAATAGACTCAGGAGTCTCATGAGTACCAGCAATGTGATGTTTCTGAACCCAAGCAAGATACGGCCGCTCAATAGGATCCGCGCGAGGACGAGCTTAAAAGGTCAGTACGATCAAGCGAATAAGTTTCTAGAAACCATACCCTCAGTAAGCGCGTTTTCCTGATACTGCTGCAAGGAAGTATCCTGATTAATTTGACGTTTCAAGCGTTCCGCCTCCTCTTTCTCGCCATCAAGCCATTCCTGACGTTTCCGCTCCTGCTCGGCCAACAAGCGCTTCTCATTCTGCTCACGGGCTTCTTTCAGAACACTCTTGCCGTAAGGAGAACCCTCCTCGCCGAGCTCGGCATCATAGGAACCACTCTGGGGTTTGTATAAGCCGAGCCTTTCAGCCCGACGTACAAGCTTCTCTTCCTCGGCGCGGTCTTCGCGCTCAATCCGAGCGAGAATTGCAGCATCTTCATCAACGTGATATTTGTTCCGAAGCCAGTCCATGGCCGCATCGATTTGCTGCTGGCTAACGGCTCGGACGATATCGCTCGGTAATTCCGCATCCAGGGTACCAGTTAGGCGGTGGCTGTGTAGCGTGTTCAAGATGCGATTGCCGAGCTTTGTGTTGACACCGGAGGACCCGAATATGGTTTTGATTTCGGCATCGGGGACGCGGGGAAGGACTTCCGCTGTCGGGTTGGATCTTGATTTGGCGGTCGTGCGCTTAAAGCGGCGGGAGACGGAGGCGGAGATTGGGGAGCAAGACGATTGAGATGGTAATTTGGATACGGGGCGAGGGTTCAAGAGAAGTCCGAATGAGCGCGTGGTGCTGTACATGCGCCATGGATTAATGCGGAGATCGTGAATTGCAGGGCGGAATGTTAGCACGGCGCGGAGGCCTAGGCATGGAGCCCGCCATGCGACCCAGACCGCATTATTCATATCCTGGGATTGGACACCTCGATGAGTTGAGTGTGTCTTGTTCTATCGTGATCGATTTGGTCGTTGGGGAACTTTTTAGATCAATGGGCCCACGGCTGTAGAGTTGTTCCGAGCCCGTGATTGTTGAAGCAGTTGACAGCTATACTTACATGTATGTATCTAGGAGCTATTTATTCTTTCTTTTATAGCATTAATATCATAGACATTTCTCGAGCATATCAAATCTACTGTTTTCCGAAAAATGTGTTATAAACATCTAATGCAAGTAGAAGCCCTCCAGGTCTGTAGTATATACAGCCCCACGTGATGATAAGCCAATAGCTCCGCATTTCGTCCGATCAAACTCACCTTGAGATTGTATCTCAACTACTTTCTACAGCATAAACAAAATGTCAACCGAGTCACTTCCCATCACTCCAGGAGCCTTCGCAGAAGCCATTAAAGAACTTCCTCTGGCAGTCCTCTACAGCAAAGTCTCAGAGCTCACAAACTCCATCGCCCACCTGGACCGCTCAAATTCCGAGCTCCGTGCATACTTGGCTGAAAGCAACGACTCCGAAGAAGAGAAGAAAGAGATTCAAGAGTACGTTTCTGAAAATGATGGCGTTGCCGTTTCTATGAAAGAGCGCATTGGACTGTTGAAGACCGAGGTTGAGAATCGGGGCCAGCCATGGATTGAGCTTGAGGAGTTGAAGAGGGTGGAAGATGAGGATGCGGCTGAAGCTGCGGCACCAAATGGGGATGGGAGTGCGGCTACTGGAGCTACTGGGGCCACTGAAGCTACCAATGGAGGCCAAGATGGAGAAAGCGAGGAGGGAGTCTATCTGTGATCGACCCGGTTACTTTTGCAAAGCGGGCTTCTGATCCTTTCCGTGAATTAACTGGTCGGTGATGCCAAATGAATATCCGAAAAGCATAAACGACAATCTGTGGTACTTGGCCACCAAGTACTATTACTTTACATTGCACAGATTCCCTCGGTTTGTGTGGGTCGATGATCGACGAGTGTCGATTGGTAATGTCTCACGGCATACTCCATTTCAGAGCTATGACGGCCGAGAAACAATCAAGTCGACAAAGTGAACACCAGAACTGAAGCTCACATATGCTGCGCTAGCGCACGAAGCATTGAGGCTATACCGAAAGTTTTACTACAAGACACAGTTTATCTTTTCAGGCCATTTCAAACCCTTCTGATAGCTTTGGTTTCTTATTCGAAGTGGCTGATTATGTGGAAAAACAAACCAGATATGACCTCAATGAATATAAACTCAAGAAACTCGACATATGCCATGAATCATAATCAGATCAGCTGAAATTGTATTGCGTTATGATAAAGACAGGCAACGATGACCAGCTGATGCTGAATAAGGATATGCAAGATCATCAAGTAGAAATATTCAAAGCGCATGCTAAATGCTCAATCAAAGCCTTGGCTCTCTATCGTATCGCAAATTCCCCTATTTTCTTGGCGGAGAGCAGAATACGAACGTAGTAAGACAGCGCAGCCCAACGCCAGTTTAGAGGACATGTCATGGTCGTCAATGGGTCATGTTAAAATAATCTGCTCCAGACCCGTGGAGTTTATTGGGCGGTTTGCTGAGCCCAGTGACCGCCATTAAGCGCCTCCGGGGGAACCCGCTGCTGCTTAATGAACAACTCGATCAAGGGCTGCATGGGCTCCATCTCCTTGTCGGACACAAGTCCATAGTACTTGGAGACCGTCACGAAATGCACGAAACACATGTTCAGGATGTCGTGCTTGTTGATGTGCCAGAAGGGGTTAAGCCAGTGGGCATGGTACAGATGGGCGTAGCAGCGGAACATCTGCTTCATGATTCCTTGGCAATCCTTGTAGAAAGTCTGGGGGAAGCCGCTGGACTTGCCGATCCAATCGTCTGGGTTGGTTGGGTCTGAGGGGGTTGTTGAAGCGCCATTGGCTTCTTTAATAGAGGAGGTCTCGGGGGTGCCGTTGACTTTTTCGGTAGGGAACATGACAGGGTCGTGTATTTTACTGACGATCCATTTTTCAACGCGGTTGATGAACTTGGGTGCGGAGATTTTGGCAGCGCGGCCGTCGACGAGCCAGGTGTAAGTCAACCTTCGGGTTTGTTAGTTCGTTTCTTAAATTACCCCGCCATTTCCACATACCGCCCAGCAGACATCGTCGGACAAGTGTTTTCATTGCAAATAGTAAGGCCGGTCACGCTGTTGGTCTCCTGGATAACCTGGAGCATGCCGTGGAGTAGGCGATATTGTTCAACGACTAAGTAGAAACAACCGAGTCAGTATTCCGGTACCAAGATAAGCTCCCATTTAACTTTAGCTTACTTTGGTGAGCTAACCATTCGCCCAGCTCCACATTCTTCGGACAGGCACAGAGGGTCAAGAAGTTGCCCCTCACATTCAGGGGGGCATACTTCTCCTGGAAGAAGTACTTCGGTCCCTCGGGGTCATTGGCTTGGCTTTCAACTCCCAAGCTGCTGGAGATCGAGGGTGAATTCGACATATTGGACTGATGTTGGGGAGCAGAAGACTGTGCTGGGCTTTTAGGGGGATTGTTTCCTTTGTTGTTTCCTCCCCTACCAAATCCTTGGCGACTAGATTCAAGATAAAGTTAGCGGAGATCGTGGCGAGGGGTTGTGGTAGCTAAGCTGTAGCTAAATGAAGAGATCAAAGGAGAAAGAGTAGATGAGACAATAGAAAGCAGGTTATTTGCAAATATTAGACTTCGGGGAATGGAATGCTGCTTTGTGATTGTGGCGCCGGTCTTCGTGCAGTATGAGGGGGGTTGAGATGGGAAGGAGATATTGAAATAGCGGGATTACAACAGCTCACAGCGCACAGTACTTACACACTCTGAAAAAAGGTGGCCATGTTGGAATTGAGCAACAAATGTTTTAATATAAAGAAAAAAACAATGAAGTTGAACGATACGGTGAGATGGTCTCAAGGATTCCCTTTTGGTCTGGCCATGTCAACTAGTCCAATTTGGGCTCGGAACCCGGGGTAACCTTATTGCCGGATCGTAGCGCGAATAATGAGAAGCTCCAATTGACAATGGCCCGAAATCACTTGTTCATATTCAACTGGTTCATTTTATATACCATTGATTCCACCTTTTTCTCTCTCTCTCTTTTGATCTTTTCTTGATCCTTGCTCACATTTACCCATCTCCCCGCATCAGCAGCAAACCCCATAAACAAACTATGTCCTCCGACGAGGAGGGCGCTCGGCGCCCCGGCCGTATAGGCAATGAGAGTCCTGCGCCTAGCGATAATGCCAATGATTCAGGTGCCAACGACATCGGTGCAGACATCATGGACGAAGACGACAATGATGACCTTTTCGGATCAGACGGAGAAGGCGGCCTCGACGACATCGAGTATGCAAACTACACCAATGCGACAAGTTCGGGATACTGACAGATTGCCAGACCTAGTCGCAACTTAGATGATGAGCAACTTGACTCGGGCGATGATGAAAACCGCTATGATCGACGGGATGATCGTATGGAGGATGTTACTCAAGAGCAACTAGAAGTCAATGTTGTCGATCACGACCTTGCGCGTGCGCCAGTGCCATTGACTAATGATGGGGAGGCATGCAATTTTAGTTCTCCAAGCTCTTGAGCGCCGGTCTAATGTTTTGCAGATTTACACAATGCGTGTGCCCGATTTCCTCTCAATTGAAGCAGAAGAGTTCAACCCCGAAACTTACGTTCCACCTCCATACAACGTTGCCTCAACGTCTCTCTGTTGGCGCAAAGACCCCGCGGACGACTCCCAGCTGCAGTCGAACGCCCGCTTCATTAAATGGGATGATGGATCCATCACTCTCCAGCTCGCATCTCAGCCCCTCGAGCAATATCGCATCGCCTCCAAACCTCTTGCACCTCTCACCCGCTCCGGCGAATACGATCACAAGCTCGACTCTCACGTTTACCTCGCTGCTGGCCTGGAAACTTCCCAGGTCTTCCGACTGACCTCACATGTAACCCACGGCCTGACCGTACTCCCAACCACTCTGGAAACCGATGACGCCGTTGCCCGACTGCAAGAGCAACTCGCTGCTGCCGCCCGCGGTAGCAAGCAGACCGCAGCTGGTACTGCGCCCATTTATGATCAGAAGGAGGACCCCGAGCTGGCTGCCAGGCGTGCCGAGGTCATGGAGAAAGAAGCCATCAAGGCCGAGCGTCGTCGCCAGCAGCTTGCTGATCGTGAGGCGGACCGTGGTCGTCGCCAAGGTGCTTCTCGCACTGGACCTACTGGCCTGAGCGTTGGTGGGCTTGAAGATGGTGGTCTACACACAACTCGTCCTCGCGCCAAGCCCCGTCGCCAGAACCGCCGTGGTGAGATCTTCACTGATGATGAAGAGGAATACAACCGTGGTGGTCCCCGTAACAGGGAAGACGAGTACGATGAAGACGATGGATTTTTGGTTGGTAGTGATGAAGATGTTGAAGAGGGTGAAGATGACGAGGAAGAGCTTGAAGATGAAGATATGGATGCTGAGGGTGAAGATGATGAGGAGGTTGCACCGAAGGCCCGAAGCAAGCCAGAGCTCAAGGCTGGCACACCTCCCGCTCGCAAGAAGAATCGCTACGTTGTGGACGATGAAGATGATGAGTGATCTGGTGGGTCATCACATCTAATATTTCTTTTCTTTTTACAGCTTTCTTGATACATATCCACATGGTCCGGCGTCATCTACATGGACAGGCATTTGAAGGACACTGGGCTCCTTCAGTTTAAATCGCTGCTTGTACTAACAAAAATAATGAAATAGTCAACGACACAAATTATTACTTTCGTACACGATTTGTAGACTGTGTTGATAGGATGTCAATGGTATATGATATTGAATATTCATTAATATACATGTGTGTATATATGTATATGTGTCTTTTTTTGAAGGCTTAAAGATCAGACAAGAGATGAAATGTGGTATACGCAAAAACCCCAGAAAATCAAACCCAGGCTTTGAACAGGAAAAGCAACCGCATAAGACTGTTCGCCGATTATATCCGCCAATCGAGGCCCATTTAATGGGCTTTGACCGGCTCAACTCCTTCGGGGTAATCAGAAATGTCAAAATTGAACTTTGCAATGACAGCCTTCGCACTCCCAGCAATGCGCAGGCAAAGATAATCTTTCTCCTGGCCATCTTCTTCATTCTGCGACGATTCCGAGGGCGATGGAGTCAGCGGGTTACATTGCGTCTGCAACGGGTGTTGTCCAGGTTGATGCCAGCGGCGTTGCCGCTCCTCGAGTCCTCTAATTATGGAAAGCAGATCCACTCTCTCAGCGCAAACACCCGCAGCACCTGGCTCCATGGGGCCGCCGATGACAGCACGGCGAACGGTTTGTCGCAGCCAGCTTGCCCAGGCTTGTGCTGGGTCAGCGCTTTGGAGAACCTTGGTCACGTATTCTGCTGGCGCGGACTGCATGCCTAGTTCGACAGGATCGGTTTTCCAGACGCGTAGCCAATTGTCCGTGGCTACTGTTAGTAGGGTTCCCACGAATGTGATGTTTTGCATGCCGGTTGCAAATGTTTTGGGACAGACTTCGCAGCGAATCACGTCTTGGACGGTGCGGGCCGCGAGATATAAGGAGCAGAGAGTGTGAGAATTGACTGGGAAGGAGGCTATTGAGGTCATGTGGCTGAGGCATAGGTAGAGATAGGAGAGACAGGGACACCTGTTTACCACAGAGTCGGAGGAAATTGAGTTGGAGGGTGAGAGTGGGAAGGATCCCATGGCGGGGAAAGTTGTAGGAATTGGGAATGGCATTGGCAAGGCGGTGGCTTCGGAGACGGTTGAATAATCAGGCCATGGGCTTGATGATGCGGGGACAGGTAAGTTTGGTTGCGTTAGACGATCTGTCCGCCAGCTTTTATTGTGGTCTTCATAGCCTAATAGATCTGGCGCGGGTTGTGGTTGTGGCGAGTTCACGTTCAACCCCCGCGGCCAGAAGAATGAGGGACAGAGATGATCAGAGTCTGGGAATTGCGCTGCCCCAGGACCTATGTCCATCGAAGACTGCTGTGAGTCCTCTGGACTGGGCCATATTTCGGCCCCGGAATGGGCTTGGATGTCGAGCCCCTCATCCTCTGTCCTTGTTCGCTTCTTGGGGGGGCGGCCCATTTGCTTTTGTATGGAGTAGTTGCAAGAGAGTGCTTGCTTGATGCATCGAGAGCAGCCAGTCATTTCTCCGGAGCATTTAAGTTTGCGTTTCCCTATTTGACAGCAAAGATGGTCAGTGAATGTAGGGTTGCACTGGCGTTGTGAGACTTACTACACTCGTCGCATGCTGCGTGTCGTTTTACCGAAGGACCAGAGTCAGACGGAAGAGGTATATCTCCCCCAAACCCCGGATCAAGTGACATTTCTTCACAATTACTTTATAAAATCCAAATCAACAAAAACCTGCTGCGCAGGGCAAATCTGAAGATTGGCGCTTAAGTCATAGATAGGCCCGATAAGATTGCGGTCATGTGGGCGGTGAGCGCGGCCCTGCGAAAAAAAATTCCCATGAACTCCAACAGCAACAGAACAACATCTGCTAAACGCCATCATGAACCCCAAGGCGGCTTCCAAGAAGCGCAAGGCTGTCACTCGCGACGTGGAGGAGGAAGCTGGTGTTTTCTCCGGTGACGAGCTCAGCAAAGGCAACATCGATGGAGCTTTGTCCGACAACGCCAATGATCTTTCGGAGAGCGAAGACGACAGCGACTCGGAAGTTGAACTGGTCGACGAGTTCAGTGATGAGGAAGATGACGAAGAAGAATTGGACAGTGACGAGATTCCCTCTGACACAGAGGACGTCAAGCCGGCTGCTGGTGAGCGCAACTTCCGCGTTGTGAAGGACGCCAACGGAAACGAGCGCTACCTTTGGGACGAAATTCACCCCGATGACAACTCCGAAATTTCCGAGGCCGATGCGACTGCCAACACCATTGGCGATATCCCGCTCAAGTTCTACGACGAATATCCCCACATTGGTTACGACATCAATGGAAAGAAGATTATGCGTCCCGCCAAGGGCGAGGCCTTGGATGCACTTCTCGATAGTATTGAGATCCCCAAGGGCTGGACCGGTCTCACCGACCCTAAGACCGGCAAGCCTCTGCAGCTCAGCCAGGATGAATTGGAGTTGCTGCGCAAGGTGCAGATGAACGAGGTCCCCTCCGAGGGCTACGACCCATACGAGCCTTTGGTGGAATGGTTCACCAGCCAGACGGAGATCATGCCGTTGAGCGCTGCCCCCGAGCCTAAGCGTCGCTTCGTGCCATCCAAGCATGAGCAGAAGCGTGTGATGAAGCTTGTCAAGGCTATTCGCGAGGGCCGCATTCTTCCCTACAAGGCCCCCGAGGACAAGGAGGAGCAAGATGAAGAGCTTATTAACTACGACCTGTGGGCTGACGAAGTTGAGCGACCTGACCACGTTATGCACATTCCGGCACCCAAGCTCCCACCTCCCGGTTACGAGGAGAGTTATCACCCGCCTGCCGAGTACCTGCCCGATAACAAGGAGCGCAAAGAATGGGAGCAGATGGACCCCGAGGATCGCGAGAAGGACTTCCTACCTCACGACTTTGGCTCTCTCCGCAGAGTCCCCGGATATGAAAACTTTGTCCAGGAGAAGTTCGAGCGTTGCTTGGATCTCTACCTTGCTCCGCGTGTGCGTCGTAGCAAGCTGAACATTGACCCTGAATCCCTTCTCCCCAAGCTCCCCAGCCCTGAAGAACTGAAGCCCTTCCCCACTGCCTGCGCCACAGTATTCCGTGGACACAAGGGCCGTGTGCGCTCTGTTAACGTTGACCCAACTGGAGTCTGGTTGGCCACCGGTGGTGATGACGGTACGGTCCGCGTCTGGGAGCTTCTCACGGGTCGCCAGTTGTGGAGCGTGAAACTGAGCGACGACGAAGCCATCAACGTCGTCCGCTGGCGTCCAGGTAAGGATGCCGTCGTCCTTGCCGCCGCCGCCGGAGACGACATCTTCCTCGCCGTGCCCCCCATCGTCGATCCCGAAATCGAGAAGGTCAGCTTGGACCTCATCGACGCCGGCTGGGGTTTCGCCGCTTCCAGACCTGCCCCCAGTGCCTCCGAGGAAGGCAAGAAGAATACTCCCCCAACCTGGATCCGACCCTCGTCCGCTCACCAGGACGCCGGCGTGTGCGCCGTCATTCCTCTCCGCTACGTCCCCAAGACCATCTCCTGGCACCGTCGCGGCGACTACTTTGTCACAGTCTGCTCCGGCGCCTCGACACCGGCTTCAGTCGCAATTTCCATCCACACAGTCAGCAAGCACCTGACACAATTCCCCTTCCGCCGTCGTCTCAAGGGTGGTGGTCCCCCGCAGACCGCGCACTTCCACCCCTCGAAGCCAATCCTCTTCGTTGCGAACCAGCGCTCCATCCGCGCCTACGATCTCTCCCGCCAGCTGCTCGTCAAGATTCTCCAGCCGGGAGCTCGCTGGATCTCCTCCTTCGATATTCACCCGACATCATCCAGTGCTTCGGGTGGCGACAACATCATCATCGGCTCATACGATCGTCGTCTGCTCTGGCACGATCTCGACCTCTCCCAGCGTCCCTACAAGACTCTCCGTTACCACAAGAAGGCTATCCGTGCCGTCAAGTTCCACCCCAGTGGTCGCTACCCGCTCTTCGCGGATGCTTCGGACGATGGTTCACTGCAGATCTTCCATGGAAGTGTTACGGGTGATATGCTCAGTAATGCTACCATTGTCCCGCTGAAGGTTCTCAAGGGCCACAAGATCACTGGCGAGCTGGGTGTTTTGGATATTGATTGGCATCCCCGTGAGGCGTGGGCTGTCAGTGCTGGTGCCGATGGAACGTGTCGCTTGTGGATGTAATCTTGAGATGTTGCATGATTGACATTTGGGCGTTTTCTTTAATCCTTGTGTGCATAATTTTCCTTTTGTATAGTCTTACAAAAAAGTTGTTTTTAACCTATACATCATGTATTACGTCTTGAACATTTATTAGACTGGATCTAGTACATGCCACTAGTATACATGATACCTATGTAGGTAATACACTCGAAGTGTTCCGGGGGACAAAATCCATATTGAAAGCATTGATCTAAATTTTGTGCTAGTAAATGTCCGAGGTATCTATATCTATCTCACCCATCAAAGCGAAATATGCATATATCAAATCACACCACCGCTCCAATCCCTCCTTAACTTCTCATACTTTTTCAAATCTGTAACACTAGGCCGAATAAACGACTTAGCATTGACAAAGTCCTCAAACTTAATCGTATCTTTCCGCTTGATAGCAGAGTATCCAGCCCTTCGCAACAAACTGCCCAAATCGGCACCACTGAATCCCTCACAATCCTCCGCAAGTGTGCGCAGCTCATCAGAGAACTCAATAGCCAAGTTCCGCACAAGAGTTTGCAAGATGTCGACGCGTTCCGTCGGCGAAGGCAAGTTGACAAAGAGTAATGTCTCCAGACGACCGGGACGCAGCATGGCCGGATCAATAATGTCAGGTCTATTCGTGGCAGCAATGACGTAAATTCCTTGTCGGGCACTGCCTAGGCCGTCTAGCTCGGTGAGCAATGTGTTGACGACGCGAGCGGACGCTTCAGAAAGTGTATCATCACGACGGGGGACCAGAGCGTCCAACTCGTCGAAAAAGATAACACAGGGGATGGACGAGCGCGCACGCATGAAGACCTGTCGAACAGCGCGCTCGGACTCTCCGACAAATTTGTTGAGGAGTTCTGGACCCTTGACGCTGATGAAGTTCGCGCGGGACTCGTTCGCGACTGCCTTGGCCAGAAGCGTTTTACCGCAACCCGGTGGTCCCCAGAGGAGAACACCCGTCGGTGCGGTGATACCGACGTTTGCGTAGATATCTGGGTTCTTGATTGGTTCGACGATGGCAGTGACGAGTTCCTCACGAATTCCGCCCAGAGCACCGATATCAGACCAGGTAGTGTCGGGGATTGTGGCGAAGCCTTCGCGTTTGGAGGAAGGTTGGATTTTGGGGAGGGCAGTAAAGAAATCTGCGTTTGAGACAAGGACGACTTCTGATTCTTCGCCGATGGGTGTTTCCTTGGCGTGGTTGATTAGGCGGCGGAGCTCGCGGACTCGAGGGCTGATAACGTCCTCGCTTTCGACATCCATTTCCATTTCCATTTCTTCGCCGCTGTTGGACTTAAGAATTTCGAGGTATCTTTTGATGGCTGCCGCACCGGCCGTTGAGACGAGGTCGTTCAAATCGGCGCCGACGAAGCCAGGGGTGCGCTTGGCGAGGGTCTTGAGATCGATGTCATCTGCCATACGCATTTTACGGGTGAGGGCTCGTAGAATCTGCTCTCTGACCGGCTCTGAGGGCACGGTCATGTTGATCTCCTTGTCGAAACGTCCACCGCGGCGCAGGGCGGCATCGAGACTATCGGGGCGGTTGGTGGCCGCTAGTACGATGACGGGCTTTCCATCTGTCTTTTCGAGGGCGATCTCGTCCATACAGGTCAGGAGCTGGGCAACGATTCGCTTCTCCATCTCTCGCTGTGCACTCTCGCGCTTGGGCGTAATCGCATCAATCTCATCAATGAAAATCAGACAGGGGGCGAGACGCTTGGCTTCTTCAAAGTACTCGCGCAGGGCTTTCTCGGATTCACCAGACATTCCTGATACCACCGAAGGTGCAGAGATTGAGATGAAAGGCACGCCCAGCTCCGCGGCGAAAGCGTTCGCAATGAGCGTCTTACCGCAACCCGGCGGACCGTGTAGCAGAACTCCGCGCGGCGGCTGCACATTGGATGAAAGGTAGACCTGTGGCCGGGTCATAGGCAGGATGACCAAGTCTCCAAGTTCTTGCACCACATCGTCCAGACCACCCAAATCGGCGAGACTGACATGTGTTGGCGGGGATCGATCCGCGGGCTCGGCCTTGCGACGCTTGGAGGCAGATTCTCCACCGTCTCTTCTTCTCTTCGAGGCAGTCGGTGCGGCAGCGGGTTCGGGCTTTTTGGCTTTGGGTGTTGCCCATGAGCCTACAAGGCTTTGGTTCATTCCATTGGGCTCCTGTAATAGTTCCAGTCAGCAGCTGTATCCCAATACCAGCCAATATTTCCCCATGCGCATACCGCAGCGGGGGGTTCCTCGAGACCCTCGAAATCCCCCTCCACAGAATCCTCATCGTCGTCACCAATATCAGCCTTGACCACTTCCAATACTCGCTCCAGGCTGTCTTCGATTAATCTCTTTGGTTTCCGGTTCAAACTCGAGTTTGATTTTTTGATTATTTCGTAGATAGATTGGACCGATAGACGGATGCGCTCATTGTCACCTTGGTCGTCAATGATCTTGCGCACGATTTGGTAGACCTGTTGAGAGTGTTAGCAAGAGAAAGTCCAAGAAAATTTTGCAAGTCATACTTCACGGTCCAAGCCCTGACTGAGGGTTGGCCTGCCTCCTTTCCTAGCAGGCATGATTAATGTGGATTGCAATTTCTCTTTCTCTCGTTGCGATAACAAAAATTGTCCCCCGAAATTTCGGAGATGCATTGAAAGATCGGATGTAAATTACAAGGTAATTACAACATAATTACAAAACGTCATCTCAAGCGGAGTCAACTGCGGACAACTCCAGGACTCTCCATTTCTCCAATCTTTACTTCTCTTCAGCATCATGGGGAACGCGAGCAGTTCACCGAAGATCTCGTCCCAGGATAGGTAAGTGGTCAACATCAGATATTGCTACTAGCAAATACGATGTCCTTCAATTCATGTTATCTCATTACATATTTGATCACACGAGACCCCCTCATCCCCACTTAGCCCAAATAGCCATATTCAAACACACGATCCGATCCCCGCTAACAAGCTCTACCGTAATAATAGGGCGATTCTCGACCTCAAAAACCAGCGCGACAAACTCCACCAATATCAACGCCGAATTACCGTCCTAACAGACCGCGAAACCGAAATCGCAAAGGAATGCCTAGCCCGCAATGATCGGCGGCGTGCCCTTCTCGCCCTCCGACGCAAGAAATACCAAGAATCCCTACTTGCCAAGACAGACGGTCAACTTGCGCAGCTAGAGGCTTTGACCGGGCAAGTGGAGTTCGCGCTTGTGCAGAAGGACGTGCTGTATGGTTTACAGCAAGGAACGCAGGTGCTGCAGACTATCAATAGGGAGATGGGTGGTATTGAGAATGTTGAGAGGTTAATGGGCGATTCCGAGGATGCGAGGGCGTATCAGGAGGTATGGACTTCTGTTCATATAATATCCCATCTAGGGATGGACTGTGTCAGATTGCTAACGTTATATAGGAGGTGAGTCAGATGTTGGCTGGCCATCTGACAAACCAGGATGAGGATGAAGTCGAAGATGAATTGGAGGCTTTGCGGCTTGAGGCTGCTGGGCCGCAAGCCCTACCTGATCCAGTTGTTTTGCCTAGTCCGCCCACCGCGAGGCCTGCTGAGCGGGTCGAAGAGTCGGAGCCGACTCGGGAGAGGGCTGCTAGGGCTCGAACTGAAACGAGGACAGCTTTGCCTGCGTGATGGATGTACAGATTGTCAAGCATTGCATTACATTCAGAGCATTTTGTGGCGTTGGTTTTGGATTGTTTTGCCTACATCGCTGGTAGATTTCATGCTTATATTCATGGTGTTGGCGCTTGGTTTTGTTTTAGTTGTTGTTGCTTGCTCTTGGTACTCACGAGAGCCTTATAGATTCTATGACAACGTTGACTATCAAGATGTTTATGAATGATAACCGTACGGAACAAACCTCCCATTCATTCCGATGTACTTCGATCAGCCTGTAAACAAATGCAAGTATAATAAACAAGGTGGTATTGTCATAACTCATGAAAAGACTGTCCAACCAGCCCAAAAAAAAACAATCGTATTTCTTGGTCTCTTACCCAAATTAAAGACCCAGTCTACCACCAATTACTGCCCAGGTAAAACACTCCCAACACCACTCACACCGGGAATAGAAACATGATCCTGGGGATTCGCAGCAGCCTCATAGAGGAAGTTGACCGGCTCCCTGGTCAACTTCATAAACTGCCCCTTGAACCCCACATATCCAACCTTGGTAACGTCCTCCTCGCCATCACTCCAATTGTCCTCAAAGAACAAAGTGACAGAAGTAGTAGCGTTCCAACGGGCACGGTTGAGCGGTAATTCGAATACGTCCTCGCCAGGCACGGGCTGCGGAACCTCGATTGTTTGTGTTGGGTGTAACTCTGATGCGGTGGAGAAATCTAAGTCATCGCGATTCTTAAATAGTTTCACAGTCTTTGGGGCAGAAATTGTGGGTGCTGTGTAGAGGAGGACGGAGTGGATGTTTGCTTGACCGCTGAAGCTTTGCGGGAGTTAGTTTTGGGTTTGCGATGACGATGAGGGGTAGTGGGGTTTGTTTGGATTTTGGGATAACTATGTATATACATCTGTATGCCAGTATCTCTGCGCGAATGAGAGGAATATCATGGCTGGACAAATATATATAATGCTTATGCATGGAGAGAAGAAAAAACTCACGGAACGGTCATGAGTAGCTGCTCGTCGGCATCGCTTTCAAGTTCGGGCTTGTCGTTCAGTCGCTCTGCCCAGGTCTTCTGTACGATGGCTGCGCCCGCCTTAGGAGTAGTTTCTATCATGTCAAAAGTCAATGTCTGCCTTGCCTAGTTTATAGTCGACCACGGCACAGACTTACCATTGAGGGTGGTGATCTTATCAAAGTCGATTTGGGAGTAGAGGAGGGATTGGATGGCGGGAGTGATGTCGTTAGAGTGATCATGATCTTCACCATGACAGCCGCCACTATGATGGTGGTGATGCCCTGACATTTTGGGTGATATTCAAGAAATAAGTTGGAGAAAAGATCGGATGAATCTGTAAGTTGAAGATAAAGATATCTCCGCTCCCGTGACGTCGTTTGGCTATAGAATTTAGTTGAACTTAGCTGACTCTAGCTGAATCTATCAAACATATTGATTCGAAAACAATCCATGGTTTTCTTTAATTAAGTTAATATTATTGGTACAAAAGATTTATTCTCTCCATTATTTGATGGAGGTTACATTTTGTGATTGCGTGCTGGAATCAATAGATATATGTATACATGAAGAGCATGGAGCATTTATACTTAACAACAATAGGTTCATTCGAAAGAGGCCGTTGAAAGGTATATAGAATTTGTGACAATGCTATTTTGGGTGGTGAGAACAGAAAAATAAAATCAACTGTCTAACTTCTTCTAACTCCTGGGTATTATTTTTCACAAAGCGGCAAAGAAGAACTATCTGATCTGGTAATACTGGGGGGCATATTCAAGCAGATAACCCTTCTCGATCTTTGTAACGTCGCGAATATAAGTTTTTTCACCTGTTTGCATAATCTCATGAAAGATGACCCAATCAGCTTTCCGGTTCTAGAATGGAGTCAGTAAACCAAGCAAACATCATTCACAACTGCTCCAGGAAACTTACAAACATCAACGAGCTAGGATGAGCATGCAAAGTCAATCCCCCGCTCACAGTTCTAAAAGTTCCATCCGGCTGCATCTTCGCCGCATGAGCGAAGTAACCCGTCGTAAGACAGCGCCGAATCTGCTCGGGACGATTACTCAAGTCGACAGCACCGTGCGATGAAAGCGTTTCATCGACCTGAACACCAAATCGTTCCAAGTACCGTTTCAGTTGCCCGCGAATGCTCACTGCCCGTTGCAAGGCTTTGTAATTTAGGAGGTTGTCTCGACACCATTTGGGGTCTTTTTTGCCTTTTGTAACGAAGGCTTGATACACGTTTAGGTAGGTGAGATGGTCGCCTTCTTCGACGGCGAACTTGCGGCGATTACTTTCCGCTGATCTTTTGTCGCCTGCGTGTTGCACCCAGACTGTTCCTTGGAGATTTACCATGGCGGCTATGGTAAGGATTTCGCTTAAACAGCCGAAGGATGGGGCTGCCAGAACCACCTTGGCCATCATGGGATCGAGGGCAATCTCCGCCATGCGCATACCAAGCGGTTTTGTGAGTTTGGCATAATCATCGACTGCACCGAGTGATGAAAGAAGTTCCAGAGCTCGGATAATAAGTTCTGCGGGCGGAGATGTCAAGAAATCGAAGCGGACAATGTTGTCAATTCCCAGAGCTTTGAGTTGCATGATGATGGGTGCTAGATTCGATCGTTGAATTTCAGGAACAGTGGCTTCCGGCAGCCGTTCATATTCCTGCTGAGTGTACAGACGGAAGCACTTGCCCGGCTTGGTTCTTCCAGCCCGACCAGCTCGCTGGGTTGCTGATGCTTTTGAAATTGGTACCGCTGTCAATGTATCGATGCCAGTAGTGGGGTTATATGCTCGGAGCTTTGCAAAACCACAATCGATCACATATACAATCCCGTCTATTGTGACCGAGGCTTCAGCAATGTTGGTGGAGACGATGACCTTGCGCGTATTTTCTGGAGTTTTCCCAAAGACGTACATCTGCTGCTCCGTGGTGAGTCCAGCAAAAAGCGGCAGCGTAAGAAGTGACGGAGCCTTAGGGTGAAGGGTTGCGGCTCTTTCGGATATGAATTGAATCGCAGTGTCGATTTCTTCGCGGCCGGTCAGAAATAGAAGAATGTCGCCTTCTGCTTCTTGTGTATGGATGTCGAAAACTGTCTTGACTGCTCTTTCAATGTAGTCTTCTGCTGGTGACTCAAGGAACAGCATGTCGACAGGATACATGCGGCCTTCCAGACTGATGATTCGTCCAACGCTTCCGCCCAAGTCCGCTGGGTCTGCTTCAGGATTATATTCCTCGCCAGCGAAGAAGCGGAGAAAGTCCTCTGCTTGGAGCGTGGCACTGCTAACAATAATCCGCAATCCAGGCCGCTTCTTACAAATCTTTTTCAAGATTCCAAGGAGGATGTCGGTACTCAAAGATCTTTCATGTGCTTCGTCAACCATGATCACAGAGTAGCGTGAGAGCAAAGGGTCAACCAATGCTTCTCTGAGCAGCATGCCATCCGTTAAGAATTTGATTTTTGTTGCAGGAGACGTTAAATCTTCGAATCGAATCGAATAACCGACCTCTTCACCGACTTTGCAACGCATCTCTTCTGCTACTCGGGTTGCAACCGTCGTGGCGGCCACCCTCCTGGGCTGAAATACGTCAATGATTGTTTGTTTTGAAGAAAGCAGCGGTCAGTGCTTACCTGTGTGACAGCGATGGTTTTCCCGTCCTCGCACCATCCTGCCTGCTCAAGGTATTGTGGCAGCTGAGTAGTTTTTCCACTACCTGTTTGGCCCACCACGATAGTGACTGGAAAATTCTCGACCAAGTAAAGCAGACTTTTCCTGTGCCGTGCAATAGGTAGCAAAGCAGGCGGTTTGTACAAGTCTGGGATGAAAGAAGTGGAAAGTTCCTGTTCTGAAGCCATTTTGGACCAAGTTTGGCACAATCGAACGGGTTAATCAAAGCCCAATATTAGATGAAGCTGACTCAGGCCATTCTGGAAATTCAAAATAGAATTTGAAGATTTGAAGATTTGAAGATCGTCAATATATCGGAAGTGAAGAAGCACCGGCGATCTGTATAAGGGCCAATCTACTTCATCACGTGCACCCCACGTCACTTGGAGCTTTGAATACACTTCTGCTACATTCTCCGCAGGCAACACTGTTCTTCTGATATTTCTTTCTGTTAAACCCCTCTGATCTGTTTGTTTCTCCGAAATATACAATATGGCTGAGGAGGACAAGATGGTATGTTTGATTCTCTCAACACGGGTTGTTGTCGCATGAGGCTCACATTTATACACAGACCACTCCCAGCAAGCCCTTGGCTGCTCTCAACTCACCTAACAGCCCCCGAGCCGAGTCGCCGACTACTGCGCGTCCCATGGACTTTGACGATGAGCCGCAGGAGAGCGGAGTTATCACTTCCTCACCTGCGGCTGCTCAACCCCCCGCTGCGGAAGCAGCCCCGCCAAAGCCGCCCCGGCCCCTGAGCCCGAGAGAACAGTCCGAGAACACACTTAAGGAGGCATTTCCAAGCATAGAGCCTGGGGTCATAAAGGCTATCTTGGTTGCGAGCAATTGGAATGTCGAGCGGGCCTTTAACGCCCTTCTGGGTACGCGCGGAGTCGTTTTCGGCATGACTATGAGTTAACTGACCTCGGCTTGCAGGCATGACCGACCCCAAGGCCCAAGAAGAGATGGCACCTCCCCCGAAGCCTCCCCGCCCAAGTCAGGCCACTGCTCAGCAGCGACAGCTGGAAGCCGACGAAATGTATGCCCGTCAGCTATCCGAACACTACCAGTCGAGGAGCCGCGCTCCACCGCCCGGCTGGGAAAGCGACCCCAGATACCAGCGCCCCAGAGGAAGCGAGGAGTCAGAAGAGAGGGAATACAGCTTCTTTGATGGTATGCTTTATGACAACTTGCCCAATGTGGTTGTGCTAATACTTGGCGACAGATGATCTACCTGTGATCCGTGAAAACCTCCGTAAGGGGTTTTTGGACACACAGAATAAAGTTAATTCCTGGGTTACGAACCTGAAGAAGAGAATCGATGGCGAAGAACCAGATGAGGGGCCCCCCAACAATCAAAGAGAGACCCCCGCGTACGGCCGGCCCCGACGCAGTGGTGATATGGGACGTCGCAGTGGAGATCGCGAACGATATGACGCAGACCCACAGGTCCTCGGTGACGATTTCTCTGCCCTCGAGTTGAGAGACGGCGAAGGTAAATTCACTTCCAGACCGGTGTTGGTGAACCCGCTAACTCTCCATAGCTCCCCCGCCTCGCCCTCCCCGCCCCAACATTAAGACAAGCGCTTCGCCTTCGCCCGATAGGCGCAAGGTGTCTTTCCAGGACGGACCACCTACTGAGATTGACAACATCTACGATGCCCCTTCCGCCAAGCGCAACAGTTCAACCGGTAGCAAGTCAAGCAAATGGCAACCGTTGTCTACCGTCGAGCCCTCTCCCGTTGCTGAGAACGATCCGTTCAGCCTCGGCGACAGCGATGATGAGAAGGATACCAAGACAAAGGAGCAAACCGCCGTCCCTGAGAGTGGCAATCTCCATAAGGCTACCGTAGAGCCAACGGTGGATTCCTCCAAGGGCGCCATCAAGCCCGAAGAGTCGAAATAACCGTGATTGTTTAGAATTTGAATAATCCCGGTTGTCGCCTGCACAACTCTTGCTTCTTCTGCATTGGATTCCCCCCAGTCTGTCACTCTATCTCTATCCCTAGCCGCACCTTTCCACCTTTCCCATCCTGCTATGCACCTCATCACCCTTCCTGAGTCTACAATACCTGTAGAGATAGTCTTAGGCAGTGCAATACTTCCAATACCTCCACAAACCAAATTGAATCTGTATTTGTACCGGAATCAACAAACAAACAAGGGTATATCTCCGACCAGTACATGTAGTCATATGTAAAATGACCTCAACGCCAAAAAAACAAACAGCGTCATTTTGTTCAGCTGAACAAACATATCTCAAACCCGCTCTCCATCCCCAGAAAATCATTCCACTGCAGGAGCATTGGTCACGCGCCTGGAAGAACCAGTCTCCTTTCGAAGATCCTTGATAACAGTCTGTAAAATCAAGTCAGCATTCACTCAAAACACAGCCAAGAACATCGAGATTCGCGCAGTGTCAATGGTGATATTGACATCCTCATCCACGCGTCGGATAACGCGTACCGCCAAGGCATCAGGATTAACTCCATTTTCAATAAGAGAGACGCAAAGCGACAGCTCTGTTCGGTCGAGATGAGTGTTCTGGATGTGCGTTAGTACTTTCAGTTTTCTCTTTGCTCATCGCGGGTTCTATGGTGGCACATTGAGCCATGGGAGGACACGCACGAGTAGATCGGAGATCTCCTGGAGGATATCGATGACTTCGCGCGCGGCTTGGCGCTTGTCATCTGCTTCTTGGGCTTTTGGAGGCATTTTGATTGTTGAGACTGTTATAAAGAGTCGATGTTAGGGATCTCGAGGTGTGGAGTGAGGTTGCTGCCTGTGGGGAAGTAGGGGAACTTTTCTGCGGTCAGTTTGTATGGCGGTTGAATTTCGACTGCGACACAACTTAATATTGCTTAATCAACTATTGATATTCACGATTACTCTAATTTATTCTATTTGGTAGGCTGTCCAATTTTGTGGTCCCAATTTTGAAGGATCTGTCGATCTGTTTCATCGCTTGCAGGATTTAACATTCATCACTTGAAAGGAGTTGATGCTCTTCTTGACTCCTTGAAGAACATTTACAGCCTTGAGTCCAGCCAACAGTTCTGGAATTTGATCTCTCTTACCGACCTCACAGACCACAGCTCACACTAATCTCCTTGCCGACATGAAGCATCATCTAGCTTTAGCGCACAATGACGGCACACCCGAGATCCTTCAGGATGCGCTATGCATTATTCGCCCACTTTCGGGGAAACTAATTGATGAAGAGCAATATCTACCAATGAAAGCCACTCATTTATAAATATTATAAATATTATAAATATCACCCTGTGCACGTTAGCGGGACCGAGTGGAAACTCTACAGAATCCTTGTACAAATCAGGCTAAAGGTGTAAATGACTATCACTATGAGTGCAGATCATATAATACTTTCCAATTTACGACAATAACGCAATCTGAGACACTGTATTATGCATGTTCAATGGACCTGACAAAATGGATCTCGCTTGTCAATTTCCAAGGGTTATCTCACCTGGGAGGCATTTGCAAGCTTTTCGATGGTTGAAGCAAACGACCTGCTATGAATACCACCACTGTCTTCGGACCACCACCGCCTGGCGTGAACCTTGAAGACGATAGGACTTCTCAGGACAATGCTGTTGTCGCAACGATATGCGTTCTTTCTATACTTACTGTCCTTCTCCGGTATTTTGTAAGACTTCATATCCAAGGAGCGAGGCTGGAAGTCGACGATTGCTTGGTTGGTGCTTCTGTTGTTCCACTAGCAGTACTGCTTGCTATATCTCTCCTTGGTATGCCTTTTGGTACTTTAGACTGTGGGTTAATGTATTGATGTTGTTGACAGGTGGTTATCACGGATTTGGGAAACATGTTTGGTGCACGACATTGGAAGACATGGTTATTATGAAGAAAGTAAGAAAGAAGCCCTCATAAAAAGACCTCCAAACTAACATGCTACAGAGCCTGTTCGCATGCTGCTTACTATATCTTGTCGAACTCCTCCTGATAAAGGTCTCAATCCTTATGTTCTATCGCCGAATCTTTGGCATGAACTGGATGATTTGGGGCTGCCTTATCATATCCGGTTGCTGGTGCATAGGGAGTATGATCGCAGCTCTATGTGCTTGCCAGCCAGTCTCATATTTCTGGAACGAACTCACTGATCCCACTTCTGGGAGATACCGATACAATTTCTACTATTATTATATCGGCAACGGAACCGCCAATATGGTAACCGATGTTCTGATCTTACTCGTCCCAATGCCGATTATTTGGAGGCTCCAAATTCGAACGGGCCAGAAGATTGGAGTATGCAGTATTCTGCTCCTTGGAGGCTTGTATGATATTATATTTTCACTCACTTTGCCGGATTCCAACGCTAATATGATACTTTTGATTAGCGTCTGCGTCGCAAGCATTGTCCGCATCTACTACATCACCTTCCTCGACGGTAACATGGACTTAACATGGGCCTTAAGCGATGTCAATGTGTGGTCAACAGTTGAGCCTTGCATCGGTATAATCTGCGCCTGTTTACCAGCTCTACAACCACTTATCCGCTTAATAGCCAAAAGGATACCCAGCAAACAACATTTCGGAGCTGGACGAAGGACGGCTACAATTCAACGGCCAAGGCCCTTCAGCAGACACACAAAGAGCAGGAAAAGTAGTATACATGAGGTGTGGCATGGCCAACAACAAGACTGCGATTCGAGTATGAAACCCTTTTTCCGCTCGGGGGAAGATCAAATGCGTTTAAACACCATCACGACCCGCGTTGAGATGGAGCAGGATTCAAAACAGAGGGATAGCTTAGAGGAGAGATTGGATCCTATGGCCATTCGTGTTAAGCGAGTTGTGCATTGGAGTGTGGATTAGGCCGGGCTGGCACTAGCACTGTGATATGTATGATATGTATCGGGTGTGGGAATCCAGGCAAAACTATCCATACATTGATGAACCAAAGAACGGCATTTGCCAGGCATATTGAGTTTAAAATGGTTAAATTTTCTAGACCTATTGGTTTTACTGTGTAATGCTTTTACTGTGTTATCATGTATGGCTCGATTTTTGATTATTTCCAAATCAGGCGTCGGAGGTTGAAGTCAAAAGCACCATCAGCATCTTGCAAAGTGAAACCCATCCACAAACTCCTTGCCACTTCAAAAAACAGATATCTCAAGCATCATATATCAAACATTAAGCACCAAACATGCCATCCTCTTCACTTCACCGGGGTTCATCTACCAAGGCAACACATGACCTGATGGGCGACGAAAAGTCATCCTCTTTACTCAATCAGAGCCCGCCTACTAAACGTGCAACACCTCACAACCCGACAGATATGGTCATTGGTGGCGAGAAGACTGAAACTGAAACCAAGCTAGAAAGAGATGGAAACATCAACGCTCTTCAGCGATATCGATACTTGACTTGGCGCAACTCCGTACATCCCGAATCTTCCTGCGAACTTCTAGACACAGAGGAAAACCTCCGAGAAGTTGTTCAAGAAGAAATTTCTATCAAAGAAGGAACCGCTACGCCGGGAACCAATGCTGAAGAAAGACTCAGCATCTTGAATAAGAAATACTGGCTCTTGTCTCAGAGGTGGTGGTACTGTCGGTCTGATCTGGAAAATTTTCAATTGAGGGGCTTTATTCTTTGGCGGTCACACCCTCAGTGGTATATGCATCTTATGCTCGTAGAGGAATGCGCGGGTCGACAAGGATGCTGCGCTCGAGGATGTGGTTGCTGTCTTGACCGCAAAATTCCTCCGTCACGGAGTCTTGGTATTGGACATTGTACGCTCGAATGTGGATGTTGTCGGAGAGCGAGGGGCTTTGAAGTTTCTCCCACCGATAAAAAATTATTGAAGGAACAATTCAAGAACACCGTTCAGGAGCGCAGCTACCGCATAACCAGATATCAGCGAGTCTCGATGTGGGGTCTTGTCGGTGATAGCCGCAAGGACCCATTTGACATGATTGATGTGCCGCCGAGCTACGATCAGATTGAACAGAAAGGCATGGAGTGACTGCTTGATTTGGTCTAAGCTAAGGCTTGATGTTGAAAACTTGAGTGGTTATTGCTATCATACCTGTCATTGTGGTCATTACATCTTTATTTCGGTTGGGACTCTTTTGCTCTATCATTAAATGCAGGTCGGAAAATCAAAGCCTTTCGGCGGTTTCATATACTATGTGCATCACTTCCTCTGTAGAAGCCTTGGTATTGAGGAAGTCAGTCACTTCTTCGGGGCTCAGATGTAGACCTCCACTTCTCCAGTAGTCTTTTCTCTTCTTCTTCATCCATCTTCATCATCACTAGGGGTCCCGATGAAAGCACCAAATGGTGAGTTCAAGTTTTAAGTCCTGAAACAGCATCATTACTATATTCAGACCACTCTCGCACCCAGCATAATACATGGAACAGAATTATAGAACTAATGGGTCGAAACAAAAGATTTGATATTTGCAGCAGGGCATGTTAGTCTTCCTGTTGCGTCAAAAGCACTTCCCTAAGTTCTCAACCTGATCTTCGTACATTTTCATCTTAACCAGTCTCAAGTCCATGTTCCGTTGGCAGGCCCAAAGTAACCAACAGATGGCATAGCTTTATAGGCTACACCCTGTGCATCTGCAGTATTCAGATACACGTTGTTTCCCCACCAGTCAGGGAAAGTGGCACCAGGATACGAGATACAAAAGAAGATAACAATGCCACTGAGAGCAAGGCCTGTATCAAGTGCGGCCGCCAGAACATAATTGTACTTGGTCCACCAAGCGAAGAACCGGCGCTTAATGAAATGATTGAACACGAAGTTGACCAGCGCCCAGCTTGAATAGTTGATTCCAGTAGCTAGAGAATAACATGTTAGTAATAGAAGCGCAAAGAAGCACCGAGAGACTGGAGCATACCAGGCGGGACATTGTAAGTGCCAACGAAAATAAGAGGCCAGTTGATAAACTTCCAAAACTGGCGTCTCGTATACCGGTAGAGGAGGAACGTCACCACGGGAGCAAGAGCACCGATCCAGAAGAAATGCAGCAGTGGGGAATAGATTTGTCCAATGGAGTATAGCCGACGAGGGCCAACAAGACCCCAGATAACAGAGGATGAATAGACAGTACGGCCATTAGGACAAGAGAAGCCATCGGATTGGTCAGATTCGCAGATCCCCGAAATATTGCCAAGCATCCACAGCGTAACACCCGTTTGGGTGAGTGCTCCTAGGATAGTAGCCACAAACTGGGCCATAAAACAGGTGCGTGGTGGTACTTTGAGATAGTGAGCCAGCTTCATATCCATAGCGAAGTAAACGCCCTGTCCTACGACATCCGTAGAAATGATCTTGAAGATCATGTTGGCCAGTGGCTTGCCCTCGAACATGTATCCGCCGATAAACTCAGCGAGAACGTTCAACTGGTTTGCATCCACGTTCGTGATGCCTTGCACGATACCGCATGGTACCATGTAGATGACTGGAATTATCAGAGCGATAAAAACTCCGTAGACGGGGAGTTTGGTCTCGTAGACTTCAACCGTCGCGATTGCCATCGCCATAATAACCACGATGATACCAGCGTACCAATACCAGGGGGTCCGGCGGTATGAGGCACGGATGAGCCGAGCATGAATATCGAGTTTATTGCGGCCTTTGAGAGCCGCCCAGAGGTCGCGACCATGCCAAATTCCAATATGCGACAGTACAGAGGTAATAGCAGCAAAAGAAAGTCCGTACACAAAAGCAAAGGTCGCGCTCAAGTATGGAGGTGAGTACTTCTGGTACGCTACGGTGTCTAGCGAGTTATCTGCAGAAATGACTCGAGCAGTATCATAGAGGGCACCTGTATTGTCGTAAACGTCGGCCGTCATCAAAGGAAGATAAGCCGTAAACCAGGTATTGGTGTAGTAGAGGGCAGGTGTGACGATCCAGTAGAAAAATGCAAAGCCAGCAAAGACATTGGCCGCCGCCCACGCCGGCGAAAGTAGAGGATTTGTGTTATAGGCGATTTGGCTCCAATCGAAAGTGATTGGACTCAGACCGAGACCGGTCTGCATTCCGAAAAGATGGTTGACGATGACATTCTTGGGTGCGATCCAGCAGACCCAGGTAAAGTAGGATAACGCGGTGAACATGAGACCGGGGAAGAAGTACCAGACAAAAGCACCTGTCATGACGTACATAAAAAAGCGGAGACGGGACATACGCCAGCCATCTGCAATGCGATTCGCGCGCGAATGCAAGGTTTCTAGCATGGCGCAGTTGGATAGCACGCCGGGCCAGATGATGCGAGCTGGTTCGACGAGCCATGGGGCTGCGAGACCTGCGACACCAAATCCGAGGAGTTGCGCAACAAGCACAATGAGCACGTAGAAGCCGGGCTTGAGATCGAAGTTATAGAAGTTTTTGCTGGCCGCCTGGATGATGTTCGTTGCATCTGCTGTAGCATATCCAAAAGAAACATTGCTCATGATAACGATCAGAGCATGTTCTTTGATGTTGAACGATCTGTCAGGGTTGACCACAAATGTTCCCAAACGGCCGAGCCGAATAGATGTGAGAGGGAGGGTTTTTGCGAGAAACACGCCGAGCGGATAAGCAAGTAGCTCTGCGACGAGAGCGACGATATGAACGGACGGATAACGCAGCGAGAAGAACTGGTTGATACCAGATCCTAGCATGGTGAATACTATGCCCAGGAGCCACATTCGCACGGTGTTCACCGGCATACTGGGGTCATCTGTCTCCGGAACCACAGCCCTAACTGAAACTGACTGTTAGTTTACCCACATATTCGTAACAAAGACAGAGTTAGAACTCGCCTTCTGGGAATGGAGAGCGATGCGATTCATAGCCAAACTCTTCATTTATTATTTCATCATTCTTTTCTAGCTCGAATTTGTCCAATTGGCCTTCGCTAACCTCTTCATCTGTTTTGAGGGCCGGTTTAATGGTCTCGATATCCAGTTCTTTGGAATCCATGGTATGGAATATTGCACAGTTTCAGCGCATCGTTTGTGAAAGGAGAATTTGACAATCAAACATGAGAACATGTTGATGAAATGTTGCCTCCTTTTTAGATTAAGGAATCTAGTGTGACACACAGTGAGGGGAAGTAGAGATAAGGCGAGAGAGATTGGCGGGGAATGTGAGCTTAGCTCGACTTGGATAAAGATAGGCCCTTTGGACGCCCGATTTTTAGTGTTTAAATTGTGTGCTTGCTTTTGATTAGAGGATTGTAAAAGGGTTGTAACTCATTGGTCGCATTCATGAAGGTGTATGAGGAGTTTCAGATATCACAGCGAATAGCAGCCCACGATCGTTATACCTTTACAATATTATAGGTTGATTTCAACTTGCCGACGAAAGATAGGTAGGGACGGCAAAAGAGATAAGAATGACTTACTATAGGACACTAGTTTAGTTGTTCGCAAGCGCTAACTTTTTAGTACTACTTCGGGGAAACGCAATTCGAAATGAGGCCCAACAAGTAACAAGTCATCGCAAGACAAGCATAGATAGGGTGTGGGCCGTGAGTGGCTTCGTTCTTCGGCACTTTCCGACATTTTTTAGTGCCTATTATCGCAGGGAGGAAATTGTTTTATTTGGCTCCAGTCTCGCCAGATGAGAAGGATATAGAGAAGTGGAGGAGTTTGCCGACCTTGGAGCATTCAAAGTATTTGCAGGGTAAGAGAAATTAGCAGAGATTTCCAATAATAGCTGATATTCAAATTAGTCAAGGTGGTTGGGCATGGAGAATGGAGAATGGATTAAAGAGAATTTAGGAACTTTGATAAACGAATCACAGTATGAACAAGAGGAACTCATTGGAGGCAAAATTACAGGGAAAACATAAGACTAAAACATATAACCATCGCTCAGCAACTCAAAGACGAGAAAGATTAGCAAATTCTGCTGGCGCATTGTAAGTTGGCACTTTCATATCCAGATCAGACCCGGAGTATCCAAGATCCTCCGCAACCAAGACTGCGCACTTTTCGCCAATGAGAAGGGCAGTCTAGTTATTGATTGAGTCAGTTTATCAGTCTGTGAATTCAAGCCAGATAAATAAACACTTACGCTAAAAGTATTGCACCCAACATTGTCAGGGCAGATGGACAAGTCGCAAACCTTGAGGCCTTTGACACCATGGACGTTGAGGCGCTCGTCAACAACGCCTCCATGGGGCGCAATGGAGTTACCCTCTCGTGGAGCCATGCTGCACGTGCCCAGGCAGTGCCAGGTTGTCTCGACGTGACGTGAAACTGGAAGAAAACTATTAGCAACTATGTTGCGAGCCAAGATCACAAACAAGAGCAAGACTCACTCCATTTCTCGACGTGCTTGATATCCTCATCGCTGTATTCCAAAGGAGCACGCGCTTCGTGTCTGTTAGAGTTGAGAATGTTCGATGATGGCTGCTTTCCAGGCTGCAATGGCGTGGTCCAGGAACCTGCATTTACCCGATTAGTTTGTATGGAGACTTTCACAGGGGTTAGTGCTAGCATACCGTGTTGAATGCCCGCAGAAATATGATTTGTGCCAGCATACGCTTTAGTAGTGGCCAAATCCATGTCTTGCGCCCGGGCTGATGAGTCGAAAGCAAATTGAGGATGCATTGCAGTCACCTCGCCAGCATACGATGCCATGCGTCGGGCGGTCTCCCGGGATTTGATGTATCCCCAGACCATAGGGGCCATATCCCGTTTGTCATTCATGAAACCCGCGTCAAAGTCCGGGACCTCATAAGGATCAGCTGACTGGATATGGGTAAATCCACGGGAGAAGGGGTATTCCTGGAGTCAATTAGCATTGCCCAATCTTATTCAAAGGATTTTTTAACTATACCAGGAAATGGAACATGGTGAAGAACTTGCCCGGAGGCATGTGCATGTGGTCTCCAAACCAGCTATGCGTTCGTTAGTATTGGCATTGGTGACAGCCGAGATAAAGGCTTACCCAGATATGATCGAATAATGCATAACAGGCTTATCGGGCTTGTTCCTGAAGTACGACTCATATCCTTCTGTGAAGTCTGGGGTGGGCCACTTCTTCATCTCTCCGAGCTCGTCCTCAGTGGGACGGATCTTGACACCGGCATCAATTCCGTTAGTGGCCAGTGGCCCGGTGCCTTTCTTGTCCCATTCTTCGAAGACCTTCTTCTGGACTTTAGGATCTCCACGAATAAAGTCATCAAAGGACTCGACATCGGGCTTGGCACGATACACGGAGAAAGTGAGGTAGTGGTCTTGGAAGTTTCGGCCCACACCGGGTAGGTTGACCAGAGGTTTGACACCAGCGCGACGCAACTTCTCAGGGTCACCAAACCCAGACCGCTGTAGGATAAGTGGGGAGCTCATAGTACCGGCACTAATAATGATTTGCTTGCGCGCCCTGAAAATTCTGCGAACTGGCTCTCCACCATTGAGAGGCTTGGTGGGAACTGTCACAACACCCACAGCACGGCCATTCTCAACAATCACTTTTTCCACCTTAGTATTGCATTGAAGGTGAAGATTAGTATATTTAGCTCTAGTACTGTGAACATAGGCATGGGCCGCATCGCTTCTACGGCCTAATTCATGATTGTTAGACACGATTTGATAATTATCTAAATTTGATAGATACATGTACTTACCTGTGTCACGGTTGATCCATTTCAACCAGTGTTCTGCACCGTGGCTATGATATCATGTTTCTGGATCAGCAAATGCCAATGGATCGCTATGTGTGGACTTCATACCCAGTCTTCAAATCTTGCAAGTCATCTGTGAATGGAATACCCTGCGACTCCACGGCTCTGAGAAAGTCATTCTTGATTGGATACGTATAGTTACCAAATGAAACCTTGATAGGACCATCGGTACCATGCAACTCGGGGTTGTTACTCGCACGTTGGTAAGTCTCGTGCTTCCTCATCAAGGGAAGAAGCTCTTTAGTTGTCCAACCCTTTGCCTGAAAGTCGTCGTAATCGGAAGCAGAAGCTCTGGTGTACATCTTTGCTGGATTTAGCTTGAGTCCGCTAGATATTCTCGTCAAACAGATATCACTTACCATAAAGTTGATGGAGCTACCACCTCCCAGAATATTCGCACAGGGGACAATAGCCTGACGGCCATCCAAATGTTCGGATGGTCTAGAGTGATAGAACGATGCGGTCTTCGAATCGAGCTTCATATTGTTCGGGTAGATACCCGGGCGGTACACCCTACATTAAGGTGAGAATATGTTCTCCAGAAATGCCAGATCCTGCCTTTACCATGGATTATTCAAGTTATCTTCACCCGCCTCGATCAACAGGACAGACAGATTGTGATCGAGATTTGCGAGGCGGCCCGCAGGGACACATCCCGAACTACCGCCACCGCAAATAATAATATCAACCTCCTCTGGAATAGTCATGATTCTGAACCTGTTTGCAGAAAGGCAAGTTGAGGAAGATACAAGCAAAGTGCTTTTGGGAAGAATCAATGTTTCGAGAGGAGACCTCCAGGGGGTTTATATAATTGTGTTTTTGTCTCCATGAAAATATAGATAACTTGGTAAAAGACAAATATCCCAATTCGGGAGGCAGATACAGCCAATAGTTTCGTGAGATGACCCCGCGCGCGGAGACAGAGTTCAAGAGCTCGAGTGTGGTATAATGCGAAACTGATCCTTGTTGCCATACGCGGTCGTTCTTCATGCACTCCAGGGTAGATGTTTGTCCATTTTCCTGGCTCAGGTATTGTACCGGCATTGTATGAATGCACGGAGAAGGGGATATGAAGGTGACTGTATTTCCAGGAACAAAAGATTGACCTTGTTGGTTTCTTTTCCAAGTCGTCACCTCTGACATATCCCAAACAGCCAAACGCGGAGACCTTTTTGCACTCTAAATTTTGGGAAGCTCCCCGCATTTCATATACAGGTATCACTAGCCAAATTGAGGGCCTGTTCCAGTTTACTGCCCATTTCATGCAGGTAAGACATAGCCAAGTGTACTTTCTATCCAACGATCAAGGACAAGGTTCAACAAGAGATTGGGGGCCCAAGACCATGTATCGAACGCAGTCAATCATACATTGAAACATTCGTTCTTGAAGTGACGATTTATATCCCATTTGATAGATACATGCGCTGTTGATATTTGTATCTACATATCTATTGAGTAAACAAAGACGTGATAGATGGCGATGGATATATACACCTTATAGGTGTTTTCTTTTTGTTGAGAGGTTGGCCATAAAAGACAAATTACATTAAATCTACATGTAATGCTATTTCAAATTGATCATAAGCTGAACAGGTATTTACGCAGATATAACACAGGTTAACCAAATGAAGTATTATTCTGATTCAGTACGATTCGGATGGACCGGGAAACATGATTCAACCCTCCAATAACGTGGCACTCTTTCGACTCGATACATTAGTCTCAAATGTAGATCATCACTATCCTCGCTCTCCAAGCGCTGTAAATAGTAATTTTGCGGGGTAGACTTATTGGCGTGGGGCACCGCAACTTGTTTACGCAGTTGGCAATGGGCATCCATTGCTGATACAAATTCCCATTGGAGGAAATTGAACACATCAGCATGCACTGAATCTAGACCACAGGGTACTTTCAGAATTGCACTTTAGGTTAGTCTTTTGTAACTTGGGACTGGTCAAATAAGATGTTCCCATCATAGATATATTGGCACGGGCTGTGCTTCATTCTTTACAAGTTCGAGACTAAATGAGGAGCGTTTACCAGGACTGTCAGAAAGAGAATTTACTCCTTTGAAAGATGTCTCATCAATTAGCTCAAGCGTATTAGAATTATCAATTAAAAAAATAACTAATATATGGTTGATGTGTACAAACTGAATGTCTGAAAATTGAGTTTTCGGCTCGCATTTGCCGCGAGTAGGCCGTAGCTTATGGCAAAGAGGGAAAAAGGGCAAATCCCCTCTATTCCTAGAATTCTCCGTGGTTTTCCCGGATGTCACCAGGATTCCAAAAGAGGAGATGGTTTGGCTATATCCAATAAGAGATAGAATTCTTTGCATACCAGGCCCTTCCCCACATTTGGAGAAACGCGTGGATCCCCCGATGTAGGATGATCTCCGTGATTCCTGGGTGGTATGTGAAGACCCGAAAATGTACTTGAAAAAACATTCGAATTTTCATTCAATATGGCCACAGTCCCGAAACTTTTACCTTACGCAGGATTTTGACGTCTGAAGATCGGCCTCTCCGCCTATGTGGAATTTTGTGTTGGCTTCTTTTGGTCTTTCTTCTTCATGCGCCTTGGTCAGGACCAGCGCGTTTCCAGGTGCTTCTCCCTTCGTTCTGCGTCATACCTACATGCACATATGTAGGTAGTCAATAGTTGATTAACTAGCCGGCCTTCGCAGCCTGAACCCTAAGGCATCAACACAAGCTAGTCAGTCGCCATAGTTGTGCTGTTTTAGGAGTTCATGCTCCACGTCCTTATTACAGAGAATTTAAACAATGGTTTCGGATGGAGCTACATTTCAATTCAGGTACAGCAATAATGACGAGTTGACTCGGGGGCATTATAGCACAACGCGATCGGATCGTCACTGCATGGCCCGATTCGGACTGTAAGGGATATCTGCACGTTCCTGCAAAGTTTGTCGGTCTGGCAATTGACCCTCAAGACTCTGCAGCCAGTATGCAAGGGACCTAAAAAGAATGCGTCACTGGGATCGAGCCTGCGTGATAGCTCATTCCGACTGATGAAAGTGGCATTGCCGATTTGCTACATAAGTAATGTTTGCTCGCACTGTGGTTTGCAAATTGTCGCACTCTACAATCTACTCTAGCACAAAGTCCCCTCTAAACTCGAATCACGATGATTTCATCTAAGCTGCTACTTCTCACAGCACTTTCTTGTGCTGTTCCCTCTCTGGCCGCGCAAAAGGTAAGTATCCTGCCCAAAAGAACATCCACCTTTTTGCACCCACCATACTAACGACTATTGTATTTCAGGTTATCTTGTATTCTAAAGAGCCATGCACCGGCATAGCTGAAGCCATTGAACCGAATAACAAATGCACGGTCGTTCCTGCCACTCTGTATGTGAATCTGGGTATCACCTATCCGTAAAGACAACAACTTACAAGAATGATCGATAGGAAGGGCAAAGTGAGCGGTGCCAAGGTCCCAGAAGATATTGTGTGTAACTTTTATAAGTAAGTTATACTACCAGACGCTGAGTTTGGTGGTATGCTAATCCGTCATCTTAGTGATGAAAAGTGTGAAGACCCACTGTGGTACTCAATGGAAGATCCAGGAGTCTGCAGCTTTAGTGAGCTGGAAATCAAGGACAAAGCGGTTGCTGTCTTGTGCTACGACAGTACCAAAATTTGAAACTGGTGAATATGTATCTAGTGCATCTACATACTAAGGACTAGTTAGCGAGGCACTCGAAAATTTCATTCACACTGCATGTGATGTTTTATTCTGTCCACAATGCCGATTTATATCAAAGTAAGTGATTATTAATAGACTCCGGGCATCGATCCATGGATAGAAACAGTTCTAGTACTATTTAAGCTTAGTGTCCGGTATAGGAACGGCAGAGGGCCGTTCCACGGTCATCCTCAAAGACCATTGGTTCCAATGAACAAGGTGGATACCATTTTCACGCCCTGTCGTTGACTTGCTTGACAATTAGGAATTAAATTTGGGGCCATTTCCCATTCTCAGGAGATCTCCTCAACTTCAATCCTTACACTTGACACAGACTCCGACTCAATGGAGGAAGTCAGAGGATCACCGTCTTTGTCCAGCGACACCGAGAAGGGACCAACCCCGGAACGAAATGATACCACTCAACTGTCGAATGCCCACAATGGCAAATCGCTCCCGCCCATGGATGGCGGAATGAACGCCTGGCTCTTCCTCGCCGCATGCTTCGTTATGGAGGCCCTCGTCTGGGGATTCGCATTCACATACGGTGTCTTCCAAGCATATTACAGCGAGATACCCGAATTCAAGAACACCGGAAACATCGCCGTCGTCGGAACCTGCGCTATGGTATGAGCATTGGAACATTTCCATTCACACAATATCAACACATCTAACTGTAGTACTACAGGGAATAATGTATCTCGACCTCCCACTCGTCTTCGCCGCCTACAGACAATGGCCGAAGTATCAACGCCTAGGCTGCGGCGTAGGCGTACTGCTGATGTGTGCGGCTCTCGGCCTGAGCTCCCTCGCCACAAACGTCAACCATCTCATTATAACGCAAGGAATCTTCTATGCCATCGGCGGCAGCATCGCCTACTCCCCCTGCATCTTGCTAATGGAAGAATGGTTCGACAAGCGCAAAGGCCTCGCCTTCGGTGTGATGTGGGCGGGCACTGGAATTGGCGGTGTTGTCCTCCCCATTGTCATGGAACAACTCCTTGGCCGATACGGATTCCGAACCACATTGCGTGGCTTTGCAATTGTGCTCTTTGTCCTCACAGCGCCGCTGGTCTACTTCGTCAAACCGCGCGTGCCGATCGCAAAGAACCGTCCCAGCCCATCACTTCCAAATCTCAGCTTTTTGATGACCTCCACCTTTGGCCTCTTCCAGATTTGCAATATTATCGAGGCTCTTGGGTTCTTCTTGCCGTCCCTGTATCTCCCGACGTACGCGGGCATGATCGGAGCATCAGCCTCGCTGCAAGCACTGACTGTCATCCTATTCAACTTGGCCTCCGTCGTTGGCTGCGTGCTTATGGGTGCCATCATCGATAAGCTCGATGTGACGGTCTGTATCCTTATTTCTACCATTGGGTCAACCCTCGGTGTCTTCCTCATCTGGGGATTTTCCATGACTCTTGCTCCTCTTTTCATCTTTTCAATTGTGTATGGCCTCTTCGCGGGGTCATATACGAGTACTTGGCCTGGCATTATGCGCGATGTCGTTCTCAAGAAGCCTTCTGCAGAATCAAGCATGGTGTTCGCTTCTCTTGCCGCGGGGAGGGGCATTGGAAACCTGGTTTCCGGCCCTCTTAGTGAGGCACTTGTGAAGGGGCTGCCTTGGGAGGGCGAGCCGGGTTATGGATTCGGGAGTGGGTATGGATCGTTGATTGTCTTCACGGGGGTGACGGGAGTTATTGGTGGCGGAAGCTATGTTGCGAGGCGTTTAAAATGGCTATAAACTTTCATTTTCACCTTCTTCAATTTTTGGCGACGAATGTACAGATCGCTTATTTTTCGATCAAAATCACTGCATAAAAGCCAACAACAGCATATATTCAACGGCGGCCGGGTGAGAAGTCTCTAAGTCACGCAACTAGTATATGTAGGAATGGGGTAGTACAAACTTTGCGGGCCGTACCTTATCTGTCTCATCGAGTTAGGTGCATATAGAAAAAGAGCAAGAATGAAGCTCAGTTCAATATTGTTCAACACAGACTATCGATTTTCAAGCCATGTCTAGCGTTGTTCGATCAAGTGAGCCGAACAAAGAACTGACTAGCAGCCAATCTTTATTTAGCTGTGATCAGAGGATGTTGTGGTTCCATGGCGAGGCTCTGAATCCTGTGAGTCCTCCTGGACCCTTTCTGAACACAGTTTCACGTGTCCCTTCCAGACTTGCTAGTCATGTACTCAATTTTTGTTTCCCTGTGGAACAACAATTTGGCTCGCCCTATGGATGGCTTCTTCACTCCTTCCAGCCCTCCCATCACCCAGGACAGTACCTGGGCAGACCGACCCACCCCAAAGTATCGAGTGGAGAACACAGCGCGAGTGATCTACAAATCTCCGTTCCGAGACAGATCTTGAATATAAAGCAAAACTCTCAAAAGCCTGATTTCTATGAACCATCATCATAAGTAATTGATGCCAAGGATGGCCCCCACGACTCTCTCTTCGTCTTTTTAACAGGGACCGTGCGAGGGTGCGGGGCGGCAACGGCTTCAGCTGGCGCTGATAGTCAACCAGCGCTGTGTTTTACTTTGATTGAGTCGTGCTTTCGTGATATTCACAACTCTATCTGTTAGGGACTGTTTATCGTCATACACTCCTCTGACCTGAACAAAGACCACGGACCCGGCAACCGCAATGACGGACTCTTGTCAGCCGCTGAGGATTCTCTCGCTTGGTAAGACTGTCTGGTTCAAGTAGCCCACACTAAGTCACTAATCGTTCGAAGATGGGGGTGGAATCCGTGGCATCTCAAGTCTTCTCATACTGGAGAGGATCATGGAGATGATCCGCGATGCTGAGCGCCTTGACCACGTTCCGCGACCGCGCGACCATTTTGACTTGATCGGTGGCACAAGCACTGGAGGGTATGGCTGAATGCTCGATGCATCTGAGACATCATCGCTAATTAACCCCAAGGATTATCGCTATCATGCTTGGAAGGCTAGGCATGACAGTCGATGAATGCATACGAGCATATAGACAAGTTGCGGAGCAAGCATTTACCCCAAAACGGACATCAATATTACCTGCATCGCCCAAAGGTGCTTTCTCAGCAAAAGCTCTCGAAAATGCTATGAAACAGGTAGTCAGAGAGTACTGTACGCACATCGAATGCGTAACCCGTCGGCGCCAAGGCCAGACAACTGTCAATACGTGTTCACATTGCGATATGGCTTTCCGGGATAACACATGCACGAAAACGTGAGTTTGTAATGCAGAATGCCTGATTAGGTAGCCTTTGTTAATATGCTACAGTGTGGTCTTGGCGATCACGAAAGATAATGTCGATGCACCACCAACGCTCTTCAAGACATACGATCGATCCGCTGCCTTCGATAGTTCTACTGTTTGGCAGGTCGCACGAGCGACGTCAGCAGCAACGACCTTTTTCAAGTCCATCAAAGTTGGCCGAGATGAGATCGAGTTCATTGATGCCGGTTTTGGTTACAATAATCCATGCAATATTCTGATCCAGGAGGCCCAGCGAGAGTTTCCTGATCGCGGAAGAATGCGGATTCTAAGCATCGGAACTGGCCTAGGTGATGTTGTTACTATCAAAGACAAACGATTATCTATCATTAATGCGCTGAAAAAGATGGCCACATCATCTAAGAAAGTAGCAGCCGACGTCGATTATCGCTATGGCGCTGATAGTGAATACTTCCGTTTCAATGTTGATCAAGGCCTTCAAGATATCACGTTATCCGATTGGGAGAAAGCTAGCAAGATATCCGCACATACCCGGAACTACCTAGCGGAGAATGAGCGGGTGATCAAGAAACTGGTCGATGAAATCACCCGTCCTCGTCAAGACTCTATGGTGAATGAAGATAGGCCGATGAGCCGTGGAAAAGCCTGTCTTAGTTAGTCCAGACAGGAGCCCGACTCACTAAGCAAGATCTACTAACACTCGAATGGCTTTCACAGGCGGGCCTTTTTGTTTGATCCCACTCCGTCAAAACCGTCACTTTGTAGGACGTAGAAAGGAATTAGATGGGCTTCAGCAGAAAGTGCTGATCCAGAAGGATAACGGGCGACTCGCAATCTTCGGGCTAGGAGGCGTCGGCAAGACCCAAATTGCACTGCAAGTTGCGTACTGGGCGAGACAAAACATGCCCTCTTATTCTATCTTTTGGATATCAGCACTGAGCAAGGCGAGTTTTGAGCAGGCTTGCACGCAGATTGCGACGAAGCTAGGAATTAGCAAAATCTCAGATAATGAAGATACCATGGAGTCAGTGCAACGACATCTGAGTTTGGAATCAACCGGACCCTGGCTTCTGATTGTGGACAATGCAGACGATATGGACTTGCTCTTTGGAAGCTCAGATTCGCCAGGAGGAATGAGCCAATATCTTCCAGAGAGCGAGCTCGGTGTGACACTACTAACTACTCGCTCTCGAGAGATAGCTGTGTCATTTGCTGGCAATGAAGTCACGAATCTCCAAGAAATGCATTTACAAGAGGCGACAAGTTTATTGGAAAAATCACTGATCCAAAAAGACTCGCGTGAAGATAGAGAAGAGACAGTGCAGCTGCTGGAAGAACTCAACAATTTGCCTCTAGCGATCACGCAAGCAGTTGCCTACATGAACACGGCAGATATATCAATTTCAAAATACCTCTCATTGCTACGCGGCACAAAGAGTGATGTGATCAATCTCTTAGGCAGACAATTTCACGACAGCACTCGCTACAGGGGATCGCAGAATGCCGTGGCTACCACCTGGCTGATCTCCTTTCAGCAGATCCACAGAACGGATGAAGCTGCAGCCAAATTATTGTCATTTATCTCGTGCATCGAGCCAAAGGCGATCTCACAGTCGCTCCTACCTGACTTTGGATCAGAAGAACAAATAGTCCACGCTATTGGCACATTGTGTGGTTATGCCTTTCTAGCCGAAAGAGATGATGCTTTATATGATATGCATAGCCTGGTCCACTTGGCGACGCAAGTGTGGGTTCAAGAGCAAGGGTTCACAAAGCAGACAATGGAAAGAGCAGTCGGTCATTTAGCGGGCGTGTTCCCGTCCGATGATTATACCAACCGCAAGTTGTGGCGGACTTTGCTACCTCATAGCCTGCGGGCTCTCCAGGAAAGCGAAGGGCATGACACAGAGGAGAGGTCGGAGCTAAATCTGAAGGTTGCGCGGTGCCTGGAAGCAGATGGCAGGATCAGAGAGGCTGTATGTTGTTATGAAGAAATATGTCGGTGGAGTGAATGCCAGTACGCGGAGGACCACCCCTCTCGACTAGCATCCCAGCATGAGCTCGCCAGTGCATACCAAGCTGACGGCCAGATCGGCGAGGCAGTCAAGCTGCTTGAGCATGTGGTTGCAGTAGAAGAGATAACCCTCGCTAAAGAGCACCCTGACCGACTAGCATCACAGCATGAGCTCGCCAGTGCATACCAAGCTGACGGCCAGATCGGCGAGGCAGTCAAACTGCTTGAGCATGTGGTTGCAGTACAAGAGAAAGTCATGGCTGAAGAGCATCCCTCTCGACTAGCATCCCAGCATGAGCTCGCCTGTGCATACCAAGATAATGGCCAGATCGGCGAGGCAGTCAAGCTGCTTGAGCATGTGGTTGCAGTACAAGAGATAACCCTGGCCGAAGAGCACCCTAACCGACTGGCTTCACAGCATGCGTTGGCAAAATTAGAAAAGGTGTATAAGGAGTGATGGCATTGATGATCCACAACACGTACCATACCTAAACATGCAAACAATCACATTTAACTTGTCTTATTTTTGCTTATGGCTAAATGGACGTCCCTAATCATTCACCCTTAACAAACAAGGATGGATTGTTACCAATAGTCCAGCATACAAACAAATTCCTAGCAAGTAATCATATTGTTCAATTGCATTTCTATCTTTAGCAAGGCCAATATTATAGAGACGAATCTTTTGTTATACATCGATGGCACGTCTATTACGATACAAGGAAGAAAATTGGTTATAGTCTCTTCGTACTCTATTTGACTCCATACCCTAGCTTCAGTCTTATCCTTGGTTTTGGAACATCAAGAGTAGTTCGAGTTGGTACAATTTCGCGAAGAACTGTACATCTATAGAAACATTTAACCTTTGAGGGAAAGACTTGCGAAATCGAGCTATCAAGCCTTGTTGCTTTGTCTTCGTTATAGTGTATGCTGGACACGCAGTTCTTATCTCAAACTTTGATGGTGTTAGACTAGTAGGCAGGAAATGGGTCTTCCGTCCACCGCTCATATAGTTTTCAAATATCGCACACGTTATAACATGCTACAGAACCACTGGAAATCAGTTTCATCACTTCATTCTCTTTAGCTCTTCTAAAGTCTTGGCCAGGTTCGCTTTAGTCTACACCTGGCCTAGACCATCTTGAACACAGCGCCCGATCTCCAAATCTCCATTCCGAAAAAATCCAGATGTAGAACATGAAGCAAAACTTTGAAAGCCCTAAAGAAGATCGAGCAAGATGTGTCATCACAAAATAAAGGAAGCCGGACATCAGAGGATACGATCTGGCAGGTCCAGATCTCGCAGACAGCCAAAAAGGAGGATTTCAGAGGGACGGATACATTGGAACTTGAACATCGCAATAGTGAATCGACTGATAAAGTTAGCATGGATCACATCCTACAATGAATGGACCTGAACTAAACCGACAAAGCTATTGAATAATAAGAATGCCATCGAATTCGTGACCAACAAGCTATCTGCCGTCCCTGAGATCGCGGAGACTCATGAATCTTACCCACTTAACATCTTGCGGGCAGACCTACTGAAATACATGCTCTTGTGGTCCCACGGCGGTTTTAATGTAGACATGGATGTTTTCCCGGCTCGTTCCATCAAAACATGTCGAGCATTTCAACCCTTCTTCACGTTACTGACCAAGTCACTACAACATACCCATCCTAACGAATCCCTCGTGGCTGTAATTGAGATTGACTAGCCCTATGCTTCGCCGCAATTCATGCACAGCTGGCCTTGGACAAGGAGTTACGGATTGATCCAATTCACCATGTATGCTCCCATACGTTTCAGCCCGCTACTTCGAGAGACAATCGTTCACGTTCTAGCGCATACGAGAAGGCACAATAAGAGTCACGGTAGACTTTTCCGCAGTTGGTCCTATGACGAAAAGACTGTTCTTGGAGTTACGGGGGCAGATGTATTTACGGATGTCATCCTTGGAATTCTTTCCTCTTCTCTGCCTTGGACACATCCGCTTGTTTGACAATCACTTGTTGCAGATGCCGATATTGGTGATCCGGTCTCCCCAATCACTGGGGAGGTCTAAGGACGGGTATCTTGGGCTCCGTTTCGCTGACTTCGCGATCCTGTTTGTATCGAGGCCGCGTAGGCTACCCAGGGAGATTCTATGGGAGGGCTCTGCGTGTTGCCTATTAAGTGTGTGGACCAACGGGCAGAGGCATAGTAAGGCCAGTGGATTTAATGACTTTGATGCAAGTGCAAATCATCGGTTTGGACGAACATGGAAGAAGGAGTGGTACGGGTATATAGTCGTATGATAATCAGGATCGCATTTGGCTCTAACATGCAGCCGTATCGAACTTTTGTAATTATAGATTCAATATATAATAGGTACTTTGTTCCTTTCTTTGGGACTGGGGAGAATGTGAAAGGTAGCGAGATCTTATCTCCAGTCGTCTAGGAATTTGGCTTAGCTTGATACCTGATCTTTCTATAGTCTATTCATGGATTGTGTGAGATAATTATATAAGATGCTATCTATAAACTCCCAAGATTGCACATTGCTTAAATGCAAAGTTAATTTTCTTAAAAAAATGAAGCAAAGACAATAACACATCAGCAATACAAAGTTATATCATAGAAAGGAAAAACAACGACAACGAACTAAGCTAATGATTTCAAGCCGTGGCCGCAATGAGGAGGCACGTTTGGCGCATTTCCTCCCAAAATTTTATATCATCCTCATTATTGTCTGTATGGCTTTTCGAAGATACACCCAGGTCTGTTTGTCTCGTTGGCATAGTACTCTTGTCCTCTGAAAATCGGGTAGTAGGGAAATTTGTTGTAAATTTGTGCTTGAGTGATGCACATCGGAACCGATAGCTCTCCCCCTATTGCCCCCTTTTGCTAGCGAGGGTAGCAGATTTTTGAATATCTACCCAAAATTTCATTGTTTTGGAGTTGATTGGCTGCATCAGATTTGCGCTGTTGGTTAAAGAAAGTGGTGTAAGATGTTTGTTATATTGAAGGTCAAGAAAGCCCTAATAGCTGTGTGTTGTAGAATCGTAGAGCTTGAAGAACGACAAGAAAGTGAGTCGGAGTGAACACGTGTATGTTGTGCCTCCGCTCCCAAGTTGGGAGTCGGGGTATTGGTTGGATGTTGTAATTGGAACGTCATTATATTCCTAGAATGCGGCCATGAATATATCTATACGAAGGTGGCTAGGGCTCAAATTCATTTTTCTCTACGAAGAATTTCCAAAGATGCCATATTCTAAACTCTTTCTAGACACAGCTTCATATGTCCCTTCCAGGGTTTCTAGTCATGTACTCAATTTTTGGTTCCCTATGGAACAACAATCAAGTTCCCCCTTTAAATGGTTTCTTCGCTCCCACTGACCATACATCCTGTTGGCTTTTCTTTTCCTTTTTTTTTCATATTCTTTGCTTCTTATCAATGACGAGGCAGCAAATTGGTCTCAAGTTTCAATCAGCCATTCATCTATACCTCATTATGTGCTACTTTTCATTTTACCATAGTCCTCAAAACCATTAGGAGTCAAGCTAGAGTACACGTTGTTACTCATCGCAGATCTACATTTATGTTTAAATTTTCATATGGTTTGTTTTTAATCACCTTCCAGTCCTCCCATCACTCAGAACAATACCCGGGCAGACCGACCACCCCCAAAGTATCAAGTGAATAACACGGCGCAATTGATCTACAAATTTTCATTCCGAGGTAATCTAGATGTAGAGTATGAAGCAAACCTCTCAAAGCCCTAGGAAAGATCGAGTAAGCTGTGTTATCACCAAACGAAGGAAACCGGATAACAGCGGATGACCTGGCAGGTCGCGATCTTACTGACGGCCAAAGAGGAGGATCTCAGAGGAATAGATTCATTGGAATTTGAGCATCGCAATAGCGTATGGAATCATAACGTGAGTTTGGATCACATCCTACAATAAATGGACCTTACTAATCTGCACAGAAGAACTGATAGAACCGATCAAACTTCCTTCCCATGCGTGTGTACATTAATGTCCTCGAGGAATTGCAATAACATTGCATTCTTTTTCATCAACATAATCTTTTTAACCATTCATGATTGGGACTTGCGGCGATTCAATCAATCTTGCGCCATGGCTTGCCGAACTACTATTCCGCTGCATTGCATGAGATGCGTCTCCGCCCTATTTGCTTCTTTTGGGCTACCTGATGAGTCCTCAAGTTGTTCCTTTGTAGCTTGGAAAAGGGGATATGTGAGGTATGCCATCAATTATACACATGTGTCACTAGTTGCCGTAGCAAGACAGCCAATGGAGAATTTCTATAAACTTCCCATTGCAAAATTAGTCACAGTCCTAGACATTTGCTACGTACTAGACTGGTCAAGCGCGTTTACCTTTGTATTTAAATACGAACGCTTTGCATATTATTGGCTTTCTAATCTATTCTATGGGTGCTCAGACCTATGATCTGCAAAAAGGGGCGTGGGGCTGAAGTGATACTAATCTGGGTTAGCAACCAGATGATGAGGATGGAATTGACAAGTTCAGACCACTCACCATGAATCATAGGTTTTTTTTTTCTTTTTTATTTTTCGAGTTTAGGATTGACCGGCGCAACATCAGAAGGATTATGTTGGACTGTCGCGGCGGAATTTTGAAGCTCCAAGGATGTCTTGCGAGACCATGCAGCCATCGCCATGCCCAAGGCAACCCACGAGGGGATGTTTCCAAAGACAATCGGGACGTCTTTGGTTTTTTTGAAGAGATTGGGAAAGATCCTGGTATACATTGTTCAAATGCTCAAGTAACCGTTGGAGACGTATAAAAGGAAAATTGTACGAGAAGGTCGGGGGTTCAGAACAAGACCTATATGTGAATCAGGCTGATACCCCGACTCTCAACATGGAAGCGGAAGCTTGACAAATATAGCTACATACATCCATGGATAGATGCCCAGGTTTGTATGTACTCAGACTCATCCAAACTCTATCAAATTCACAAAACACAACTACGTTTCGACAGATGCGATTCCACTGTCATGTATTAAGGAAGCGAGAGCGATTTTCAATCGAGCCACAGTACTCATCAACCCGATGATTACAAGTGTCTTGGAGGAACTGATCGCACAGGTATCCACTCGCATCGTGGATCTCGACACCATCATGTCCCGCCACGACAGCATTCTTAGAGGCATGGAAATGATTACCCACCCACTCCTTGATTTTAGACTTCGTCAGCTCCCTGGCCTTGGGCAGCTCGGAGTCCAGCGCATCAGAACTGTAAGGTCAAACTGGTATTGGACTGGAGCTGATGACCTCATAGCCTTCCATTTCCGTGACCTGGGGGACCGCAGTGCGTCCCAATGCCTACAGCTCCAAGCAAATGAATGACTTTTTCTCGTGAGCTGCGTCGGTCACGGTTTTTCAGGCGGCGATTGGTTCATCGCTCCAAATTCCGGAAACGTTGGGGTAGCCGCTTGTGTGCTTTGAAATGAAGGTCCCTACGGTTATGAGTAAAGTTCCTGGGACGCATGCACGCTGGGCCTAATAGTTCACTGTGATGGGTAGTGGGATGTGAGTGTCGTCTGCGCGAAATCTGCTCATTGCCGCCTTGACAATGCGGTGCTTCAGGTTAATGTTCCCCACCTGCGAAGGGCGGGAAAGACGAGATTCTGAGACTGCCATGATCATGTTATGATGATGTTTGAAATGAGGTGGAATCGTTTCCCTCAAATATGAGTTAGATATAGATCTATGTACTTTGGAGGGAAAAGAGGAAGAACACTTGATTAGCGAAATGTGGGACTAGGTGCTATATTCATATTATTTTGCTGTAGGTAGGTGTAGGTAGAGAATCAGGCTTATGAATCAACTAATTCGTATCGTATTTCTGGGCATGTCAAGCTGCAATTACAAAGATAACGAATATGCTGGACGATTTACTACGGGATTCGAGGGCTTACTACTAACCCCGGGATTCAGAAGTCCTGAATCCCGATACTGGAGCAGTTAGGGCTTCTTTATTTACGATACATGTACATACTTTTCAAAACAAGCGGCAGTTTCTGGTATTTCAGTGTTACCAACTCCTTGTCTCATTCCAAAATTTCATTTGCTGATTATCTCAACCGGTTTTATATTGCATTAATGTTAAATCTCACTTTCCTGGGGATGTCAGATTATTCAAAGCCTTATGAATATTGACCAAGCACCTTGATTCTTTCTTTTTAGTTATGTGTCTCTTAGGTTGTTATCCAGTTGCTTCCAAGGTTACCTACTGTAAGATGGATCTCAGCTTTCCATGGCCCAACAATTCTCTTTGTCTGGTCTTTCTATGGCAGCCTTTCAGCTCAAGTGGATGCTAACAGTTCTCAACAAATCGTCAAAAAAGACCTCGGGAGTTTACATAGCTAATAATACCCTTGTGCCTTTGTTCGACTAATTTTTGTTTTCTTTTGGATAAGCATTGTCCCTTGTTGGTAACCTAAGTCCTTTACCATGAAACATAAATACAATGAATCCCCGCAATACTGCCTCATGTTTTGCACGTTCCGATCTTGTGATTATTATCTCAATTAAGCCTCAAAAGCATACCCATATTCTAAGCTCATTGCTGCAGCTTCTTCATAAACGTTTGTGAGTACTATATCACTGTCAACTTACAACCCTCTGAGAGAACATCCCATCCCAACCGCTACCATGTTTCTCAGAGGGGGAGAATTCTCCACATTGTTCTCCACATTGCTGAAAGAGAAGCATGCTAGCTTCTGCACCAACATGCAGAAGTTCATTTCTGATCTAAAATCTGACACTGTCCGCGAGCTCATCTTTCCACAGACGGGAGTCCTCTTCCTTCAGCTATCAGAGCTCCGCAGGATTGGCGAGTTGATGGGCACAACTGAGCCCTTCAATGAGTCTCTCAAGAACGCACCTCCTCAGTACTTCACTGCCCGTGCTCAACGCCATCAAAGCTTCTATGGAACCGAGTACGGCTACGCCTGCTGGTATATTCAGGCGAGCTTGGGCTGCACAATGACCTATTTGGTCGATGCTGATGCCTTTGAATCGATGATGGCTGATTTTGAAATAGATAATCTCAACATCTTCCCGCGTCTTCTACCTTTGGAGTCTGCAGCCTCAACGCCCTCTCTCTCAGGATCCCCGACACCTTTATATCCTTCCACTTCAGTGCCTTTAATCTCTGCAGAGATCACAAAAGCTATGCAAGCACCGGAGTCCTCAATCGGCTCTGACATTGCAAAGCTATCTCAGGCGAGTCGTCCAGCGATAACAGATTCGCTCGGAGGAATTCCCAGTCTTTTGCAATATTCAATTCCCGACCAGTCAGACCGTAGATCTAGAAATCCACGTGTGCGGGTGACGTCTCCAAATGGAAGAACTACCAGTCCCAAGCGAAACCGAACACGTCGCCGAGCGACTCCCTATCCTGAAAGAGGTGATCTTTACAAGGGACATTTAAGGAAGCATTCATCTGCCGGGACCCCTTTGTCGCCAATTCCTCCTCCTCCTTCTCCATACAGATGTACTGAGGGTCAGAATCTCAAACCCCCTGCAACTTCTACTGATATTCAGGCTCGTGAGCAGCCATTTTATACCCCGTAAGCTGATCAGTGGGTTGTTTAGTACAGATGGACTGGTATGTCCTGCATTCCACCTTCATGGCCCCCTTCTGCTGAGAGTCGCTCCTTGGACCCTCTTTAGGTGACCCTTGTTCGATGTTCTTTACCTCCAAGTCTAAGCCGATATTAAATTGTTAACTTTGGTTTTCTTTACTTTGGTTTTCTTTTTTTCTTTCTGTTTTCAAAAGTGTACATATTGTCTTCAGGAAAATCATACTTTTCATAGTACCACTTTCGCAATAGTCATTCCATGAAATATAAAAGTAGACTGAGTATAAAGCTCATGATTTATTTGCGATTTTGAGATCAACTTGAATGAAGATTTTGCAACCCTTTCCATCTTTTGTTTAGTAATTAGGGAAATGATAACACTATGTATACATTGTATCACTAATGGGGACTTGATCGTATATAGTAGGACGTATAATTTAGAAACAATATTCTGTGGCACCATATTCCAAGCCATCTCATTATCTCACTTGTCTCACAATCTCACCATCTGATCGTCTCACGAGCTTTTCAACATCTTCTAATCAACTTGCCACTGGAGGCTGATCTGTCACCGCCCCCAAATCAGTAACAACCAATCAGAGCCTCCTGTGGACGGCAGAATCAGGCCATTGTCATTTCTTGGCGATCGGCCGATCCTCCGCGCATTTCGAGGCCAGCTTGTCCACTATTTTTTTGGGTTCTTAGGCATTCCTCTTTGTTTCTGCTTTCTTGTTTCTTTATTTTTAATTCTATCATCTGTTCTCTCTGCTTGAACCATCTTTCCAAAATTCACGACTTACACCGAACTACGAATCGACTATCCCGCGGAATCTCCGGCCGTTGCGCCACCTTGCATATACACCGGTGACGTTGTTCGCTCCATATACCAGCAGTTGGAAAAATGAGGTCCACAGCAAGCCTTTGCTATGCGGCGCTTTTTGCCTTGGCAGGCTTATCCAGCGCCAGTGAAGAGGATATCCCACTAGATCCGACCAAGTGCGCGGTAAGACAAAACAAAGACCCCGGATAGGCAGGATACATAGCTGATCAATTGATTCTATAGCTGGAACCCTCAGCCATGGTATCGGATGCCTGTGTCTCGTACGGTGAAATCAACGGAATCAACGACCTCATTTTCTCGACCCTCAACTCTATCACGCAAGAAACGGACTTTTTCTCATACTACCGCCTAAACCTATTCAACACAGAATGTCCATTCTGGTCCGATGCGAACAGCATGTGTGGCAACATCGCTTGCTCCGTAAATACCATTGAGTCCGAAGAGGACATCCCGCTCACCTGGCGGGCAGAGGAACTGAGTAAGCTAGAAGGCCCAAAGGCGAATCATCCACCCCGCAAGATCCAAGCCGAGCGTCCAAAAGAACGCCCACTCCAAGGAGAGCTGGGTGACGATGTTGGAGAAAGTTGTGTGGTCGAATACGACGATGAATGTGATGACCGAGACTACTGTATCCCGGAGGACGAGGGCTCCGCCGGGAAGGGAGACTATGTGAGCCTGGTTGACAACCCAGAGCGTTTCACCGGATATATGGGAGAAGGCGCGCACCAGGTCTGGAACGCCATCTACAGCGAGAATTGTTTCATGAAGCCCATGGCCAATGAGCTTGAGGAACAGACGCTGAACGTTCCACTGGGTGGCCTCCAGGCAGCATCGGACTTCCGAAACGTGATCCACAAGGAGTCCCAGCGCCTGGAAGGCCTTCCGCTGGATAACGAGTGTCTGGAGAAGCGGGTGTTCCACCGGCTCATCAGTGGCATGCATGCTTCGATCTCCACCCACTTGTGCTGGGATTACCTGAACCAAACCACAGGCCAATGGCACCCTAACGTGCAGTGCTTCAAGGAACGACTCCTTGATCACCCAGAGCGCATCTCGAATATGTACTTCAACTACGCGCTGGTCTCGCGCGCTGTAACAAAGCTTCGCAAGCACCTGGACAACTACACGTTCTGTGCCAGCGACCCCGAACAAGACCGCGAGACCAAGAAGCGCGTGAACAAGCTCACATCGACTCTTACGACTCTCCCCAAGATTTTTGACGAGAAGATTATGTTCCAGGATCCCAGCGCTCTGGGATTGAAAGAGGACTTCCGCAACCGCTTCCGCAACGTCAGCCGCCTGATGGACTGCGTGGGCTGCGACAAGTGCCGACTATGGGGCAAGCTGCAGGTGAACGGATACGGAACTGCCTTGAAAGTGCTCTTCGACTACGACGAGACCAAAAACGGCGAGAACCCTCCCCTTCGCCGTACCGAGCTGGTCGCCCTGATCAACACCCTCGGTCGCATCTCGCACAGTCTCGCCGCTTCACGAAGCATGCAACGTGCCCTCCTGACCGGCACAACCCATATGTTCCCCGTACATGGCGCAGTGCCTTCGTCGCACCATGCCAATGCCCTCGCCGGTCAGGGCAGCAGACGAGTATTCAAGGATGGAAACAACAATTTCTACTTCGAGGGCGATAACGAGGAGGATTTCATTTATGGCCGAGAAGCGCCCGAGCGATACCCCTGGGAGCGCAAGCCGCGCAGCCCGGACGACGGGGTCTGGGAGGATATCAAGCACGAGTGGGACATGGTCTGGGGTACAGTCGGATATATCTGGCAGACCTGGATGGATATTCCTCGGACACTGTAAGTTGTAATGTTGATGTGGGTTTTTGACGATGATACTGACCATTGCAGACTTCGAATTGGTACCTGGGAGTCGGTCCGACTGTACAATTATTGGCTCGGTTTGCCGGTCCCTCCTCGCGCTTGGAAGCTGAAGGCTCCCCAGCCGCGCCCCCATACTCAGCCTCAACGGAATCCTCATCGGACTGAGTTATAATCTTTATATTATCTTGCATTGGCATCTGTATATACACGGCTCTGTGTGATGGCGTTCATAGACTGGGTTTAGGGATTTTCTTTTTGGAGTTGGATAATTCACCACGCTTTCGGTGTTATGATGTGAATAAACTAATTATCTATTCCATGCATGTTTCGGTATAACTTTATATGCGATGTAGGTGTAGTTGCCCGCTCGGTGAGATGTCCGACGTTGAAGTCTATACGGAGGATGCATTTGAAGTTACACACAGGTACAACGTACAATGTTATAGGCATATACAATCTACAATATTGTATAACTCGAACTCACTAGCTTATTAAGATCATCAATTGACTAAATACCCCATACTCCACTGTCTCAGGGTCCGAGATCTCTCAGACTGCCTCGGTCCCAGTCTGGTAGGTACATGCGCCACTGAAGAGATTTCTCGCAAAACACCATAGATATGTTTTTATGCACAATATAACTTTGGGATACAAATTGAATAGCAATAAACAATTTTAGTAGAACAACTCGAATAAACTCACATAGATGGGAATATCCAAGTAGTACTATACATAGTCAACTCCCCCGTATTTGTTTCGGCAAACCCCGACCTCGGCATCTCCACTCCCGGCCACATGCGTCTTTTCCTTTCCTCTCTTCTCTTCGTCATCGCCTTTACAAACTCCCATACTAGTCTGAGATCTCAATGCAAGTCCGTTAATATCAGTATTCATGGCGACGCCTTCGCCGCCGAAACCCTGGGAGAGAGCAGGAGCAGCTGGTAAGTCTCTTCTCTAACCGCGGCTCCATACCCGATCGCCACAAGAGTCACAGGGCGAGCCCCAGTCCCCATCAAAAACAATCATCTAATAATCCTCTGCTTCCACTAGGAAACACTTTATCATCAACACCCATCGCAGGCAACCCAGTTGCCTCTACCGCGATGACTACCACCAACCCCGCAACATCGGGCGCCCCCGACCTTCCCGACCGCCCTAGTACCCTCAACTCTGTGGTCAACAATACGGCTTCAAATTACTCACCCTATGGTGCCTCACGACTTGGAACCAGCGCCTATGGAACAGGATATGGTGGCATGGGCGGAATGGGGGGCATGGGAACTTACTCATCGCCCTACTCTCGCTTCGGTACTATGGGCGGCATGGGCTCCATGTACGGTGGCGGCTATGGAGGAGGCATGTACGGAATGGGCGGTATGGGAGGCATGGGAGGCATGGGAGGGATGTACGGCGGCATGCCAGGACAGGATCCCAATGACCCCAATAGTCTGACGAACTCTTTCGGTCAGAGCACCCAGGCCACCTTCCACATGATCGAGAGTATCGTTGGTGCGTTCGGTGGCTTTGCCCAGATGCTAGAGAGCACGTACATGGCCACACACAGTTCATTCTTCGGTTAGTTCAAACTCACCTGTTGCAATGTGAACATATGCTGACGTCTTTTATAGCAATGGTCTCGGTCGCAGAACAGTTTGGAAACCTGCGCAACACCCTAGGCTCCGCCCTGGGAATTTTTACACTCATTCGGTGGTTCCGCACATTGATCGCCAAATTGACAGGACGTCCTCCGCCAGCCGACGCGACATCCTTGACCCCCGCTGCCTTTGCAGCATTCATGGGGGGACGGTCAAGTCCCGTCACCCTCCCCGATGGCTCACCGGCTCCCGCCAAGCCATCCAAGAAGCCCTTCTTCATGTTCCTGATTGCACTCTTCGGTCTCCCTTACCTAATGGGCAAATTGATCAAGACAATGGCCCGCTCTCAAGAAGAAGAAGCCAGGCGTCGCCAGCAGCTCGTCGGACCAAACGGCGAACCTGGCTCCGCCTCCCTCGACCCAACCAAGCTGGACTTCTGCCGTCTCCTATATGACTACACACCGGAGACCCAAGAATCCAACGGCATCGATCTGGCCGTCAAGAAGGGCGACATCGTCGCCGTTCTCAGCAAGTCAGACCCCATGGGCAATGCCTCCGAGTGGTGGCGCTGCCGCGCCCGTGACGGCCGCGTTGGATACCTCCCGGGCCCATACCTGGAGACTATCCAGCGCCGACCAACCGCAGCCATCACGGCAGGCAGCGAGCCCACTTCTCGTGCCTCCACCATGAAGGGCGAGGCTGAAGGTCGCACGCAGAGTCTGTCGTCTCTGAGCAAGCCCGAGATCAAGAGCAAGATGGGTGATATCTCTCCCGAAAGCTTCCAGAAGAGCACATTCCACTCTTGAGCTATAGACCCCGGTGCTTGGTTTGAGCGTCTTAGACAGGTGTGTTTTTTTGTTGGTCAAAAGCTCTTCGAGCCTTGGTGCTCCTATATATCCCACGAGCGTGTTTCATGATCTGCTGTGCGGGCTACAGCCTGAAATTCTTGGCAATTATTCCCCGAGTCCAACCTGGGTTCTTCACTTTCCCTCTTCTTTCTTTACATGTTCTTTATCTCTTTACTTTTGGATTGGATTGATTTTAGCGATGGTCTTTTATGTATTTAGTACTTATTAGTGTATGAAAACCATACCAACAAACCCCAAAGCCCACATCGAGACATTTCAGTACTATGACCGAAACTCTCCCTAACTACTCCGTAATCCTTGCCTCATCCTTGATCCCCATCAGCGACTATGGAACTCATGCTGGCCCACAACGGGCCGGAAACACCCGTTCTACCCGGGCCCACTGGTAGTTGATACATCGAATATCAAAATCAATTTTGAAATCAAATAAACCATTGCCAAGTCCAAACCCAAATATCAGGTGTACAATCCTTGATGCAAACACCCGACCCCAGTTCTCCTGCACAACCTTGGAACGAGTAATCTCAATATGCAGGATCCAAAGCGGCTCCCTGCAGCACTAGTCAATCCTGCGAATCCTGCGAATCCTGGAATCATGCGAGTCCATTTCCCTGTACCAGGGGCCAAGGGCCAAGGGGGGCGGTTAATTCTTGTGCAGCACAGGACAAAAGTCCCGGATGATCAGCGCGGACAGCTACGTGGTCAGATCTAGAGCGGGTAGATTGGTACATTTGCTGAGCTACCCTGTATGTAAATGTAACGACATGTGAACTTCTCTGGGCGGTATCTTTACTCTTTTGTTCGGTATCTTTAATTGCTACAAGGGGCAGTAAGTAAGCTGTATTCGGTGGAATTCTTCAGGGGCTTGGATCCTGATGCTGGTGTCATGGGTGTGTTGAGTTGGGTTGCAGTTTGAGCTTTACGTCCCATTTTCGCGTAGTAGAGAATGGACCGTGGGTCGGGGAATGAATGACTCGGAGTCGGGGAATGGGATGGGTGATCGTGGGGGTAGAGTAGGGTAGTCAGAACCGAGAAATGAGACCTGGTACCTTGTATACCTCGCGAAAGCCAGAAGATTTAAAGTAAAGGTTGGGTGTGATCGAAGCGTGGTGTTCTCGGGCGCAGATGGGGGTAAGACAATAATATTGTGTCTCAGAGGATGATCGGGCGAGCGTACGAGGGAAATAAAAGAGCAGATTGAAAGCTCGTACTACCCATACTGACAAATAGCAGAAGATGGCCGTGGACACAATAGAGATAGATCAGATCACCAGTCTAACGCGACAGAACGCCCTTGCTATGAATCGCGCCTATATCTGGAATGGGCACAAGCGAACTCCTCCAAATGAGAACGACAAGGAAAGGGAGCACAGAAAAAACCCATGTACATAGAGAAAGAAGGACACAAAGACGCTGGGGGCAGAAATCAAACAGATATCAATTAGAACGAAACCAGAACAGAACAAGAGCAATCACATCCCCAATCCCTCGTGATGAGGAATCTCCTGATTAGGATCCTGATCCCGCGCCCACTTCGACATAGTCTGCGTAAGCGTAAAGTCCAGCCCCTGCAACCTCGTCTGGAACGACTCCACGGTGTTCCAATCCGGCGGGTGATTGTCGACCTCATTAGGGACGTCGTTCATAGTGCGCGGTACCGGGCCCGGACCCGGGCCCTGGCCTGGGTGCGCATGTACGCGGGAATGAGGATGGGGTGGCAGATTCGCTATTGGGTGGTATTGGCGATTAGATTGCATGGCCAGGGGGAGATTCGAGTCCTCGTCTATGATCAAATCTGGGAGGCTTTCGATGTGGTTTGGGTCTAGAGTGAGATACCGACCATCAATACGTGTGTGTATGGGGTTGGTCGGTGGATGCGGGCCCGTGGATTTACCATATGGATTGATGGGGTAGGTTGACATGTCGCGGGGCGAGTTCATCTCTGGGAGTGATGACATGGGTGTCGCTACGCCGATGTCATCGGCTGGTTCTGGGGTGTAGCAGGTCATGTCGGAGGGGGTTTCTGGGGTTGTTAGCTATGGCACATATGATTATATCACGCTATCACCAATCGCATCTAGTGTATAGCAGATCCGGTATAAGATACGACTACATCTGCTCGTATGCATTGCGGGTCACTCACGAGGTTCAGGGCTCTCTGGTCCGGTCTCTGGCTCTGGCTCTTTGCCTCGAGTGGTATCCCAGGAAGTTCCATAGCGACGAACGAAGCGAGCGATTCGTTTGGGGTCGACGTTTTGCCCATTCACCCGGAAGGCAGTCTGTTTCCCTTGGGCGGCGCGCTTCTGTTGTTTGCGAAGCATCAGGTGGACCTCTTTGGCTTTGATATTCTTTCGGACATGCCATGCGGCAAGACGATCTTTGTATTGCTTTTCTCTAATGGTCTAGGGTTAGATTGGGAGTACGGTAGAGGGGGTGTGGGGATAGAACTATATGCCATCCCGCATTCACATCGAATCCACGGAACGACACAGAGGGAGCAGAAGCAGAAAAAAGAAAGGATAGCAGTACGAGGCAAAGAACTTATAATCCCGTTCCATGATGCGTTTCACATCTCGTAGTTTTAACTGATCATTTCGATAGAGTTGTTCGATGATCTCGCGATATTCGTGCCAATCATCGGATCTGCGGGGTCGAAAGACACTGGGAGGAGAGATCGGTTGATAATTATTGTCCATGATGATGAGAATCGATAGAGAGAGAGGTTATGAATATAAAGTTGAGGGTATAATTGTTCAATATCATACTCGTCTCAAAGGTTCCCGAGTGTGGTAAAAACAGGTTCCATAATAAGTTCTTTTAAAGAATGCAAACCATAATATTATATTCCCAAAAAAAGAAAAATAATCCAGAGACCTCAGACACCGCAGAAACCTATATAAACATAAAACAAAAGCGAATAAAAGAAAATAATCACTCGGAAAAGGGCCGGGGGCCAAATATCTCTCTTCTCTTCTCTTTACGGCGACGTGCACAACGGACGCACGACCCCCTGTTTCCCCGGCCAAATCAGAGTGGTGGACGGGGATCCATTCTGGCGGAGGCAACTAACCCAACTCACTTGTTCACTGCGATCGCCAACGGTTATTATTTCAAGGAGAATATCTCCGTTCGGTGTTTGGTCTGATTCAGGCAGGAGTTAGAGTCGCCGTCTTGATTTGGATCAACTCACTTGGTGGAGTTCCGTCCATTCTGGATTTCCTGGTGACAATTCTTCACATTGGGAGGAGATGCCGAGGGATCTGGAGGGAATTATTAATTCCCTGGTTAATTCCCTGGGTCTGTCTCCTCCGTCCAGACCGTGGTATAAGATGGTATGTCCTAGAGTGGAGCTGAAAAAAAGGTACTTTTGGCCCTACTGTACGGCCTAAGCGAACTATTACATGCAGTGCTTTGGCCGCAAATTGGATGCATTTTCTGCTGCCTTGTCTTTTTTTTTTTTTTTCATATTTTCCCATAACAATATAGCTTCGGTATGTACACGATGATCAAGTATGTAGTACTTGCATATGAATACACTAGTGAGAAGCACCCGACGACAGTGTACATTGTCTGTTCAAAGTATAACTATTAGTTAGTCAACGGACAATCCTGACTGCAGATCGCAAAAAGACCACCGGGAGCGGGCCGAAACTTCCTTGACAGCTCTTTGTTCTGTTCGAGTCTAACAGATCCCACCGAGGTGGAGACTACCTCTTATCTCTGACTGTTTTGGTCTAGTCCGGGAGTCTGAGTAAGTACTGAGGACTCGGAAATCCGGATTGAGTACCTAGTACTTATGCGACGATTCAGATCTACTCCGTACTGGTCAGAATATTATATGTCATTTTGAATTTAAACGTTTTTGACATATCTGACAGCTAACAGTTGACAGTTGACAGTTGACACCTAAATAAAACGTGCTAGATCTCGCCATCAAACACCTGTTGACCCATCAAGGCGTACGCGTTGCGCTTTGGGCTCGAGACAAGGTTAAAGCCCCATTACTAGTTTTGGTATTATACTATGTATAGGGTATAGGATAACAGTCACTATACAGTGTACCTGGGTAGTCGACCATGGAGTATATCTTCCGGCCGAAACTCGAAGATTAGGCCTTTCGTACGATGCAAGGTTCTGCTGGTTTCGGTTTTCGATTTTTTTTCTTCTGCTTTTCTCGATATTGGTTTCTTTGCTTCTCTCATGCGGGAATGTACCCTCGGGGTAGAAGTGGGGTATATCCCTCCCGCTCGCCGTGGACTTTCTCCTCGATGAATCTGCCCTACCCTCAGCTACCGAGTCCTAGTGATATGCTCTCAATCTATTTTAATTATCCATTGCACAGATACGTAATGATCCCTGGTCCTTTGGTGACTGTGCATTCCATTTTCGTTTTCACTTTCTTTAATATTTCTTTTCGCCCCTGAAACTCTTCAGACTGACACAACGCCACTCTCATATATGCCGACCCCAATGATCAGCGGTCTGAATGGTCCATATCCCAAGGGCTAGAACCCGAGAACTCCCAGGGCAAAACCCAAGAACTGTCAGGTGGGAAAATGTAGCTGTCGTTCGGGGACCATCAATTCTATTCCCCGAAAGGGATGTGCATATATTGATTTCCGCCGCAATGCCGATTATCAGGGGGCGAACGAAAAAGGAAAAATGAAAAAGAAGATCACACCCTACAATAGAGTACAAAGGAACTTTCGCATGAATCGAGGATTCGGGCACTAAAATAGTATTTGAGCGGATAGGATCTTGGTTTCCAACAAAAAAAAAAAAAAAAAAACCAAAAATGCGGGGTGTACTTTCTCCTTAGTGTGAAGCCCAGTCCCAGCCGCTCCAACCCAACTTCCAGTAAAATTCGAGATTCGACTCTCTAAAACCATTTAGAAAGTGGACTGTGCTGGAGAGGCACAACGGCGCGTGGAGTATGGACGGAGATCACTACCGGACTGACTGTTATAGGTCCACGGACCATCGTTCATCGGGTCGGATCGCATGCAGGTACTAGGATGTAGCGCGCAGACTGATTAACTCGAAAATCGTGGCGCAACGACACTGCATACACCGGACGCGGAAAGCGGAATTTTTCCCGCGAATGTAGGTCGACGCCCGGGCGAAATGTGGACTTCGAGGAAAGGGGGGCGGGGAGGTCTGATTCCGACCCACGCGCCAGTGCTGCACTCAGCCGACATATGTCAGGGTGCGGATTGGTTGGTATCTCTGGTCGATCCAGTCGTGAGTTATGACAGGCGAATAAACGTTCAGAGATAGATTGCGGGTTGAAACATCTGCTGTAGGCACGTCATTGTCATCCCCCTTTTAATGTAGCGCTTGTTCGCAAAGTACCACTGATGCCAGTAATGCGCTGGTGTATGGTTCTGGATCCTGCATGGAATTCATTGGCTATATGACTTCGTCTTGCAGCCTCAAGATTTTTTCCATTTCCATTTCAAGGGCGATCATTCGGGCTGGCCGTGGTCTGTCGGGCTTGTTCGGCGGCTGCTACGGCCGCAGCCGCCACGGCAGCAGAGTTGCTGGACCCCGTGCTAGCAAGATTGCTAGCGTGCGCAAGGAGGAACTTGCAGCAAGTCAGCGTGTACTTACAAGCACGAGTCCACGTCTCATCGTTCTGGTTGAAGCCCAATTTAATGCTGGCATCGCCAATACGATCTCGCTTGATTTCGTATGGTAATTTCAGCCCCGGGGCTGTTGCGCCAGTCTGGCCACGCCGTGGGGATACAACTGGCGCAGGGGTCTTCTCGACAAACTTCCCTAGTTGGCGCAAGCACTCAAGAAACGCCACCATGCCCGAATCAAAGCGACGGTGGAGCCATGGAATGTTGAGCGGCAAGTCCCCTGATGAGAAGAGATCTAATTGGGTCGCCTTAGGTGCGCCTCTCTCTGAGGGCTGGCCCGATGCCTGCACTGGATACTCAATCTTGTCGATTCGAGAGTTGGACCCCAATGGCCTGAGACGATACCCCTGGAATTGAAATCCGAGTTTCTCTGCCATCGTGGCCAAAAGTAGAGCTGTTTGTCCCCATGCTGCATTAATTTCAGGCCAGTCAACAGAGGGGTTAGCCAATCGGCCCAGCCGTAGTCCATTGATAGTGCCAAAATATCCATCATGACCAATGCAGAAGGCGTCATTGTAGACATTTGTCCGTTGCAGCCTCTCAAGCTGTTGCGAGTCGTGATCATACCGCATATTAAGAGCATCCCGTTCGTTTTGAAACTCATTCAGAGTCAAGGAAAACGCATTGCGGGACCGCCAAAAGCTCTCCTCGTCGGCATCAAGCTGTCGCGATTCGATTTCCAAGGCTGCAATCTCCGCATCTAGAACAGCCTTTTCTTGCTCAAAGGCCTGCAGTTCTGCGAAGCTGGCACGCTCCGCTTCAAGGCTCTCATTCAACGACTTCTCTGCCGCCTGCAGCTCCTCCGCGGTCGGGACCGACCCATTCAAATTCCGGAGAAATGAAATGTAGGCATCTCGCTCCTTCGTGGATCCTGCCAGGCGCTTTTGCAATCCTTCCACCAGCAACTCTGTGCATTCCACGCAAATGGGGTGATCGATATCGGACCGCGCTGAGACAATCTCAAACAACCGCGTGGTTCTCTCCACTTGATCCACGAATGATCCATCCTCTGGGACGCGACTCTGGACCTGTGTATGGTTTTGCTTGCTTCGGGCCGCTGTGTTCTCAATGACCGGTGGTGGCGTAACTTGTGATTCGGTCAACATCACGAACGACATGTTGCCGCTATCGGCTCGGGGTACCGGGTTTAGCTGACTGCCTCGAGGAGCGGGAATAGACCGCCTGTAAACTGGCGGTGTAGCATGTTTAGAGGATCGGTCATAGTGGTCGCGACGTTCGGGTGGATGTGACGGTCGCGACGAGGTAGCTCCATCTGACAGCGACTTCCCTGTAGAGTCTAGAGCTATTAGTTTATGGACAGAGGCTTTAGAAATATAGCACGAACTTGAAAGTAAATCAAAAGCAGCTGGGTTTAATGACTCTATTGAGCCATCCAACTTCAGAGGTGTGCGACACTTCTGGCAATACATTGTGGAGAGAGTGAAGTTGGAGAGTTCGGGAACGTCATTTCGGTTTGTTTTGCTTCTCCCGCATATTTTGATTGTTGCAACTCCCTCACTGAACTTGACTTCACTGGACTATACTTGAGTGAATATGTTTGATTGCTATCAATTATAATCATGAGTTTTTCCATACTCTCGGTCTCCGACAATTTCTAAATGTACGCGATATGCCATAAAATCCTGCGACAGCATGGATCACTTGCAAGATGAAAGGCCAGCAAAGAGGCCATGTCTTTCAAATACCCCCGACGTCGAAGATGATACTTCCGAAGACGTCCCTGAAGACTTTGACCTCCCAACCGCACGTGCGCAGAATGACTCGCGACTCAAATCTCTGTTTGAAGGGATCTTCGCAAAATATAGCCACGACTTCACCGATGTGGGCGATGAGATCGATTTAAAGACCGGGGAAATCGTGGTGAACAATGGACATCTTCTAGGAATTCAGAATGAAGATGAAAGCGGTGGTCAACCGCGATCGTGGCTCTTCCAGGCTGGCCTGGATGAATTGGAAAACCATGGCGCAGATAATGGCGACGATACGGAGAACAAAGAAGAAAAAGAGTCAGGCTCCTTCGCTTCATCTCCCAACGGCAATTTGCCGGATGCTCCTACTTCAAACGCTCCACTGGAAGCATCGTCATCTGATCAGCAACAGGCGATTGAGGATGATGATCCACTGGATTTTGTGTTTACATTTAAAGCATCTGGAACTACAGGACACAGTCCAATGACAAGAGCGCAACATTCCTCCCATCCCACGAATCCCATCAATAGGGCTCCCATCAATGCAGCTACCAAGCCACCGGATCCTATCTGGGCGGTCCCCGACCTACCTCAGTCCTTTTTAACACCAACCACCGAGACACGCAAAAAGAATGTTGGTCTGTCTCCGTCCATCAGATCTCCTTCACCACCAGGAAGCGGTTCTGTCTGGGCCACTCGGGGACCCGGTCGGCCACGAACAGAAGCTAAATCCAAGGCCACGCCGAGTCGGCGCAAACCAGCCGCGAAGCGCAAATATCACTCAAGCCCTGTGACGCGAGACTGGTCCTTCGCAGAGGTCCCTGATGGTAATGAGTCAGATGATCCTTTGCAGGAGTTTGAGCCATCCCCGACGCCATCAAAGATGCGGATCATCCGCGGAAAGCGCCTAGTGCCTACCAAAGATGGCGACGGTCCATCTATCCAGCCTTACTCTACTCCTTCGAAGAAGCCCTCGCAGAAGCGTTTGAAGAAGACAGCTGCTGTGACTAAAGATGATGAACACGATCGCTCGGAGGAGAAAGAAGACGATAAAGAGATAAATACCGAAGAGGACAATCCACATGAGACAGAAACCCACAATGATGGTAAAGCCATACAAGAGGAGGATAATCAAGATACCCAGGATGATTGCGTATCGAATATTCGGGAACACGGGCTACTTGAGCCAAACACACAGAACGATGTCACGGGTCCCTCTACCACCATCGTCATTAATGACCATGGCGAACAGGAAGTTGACCGAATGGAAATCCAAATAGAAAAAGGACCTACGGCAGAACCCCAAGACAATGTGGCGTTTGAATCTACATTGAACCCGGAATCAACACTAAACCCCAGCGCCAAAGCTTCGTCTGTCGAGTCCCCCCAAATACCCCGAGCAAAAGACGACCCATGACGCCCGACGAGGCTAAGTCGATCGTGCGCATGATGCACAAAGAAAAGAAAACAGCGAGCGATGTAACCAAATTAATGCCAACCCTCAACTACCAAGCAATCTGGCATTGGTATTTTAACCATTGGACCCAGCGCCTCGCCAGCCCGCCTCACCTTTCAGCCCCGTGGTCACATTCTGAGTTGGCAGCCTTTGCTCGGCTGAGCGGCCAATCGGGTCTGTCTTGGTTCGAGGTCCAACGTGAGTTTTCGGGTCGATCGCGAGCAGCAGTTGAGTTCGAGCTGCTTCGTACTTTCGTCGAAGGGCGCGCCGTCTCTGCGGCCGAAGAAGGCGGAAATCCGGCTGAACAGTTGGAGGATTCTACCGACGATGACCAGGGGCTCAGCTCATCGCAAGAGCTTTGGGTGCAGGCAGATGAGATCAAGCTTGAATCTGAATCCGAGTCTGGAAACATTGCCCAATCAATGGAAGATCAGAGGGAGGTACGCGGTGATGGTCTTTCTTCGTCTTCGACCGATCAGGAGGACCCTCAGCTTGAACCCCAACGCACCAAAGATTTGGATAGGTCTTTTGTTGCCAACTCTTTTCTCAGCATGTTTATCAAATGAGATCATGAAAGTGCAGCATTCTTATGGCGGGTCAGATGATCCATGAAGTTATCTTTATACATTCATGTATACATATTAACATCTCTCTTAATCATAAAAAATATGAAGTTGAGAAAGAATAATTGCTTCTTATTGCAGCAAAGCCCTATAAAACACAAAACATAGAAACCATGTACTTGATAGAGCGCCGTTCTCAGAGGACAGTTTCGGTTGCCCGCGTTTCTCCATTTTGGTATTATATTCTAGAAAGTCTGCAATCTTGAATATCACTATTGTCGCTTTCTGACTGCTTTCTACTTGTCGTTCTGCATATGTATCAAAACGAGCAGAAAGTGAAGGTCTCGGTGTTGGACGTCATACCTAATGCTTTTTGTTTAAGTAGATATTATTACGCAACGACAAATGTAGGGCAGTATATCAAATTGTAGTCTATTGAAAGTCTTCATCCCGAGCATTCATTACGTCTTCAAGCTTCGTATCAGTGGCCCCACCAACATCTCCAGCCTTGGCCCAGAATCGAGACAGATGCCGTGACCCAGAGTCTGAAAGCACCGTAACAACCCTATGTCCAGGACCGAGCTTCCTCGCTGTCTTGACGGCAGCAATGCCTGTATCTCGGCGTCAGTAACAAGACCAGATATGAATAGCGGGAATACTCACAGTTCACCGCGCTGCTACTGCCAACAAAGATCCCATCCTTCTCAACCAGCCATCGAGCCATAGCTAAAGCCTGCGCATCGGTCACACGCACCGCATCATCAATCAGCTCCTTGCCAGCTTCAAAGTTAGCAGTAACACGGTTGATCCCGATCCCCTCCACAATAGTATCGACCTGCCGACGCCGCCTCGTCCCTTCTCTCTCCTTAACATCAAACATAACACCATACACAACCCGATTGAACAATCCACTTCCCTGGGGATCAGCAAGTACAACTTGAATTTTGGGCAGCAAAGGCTTCAAGAACCTCGCCACACCAGAAATCGTCCCGCCGGTCCCGGCCCCCGCTACAAAAGCATCGATCCGACCCCCACATTGGGCATACAGTTCTGGACCAGTGCCCTCGTAATGAGCGCGCCAGTTAGCTTCATTCTCAAACTGATCAGCAAAGAAGCCGCGGCCACGTGCCATGTTTTCATCGGCGGGAAGATCGAGATCGTCTTCTGATGTGGAGACCAAGCCCGAAGAGGCAGTGTGCGTTTTGGCGAGTGCTCGAGCCCGGTTGACAAAGTTTTCTTTCTCAACGATTGGTGCTGGGGGCACCCGATCGACAATTGCACCTAGTTTGAGAAGTAGATTGGATTTTTCGATTGCCTGGTCTGAGGGTAGGCAGCTGGGTTGCATGGGTTAGTGGGGTGTTATTGGGTGGCAAGTGGGTGCCGTACATGTGTGCTAGGTAGCCCTTTGCCCGGGCGAGGGTTGCTAATGAAATTCCGGTTGATCCTGATGTCCCTTCGTAGATTGTGTCGCCTGAATGGGGCGTCAGGATACCTTGTTCTTCGGCCTGGGTGATGTCAGTAGCTGGGCCGGTAATGCATGGTTTTTCTTCTAGGTTACGGGCTTCAACACACAATTTCAATCATGCTTAATGCTACTCGATCTTTTGAGCTTTGGCCGGCACCATTCAAAAACTGTGGACATTGTTAGCTCTGCTTTGTATGCATATCAAGGGCACATACCTCTGCTTTGCCGAGAATCTCACATCCTGTCTCATCCGACAGTGACTTGATCCTAAAAAGAGGTGTATTTCCAATACAGCCCTCGATACCTTCCACAATAGCTGGTGGACCAGCGTGGGCGACTAAGTCATTTCTTCGCGATGTTTCTTCTGTCGTAATTTCATCACGCTTGGGACGTGATAATTCGTTATATGTCAAGGCCAGGCAGACTCCAGCCACAAAGGCCGTCCCTATATAAGCCGTCGAATGATCCGGCATTGTCTTTCAGTGCTATCGTATCGTACTCGTCGTCGTGAAGCGCACGGGAAAGAGAGATAAAGCTCGGACCACTCGGATGTTTTGGTGAAGGAGAAGATCAGTTACTGATCAAGTTGTTCAAAACAATAAATGATCATTTCAGTGCAAAAAAAGGACATTGATCGAGGGGTCCTATTTATCTTAGAGAAATATCCTCGAATCTAGAAGAATTAGAAGTTTATACACATCTTGCCTGAGGCACGTGTTTCTGCCTGAGGTGGCGGTAGCAGGTTCTCCGTTCTTCTTCCCCGGAGCAACTCTCGAGCTTAGCTATTCAGCAACAATGGACTCTCCCGTCCTCACTCAGCTGTTTCGACAGCTGTTTCGCCATCCAGCATGTCAATCATTAAGGCGACCGCCTTCTCTACTATCTCGACCGCAGTCCCGCTCATTTCTCACCCGGCGCGGACCAGTCAAGCGCAAACAACAAGATGAAATCCAGCTCTGGACCAAACGGGGTGATTACCCCAAGGACATCGACGAAGAGTACCGGAAATATCCCACAGTGACAGCCAAAGAGCTACGGAACCGCCGTGAACGTCCGCGCCAGGTCAAAATGCTGACGCGCGAGTTCATCGACGGTGAGTTTGGCGGACCAGTGAAGCGACATGAACCCATCTGACAGTGCATAATAAGACAGTCTCTATAACCCACACTATGGATACTTCTCCAAACATGCGACCATTTTCAGTCCTGGAGAACCCTTCAACTTCAACACCATCGAGGATGGGCCGGCGTTCCACAAACTCCTAGGTGAACGATACACAGAATTTGAGGACAAACTTGACGCAACGAACCCAGATATCGCGCGGCAGCTGTGGCATACGCCTACAGAGTTGTTCCGGCCCTATTATGGAGAAACAATCGCGCGGTACCTGGTGTCAAACTACAAGCTCACCCTATACCCGTACCACGACCTGATCATCTACGAAATGGGTGCAGGAAACGGCACAATGATGTTGAACATTCTAGATTTCATCCGCGATACAGATCACGAGGTGTACCAGCGTACCAAGTTCAAGATTATTGAGATCTCGCCCGCACTGGCAGATCTCCAGTACAAGAATTTGACCGACAAGCTCACAGCCAAGGGCCACCGTGATCGCGTGGAGATTGTCAACCGCTCCATCTTCGACTGGGACACTTACGTGCACTCGCCATGCTTCTTCCTCGCTCTCGAGGTTTTTGATAATTTCAGCCACGACACCATCCGCTACCAGCACGGCACCGAAATGCCCCAGCAAGGAGGTGTCCTGATCGACGCGGAGGGCGAGTTCCACGAATACTACAACAACCAGCTCGACCCAGTCGCAGCGCGCTTCCTCCGCGTGCGACAGGCTGCCGCCCGTAGACCCTTCCCGAGTCCCTTGGGCCCTCCACTGCTCCGCGGTCTCCGCTCAGCCGCTCCTTTCCAAAAGGAGTACACACTGCCAGAGTACATTCCCACTCGCCTAATGCAGTTCTTCGACGTCCTGAACCAGTATTTCCCAGCACACCGTCTGGTTTCGAGTGATTTCAACTGGTTGCCGGATGCTGTACCAGGGATCAACGCGCCGGTTGTGCAGACTCGGTATCAGCGGCAGACTGTACCTGTATCGACTCCGTTTGTAAGTTGCTTCTTTCAAATATGTATACTCTGAACGCAAACTGACCACCTTCTATAGGTCCACCAAGGTTACTTTGATATTTTCTTCCCAACGGACTTTAATGTCGTTGAGGATATGTACCGTGCCGTTACGGGCAAGTTGACTCAAGTCACGAGCCACGAGGAGTTCGTGCGCCGCTGGGCTTACATTGAGGACACAGAGACACGGAATGGAGAGAATCCGCTGTTGACCTGGTATAAAAACGCTAGCATGTTGATGACTGTATGAATAGACATCTCAGCTTTTCTATCAATGGACTATGCCGTGTTGGCTTTACTTCCAGCCTATCTAGTGGTCTTCTTCTATAAACAGGATTGATGCTAGCATAACTGATCGTCTGTTTTTACTAACGTTCAAGACTTGTAGCAATAAAAGCGAATCAGGGATGGCAATCAAAAAGCAGAGAATTCCGCTTCACCAAGGAAACCTGTTTTTTTTTCGGGTCATGTTGATGCTCGTAGAGCCAACACAAACAAGGGCATTGATCATTCTCTAGCATCACAATTGGATCTTCAGCTTCAAACACGAAAAACTGAACCCCAGCTGTTCAAAGGCACACCTAGTGATTCGGCTCTCGTCAATCTTCCTTTTCATAACATTTTCCGCATGCCAACCTTCAGACTAAGGCAGCGGGACATGAAACAAGTTAATTTGATCAGATGAGGAAGCTCTTCACTGAGGACGAGCTGATAGACAGGTGAAAGGTAAAAGTGAGTATTATCTGCTCGAGAAGTGAGATGCTCCAAGCTTCGAGGTAACCGCCCTCGCAAAATATCTAGCTTGTAGCTTCCAAATCTGCCACCAAGTTGTTTTGCGCCGGTTATGAGTCGTTTCAAAGCTGGGAAACAACTTAAGTCGAATGGATTTTCCCAGAAGAGATAGAGATCCAAGTATAGGGTCTCCAGTGATGATGCGTGTGTTTCGAGTGCTTGAATGTATTCACCTCCGTTCTCCTTGTCTTGAATACTGTTACCCATCGACGCACCCTTGTAGAGGAAAACTTTCAGCGCACGGGCCATTTCAGTATCTCCCTCAGTGACTGTGGTTCAACAATGTTGTTCAACAGTCGCAAGTATTTCAACGAGGTGCAGCGCCCATGAAAAGAAGGGACGTCCCCAAAGGAGACTCCAGCATCAGCCGAGGTCAACACCCCCAATCAAGGAAGACAATGGGCTCGGAGACCACCCCTACTTGATCAAATTTGTCTTTGGGCCCAAAGTCTCTAGGATTATCAGCCTCGAAATTGTTAATTCCAAGTTAAGGACGATCCCATCAGGTAAGAGAAGTTCCTCTCTGCCGCTGGTATGATCTTGATGATAGTGAATCTCTACCTTTCGAATGCTATAGATCAGGCTTGGGTGCTTCAATGTGGTTTTTGAAAATAACTCGCCTTGTTCCCAGCTCCAGATCACAACATGGTTGTAAAGTATGGGCGTTGCTGAGGAATGAATTTCCGGCCGAACCGGGCGACAGCAGCGAGACTGGAGAGACTTAGCCGTATTTCGCAAAGGATAGCATCGATAAACTCCTGCGGGTACCCCAGGAGGGTTATTGGAGAAGTGGGTGAGCTCATATTGTTAAATGGATGAACAGTGGCAGAAGAGAAAAAGAGGAGAGAGTGAAGTAAGTTTAGAGTAAAAGGTAAGTGAGGAAAAGAAGAGAAGAGAAGAGAAGAGTAAGGATGGAGCTGGAAGTAAGTGCTGAGAAGAAAATAGAGTAAGTATGGAGTAAAAGATAAGTGAGAAAAAGCAAAGAATATGTATTTATTTGAGCGAGCTTCTACAATGGATAGTTTGATGCATAGATATAGCAGCATTTGTTGTATATCCATAATTGCCATGTCTCACTAGCTATAGACCCATCTATAGGACTCAATTGTTTACAGAGTGATTCGCAAGAGGTAGAATTATCTCCTCTAGCATCTTTCCGTCCGGACAATTCCTTATTATCCAGCATTGAAAAGGACCACACCTCTCTACCGTTTGGCATACCCTCTCTTACCCCGAGCGTCAATATATCCAAACTCAATGTCTTGATGCACTCAATACCCTTCGACAAGTTACACTACGACTCGATGATCCTGGTCTGCATGATATACTTTACGACAGAGAGAGCCGGAAGGTGACTTTGCTAGACTTTGAGATTGCACAAGAAATCTTACTGGATACCTCGATCTCTACTCGGTACAAAATGGGACTCGTCTTTGGGTTAGATAACATGATAATGCGCAGTACTGGAGGATAGTGATGGTCGAGGCACCCTTTCTTCCTGAAGCATACGAGCCTCCGCGACAACCTTGTCATCCTTCACCGACAGCAGCACCGGCAGGAGCACGAACAGCAGGAGCAGCAGCAGCAAACCGACGACGACAAGATTCTTCAAGTCCTGCCCCGGCTCAAGATAGACGATGTCATAGATCGGCTGGACGGCCTAGACAGCCCGCTGGACGCCAATCGGCTCTCACAGGGCCGGCGCCAGCTCTTGTGCATCGCCCGGGCCATGCTGGCAGGCAAAGGGATCATCCTAATCGACGAGGCGAGCAGCAGCGTCGACGAGCGGTCCGAGCGGCTCATCAAGGACGTCATGCGCGAGCAATTTGCCAGCTGCACCGTCAGAGCCGTTGCGCATCGCCTCGGTGCCGTCGTCGACTTCGATCGTGTGGCTGTTGTATATAGGTATCAAATCACCAAAGTATATGACGGACAATAGTGTTTCAAGCTAAAATTTAGTATCTCACTAGGCAAAAGTATGTCGAATCACTAAAGTATTTAACGAATTACCGTATCCTACTCCAGCTACGGTATTTCACTTTTTATACTGCCGCCATGGATGGAGACCGTTTCCCTCCCAGATCACAGAATTAATCCACATCTCTATTCATTCTTATTCTTTGAGCATATGTTTTTGCTTAATTTGTAACTATCATTGTAGCTCCACCATAATCGAATAAGATATCCTATGACAGACATATCTATATATATTCCAGAAGGAAAGCCGCATCAAAATGATGTATAACAGCAATCAAGGCACAAATTAAAACAAATTAAAATGGCACTGCATGAATATATAAAGAGAGCTGAAAGGAAAAACAAGCTCATCGCTGGGTATCCAAAGAACAGACGCTCCAAGACGAATACGCATCTAACTTGAGTCACTAGTTTTGCGGAATTTGGAAAGCCCCATTTGCAAGTTCAGTAATATCTCCAACCCCAAGCCCCTTCAGAGTCTCAAGAATCTTATCAACAATCTCCTTAGGAAGACCCTCCTTATTGCGGGAGTAAATGTCGATACCAGCAGGGGTGAAGAGCGTCTTGGCAAAATAAGTCACAATCCAACAATTTCCATCATCGGTATGGCCAAAGCCTAGACACTCCCAGTGCGAGCTGGCAATCATCAACCAGCCTTTGCCGCGCCAATCCCAAGCACCGGGATTGCCTGGCGTCGGGGTATCCACTCCATGAACGGATTTGACTTTGTCGGAGTTGACAGCTTGATATTGAACTAGGTCGTCTATTTTTTGGACTCCTGAATCCTCGGGGAGGAGCTTGTAGGTGATGTTGACGTTGCGTTTGCCTTTCCAGAGTGGGAGGCTGGAGTGGGTGACGTGCCAGGTTCCTATGATGAAGTCATTGGTTGGCGGGACGCATTTGGCGCCCTCTGCAGCGTATATTTTTGGCAGTCCGATAGTGAGAGCCGTCATGTTTAGGGATCTCGTCAATTTGGGTGTTTTGGCGAAGACGAGGGTTTGATATCTATTTGAGAACCCCGTTATTCGGGAGCCGATCCTTACCCAATTTGGTATCGTCAATAACGTCAACTGGAACACCTCCATCTAAATCTTCGCCAGTTGACAAATATCCAACTTGGAAAATCTCGCCCTAATCGAATTAACAGAGTGGTAACGATGGCTGAAATATATCTCTCGGTGATCTCGGCGGCACAGGTTTCATTCTCGCCAATGACGGTGGTCTCGTCATTGGCAGCGGTGGCATCCAGCCTCTTGTGGCTTATCTTGCAAATTTCATCAATAACATTCATTGCTGGCAAATTTGAAAAGGTGCTCGGGCTACAAATAGTGTATACTGGGGAATCTTTTGACATTAAATCAGAATTCGATTCCGATTGGCGATTGGTACTACACAAGATCCAAACTTTAAGTGAAAGACCACTAGATATAAGCTTCCAGCTCTCCACGATAAAAACCAGGCCAAGACAAGCGACACGCATCTGACTAAATATCCTCCATAACAAACATTGCCTCATCAATCAATTTCGGTCCTTGTTCCGGCATGCAGTGACATTAAAGTCTTGTGGAGAGGCGGAGCTCGTTTCCAGTATAAGGCCAACTGCGGATTGGATGGAACTCGTAACGAGGCTCGAAGGTGAATGGCGAAGGGCCAAAGGATGATTGACCAAAGGACCTGGGCCCATGTTCAGGCTGAGTGTATCCTGATTGGGCAAATTCATACTGCGACAAGTAAGCTTCAGCGTATCCTTGCTGTGACACCTGTGGCTGGAGAGCTGAGGCGTTCGAGCGTGGTCCAGTTGGAGGCCTTTGAACTCGCTCCATCAGGGGAGTGTCTTTGGGCACGACTTTAACACCAGGCGCAGCAGCGGCAACACTAGCAGGGCTCGGAGTGACCAGATTGGTGGTGATGTTGACATTTTTCATGGTCACGCGGGCGAGAACAGAAACACCCTGGTGGGGGAGATCTGCCAGCGCAACCTTCAGCTGGTTCAAGATGTCGGCGTTCAATTTGTCCGGGGAAGTGACAGGCCGAGCATTCAAAACGGGGACAATGATCTGAACTTTGCCCACATAGATGCTTGGAGGGATCTTCTGGCCACGACGGCGGCGGCGGCGTTGAGGGTTGCTGTCAGGAACAAATAGATGGCAATGCTTCCATGAGTGGCCAATACCAACGCACTTCCTGCAAAATGCGGTGCACTTGTCGTCATGATACCTGTCACAGTGAGGGCAGCACTTTTGACAGTTCTCCTCGTGGGCAGTCTTTCCACACTCCGAGCAAAACGGGGGTCGCATGATGCGTTCAGTATCATTTTCATCATGTCCATCGTCGTCCTCAGATCGCTTTCGCTTGATAGACCTAGATAAAAGAAGTAAAGAAGTCAGTTCTCTGAGTCAAAGACCATACATCCATACAAATGACGTACGTCGACATGGTGGGGGTTGACGACGAGGTAGAAGCTGTGTGTCACGGGTGCTCATCTTTATAGCAAGAAGACTCACAAATCAGGAAGGTGCCTGTCACATGATAGCCAAACAGTATCAAAGAAGCTCTCGATCACAGGTGTAAGCGTCTGTGACAAAAGAAAACTGGTAAAAATCTAAGCTCCTTTAGCTTTAGACATTGAAAGGCATGTCAAACCTATGCAAATGACGCGGATATCAATAGATTCTCTCCGGAAACCCGGATCACTCAAACTTGACAATCATGCAGCTCAAGCGAGCCATAAAATCAACCAATATGGAATACATGGCAGTCTGATATCACTCGGTATCAGCATCAGTGTCTTGGAGCAATGAGTTAATGCAAAAGCTGGCTATTTTGCTTCGATGAAGCAATGTCAGTCTTCACTAAGCCATGATGGGCTGGATGTGTCAGAAGGAAAAAGAAATTTCAAAGGTCAATGGCAATTGAAACATTTGGCCCGTGTTGTCCGTGATGTCGGTGACCGTCGAGTCTGTCAAACAGGCACCCAAGAACCATTATCAAGAGACCAACCTCTTCACGTATATTCCAAAGGTCCACCAACTTCTGGCACCTTAAGCGTTTGATTCATATTCCGATTGATAAAAAACGGGCCTAAAAATGGGAAAACAAGCTATTCATAGCTGGGAGCGAACCCAACATCCTACAAAGGATCGACGTTCTAAGAGTATTGTGCCGACATATGGTTACACCTACAATGAATCAACATCGTATTGCCAGTGCAGAAGCCCTGGAGCAAAGAAGCGATGTTGTCACAGCTCGCTAGAACGGCGCGAAGAGTGCTCTCACATCCGATGAGAACAAACGTGCCCTTGCAGCCCTTACGGCTGATGGCAATGCGGAGAATATGAAGCGGGCTCTTACAGCTCTTACCTCTGATGAGGACAGTTCGACCAATGTGAAACGTCCTCTTGGGGCCCTCGCAGCTGATGATAACAAGCGCGCTCTCACAACTCAGCAGGACAAGGGTTAGTGTATCTAAACAGAGCCTTGTCCTTACGCTTAAAGTGATGGCGCAGGAAAAGGGAAAGGGCCCAATGTGTGCCCCGTTCACACGTTACTTGGGTCAAACACTCATAAGGCCTTCATTTTCTCGAAGCTAGGTAATAAGATATCCCACAAATTTTCTATCGCCTATCACACAAAAAGGCTGCCCTGGTATTCTTCCCAGATAGTTTCATCAATACTCATGACTATGTTCTAATCTTGTACTCTACTTATATTCACCGATACTACGTACATATATGTACATATATATCTAGTATCGTAATCAGATCAAAAGAACAACTCTGATTGGAAGCCCTAACTCTAATCAGACCGGGTACAACGGCAAGTGCCGAGATGAGGGGGTACGTCTATATATATTTCAACTTCTTATTTAATCTCGTGCTCATCACCACAATCCAGTTCAATTTGCATACTTAGATATAATCATGACCACCGACATAGGCCCTAACCAACCCAGCGAGCATACCAAAAAAGCTCCATGGAACAATCGCGTCGTGCAAAAGCGCACCACCCAACTAGCCCTCATTCCCCCATCTTGGCACCTTCCACCTGCCGTCCTGGAAAATCCACCCAAATCCGCCGTAGATACTATCCGTGCAAGTGGTATACTCTCTCCCAATGAGCTATCATGGACTGAGAGAACAGATATCCGCGACCTCGTTGAGCTCGTCAAGACCCGGCAGGTGACCAGCGAGCAACTTACAACGGCTTTCTGTAAGCGCGCTGCGATTGCACAGCAGGTGACTAGATGCCTTACGGAGATTTTCTTTGATAAAGCTTTGAAAAGGGCGAGAGAGCTTGATGAGTACTTAGGGAGAACGGGTGAGGCTGTTGGGCCTTTGCATGGGATTCCGGTTTCGGTGAAAGATCGGTTTGATGTGGAGGGTTTGGATACAACTGTTGGTATGTCTTCAAGAACCTTTCGCAAAAGAACGAGAAAGCAAGGAACTGTTATTTTATGACATCTGGTGCTGATTTGAAATAGGCTGGGTCGGCTTGACCAATAAACCGGCTCAATCTAACAGTTCGATTGTGCAATTGCTTGAATCTATGGGGGCGGTGCTATACGTCAAGACCAATATTCCGCAGTCTCTGATGGTATGGTCTTTTGAAACTCGGAATTTGTTGCAAGTCCCCTACTAAAGCCCTCCAGATGTCCGACTCATACAACCATGTCTTCGGTCAATCCGTCAATGCTTTCAACCATGCATTAATTTCCGGCGGCAGCTCCGGTGGAGAAGGTGCGCTCGTGGGCTCCGGAGGCAGTGTGTTGGGAATTGGCACTGATATTGGTGGTTCAATCCGAGTTCCTTCTGCTCTGCAGGGCCTTTACTCCATTTGTCCCACGACAGGCCGAGTGCCATGGGACTGCTCCTTGTAGGCTCTCAGTTTTGCAGTGCTACAGTCGCTATGCCTACTAATATATATATGTCTCAACAGCTTACACCAGCACTACCTGGTCCCACCAGTTACAGGGCCAATGGCCTCCTCTCTGGCTACGACGGAGTATTTTATGGAGAGCCTTCTTGCGTCTGAGCCTTGGAATGTCGATGCAACTGCTATCCCCATTCCGTGGCGAAAAGAACTCGCGGCACCTCCAGTTGGTCGCAAGCTGAGACTAGGTGTCGTATTTGATGATGGTGTCGTCAAGCCGCAGCCGCCCGTTGCGAGGGCGATGCGTGAAACAGTAGCAGCTTTAAGAGCTGCCGGTCATGAAGGTAAGATTCATAGAATCGCTCAATCAACTTCTTTCACGCTTCTAATCAACAAAAGTGATTGACTGGGATACATCCCTCCATATCGCTACTACGAACCTTTGGACGAAGGGAATCCTCGCTGACGGTGGCCAACACTGCAACGCACTCTGCAAGCTCATTGACGAGCCCTTGATTGAAGGAATGATTGTTGGTACAGAGAAAGATCTTCTTTCATCTGTTGAGCGAGAACAGGTATGGAGTTTTAGTATTTCATATCCCTTCGGCTCTTTCGTTTTGTCATTTCAACAAATTTCAACGTCGAGACCTTGATCCAATATCTAATTTCTGAACAACAGTATGAACAAACGAAACTCACCCTCCAAGCCACCTTCCTGAAGCAATGGGTTAACTCAAAAGTTGACGCGCTCTTAATGCCCGTCTTACCGTGGGTAGGCTACAAGCCCAAGACATGGGTGAAGAGCAAGCAGTGGCTGGGTTACACGGCTATGTGGAATTTACTGGACTATGCGGCAGTGACTGTTCCCGTGGCCAGGGCGGATCGGGACCTTGATTCTGTTCATGAAGGTGGTGAGTGGGAAGCACATTCTATTAGGAATGAGTCGGATGCTTTCAACTTTTTGCAGTGTGAGTACTTTTCTGATCTTGACTTTGGGCAATTTACCACTAGCTCTTTTGCTAACATTGCATGTAGATGATATTAACCTTGTGCATGGAATGCCTGTTTGTGTACAGATTGTCGGTGGGCGGTTCGGCGAGGAGAAGGCAGTGGCTGTTGGGAAAGTGGTTGATGGACTAATGAATCCAACTTCTTTTCATTCCTAGGTAGTATAAACCTAGGTAAGCAATTCTATGCGCAAAGACTTCAAAAAGAAAAAGAAGATATGTATTCATAAAACGTATGTATGAGGAGCTTTCCCTCCCGACTGTAGAACCATTCTAAGCAGCCACAAATGATAAGTAAATACAATGCAGCCGGCCTTGCCAGCCATGAATTCTCGCCCAAATAGATCAAATCCAAACATCATAACCTAAAATTCAAACTCCTTGCGGAAGATATTTACATCCATACCCGCAACAACCTGGTCAGCCAAGTCCCTCCGGCCCATCTGGCTGAAAACACGACGCAGCGTGTCATACAGATTGGTACTCTGGTTCTGGCTGATATGCAACATACGCTCGAGACGCTCGTCGTCAAGACCATCGGGGTGGACTCCGTCGTTGATGATCTCACGAGCACGCTCGCGACCCTCCTGCTCCACGACGCGGTGCATAGACAGTGCGCCGAGGAGGTGCTGTGCAGCTTCTGGGTAGCAGCCGATGTTGATGCACGACACACCGAGGTTGTAGCGGGCTCGCACAAAGTTGGGGTTAATGTTCAAGGCCTGTTCGTAGGCTTCGATGGCTTCTTCTGAGCGACCAGAGTTGGCTAGTGTGGCGCCGAGGCGGTTCCACAGGAGATGCAGCTGTTCTTGTTGGTTTGTGCTGCCGGACTCAGTGGAGGCTAGAGCTGCAGAGAAACAGTCGACGGCCTTTTCGTATTCCTCGGCGCAGTAGAAAAGAACGCCCAGGCCGACCTGCACGTCCGGATCCATCTGGGCGCCTGAAGGAGACAGTTGGGCTGCTTGAATGAATAGTTCTGTTACGCGGTCGTGCAGGAGCTGTCTGTCTGTGAAGCCGAGGTCTGCGTCGCCTGTTACTTCCTTGGGGTCGATGATTGTTGGGTACTTGTTTGACAGCCAGCGCTCCAATGTACGGTAAGCAGTTGAGTCGTAGCCTTCGTTTGTGTACGACACGGCCAAACCCATCAATGCATCCAAGTTCCCAGGCTCGATCTTCAAAGCCTGCTCCAAAGCACGAATAGCCGGCAACTCCTTTTCATTCTGCGCCTGCGCAGAGCCCAGCATCGTCCAAGCGTGCACATGCTGCGGGTCTTTCTGGACAGCAGCTTCGAAGGCCAACGCAGCCAGCGACAAATTACCACCCTCGCGCATGATCTTCATTCCCTCCTCGAACGGATTCCCAACGGCCGAGTAGACATTATCTTCCTCGAACATGTAGTCGCCAAGCTGGGGATCGCGGAACCGAGAGTTCAGGCTATCAAAGCCCTCCCAATCACCCAGATCCCCAACATGCACACTATCCGTGACCTCGAAGTTATCCTCCTCGGCAAGTTTCCTGCTCGCGGTCTCAGCCTGGACCCGTTGCCAAACATCCTCAAAGGCATCGGTGGGCACTGACCTGTCCAAATCATTCAATTCCGCCTCCATAGCCGCATTGGCCGCATCGTCCGTCTTAGTCTCCTCAACAGTCGCAGTGTCCATCTCCGCAAACTGCGCCTCCCAATTCTCATCGTCGAGCTCAACCATCCGCCCCTTCCCCTTATCCTGTGTCTGGCTCTCCATCGGCTGCTGCATCCCCATCTGCCCGCCCATCATAGGCCTCATCATCCCCATACCTCCCAGTCCACCCATATACCCACCACCCATGCTCATCGGTCGCTGGTATCCAGACATCATAGGCGAAGCCGCCGTTTGCGGGGTAGAGGTCTGCGGCATTCCCATCCGATTCTGCTGCTGGAAGCGAGCAAATTCCGCAGGGTTGAACCCAGATCCGTTGTTCATTTGTCCGGGGAAGGCAGCTTCCATCCGCGCCTGCTCGCCTGTGTCGAACTCCGCCGCCCATCCGGGCGACCCTGTGCGGGCCGGCGCCGTCTGAAAATTATCCAGTTCGCGACGCATGTGCTCCATAGCGAAAGGCTGCGGCGATGGTCCGTTTAATTGCTGCCCTGGTTGTTGCATGAAATCGTCCATCATCTAGGTTCCCGTCAGGGTCTGTCGGGGTCATCCCGGAGATGGAGGCTCACCTGGTCTTGTCCTGGCATCATGTTTCGTGACCGCATGCCTTCTTGCATGCCCGGTCCGCGGCCGACCAGTCGGTCGCGCTGTAGTGACTTGTCATCTTGAACGTGCTTCGTGAATTGAGTGAGGGGGTTTCCCGCCGTGGAGCATTCTGCGCCACCGAGGAACGACATGGTCGAATTTTTAAGGTGGTTGATTTCTAAAGGCAATGAAAGACAGAGGTTCGGATATGAGACGGAGGCAAGGTGTGATTCCCCCGGATATCTCTTGACGTGGGGTCGAACTAATTGATCTTTCCGCCAGCCGAGGTTCCCCGGCGGGTCACGTGTGTATAGATTAGAAATACATCAATTTTGGTATTGTACACTGCTATAAATTTAGGTCTAATAATTACATCCTTTACTTCTGCTCCTGCTCATTTACCGGCTCCTGCGCTTGCTCTTTTGTAGGCTCGTTCTCCTGGAACTCAGGTGCCTGTGTGCCGGCTTTGAGTTCTGCCTGGCGCATTTGGTGTGCCTGTTTCTTCTCGATCTTCCTGTCCTGATGACGAGCATGGCTCTCAGGGGTCATAAGCTTACGCTTAGCATAGTTGACGATCAGCTTGCGTCCGTAAGGGGCCTTGCGAGAAAGCAATTCCTTGCCCTCAGTGGCGTATCTCTGTTCAGAAAAGTCCACGTGTCCGAACCCGCGGGGAAGACCGGTGCGGCGGTCGACGGGGATACGGACATCCCTGACACCCTTGAGATCATCGAGCAGCTCCTGCAGATCCACATCTGTCAGTTCGTAGGGGAGGTTGCCAATGTAGAGGGTCAAAGTGGGCACAGTGTCATCGCGGCGGGACTTGTAGGTAGTGTTGGCAAATTGCACGACAATCTCACGGCCTTCAAAGATATCACCGTGTTGTTGGGCAATGGCATTGGTGGCTTCTTCGATGGTGCTGAAGTTGAGGTAACCGAAACTGGAAAACGTATACAATTAGATCCTGGCACTTGTCCGCCGAACGGTATTCAAACTCACCCCTTGCTCAATCCTCTGGCATCGTGCACAATCATAGCACTCTCAACGGTACCGAATTGTTCAAAGTGCTTACGCAGATCTTCGGCCGTGACATCGAAGAAAAGGTTTCCAATGTACAAGGAACATTTAGGTACAGGTCCTTCACTGATATATTGACGGCGCTCACGCTCCTTCTCGGGTTTAACAGATTGAACATATCTGACTTTGAATCCACCATTATCTTCCTGAGTCGAGTTCAGGCGTGTTTGAATGGTTGAAGGGTAGGCAAAGCGTGCAGCGGCGATCATCGATGTGGATGGGGCGCTGCATCTTGAGCGAGCAGCTAAGCTTGAAGCATTGATAGATGAGGAGACATTCGACAATTGAAGCCGGGAAGCGGCGCGACGGAAACAATGCCTGGAAAGGAGTTGGTTTAGCATTTGCCTTCGTTCACGGGGGATACAGTGGGGAGTCGTGCTCGTGCAACAAGGTAGCTGACCTTCGTTGGTCTTTTAGATGATATATGCCAGGATCACTCACATTTTTGAAATGAAAATCTCCGAAAGACTAGAACTTGTACTTTTCGAAAAAAAGAAAAATCGATCTGGATTGGAATCATCGAGGCCAATAAGTTTTCCCGGAGATTATATTCACGTGACCTGTTTAGTTCATCGAATGAAAACACCGCAGCAATGTTACTAGCAAAATTATAAAAGTCATAGTGTCTAAAATGATTTTGGAGTTATCAGCTACATAAACATGTAGACATGAGAATATAGTGAGCTCGTGGAATTGAAAAATTAAAGGGGGGTTGGAGAAAGAGTAGAGACTTTATAGTACCCGGCTTCTATACTTCCAATTTGCTCCATAACCACATACCCCAAAGAGTGGAATTATATCGCAATAACATTATGATATGATACATAAAAAAGATCCATCGCTACAATCAATCCTCCAAATAGAAACTTTTTTCAAATCAATTGTTCACATCCAACCCATTCCGAATGGCACGAACAAAAAGGAACAACTGCCTCGGAAATTCAACCTATTGATCAAATCAAATCAAAACCAGGTATCAAAAACTGCCAAAAGCATTTCGTAAGATCAGATTATCCGTCACAGCAAACCATTAGTTAATCTTGGCATGGGGATCTCGCCATACCCTATCTGCTCCCGGGACTGCGCCTTCAGGGCTGATAGATGAAGGTGAATACATGTTTGGTAGTCGAGGGGGACCAGTTGTAGCACTGCTCGACATCGAAGGGACCCGCGATGCACCAAGAGGACTAGAGATCGAAGATTGGGATACGCCCGCAGACTGTGGGGTCGGCCAGAACTGATTCGATGTGTCGAGTGTTGGGTTTTGTATATATGTGTCCCAGGCATCCTATAGTTCACAAGTTAGCAAGGACGTGTACCTCAAGAAAGCTATAGAATGACCCACCCAATCAAGGTTCACCTGCATGTCCGGCATCTGACCAAACATGCTACTGAACGGCGAAAGCGCACCAGGAATTTCAGCCGCGCCCGTCCCCATTCCAGTTCCCATCGGCGAATCACTCATTTTGAACATTGGATCCGTAAATGGAGGAGGGCCGGGATTCATGGGACTCATACCACTACTCAGTAGACCGAGAGTCATGGCAGCATTCTGTTTCTCATCTGCAGGTTCGAAGTTCGCACTGGGGGTATCCTCAATTCCTGGTGCTTGCATGAGCAATTTACTCAGCATGACGCCAATAACATTTGAGGCTTTCCAAGCTTCCATGCTGACATCTCGGGATTCATCCCAAATCTCTTTGGATCGTTGGAGAGCGGCCATCATCTCATCGCGGCGTTCCCGACCCCAGGTGTAGGTGTCTCCGGATGGACGGCCGGAAACTTGCATTTGGAGGCCCTGGGATAGATCGAGGGAGACAATGGTGGCTGAGAGGAGGAAATCGGCGGAGCTTAGGGATGTGACTCGGCTTTGGCGACTGCGGAGGCGACCATTGCGTGTTTCCGCGTGTAGGAGTGCTTGGACTTGGAGGAGATCCATTGCAGAGTCAATACATGTTCTCCGCGAGTAGGTGAAGCGGGGGTTGTCCCGGGCGCGGACTAGATATGGGCGGTGGAGGACGCATTGCGCTTTGTCATATACGGCCATTACCTGCGGTCGTTAGCATCGATATTGATGATGTGGAATTAAGAGCACATACGGCAAACCGTGACATGATGAGGTTGATGGGATCCAGCTGGCACTCCTCCATGGGTCGAATTTTCAAGTGGTCAGGGATCATATCTCTTGCCTGACGCAGTTCTGCGTCGATTTCCATCACTTTTTCGTATGGAGCACTCGAGATCGCGGAGCTTTGTTCAACCACGCGGCCGAATGCGTATGTCAGGCGTGCCTTGGCGATCAAATACGAGATAGGCGTGGGCTCGGACAATTGACGAGATGGCGGGAGTTCTTTGCAGTCTTCGTCGAAATCATCATCGTACAGATTGCGCGGAAGTTCGGTATCACTATCAGAGGAGCGAATCATGCTTGGCAGACCAACTTGGAATGAAAAGAGTAGATCAGCCTGGCGCACGAAGGTCCACACCCGCCGTCGCATCTCGCCCTGGAAAGGTGTGATGTTTGGGAACATTTTGGAGTCACGGTGGTATCCTGAGCGCATCGCTAGACGGGCAATCACACCAGTCATGACCCAGACGGAGACATCCGCGTCCGTGGTCTGGGAAAAGTCACCATGAAGATGGAATACAAGCGCTTCGATCAAAAACGGGTGCGGTTTCGTGTAGTCGGCCAGCGTTAAGGTCTGTGCTGCTGAATTTCGGAACCCCCAGCCATATCTATGGACTTGCCTCTGAACTCAGGTGGTTCATCGCCTTCACGGTGATAAGATAGCATCGCTAACCTCATCATTCCGAAGAGCATGGCAAACCAGACAAGTTCTGTTTGAGCGGGATCTTCCCAATGTTTATTGTACTAGAAAGGTCAGCCTGGGAATACTGCCACCGGCAGCCTGAAAACTTACCTGTGCCTGAAATGAAGGTCCATGAAGAATATCTGACACTATATCAGAATGAGGAGCACTTTTGCGGCAAGGGTTTTGGAGACTCACGAGTTGCAGGATCATATGAGTTGAAGTAGCGAGCCACAAGAAGATCCGTTGTATACTTTGACGGCAAGCCGGTCATGATCTCGGCACGACTCATCGGCTTCGTGACACCAAACAACAAATTCGAACCTGATAGATCAGTAGCTGGCCGAGCGGCCTTGACTTTCTCGGCCTGCTCATCCAGTTGCTTCTTGTGCGTCGTAAAGAAATTCTTAACCTCGGTTATCTGTGCAGGTTAGCAATGTCCCAAATTTAACTAGCCTTCCCAACTCACATCATTCAATACAGAAGCCCAGTGGGCATCACTGATGTAATAAGACTTGTTATTGTCCACCTTCATGATACCAAACGACTTGGTGACCTGGTCCGTATCACTATCCTCGTCTTCCATCCCCTCCTCGTCGATCTCCCGGTCATGCGAGAACCTTGCCGATCCCGCACTACTATCACCAGAAATAGCAGCCATGGCCGCTGCCGGACCCGCAGATTGAGACCCATTCGTCATCAACGAAAGCACCAATCCTTCCAACCGGTCGATGCGATTCTGCATATCATCCGGGGAATTCAACGAAGGCTGCTGAGGCGAATTTCGTTTGCGCGAGCTGGCTTGCGCATAGTTACAAGAAACAGCATCGCCTCGTTTGACGCAGTTTTCGCAGGGATTGGAGCGATTGCATTTCAGCCTAGAACTGTTAGAAAGAATCATTGAGTTCGGCTTGATCTTGGGTTCTTACTTTCTATGTCGGCATGGTGCGCAGGATAGAGGCACTCGGTTTCGTTTCCGGACGACTCTGTAATCTGGGGAGTGGCCAGCACTGGACGAGTTTGTGGAGGGGGGTGTGGGGGTCGGTTTGGTGGGGAATGCCATGATGGCTTGTAGGGAGTTTGTCGCGAGAGTCAAGTGTTGGAAATGTGGTCACAGGCGAGATGTCGGCCACACTGTGTGTCGACTGGTTAGGCGGGGCTCTCAGGTAGACTGTCGTAGTACCGCGCAACGGTGGTGGATTTGACACGCACTTGGATGGATCGCGAACCCTCTAGTCAGGTTTTCTTGGCCTTTTTGTGAGCAAGCACCCTAATTATTTGCGCAAAGCTTCGAAAGGGGTCTGAGTTTTCCCTTTCTCGAAACAATCAGGCACCAAATTTGCGCAACCGGAGAATTTGTCTTATCGTCAAGCAACTGTAGCAGGACTGAGTTCAGGATTAGTGGAGATGGGTTGAAATCGTTTGAAGCGTCGCGCCTAGAATGCTAAAGGGTCGCTAAACGTATTCCGACCCAATGCGATGTGCGAGGTCGAAGCTTGTGATGGCAAGTTAAGGAGGGGAATGAGATGGTGCGTGGGCGGATAAGCCTTTGGGGCCGAAACTGACTCGTAAGGATCAAAGACTACCCTAATGCGGAGTAATTTAGGGGCTCTTGAACCGAAACCGATGACTCTAATGAAGTCAAAGATGAAGAGGAGAAAGCCCCAAGGTTGAAACTCAGGATGATTAATCGACTTATCTCCGAAGGCTTATCGCCATATGATCTCACGCATAACAATGCTCCTTTCTCTACGGAGTACACTTTACTCTCTTTCTGTCTCTCTCTCTCTATGTTCAGATTTTATATAAACATATACCCTCAATATTTTTTTTTCTAACCTATATAGCTTCATAAACAACATCTCTCTGCCTCGTATTAACAGTTAGACTTTCACTTCTACTGCGACTGATTGGCCTACCAGATTTCTTTATTCTCTTCCGCTTTGGGAATCATTGCTTGCCGCTTTTTGCTCATCACAGTGCTGCTTGCTGTTAGTGGTTGGAATGGGTTAGTTTTTTTATTTTTGATAAACATATTTGTAGTTTATAAACTACTTACGTACATTTGACCACATATAGAGATCTTCGATACACTGCATGAAACATGAAGTAGTTGGTTTGGGTATATGCTCACATGTGTGTTTTATTCCATTGCTTAATTGTACCTTGATTTTTCCGAGACGCCAGCAAATAGGAGACTACACGGAATACATATGCATACATGTGTATGTATGTATACATACGTTGTATATGCGACGTGAGGTCCCCTTGATCGAGAATCAATCGATTTCTCTCATAGAAAGTGCAGGAATTATTCTGATAGGGCTTTGTCCTCAACCGGGGTACCCAGGTTTTTCAGAAATCGTGTAACTACTTTGTCAAGTGAACCCTGAGAGATTGGGCAGAAACTGTACGACTTCTTTTGATGGGATATCGTGTGGGCCAAATCAACCAATGCTGCAGTGTTGAATATCCTCTAAATCCAACTACAATGTCTTCCGATGACACCCCCAAGCTGCACTAAGCCTCATACAATCCAGGAAACCACACCATTGTAGTAACCCACGGTGCCTGTGTATCTGACCTTCACTAGGATCTAGTCATCCCGCATCTCAGCTCATACCACCTCCCAGTTCCCGACCTTTCTGGCCATGGCAAATCACAAGCAATAACTCCCTATTCAGTTGATCTCTCAGTCCGTCTAATCGCCAACCTCAATCGCACCCACGCCAACGGCTCAGCTCATACAATCGGCCACAGTCTCGGAGCGCAGATCTCTAGCCTCCACAGAGCCAGACTTGGTCAACTCCGTCTTCATATCTGGGTTTGACCAAACAGCAATCACGCCGTACATCCTATATGCAGCATTGACCGTGCCTCATGTGGAGAATGGTCTTCCTCGTTCCCTCATCAGCTGGACAATGGAGGCGCAGATTTACCACATATTGATACCAAAACCTGCACGCTTGACTTGTGTCGGAAGATAGTCTCGCCAGATACTCTGACTCAGTAGCCATCGCCGTGGCATACGCGAAACCTGATCGTTGCGACTGGGAAATACGGGCTCATTCCTAGTAGTGATCACCCGCATGATGTTGTTAAGCTAATAAAGATCGGAAGAGAGTTGAATACGGAGACTTTTGCGAACACGCATTTGGGTATACGACATCCGTGGAATCGTCAGGCCCCACGCTTCTTTGCGGAAACTGCTGAGGCATGTTTGAAAGGAGAGAGTTGCCAGAGGATTTTTAAAGCTTTGATCTTCCTGGGGGGCTCTGTTTAATGGTTATAGCATTCAAGATCTAATCAGTTACAGCGATAGGTATATGGATATTTGCATTTTATGTAAAGTAGGGTATAGAATGGTCGCATGTAACACAAAGCACTCTCACCAAAAAAAATATTTAGTATTACTTACGAGTATTCTCTTTGTCTTCTTTCGTATGACTTTCGGTGGTTATTGGATTCCCGATATTTCATCACATATTGTACCTATCATAGGTGCGTAGGCAGTATAATGTCCCATGAATATGTCCTTCTGCTGTTCTATACTTAGCCTATAAGTTTAAATAGTTAGAAAGTGGCCAAGTATTTTCTAGATCTATCAACATAGTGACAGAGTATCAAAACTAAGCTCTACTTTATTTCTCTATATCTCTAGGTATACAATGAAGTAAATACGATAGTCTGCATAGTATAATCCCAGATGGTAATGATACATATATGTACATATGTAGGCAGCTATCATTTTGTAACTAAATATTTGCTAACTTGTTCAAATTGAAAGCAATAGAAATATACTGATCTAGATGTATCATAGTGTGCTAACCAATTATGATGTATAATGATCACATCCTGGTAAGTTTGTATAACCGTAGGTATGCATGGCCAACACATCAGAGCAAACACCTGGGCAAATTAAGTGCCTTAATAAGCCGGTGCACCCCGCAGCTCACTTTTTTTTGACCCATATATGATCATTCTACACCTTGATTGAGTACTAAATCTACCATTTATCATGAGTGATAATCGAGGTCGCGGACGGGGTGATCGTGCTCGCGGTGACCGTGGTCGTGGTCGTGGTCGTGGTGGTGATCGTGGTCATGGGGATCGCGGTCGTGGTGATGGCGGTCGCGGTGATGGCGGTCGCGGTCGTGGTGACATGAATGTTCCCGTCCGCCCAGCTGGACGCGGAGACGGCGATCGTGGTGGATTCCGCGGTGAATTCCGAGGTGATTTTCGAGGTGGTAGCAGAGGTGGTGATTTTCGAGGTCGAGGAGATTATAGAGGTCGAGGTGGGGACTTCCGAGGTGGCGGCGGCGACTTCAGAGGCCGTGGTCGTGGTGATTTCCGCGGTAGGGGTGATTTCCGAGGTGGCCGTGGTGGCCGTGGTGGTGTGGTCAATCTTGGCCCTCCTATCTTCAGGTATGTTCTCGCTTTCATTATCATTAGTTTGATCAAAGCCAATAACCGGACTTGTAGAGAAGGACAACCTATCCCTCCACCCAGCGAAGTTGTTCGCAACACCGAAAATGATCTCGCAAAGGCTCTTGCTATCAAGGGAAAGAACAAAGAGCGTCAGGAAAAATACCCCGAACGTCCTGGTTATGGAACAGCTGGTAAACCGGTGACTCTGTATGCCAACTATCTGCCACTCACCCTGCCTAACAAGCAAATTTTCCGCTACCACATTGCCATTGCAGCTGATTCTGCGGGTCGATCTGCTCCTGTTGGCAAAAAGGCCCGACACATCGTTCGCCTGCTGTTGGATGAGCACTTCGCCGAGGAGAAGAACAGCATTGCGTCGGATTTCCGTTCGACTCTGGTCTCATGTGTCAAGTTGACGGAGGGCAAATACGATGTGCGATACAAGGAAGACCTTGAAGATGATTACCCTGAAACTCCCCGGATTCACGCCGTCACCGTTCAGCACACGGGCGAGATCAACCCGGCCGACTTGCTGAACTATATCACCTCCACCAATGCCGCTTCCATGCTTGAGTCTAAGGAGCAGATCGTCGCTGCTCTCAACATGATCATGGGTCATCACCCCAAGACGACCGATGGAGTTGTTTCAGTTGGTGCCAACAGACACTACAGTCTGCGCGAGGATTCAATGGAATCATATAACCTCGGCGGTGGTCTTTCCGTGCTTCGTGGATTCTTTGTCAGTGTGCGTGCAGCAACTGCTCGCGTTCTCTTAAATGTGCAGGTGAAGTACATTGCTTGCTATAACGATGGTCCTCTGGCCCACGTTATCGGAGGCTTTGGTAACAGGAACACCTATCGTTTGGAGAAATTCCTCAAGGGTTTGCGAGTTAGCATCACCCATATCGCTCGGAAGAATAGCCGTGGTCAGCCCCGACCTCGTATCAAGCCTATTTTTGGCTTGGCTAGCCGCGGCGACGGTGGCTCCTCCCCTAACCCACCCAGGATCGCTCGTCACGGCGGTGGTCCCAATGATGTAGAATTCTTCCTGAGTGAAGCTGCTCCCACTCCTGCCGCTGTCCCCGGTGCACCAGAGTCCAAGGCCAAAAAGGGAAAGAAAGCGCCCAGAGCCGGACCCGCGGAGGCTGGACGCTACATTACTGTTGCTGCTTTCTTCAAGAAGGGTCAGTTATATGATTCTCACTTTCTACTCACTTTCTACTCACTTTCACTTTGAACAAACTTTATACTGACTTTTCTCTCATCTCAGAGTACAATAAAGTTCTGGATCCAAACTTGCCTGTGGTCAATGTCGGATCGCGTGACAGGCCTGTCTATCTCCCCTGTGAGGTCTGCATAGTTCAGCCTGGTCAACCAGCCAAGTCTAAGCTCTCTGGTGATCAGACTGCTTCGATGCTGAAGTTCGCCGTGATGGGACGTAAGCCCGGCCAGAACGCTGAGTCGATCGTCACCAAAGGTGTGGGTGTTCTAGGACTGGGCTCGCCAGCGAACTCAACTCTGGTAAGACACCCTATGCTATTATTAATTATCTTCTCGTATCTAATTCTTCACAGGCTGCTTTCGGTATCAACTCCGCCACTGAGCTGATCACAGTTCCCGGACGCGTTCTCCCAGCCCCCAACGTCTGCTATAAAGATAGAAACCGTACTAAGGAGATCAGAACCAACGCTGGTAGCTGGAACATGCGTCAGATTCAGTTTTCCAAGCCGACAACCATGGCATCCTGGTCCTACATCTACATCCAACAGCCGGGCTTGCGGCCAGTATTTGAAGAAGGCTCGGACCATCTCAATGGCGCCCTGTCCGGCTTCCGCAAGACGCTTTGCGACATGGGCATGAGGGTGAGCCCGCATCTGCCTGGAAAGTACGTCCTCCTTTCCGGTGGGAACGATGCAGCAGAGATTGAGACTGCAGTCCTCGATCTGCAAAAAACGCATAACCCAGTCTTCATCCTGGGAATCTTTTGCGCAAAAGACACTGGCATCTACAACTGCGTCAAGCAAGTCTGCGACGTCCGCTGCGGCATCCGTAACGTTAACGTTCTCGCCGAAAAGCTCGCCAACTCAAACGACCAGTACAATGCTAATGTGGGCCTGAAAATCAACCTCAAACTCGGCGGCACGAACCAAGCCCTCCTGGCTAAGGACCTGGGCATCATCTCCGCAGGCAAGACCATGCTCGTCGGAATTGACGTAACCCACCCGTCCCCAGGCTCAGTTGGCACCGCCCCCTCCGTCGCTGGCATCGTCGCCTCAGTCGACTCGACTTTGGCCCAATGGCCCGCAGAAATCCGCGTCCAAGGCGCCCGCAAAGAAATGGTCGCAGACCTCGAAACCCTCCTCGTCTCCCGCCTCAACCATTGGCGCAAGCTCAACAAAGCCCTCCCGGAGAACATCATCGTCTACCGAGACGGTGTCTCCGAGGGCCAGTACAACAAGGTCATTGACGAAGAACTGCCCCTTCTCAAGGCAGCCTGCAAAAAGACCTACCCAGCCGACCAGTCCAAGAAAGGCCTCCCCCGACTAGCGATCATCATCGTCGGTAAACGCCACAACACCCGCTTCTACCCCACGACCGCAGCAGACTCGAACCGCGAAAATCCAATCCCCGGAACCGTCGTCGACCGCGGTGTCTCGGAAGCCCGCGACTGGGACTTCTTCCTGCAGGCGCACTCCGCTCTCCAGGGCACCGCCCGCCCCGCCCACTACTTCACCGTTTGGGATGAAATCTTCTACCCTAGTCATCCAGGAAATGCAGGCGGGCCTGGTGCGGCGGATGTCCTGCAGGAACTTACACATAAGATGTGTTACATGTTCGGGCGGGCTACGAAGGCTGTTAGCGTTTGCCCGCCGGCTTACTATGCCGATCTGGTGTGTACGCGGGCGCGCTGCTTCTTGAGTGATCTGTTTGATCCGCCTTCGTTGGATTCCGCGCACAGTGTCAGTGGCACCGAGGGGACGGATATGTCCCGTACTACGGATGTGGTTATTCACCCTAACATTGCGGAGACTATGTTTTACATTTGAATTGTGGTTGTGGATGGTGGTTGGTGGCTTCGGGGTTGTTGATTGCCATTTGGAAGAATGACGGAGGATCTATACTACATTTATGATATTTTGATGTTTTGGATTTGATTTGGAGAATATGTCTGGTCAATTTGAAACGAGGTTGGGATATCATGTAGCTGCCTACCTTGGACGTTCCTTTAGCTACAATTTCCAATTGGCTTTAACTGAGACGTACGTGTTTCGTAGTTCTGATTTACTAGTTAATATCTTTTGTGGAGATTGCAATTCAGGTTCAAGATATAACATCGTACAATTGATTAACAACACTCATTCTGAAGAAATCAACGTGTCCACCATGGAGATACAAGAGAAGAACAGAAATAGTAAAAGCCAACACATCCTCGGTATAAGAAAGAAGATAGACAAGAAGACAAGAATAGAAGGTAATACACGGCGACCAGCCAATCAGGCCAAGCACCAGCCATTTTTTTGTAATTTTGCATATTGATCAACATCAATGCGGGTATCGATACATATCGCTCATGAACCAGCCGTATAAAGGGGATCTCACCAAAGACGAGATCCACTACTCGTCACCATGATGCCAGCTAGGCTGGTTGTGGGTTAACGGGTTGTGCATGGCAGTCGTCGTACCGGTACGTTTCTCATGCGGCGACTCATCATAGTCGTGCCAATGAGATTGCATCTGCTGCACGGCCTTATCATGCTTAGCAGTGGGCTGGGGAGTATTCTGGGAATCATCGGCGAAGTCGAAGTGAGGATTGAAATTCTTCTTGCGATTCGCTGCATTGCCTGCAACGGCCAATGGCTCGTTCTTCTTCTCCCGCTCGGACGGCATGGGGCCCTGGCCCTCTGCGTCATCGAATAGACGGTTCTCATAGAGACGTTTACTGCGACCACCGAATGAGCTGATAATGCGGCCGTCGTCATTGTCGTCATCTGATAGGTCGAAGTGACGCGTTGTGTCGCGGCGGGGCTTGATGATCTTCAACTTCTCGGGACTTTCGTCCTCGCTTAGATCGAAGTGGCGGACTTCTTCACCACGAGGAGCGCGTGTATTCTTGACAGGGGTAGTGTAATCGTCACCGAAGTCCCAATGGCCGGCTGCATAGAGGTTCGAGCGTTGAGATCTAGTCTCATGCTTTATTTCTCGGCTGGTATCGTTTCCGGTGATGTCGAAGTGGTCAAATCTTGAGGGATTGCTTTTGTAGAAGCTGCGATCTTCACCGACAGGTCCACTTTCGGATTCATCTTCTTCAGGGACTCGGGGTGCGCGGCGCTGCGGCCTCGATGGCGATTCTGGAACATCGTCGTCCTTCTGAAAGATATCGCTGAAGTTGCGCGAGGCAGGTTGGCCAGATGAACGCGCGAACGGTGCTACAGGGGCAGGGGCCGGCTTGCTTGGCGAGAGGATCTCGTTCAGGGATCCAGCTCCATACGGGTCTTTGGTGTATCTCTTTCCAGGGGACGAAGACTTGGCAGCGCGAGCTTCGCGTTCGGCTGCTTCCTTGCTCGGCGAGAGAAGGTCATCCAGGGATCCTGCGGAATAGGGATCTTTGATGTGGCGCTTGCTGGGAGATGAAGAGCGAGCGGGACGTTCTGTCTCCAATCCTGGGACGGCAGCTGTAGAACGTTCTGCCTCAGCTGTCTTGAGGAGACGGATTTGATCCTTTCCATCGCGAATAGGCCAGGCGCGTCCGCGCGCACCAATAACTTCAACTTGTCTCAGGAGGGAGGCCTGGTCCCAGTGGATGCGGATTTGTTTGATTTGTTGTTCGGTGTCGAAGTGGACAATGTGAATCTGCATGCATTAGTGGATATTCTCGATGCGCGATCTTGGGGCATTTACCGTGGGGAAAGTCACGACGCGGTCGGCCAGGAAATTATCATCCAGCGAGGGGAGATAGGCCCCGCCGCCCTCCTTGAACTCGAGGGTTGTTTCCATGTCCAGACACAGTGCATCTGAGCCTTCAATGGCGCTGATGACTTTGTGGGATTTCGTCTCGACCACATGGTGTTGCTTCAAAACATGAGTGATCACATTGTCGGGTTTTTGGAACTTGGTAGTAGTAGGCACGTAGATTAGAGATACATCCCCAGCCAATTTAGCGGTCTTGGGGCTTTTCAAGAACCGCTCGTATTCTGTCTTGTAGTAAGACATGTTTGAACAGAATAGTTGTAGGGAGAGGGTCAGGTTCTGAAGTTCAAAAGGATAAGGAGAGAAGGAGAGAGAGCTACTCAAGTGGGCTAGACGCGTATTTACTACTTCCGTAGATTGTTTGGTACAACTGCAGTTGCCCTTTCTACTACACAATAATAACGTATCGAATACCTCAAATCACACAGGGGCTTCACTAGCTCAATTCGGTACTTGCTACACCCGTACCTTGCATACAAAGCAAGTAAATAATAGAACGGCACACCTGGGCACGGGGAAGAAAAACAACGCCAGTGTTTCACAAAGTGGCGGGACGGTCTAGGCTACCTCCGTGCAATCATCGTCTCTCCGGCAACTGGGGTGCATCCATATATATGCAATACATATATGCATACTCCGTACAAATCCTGCATCTATATTCTATGTATCTTGTCAACTGTTACATTTAGGTTTTACACATTGCTTCACAGGTTCCGGTATGGAGGGTTGTTGTATTGTACATCTATTATGATTGTACCTAAGGCTAATGCCGATCTCTGGGTCAACTACCGTCCTAGAAACTCCTGCAATGTCCGAATAATACTCTCAGGAAGATCAATGCGTCTTTCTCAGAACGCTGCAGGTATTCTATCATTGAGGTCCACGGGTATCCAAGGCATATGCAAGCAAAAGCCGTATGATTTCCAGAGACCAATTCTTTCTTTTTTGTGTAGCAATAGCATTTCCCGTATCTCTGGAACGGTAGATGGCATCGTACATTATCGTGTTGGTGAAAAAAAAGGGTATGTGTTGCAATCGTGTCTCATTACAAAGGTCTGGACAATGTCGCGTTAGCAAAGTGACATTCACACGAAGGGTTCAAATAAGTCACTTACCCAAGATAATCCTCCTTGATAGTACCAATGGCATTGATCGCGGCCACGTCGGGTTTAACACCGAGAATCTTCAGCCGCAGACTGGTTCCTTTCTCAATCACTTGGTCGGCATGGTCGGTGTACTGTGGCGGCACGGTATTGGGTTCCCATTTAATATCACTGGGAATGTTCTTGAAACCAGTCAGCAATCGACCTCGTATCTCGAACGAAACAACACAAACCTTTCGCGCAATGAAGACAGATAACGGGCCTGCCAGGGTGAAGATACCCGTGGGCTTAACGGAGGTAACAATGGCATCCACCTAAAATCAGTTAGCAGGGACTCATTCCAATGTCACATCCGAGACGCATACCGTCTCGCCACGGAATGGCTTCCAAATGATCGCACGGTATCTGATCGTGTATTCCGCCTGACCGATACCAGGCATCACCCGCCCCTCGCCAATATCAACCATGTCCATAACACAGATCACAAAGTGATCACCGGTACAGCGACCTTCCTCCTCCTCATTAAGACGACCGATCAGGTATTCTCGCATGTTTGGTCCGAAATAGGACGGGTGCATGGCGATGACCTTGGTCTCTTCTTTGAGGAAAAACATTGTCGCGGAGTGAGAGAATGCACGAATCTCACGGTTCGTGTGGAGGGTTCAAAGGATGGTAGTGGCTTGTGGAAAAGTGATGTCAATCGAGATCGAGGGACGGCGTTTTCGACGAGCTCATGACCTGCTGTTGAGGCTCCGGTTGTGGCTGTCAGAAATGAGCGAGGGTGATCCGGATTTCTGGTATGGCAGAGAGTGTATCTGCCTTGGATCTTGGGCGAGGAGGCAGATACAGTTGCTGCAGGCGCAAGCTTTCACTTCGTAAGAGCATCCCCGGTCTGGCGGGCCAAGTTTGGGTGGATGTGGTCACGTGATGTGGTTTGACCTGTCGAGGTGAACGGGCATTGTTCGATTCGGTTTCATGTTCAATTTGGTATTTCATATGCTGGGATTTGAAACTACGCTCGATGCATTGCATTCGAGTTTTGAGATCGAGGGTCTTTTTGTCGCGCGGCGAATAAATTTTCATCCATACATACAATATCGTATAGGTTATCCGATCTATATCACCGTATGAAGTCCACGGGTCTTGATAGCATTTCCGGCTATTAATCAGATGACAACTTGGATTTGAGGTATACATGTACAGTTTTGTGTAATAAAGCGTGGTTTTTACTTGCTCTTTTATCAACATTGCTTTTCAAGGTATACAAAAGCTTAATAGCTGACATTATATATATATTAACCCATTTCCACTACAAAGTCCAGAAACAAAATTACTTACCTAGGTAGTACCCTAAAATATCGCAAAGCTCACTGCCCAAAGCTTCCAAACGGTTCAATAAATTCAATTCAACCCCGAAAAGAACGGTTTGAAGTTTCACCAGGCCCATAGTTATAGATCGTAGACTATATTTATGCAGAAAATTGATAGCAGGGTTCATAACGGGGAACTTCCAAAGTTACAATAACAATGATAGATTCTCAAGCAGTTTAAAACATTAAATACATACATACACATGTACATATATGTTAAATCAAATAAATATGCCGCTGTAAGAAAGGCTTAGATCCCCGGATTTGGGGCACAGGTTACGCCAAGACCGTGGGATCCTCGGCTCAAATATAATGTACGCTTACATTTGATCTCACATAACTCCAGACTTCTTCCATCACCCCAAAGATGGCACTCAATCTCGAGAAGCAGCTGCTCTTTGTAAGTTTGAAACCAAAAGACCATATAGCATTTAACTGACTCGAATCTAGTACGGAGCTTATCATAACAATCCCGTACAGCCTAACCTCTCCATCCCAAACCCCAGACACAACCAGCTAACAGCCTAGGTTAATGTCGCAATCCACATAACCTGCGTCCCAATCCTACTATTCACTGGTATCGTCCTAGTACGTTCAAAATCCAAATCTACAAGCATGCAGGAAACTTACAATATCCAGGCCTGCAACTGCCCACCTCTCTTCACACTCCCCTCCGCCGTGGAAATATCCAACCTCCCCGCCAACGCCGGTACAATCGGCGCCCTCATCTATGCAACCTTCTACATACTCCTAGAACCGATAGCTGGCGGACTTCTCGCCCCGGCCCTCATCGCAGCCGCTTACTCCGGAAACTACTTCCTCAGCACACATGGCCACATCGTGAACTACTGGGCCGGCGGTATCCATGTGGTATCATGGATAGCACAGTTCATCGGACATGGTGCGTTCGAGAAACGTGCTCCTGCTCTCCTGGATAACCTTGTCCAGGCATTGCTACTTGCCCCGCTGTTTGTATGGATGGAAGTCCTGTTCTTCTTTGGGTATCGACCTGCATTGAAGGAACGCTTTGATAAGGGTGTTGAGGTGGAGATTGCAAAGTTCCGAAAGCAGCAGAAGGAGGAGAAGGGCAAGGGTAAGGGGAAGTTGTAAAGGTGGCTTGTGTGTGGAGTAAGGGGAACTGAGCTGGTTTGAGGTTGGGAGGGGGTTGGGGATGGGGTTTGGTGGGCTTATGGATGATTTGCTTTCTGTGATTTTGTTCAATTAGCAGAGCGATTGCTTAATATTTTGCATTTTGTTTCGTTGTTCTTCCAAGGTTGTTCCAAGTATTGCATTTTCGAATAAAGGCTCCGGGTGTACCATGTATGAGTAATGTAACATGATCAAGTGGGTACATATGTATATTGATAATAAAATATAGTCAGATATAATATAGTAAGAATATCCAAAAAACATCAAATATCAAAGCTGGTAGGTTAACCTTAGTATATGGATGTAGCCCTGGAGAGAAGTATATGGTTGCCGTGACGAAAGTGATGACATAAGAAATTCACCTGACTTCCTGGGCAGAATTCCGCCGATCCGAGAGAAGAGAAAAAAACGGGAGAGAAAGAGTGGACTCCCTGTTCCCGGTCGGTTATGAGAAATTATTAGTTACTGTTTAACTAGGTAAGGAATTTTTTTATGAAAAAAAAAAGATTCATGTTAAAATCAATAGAAATAAATTTATATGAAGAACAAAATAGTAACCAAAAATATAACCAGCAATAAAACAAGAAAGAACACAAGGTGGCCTCAGGCTAGGGCCACCTCGGAGGACCCAGTGTTCAAAGCGGTTTAGCGCAAGTCCTGAGAATCCAATCCTCCCCCCGACGACAAAGCTCTCCCGTCCACAATCCTCTCTCCTCTCCCGTTCTCTCTCCCCAATTACATCTCTCTCCCAGAGAATTCATCCTCCCATCCTCTGAACCACATTCACAATGTTCAGAAACGCTTTGCGGTCATCCAGCCGCTCCGTTGCGGCCGTCTCGGCCACTGGCCGCATCGCCTCGGTGAGTCCATCCCATCCCAGCCGACTTCGTCCATCGCCCATTCCGACATCGTTCATCTCAAACTTGAGCTCGATCGGTGCTCAAATACCATCACACCTCGACTTCGAAATTAAATACATCCCTTGGACACGTTGTCCTTCTATGTGATGGTCATTGACAAGTTTTTCGTCTACAGGTCCGCGCGGCTGCTGCCGGTCCTCTCAACGGTGTTCGCTCTTACGCCTCCGAGGCCAAGGCCCAGCCTACTGAGGTCTCTTCCATCCTTGAGCAGCGCATTCGTGGTGTCTCTGAGGAGGCTGGTCTCGCTGAGACCGGTCGTGTTCTGTCGGTCGGGTACGTCAATTCAACCCAAGGGCGGCTAGGGGCGCGAAGAAAAAATTCGGTCCCCGTCGACAATCCCATCGAATCCGCCTTTGTCTATTAAAATTCGACCAATTACCGAACGAGAAACTGATTGAGCTTTGAATAGTGATGGTATCGCCCGTGTCCACGGTATGACCAACGTCCAGGCTGAGGAGCTTGTCGAGTATGTGAACCCCCCAAAGTCTTGGCATTCCATAACAACCGGAAAACTAACCCTTCCCCAGGTTCGCCTCCGGCGTTAAGGGTATGTGCATGAACCTCGAGGCCGGCCAGGTCGGTGTCGTGCTCTTCGGTTCCGACCGTCTCGTCACTGAGGGTGAGACCGTCAAGCGTACCGGCGAGATTGTAAGCCAGCCCCCCTTGTACACCCATTTTGATATTGGACCCTGAACCCTTCAACTCTACTTTTGAAACATAAATATTAACATACTATCCAGGTTGATGTCCCCGTCGGCCCTGAGCTGCTCGGACGTGTCGTCGACGCTCTCGGTAACCCCATCGATGGCAAGGGTCCCCTCCAGACCAAGGAGAAGCGCCGTGCCCAGCTTAAGGCCCCCGGTATTCTGCCCCGTCAGTCCGTCAACCAGCCCGTACAGACTGGTATGAAGTGTGTCGACTCCATGGTTCCCATCGGCCGTGGTCAGCGTGAGTTGATCATTGGTGATCGTCAGACCGGTAAGACCGCTGTCGCTCTTGACACCATGCTCAACCAGAAGCGCTGGAACAACTCCAACGCCTCCGAGGAGCAGAAGCTGTACTGTATCTACGTTGCCGTCGGTCAGAAGCGTTCCACCGTCGCTCAGCTCGTCAAGACCCTTGAGGAGCAGGATGCCATGAAGTACTCCATCGTCGTCGCTGCCACCGCTTCCGAGGCCGCCCCCTTGCAGTACATTGCTCCCTTCACCGGTACCGCCATGGGTGAGTGGTTCCGTGACAACGGCCGCCACGCCGTCATCATCTACGACGATCTGTCCAAGCAGGCCGTTGCCTACCGTCAGATGTCTCTGCTCCTCCGTCGTCCCCCAGGACGTGAGGCCTACCCCGGTGATGTCTTCTACCTGCACTCTCGTCTCCTCGAGCGTTCCGCCAAGATGAACAAGACCCACGGTGCTGGTTCCCTCACTGCCCTCCCCATCATTGAGACCCAGGGTGGTGACGTTTCTGCTTACATTCCCACCAACGTCATTTCCATCACTGATGGTCAGATCTTCTTGGAGTCTGAGCTGTTCTACAAGGGTATCCGTCCCGCCATTAACGTCGGTCTGTCCGTCTCCCGTGTCGGTTCCGCCGCCCAGGTCAAGGCCATGAAGCAGGTCGCCGGTTCCCTGAAGCTCTTCCTTGCTCAGTACCGTGAGGTCGCTGCCTTCGCCCAGTTCGGTTCCGATCTTGATGCCTCCACCAAGCAGACCCTTGCCCGTGGTGAGCGTCTGACCGAGCTCCTCAAGCAGAAGCAGTACTCCCCCATGGCTGTCTCCGACATGGTCCCCCTGATCTTCGCCGGTGTTAACGGTCTCCTCGACACCATCCCCGTCGCCAAGATTCTCCCCTGGGAGACTGAGCTCCTTGCTCACCTGAAGAGCACTCACCCCGAGATCCAGGCCACCATCGAGAAGGACGGCCAGGTCTCCAAGGAGTCCGAGGCTAACCTCAAGAAGGTCATCTCTGACTTCAACGCCACCTTCAACGCATAAGTTAAGAAATAACTCGGATGATCCTTCGTGGTCGGCTTTGTTTTCTTGACTCTATGTATAGACAAGATAGCCTGTACAATTTTGAGCCCATTGTTTTTCCTGTTCTTTCTTTCTTGGTCCTGGTGCTTAGCTGGAAGTCCTAGCTGTCTGCCTTGTGGATGTAGCGATGTAATTATCTGCATGATCCTGGGCGGACCATGGATATCCCGTAGCGCTGCCTTGAGCTAGAACTAAAAAGACATGGACTGCCAAAATGTGATTATATCCTGTACGTTTAGATTTTATCCGCGCAGGGGGCGCGAGATGGGAGGATAACCCTAATTCCGTCTGGTCTCCTATGCTCTCAATGTTGGACCGCAATTTATTCCATTTGTTCAAATGTTTTTAATACTTGTAGTTTATAGATACATGCCCTATTCTAAGCAGTAGTTAGAAGTATACATATGTAGTCATAGGCAGGACTCCCATAGAGTCAAGAGCCATCGATACTTCAGAGTTCAGAATACGAGGTGAAATTATTGCGCAAATTCATTCAGCTGCGACTACACGTCTCAATCATTACTATAACACCTTATATCCTGTCTTCTTGATGTTGAAGAAGGGACGCGACGACATCGGCAAGTGAGGCCGAAAGCGGCATCCGAACTGTTATCGATAAGCGAACAATCTTTTTCCCGCCAAAATCGACATTAACCAAGTCGCCCCGCGCAAAGAGACCTCAATTTTATACAGTCATTTGTTGACCTCGCCATCATGTCTGCCCCTACCGACAAGCCCCCGTCCTCCTGCAAGGTGATGTTGAGCAAGAACGTTGCCAACCGTCTCCTCGCCGAAGTCCACGAAGGCCTCAAGACCCTTGAGAAGCCGCCTCATTTGATCGGTTTGCTGGCCAACAATGACCCCGCCGCCCTGACCTACGCGGAGATGACCAAGAAGACCTGCGAAGAGAAGTGAGTATACACACCATTTCCACGTTGTGCGGCTCCAATGGCTCCGTTGGTGCGATGTATGGTGGGGGTACTATGATTCATACATGCCCCTCAGAAAACCACCCTACACCCAACCACCATACAATCAATTGCAAATCTAACACAATGCAGTGGATTCAAGTACACTATGCGCCAAGTATCCCGCGACGACATCGAAGAATCCATCATCGCCGCAAACACCGACGACAGCATCGACGGCATCATTGTCTACTACCCGATTTTCAACAACCGCCAGGACCAATACCTGCAGCAGATCGTGGATGCGACTAAGGATGTGGAGGGCCTGAGCCACCGCTACATTTTCAACATGTATCAGAACATCCGTTTCCTGGACGGCGAAGCCAAGCGCCAGAAGTCCATCTTGCCTTGTACCCCGCTGGCCAATATCAAGATCCTTGAGTACCTCAACATCTACAACACTATCCTGCCCTACGGAAACCGTTTGTTCGGACACACTATCTGTGTGGTGAACCGCTCTGAGGTTGTTGGTCGGCCGCTTGCTGCGCTGCTGGCTAATGACGGCGCTTGTGTTTACAGCGTTGATGTTACTGGCGTGCAGAAGTTCACCCGTGGAGAGGGACTGCAGAAGAAGAGACATGAGATTGTCGATCTGGAAGGCAAGACTATCAAGGATGTTGCGCCGCTTTGTGATGTTGTTATCACCGGTGTTCCTGGCGAGGGATACAAGTTCGATACCAGCCTTCTGCGCGATGGTGCCGTTTGTGTCAACTTCTCCAGCGAGAAGGTATGTATTATACTTTATTTTAGTCGAGTGCTCGCTGACCCATTTGCAGAACTTCCCCTATGAGGTCCGAGAGAAGGCCTCTATCTTCGTTCCTTCCATCGGAAAGGTCACCATTGTTGTCCTGCTGCGCAACCTGCTGGTCAGTCTCACTAAATCTTTATCTTTGCTTTGAAGCACCCCACTAACTTCAACACAGAGACTCATCCAAAACAAGCGCATGGACGATGTCAAGCCTGCCGAGGCCACAGAACGACCCGGTACCCTCGAGGCCTCTTCGTAGGTTCCTTTCTTATAGACATGATTTGATCTCAATGGTTATGCCATGCGAGCTGGCTGTTCCGTAAAAAAATCCCTATAGATATTCTGTTTGTTATTAGCCATTTCGATATACTCTGAAACTTCATGTTTCGTCCCTTTTTCTGTGTTCCATATTTCTCAATTGCATGCCTCCGAACATAGATTTTACTTCGAATCTTGTTTTACTTGACTATTTACAGATATAATGTTAAATGATACGATAGAATACTGGTGTTCAATGTCTCAAATCCCATGCCTTCCCCGTTCAGATGTCATCTGTAGTTGTTTCAGGGTTTCCGATTCCTCCTCGTCGTCCAGTCCATGCGGACCCGCGAGGCGCTGATCCATGATTTTGGGTTTGAAGGAAATCTGAGTGAATGAGCAACCAGGGTTTTTCATAAGAACCCAAGTAGAAGCTCAAATTGGGCATGAAGTTAAAGAAGAGAAATTGGCTACTTCCTTCATGGATATATATGCGAATCGCTTCAAAACGCCATATAAATTGGGGTGTTGCAAAATCGCTCTTGTCTTATGTTTGCGGTCATGGCTATGCTATCTTTTAGTCCGGTATCGCAGAAAGATACTCGCAAACATGGTTCCTGCTCAGAAACAAGATGTGGAAGGCCTATATCAACCGGACTTCTTCTCATTCTCTTTGGCTGCCAATCTCAAAACATCAATCTCACTAGCAACCCAGCGGCGGAAAGGCTCAGGATGGAACACTCCTTCTGCGGAAAACCAAGTTGTGAAGGGCGCCTCGCACCGCTTGTCCTGAAGGACCTTCCCAGAGGCAGACTTATAAACAACGCGCAACTTGTAGATACTCGAGAACTTCTGAGCCGATGAAGAAACGGATATCTGTAGTCATATATGTTAGCGTAGTCCGAGGGCATACAGCCTCAAAAGGCCCAAAGATTGATTAGCATACCGTCTCTCCCGTCTTTCTCTTTCCGGAGTATACCTCGCCAGCTTCAACAGCCCAAATCCAGTATGTAAGGAATGTATTCAACACAAAGTATGTGGCTACTGCAGCGATAATCCAGGGAGATTTCGTTGCTTCCCAGCCGAGCGTGCGGTCTGCATAGAAAGTGAATCCGGCAATCGCGACAGCGCTGTATCCAATTACGAAACGGATATTTGTTTTCGAGTAGTCGGGTGTAAAAGTGTAAGGCGCGGGAAGGTTGGTCAGGTATGGAAGAAGCGCATCGTCACTTGTAGACTTGAGATCTAATCACAAAGGTCAGACTTGTTTGTTGTATAGAGTAGATCGGGATTACGGACCATTGGTCGAGTAGACCGGTACTTTGGTGGTAGCCATAAGAGCAATGATCAGATATATGAACCAAAACTTATGATAAATCGAAAAGTTGCGGGTGCAGAGACAGTGAAGCTTGAAGGTAGGGCTGTTTATCAAAGATGCGGCGTGGCCCTTTGGAGAAAGCTGGAGCTAGCGCGGGCCAATGACAGCCCTCTCCGCCTCAACCTCTCCTTCGCCCCTTCAACTTTCCATCCCCCACTTAACACTTTGTGAGAAGCCGATTGAATTTGTCTTTAATCATGGCGATTCAAGGTGCTGAGCAGACAATCCTTAGGGATCCGGCGCTATTGTGAGGAACCCTAATTCGATCGGCTCGAGTTTGGACTAACCATTTTGCCTATAGCTATTGGATTCTGTTTCCTATTTCAATTGTTATGGTACCGATATCTCTAAGTCTTTGATGCTTTGTAGAACGAGACTGACTTTTTCAGATCCTGACCGGAATTCTCCGTCACTATGCCACCGTTTTGATGAATTCGACCCCCAAGTCGCCAGCCAGTCTTGCCGAGTCTCGCGAGCGCCTTGCCCTTCTACGCGGCGTTAACCTCCGAAACAATGCCTGCTCCGTGCTCGACCGCGAGTCCTTTGAAATGCGCAAGAACTACATGATCACGGGATTCCGCAGCGGCGCATTTCTCAAAGACCCCAACAACCGGGGCCAGCCGCCCGCGAACCCTATGACTGACCCTGCAGGCATGGAAGCCATGATGGGCATGTTGAAGGGAAACATGATGATGATGATTCCACAGACCCTGATCATGAGCTGGATCAATGCCTTCTTTTCTGGATTCGTGATCTGTATGTTACTCTGGTTTCACCATACATGAGCGACGAACTGACTGATCTTATAGTGAAACTGCCCTTCCCGCTTACCATCCGCTTCAAGTCCATGCTCCAGTCTGGTGTTATGACTCGTGACCTTGACGTGCAATGGGTGTCCAGTCTTTCTTGGTACTTCCTCAACCTGATGGGTCTGCAGTCCGTTTTTGGATTCATCCTCGGCAGTGATAATGGTATGCTTTGGTTTCTCATATGCAATCAGAAAAATAATCACTAACAATTTGCAGCTGCCAACCAAATGGCTCAGCAAATGGGCATGGCCAACCCCGCTGCAATGGTCAACCCGCTGCAGCCCGGCCAGGATCCTGACAAGCTGTACCTGAACGAAGCAGAGAACTTGGAGGTCATGGAGCACTTCTGCATTTTGAATGGTGTGGAAGAGCGCATTCTGCAGAACTTTGCTCCCGCTGGGATTTAATTTTCTCTTGGATTACTTATCCTTTTTACTTAGTGTCGGTGTATATAACTGTTGAGCATCGCTGGCTTTGCAGCATAAAGAATAGAATACGACGCTTAACGGCTGAACTCTCCAGATATTCGTGACTAACACATGTTCCATTGAATTATCCATATTGCAGGACGCCATAACTCGTAACATCTCATGATATTGTTATAACCGACCACTATTGGCGGTAATTGATAACATCATTCAAGATCCAAACTTCTCCATTGTGAACCTTCTCTGCAACAGAATCAACTTCGATATTGCCAGGTTGGATCTAGATATCAGTCAGCAATGGAACCGAACGTCGAACAGAATCCGACTTACAAAGATCTTATCGCCCTCCTTGGTCCACTTCAACTTCTCCCCTGCAAGTGTCTCCACTTCTTCTCCAACTCTCCAAGGACTAGCAGGAATGAGATGGGCCTCCACAAATCGCTGCAGGTTGCGCTTTGCCCGGTCCTGACCGTCTGAGCCCTCATAAGCATTTACCTCACCAAACTTCTTGTAGTCCTCTGGATTCTCCCAAGGCTTCCGAGGAAGAGCCTGAATTGCGCTATTGCGAGGCGCAAGAACCGTGATGTTCTTGGACCCATCGTTAAGCCGATTGGCGATTGGTTCAAAGTCACGAGTCAACCGCGCGAATATGTTGATACCCTTGGTCTTGGGCAACACATCTGAGATGACGGGAATCTCACTGCTTTTAGAACTCACATCCTCGTCTGGGGCCGTTTTCTGCGGCTGGACGATGCCAGGAAAGATCTTGTCCATTATTGATTGATGCTCTTTATGTTCAAGAGCTAGTGGCTGTTGACGTGAAGGTATGAGCGATGATAGGTCCCAGATTGCCGAGATAGAGCCAGCAAAGACAAATGTAAATAGAATGGATGTAGTTAGTCGGTTCGGTCTCATCCTGCGAGTTGAGCTCATCTTGTTGGCAATGCAGGCTGGCAACAGAGCAGGTCCGACTGCCATGACGCAACATTTCACGTGATGGGAATCGTAGTCGATAACGGAATCACCTGACTGTTATCGATAAGGGAATCCGGCCACAAGAAATTGGCCGATGGGACTCTTGCCCCCGCAATCTATACGCCTGGCTCTTTCGATTGACTGATTGGTATCATGTCGGCTCTGCAGACCTACATGCTGGTCGTGGACCACGACAAAGAAGAAGCCAAGCGCATTGCCGAGGGCATCGCGCATGGTATGCAGCTTCGCCCCGCACTCAATACCACTTGACTACCTGCATGACTAACAGAAGTGATTATAGATGTCGAAACTAAGAAGGTGACTTTGATTGACACTGTGCAATCACTCGGCGAATACATCAATGACGAGGATCCGATTTTGCGCGGAAAAGCGATTTCCTACCTCACAGCCGTTATCTCTGCCTTTTCGCCGAAGTATCTCTCGAGACAACAGATTCAAGTTCTGACCACATTCTTCTGCGATCGGATTGAGGATGGAGGTGCTGTTGCTGGATTGGAGGTCTTGCAGGGCCTGGACCGATTCAACAGGTTTTTGGCTACACAGGTAGCACAAGCGTAGGTTCTAAAGCTTGATGCGAGATGAACTATACTAACTTTGAAATAGTATTTTTTCCAATTTCCAAGATCTCCAGTCTCGGTCTCAAACACAGCGATTCCACGTCTATCAATTGCTCAATGATCTGATGTCAAATCACCGCGCAGCTATGCGTGACATGGGAGATATCTCACTTCTTGGTGTTGTTGATATCATGACCGGCGAGAAAGACCCCAGAAATTTGATGATTGTATTCTCTATCCTGAAGGTGGTGATGATTGAATGGGATATCTCGAACCACACCGAGGTATGTATGGCTGTTACGATGCCGAGAAATTGCCAGCTGATCTTGGACAGACACTTTTTGACTCAGTATATAACTACTTCCCAATTACGTTCCGACCTCCACCCAACGATCCCTATGGAATTACTTCACAGGATCTAAAGGGCCGTCTTCAGGAGTGCATCTCTTCGACAAGGCACTTTGCTCCCCATGCTTTCCCAGCATTGCTGGACAAGCTTGATTCTACCTCTCCTAACGTAAAGGTAACAGTTTCTTCTGCCTTGTGATGACCAGATCTGATAATTTTATAGAAAGATGCACTCAGTGCATTGATCGCCTGTATCCATTCATACGACCCCGACACAGTGTCTAAATTTTCCATTACCATATGGGATGTCCTCAAGTTTGAAATTCTCAACGCCCAGGAGGAATTTCTCTCTGAAAGTTCTCTTGAGGCGCTGCAAGCAATCACTAAGCGTCTATCTGAAGGTGTCACTGAAGTATCACAGGACTTGCCTCTTGCGAAGTACCTGCAGCCCATTACCAAGGAGTGTAATGAGCAACTTCAAGAGCCCCAAAACAAGAAAGCCAAGCCTTCTCAATCGATTCTTAGCTGCGTGTCGGCCGCTTCACCGGTGTCCTTTACATTGGTTGTTCGAACAGTTGTACCTCCGATCTTCACACTATACCAAGAGGCGGATGGGATTGTCAAACAGAGGGCACTCCTTGAGACTTTGAACATCTTGTTTGAGTGTGCGACAACCGTATTTGGTCAATGGACCACCCGAGGAGGCGAGATCACCATCGATAACCCACTGCTTGAATTCAGAGATCAGTTTTCAGAGATCTTTGGCCAGGTACTGATGGGTGCGGCCAAGGAGGAAGTTTCCTTCCGAGTCACTGCCTTGAAGGGATTATTGCGTCTGTCGACGTTGCGTGATTTCTTCCAGGACAATGAGATTGGGCTTTTCGTGCAATACCTGGATGAGATCCTTCTTAAGGAGGAGTCCGTAGGCCGGGACGACTTGAAAAAAGAAGCAATTGCTGCCCTTGCTGAGATTTCCAAGCACAAGCCTAGGCTGATCATGGACATCACTTTCCCGGCATTTGTGGCAACTTTGCCCGAGGAAGATCAGGGCTCCGAAGCTTTATACCTGCCAACACTCGAGACACTAGCGCAGATCAGTGTCGAGAGAGATATTTTTGAGACACTGTTCCGCCGCCTGTTCAGCAAGCTGTCTATCTTGCTACAGAAGGAACAGCCCGGATCAGTGGCCTACCCTCGAGCCATCCTGGTTACCCTGCTTTACGTGATGCAGCAGAGGAACATGGAGCAAGATCAGAGCATTGATCTGTACTTCGAAAAAATCGTGGTTGGACTTTGCCGCGACGTGGCAGCATCTGCCTCTGGCACGGCGAACAACCGGATCCTCAATGATCCTACTGTCCTTGATACTTTGGGCCGACTTTGCAATTTGCTTGTGCGATCTGTTTCAATGGAGAAGCAGGAGCAAGTTGCCGAGAATGTTTACAGTCTCTTTACCTTAAGCGATGACTTTGTGCCTGTCCCATTCACTCAAACTCCCAGCGCAGACCAACAACGCACAATTATCATTTCTACGTATCTGCTTGCAGGACTATCAAAAGACTGCGCCAGCCGACTCCCACATACCACCCCGGACATGTCGGCTTTGCTATTGGATTTGGTTCAGCGTTCTGTGTCGAGCACAGAACCCGCGATCCATCAAGCATACTTGCGTCACCTGGCCTTGCTTGTCAACAAGTTCTTGTCTAAGCAGGATTTACCAATCGCTGAGAAGCTGTTCGATTCTCTCCTCGAGAGTCAAGAGACAGAATCAAAGAGTCTCAGCCCGGCGAAAATTCGCACCATCTTCTGGCTAGCAAAAGCGCTGGTCCTACGCATCGCCCCCACCACCACCCACGTTCTGACCTCACTCCTCGCTCTTATCTCCTCCCCAGACCAGCAAACCAGCGTCACGGCAGCGCAGGCCTTTGCCATCATCCTCGGCGAGGACGACATTATCTCTGCAACAAACGGTGCCACTATTCGTCTTCTCTGTAGACAGCGCCTTTTCACAACTGTCATCCCTCTGATATCCTCGCGCATCCGCGAAGTCAACATCGCAGGGAACAACGATTCTGCTGCCGTCACAAAAGCACCAGAGCACATTAAGCCGGCCCATCTCACAGCCCTTTCTGGAATTCTCTCCACCATTCCCACAGCACTAGTCATGCCAGAACTTCCCACATTGCTGCCCCTCCTCCTGCAATCACTCGATCTCCAGACTGCTGGCTCTGTGGCTGTCCGTGCAGCAACACTCGATACTCTGGCCGTCATCATCCGTGACAATGGCGTTGCAGTCATCGATCAATGCGGCCACGTCCAGAGTCTCGTCACGAGACTGCTCAAGACAACGGTTACAAACACCGGCCCTGGCGCTGTCAACAGTCCCAGCCTCCGTGCAGATGCTTTGAAATGTCTCAACCTCCTCGCTGTACACCAGTCTCCTCCTGGTACAACTCCCAAGACCCGTGCTCCACCGGCCATCTCGCCATTGTTGCCTGTCAAGAACCAAGTTCTAAGATCCTTGCGCGCGGTCCTCGATGATCCCAAGCGCGATGTTCGTAAGGCAGCGGTTGATGCCAGAGGTGCCTGGATACGTGGTGTGGACGATGCACCGGAAGAAGACGAATGATCACATCATATATTTTCGGGTTATTTAGAACAAAAGTTTAGAAAAGAGCATACTCGCATAAAGGCTCGAAGCTGCATAGTTCGAAGCATCATACATGATAGTTTCTTGTCTACAATACATAACCATCATTTTGCACACCAGCTAATTATACCGAAAGTGTCATACCAATCTGTCGAAACTAATCAAGTCCCTTAGAAGAGGGGAGATGATTCTATGAAAAACCTGCTCTTCAATCCCCTTATCAGCACACAAAGAGTTAGAACTTGACCAAGAAAAACAACTCTCCACCGCATCACCATAATGCGTGCCACTTTCACGATAAACGTTCGGCATAAACCTCAAAGCTGTAGTCCGCCTCATTACCTCGATATCCTGATGCACATCTTGTGGGATCCGCAACGACTCTAGAGATTTACCGAGAGACAGTTCCACCAAAGCAACCCCTAATGGTAGTAACAAGTTATTGCTCAGGAACGGACGTGCCACAGTCGGACAAGCGGACTCAGGGATGGCTCTTCTCGTTCCTGTTATGGAAAGTGGCCATGATAGATATACACTATCAAGGAGTATATCATAGCCATTTTGGTGGGCGGTTAGGTGGATATCAGAGCTGTCCCACCAGGATTTCAGCCAGTTTCCACAGAATTGTATAACGGCGCAGGCTAGACCGGCTGCTATGTGGAGGCGGTCGTATCGACTCAATTGCGATATCATATTTTCTAACGAACTCTGAGGTGCTGGGCTTGCAAGTGCTTTTGCGGCATGCATGATGTAGCCGGTGGATGAATCCAATTCCTTGGATATTAGGCCGATTATCTCCCATTTTTTGATGTTTTTTGGTTTTGCATTTGCTTCGGTAATGTATAGTGACGAGCAGAAATTCTCGATAGGGGACGCAGGTGTGGTGACTGCCAGCTCAGAGGATTGGGTATTGGTTGTGCCATTGGGCGTGGTGTGGTTGTCACGAAGAGATAGAGTGGTAACCGAGACAACATCTTCATTGCCCCAAGGGTGGGAAGCAACCTCTGTCCAAGTCCAAGTAGGCTTGTTTTCCTGGCCTATGTTGGAGAAGTTCATATGAATCTGTGACTGGCCATCGTAAGGAGCATCCTTGGGACTTTTCAGTGGATTCGTTGGTAACTGAAGATGAATGCAGTGCTGTTCCTCACACTGGCAGCTCCAGCAGGATTTGATGATTGAGTTAAAAATGGCTTCTGCATGTTTTCTTCGCTTTTGATATCGTCGAGGAAGATGGGACCAAGGGTGTCGTGCTTGATTTCGCGCCTTCTCTTGAATAAGGGAATGATCTAGTAGTAAAGTCCGCAGGATTGTGTTTGCATTATCAATCTTGCTTAAGAGGTCTTCGTAGACAGCTTTGTTGAAAATCCCCAGAATGTCTCTTAAATGCCACTTTTCCATGTCACGACTCTGAAGAATAGATGTCAGCATCGAGATGTTAATTCATAAGGTCCTACCACTCACACTTATATTGGTGAGCTTTATACCTAGCCTTTTAGACAGCCGATCCAACAACTCACACACCCCCACCCATATGTAGAAGAACTCATCCCGTTACAACCTACGAGCAACACGTGAGCCGGCATTTGGAAGAGCTTGCTCTATTTGTACTCGCACAAGTAAACAAGGACAGCCATACCGATTCCGACGGGGAATCAGAAGTTTCCTCCCTCTATGCGGATAGTGAAAAATCCCTGAAAGAGGTCGCAGATGAAAGACAAGCCCGAATGAAAGAGGGCACTATTGCAACAAAACCCGCGTGGAGTGTCAAGCCATACACCCCTTCTCCCTCCTTGGGGAACCAACGTGGAGATGGGATCAAAGACATCGGAAAAATGCTCTCCGCACCAATAATCACAACAAGTGCAAAGAGCGCCAGGCCTCTACAACCTGCAAGAGAGATGCCCCCGGAGTACGATGTCATCTACGTTACTCAAACTGAAAGAACCATGCGCTTGCCACCGTTACGGCGCTTTCCATTACCACCAAACTCCATTGCAGGTGGACTTATAACGGTGGGCGAGTTAAGAGCCAAAATTATTAAAAGTATTGGAATTCGCCCACCCACAGGATTTGTTGTCAAAGAGCGTCAAATTGACCTTCAATCTGAAGGTAGCGCGCTTGAAGTTGATTCCTTGACATGCAAGTCCGTTGGAATTGCATCGGGTAGTGTTGTTACGTTTTCAGATTTGGGGGATATTGCCTCCGAGGCTAGCAGCCCTCCTGTCACACAAGGCATGAAAAGCAAGATGCCTGAGAGTTCAAAGATTACACCCAGGGCTCTATCATCGGCTGGTGAAATAAGCATGGCAGACTCAAGGTCTGTGGTGGACTTTATAAAGGACAAAAATTATAACACAGAAGAAAGAATCAAGTTCGCCGAGGCCTATATGGAACAAGTCATGATGCCTCGCTATGACAATCTTGTCAAAGCAACGCCAAGTTCCATCGGGGTTCAAGAATTTAGAGAGATACCAGGTTTACGGATATTGGATGTCCATGTTAGGCAAATTCAACGTGCGCTGTTCTTAATGATAAACAAAGACGAGACTGACAGTGATGCAAAGGGGGCACTGTGGAAAAAGGCGTGGGATATGTCCCATGAAGTCTCCATGAAGCTCCGGAGTCTCGGAGCTGATAGAAGAGATTGTTTTCTACATGTGTAGATATATAAAGCATGTCTCCGAGAGTCAGCATTGATTGAAATCGTACCTATGTCTATAGAAGGACACAACTAGCATATAGTATATAAGATAATTATTACAAGGCCAGCAAGTGATCGAACGGCGCACTGTCCATGCAATTTCTTTCAATTGTTTATCGTAAAATCTGACCTTCAAAGCAAAATAACATGTCGAGTACGAAATGTCTCAAATGGCATATAAAGTTCAAGAATAAAAAGCTCTCCACGCCCACCACATACTTCAATACCATTCATCTCCAGTCTCACTTCCCCATTTTCACCACCTGTGTTTCAGTGGCTTGGACGGAGCGGAAGGGTTCCACCCTCCAACCGCCATATTCCAGTCCTGACTCTTCGATACAGTCCCCGACCTGGCTTCACCAGAAACAGCGCCAGTGGAGGCACCACGATCCGTAGGACTCCTTGAGATGTAAGCCGCAGGCCCCTTATTAAAGAATCCGATAGCATCGATTTTCTCGACGATGATTTTGGCAAGGCGGAACATGGCGCCAATGCCTGAATGGTCGACTGAGGCTCCGAGGGCAGATAGCTTTGCAGAGGGGTTGATGAGAGTGAGATCCGAGCCGAAGAGATCTACCGTGTTCCACGAATCGTTGCGAGTACCTGGCTTGACATGCAAGTTTTGCTTCAATATGCGTTCTATCTCTGCACTGGTGATTGAGGCCTGCCACCAGTGCTTGCCATGTCTGAGCATCTCTTCATGTGGGGCGCAATTCACCACAAGGATCTCAGGATCGAGAATCGAGGGCGTCATATTGAGGACTTGGGTCTCGGCAACTTTGAGATAGATCCGCTCGCTCTGCTCCGAGATCCAGCGGTGACTGGTTCGTCGCTCCATGTATACTCCAAGGATTGTCATAACTTCCGTAGAGGGAGGACGAATAAGCATTTGCAGAGTTACGCTTTCAGGATCAATCCATATGCTCTCTACCAACTCTCTGACGGCTTTTTCAAGCTCTAGATCGGCCTTTCGGTTGAAGCGAGTGGAGCCTTGCAACACGGCGGAAGCATCCCAGACTTGGGCGGGAAAACTCATAGACACAGCACCGAGATGGACACGAGGGTAACGGAGGGTGACAGTGCGGTGCTGGTCAACGGAGATGATAAAGATCGTGTTTGAACTAGCCCGGCAACGGAACTCGTATTTGATACTCCTGAGGGTGGCGTATTGGTCAAATAGTGGCTTATCATTGATTTTGAGGCCAATAAGATGGTCAATATCCGCGGGCGAAGAGGTCAAACGATCGAAGAATGATGTACGAGGCGCCTCCAAGCCGTGCTGCGAGAAGAACAGGTTTTGGACCTCTTTGTAAGTCATCTCTGTCTCTTGAGTAGAAGCTGTCGTATTGAGAATCAACATGAGACCAAGCTGGATCTCCAGGGTGAGAGGGCCAGGAAAATCACGGACTCTATCTAGAGATAGCCCAAGAGAGTTAAAGAGATCAATCAGAGCTTGTCTCTCCTTTGGCAGCTTTACAGCCGTTTTAAAGATTTGGGGGGTGCATCTCTGTACTGCGGTTTCATGTGAATTGACACTGACGTTGGGTGTGATACTCCCGGAGGTAAGTTCGTTGGAATCTCCATTTCTTCCGTTTCTGGCCGACTCGGTCGTTTCACTAACACCATCCATACCATAGTCAGCAAACTTGGAAGGCTGCTGGTGGAACATTGTCGTATGATAATCCCTCGTTTGGGTTTCCTCTGTATCGGCTATTTTCTCGCAGATTTCAGGCTTATCATCCTGATCATCTGGGCTTTGATTAGATCGACGCACAGCATCATAGCGCAATTTAGTCCTCAGACTCGCAGGTGAGAGATCAATAAGGTCTGGATGCAGGAAAGAAACATTCTCTTGTCTCTTTAGAGGAGCTGGGGCTTCCTCAAACGCGATTAGAAGACTGGTTTCTTCGATAGCTGGAGCACTGACTGAGGCACTGGTTGGAACACTGGTTGGAGTGCCGATTAAGGTATTAGTTCCACGTGTAGGTGTAAAAGGGGTATTGCCATCTAATGGAGAAGGAAGATCCTGGAGAATACCCATAGCAGCAGTTGCTTTGCTTCTATGTTCTTTGTCGATTACGCGCTGCAAAAAGTTCAAAAGTGCCTTTTCCGTTTCTTTGAGGGAAGAAGTTGGCAAATTCCCTTGCAATCTCTCCCATCTCTGACCTCGAGTAGACTCAGCAGTACCCAAAGTAGGAATATTTGATCTACCTGCAGGACTATTCGAGGAACGAGGGCCACCGAGACCTGGAGCAGGAGTTGAGCTAGAATAACTACTCCGCTCTGTGAGAGGTTTGAGACGAGTATCTTTTGATACCGGCCGATCGATTGGGACGGAACTAACGGTTCTTGCATATGGAATTTCATTCGAAGTCCCAGAAGAGGTACCATAGGAATTGGATCGCCCATGAGAAGCGGGTGAGCGTCGCCAGTACGTGTCACACATTTCATCACGATTGATCATATTCTGTCGCTTTTGCACATTGTATTCTTTGGCATTGATCTTTTGCTCGTGGGGAACGCCTGGGCGTAGAGCAAGTAAGTCCTTGAAGAAATACTGCTTCTTCTGAGGCTGTGTATGCTGATTCTCCGAGGCCGGCATTGGTGGCTGTGGGTTTCCCTGAGCAGAGGTCGAAGACGAAGGGAAATTCACTTTGGTGTTGGTCGGGGTGGAATCTGTTGATCCGATCTTCTCTTTTATCTCTTCAGTTCTCAAGCTAGTTGACTTCACTTTGGGCTCATTGTTGTCTATTAGCAAGTCATCCGATTCTGCCATAATGTCCGGCTGCTTGAAAGCCAGTTTCGGATCGTCGGAGACAATGCTTTTTGCCAGGTTTGCAGAGGATGAAGATAAATCAGCTGCCATAGCTCTCGCTTGCTGTCCACGAGTCAAGAAGTAGCCATATGAACGCTTTGGGCCACCCAAAATGAGAACTGAGTCTTCTTTTGGACCAGTTGTAGACACAGAGGGGGGGTCTCTGCTCTAACTTTTTGCCGATGCTCTGGTCGACTTGCTTTGGAGGCTGCGAGAGAAGTGGTTTGCGCCGAGCATTGGTTAACTCCCCACCCGGCGTAAAAGTGAGACGGGTTTTCAGGCCTTCTGCCTTCTCCCTGCGTGAGCGAAGACTCTCTTCATCATGCGACGAGACAACAGTAGGTGTTCCTGCTCGTGATTGCAGGCTAAGCTCGCGCTTATTGGGCTCATCTTGTTGAATGTCCTTAGTTGTGGTATCTCGAGCGATCCATTTGTCGACCTGTTTTGCTTTGGAGGGGGATAGATATGGGTGCTGCGCAGCAATATTTTTAACTGAGCTTTCTCTCTTGGGTGCCAAATGTTTGTCTATCTTCGAAAGGCTGTAGCTGTCTCTTGTGCCAATCTCGGGAAACTTCACGCCTTTCCAGTCTTCAGTAGTGCAAACTCCTGGTTTCTTCTTGACCTGTGGGGGCTCGCGAATATTCTTCACTGGATGAACTGTATTGGTTTCCGGGTCAAGTTGACAAACCACTAGAGTCGTCCACTTAAAGAGATCGCAAAGTGATGACGGGTCAATCAAGAAACGCCGCAAGGCGTTTGCACTGATATTCGCATACTTCATGACACGAAAAGTACTATTGTCATGATGAGGAGCGTGAATGATGAGACCCTGGTGTGGAGATGCAATGCAGTTCTAGAAACAATTAGCACGGTCTATAACAAGGAGAAATGTAAAGCATACAAAGCATTCCCCAAGGGACTCGAGCATCTCAATTGCCTGCCGAAGAGATTCTTTCTGTGGTGCAGAGATCCGCAACCCTTGCTGTCCTTCCACGGCTACTTCTGTTATCGCCACTTGACTGATTTCGGAGATAGCAGGAAGTAGACACAATGAGCCACGAGTGAAGGACCACAAATCTGCCCGAGAGGGGATCCATTCTTCAAAGAAGTTCCCATCTGCGGTTCTTTGATCTGGCTCAATGTTCTCCACCAGTGTTGGGGTTTCCTGCTGCGGGGGGATTGCAGTAGCCAGAGAGCTGGGAACCGGAGGGATTGTGAGTATGCTTCTGATTTCACGAATTCGAGGAATCTTTTAGAGAACAGAGACGTTAGAGCTGAAAATAGCATGGTTTCACAAGCATTATGTCAAAGTGTACTGAAGTACGGGCACCAATTGTGTTTAGGGCAAGGACCAAAATAGGTGCCAACGACATTTCCAACACGTACCTGGAAGATATCGGGGCTTTGATGGTCACTGATGAATTCGGCCAGCATCCTGGCAATTTTGACTTCCTCGTCGTGTTCGAATGGACCACTAACACTCACGGCCTCATGAAATCAGCAACATAATTCTTGATAGCTTTGAAATGAAAACGTACATGGCTGGCATGTAGATGTTCAATTTCGTACAAAGCGGCGGGACAGAGTTCTCTGTACCTAATTTAGCAGCCATGCATAGATATCTTGTTCGACAATTGGTGGTTCGTACTGAATCTTTGCTTTGAATTCATCGAACTATAGATTGGGTTAGTCTCAGCCACTAGTGGGGATAACTGCACAAGCGCAAACGAACTTACGCCTTGGTTCTCAAGGGCCCAGACTGAGCCGAGGAGTAATTTCCGGCTCTCGGTCATGACGCCCAGGACAGTGAGGGTGAAACAAATGCAAAATGAAGTAAGACTGATCGGGGGTGGTTGCTCAGCGGTGGTTACGATGAATTGAAGTGAAGAAAGTTTTCGTTGGCCAGATAGAGGTTAATATGTGGGAAGAGAGGAGCTACCTACATATGTAGGTACAATTGATGTAAAGAAGACAGATTGGAAGTTACGCGCAGCTAGAAAATGACATCGCTGGCGAGGTCGCCTGGGCGTTGGTAGATATTGGAAAAGGAAGGTGCCCGACAACACAACATATGGTGCCAAGAGAGACCAAATTGAATGTATATATCGAATATAAGAGTGTGAAGAATAGACCTAATAGGTTCTTTGTCTCTGATCTCTATAGGGTTAAAGCTGGGTCGTTGAGTGTACTCTATAGAGTAGCCTCACTACATAATGAATGGTTTTAATGATGCACATATATAATATTATGACTTTATCATAGTAGGGCTGACGATTGAGAGCTGAGAATGAGATGTAAGAAGTGAGTAGGCTAATCATCGGGCATATATCCACTTTCAATACCAACCAGCTATAGTCTACAGGTTTGACGTGGTCAAGGTAGAATCAAGAGTTTAATCTGGCAAACAGGTTCTTCTACCCGAATAACGATTTACAGAGGAAAGAAAAACAACCGGACATATGAAGGAAAGTTCTATGTATAGATGCGAAAAATAAGCGTACCAACATGCCTAATCTCCAGGCAACAAAAGTGCGTAGCCAACCATGACGGTCTTTTTCTCAAAGGCAAGGACAAGCCTACCACATCATTGCTGTATAATCGTATCTTAAAAATATGCAGGTCATCAAACGTCATGTCTAAAAGGGTGAAGAGGGGGCGTCCCAACCTTGACGAACATGGGACAAGAAGGAAATGTAAAATGTAAAAAGAAAACAAAAATCAATCAGGACAAATCAAGACAAGAGTGCGAACGTCCAAGGCACACGACCGAATTGTACTCTGCCACGACGGGTATCTGCAAAGAAAATCAAACGCCATGCACCGGCAAAGGGAAATGGTCTATGAGAAACGAAAGAAAGGCGGAAAATCTGTGGGTATGTTGAAATAAGGCGGAAGAATTGGGGGAATGGCGAGGTATTGTTTTAGAGGTATCGACGCGAAGATGGAGATATGTTGGGTCAACATATGTTGAGAGTAGTTTCAGGGACCGGAAGACTCGGCGGAAGATGCGGAGGAGCCAAAAAGGGAGACATAGCTGATTTCACTCTTTGCCTTCACGACTTTGATGGAGACGTAAGGCCCACTTCATCTCGTTTTCGGTCTGCTTGAGCTGAGCAAGAACCTTATCAATCGCGCTGTTATTCGACTTTGCGGAATCAATTGTCTCCCGGAAGTCATTATCCTTCATTTCCTTATATTGAGTGTGCTTAGCAAGCAATTTCTCATATGACTCCTTGAGTGAGTCCACCTCCCGATTCTTCTGATCGGCCAAAACTTCCAACCTCTCCGTAGAATGTATATGAGTTTTTTGAGCATTGGCGAGAGTCTCGACCTCTCGCCACATAGCGTTGATGCGTTTTGTGAGATCGGCCTTCTCACGTTTATTCGAGCTGGATAGCACCTCGTACTGTGTCTCGTGATACTTGGCGATCTCCTGTGACCGAGCTTGTTCGCGATTATGTGTCTCGCGCTCCTCAAACATTGTCTGATTTGTCTGGTTTGCGTCCTTCTCTGCATCCTGGCGCTTGTTGCGCTCACTTTGGAGCTCTGTCCGGAGCTCCTCCAGCTTTCGGTCTTTGCGCGCAATAGAGTTGAGATTTGTGTCATTGACTTGCTCGAGGTTGCGGAGTCGCTCGTTCATATTTTGTTGTTGGATCTTGTAGGCCTCATTTGTTCGTTGATACTCTTCTGCTCGGGACTTGTATAGTGTGCATTCGCGCGTTAATCGAGCGATTTCCTCCTGCAGGTTGTGAATGACACGCCCTGATTTTCCGGTTGCTGCGTGGCCGACCGCTGACCATTCCGTTGTGGGGGCATCGCCATTTGTTTCGGATGTGGAGAAGTTCAAAGGTTGTGTGGGAGAGGTTGGGTTAGGGTCTGGAGAATGTGAGCTTGGGCTTGGAAGGTATGGGGTGGAATCTCGAAGGTACCCTGGGTCTGGGCATTAGAAGCCGCTTCATCGAGTAATCCGGTATGCTGGTGCATGTTCAATTGCGTGTCCACATGTGGGAGATTGACTTGTGGCGCTTCTGCACGGATAGGGGGGTCAGCAGCAATCGATATAGGATTTTTGCTAGGGCCGAGACGCTTCATGACCCGTGTAAAGCTCCCCATGATCACCAGAGCTCGTCATGAAGACATGGACGGACAGATTGGACAGTGGGAAAAAACACCAAGCCAAGCAGGGAACGGCTCATACCGATATTCTAGGTCAATTGAGCTGTGTTTCGAAGTTGTCTTATTTCGCTTAATCATCTAACCATCGCAAGGGAGGTTTTGATAAAGATGTCTCATATGAGATCATCAAACGATCATCAAAAGCGAAAAGAGATCTAGCCAATAGTTACTGCAGAATTGCTGCAGCGAGGAAAAAAAGGCACAAGTAGCGGTAAAGAGATGAAGTTGAATCCATAACAATCGTCTCTTTTTCCCGCTTCTCCGCTAATTATTGATGCGCCACAATTGCAGGGATCATCACGACTCCAATTTCTACTTTTCTTTACAATATTTTGCAAGATCTCTTTGAATTTCTAATTCTACAAGTATTGGGATTTGCTATTCTTTCTCATACATTTCCTAAATCCCTTTGAAGTGACGTCGACCCTCCTATAGTGGAACAAACATAACCTCAAACAAGCAGGTTTTAAACAACGGTATTATATTTCTATGTTTAGATTGATGACCTGTTTTCAATCGTGCTGATTAGATATTCCCCGATATCTCTGATATGAAAAAAATATGATTAATCAATTCTCAACGCCTCCTGCCACCGATATACTATGATATTCAGGGGTATGTTATATACACAGAAGCTAACGATCAGTTTTGCGATGGAAATGAATGACTGAGATATGCTTGACACCAAAACACCAAAACGCCAAATCAAAACACAAGAACCCCTCAGAGAAGGCCGGCCAAAAGACCAGCGACACCCATGACCAATTGCACAGAGTACTTGGGAATGGAAGCAATACCAGTCTGGACACTGCCAGTGGCGGAGGCCTTCTTGCCATTGACAACTTCAGTACCAGTAACTTTGGCACTGTCAGTTGAGCTAGCAGCCGCAGAGCTGGAGGGGCTACCGGAGGCGCTGGCCGATGAGCTGATGAGGGCACGGCTGCCAGTGGTGGTCATGGTGGTGCCAGTGGCCTGGGTAGCCTGTGTTGAGCCAGACATTTGAGTGGCAGGGGCAGTGGTGGTGCCTGTGGCAGCGGTAGTAGCTTCCTTCTTTTCGGGTGTATCGGCATTTGGCTTGTCGGCAGACTTCAACAAAGCGGTATAATTGCTCTGGTCACCCTGCTTCACTTGGAAAGCGTAGGTATCGCCTTTCTTGATATCATTATCGGGAGTCCAAGTGAAGGATCCATCCTTGGCCTGATCAGTGATGGCCTTGACATCCTTCAAGTGGTCCGAAGGTCCGTGACGGAGGAGAAGCGTCACAGGCTACGCTGGATTAGCTTTGCGATTATCTCAGTTACAGACGAGATCTTACCTGGTTAGGGTCGGCACCGGTCCATGTAAGGGTAATGGGCTTCCCGGCTTCGAGGGGCTCCTTGGGCCAAGAAGTGAAAGACAAAGGGTCGGCAGCGAGGCCCAGGGTCATAAGGGAAGCCATGACGGCAATAACACCTGATGAGAAGTACATTGTGATGAAATGAAGTAGATCCGGGGTTGGGCTTTAATGAGAGTCGGGTGATATTATGGGATAAACTTTGTAGGCTGGGCGAATGGACGGATGGACGACGGTCGAGGGCGATATTATTTTGAAGAAATCCGGGTGGCGCATCGCGATTCTTATCAGAAAGCCAGAATAGCTAAAATCTCTCCCAGCCCCGCAGAAATGGTCTTAGATGTCGCGTGTTGGTATTCGAGTACTGAGACCAAAGGGCACTCTGGGAGAATGTTGCATTCCTACAGCTCCAACGAACTATCAACATATTGCCCAGAAAAAGCAAGTCGCTTCTTATGCTTGGGGAATGCCTGCTAGAGATTCCTGAGCATTCTCGGGACGAAGTTAATTGAGTCTTCATCCGGGAGAGTTGTGTCGACATGAGGACGTAGATAATTACTCTGACATCCACCAGATGTGATATAGGTGACCGGGTGGCTGCAGGATGGCTTCAATTCTTTGCTCAGGTGGCGCAGAAGCCATGATGGAGAATCCAACCATCAAGCCCATAGCTCGTTAACAGTAGGATTGAAGTGCTGAGGCCCAATGACAATGCTTGCCGGGACATGTTGGAATGCCATCCCTTCCCGAGTTGTTTTGGTGGGGAACTAACTGTCCATAAGGCTATCTCTAACACTGTGATTAAGTCTTATAGAGCATGAAGCATTGCTCAGGCCTTGATTGACCACGAATCCCATACCAAGGGGGGTACCGTCGAGTAGTGTTGTAGTTTGCTCTGCGTTGTAGCGAATTGAACTCGTTGATCACCCTCCAGTACAAGGAACACTGATTGTTCCCAGCCTCACACTCAAATGTGCCAGATACCACACAGAATATATCTATTAAGCAGGCAAATGGGAAGGATAGTTGTAGATTCGGGCTGGCTATAAGTGTTGTGAAGATATATAGAAAATAACGCAGACCGCAAACTAGGGACCTTGGGGGACACCAAAAATATATTTCATGGATGATGTATGCCCATTGTTTCAGTTGCATACTACGATGAAGTTATCCCATGCTCAAAATATAACAGAACCATCAAAGGTTCCATACATTGTAGGCTGTCAGCTGAACTTGAGTCTTTTACCTAGGTAGGTCCCTGCCCTCGTGTTGCCATTTCTCTCGGATCAACTCCATACTCGATATGTTCGTGCCCTAAGGGGGAAAATTTCCCGCAAGGGATTTGTTTACAGTAGAAGATCATTTCTTCTAGCGGCAAAATGTACTTACACCCCCACAACTTGAAACCCTTGAAAATAGTTGGTGAACATACTTGATGCCAAATGAATTGAATTGGTATACGCTGAATTAAAAACCCTCAGAACTCCCATAGTCCACGCATGAAACAACCTGCACCAGAATCCACCCCACCATCTTCCTCTAATAGGCGATCTGTGAAGATACGCTTGGGAATCTGGTACTCGACAACAGGGATCTTCTTCAGATTCCTCTCTTCCACACCAAGCTCTGCCTCCACCATGCCTTGATATGTGTGATCGAGGAAATCTTCCAAGCTGTATGCCTGCTTTGTGAATTGTTCGGAGATAATCCGGGCAATGGCAGCCACGTTGGGGTGGAAGTGAGACTGGAGAGTCTCAATCTCCCACAGACTACTCTCGATGGCATTTGTCAGGTTCGGGTCTGACTCGGTTGGGTCAAATGGATCGTCCATGCCTTCTCTTTCCACCTCGGCAAGAAGATCCTTGTCGCGGATTGATCGGTGCAGCATGAATGAGGTTGTGGGGTGGCTTTTGAAGAAGTTGTACATGAAAGGAACGATGACAACGATGGCGGAGGGAGGGGCATTCAGTGCCAGCCGAGCGAGACGCTTGATGAAGCTTGCAACTAGGGTGGCGGGAAGATGGGTTGAGGAGAGGAAGGTGTTCAACAGTCGGAAGAATCGTGAACGATGCTTGGAGTGAAGCAGCTCGGCATCCAATAGCGAGTAGAGCTTTGTGAAGAATTGGGGGTAGTCCAGGTTCTTTTCTTGCATCAGATAGAAGAGACCGGACAGAGCAAGGAGCGACGTGGCTCCGCCAGCATTGTAGGAATCTGTCAAGAAGTCCATGAGAAGTTCAGGTCGGCTGAACCACGGCTCGATGTTGTGCACCATCATGCGCAACAGGTTCTTTCGCTGCGATTGAGAGAGGTTGTTTCGTAGAATAGCGAGCCAAGCCTCCTGTGCCTGCTTTTTGTGAGAGTTGACTGAGACCATCCGCTTGTTCTTAGTGTCTCGTTTCGCATAGAAGTTTTCGAACTTGTACTCGGGCCCGGGCACAACGTCGCAAGTTTGAAGAATCGTAATGAGGGTTTCAAGGGTTTCCGGGGATCGTTTCGTGGTAGCATAGTCACTAAAATGGGTTAGTCTGAAAACTGGTTTAGAAAAAAAGATATACATACGCCATCTGTGTGAAAGTGTAATATCTCACATCCTCAAATTCCTTCACGAACTTGGTGAGGAACTCGGACTGCAGGTCCTGTCCAGCGCGGGCTTCGATCACTGCCGTGAAAATATCCTTGAAGAATCCGGTCGACCAGGCATTGTTTTCAGAACCAGGAATATGGGCGATACGTTCTTTGAGCAGGCGCATACTTAGTGTCAGAGCAGTGATCTAAATTATCGTTAACACAAGTACCCTGGAGAGGCATCAGAGCACACATGCCTGAGAAGAGACATCAGCCTGGCGCATTATGGCCACAAGCGCATTCTGATAATCCATGCAACGCTCCTTCAACCATGCTGCAACAATCTTCTCATTCTCAGCAGCCCGGCTTGATTCTGTGAGATTTCCTCCAGCAATCAATCGACTGAACACACGGCAGAGAGAGACTGCAACGGCCAACTCGGGTTTCTCAGCTGACTTCTCAACATTGAGCATAGAAATCAAAGTCGCAATATTGTTGTAGTGCTTCCGCGACTCCGCAATTTGATTCTCTAGCTCTTGAACAGTAGCCAGTGTTTCAGCGAACTTGTCCTCGGCCACCGCACGACGCTTAGAAGACGGGGCGCTGGCATTCTTGCCACTCTTGCGCTTCTTAGAGCTTGAGTCCGTAATGATTGCGGGCATTTTGATCCTTTGATGTTGAATCAGTTTGATCTGCAACTTTTTTTTATCGTTTAGAGACCATCTCGGAAGGGAGATTTTCCGAGGAACGGAACTATCGCCCGAAACGGCTAGCGTCTTCACCTCCTAGCCATCCCGAACCTCAAGTCTCCTCAGTTCCGTTCACCCACCCCATTCGATAAAGATTATTCCATCTGCAACAATGGCTTCGCGTCTCGCTAAGAGCGCCATTGGTACGAAACAAACGACCCTCGGCCGTCTCCTCGACTCGATACCTTCATTTACTAACTTCCCCTAGGCGCATCCCGACTTCGGCCGGTCCTTCCCGCCCGTGGTGTCCCTGCCGTCACTGCCAACCTGACCTCCTCTCGCTCGACCTCCAACGTTCCCGCCGAGGAGCCCGCGAAGAAGGCCCAGTCCATCCTTAACGCTATCCCCGGCAACTCTCTGGTCACCAAGACCGCTACTCTCTCTGCCGCCGCCGGTCTGTCCATTGCCGCCATTAGCAATGAACTGTACGTCATGAACGAGGAGACTGTCGCCGCTTTCTGTCTGCTGTCTGTCTTCACCGCTGTCGGCAAGTACGGTGGCCCCGCTTACACCCAGTGGGCCGAGGGTCAGGTCCAGAAGCACAAGGACATCCTGAACGCTGCCCGTGCCGACCACACCAACGCTGTTCAGCAGCGTATCGACAACGTCTCCCAGATGTCCGGCGTTGTTGAGGTTACCAAGCAGCTCTTCGCTGTTTCCAAGGTAGGAATGATTGGCTCGCATTGATACCACGGTCGTTGACGATTCGTTTTAGGAAACCGCCCAGCTCGAGGCCCAGGCTTACGAGCTCCAGCAGCGCACTGCCCTTGCTGCCGAGGCCAAGCAGGTCCTTGACTCCTGGGTTCGCTACGAAGGCCAGGTTAAGCAGCGCCAGCAGCGTGAGCTTGCCGAGTCCGTCATTGCCAAGATCCAGAAGGAGCTTGAGAGCCCCAAGGTTCTCCAGCAGATCCTTCAGCAGAGCGTTGCTGATGTTGAGCGTGAGTGCTACCACTGATATCTATATTGGAAATTTGCTAACTGGTTCCAGGCATCATGGCTTCCAAGGCCCAGTAAATGGGTCCCGTAGCCTATACCTTACTGCATTCGGCATTGTGTACAAAACTATAAGGGCTATTAGCATCTGCCGAGTTAGACCTTGCAATACCATTTTGATTCTTACTATACCGGCTCTTATTCTCTACCTTTATCTTGACTACAAGACTCCCAAGATATGGCCTGAAGTGCGTGTGTACTCGGAAATGCTCGTCGGTCGACGCTCGGTGAATATGCACATCGTAGAACAATTTTGCGAGTAGTATACAAAGATGCTGAAGATCTCTCTGAAGCGGAGCTACGTTTTTGCCTTACACTCTCAAACTACATATATATAAAACCTGAAGTAAATAGTGTCTCGGCCAAAAGCTCCGGAGATTTGCCCTATGACATGCAGGGACTAATGCAGCATAGTCTGTGGAGAAACACGATAACCTTAGATCTACATAGTTATTTATTCATTTTTCTTTCACTCTAACACTTCATCTCTCTGCATATAAATGTGCATATCTCTCTTGACAAATATGGACTATCGCGGCAAACACCTCTTTCCAAACATACTATGAGCCGGTAGCCGCCGGCCAAGACAACTGGCCCCATGGATCATCAGAGAGACACTTGTTTTCATTTCTTACTTCGTTGCTATTTGTATTCATTCATTATTAGAAAATCATTCCCTCTATCTATCCTTTTCAACTTCCTACAATCGATAACGTCAACCCCACATCTACATCTAACATGCCCTCATTACGAAACATCCTCCACAAACGCGACGAGCTTACTGACAATCCAGCACCGGCCGTCGTTGCACCCTCAACCCCAGAATTCAAATTAATCCGCACAGACACACACACCCAAGAGATCCTCACTCCACCTTCAGATCCAACCGACACAGCACATCTATCATCACCAACCCAAGAAACACGACCCTCCTTCTCCCCGCGCCGCAGCTTCCAACTCTTCAACCGCACCTCAAGAGCAGACTCCGCATCCTCTCAGTCCCCGCCGCGCCGCGAACGTAGCCTTTCAAAGATCTTCCACCTCGACTCCCGCAGTCGCAGTAACTCGCGCGATTCCTCCGCCAACATCCCCGCAGACCTACCGCAGATCGACGATGACCGAGGGGCCACTCAACAAGAGCGCGAGGCGCTGTGGGAAAAGAGGGCAACGGTGCTGGTTCAGCAGAATCCGCAGTTCGCACACCCGGGTTCTTATTCGCCCGGGCAGGTTGAGGAGTCGCTAGGTCTTGGGTTGGGGGTGCAAGCTAGGGCGAGGAGCTCCAGCCAGAGTTGTGTTGTGGACCCGAATACAGATGTAGGCTGTTCGATATGAATTTTGGAATGGGGGACTAATAAGCTGTAGATCAATATCCAAGAGGCGATTCGATTGCATGAATCTGGTGGTGAGTTTTGCTCTGGCAATTTCCAAGGACTTTTATTGATGAACTTTAGATCTTGAACGATCCACGCATATGTTCGGACAACTTGCAGATCCTAATGGGCCAAATAACCCACTAAGTCAAGTGCTATATGGTCTGGCGTTACGGTATTGACAGACACTGCTCTTTATTTACTCATTATGCTAATATATCTAGACACGGATGGGGTTGCCCTCAAGACCCAGCGCGCGCAGTGACGTACTTGTCTGCCGCAGCGTCCAACTCGGCCGCTGTAGAAGCCGAAGCGCTGCGGGCTGGAGTCAAAAAAGGTGGATCTGCGAAAGGTGAGCTCGTTCTAGCTATGTTTGAGCTTGCCAATTGTTTTCGAAATGGATGGGGTCTGGCGAAAGACCCTGCTGCTGCAAGACAGTATTATGAGACTGCAGCGAACCTGGGTGACACCGATGCCATGAACGAGGTGGGTTGGTGTTACCTCGAGGGATTCGGCGGGAAGAAAGACAAGGTGCGTGTAGCTTTCAGCTATATATGTATTAAATCTTTGCTAACTTGATGGTATTCAGTTCAAAGCAGCCAAGTACTACAGACTTGCAGAGGAAAATGGATGTCCTACGCTTGGAAATTCATGGTACGATTGACTGACTTTGTTAAAACCCCCCTCCGGAGAATTCGACCATGCTAAAAAACCCTACAGGATCTGGAAGGACAAGTATAATCCTAAATGACCACACCACCATTTTTGACCATTCCTTTCTCTGATTCATGATTGATATGTCTGTATGCCTGATGTTATTTATCTGATCTCGATGTACATAATAGTCTTATACTACGTGCCACGCCAGAACATAACGCACGAATGATTGATGTTATTTCTAGCCAGACCGATCCATAAATCACATATCCTCTCTATGCTCAATCATCGTAGCCTGTTGCTTGTCTTCTAAGCTCATAGCAGCACCAGTAACGCTCGCACTCTCACCATCGAAAATTACTGCAATCTCCTCGAGCGACCTCCCATTGGTCTCAGGATAGGCTTTCCAGACAGCGACCAAGACAATCAGCAGAACAACCAAAAACACAAAATAGTACTTCCAAGAAATATTCTCGAATGCAATAGGGTTGATGAGCTGATTAAAAATTAATGCCATATAGGTCGAGATCATAGTGATAGCAACGCCCTTAGCACGCAGCGAGAACGTCCAAATCTCAGCCGGGTACGCCAGAAGCAGTGGCGTGAAGGCAATATCATAGCCAGCATAGTATATAAAGAGAAAAGGAATCACGGCTGTCCCAACGGCACTGGTTCCTGTTGTTGTAAAGCTACCAGATAAAGCAGTGATGAGAATATAGCTGATGAGCATTATCGCTGTTGATGTGATGAAGAGAGGGCGCCGGCCAGCGCGGTCGACTATACATGCGCCTACAATGCTCATTATCAGGTTCCAGACCTGAAGGAAGCCATTGATCAGCGTTTGGTCGGTAGTAGATGTTATGCCGATAGTGTCGAGAATGAGGGTCAGGTAGTATGAGACCACTCCGCTAGAGAAGTATTGCGATTCAGTATTCCGAGCCGACACCAAGGGAGCACATCCAGATCAATACTTACCCTCCATTCCACTGGGCAAAAACACCCAGAGAAATACTCAAAAAGAGCCGATAACGATTCCCTGGAGTGTTGACACAATCAATCCAGCGGGCCTCCCTCGCCTGCACCTCAAGCTCCAACCCCCTCGTAATCTCCTCCATCTCGAAAGCAACAAGCTCCGAACCCTCATCACCACCCGCATGAAACCGAACAAGAACATTTTTCGCCTCACGCACCCGATCCTGCTTCACCAACCAACGCGGCGACTCAGAAACCGCCAAAGCCCCGGGCATCGCCAAAAGCGGCAACGCAATCTGCACAAGAACAGGGATCCGCCAGGCCCAATTGCTCTGCAAATTCCTCGTCCCGAACGCAACCCACGCAGAAAGCGAGGATCCAAAGTAATACTGACACATATAGATAGAGGTGACGAGCGAGCGGTGCACCGGATATGCTATTTCCGTAACAAGAATGACAGCGCACTGGAACCAAGCTCCGGCAATACCAACCAGAAGCCGGGAGTAGATGAATGTATTTGGGCTCTGAGCGGTAGCTTGCAGAGCTACGCCGAGAATCATGAAGACATAGCCTGTTAGCACTGTTGGCTTGCGGCCGAAGCGGTTTGCGGACCAGGCTTGGACCGGGAGGAAGAGCATGCTGCCGATGTTTTGGAGGGCGTTTATGAAGCCGAGTTTTAGGCCTGTTGGATGGGACATGAAGGTTTGCCACTGGGGGAGGGATTGGAGACCGTTCATTAGTGAGATGTCGTAGCCTACTGTGCTGGAGAAGAGGATAAGGCTTGCTAGGTGGGTGTTTAGATGGCGTAGGTGGGCTATTTTCCACCATGGTTGCGAGCTCGAGGAGAGGGCCTGGTGGTTTGTTAGAGGATGTGTCATTTCGTTCATGATGTGAACTCGTACTGAGGAAAGCCCGGATCTAGGTGCTTTAGGGGAGTGTTTGTCTTTTATGGTGGCTGTGGTCCAAAGGGAAGGCATCGAGACCCTTTCGATGTTGGCTCTTGATCTTTACCTCACAGCTTAGAGTCTTTTAACTCATCTATGTATAACTGTTCTTGTCAGACGTTCCGGCAGTTCGGGGTTTGATTTATTTCATGAGACGATCTCTCCCCGCGGGGTTGAGGTGTGGGGAGATTGTGGATCAAATCCCACCCGTTGGTGATTTGCTTAGTTCTGTGATCCGGGGTGATTGTGCTCATCAATTGGATTGAGGCCCGCTGGAGATAATGTTGACTTTAACTAAGGCGTGCACTTGTCTTAGTTGAGACAATTAGTTGGGACAAGTATGCAAGGGTTACCGAAGATTAGCCGTGGCGACAGGCACATCCACACGTTGAGGGCCTAATAGGTATGATATATATGATAGAATATCATTATTTGTTATTGTTTCCTATGTTGTTATCTTCTAAGATATTAAGTGAATAGAGTATCCTGAAGATAGGTGTCTGTTAGGGCGTTGTGAACTCCAGTATAATCTAACGAGTGAATAAGGGGTAATCGGCCATTCAAATTTGGAACATGTTTTGACTTCAACGCTCTGGTCTGTCTCATTTTATTTCTATCGCAGTAAAGCCCAATTAATGGGTGATTGGGATCGACCGGAACAGGTGTAAATCTCATTATAACTACCCAGGCTTATTTATTCCGTATTTCATTGAACAAAAATGAAACAAAAAGGACCCGCCTGTATTCATTTAGTGCGAATGTGGGCATAGTCTCGCTGATTGAGAATCTCCTCCTCGGGGAACCAGTTTCCATGCATACCGTAAGGCACCCGCTGAGGCAGGGTGATCTTTGCTACAACATCCTTCATTCCTATCGCATCGATAATCCACAGCTCACCCTTAGAATCTGCCGAAGCTTCGCCGTTGTCGTCAAGTTGGGATTCATCAAAAACATACGTAACGAGCCATCCATCGTCTTCCCTTGTACTTGACTGGCGGGACACAAAAGAGCATTCTTGTGCATACCACCGATCAGGTAAAGCAAAGACTTGGATTGGGTCGTCCAAGTCTTCAGAAGAGATTACTTGCTGGATCGTTCTTTTGTCAACGACCCCGCTCCCTTTGGTTGGAGGATTTTCCTCTCCCATTTTCAAAAGGCGGCGCACATCCATTTTTACCAGACAGTCAATCTTCACATTTCCAATCGAAGAAGACACGAAGTTCCCCTGCCGCATGGAACAACCATAGATAAACTGTGCAGCAGTCATCTCAAGGTGTCGGGGCACATGGGGAAATTCAAACGGAATAGCCGAGAGAGCCCATTGCTGCGTCAGCCCAGAAATTATCTGGTAATAGTACAGAACACACTCGGGCTGCTGGGGGCACATGGAGGCAGGGGCCTCCATGCCACCCATATGATAGAATGGGGCAAGACTGTTGATTCGACAGACTAATATATGGACTCGCATTCCCAGTGGGGTGGTTTCATCCCAAGTGTTTGCGGTGTGCATAACAACGCAGGGGTCCGTTTCATACCATTGAATCTTCTCTGGGGAATGCCGTGGAAAGACTCCCAGACGGGTCAGCCCTTCGGGATCATACACCACCACAGCTTTGTTCTGCACCAGATTGGCTGGGTTTAAAGAGACTGGACAGTCGACGATAACAGTGTTTTGACGAGAGACACCAAAATCGTGCATTAATTTACCGGATGAAATGCCAGGTACAGGCAAATTGAGACGCGGCCCATCCTTTTGATCCCCCGCAGGGACAATAGAATAATGAATAAATGGCGGTAGAAATGTGGAATGGAAAAGCATCAACTCTCCTGTAGTGCGATCAACTCGTGGCTAAGGAACAACAACTTAGCTTCAGCTTTGAATGCTCATTAAGCACAGGCTCCATCTGGACTTACATGAGCGGTTGTCATCTCCTTGTAGAAGCCCTCGATACCCTCGCACCCAAAATGCGGTTCAAGAGGATCTCTGTACTTCGACTCCCCTCGCGCGCTGGCACCGGTAAACCAGCCAATAGTTTGCAAGGAAGGTAGAAGAACTCTCATTAGGGGCCCAATCTCGTTGGTTGCCATGACACGGCCATCGTGGTGGAACACACTTGTATTGGCGGCACCGACCCTTTTGATCGGGCGAGCGATGAGTTTGAGCAGGGATGCGAGCACAATAATATACGTTCGCAGCATTCCGAGAAGTATCCGGAACCGTGAAGGATTGGGGTTCACCAAAGTAGCCATGCTGGGTATAACAGGATACAGGCGCTTATTCTGAGTTGCTGCGCAGTGGACATCGGTCATAACATACTGATTTGTAAACAAAGGTTGGACACGCTTGGAATCCGGTAAGCGTTTGAAGAAAACACCTGTCAACATGCCGTCGCCATCGAACCAGTGGATGTCTCGCTGGGTATCGTCGGTTAACGGATTGCTGCCATTCCTCACATATTGGCCCCCGAGAAATTCATCTGGGATAAACCCTTCGACGTCACATGGCTCTGAGTCAAGAGTAGTGTGAATTGGAGCATAGTTGCCAGCAAAGTACCTGTGGGCTCGTCAACGCTGCTATATGGCTGTCAGGTATGTACTTACGGGTGAGGTTGAGTGTAAGACATGGCGAGCTGTGCATGGATAAAAATAAGTCTGAACAAGGGAATGAACAAGGGAAGAGTGTATATACATTAAGTATCATATGCACTTCATTTATTTCTCTTTTGACTTAGTCAATAACGCCACTATGACATGGTAGGATATACCAAGTATCTAAAGTAAGAAATCCAAAAAACAGGAAGAATAGGAAGAACACAAGTAGATCATTACTTCTATAGAACTAACATACATAAGAAGGACTGTGACTCTGCAAACGCAATAATAAGAACTTCTGTGATGTAGTTCACTGCCGAAGTTGCCAAAATGAGTGAAGATATTCATTTATCTTGTGATACATTGCTTTGACTGTATTCCAAGGTTACGCCATGAGCATTGACATCGTTCTACTTAAGGTTCCGTGTTACTCTAGACTATACGTGTCATTCAAGGAAGTAGAGAACTTTGAAGTTGGTTAGTGACGCATATCTCATTTTAGCGATGACATTATGCTCGCGGTTAATTATGTTGTCAATATATTGAAAGGTAGACAGTATATGGGCTACCCCAAAGTCTCAGAGACTAACTATTACAATTCAAACCTTGAAAGTTCATCATTGAGAGTGCAAAATGCTTTCAGAATATGCTATGGTGTAGGTTTATCCTTGCAAGTACCTTACAAAGCATCACTAAATGCCTTTCTGTGTAGGCATGTCACCTACAACCTACCTCTGGCCGTATCAATGACTGGCCTGTACTGGCCCTTTCTGAATCGACTTGACATACTCAAGATATTCAGCTTAGTGACTGTAAGTGCATCACATATCATATTTCATACCGTACTAACACTTCTCCAGGTTTCGGTGATAGCCACAACTCCGTGGGATTCTTACCTCGTGCGAAACAAGATCTGGACATATCCCGAAGATGCGGTCAGTGGCTACACGTTCTTCTCTATCCCTATTGAAGAAGTATTCTTCTTCATCATTCAAACCTACAATACCAGTATGATCTATACTGTCATAACACGAAGATTGGTTTTAGCGTCATATCTTCAAAAACCATCCCGTGCTCTTCAGATACTCGGTGGATTCATTCTCGGCTCTGCCGCTTTGGGTGGGCTAACTGCATTCATAATTGGTGATAAATACACTTATATGGGACTGATGATTGCTTGGGCATGCTCGTGGCTATTGTTTCAATGGTAAGATTTCGTGATGCAAATGCTGAGAGTGGACAAACCTGATTATTTCATGCAGGGTGGTCTCATCTAACATTCTGCTCAACTTTCCCCGCAAAGAAATTGTTGCTTCTGTCATGATTCCCACTGTGTTTCTATGGGTTGTTGATACATTGTCTCTTGGAAGAGGAACCTGGGTGATTGAAAAGTCAACCAAGCTCGATATTCAGGTTTGGGGTAAACTGGACTTGGAGTATGTTGTGCCAGAAAAGGATAACAGAGCGGCGCTAATTGGAGCAGGGAAGCGGTATTCTTTCTTCTCAGCAATATGATGATAGTAAATGGCTTGGTGGCTGCAGACTATGCCATCGCTATGCTGAACTGCCAGAAAGCACAGGCTACCGGAGATATAGAAGAGGGCTTCTCAGTCCGCAAGGCTTTGACTTCTTTGATCGGACCCGAGGAAAAGTCCCGGACTTCATTTGTTTCTGTTCTGAGGAAATCAGTCCAACGGTTGGCCATTTCCAGTCAGAGCATGTATATGGGAAGTGCAATGTTCCAAGGCCCCTTTGCGCATAGATCTCATCTTCCTGTGAGTTTGCAGATTGGATATCTCGATATCGATTCACTACTGACCCTTGAAGTTACTCCTTCTGTCGTATAGCAGATGATCTTGTCGATAATGCTTCCAGCGCGGAGGCTGCAGAGACAATCATCGAGCAATGCGGCGAGCTGTTGGAGGCTAAATTTGCTTCGCCAACCGACTTTCCGAAGAGCTTTAGTGCTAAGTCCCATGACTTTGATGAGCTGAACGAGCTCATTGAAGCTATTGATTATCTTCCCGTATCTCGGCTTCGAATTGAGCCTTTTCAAGGATTGCTCGAAGGGTTCAAACAGGACCTGCAATTTAATCACCACAAAAGGGTATTTCCGATATTTTCCGAATCAGAGTTGGAAGATTATGCATACCATGTGGCGGGAACAGTGGGCCTATGTGTTCTTGACCTGATCTTCCACCATTTCCCGCAGCAGCAATCTTCCACAGCGCCATCTCTAAATGAAGAGGTGCGTCAAGCAGGCTGCCAGATGGGGAAAGCCCTTCAATATATCAACATTGCCCGGGATATTGGACGCGACGCAGCGATTGGCCGAGTTTACTTACCCACCACTTGGTTGAAAGAAGCTGGAGTCTCACCAGAAGACGTGGTCTTCTGTCCGTCCGACCCTCGTGTCGATGGGGTGCGGTCTCGTGTTCTGCGTAAAGCAAAGCAGCTCCATGATCAATCTGAGAACGCAATTCGAAATTTGCCACTGGAGGTCCAAGGCCCTCTGTATGCAACTGTAAAGAGTTATATGGAAATTGGTGCTGCATTGGAGCGTGGGGCTCGTCCCTGCCATCCAGATCATAAATTGCGACTTTCTATCCCGAGGCGCCTAGTTGTGGTGTACAAAGCTATGGTTATGGCCTCGCGGAAGTAAGGAGAGAAGTTGGTGCTGTGTTGTCTAAAGTTGTATCTTGGAGATTCCTTGGAGCACAGGCCCTAAAGCCTGCCTTGGTTGTTTGATAATTAGTTTTTTCTTCGGGTATTTTCTTATTTCTCTTCCAATTTGGTCTAATGTCGCGTTGTTATTGCTCTCTGCTTTTTTGATTTACCCAGCTATTCTGTATTGATCGTTGGTGATTGGTCTTCAACTTTTCTACACCGTATTTTATCAAAGTATTTCCTTTTTACATGAATATGTTGAACATTGCCTTGTTTTTAAATAATGTCAATTTAGATAAGAACCCGAAAACAGTACCTAAAGCGAGATAGTTGGCTGTCGATCTTAGGCAAATATCATATCTTTGCCCCAAATGTTCATGTCGGCCCAACTGAAAATCACCGAAACCAAAGCCAACAGCATACTTGTGATTGCGAATAGAGTTCCAAACCTCAATACGGTCCCATCACTGCCTCTGTTCTCATAGGCTTTCATAACCTTTTCCGCAACTAGCTTGGCACCTGCCAAGCATACTGGAACCCCGGTGCCAGGGTGCGTACTGGCCCCAACAAAATACAAGTTCCCAATACTCGGGTGCTTGTTCTTTGGACGAAACATCAAGACATTGAGGAATGAGTGCGACAAGCCTAAGATTGCGCCACGATCAAGGTTGTACTTTGACTCCCATGTAAGTGGTGTCTCATACTTTTCAAAGACGATCTTCGACCGAAGATCCTTCAATCCGGTGCGAGATTCAATGGCGTTGAGCACAAAATCCCTGGTCTTTGATACGACTGTCTTCCAAGCCTGAGCATCATAGTGTGCTTCATTCGATGTCAGATGGCCTATGGGAACTAAGACGACGACTGTTTCTTTCCCGCCAGGTGCTGCGGTGGAGTCTACTCGGCTAGGAACGTTGACATAAAATGACGGCTCTGCCGGGAGGGTGTGGTCGTCGAATATAGAGTCAAAGCTTTCTCGATACTCTTCGGCTAGGAAGATGTTATGTGCTCTGAGTTGAGGTAGTATTTCGTCAAATGCCCAGAAAAACGAGATACTGCTGCAGGAGGTAGAGCGACGTTTCAGTGCATTGGCATAACGAGAACGTGGAAGAAGCTCGTTATATGAATAAACAAGATCGGCATTCAGGATCACAAGATCGGCATAAAGCTCTTCTCCTGAAGCAAGACGAACGCCCTTTGCTATCTTATTGTCATCCGAAAGAATGACTGACTCGACAGCATTGTTGAGACGATATTGTACTCCATATCTTTCGCCAATATCTGCGATGGCCTGAAGAACCTATAGCTCACGTTAGGAGATGAGCCTTCAAAGTATATCATCTGTTGGGCTTACATACTGCTTGGAAGCCTCCCCTCGGATAACCGATCCCATGCACCGTTTCGCTATATTGCAACAGCGAATACGTACCGGGGGCTCTGTACGGGCTCATTCCCATATACATGGAAGAAAAAGTCCACACTCTTCTCATTCGTTCGGTCTGGAAGTATTTTGATACGCGACCGTACACACTGGTCCATGGACGCATCCGCAGTAGTGCCCATAATACGTCCGGTCTTAACAGACTCAACGTACTCAATGCACTCGGATAATCTTTGTGAAGAACATGTTCCAAGGAGAGCTCGTAATTTTCCCCTGACTCGGCAAGGAATGCACATAGTTGGGAAAAATGACCTGGGCCTTCATATCGCTCGACTTCGCTCTTAAGGCGCGCCAGATCAGAGGACAACTCAACAGTCTCATGATCCGCAAACCAAATGCAATAATTTGGCTCACATTTCAAGATCTCAACTTTCTCTTGTTCTATCGATGTTTTGAGATCGCGGAAGGTCTCTTCGAAGAGTTCTGGCATGAGAAGGAGGGATGGCCCTTGATCGAAGCGCTGGGAGAGTCAGAAAGGCGAGCTTAGCAGTAAAGTGGGTACATACATGATTTTGATGGTACAGTAGGGAGCATCTTCCTCCCACGTAGCCTTGCTTTTCTATCACCTTCACTTTGCATCCTTGCTGGGCCAGTCGAGCCGCCGTGGCAATGCCACCAGCACCAGCCCCTAAGAGAGTCAGCAGTCTCATTCAAAGCTGGAAACTTGAGAACATCATCAAAAGATGGACTCAATACCAAGATGAACTAATATGATACATACCTACAACGATTACAGACGGTCCAGCCATGATTGTGTGAAGCTTATTCGTAATCTGGTTTAGGGGAATTTCGGACCATGGACGATCAGTATTAAAGTAAACAACCTCGATATCGTTTTCCGTCAATCAAGCAACTTTCTTTCACTCATCAGCAATGAACTCAACTAAAATGCAAGAGAGAGTGCATGGAGCCCCAGCTTGCCGATCAGCGGGCTAGGAATAGTAGGCTGCATATGTTGTGTAACGGCACGTGAATAGGAGAGGTCCGTCTGTACATTGCATAGGTGATGTTAAAGGACGTCAGAACGAGGAATGTGATCTGCGGTAGGACATGACAGAAAGTCTATCTCAACTTCATTGCATCATACATTCAAGCCCGGAAGCAATGGGACTTTCAATTTGCTGGGCCTAATAATTTGTTGTAGATTTGTTCTCGTATTCAAACTCTACCACCTGGGATAGTCAGTCACTGAGCCCCAACCGATTGAAATGCATTTGGATTGAGAGCGTAGATCAATACGAATATCAGCTTCTCGTACATCGGACAAAACATCCGTTGGCTACAAGCCGCCACTTGAGGCAAAGATCCTGAAACTGAAGTGAAGCTAATTTCTTGTGAAACTATCCGCATCGTCATATTGCCTGGGCGTGGTAGGATGACATAGTTCTGTTTCTATATAACCAGGTGCCATGATGGAGTTTCTCAATATCTCGAAGCACAATATTGGCGTCTATTATTCATCTTATAATCCTTCCAAATATGCATTTTATGAACTTTCTCTTCAAACGCAATCCGTTGGAGTCGCGCCAATCGCAAAGTCCATCACAAATTGACGTTCAATTCGGCTTCAAAGAATATTCGCCAACACTCCAGACCCCAACAGCCACATTCGGGGGCGTGTGTAATTATGAGACAGACACCCAAGACCAGCGTAAGCTGGAGGAGGAAAAAGTATTTGACAGTCGTTCGTCAAGCATGGATAGCAATTTCTAATCTGCTTAATCAAAGATAATATCTGCGCCATACGCCTATTTATGCAAAAATCCAGGCAAAGATATTCGTGGCAAACTCATATCCGCATTCAACGAGGCCTTGAAGATCCCGGAGGCGAAATTGCAGACGATCAAAGATGTGGTCGGCCTTCTGCATGTGGCATCTTTGCTGTCAGTTCCTCCCAAATATTGACGGCATGCTGGATTCATATACTGACAACATATAGAATTGATGACATCGAGGATTCTTCCACGCTCCGACGCGGGTTTCCTGTAGCTCACAGGATCTTCGGCATACCACAAACAATCAATTCGGCCAATTTCATGTATTTTCAAGCTCAAAGTAGATTGTCCCAGCTACATCAACCAGATGCTTTTGAAATATTCACAGAAGAGCTTCTAAGGCTTCATCGGGGTCAGGGCATGGATCTTCACTGGAGAGATTCCCTCACATGCCCTACGGAGGAAGACTACATTGAGATGATATCAAACAAGACCGGAGGTCTATTTCGACTCGCGATCAAGTTGATGCAGCTACAGAGCGAGAGTTCACAGTAAGTTTAACTTGTGGTAAAATTGATAACTACCCATGCTCTTTGGTCAATTTTTGGGTTTCTTTAACTGACAATTTTCAAATTAGGGACTATGTGCCTTTGGCAGAAACATTAGGAATCTTGTTCCAAGTCCGGGATGACTATCAGAATTTACAAAGCCAGCTTTACAGCGACGGAAAAGGCTTTGCTGAGGATATCACGGAGGGGAAATTCTCTTATCCTATTATACACAGTATCCGAAACAATCCTGGGGACTTTCAACTGATAGACATTCTTCGGCAAAGGACTGATGACGAGGCGGTCAAGTTATACGCTATACAGATCATCGAGTCAACTGCAAGTTTCAAATATTGTCGCCAGAAGATGACGACTTTGACAGCCCAGGTCAGGGGTATGCTGGATAGTATGGGAGAGGAGGATGACTTAGCGGGGCTAAGCAGCTTACTAGATTTGTTGAAAATCAAGGAGTAGGACTAGAATGAATTCGTCCATCTTTATTTTCTTCCTTGTTTGAGTCCTCTAGTCTTCTTTTGGCGAAGCTCGTGTAATTGTTTTATTGCATTCTCCGAAGATTTATCTATGCAGGATGTCGATGCGTAAATAGCTCTCTCTTCTCCTAGATAATCACCGGATATCAGAAATATATACTTGTTCCAATTATTTACCCACATAAAATGAGGATGTATAACTAACCACTTTTATATACAAAACAATCAACCTAGAGCAAGCCTGAATCTGAAACATCCCCTCTAACAAGCCCCACAGCCCGTGATAGTCGGTGGACTAACAGGTCTCTGGATTCTCGGAAGGAAATTCCACAGAATCAAGATAGCGCCCGAAAGTGCTAAGATGAACGGCATCAAAACTTCGACGCCCTTTGCCTGTGCGAGGACACCGACAATGAACGGAAGTACTGCGGCACCTGCACCCCCAAATGCCGCAGCAAATCCAATAGCGCTGACATGCAAGTGCTTGGGTAAAAGTTTGGTGCAGACAACCACTACTCCTGGGAACAAAGGACCTAGGAAGAATCCTTGGAAGGATACAGCAATTGCACCAGCGTAGAAGCTTGGAACCTGGTAAAGAATAATACAAAATACGATCTCGAGCGCGATGTAAGCCTGATTAATGGTGAGCTTTTGGCACTGTTCAACTCTTGGGATAGTTTCACTGAAAGCTTACCGTGATAGCGATCTTTTCCCCAATCAAAGGAGTCACGAATCCGAGAATAATTCGACCGACTGCTATCCCAAGCCAAAATCCAGTAGAGGTCATACTGCTAGAGAATGGTGCGGCGTGTCGTACTTCTTTCATGAATGTCACGATCCAGCCTCCAAGAGCGACTTCAATGCCGACATATCCGAGAAGAAAGACAGCGCATATCCAAGTGATACGGGCAGAGGGCATTGTGAAGAGAATCTTCCGTAATCCGCCCTTTTCGGGGTCTGCGTCGGGCTGTTGTTTTCTGGAATCTCGGAAAGAAGCTCCATCAGAGTCCCAGAAACAGGTAACGGTGAAGACAAGCTCAATCACAGCACCGCCAATCTGAATAGCAGTTGGAATCAGCTTAGTTTGATTTAATGAATATGAGCAGAAACGTACCATGATATAGTAGAAGTAATACCACGGCAAGCCCGCATCCGCAACTAGGAATGATGCAATGAGCGGACTAATCACGGCACCTATACCATAAAACCCGTGGAGTAAGCCAAGCAGCTGATTAGCATCATCCAGATTCCCGATCCAAGCATTCCACGCCGAGTCTGCAAGTCCATTCCCGAGACCTGCAAAAATAAATGACACGACCAGGACAGGGTACGGCGGATGAACACAGTTCAGGATGTAGGCTATGACGTGACAAGCGGATGAAACAGATGCGACACCTCGTCGGCCTATAGCACAATGTGCCCGGTCATTGACAATGGCTGCGGTGATATAGCCGACGGCTGGGGATAGGAAAAGGAGAGAGACAATTGTGTAAGAAACGTTGTAATATGTTTCGAGCTAAAACCGGGAAACTGTCAGAAGAGATGAACGTAAGAGAGAATTGGGAGACTCACGTATGGAAGAAGTGGCTATGTGGTTTCATAGTTAGTATAGGCTTGATGTGGGGAATGGGCAGCTAAGGAGCTTACCCCATATGCAGAGTCATTTGCCCCCATGACTAGAAAGCTCCAGAATGTTGCAAGGATCTTCAGAATATTGGATCGTGGGTGATTCCATCTTTCTTTGGTCACTTTGCTGGACAACGTCTCCAGGACTTGTGAATGATCGTTGTCGTGTTTTTCACCTTGACCTTCTTGAAAGGTGTTGTACGGGCCAACTTGGACTGTGTTGGACATGTTTCGTGACGAATATCAAAGATAAACCGATGAATTCGAAGAAGTGAGGCAATAGAAACGAGCAGCTTTTATACCCCTCTTTGAATAAGAGACAAAATCACATTTTCTCCACAAATCTCGTTGGTTTTGTCCAGATCTATATCGAAGTTGAGTGATTTGCCTATTTAGTATCGGAGCGGGTACTTGCCGGAATAGGTAGCTCCGCCAGCGGATATTGACCAATTGAGATCCAATCCCCTTTTGCACATTAATTGCCACATTGGCAAATAGTATATGGTTATCATAGATTTAGTATGTATGTTTTGCACGAGGAAACAAACTTCATTGCTATCCTTTTTCGTGTATAAAAGAGCGACATGTCAATATAGCCAAGTCTGGCCTGACAATACGAAAGCTTCCAGCACACTATCGAGTCAAACAAATATCATCCAGCAGCGTTGTTCATTCACCCCTTGTTACAAACGGCTCAGCTATCTATCTTATACCTTCGATATTGGCAGATTGATTGCAAGCCATTGATGTGGGATCCAATGGTCCAATGACTGTCTCAGATGGGAAAGTGCCCGATTCTACGTCTCACGACACCTTACAATAGCAACGTATGACCCTAGGGTGCACGGTGAATCCTTGGGCAATCAGTGCCTCAAAAAGCTCGGTGTGGTTATCACCAGAAACTGCTCTTCTCTATAGTGGCCAATATATATTGATATATGGTATTACACTACAAATCACCTGTGTAACAGAATTGCCTATTTTACGTAATTCCCTTCAAGTGTCAGCTGTTGGTGGTCAGTCGGGCTTTGAGCACGAGTTTCCTCACTACCGGTAATTCATTTTCCCTCGGCTCCAACGGGGACGAGGTCGCTACACCGCGAACTTGTTCACCAAGCTACTTCCCTCTTCATCTGAGAAATATTGATGGAAGGAGTCTGCGATCAGCGAGCATAGTCATCAATATAGTCAATTGTCTGTTTCCTACAACAAATGAGCTCTATCGAATATACACCTATCCCAAAAAAAGGCTGTTGAAGAAGGCGCTTACCACACACAAAACCATCCCCTGGGGGTATCAATTGTTCCAATCTCAAACTATCTTACAAATTAATTCCAAATTCTATCCCAAAACCTTTTCCACCGTTGTAAACCAAACACATTTTGTGCACCGTTCTCGCCAACTCAAGCCCATTTTCCAAGAAGAGCCATGATACCAGCACCAAGGAGCATAGTAAGCACCATGAAAGCCAGACGCCTGTCATCTTGCGTGCGATGAGGGTCAAACAAGAAGTCGCGCGCAAGCAACTCCACCAAACCAGTATACAGCAAAATACCAGCAGAGATCGAGTCCAAGACACCGGAGACAACATTTGCAGTAAAGGAACCAGGGTTGTAAGTAGTGCGCAGGCCCAGTCCAATAGCAATAGAAATAGGAGTCGTCAATCCGTAGGCGGTACACAAAAGCCAAGGAATCCAGCTACCCTTCTTGAAAGGAATGCTAGACATTCTAGCGCCGATACCAAGACCCTCAAACGACTGGTGGAACACAAGAACGGGGTAAAGAGTTGCAAACTCATCACCAGCAACACCAAGATTAAGACCAATAATGACTGAGTGGAAGATAACGCCAAATTCAAGAATCAGCAGCGCAGCAATCTGCTGCTTAACCGAGCGCTCGATAGCAAGCTCCTGCGACTGCGACTCGATCTCCTTCACCTGTTTATCGTCCGAGTGACGCGCCGACACACGCGAGCTAACACGCTGAACCTGAACATCACCACCAGAAGCCATCATCGGCTCGGGGTCCTCGCGACAAATGCCGTACTTGACTTCGACCCAGCGCTCGGCGCCGAAGTCCATGAGGAACACGACCATGAGAGAGGTGAGCACGATGGCAGGACACCAGGAGTAATCGGCCCAGTGGCCTGTCAGGCCGACGCAGGAGTTGCTTCCAATCTCGTCGTAGGCGGGGTCAAGAAGGTGGATGAATGCCGTTGCGATGATCACGCCCGCACCGAAGTACTTTGCGAAGAGGTAGACGTAGAGGGGGATGCGGAGGCGGGGGGCGCGCTGCGCCAGAACAGGGAAGAAGGTTGCTGCTGAGGAGACGACTAGGATTACGAAGATGGCGGATATGCGTGCGCCCATTCGGCCGTCGTATTCGTTTCCTTCTGCGTTGAGGTAGCAGACGATTTGGGCGGCGTCTGCCGTGTCCAGGTCGACATTGTGTGGGTCGAAGGACATTTTGATAGATGCTGTGCTATATAGATGGCTCTGGAAGGGGGGGATGGGTAGTCTTTTTAATCCTCGACCGATGTAAAGGCTCGAAGATCACGGGAGGAAATGAGAGCGACGATCTTGAGCTACGGATATGACAGGAGTTTCTTGGTCGTTTTATATCAGAGAAAAATCTGGACTCTTCGGGTCCTCCGTTGCTTTGGGGACCTTGGGACGTTTCGGCCCCCCATCATATGAACTAGATGGTTAGTCTGCGCCGGACCCCGGTTGCATGGCTTGCGTTATTATTTAATATTTTTGTATAAACATTTTGTATCTCATGGAATTGCTGAACATATGGTTTTCCGGATTTTTGTATGTAGTTGGGTTGAGTAATTAGGGTTCAAATGCCCCCCTTGCGGGATATCAAATGCCCAGGAACCACGAGCCCTACACATGGCAAACGTAACTCAAAAGGGTCGGGAGATTCTTGGAAAAAAAGCTTGGAGCTAACCAAGCCTCTGAAGCAAGTCTTGAACTGTGGACTTTGATTTTAGTAATTGATTGGGTGTGGGCGATATGACTTACCCCCAAGGTCCTTCGGTTAAGATGACGCGTGGAGCCAAAACCTTGAAATCGTACAATGAAGACAGGACATGTTACTGAGAAGGGCAGGTGCTATGGTAATATGGACTCAGATGTCAGGAAACGCTCATGTGAATGTAGGAACTGTGTATTCCAAATATGAGCTTGATATCCAGGCGGTCCGCGAAGCAGATGCCCGGCCAACTACCGTCGCCAAACGTGGAACAGAAATCTGGTTCGGTTGGGAGCGAACCAATTGTAGACTAATCAATAGTAATATTTACCAGAGCGTAGATTTAAAATTCATAATATATCATATCGTTTCTTGTTTCGATTTGTTGATGTCACCGCCATTGGGGGATTTAAAACAAAAGAGAAGAAGGCATTCAATAACCAAGACAACCTTGGAAGTGAAGTACACCCTACGACTCTAGTCCCAGTAAGGACTTCTAGAGCTGAGACAGAAAAAAAAGAGGATTTAAAACAAGAAAAAAGCAACTTCATGCTGTCAAAGGCACGAGACCATCCCATCCTATATACCATTCCTAATCCCTGCGACAGAACACCCTAGACTGTTCAAAAAAAAAATCAATAAAACATGAGCCATGGAAACTTAAATCATCATAGTCAGCACAGTAGAAAATGCAATCGCCACATGCAAGGATTGTTCATATCACATTTCGTTTCTCATGTCCCATTCTCAACCCCCCTAAGAGGATCCCATGGCTCTGTACACATACCGGGTTCCCATCATGTCGTTCCTATAATATAATCCACTTAAGCTGAAAAAAGCAACCCGCTCCAAAACCAATCGCTAAAATCACGCTAAACAAGACCGCTGTGAAAACCAATCCTTAACCCATAAACATAAGAACATAAGAATAAACATGAAGTACCTCCAATACAAAGATAGCAAAAGAATAAAAAAAAGTATTGCGTGATCTATCATAGCACGCCAATTTCAAGGACCATTGCTAGTCCGCATTTTTGAAGAAAAGAGAACCAAAAGGAGCAAAAAGGTCATTCGGACTAGCCAAGACCAGACACAAATGCAAGAAAGTAAGCGAAAAACTCGCAACTGTCGTTGTCGTTGATATCAAGATTTCAAAATCAAGCATGGTAAATACCCTCCTCCTTAACTGGGGTAGCGTAATCTTGCACCATGCGCCGGAAATCCCGAATCACCTTCTCAGGCACCTGGTCCCACATCACCGAGCGCGAATGCACATCCGAAGACGCCATCTGACTCTGCCGAGCAGCCGTATTCTGCATAGCAGCCAGAGCCTGCTGCAGGGTGGACGGTTGCTGGGGCTTGAAGCCGTCGTCTTGGAACGTCGTCAGGGAATTGTACTGGTTCGCGTTGAGAGAGAAGACCTGTTCGCGCTCTTGAGTTTGAGTGGGCATGATGAGAGTGTTGTGCAACTGGTCCAGCGTGGATGGAACGCTCATCTGCGCCATTTCCATGCCGCTGATTGTTGCGGGGGCTGGGCCGGTGCTGGTGCCGGTGCCGAGGGCGTGAGTTAGATCATGACTGGGTGATGAGGCGAGAACGGCTTTGAGCACATTTGCTGATTCGGCGCGGTACTCTTCTGATAATTGGGGGAGAGAGTGGCCTGGGATGGATGTGCTGTTTGAAGCGATGAAGGCGCCGAAGAGCAGACACATGTAGAAGGCGTTCCAGCTGATCGGTAGTTCTGTGGACTTTTCCGAGGGTTTGATCTGGCTGGTTGGCTGGTGGGGTTCTTGCATGGGCATTCCGTTCATTGGGAAGTCTTCCCATGAGTTGGTTTCCATGGCGAAGTTATCGAAGCCGTTGAAGTCGCCCGTGGGGTTTTCTTGGATGGGTTTGATGCCTCGCTCCAGTTTGTCGACGGTCTCCATTAGGATGTTATTCTTCTTGCGTAGCTCGGCTGTTTCCAGTGTGTGTACGCGGATGACCTCGTCTTTCTCCATGTGCATGCTTTCGATGTAATTGTTCATCTGCTGATGGGTGGCGATCCACTCGCTCTTCTCGCGCAGCAGCTCTGCTTCTCGGATTTTCATGCTTTGCAGTGCATCTTCCAAGTCACTGATTGTCGAGGTGAAGTGCTTCTTCTCCTCTTCCAGTTTTTCGGTGTGCAACTTCTTGCGTTGGCGAGAGTCCAAGCTGTTATATCGAGGTTAGTCTGTGATTGGGGTTGCTTGGGTCTGGTTTACTTACGCTGCTTGGCGATTTCGCAACAGTCGCTTCTGTTGCTTGAGTTCTTTGAGCTCATCCTCATTGGTAGATTGGCTGATCAAGTGATCGATGTTACTCAATGTGCGCTCAGCGGGGATCTCAAAGCGGGCGTTCTTCTTTCGAACACCGTCCCGCCGCATCGACAACGGTGAGTCGTTCCTATACGAAGGGCTCTTATTAGAGTGCGATGGGGCATCCGCTAGATCCATTGGTGCGGGCATCCAGCCCTGACTTGACTGCGGAGTCATTTCGGCACTACCCGGCGGCGCGAACATCCCAGCACGGTAGGACATATGGTTCATGGGCATCGCACTGACTGGTCCCACGGCACCACCGGAGAAAGGTGCGGTCGTGCTCTGGTCGGTCTCAACGGAATACTGTTCATAGCCCGCGGTCGGGGTACAAGACCCGGAGTTGGGGTTCGGCATCCAAGGTTGGTAGGAAGGGCCGTCAACAGACATGAACGGTGCACCGGTCGAGATCGGTATGGAATGACCGATATGCGAGTTCGAACGGGACATATTGGAGCTGTTATTGGAGTAGTTGGACCAGACAGAATCCCGATGTGAGTAGGCTGGGGCGTTATAGGATGAGCGGCGGCTGTCGAAAAGGTCGTGGGAAGATGGGTCCAAAATCTTGTCATCCAACACACTCATCTCGTCGTCTTCTGCCACATCTAATGTTGAAGGTGATGGTTGATAGGATTCAGATTGGAAATATCGTGCCATTATGGAAGAGGCGGTGTGTGTTGAGAAGGAGGGGTGGGGCGGGGGAAGAGGTGATTTATAGAGTAAAAAAGATATACAAAAAGAAGTAAGGAAAAGGGATTTGTAGAAAATGGAATTAACCAAAGAGGGAGTTGAATGAATAGAATGATGTTAGAAAGTGAAGCGAGAGGGGAATAATAATATCTAGTTCCGGGGGAAAAGAGACAGGCTACATAGTTTATGTAGCGCATTGCAAACCTCGTGCGGTTGATACTGTACTCCACAGGTACCGAATACCGAATTGAAGGATGGAGAATCGCTTTGTCGATCAAGTACCCAATACACTCACGCAGCGGTCTACGCGGGAGTGCAAGTGTGGCCCCGGGGGACAGCATCTCCGTTATTGGCTGCATCACTCTGCTTGGGCAGACCTGCAGGTGTTTGATTATTTCTGGGATTTTCCTTTTCATTTTTCTTCTTTTTTTCTGTTGAATTTTCTTTCCTAGATTTGGAGTTTCATCCTTTTCTAGTCTCGATGTAAATCTAGATTATTTTACCTATGTAATCCATATAACTGGTCAATAACTTCCAGGCAGATTTGTATGACTAGTACTTGTTACAAGCAAATTCCATGGGTTTTCTCGCCTTACCAAGTGGGGGAAAAATAGGATCCTTGGAGACGTTGGGCTTATCGATAACCAATAGCCTATAGATCGTGATCGTAACCTTGGAACCCCTGTTCTGTGGAGTATGTATGGTCTGTGCTAACTATATGTATTACCTAGGTTATGTTTTATGGTGTTTAGGTTATGAGATACTCATGGTCAGTGCTAAGATCATGTACATCAATAAGTACATAATAAGTACATAAGTATGCCCGGACTCAAATCTCATCATCCGTGAGTGGTCAGATGTTCAGTCTAGATGTCATCCTTTAAGCATAGCCAATCGTTCCCGAGTCAGTGTGACGATCTTGGGTACTTTTCTTTATTTACTTTTTTTAATTTACTTTTTGTTTCTCGATACAGTATTTTCCTACATACATATATGTATAACTCATATAGTTTCATCATCAGTCTCATCAAAGGTAGGGTTCTCCATGAAAAATGAATCTCTGGTACGGGTTCGGCCCGCTGGTCCACTGTTGGGCCGACCATGAAATGAAAAAGAATAGAAGAAAAGAAAATCCAGTCTTTCGAAGATAAATGGTATTTCAAGGTGAACGATAACTAGTATCTGAATTTGAGATTTCCAAAATGATGTAAATAATATATACTGTGAAGTAAATAAGCAGATGAGTCTGTGAGGATCTTGGGTCGAAAATCACAAGTGATCGACTTGCAGCCCTGCACCTTCCATATGGCTGAAGCAGCCATCTTTTCAACTCTTCGCTCACAGACCACATGTAAACCGTGATCGACTGTGCGGAGTGCAGGGAACATGATGCCATCGTATTTGTCGGGACTAATTCTACTTCAGACCCGTCTCGTTTCTACAAAGTACCTCTGTAAACAGCCTATACTCCGCCTTCATTATTATACTTAGGCTTAGGAAACATCAAATGATCCAATAATCCAAGGCAGCCAATCAAGAAGATCAACACCTTTCGTTTTTGGCTTTTTCTCTCCCCATTCTCACCCCAGAACTTCATAAAGCCCCTTATTCAGCGTTGCCGCCTAAAAGCACGCAGTCGGAGCTTGTTCCTGTCAACTCGTCTCAGCCGTTTCTCAGAGCACAAGCCCCTCGGCGTCAGGCCCCTGAGTCTGTTCGCAGTCTATACATAGTAAACATAAAGCAGTGACAATGATAGGTCTGACACTTGGGCGGCAGTTCCGCCGGTGGGAAACTTAACCCGGATGAAATCTAGCGGTGAAAGAACCAAGTTCGTCCAATTGAGATCCAGTCCTTCCATCGGTCACCCCGTCTACTTCATTAGTCATAGACATCAGAATTCGTTTCAGTGCAAGGTACCCGATCAAACTCTCCATATGATCCAGTCGTGCCATTTTCAAACTAAGCAAAACCCAACACCATACATTATGCGCCGCTATGTCTGCGCCATAACCCCTACTGCGCCATAACCCTACGTACATAGTAGTTGAACCCCTCACCAAAGACCAACCGAACCAACTCTGAAAAAATAAATTTTCCCGCAGTAAAGCTCTGAAACTCCCAATAACTCCAAAATGACTCAAATGAAAACTCCCTAGTGATCTGCCTTCTCTGAACAAGCTAGAAGTCCATGGCAGGTCCACATCTCCACTCCTTCATCCAATACTAAGCCTGTCAACGGCCCACTCCTTCCGCGGCTCCATATATAGTACAATTTATACTCCCAAATACCGTATGTGCCCAAGCCAAAGCATTTTCGTTTCCCCGGTAGACTAGACCCAAAGCGATCTCAAAGCCTCACTTTGCAGCAGTACTCGCCTGACTTCGCGCACTGGGTCATTGGGCATATCAGCGACGCTTGTGCGGGCTGGGATTGGACGACGCCGGCCACAAGATGCTCCCTACGGGTCGCTCTCGTCCACTGGCTGCTGTTTCCATCTCGAGGCTTCCTCGCTGCCTATCGGAGTGCTATCCGTCTCCATTGGACCCATACGTGCTTGCTCTTTGTTGTGGGAGCCTCCACCGGTAAGGTACCTAGTTAGTGGTAATTCTTGTCGCTTTCGGCGGTTATGGTGGTTGGGTCGAGGGATGGGTGGACCGGTTGATCTCAATATTGGAATAAAGATGGGAGTGGATGGAGTTTTCACTGTCGCTATTGGAGTACGTCATTGTCTTGTTCTCGTCCGAAAGTTGGGTCCTTTCTTCTGATTGCTGGCCCTGTTTTGGTATTCTCCTGTCTGAATCATAGTTTGTCCGTCTCATCAAATAATCCAATCGAGACCTACAACATTAACTTCGACAGATGAAGCCCAAAGCTGAATGATCGGGCAAGGCTTAGTACTTTTGGCAGGATAGCCACTGATGCCTTAGATCACAACGTGATAGAGGCTCTTCGTATGGAGTTGTGATGATTCTCCGATTTTTTCTCGCTATAGACCATGTTTCAAGTTGAAGGTTTGTTCCTTTCATTGTAGCCTGATGCCTGTTCGGACAAGGAGATGCTTGGTACAAAGAGATGCTTGATACAAAGAGATGCTTGATACAAAGTGGGTCACCGTCTCTTCCTCAGCACAACTCGGGTATATCCCCCATGTTACAAATTTTCAGATATTTTAAACTCGAACTCCGAAGCTATAGCTTTCGTTCCAGCTTGCAGGATAAAAAGGGAATCTCATATTGCTTTCTCTACTTTGTGTCTTTGATCATGTCATTAGCAAAACGTGGTTATGTAGATCATGCAAGGTTATATCTCCCACATCATGGATTCGCCGCACTTGCAAAGTCCAAGAACAAATATCTGCATGTCTATATCACTCTAACGTTCACGGGAAGTACCAAGTTTTCTATTTCACTTGAATGAGTTATTCCAAGGATTCCAAAGTCGCTTCTGTGGCTTCAGTGAGTTTCACCAATATAGGGTCATCCTTGTAGGGTCTCGGAAGGATATCCTGGGGAGCATTTCAATAAAGCATGCGACATGAGATGTTGTAGCTTTCAATCACATAATGAGGCTTATCCATTGTCACACAGCATTCCATCTAATGTTACCAGTCAGCAGGACAAGGTCTCTGCAGGTGGATGTTGAATGTTACTTATCACATGTTTACGTCGAAGTAACTATATCGTGGGCCGGGTAAATAGGAATACTATGAGTACTTGGATAATACAGTTAATCCTTTTGAGAGTCAAATGTTCCATTTGCTATTTTCATTGTCTTTTGATTTCTTCTTGTTCTTCTTCTTCTTTTTCTTCTTCTTCTTCTTCTTCTTCTTCTTCTTCTTCTTCTTCTTCTTCTTCTTCTCCTCCTCCTGATCTTCAAACTATCAACGTCTGCGGGGTATGTGATGCAAAATGAAACGCTATCCAATCAACTACAAAGAGCAGAATTTAGATATGGATTAGAAGGCAATGAAATCCTGCTGTTGCGACATTTCGCCGCTATCCACGCCTTCAATCAGTTCTTCGGGGCAGTCATCGAACCCATCCGAATCAACATCGTCTGAGTCGATGGCGTCATAATTCTCCTCCTCGCTAGAAGCGTCAGATTCATCCTCATCCAAGTCAGCCTTGGCGGCAGCAGCAGCAGCCTTGCGGATCTGACCTGCACGGTCAACATGCGGCAGCTGGCAGCGTTTCTTGGGGCAGACGCCGGTATTGGCGTAGTCTGGACACTCATGAACATGTTTCTCTTCACATGTTTCACCCTTCTCGCAATATCCTAATGTTGCGAATGCGCGACAAACAGGAGCACCGGGTGTCACCCGAATGTGAGCGTAGCGACACTCCGGATTGGCGCAACGACCTCTAAGGAAATGCACACAGGCGGGGGAACGGTGGGGTGACGGCTCATGGGATAAATCACAGCTACTACCTGCGGCACATTGGCCTGTCTGGAGGAAGTCTTTGCAAAGGGCAACCTTGCTGGGGTCGTGGGTGAAGAGGCATGTCGGGCCTTTGTAGCATGCGCCTGAGTAAATAAAGGATTGTCAGTTTTCGAACCTATATGGAGAGGAAATCAGAGCAGTATGGCCCATCGGAAAACAAAATACCGGTCGTTGTAAATCTCTTGCAAAGCTCGTCGCGTTTTTTGACAGTGTCGTTTCTGAAGATATGTCAGTATATGATTAAACATCGTTTGGGACGGAACTCACTTCTTCGAGGCTACGGCGGCAAGACGGTGCAGATTGCCGTTCTTGCTGCGCACAAATGGCACTCCGGCAACCGTGACGCGTTTGGGGGTGTTGTTGGCAGTACTGGGGTCATCTATGAAGGGTAAGCCAATTCGATGTGAATGGAGGATAACAGGAAGGCACGCACTTGAGATACGTATGAGTTTACTGCCACCTCGCGCGACCTTGAAAGCGACATCATCAACAATGATCTGGTGGCCAGCTGAAGGATGTGCGGAGGTGGAGACCATGGCAGCAGCGCCGGGGCCCTGCGCATATCGGAGTACTTTGGCTTGTTCTCGCTCCGCTCGTCTCTGTTCCTTCAACTTGCGGGTCTCCTCCATTGCTTTAGATCTGGCTTGGGTTTCTTTGTCATAAACGGCAGAGTTGATCAGCTGCATATGACGATCGCGCTTTGCAATCCAGCCGTTACCAGTCGAGGTTGCCGACGTTGGTGTGGAGCGCGCTTCACCAGTGTAGTCGCTTGGTGTGGTGGGCGATGCGTTGGAGCCAGAATTTGAGCCAGAATTGCTGTTGAGAACAAGGGTGCGGTGTCTGTGTGGGAGCTGGTGCTCCTCGGCCACGGCCTCGACCGCGGCCCCGGTAGTATGGGGCCCATCCTTGATGTGATGGGGCATGACGAGATACGTATTGAGACTGATGATTAGTTTGCTGGGTTTCTTGAGACCTGTGCCGGTTGATTTGACCTGTGAAGTTAGAAGTGCGTTGAAAGTAGGCTGATTTTGACCATCTTACCTGCAAGTTGACCAATCTTGGCCAGCAGATCATCGTTTTCGGTCATACTGATTAGATCCAGCTGAATCAGGTTAGTAGGTGACAGCGTCAAGCTTCTGAATATTTTTGGAAACAAGGACAAAGGTTGTTGGAATTTTAATCAAGAAGGCCAGTTGATGATGATGCAGAGGAAGCAAGAGACGCGCTCATAACCGCCGGTGGCGTATCCGGTCACGTGCTGATCAGCAATGCGCCTGTAATTGATCGACGAGTTTCACAACTTTGCATCAATAGGTAATTTTCCAACAGAACTTCGGCTTCAAAATTTAGATTGAGAAAGGTTTTTGCAAGGTATTTGTCCATTCTACGACTTTTTTTGGGATCAATCCGGACTCCTGCCTCCTGTTAAAAGCCATAACACCGGGTCCTATGCTACAATAGATAACTATGTGATATCGACTAAACATTTTCGAACTGAATATCATCTTGATCGGTGGCCATTCCAGATGCCATGGGATCATCCTCTGATGCTTCGTCGTAAGGATCGTCAGCGCCTGGTGGCAATTCTGCCTTGGCATTGTCCATCGCATTGGAGTACTGGGCGTGTGTAGCCTCAGGCTTGAGCTCCCAAGTCATAGCAAAATCACCAGACTTAACCAGGTGTGCAACCATCTCCAATGTCTGTTTGAGATAAGCTTCGGGCTGTGCGAGCCTAGCCTTGAGGGTCTTAAATGGCCAGTATCGGAATTCGCGGAAGCACTGGAAGATGAGATCCAGAAGCTCGTTTTGTGGCATGCGGGTGGTCTTGTTCTCCTGGGGCTTTCCTCTGCCACCAGCCTTTGTTGCTTGCTGTAGGCGAAGTGAGTAAATTGGACTCCGGATAAAGATAGAACATGCGAAGACATACCACAAATTGACCCTTCTCGCTGGGAAGGGCATGGCGCGCTTGAATGATCTTTCCGGGAATCTTATCGATGAAAACGGTTTCCTTTCGAGGTTTCAAAGCTTCCAGTGCTCGCTTCTCTGAAATCCGTCGGAACTCTTCGTTCTCAACGGGGAGGCAGTTGAACTCTTCGCTGACCGCACCTGCTAGCGCAGTGTGTTCTAGATTTTGTGAGCGAATGTGCCCAACTATTGCATGCAAATTGACATACTGGGTATCGTCTTTCGCACATAAGGCTCCCATCTCTTGCCCTGTTCTCTCCTCTTCGCTTCGCGTTTCTGTGACTCGTATAGGACCGATCGTGTTTCGCCGAACGAAGCCATACGATTCTCAACGCCAGGGATATCCTTTTCGGTGAAAATGTAGGTATTATGAGTATGATGCGATCCTGCACCCGAAGGATCGACCGTTTGCTTTTGGAGTGTGTAGTCTTTCGGGATGTCCCGGTTATCAGGGCGATCGTGTAGGCGCAAGCTGACCTAAAGAAATTCCGTAAGACGCTATCGGAGAACCTGCAGATGCGGACTATCCCACTCACTCGCTTGATATCATCTGGCGTTCCCTCGACTCTCATTGTACCGATCTCAATTTCTTCATCGTCGTCTAAGTGGGCCCAGTGCTCCCAGAGCTGCCGAGGAAGACGAGAGAGCCACACGCTTTGTCCTGCGGAGGTGAAGTCAAGATCGCCCGCATCTTCATACAGATCTTCCTCGTCAATATCTGCGAGGACGGTGTCTTTGCTGTCGGGATCCTGTTTGATGTTTTCTTGTTTGATGTACGAGCGATCCGGGTCTTGCTTGACCTGAGCCATATTGGGAGCGTGGAAGCTCGCAGGCGGTTGGAAACGAGTGTGCGGCGAGAGTCAGTAAATGCGACCGTCGATATGCGATGAGATGAACCAGAAAAGGAAGTGGAGGGTAGAGTGACAGGCGTGGTCGTTGGCGACGGAGCCCACGCCACCAGTCGGGATGGAGCTATTCAATCTCCAAGCGGCAGGCGGTGAATACTAAGTCATGTATGACGATTTGTCGAGTTACTGCGCGGTGTCCTTCACACAATAATAGCCATGAGGAAATTTTGCAGAAGTTTTGGCTCTGTCTATGTAGTTATTATCTTCGTGAAGATCATGTAAAGTCCTTTTTATATGTACGACTAGAATGTATTAGTCGAAAAGTAAAGTCGCCAATAGCATCACGACAGTCGGCAGGTCAAGGCACACTTCAATGTATATACCTTTAGCTCTAGCAAAAATCAAATCATATCAAATCACTATATTCGACATGAAATAACTCGATGAAATGTATGAATTTTCCTGTTGAAATACATTGATCTCAAATCCACCTGTGAGCTGTATACACCTAGTCCCTATCGATAACAACTAGGCAGTATTTCGGTTTGTCTTCAACCCCCCATTCACTTCAAGCTATACACACCTCCCAACAGTTCGCGCAAACCTCACTCATACCCTCATTATGGCCTCCCAAAAGATCGCCAATGCCCTGGCGGGTATCGAAGCCAACACTCATCAAGCCACCAAGCTACAGCAATACAATGAACTCCTCGACAACATGGTAACAACCTCAACCGGCCACGAACTCGCCCAAGACCTAGTCTACTACCTAGACTCAATCCTCAGCGAAGAAGTGAGCATAGTCTCGGCTCGCCCCCTCCTCGACTCCTTCATAAAAGTCCTCCAATCCCTCACACCCGAAACAAAAATCAAAGTCGGCCAACACGCCGTCACCCTCCTCCAATCCCGCTCCGCCTCCGTCGAAGAACAAGACTCGCAGATCCGCGAAATCCTCGCAGACGCATACGAATCTCAAGAGGAATATACCGCCGCCGCCCGCGCCCTACAGGGCATCCACATCGACAGCTCACAGCGTCTTGTCTCCGATGACGCCAAGGCCCGTCTCTGGATCCGTATTGTCCGCTACTATCTCGAAGACGACGATACAACCAACGCCGAGGGCTTCTTGAACCGCATCAAAAACTTGCCTTCCAAAATCGAAGACCACGATTCTCAACTCTATTTCCAGCTTTCGCAGGCTCGCATCCTGGACGCGAGACGCCGCTTCCTAGACGCCGCACAGGAGTACTTTGTTGTTAGTCTCGCGCCGGGCGTAGATGAAGGCGACCGCCTCGTTGCATTATCGGCTGCTATTCGATGTGCGGTTCTCGCGCCGGCGGGACCTCAGCGCTCGCGCTCTCTCGCTCGTCTTTACAAAGATGACCGCACGCCTTCCGTTGAGGAATTCGGCATTCTAGAGAAGATGTTCCTCGATAGACTTTTGACGGCTGATGAAGTCACCGCATTTGCGAAAAAGCTGGCGCCGCATCAGCTGGCTGTTACGTCAGATGGAACAACCGTGCTTGATAAGGCTGTTATCGAACACAATCTTGTTGCGGCGAGCAAGTTGTATGAGAATATTCGAGTCGATGACCTGGGCTTGATTCTAGGTCTTCAGTCTTCGGGTGATCTATCTGCTGGCGAGAAGGCGGAGGCTTATGCGGCACGCATGGTCGAGCAAGGTCGACTGAAGGGCCGGATTGATCAGATTGATGGAATTATTACATTTGATGCGGAAGTGACCGGTGATTCTCATGGTTCCAATGGGACCAAGTTGAGACAATGGGATCTTGGCGTGCAAGAGCTTGCTGAAGATGTGGAGCGTGTCGCGGCTAGCATTTCTGATCAATTCCCGGTATGTATCTCGAGTGCTAACTATGTTCTGCAATTTACTAATTTTGTTTAGGAGTTTGCTGCGAGCCAGATGGTGCATTGAGGTCTGCTGTGTACACCAGTCTACGAAATATCTACGAATTGATGCCCACCTACTTCATTGCATCTCCGTTTAGCCAGTAAAAGGTTGACATAATGAGCTAGATCGTTGAGATAGTAGTGTGATACCCTTGATCATATGCATACATATACAGACTACGTTGCATGGCCGTTTAACCTAGGGATAGTGAGGGTGTAGAGTTGTAGGTATAAGATTGAGTCAACTATAAACAGCCCAGCGGAGTGATACCCGCAAACAGCAGTAAAAAAATAGTAATGCATGATGTGGGAGAAATGGGCAAAGTCAAAGAACGTCACTCTGTACAAGTAAATTTCACATAGTCGCCGGCGTAGTCGACATATTCAAGAAAACGAAAGACGACCAAATTGGACATGATAGTCAAAGAATACAAGTGAAAAATAATATGCAATGCTATGGCAAGGTCGTGTTGGTAGAAAAGTAAAACAGGGCTCGGAAAGTAGAGGTGTTTCCAAAACTTGGGGAGATACCCAAGCCAAAAGCCATCCTCGCACTATATCAATAAAGATCATCACATCGTAACAGCGTCACATGAAAAGCTCACACCGCATCGCTCGAGTGATGCAGCGTAGTTGTGGAATCATTCGGTTGGATAGAGATATCCGTCTGAACATTGATATTCAAGGGATTCAAATCATCACCTAAGAAACCGGGCGACTTGCTCTCAATCTGAGCATTATAAAGTGCCGACTGCATCTTCATGTACTCCAGATCCGGCGATCGGGGGCTAGACTTGGACAAGAACATCGAGTTCGTATAATCGGTATTGATATACTGGGGGCCTGTTCCATTGCGGGAACTCTTCAACTTCAACGCAGGGAATAGACCGCGGATAATGGGCAGGTTGGAGCAAATCAGCCCAACAGCAGGCTCGATATGCGTCCACAGCGTCGCTTGGTAAACGGTGTATGTGGGGTCTGTGGGACTGATCCAGAACAGGACGACGATGCGGTAGATGCTGGCGAAGCAGACGAAGGCGCCGAGCGCGAAGACGCCGTTTAGTGCGAGCTTGTCTTGCCAGGCGCGGTGAAGGTTCCATATCATTGGAATGGGGAGGGCCAGGATGACGAAGTCGATGAAGACATTGAAGCCTTGGTTGACGATGATAAATTCTTGCGCGTTGAAACAATGTCCTGCGATGCTGTGGTCCCAGTAGGCGCGGAGTGGTCGGCATTGGCCTGCGCATGCGAGGAAGATTCCTGTCCCCCAAGCAGCTATTAGGATGTTGAGACCGAAGGTGAATTGCTGGAAGCGGGGGGTAGCGAAGACGCGGCGATAGAAGCAGATAATGGAGATTTTGATGCATGGGCAGAGGAGGAAGTAAGTGAACTGGTTGGCGAGGAAGATCTGGATGGGTTAGATTTACATTTGTATTGAGCAGGATTATGGATGTATAATACCTTCCAGTAGTTCGTGAAGGTTTTAGGATTTAAGTCTGCAACGTGGGCTCCGTTGCCTCCGATTGCGCACCCTTGGGCTATTAATATTAGATATCATGCAGATGTGATGCATTACTCACAAAGAATCAACTCGATTAACATGGCAATCATCAGAACCATAGACATGACACTGAGATAATCATCGATGCCGAAACTAACTCTTCTCCGGAGACGTGCAAACATTCGCAGCACGACTGATATCAAGCTGAGACTGACCAAGACCGAGACGATCTCGATCATCTGCCAGCCTCTTTGACTGGGCGCCATTGTTGTACAATGGTAACGATATAAGGAATGTGGGGGAAGAAGCAAAAAAAAGAATCAAAAGAATGACTGGGAACAGAAGTACAATATCGACAAGATTGGTGAGGGCCTACGATATAAAGAACCACACGAGTCTCCAGATCAGTGGGCACTTCAGAGCCCTCTGGTACCCTATACCAGCTCAAAATCACATTTTCTGATATTGTACCCACTCACACAATCTCTAGTGGTCGATCGATGTCCAAATCAGGAACCTGATTTGTGCAGAAGCGGGATAAACATATGGATTCCGAATTTGGATGACGCTATATCAATCTCGTATTCCATATAAATGGGGCTGGTTTATTTTTTGGGATTGGACTTCTTTGGTTCTTAATCGGTAGTTTCGTTCATCTAACCCTATATTGTACATTTGTAGAAGAGAAAATAACTTCAATGACACATGGTTTGGGAAGTGGAGTCCTCGGTGGAGTTTTGGCAAATTCAACGAGGCTCAATTGGGAAAGACATCCCTACGATCGCCATCTGATACCAGCTGAAGGGCTGAATCATGCGTCAGACTAAGCTTTAGCAAGATGAATCGTGCATCCAAGTATTGTGTGCATGTAAACTATTAATTTCCCCAATACATTTTTATTGTTTAGATTATACAATAAGTATTGTACATAACTTTACTTCGTGGTCTTCCAAATATAGTGATGCATAAGGGAAAAAGCCACCCGCAAGCCACGAGGGGGTTCACCCACGGTTCGACCATTGACTTCCCGGTTTTCCCAAACAATTGGGGGTGACATGTAGATCCTGTCAATAGCGTGGGAAATCAACAAGCCATTGATTGCCTAGAGTATTTAGTGTCTACTGTATATCAATTTCATATCATGATGAGTGTAACAGAATACCACAGCCTCTTTAATTTAAAGACCCATGGAACAACATGTTAAATATATTGATATTTTATGTATTTATTATGAACACCCTCCTGTTCGAAATCGGGGTATGTGGAGTCCTCGCCTCAGATAATTTGGCGTATAAATGGCTAAAATGAGCTCCAAGACCCTCTTTTTTGCCCAATGTCGACGTGGCGCTCGGCAGTGGGGCTGACTATTTGAATCTGTTAGAATCTTCACACCTTCATCCTTGAATATGCTTCCCAAGGTTCTCTTGCTGTGCGATTTGGCGATCTTTTCCCGAGGTAAATCGATACCCCTGAAAATGTGACACCGGGGCCGTACGATATGCACCTTATCGAAGTTTATATCTCAGGGGACTACATTGCTTCAACGTCACATCACAAAAGCAGGTCCAATTGAATATTAATGCAAACCAAAATTCAGCCGGGAAAACGGAAGCAAAATTAGGGTACAAAATAGCTCGTCACCTTGTGGATAGCGCCTCTTAATCCCGGTAAGATCGTCAACATGGCTGGGCATCAGATAATCAACTGTAAGCACTGCATTAATTGTACTCCGAACAGAGTAATAGTAATAGTTGTTCAAGTGGACCCTCGACCCTCGAATAACCGCTCCATACCACATTGTACATATTATTTGCTTATTGCTTTTTCAACCCTCTTCTCACCCTCCATACAATTGTCCCACATCACATCTAACTAACTAGTATACCCCTCACCATGACCGAAACAATCCCCCTCCTCATAAACAACAAGTCAATAACGACCCCAAAAACCTTCCCAGTAACAAGTCCCTACACAAACACGCCAATCTGGAACTCCTCCTCCGCAAGTCCAGAAGATGCCATCCGCGCCGTGGAAGCCGCAAACGCCGCCTTCCCCGCATGGTCCGCCACCAAGCCCACCGTGAGACGCGACATCCTCCTCAAAGCGGCCGATATCCTCGAAGCCCGCCTCGAGACCAATGCCTCCTACATGCAGCAGGAGATGGGCGCCGACAAGGGTGCCAGCGCGGGCTTCGTAGTCCCGCTGTCTATCCGTATGCTGCGCGAGGTCGCCGGCAGAATCACTTCTATCTGTGGGAGTGTGCCTGTTGTTGAGGGGGAGGGCCAGTCGGCGATTGTGTTTAAGGAGGCTATGGGTGTGATTCTGGGGATTGTGCCTTGGTGGGAATCTTGTGCGCGCAGATTCATATGTAGTACTTGCTAATTGGATCTAGGAATGCGCCTTATGTCTTTGGGATTCGGTCTGCGGCTTGCGCCCTTGCAGCGGGAAATACAACTATTCTTAAATCATCGGAGTTGACGCCTCGCTGTTACTGGGCTATTGGCCGGGCTTTCCAGGATGCCGGGTTGCCGGCGGGATGTCTGAATGTGATTCACTGTGCGCCGGAGGATGCGCCTGCTGTTGTTAATGCCATGATTGAGCATGAGGCGGTGCGGAAGATCAACTTCACTGGTAGTACGGCTGTCGGGAGAAAGATTGCGCGTGCCTGTGGAGCAAATTTGAAACCTTGTCTTATGGAGCTGGGAGGCAAGAATAGTTCGATTGTTTGCGAGGATGCAGATTTGGGGGTTGCCGTTGGTGGAGTTTTGGCGGGTGCCTTTTTGAACGTGAGTTTGCCATACCTGTTTCGAGTTGTGGCTTTTTGTAGTGAGATTCTGACGCTACACTGTGCAGTCTGGTCAAATTTGTATGGCGACTGATCGCATTCTTGTGCATAAATCCATCATGCCTGCTTTTACGGCGGCGTTGCAGACTGCTCTCTCAGCTGGAGCCGATGCCTCGGCTCTGCCGCCCACGCTTGTCAACACAGCCTCCAAGGCTCGTGTTGAGGCGCTTATTGCTAATGCGGTGAGTGCGGGCGCGCACTTTATCTCCGGGTCTGCGGGGAGTGGGGGTGACGAGGGGGTGAGAATGGCGCCTGCTGTGCTGGGTGGTGTACGAGAGGATATGGATCTCTGGCAAGAAGAGTCCTTTGCCTCAGTTGCAGCTTGTATGCCGTTTGAGAGTGAGGAGGAGGCTATCCGATTGGCGAATGGAAGTGGGTATGGGCTTTCGGCGGCAATTTTCACGGAAGATCTGAGGAAGGGGCTGAGAATGGCAAAGAAGATTCAATCTGGGTGAGTTCTTCCTCTCGATGATGGGTGTGGACTTGAGCTAATTTTGTTGCAGGGCTGTTCATATCAACAGTATGACTATTCATGATGAGCCTGCACTGCCTCATGGCGGGGTGAAGAATAGTGGATGGGGTCGCTTTAATACCGATGAGGGACTCAATGAGTTCTTGGTGACCAAGAGTGTGACTTGGATGGATTAGTTTACATCTTTTGCATCCTTTGCGTCTTTTGCATCGTTTTGGATAGCTCTTGCTATAGCTTGTTTTGTCAATTGCACATGAGTAGATCTCCTACTGCCGTCTACTTCGGGGGCGTTTAATGTTGTGTAGCGCATTATATTTCCCTACTTATCTTATCCACTCATCTATTGCAGTCCACTTTCTCTCGTCCGAGAGATCCAGCTCACTGTCTCCTATACTTGTGCTCGGTGGGTATTAGCCCGAACGACCGCAGTGGAGTCAATGCACAATCAGCCAATGATATGACGAGCATTGCAACGAGCAATGAAAAACGTTGTGGGAGATGTGAATGGTGAAGTACCAGTTATTGAATGGAGAGCTCAAAATGAAGCATCTCATCAGGTATATGAATTCCGTCGGCATTTGAAAGATCCCCAAATCAATAAAGCACTGAAGAGATGAGGTCACCAGGCCCCACCGAGGCAATTTCCATCCCCGGATTGAATGGCCCCATTTGGCTTTTCCACCAATCATCACTTGTGTATTCTTCAGCCGGCGATTGCTTTTGCTTCTTTGGTTTTTGTTTCTTTCTTTCTTTTCCCTGAATACTCATTTGATATTGGTTCGTATTGTATTTCGATATCACAGGGTCTCTCTGATGTCTGTACTGTATAATCGAATTTCACCATATAGAAAATTTACAGATATTGACATGTTACATTCATATTTAATCAGGCCATGCATGACGGACCGATTATCGGGAATACCGGACCGCAATTATTATTCCGAGGTTCACGGGAGAAGTGTGCAAATGTGCAAGTATTGTCAGGTAATAGACCGAGCTGCCCGAAATTCAAAGAGTTCCAGATTCAAAGAGCCCACCGAGACTTCTCTCGATCCACTGTCTATCCCACCGATTGTCCGCTCTAATACATTAAATACATTCTTACTCTTACCCTCCAATGTTATTCAATGCTAGGTGTATTCAGAGAGAATGATCAGGTGGCGTGAGCATGTGAATATGTACGATATACATAAATTTAAAATAAGTCAATGCATTTTATCACATGTGATACTCATAACTTCCCCAGAATACAAGAACAGAAGGAAAAATGAAGTAGACAAACCAGAGTGTTGCAATTAGTATTACGAGCGGGTACAATACCCCATCTTTCACTACCTCGGCCGATAGAAGGGGTCGGCTTATGACTTCCCCCAGATTCCCCCCCCATTTTTAATTCTTTAAGAGCTCCCTTCCTTCTACCATCCACTCCTCCTCTCCATATTCTCCTATACACATAACACATCATGGCTCCTCAAGTAATTGTGGTCGGTGGTGGACGTACGTATCTCTATTCTCATTCTCTACACTCAGCAATCAGACTAACGCCTCCCAGTCTCCGGTCTTAGTGCCGCCCACACCGTTTACCTGAACGGCGGAAACGTCGTTGTTCTCGACAAGCAGGCCTTCTTCGGCGGTAACTCCACCAAGGCCACCTCCGGTATCAACGGTGCCCTCACTCGCACCCAGACCGACCTCGGCATCCAAGATAGCGTCAAGCAGTTCTACGATGACACCCTCAAGTCCGCCCGTGACAAGGCCCGCCCCGACCTGATCAAAGTCCTCACCTACAAGTCCGCCGCCGCCGTTGAGTGGCTACAAGATGTCTTCAACCTCGACCTCACCCTCGTTTCCCGCCTCGGTGGTCACACCCACCCCCGCACACATCGTGGTCACGATGCCAAGTTCCCCGGTATGGCCATCACCTACGCTCTCATGGAGCGTCTGGAGACCCTTGCCGACAAGGAGCCCGGCCGCGTTCAAATCATTAAGAAGGCCAACGTCACCTCCATTAACAAGTCCGGAAACAACGTCACCGGTGTGACCTACTCTGTCAACGGCGAGGAAAAATCTATTGATGGTGTTGTCGTCCTTGCTACCGGTGGCTACGCCGCTGACTTCGGCGACACTTCTCTCCTCAAGAAGCACCGTCCCGATACCTTCGGTTTGTCCTCCACCAACGGCACCCATGCCACCGGTGACGGCCAAAAGATGCTCATGGCCATCGGCGCCAACGGCATCGACATGGACAAGGTCCAAGTCCACCCCACAGGTCTCGTTGACCCCAAGGACCCAACCGCCAAGTTCAAGTTCCTGGCCGCTGAAGCCCTCCGTGGTGAAGGTGGTCTCCTTCTCAACGCAGACGGCAACCGGTTCTCCGACGAGCTCGGCCACCGCGACTACGTCTCAGGCAAGATGTGGGAAGAGAAAGAAAAGGGCAAATGGCCCATCCGCCTCGTTCTCAATAGCAAAGCATCCAAGGTCCTCGACTTCCACACACGCCACTACTCCGGTCGCGGCCTGATGAAGAAGATGACCGGCGCCGAGCTCGTCGCTGAAATCGGCTGCGGAGAAGCAGCCATCAAGAAGACCTTCGACGAGTACAACCTCATCGCCGAAGGCAAGAAGAAGGACCCCTGGAACAAGCGTTTCTTCCACAACATGCCTTTCTCCCTGGACGACGAGTTCCACGTCGCTCTCATGGAGCCCGTTCTCCACTTCACCATGGGCGGCATCGAGATCAACGAGCACGCTCAAGTCCTGAACAGCGAACAGAAGCCCTTCGACGGCCTCTACGCCTGCGGTGAACTCGCAGGCGGTGTCCACGGCGCCAACCGCCTTGGAGGATCCTCCCTCCTCGGCTGTGTCGTCTACGGCCGTGTGGCCGGTGACTCTGCCTCCCAGCACCTCTTCCAAAAGCTCATCACTGGTGGCGCGGGCTCAGCTTCTAGCCGTCTTGGCCAGATCTCCCTCCACATTGACCCTAACACCCCCGGCAAGATTGCCGTCGAGTGGGGTTCCGCCGGTGGCTCCCTCCCTGCTCTCGCTACGGCCCCGGCCCCCGCTGCCGATGCTGCTGGCGCCGCTCCCCAGGAAGCTGCCAAGTCCGACCCTGCAAACTTCAAGATCCCCGAGACAGAATACAGTATGGAAGAAGTTGCTAAGCATAACACGAAAGAGGATCTCTGGATCGTTGTCAAGGGTGTTGTGCTCGATGTGACGAATTGGTTGGATGAGCACCCTGGTGGCGCTAACGCGCTTTATAACTTCATGGGTCGTGATGCCACAGAGGAATTCGCTATGTTGCACGACGATGAAGTCATTCCTAAGTATGCGGGCCACATTGTTATTGGTCGTGTCAAGGGCCAGACTCCTAGTCTTGAGCTTTAGGTGGCCCAGTGGTGATGCTTGATGGCTTCTACTCAGCGCTTTTCATACCCTTTTGTCTTTCTGTATCATAAGAATATGAATCTTTTTGAATATATCCTTTGAAATATGTCGAGCGGTTCATTCGAACATGTTGTTCCAATCTAATTAATTCTAGTGATAATTCTCGATATCAGCTGGGTTCTACGTAGTTCAGACCATGCATAAAGCCCTTCGTGTCCAGCCATGTCTAGATCCAATCCAATCCGACAAACATTTAATATACCTAATTCCTCTATTCTTACACCCCATCCAACCAAAATCACCCCCCCATATGTCCCAAAACCATCCTTAGCCTCCTAACAGCCGGCCCCTCTGCACCCCCCTCCCCACCATCAATTCCACTCTCCATCTCCGTCCTCGCAGCCTCAAGCACAGGCTCCAAAAACCCCCAAACCTCCTCATGATACCTCTCCTGAACACCAACCCAATCCCCCGCCCCAGGAAGCTTCGCCAACACCTCATCCCGCAGCAACACACCACTCCGACTCGTCCCACCAACCCCGTTCTCGTTCTCCTGACCAAGTCCCTGGCTAAGAAACGTGTCAATATCAGGCACCAGACTCGACCCTGTCATCCGCGCCGGTCTCTGCGTCTCCGTCTCCGTCCCAGGCACAGCCCGCAAGAACGAGTCCAGCGCTTCCCGCTCGCGCGCTGAGAGCGGCGCCGGCGCTGCCGTCGGCTCCAGCTCGTCAGCTGGTAGCGTCGCTGGGTCTGACTCTGTGCTGGGCGATGCTAGGAGGGCGAGGACGGCTGCGCCGTCTTCTGCGTCGAGGTAAGGGGTTGGGTCTGTGGTTGTGACGGGTGGAATTTGGGATCGTGGTTGGTTGGGGGATTGCCATGTCGTCTCGAGGCGCTCTTTGCCTTTCGGTGTCGGTGTTTCGGGTCCGGCGGGGAATTCTGATGCTGGTAGTGTAGCTTGATCTTCCGTGAAACGCTGGAATTCGTCTTCTATTGCGGGCGAGATCGAGCTTGTGCTTCGGAATGTCGACTGCGTGGAGGAGGGGCCTGCTGATGCCGAGGTTGACCCCGATGGGCCTGAGATGGGCCCTATCTGCGCTGCGGCATTGCTTGTGCTTGGGGTGGATGGGCTGGCTTTGGTGTTTGTGCTGGATGATAGGGTGTTGGTTTGGTCGGAACCTGGGTGGAAGGTGCTCTTTGCCAGTCCTGTTGCGGAGGATTGGATGCGGGTTGCGAGGGATGGTGGGGGTTTTGTTGTGTTGGCGGGGTTGGGGTTGGATTTGTCTTGGGTTTTGGATTCTCCCCGCATGTTCGGCTTCTCGGGATCGGTCATTGTGAGGGGATGGGGGAACTTGGTGAGATTTGGAGGTTTGGATTGGGGAATGAGTTAGTTATAGTATATGTAGTTTATTGTAGTTGAAGGGTTTTGCCGGTTCGGGTTATAGCCGGACGATGTAGGAACCTAGGCATGTGAAGATGGGGTTAGTTATACCTATGGGTTGGTACTTGAATGACTTCTAAGGTTGATTGACTTGTGCCTGAGTATGCTTGGATTGGATTGTGTGTCTTGTGTATCTAGGGGGGGCTAGATAGGGCTGATATGTACCTAGGTATGAATTGCTTTTTTTGAGAGAGAGAAAGATTGAAGATTGAAGCTTGGAGCTCGTAGATTGGAAGTAGTTATATATAATTTAGTGTAGAGTATCTTTAACCACATATATGACCTTTCAAATGGAATAGTATAGCTAAGTAATTGAATAGTAAATAACCCTTGACCTCCAGTTGTTATGAGCAAGTCAACTAGATCGTTTCTTTTTCTCCTAATTTATGCAGCTCCAGACAAGGCTTGTACCCTCAGGAATGACGACAGAGGCGGCCCTGCATACAGGTATTGTATACATCGAAGAAATTATATACAGAGGGAGTCGATGTAGTCAATTAATTTATCAATAACCAAGTCAATCGTTTGACACAAGATTGAATATGTATGTATATACCTACCAAATATAATTACATATGTAAGTCTATGGCGTTCGTTGATATACGGGTTACAGGGCCGGGCGCAAAAACTGCATCTGGGCAATGTTACAGTCATTGGTAGTGTTGATGTCAGTATTTGCTCTCAACTACTTTAGATCAATCCAATATCAAAATCCAAATTCAATCGATTCCATATATTTCATTCAAATAAAGAAAATCAATGCCGATACTTGGAAATACCTCCAATAATATTGATGGTGCGTACAAAGTGCAGGTCACTTGAGGGTATCTCCGTAACTCTCCCCACCACCGCCTGAACTCACCTCACCTCAACTCTTTTCTTGTCCTTCTCTTCCCATCGAACCCTGTACGCAACCCCCATCCCCTCCTCTTTCTACCGAGACACTTGATTCTTGGACTTTTGTTCTAATCGGAGCGCCCTTTCTGCATAGAACTTTTCCCTGACCCTCACAAAAGCTTTGCGGGTAACAAGAAGAGGGCAGCGCTATCCATCGCAGATCATCGACTTCATACCGTTGCCATCTTCAGTCCGGATAGTATTTTTTTCATAGCTGGAACACCAGCTGTTCCCCTCCCCTCTTGCCCCTCTTTTTCGCTTTACCGCCATCAAAAACCCCTCGCACACCATCTCCGGTGACCGACCGCCTCTTCTCTCGATTTCCGCTTTCTCCAATCGTCATTATTTACATTCGACATCGAATTCTTTCGTCTTCGCGCACATTGATTCGCTGTGATTCTTTGCATCGGCAATAGAGCTTTCGGAAGCCTTCACCCGTCCTTCCTATCTTGGTCCTTACCCTTGTCGCGTTCAAGGGCTAGCTAGAACGAGAAAATGGTAGACAGAGATCCAGGCACACCTACCTGGAAGTTTACACAGTAAGTTTTCTTCGGTATTTGAGACCTGTCGTCAAATTCCTGTTTTTTTTTTCTCTTTCCGTGTTTGCAACCCTTTCCAACCTTGAAAGGAAACCCCACATCTTCAGCTTCACAACTCAGCTTCCTGGACCTTGACTAACTCAATAACAGATGCTTCGGCGATAAAGGCGATGTAGAAGATATTACAGAAGGTAAATGGCAGCACCCCCCGTATCCCGCGGCTGAACATGGTCAATTCTCATAGAATGCATTGACTGACACGCGCTCTCCAGCGGACATCATCTCGACCGTCGAATTCGACCATACCGGAAATTATCTGGCCACTGGTGACAAGGGAGGAAGAGTGGTGCTTTTCGAGCGAAACGAGACGGTAGCCCACCCCACCATAACCCCGAAGGAGGTTTGCCTTTCTTTTGACCTTGGCTAACGAATGAACGACACAGAAAAAAACCTGCGAATATAAGTTTCACACCGAGTTCCAGTCACACGAGCCGGAGTTCGATTATCTCAAGTCGCTAGAGATCGAAGAGAAGATCAACAAGATTAAATGGTGCCGACGACAAAATGCTTCCCATTTCCTCCTCTCGACAAACGACAAGACGATAAAGCTCTGGAAGGTGTTCGACAAGTCACTGAAGGTGGTCGCAGAGAACAACCTATCAAATGAGCTCACACCAGCAAACCCTGTCGGAGGCGGGGGTATGTCTCGTGCTCCCCGCGTCTCCTTCAAGGACCCCTCTGCCCTCAAATTGCCTCGTCTGACACACCACGACACTGTGGTTGCCGCAGTCCCGCGGAAAACATACGCCAATGCACACGCGTATCATATAAATAGCATCTCCGTTAACAGCGATGGTGAAACCTTTATCAGCAGTGACGATCTCCGTGTGAACTTGTGGAACCTGAACATCCAGGATCAGAGCTTCAACATTGTGGATATCAAGCCCGCCAATATGGAAGAACTCACTGAGGTTATCACTGCGGCGGAGTTCCACCCTGTCAGCTGTAACTGGTTCATGTACGCCAGTTCCAAGGGCACGATCAAACTTGCGGATATGCGGCAACGGGCCTTGTGTGACGAGCATGCTAAGCGTATGGATGCCTGGCCCGTGGTTTTGTTTTCGTACTAATATTTCTTCTTAGAGTTCGAACAAGAAGAGGATGCGTCTTCCCGCTCGTTCTTCTCCGAGATCATTTCCTCCATTTCCGACGTGCGATTCTCCAACGACGGCCGCTACATCGTATCTAGGGACTATTTGACGGTCAAGATCTGGGATGTCAACATGGAGCGACAGCCAGTCAAGACCATTCCCATCCACGAGCACCTCCGTCCCCGTCTCTGCGATACTTATGAGAACGATAGCATCTTCGACAAGTTCGAGGTGGTCTTTTCTGGCGATGCTGAGAACGTCATGACGGGCAGCTACAACAACAATTTCATGATCTACCCCACAGAAGAACAAAAGGATACCGAGATTGTGCTACAGGCGGACAAGTCGGCTTTCAAGGCAAAGAAGGTTGGTGTACCGACACCTATGAGCAAGGGTAACGGAAAGAAGGCCGGTTCGCGATCCGGTAGCCCTGCTGGCCCCGGCAGCCGGATGAAGAAGGAGACCGATGCCGACCAGATTGACTTCAACAAGAAGATCTTGCACATGAGCTGGCATCCATTTGAAGACAGCATTGCAATTGCGGCGACAAACAACGTGAGTAATTCTCAGACTCTTTTACTTGTTGCATTTTGAAATTAACTGGGTTACAGCTCTTTGTCTTCTCCGCTCTCTAATCGCACGAAGTACCGACAAAGTCATTATCATTTTCCTTTCATGGACAGGCGCATATGGGGTTTGGGTGGATGCTGGATGGCCTTGGTGACCGGGCACGACACGAAAAACCAGAAAATAATGATAGCAGCAAGCCGCAGGTTCCATAATCTCAGGACTTTCCTTTCCCCATTCCCTATCTCTGCTCTGAGGATGCCGTTGCTCTTGAGGAACTAATCTGTCTGAGCTAGAGACCTAGTTTTCTTTTGTTTTGTTGTGTCCCCCTTTGCTCTTTTTTCTCCCCTTGTCTGCTACATATGCAGTGAGGTTGTCAAAGGCGTTGTATGGGGGTCAAGTTCATGATAGAGAATGTCATGCCTATTTGAGGCCCTTTCCATAGTTATTACTGAATGAGTTACATAGATTTGGTAAATCTCCAGGTTTGCTTAGTGCTGCTAATTTGACCTACATTGTTGTAGACCGTTTTCCGTATTAACCTCGACGGTTGTAGTTGGGTGTACCCCAGCCCTGGTCCTCCGCCCCTTTCCGAGGCTTTTTGGACAAGCGAGGAGTCCAGCCTTTCATAAAGAAATCCCATTGAATTTATTGATCTATAAAAAGGACAATGAACAATACGAGGCTCGTGTAACCAAGCCATTCAAATCATTCAGCTATCCTAATATATTAGCTTTTCATACACATCATTATTGTCCACGCTTATTTCCCAATGCCAGTCATGTTTTTCTGCCGGCAATGGCAGACGATGACGAAGGCGGACGGTTATTGACCTATCGCACAATACCAAGTTATGACAGTGTATTCATTCTCATTGATGGAATTACTTGAATAAAATACTAACGATACCGTATTGATTGAAAGGTCAATACCTTTCGGAAAATCGAATCTCCGAACAGCCAGCCGCTAAGCTACAATAGGCTAGATCAGGATAGGAAAGCCTCCACTGGAAGCCCGCGATCGGTCGCGCGCAATTCCATCACCCCAGTTTGTGTCTCCTGCCCTACCTCACTTTTTACCTCTACCGCTTCTTTCTTGCAGATCTGCCTGAAGGCTGTTCCTGTCTTCTTTACTGCGGGAGTCCGGGTCATGCTGTGACCCTAGTGCAACCTGAGCGTTGCCGAACCCTAGCGAAACAGAGACAGTGAGCTCGAGCTTCGATTACAACAATCTTCCCCGACCATTTCCTTCCTCCGTCATCCTCATACCTCATTCTCCTCTCTATTGCGGTTCATGCATAGATCATGAACTCTGGAAACGATAACTGGCACTCCTCCGGTGGGCCACCGTCGCATCCTGCAATGGATCAGATCAATCAACAGCCTCGGCCCCTGGGCTCTTTCAAGTATGTACAATTACTTGGACTTGTGATTTGATATCAGAGATTAACTTTGTTTTCTTGCGCCTCACTAGTCAAACTCCTTCTCAGCAGGGCCAGGCCTCACAACCCTCGGGCCCAGTGCTCCCCCCTCCAGCTGGTGAGATCCCTCCCTCCTTATCCTGCACTATAGATCTCAGTTGAAGATCCCTGTGACTGCAAAATGAAACTGAGCTGACATATTTCTGATAAAGGTCCCTATCATTCCAGTCAATCGGGTGGACACTCTCTCCCCGGGCTGGCCGAACTGAGCCAGACCCACGGAGGTCCGCACCAACCCTCAGCCTATGGCCAACACACCGCAGGTCCGTCCCACAGCAGCGGGCACTCCCTCCCGGGCATCGGGCAGGCGATGCAGCATGCGTCTCCCCAACTCAATCGTGAGCGGGAGCGGGACTCCAGAGAACGCGAGATCATCGAGCGCCAACGCCAGGAAGAGATGGCTCACCGTGAGCGCGAGCGCGAGCGCGATCATCGCGAACCAATTGAGCGCCAGTATGAGCGCCGTGACCAACCCCACCACCCAGTTCAAAGTCACACTGGCTCGATTCCACTCCACCAACCTGTCGCCAACAAAGTCCCCAACTCCATCCACGGCCCCGGCGGTCTTCTTTCGACTCTCGGTGGAAATCCTCAAAATGGCCATCAGGGTGGTCCCCAATCTGCGGCTGGTTTGTTCGGTCAGATGCCACATGGTGAAGGGACCCCTCGATCGTACATGCAGCATCCTGGTGGACCCCCTGGACAGCCTATGATGGGCTACAATGCATCAGGACAGCAGATTCCCGGAAATGTTGCGGCTCTTGCTCAGGGTCAGCAGCCAATTCTGAACGATGCGCTCAGTTACCTGGACCAGGTGAAGGTTCGATTCGTGGACCAGCCTGATGTCTACAACCGGTTCTTGGATATCATGAAGGATTTCAAGAGTCAGGCGATTGATACTCCAGGTGTGATCCAGCGGGTTTCGACTCTTTTCAACGGACACCCCGCCTTGATTCAAGGATTCAACACCTTTTTACCCCCCGGTTATCGTATTGAGTGCGGTACTGAGGACAACCCTGATGCCATTCGTGTGACTACTCCTTCTGGAACCAACACTTTGAGCATGCCTCGCGCCGGACGTCCTTTCGAGACCATTCCCAATGCCCCGCCTACCAGCGACCCTCACGGTCGACCGGACTTCTATCGTGACCAGCCCCGACCTGGCTGGCAACAAGGCCAGCAGCAAGACCAGCAGCAAGGTAGTGCCTCTGGATCGTACTCCCCCGGCTCGAGAATGATGACCGGCATGTATGGTACGGATGGGGCGGGCTTAGGCCAGGATCACCATTTCGGTTACCCCACTGCACAAGAGCAGCAGGTTGCATCTGCCATGACTCACCAGCAAGACCACCGTGGAGTGGCGCAGCTGCAAGGTGCCGCCTCAGCGGCATCTGCTGGCCTGGGCCGACCTTCTCTTCTGGGAGTATCCGGTGCTGGACAGAATGCCAGCCTTACGCAGCCAATGAACAGCCTGGCTGGTGTCGGAACTGGCATGCTCCAGGGCGCTCAGGATCTGAACAAGCGTGGACCTGTTGAATTCAATCATGCTATCAGCTACGTTAACAAGATCAAGAACCGCTTCTCTAGTGCGCCGGAGATCTACAAGCAGTTCCTTGAAATACTCCAGACTTACCAGCGGGAGTCGAAGCCCATTCAGGATGTTTATGGTCAGGTCACTCAGCTGTTCAACACTGCGCCTGATCTCTTGGAGGACTTCAAACAATTTTTGCCGGAATCAGCCGCTCATGCCAAACAAGTTGCAGCTCAACGCCAAGCTGAAGAGCAAGCTCCTCTTAGCAACCTTCGCGGTGAACCTGCCGGCTTCGCTTCTCAGACTCCCAACCGTGACGTCAAGATGCCCCCACTCGGTCAATTCAACGTCAAGGACCCCAAGGAAAGCAAGAAACGTCGCGGTGGACCCGGCGGTGCTGGCTCTATCTCAGGACCTGCTGGTGCTGAAGCTGCTCGTCTGTCCGAGGCAGGCAGAGGAGGCCAAGGACAGTTTGGCAACGCCAGCAAGAGACCCAAGTACCACCATGGCAAGCCTTCTATCGACATGGCCAACGTCTCTCCTACTTTGATTCCTGCTCTTCCCGAACCCCTCCCACCTTCGGTTTCCATGACTCCCAGCCAGGAAGAGATCGCTTTCTTCGACCGCGTCAAGAAGTTCATTGCCAACAAGCAGGTCTTCAGCGATTTCTTGAAGCTCTGCAACCTTTACACCACCGATCTTCTCGACCGACACGTCCTGGTCAAGCGCGCTGAGGGGTACATTGGATCCAATGCCGAGCTGATGAGCTGGTTCCGTCGTTTTATGAGCGCCGAAGAACCAGAAGACAAGACCATCGACCCCAAGGCCCACATGGAATATGGCGTTGTCAACCTGGCTCACTGTCGCTCTCTGGGACCGAGTTACCGTCTTCTCCCCAAGCGTGAGCGCACAAAGCCATGTAGTGGCCGTGATGCGCTCTGCAACAGCGTTCTCAACGATGACTGGGCATCACACCCCACTTGGGCTTCTGAAGATTCCGGATTTGTTGCGCACCGCAAGAACCAATACGAAGATGCTTTGCACCGCATTGAGGAGGATCGCCACGATTATGATCACCACATTGAGGCTTGTGTCCGTACCATTCAGCTGGTCGAGCCTATCTGCCAGCAGTTCCTGCACATGAGTGATAGCGAACGAAATGCATTCCAATTGCCCACTGGCCTCGGCGGGCAAAGCGAAGCAATCTACCAACGCGTCATCAAGAAGATTTACGATCGTCAACGCGGTGAGAAGGTCATCCAAGACATGTTCAGCCGTCCATGCCACGTTCTTCCCATTGTGCTCTTCCGCTTGAAGCAGAAGCTGGAGGAGTGGAAGGCCTGCCAGCGCGAGTGGGATAAAGTCTGGCGCGAACAGATGCAGCGCGCTTACTGGCGCAGTCTTGATCACCAGGCGATTGCCACGAAGCAAACCGACAAGAAGCTCTTCGTCGCCAAGAACATCCAGCAGGAACTGCAGAACAAGTTCGAGGATGGACTGAACCACCGCAAGAGCGGATGGCCCATGCCCAAGTGGCAGACTGAGTTCCAATTCACCGACATGGAGGTCCTCCTGGATGCTGTCTTCTTACTTATTCTGTACTTCGACCGAAGCACCAACGGCTTTGGCGCCGAGCCTCAGCGACTTATCAACTTCGTCAAGGACTTCATTCCTATTTTCTTTGGACTGGACCGTGAGACTTTCAACCAGTACATTGATGAGGTCTCTATTGCGATTAATGATGATGAGGACGCTTATGCCAACGAGGACGCCTCCAACGAAAGCCGCAAGGTGGTTGACACGCAGAAGCTGGATCTCTTGCGTGAGACCCTCGAGCGCGGATACCAGAGCGAGAAGCCCGCCAAGGAAGATGGTGTTCTCAGCCATGACGAACCCCCCGTTATCCGTGCTACTTCTACTGCCTCTGAAACTGAGGAGTCATTTGATGTAGCTGAGCTTCGATGGATGGAACACCCTGGCCAGGGTAACTTCAACCTGGAGCATGAATACACTTTAAATGAGAAGTACAAGAAGAAGGAGCACCACATGTACTCCAACCTGAACATTCTTTGCTTTATTCGCACCTTCGAGATTCTCTACTCTCGTCTGCTGCGCATCAAGGAAAACGAAGCCGAGGCTCGCGAGCAAGTTCGCCGGGGTCTTCTCCCCAAGCCAGCTCACGACTTGTGTCTGATCGACCGCTTCCCTAATGATTTCTTCTATGACGTTGAGCCCAAGGCCAACCTGTACAAGCAAATTGTGCGCATGTGCGAGGAGGTGATCAAGGGTGACATTGACCAGATCCACCTCGAGGAAACTCTGCGCCGCTTCTACATGCAATCTGGATTCCTGCTCTACAACCTGGAACGGATTTTCTCATCGATCGCCAAATTCGTCGCCTCCATCTTCACCGGCGACTCCCGTGATCGCAGTTCCGACATTGCCAACCTGTTCTTCAAGGAACGCGAGAAGGAAGAGACCACTCACCACCAGGAAATTCAATACCGCAAACAGGTTGAGCGCCTCGTCAAAGACGGCGACATCTACCGCATTACTTTCGTGAGTTATCAAAAAAATCACCACCATTTTCTCAACTAACACATTCCAGATCCCCACAGACCGCCGTGTCACCGTGCAGGTGATGACAGCCGAAGACCCAACCCTCACCTCAGACGAACTCACCGCCGAAGAGCGCTGGTCCTACTACGTGACCGCATATTCCATGCGCGACCCCACCGAAGGCGTGCAATTTTCCAAAATGAACATGCCCCTCCTCAAGCGCAACCTCCCCCCAAGCTTGAAGACGAAGAAGAGTACCAGCGCTTCTACCGCAGCCTGCAACACAACGACGGTCTGATCATCCGCATCTGTGCCAACAACTACACAATGCTGTACCAGCCCCAGAGCTCAGACTGGTTCTGGCGATCCAACGCTCCAATCCACGACCAGGACGCCGACGCGGAAACCATCCAAGCCCAGGCCGAGGAGGCCGCCAAAGCCCTGGCTGCCTTGAAGGAGAAGCGCCACGACCGTTTCGTCGAGAAGTTTGTCAACAACCCCGCCTGGGCCCGCGGAATGAGCAAAGACCAAGTCGACGAGGCCAACCAGCGCTTCCGCTCCTGGGTCCATGGAACCCTTTCTACCCCTGCCCCTGTTGAGTCTGCCAAGCCTAACGGCGAGGCGAAGGATGTTGATGCCGATACTGAGATGACTGATGCGGAGCCTGCCGAGGCTTAGATCCTGGACCTAATTGGGATTTGAGCTTCGAGAATGTGAAAGGAAGGTGACGCGAGTGTAAGTAACTATCACGACGGGTTGGTCCTTCCGGACTGACATGCATTTTTGTCGGCGTACACGAGGAAATTGCGAAATGAGTTTTCACGGTGCTTTGTATTTGTATTTGTATTTCTTTGTTCATGGTTGCTTTCCTAGTCCTTAGTCTATTCTCACGGTCTTTTATCAATGGAATTGCCCGTCGAAAGATGTGGTCTTGCTAGTGTTCTCTTCTATTGTAATTGTAATTGTGTTTGCTTAATGGATGCATGTGACAGGATTAGTTCATCAGTCTGAAGGCGTGCTGATGTCACACCTTTCTCATATTCTTCGAAGGATGCTCTCGGGCCATCCTCGTCGCACTTGCGTAAAAATGAAGCTATTACCCGATCAGGTGTCGAAGTCTACCCTCATCACATTGCTTTTGTTAGCTGTGTTTAGTTTAGATTGTTAACGTGGTGTTCTGATCAGTGAAATCGTCGAACTTTTTATCGGACTATGATATGATCTTCAGAACTAGCGATCGATCCAATAAATTGATCCAATAATGTCGAATCCGTTTTTCTAATCTTAAAGCTCCGTGTGGCCGAGAAGGGATAACCGACATGCCGAGACGTGGAGTCGGGGGAAATTTGGGTGGATCTATGATCTCCTTTTTTTATCTCCAGATTTTTGCTACAACATTGTGATATTTGATCATGTTAAGATATGTGAGATGCTGCTTTAGATCTGTCTAAATACATGCCTGTGAGGTTGTATACCAATTCCATATGCATTTAGATGTAATAGTCAGGCTGTACTCCGTATAGACACAAGAAAGTGTTAAGTCCGGGAATACAGCGAGTAAATGCCGAGCGCCGAACAAAAGCCGCAGTTGACGTCAGCATGAAGAATAGCGCTGCTTTGGGAAATTCGACATCATCGAAGGCTTCTTCTTCTGTTGATGGTATTAACAAGTAGTGAAGTGTGGGTTTCTAATATATCTCTTTGCACATTCATTAAGTTGATTCATTAGAGTGGCCATAGATTGGATCTCCGTGCGGTCATCGTAGCAGCTGCAGTTCAGGAATAGAAACACAAATTCAACATCCACAACTTCCATTTTTCCGGGAGCTCGGCCTCGATTTCCTGTGGAGAATAGGGTGCCCGTGGGGTGGTTGAAATCATATTTAATCCCCCGGGTCCCTTCTCCCTTCTCCTTTCTACACTTGTCCGACCCCTCTCCCCTCTTCCCTTATTAATTGCAAATCATGAGTGCCTCAGCACTTTTGAAGAGCCGTGTCCGCCGGCCTTCGTACTTGAAGAAGCTTGCCAAAGCTGAGGATCTCCTCCACCACTTCCCCAATGGCGCATATATTGGCTGGTCCGGATTCACCGGCGTTGGATACCCCAAGTATGTTACACAGTAAACTCTGAATCAATTGTTGAAGCTAACACTGCTCTCAGGATGGTTCCAGTTGCCATGGCCGACCATGTCGAAAAGAACGGCCTGCAGGGTCAGCTGAAGTACAATTTGTTCGTCGGTGCCTCTTCCGGCGCCGAGACGGAGAACCGTTGGGCACGATTGAACATGATTGAGCGACGCAGTCCCCATCAGGTCGGAAAGGAAATCGCCAAGGGAATCAACAGTGGTCAAATCAAATTCTTTGATAAGCATCTGAGCATGTTTCCCTCGGATCTGGTCTATGTAAGTCCTCTCGGGAGATCCCGCCGTGGAAAAAGACCTAACCGGTTTCCTAGGGATGGTACACTTTGAACAAACCAGAGCCCAGGATCGATGTGGCTGTCATTGAAGCTTCAGCCATCACCGAAAACGGAGGCATCATCCCCGGTGCCTCCGTGGGTGCTTCACCCGAGCTCGTCCAGATGGCCGACAAGGTCATCATCGAAGTCAACACTTCCAGCCCCTCCTTCGAGGGTCTGCACGATATCGTAGGCTCCGACCTACCCCCAGGCCGCAAGCCCTACCTCATCATGGCACCGGAGGACCGCATCGGAACTTCCTACATCCCCGTTGACCCGGAGAAGGTTGTCGCCATCGTCGAGTCCAACTATCCCGACCAGACGCAGCCTAACGCCCCAGAGGACGAAGGCTCCCAAGCAATTGCCACCAACCTAATCGAATTCCTCAAGCACGAAGTCAAGCACGGCCGCCTCCCACCCAACCTCCTCCCCATCCAATCCGGTATCGGCAACATCGCCAACGCCGTCGTCGGCGGACTCAGCAAAGGCGGCGCCGACTTCAAAAACCTCAAAGTCTGGACCGAAGTCCTGCAGGACTCCTTCCTGGACCTCTTCGACAGCGGCAACCTAGACTTCGCAACTGCAACCTCCATCCGCTTCTCCCCAGACGGCTTCAAGCGCTTCTACGACAACTGGGAACAATACGCCGGCAAGCTCCTCCTCCGGTCCCAGCAAGTCTCCAACTCCCCGGAAATCATCCGCCGACTCGGCTGCATCGGTATGAACACCCCCGTCGAAGTTGATATCTACGCGCACGCAAACTCAACCTGCGTGATGGGCTCGCGGATGCTGAACGGACTCGGCGGATCCGCGGATTTCCTCCGAAACTCCAAATACAGCATCATGCACACGCCCAGTGTTCGGCCGTCCAAGACTGACCCCACGGGTGTGAGTTGTATTGTGCCATTCGCTACGCACATCGATCAGACGGAGCACGATCTCGATGTTATCGTTACCGAGCAGGGTCTTGCGGATGTGCGTGGATTGTCGCCCAGAGAGCGCGCCAGGGTTATTATTAAGAAGTGCTCGCACCCTGATTATTACCCTATCCTCACGGATTATCTTGATCGGGCGGAGTTCGAGTGTCTGCGCAAGGGTATGGGCCATGAGCCGCACATGTTGTTCCAGGCTTTCAAGATGCACCAGAACTTGCAGGAGAAGGGCACTATGAAGATTGATTCTTGGGAGTAGATGCGATCCTTTACTGCTGCGGCTCGTCTGTAAAAAGGCCTTCGGCCTTGGTTGGCGTTGGGATATCTCATTAGCGGTTTTTGGTTTTTTCATATCTAAAATATAACATACTTTATCTTGTCAATGAGCTTTCGTGGTGTGTTCCTGTTGGATGTAGTTCAGGAGTATAATTCCTCACAAAGTGGAGCGATGGATAGGCCTGGTAGTCGTCGGTAGTTGGTTCTAGCTACTGATATGATCTACAATGCATCTGCAGGGTCGGTCCATTCACATCCTACATAATGTTGTGTTACAAAGCCACCAGCTTTATTGGTGTTGATATATATCACAATTCAATTGCCTTAGACAAAAAAAGGACCAGATCGGTACAGGGAACCTTTAACTCCAGGCTGTGTTTGTTGAAATATACACAAAAAGCAGAACAACCACAAAGAACGGTATGAAAAGCCCCGACATTGAAGCAGAAAACCATATATTCAACACAGGTATAATAAAAGAAGACCCCAGACGCCAAGCTCCAGAACGATAAAATCATCTAATCTCAATCTTTCAGCCATAAAGTCCAAGTAGCAGGCTAAGTCTCTACCCAGCGCCTAAGCACTACCGGTGAGTCTATATCGAAGTCAGTCCCTATCGCTTAATCCTCAAACAAGAGTAAACGTACCGACTCCACAGCGAGCCCAAAAGACCAGTTTGAGAATCCCCAGACTTGCGTCTCGCCCAGCCGCTCTCGACATTGTAGTGCTTGGTATCTTGGAGCCCGGCAAAGAGGCCTCGTCCGGCCGTAGGGCGCTGGACACGTCAGTATCGATTGTATACAATATCAGGAAGTTCTCGAGGGAGAGGATGCATACACGATGTTCTGTGGCAGACTTGCGAACCCAGTAATCGGCGCCGTAGTCATTCTGGAGCCGGGCGTGCTCGTGCTCGGTGACTTTGGATGGGGTTGTCATTTTGATGTGATATGTAGTATCGTATCAGGTATTCTGATGGTGTAGTAGTAGTGATGCAGTAGTAATGTAATGAAGTTCTGATGAGTAGCTTTGTATGATGAACAACAAAACCCGTGTAACAATCTACACCTTATATACTCCCAGACCAGAGCCCCAATGCATATCGCGAACTATCACAGCCTCACACCTGATGGCCTGATACCGGCCGAACCATACTCATAGTCGGTCCCGAGGATCTCGGACTTTCCATGGAATTTGATAGGCCGTTAGTAGACGGGTATTCCGATTAAAGGCTGGATAGTATGATTTCTATCTCGTACGATTGGATATCCGAAGGATGGGAGTGGCTGTGGTTGGTTCAAGTCATGACGTCGGGGTGGTACGGTGCGGCCGAGCGCCGGTTCCCGTGAGGCGGGATCCTTAATTTTGGTTCTTTACTCTGTACGTAGGATTTTCGGTACTATGTGGATTGCATATCGGATGTTGCCGAAGATTGGGGATTAGATCAGATGATTGGGGCTCGTTGTACTTTGGTCATGTGGTGTGTGGTATGTGGCATGATCGGGTGGCATGTTGTTGAGGATCATGGAGGAATCGGGGGTTTGAGGAATTTTTCTTGCTTAGGACCTCACAACTTCAATTTCAAATATATGGCATTTGTCTCTATGAATACATTGAGAGATATTGCTCTCGCAGGCTCTTCACATCCACCCATTCCCACCCGACATTGGTGCGTGAATATATAATGAATATATATTGGGGTTGACTATCAAAACACTCTGTGATATTGTCGAACACCTTGACACAAAGTTACGAAATCGAAATAGAAGTTTTCTTCATGCCCTATACTCTCTTTGGTCAATGAGCATGGCGAGTTTCATGAGACGAAGTGACTACTATATACAGGAACACAAGGGAAGTTTGCACTAAAGCCTTGGAAAATTTACTAGACGGGATTCAGTTGAGGATGAACGTATTTTGAGAAAATGAGCGATCCGACTATGTTTTTCATATGATTTAGGATGACGAGGGGAAACCCATGGCCTTTGGATGAATCGATATTCATCACGGAGAGCAAAAAACGATGCCTTTAAATTAAGGCACACATTCCTCAAATCAAGTCCATGTGGCACACTACAGATCCAGATCCTCCAAAATCTCCAGAATATTCGCTGACCGGAATGCTCAAGCGAGATTAGGAATCTGACATGTCAGACCAAATCTAACATCACATACAGAGAAAATTGCCAAACGCAGCCCAAAGAACCTGCAAGGCGTCAAAGAATTTTGTTTTCCCGCTAACTTTAAAGCCACACAGCTGGACCCTTGGAACTTTTTATAGAATAAAATGAAACGCGACAATCCATCGAATGAAAAGCTGACAGAAACTCGCCCCTCTGAAGAATCGAGAAAAGGGTGACGCCAAGCCTCGACCTAAATGTCGACTCCATTTCGCCCAGCAATGCCCAGATGCCCGGATCCGCCATCGACTCTTGGGTGTCAATTGATTGGAATCTGGAGATTGGCCAAGAGTTTTTGGCGGTCTGGACTGTTGAGTTGTCTATGGGATGTCTTTGACTTGGGCAAGTTCTTTGTGCTGGTGTTATTGGCGTTATTAATTGCCATTGAAGGATTCCTGGTTCTGATTTGTTACTCGAAATCCTGGATCTTGGAACATTCGTGGCATATCACATTTGTGATAAAATGGTGCTTCAATTCCGTATATTGTTCAATATTGTAAGGATTTTGTCTCCCGAAATTACATGGCCATCCTGGATTCATCAACTCCTATACGCTGTACAATAATATATATAGGAGCAGGCAGCACGTGTACTATTAGACACCCAATATTATCGATTCAGGAGTCACACGCTACTCAGCTAGCGCGGTGAAATAATTCATAGCGTTCTCCACACCCGACACAAGCACAACGCTTCGGCAGTGCCCCAACATCCGGTGTGATTTACCCCATGGATGAGTTGTGATCTTCAGTCGCGAAGATCCAGGCTCTGGCACTCATTAAGATCGACAGGACTTGATATCGCGAGGGAGATCTGCTCGCTGTGCATTTTCTTCATACTGGCAGATATAGCACAATCTAGCAGATGTACTATACTGTATCTACGGGGCAGCGCCATATTGTTAGTTTTCTTATCGTAACACCGTTACTACTCCAGTGGGGATGCCGCTTAAGTCGGATAGATAGGCTGCAGTGTTATTTGCCTGGTAACGATACTAAGACTAGGAGATGCTATGCTCTGAGTAGAAGGTGTTTCGTGGACGAACACGCGGTCCTCGCCGGCTGTATTATGTACCTGTTAAGTACCTGTTAATCGAACTGTGCTGGTTTCCCCATCTTATAACATTGTTTGCTAGAAGGTTCGTATCGGATGATCGGCTAGTTCATAGCGCTGACGAAGCGGGGATCGTCAGGGGGACATAAAACAGCGCATATATGGGAGCTGAAAAGCAGGTTGTGTTGTTAGCATGAAGTGTGGTACACCCGCGCAGCTGACATCGTGCGTACAACAAGATGCCTACCACGTAGGTGGTTTCAAGTGTGTTGTACTATCACGAACCCATGGAGATATCAGCTTCATCCGTGACAATCCGAGGACCAAAACAAACAACAGTAATCCCAGCGTATATCGCAAGGTTAGAATACAATATCATACAGTGTGTATTGTTGTTTCATTATGGAGATCAGCAGGGCGGAAATTAGAGGTCTTGGATTGGCCAATCAAAAGAGAGAGCGATCCTCAACTGAGTTGACGCCTTGCTTCTTTAGGACTGGCCGAGAGCGCTAAACTATCTGGACCCACTTAGTGCGGGATGCGAATTTTCTGATTTTGATGTTTTGATTTTCTATCTTACGGTTTTCAGATTTCGCCGCCTTCATTTTGAAATGAGACAGTGCGATTTCGACAGACTGCTCCACAAACCGCTCTCCCGACCATCTTCTGACGAGACGTTCTCTGGTTTTGTGGACTGAATATTATTCAAGAACCGAGTTACATGGGGAAAGTTACCACTGAGTAAGCCACAATGGGGCTGCAGCGGTGCCTTACATTGTCTGACAGAATACATGAAACCTTGGCCCTTTCCAGGGACGTTGTGGCTTGGGGAGCGGCTAGGAGTTGGGGAAAACTGACTTACAATATTGTAGACCCTCACGGCTGTAAGGGGGAAGAGGCTATTCTGGGTGAGACAGGATCACTATTTTCAACTGAGACTCGGTGGGAGAGGGAAAAGGAGGAGATTGATGATCCGTGCGGGTGTGTATGTATCGATAGTGAAAACTGAATACGGTATTGTGCGTTTTGAAGGTAAATTGACCGTTGGGTGAGAATAGAATGTTGCGATGTACCTGCGCATACAATGGTCGAGGAGTGAAGTTCTCAATTGTACCTGCAGATGTACTGCGAACAATCAATCTTATTCGAAGATGAAATTGTAGATACAAATTGTATACTCCGTACTCCGTACTCCGTACCACTACTATTCCAATCCAAGGTACAATAACAAATCCACTCCTGCCCGAGCCGTGCGGGCCAACCATTACCAGCCAACAATCGAGTGTATAAAATCGAACCAATAAGAGGTTAATTGTGCCTGAAAAGAAAAAACAACATCTAGACTTCGGCCAGGGGTAATTTTAGGGTAAATTAAATCAATGAGAAATTCAAGATCAGTGGACCTGGATGCAGTTTAGTGTACTGGGGCCTTCTTATGGCCTTTTTTTCTCCTTTTCGCTCTTTCCCCCCCCCTAACTCCCCCGGTAACGAATTTCTCCAACAAAAGGCCTTGCGTGCCCCCGTCTGCTCTCCTTCTACCTTCTCAACCCACGTTCCTTTTGAGATCACTGACCACCGCTTCACTCGTTCAGCGGGCATTCATTCTTTTACGTGGGAAATATTATCTTTCTCATTATGAAGGGAGCTATTTTCGCCGCCGCCGCCATGGTTGGCTCTGCCATGGCTGACGGTGTTCACCGTCGCCATGATGCCTTCCACCGTCGCGATGCTTCTTCTTCCGTCTGGGCCTCGTCCTCGAGCGTGGTTCCTAGCGCCTCTGCTCCTCTGAACCCCGACGAGACTTGCGGCTGCACCACCAAGGTTATCACCTACTACGGCGAGCCTACCCTGGTCCCCGTCGCTCCTGTGCCCGCCAGCTCTCCTGTGCCCGCCAGCTCTTCTTCTACTCCCTCCCCCATCCCGGAGTCGACTAGCACCCTCACCAGCACCGTGCACTCCACCAGCACCAGCACTTTGACTGTGACCGTGTCTCCCTCTTCCTCTGCTGCCCCGGCTCCCTCCAGCGCCGCTCCTGTTAGCACCAGCACCGTGGAACTGCCCACCCCCGGTGTCAGCACCTTCTCCACCACCGGTGTCTACACCATCCCGGCTACCACCATCACCGTTACCGACAGCACCACTGTCTGCGGTGCTACCTCCACCGAGGTCCCTAGCGGCACCCACACCTACGGCGGTGTTACTACCGTTGTCACCACCAACACCGTTATCACTTGCCCGTACGCCACTGTCAAGCCCACCGGTACCACCGTGACCAGCGTCATTGAGTACACCACCTACACTTGCCCCGCTGCCGGTACCTACACCGTTGTTCCCCCCACCACCACCACTGTGCCCACCAGCACCGTCCTGGTCTACCCCACCCCCCAGACCATCACTCCCGGCACCTACACCCAGACTGGTACCACTCTCACCGTGACCAAGACTGACTACACCTACGTCTGCCCTGCCGCCACCGAGAGCACCCTGGCCTCTACCTCCGCTGCTCCCGCCGTGCCCACTACCACCGCTGTGCCCGCTACTACCGCCGCTGCCTCCACCACCACCGCTGCCCCCGTTGCTTCCACCAGCAGCGCCGTTGCTACCACCACTCCCACCTCTAGCTCCGGCATCACCGGTGAGGGCCAGTACGGTATGACCTACTCTCCCTACACTGAGAGTGGCAACTGCAAGACCAAGCAGGAGGTCCTCAAGGACATCACCGTCATCAAGAGCAAGGGCTTCAACCTCATCCGTGTCTACTCCACTGACTGCAGCGGTCTCGAGTTCATCGGCGATGCCTGCAAGTCTCTCGGCCTCAACGTGATCCTCGGTGTCTACATCGAAGGCTCCGGCGTCTCCGGCGCCCAGGAGCAGGTCACCGCGATTGCCAAGTGGGCTCAGTGGGGCATGGTCGAGCTGATTGTCGTCGGTAACGAGGCCATCCAGTCCGGCTACGTCGATGCCGCAACCCTCGCCAGCTTCATCAAGTCCGCCAAGAGCAGCTTCGCCGCTGCCGGCTACACCGGCCAGGTGACCACCACCGAGCCCATCAACGTCTGGCAACAGTACGGCTCTGCCTCCCTGTGCAGCGCTGTTGACATCGTCGGTGCCAACATCCACCCCTTCTTCAACGCCGAAGTCACCGCCGAGAAGGCCGGTGAGTTCGCCAAGTCCGAGTTCGAGCTCCTCGAGAAGATCTGTGGCGGCAAGGACGTTATCAACCTTGAGACTGGCTGGCCCAACGCCGGTGAGTCCAACGGTGCCGCCGTTCCCGGTAAGACTGAGCAGGTCGCTGCCGTCAAGTCTATTGCCAAGGCTGTTGGATCCAAGTCCATCTTCTTCTCTTACTCCAACGACCTCTGGAAGTCCCCCGGTGCATTCGATGTTGAGCAGCACTGGGGCTGCGCCGACGTCTTCTAAGCGCAACGACCGTTGACGGTTTTTTTTTGATTTTTGTTGTTGGTTCTGCAAATGCACAACTTGTACAGGAGGACTAGGAGTTTTACCCTTCTCTGACTTTGCACTAATCCACGGATTACTGCAGGCCCTTTCTCTTCCCTTCTTGGATTCTATTTTAAATCTTGACTCCTGTGGTAGATACTTTTTTATTTGATGTTGTCTACTGACCTGGTTGCACCCATTTTGATCTCTTTGTCTATGTTCCTAGTCGTGTGTATATTGCTTTATTTATGCCTTCTTACGAGTTTACCAGTAGTCTATTAGCCACTTACCCTTGTTGTATACTGTAATTATTTCCACGGTTCTGAACACCTCAAATGCCGCGCCCAACGAAGCGCGGCGTGCAGCGACGATACCTCTCCTGAGCCTGATTTCTTGTCTACTTCAATCTGTGTTCACCAACACAAATTCCCCAATCAACACAAACTTGATATCTACTTCCCCCACTGTCAACCATCGCAAGAAATCATAATGACGAATTTCCAGCACCAATCTCCGAACAAACACTTGTTCTTTCTTCAACCTCGCCAATACTCAAACCACAAATACAGATTCTAAATTCTCTGAATTCCCTGAGAACCACAAATATTCTGCCGTCGAGTTAAAATCCATTGGAATGAATCCCACCACGTTCGTGAACAATGAAGTGGAGGGGATGCAATACATCTTGAGAAATAGCTTTCTCATTATCATGAAACAATTCTTATTTTGGTGGGAGATCTGATCAACGCATATCTTTTCTGCCTCGTCCGGTACGTGATAACATCGACGGAGGTCTCTACCTTCTGCGGGATGAGGGTGTACTTAAAATGATAATGTAGATTGTCTGGACTTGATCATTGGATTGGAGCTTTGTATACGGGCTATGTAGACAGGACAGAAGGAGAGAAGGACAAGTGTTTATTGCTATGAAGTGAGATGGTTTTGACTGGTTGCTTTGGCTAGCAAACCCCATCTACAATCTTAAAAGCCATTCAAATACTATGTACCTACGTATCTATTTGTAGGCTCGTCGTAATGGAAAACGTATATTGCCTGACAAAAAGAATTACCAGGGCATGACGCAAACTTCCAAACTTCAACCTTACTCACACACTGAGTACCAAGCAACATGCACATCCTCACAAAACCACAATTCTCTTATTACTTTCCACTATGGGGCTCGCAGAAGATTTGGACAAATTCATAAGTGCCCTGTGGATGTGGTTGGCTTTGGCAATGGCACTGCTGTTCGGCGTTGCCATAATCATTGGTGGGATCATTGGTACGGCCCGGGGAGCTTATTGGCTTGTTGATTTCGGCCGGGAATGGTGGAAAGAGTGGAAGAAAAGAAGGAATACAAACAAGGCGCTAGAAATGCTGGATGGCGCTGAGCTAGAATCCCAAGCAAGTACTCTCTAAGCACCTTTGCTCGGTTCATAGGCGAGAAATCCCAGCCACGAAGGGTTGAGACTGTATGCTGGACATGACAGCAGAGAGGTGCAGAACACATCGAACCACCTTCGATCTCCCTTTCACTCCATCGAGTGATTTGTATCCACCGATTTGCTGAAGATTGCTGTGCTGTGGAGGATTTTTGCTTTTGACTGCTCCGATCGATCGAATGGAACTTGCGCTAGGAGGCGTCAAACAAACCTGGCTGAACTATTTTATGTTAAGAACATGTTCTTGGGGGTAGAGTTACAAAAAGACAAAGGAAGTTACTTTCTGCCCAAGGGAAGGACGATGAGAAAGTGGTCCACCTGGGCACATTGCTGAGGGTAAGGTTTTTCCAATAATATGATATACAACAAAGTGTGTTTGATAGACGCTTTTTCCCTATTCTTCTGACTTGAAGCTTACTTCTATATTGCTTTACTGAACTATCCTTTGAAAATTGAGCAGTAACTACGATTAGAAGCTACCATGCTGTAGAATTGAATATCATTCATTGAATCCCATACATAATTCGTTAAACGTTACTAATAATCATAAACACTATGATACAAAGAAATGCTTAAACACGCTGGTGCTGGTTGCCAACGGTGTTGGAACCATCAAGGTCCGAGTCGACACGAGGATCGGCCTTGTTAGCAACATTGCTATCGTGGGGACCAGCAGTGGACTTGTGGGTGCTACCATGGTTGTAGCTGCTGCCAGCTCCGTGGCTAGAATGGTGAGCAGGGTGGTTGACGCCCTCAGCACCAGTCTCGTGGGCCTCCTCGAAGGTTCTGGTGGTAGTATCGGGGCCGCTGTCACCAGACAGGTGAATCATCTCGGCTTGACCGGCAAGACTGCCCTTGCGAACATCGTCATTGAAGTTGTGCTGCTTGCTGCGGTCGCTGTCGACGCGGGGGTCGGCTTTGTTGGCGATGTTGCTGTCATGGGGACCGTGGTTGGTGGAACGTGGTGACTCGTTGGTGTTGTGGGTGCCGTGGCTGGCTCCGGTAAGGGGTGCGGCTGAGCCGTAGCCGGTGGAACCGGTGTGGGTGTTAGAGTTCAAGCCAGTGGAGGTGCCGTGGGTGCGACGGCTGTCAAGGTCACTGTCGACGCGGGGATCGGCCTTGTTGGCGTCGTTGCTGTCATGGGGACCGTGGTTGGAGGATAAGCCAGACTCGTAGTTGCTGCCGGCGGAGCCAGAGTTGAGGCCAGTCGAGCCGGTGTGAGAGCCCTTGTTGTGAAGGGCAGCAGCACCGGCGCCAAGGCCAGCACCAGCGGCACCAGCACCCAGAGCAGTTGAGCCAGAGTGAGATCCAGAGTGAGATCCAGAGTGAGATCCAGAGTTCAAGCCGGTGGAGCTACCATGGGTGCGACGGCTGTCAAGGTCACTGTCGATGCGGGGATCGGCCTTGTTGGCGATGTTGCTGTCATGGGGACCGTGGTTGGAGGATAAGCCAGACTCGTAGTTGCTGCCGGCAGAGCCAGAGTTGAGGCCAGTAGTACCGGTGTGAGAACCAGAGTTCAGACCAGTTGATCCAGAGTGAGAGCCGCTGTGAAGGCCAGCAGCGCCTGCGCCAAGGCCAGCACCAGCAGCACCAGCACCTAGACCAGTTGAGCCGGAGTGAGAGCCGCTATTAAGACCAGTTGAACCAGAGTGAGATCCAGAGTGCAAGCCACTGTTGAGACCAGTAGAATCGGTGTGAGAGCCAGTGTTAAGACCAGTTGATCCAGAGTGATGGCCCTTGTTGTGAAGGGCAGCAGCACCGGCGCCAAGGCCAGCACCAGCGGCACCTGCACCCAGAGCAGTTGAGCCAGAGTGAGATCCAGAGTGAGATCCAGAGTTCAAGCCGGTGGAGCTACCGTGGGTGCGACGGCTGTCAAGGTCACTGTCGACGCGAGGATCGGCCTTGTTAGCAATGTTGCTATCGTGGGGACCGTGGTTGGAGGATAGGCCAGACTCGTAGGTGTTGTTAACGGCGGAGCCAGAGTTGAGGCCAGTAGAACCAGTGTGAGAACCAGTGTTAAGACCAGTTGATCCAGAGTGAGAACCACTGTGAAGGCCAGCAGCGCCTGCGCCAAGGCCAGCACCAGCAGCACCGGCGCCAAGAGCACCGGCGCCAGAGTGAGATCCAGAGTTCAAGCCAGTGGAGCTACCGTGGGTGCGACGGCTGTCAAGGTCACTGTCAACGCGGGGATCGGCTTTGTTGGCGATGTTGCTGTCGTGGGGACCGTGGTTGGAGGATAGGCCAGACTCGTAGGTGTGGCTGCCGGCGGAGCCAGAGTTGAGACCAGTAGCACCAGTGTGAGAACCAGTGTTAAGACCAGTTGATCCAGAGTGAGAACCACTGTGAAGGCCAGCAGCGCCTGCGCCGAGGCCAGCACCGGCAGCACCGGCACCAAGAGCACCGGAGCCAGAGTGAGATCCGGAGTTCAAGTCGGTGGACCCAGTGTGAGAGCCAGTGTGAGAGCCAGTGTTGAGACCAGTTGAGCCAGCACCATAGGCAGCACTGCTATCACGATCACTGTCGATGCGAGGATCGGCCTTGTTAGCAATGTTGCTATCGTGAGGGCCATGGTTTGATGATCGGCTCGACTCGTAGGCGTTCTGGCTAGCACCAGTAGACAAAGGCTGAGCCGCAGAGTGAGAGTGGCCAGTGGAGGTAGTGTTGTAGGCAGAGCGGTCACTGTCGACGCGGGGGTCGGCAGCGTTGGCTACATTGCTGTCATGAGGGCCGTGGTTGGAAGATAGGCTTGATTCGTGAGTGTTGTGGCTAGCGCCAGTTGCGGTGGGGATTGAGGACTGGCCGGAGGTACCGGTGGTGTTGTGTGCAGAGCGGTCACTGTCGACGCGGGGGTCGGCAGCGTTGGCTACGTTGCTGTCATGAGGACCGTGGTTGGAGGAATGGTTGGAGTCGTAGGCATTAGAGTCATGGGTATCGGTGTCGGTGGACTTGTTCTTGTGGCTGCTGACGACGTCCTTGACCTTGTGGATTATGTTAGACATGGTGGATGTTGTAGATGGTGTAGATGTAGAAGATGTAGAAGGATTAATTTGCGAGAGTTTGTTGGATTGGATTGGAATGGATTGAAATTGAAATATCATTGATATCGCAGTAAATAGAGGAGTATATATAATATTATTCAGAAGTATGACGCTGTTTAGCTGTAGTTTGACGTGAATCTACAACCTGAAAAATGACGATATAGATGACATCAAAAGAGGGCATGAAAGTTTCCATCACTGGTCAACCGTTGACATGCTTGGTGGAGATCTAAAACGTGTCAAGGAAGTACCCGTACCATGTTGTTAGGTATTTGATACAATCGTCATGATCGAACGCCACTTACAATCTTGTAGACATCTTCTAGAATTGGAGCCGAAAATAGAATGCGAGTCTGTCCAATCACATACCGCCATTCCGAGATCGACAAGGATATAGATTAACTCGGGGGCTCGTGCACCTTACGTCATTTGTATAAAACCGGTTCCAATTGACCTACAATGCGTTGGATGCTCTCATAACTTTCTTTTGATGTCTGGTAGAGTCTAGTTTTGTCTTTACAAGGTACGCTGAAATTGCCCAGGGTCGGATTGGGGGTTAGGGAGTAGGGAGGCAAGGCCCTTAGGGCTTAGCGTGTTTACGAATTAGACATTCTTTTGTCCTTGGGTATCTTTCCTATAAGATTAGGTATCTTTCATATAAGATCTACATACAAAAGGTACCTACTGTACTTTTCTCCTTTTTTTCAACAAATATCTAAGCCGGATGGGAGTAATCAAATTATCCATACGGAGTACTACAGGGTGACCCAGAAACAAAGGTCGGTCTATCCACCGCCTTTCCCCTTTTATTACCGACCGCTTTTCAATTGTCACTATACGTGACCTTTTAAAACCCTAATTCATTAACTATGGCTCGACGTGCAGACCTTACCCGCGATGAGCGTCTACGTTGCCGTGTCCTACGAGATGAAGGCCGTACCTATCCATATATTGCCTCCCGAGTAGGCTGCTCTGAACGCCAAGCTCGACGCGCCTGCGATTTGATACGAATAACGCCTCAGAAGAAAACTGGTCGACGACCAAAGCTTGCCCCTGAGCATCTAGAGGAGGTGATCTCCTGGATTCAGGCGTCCTTTACGCATCGCTGTATGAAGATCCAAACGACGGTCAGGATTTTTGTTCCAGAAAATGACAACTTAAGCGGAAACGGGGGTGAGTAGTCATGCCGGGCGTAGAGTAGGCAACAGGTTCCAATGAAGTAAAACGGCGGAAGGATAAAATTGGATGAAACCGAAAGAAGGAATAAAGAAGAACAGAGAGAGTGTAGTGGCCATACTTGAGTTTACCCTTATCCTTGGATAGAGTCTCCCTTCCAGTTATCTCCATCTCTTGAGACATATATTTGGGCATTTGGCGCTTGCCTCAGCAATTCTAACACAGGTCGTTTCTACTCTGTAAAGCCTTTATCATTTGGTATTTGTGAGATCGAAACAGAGACATAGGTTTGTAGAAGTGGCCTTGTATAGATCTCGAAAGATTTATAAAAAGCACAACATACTCAACCTCATGGTTATGATCAAACTCTTAGTTCATCTCGTTTTCGAAAGTTTCTTATGTCTGGGACAGTCTCACCTCATACTTCTGCTGCGTTGTTGTTTTATTGATACTTATATATACGTTTTGTTATCGTTGCAATCGTTTTCAGTTGTCTTGAGCTCTCTTATGAAAAGATTTTGGAAGTCCGGGGAGATAAGCACAGCCGTCAGGTATTTTCATGGCCGAGTACATAGGAAATGCGACAAGATAGAAACTGACAGAACAAATTACCTTGCGACGTTTTAAAAGGGCTCAAAGTACTGAGATTATGCAATAATAGCGTAGTTACTTATTCCTGTTACTCTATCGGCAGGGAATACGACAGCAACCCCCAAAACTTGAACCAAAAACCATATCATTTCATTCGCTCATTGAAATTTATATATAGAAAAGGAGTAGGCCATACAACCATGATACGCTAGCTTGTTTAAGCGATTGTTAAGTAGCTCTACAGCCTGGTTAATCTGCCTGTTAGATTAAGGAACAACTGAAAAGCAGCGCTGGACATGTCGCCGAGCATCTAACTGAATAAATTGGCTGTACGACTTGGTTACCAAAGACTATTCCGTAGCAAGCGAACCAACACTTCAAGCGGATGCAAAAAAAAAGGAATATGTACAATTATGCGGGAGATAAGTACAGGTGAATGCATACAGCATGGTTGCAAGGAGAAAGTTCCCTTATCCATTCTGCAACATCAAGCTAACATCGTGATCGATCGCGTATATCACAATCCCATGTATATCATGTTGTAATTCGAGCGGAGGAATGGTCTAAAATTGCGTGCAAGTCTAAGGTCCTTGTTAGTGGTTATTCATAACCAAGTTAAGCAGAGTGTGTTGGATCGATGTATAGTTGGGCAGTTGGATACTTACGCCATTTGATGAGCAAGTAAGACCCTCGCAGCAGCATCCTACACCGGCACAGCTATCAGAGGTACAGTTCATTGTCTCCTGTAAGTGGCATTAGGAATGGCCCCGGGTATCCCTTGTTGAAAATTTGGATCTTTGGATCAGACTCACAGATTGGCAAGAGATCGCAGCCTTGGGAAGCGCTTCTGGGAGGGCGACAGTGAGAGTGGCGAGGAAGCCGAGAATCATAATGGAGGCGCGCATGTTGAATTAATTTGATTTGAAGGGCTCGGTGGGAACGGGGTATCTAAGGAACCAGGAATTAATATTAGCGACCGAGTCAAACACATAGATAAAACAAACACGCCAACGCGGTGAGAATACTGCGATATGCAGCCTGGGAATAAATGCAAGGGCCAGAAACCGGTGTGGACGCAACGAACCTCAATGTCAAAAAATGAAGTGAATATGCAGAATTGAGGGGTATATTGACTATCAGTAAAGTGAAATCAAGCGTATGTCGGCTCTATCAACATCTTATAGCTCTCAAGATGTCCAGTGACACAAGCCACGCACCAGCACGAAGATCCATCGTTGATTCGCCTGAAACAAAGCCACCGGACGATCTACAGGGGTAGCAGTGGGATTGATGATCGGCACTGATTGGAGGATGGCTGGGGCCGCCTTGTCATTTTTGCGGGCTGATGTGCCCTACAGCGGGGTTGACTTGTGTTGATGGATGCAATTTCCGAGTACGATGCTCCATAGTTGATCTGTATTTGTATTTGAAACTGATTTTTGATGGTAACCGGGGGCGGTTTTCATAGCCTTGCGTTGCCGGATAGAATGAAGAAGAATTGGCAATGCGCTAGCCTCACACCACGATTGCGGGTAACTGGAAATCGATGTCATTGTGTTACCCGGACCCTGTTTGTGACAGTTTTGGTTTTTTGGCCATCGTAGCTTGGGGGAACAAGCATCCAATGCCCCAGCCGAGTAACTGAATTGGGAACATTGAACGTAACGCGACGAGACTACCAAGACCTTGGCATAATAAAGGGATGCACGGCCCAGCCATTGTGTTCATTCAGGCTTGGCAGTGACACATCGAGCTTGCGTGGTTTACCTAGGTGAGAAGGGATGTGCTGGGTGTGGATCATAAAACGGAAGAGATAGGAAATAGGGGCTAGGACAGTGAGGAATCAACAAAGTACAATCAACGTACAATGCATTCAAATGTTTCAAGTGAAAAGCATGATAGAGAGGCGACAATATTGTAGGCTTGATAAATCTGATAAGCAAATGAGAAAAGTGACCTTGAATAAGAGGGTCGCACTTGATCACAAAGCTTCTCGACGTCTTTCAGCTTTATTCATTACATCTTCAGAACATTCATTTGCAACCAAATGAAGCTCACAGATATATATAGACACTCAATATTTTGCACCAAGCAAACACACACAGAAAAGACTAGGATTGTCAAACCTTTTCCTACATCCCACCTTAATCCCGTGATTAGCTTAATCCCGTTCATTTTAATCCCTTAGACCAATATAATTGTGTCGAATGAGTCGAATGCTCTAAATGTCGACGCGAAGTGCAATGGGAACGGCACCTTCGGTTCTCCTAAGTCCGAGTTAACCAATCACAGCCAGGAACGGCACCATCAGTTCCCACAAGTAGTACTCCGTACGTTGTATACAATCTAACAAGCCATCAAGGGAAGAACAGTATTTATATCCAAGGTATGTCGTCTTGTTTTTCTAATTCTCCTCTATACTTATCTATCTTCATCTCTTCTTTAAGTCTGCAAAATGCCTTTCTATAACACTTACCCAGGCTTCCTCTATCGCCAGTTCTTGGTCTGCCCTTCCAAAGCACCTTCCACTACGTCTCTCCAGGGCAAAGCCGGCATCGTAACGGGCTCCAACACTGGGCTGGGCTATCAAGCTTCCGCCCAGCTGCTTGGGCTCGGATTGTCCCATCTGATCCTGGCCGTCCGCAGCATCTCCAAAGGCGAAGCTGCCCGCAAATCCCTTCTCGCCTCACTCCCAGCTTCGGCCAAAGTTCCAGTAGTCGAGGTTTGGGAGTTAGACCTAGGCAACTATGCCAGTATTACTGCATTTGTGGAACGTCTCAAGAACTCCAGCATTCAAGTCGATTTTGCTCTTCTCAACGCCGGTGTCGCCAACTTCAACTTCACCATCAATCAGCCCACCTTCCACGAGTCAAGTATCCAAATCAATTGGCTCAGCACCGCTCTCCTAACTCTTCTGTTGCTACCCGTGCTCGATCAACAGGCCACCGGAAGCCTTAATCTCCCTCGCCCGGTAATTTCCATCGTGGGCAGTGAGACAGCCGCCTGGGCCAAATTCTCCGAGGCCCAGGTTTCTACCAAGGAAGGGACTCCACTCATCAAGGTGTTAGATGACAAGAGTCACTTTGATATGGGCGATCGATACTATACATCTAAGCTGCTTTACCAGTTGTTCTTCCTCGAGTTATTCGGTCACCGATCCAATGCCAAGCGCTCCACAGGCGCCATTCTCAACTTGGTCAACCCTGGTTTCTGCTATGGCTCTGAGCTGCATCGCACGGCCGAAGGAGCATTTGGAAAGGTCCTTGGTGGTATGAAGAGAGTCATAGGTCGCTCTGTTTCTATGGGCGCCCGTACTTTGGTTCATTCGTCCGTGTTGGCTGGTGAGCCTTCCAATGGCAAGTATCTGAGTGACAACAGGCCGGCTTCTTTTGCTGGATATGGAGATAGTGGCCCTGGTAGAGTCACACAGGTTCAGGTCTGGAAGGAGACATTGTCTGAATTGGGCTTGGTGGTGGACATTGATAAGCTGTTGGCGCAGATTTGATTGATTCTTGTGATGGTTCTTCTCTGTGTTTATTTTTGGTTATTCTTCAATTGTGCGCTGATCGTGTTAAATACCTCTTAATTTGGGTTTCTACTTAGCTACACATGTAGTCTCTTATGTATGTTGAATTTCTGTTGAATTTCTGAACGAGAAATAATATGTATACCTAAGATCCTCCACGACTCAGCATGCTGACTAACAATCTCCAAATCCTCTAGACTGTCTACGTCCTAGCATCGTGATTCACTGTTACCTGGACATGTGCTTTGAAAAGTGCACTTCTGACTGGTATCAGTTAAATGACAGCCTCAAAAAGTAATATGATCGATGGCAATTCTCTGTCGGCCTCCACCTCAGTGGAGACAATCACCCAGCTACTACACTACCTCCCTACTTATCGGGTACTGATCTGCCTACGTTGCAACTACGCCATCCAGCCTGGTGCAGTCGCTCGCCATCTTAAGGAAATCCACCAACTTCATCGTATACCTCGACGCGCTTATGTGGACTATGCTTCCAGATTCGAACTGGCCCAACCTACTGATGTCGTTTTGCCTGATGAAACCCAGTTCCCAGTTTCTTTACTGCCTATCGAAAACGGGCTAGCCTGTTCCGGCTGCGCTCATCTCTGTATGACGACGAAGCGCATGAAGCAGCACTTGATGACTGTTCATCGCATCTCTGCCTCGGAAAAAGGAAGCTTCTGGAACCCAGTGCCGTTGCAGACGTTTTTCCGGGGAAATGCTTTACGCTACTTTACTAACCCCGCGTTCTTGGTTTCATCGCCATCTGACACTTCCGATGGGCTGACGAATACAGTAAGTGGAAATTATGGCTATTAGCCATCAGCCTTGCTGATATCTCTGCAGACTGCAACAACGCCGGCTTCAAGTACAGATGCCGGAGTCTCGAGTCCTTGTCGAACGTTGATCACTACCGATGCAGGCTTACTTGATTATTATCGACACTACACCTATAAGACCCTCTCATGTGGCCCTGAGACAGACGATGCCTTCCGAGTCATTCTCCCACAGCTAGCCACCCAATTTCCCTTCTTACTTCACGGCATCTTATCCTGCTCTTCCCTTCACCTCGCTTCTATTGACCCTTCCAATCGAGAGCATTATACCATCCAATCAATCCGACACCAAGACCAAGCAATTCCCGCATTCCGAAGGGCAACCATGCATGTGGACAGCAATAACAGCCAAGCAGTGCTGGCCTTCGCATTTTTCCTCGTGGTCTTCGCTATAGGCTCCGAATCAAATGACCAACCATTGTTTCTAAGCAACCAAAAGATTCAAAAAGCCATGCCATCCCTGGAATGGATTGACATCCTCCGTAACGGCTGCTCCATGCTGTGCCCCGTGTGGACAGAACTCACCACTAGTCCATTGGCACCCTTTACTTCGATTTGGCGAGATGATCTCGGCATTACTGTCGATTCTAATGATCCGCTACTAATTACATTAATCTCTGCTCTTCTAGACCATGAATCGCAGTCCGCTGACTACTTCATATATCGCGACTCCGCGGTCAAGTTGACACAGGCCTTTGCGTTTATTGAGCGTTGCGGGCCCACTTCGACTATCTGGAATGTTCTCAATGCATGGCCCATGCGTGTTATGCCTGAATATCTGGTCTTACTGAAACAAAACAATCCGGGCGCTTTGTTACTGCTATCCTACTATGCTGTTCTTCTGCAGCCATTCGAGTCAGAATGGTTTCTTAAAGACCGAGTGATGAAGTTAATAAATGAGATCGCGCGACGGTTAGAAGGGAGTTGTTCGCCACAGATCTGGGAGGTGTTTTTGATGATGCAGCAGGAATATTTTCCTACTGATTCTATTAACATTCAATGACTTTGCCTTTTACAAGATTCGCATCCATGATACATATCGTTCTAGCTCATCAGAATCCAAAATCTCCTCTCGATAGGCTTGATAACCTCGCCCGCGCTGATATATACTGTATATTATTCTAAGATGGCAGGGAATCACAGCTGAAATGAAATACATAAATGTCTAAGTTATTAATAGCAACGCCTCCAAATGCGCCGAATCATGAAATCGAAACCTGAGCGGGTACCTAGGGCCGATTGAGCTGCTCTCGGCGGTAGAACAAGAGGAAACCAAAGCTACAATCACAATTAGTACAAGACGATAAGACAAGAGAGAAAGGATAATCACTAACCTGGCCAATAGCTGGAAGAAAAGGGCAATCCAGAACCACGCATTCGCAACTGCATCCAGCGACGAGCCCACGGCTGGAGAGATACCTGCTGGACCGACCTTGTTTGGCGCGAATCCACGAGCGCAGATCGTGGCGATAGATCCAAGAGACTGCGCAGCCAACAGGACAAAGCAGACGTGGACTCTTGTCAAGGTCTGCAGAAGAATCATTCCCAGACCAACTTGCTGGATTTCATCGAGGACACCGAGCCATAGCCACAGGCATCGGGACGCAAGCGCACCGGAGGTCAGACCTCCCGCCCATGGCAGATAGTAGCCGATATTGGATGTTCCCCACCACGTTTGCGCCCAGCGTGGTGCGCCGATGCTCAGGCCGAAAACGGGAAGAATCCAACTGTGCTCCTTGGATAGGTAGCGGAAGAGGATCATAATGGCGACCCAGAGAACGACAAAGAAGAAGATGACCAGGAGTGCAACTTCCCATGCTTTGGCGTGTTGCGAGGACCAGAGGAATGACCAGTTTCGGCCAAAGGCCGCGGAAAGGAACCAGTTCTGAATGATGACCATGAAGAAAAACCAGAGGACAATGCGGCGTCGGAAGAGAGATGTGTAGAAGAAGAGAATCTTTCCAGGTGATTGGCGGTAATACTTCGGCAAGCCGAGTGCAAGGAGTACACCGATGATGAAACACACCGCGGCAATGGGCATCACTACGGCTGTGAGTCTCCATGAGCTCAATGCAGCTGTGGAAATGCCTCCAACTTCTACTTCAGTGACTCTGGAACTCCAGTACCACAGGGCAACAGTATACAACTGAGAAATTCCCTGGATAAGACTTGCGCGGAACATCCAGTCCTTTACAGGGACAGCACCTTGATCTCCAAAGTTGAGGGCGAAGAACAAGGAACCGCTGGAAGAGGCAGCGGAATAGACACCTGCGGCGACGTTCTGAGCCCACGCTCGACCGAGGTCCGAGAGTGCGAATGGTGAAACACCAATGACGATGAATGCAATGGAGTAGATGAACCAGGGGAGAGTGAGAACTATCACAGACGGGAATCGGTAAAAGAGGAACCACCAAACAATAGAAGAGAGGCAGTAGATGGCCGCAATAACATAGAGCTTGACTGCGGTCTCACCGATCTGGCCAGCCAACAGGGTGATCTGCGCTGAGTTGGTCGCGATGATTTGTCCAAGACCCAAGAATAGAGCATAGACGGGCCAGTTTCCGACGCGCCATCTCATGAAACGCTGAATGGCAATGGGCCTTTTGTATCCTAAACGAGAGAGCCACATATCGATTTCATCTGTGTTGTTCGATTCTGACTGCTCAGAGCCATCGGTGACGAGGCTGTACGGTGTGCTCTCGACAGCCTGATCCAAGCCGGCTCCAGTCACGGGGCGCTCTTTAGGCTGCTTCTTCAGCTGCGCGTCGGTGTACATGTAGAAGAACTTGCGCTCGCTCTTCATCAGATAAGACTCGATACAATAATCTGTGCTGGAGTTTTTCTTGTTGAGATTGGTGAGCAACTTTTCGAAGTTCCGCGTGAAATGACCCATGCTGTCAGTAAAGGTCGGATCGACCTTTTGCAGATGGAACACAGGTGAATCGTGATCATTGACCACAGAAGGCAAGGATAGGACGGAAATATTCTGGTTGTGGGCGAAAGGTCTGGCTTGATCAAAACCGGAGTCACGAGATATCATGGGTGCCCTTCCTGGAGAGGAGTCCCTGGAGATGAACCGCGACGACTCCGAGATTGATGAGGTAGAATCGCCACGGGAGTGATGATTTTCCCTAGCGGACGTGGCGACATCCTGCGATCCAAGAGCCGAGCTGATAGCTGCCATAGCCTCCTCGGGAGAGATGTATCTCTCTGGCGGTGTGGAGAAGCCCTCATCCTCAGCGTCTGTGGTGTCACCCTCGACCGGCTGCTCAGCCATCTGACTGTCGCGCGGCGACTTCTTAACGAGACGCTTTCTGCCCTGGCCTGGCCCAGATCGCCGACCAAGCGATAGCTGACGACCTACCGTGCTGCTTCTGTTGCTGTCAGCCTGCATTTCTTGAGCTTCAGCTGCCTGTAGCTCTAGAAGCGAGGGCTGGATAGCTTGCGATGTTCTCCTTGGTGGCGAGTCCAAAGCCCCCATCATTGTGGAATCACGCAGGCCCTGCGTCTCCCAGTAAATCTGGGACTCTCGTGCGGGGCCGGCCACAGTGAGTTGATTTTTCTGGTGATGGATGTCGATAGCTGTCCGTTGCAACACTTCTAGCTTCTGAACCCACTCAAGAACGGGGAATCGCTGCTTAGCAGAGTTTGCACGCATCTCCGCTCGTGTCTCGGGTGATGATTCCAGAGCGGATTTGATGGCGGTCCTAAGCTGGTGTAGCAGATGGCGGGCAGAGTCCGACTCCACAGTATACCACCAACCAGGCATTTGGCCTAGACCACCAATGCGAGAACCAATTCCGAGAGCGCCCTTGCGGCCGAACTCAACGGCGATCAATCCGAAGGGTTCGTCTCGAGATGGGATCAAGGCGAAGTCCGCACCGGAAAACACAAAGGGGGGAAGGATCGTGAACTCTGGCTTTGAAAACACACGGCCCGGGAACATTTGCATGATGCGCTCCAACTTGATAGCAGCCAGTTTGCCGTACAGATCGATGATAGGACCGATACAAATCAGTTGCACTTGAGGTCTGGCAGACAGGACTGCTGGCATAACATCCGCAATCAAGTCGACACCCTTCTGTTTTGACCATCTACCCACGAAGACCAGTAGGTCAGCGTTGGGGTCCTCGTTCAAGCCGGCCCATTTCTGTGCCTGGAGCTTGTCATTAGCCGACTCATCGACAGACTGAACTGTGACTTGGACGTTCGGGTCTTTCTTCAAGGCGCCTGTGTCTGATGGATCCGGGTTGGGGAGACTACCAATCTTTCCAAGACTCCAAAAGATGGGATAACGGGCCCATGAGCGCTTTCCATACTTCTCGGACACACCAACCGCGCCGAAGCCCCGCTGGTGGAATCGCAAATAGCTAGCACCGGTGTGAAGCAGATTAAACACATTGCCAAATTGACAATATTTGGTGGCTATTTCAATGGGTAAATTGAAAACAGAGCAGACTTCCTTCTTCTCTTGCTGGGTTCGTAGTGCCCAAAGGCCTTGGAACTCGGCATTGTGCAACGACAGACAAACCGGGATGGTACGTGACGGCAGGAGGTAGAGTGGCGCCACGCAACCGTGGAAATCGTTGATGTGGTAGAGATCAATCGAGGGCGTTCGCTTGATTGCCTCTGCGATACACTGGTTCCAGGCTGAATAATAGATCGCACTGTCAAGATCGTCCATACGTGGGGGATAAGGCTCGGCCTTGGTCTGGTGGCGGAAAACGGGAGCATCAAGCAGAACGTAGGTGATGTTGTCCACAACGTGGTACTGCACCTTCACCGAGTAAGGGTTATCGAGGATCGTCACCACAAAAGGTTCCGCAGGCGTATCCACGGGGTAATCGATATCACCGACACACGGCACCACCCAGATAAGGTTCTGATGCTTCAAGTTCTGGGACATGAGCTGCGCCATTACTCCCAGACCACCAATCTTGACTTTAACCTGCCAATCTTGGATGTCATACTCCATAGTGGCGATCAATACGGTGCGCCGTTGGTCACTCGCACCCGCGGCAACAATGCTAGTTGGCGCAGCCTGCTCCGCCATCGGGATATCCGATTCATTGTCTCTGGCGACACTTCCTTTGATTTTGCGCCACAGTGCTACCGGCAGTGTATCAGCCTTGACGACATTACCATCCTTGTTGAGCTTGACACGGTAGAAGTTCCGGATGAAGATGAAGACACCGGCCGAGCCCATGAGAATCGGAACAATCCAGAATAGAATGAAGAGAGCCAACTGGGCCCATCCATTTCCGACGGGGATCAGCTGGTATCTCAGGTTGCCATCATTGAGGGAGATGGTCCAGCCAAGATGGGGAAATGGCGGAATGCCGGTGATGTTGATTACGTTCGATGCGAAATAGGAGGGAGGAAGCTTTTGCACCGAAGATGAGTTGCCGACGTCGCCGTAAACCTCGGTAACATCAGGAACGCCCTGGTCATCCTCGCCCCAAACACTCAGTTGGCCAACAGCTGGCCATTCGTAGACAAAGTCGTAGTTCCAGCGAGACGTTTTAGCGTCGTACTTCATCTTGCTATTCAAGCCTGCGTCATAGCCATATTGGTTGTATGGACCATTAAACCACAGATGTGGGAATCTTCGAACGGCATTCTCTTCCCACGCATAATCGCCTTCTTGGATGTAATCGCTGCTTCCAGTAAGCCTTGAGAAGTACTGTACGCGGATATGAGTTCCGCTCCACTTCTGCTTGTCTGTTCCGGTCCAAGTCGGGATGGTGACTGTTGTGTTGCCACCTTCATACGTCGTCCAGTTGGTCCAGCTCCGGCCGAAATCAGTCGAGTATCGGAACTTGTCAGCGCCGGCGGCGTTATGCTGAACATAAAAGCTATCGGAGGACTTGTGGACCAGGCTGGTAGAGTAATTGGCAAGCGGAGAAATCAGGGGGTTGTCATAGGCACCGAGGCGGAGTAAGAATTTGTCTGTCGCGTTTGTGTAAACTCCAGACGAGGAAACATTCTTGACGGTCAGTTGGTGAATTCCATGATGGACATTGCTCAGGTTGGCAGACCATGTCCAAACAGTCGGGATTTCTCCCACAAGATTATGGCTCGTGGTCCTAGGCTTGATTTTGGTGCATTTAACGCTAGATGTATCAAGCTTAGCGGTGATGGATTTCTCCGTTGTGGAATTCAAGACGATTGACTTTGTGATGCTGTCACAGTCCATCTCTGTGGAATAACCAAGCTGAATTGGCATGGTTTCACCCGTGTCTTCAGATGACAGCAATCGAGCATCGTGTCCAGGGTAGAAGTCAGTGACGGTAGGGCCAGGCTCCACAAAGTATTTGCTCTCCACATAGGACCGGTACTCCCATGGAAGCAACTCCATTTTACGGACACATCCGTAGGTAGTGCCGGATTCTTGGTCGGCGGGACCATCTTCCAGAGTGAGTTCATCATAAGGATAGAAAAGATTCCTCAGTTTTGTCCCTGAGTCAAATGGAGCCAACAAGGAGGTGTTCTTATCACTGCAATTTCCGCCGTAGGTTTCGGTTGAGTTTCCATTCTGATACACAAGCCATAGAGTCTCATTGCCCAGGATTGCGTCAGTTTGTACTCCGGGGAAATAACTTCGCAAAACCGACCAAAGGCCAGTGACCGTGGGGGTGGTGGAAGAACCAGGGAGATAGATATCTTTCGTGAGTTGAGAGATTGTTTGAAGAAACAGTCCATCCTGGGCGACTGGGTAATGAGCTCGGATCTCGAACATACGCTTCATGATGTTGCGAAGTGGGTGGGCGGGATTCCGCTGGTCGTACGTGACAGTGATATCGTTACATCCATGACGGCCCTTCTCGATGGGGAAATCGTAGAACTTGGAGGTGTTCAGATTGAAGCAGCCTTGTGTCCACCACGCGGTCTGGTAGGTCATAGGCTGCCGACCAAACATGTAGTTTGATGCAGTAGCGTCAAACACGTACATTGCCTGCTCTTCTCCCCACAAGATGAGAGGAACACCAGGAAGTTCCAGCGAGATAATGTACAGACCTAGAAGGTATTTATCTGTGCCATTCTGTACCGCTGGCCAACGGAAGTTATCTTGGTTCGAGACACCATACATATGTCTGGGATCCAACTCTCCTGTGAAGGCATTGAGGAAATCGTTGGTAATAAGCATCTCATTCCAAGCCTCAATGAAATCGGTAGGCAAGTCAAAGCCAGCAACCAAGTTACCGTCCATACCCAGAAAACGGGTCATCGAACGATAGATTGTATAGTGAAAAGCGGAGGCGTCCAGCGCTTGCAGCCCATCATCTCTGAGGAAAGCCCCTTCCGAACTGTTGGTAAGCTTGACTGCCGCACCTGCAGAGGCCGCGCGCTGATCTGGCTGGCGACCGCGACCGAGATAAAGACTACCGAAGCTATCTCCAGACGTGATCTCGCCGGGAAGGAAGAAATTGTTCTTGCCGAGCTTCTTCGCACACTCGCGATAGATCGCAGTCATTTCACTCAGAGGCTCGAGTGTCGATTGCACACTCTTATCAAAGCGAAAACCGTCGACATCCAGACTCGCGATCTGAAGACAGGTGTGTTGGGTGATGACATCGCGGACGGGCTTGTGCCATTCACGCAGGCGATCCTGCACGGAGGCGAACTTCGTAAGCTGGCGCTGCCAGTCGGGGAAATTACCAAACGCCTCGAGCTCTCCATACTGATCGAAGTCACTGTTGTAGCAACCCTTCAAGTCTTGAACGCCATTGGTCGTCAAAGGGTAGCCAGTTTCATCCCAGAATTTGGGATAGTTGCAGGTTTCGTTATACTCGTTTCCGAAACTGAAATCGGCATATTCTCTATCCGTGACCCATTGGACTTCATATTCGTGGGCTCTAAAATCGGCTGAGTCGTTCAGATGGCCTTTGAAACCGATCAGGTTGCTCATGCTGTGGATTTGAAATCAGTTATGAACGCTCCAGGAGCTTCAGCATCGACTCACGTTGAAAGTGTGTTATCCATCAACACATACATGTCCCGTTTGTGGATCTCCTCGATGGTCCGTCTCCAATCCTCAAGTGTACCGTAATGCATGTCGAGGAGAGTGGTATCGACCGGTGAGTAGCCATCGTAGGCCCAGGGCAAGTTCATCAGATACGTTCCGGCGAAATAGATGACCTATTTGAATCAGCAGTGGAACTATTTTGAAGCCGGGTAGACCAACCTTGAATCCCATACCCTGAATGTAATCCAGGGTATCTATCAAGCCATCCAGATCACCACCATGACGCATCTGATTGGAGTTGACTACATGCTCAAATGTAGTCCCGTTAATATCGTCATTTGTAGGGTCACCGTTGGATATGCGATCCAAGAAAATTGTATAGGTAGGCATGCGCCAGTTATCTGGCGAAGGATGATATTCATGGTCCGGCCATGCTCCCCAATAATCTATTGGGGAGTTGGCAGATTTGTTCTCGTTTAAATTATAATCGGCGAGTGACTCTTGGTAGGGCCAAGCAAAGGTGTAGACGCTCAAAAACGAAAGGACGAGGAGTGCTGAACGCTGCATTTCCGAATATATAATACTGTATCTGTATCCAGCAGGAATCTGCTGTCGGAAGATTGCGCGACACCGGAACGACTCAGGAACGAATGGAATGAAATTTTGATCAAAGCGAGAGTGAGTTGAGTGAAAGAACAAAGTAACTGAAACACGCTTCTAAAAGATTTTTACACAGAATTTACAAGAGAAAATTCTCAGAATACCCAGCATACGGCAAATTTACTATGGAGAACAGGTCCCTTATCGGGCCGAACGGATGGATGATTATAGTGCCATGCATTTAATGATCCACTCGGTTAGAATTCTATCGCATCCACTTACTTTTCACTGGCCCTGGCTGGCTGCGTTTTAGGTCGGTGTCTCAGACAAATCCTCAGGATTCCAACAGTACAATACCAATGTTCAACAGATAATTGTTAAGCCTAACTTCATGAAAGTTGCTTGTGTTAATTATGACGTAAAATGCTGAACATATAAGCACTCTCCTACTGTTGTACATTGTATCTATTCTAAAAGGTTTATTGAACTTAGGGCAATACATTCAGTAAGACATGCAGCACGATCCTACCGGTGTGACGGGGGCACATAGTGAAAGGTATTTTGATGGAATTATTTCTGAGGTCAAAGCACAATCTTGACTCTTAGACTGCATGCAAGCTATGAACTAATAAGCTTATCAGTAATCGGTTCAAATTTGGCGTATACCAAGTGAAAAACTTATGCTACACTAAAAATAATTGAATAGATATTGAGTGACAGTGCCCACTATCTGAGAGTTTTCTCTCTCTCTCTCTCTCCAACATAATCCACAAGTCTGGGTGTTTTATCCTGATATTTCTAACATGTCGATAAAACCCTAGGATGTTTTGTGTTCCGATCCAATAGATTTTTTTTTCGAGTCCAAAACGGGTACCGGATACCCACTTGACGTCAGAACAGAAGTTTCAAACCTCACTTTTAGAACGTTTCGATGCGAGTTAGGGCAAAATTAATTACCCGTTCAACCAGCCTGGCAGCCTGGAATTTCCCAACGTCCTGCTGGTATATCCTGCTGCCATATTCTGTCTACCTCGGATTTGCTAACCCCGAACTTGCCTCACCGATTTAATCCCTTACTCCAATTCAAGCTAATCTGATCTCTCATATCTTTGAGCGCGTATACACTACAGAATACGTATGCACCTAATAATAGTCGCCGCTCTACCTCGTACAACACTAGCTGCAACCCGGGTAGAAACCATGACAGGCCGATAATTGTGCTAATTCAATGAAAGTTTGTCGCGTAGCATAACTTCCAATCATGGGTAGCGATAGTGTCTTTTTGTTTTAGCGCCCAGCATAAGCGTCTTTATCATGGCATACGCGGCTTAGACTTTTGCGCCAGATGCATCACTTCAATGTCGTAGGTGCATTCTTATGGACATACAAACAGTGTGGCTGAAGCTTGTTTTCCATGCTAGTCTGCATCGTGGCGATAATAGGCGAAGGCAACATCCCACAATCCCCATTGGGAATGCGGATACACTGATAAGGATAGATTGGGGATATATTTAGTCGGGCTAAATATAGGCAAACTTGGAGTCAGTGGCTTGTGCGACCCATATGATGGCTGTCTTGTTTTCGAATGCTCCATACAAAGTGGATCGAATCTCGTTTCGTTCAAATCAGAGCGATTTGAATAATATCTTTGATACTCTCACGGCCTGTTCAGAAACATACTAGTACAGATATGATTTAGCTTCGTTCCAGATACGGTATGGTGTGGCCAATGTCTTACTATGCTGGGTGACAAAGCTTCAACACTTCTATCTACTTTTTCCCAACATATCCTACTGCCTTACGGAGTACTTCCTCGTGCTTTGTCTATTTGCAGACCCTACTCTTCGAAATCACGGGATTTAAAAGATATATCGCCATATATTCGGAATATAAACACGGCCCTTCTTCGTCCCTTCTTCATACTGTACCCCCCTAACCTATCACCCCAGCCTCTAAATGGCAAAGAATATTTTGTACTCAACCTTGTATTCAACAGAGTTACATAGCCAAGCATGCTGGACGCTCAATGTGGAACCTCGTAAGAGACTGCAGAATACAGGAAAGTGCAAGCTTATTGAACAATACTTTCATTCGTGTCAAAAGTCTTGGTTATCGTTTACTGACAACTCGCTGTGAGGGGCTAACTAATCTGACATCGACTGCCCAGGTTGGTGGCGTATTACAAATCACGCTGTAAGCCAAATGAAAGGTGAAGTATATTAAAAGTACGAGTTTGCCCAGTCTCAGTCTTTCTAGCCAAGGAATGAGAAGGGTCCAGGTGCACATCAAATACTGGAGGGATATATAGCTCATTCTCAATTATTTCCAAGGTTGCAAAGCGCCACAGCGATAAGAACTGACAAGATGATCACTTCGTCTAGCTTGGCAAATATAAGCAGACAGCAAGGGCGAATGCAATAAATACAATAAATGCGGTAAAGAGATAAAACCCAAAAATTTGACTCAAAAGCAAAATCGATGTACTGTGGTAATTACTCTCTGATCATATCTATCAGGTTTAGAAATGAATTATTGCATCAAAACCATATACAAGAGCCTCTCCGTTCCTTTTGACTATTCATCGGATCCCAACTTCCGCCGAGGAAAATATTCGCCGACCGTCCAATAGCCGACTAGAAACGTCAATCCCCACGCACGCATTTAAGCATGCGCCGTACCTACATCGTAGAACAACATAGTAAACAGCAATGACAGACATCAAAGAACCCCCACAGCCGGAGGAGTGGCACCTGATTGGCCTTCTTTCTTCCTTTCCAGACATAAGCCAAGACAACGAGCGCCGTCATGTGCTACCGGGCTGCAAGACACTTAGTGTTCCGAAGACAGACAAACCGCAGCGAACAAACCGCTTATCAGATCTTGATTATCAGGTGCTCGTGTTCAAGTATAAGGGATTTCTGCACGCCATTGACAATGCATGTTTTGCGCCCCTTTCGGCGGCTATGCGCTTACTTTCTTTAGCAATGCCCTCACTCATCGTTCCCACTGAAACAAGGGAGTGTTTTTGATATCGAGGATTTGGGGACGCCGCATGGCGCTGGTATACGCTGTTTTCGACATGGATGGAAATTCGATCTTTTCACTGGGCAGGGAGATGCCGGTCCCCATAAGCTTAATTTGTGGGATATTGAGCTGCGGGATATTTCATTGGAGGCTGGGGATATATCTGCGACTGCTGATAAAGAGGTATGGGTTAGGAGGCCACCACAGGCTCGGTGATTGGAAATACGGTGGTTAATTTGGAGCGTCATTGGAGGAAAATTACTCTACTATCGATGTCGCAAGCCAGGGAAAGATTTATTAACTATAAAAGACGGGGAATTTTGAATTGCAGCAGACATAAGAGAACATCGCGAAAGTGGGTATATTATGAAGTATCATAATAGATTCTGAAACAAATCCAGACAAGAATGGCGCAAGAAAGGAATAAATAAACCAAAAGAAACTCCCAGGTGTGGGATTGTACTAGATATAGGTATTGCCGAAGGGACTCCTCACTGAGTGTGATCTGAACGGGCTTATACGAAGAACCTAGAAATAGTCAGTAGTGATCATTCGATATCATTGGATAGACACATACCAAGCTGCAATAGCGATGATGAGATACATCATCATTAACAAGACACCCTCGAGCCAGTGGGACTTGCCATCACCAATGAGGTAGTTCACCTGCACAACGAAAGTCAGCATCAACCCATATTAACGCAGGAGCGAGCCTGATGACACACGTACCAAAAGAACAGACATGAAAAGCACAACCACTTGGAAGCCATCGAAGTTCAGAGTCTGCGACAGTTAGTATCATTCACAATGCCATGATAGTATGGAGATCAAACATACCATGGTCTCAACACCAATAATCCAGCCAAGAACGATAATCAAGGGCAGCACAAGCAGCGCAATCTGCATACTCGATCCAACTGCGACACCAATCGCAAGATCCATCTTGTCCTTGCAAGCAACTGTAACGGCAGTAGCGTGCTCAGCAGCATTACCCACGATAGGCAGGAGAATCAATCCAACGAAGGTCTCGCCAATATTGCCAGTAGCAGTCAAAGCATCGATTGAAGAAACCATGAACTCAGCACAAGCAGCAACAAACGCAGTCGAGATTGCCAGGGTAAGCACAGCAGTGAGAACGGACAGCTGCGGCTCCTCAGCCTCATCCTCCTCCTCCATTTGCATGTGGTCATCGCTCTGGCCAACCAACGGGGTGGCAGACATTTTGCCGATCTGCGCGATCCCACGACTAGCGTCGCCTTCATTGACACGGGCGTGGCGGCGCTCGACCTTCTCGCTGGGCCGGTTGTACATTTCCGCGTGGGACTTGAGCTGGAAGAAGAGATAGCAGCCGTAGACAATGAGGAGGAGCACGCTCGTTCCGCGGGATAGAGGGGCGGTTCCGTCACCATTAGAGATATCGGACCACTTGTGGTACGCGGTGGGGATGATCAAGCTGCTGACGGCGAGTGCGAGCATGCTCGCTGCCGTCTGGGCGACTGTCACGTTGAAGTTCTGCTCCACGCGATCGATGCCGCCCAAGAAGAAACACATGCCGAGCACCAGCAGCAGGTTGGACAGAATACTGCCGATCAGAGAGGTTTGCACGATGAGGGTCTTGCGCTGGACAAGGGCGATGATCGCGACGATTAGCTCGACGGCATTGCCGAATGAGGCGTTCAGGAGACCGCCGATTGTTTCGCCGGTGCGGAGGGCGATTTCTTCGGTGGCGAAACTGAGCATTGCGGCCAGGGGAATGATGGCAATGAAGTTGACTACGAAAACCGCGATTGGGTTGGCGTTCACAGCATATAGGGCAATTCCGACAGGCGCGGCGATCAAGAGAATGTTAATCCACGAGTTGAGAAGCGTAGCCTTTAGCTGCGACGTAAGCGTGAATTTGTGCGGCTCAGAAAGCGATTTCGTATCCTCCGTCGCACCAGTATCGCGATGGAACTTGCGAGATAATCTACCCTTCCAACTGGAATCACTAGTCAAAGCATTGTGGCTCGCCATGGAGTGTTCGGTTTGAGAGCGAAGCGTGGTCGGGGAACCCTGCCCATTTGGAGCAAGCTCGGCCGGGAAACTCGAAGAGGCTGCTGGCCCCTCGAGGCCGTGGTTCATCTCCTGTCGTCGCCGGCGATCTTCTGATAGGTCGCCCAAGCTGCGGTTGACACCCCTTTCGAGTTGCAAGGTGTTGGACCGCCGTAGGTTGCGGTTGGGACGGAACTTCTTGAATGGATTGTGCGAGGACGGTTCGCCTTCTCCGTCATACCACGCTTGTTTGCGAGCCTCGGTGCGATATTTGTCTAATGGGATCAGTATGGTTGACGATGTAAGCTCAGATGTCGGACTTACGCATGATGGCGGTATGGTGTTAATCACTAGACAGGAACAGGTTTGTGAGTATATTTGGGCAAGCTATAGTGGATAAAAGGGCAAATAGATATAAATGGCAATGGGCATTGAGAGATAATGCGGCGACAATGAATATCGATATCCAACTGAGCCACGCGCTGTGGCGTGGCTCAGACGTTGAACAGGCTAAGAGACCACGTACTCACAATTATTTTAAGTTAAGTGAGTGTTTTCAGCAGAGTCAAGGGTTTGGTCGTTTATGCCTTAGAACTAAGCGCTCAGCTTCGGTGCTCCTTGAGTAATAGTCACAGTTTGAAGATGAATGGTGGGTGCGCGAAGTCCAAAAGATTGCAACACAAATTCGACACGCGCACAACAATAGATCGGGTTGAGAATAGCGCCGAGGCAAGGGGTAGGCGGGAATCAACAAAGAACTAACGAGCGGCTATTCTCACACTACTGCGAGAAAGAAAGATGCAGACCAGGGAAAACGAGAAATGAAGGGATAGAATTCGTGTATTCCGTAGCAATTTCCAAGATTTGAGGAAATTATTGGCTTTGGAACCAAATTTGCACAGCCACACTAGTCTGGAGCGATCGCGATAGCGTGTTTTATCGGGAGTTGTATGAGCTTGGCATTCGAAAGAGAAAAAAGCAAGCTCCGATCACAAATCGAGTAAGTTAAGGTGAGCAAGTTGGGCAAGTGAATAAGTTAGTGAATTGTGATTAACCTAGGTATGAAACCCTGCTTCCAGTTAGATATATGTTTGGTGATGCGCTGTGACAATGAGACACGACGATGACCGCCACTTCAAAATCTTGGAACCCAAAGCTTCACAAAGCTTTGTCTTGCTTGGTTGTGCTTGGGCTTCTTGGGCTTCTTGGCGAGCAATTTCTTCCCAAATCCTGCAGATTTCACGTAGGTCACACCGCATCAATCCAGAGATAGCAGGTATTGACGTAGCCCACACGAAGCCATATTGCACGCCGTCGAGTACGGAGTCGAGCCATTTTCATTTCATTTCATTGGAATCAAATTTCCAGACAAGTAAAAGTGACCCACTCTTGGCAGGGATTGGCTCAATCAGACGTCGAAGAACAGAAGTGAAAAGGGAGTTCCACATCATTATTCGACGCCCCTTTTTTTCGATTTCAAGGTTGTGGCTTCACATGTGTCATATGTCACGTGTTGGTTGTTGGTTGGCGCTTCGGGGGCGTTTTGGGGCGCTCTTCCCCGGGGAGTTTGTCGCTCGTTGTTGGCTTCCAATCCTCAATGATTAGACTGCACTTCTATCGGCTTTTCCGTGAGTCTGTGATCAGGCCAGTTTGGGTATGTAGCATGTAGCTTTGGTGGCTTGGGGTCTTTGACCCTTCACAGTAATTCAGTAATTAGCTGTCGTCATCCCGAGGAAATGTGCCTTGAATGCTCATCTGCTCTCTGGTTGTAAACGTCTAGCAGAAAATCGTTGGCATTGTCATCCTTGCGAGTCCTTCAGGGCCTCATGTCATTGGTTCTGCCTAGCTGTCGGTTGAAAGCGGCTAACCGGGTAATTGAGCTGTGGGTAGAACCAGGTCAAAAAATACATATGTAATGGTTGTTCGCATGTTTTGAAGTAAACGATCAATGTCCTGGAGGTACTTGTAGGAAAGAACTATCGAAAAGAAAAAAATTCAGCCCTACGGGGGGGACATTCCTTTTGGCCCACAAGGCTACGGCTAATGGTTGTTGCCTATCGGTGTCACTAGCCCCCTTTGAGAAATGCTGGCCTTGCAATATTGCAGTACCTAGGTACAGTAGCAATCGAGTCCCTCAAATGGGCCCAACATCTAGTACGAGCAATTCAAACACCGCGGAATTTTTCGGTCCCCTGCAAAATCTTTCAAGGGAAAGTTGAGGATTCGCATTGCGAAATAGTTCTAACCAGTCCTGGTAAGATCGCGAGAAGCAATTCAACCTTGCAATCATCTGCAGGTCAAGTGAATTTAAAAATGGCGATGCATACTCCCCCCTTCCAGGATCCACGAAATCATGAACAAGGATTTTCGAGATACCTGGCTTCATGACATTTGTTATGTCTGTTATCACAGTAGCGCAGTCGCTGGATTCCACGAATAAAGTTTTAGCCTGGGCTTCTTGTCTACTGTTGTGAACGGGATGATCCTTACCTGGCTGAGTGATCCATCAACACATGGCTCAGAAGGTAGATAGTGGCACCTTCAACCTGCTGGGGAGAGAAAATGTCATGTGACTGCCATTGAATTCTACCTGCCATAGTCAATGCTTTCTGTGCCTTTCCCGAGAAGGATCTGGCAGAGAGATGTCAAAAAGCGGCTGACGTTTTGGTTGGCTTCTGGTTCAAAGAAGACCCCAATTATGAGTAGATGAACACAGCGCTTATCCCCTATCTTGAGCTCCATTTCAAGGACCGCCCACATGTTATCGGAGATGAAGTTGCGATTCTCTCGGCTAGGCCTTCTCCAAACTAAGAGTCGTCGTGACGGCATTTTTCGTCTAGTGCAGTTGCGATAGATGAAAATTTCTGTCTCGCGGCGTTTCATGGTTTCGCCAGCCTATTGTTCGCCTCGCGGCATCCATTTTACTATTGTAATACAAATATTATGGATAGATTGCTGAACGGCTCGAAAGAGCTTCTCTATGTTGTCCGACATCCATGGAAGGCGATAGCGGTGGGCACTGTAGCCGTGAACGCCGGCATAAAGAGGCCTTTTCTTTGATTTCTTGATTCTGTGTCACCTAGGTACAATCATACGGAGTAGTATTGTATGTAGTGTGGCCTTTTCACCTGCACTTAAAACACTTATTTGCATTCAATTGAGTCTTTTTTTGTCTATATTGTATAAGATTAGGATAATAATTCCACTCAAATCTATTTTGGCTTTTGTGGTATTCACGTAATATGCTACCTAATTTTAAGGGCGCTATATTTAAACGGTGTCTTAGCGAGTGTTTTTGTTTATGTCCAAGTATTGATTGTTCTACCACGAGGGCCAGAAACAGTCTAGGTATTGAATATCCTAATTGGAATAAGTCATACCCTGTCTCCATGCCCAACCTCTGGGACTATAGACGTATGATGGTCGCCATATTTGTTGACCAGTAACGCTTTCACCGGGTAAGCGCCAACTACAACATCTTCTGCCGAGCCTACGTTGTAGCTACCTACATAAATCATACTAATTTATAATGGGCCCCGTCTGTTTCGTTCATTGCACAAGATTGACTGGATCTGCGTTGGTGTCCTCGCATCAAATACTATACCTAGGTATGTATTCATGTATTTCTGGATCGACTGTGCTGAGAAATTGACCAGAATAGTTTAAAATCCATTTTGCTGTAAGTCGAACTGCTGGGGTTGCTGTCTCTCCCCTGTGAAATATCTCTACGACCATAGCGTCTTCATCAATTGCGATCACAATGTCTTTGTTTTTTTAGAAAAAACAGAAAGATGTTTGGCGATGCAACACAGCAGAATGAATAGTAATAGCATTGAGACACCTATAACGCTGTTAATCAACAGAATACCTTAATTTTGCACTGTACAGACAGTGATTCTATATCCACCCGACCATTCCAAGGTTGAAAGTATCATAAAAGGCCAGCGATACAATCCTATATGAATCAGTAACCAAGAAAAATAAATCTAGTCGAGAAAGAAACAGGGCAATAGATAGACGTTATATCTAAGACTTTCAAGTACTCAGAGTGGCATGTCAACGTTTGTAGCCATGGACACTATAAGTCTACTGTGACTGTCAGCTAAAGACCCGAACATGCGCATGATATAAACATATTTTGGCATGAAATCCTGGGATTAATCAATGATCTAACATACTTATTCGACAAGCAAAGCATTGACCGTACGAGCCTAAAATCGTAGATCCATAGAAACCCGTATTTCATGATTTGAAATAGTAACATCCATGTCGTACAGGGCGATAGAAACCGTTTATTGGAGTTATGTTGTTCCAAACTTTATATTAGATGGCCCCAATTTCTTCAAGGTTAGGGCAAACCGAAAGTTTCTAAGATTGTACGCCGAGTATCACAGAAATGCCTCATACATAGCGCGAAGCATTGCGCCTAAGATCGTCAGAGCCACAAAGCTTGAGTTAAACAAGCGGTGCACAAGGCTAGAGAAGGATTGAACTTCCCCCATACAGTATACCTTGTATGCGACCCGCATCTGACGTGATGTGATAGTCAGGGGTAATAGACATTGGGAATTATATATTGACATTATTGTATATATCGTTGTCCTCCTACTTTGAATTGCATTTCTATTGCGATCAAACAGCTGCAATTGAAATTATCATATACGTGTGTTGCACTTATTCTGTATAGAATATAGTTCCAAGGTTGGTTCAGACTCCAAAGGAGCGAGCCGCAACTCCGTGCAGTCTGCCGTGCCGTCTGATCGTCTGTGCAATATTGAGATGTGAAAATCGATAGTTTCTGCCCCACTGGATGAATCGCATGGAAAGATGTTAAATTTTGTTTTTGGAATTCCAAACACTCCTCGGCTCTTCGGGATGTAGGCAACAGTTTTTAAAGAATAAACGAGGAATACGAAAGGTAACGGGATGGCTATCCAATTGGACATTTAGCCGAATTGGTACAGTACCAGAAATAAAAGGGGACAATGAGGAGGCGTTCGCTAACTCAGTGAGAGTGAGAATTATTTGAGACATTTGGGGACCTCTCAATCCAATTTTCGGGCCAAGATTTGCCCAGAGCTGCCCAGATAGCTTCATTCCTAACGACATCACCACAAAGCATTGATCGCCCTTGGCAAGGATAGACAAGCTTTTTATCTGACGCACCTTTTGTTGAATGGAGTCAGTGATCAATACAATTATATCCATTATGGTACAAATGTGCCGTGTCTGGTTTGGATTATAGGGTTAAACGTTACAGTGGCTTCAGAGATGAATTACCGCACAATAACGAAAATAAATAACCGAAAATGAAGCGGACAAGGAAAATCCACTGTATCCAGGGCATCTCCACCAGTCAGGGTCCTCCAGGGTCTTTCGAGGGTCCGGGTTCCCACGGATGGGTACTTGACTAGTACTAGTTGGTACAGTCGTTTCAGGGGCTTTGGTTACTTATGACGCCCTGAGGGATCTAGTGGAGTTGGAAATCACCCAATGACATCGGATATCGACTTCATGTCTTCCAAGGTGAACCAATCAAATGTCTCGATTCTGTTACAAAAATAACAAACAAATATAGAAAGAAAAAAAAATACAAAATCGAGACTGGCTCCGTATAGGTAGAAATAATCCACTGACACACAGCCCATGAATGCGCGTCGGGAGCGAGGTCAATCCCCCCTTGGGTCAAGCTCCACTTTCCCCCTTCCTCTGAATGAGACATCTTCTTTTCTTCTCTTTCTCTTCCTCTGGATTTCTCCTTTTTCTTCCAATCTACATTCGCTATAACTAGACGGTGGTAGGGTACCCGTCAGACATTCTTTAGTCAAGTTCATATTGTTTTCATACACAATGAAGGCCTCCATCCTCGCCGGTCTCTCCATCATTGGAGCCGCCGTGGCTACCGTGCCCAGCATTGAGATCAAGGGCAAGAAGTTCTTCTACTCCAACAACGGCACCGAGTTCTTCATTCGTGGTGTCGCTTACCAGGCCCAGTACACTGGTGGAAATGGTGGTGACACTACGACCAGCACCTACAATGATCCCATCGCCGACATTGACGCTTGCAAGCGTGATATCCCCTACCTCACCCAGCTCCGCACCAACGTTGTTCGTACCTACGCTGTTGACCCCAGCAAGGACCACGATGAGTGCATGAACGCCCTCGCCGACGCCGGCATTTACCTGATCACCGATTTGTCCGCCCCTGACCAGTCCATTGTCTCTGACGACCCTACCTGGAACGCCGACTTGTTCACTCGCTACTCCCAGGTCGTCGACGCCTTCGCCAAGTACCCCAACGTCATCGGTTTCTTCGCCGGTAACGAGGTCTCCAACAAGGTCAACAACACCGACGCCATGGCCTACGTCAAGGCTGCCGTCCGTGACATGAAGTCCTACATCAAGCAGAAGAACTACCGTAGCTCCCTCGCTGTTGGTTATGCTACCGACGACGATCAGACCGTGCGTGAGGCCATCTCCAACTACCTGATCTGTGATGATGCCTCCGACTCCATCGACTTCTTCGGCTACAACATCTACGAGTGGTGCGGCGACTCTTCCTTCACGAAGTCCGGCTACTCCGAGCGCACCAATGAGTTCAAAGACTACCCCGTTCCCGCCTTCTTCTCCGAGTACGGCTGCAACGACGTCCGTCCCCGCAAGTTCACCGACGTCCCCGTCCTCTTCGGCCCCCAGATGAACGATGTCTGGTCCGGCGGTATCGTCTACATGTACTTCGAGGAGGCCAACAAGTACGGTCTGGTCTCCACCGACGGCAACAAGGTCAGCACCCTGTCCGACTTCAGCTACCTCTCCAAGCAAATGGCCACCATCTCCCCCACCGGCGTCGACTCCAGCAAGTACTCCGTCTCCACGACCGTCGGCCGCAGCTGCCCGACCGTCGGCGCCGACTGGAACGCCGCCAGCATCCTGCCTCCCTCTCCCAACGCCGACCTCTGCGAGTGCATGTACAACTCGCTCGAGTGCGTTCCCAACTCAGACATCACCGACAAGCAGCTCGGCAGCACCTTCTCCTACCTCGGCGGCCAAGGCGACGTCATGGCCGGCGTGAACTCCAACGCCACCTCCGGCAAGTACGGCGCCTACTCCATGTGCTCTGCTAAGCAGCGCCTGGCCTGGGCCATGGACCGCTACTACCAGGAGAACAAGGGCAAGGCTGGCGCTTCTGCCTGCGGCTTCAATGGCGTCGCCTCCACCAAGAAGGCCACCTCTGCCTCCGGCTCCTGCGCTACCCAGATGAGCTCCGCCGGCACCAAGGGCACCAACGTCGTCTCGGGCGGCCTTGCTGCCAGCACTGGTGGTGCTGCCACTGGCACTGGTGCTACCAGCGGTGCTACCTCTTCCGGTATCGCTGTCGGCACTGTGCCCCAGGCTGTGCACGTTGGCAACTGGCAGGCAGGTGCGTACGCCGTTGCTGCTATTGCTTCTGGTGTCTTCATGATCATGCTGTAAGCGTGTTAAAAAACATGTTTATATTTGACTTGGCCGGCCCCTACGGTTTGGATCCGTGGGTGTGGCTTTTTTGTAACATTGTTTCGTACATATTTCTGTTTTTATCCAGTTAGCAGGTGTTCATTTTTCTCGGATATTTTTAAAATCCACTGCTGATATTATATCCAATCGTTTCCATGTGTTTTAATCTATCTCGCACTAAGGTGTAGATTTCAAATGACCTGGTAGTGTGTACTTGTAGTTTTGGTTTGTATCTTTTAGCACTTTATATTCCGACCCCAACCAAACCCTGTCAACACGTAAATATTCGATATTCTCACTACAGTTCGCTGACCTATCTGGGTTTGCTAACTATATGGACTCATAAGTATGAATGGTTGACATAATCATATAGCCTTAAAAATATCAATGGTTGATATTAATCGCAATGTACCACTACAAGTTAAATTGACGTGTTCACACGTATGTCGCATCACCTCTGCCACCTGGGCACGTGCACATAACCTGCCCTAAGTGTGTAACACCCCTCAACGTTCCATTGTCTGTCTTGATCTCTCCAACCATCCACCTGGGCCTGTGCTTAACCTTCCCCTTGTGGAGGAATGGTCTTCATACCGCATCTCAAATTTGTTGGCCTGCGACTGGTTATGATCCTGATCAAACAGTTCCGTGCGAGTTGGCAAGCGACGGAAGTTGTAGGGCGACGTCCTGATGCTCATGATTTTGTGCAGTGACCCGCGGAATTCATGGAGGGTGGCTTTGTCCTGATATCACCTCTGCCACGTGGACCCCTGCCACGTGGACGTGATTTGCCCTAAGTGTAAAAAACCCTCCAACTTTCCATTATCTGTCTTCTTCTCTTTCATTGCCCACCTGGGCCTGTGCTGAACCCCCCCCCCCCTTGTGGATGGAGGAATAATCTTCAAATTGTATCTCCAGTTTGTTGAGCTGCGACTGACTATGATCCTGATCAAACAGTTTCATGTCGGTTGGCAAGCGGCTGAAGTAGGGCGCCGTCATGGATTGGTGTAGCTACCAACGGAATACATGGGGGTGAGTAGTATTTTCTTGATCTTGTAGTCTTAGACATGTATGCTGGTAAAGGTAGCTATGTGACTGCGGTGGTTAATTCTTGTGCTATGCATAGTTAACCTGCTTTTATTATCTTTGAAAGGATGCTCTTATATTGATGTATATGCTTGTCTGCCAGAAGATACTGCAGAAATCAAGAGCCATGCTTCGGTTTAACTCTTATCAAGATAAATATTGATGGTGTTGGGACCTGTAATTGTTGTATACCGTATGTGTATATGCTGTACGGTAGTCGAATGAATCTTGCAGAGATCGAATAGGTTTTCCAATTCAGATCAGAAGTCTAGGACATCTTTCACGATGTTAATACCGTTTCTCCATTGAGAGTTTCTCTTTTCCCCACGCTGGTTTGCATCGTTTACTCTCACCACCTCACACTTCCCCAACTTATCGAGTCTCGAAACTCGAACTCTTTTGATATTCTTTCATCCGCTCTGTTCTCATCCGATCTGTTCATAACTGCGTTTAACTCCATTCTGGATCCATTTGGTCCGCAATGGAAGCAATCAAGCAAGCCTTTGCTGACAGCAAGGGGCAGAGCCGTTCCGCTCTGCTTGCCTATGTCACAGCAGGCTATCCAACCATCCAAGAAGCCCCCGACATCATGCTCGCCATGCAAGCCGGTGGAGTTGGTACGTGTTTAATCGAGCAGCATCGTTAGCCCTTGTATCGCCGTCGGTTTACACAAAGGCCGACGGGCCGCCCTCAAAACGGCGTCTCCATCCTAACAAATCACATCAATTGCTGACCGTCGACTTGGACAGACATCATCAATCTCGGCATTCCATCCACCGAGGCAATGGCTGATAGTGAGATAATGCACCGCTGCAATGCCAAAGCTCTCCAGGATGGCGTCCGACTCCCCCTCATCCTGGAGATGGTCAAGTCGGCCCGCAGCAAGGGTCTGGCCGTTCCCGTCTGTCTGATGGGCTATTGTAAGCCTATCTTCAATTATCCACTCGGCGAGGACCAACTGCTGCGAGACTGCAAAGCCGCCGGCGTGGATGGCCTCATCATTGTCGATTATCCACCGATGTACGCATCGCGGTTTAGCAACACATGCAGGGACAAAGGGTTCGTATCCCCGCCAGAACAGCAGTAAAGACCCCGACTCGTATTGGCTAACGGACAAGACATGCAGACTCTCGTGTATTCCTGTCGTCGCCCCGTCCACTCTCCCCGATCCCATGGAGGACCTTTGTGCTTCCTCTGACTCATTCGTCTATGTGATGTCCCGCATGGCAGTCGTTGGACCCTGGCAACAGATAGGTGATGGAATTATTCAGCTGATTGGGCGCGTTGATTGCGTCACTGAAGGGACCGTTCCAGCTGTCATCGCCTTCGGCATTAGCACCCGCGCGCAATTCTGGAGAATCGCCAAGCACGCCGAGGGAGTCGCGATTGGCAACCCGATCATCGAAGCCCTCGAGAACGCTGAGCCAGGCACCGGCGCCCAGAAAGTAAAGCGTCTTTGTCTGTACATTGCGGCCCGCCTCGAGTGGCACGTCGAAATCCCGGAAAGGCCCCAGCTCCCCAACGAAGCAAGCGATGCCCCCGTTGCCCTAGATGTCCTCGCAGACCAACCCGCAGCAAGCGCAGCCAGCACCACCCGCCCGGCCGCCTTCGACGACCTATCCGCCCCGACATACCTAAAGTCGTGTCTGAGCGAGCTCGAAACTGCCTTTGCAGCCGCAAGCGCCGACCCAGACTTCTGGGACGAGATTCGCTCCCACGCAATCAACGCCAACCGTCCCACCTCACTGGAAGTCGCCGAGCGACTAACCGCACACGCCGGCGGCGCCCGCATCTGGCTCAAGCGAGAAGACCTGAGCCATACCGGTAGTCACAAGATCAACAACGCCCTGGGCCAGATCATCCTCGCGCGGCGTCTTGGAAAAGCCGCCATCATCGCCGAAACTGCCACTGGCGCGCACGGCATCGCGACTGCAACCCTGTGTGCAATCTTCAACATGCGATGCAGTATCTTCATGGGTTCGCGGGATTTTGAGACTCAGCCGGGTAAAGTATCCCGTATGCGTTTGCTCGGTGCTACTGTTATCCCTGTTCAGGGGGTTTCTGGTAGATGTGATGGCAGCGGCACGGTCCGCGATGCGTTGAACGTAGCATTCCGCATTTGGGTCGTGGAGCAGGAAACGACTCACCTTGTGCTCGGCTCTGTGTTCGGTCCGGATCCGTTTCCGACTATCGTGCGCTCTTTCCAGATGGTTATTGGTACTGAGACACGCGCCCAGTTCCAGGCTGTGAATGGCGATGGGAAGTTGCCTGATGCTCTTGTTGCATGCGTTGGTGGTGGGTCGAATGCTACCGGCATGTTTTATCCTTTTGTACAGGATTTGGGCGTTGCCTTGGTTGGGGTGAAGGCTGGTCGTAGTGGACCCATGGCTGGGAACTCTGCCGTGCTGACCCGGGGCCTGGATGGTGTTTTGCGTGGCGTAAATACTCATGTGCTGCCCGGTGAGGTTCGACATGCTTCGCGAACATACTCTGTTTCTGCTGGATTGGATTATCCCGGTGTTGGCACTGAGTTGATGAGTTGGAAGGAATCTGGTCGGGCGACTTTCACCGCTGCTAATGACACTGAGGCTTTGGGTGCTTTTTGTTTGCTGAGTCGGATGGAGGGCATCATGCCGGCACTTGAGACTGCGCACGCTATTGCTGGTGCTTTGAGGGTTGCCAAGGACATTGGGGCTGGTGGTGATGTTGTCGTTTGCCTCAGCGGAAGGGGAGATGATGACGTGCAGACCGTCGCTGATATCCTGCCCACTCTCGGTGAAAATGTTTAGCGTTGTGCTGAGCGGTCGATTGCCGCGAGATCCATACTTCGGATAGTGCCTTTTGGTGCTTCTCTGACACATTGGCGGCCGCATACTTTACTTCGAAATCTTTCTTGACTTAAGGAAATTTTCCATTAGGGAAAGTTTCTATTGAAATCGAAATGATCAATATGACCCTGAGGATTTTCGTAGACTCTCGAATCGAAAGTGTAAAAGAGAGTGATAGAGTAGTTATACGCATTGACCACTGTGTCGCTATTCACTTCTGTACAGGACCCCTGTCAACACAATTACGGGAGCCCCCACTTCTTCGGCGCTTGTTTATGTTTTTCTTCTACTTTGTACGAACCCCCTTTTTGTTTATTTTCAAGATAAGATCTGCATAAAAAGGGTCTTATGCAATGTTTATGCCCCCAGCCTTTCTCCTGCTGGCGCAGCTTCCACAAGCTGCAAGTACAAACACAACGCTCGAAGGCTGGCAGTTCGACGACAACTCACGTTCGACATGGACAATAGTGTGGATGTGTTTCTCGACAATTCTCGCTTGTACCTGGACCGTTCTACGAGTCGATGTTCCGTCGCGCAGGTGGAGTAAATTCCAGCGCACGGCAGTCAAAGTGTTTCTATGGTTACTGGCCGTGCTTTGTCCAGAAGTTATAGCCTGGGGGACGGTAGTGGAGATGTTTGCGGCGAAAAGTATAGCCTCCTCGTGCAACTCTGCTCAAGAACCAGTGAGCCGAGAACCCAGACCAAGAGAAGGGACTTCAGCGCAGGAAGGTCAGTCGTGGACAATTGCGCAAGGCTATTGTATCAAAATGGGTGGGTTGGTCTTGCAAACGCAAGATTATTGGGTATATACCGTCACGCCTAAAAACATTTTAGCGTTCATAAAATCAGGCGTTATCAGTAGTACTGATTTCCGAGACGAGGACATCGAAGATCGATCTAAGGCCGATGCTCTGGGGATGGTGTTTACGATCATCCAAAGCGCCTGGGCTATGTGCAGTATAATAGCACGGGCTACGTACTCGCTATCTATATCGCCTCTTGAGCTTGGGACGATTGCGTACGTCGCTTGCGGCATCTTGACATATGCCTTCTGGTGGCATAAACCGAAGGACATGACCACACCGATCAGCATACCCCTGCGATATGACCGGGACAATACCCCCGTTGCAGTTCGGAATGTTATGGATGCAACCCCGCAGAATTGGTTCAATTTGCGTGGGCCCTCACCTGAGAATAGTAGTTCCTCCGCCCCAAAAGATAGCGCGGGACGTTTCACCTTCTTCTTTGGGGATGGACCTGCCCGATATCCTTCACAAGATGGCAATAGTGCCATACGATTATCTCACGGTAGAAAGGCCCTAACAGCTGTTTTTGCCACATTAATTGCTCTCGTTTTCAGTGGTATCCATGTTGCTGGGTAAGTTGCATCTACCTATACTCACGACAGAAGGGCTCGAGAGGCTGATACTTGAGATAGGTGGAACTTTATTTTCCCGACACATGCTGAGAAAATAGCCTGGCGAGTCTTTACATTGATTGCGATCTCGTCCTCCTTTCTTCCGCTGGTTGTTGCGCAGGGCCCTCTCATGGCTGTGTTGCTTGCGAAAAAGAATAGACTTCCTGCATTCTTGAAAAGCCTGGGGGACCCGAACTCCAAGGTCACGATTCTTGAGATTGTGCTCGCGGATGGATCCCTGTATCTGTATTTCATAGCGCGATTTGGAACTCTTGCTCTTATGCTGTCGTCATTGAGAGCTCTCCCTGCCGATTCATATATCACACCCAATTGGGTTTCGAGCATACCCCATGTATAGATTTGGGCTCCCATGGAGAAAGTTGCCATGAGAATGCCCATTCTGTCTCTACATGGTCAGCTACATATTTCTCTTGCATATGTTATATTGGCAACTAGATTCCATACCATCATGGCATTAATAAGCCAATTGTATAATTATGATTATGTGTATCCGAACAAGATAATGTCAGCTATCAATGCAACGTATTGCAAGAGCGAGAAAACCGTGGATTTCGCAATACATGCACAAAAACTCTACTCTCCCATCAACCTTCTACCCTCCTCGCTAGAACCAAGGCTCGCAAATTGGATCTTGCGGATAGCATGTCCCTTCCACATAAGCAGCATAACAAACATGAAAGAGAACACCGCAAAGAAAGCCATCATACCATAAACCCACCCAAGATCAACAGCTTCAACCCATGGATTAATATAGAAGCTGATCGTCAACCCGTAAACAATCCGATAGGCACCAATGACAATGCCAGCCTCGGCCGGATACTTCGTAAAGCACTCGACAACATAATTCACCGTGACGGGGACACTACCCAACGACCCAATAGTAACAAGAAACACCGCAAGCGCCAATACCATATAGTGCAGATGATACTGCAGAGCGGCGCCGAATATCCCCAGCCCAATCGGATTGATCACAAGGCTAGGAATCCACAGGACGTGTAAGCGGTACTCGGGCTTCCATGCACCGCCATTGTATCGCCGCGCGAGTGTGAGCGGCAGTTTGTCGTTCAATAAGTGACCGTAGAACTGGACGAAGATGATTCCGATCCAGTGGCAGAATGTAAATGCGGCGTTTTGCTCTAGTGAGAATCCATAGCCCCCTTCAGAAACGGGTTTCTGGAGCCATACTGGTGTCAGGGCATTGACTCCCACGTAAAATCCAAAAGAAATTAATGTAAAGATCCCCATGATGATTGTCACCGGACACATTCCGATCAGGAACGGTGTAATTCCAATTTTGGCCTGTTCAAGTTCATTAGATCATGTGTTTCTTCTATGGCGCGAAGAAAGCACCCTGTATACATACCGTTTCCTTCCAAGTAGTCGGCAACACGACGCGATGTCCGAAGAAAAACGTCGCAAGCCTATTCGCCACAATTCCAGCTGGAATCTTCGGATTCCGATCCAAGGTCTCACGATCATACCCAGTCTCCTCGAGGAAGCAAAAGCAACAGAGAAGCGTAAATCCCAACAACCCGACCGTCCACCAGAACTCAACCGGGAAAAACGAATGCGCCGAGACGAAGCCCGAGAATGTGGGACCAGCAATCGTGCCGAACAAGAACGCCATGTGCAAGGCAGTGAAGGCACGGCCACGCTGATGCAGGAAGAACAAATCGGTGACAATGCGCGGCCCTAGCACGGTAGGTACGGCACCGAAAAAGCCAGCGAAGAGACGCGAGATCACGTACGGAATGTAATCATTGGCATCGGTCATGACGGCGCCCCAGATCTGGCACACCAGTGTGAAAAGGATACACCAGAAAATCACGGAGCTTCGACCGAGCATGTGAGATATTGGTGCGAAGAAGAATGGGCCGGCGGCCATGCCGGCTAGGGCGGCTGAGTTCTGGTATTTGTAAGAGATACATACTTGTATACAGGAGCGAGACTGGCTCGGGGTGATTAGATACTTACTGCATACGACTCTTCGAGCTTTGTCTTGTTGTACAACTTTTCCTGATCAGCTAGGTTTAGTTGCCCCGATAAGGGCGCAATGGCACCGGAGAAAGATGCGAGACATAATACAGCTAGGATTGTGTATTTGCGGCGCGTTGTCCAATTCTGTTGGAGAATGATTAGCTTATGCCTAGAGCTATGATATTTCAAGGCTATTCCGTCATACCAGAGGGTCTCGGGGCCAGGTACTGGGCTGGGGGATTAGGACCAGGTGAGATGTGCTTTGCTGTTCGATTGCCGAAGAATCGGATGTTTTGGCATCCTTTGTTTCTACATGCATTGTTGATCAAAGTCTGCCCGAGCGCTGTGTTGGAAGTCTCTCCAATGTGTTTACCCCTTGCGTGAGCTTTTTTTTTTCCGCCCTGGGCCACAAGATGTCTTGGCGGGCTAGATCAAAAGCTTTAATTTCGCCAAGCTCTTTTGCCGAGCTCTTATACGATCTGGGGAAAGCTCGCATGAGGACGCGTCAGCTGGGTCGTAGATTGTAAGCTGTATGGCCAGTTCATTGGGGTTGGGTGTTATGCTCTTCCGAGAGTGGAATGATGAATAGGTTGTATTAAACGAATGATTTGCATCTATTGGTCTTTCATGTTCAAATCACCACAAAAAGTAACTCCCTCCAAATGTGGAGTTTAGACAAGAAACAATTAGTGGCCTGAGTTTCCAGGCCCCTGGTTCGGAGTTGCCCAACTGCATCTGGAATTCAACCTCACGTTTGCAGGCAATTGACTATTCTTACCATTCCTACTTCACCAGGCTTCATATTCAAATACTACATACTAAACTCTTTGGGTACCCATGCCGATCGGTCTGACAGTCCGATCCACATCGGAGCAAAAAACTCCACACGAGAAAAAACCCAGTCTTCGGCGACGGTTTCAACATGCCGAGCACGTTTTCATACAAAATGTATGCAGAACGCTCTTCCTTCTTATGGACAGACATTCGACCATCATTCAAACAATCTATACCATCAGCCTAGATATATAACTGCTAATCTTCAAAAATGGAAACCGGACCGGACCTTGAGTCCCAAAAACCAAACCCGCAGGTTGATTCGCCCCATGATTCGGAAGACGAGTTAGCTCTCAAGCCTCAGCAGTCAAATGCCTATGGCATCCCAACATGGCGCAAATCACTCATCCTGTTCATCGTCAGCTGGATGACTCTAGCCGTCACCTTCTCCAGCACTTCCTTACTACCCGCAACCCCGGAGATCGCTACTGAGTTCTCTACGACATCGGAGATCCTCAATGTCACCAATGCCGGTGTGCTGATTGCCATGGGATTCTCGTCTCTTATCTGGGGTCCTATTGTAAATCTATTTGGGCGTCGAAATGCCTACAACGCCGCTATCCTCGTGCTGTGTGCGTGCTCGGCCGGCACCGCCGTGTCGATCAATTTGCACATGTTCATTGCGATGCGCATTCTAAGTGGCTTCACCGGTACTTTCTTTATGGTCGCTGGACAGACCATCATTGCGGACATCTTTGAACCAGTTTGTCGAAATCATTCGAGTTGGTCTGCTGGTTGCTGACGAACTTTCCTAGACTGTGCGAGGAACAGCTGTCGGATGCTTCATGGTTGGGTCTGTCAGTGGACCTGCTATCGGTATGTGGAATTGTTGCTTTGTAGATGGTGATCTCGAGATTAGAAGTGGACAAAGGCTGATCAATTAACTAGGACCCTGTATCGGTGGCATCATCGTCACGTTTGCTCAGTGGCGCATCATTTACTGGCTGCAATTCGGAATGACCTTGCTTGGTCTCATTTTATCGCTTCTCTTTGTGCCAAGTATCCAGGAAAAGAACCGAGTGATAGGCTCCAACCAACCCTGGAAGCTTTGCACCGTTATAAGCATGTTCAATCCTTTGCGCATCTTCCGCCAATTTGTGTATCCGAATGTGTTTCTTGCTGTGAGTTTTTCCATTTACAATGATCCCTTGCGAAGCCTCAGCACTAATAATGAATAGTGCCTCACCTGTGGCCTTCTTTCTACATTCCAATACGCCATTTTAACATCAGCCCGCTCAATCTTCAACCCTCGATTCCACCTAACGACTCCTCTGGTCAGTGGTCTATTCTATCTCTCTCCGGGAATAGGCTTCCTCATCGGCAGCGTCGTTGGCGGCAAGCTGTCCGACCGCGCTGTAAAGAAATGGATCCTCAAACGAAACGGCGTTCGGCTGCCTCAGGACCGACTGAACAGTGGGATTGCCACGCTGTTTGGGGTTCTACCAGCCGCAACTCTGATATACTGTTGGACTTTGGAAGAAGAGGTGGGTGGTATGGTTGTACCCATCATTGCCGCTTTCTTTGCAGGCGTGGGATTGTTGGGTGCTTTCAATGCTCTGAATACTTACTCGGCCGGTGAGTTGTTTATAATCAAAGCCATGAATGGCGCTTGGCTGACCATCTATCTTCCAGAGGCTATGCCACATGCACGCTCCGAAACCATCAGCTGCAAGTATATTGTGCAGTATATTTTTGCGGCGGCGGCGACCGCGGCCGTCGAGCCTCTAATTGGTTCCATAGGAGTAGGGTGGACATTTACTATTTGTAAGTTCCCGGCCTATATCTTCTGTGCCCCGGTGGTGAATTTTTCTGATTATGTATCCAGGCGTCTTCTTTGCCATCATCAGCGGTTGCCTTGTCCTTGTTATTGCAAAATGGGGCATCGATATGCAGCGCTGGTCTGAAAGAACATTTGGGCTCGATGCCAAGCCCCAGTCTTGAGGAGATGATGTACTTTTGCTTGCGTTGCAGTTTTGCACACTGGCGATATGAACTGCCTGCATGATAGATTTGATACAACTGTTACATAGATCGCGATAGACGAACATGACTCACGAGATTTAGAAATATCCATGGTTTATATACTATACATTTGTCCCTCACGTGTCTTTTACATACAAATGTGTATATTAAATGCCATCAAAAGGCTGATCAAAAGTCCTGCCAAGATACTACCCGGGCCTTAGTTGCCGATTAGTCACTTCGGTCTCCCAGCCAATTTGCGCCGAGACCTCGGCAAAGTCTCCAAATTCCCGACCGAACTCGGACGTCACTTCTCCTCATCTTTGAGGAATTCGAAACGCCTAAAACTGTAAGGCCTTGGTGCTAATATGACCCGGAAAAGGCGTGAGCCAACTTCCGATCAAGATCAGGAAGCTCGGGACTCTCAAAGAAGAAAATTTGTCGCGTGCGTTCTGACCATGTCCCACCAACGCTACTACGCTAGTAACACACAAAAGCTGTCAAAGATGCCACTCCCACAAGATCAAATGTTCCGGAGACCTGCCGTGTAGTAAATGTCGGGCGGTAGGTTGCGCCGATGAATGCGCCTATGCCACTCGGGATCGCCAGGTGAAGGTTAGCGAGAAGTATGTGATCAAGCCATGCATTGCACTATCGAATCAACCTTTTTCAAAGCTTTTCCGCGTGTATCACCTCGAAGACTAATTTGATCTGTTTCGATCAGCTATTTAGATCAGATCCTTGCAGAAAACCAGCGATTAAGGGAGCAGTCGGCCGCCTCGGTGCAAGCAGCCGATGTTAACGATTCCACGCGATCCGAGAGGTAGACATTCATCTTGGTGCAATATACAGCCCAAAATACTAATGAGCATTAGAGGGCCCTCTCGCCCTACAGATGCCACAGATGCAACCGGCATTCAGAACCCGCTGATCGGAGACCGTGCCTGGTTTCATCGGTATGATCCCTCCTCGCCGCCCATCTACATCGGCGAGGCAGCATGTTCGGCATTCGCAACTCGGTTTCGCCGTTTCTTGACGGGAAACAGCGCGATGCCCCATATCGCGCGAACGCAGTATGAGCGTGAAGAGACAATCGCTGCTGCGAACGAAGCCGACATCCAGTGGCCGACTCTTCACCATGCTCGGCTATTGGTCAAAATCGCAATCCACCAGATAGGCCATTTATACCACCTCATGATGCGCAAGTCGACTCTAGATAAACTGGAAGAGATATACCAGACACAGGATTTTGATTGCACGGCTAACAAGTGCAAATTCTTTGCTCTGTTTGCTTTCGGGCAGGCATACTCGATTCGATCCGAGCCTTTTTCTGGATCTAGAGTACCCGGCACGTCGTACTTTGCTCGGGCTATGGGACTGGTTCAAATATTGCCGGAACGAACAAGTGTTACACATCTAGAAACCTTGCTCTTACTGGTAGGTGGATCAGCAGATACCGCGTTAGACATCGTAGCACTAACAATAATATCTCCAGTCTCTGTTCTCATACTATCTCAACCGGCGCCATTCAGCATACATCCTGATTGGAAACGCCATGCGGATGGGCCTGACAATCGGGCTGAATCACAACATCCCCGAATCCCAGCTCATCGATCCAGTCGAGCGCCAGCACCGCATCCAGATCTGGTGGACAATCTACATCTTCGACCGAATGTGGGGCTCCAAAATGGGCCTCCCGATGCAAATCCTTGACGAAGACATCCACGTCGACATGCCATCGACCATCTCCCCACGCTGGCGCCACGAAGAAGAACTTTCCGACACAGAATACATGACTGCAAACATCAAACTAGCCCGCATAGTCGGCGAGACAATCACAAAGCTCTACAGCCGCCGCAAATATCAAGAAACCTTCCTCCAGCGCGTGCAAAAGCTCCTCAAAGCCCTAAAAACATGGGTCGAGTCCCTCCCCGAATCCCTCCGCCTCAACATGGAAGACCTAGAATCAAGCAAGAAACCAATCGTCTCTCTCCACATGGCCTTCAACCAATGCGTGATCCTATCCACGCGCCCAACCCTCCTCCACCTCCTAATGACACTAAGCCAAGCAAAAGCAAAGACAACAGCGCCAAACGCCAGGAGCGGAACTGAGCCCCAGTCAGAAAGAGACAATATATCCGTCTCCCAGCCGGTCCTGACGCTAAGCGAGGCCTGCATCCATGCAGCGCGACACTCGCACTCCATGATCCTCACACGCTGGATAAACGGTTCTATGCCGACATTCGGCTATTTCCACGCCCACTACCTGTTCTCCTCGGCGCTGATCCTGGCCATGTCCAGCTTCGTCCCGATCGGCAATCCGGCCGACATGACCGGCTTCGACTCAGCGCTGGATTTGCTGCGCTCCATGACCGAGAACGGGAATCTGGCTGCTGCGGAGTTCTATACGAATCTCGAGCAGGTCAAGGTTTGTCTGGGTGTTTATCGCGGGGCGAGCAGATTGAAGGTTCCTCGGGGCGAGGGCAGTGTGGAAGTAGTGGGAGCGGGAGCGGGAGCGGGAGGTGTCGTGCATGGTCATGTCGGCGCGGGTGGACTGGCTGGTTCTGCGTCTGGGCTTCCTGGGATGGCACCAACAACAACTAATCCTTCTCTGCACTCCATGCCGCTTGCTTCTACATCTGCATCTGCATCGCCGGCGTCGTTGATGCCAACGAACGAAATGCTCCCTTCTGCTTCCACTGCCCCGGCGATGCAAGGACCTGGCGTTGATGCATATGCTTTCCCCGTGCGCGATACGGTTGGCGGATACACGACAGAAATGGCATTTCTGGAGCCGACGATGCAGGATTTCCTCGCGCAATCGGATATCGATCTCGGGCTGCTACACCCTGTTGATACGTTTTTCAACGAGGCGGAGAATCTTTATACGTGTCATGAGTTATGATTGGTTTAGCTTGAGTGGCCGAAACGAGCTTAAGTTTTGTGTATGCGCATACCATAGAGTTATTGCACAAAGGATGGAATGGTTTTTCTGGAGTTAAAAAGGATTCGACGCTGAATGCTAAAAAGTGATGCTCAGGCAGTCTATTATGCGCCCGGGAACATTGCCGTGTAATGCAACAGCGCAGTTTGTACCGAAATTAGACACGTTGCAATGCGATGCAATCGTCTCAGTGGCGAAGCAGCATTTATGCAAAGCAAGCATCAACTGACGTGTTTAAAGTTATTCCGAAAGTCAATCAGTGAAATGAACAGCATGGGAACCAGTGGGATGGAAGTGGAAACGACTGAACGCTATAAGTCGACGAGGCTTAAAATCAGAACAGAGCGTACGGGGGAAACAAATGCACCGCTGACCGCTAAATGTCATTATCTTCCAACAGAGCGTTGGTAGATGAAATGTTTCATGCTATCATGTCGCAGAATAGATATCCACCTTATCTCCACTCCAGTCTACGCCAAATCTCGAGCCATGCCGCGAGAGAATTTCCGTGCAGACGATCCAGGCGCGCAACGAGGAAGGGTCGTTCGTAGACATCTTGTGCAGCCACTGGATACTTTTCGTGATCTTAGCTGTTAGGTCAACAGCCTTGGTGGTGCCTGGGGCGGTTCGAGTTAAGAGCTCGGTCAGCAGAATACTTGTAGCCTGCATTATATTGTGCAGGATGCACCACCACGGGGCCACACCGTGTATCCAAGCAGTGTCTACCTCTTTAGGCAGCAAGTCGATCATTTGACCGGCCACCTGGACACAGATGTCTGCCAATTTTTCGTGCACTGTTCCTGAAGTGCTTGGTTCCGAGGACTTGTGGAAGAGGCGACGTATAGAAGGCTGCAGGATAATCAGTTTGGTGGCGTAGAACCGGCAAGCGAGACCGATACGCTGCCGTACGGATTGCCGGGTGCGGTCTGGTGCTTTGAGCTGGAATTCCACTGGAAGACGAGACAGCCAGTTATCAGCTTGATTATTAAGGGTAGAGATTGCGGATTCAATCTCGTGCCACGGTTGCCGCGCTGACCCGGGGGCATAGAGAATCTCGATTGCCTTCCGTAGGAGATGGGTCAGATCGACTCTATACAGGAAGTATAAATAGGCATTTGGGGTTATGATTTCGGTTCCCGCTTGATCGGGCTGCTCTGCAGGTTGTTTGCCGTTAGATGGCTGATGCCCCGAGTTCTTTCGGGTCAAAATCCCACTTGATGGAATTTCAGTGGCATCAGACTGCAAAGAAGTGAAAAACGTGGTATCAGAAGGCAAAGAAGTGAAAAAAGTACTTCGTGTCCCTTCGTTGGTAACCGACTGCGCGGCACGCTCATCCCAAAGGTCCTCCTCTGCTGATGGACTTGGAAGGGGCGTTGTGCAAAATGTGTGTCCCATGGTGAGTGGCCTCCCTGTTATCTCACATAGCAGGGTATCCAGCATGAAAAGCGCCCACCAGACCCGGTACCGAAGCTCTTTCGAAAAGTGTGTTATGTTCTCTGTTTCACTTCGAAGATTCAAACCCATTGTTATCGCCGAGCGAATCGCAATTCCAACAATTCTCCATGACCTATAAAAAAATCGAAATCAGACACTGAGCATGCAGAATTGAACTAGACCCTTTAGGTGGAAACTAACCTATTGACTTGCCCAACCGACAATAGGTAAAACGCAGCCATGCCCTCCACTTGTGTTTGTTGCAGATTGGGGTGATCAACCAAAACATTCCTCATACTGAGCTTCCAAGCACGAGCAAAATATACATGGTGTTCATCGTGGTCGGTTTGGGGGTGGTCGGTGAGGAGTGCGTGTCTCGTGGCAATGGCAAATACCAAGTTCAGTACAGCCAGCCATCGCTTCCCAGGTCGCGGGTTCGGATTTGAGTAGAAATATCGGTACTGGTTTAGGAAGATGGCCTTTGCAATGATCGGAAACGCAGAATGTACAGTGTGGAAATAATTACCCACTAGTCTGTTAGCGATGTGTTGAGGGGGGCACCGTGCGAGATCAACATCGTCAGCAACCGAGAACTCGGAATCATCTTGGAAGTAGTTGACAGACGATATAACAGGACGTCCGGGGATCTCTTTGATTCGTGAGGAACTGTCATGGTCAAGTTCGCGTTTGAGTCTGTACAGCCATGCCATCTCCGAATGTTCACCGACAAATCCCATCCCTTGTACTTTGTCACCTCTATTAAGATCCTCTTCACTATAATTTGCACCCCCTGTGGGGATGAACATGCTAGTAAAACCATGGGGTAAAACAGTCGATTGAGCAGGGATTGAGGAGGAATTTGAGTGGGAAAGAGGAGAGCGTAAGTTTAGATCCTTTAGCCGCTGATCGACTTGATGGGCGGTTGAAGCCTCGAGTTTAGGGTAAAGATCACATAGCAAATTCTCAAGGGACTCGACTTGAGAGGTTAGATCGTTCAGCTGCCTATCTAGGGGGATTAGAGAGAGTAAAGGGAGAAGAGAGAAACTTGGCAGGGAAAATGGAATACCCACTTAACCATCTTCTCCTTTTTTCGGTCGCCGTAGGAGCAATGGGCCCCCGAATCCCGGCACCGATGACAGACTGGGCGATGGCCAGTACATTTGGCCTTTTGTTCTCGGCAATTTTCACAGGCTTGACTAACCCGACCACTACTAGTTGGATTACTAGGTGGTGCGTGGCGGGGAATGGCCACTTTGAGATTCCCAGGATTCACAGGTTTCGTAGAGTTCACCGCGTTTAATGGTGTCAATCGGTCGCTTTTGGGTTCAACCGGCTTAGGAATCCCTTCGATATTGGGAAATTCAAGATGACGGTAGTTGGGGATCCAGTCATAATTGAAAGCCGATTGTTGGTCCGTATATTCGATAAATTGAAAGTTCTCATCCATATTTGATTCAAATATAGGGAATATGTCGTTGGATACATATGTATGTTTCATGAGCCTTTTTTTCTCCCCGGAGAAACGCTAGTGAAATATCAATTATAAGCCCACATTACAATAATGATAAGCGCAGGTGTTTGATCATTGTTGATCATTGACCTGAAATGATATGTCTATCCCTTGACAAGGTTTTTTTTTTTCCACTTGAGGTATACAATATACAATGTGTGTACCATTGTATACTCCCTGAGACCTGTGGTATGCTGGAGATGTTTGCCGGTCAATTTCGCCACCCCAACAAGCGGGAAAAACCAATGAACATTGAGACTGATCGTGGATCGTATGTGTCCTAGTAAGACGTTTCTCTCAAATATGAAAGATAGGAAATGTCGAGTAGGGTTGATATATAATCACATGAAATCTCTTGTTTCGGCAGAAGTTGTACTGTACACTTCCTAACTAATATAGAACGTGTTGTATACCTTGTGGTATCTGTGTAGAGAAAACCTTAGGAATCTAGGTGTGGGTACAGAGTATAGTCCGCGTAGTCCGGAATTTTTTGGGATCCCAAAAGCTGTTAGTGTGCAAGCTTTTGGAGAATGCCATTCGATTTGATGTTATCGAAGCTCCCGGTCCAAGTAGAATGACCGAGCGCAATGGCGTTGATGTTCCCCTGTCGTAACGTTGCATCTTCCCAATTGTTTTATCATCTTCGATTGAACTTCATCATCCAGCTGCCGCTGGGTAGCGTGGAATTTTACTCACATCCTTCACTGGTTCCGCCTGTTCTTTGATGAACAGCGAGTATCCAAAGAATATCTAGAATCGATTGCAAGCAACAATCTTGTTGTGTTGGTTGCGATTGCTTTGTGTTCAGGTGAGGCTATCATCCAGGTATCTGCCCCCTCCAGGGTTCATAAAAAGACGAAAGCATGAATTGTCGCGGCCTCCAGGTCCAATCAGTGTTGACAGGCTCAACGAACGAGATTTTAGGATCGAACGTCCAATATCCTCCTATTGATCGACCGGTCCCACCACTCGGGTTTCCTTCACCCTTGGGGCAAGAAAGTCGCAGACATTCCCCCATACCTTGACAACTCGGAAACGGATTCTCAAGACAACTTCAGCGTTAAAACTGAAAAAAGGAGCAGCTTTGTACTAGTGCTGGTCAGCTTCTCTCTGTCCAATTTTGTGGTGGCTTTTTGGTCGCGACGGTGATAAATATTCCGCCAGAGGTTGAGGGGTTGATTCAACAATCGAAAATTTCCCGCAACCTAACGACGATGATGGGCCCCTGTTTTGAAAAATGTGGTTGGCCAGGAGAAACTTTTCGTCCCTGTCAGCTGGGAGACTCCGGGAGGTCAGGGCCATTGTTTAAAGGAAACAAAGCGAGGTGAGTGATCTTGGACATGTAAGGTTTCTTCTTCTGGTGCTGACAAGACCCTCTCAATAGACAGCGACTACGGATATATGAACCGGTGTCATCACCCTAAGATCGCGAATTTTGCTTGCACCGAATGCATGTGTTCATCCAACAAGGACGCAATACAACACGGAACGGAACTTCACGAAGCCACAAAACATGGATTGTCTCGAGGAATATTAGCATTGAAAAGTCTCAAATTGAGGCAGCAAAATCGGTGTTGCTCGCACTGTCAGTTTTGGCGAACTCATGGCAACGGGTACCTGCAGTGAAAGGAAACCACACAATATCCGGACATATTGGCCAAGTATGAGATGGAAATACCGGTCACAGAGGCTTATAGAAGACAAATCGTGGCAGTGGTGATGTCGGTGGCATGATGTTGGGCCATACTACAATGAGGGATGGTTCTTATAGCCAACGAATCGAAACCACGGAAGGATTGTCTCTGATTTTCTCCCGAGAAAGCCAGTATCAGGGCTCTATTGCGGGCTATGAGCGGCATTTGTCACACTCCGCACAGGCCATACGCATCCTCAGAACCAGAGGTCTATATGACACCCGATTCAAGCAACAGAGATGAAATGGACGTGGCCACAAAAGCATGGGTCTTTGTTTTGTTGCGGAAGCAGAATGACTGAGACAATGTAAACCAGCATTACTCGAGTCTCGCCGTGTGCTCTGCTTACTATTGAGGCTTAACACCCAGTTTTGAATCCACGTGGGTCCTGGGTCATGCAGCTATGCAAATTCAGCTAGACTAGCAGAAAAACAACCCAAGCTCCGAGGAATATTTGTTGGAAGCACACATGAGCCTGTGTGGTTTTATTGAGAAAAAGGCTGATGTGCCACCTGGTTACTTCAAATCGAGAGAGCTGACACTAGAAGGATGAACCGTTTTCAGCAACACAATTCAAAACATGACTGGAAGAAAGGAATTTTTGCCACGGCGAGAGCTGACAGTCATGTTGCTGGCTGTTACCTTGAGTTTTGCAATGTCGGTCAATTATGAGCACTTGACTTTATTCCCAAGGGTTTCATGGCCGCGCTGCCAGCTGTCCGTGACAATGCATGAATGAGCCAAGGGTTGCAGCTTAGCCTCAACAATCAACAATAACAGTAGGTTTGAGACATGACAATCCTGATGTTCACGGTACGATAACATAAAAGGGCAAACAGGGATAGCCGGGACTTATTGTGAGTGCGACCGCTCAGTGTGATTGCCTTGTTTCGTCGAGTGAGGTGAAGCAAAACTTCCAAGGTTTAATGCGAACCGACGTTGAGATTGGGTGGATGCGAATCCGGAAAACTATTCCCGTCATAGGACCAGCCAATTAGGCCGGGCCTGGATTTCTGAGCTCGAGAAAAGGAGAACCTGAGAATCTAAGAGTCTTAGAATCTCGTCTATCGACTTCAGAGCAAAGGGTCTTCCATGTTCAACCGTAACGAGGGTGTATGTCTACTAAATTGCAGGAAAAGGAGAGACAAAGGGCCATTAAATGCCACGAAGAGATATACAGGTATGGGAAGGCTCCCAACGATCAGGTCTTCGTTTGGTTTATGCATGAATCTCCATAAGAAAGTTGTTCAACTCTTCTAATTGACCGTTGTCAGGAAAGTGGTTGGGTCTAGAAGCTAAGCCGGTTGAACCTTTTGATGCGAACTATTAATGCCAAAATTATGTTTTGATGATACATCTTTATGAACCTGTATCAGTTTCATTTCGATTTATTTATGTAACTAATTGAAGGTCTCGAAGCGTTTTTCCTATAGAGACTAGGTAGCATCTGTCGTGGTTTTCATCGAGTGAGGCATCGAATATATCTGTGGGTCTTGATATGTACATGCACGATATGTGCACAACACTTATGTCAGCCCTGTTTACATACTTATACACCGCTTAGAGCAGATGGTCACAAGTTCATATTTAAAGTACATAAATCCTGAAGGGTATCAAAGGAAGTTACTTTGGAGAGCTTTTGTTTTGTCCAGAAGAGAAAATGGGAGGTATGTCTCCCCGTTTATACAAGGGTGCGGGGTATGGGCAGTCGACGGATGCCTACATTCTTTAGCCTCATGATCAAAGCCCCTTTTATATCTGATACAGAATCACATGATCATTAGTGTCAATCAATGTTAATCCAGAACTATGATTGTGTACATAAGTGAAAGTATTTGTGTTGCACACTGAAGGCTCAGCCCTGATCTGCCTTTGGGATGGAATGGTACCTTACTGATAATTATATTGGTGCCTCAGGCATAAATACCCACGTGACCGAGATATCTCCCTATTGGTTATCTCTTGACTCCTGGCACAATTCTGAGGTTTAAACAATGTTTCAATGATATGCAAACTAACAATCAAACATAATGTCTTTGCGCGGGCCAATGAGGCGGTCGCATTTAAGGCAAGTAAGCGCGGCGAGTTTGGAGAGCAGCTCCGCCCACTCACAAGCAGCCTCGCACGGTGACCATGAACATGATCGGGCAACCGATGACAGGACAGTCAGGCTCTCATCAACAAGCTGGACGCGACATCAATGCACCATGTGGGTGCACGATGAAATGTTTTCGCGCGAAGAGATCTTGTTGAATCTATCGGCTTTCGGTGAAAGCGAAGTGCAAGTTGGGGATGTGGTCGAGATTCTGCCCATGCGGGTGGCTGGAGATGCCGGCTATACCAATTTGAAGCCAGAGACAGCTTCAAAAGTGGCCCGCGAAAGCCATGTCGAACTGAACTCGGCGTCCCAGGCGGACAGTACCTCCAAATTCAAAACTCCACTACAGAATCGGTGTTTGTTCGTGGTGAAAGCTCTTCCACCGGAAATCAAAGCACGACATCCTCAATTAGAAATCTCGGTAACTAATAGCGTCGCCAATATCTTTGGGTTCAAGAACAGGACGCAGGTTCTATTGTCGACTGTGGACCGAGATCAATGTGCAGCATCTCATGTCGATATCGCCTTTCGCGATCAATACATGGTCCGCTCTGATATGTGGCGACTGGTCATGTCAGAACTGGTGGATAAAATCATCTACAAAGGCCAAAAAATCATGTTCATGGGAAGCATTAAGGCCACAGTCAAGAACATTTTTATCCGGGAGAAGAAATGTCTTTCTGGGTATTTCTCCCCTCGAACAATTCCCATTTTCCGCAGCGAGTCTGCCAAATACGTTCTTTTCATTCAAATGTCGAAAGAAATGTGGGACTTTGATTCGGAAGGGACCGGAGACATTCTTTTTAGTCGAGTTATCAATGGCTTCCTGCCGGAGCTCTTCAAAAGATGGCTAAATTCCGACGCAAAACACTTAGTGACGATCGTCTTGTTTACTCGAGTCGAATATGACACACCGCTGAGCACAAATCAATGTAACATCGCTGGGAATTTCAACGGCAAATCGGCAATAAACAAGTTCCCAACCCGAGATTTCTATCGTGTGGTAGTCAATGATATGGCAAGTGGTCACTGGACAACTATTCTCGACGAGCTCAAAAGAGAATTCAGAACCTTCCTGCGCGACGTCTCGATACTAAAGACAGATGACATCGGTGCTGCATCTGGCACTGGTATCAAGAACCCTTCCAAGCCAAACATGGCGACAATTGCCGGGCACCCCAGCTCAGCCTTGCGAGGAAATATTTTAGAGGCCATTCACCTTGCCTCTGCACATCTTGCTTTCGATCACATCGATCGAGATATGGTCCACACTGGTACCTCAATCATTGTTATCACCCCAGGCAGCGGTGTCTTTGAGGTCTCTTACGAGTCTCTGGCTTCTACAACCGAAGCACTTGCGAATCGTGGCATAGCCATCGACTTGGTTTGTTTGAGCCCAATGCCTCTCCACTCCGTTCCTCTGTTTAAATACCGGGAGCCAGTGGAGCGACAGTCTGAAGTCGCGGGAGGTCCTAACGAGAATTATATGGGTCGAATTTCCCCAGAGATGCAACATTCCTTGTCGAGTGTTGTGAGCAGGTCCTCGTACCTCTCCCCCAGCTCATATCTTTCGGCAACCAGAATGAGGGAGCGGACGACTCCTCAAGCCAAGGATTGGAGCTACGGGATCCCACATTGGCTCGATATCTCTTATTGGAACCCTGAAACATACCGAGAGGCCCGACGCATCTTGAAGAAAGACCCAAATGCGCCCATTTCCTCTACTGTCACCCGGCCGTCCAAAGCATTCACACCACGAGTGCGTATGTATGAGATCCAAATGATGGGAGTCATGGAAAGCGAACAGTCGAATATCTCCATCCCTTACCTCACTGAACGCCGCGGTGGAGCAAAGACTCGTGCGTCCTGGCCTGGATACAGTTCGGCTGGCCGGGTCCCTCCTAAACCTCGCCTCCCCAACTCATCACCCTTTAAGACACAACTCAGCGATAGTCTACGCCCCGGGTCATTCATCCAGAACGCTTCCGAACAAAATAGTTCACACATCAGAGATACTCAAAGTTCGCGAAAGTCCGTGATGGCCTGGATGGACCAATATGATGAAAATCTGTTTGCTGTCTCTCCGAAAAAGCTCCAGCCTCGCAGAACGTCGAGGCCAAAAAGACCTAGTGAGTCGGAGGTTCAGGCCGCCGGCGCCGCGGTGCACGAACGATTGTCTGCACGTTCAATCATGCGCCTACGAGACCATGAAACCAATCCAGCAGAGGAGAATGAATCCTTCCACCCTAGTAGGCCTCGAAGGATTGATTCAAACATGACGACACAAAAAAGCCCAGGCTCGGTCAGCAGCATGTCTCCCATCAAGCCGGCATTGAAAAAAGCACCGGCCCCAATGACTTCTCGAATCTCCAGAACAATCAGCTTTGCGCTCCGAGGCTTGAGTGCCACTCCACCAAGAGCCCAAGCAAGCACTGGGGTCAATGTAGAACATGCCAGTGCATTGCCCATGACCAATCAAAAAACGCCCACTGGATCAATCTCCGATGCAAGAAGTATCACATCTTTAAGTCCATCAGAAACAACTTCAACTACAACTGCCTTTGAGGTATCCTCGATTCCTTCCACGCCCAACAAGGCTTCCCAGACTCCTTCCAAGCCGATATCTATCAAAGTCCCTCCAAAAGTCCCCCCGAAGGAACCAGAAAACCCAGAACATCCAGTAGGGCGTGGTTCATTAACATCTTCTGTGGCAGAGATCTCGACTCATGAAGTTGGTCGAGATCAGGATGTTGGACCTGCGAGTGGCCATAAATTTGAACTCACGGTGAACCCTAGTCCGCGCGAGCCGCCCTTACGGGATTCCCCGAGCAAAGCTTTGTCTCCGTGGGTCCGGTCAGTGAACCCATGCAATACTCCTAAGGATGTTCTGCGAGATACCAGCTGGTTTGGTCGTTGGCAACATGCGTACCCTAGACCGCCACATGTGGCTGTAGTCAAGTGGAAGAGTTTAAAGTCCCCAGCAATTCTTCCATTGACTACTGAAGAGATCCCGACTGCTAGTGTGCTCGCTTCGGACTATTTGCAGACGCCATACCGAGTCTATCCTAACGAGGACTCGGAAGGCATTGAAGCCCCAAAGACACGTGGAGTACTTTTACGAGAAATGATCTCACTGCGGCTCTCGCATGGGTTCCAGATCATCGTTGGGAAACAGGTGGCCGAGGTTTCAGCACAGCCCGCCCTCGAATCGCTGAATGTCTTTGATTTCCGAGGGCTTGATCGCGATGGACTCGCCGTATTCCTCTCCAAGGGCAATACTATCCATCGACTAGTGTGTATTGTAGGGGGAGAGGTTGAAGTAACCCGATACACGCATCAAAACTCCGCGATGCCCACCTATCCCAAGAAACCTACATTCACTCTCTATCAGCCAGCCATGAAGACAATTTTAAGTCGGGAATATGAAGTCAAGGACATCAAGCTAGATCCTACCTCCGAGGAGTACAATTGGAACTATGCCGATAATTACGTGGCTGGTCATCGAGATTACCTCCAGAATCCAGCACAGCAGCTGCATTTCTGGCGAGTTCGTTACGTGTTGATCCCGCTTCAACTTCACCCCGGTTCTCGGCCTCATTTGCAGCCTTTCAGCGAAGACAACGAAGAAGAAATTCACCTGATCGGAATCAGCCAATTAACCCACATTTGGCAGCGGTACAAATACGTCTCGCCCGAAGAGAAGCTTTTCGAGACCTCGCATCCCAAGAGAGACCAGAATCCATTGAATATCATGTACCAAACACGAAATCCCTCGGAAGTTGTTACAGCAGAACTAGACCGGCTGCTGCTCACCGACCCGGGCCTTGACAACGCACCTGCTCAGCTCTTGCCTGAATCTGAATTGCTAGACAGATCCAGCATCAGTCTTTCGTCGCTGGCACAAATAATCCAAGGCGAAAAGGGCGTTCGTATGATGGACAGAAGGTGGCATTGGAGATTGCATTACAATTGTTTTATTGGGTTTGAGTTCACCACATGGCTGCTGCAAAACTTGCGTGATATCGATACTCGCGAGGAAGCAGTTAAATTTGGCAATGAGCTGATGAAACATGGCCTGTTCCAGCACGTGGAAAAAAGACACAACTTCCGAGATGGTAACTATTTCTACCAAGTCTGTGCCGATTATCGTGTCACCCGTCCAGAGTCTCGAGGAGGCTGGTTCCCCCAGCTTCGGCCGGACAAGTCAATACCGTCGACGCCCGCCATCGGAACTGCAAAGGAATCTCCTGCTAGTCTCAAGGCTCGATCGGACAGCATCGATGATCGCACTCCACAGACTCCTAGCACGCCTTCTAAGGCTAAAAATAAAGTCGCCATCATGCTATCCAAATCAATGAAGTATGATGTTGACCCGCGCAAACGGTCGAACCGACCGGAGGTGATCGACCTCCATTATGACCGACTACACAATCCCGAAAACTGCTTCCATATTGAGCTTAGCTGGATGAGCACGACCCCCAAGCTTATTGAAGATACTGTGCTCTCTTGGGCCTCGACTGCAGAGAAATTTGGCCTGAAATTGGTACAGGTACCGATCTCCGAGGGATGCGCGATTGACAAAACTCAGCCATTCCGAAAGCCCTACGAGATCAAGCTCAAGGTCGCACCTCCCAAGGGACCACTGCATACAGTGTTTAACAATGCATCGTTTGCGCAACCAGGTCCACCCGATCGCCTCTATTATCAAAAAGCCATTCTACGCAAGTTTGACTTCGTGCTTGACTTTGAAGCTTGCTCCGCATTCCCACCGGACGTAGAAGTATCTTACTCCTGGGGAAAGCCCGACTATCTCTACCCGCAATTCATCCACCGAAGCGGAAGCATTCTCGCCCAGATCACCGATGAGGGCGACTTTCTCCTCCTTGCCAACCGACTAGTCAGCACCCGTGGCACAGCGAGCCGAGATGCAGGTCGCTTCGAAAGTCACAACCGGTCAGAGTTCCGAGGACGCACAGGCAACTACGATGGGCTCGATCGTGTCTCCCCCCGACTGTCTCCTCTCACCCGGCCAGTTCACGATATCGGCAGCCCATTGACCCTCTCCGGATCCTCAAGTATCGACTCGGCCAACTTGTATCGCGCCCCCGAGCACATTCTCAATGGTCTCGTTGAGTTTTGCAGCGATGCCGCCCAATTGGAACAGTTCTACTCGGAATCACATGCCCGACCAACATCCACCAAGGTGGAGCCTTCCACTCCCAATTTAATGGATGCATCGATCCCATCCCTGGAGCTTCCTGCCAGTGTCGTCAGTCATCATATATCGCCGCCTCCGGGTCTGCCGTCTCGAATCAGCCATGAGGCCCAGGGGCTGATGTCGCCGGAATTCTCGCGCAGGGCTCGAGCAGAAAGCCTTAGCTATAATGCAAGCCCTAGGAGTGGCACTCTACGACCCTTGCTATAATTCAAAGATACCCATTGATTTTCTGATGATTCTGTACCACAATGAAACGCTATGTCTGTTATATAGTGTATTGGTCTACATTTTGGCTATTGTATTAATAAAGCATAACATTTTCCTACCCAGGTAACTCATAATAGTTCTGTGGTTTGATAGTATTACCAATGATCGAGGGGCAACGCGCGGATAATACTACCTAGCCTGATCCGATCCCAACGCATAGCGCCATCCTGGCATTTAGCCGGATCTCTCCAATTCAGCCGATATCCCAACACCGAGTCCTGGTTGGTGGACATTTCATTCCAATCCAAAGTCCCAAGCATTTGCCCCGCCTTATGTGCTACTCCAAGCTCCAGAAGCAAATAGCGGAGCTCCAAAGAGGCGCCATTCAGAATCAGGCCATGGATGAAGTTCCGTGTCAAATGTGGCCTGGCTACAAGACTTGCTAGAGTGAAACTAGAAGAGCTCCAGCTGTCTGTTTTCTCTTTCGCTTTTGATTCAATTCAGTCTTGCTTGTTGACAGCGCTGGAACAGAGACACCTTCGGTATCATTTATAAAGCCTTTACATAGTTTCTTCTACTACATCTTGGTTGGAAAGACTACATTCCTTTCAAGATGAAGTTCACTGCGGGGATGTGGTGTCTGCAGGTATTTTCAACTGCTTTTGCTTGGTGAATGTATCATAACGTGGACATTTAACTAACGTCCATGGATCCCGTAGGAGGGTGTCAATATTGAGTGGATGAGCAATGTTGAGCGGTTTTCGATTGAAGGAGATTCCGTCAATCTGCTGCTGAACAAGTTCCAGAGACACCGGGGAGACACACTCAATTCCCGTATGTTCAATGTCCTTGAAACAGAGCAACCAGTGCACCAGAAGCTAAGTAAAATTCACAGCAACCGTTTCGGCACAAATCACCTCTCCGCTGGAAGGAATCATTGGTGTGAAGCTCGTGCACTGGTCAGTAAACCACGATAAGAATAGCAAATTCCATCCGATGCTTGCAAGCAATGTATAGGATCATACTAACTCATTACAGGGCAGGTCAAAATGACAACGGCCCTCACTACCATGTGAACAAGGGTACGGGACACACCAGCATCCAGCACAAGAAGGAGGAAACCACGCTCAACTACAAAAGCGGGCCACTCGATTTGGACGTGAACACTGCCGCCAACGAGCTCGATCTAGTTTTCCGCTCTCCGGCAGGCAAGAAGCTGACGGGCCAATCGCACCGCTCTATCGGATACGTGCGGGACCAGAGGAGCGAAAAGCACCGCTATGAAGACGGCATTTACGCCGAGCGCCAGGGATATATGCTCGCGGGGCTGGACCTGGGCGTTGGCGAGAAGGTCTATGGGCTTGGAGAGCGGTTCGGACCCCTGGCTAAGAACGGGCAGACGGTTGATATTTGGAATGAAGATGGGGGGACTTCTTCGGAGTTGGCGTATAAGAATATTCCGTTCTATATCAGTTCCAGGGGGTATGGTGTTTTCGTGAACCATCCCGGTAAGGTGAGTCTGGAGGTGCAGTCTGAGCGGACGACAAGGGTCAATATCTCGGTTCCTGGTGAGGAGATTGAGTACTTTGTCGTCTATGGGGCGACACCGAAGGAGATCCTTAATCGGTATACTTCTCTGACTGGCAGACCGGCTCTGGTCCCTTCATGGAGTTACAATCTCTGGCTTACGACCAGTGAGTTCGAATTGTCTGACGTCTTGCGTATTGCAAAAACTGATCTGGTTTCAAAGGTTTCACGACCAACTACGACGAACAGACTGTCACAGGGTTCCTTGATGGTTTCCGTGATCGTGATATCCCCCTTGGGGTGTTCCATTTCGACTGCTTCTGGATGAAGTCATATCATTGGTGTGACTTCGACTTCGATTCCGAGATGTTCCCCGATGCCGTGGGCTATCTCAAGCGCTTGAAAGATCGCGGCTTGAGGATCAGCGTCTGGATAAATCCGTACGTTGGACAAGCATCTCCGCTTTTCGCAGAAGGCAAAAAAAATGGATACTTCATCAAGGTACGTCGTCTTTGACTGATCAAAGTCGCATTCCAACAAGAAAACAAGACCGAATTCCCTGACACCATACCCAGCGCACCGACGGCTCAGTTTGGCAATGGGACTTCTGGCAAGCAGGCATGGCGGTGGTCGACTTCACGAACCCCGCCGCCTGCAAATGGTACAACAGCCACCTGGAGCGACTGATGGAGATGGGCGTCGACAGTTTCAAGACCGACTTTGCAGAGCGCATCCCAGTAAAGAGCATCCAGTACCACAACGGCGCGGATCCAGAGCGAATGCACAATTACTACGCCCTGCTCTACAACAAGATCGTGTATGAAACTCTGAGCGCCCGCGTCGGACGCAGCCAGGGCCTTCTCTTTGCGCGAAGCACCGCGCCAGGTGGCCAGGCGTACCCTGTGCACTGGGGTGGCGACTGCGAAAGCACATTCGAGGCAATGGCAGAGTCATTGCGCGGCGGGCTGAGCTTGATGCTTTCTGGGTATATCTTCTGGGCGTCTGATATCGGTGGATTTGAGGGCACGCCGCCGCCGGCGTTGTATAAGAGATGGGTGCAGTTTGGACTGCTGTCATCGCATTCACGACTACATGGGTCGTCTTCTTTCCGGGTGCCGTGGATCTATGGCGAGGACTGCTCCGATGTACTGCGGGATTGTGTGAAGCGGAAGATCTTGCTCACGCCGTATATTCTGCAGGAGGCGTTGAGGGGCCATGGAGATGGTACGCCGCTGATGAGGCCGCTTTTCTTGGAGTTCCCCGAGGATTTGAATACGTATGCTGTTGATACGCAGTATATGTTTGGGCCGAACTTGTTGGTTGCACCAGTGTTTTCCGAGGAAGGTGAGGTGACATTCTATGTGCCCCAATCTCCTGATGATGAGGCAGGGAAATGGGTTTCGTGGTTTGATCATTCAAAGTCCTATGAGCCTGGTCGTTGGTATACCGAGACTCATGACTTTGATACTCTGCCTATCTTGATCCGGCCTGGATCAGTGACTGTCATTAATCCCACGATCAAAGCACCCGAGGATGATTCCCTGTCAGGAGTTGAGATATTGGTCAATGGTCGTTTGCAGAGTGAGACTACGGTTGACCTTGTCAATGCAGCCCAAACCGACGAGATCTTGAAGACTGTCCGGCTTTCTCCTGCGGCGGATGGAAAAGTTGAAGCAACCGGCCATTCTGTCAAAATTGTTTACGTTGCTTAAATTGAAACCAGAGAGAGGGAGAGAAAGAGAATAGATTGCTTACAACGTCAATAAATTATCAAATTGATCAAATCATATTTAAATCTTGGGGGAGAGAGCCCCCACAAGCAGAACTAGACTGCAGCATGAAGTAGGTGGGTATCATATCGAAAACAGGTCGCAATGCAAGAGGCAAAGCCAGAAAAAAAAAACAATGAGCACGAAGAGCAGGAATGAAATCCGGCAAATATGAAAAAAAGGGGCCATGACAACGCTCCGAGTCCCAGCTCTGGTGGCATAAAATTACCAAGTCGCAGATCACTGGGCAAGGAAAAGGCAATGCAAAATTGCAACAGAAATGGATATGCAAGAAATGTAAGAAAACGTATCAGTGCGAAACGCGGTGAAACAAAATCACCAGGCTTCTTCGACGTCAAGGAGCCATTTGCGGATTCCTTCACGCAATGTATTATCAGCACCTGAGAGTGCTCTTCTGCGCTCGCGATCAGCAAGGCTAGCTGCGTTGTCTACGTCTTCGCGGCAGTGTTCGGCAGTGACAATGCGGACAACTTCTTCGAGTGCCCCTAGAACCATCTTGCGGCATTCGCCCCGAGGAACTTCGGGAGGAGGCACTTCCTCCGGCCGAGGAGAGTGGCCTTTGTCTTTGTCTTCTGCTCTACGAGCACGGTTTGGAGAGGGAGCGCGCGAGTGCGCTAGTGACGAGTAGCCACTCTGTCCTAAGACGCGTTCAACTGCATCAACTAGAACGCCGTCGAGGTCCATCACGGGCTCTTCAATAAATCGTTCTTCCACAAAACTCCGATCATGCTCGTCGGTGTTGGTATCTTTGTGACGTTTGTCGTTTCCAGAAAAGAAGGTGGTGAATTGCGAGGCAGGTACACCTCCAGCAGACTGGCGTGGATTGCCGTTGGCAGGCGAGGGAAGCGTATGAGTTGTGTCGGAGCCATGGCCCACAGTAATTTTGCGGCGCAAGCGGATTCGTTTCACTGTAGAAGCTCGTGTGTCTGCAATCAAAGTCGTCGCAACGTCTACCCATCTCTCTGAGCCGTCCACATCGGGGGTGGATGGGATGTATGGGGATGGCTCAGCCCGCATAGCACGTTTAATTTCGGCTTCGAGGGAAGCGTAGGGACGAACTGCTTGAAGAGAGAAATCTTCATGGAAGGCCTTCAGCCAACCAGCAACGTGGGCTGACGGACTATCGCTATCCTTCATTGGTCCATGGAATCCAGAGCCACTGCTGTGGGTCGAAGCAACTGCATCCATGCTGGTAACGGATGTCCTTGTCTTCTTTGGCGAGGCAATCGTGGAATCACCAGAGGAAGAAAGTGACATGAAGCCAGGAAGGGGAAGATCAACATCTACCACGCCCTCCTCTGCCCTTACCGATAACTTCAACGGCGACTCCCGAACTTGACTGTTGAGCGATGAGGGTTCTGGTGAAAGGGTCTGGGTGGTGCTCTTAGGGATCGCGTCAGAGGCAGCCGGTATTGAGATATTTCCGCTAGGTGCAAGTTTAGGCTGATTCTGGCCTTCGTCTTCTGTGACTTCCTTGACCATCTGACTCAAGGTAGTGGAGCCGCGTCTAGCAGGACCAGAAACTGTGGAGACAGATCGCTTGCGAGCATCGGACGGAGAATATGCCTCGCTACCATCGGTCGATGATTCTTGGCGGGAGCTCCAAAGACCGGCGAAAATGCCTCCCCAGCGGCCTCCGGCTGAGGGAACACTGCCATTAGTACCCAAGACAGAGCTATCGCTTCGTTGGAGGCTCTTCAGTAAAGTCTCCGACGCAAGACTATCATTGCCTTCAGCTGCGCTGCGGTCAGCTCTAGCCTGGGTAGAGTGACTGGGCTGAGAAGTGAAGTGTGGAACTGGGACAGTGCTGCTCTGGGTTATCATGGACGTAGTTGCTCCGCTGGTGTTCATGGCTCGAACATCTTTGGGATTGATGTTCGCACTCAATGTTTTAATTGAACGAGCGTCAGACCCTCTGCGGTTCGCGGCCGAGGAGTATTCCGCTGGAGGGGTTGTGTCGGCTCCATGGGTTGTGTCTTGGGACGAAACGCTGACTGATCGTTGGTGGTGGTCGTTGTCGCCTATGATCATTCGTTGAGCGCGAGCCCGTCGTTCAATTGCTCTACGAAGAGACTCCTGGCGGAGCACAGGCACGGTTGGAGGGCTTTGAGAGACAGCACGCATTGATGCTGAGGTGCCAGGTCTGAGCGGCGAAGGCAGCGGCTCTAGGCGCTGTTTAGAAGGCAAGAAAGCGGCAAGCAAGAACACAAGACGGCGAGCAGTCATCTTGTCTGGGCAAACAATGACAGTCCTGTTTGCGAGAATGGGCTCACCATCCTGCTGAGCTTTCTGCTGTTGATTGTGGCGGCGACGATACCACTCTGGGCCAAGACTGTTGAGCCACTCCGTGTGGTTTCCCAGGAAAGCTGTCAGTACCACCAGGAAGAAGAAATTCTGCTCTTTGTCGCCTAGACCACGAACAATCGAGCGACCTTCTTCCCGCCAAACACCCCAGCGACTTTGTCCGGTCACCACATATGGAGTTTGCAGAGCTAAGCTGATGCGGCGGGAGCTTCGAATAGCTTCTTCTTTGAGTTTTGAATTGACCGACAGAATATTAGCGGGGAGATGCACAATAGTCTGATTGGTGCGTTGCATATTTGGGGGCTTAACAGGCTTGGGGTTTGGTCCAGACAAAGAGTCCACTTTTTTTAGAAGGAAAAGGACTTCATTCCGAGCAAGTCTTTCGAGATGGGAGAGGGTCCGAGTGATGACGTCCCAATGGTCGACTAGCATGTCCAGACGCTCATCTAAACTAGCCGGTGGAGATGCTGAAGACAAGCTATCATCGAAGAATCCACCCGGCCAGCGATGGTCAGAATCCAACGAGCTCGAAAAGCCGGGTCGAGGAGAGTCCGGACCGAAAGTGCTAAACCTTGAGACAGGGCGTCCGGAATTGCGTCCCATTAAGGGTATCTGGATTGTGATTGCAACCGCATACATTGGCGTTTTCTTCTCCTTCATCTTTTTGCGCTTGGAAACATCTGGAAAAGGGAATTCCATCTCGGGCAAGGATTCTTGGTAAAGAGCACTGGCATAGTCATGGCGTTCAGCTGATGCTTCAGCTCCCTCGGGAAGATTCACGCTGAACATGCGGGTCAAGAGGACTGTAACTTTGGAAGGTGGCTTGTCATCGATTTCTCGGTTTGCATCCATGGGACCCGAGGGACTACCTGTAGTATAGGCCCGAGAGAGTGGACTGCGAGCAGCAGGGGATGCATTAACCCCAGTTCCGACTCTGGAATCTTCATCGGCCGAGATAATGTGCATTTTGGTAGATGACCCTCGGTAACTGAAGGCGCTGCTTCCGAAGATGCAATTCAAAAGGCCAGTATCATTAGGATCAGAAGAGTGTCGGGATTGGCCCGAGTCGTGCCATGTTCCCGATGGTGCCAATGTAGAGCTACGGCCACGAGCTCGGGAAAATGCACCGGGACTGGCCGGGGTCATCCTGCGTGCATCTGCAGCTGCGGAAAGAGGACTCGATTCGACGAGGGAGGATTGGGTGAGGAGATTGCGACGTGTCCCACGGGAAAGACTGGAGACAGTACGGCTATGCTTATGGCCGGGTTGATCATGGCCTTGTGGGTCAATTCCGAGGCCGGCCGGGGATGAATCAGACGCACGAGTGTCGAGTAGGACACATGCATCACGGTCGCCCAATGCATTTTGTGCAACAATCACACGGAAATCTTTGATATGATCCAATTCCATTCCACCCCGATCATCATATGCACCTGCAGTCGAGGCATTCGGTGAATTGAAAGTTGTCTGTAATGGGTAGGCATGAGCATGGGAACGTCGGAGGAGGCTAGCATCGGGAAAAAGAAGGCCGGAAGTGTGTTCTTCTTCAGTCACGGACTCCAAAGGAGTGCCATTGTTTCGTGTAGAATATGCCGACGGGTTCAAGGTCGACGCGGCCGTACTCAAGAGTCGGCCCAGCATGATGAATTAGCGGGTCAACCCGCGAACAGAAGGGTACTTGGGAATGCAGGGAAAAGAAAATGGGCCGGTCAAATAACGCGGTGTAACAATGGGTATCAGACAGCTAGGGATAACTAGACTGCTTCCACCCATAGCTTAATTGGACTGAGCAGCAATCATCATCATACAATGAGTAAAATGAGAAATGTTCGGGAGGATGGAGAGGATGGAGAGAGGGGAGAAGGTGGGATGGGCTGCATGCAGTGGGGCTTAAGATCAGCAATTGAGTATTGGCTTTCACCAACGAAGACTCCACAGTCTCAGAATTGTGTAGAAACACAAGAAGAACAAGTGAGATTATCCCAGAGCTTCTTAAGGGACCCAACCTCTTGGACAGAGACCATTCCGGGGAGACAAGTGGAGAGCGAAAGTGAAAGGGCGGTGAACAGAGTCACATGATATAGCCTCTGATAATCTACGGTGGCGGATAGCGACTAACTGGTCAACTCCTATACATTAGATGCAAGCACCACAACAATTGAAGACGTAATTACAATATTCGAAACTTATACTGACATCCATATATACCTATATATGGAAGGTAGATATTGGTCTAACACCCTGAGTATTAGCTATGTATTCGATGCAACTCCCTCAACATCTCGACACTTTGACCCCTACCGTTCACTTGGTCGCTATTTTCTACTGTGATTGTGTCACCGTATAAGTCGGGTTTACAAGGAATCGTGTTACTCGAGGGCGCAGATTTATGCGATTTGAAGCATGGATGAATTTGGGATTGGATGGAAATGGTTTATTTCCCAAGACGTTACTCATTGAGGGCACATGCTATGTCTACACCGTCAATTACACCTCGTGTGGGACAAGCATCATGCCTGTCAGTGCAGATGGCACCGTGTCGATAAGGCCCTGCCGGTGTTGTTCATTAATACACCGACCCTTGGGGAACCACAGAAGCACACTCAACTGTTTAACTCGTTCTAGCCACGTGGTGCTGGTTCAACCAGCCCTTTACCCTGTTTTCTATAGAAGCCGACATGATATGTGTCACATTGAAAGCCCTGGCAAACGCCACGCGAATCCCTATACATCTTACATACCTAGGTATCGTACGGAGTACCAAAATATGTACTAGGCCCATATTTATTCTATTATTCAATGCAGTGGCTTCGAGCAGGTGTACATTAAATTTCAAATCATTACATCCCATATTTATGAACTCAGTGAGAACGTTTGACCTTGTCCACCAGGCGCTTCAGTTCCTCCGAGTTGGACTCCTTAGAAGCCTTCTTCTGCTTCTTCTTAGTTTCATGACGCTCAACGGGTGCCTCGGTCTCGGCGTCATCGCCTGTGCGTCGGCGCTTACGGCCCTCATCCAGAAGAGCCTTCATGCCAGAAGTCGACTTGAACCGTGGGTTGGTAGGATCAATGGCGAAATCATGACTGTCGTACAAGCGTGAGAAACGGGGATCGCTGACATCGACATTGAAGTCATCAGCTGGTGCAGCTTCCAGCTTCTTGCCCTTCTTGCCCTTGCCCTTCTTCCGAGCCTGTTTCTCGGCCTTTTCGATCTCGTTCATGTCGAAGTGTTTGATGTTGGCTTTTTCGTCGTCCACCATCAGCAACTCCAACTCAGCCCGCTGAGCAGCTGATGCGGCTTCCTCAGCAGCACGTTCCTCGCGCTTCTTGCGCCTCTCTTCCTTGCGCCGAGAAACAGCCGTAGCCTTCCCATCGGGGTCTTCGAAGAAGGGGTCGTTGAACCCAGCATCTGCTTCTTCCTGTTGCGGTACCTCGGCAGAACCACCTTCGTTGTCTTCGCTGTCTGCAGCATTTTCGTTGGCAGACTGCTCCTCCTCGCCACGCTTGGAAGCCTTGAGCTTCTCCTTTCGGCGCTTCTTGCGCTCGCGCTCCTTCCGAACGTACTTTTCGACGGTGGTCTCTTCGATTTCTGGTTCGTTCTCGAAGATGGTATCCTTTCCATGGCCGCCAGCCAATCCCGATGTGAATGTAACCTCCATCTCACCGACGGGCGCATCCGGCTTGGAGCGGGTTGGTTCCGCACTTAGTCCGAGCATTGCTCGCATGCGCTGTCTCTCGGCTTCTTTCTTCGATAGCTTCGTAGTCGAAGGTTCTCCTCCAGTGGTGTCGACCACTTCCACTCCACCATCCTCGTCATCTTCACTCTCATCCTCGGAACTATCGCTGCCGAGGTAGGCTTTCAGATCGTTCTCGTCAATGTCCGCATGCGATCCTCGGAAAGCACGTGCCTGAGCCTCTTTTCTTGATTTGTCGTCTGCGTCCCACGTCAATTTAACTTTGCTGTGCTGGAGAGCGTCGGTGACGAATTCAGTGGGCTTGTAGGCATCGGGGATGCGGTGGCACTCGTCGCGGGACTTGTCGTCGGAGAAGTCCGTATCATCGGGAACGAAGCGGAGATCGAAGAAGTTGGCACTGGAAAGGTATTCGGCACCATCCACCAAATCGTAGACATGCTTTGCAACGTCCTTTGATGAAAACTTGATAATGGCATAGTAGTAGCGCAGACGATCAATCTGGTAGCGTCGTAGTTGCGTAGAGTTGAATTCCTCGCCATCATCGCCCTTCATCATCGAGTTCTTAATTTCTTCCTCTTCCTCGTCAGAATCGATTTCCTCTTCTTCAGAATCATCGCTCTTGTTGTTCTTCTTGCTAGATGCAAAGATCTCCTTGGGGGGCCCTTCGACCTCTTCCCTCTCCATGCGCTCCTTGCCAAATTCACTGGGGTAGACTGCGACGTTCAACACTCGCCCGCCAGTCGGGACAAAGCTGGAGAAGACGGCCATCAAATCTTCGGCACGGATGTTGTCCCAATCAAGATTGACCACCGCTATGCGATTCGTCACTTCTCCGATTGGTACATCAGACTGCTCCTTGTCCGGGAACTGTGCCTCTTCATCTTCATCATCCTCGACCTCATTTTCCTCCTCACTGGAGCTTTCCTCGGATGAGGAGGACTCGAAGCCACCATCACGTGCGGGATCATATGAGCCGCTTTCCATATTGATACGTTTCAATTCCTTCTGGACTTCTTCGTCATCGTCGGCCTCATCGTCCTCATCCTCATCGTCCTCATCATCCTCGTCCACTTGGTAGAACTTCTTCAGCTTTTCCTTTGTGTCATCCTTTTTAAGCTTTCGTCCGTAGCGGTCAACGGCAGCATTGCGAGAGAAATCCTTATCGTCAAGCATGTGTTTGAAGCGCTTATCGAGCTTGACATGAGTCTGGCGTTTGCTGGGAAGACGATAACGAGGATCGGTTTGAATGTTCTCAAACCGAGGATCCGCTACAATAGTGCACAAACAGTCAGTATTCATGATCATCCTGCAATAAATTCCAAACTTCAAGAGTACATACTGATCACTGGGCCGGCTTCGCGTTTGGACTTGCCGCCCTTCTTTTTCTTGTCCGAGCCTGCCATTGTGCGTGCTGTGAGGCTTCACTTGAAAAACTGCAAGCTAGGAGGAAACAGTGGAATTTATCGGTGAAAATCAACCAAGATGGTTGAGTTTAAGCAGCGAAATTAGTAGGCAAGATCTGAGACCGATAAATTATTTCTTTTTTCTGCCCGCCGCAGCGAGGGCGGTCAGACTATGTGTTCCCAAATAGGCAAGTCTACATTCTAATTAGCTATATGTTAGCAGCTGAATAATTCATTGTGAATAATGATCGATAAATGTACTAGGATAATTTTTAAGCGATTAAATACAAGAAAGGTAAGCAAGTATGTATAATCTTGGTATTGCTAAGTATCACCCCTAATAATGCAATGCTTTGACTCACAAGTATGTCGTGAGCCATGTATGTAATTTCACCGATACCCCCGACATATTAACATCCAAAGTATCGTTTCTCTATCCAGCGCGGTTCTCGCTCCTCCTCAATACGTCCAACGATCACATTGATCTTGGAGTACACAGCAACTAATCGTTTCAGACCCCGTTCACCCGCCGCACAGGTCACAAAAACGATGCGTTCTTCTTTCACCCCATGATCAAGCAGAACACGAACCGCCATCAGTGCAGCGCTTCCACTGGACATTTGTGAGTCCATAAGAATGACGGTTGAGTGTTCCTCAATTTGCGATGGCAGCTTCAAGTAATGTAATTCCGGTTCCTCGTTGCTCTTGTTTGTTTGAATGAGCACGCGACCAGTGATGCAGTCGGGGATTGACCGCTTGAGAGCTGTTTCCAGACAAGAGCCCCCACGTAGAATAGCTACAGCTGAGACTGCTCCCTTAGGATGCAAACCAAGGTATTGATTTCCTTGTGGTGTTTCCACATGTGCTGAGACATACGATGTCATGTCCAAGGCCCTGCAATCATCGTGTTAGTAGATCAGCTAAGCGATTCAAGTTTGGTAGTAAATGGGTACCTTTCAATCAGAATTGAGGCCAGTCGATCAAAGTAGAAGATGAAATCCTCCTGCTCACTCTCTGGGTTCTGCAATATAGTGTTCATGCCAACGAGCTGAGGTGTTGACGGCAGCACGTGCACATTGGAAGGCAGTTCTACCTCCGCTGCAATCAAACCTAGTCTGTGGAGTTCTTCACTGTGCTTTTCGGACTTCTCCTGCAGCTTACGCTGGATGTGTTTGACCACCATATCTAAGCCAATTAGCGCACAATCATTGAACGCAGGATTTTATGTGACCTACCGATAGCAGTCTTGTTCTCAATGCCACGAGGAATGATGATATCTGTAAGTCATGGTTAAAAGGTTGCAGTGAAGGGTTACAGCTGGATACGTGTACAAACCTGAGATAGCGCGCTGAGGTTCCACAGATTTGGTGTATGATGGCTTCACAAACTCAAACCACTGTTTGATAATGCCTTCAACATCACGTCCTCGCTCGCGGACATCACGCAGAACTGTGAGAATGTTAGCCAAATAAATAGTGATGTTCTGCATAGCAACTCGCCTCTACGACCTAAGCATACGTCCATATCAGCTTCAACAAAGATCTGCACCATACAAGTCAACATTGATAAGAGCAAAAGCACAACGAGGAAGCTCCAATACCTTGACATCCAACATCTCCACGATTCTAGGATCATGCAGTGCTAGAATACCCTCGAGAATGATCACTCGAGGAGAATAGAGAGTGGTCGTATGGGACTGCCGTTGGTGATCGGCAAATGAGTATACTGGGATGTTTGCTTTCTTTCTGTATCACATTATATTTAGTTCGAGTGAAACGTCCTGTATGAAGAGAAAATTTACCCTTTCTTCAAGTCCAAGAGAGTTTGCACCAGAAGATCGAAATCAATCGATTCCGGACAGTCAAAGTCATACTCATTTGCGTGAGCCTTGTGGTGCTCTTCAGAAGATAAGGTCTTGTAGAACGAATCCTGGACAGAAAGCATCAGAACGAAAGCCCTCAGAGTCGAGATTCAAAACAGTAAGAAATCAATATACCATTACAAGAATCACCACCCATGGCAAGTTCAAAGATCTGACAATCTCCATGGCCACAGAAGTCTTGCCAGAGCCAGAGCTACCAGCGATGCCGATGATACTCAAGTCCTGCCATGGCGGAGAATATCGCACTTCGGCGGTGGGCATAGAGTAAAAGGGCGATAACGACTCCATGTCTGCAGATCACCTAAAACAACAGTAGGTGTACTCGGCGTTCTGCAGTACAAATTTCAAGCCTGCGATAGCCTTTAACGAGCCCTGTGAGGGCCCACGATAATGACTAATGAATAAGGCCTAAAGTATCTTAGTGAAGCGGGCCAGATTATGATTGGCTACAGGACTCGGGCGCTAGTGAAGAGCTGAGTCAGATATTTATAAGCCGCTGGTTTGGGGTTAGCGCAATTTCTTCGCTTAAGCTACTTCTTCTGCCGCGAGCTTTTTTCTTCCTTTTCACTTCTTCATCTATCCCGGTTTTCTCCCACAAGCGATTTGCCTCTCCCCATGGCAATTGTCTCTCGGATTTTCCAGTTTAACAGATAGCTTATGACCAGGCATCAGACTGGCTAGCTCATAATGTCGTCAGCTAATCTCGTATGCTTCTCGGCCTGACAACCGTGGTTGCTGGCATTTTAACACCATGCAGATGTCTCGCACTCCCTCGACTGCGACGCCTACTTGGCATCACTTCGAGCGGAAGCTCGAAGAGGTCAAACCATCCAAGACGTGAGTTACATCATCTCCATCCTCCCCTTCCCCTCCACCCCGTGACATGATGCTCTTGAAAATCAAGTTGGGAATCTCTCTGAAAATAAATGAGGAGTAACAATTGACTTGTCCTTCTGATTCACGTCACCACTGCAAAAATTTCAATCAATCGTTGAATCAATGGTTGCTAACAATTTCGATTGCAGTGATATAAACTATTTGGTCATGGATTACCTCATCACCAACGGTTATCCGGCTGCTGCGAAGAAGTTCGCGCTTGAAGCCAATATCCAGCTCAGAACTGATTTGCAAGCCATTCAGGAGCGGGTTGATATTCGCACTGCGATTCACTCAGGTGATATCCAAGTGGCCGTTGAAAAGATCAACGAGCTGAATCCTCAGGTAAGAAAAAAAAACTTTTTCACACTAGTCCACTCCACTTCCTTCACCCCCTTTTCTTGCTATGATTATACCAAGTTTCATGCACCACTCTTAAGACCCCTTCGGGGGCATTTGCAGAAAAACAAACATCTTCAGTCCTCAGTATGAGCAATTGCCACAATATTGAATCTTACCACCATGCCACTCATTGATTGCAAAGTGCCAAGGCTAACAAGACTTCGATAGATTCTTGACGAAGATCCATCTCTGCACTTCGCCCTGCTGCGCTTGCAATTGATCGAGTTGATCCGCGTGTGTATGGACAGACCTGGCAGCGATATCACTCCTGCCCTGGACTTTGCCACGTCACAACTTGCACCGCGCGCTCCCACAAATCCTCAGTTTCTAGCGGATCTCGAGCGAACACTTGCCCTCTTGATCTTCCCCAGTGATAAACTGGACCCAGCACTGGCGTCTCTTCTAGACCCTGCACTCCGTAAAGAAATCGCAACCCGAGTCAACGAGGCAATTCTGCAGAACCAAGGCGCTCGTAAAGAGGCCCGGCTGCGCAATCTTGTGAAACTCCGGGCTTTCGCCGAGCAAAAGGCACGAGACACCAAAAAAGACATCCCAGAAACCCTGGATATTGGCTTGGTCGGTGATTCTCACGACGACAGTAATCGTAACAATCTCACTACCAACTTGAGTGACACTTTGATGTCCAACAATGCCGACATTGATGCTATGATCTCTTGATCTATTGGCCTCTCAACTTGGCTTTGAACCTTGGGTTTCTCCCAACAGAATTTTCCATATCTCCTTTCTCGGTTGCTTTTTTCTTCTAGCGCGGCGTCTTGGGCCCACATTATCATGGCGTTCACCTCAATGGTTTCACTACGGGCGTTTTGACAACACCAACACCTGCAATACAAATGATCTTAATTCTCATGCTTTTTTTTTGTTGTGAATCATAGCCCTCTCCCACAATGTTACCTGTACCCAATAGACGAAGACTGAAGAAGAAATTTAAGCTTGAGTAGCTACATGGATCGATCACAAATGCATTTGTGCAGCAACCAGCGAAGAAACATGAGCGAATCAACCCATCACAAAAAATCTGTACATGCACAATTATGAACCAAGCTTGGCTATGAATAAACGAGCAACATAAGCAAGATCTATGGGCGTGTTTTAAGGCCGACAAAAAAATAAAATGATCAACAGAACAAGTCCGCACTTCTTCCTCGTGGATAATCGACAAAGTAGATCGGTTGGAATATATCATAGCAGGCTAGGAGCAAAAACAGCAAACAAACGAAAGACCTAAGGAAATGAATGGCTTAAAAGCTCATGAGATCTAGAAGAGAAAGAGTAAAGTCAGTATGATTTCCCAAGGGCGAAATGAAAGGAATCGAAAAGAAAAATTACGCACCTCTTCCAAAGAGTGCTCTCTTGCCCCAGTCCATGGCCAGCATACACCGTGTGCGGAAGCTAACACTCTCAGCGAAGTAGATACTGCGCCAGAGATACATAGCAATAACACCACCGCTGAAGCTCATGCCACCAAAGTCAAAGATGGCAGCGTTACTGATGTACGCCAAGCTTCCGAGATGTTTATACTTGAAGGCCTTATAGACGGCCTCGTCAAGGTCACCGTAGTCGATCTCGTTGGCCTTGAGGCCGGGGAGAGCAGCGGCGATCTTGGTAAGCTTGCGACCGAGGTAGACTCCCTGTTGATTAGCACGCTGGGCAGTGGCAGGAAGGGAAGTGAGCTTGGTATCGATCTGGTGCAGGAGTTCAGAAAGCTCGCCGTAGTCGAGGGTGCCGGAGTGGTCCTTGTCATATTGTTCGAAGAGCAAATCCAGACGGCGCAGATGGTTCGAGGCTTGCGGGAAGCGCTTCTTCACTCGGCCGGCGAATTCAGTCCATTCTGAGAAGGTGAGGTGCACCTTTTCCGGGTCGCGGCCCTTCTCCCAGGCGATTGTGCGGAGGAATCGGATGATGTTCTCTGCGACGTTGTTTTGGACTGTGGAGCAGTCGCCAATTGCGTATACGTCTCCTAGGGGAGCGCCGATCACGCGGAGATGAGAGTCGGTTTCGAGGGCATGCTTGTTATTTTGTCCCTCCAGTTTATTAGAGAGAGTTTCTGAGATCTCAGCACGGGCTAGTGAGATGTTAGTTTCTGTCTTAAACCAGAAAATCCAGAAATTGACTTACCAACGCCCGTCGACCACAGGCAGAATGCGGTTGGGATTTCCTTTACAACGGTCTTGCCGTCTTCCACCTGAGAGAAGAGGACGCGGTCACCACGGACTTCCTTAACACGGGCGTTGGTCAACACCTCAACACCATCGCGCGTAAATCGACCCTAGAATATGTTAACATCAGAACAGTTTTTAGGGAACTTAGACAAGGTAAAACATACTTCGGCATACTTCGAGAGAGCCTCATCATAGGTGTTCAAGATGTGAGTTCGGCTTTGGATGATGTGAACAGATATCTCGTTGCGAACAATGCGAGGGAAAGAATGGAGCAAGTCTTCATTTAGAAGATCAAACAGCTCAGCGGCAAATTCAACACCAGTAGGGCCACCGCCACAGATCACAAAGGACAGCAGACGTCTGCGCTCCTCATCGGTGGTAGTGGGGAGACAAGCCAGCTCCATATTCTCCAGCACTTTGTTCTTAATCCGACGAGCATCATCAATGGTCTTCAGGAAGTTACAATTTTCAAGACCTTTGACACCATGTGGGTTCGTGACACAGCCTAAGAATTTATATGGTCAATATTTATGACATAAATCGGCTTGTTCGCAGGCACAACATACCGACACCAACAACAAGCTTATCATATGGCAGATAAAAGCTCCTCGTCACACCATCGTTGTCAACCTGAGAGACTTCGACCAATTTCGCCGAGAAGTCAACATCAGTCGCCGAAGCCTTGAGGAAGTGCCCATTGACGCGGTCAATGATACGCCGAACGGGTTCAACAAGAGACCGCAGGCCCAAAGTGCCTACGGTAGCAGACGGCAACATAGGAGTAAACAAGAAGTAATTAGTAGGGGAAACGACAGTAACGTGATAATCGGCCGGGTTCAAGTTCTTGAGTAGCGCAATGCTTCCCCAGCCTGTACCTAGGATAACCAGACGAGGCTTGTCCTTCTGCTCCAGCATAGACTCGGAGTCATAGTCGCCAACAAGAACATCCGCGATGGGTAGGTTCTTCGGGCCTCCACGGCGCGGGTTGAGAGCCAGCTCCGAGACCGGGATGTCGGCGGCCGTCGTAGATTCGTGGTATGTACTAGCGTCGTAAATGAAGAAGGCAACCACAACAGCACCAGTAGAGACAATGAAAAATCCGCAGTATGTAAAGACCTTGTATAAAGCGTTCACGATGGCAGATCGTTTCAAAGGCTCGACCTTGGTCGCAATTTCTGATTTGTAGCGGATCGGCGTGAATACCGGTGCCAAGGTGCGCCATTGGGGGATAGGTCGTCGATGAGTGTGTAACGAGCGAGATAGAGATTGTCGAGATGTCATTGATACCTTTGAGGCATGGACTCTGCCTGGTAATGAACCCTTTAACTTGAGCGCGGTACCGTCCGCACGGCTCCGGCGCAGCATCGCGTTCAGCATTATGAGGTGCAAGGGGAGTGAGTGTAAGAAATGTTCAACAGTAAACAGAGACGTAGCAGCTCATGGCCCGTCCCTGTGAACTCAAATAGCGAATGATTCTGAATCAATCTAAAACAATGCAAAGCTGCAAAAAAAAAATAGTCTAGTGAAGACAAGAAACGAAATGCCAGCGGCTGTAGTGATCGGCGACGTCATCATATACCGGTCACGTGCTGCAAGGTGCTCGGGATCCCGGCATCAGAACTAAGAACTCATACGACAATAGTTCTCCGTTAAAAGACTTTTCACCGACAACTAGATCTAGATCAGACTCCATTTTTTGAAATAGATTCATAGATTTCTATTATATACTCATAGCTAATGGGAATGGATATCGGTTGGAGATCGAGATATAGCCATATGTATGGGAAAAAGAACTTAAAAATAGTACCCACCCAATTCCTTATGAATTCTCCATGTGCAAATGAAGCAAAAAAATTGAAATAATAAACGCCAACCTCGCTTGAAATGCAGATGAAAAGATGTCCCCTGTATGATGTGGATACGTGTGAAATCAGTCCCAATCCAGGTCATCGTCCGGTTCAGCACTGGATCTCTTCTTTCCGGATGAACTTTTCCGGCTCTTAGATCGTTTGTTAAGGTTTGAACTGGAGACAGAGCTCTTGCGCTTCATGTTTCGGGGAGCCACGGTCTCGTCGACATCTGCGGTAGCGTCTAGACTGTCCCCTTCTACATCTTGGTCTGCATCCACTCTGAACTCTTCGTCAATGGAGAGCAAGGTTGCAAAATCGCGGCACTTTTGGTGCATCACTTCTTCACTGCTTAGAGCTGTCATGTTCCGGGCGATAGCTTCCCAGAATTTGTCGCCAGTCACTCCGTGGACCTTGGTGGCAGCTTTGTTGAGCTCCTTCGCTGCAGGTTTGCCCTCCTTGGTCTTGCTCTGGGCATTCACCCCGTAGAGGCGTCGAAGGTGAGTCCGAGCTTCCCAAAGCATGGACAGTGATGCAGCTGCGGTTGCAAGCAATCTCAGGGTTGTAGGGTTGGCTTGTCGCGGCATGACTGTTGGAGGCATCTCAGGCGCAAACTCCGGCATCATACTATTTGAAGCATCTAGCTGAGGTGCGCCAATCGGAGTAGGAGATATTTCTGTCTCAATCGCGTGTGCCACAATTGTACCAGTGGAAGACACAATGCGTTCTATGCAGGCAATTGTTGGTACTAGTTCGGCCAGTTGACCATAGTCGAAATATGCCAGATTCTGGGAAATGAAACGAGCAAGTAGAAGGTGTTCTGGAGGATCGCCAGCGGTATCCAGTTTCTTCAACTCAAAATTGACTTTGGAGCAAAGGTTGGACAGGAATTTCTTTTGGTAGCGGCTGTTGCTGATTTTGACGATCTCAAATAATGGTGCAAGCTTCGAGATGAAAGGCCGATAACTAGCACCGTTGGAATCGCCAACGATATCGCGTTGGTAATGAAATGCTTCTTGCACAGCTCGCATGTATTCCCGTTCAAACATGGATTCATATTGCTGGTGAAGCATCTTGTGCGTGTCAAATGCTACCTTTGCAATGGCCGGGACAGTGGAAGTCTCCAGGGAGACAAGAACGCCAGCACATTCCTTGGGATGCACCAAACCTTGCCGATTGATACTCGCAATCAATTCAATAGCAGTCAATGAATAGGTATCTTGGCGCGACTGCGCTACCTGAAGCATGTTAGAGAGGAAGTGCTGGGCGATCAAAGCAGCAGCGCCATCATTATCACTAGCTCTCAAAGACCCTCCCAGACGGGTGGTATCTTCATGGCCCACTGCCTCTGCAGTTGGCATGACAGCCTTTTCAGACTTGCCCTCATGGATAGCAAAAAAGTCAGCAAATGATCGGAGGACGATGTTTTGGAGACTTGGAGCATCCTCTTTGAATGCTTGAGCGAATGTCTGTCGCGTGCGTTGTCGGCCAAACTGGCCAGGCCAAGACTGACATATGGACCCCAAACTTTCAAGCGCCATAACCCTCAGCTCAAAAGGTTGGTTAGAGTCAGTAAAAGGGATGAGAGAATCCACCATCAGCCCCGCCACTGAACCACCGGACCAGGTGGGAAATTCGCTCTTGAAATGAGATGCATATTTCTCAAGGTCGCAATGCCGCCCAACACATCCTGCAATTCTAATATAACTTTTGGCACGTGCCAGAATCGCAGCATGTGCCGTCGATGAGAGGTCCATGCTCTTGTACTGCTGCATTGGCTTCAGCACTGACACTGTCAGCTTGACAAGTCTGTTGGTGTTTTGCAAAACACTGTTGATGGTCCACAAACAAGCCATGACTTCATTCAATTCAGGGCGAGAAAGCTTGGCTACGCTCTTGAAGAGATCATTCTGCACCTCCTTGAGAAGCGTATTGTGAGACGAGGATACGCAGGGTAGGACACAACGATATATAACCACAACCGAGCGGAATATGAAAAGGTCGTCGGCCGTAGAGAGATTTCCGATGTAAGGGTGCAGCGCCTCCAATTGATCTGGGCTGAACAATTTCGCATTTGCCTTAGCGAACACAGTGATGGTCTGCAAAAGAGCTTGCTGGAACTCTTTGCTACTGCCGTCTGAATCTTCGACCAGCCTCTGGAACATAGTAGCAACCATTGCCTTGCAAACCTTGAAGTTCAATGATGCGGACTTGGATTTTTCCGAAAGCACAGCCTTGAGACAAATGCTGAGAGAATCCAAGGCAGTTTCGCTGCGCTCGGCCAAACCAACGATAAGGATGACCTGCTCCTCAAGAGCCATTTTAAGTTTAGGGTCAGAAGTAGAATCAATGGAGTTGTGGAACGGAATAAGCCAAATTTCTTCAAATGTTTGGCGAGCCAGTGCTGCCACACTCTCTTCGTGGTCGCCTGTGCGCTGAAGAAAGCCATCGAGAATGGCCAGCTTCAACTCCTTCCGAGATGTTTTGTGGTAAATATCCTTCAAAAGGCCAATGCAGCGTTTGCGGACACCCGCCGTTTGATCAGCGGCACAGGCCAAGATACTCCGACAGCCTTCCTCCTCGAGCTTCGGCTTCAGCCCAATGCATTGTCCAATCAATTGTAGGGCAGAATCTCGGACCATTGGCGAAGCATCCGTAGTGCACCGATGAATCACGCGCAGAACCGATGGGTCTCTGTCCAGTAGGTTTGGATCTTTTTCGAGCATGTAGATGACACTTTTGAGACTGCGGCTGCGAACCTTGGCAGAATCGCCTAGAAAAGAGGCCAAAAGTACTTTAAGGATGGCGTCAAAGGCTTTGCCGAAGTTTGAGTTCAAAACCGTCAGAATATAGGCAAATTTCCCATGTACATTGGGAATGCTGTTGAATTCTTGGTGTGTCTCCAACCAGCGTGGATCAGAGAACGAGCGTGTCAAAAAAACGACCAGATCGTCAGTCATTTCATCGTGTGCAAGCTCTTCGTCATCTTCAGCGTTGTAGTAAAGCGTACATGCAGTCTTGGCCCATTGAGCCAGGTAGTAGCCCCGCGCACTTGTCAGCTGCCAATTGTCTGAATTTTTGTCTTGCAAAAGGTGCTCAAGCGCAATCCTATAAGGTCCGGTTGGAGTGATTATATCTTGCTGATGCAATGCGCCAGATGAGAACTCCTCGAATTGTTGCCTCAAGTAATCAGTAAGCTCAGACTCAGAATCTTCCAGGGCCGGAAGCATATGCTGAGCGGTTGCTATCAAGTCCGAGATGGCAGATCCCATCCAGCCCAAAAGCTCCAGCGCCATGCTCTTCGCTGTCGCCGCGCTCTTGTCCTGGTCCGTAATTTGAATCATGCGTAATGCTAAAATACGGAGAAGTAGTTCCGCAGCCGGCCAATCGGCCAATCCGAGTACACTGATCAGGTCTTGGGTGAAAAGATCGAGGATGTTCCGGTATGGCTGATCACCTGTCTTTGTTGAGTTCATAGCACGCTGAACAATAAAGTTGACAATGTATTGCGCTGAGCGCATGGCATTGTCATAGAGCCTGTTTGCCTTGGTTGCCAGGCGCTCCAATGATTCGTCTTCCTTGTCGTCGTCAGACTCATCCTCATGCCCACCATCTCCCATAAGCTCGTCGTCATCATCATTGGCTCGTGGCTTGACTTTGCGCTTAGCTTGTGATGAAGAAGGTGTTTCCAAAGCGGTTGTTTGAACGAGCTGCAAGACTAGTGCAGTAAGAAGCTGGATGTTTTTGCCATCCGCAACTTTGAATTGTCGGGCATTCTGGCGCGTAGTGGGAAGTTTTTCCAGAGAGACCAGGATTTCATCAAGAATGAACGGACGTTGCTCGGGGTATTTAGAAAACACTTTTGCAAGCACATCCATTGCACCACGTCTGGCAGGCTCGTACTTCTGGTGACCTAGAGTAGAGTCCTTGTCATTGTGCGCATTTTCCACAAAGATAAGCTTCGCGGCGAAGAACTCAGCAGCCGTAATTGTACCCTCTGAAACATCAATTCGTGACAAAAAGTCTGCAAAAAGAGTGAGGGCTTTCTTGCTCTGGTGGACCAGGCTTCCAATGATCCGTTTCTGGTTCGAGAAGAATTGAAAGTGCTGGGCGTCCTTGCCGCCAGGACGCGACTCCACGGCAGGAATAATGCAGTGATCGAAGACTTGATTGAGGACGTTTGGAATTGCTTCGATAAGATCTTCGGGGCAAAGCTCCCGCTCCGTCTGGTGTCCAGACATCGTCTGCAGCAAGGTTCCGATTGCATAAAGTGCATTCAACACATCCTGTACTTTCCCCAGCCATTCCTGAGATTTGAGGTCATTGGACGAATCACCCAACCCGAGGCCCAGAGACTGTGCAGCAATGATTGGTTTCTCACACAATTTCTGGACCCGGTTGAGAAAGTCGGATGGTATGTCATGGAGTCGGTCAAAGCCTGTAACTTTCCGAAAGGCTTTCTGGAGGCGAATGTGAGCATCGTCAGATAGCAGGAATCCATGTATTTCCAATGATTGCGGGTTCACGAAAATAGGGTTTGATGTGTCAGCAGTCGAAGGATTCGAGCTGTCGGGGTCGATTTGATCTTCTGCTTCGAAGACTTCAAGGAGAAGATCTTGCAGCTTTTGCAAAGCTGCGTCCGCTTCTGCTTTTTGGTCCTTCAACCGCACCGCCGCCATAGCATCTTCGCCGTCTCCTTGCAGCTTGAGCTTTTTCACATTCACTTGGTACGAGGGCGAAGGTACTGGTTTTTGTGGAATCACCACTGACAACTGGCTTGGTGTAGAAGGGGGATTTTGTTCAAAAGAAGCCGAAAAAGAGGCCGGTTTTGATTTATTCGCCAGGTATGCGCGCTGGTTGTTCGAAAATGCGGAATTTGGAATGAGTTCTTTGGCATCGGCTTTGCTTTTGGAGCCTGATTCGGGATCTGCAGCCAACAAATTAGTTGATCATTTCCAAATATTCTTGTCATCTCCTGGCTTACATCTGAATGCAATGTCCGTAGAGTCGAGCATCATGCGTGCAAAAGAGCCAAGGCTATCACGACCCGAGGGTGTATCATTAAAGTCATTTGGGCGCAATTGTTGACTGTGGTTCGAAATGCGAGGTAGCTTGAATTTACTATGAAAGTCAAATGAGTTAAAACCGACTCCTGAACACTTTCGGGTTTCTCACAATTCTGTCAACTGTTCCCCATCTAACAGCTGCTGAATATACTCTCTCGATGTCTCGAGGCGACTAGACTCACTCTGTCCAGCTTGTATCTCCAAATCAAGTTCACCGAGTGTTTTGCGGCCTTCTTGGAGGACATGATTTATAGAAGTAGTATTCGAGGGTCGACCAACATCGGGGCGAATGATGCAATCTACGCATATGGTGCATCAGTAACTCGAATAGGTTCAAAGAGCGGATAGACAAACCGAGACCAAATACGGGCGCGCTGGACATGGATGAGTATTGCAGTGCTTCGTCCACCGACAATGACCGTGGCTGGTTTTGGAACTGCATATTGGAGCCATAAGGTTGGTGCATCTGGTTATGGCCGTTGATGACCACCTGGATGGCCTGGCGTCCATTTTGGTCCATAATCGCGGTTATATCAAAAGAGGAAGGCGCGGGTCACAAGATTGACATGCTCCTGATAGAGACATGGCAAACAAGGCAAGGCGCCTTATGACATCCCTAGGCGATTTAAGTAATTGAAACCTGAAAATATAAAGGAGCTGTTGAGCTACGATTGAATGAGTTCATGAATTCCGTATGCGTGACGGCACATCCTATTGCCGCGTGTGACCGCCTATAAGAGGCTCGTGCGTCCAAAAAAAAGTTGCATGCTTCAACTTGCTAGATTTGATTGGATTTGTTTTCACTTCACTCTCTCTCCCCCTCTTCAAATTTATATTGTGTTGTTGGATCTTCTTCTCGCTCCCAAAATGGCTGCCATTGGTTCTTTGCTTTTTTGCACAGATTGCGGTAATCTCTTGCGAGAGTCTACTGGTAATGCGGATGCGATCCTACACTGCGTTGTTTGCGGCGCTCAGAACAAGGGTGAGTCGCTATTATATTCGCTCGATTTTATTTGTTAAGGTATGCCTGGTATCTAACTTTAATATTGAAGACACGGTCCCCGGGACACGTATCTCCACCTCGAAGCCCTCGACCTTCCCCTCCTCATTGAGGGACACACGATCCCTACTCCAGACTGTGACATTAGCTGATCGCAGTGCTGAAGTTCGCATTGAGAAAACATGCCCTAAGTGTGCGAGGACGGAGATGTTCTGGACCGCCGTACAATTGCGTAGTGCCGATGAAGGAAGTACTGTGTTCTATAGATGTCTCTGCGGCTACATGTATGCAATCCTGCCTCGGAAGCGATTTGTGTGTTGTGAGCATATGCTGATATCCTTGACAGGGAAACTCAAAACAATTAATGGAAAGATGGAGTGTACAAAAATGTGGAAAACGGTCTATTTTTGGACAAGGGCTGTATAACTAGCGGGACAAGAGTATCAAAATCACGACGTCACGAGACCATTTATTTATTTTTCTTTTCTTTGGCAAGACATCCCTTATGCAGCAGCAACTGGTGCGGCACTTTCTGGGATCAGCGCATATTGGGTCTCGCCATTCCTCTCGAACTCTGCCATGTCGAGAGCAACAATAACACTGTCCCTGACCACCTCATCGGGATCATTCAAGAACTTCTTCAGAGTGTCCTCAACACCCTCCTCGTCACCCAGACTGCCCAGGGCCTCGGCTGCTTCGTGGCGAACCATGCCAGCTTCGGATAGGTCGCTTAAGGAGGCTGTGAGACTGGGGATCGAGGCAGGGTGGCAGAGCTGACCAAAGACAAAGGCGACCTCGTGTCGGAAGAGGGCAGAGGGGTCTTTGAGTCCCTTTGCCAGCGCATTGACGGCATCAACTGCTGTGGGAAGGTCCGGGGGCGAGGCAAGGTCACGCAGACCAAACATCGCACGGTATCTTTGGAAGAGAGGGAGCTTTGTATCAAGCAGTGTCTTTTCCAGGTCAGGGATGCAGGGCTCGCTGGACTGCAGGGGCATAGGAGGGGCAGGGTCGATAGAACCGAAATCACTGTAGAACAAAAACATCAATGTCAGCGTCCTCTTCATATAATGTAACGTTGTGCGCAAATCGTACCTAGGCTTCAATTGCTCGGCCTTCTTAGCTTCTGAGTTCTCCCAAATGATCCGATCGACGGCGATGTCGCAGGTCTCCCGAATGATATCCAACTCATTTGTATCATCTCTCAATTTCTTGAGTAGGTCCAGACTATCCTCGTAGCCGAGAGCGCCTAGCGCCTCGGCGGCCTCATGGCGACACATCGCATCCTCTTCGGTATCCTTCACTACATGCTGCAGGTATGCGACAGACTCGACATTCTTGGTTTGGCCAAGACAATAAGCAAGCTCGTGCTTGAGTAAGGCTGAAGGTGACGCGAAACCTGCGGCGATCGCTTCGATAGCAGGGAGGCTCTGCTCGGTGGGAGGCTGCAGGCAGGCCAAGTGCTTGAGGGAGAAAAGAGCGCGGAAGCGACGAGCAAGAGGCTCTGACTCGGAGGTCAGAACCTGGCGGAGGGTAGAGACAGTGGTATCCTCAGAAGACATTTTGTGTGGTGGGGTTTGTATAGAAGAAAAAAAGTTGTTAATCTTTTTGATCTTATCAATTTTTGGGAGTGGGGTGGCGGGGCCGATTGGTTTTAGTTGCGCATAGATTTTTTTTTTTCTTTTGCTCGTACGTTACTCTCTGCAACACTTCCGGTAAGCACTTATAAATGTTTTATAAAAATAAAACACACTGCTTCAATCTAATTAATGAACTTTTTGTGGATATATATAGGTTGAATGGTCAATATATGTAGTTCATGCCACTCATGATTACCTTGGAACATCATCCAGATATAGCTTCTACTTCTGATATATTTCATGGAGAGAAAACTTTCATCTCACGATTGAAGGCATAAAAAAGCAACTTTATAACCCTGGTACTATGTGTTATGAAGATGTAGCTTTGGAACACGCTGGGATCATAGCTTGAACTTTAAAAGGAGAAACTGAATCCAGAAACCGAGAACTAGTAAAACATTGTAGCTGGTAAATACTGGCTCGACCTAGGTGCCAAGGTATGCTTGGATCCTAATTATATATTCTGCCTCGTTGATTTGGAGTTCTTTGTTGAGTCTCTTTTCCTATAAAATACAAGTATAACAAACAACAAGCTTGGAAGAGAATTTGGCTTCGGTCCCATGCTTTTGATTTCTGTAGCCACCTGAATACATGTCTGCTATGCTCACTGTTGTTCTTTTGCTGGTGCTGTCTCTCGGTTTGTTATAAATCTGAAGCAAATCCGGAGCATGGAAGCGTTAAAGCGTCTTCTTGATAGTAAGGAACAATTGGTATTTTCAGTTTATCCCCTGCTACAACTAGCTTCATAATATATATAATATAAGCCGGAAGGATTATTGACAGGCAAGTCGAAGCAAAGTAAACATGGGAAGCTTCCAGGTAAAAACCACAAGTAGTTTGAGAACGCTATGTACGATTGTGCAAGGTTTTCCAGATTAGCATCAACCAAGAGGTCCGGACACAGAGGCAAAGGAGAGGATCATATTATACAGGAGTGAACCGAACGAAAGGGAGTATTTCTACATATCGTAACAAAAAGAAGAGAAACAAGGGGTATCATACAGCCGCCTTTTGTTGTTTCGCTGCTTCATCTTCAGCCTTCATCTCCCGTTCCAAAGCAGCAAAGTCACCCTTAAACGATTCCGTAGCCGGCTCCAGCCGGACATCCCAGACATCCTCACTACTGGGTCCGGTCTTGTATTTGATCGACTTCTTGCGGTTGTGATCTCGGATCGCCCGCTTGCGCAAATCCTCTGGCCATGTGCGGGTCTTCATGCACAACCATAGATTGTCCCAGTGGTCGCTGCAGGACCGCAATTCTCCGTATCGGTAGACATTCACGAATTGACCGCCGAATGATTGGCAGAAGAAGGCATAGTCGAAGGCGTTGCGGCAGGACATGGTATCTTGGTACAGGGATTCGGGCGAGATAGCCGATTGAGGTATTTGAGATGCGTTGCCATCGGGAGTGAGACTAGTTCCTTTTGAGAGAGAGGCATCTTCTGATCTGAGATCGGCTAGGATTTGGCTGAATTCCAGGTCGGCTTGTTCGTCGGGGGTCAACGTCTTCGGTGGTGCATTTTGCTTTATCGTCTCCGGATGTATCGTGGATGGAATGTCCTTAGGAGTGTCCTTGGGACTTGATTCCCACAGCCAGCCCATTTTGTTCAGCAAGGAAGATGGATTTGTCGCGACACCCTTGAAATCGCGATGTTCTTTTTCGCAGTAATCGAAATGCCACGTGACGCGGCGATAAGCGATCACAAACACGACGTCATTGATCGATCGATTTAAACCAAGCTGATCGCTCTGACTGTTTTTCAAGACTGTTCTTCCTCCTCGATATGCGTCTGTGATCATTATGAGACCAGTCACTTTATCGCGCCCGCTGACCGCGCGGTCTCCGGCATATTTACATACCACCAAGTGGAGACCTCCGCTTTATGCACGCTCATTAATACGTTACACATCTTCTATCAAGTCAGGGCATATCTCAGTAGGAGAGAACGAAGGAATTGTCTATGTCAATAGTAAGTGCTGGATTTTTTTGCAAAAACTAAGCATCCCCGCTAATCAATCATAGATATCTTCCCACACCGTTTACAATGGCTGTTGCGGGGACCACTCAGCCACATCCAGCCTCTTGAGGGGATTTTAAAACGAGTCAACAACCCAGGAATAGCGGCAGCAGATCCACTTCGCATTGTGCAGCTAGCACTACCAAAAGAATTGGACCTGGAGATCAAAGAGGTTGTTACGAGGTACAAAGAAGGCGGCGCATTCGTTAAGTATGGGCTCAAGTCGAATATAACCGAGGAGAGCATCCAGAATGCGATCAAAAAGAACCTGCAAAACAGACCCATCAAGCCCTGGTTCAATCCATTCCAGAAAGTCGACGCGGACCTTGTTCGTGGAACACCGTGGATCGAAGACCTCTACCGGATTCCCAGCCAGACTCTCAAAGTGGAATTTTTGCCTACTTCCCCAGGCACATCTGCAGCGGTATTGACGCAAGAAGCCTTGTACTCACTGTTCCGCCCTTATGGCAAGATCCTGGACATCCAGGAACAGCCATCGGATTCCAAGGTCGAGCCACGATATGCAATCTTACGATTCGAGCTCCCCCGGTACGCTGTCATGGCAAGAAACTGCATGCATGGCTTTATTGTTTCTGAAGAAGCAGGTGGGGGCAAGTCCGGGACAAGGTTTAAGATAAACTACGAGCGCAAGATCAAGCTATCTATGATCAAGGATTGGATTATCAATCACCCGAGACTGGTAATCCCAGCTGTTGCTGCATTGATAGCTACAATCACAGTTATTATCTTTGATCCAATCCGCACATTTTTCATCGAACTCAAGATCAAATCATCTTTCCAAGCCGAAGAAAATCAAGTCCTACAATGGGTCCGCAGACAAGCCAGCAAAGCGAACATGTTCTCTTTTGGAAAGTCAAAGTCCAACCCCCGAGGTCTGGCTGCTATTTGGGAAGGTCGGCAAAAGGACATTGAGCAGCTGCGAGCTTGGCTGACCGAGACGGCCGAGACATTCATTGTCATCCACGGGCCTCGGGGATCAGGAAAGCGCGAGCTGGTTTTGGAGCAAGCACTCAAGGAGCACAAGTATAAGGTCGTCATTGACTGTAAACAAATTCAGGACGCTCGAGGCGATACCGCCAAGATCTCGCGAGCAGCTGCCCAGGTTGGCTACCGGCCCATCTTCTCTTGGATGAACAGCATCAGCAGCTTTATCGATCTTGCTGCACAGGGAATGATTGGTACCAAAGCTGGATTTTCCGAGACTCTAGATGCGCAGCTGAGCAAGATCTGGCACAACACTGCTGTTGCCATGAAGCGAGTCGCTTTGGAAGGTAGACGAAAGGAAGACAAAGATATCCACTTGTCTGAAGATGAATACCTGGAGGCTCACCCCGAGAAAAGGCCTGTTCTGGTAATTGACAACTTCTTGTATGACTCCGACAATAGTGTTGTCTTCGACAAGCTCACCGAATGGGCGGCTGGGGTGACATCGGCAAATATCGCCCATGTGGTTTTCCTGACGACCGATTCATCCTTTGCGAAACCATTGAGCAAAGCAATGCCCAATCAAGTTTTCCGCACAATTGGACTGGGAGATTGCTCGCTTGAAGTTGGCCGTCGGTTCGTGTTGAGACATCTGGATGCAGAGTCTGGCGGAGATGAAGAAAACGCAAGGCGCAAAGAGACTCTGCACGGCTTGGACTCTTGCATCAAGACTCTGGGTGGCCGAGTCACCGACTTGGATTTCATGGCCCATCGTATCGAGGCTGGCGAGACCCCTGAAGGTAGGTTGAATTTCTGCTTCAAATAAAAAATATACTAACTCTTGACATAGCTGCTGTGAACCGGATCATCGAGCAGTCGGCATCAGAAATTCTGAAGATCTTCATCCTTGGGACGGAATCTCCGTCACCTCAATACACGCGCGAGCAGGCATGGCATCTAATCAAGACTCTAGCACAGTCTAAGGACGGAACTCTGCTGTATAACAAGGTCCTCCTCGGAGATCTATTCAAGGACAACGGCGAGGCGACCCTCCGAGCCTTGGAGCAATCAGAGCTCATCTCCGTCGCAACTGACAAGGGATTCCCGCGATATGTCAAACCTGGAAAGCCCGTCTATCGTGCTGCCTTCCAACGTCTGGTTGAAAATAAAACCCTGCAAAACCGTCTGGATCTATTGATCCTGTCTCAGCTTATCAGTAACGAGAATTTAAGCATCAAGAAGTATGAGGAGGAGCTGCAGGTTCTTGGGTCGTTGCCTAAATATCCTTGGGAGTTGACTTCGCGGATTGAGTGGCTTTTGCGCAAGGTTCATGCATCGCAAGGGAAGATTTCTAAGTATGAGGGTGAAAGCGCTGCTTTGTCAAAGATTTTGCAGAAAGAGAACTGAACTTAGGATTATTGTGTATTTTATCTCACCTCAATATAAATTCTCTGTCATTGCTCTTCTCATTTCTTCTGCCTCTTTTGTCCAACCAGTATGTTATACTTTCAGCCCTTAAGTCCAACGATCATTTGTTGTCATATGCATGACGGTAACTATTATGGGTTACGTTCTCATATAATCGGGTTAAACTAGGGCACCTGGGCAATGAACAATATAATGCAAGCCACTTCGATCCTGGACATCAGCTACATAGAGACTATCAATCTTGCAAAAGGAAAATACCAAGTCCTTGATGCACAAACAAAAATAGAATCGAGGCTGGCGTCAAAAAGAAAAGATTAGTAAGCATATCCTCGGGCGACGGAGGCTCGCGTGGTCTTTTGTTCTTCGCGCTGATTCATGTTTTGGGAAATTTAATCATTGAATCTGTTTATCTCTTCGTCTGTTTTTGATCACTTGATCTATTTGCGAGTGTTTGAAACACCCGAACCTTGCATGGCTTTTGTTTTGGAAACATATTGAATCGCGCAAAGCGATCGCCATGGACGGCTACCGGACCCATGGATTTGTACAGACTGCGCGTGAGAAATACTTCGGTATCAGTTGGTCTACAGTCCTTGGAGCAATTTTATTAATATGTATCACAACCCGGATCATCTCTGGGCTTCAAAGTCGACGCAAGCAAGACCCTTCAAAACCGCAGACAGTGCGATTGGCGCCTTACTGGTTTCCTTGGATAGGGCATGGTCCAGCCTTCCTATGGAATCATGTCTCTTTCTTGAAAAGAACGAGGTTTGTTTCGTCGGTATATTGATATGCTATGCAGCTGCTGATCAATTCACAGAGAATCCATGAATGAGCCTGTGTTTGGTATTTATTTACGTGGCGTGAAGCACAATGTTGTGGCGTCTCCATCCATGATGAAGGAGGTTCTCTCTGTTGAGGATGCCTCAAATTCAGAGGTCCTTGGTCAAGCCTTGCAAAATGTCTTTGGTGACCGCAGCCTTATTCGCAATTTGAATCTTGATAGCAACCAAGGGGTTAAAGACAAGGCTTTTGCCATTTTGAATGACGACTCTTTCATCCTTGAGGGTTCATCCACAATTAATCGCCTGGTGCAGCATAACATGCCGAATCTGGTGAGCTTCTGCCGAAGCCAGGTCGACCAAAACCCCTGGGAACGTGGAATCAGTCAAGTCGAAGTTCCCGACGAAGCAAACCAGACAGTCTGTGAGGCCAATTTGTTCGCGCTTTTGAGTAATTTTATCGGCCACAACGTCTCTACTTTCTTGATGGGCGATGCCTTCGTCGATAACTTTCCCAATCTTGCAGAGGATCTCGGTAGACTTGACGATACCTTCGTTACCTTGTTTATTGGCACCGCTCGCTGGGTTCCCAACCCAGCGGCTTCAGCCGGTCATGCAGCAAGCGACCGACTCCGCCATATCATGTCAGTTTTCCACCGAGCACTCACTGCCGTGGATGATGGAATCGATCCCGGGATCGAATTGCGTGACCTCGACGATGTCTCTGAAATAGTCAAGGATAGGATGCGAATGTTCCGCAAGCTGGAATTATCTTCAGGAGCCAGTGCTGCTGGGCACTTGTCACTATATTATGATCTGATCGAACACACGACCAAAATTTCTTTCTGGGCAATCACGCATATATTTGCCGATCCTACTCTTCTCGACCAGGTTCGCAAAGAGATAGCACCTTATGTGGTAGCTTCGCGACCAACCCGCCAAGAAACCGGTTTTCCCTTCGATGAACCTCCCCGACTCTCGATTGATATCGAGAAAGTCCTTACTTTGTGTCCGTTATTCATAGCATGTTATTATGAAACCGTGCGTCTTCATTCGGCCGGTATCACATTCAAGAAACCGGCCTCCGACATTGCACTTTCCGAATCGGCAGAAGAAGCTGCGTATGCCCTGATGGAGCCCCGTCAATACAAAATCCAAAAAGGAGAGAGGATCATTGTACCCCATGGAGCCTACTACCATGATTCCCGTTACTTTTCGAACCCGGATCAATTCGATCCCCTGCGGTTCCTCGTTACGGTCCCTGAAACAGGTGCCCAACGAGCTGATCCAAGTATTCTTACACCTTTTGCGGAGGGTCTATATGGATCTACGAACAATGGTTTCACCGAGAGATCTATTTTGACATTCATTGGTGGTGTTGTGTCCATGTGGGAGATTGAACCCAAGGATGGGAAATTCCTCACAGTTCCTGGGCACAAAACTAGCTGGGGAGCTTTCCGACCAACCAAAGATCTGAGAGTGAAGATGAAGACGAGGGTTTAAATTGCTTGCATAGCACATAGAATTAGAACGTAATTAACACTACAAAACACAATATAAGAATTGAGCTGAGTATCAATTATCGGGATAGGCCGAGCGGATATTAATCCGATCGGCGTTTTGCCGATGACACCATCCACTAAGACGAGGGGAATATATAAGCCACTTTAATCCTCACGAGTCTTTATATTGGTTGAATAAGGTGTTATAACTCTTCTGTGTCTGCAATTGCTTGCAGGAAGGCATAGCAATTATAACAATATGGAATCCAACCAAGACTATGATCTCACAGCTCCCATAACATCCACATCGGGACTCCGTCAAGGTCTAACATCTTACGGAGATGCTCATTTCTCATTATTTCTTCGAAAAGTGTTCATCAAAGCATTAGGATATTCAGAAGATGCCCTTTCCCGTCCAATTGTTGGGATTATCAACACGTTCTCGGGATTCAATCCCTGCCATGCCAATGTGCCCCAGCTCATAGAAGCCGCTAAGCGTGGCGTGCAGCTCAATGGCGGGTTGGCTATAGAGTTTCCTACAATTAGTGTTGCAGAGTCCTTCTCCTCGCCGACCAGCATGTTCCTGCGGAATCTCATGAGCATGGATACAGAGGAGATGATCCGGGCTCAACCATTGGATGCGTGTATTATGATTGGAGGTGAGTGCTACTGATGTTCTCGCTCTGATATTTTCTTGCTTTGTGAGAGTATTGCCTAACAGATTCTAGGATGTGATAAAACGGTTCCAGCACAATTGATGGGTGGCATCTCTGCCAACAAGCCGATACTACCTCTGATCACTGGTCCGATGCTACCAGGAAGTCACCGTGGTAAACGCGTGGGAGCTTGCACTGACTGCCGTAACAACTGGGCGGCGTTTCGAGCTGGCGAAATTGATGTCGAGGAGATCTCGGCTATTAATGAAGAACTTGCCCCGACAGTATGTGCAGTTATCTTCCGGACCCAACCATCCATCAACTAATAACGACCTTCATTTAGATAGGAACCTGTGGTGTAATGGGAACTGCAAGCACAATGGCCTGTGTCACCGCTGCCCTGGGAATGATGCCACTTCGAGGCGCATCTGCACCAGCAGTATCATCTGCGAGACTGCGGATTGCCGAAGAGACCGGCGCAAATGCAGTTGCACTTGCCAACTCCCAGAGAAAACCCCAGGAAGTGTTGACCAAGGAATCTTTCTGGAATGCTATCACGGTTCTTCAGGCCATTGGAGGCTCAACGAACGCCGTAGTCCATTTACTGGCTATTGCCAATAGGCATCCAGATTTGCAGGGCGTTATCACCTTGGATACGTTTGAGGAGATTGGTCGCAAGACTCCACTCCTCATTGATCTCAAACCGAGCGGTGAGAATTACATGGATGACTTTCACAATGCTGGTGGTATGATGGCACTATTGCAAGTACTTCGACCGCTGCTTCATTTGTCTGCAGTGACGATTACTGGACAAACACTGGGCGAGGTTCTCGATGCGGGTCAATCCAAAAATCTGTCCTTCTCACAGAAAATTATCCGGCCAATGTCGAATCCCCTATTCCCTGCATCATCGCTGGCGGTTTTGCGCGGTAATCTTGCACCGGATGGAGCGGTCCTCAAAGCATCAGCATCTAAATATAGGAATTTACTCAGCCACACCGGGCCGGCCGTCGTCTTTGAGAATTCAGCCGATCTTGCTCGGCGAATTGACGACCCAGACCTTGCCGTGACGAAAGATAGCGTGTTGGTCTTGAAGAATATTGGCCCGGTCGGCAACCCAGGTATGCCCGAAGCGGGCCTGATACCTATTCCAAAGAAGCTAGGCGAGGCCGGAGTCAAAGATATGCTGCGTCTTTCGGACGGACGAATGTCAGGGACTGCGGGCGGAACTATCATCCTTCACATTTCGCCGGAGGCTGCGCTGCCCGAGTCACCATTTGGTGTGGTGGAGACGGGTGATATGATAATTTGCGATATCGAATCTCGCAAGCTACACTTGGATGTTCCCGAGGAAGAGATAAAATCTCGAATAGAAAAACGCCAGCAGGCCCTTGCGGGAGAAACTAAGGCAAGAAAGCAGAGGAGAGGATACCGGGGGTTGTATGAACGGTCGGTGAACCAGGCACAAGAGGGTGTAGACTTTGATTTCTTGACGGCTGGAGGTGCCGGTGAATAAACTAAATCAACTACTCCGTACATAGTCTTCCATAAAGAACATATAACTTCAAAAGTATCTCAGTCAAGTCTGGAGAAAGGGGCCCTTGCCCTGAGCCCTGAGCCCTACAATTCTACCCAATCGGGTTAAATCAGTTAAGGCGCGTAACGCGAACGCGTCCGACCTTGCAGATCCCTGGCCCATTTGCGATCCCGATTAAGATGCTCCAGACTTCCTGATTACATCTTGAAGTATCTACTTCAGGCCATATTAGCTATGAGTTTTGACCCTCTTCGCCCGCGGGGGCGCCCAGCCCGTAAGTCCCATGAGACTGTTTATTCAACACCGCTAACGCGACTTCAGACACGCCCGGCACAACTATACTGGCTTACACGCCTGATGGACGACGGATTATCACTGGCGGCTCGAATTCGGCGATCCGCATCTATACGGTCGGTGAAGATGGAGAGCCCAAGACAATTGATGAGGGTGTTGACGCGCATTTCGGTATCGGTGCTACGGTATGTCTGTTAGAGAAGCATTGTCTTCGGGTGACTGACTGAATTGGTAGGATCGGTCTTTCATCATGGGTGCCGAGGATGGAACGGTCTGGCAATATGACATTTCGTCAGGCAAGATGCAGAATTTGCTTGTACGTTGCGCTTTGCCGGTCAGGGATATTGCAGTGACAAAAGACGGAGAATGGGTTGCGGTTGCAAGCGAGTGAGTGATGAAGGACTGCAGACAGAAAATTGGGCGCTAAGACATCGGATCAGTGAGCTCACGGTCAAAATTGTGAAAGTCGACGACATGACCCAAGTGAAGTATCTCCGGGAACAATCGAAAGGAACGAAGCATGTCACATTCGACCCAAGCGGCCGCTATGCCACAGTTTCTGGAACGGACGGAATTCTCTACGTCTACTCTTTGCAAGAAGAGGAGCCGCAGTTGTTACGCAAACTCGATGGAGTTATCCGACGACTCGAGCCAGATGCCGAGGCGACTTCTAAAGCAGTGTGGCACCCCGACGGGACAGCATTCGCCGCCGCCGATGCGACAAGGGATATTTCAATTTATTCCACATCAGAGTGGAAGAAGGAGCGGACGTTTGCTAGCGGTCATACTGGCGACATCACGGCCCTGAGCTGGTCCCCGAATGGATCTCTTCTGGCATCTGCAGGAGCAGACGGATACATTGTGCTCTGGGAAGCGAAGACACAGAAGATCCTGCAACGATTTGACTTCGGAAATGTCGTGAATCTGTCCTGGAATCCGACCAAAAACAGGAATTCGCTTTCATTTACGACTTCAGATGGAGAGCTTTTCATCTACGATAAATTTGTGCCAAAGGACAGCGAGGCGCTGTTGCAGAAACCGCTTCAAGCAGCTCCTATTTTGCCTGGACCTCTCGGCGAGATCTCTAACAACGTCGGGCGCACAACGCTAGCGGATCGGTCTAAGGAGGCCATACAGCGAGCGGCGAGGAGAGGCAGTCCCGATTCCCTGGATGATATCCTGGGTGGGGATGAAGAGATGATGGACTTTGTCGAGGATGACGATGGGGCTGGCTATGCTGATGAAGAGCTCAATATGTACGGCAAGCGACCAAATGGTCATCTCGACGACATCGTTCTCGAGAGCAAGCGTGTATACTCCGGTAGCTCGAAGCCCAAGGCACACCCGCCTATTCAGCCTGGTAGCACACCCTGGGCTGGAAGCAGGAGATATCTTTGTATGTGTAGATTTCCAATTGGCTAAAGTGAGATTGCTAACGTGGTCAGGCCTGAACCTAACTGGAGCTGTGTGGACGGTGGATCAAGAGACGCACCATACTGTCACTGTGGAATTCTATGACCGGGAAGCGCATCGGGATTTCCACTTTACCGATCCCTACATGTACGACAAGGCTTGTTTGAGTAAGTTTGTTGCGAATTGCTTTTGGTTGATTGGTTTCACTAATTCGCCTTAGATGACAACGGAACACTATTCGCCAACAATCCTTCAGACGGAAGTCCGGCGACGATCTTCTATCGCCCACACGAGACGTGGACTGCGCGAGCGGACTGGCGGACTCAACTGCCTGAAGGAGAACAAATTCAGGCCCTAGCACTCAGCGATTCATACATTGTCGCAGTGACCTCGAAGGACTATGTTCGAGTATATACTCTCTTCGGAACTCCCTTTAAGGTGTACCGACAGAAAAGCCAAGCCGTGACATGTGCAGCATGGCGCGACTACATTATGAGCATCGGAAACGGCCCTGTCGGACCTGATGGCGGTCACACGACATTACGATATACGGTGGAGAACATCAAGCGCGACGAGATCTGCCAAAACGAAGATACTGTTGCCCTTCCGGAAGGGGCTACGCTACAGAGTGTTTTCTTCTCTGATAATGGGGTATGAGTAAACTAGCCCAAGCGATTATTGCAAAGCTAACCCCATCTAGGATCCTTGCATCTACGACTCAACCGGTGTCCTCCTAGTCCTCCAAGGATGGCGAACCCCAGGTCAAGCCCGCTGGGTGCCCCTCCTGGACACAAAGCAATTGGCCCGTCTCGCAGGCGGACGGAAAGAAGAAACCTACTGGCCCGTAGCCGTGGCCCAAGACAAGTTCCACTGTATCATCCTCAAGGGCGGCGACAAGAACCCGTACTTCCCGCGACCACTGCTCAGCGAGTTCGACTTCCAAGTTCCGATCTCCAGTAACTCAGCGAAGGACAATGAAAGCGAAGAGGCAGCAGCCGAGGGCGCACGATTCGAAGAATCGTTCGTCCGCGGGAACGTGCTCCTATCGCTCTTCCGTGATCTTCTAGCCTCGACGAACTCGACAGCAAGCCAGCGCGCTGATCTTGCCCGAAGAGAACTCGATTTGGATAAAAACTTGCTGCAGATGCTGGCCATTGAATGCAGAGAGGGCGAGGAGCGTGGAATGAAGGCTCTCGAGCTGGTGGCTTTGATGACTGATCGGAATGGCAAGATGCTTGAAGCAGCTGCTAAGATTGCGCAGCGGTATGGACGGGGTGTTCTGGAGGATAAGATTCGTGATCTGGCTGAGAGACGTGTTATGGGAATGGGTGATGATGATGAATTGGCTTGATAGAAGTTACTTCCAAGGTTGGACTAATTCAAAGAGCATAAATTGTGCTATTCTCGGCGAGATACCTATTCAGCAAACTGAGCTATGTAGTTTAATCCAGCTTCCTCCTGACTGGCCCTCAGTAGCACAAATTCAGCATGATGCCATGGCACACGTGTAATTCCTTCCAGTTCCATCCACATAGTAGGCTCGGCTATCAGACTCAAATATCAGTGAGAACAAGCTCGCCTCATCCGAGTGACAATGACCACTGGCAGTATCTCTTTGAAGTAGTTACCGAGCCAGAAGACAATTCGTGGCTATACCGCTTCCCAAGGTGGGTCTTTGCAAACCGGCTTCCAAGATTAGGGAGGCATGGGTCCTTGGCTTTACGCCTGAAATGAGATGTAAGTGGGAGAAAAGTGAGAGGAAAGTGGCAGACCATCCATTGGACTATGCTGTAGGCTTGATTAGGGCATTACTGCATATGGAGGGAGAGCTTTATCAGTCTAATAGCTTACCTTAAATACACGCCAATAAGATCAGAGCCCAGCATGAAATATATATCTCATATTCGCCTTCGATGAACTAACCTGATTTCACATATCGTTCTTGAACTCTTCATTTGTAGCCCTATCGACAATTTGAGGCTGCCTAGGTGTTCAAAGTCAAATTCTATACAAGCTACCATTCATATGATCCCAGACAGGAAGTTTCACTCATTCAGCAAAGGGAGCATCCAATGGTGTCTGTGTTCAGATTCCTCCACTATGGCTGCACATGTAGTTCACCTACCTGACAATTGCCCGAGATGTTATAAAAGCCATCTGAATATGCGCCCAGATCTAAGAAATATAAATACCCCGTTTGATCCTCTCTCACTTCCTTTCTTCTCTTCCTCCCCGTCCGAAGACTTCAATTATCTCATCCTGAGTACTCGAGACATTGGCCCGCGTCAAGCACACAAAGACAACTCCTGGCCCTGCTGACCCTCCTGGCTCTCCTAACCCTCCTCATTCCCCATCCAAGGCGGATAATCCCGCCCCAGCCGCAAGCAAAGCTAGGAAGTCTGCCCAGAAAGGCACTTCTAAAGTCTCAAAGGCAACTAAGACCTTTGACAAGGACCACATCGCCCTGTTCGAGGTGATTGAATATGGGGCATCCCGGTTCAGTGGACATAAAGTCACTATGCCATCATGAAAGCTTTGAATTCATGCTAACATTGCCATTAGATCGACCACGCCGCTGTTGCCGTCGCCACCGGAAGTACCAAGGACGCCATGAGAATGCGCCTTGGCAGACTGATGAAGGAAATTTGAAAGTCCCTGGCCTCGGCCAAGGAGAAGAAGTAATCACGGAAAATGCTGACGAGGACGAGTCTTATCAGACCAACAGTGAGTGCGGAGAATTTGATGATGCGAGCGAGATTCCTGTTCTCAATAATTTTTCGAACGCTATAAGCACATTGTGCCTTTATAATCTAATTGAATGATCTGTTGCTTTCATCTGAGTATAGAAACTCGTGTTTACTTGATAGGTATAGGAACAAAAACTGATGAGGGCAAACAAGAATATGTCGGGTAGAAAGATTAAATAATATATCATACTGGACTATTCAAGGGCTGAACATCTCCACCGTACTCTAAGATTGAAACATGAGGAATCTATAGTAAATACATAGCAGTCAACAAGCTCCTAGCTACCCTACATATATGTACTTTCTATACCAATGAGACTGGCGTAATTCTCGCTGACCACTACTTCATTCTAGCAGCATATTTTAACCCGGAATTCTCTACAGTACAATAAGATATATGCTGGATACTATTTATATAGCAATATCAATAGATAAATAACACACGTAAGTACATATGCAGTCATGTATGTAGTTCTATGTATTTTCAGTATGGGGGAAATCCGGTATTCTCCGACGTCATTGATATTGAATAGCGCGAGCGATAGCGACATTTTGGAAACTATTGAATTTATATCGATTTACATCAAGCTAATGCACATTCTGTTGTATCCATGGATATCGATTTAAGCCTTGACTAGATCAGTCAAATGATTACATGATACCTAGTATATTTTGATAAAAAACTCTAAACTAAAGAGCGTCTGGCAAATTTCAAGATTGGAATTTATACAGATCAAAAACACCACTATCAACAACCGTAACAGAAAGAATCAAACTTCCCCAACTCCGAGCCTCTCCAACTACCAACTTGACATGGATTGACAACCATTAACATACTGCAGCAGGATGCCGAAGCTGGCACCTTCTCGCATATTACTCCCCAATCAGCTTCAGCTGAGGGGTTCAGTCTCGGCCCGGCGATCGTTTGGTTCATATTCGCAACACCAACTAGCGCAGCCCCGGCATGGTCTTCTCAATGAACCCTGGCTTCCGCCGCCTACAATCCCCTCATTACCATTCGCATACTTCACTCCGACAAGGGTAAGACGAGAAGTGGGACTAGACGGGGGACAACCTCGGAGAGACGACCACAAACCACCCGACGAAAGAACCCTGAAGCTTGGAAAGAGTAAATACCATTCCCTGCCTGCATCGTCAAAAAGCGCAGGCAAACTAACCCATGACTATAGCCCTACGAACCCTCTCACCTCTCCTACCAACCATTCTCTACAACACCCTACCAAGCAACATTCTCTCCCCGAGCGTCAACCTCCACCTCTTCCCCTCCACCCACCCTCATCTTCCAATCGTCAAAGGCCGCACTCTCTACCGCGCAGCCCTATGGACCGTCCCCGTAGCCTGGAGCAGCGTCCCACTAGTCGGGAATGTGAAGCTACAAATCCTCAGCGAAAGGATCGTCCGATCCGGCACCCTCCTGGACCCCACCCATGCCGGCCAGCACCACGACTGCGGCGACGAGCGGCTAATAGTGCGCTGGAAGACTGAGCCGCGCTCCGACAGCCGGCCCTTCCACGGCCCGACGTCGTCCAGCACCGCCCCCCAACCCCCCAACAACGCCTCCGGCTCGTCGAAAGGCACGAACAAGGGCCTGAGCGTGCTGCTTGGCGGGGACGAGCCGATCTTCAAACTCTCGAAGGAGGAGCAGTTTGCTGGGTTGTTCATTTTCTCGTTCGACGAGGAGGGCCGCGTCTTGACGCATACTATTGAGCATGCTGATGAGGCGGATGGGTGGGATCGTACGGCGAAGTTCGTTACCTTGACGGATTGGCTTATCGGGAAGGCTCGTGGCTCGCTGGATCCTAATCCTGAGCTTGCTATGGAGTCCTGCCAGAATCAGTTTGCGCGGCCGAGATCATGACTGTATCAACACTCGAGGGCAATTCCTGTCCTCTGGATAAAAGGTGATGAATGTACGATCAACCTGCTCTTTGCTTTTTGTTTGTTCATTTTCTATGTTGCATGGTTCTCCGCTCATTGTCCACATCGTCTTGGGCCGATGAACTATGGCGAATCACTTTCTCGATTATCAGCTCGGCTTGAGGCATTATCCAATCGCCACTCTTGTATTATACCCTATTAATTATACTTGCACTTATAAATAAACTTTGCTATCTATGCCATTCTCTGCTATTCAGTAGCAAATTCGACAAAAGAACAGGCTACAAGGACGCGAACTTGCAAGAACCTGTCGCAATGTCCAAACTTGGCATTCAATTGGTCATTGGTGGTAGGTAGCGTCATCAAAGTCTAATAATACCAAATCATGTCCCGGTGCCCCAATGCAAATATTCACTCAGTCTTTTTATGCACCACAGGTGACTTCAACAACCCAAAGGCCGCAATAGCAACAACACACATAGCCATCCCGCCAGCGGTGTAGGCAACCTCGCGACCAGCCCACCAGAACAAAGAACAGAACAGAACAGGACCAGTCGCCCGACCAGCCTGGCCCCATCCTCTCAAACGACCCATCACAGCGCCACGATCCGCATCCTGTGCCTCAAAACTGCCCAAGCTGTTCAGCCCGGTGACCACCGTCGCAGTAGTCACAGCCAGCAAAGCACCAGCAGCATAGAGACCCGAGGGCGAAGTAACGTGAGCAAGGCAGAAGAATGAGATCGCGCAAGCGATGACACCCGCGCGCAGGGTCACCAGCGGGGGAAGACGGCGCACGACTGTGCCTTGGAGGAGCGAGGCGACCAAGCCCATCAAGGACAGAAGACGGCCGTTGAGAGCAGCCGGACTGGCTGTCGTCGCTGTTCCCGCGTAGAGGGTGGTAGTCAAGAAGGGGAGGAGGGAGAATTCCAGCCCGGAGAACGGGAGCAGGAAGAGGAAATGCAGGGCATTGAGAAGGGCCGGGTTATTTGTATGAGGGCGCTTAACGGGCACAAGAGTTTTCTTTCCACTCTTCGCACTGGACGTATCACTCTTCTCGTGACTCTTCTCGGTACTGATCTCCCTCGGAAGCGTCGTCAACCTGGGATGCGTCTCAGGCAAACAAGCCCAAAGATAAATCGTCTCCACGAAGATAAGCACCAGCGAGACAATGGCAGCTACAATGAACGGATTTTCCGAAACGAGGTCAATAGTACTCAAGCCGGCGCCCAGCATCGGTCCGAACGTAAACGCAACACTAAAGCATACCCCCACCAAAGCCATGGACGAACCGCGGTGCTCGGCGTCCGTGATATCCGCGACGATGGCATTGGCCATTTGGACATTTGCCTCGCTCAAGCCGCCGACAATTCGACTCGCGAGGAAGGTGCGGAAGTCGGTTGCGGAGACCCAGAGGACCACGCTCATCAGGTTGCCCAGCATGGAGATAAGAAGGGCGCGACGCCGGCCGTACCGATCTGATAGTCCACCGATGACGGGGGCCGTGAAGGCTTGGAGGAGAGAGAACATTGATCCCAGGGCTCCGCCTAGTAGGACGATATCATAGCGGGAGTCAATGGGGCGCGCGAAGGAGTTCTTGTAGGCGTTTAAGTAGTGGAAAATGCGGTTGAGAAGGGAGTCTGGGGATGGGTCTTGGGCGCGGTAGAACGATAACAAGGATGGGAAGAGAGGCAGGATGAATGTGAAGGAGATCTAGAGGGGTTGTTAGAGAGAAGAGATAAATTGGGGGGAGGGAAAGGTCTTACCAGATCTATCAATAGTGAGAGCATGAGCACTTTCAGTACCTGCTTCCGTTGGGCGCCAGCGACGGCCATTTTTGCTGGCGCCTATATGCAGAGATTGAAGGAGAGTAAAGAGGGTATGATATATGAATGAGAAAAATATATGAAAGTTGACTTGACAGATTTACTAAGGATTTTGATCTGATTATAACAGCTCCACGTCCATACCTTTCCTATCGCGGTTAGCGCTTATGACATCGATACGCTCCAGCGCTATCACACGTGATGAGTACGTAATACGCTGTACAGCACTGGTGCCTTCGGTCTTACTATATACGCGCCCTACAAGTAGGACCGAGTATAAGGTGTGCGTGGTTCATCTTTGGTCATATCTTCCAAGGTTGTTTAGAGTAATAGTTGAGATTTTTCTTCCTCGGCATCTCAACAATCAGTTTGAGGGTCTATCACTATTTATAGATGATCACTTAATACTACCCTCAAACTGTATCGGAGAAAACCCTTGGAAATGCCATCTTCAACCGAGAAAACGCTCAGTATCTATGAGCTTGTAGAGCACATGTTCCTACAACTCGACGATCTCGCGGGCACAGACCGAGCCTCGCACGTCTGCCGTACCTGGATAGGAGTGATCCAAACATCACCAGCGATCGAGGCGCTCTAGGATGCCTGCTGGTACAACACATACCAGCAAGGATGGTGGTGAATACCAGCCCGGCGTTATTTTGAGCTAGGCTACGACTTTCCTGGGCGTGCTGAGTCTGGGTTTGTGATTTTGGATAAGTGTGAGCCCATGACTCTGTATCGATTTTAATCGATATTTGAACAGTTCGAGACGGCGTGCAGGGCGGCTTGTGCGGCTTTGAATAACACAGTTCGAATGTATCTAATTCCGGAAAGATTGCATTCCCATAACCCTGAGGAGATGTGTGTTGAATTCTGGATGGATTATTCGGTAGATATACTACAGGATATTTCTCTGAATGAATTCAGTAAGGAGAAGATATTCATGCCATGTCACTTCAGCTGCGCCAGATATTGTCGAACTTCAGACATTTCATCATCGGTTGTTAATGACGCTCCTAGGGATGGATTGTTGTTTAAGCAACTCACAACAGGGCCCAAAGAATCGGAGCCTTTTCCAAGGTTGTGGCTAACTTATAAGGACGGGAAGCGTATAATTTTGAAGTGAAATCGACAACGCGATATCAAAGTATGGACGATTATTCATTGTCGATACATATATAGTACATATGCATGTAGTTTACGGAGTACAATTATACAATTACTGGAATCAAATTCTACAAAGAAGGCAGTGCACTCATTAGGATCAATTTCGATCTATGCCCGACCTAAGCCTGTCCACCGGTCCATTCACAAGCGCCGATAAAACAAAAGCCATAGAATACATATGTCTGTCGTGAGAGCCTCTCTCTGAAGATCAAGATATGCACGCTCAAAAAATAGCAGGAGGTAAGACTGTGGCAGAGCCAGACGAAGATATCAAAAAAGTGACTCTTCGTGAAGAAAATTCGTTGCGTTCGTGATCCATCGCATCGGACCAATGACCAAGAAAAGAATAACAAGGCTCAGGAACCACTTGGATCACCAATTCTGGGGGAGCCGGAAGCCGAAAGCTGATAGGAAACTCAAAATCGACATATTATCATATCCCAGGATCGCCACTTAGGCAGAAGCCGCAGGGGCAGGAGCAGGGGCAGAAGCTTCAGCAGAGCCGTTGCCAGTACCACTGGGCCCGCCACGTCCACGGCCACGGCCACCACGACCGCGACCTTCGCCACGGGGACCGCGGCCACGACCACGCTGTCCTTCACGAGGACCCTGCTGTCCCTCACGCTGGCCTTGCTGGCCCTCGCGTTGAGGCTTCTGACCTTCACGCGGAGCTTGCTGTCCTTCGCGAGGACCCTGTTGACCCTCACGCTGCTCGCGGGACCGGTTGTTGTGACGACGACGACCACCGGATTTCTTAGCAGCACCGTTCTCCTGCACGCCCTCGGCGGACACATCGGCCCCGACAGAGCTGTTGGTCAAGCCTGCATCAGCACTAGCCGGGGTAGCTTGGAGGCCGGTATCGGTCTCAGCGGGATCACGAGGAAGCTCGACCAAGTCGCTTTCGTCGAGCTCAGCGGCGCCGGAGCTCTTCTCCGCGATCGAGTTGGCAGCATCGGAGATCAGAGTCTGAGCGGGAGGAGCCAGCTGGTCGGCCTGGGCTGGTTTAGATACGGTGTTTTCGAGAGAGGGATCCTGGAGCTCAGTGAGACCGGCGTTGGCAAGAGTAGGGTCGGAGGCAGGGATGGTCTCCGAGGAGACATCGGAGTCTTCCTCGGCAGCAGCGAATCGGTCACAGGCTTGCTTCAGGTCGGCATCTAGAGAAGATAAGAGTTAGCAAGCGCATTCGGTGACATCGTGGGGGTAATACTCACAGGTAAATTCGAGCATGTTGCGCTCAACACCGATGATTTTCTCGTCGACACCATCGATGATCTTCACCATGCTGTTCACGGCCTCCTGGCTGCCACCGTACACTTGGAACAGAGCACCCTCGAAGGCCTGGCTCTCGGTGTCATTTGCATCGCCGTTGAGTCGAAGTGTAGCCGCACCGCAGAGGAACTTGGTCAGAGTGTAAAGCTTCTGGCGCAATGCTTTCTTGGAGGTCTCGGTTGCATCGGCGATGGCATTTGCGCGGACAGCTTCCAGCTCCTCCTCGTGCGCCTTGGTGAGCTCAGCTTTTTGAGCAACCAGACGCTCCTCATACTGGGCAGCAAATTGTTTGTAGTGGGCGATCTGCTCTTCTGCCTGGGCGACGGTAGCCTGGAGAGTGGGCCTCTTGAGGTGCTGTGCCTTCTGGTCGTTGTTGATCTTCTTTTCCTCGATGAGCTGGTCCAGCGATTTTCCAGGGTTCTCGGTGATGATAGCATCAACCTTTGCGCTGGCATTCTAAGTAACGTCCAAGTCCGAGATAAGTAACGTGATAGTAAGGGTGGGCTCGGTTCGTGAGGATACTTACCAGCTTCTTGTTGGCATTTCGGAGGGTCCTAAACGCCACGCAGTTAGCTCACTGTATAATAGCACGGCGCATGGCTCATAGCCATGCAGCCAGATTCCCAATGATAACTTACTTCTGCAGCTCCTTCAGGTAGTTGTTCTCAGTAGAGTCAGCAGCACTCTCTGGTTCAGTCTTGGAGACACTTGAAGCTCGCGAGAGGCCTTTTTCGGCACCCTTCAGCTTCTGAGTGGTGGAAGCGGAAGGCATATTGGAATGTAACACAAATTAAAAATATTTTCGCTAAGCCTGTACAGGGCGTGGAATGAAGAGTAGAAACGTGACAACGGGGAGAGAGATGATTAAGGAAGAATCAATATGCGGGTCCACGCTGTCGGTGTGGTTCGGGCACACATATATTAAACGTCGCAAGACCGCAAACTTCTTCCTTATGGGGTTTACTTCTCAAGGTATCTTGAGTTCATTCATCTCCAGAGCTTCACAAAAATCTGTCCCTCTTTTTTCCATCTAATACAGGGTATCATATCCTTCTATTCACCAACGCCATAGCCTAAAATCAAAAACCGCGCCCATCATTATTATCAAATAAAATCTCACAATCTCCATACGATCTCGGTTCTCCACAAATTGGTGTCATCTTCAGGGCATATCTATCCCTGGAACTTGCGCAGTGTTTTCTAGGCCCCATGACTCTTAGCTTGGAGTTCTGACAGATCTTATCAAGCCTGGCTTGAGTTGACACACCTCAGTAACCTTGCGCACCGTGTTGGCGGAGATATTCTTCTCGCCAGATTTCCGCGACCGAATCGATGCTTCGCGCATTAATCTGTAATGTGTTTTAGCGCGGCTGCCCATTGTTTTCAGACACGATGGCTATCGCAGTAATCGGTGTAGGATTCGTATAGGGCCGGGTAGCGGCTGCGTGATGAAAAGACATACTCTTGCACAAATAGCATGTAGTCCAAGAAGATCTAAAAAGAGAATTGGATTAGCGTACTCGAATAGGAGCAGACAATTGAGACATACCAGGATGTCGGCATTCTTGCTCACACTCCGATTGGAGTGAGCTTTCACAATGCGCTTTACTGTACCTCGTGGGTAGAGTTTCTGAGTTGCAGCCATGAGTTGTAGTTCAGTGTCGAGAGTTGTAATGTGTAAATGCTCACGGCGCATTGTTTACGTGGGGAGCTCCCGATACCGTAATGATCGTTTCTGACATTTTCTGACATAATCATGATCTGGTAACTGTATTTCCGTAATCTCCGTCTCCACATATTTACTATCTGATCTAATGGGATCTAGTTCTGTACTATGCTTATTAGTACTCTTCAACGCAGTCGCCGAAGAAGACGCCAGGCAGAAATACCGGCAACTGAGCCAATGGCTACACGCCAGGCAAGGAATACCCAAATGGCCATTTTCAACCGGTCATAATATCCCCGGAGCATGATCCCCACTGCGTACGATGTCCCATCTGTCGCTTGGTCCGATGCCCCATAATACCTCCCAACCCCGAGACCTCCGATTCCCACTTCATTATGGTCATGGTCATCACATTTCATTTTTGTGACTGAAAGGGCAGCTGTTTCACCATCGGAAGCCGTGTCACTGGGACGAGCACCCGGTTTCACATTGCGTGCGTTGCGCTTTCGCAGATGGTAAGTCACAACGCTCACAATCAGTCGCAAGTCGGGCACCGTGAAAGTTGGGTATTTCCACATTTGCACAGCACTGTGGGGAGGGAGCATGTCCAAGAAATCGGCTAGAATGCCAAGAGTGAGGCCCCAAAGCAGTAGCGGTCGAGTGGTGTCACTCGACTCCGCTTGGTTGCTCAGACACCATTCCTTGAAGCGCTGGACCACGGAACGCTTGGGCTTATCATCATCTGGAAGAAATCCTGGTGTTGTGGTGCATTGTTGGGTCTCGGAGGGGAGGAGTCGGACTGCCGAGAACTGCATCCAACCCATTAGAGATCGAATCGCAAGACGGGCCAAAAATCCACCTTGTCGCGCGAACCGCTGCGACATATCCACATATTCGACGGTCCGCTGTGAGGGTGAAAGGAGTGCGCGCAGAGGAATCCAATGGGTCGAGGCTACTTCCGTAGGTTGCAATCGAAGGGTCGGGGAGTCGCTGCGGGTTGTGAGGAAGACAAAAGGACATAACACCATTAACCTGTTATTTGATTCAGTAACCTGTTATTGGTGGAATCTGAAAGTGTAGCATACGGTTCAGAACCCCAGCTGGTAGTGACCACACGTTCTGGGAGATTTCCCACACTGATGCAGTCCTCCGTGGTCAAATCCAATCCTATTTCCTCTGATGTTTCCCTGATTGCGGCAGCTTTATCATCTGCATCCTCCGGATCTCGCTTTCCGCCGGGCAGGGCAACATGGCCGGTCCATCGGTCTCCCACACGCGAAGCACGCTTAATGAAGAGAATTTCTGGTTCGCCATGCTGAACCCATGGCTGTGAAAAAAACCCGTCTAGCTGTTCTCGTGCCGACTGTGAAGTATCGTATGTATGTGTAGAGCTGGGCCAATGGTCATAGGTGGGCCGAACCCGAATGATCAATGCAACTGAGGCTCGTTTCTTGCAAGATGAAGGGTTTGGAACATGGGGATAAGGTCGGCGATTCAGTTCCGAAAGAACTCCATGCAAATGATGGGACAATCCTGAGTCGGACGTCATAGTCTAAAATATGTGTACGATTCAATAGGAGGATGGGAAACATTAGACCTCGGGCATCCATAGTGCACGTATCTCGAGCAATTTGGTATTTGATACCAGGCCCATGGGTGGTTCTAGGCCATTAAAATGGGTAAATTTGGTAATACCATAACAAGCCTCGGGGTATCGGAATAACGATTCACCGGATAGCTGTCAGTTGCTTATGGCCTCTGATTGGTTTTTTATGATCAGCACGTGCGTCTATCGCTGGCTATCGAATGCTTTCGGTCTCCAAGTTCAGCTGTCCATCGCTTAACTTGGAGCTAACTGTTTGGCGGCTGCGCATATTCTGTCAATTACATATCATCACCTTGCACAATCTCTCTTTCACTGAAAATATCTTCCCTTGGCTATTTTGGGTCTCAATTCTTCTATCTCTTTCCTTTCAATTCAATCAGGTGCACGACCCGTGCCTGAGTAACCAACTGCACAACGCCTATTCACAACAGGAGTGGCTCAAAATATGCGGTTTGGGAAAACCCTCCGCAATGCGGTGTACCCTCCCTGGAAAGGGAAATACATTGACTACAACAAGCTCAAGACCCTGCTGAGGGAAAATGATGTCACTGGGGAAGATGCCAGTGACTTGGAAGACGATGAATGGACCGAGCAAGACGAGGAAGCCTTTGTGCAGGAATTGCTCAATGTGCAATTGGATAAAGTGAACTCCTTTCAAGCAGAGACATCGCAACAACTCCGGGAACGTACAACTGCGTGTGAAGCTAAATTGCGACCCTTGGCGTCTGATGCAGAGGAAGAATCGGACCTCAACGAACAGAAGAAGAGAGCCATTGCTTCGGAGGTCCTCCAGGAACTTGATAACATCACCAAAGAAGTCAGTGCATTGGAAAAATACAGCCGTATCAATTTCACTGGTTTCCTCAAGGCCGCAAAGAAGCACGACCGCAAGCGAGGAGCCCGATACCGGGTGAAACCTTTGCTTCAAGTGCGACTGTCGCAGTTACCTTTTAACTCAGAGGACTACTCGCCATTGGTACATCAACTCTCGGTAATGTACTCTTTTGTACGTGAGACACTCAGTCATGATATCGTGCAGCCGAAAGAGACAGAGCGTGGATTTGGTCGGGAGACTTATTCATCCTACAAATTTTGGGTTCACTCGGACAATGTTTTGGAAGTTAAAACCCACATCTTACGTCGCTTGCCCGTCCTCATTTACAACCCGGGAACCTCGAAAAACATAGATACCGTCACCGATGACCCCACCATTACATCTCTATACTTTGACAACCCCCAATTCGACCTTTACAACCAAAAGGTTGCACGAGCACCCGAGGCCGGATCTTTGCGACTACGGTGGACAGGATCACTAAAGGACAAGCCTCCTATCTTCTTGGAAAAGAAAGTGGTCACCGACGACGACGAAAGTCGACAAGTCAAAGTACAACTCAAGGACAAGCACGTCAAGGAATTCTTGGACGGTGAATATCACTTCGATAAAAAGGTCCACCGCATGGAGGACTCGAACAACGGCGATACAGCGGCAGCGGATGCCTTCAAACTGGACGTGGATGAGGTGCAATCTTTCATCAAAGACAACGACTTGCAGCCCATGCTCCGCGCTAACTACACCCGCACTGCGTTCCAAATTCCCGGCAATGATCGAATCCGCATTTCCCTTGACACCAACCTTGCATTGATTCGGGAAGATTCTCTCGACAATGAACGCCCATGCCGTGATTCAACCAAGTGGCACCGTGATGACTTGGATGATGCAGATATGACATACCCATTTGACGGTGTCCGAACTGGAGAAATCACCCGCTTCCCCCATGCTCTGCTCGAGATTCAACTTCGAGGCAAGGCCCACAACACCGAATGGGTCAAGGACTTGATGGTCTCCCATTTGGTCAAGGATGCCCCCCGCTTCTCTAAGTTCGTCCACGGTGTGGCTTCGTTATTCGAAGATCACGTCAACAGCTTCCCCTTCTGGCTGAGTGCCCTTGAGAGTGATATTCGCCGCGATCCCGAAACCGCGTTCCACGAGGAACAAGAACGACTAGCCAGGCGAGCCGAGGAAGACATGGCAGTGGGAAGCTTCATGGGAGGCGTAGGCAGCCCAAGCACTCGCCCACTAGTCGGGTCACCTCACCACCAATTTTCCGTCGGCTCTCCTTCAACCATACGGAGGCCCTCAGGAGTCACCGAGCCGTCAGCCCGACCCTCCCGTCCCTCGATTCCCGCGCCTCAGCCTCGTGAAACCGAGCCCGTAGCTGAAATAGAGGAACCCGAGCCACCCAGTCGTCTTGAATCCATCATCAAATCCCTGGGACTGTCCCCTGAATACTGGCTCGGTCGGGAGTCCGTCACCCTACCGCCTGGTGTCCGCCACCCAGGCTATTGGATCAAAGACGTTGGCCCAGTCCGCGTGGAAAGCAAAGTGTACCTTGCCAACCAGCGAACATTTATCAAATGGCTACACATCAGTATCCTCCTGTCAAGTTTGTCCTTGGGTCTTTATAATGCCGCTGGCAAACACAACCAGGTCGCTCAGGCTCTTGCGGTCGTCTACACATTCTTCGCTATATTCGCTGCGGTCTGGGGATGGTTCATGTACGAGCGACGAGCCCGCCTCATTCGCCAGCGAAGCGGAAAGGATCTCGACAACATGTTCGGTCCTATTGTAGTTTGCATTGGTTTGGCTGTTGCTTTGGTTTTGAACTTCGTTTTCAAGGTATGTCTTATGCCCCTTTCGGATCAGTTGACTTGATTTTCTCACTAACATGAATCACAGTATTCCTCGGCGCTGGAGCAAAGTCGTAACCACCCGCTTCCTGGTGTTCCCTCTCACAACTCTTCGGCCATTTATGACAGCAGTTCTAGAGAGTCATGGAGCCAATACCAGGCGCAGCAAATTTTGTAATTTCTTTGATAATTCTTGAATGTGGCCAATCTCCCCCACAAATGGTCATGGATTATGTCCAAATTGAAAATGGTGGAACTCGTGTGTCTAAATATTGCATTTATGGAGCTTATGTACATTCGATTTCTTTCTAGTTTGACAGCGCATCAAGTCAACCCCCATTCTATATTCTATCGACTGTACGGAGTAACATATCCGCATATCTCCCGAGATCATGAAAGAGGGGATCGGCGGATACGAGGTGACGTGATACAAAAGTACCTGAAGTGATTTTTTTCAAAAACGATCGAGATCTCCAATTGTCTATAAGAGGAGCGAAGAGTCCAAAATGGAACAGTTCCATCCACATCCATCTGCGCATCCAAACCCCCGCTGACAAATCGCATCCCGACCACTCCGAACTGAAAAAAGGACGAATTTCTCAATCAAGTCAAGACATATTTATATTCAATTTTATCCTTGAATTCACAGTTACATACCCATATCCAAACCTCGCTGCCATCTCCAGCCATGACGCACTTCCAAATCCAGATAATCTCCGACACCATCTGTCCTGTGAGTACATACATGCATACCCAATATCAAACCTACCCCAACAACATCTACATCCGAACATCAACACCATTCTTACCGACTAACAAACCCAGTGGTGCTATGTGGGCTACCGCCGCCTCTCACGCGCCATAACATCCCACCAAGCCAGCAACCCCAATGACACATTCAGCCTACACTGGAAAGCCTTCTACCTCAACCCGGCAGGCACGCCCTACCCGGGCGTGAACAAGGCAGAGATGTATGCTGCGAAGTTCGGGGCCGGGCGGACGGAGGCGATTTTCGCGCGGCTGGCCGCTGCCGGCGAGGGCGATGGCATTAGGTTTAGCTTTGGTGGGAACACGGGGTCCACGAGGGACTCACATCGGCTGCTGTGGTTTGCTGGGCAGAAGGAGGCGGAGAGTAGTCAAGGTGGGAGTGGTGGTGGTGGTGAAGTGGGCGGGTTGCAGACGCGTGTTGCGGAGCGATTGTTCCGTGCTTATTTTGAGGAGGAGAAGAATATTACTGATTTGAGGGTTCTTGTTGAGGCGGGTGTTGAGGGGGGTTTGGAGAGGAAGGCTGTTGTGGATTTGCTTGAAGGGGAGGGTGGTGGGGAGGAAGTTGATGGGGAGGCAAAGTTGGCTGCTAGCAGACTTGTTTCGGGGGTTCCTTATATTTCTGTGCAGGGAAAGTATCATGTTGAGGGGGCTGATGAGCCGGAGACGTTTTTGGAGATTTTTGAAAAGGTGAAGGCGGAGGAGAAGTAGATATTACTAGGCATGAGGAATGAGCTTGTGTTTATGTACTGCTAGTTATGTGGGCGTTAAATTGTTGAATTGCAATCAGCTCAATTGGTTCTATTGTGCATAGCGAAAGCCGTCCAAACCATCAAATACGCTGATACATCTCGATGTATGTCCCAGTGTAAGTTGATCTTGGTCTCTTCAACCCAATACAACCAAGCACAAAGGCAGAAACATCAAAGAAGGAACACAGATTAACGCCATTTATGCAGGAGGCGTCTGGATCACCGAGAAAGACATAGAAAAAACAACAACAGAAAGCTAAGAAAAAAGAGAGGAGTAGAGAGCAACCGTTAGAGATAATACATAATGAATTCCTAGAAAAAGAAAATCACAATTGGGTGAAACCCAGAAGCAACTAAAAACAGGAATGCGATTGAAATGGTCATGACTATGAGAGCTTCGCAGCTTCATGGTCATCCCGAGAAAGAAGTCATAATAGATCGTATCAAGTCATGGAAATTCGAACCATGTCGAGTCTGTAAAAATTAGTGGGTCGTCTGAGCCTTGACCTGGTGGAGTTCGTAGTCCGGCAAATAATCAAACCAGTCGCTCTCGGGATTGTAGCGGTAGGCCTTGAAGTCGACTCCGTAAGGCTTAGGCTCCAGCATGTACAAAACGCCCATGGGGACATCCAGATCAGCGACCTCATCGCGCTTCAAACCACGGAAGTAGGCCAAGAGCACACGGGCAACGGATCTGTGTCCGATCAGGAGGACATGGTCAGTGGTGCGTTCCACTTCGACGATGACAGCGCGCGAGCGGTTGATGATGTCGAGGTAGCTTTCTCCGCCGGGGCCAGGGTAGCGGTAGAAGAGCTTTTCCTTCTTGCGGTGGGCGTATTCTTCGGGGTACTGCTCTTGGATCTCTTTGTAGGTCATGCCTTCCATCTTCCCGGAGTGGATTTCATCCAGCATTCTCATTTGCTTGACGTCGTAATCGTCTTCGTTAAAGTACTCGGCAGTTTGGACGGAGCGCTGCATCATCGAAGACCAAACGCAGAAGTTGCGTTCGCCATTGGGACGATGGTAGGAAGGGTTGGGGGGTGTGCTGTCACCGGGACGGGGAGGGTATTGCGCGAGAAGATCCTTTTGGCGCTGGTGATTCTCCCATTCTCGGCGCTTTTTATCAATAAAGCGAGCCAACGCCTTAGCGTATTTTCTGCCATTCGCGCTGAGATCCGAGTCGCCGCCGATGCGGCCTGCAGCATCGTCCAGACTTTCGCCGTGGCGTGTAATCCAGATCTGGCGTGGAGAAAGGTTGAAGTTGAGTAAGTAGTAGACAACCTGCGACGAAAGGAAGCCGTGGGTCTGGTGGGCAACGACCTTACGACCGACATCAATCATCTGAATGTACGCCATGCGGTGTTTCTCTTCATATTCGCCGAGCGGCACGTAGGACTTCTCGTAGAGAGCAACACGCTTCTTGAAATCCTCCAATGCCGTGGTGGGATCTTGGCCCTTGTAATCGGGACCAGACAATTTCAAACGCATGTTAGCCTCGAGCAGATCCTGATCCACACAGCTACTTTCAAGGAACAAGATGTTGAGCTCGGGACCGGCGCGCTGGCGGATGTGATCGACGATTGCCTTGCGGCGTTCCATAGTGCTGTTGGTCGCATCCAGGATACCGATGCTGCCACCCTCGTCAAGAATGTAGTCAAGCAACTCGTCGAGAGTGTCCAGAGCAACCTGCTCTCTCATCTTAACGGCACGCTGGTTCTGTGGATCGAAGAAGTTGGCGGTCTGGTCCATGGGTTCGGGGGAAGCTTCATTGACAGCTTCTTCGTCCTCCCGAGATTGCGCAGGGCCGGCATCGATCGAGGGCACAACAGTACTTCCATTCTGAGAAGTCTGCTCAGGCTCCTGTCCGTTCACGAGAATCTTGGCTGGGACAACTGGAGGGGGGAGCGGTGTCTGGTTCTCCGGTGGGGAGGTTTCGCTTTGCTTCAAAGTGGTGCCGACACTAACACTCAGGCGACGGACCGATTCAACCAGATCTTTGTGGATAGCACTTGGCTTACGTTCATTCGGGGCCATTGACGGGGACTTTCCAGCAGCCACGCGACGACGCTGTCCGACATTGAAGATTTCGGTATCGTGCTGAAGCCAGTTCAGATAGCGGGCCAACTTCTTGGTGATATAACTTTTGCCTCGAGCCGGAAGACCGACCATGACGATGACAAGCTTAGCACCGACATCGCGCTGGGCGATTCGGCCATCTGGGGAGACCTTGGACTTGGTCAGGCCAGGGATATCAAGGGTAGTAGCTCTAACTCGGCTGGGTGTACCAGCGGGCTGTTTCTGGCCCAGACTGCAGGGACGACATTATTAGCTCCAGTTCGCGAAGCACAGGACGAAGCCAGAAGGTAAAGAACAGGGGAAACAGAGTCCGGGGTAAACGGATAAGCTCCAGAATAAGGCTGTCACGCAGTCTCGGAACAGGACATGACCCGAGGTGCATCACATTGCCGATCACACTTTTCACTCTTCCGATAGGCTCAAATATAGAAACAGAAAAATAGAAAGAAATAAAAGACTCACATCTGTGGAGACGGGGGTGCGGTAGAAACCGGAGTGTCTGTGAGGGCTGTTCCGACTCCGCCCTTTGGCGGCTGTGAAGATTTGACATCGGAATGCAAGTCATTACCTAGCGCTCGGTTGACCACAGTTTTCGGAGGAGGCATAAGAGCTCCATCTTTTCCCGATCCCGAGCCATTGTTCTTGACATTATTATTCCTTTGGTCAATCTCAGGTGAAGTGGCCGACGTCATGATAGCCGACCGGGCGATATTGGAATGTTGCGCCATCCCCGAAAAGGGGATCTCGGGATGTTTATGTATTATGAAAAGATCTCACTGCTCTTTCAGAGCTTCAAGGGGCCTTGATTCAGGCAATCAAGACGCGTTGTTTGATGAAAACGCGCAGTGATTTTTGATGAGAGAGTAGGAAGAAAAAAAGTGGGAGTTCGGAGATGAGTCAACCGGCAGAACGTCACTTAGTCGTGGGGGTTTAACAAGACAATGGCTCTGCTCTTCAAGGTTTCAAGTGCTTTGAGATCAGATCAAATCTTGAATGAGATTTGCTTTTGACTCAGTGAGATTTGTTTTCCACTTCTCTTTTTTTAGCATGTGGTTATGCCTTGGAATTACCGCTATAGACCACAGTACAAAAAGAAACGGAAATTCTCAAACGATGAGATCACCTTGCAGAATTGGCACTTGAAGTGGATCGATGGCTTAAAGATCGCCTTTATGATGTCAAAGGAGCTATGAGGGGAAAGAGGTGAGATATAATGAGAGGTATTGTGAAAGATATTATAGTGGAAATACTCTGAACAGGAGATCTTATGCATAAAGGACAATATATGAATGAGGTCTCACATATCATATAATATGCATCTATCCTATCTTCAATAGGGAATGCTTGGCTATATACTAGTTCAAAGAAAAATAACATGGGAAAAAAAAACAATACCCCCTGCCTGATGCTGAGCCTTGATAATGCACCGAAATGTGTTGCGAATGTTGGACCTCGGGACCACACTTCGGTTCATAAGCAGTGAGCAGTCTCCGATGTGGCCGGTTCTCAACAAAAAAAAAAGATTTGAATTAGAACTCAGCCTCAGTAGGTTGTATGACCTGACTCTCACCGGGGCTGATCCATCCGCCTTTTCGAAGCATACTCGGCATTGATTTGTTCTCACAGATCTCCGACCAACTGTAGTCGCCCATTGCTGCACGCTGATCTCCGCTCCCCCGGAAGGGTGACCCATATCCCGTGGTTTGGTGCAAAATCCTTGGCACTTGGCGGTAACGCAGGGGTATCACAGATTAAAGAAAAATGTCTGGAAGTCGCCATAAAGGGATAGGTTGGATCGTAGGATCGTAGGTACGGTGTAGATTGGTGAACGGTGTGTAGGATTCATGTCCTTATCAGTTGCTCAGGTTCAAAGTCAAGCCAATCAAGCACGCGTATGCCGCAATGCTCAAAGCTGTCAAGACCAGCACCGCATTTCCACTGGTTCGGAATTTGTGTCGATGAATGCCGTCCTCCCCTAATTCGGAGAAGAATTGTCTATTTCCCTGCGAGCGACGGAAGAGTCCGATGATTAGGACTCCGGTACCGTATATCGCGAAGAGAGCCCCGATACTGTAGAACTCGGCGGTGAAGATCTTCAATACGACGAGGGCGAAGGAGAATTGGGAAAGTGCCGTTCGGACATAGGCTCCTTCGAAGGTTCGTTGGGCTGCCCGCACCTCAACGATTTCATCTGAAGTCAGCACAGCTGAGCGAGCCCGGTGCATTCGCAGGCGATAACGATCGCCTGCACGACGCTGCGAGAGTCAGACTACATACATGTAAGACAGAGGATTATGTGGTAAACAAACCTCGAACATATTTTATAGTATATGTAAATAAGAAATAAGAGAAAATAAGTGGGGGATAAGTTTGGCATAAACCGATCAAAGGAACGTTGGAGAAGTTGTGAGTGGTCGGAATGACTCCCCTCACGTGGATAACAAATAAATCTGTACTCGACTTTTTCCCCTTCAGCTCATAGTCACTCTGTTTTTTATTTTTTTTATACAACATCGTTCAAAATGCTGGTTTGACGGTTTCCTTATATCCACACATTGTTTTCAATAACCAATAACATGAAGTCCGTGGTCGTCGACGGTTCCACTCTATAACTACATACTGCAATATTGTACACATGGTGCCCAAAAAGTCTGGAAACAGCTTTTATTAGAAAAGTACTTTACTTCTTTGCAGTTAGATTAAAGCATAGTTAGCTGCTGTATTTTTGTGACTACCACAGGATCAAGAAGATTCTTGAAAGAATGTCAAGGAAGACGTATATTGAGTGACAATGAACAAAGTCATGGATGGATACCTACTGTACGTACTTGATTTCCTCTGCCACTTCTTGGCGTTCTCTTTCCGTATTAGTGCGTGGATATGAGCACTTCTATCACATGTTCTTAAACTAATAGAGTTAGTATCAACTAGATTATCATAAGATCGGGGCGCTCACCTTGCAATATCTATTTGACAACCTTTTATAGGACAAAGACCCTGAAATGGGCTTTCATTTGGGAGGTATACTATATCAAAATCACGGACACACTGCGTCTGTAGATCTTAGACTAAAAGAAGTTATTCGTCAAAGGAAAGCTCTTTGGTGCAGGACATGGCTGTTGCGATTCGCGCAACCTCGGGCATAATCAACATTTGAGCACGAATACAAATGTCATTCCCAAAGTGCGCCGGCTCTTCTTTCCCCGGTTGATGATTTTCTGGTCTCTTTTCTCCCGCACCCACCGATTTTGATATTGCTTAAGCTTAGAAAGACGGTGTCGAACTAGCGCCTTCCTGTATTCTAGCGTAGGCCAGTCCAAAGGCTGCTCGAGGATTGGTGCTTCACAATATCAAGTTAGAAGAATCAATGATGCTTTTAGAAGATCCCTCACCAAAGGCCTCGCGCGCATTGTTTGTAAAAAAGCTCATGCTAACTGGAGCTGGAAAAAGAGGCGGAAATAAATGCTTGATGTGGGGTGAAGCTGAGGACTGTGATTAGAATCAAAGACCTAATCCGATTCTTGACTGGTGCTGTCAGAGAGACAATGTGCGGGATACATTGTTTTATACCTCTCGTCTGGCCGATTACGCCTTGTTCAGCCTGCGGGCTGAGGCAGGCACGTTCGTCCAGGTCTCAACTTCAGACGGCAAGACCCAGCAGGATCGCTTCCAGAGGCCTGTCTCCATTTTCAACACTCATTGCATAGTAATACCGCACGAGTGACCAGCTTATCGTTCAGTTTATCCAATTATATCACAAAGCGCTGTTGCTATTTAGGGGGGACTGCAGTGATGCTCATCGCTCGCGCCCAGTAATATCGCCACTTTTTCGATTGAGCTCTGCTTGCCAGTCGTGGCATGGCCCAGGACAGAGGACGAAACATGCAAGACGGACCAACACGGAGACAAAAGACCCTCTCATCATCTCAAGTCCGCGCGACGCAGATGTTGTAGAAGTCCTATTTTCTTATCGGTCCATCTCGCCTTCTATGCCAATCAATCGTCAAGCCAACCAGGATTTCGGTCACAGAGCGTCCTTCGGTGAAAGGGGTCGGGACTGCGTTGTTCTTCGGAATTAGGACGACCGCGTCCCCGAGATCATACCACAATGATGCTGCTATTCCTGGAGAACTGCAAGTCTGCGCATCGTCTGCGCCCAATGTCATCATCACTGGATTGATTGATCTTCGCTCACCAGTCGTTCTATGGTCCGCGACAGAACACGAAACGCGCAAGACTGGACTAGCACGCAAGCACATGCCCCATACATAGCCAGTCTGCATAAACTGCTTCCTGTCCTTCTTTGTGCCAATTAGCCGTGAAGCCAGCGAGGATTCCGGGCACAAGGCGCTTTTAAGGATGACGGTGCAGCAAAAGGTCCCGGTACATCACACTAAAAACATCCAGAAATAGCTGCCGTACCACGTCGACATCATCGACATCCGCCTTGCGCAGCTGTCATCGGTACGTTCTGTCCGCAATTCTCACAGTTTCCAAGCAACGGTGCTTCGATGAATAAGTCGAGAAGATCTTTAACAAATTCGGGCACCCTCTAAGCAACACTATTGTAAGCCATTTGAACAGCTTTCTCTTAGAAATAATTCGAAATATTGATCCGCGCTAAACGTGCTACAACCTCTTTCAAAATTCTAGGCGCTGTAGGAGGTAAAACGTATACATCCAGAATAGTATCAATGGATTCGATGGGATCCGATAGAAACTGAAGCCTCCTCTGATAATTTTCAACACATAATGCGAGTAAACCCTTAAAAATGTATTTGTTAGCCAAGACAAAGACTCGGCGTGGAGTTGAAGAGCGGAGCATGACATTGGCGAGTCCGCCTCCGAGGCCTGTATTCTGTCGCTATAGCTTTCCGTGTAAAAGAAGCTGACCAGCTTTCCAACAATGATTCTTGAATTGTCTGAAAACTCAAAAACAGCGGATGACACCTCCTAGACGAATCAGAGCCTGTTATGGGTAGTGCTATATGGTAGGTTACTGACCTTAAAGTTGCCAGTATAGGCGGCATAAAGTACATCAGATTAAGAGCAAACCAATAATTTGTGTACGTTGATTCTTTCTCCCTCACAGAACTCATATTCGAGAAGCAAGTCAAAGTCGAGAAGCAAGTCAAAGTCGAGAAGCAAGTCAAAGTCCTTCGTATAAGATTCAGGCTCTTACGCAAGTAACACTGATGCGGAAGGATAGGTCGCACCAGGATTGCATGTGAATGAGAAGAGGGTGCATAATGAGCAATTGTTGACTATGTACACTGAAAGCGTTGCTAGGGAGAAATCTACAGACGAGGCGAGAGCCATATGGCCTTTCCCGGCCAAGGTAGAAGAATGATTTGAGCATTTTGTTATGCTCGACAGATATGAATGGACTTCTGGAGGCTGTCATGAACTTTTTCACCACAGTAAACCCTGAGGACCAGCTGATTTAGGCCATGCCAAACAACTACTAGCCTTCCCTCTCAACCACCCACCCCCTTAACTTGCGATGCTAAAAACCGCTCAAACACCAGTACAGATATAGTAGCCCAGCCAAAGGTTGCTGCACGAGGCATCTACCTGCGTGTTCCACGTTCTGAGCTGAGCCAATGTGATACCCGCATCCGTGTAGATGGACCAGCAGCTCTCACCATCCTTGATCAGGTGGTACTTCTTGCAGTTGCTCACAATACCAGGCATCTGGGGTGTTGGGCCCGTAGGGGCCGTTGGCTGGGGTGCCGAGGTGGTGACTGCGCCGGGAACATGCACGCAGACAAAGTAGTCGAGCCAAAGGTTTGAGCATTCTGCACCAGCTGTTAGATTATGACTTTCGAAGCAGCCCCATGGCCACAAAAGGCATGGAGAAAAGGAAAGACTTACTGGCGTCTATCTGGCTGTTCCAGCTCTTGAACTGGACCTCCGTGATACTTTACTTCTTGGCTATGGTATCACACTGGTTACCGGGTGAGACCTTGTGGAAACCATCACAGTTGGCTGCAATACCGGGCATAGTGGGAGAGATGCTGGGAGCGGAATCGGTGGTTGTCGGCTGGGTGGCGGTGGTTGTTGTGCTCGTGGATGGGGTTGGTTCATCCGTGGCGGTACCAACCACGCAGTAAGACTTGCTAGTATCGAGATTCGGGCAGGTGATGCCAGGGTTCAGCTTCTGCAAGTCGCTCACTGACAGTCCCCAGCTGCTGGAAAAGCTAGCGCATGTAGCCCCGGGATCAGCAGTTGTTGCGAAGTCGCAGTTGACAGCGCGAGGAGCCAGGGCTGCACCCATTGCTGGGACTGATCCGACGGCGAGAAGAGCTTTGAGTTGCATTGTGTGAGGCTTGAATTTGGGCTTTGTAGAGAAGGAAAGTGTCAGTGAGAGTTTCCTGCTGGGAAATCCGAGGGTTGCATACTTATAGACTCCGAGTCAACCTGGATGAATGAATGCTTAACCTCCAAGTACGGCTTCTCTATAGCCTTGTATAGTAGTTAAGGGCCCTAGCAGTTCCGAGGACACTGCCTGGCCTCATCCATTTCATCTATGGGTACCTATCACCTCCATACTACTTCCACTAACTTAGCGTACTTCATTCATTATTTCCCAACTATTTCCAGCTAGCCGAAGCCTCAAAATCCTTGGCTCGTTGTTACAATACTACCCTTATCATATTCGGTATCACTGACTAACGTATGAAGCGGGTCCTATTGTATGCCAGTGGCGAAATGGAGGATTGTAGATATGAAAATGCCAAGCATGTATGTACAAAGTCTACGTGCACCCAACAATGGGGATAAGTTACCCGAACGGAGCCGCAGGATTCATGTCAAGAAGAGTCGTACAGGAGCCTGTGGAATCGGTGTGTATTTGCCAGTTAGCGTTGACTACTCGACCTAGGCACTGTAATGCTGCAACTGGCCACGGAACCTGAAAGCCAAGGGCTTGGCAGGGGGCGGCCCCAAATCCGCGCTGTCCGGCGCACCGCGGAGCCAAACTTCCAGGGTCTTTAGCTCTGTTGTTGAGAGGACCATGAGCTGCCAAGCCGCCACTTGTATGCGGGCAAGGATTAAAGGTCTCACATGGTCTTTCGACCCCTGCACCCATTGAATTGCCTTCGGAGTCTATCTGAGCGCTGGCTCCCAATATGCTTGTTCATCTTACCTTCACTGTTTACCAATTTGGTTCCCTGCTTTGCAGATTGTCCTCAAACTGCAGGGTTCTCTCTCGCTCCCATTTTTCCGCGGTCGAAGGTCTGACTCGCCCTCATCATGCACATTCCAACGACGATCTGGATGCTCGCTGCCTGTCTGGGGACCGTGATCAACGCTTCTGATGTACTCGAAGTGAATCTGATTTTTCCGCGCAATGAAACATATGCGCCCAACGACACGTTCCCTGTCGTCTTTGCGCTCAAGAATTCCGAGCGCGCGAGACACCTAAACCCCTCAATCAGTTACAGTCTAAGGGACGAGGATGGGGACAAAGTCTACAACCTGTGGCATGAACTCCAATGGGTAAACTGGACAGACCAGGAAACCTATTTTGCCCACAAATATACCGACGCCTTTAGTACCGAGGGTCGTTGGAGCGTACTCTGGACCCTAGGCTGGGATAGCTGCAACGTGGAATCACCCGAATATGGCAACGAGGTGATCAGCAACACCACTACCAGGAGAACCATGTTCACCACCAGCAACTCTGCCTCAAAGCTGGACCCCCTTGCTGCTACGGCCAACAAGACATGTACCGGGCAACCAGGTGTGGCGATCAATGTGACCGACAAAACCAAGTCCATCAGCAGCAGACTTTGGGAGGGCGGTAAATACACCAACCATACATGCGCCGTGGTGGCAGCCTCCCCGACTCCTTCAACGAATCCTTGTCGGACCCAAATTGACAAGACCACTCTCGCAAGCATGGAGGCCTCTAAATTGGCCCGTTACTGCGATCTCCACTTCAACAAGCCAGCCGAGTGCCCGGATAAGAAGAGTGCTGCACAATCATTGGCGGTGGCGGGTCTCTCCTGCTTGCTAGGCCTTACTGGGGCGTTAGGTTTCTTTCTTGTGTGACCAGGCAATTCCTATTAAATGATTGACTTCCTACTCCTGCTGCAGAGTCTTGATTAAGGTGATGTTTAGTCTTCTATAATTGGAAAGGATGCCAGCTGTGTATAAAGCCTTAGAATATCCCCATAAAAGGCCTAGTTTATCATATCTGACATATGGCGTATTGCCCTGTTATAAATGCAAAGTCTTGCCTGCACCATCGTCACGAGAAAGTGTGCCCGCAAAGAAGGCGCGAGGCGCCGCCATAGAAGCATTTTGAAGCATTTGCTTAAGTATCATTGAAAATAATTGAGAATATCGATTCCACATTGTGGTGAGAATCACCTTCTGTAGACCCCATAATGTCGATGGGGAAGAGGGTGTCCGTATGTTTGCTAAAAATCCGACAATGGCTGTTCCCAACTATTGTATTAGCTTTGTTTTATTAGGCTTTCCAGGGAGCTTCTCCTTGAGCATTCTGTATGAAGGGAGTTGTGAAGAAAGGAAATGTGTGGCTTGTTATCATATTATACACGTTGGATACCGGCTGAACATTCAAAGCCGAACTATCAAGTAAACGGTGGCCTATTGAATAATAAATAATAAACCCCCAAAGGCAACATAAATAACTGAAATAATTGCAGCAACAAGAGAAAAAAGCCGGACATCATGGTATAATCTAACATCATAAAAAGGCACACGGAACTTTCCTGTCAATCCTGAGATACGCCATGGCTTTGAGCCAACAGTTCTAGCAGCGCTATCAAGCATTGGTACGTCCGAGAGGTTCGTAATATCGAGGAGGCTGGTGATATCCATAAGAAAGGGATTGTCCAGGAGCCAACTCCTCCTGTGGCCCGAGAAGCCGTTGCTCAGCCAGAGGATACTCCGTTCTCGTATCAAAAGCAGGGGGCTCGTACATTTCCTTAGTCTTGCGAAAATACCAAAAGTTGGAGATAACCATGATGATCAACATCAGTCCAATATCCAAGACATAGGCAGGCCATTCTCGCTTCGAAAGGTAGGCATTAGTACCGGTCACGTATTCCACCAGCCGATAAACATTCCGGACTGTAATGAGCAAACTGCAGAGGTAGATGTTCCAGAGCCTGATATGCACATTCACGCTCGGGTGAACGACTTTTCCTTCCCCGCGGGAATTCAGTCGGATGTGGAAAAGGACGGCAATCGTAGCAAAGATAGCAAAGAAGAACACCTGTAGCCCAAGACCAGCGAGAATAATGGCTTTGGCCAAGTTCAACTTGGATTGAGATTCAGCGCGCAGTAAGATCACGACACCGACGGCTTGAACGAAAAAGCAAAAGATGTCGCCAATGACGAAGATTGGGGTGAGCCAGTTTATGCGGATGAGGCATAACTCTGGGTGTCTTGATACACGGATCAGACGACCAAGGAACATGTAGACTGAAGCGGCGAAGAGGATGGGGGCGAGAAGGATTAGGATGGTTTGAAGCTCGTATGGTGACTTCTTGTCCAGGTGCTTGCTTGAATCAGCTCTCGCGAGCAAGCCAACAGCTTCGACTATAAGACGAGTAGTGGAATTAGTTTGAAAGGCGTTTCATTATTATGATTGAGAATAATGGGGTCCATACAAGCTGCCGCGACAAGAACCACAATTCCAAACCATTGTCGCGTCCTTATTATCCTCCATATTTGAACCAAACCGGAGACACAGAAAAGGATCGCAAACACGAAGGCAGCAGCAGTGGAGGGCGTATAATATTTGTAGTAGGGATTCGAAGAGTCGTCTGTTGTAGACATTGTGAGGGTACGAACATCCACAATGATTAGGGTTTGTATTATGAGACTAGAGTGTTCTGGATAGAAATTGTTATTTCATCGTCCCCTGGTTAGCACTGGGGTTTAAATGGTCACCAGCTTGTCGGACTTAGTGAGGGAAAAGTAACGGACTTTTAGGCTACACAACATCCACTCGGCTATGCCAGCACAGCTTTATCTGAGGCTGACTGTGAGATTGGCTAGCAAGATAGAATTGCCCGTTGCTAATATAGGTGGGTCTTCCAATATAGGCAATGGTTACGTTGGAGTGGAGATACTCATACAAAGCAAATTTAAAAAAGAAACATGCATAAGGCTGTTGACTACTAATTAATACTTAGTTAGTCAATGTTTCCAGGTTGAAGTGATTTACATTAGCAACTCAGCCTCTTCTTACATTACTAGACTCTTTGTGGTAATGGGTGCGAAGTAACTTGATTGGCCAATTTCAGTATTTTGAGGCGCGGTGAATTACCCTATTAGGTATAGTGCTGTTCAAATATCATGCCCGATCTGTGATATGGTTGATCTGATAGCCTACGTAAACCCAGCCTCCAACCTAAGTATGCAAGTCAAAGCATGAGGGTTTTGCGCTCCGAATTCTGTATTCAATGCTTCCACACTAGTGCTAGGTGAAAAGACCATGATCTCCCCTTAAGAGGCCACGCACAATCGCCGTCTTTTCGCCGTCACCCCGATTTAATTCGTACAGGTGTAAGTGGGTGCTCCGCAGCACTCAGCTGTCGAGCCAAGAGTCCCGGAGAAGTTATGTTGGAAACAGAGCAATCATCTTCATGTAGGTTAACATCGTTTGCCATTATGCCGAAACTTTCTAGTGCTGCCACAAACTTGGAACACTGCTCTTTATTGAAAAGAGGGGAAGGCTGCAGCCGTTAATTAGAATACACATGTCTCAAGTCTGCTCCTCTCTATTCAAACTACCAAATTCCCAAGTCTGGTGTTCTTTCCAAAAGCAAATATCGCGAGACTCGGTTTGTCCAAGATAGCGGAAAGCTGCATGTCATTGAAATTGAGTTTGTGTGATGCCTTCAAAATATGGGATTTCTTGAATTCGAAATAAAATTAACCTTGATCAGAGGATATAGTGTGTCGTCAATGATCTCGTACGTTATATTGGGCCGCTTTCTTGTTAGATCTAAGGTGATGTCTTTGTAGAAAGAAATAGCTCGATGTAAATTAAATTTGTCCTGGGTAATAAGAATGTGCAAAAAACTGCAGTTTATCATCTTTCTAGAATTCATTTAGGTTTGAACATGACTTATAAGTGTACAGTAGAGTTCGAAAACAGATTAGTTATCCCCCGCACACACGCGATATATTTCTCGGCCCGTACCCGAAACGACGCTAATCCGAATGGGGTAACATCAAAATGAACCCTGTCCAGTAGTATGTATTGTCGTATTTAACGTACTAAGCTATAATATCCCCTGAATCGTGGTAATATACCGTATCTTCCCATGGGAGGTTTTGTCTAGAGCATCTTACATGCAAACGAGTCAAACAAATTTGGGGGCCAAAGAGAAAGCGCCGCACTAGAATAAGCAGGTGGTGATAGCCAAGGGAAACCGCTCAGAGTTCCCATTCGACCTCTCCGAGTACCTGCTCAACTTATCCAGCATATATCATATGGGATACTTCTGCTCAAAAATGTTGCTTATACCCATACCTGACCGTGCCCGAGTGTATGTCCCAGTACTAGCAAAAACACAAAAAGAAAACTAACAAGCTTGGAAATTCGCAGGGCTCTTACCATCCTAACCGCTTTATCGTTTCTCCCTCAACTGCATCGCATCTGGGCACAAAAGACCAGCAAAGGGGTTTCAACGGACTACATCTTTTGGAACCTCCTCTGCGCAACAGAGCAATTCAAATCCTTTGTTTATGTTATTATAGTCAAGGACCCTCAAAACATCACCCCACTCGTCTATGATCCCCCAACGTTCGGAGATAGACTGAATATGTACCAGACTGCTGTGGTCTGGTTATCATTTTTTACACTGTTAGCAATACCTAGCCCCTTGCTACAGTCACAATCAAGCAAGTCCTAACTAATATACTACCCAGTTTCTGTGCCTGCTTACGACACACACCCTCTAAGCCGTTCTATGTCATCGCATACGCACTCTACATTCTTATATCAATCATCCCTCCAATCTTGGAGATTCTCTATGGTTTCCCTTCGCCAGATCGGACTTATGGAGATCCTCTAGCTTCGGGAATATACTTTCTCTCTATGTCTCTGCTACACCCGTTCGTGACAGTGTTGGTGGTATATGCTGTTTTCTCGCAGCTACGGGAAATCAAAATTGCAAGGAGCTCAGAACTATCGAGTCCGCCCAGCAATGCTCTAAGTATCTGCGGATTAGCGGTGCAAGCTGTTGTGTTTACTGCCTTGTCTTTTACATGGATCTGGCGCGTTCCGATCAAAAATACTAGAATAGGATGGGGCAGGTGGTCATGGCCGGTAATCGCTCTCGACAGTGTTATGTATTGGTATAGCTTAGTTGGGTTTCCCGCTTTTGATAATGGGGTATTTGCGATGGGGCAGGGTGTTTTGCTTGTAGCGGCTTGGCGGAGGGGAAAAGGCAGAGTCACTGCGGTAGATAGGGAGCAGGAGCCTCTACTAAGGGGATCTAAGGATCGAACAACTAATTTCAACCCATCCTATAATGCATAGCGCGTTTGGAGATGGTTAGCCGAGTTCTCAAAATGTGGGGGAGATATAAGGCTGTAAGTTCCCGAAATCGTTTGCTATTATTTAACAACTAGTCTGTTTGCCCAAGGTGTATGTACAAAGCACTGAGCGTTCTTCATCCTAGCAGTTTTGCGATAGTGGTGCTAAAAAGGTTTAACTTGATGAATCGAGGGGCAGTGAAGGTAGGATCATATAGGGGCTTTTGTAAGGTATCATACGTTAAGTAGTTGTTCTGGAATAGGAAAATTGTATTCTTAAAAATTGATTCTTTACGCCTTATTTTAAAACTGATTACTAGACTACTGTAGTTTCGGGTATGGACCGAGAAATAAGCGTGAGTGTCCGCCGGGGGGGGATTAAATTGTTTTCGAATTCTACTGACAACGCCCAACCAAAAGATAGTGATGTGGGTTGGGATGAGTGCGTTGATCAAAACACTTGTCATTGGCACCACCTTCTCTTTTTATGAGGCTACCTGTCTACACACATGTACCTAAGTACTATATATTCTTCGTTTGTTGGCTGGTGCAGTAGAGGAGATAGACGTAAAATGATGAAGCAAAAGTGTACCCCGGTTTCACTCTCAAACAGGATGAGCGGATTTGAAGTTTTCAGCATCGTATTGGCTGCTCTCCAGTTGGTTGTCACAGCGGTTAATAAACACTTGTATCAAGAGAGCTGGACATTGTTTGAAAAAGGACCTTCGGCAAGGAAGACTTCGTACCCGTACCGTCAATGTTCGACGATTTCAAAAGCCCGCAGGCCGCGTAGGGTATTCAGAATTCCGAGGCGGAGTGCAGAGATGTCGAAATCGCTGCTTTTTTCACATATCAAAACCCATGCCTCTATCAGTCGTGGTTAAATTGTCAAACAGCATTATTCATTCTTGTACATGTCGGTTTAACACCACGTTCCAAGTGCACCTCACAGGGTAAATTTTATTAAAGATCCAGAAAATCAATTTAGGCTCCCTGTTCAGAAACTCAAACCTTTCCCAGGGACTCCCATCCTTTCCACGTACTTCTGTCCCACCATCCATGATAGCAAGTATGGTCGGTTCCAACGACAAAGACATCCAGCCGACTCTGGCTCCCAGCGGACGGAGGGCCGCTAAGTAAAACACCATTTAGCGGCTCCCATCCAACCCATTTGTCAGCAGCAGCATCCCACCACTTATGGAGACAAACATTTCTTGCTCCACGGCCAAATAGATCGAGACTATTTGGACTCCCACTCACGGCATGAATAGGACTAGTAAAGGCACCATCTAGGTCCTTCCAGTCGGTCCATCTGTTGATTCTGCCATCCCACCACTTGTGATGGCAAGCATGGCTAGTGCTGCAGCCAAAGAGATCGATTCGATCTGGTCCCCAAGTCACAGCATGGATAGGACTGATAAAGTCTCCTCCTAGGTCCTCCCAGTCACTCCATCCGTCAAGTCCACCATCCTGCGACTTGTGATAGCAAGCATTGCTGGTGCCGAGGCCGAAGAGATCGATTCGATTTGGTCCCCAGCTGACGGCATGAATAGGACTGTTAAAGACCCCACCCAGGTCCTCCCAGTCACTCCATCTATCAAGTCTGCCATCCCACGACTTGTGAAGGCAAGCATTACTACTGCTGCGGCCAAAGAGATCGATTCGATCTGGACCCCAGCTCACAGCATGGATAGTACTAGTCAAGTACCCCCCTAGGTTCTTCCAGTCACTCCATCTGCCAAGTCCGCTATCCCATGAATTGTGAAGGCAAGCATTGTCAGCACCAATGCCAAAGAGATCAACTCGACCGTAGCCCCAGCTCACTGCTGTCACACGACTGAGAAATTTACCACCGAGAGGTTCCCAACTTTTCCATTCATGTCCATCCCATACTTTATGCCAGCAAGCATCATCAGTTCCTACCCAAAAAATCTCAAGATGGTTGTGGCTCCAGGAGATTGAGACTGGTGAATTTTCCATGATGCTTTCTCAAGACTGACAAAAAACAAATGTCAGTAGACCGAATATGAGACGGAAAACCCCCACGAGGAGGACCTACCAAAACGACAGCCAGATATACGTAGAATGTAATGCCTAGCTAAGGTTATCTGATAAGAATGCCCAACCCCCCAAAGTATAAGATTGCACCAAGGGATGCTTGTATGGTATATTATCTTCAAGTCTGTCATAATGACAAGGCAACCCCATGATGACAGTACTCCGGCTACAGTACCTAGGTTGTATTAGACATAATGATGACATCTAGTAGAACCGACAAATTAGTCGATAAAGTACATAGGTATGATCTCATGGTGAAGGCGTAAGATAATATTCAGCTGTGATGATTTGATTGGTCCAATTGTGCTATGACTTAGTTTGAATAACTTTCCAGTTGCGGAAGTCTTCCAGGTATATCGCCAAAAAGTTAGAATATGACCATACCCTTGCTGGTAAGTACCTATGTACCGGCTTCATGTAGTTACATAGATACATATAGAGGCAGTAGGCTCAGTGTCTGGCCGATAATTGTTATATATATATATTCTATGCATTCTAGCTTCAACCTATACAATATTGCATGAACAGCTCTACAATAATGTAAACAAATTGATTTGACATCTATTTACATCCACAGATATTCGCACAGATGATCCACAGATAATCCACCAATCACATCAAATCTATTCGAATTCATTGGTCGGCTATTGAAATATCGCCCAATGGGGCAAAAGCGTCCGCCGAGGTTCCCCACACTCTCCAACTTGATGTCGGCGCCTTTTCCGGACATCTTCTCCTCTTAACTTGTATTCAACTTTCGAATATCTCTCTTCTATTCTGCCTACATATACCATCCCTAATCTCTCTTCTCGACTCTACCGCGATTGAAGAATGGCAAAGGTATTCGATGCGACAGAAGGTATCCGGTCTCCGCACAGGTCCCTGTGACCCCCACGCGGGATGTTTCACTGACTGAACAATTAGTCGCAAAACACAACACTCGGGAGAGCTGTTGGGTAGTGCTATATGGCAAGGTCTACGATGTAAGATAATCAGATGCAATCATATTCCTAATGCGCTGTCTACCCTCCAGAATTCGACATCTGACCCTTTATCTAGGTTACCGACTTCCTGGGCAGTCACCCTGGCGGTGCAAAGATTATTCTCAAACTTGCAGGTCAAGATGCCACCGAGGAATATGATCCAATTCACCCACCGGGTATCCTCGAAGAGGAACTCAAGCCCGAGGCATGTCTAGGAACAATCGACGCAAGCACATTACCAAAGGAGGAGACATCCTCCGAGCCACAAGAAGTGCTCGAGGGACCACCGCCCATGGAGAACCTTCTCAATCTAGATGAACTAGAGGAAGTGGCTGCTAAGCAAGTAAGCAAGAAGGCTTGGGCATACTACTACTCCGCATCGGACGACAAAGTCAGCAAATCCTTCAACAACAAAGTATACCAGTCCGTCCTTCTACGCCCGAGAGTCTTCGTAGACTGCACAAAGTGCGACTTGGACACAACAGTTCTCGGCTATAACCTCAAAACACCCATCTACGTCTCCCCCGCAGCAATGGCCCGTCTAGGCCATCCATCCGGCGAAGCCGGCATCGCAGAAGCATGCCGCAGTTTCGGCGCGATGCAAATAATCTCCAACAACGCATCCATGACACCCGAACAAATCGTGGCCAACGCCTCACCGGACCAGATTTTCGGCTGGCAACTATACGTCCAGATCGACCGCAAAAAGAGCGAAACAATGCTCGCCCGCATCAACAAGCTCAAAGCGATCAAATTTATCGTTCTAACCCTGGACGCCCCAGTTCCAGGCAAACGCGAGGACGACGAGCGAGCGGGTATGACAGGACGCACAGCCGCGGTGACCAGCGGCGTGAAAGCCGCCGAGCGCTCCTCGGACGACACGCCCAACCCGACAGAAGGGTCTGGCGGTGTTGGCCAGCAATTGTTCGCAGGCACCGATCCATCCCTGTCGTGGACACAGACTCTCGCCTGGCTCGCTACCCAGACGGATCTGCCTATTGTTTTGAAGGGTCTGCAGACTCACGAGGATGCGTACCTTGCCTCGCTGCATGCACCCCAGGTCAAGGGCATCATTCTCTCGAACCACGGTGGACGGGCGATGGATACTGCGCCTCCGGCTGTGCATACTCTTTTGGAGATTCGGAAGTATTGTCCCGAGGTCTTTGATAAGATTGAGGTGTATGTCGATGGCGGTATTCGTCGCGGTACTGATGCCGTCAAGGCTCTTTGTCTCGGTGCGAAGGCTGTCGGTCTTGGGCGCGCCGCTCTTTGGGGTCTTGCGGCTGGTGGAGTCGATGGTGTTCGTCGGACTTTGCAGAGTAAGTTGGTTCCGTGTGAATATCTGAAGGTTTCTTGCTAACGATTTTGTAGTTCTGAATGATGAGATGAAGACATGTATGCGTTTGCTTGGTGTGGAGCGAGTTGAACAATTAGGTCTCCAACATGTAAGTCTTTTCATTCCGTCTGGGTATCAACACCAACTAACTTGTTACTTCTAGATCAACACTCGCATGACTGAGCAACAGATCTATGATGGTCCAGCTGCCCTCGAGCCTTTGCGTCGTGAATTCCGCGCTCGACTTTAGGTTGAAGTAATTAGTGCTATATATCCTCCAATGTAAATTGTTGCTCTACCCAACTATTGGTCATTCGACATTCAATTCCGACGGAACTTCATTTCCGTGCTAACTGCCAATGCTCGACATTATGTTTTCACGAATGCCGAACAGATTCATTTCTATTGCCACCACTCAATCTGGCCCGGTCCCACATAACCATTCTCCACCAAAAATATGCCCCAATCAACGATCTATGCAAAAATAGAAGAACACATCAAAAAATTAGTTTCGCTGGGAATCGAACCCAGAACCTTTCCGGAACACTCGCTATTGAAGCAATTGTTAACGGAAAATCATAACCGCTAGACCACGAAACTGTTCATGGAAGAAGTTTTACTTTGTGGCTACATGAGCAGTTATTACATTTGTTTTGCCCATACGTATCCCAAGGGCTTCCTACTGTCTGTTCCTATATCACACATATGCTACGTAGTTAGTGAATACCCGGATATACAAGAATTAAGAATTGGATCATATGGTACCGGGGTATCACAGATATTCACTCATCGCTCGGCGGGGCTGACAGACATAAGCAGCCCCTCCATATCCGCCATATATCCGTCACACTATATAATTCTAGCTCAGGATCACATCAATCCCATCTATCTAACTCCTACACACCAGCACATAACCCCAAAATGACCCTATCAGAATGGTTCCCCCACACAACCATACCGTTCATAGCAAACGCACCGATGTTCGGCTTCGCCGACGTCAACCTAGCAACAGCAGTAACAAAAGCACACGGATTCGGTACGTCTTTCCAAAACCATGCATGCATCACGCAAACCTAACAGTCGCAGGCTTTATCGGCGGAGGCTTTGATTTCCGTACCGAGTCCACGCAGCTCGCAAACTTAAAAACCCAACTAGCAGAAGCGCGCTCGATCCTCGATCTAGCTGAGAACGAGACCCTCCCGCTCGGAGTGGGCTTTATTACTTTCCAGTCGGAGGGGTTTGTCGAGAATGTTATTCCCATTCTGTGGGAGAACCGCGTTGCGGCGGTTTGGCTGTCGTTTCCGAAGGATGATGAGGATCACGAAGTGCTGATACGGGCTATTCGGCGATATCGGGATTGGGATGTCAAGCTCTTTGTTCAGGTCGGGACTGTGAGGGCTGCGGAGACGGCTGTTGGGCAGGGGGTTGATGGTTTGGTTGTTCAGGGGACGGATGCTGGTGGGCATCAGTGGGCTAGGGGTGCTGGGTTGATCTCGTTGGTGCCTGAGGTGAGGGATTTGGTGAATGCTAGGAATGCGACGACTGTTGTTCTTGCTGCTGGGGGCATTGTTGATGGGAGGGGGTGTGTTGCTGCTCTGGGTCTGGGTTGGTTTCTTGCTTTCTTGCTTGGTTTTGATGATGGCTGTTAACGGCGAGTAGGTGCTGATGGGATTGTGATGGGTACGAGGGTAAGTTGTTCTTTTCTCTAGACTGAGGCTATGTCTGTGCTGATTGAGTCTAGTTCCTTGTGACGTCCGAATGCCCTGCGCCGTCTGCTATGAAACAGACTATCGTGGCGAGTAGCGATGGCGGAGTCTCGACTATCAAGTCTGTTCGACACGATGTCTTCCAGTCTACTGATGTCTTCCCCAGGCAGTATGATGGGAGAGCTGTTATTGGGGTTAGTTACGAGGATTCTCAAGAGGGTATCAGTGATGAGGAAGTCATCCGACGATATAATGAGGCTAGGAAGGCTGGCGAGGACGATAGGCGGACTGTATGGGCGTGAGTATTCAATTCTCTGGTATTCACATCTCTATACTGATCATATTATCTATAGTGGTGCGAGTGTTGGAAGTATCAAGGAGGTGGTCTCTGTTGGTGATGTTATCCAGACTACCCAGCAGGAGGTGAGGATGATATTGGAGCGAATGAAGGGAGAGCTTTGAATCTGTGTATGTGGAATTATGCTATATCGAGTCCATTAGAGACTGTCGGATGTTCTCCAATAGTTCATTAAATAGTGTGCTAGTGAACCACTACATATAGTACCTAGATAGTGATGCCGAAACTATATCCCCGACCTTGGAAATATATATATACTCGAACCAAACACACATGTACATATGCAAGGTTAACTAGACTGCACAAACCGAAATACAAATAATTAAGAACACCCAATGAAGATTCAAATTCCTTCAACAAATTCATAAATTGGAAATAGGCGATCGTCAAAAAGCGCATACCGCATCGAGTTCCCCTTCCCCTCTTTAACTCTTTAAGCTCTCCGACCTCAATTCTTCACACTCGAACATCCTCTCTCTCAAATCATATTCACAATTCACAGCATAATTTGGTCCTCAGCTTTAAGGCTGGGACCTTGGAGCTCCCTTCTGGGCTACCGAGTAATTTCGCAATCCGTTATTTGCCAAGGCACGCATACAACCCTCGAATCCTTGACGAACCTCAAACTGCTATCTACGCTCACTGCCCTCAAATATCCTTCGAATTCCGACCAACCCGCCTCAATGAATCACAATACACCTTCACCGAGTCCCATACCTAAAGCTTCCCCGGGCTCAAGACCCTCCCCCGCGCCGACCGCAGGCACAAAGCGCAAGAGAAACGCGACAAAATATTATGCCGTAAAAAAAGGCCACAAACCAGGGATCTACGCTGGATGGAATGAATGCCTAAGTCAAATAACGGGGTTCAAGGGAGCAATCTGTGAGTGCACCCTGGCTTCGTCCGCCGGCGCGTCAACCCAGCTCCAAAACTGACATCAGAGCAATCCAGTCCAATCCTTCCCCTCACAAGAAGCCGCCGACGCATTCCTTAAGGGCGTGAAGCTCCCCTCGACCGATTCAGAAGGTTCCGAAAACACACGATTTTACGGAATCCAGCGAGGACGGGTTACAGGAGTATACACAGACTGGGAAAAAGCACAAGAGCAGATTCGCGGATTTCCACGACCCCGCTACCGCAAATTCTCGACACGCGCAGAAGCAGAGGAATTCGTCCGCGAAGGACGCACAGAGCCAGTGGGATTCGGCACCGAGCCATCTGGGATAACGACCGAAAGGCCGAAAAACGCAGACGGCGTTGAGATCGCAGCGGGCGACGGACCCTTGCCCCAAGGAGCAGAGGATGGATTCGACCCCAATATCCTGTTGGACCCGGCTACAGGTAAGGTAGTCTACAAGACGACGCAGCAGAAGGAAGCGACCAAGCCACAAACAACGGGCATCCCAGGGATGCTGCGCATATACACGGATGGAAGCTCATTACGCAATGGCACACCGTTAGCATCGGCCGGCGTGGGGGTATACTTTGGACCCGGGGATTCAAGGTTCGTACATTTGCTTGATACCCATGTGCCATTTCTAACTCCCATCACTTATCCTAGCAGAAATGTCTCGGAGCCACTTAAAGGTAGTCGGCAGACGAACCAGCGGGCTGAATTGACGGCTATTCTGCGGGCGATTGATATTGCACCTCGGCATAGAGATGTGACTATCATTACAGATAGTAGATATGCGATTGACTGTGTGACGGTTTGGTTTGTTAATTGGCGGCGCAACAATTGGATGACTCGTGATAAGAAACCCGTTGAGAACAAGGATCTGGTGGAGTCAATTTTGGTGAAAATCGAGGAGCGCAATGATCTTCGAGTGAAGACTGTTTTTGAATGGGTCAAGGGTCATAATAAGGATCATGGGAATGAAGAGGCTGATAAATTGGCCGTCAATGGTGCCCAACGGGGGGTTTCTGCTAAAGCCGAGGCTTTGGAGGTTACCCAAGAGGTGCCTGATGAGTTTTTTGAGGAGGACTTTTAAGTATTTTATGAATAAATGAAAAGAGAATCCTAAACATTCAATATTGTTTCATGTCTATAGTTCGTGTAGTTCATGTAGTTCGTGTTGTTCATGTAGTTCGTGTTGTTCATGTAGTTCGTGTTGTTCATGTAGTTCGTGTTGTTCATGTAGTTCGTGTTGTTCATGTAGTTCGTGTTGTTCATGTAGTTCGTGTAGTTCGTGTAGTCTTATGGTAATCCGTTCACGTAAGTGGAGATGCGCTAACATCAAGAATGACCGATGTTTCCCGCAATCCGAAGATCTCTGACTGATCTTTATTTTTCTTTTCCTACTACTCACTATTCACTGTCACTGTCACTGTCATTGCTACCATTCCATCTATTCTGTCCCTCATACTCCAAGCATATGTTTGCATTGTCTGCTTTGTCTCAACTACTCTACCACATGATCTCGTTGTCTATCACCCAGGATATCCAAACTATGATTGAATAACACTCACTTGCATCAACTTGTCTATTCAACTGACAGATTCCTCAGATCAGATCTCGATCTAATTACTGAGTTGCTTGTAAAACTCTCGGACTGACTTACCCCTCAAGCTGTGACTGCAATTGGAACTCACCAAGTCCAAAATGCCGACTCTAGCCTTGATCAACTTCAATATCGTCTGCGCGACACTAGGAGGCTTCATCTCCCTCTTTGGACTAGTATCCTACCTCTGCAAGGAAAAATTCTATCTCTCTGAAGCCCGTGAGTCAACCCCACCAACGGAAATGATATCCCCGCAAGAAATAACCAATCAAATCAGTAATCTCCCTACTCGCTGGCGTGCTATTCTCACCACACGCAGCGAACTTCATCAGACCAGAAGAATACGCCCTGCACTCAGAGCAAAATCTCGAGGCCATCACTCTGCACTTCACGCGCCTAGTCCTCGGCGTCCAACTGGTCCTTGCAGGAGTCCAACTCCCAAAACGCTACCTCCAAATCGAATGGCGCAGCCTAGGCCTCCTACTCGGTCCTGGTATGGCAGCGATGTGGATTTGCAGCAGTCTATTGATCTGGGCGATGGTGCCGAACATCAAATTCCTGTATGCGCTGATCGTAGGCGCATGCGTCACGCCCACTGATCCCGTGCTGTCGAATTCCATCGTCAAGGGCAAGTTTGCTGATAAGCATGTTCCGCGGCCGCTTCAGAGAATCATCATCGCTGAGTCCGGCGCTAATGATGGTCTTGGATACCCGTTTCTTTTCTTTGGCATTTATCTCCTGCAGTACACGGGGTTGGCGGCAGAGGGGTATAGTGGTGGTGCTGGGAAAGCGATGGCGTTGTGGTTCTATGAGACTTGGGCGTATGAGATCCTGCTGAGTGTTGCTTATGGGGCTGTGGTTGGGTGGATTGCCAGGAAGATGTTGCATTGGGCGGAAGAGAAGCAGTATGTTGATCGGGAGAGCTTTTTGGTGTTTGCCATTGCTTTAGCGGTAAGTTGATCCATCAGGTATAGCGCTGTACACTGCTAATATTTTTAGCTGTTCATCGTGGGGACTTGTGGTCTCATCGGGACAGACGATCTTCTTGCCTGCTTCATTGCCGGAAACGTGTTCACGCAAGAGTAAGTTCATTAGCACAAGACTACAGCACAAATATTGACGATGGCAGTGACTGGTTCCGCCTCGAGACGATGGATGATTCTCTCCAGCCAACAATCGACATGCTCCTCAACCTATCCGTATTCATGTGGTTCGGAGCCGTCTGCCCATGGTCATCATTTCTAAACAACAGCGTCATTCCCCTGCACCGCCTGATCTTCCTAGGAATCCTGATCCTCCTAGTCCGCCGCATGCCAATTGTCCTCGCGATGCACAAATGGATCCCGCAAATTGACCTCATCTCCCAAGCCGCATTCGTCGGCTTCTTCGGCCCAATCGGCGTCGGCGCAATCTTCTATCTATCCGTCTGTGTCGAGTATTTACGCGGGATCAAAGTCAACGGTGAGATCCCAGAAGACGTACAACAAGTAGTGGAGACAGTCCAGGTAGTAGTTTGGTTCTTGGTGATCTGCAGCATTGTAAGAGGCTTCTTCCCAAACCACATCCACCCATTTACCGGCTAACAAAAACCAGATCGTCCACGGACTCTCCGTGCCCGTTGGCAAAGCCGGCTACAACATCCCACGCACACTCTCCAGCGTGATAAGCACAAGCGTCAACGATGAGCAGGTACCAGTCCCTATTTCGAATATCAACCACACGCACAGCACGGCCACGCCCCTATCTGGAGGTGATGACGCGAGTTTCCGGAGCCGCAAGCGGGAATTCCGCTTCCGCAGTACAACGCCTCGCCCACCATTCTTTGGGATTGGTGGCTCTGTGATTCCTGCTCGTTCGCCATCTAACCAGCCCGGTGTGGGTGAGGCCAGTGAGCCGGAGAGACCTGTTAACTTGGATGTTCCCCCGGCGGGAAGGAGTGAGGCGTAGCTTAGGCTTTGCTGGGTTGGGGGGGGGGGGGGGGGGTTGATTGACCAGACCCTGTGCTGTGCTTTGCTTTGGCATGTTGGACTCTGGTCTGGACTATAGTGAAGTTCGCGCTGGTCGTATTATGGTTTTTTGCCGACTATCTATGACAATATGGGTGAGATGTTGTTGCTTTAGTTGGGCGGGTTCTGCACATACATATCCCTATGTAATTAAACCTAGTGAATTCGAGCGCGGTAAATAAGTATTTTTGACTGTGATCATTCTCTAGCCAATGCGGATTCGAAGGCTTAATCCATTGACGATGTGTTATGTCTAGAGAAAGTGAGAATAGATATGATAGAATTGCAGTGAGAAAAAAAGAGGAAGGTGGTACGAGGTCTGGCGCTTGAGCTTTGCTGGGAAATACAGGATACCTGAGCCATGTCCCCTGTCAATCTACCCCAAATTAGAAGTTAGAGCTGCTGTAACATGTTACAAAGGCACAAAGACCACATCAATTTAACTAAGTCCAGGGCTGCTAAAGTTTGTACAAATGACTTCCGGGTACACCGGCAACCATCACAGCCTGGTGACAGATCGCAAAAAAGAAAACAAAACAAAAAGACGTTGGTCTGCATTGGCGCATTGGTATCATAAAGCCCATCCGTGTTGCATGCCCTAATTTAAGAGAACTTCATAACCTCGTCAAGACTGATAACCAAGAAAACCACCTCATCCATTCCCCAGAGCACCAGAGACAAGCTCGGTGCTCGATCTTTTTTTCTCCATGCTTTCGATATTATATCGTTACAACGTCATACTGGAAACAGATTTAATAACGCCAGTGACTTTCCCGCACAAGGATCGCGAACTCATTACAGAATTCCGATCCTATAAGGCGAAACATGATGTATTTAGCTCAGGCTAACCATCAACTCACGGGCACGACGAGCAAGGGGCGCAATGAGGCGCAAGATGGGGTCGTGCGGGTTGCGCTCGACGACGCTCATGTACAGGTTGTTCAGACGCTGGCCCATGATGTCCAGAATACGCGGAGCAACTTCGGCGAGGTCGGTGTCCTAATAGCTAGTTAGAGAAGTAGTCAAATTTTGTATTGTGTTGGACCTACCCTGGGGTTCACATTCTGAAGAACAACGTCGAGCCAGTGTAGGCGCTGGCTAATATTGGTCGATAGAGTAGAGGTGACAGCAACGGCCACGGAGAGCATGACAATCGCAGAAAGTCGGGACAAATAGGATGGGCTCAGATTAACGAAGAAGTTATCGAACAGGTCGGCTTGCTGGTTTGATTGGAGCCACTGATGGGTATGTATGTTAGCAGCATATTCAGTAAGAGGAAGAGATTAAACTAACCTTGATAGTTCCCTCTTCGAACCGATGGTTATTGATAAGGTGCGCGATCTCCGTGAGCTCGGCTTGCTCGGGAGATCGAGGGGGGACTGCGGTGATGGGGGCAGGAGCTGGCGTCTGAACCGAAACGGGGGCAGCCTGAGACTGTGCTAGAGGCTGGGGCACCGGCTGCGACAGGCGCCCGTTGTTCTCCACTAAGCGTCCAGCAGAAGCTCGTTTGTTGACAGAGATCTCCCGCTGGGCAAGCGCGCGGGGGCTCGGGGTCTGGTTACCCTGGCTATCCTGCTTGGCGGCCAGCATGGAAACGGTCTGGGACAAGTCCTGGAGGGCGCGTGACATCTCCTCAATCTTAGCATTATCGCTCTCGCGCTGAGCCTCGTAATGCTTGATCTGTGTCTGCAAGTGGCGCTCCATCTCCTTTTCAACCTTGTGGGTGGTACGTGCCAGGCTCTCCAGCATGGGAGCAATTGAAGTCTGCATAACACGAGTGACTTCGGTCTCGATGCGAGGAGCAAGTTTCTGTGCAAGAGATTCGGTAATGATCTTCACAACAGGCGGCTGCTGAATAGCATTGATAACAGCCTTGGGAAGAGACTGGCGTAGCTCTTCGTTGATAACGCCTCCGAGTTGCTGAGAGACAGCATCTTTCAATTGCTTGCTGACTGCAGCAGAGGTGGCATCGGTGATGATTGGAAGCACGTCGGTTTGGATGCTGGTTGCCACAATGCGAGTCAAGTTCTTCTCAACGTTATCTGAGAGCGTGCTGGAGACCAAGCGCAGTACTTGGTCTTGTTTGGCGAGGGAGGCGGCATCCCATTTTTGACGTTCTTCGTCAAAGCGAGAGTGAAGCTTTTCAAACTCATAACCGAGGCTCTTATTGAATTCGCTTTGAACACTGCCCTGCAAGGACTGAATGTGCTTGTTCAAAGCATCACTTGACAGGCCAAGGCCAGGTAGACCGGTAGGCACTGCGTGATCGGCAGCTTGAGTGGCACCCATTGATGCGATAGAAGAGGCAATTGTATCGAATTCCTTCGAAGCGACCGAGGTATTGAGTAGAGGTTCAACACCGGCAGTGGCGACAGGCTCCTTTGCCTTCGCAGCGTCAGCAGCAGACTTCTTCTTCTTTTTCTTTTCAGATCTGTCAGCAATGACAGGTGTAGCTGCAAGTTCGCTGAGCTCATCGGCAACCTTCTTCTTAGCCAACTTAGTGGGCGACGCGTTACGCGAAGGGGCAACACCGGAAGCAGGCTCTCCAATCTCAGCCTTCTTGGCCGGTTCCTTAGGAGCAACACGGGACTGAGTAGAAGCAGTGTCACCATTGACAGATGGTTCATCAGTCGCGTAGGTGGGGAAAGTTTGAAGATCACTGATTTCAATCATGCCATTCTCCAATGCATCAACAGGTCGAATGACCTTGTTATCCGCTGTCCAACCCAGATCCTCCTTCTTGATGTTGAGGCAGGTAACACCGCGCGAGTGCATGACGTACAACTCAAACAAGGGAGTCTCCTCAGCGCCACTCTTGTCCGTAGCGGGCTTGGTGATAGGGAGGAGCTCCAGGCTTCTCAGCTGACCCTTGGAGCCGAGAGAGATCTCCCGAATTCCACTCAAGCAAGCGGTAGATTCAGGCTTAGGCAGAGTGTTATCCTTATCGTTGAGATCACGGATGTACGCAGCCTGCGACATCTGAGGCAGATTGTAGCGAGGAGCGGACAGGTGGGCGAAGTAAATAGAGTTACGCGTGGGGTGTCCAACGACTATAACACCCGAGGACGGGTGGTAAGCGACGCTGCAGATAGCGTCGGACTCGTTCTCATGAGGGAACTTCAACTCCTGAACGGCCTTGCCCAGCCCAATATCCCAGAGCTGCAAGGTGTGATTCTGCTTGAGTCCAACCAAAACATAGCGCAGCGCCATGGATCGCGAATAAGCGCGAAGTTTGTCGAGGAACAGAACCGAAGTGGGCCAAGACTTCTCGGTTGGGGAGCCAGTGACAAAGGTAGTCAAAGGAACCTTGATCTCGGCAGGGGCAGGGCCCTCCACCAAGCTAGCGTCGTTCAGCATGTCGTTGATATCCCAGAATCGCAGGCGGCCAGTCTTGTCCAAAGAGGCAATGACTGAATCATCGTCACTGAACGCAAAGTCCTTACCGGCTTTACCAGTAGAGATCTTCAAGGCACGCTCCTTGAAGAATTTCTCTGTGTTGACTGTGCGCTGAGTTCCAGAAACGCCGTAGGCAGCGTTCATTGCTGCCTTTGGAGAAACAACGTAGATGTTCTTACCCCGGCCAATGGCAAACAAGTTGGTATGGCGAGTGCTCCGCTTGGCCCGCGTTTTCAGCTGGCCACCGGAGGTGTTCTCGTCAGAGGCGGGGAAAGGGGGGAAGATAAGGCTTTCGCTTTCCAATGCATCCATGTCGAAGAAGTCCTTTCCAGAACGTGAGATCAAAGCCCAGTATACGGAGCCGCTGACTCCGATGCCAAGGATGGCCTGGACTTCAGAATCACCAGCCGCAGAAGGAGCTGTACAGAGAGCAACATTAAATACTCGGTCACGGGTAGAACGGAAGACTTGTCGGTCACTGCCGTCATCCTGTCGAATGATTCTGATACCGCCGGTTTTGGCGAGCGCATAAACGATATACTCAGATGTGGCGGCAGTTAAGGATCGATCAAGCTGGTCAAATTCCTTCTTGAGCCGAGCAATATCCATCACATCGTCGTCACGGAAGGTGTTGAGCTTTCCAGATGTAGCTTTCACAGCAATTGAGATAAAGGGCTTCATGGGGAAGTTGTGAACAGAGACGACTCGTTCTTCTTCCTTTTCAGCGCTGTCCTCGGCACTTTCCCAGCTGTCAGCCAGAGCCTCGGTGTTTTCAGCAGCCTTGGGAGCAACCGGGACCGCGGTGGGTTCCACCACGGTCTCCTTGATAACTTCGTCGACCTTGAGCGAGCTGACCACATCTGGAGCTTCAGCGGCAGTCTCATGCAACTGATTGGCGATAGATGAACGAACTGCTTCAGAGGATTCCTCCTGGACAGCAGAAACGGCAGCCTTGGCGTCCACTGCAGCCTGAGATTCGGTGCCACTGAGAGAGCGGCCGATCTCATCTACGAGACGACCGACGACATCATTCACAGCCTCTCTTTGTCCGTCACTCAGGATTGGCGACCGGGGTTCCTCCTTAGAGGCCACTGATGCGGGTGCAGGGGAAGGGTCCAGCTTCGCAGAAACATTGATCTTCTGCTTCTGCGTCACTTCGACAACGGGACTTTGGTGACCTGAGGCGGGCTGTTGGGGAGACTTGTTGAGAGGAGAAATCGCAGCCAGCTGATCGAATGGGTTGACATAGGTGAACATCGAATCCTTAGAGGGCGATACGACCGTTTCCGGGTTCGCAGGAACCAAAGGAGTTTCATCCACAAATTCCATGAAAGCGTTGTTGGTTGTCTCGCTCTGAGGCTCGTCCACAGTAGCTTGCACGTAAGGTGTCTGGTGAGAAGGGGCAGGGGCAGGGGATTTAGCGACTGAAGGTCCGGACTGAGAACGGTTGAGCAGGCGAAGCAACATATCCTGTGTGTTCTCATTGGGACCCTCAGGGTGACCGGAATGGAAACCCGGGGGCACAGCCGGAGAAGCGACTGGCGGGGCCGCAGGAGCTGGAGCTTGATTGCCAAACAAAGAAGCAACCAGGTCAGAAGCGGAAATGTTTCGTCCGTGTGATGGGTGGGCTTCATGGGCCGGCGGGGCTTGCAGATGATCATGCACTGCAGCTGGAGCCTGTGGCTGAGAAGCACCACCAGGACGCTGACTGAATCGCAAAAGGTTCAAAAGGTCGTTAGAACCCGGGTTAGCGTGCTGCTGTGGCTGCGCCTGCTGGTGCCATTCACCACGGGGAGTTGACACATTGGGGCTCAGGATATCAGAACCCTGATGAGGCGGAGTATTCATTGGAGCAGGACTTGGGATGGTAGAAGATACAGACGGATGGTGATAACCGTGCGATTGGGGATGAGGGTAGCTCTGACCGTCATAGGGCTGCTGATGCTGAGGGTGCGGTGGGAACATGCCTTGCTGATAATACGATTGGCGCTGAGCCTGAGTATTATCCTGGCCAGGAGTGTTCGAGGGGGAAGGGCGTGGCCGGATGCTGGCCAGGAGAGCCTGGAGATCAGTGGGGGTGGACATTTCTGCCGTCACGCCTTGGTATGGCGACCTCCGCTGATGATTCCAAGCTTTGAAAAGCTCTCAGGAGCTCTCTTTCGAGAGAGTCAGAGCACGGGAAGGTGAATCACAAAGGCTAGAGCAGGCAATGAAAGAGCGAATCAGAGATAAGAGCGCGAAAAGAAAGATGAAATCGAAGAATGTAGGAGAGAAGAAGGGTGAAGGAAGAACTCTCCGTAATATTGAGGCCGTGGGTGTGGCTGAGGCTGCCGAGTCCTGGTGTGGCGCGTGTGGCTAGTGTATTAACCTATTTCTGCCTGAATTCGCTGATTGCAATATATTGCCAGACTTATTGCAGATGAATCATGTAGCTAGCATATACAAATTGAGTATTTATACAATGACAATACAAACTACTGTTCAAACGATCATCTAACAGCCATTCAAAGCGCGTTCCAAAGAGGACGAAAAAGATGGCTGAAAAACATAAGCTACAAACCGAACTGAGATAATTGAAGTGACTTGTTTTTGCGCACAGTTTACATAGAAAGTGCAAGTACCACAATGGCTGCCATGTTTAGACGGTGAGAAAAGCGGTCAATCCCACCCTGAGAAATCAGGCAAGTATAGCGGCCAGATCCAGACAGAGCTCTTTTTGAATACCTCCAACCTATGATAATTTAGTATTAACTCCTTCTAAACTCACAAATCCAAAGAGGAAGTCTTCTTTACATTATATCATACCCCACCGCAAAGCAGAATCATCATCCTATACCCGTCTGTCCGCGCCCTTCCGTTGAACGGCAAGCGCAAGCACCCGCAAGCCCACCATGTTTTGTCTACGAAGGTGAGAAGAAATCAATACTGATTGCCGGTAATCCAAACTTCAAACTAACAAGGCTCTTCACCCAGCTGGCTACCACTCCTCTTCATCCCGACCAACGCCTCTCCACTCTTCATAATCTCCTTCGTCGCCTTAACATACATCATCCACCGACCATGCATCTACTGCTCAGCACTACTCCTGATCCTATTTGTCTCATCCTGTCACTGGTCAGACCGTTGTATCTTCGACCTGCGCAGCAACTGGTTTGCTCCGCGGTATAGCGCAGAATCTGGCGACTACGGCTCTATCTCCGGTAACGCCTCAATGGAGACAACAGTACCCACCGAGGGATTGACGGAGTTCGTGTTCGACACTTTCAATTCTACTGCCAAGGCGTTGGCTGGTGCTGCTATGGAGGGTGTGCAGCAGCGTCTTGCGCCCAACGGGTTGGAGTCAAGACCGGATGAGTGGACTGGGGTTGGGCTGGAATGGATGCGTAGCCTTTTGGGTAGGCGGGAGTGGACTCTTCCTTGTGTGGATGTTAAGGTGCGACTATAGAGACCTAAAGGGCGGGGCTCACACCCCTGTTTTGTTTCAACATTTTGTACGATTGTTTTGTTTTCGGATTCATGACTCTTTCCTTGGTGTTGTGCTGCATTGATTCTTCTCAAAGAATCACCCTCATTCCCATCTGCTTTTAAGGTTAAGCTTTGTCCTCCTTACGCTTATGAACAACCATTGTATATATCTCATGTTATATTAATCAGACAATCATCAGATGACTATTCAAATCTGAGATTTATACACAATGTAAGCCACATAGTATATATCAGCAAAGCAATATAGAATAATCATCACTAGATTTTATAGACAGGTTATATGGAAATCCAGGCTATTTGATGGTTATCAAACTGAGATATCTCTCGGTTGCTCCTCTGGAACTTCGCCCTCCCCATCGGCCGGAGGAGGGGGAGGAGCCGCCACCGGGCATACACCAAGAGCAATGAGGATATTGCTCAGCATAGGGAAACAAGCAACACAAGAGCATATCTAAAGCCAAAACAGTTGGGTACTTCCGTACACAACAACATTGAAAATGCGCACATACCTGACTCATGGAAGTTGTCAAGCACTTCTGCAACGCAGCAAGGTCACCATTAGCAATGGCGTTGGCGATGCAAGTAAGCTGAGCAGTCAAGTTGAGACAAGCAGCAAGGCTACATGTCTCCGGGAGTTGCGGGACGACGTGTAGATTTTCTTGTAGAACTGTACATACTCTTGATCAGTATACAGCGCATACGATATCATAAAGGACCAATACAAGCGCTTCGATGCCAAGTACTATTTGTTATATTGGGTCCTGCTGCTGCAGCCGAGCCCGAGGCGAGAACAAGAGCTATATGGAAGCGCATGCTGAAAGGTTTCTAACAAAATACCTAGGATAACTGGACCGTATGAGATTATGTTATAGAGGACCGGGTTACGCCATTGTTGGGTTGCACAGTGGTTTATATACCGAGGCTTCGTCCACTGACTCGGCGAAGAGACAGGCACAGATCCGGTATCAATGTTTCTCCCGGGTGTCACATTTGACAATTAGCACCAGGATGTGCAGGTCAAGTGGGACTTGACAGGGTCACATTGAGTCACAAACAGAAGCTTGTTTGTATCCAAAATCCGTGGTAGTTGCACTGGATACTACCTACCAAATAACAGCCATGGGGTGTTGGACGGAACCGAAGTAATAGCTGAAAAAGTATTTGACGTGGATTAATACTAAATACAAGGCAAAGAGGTATCTGGCAAGGAAGCATAACAAGAACAAATACCGGAGACGAGTCCATCCAGTCTAAAGCATGGCAGACCGAAACTCCTGCAAGTATTTTCAGAGAAAAACAGAAGCTGAACGAGTCACAACGCATGAGATGATAACCAGCGTGAGGCAAATAACGACATATGGCAGGTGAATCGTGAAACATAAAGGAGATGTGGTATCACGGTGACGAGTCCAGGTTTGGGAGTAGAAAACAGAGTCGTCACAAGCGCGAAGCAGGCGAAAGATGCGTATATATGAATAGATTAGAGGTAAAATTTGCACGCAAGAAATCCAGGCCAAAGCAGCAAATAGCATAAATATCACATCAATTGTACCGTGCGCCTCCAGGGCCACCAACGGGCAGGGGCCAGTCATCTTCGGTGATACTGCTCCAAAAGGTCCAGACCCCGGAGACAGCGAGAAGAGTGAAAAGGGTCTCGAAAAGAGCGCCGTTGATCTTTCCGTCTGTGGCGTGGCACAGGTGGGTGCTGATCACATAGTTGAAGATTTGGCCAATTGCAAACAGTAATGCGGCCCCAGTGAGATACACTGTTATTACACCATTAGTCTATTTTCACGGTGTCTTGGTTCTGGTACTTACGCATTGGCCGGAACTCGCCCAGAACTCGGAGGACCAGCACAGCTTCCAGGACGTAGAAGAAGACCAGGCAGATGAGCGGGAAGAGTTGATACAGGACATAAAGGGCGATATTGCGATTCGGGTCAACATGACTTGACTGGAAGTGGCCTGTCCAATCGAATCCAGTGTCCAAGGCAATGTAGCCAGTACCGATGAACAGCGCCGCAGCAGATGCGCAAATCAACCCAATAGAAGCTGGTGTACCATCGTCAAGTAGCTGGAAGCCGACCAGCGCGTTCATGAGCAGAACCCAGCAAGTAGAGGTAATCGCAGCGATATGCACCGCCGAAAATCCCTAGAAGACATTCATCAGCTGGAGTCTCGACTAGTCCACGAAAAACCATTCCTACCTTCCGCACCGCATCATGTAGCGGGAATCCGCCCACAGTGAAAATCTCACAGATCTCAATAATAATAAAACCTAGCAAGAACAATTGCATTTCCCTATCAAAACGTCAGCCGGTTCCACGCGTCGCTATCCACTCCGACCCATACCTTCGCCCAACAGCAGCATGCTTCTTATCGGTCCTCCATAGCATGCCCAGAGTCAAAACAATTGCAATAAAAGCCAGTAGAATAGAACCTATAGCCCATCAGCGCCCGTCATTATATCCCCATCGGCCAGCTCCGTACCTAAGTTCCGAAGATGTCTGTTCCCACTCAGCGGAATGCCGACCAAATCGCACGCGCCAAAGGCATCCGTCGCCGTCTCATTGGTGAAAAGCTAAGAATGAATCATACCGTCAGTATAATTTTGCGATGGTCGCAATAAAAGGATGGTCTCACGTACATTGCAAACCGGTAGGGTTGAGTCGCGACAGAAGTCCTGTCATACCCCGAGTTAATCTTTAAGTGTTTGGAGAATCGGCCGATTGTTCTGCACTCACGTGGAAATTTCCAAATTGAGTCGACCCCATGGCTAATTGCGAATGGGCAGTAGTGGGATTGGAGTCGAGTCGGGGAGCCGGGTGAAAAGATTGTCAGTCGAGCTTGGGCCCTAAGGATTGGAAAACGTCCGCGCAGGCTCAAGATCGCTCAGTGGCGGATCTCGAGACGGATAGGAACCAGGTACGGGAAATGTAGCGAGTGAAGTTGCTGTGAGAGTGGGAGGGGAAGGTTGCGCTGGTTACTCGGAGACCCGTTGACGCTAGTGTGGCTTGGTCGCTAGAGCCAAAGGCTGCTGATTTTTCAGATTCAGGTTTTTTGTTTACTTTTTGAGTCGAATACAATTGGGTCATTGGTTTTGATTCAAATTGACTTCGATTTTACTTTTTCATTTGCGGTTCAATTTGAACCAGAAACTGAACGTTCCATGGAGTGGCAACGGTTGGGTCTGCTAAGAATAGAACTTCGCTCTCTGCCTGAGGAATTGGCAAGGCAGTAATATATACTCCGTACCATCGGTATATATGTATATTCCTACAATACTGCAGAGTACAATACTGCATTATCATAGTGTAACCTGATGATTGATTTATTACGGTGGGTACGGAGTACTTGATGGATACTTGCAGATATCCCTAGACCCAGAACTAATATTTGTATTGTTCTTAGCCCTTACTGTCAATATATGGTCGTCAGGTCGACCATAGACCATCCATCATCTATAATATACTCCACTCCCGACCAGACCCGATTGCCCTAGATGCAGACAATTATATTCTGAAGTGTCGATTTCACGTTATCACTACGAATATAAACCCCTTGAAGATTCGGTCTAGTCCATTTCGTAATAATTGGAACCCAATATGTGGGGTTCAAGCCCCTGCTCAACTCAAGTAGAGCAGACAATTATTGGTGCTCAAATTACTTAACAAACATCCTCAATAACCTGCTTTTGACCATCATGCTCGCCCAAATCCAGCTTCAAAGTACGGCCAAACAGCTCAAGCAACATCTCAAAGCAGACCTTAGTGATAGCCGGGTCGTAGCGACCCTTGCTAAGCTCATCACGGATAAAAGCATCTGAATCTCATCAGCCAATAGTTCCTCCTCAAAACATAACCCATGAATCAACTCACGCTGTGCCCACGCAGCCTCATAAAAGCTAAACTGAACACCCTTCTCATGCAGGGTCTTGCGAATGAGATCCCGTCCCTCCGGCGGGACATGGTTATCATTCTTACCGAAAATCTAACGTCATAATTAGCCCCCAAATCCCAACTCCGATCCCAATCACTACACCATATACATACCATCAACATCTCACCCTTTATATCTCCCGCCCTAGCAAGACTATCATCATTCTTCCCCAGCGCAAGGGTCTTGCTATGAATGTCCGTAGCAAAGTAACACACACTGGCCTTAACTCTGCTATCCAAAGCACAGCGATAAGCCAAATGACCACCTAGACACATACCCGTCGCACCGACGCGACCATTACACGTCGGTAGGGAAAGGAGGTAATCGACGCTAAGACTAGCGTCTTCGTCATAAGCGGCCAGTTTCTGGTGTGGTCAGCTTCAAACACAAGGATACAGGGATTGATACAATCGAATTGCACCGCTTTGCTTATGGTTCTTGCTTACCTTGCCAATCTTCCAGGCATTGCCCTTGTCGGTGTCTTCGGCGTCATACTTCAGCGGTTCCGGGCCAGTGAATTCATGGTAGCTAGATGGCGCAGCACAGATATAACCCTGACCGGCGATCTGGCGCGCGAAGCGTGCTACCGGGCCGGTTACTGGATTTGAATTGCGTCAGTCGTGCTGGGTATTATTGCAATAAGGGTGTTACCTTGGTAGATCTCGCTGAAGACGACTACGCCTGGGAAACGGGCTTTGACGTAGCCCGGGATTGTCGGGTGGAAGACGTAAATTCCTATGATTTGTCAGAATTCCTGAGAAGACAATGACAAGACGTAGATCGTTGACATTGGTAAGAAGGTTTTTGTAGAGAAGGTACTTACGCATCGTCCCCTGGCCATCTGCTGTGGTGGGGACATCGTGGTAGGATTCTTGGATCAACATTTCTTTTCGTTATAAGTGAAATTAATCGAAGTAATTGAAGCAATTGAAAAAGCTGAGAGCGTATGAGTTGAAATCATTTATCGATAACACGCGGGGCAGTCATGTGCCGATATGGAGCTTCGAGCTCCGGAAACTTATGAGCTACATGTACACTTCAGAACTAGATTTCATGCCATAGAGATGGCGTGATGTTTCTGTCTGAATGCTATGCTCACATCCTGTAGCTTTCTGATCACTCAGTAAATCTGACCAGGATGATCATTAACCTCGCTCATCCAGCAAGTTCCTCCTGAGGCATCGATGCTGGCCTTAGGCCAAAATGCTATATGCCTCAGGCCATGGCTGTTCAATCACATTCACAGATCGATGAATCCACCCATGGATTGATTCACGCTGTAAGCTTAAACATATCTACATCTCTACATCTTCATCAATGACGGTCGTTTTTGCCGTCGATCTGTTTGTTCTCCCGTTCACCACTCAGTATCCTCAATCTGATCAACTTTCAATGTAGCACGAACGACGGCTTTCTCTACGACTGCAATAATCATAGAAGCCGCTACAGCGACGAGTGCCTGTCGTTGGAGTCTTGATTTGTAGCATTAGGGCTTGGCGGGCAGGTGTTGTATGTAAATAGCATAATGTCTACTAATCTTAAATCTTGGAAAGTATGAATCTTTGTAAACATATTCAAGAAACAATCAATACCATTGTGAACTTCAACCGTCGTCACGGTCGTACAAAACCAGTTTTTCATTATCAGTGCAAATTATTAATCTATTTGACGTTTTATACATAGAAGCGAATGTTTGAAAAATGGTCTATTGAGACCAAAAAAGTTCCCCGGTTCCCAACAACCGAGACCCTAGTCCAAGGGAAAGCAGCAAGCTGCAATTAAAAGACATACTGCAAGACAGTCAGTGGCAAATCTCGACAAGTTTGAATCAATGCACTCACAGGAATGAACAGGTAAGGCACCTGGCGCTCATACTCGAGCCAAGTCTCACCATACTTGGTGCGACAGCGCTGGATGTCACGAAGAGCGCGGTGGCTGATCATGCAGGCGAAGAAGAGAGGATAGAACCAGGGGAAGGGGCTTGAGAAGCCGGTGATCAGGCCCCAGTTCAGAGCGAAGAAGAGATCGCACGAGTAGTGGATCTTGCGGGCCTTGCCATCTATGCGGGAGATTAGTAGTGGTAATTGAAGATGAGATAGCAGAACAAACTTACACCACCCGTCCACAAGAATCTTTGAGCCATCCTCGGCAGTCAGAGTCTTGGGGTTCTTGACGGTTTGCCAGGGAAGCTGGGGGAAGGTGTTGCGGGCAACCATGGTGCCGCGCTCCTGCTGGCGGAAACGGTTCTTCTGGCTGTTGGTGGTGTCCCACACCCAGTAGACGAACAGGTAGGCGATGTAGAGGAAAGCAAGGAAGAAGCGGTTCCAGCGGTACTCGGCGGGGTCGTGGTTAGCCAGATAAATGGTGCAGTGGCAGTAGCTTAGAGGAACACCGGCCAAGTTCCAGAAAATCAACATGAAGCCCCACTTCTCGTAGTACATATCCCTGTGAGATGTTAGAAGAGTCGCGGTGGGAAACATGACGGGTTTCTTACCAAGTAGACACAATGCACTCCTCGCCCTTGGAGCAGGCATTGGCATAAAGGTAGTGAGCCATGACAAGGAACATGACTTCACCAGACACGTAACCATAGAGCTCCCACTGGCGGGCAGCGGCACCCATAGACAGGAACAGCAGGATGTACCAAGGAAGGCGAACCTCGAAGAACATCTTGAAATCAAGGATGTTGAACATGCGGGGGTTCAGCTCAGCACCCATGAAAAAGTCGTAGATGGGGTAGCCAGTCATACGGTGCTGGGCACCACGCGCCAAAGCCGAGAAGTAGGCAATGAAAGAGACAATGTATCCAGACAGAATAGCAACGCTCAGCAAAGGACCGAACTCATCAATGATGGTGTACAGCTTGAAAAGTCCGGTAAAGTGCGCAATCAGAGCCAATCCAATGCTAGTGTAGAAAGACCACACAGCGGAGCAGTAGTATGGCAATTGCTTGCCACCCATGTGCGGCAGAGGGCGTCCGGATACGTTCACACCAGGAAGAAGCACGTAGCAAGCACCCTCAAAGAGGAAGAAAACCCAATAGATTGTCCAGGCCTTCAGCGAAGGGAAAGCACCGGTGTACACCAGATCGACCAGGTGCGCAAAGAAGTCACTGTAGCTCTCGCCCTCCGCGGGACGCGGGAACTTGCCATTGTAGTAAGTGGCTCCAATCCACATGTAGTACATAAGCATTGGGAAACCAATCATCATAGACAGAACACCGAGCGAGCCACCGAATTCGAAGTGACCGCTGTAGTCAACCTTAGGATCCAGACCGGGTTCCCATCCATCGACCATGCGCGACTTGGACTCCTTGGCCTTGGTAGCCTTGCCATTGACCAAAACCTTCACCGGGGTCTCATCCTCTTCGGCCTTGACCTTTGCAGAAGCGCGACGGCGGGTAGTTGACTTTGCTTGTTCGGAGGGGGACTTGGAGCCCTCGTTCTCGCTGCCGTCGAAGACAGAGCTATTACGGGTGACGCGACGGCCGGGGGTTTCGACAAAGCCGGGGCGGTCCATTTTTCTAGATGAAGGAAACAGTTAAGTCTGCTTGACAAATGTTTACAGGAACACAAATCCGGGGAGGAATTGGCTAGATATAACCATATTGTGGATACGTCGCAATTAGAATTGGGTAGGAACTACTCACTTGGGGGTCTTCCCCGTTTGGGAGCGGGTTAAAGTCATGATTGCTCAATCGGAAGAGCACGGTTCCGATTGCAATTGAGAGTAAGGAGAAGGAAGGGAAAAAGGAGCGAGGGCGAAAAACAGGAATGTTCTGACTGTTTACTTTGGGTACTATTTGATTACATAATTCAAATTTGGAAATTAAACTCCGCGGTCGAAGTTTACTTCAACAGCCACTTCGAACACTCTACTTTTTATATGATGAGCAATGTTGATATTTTATATAATTTTGCAATGGAGAATATATAAAAATATTACTGGATTCATTATGAATACTATGTCACAAATAAACCTAAAAATTAGACCGCGAATTGATGTCAAACGAAACAGGTAACTAACTAGATCCTCATATAACTTAAAGGGGCTAAATGCTTTCTTATATAAAATACATGCCCATACAAAGTTACGGTTCTCTCATTTCCCCAGCAATTTTCAGGCGAATTGACCAAATTTGCTATATAGTTACGTCGCAGATTGTATCCATGGTTTAGTTAATTAACTAACACAACCCTCATATCATTATTGTGGGGTGTCTCGTTGTCAACTTCCATTTTCTCTGCCAAGTACTTCCACAGGCTTGATAGATTTACCCCTTTCTCGGGGTTATATTCTCCTCTAGGGATTTATTTGAGTTATTTGAAAGATATTTAGCCTATAGATTATTCCTTCATATAGTTCCATATTTATATTGTAAAATTTTTTGATCTTTGTTTTTTTGTTTATTTAGTGTTGTGTGGTCTTTTCTGTGTTTTGTGGTACTCTGGCAATAGGGATCCCCCAGACGCTGACCCAGAGACCTCGAAATCAGAAAGCCCAGTAAATGTGATTGTATGTTTATTTTCATTGAATGTTTCACGAAGATTCGACAAAATGGATGGTTGAATGAACACCAAGTCACAACAAACCAACAAGTCGATGACCAAGTGAATTGAGACATATGATAACGTTGAATGAGATGGGAATCGGAGAAAGCGAAGGAGAACAATAAAAAACCAAAACTCCAAATGCATGCTTTCTAACACACAACTTCAACAATGTGTGAATGAACAAAATGCTCTCAGTCGAGATCTAGGCCCCTCTCTGGCTGTTAGTGGCCATCAATGTAATCTTTTGTTTATTTTTTTTCTTTTTCTTGCCATTGACGGGGGATGAATCATTCGGTGCCGTTTGAGCTAGCAGATCAGACTCCTGCTGAGCGAAAAGCTCATCCTCCCACCCCTGCCGCCACCCGTCACCGGCAGTAGGCCGTTGGGCTTCAAGGCTCGGCGACAGTGAGCCCACTGCCGTCGTGCCCCAGACAGTACGTGATCCTGGCGGGCTGGTGGAGGGAGAAGCCAATGCTCCAAACCCTGAAGATGGGCGTGGAGGAGAGGCGGAGGAAGTGCCGGCGTCGAACGCGGGATCCAGGCTGTTGGGAAGTGGATGGAAATCATGGGCAGAAAATGGCGATTCACTGGAACTACCAGCACCAATGCTTAGTCGCTTGCGTCGAACGCCGGCCCAACGTTTATCATCCTCCTCTTTCTCGGCACGTATGCGATCTTTTTCTTCTCGAGCCTCCTTCTCTCGGTTACGCTTTCGTCGTTTATCGGTTTCCGAACGGAAGCGGTTGAGAACCTCGGGTACAACCACGTCTCGCCAGTCACACTCTAAGAAGTTGACCTCACAACCTTGCGGAAGATGTGCAAGGTATTTGACTCGCTTGCGAAGTTCATCGTCAACGATATGCCCTGTTGATATGTGCTCCACTCGAGGGAGAATGGTGGCAGGGAACAAAGCGTATTCTTCAAATGCGGCCTTCAGGATACGAATATCCAAAGAGGAGAGATAGAACTGAGGCAAGGCTTGGTAGAAGTGGTATGAGTGATCTGAGCCGGAAGGCGCCTGCGATTCCATGCTGCGGCCTTTTTCTTTAAATTTGGCGCTGGGTTCGGAATCAAGTTGAACCCTACTCATCGCCTGTGAAAACTGCTCCGCTTCTTCTGATGTGCGAGGGGTCTCTGTAGATGGCGCAGAAGAGCTAGAAGTGGAAGCCGTCGCAACAGCGCGTTCCTTGACAGGTATTACCTCGGGTGGATTACCAATGCCTTTCAGCTTTTCCTTGGCCTCCATAATAGAACCAACAGCTTTTCGAGTCCATGTATTTTCATCACCAAACATAAGCTCGTCCTCAACTTCCTGTTGGCGAAGGTCTTCGATCTCAGTATCGTACTGAGCACTCATATAGTCTTCGCCTCCTTTCATGATCCGAGCATAGTCAGCAACATCGGCAACATGATACCACGGAACATCCTCATCTGGACCAAGTGCTTCAGATCCATCACGAGGCAAAGCAATAGTGCTGCCCGACTCTCGTTTCACCAGTCTCAATACAACATCGCCACCTTCGACTGGCAAATCGCCTTCTTGGCCACGGAACCATCGAACGGGTCGGGTCTCAGAGATATAAATAGAGTCCCAGCAAATAGGACATTTCTTCCAACGGTGCCGTTTCTCAGGGACCGGGTTATCGTCATCAGATGAATGCATGTATCGAATCAGACACGGGAGACAGAATATGTGACCACAGCGTGCCATGCGAGGCGCAACAGGGGTGGATAGACAGATGGGACAACTAGCAGCCTGTGTCTGGGCAGATACCAACACTTGTAGCACTGAGGCCCAGTCGAGATGAACGTCAGCGTTGGCTGCTTGGGCATGGAAGTTCTGATTCGGCATCACAATGAACCGATAATTCGCATGAACATATCTCGCTTTATCCACTGTACCGGCTCCCCAGGATGTATAACGTCGAACATTGCGAGGTGGTCCATGGTATTGCGGACGGGGTGGGAGTGAAAAGTTCATCAAGTGAGTGATGGACGTCTGTCCCTTACGGCTGGTAGTTGATTTCATGGCGGCCTAAACACCGGCTTCGGGGTCAGCAGGTGCCTCTTGACTAAGATAACCTGATAACCCACCGATTCGTTATATTCGTCATCATCCAAAAGCCGAGGTTTTCTTTGTCGATTATGTTGACTCTTCCGAGCTTGATTGTTCCTTGGGGTGGCTGAATTTCTCGAGGATGCGCCTGTTCGAGAATTTCCCGACCCTCCGACGCGTCTTTGAGAGCTGTTATCCGCGGGTGTTGTAGAGTGTGATGCCGTAGATGATGGTGAAGCGTTTGAGATGTTTACCGCTTTTGAAAGTGGCGGATTTTGTCCTGCATTGGATGACATATCTTTGAAGTATTCAAATATCAGAGTATTTCCGATCTACCACTCAAGGCAGAGAGCCGAAGCTAGAAATTGTAGGAGAGAGAGGGGTGCTATGCCTGGGCAGACCCAGGCACTGATAAGATGTCAATCAACTCCAGGGCTATGCGCCAGATCGAGTATTCCACCAGAGATCAGATCAAATCAGATCAAATACAATGAAAGAATGCACAGTGACCTCTTAGGCCAAAGAATGAAGTGATCGAGGGACGGCCCTCAGGGTGCCAGTTGGAGGTGAAGTTCATTCGCCCCTCCTCAGGTTACAAATCGTCATTCACGTGACCCCATAATCTCCGGGGCCAACCAATCTTCCTTCAGTGCTTCATTTCAGTCGATTGATAGAGGCCTTTCCCACCCTCATCTTTTCTCTTATCTTTTTTTCTTTCTTTCATACTGCTCACTTATCAAACTAGTTAAATCCTCTTCCAGGATCGGACTTGTGCAGCGATCTTCTTCTTCCTCTCCTTCAACGTGGTTTGCCTTTCTCCTTCCACTGTTTCTAGCGAACCCAACAGCTTTCTCGAGAAATTCATCCTCCGCCCAACTTTCGCAAAACCGCCACCTTTCTCTTTGAGCTCAAGATGGCTGCGTAAATGCGCCTGCAGCTCCATCCTTTTACCTCGTCTTGACTGCTATCGCGCATGGCTCTCAGTTGAGATAAACGCGTGACCGAACGTCAGGGCATATTCTCCATCTAGCCAGGTCAAAATGAACCACCATCTCCCTGCGATGCCCCACGGGCAGCCATCCATGCCTCCTTCCCGACGCCAACAGGATTTCAGCTACAATCCAATCCCTCCCAACATGCGCTCTCCTCAATACATGGGGTATCCACCCATGAATGGCCACATGCCTCCAATTTATTCACCCCAGCAATACCCTCACTGGTACCCGCCCTATGGACATATGCAACCACCTCAACGGGCGTACCACCCGCAGTATGGACCGATGATTGTATCTTCCTACCCTCACTCGCAACCTGTTATGGCACCGACGCATCTCCCGCACCATCCGATGCATATGCAACAAAGAACTCCAACTCCTCATCAGCAGCCGATCATGACTCCGCCCATCCTGCATCCATCGATGCCGCCCATGCAACCCGACCTGCAGGAAAATTCCGTTGCTCTATCTCACTCGACTCCGCCACCGCGATGGGAGGAAAAGACAAACTTACCACCGAAACCTGCTTTCACCCCACCTGTATGTTTTGGCTCCTTGATTTATCCCATGTACGCTGTCCTGGACGGTTTTCTGACCAATCAAAAGCTCCCTTGGCTCTCCGTTCCAGAACAATCCTTCCCGGCCAGAATCCCACGCAAGCGTCGCAAGGGCCGTGTGATGCAGTCGTCGGTCGAGCTGCCTTCCAAGGACCCACCCCAGACCATGGAAGAAACCCCCAATGAGAAACCTAAACCTTCAAATGAGTCTATTCAAGAGGAGTCCGAACCTCAAACCCCGACTACATTCCAACAGTCGGATACCGACTCCACTCAACCCACTACTCCTTCATCAGTAGCAAGATCACAGGCACACTCGAAAACATCAAAGCAAGCACCTACTCCTGTCTTCCCAGCGGTGCCAAACGTCGCAGCCACTCCTCGCAAACACGCCAGAGATAGCAGCAGCGTCGCATCCGGAACGCCTAAGTCGACAGCAGCTGCAACCCCTGCCCAAGCAGTGGAACCGGATACTGCTGTTCACGCTGAAGTTAAGCCAAGCTCGCCTATCACTACTGTACCCAAGTCTTGGGCAGATCTTGTTCGTTCAAAGGCATCGGCAAAGGCAGCGAGCGCTGCCGCAGCTTCGGCCGAATCAACTGGAATGCCTGCACAGAAGAATGAAAACCTCGCTGATGTTCTGAGTGGCCTCGGAGAAGATGTCACCCAATACAGTGACAAGATCGCATTCCTTGAACCTCGCGGCCTTGTCAACACCGGAAACATGTGCTACATGAACTCTGTTTTGCAGATTCTTGTTTCCTGTACCCCATTCTATCAGTTCCTTGACCACCTCGGCCGACGTGCCGCGCACAGTTTCCACAGTGATCTTCCTTTGATCGATGCAATGATTATGTTTATGAAAGAATTCCGTGTTATTGATGCCGCCACTTCTGAAGATCAACTTCGTCTCAGATTGAAAGCCAACGAGTTGGAGCAATACGGCGACGCTTTTGCACCTGAATTTGTTTACGACATGGTTCGCCAGCTGCCACGCTTCCGGGACATGCGACGCGGACACCAGCAGGATGCTCAGGAGTTCTTGGGTTTCCTTCTCGAAGAGATGCACGAGGAGTGCGCTCGTGCTGAGGAACACACCTCGAAGAAGCAGGCGGGCGACGATTCTGTCGTCGATGGATGGTTGGAAGTTGGTCACAAGCAGAAAGCAGCGGTCACTCAGCTGTCTGGTGCCATGTCCAGCGAGTCGCCAGTGACTAGAATCTTTGGTGGCAAGCTTCGCTCAGAATTCAAAGTGCCTGGTAACAAGACTTCGGTCACGTTGGAGCCTTATCAGCCTTTGCAGCTCGACATTGGGTCGCATGATGTCCACAACATTCTTGATGCGCTCAAAGGATTGACCAAGCCGGAAAGCATCCAGGGTGATTTCAATTCGTCGCGTGGTTCTAACGTGACTGCTACCAAGCAAATCTTCATCGAAACACTTCCTCCTGTCCTGATTCTCCACCTGAAGCGTTTCCACTACGACAGTCACACTGGAGCTACCCAGAAGATTTGGAAGAAAGTTGGATACCCCCTTGAGTTGGATCTCCCACGGGAAGTCTTCCCTCTTCATCAACGCAACGCTTTTGCGACCAACGGAGGCCCACCCAAGTACCGCCTCATGGGTGTTATCTATCACCACGGAAAGAATGCCAGCGGTGGTCACTACACGGTCGACGTTCGCCGCCAAGAAGGTCTGGAATGGATCCGCATGGATGACACCGTTATCCGTCGCGTTCGCAGCGAGGACGTGGCTGAAGCTGGTGGTGAAGAAGACCCCAAGATTCTTGCTGCCGCTCTCGAGCAACAAAAGAACAGCAAGACGCCCAATGGAAACATCTTCGATCACATCGACCAGGATGATATGGATTCGGCTGATAACGACAAGGGCTGGAGCCAGGTCAACGGCAATGGTGTCAATGGACACGCCAGCAAGAAATCCGTGAACGTGAATGGTGCTACATCCTCTCCGGCCGCTTCATCTGGAGTGCGGACTCCACTTGGCCGTTACGGATCTCGCGACAATAAGGTCGCCTACCTTCTGTTTTACCAGCGCATGGATTGAATCGCAGAAATCCATTCTTCAACAACGCTCACAGCAACATACCCAACATCCACGATACATCGAATTACGAGTCAACCAATCCATGCATTTTGAACCTCATTTGTGTGGATTTTTTCTAGCCTTACAGAACAGGCAATAAATACTACCCTCACTCGGCGAGCTCTACCCACTTGTGTTTTAACGGCTCGCCTTTGCACATGCAATACAACATGAACCCATCTTGAGAGACACAGCACAGGGTACGGCGGGCCCTACCTGCATCTCTACAAAGATTACGAGTTCACGGCCTGAGCCGTCCCACAGCTCAGTCATATTCAAGTTTTGTTCTAAACGAGCATTTCAGACCTGCTTTCTAATTGTTCTTCTTTTTTTGCCCTTTTTCAATGTGCAGCTATGAACTGACATCTGCTTGCGCAACGCATTGTCTTTGAGCCACTTTTTTTTTTTTAAATCTATGGGCTGTTTCTTACGGGATGTCAACTTCGGTTTATACCCCTTTCGTTTTCTCATGGATACACCTTTCGAATCTTGGCCTCGCAAGCGCGGGGAAAAGGAACTGGCGTGTGTTCCTAGCCTTCTATTATCATGTACTTTGCCATGTCGCCTGATATTCGGCGTGGATAAGGAAGATCTTGTGACGATGTCACGAATTTCCTTGATCTGATATCTTTGTCTGCATAGACCGGTGGGAGTTGGCTATTTAGCCCGGGGGTTGCTCTTGGAGCCTGGAGAGAAGAAGAAAGAAGTTGGGGCCAGTGATACCTTGGTGTAAAGGTCCGGGTATGGTGTGGTTGAGGTGTGCATATCTGAGCGTGAGACGAATACCAACTTGTGGTATCTCTAAAAAGCCTGTTTTTACCAAAAAAATTCAAAGGAAGTTTTTTTTCATTTCGCTTGGTATTAATACTACAATTAAATATATAGACATAATTATGTAGGCTCATACCATGTAAGATAGTAGGGGGGGGCCATAAAAATATCAAGAAAAACTCAAGGCAAGGCGCGAGGTAAGATGAGCAAAAAGAGATATATAGAAAAGTCCGACTTTTCAAGCCTAATTTACATGATTTTCTCGTATATCCGGGCATAGTTGGGTTCATACATGACAGCGTAGCTCATAATCATAGGTCAACATCTAAATCCACACCCTCTGCATATCTGCATACCTTGCAAAACACATGTATGTAGTGATTTTCACGCATGGAACGCAGGCATCTCAGCGCCGACAACTCCCTTGTCGTCTTCAACAAATTCAAACCCAAGAGCCCGCCAATTCAACTCCTTCCTCCAATGCAATCCATAATACTCTCTCATATCATTCCCACCCTCACCCTCAATCTCCTCACCCACAGGCCCAACAACCGGCTCAGACGCAAGACCCCCACTAACCAACCGCCCCCCTCTAGGGAAAACAACAGCCCGGAACCTCGAAAGCAACAACCCCATAGAACAACACACACAAGGCTCATGAGAAAGATAAACATCGAGATCCGTACAAAGATACCCACCCTGCGACCGGGTCCGGATGCGCGGCACAGCGTCCCCAAACGACTCACCACCAATCCCAGGAAGCGGCGTATGGAGTTCAGACATGGACACAGGAACGATATCCGACTCAATAGCCGGCTCGTCTAGCTTCCTCTTCAACGACGGCGATAGCGGCGCAACCGGCGCGTTATGCCGATATAAGAAGTGCGACTCGAGCGCGCTCAGTCGCGCCTCCGACTCCGGCTGTTCGCTCGATCCAGGCAGCGCAGACGCGCCTTCGTGGTCGTGCTCCCTGCGCCAGCGCGCGACGAGCTCAACCGCGCGCATCAGCGCGTGCAGTTCCGGCCCGCCTTCCACGTCTGCGTTGTAGCTGTTGCACGCTGGGTTTGGGCCGCCCGCGTGCTGCTGGCTCTGCGGTGGAGCGCCACCTTCTGAGCGTGAGTATCGCGCGTCGCCTGCGACTGCTAGCACGGCTTCGTCCCATGTGTTGTCTGTGGGGAAGTTATTGATTGCGGGGTCGACGATTACCGCGCCGACGGGGCGACCTTGGCCCGATTGGTGGGCTTCTTGGGCCACTTTTTGTGCGAGGGAGAGGTAGTAGCCTGCTCGGGGGGAGATGGATTCTTGGGCGCGGGCGAGGATTTGCGGCGGTGGTGCGACGAAGGAGCGGGGCGCAGCGGGGTTGAAGACTACTGGCCAGAGAGTTTTGGTCCAGGTTTCGGCTTGGGTGGCGTTGAAAGCAGGGTAGAGGGGGATTTTGGTGGAGTAGAGGTGAATTGTTGGCGTTTGTGGTTCGTCTGATGTGCCATCCGTGGTTGAGGTGTTGCTCGTAGATGTTGAAGTTGGCGCAAATGGAGCGAGTAGAGCTTTCAGGTCGACGAGATCGGGGAGGGGTGGTGAGAGGAGGACAAAGATTGTCTGCTTTGGGTCTGCTGGTGCGCTTTGCTTTTTGATCTCTTCCTTTAGAGCTTCAGGGAGCATCTCTCTCTTGGCGAAGCGGCGGAGGTGGGATAGTGGGACTGATGGATCTTTGGGGAATGCAGAGTCGAGAGCCCTGGAACCGTTAGTTGATTGCGTACACGGTCTCGCAGTTTGTTTGAGGGCTGTAGCCTACTTGATCACTTTGGATGCGGCTTTGACATTGACTTCTGCGACAAAAGCATCGGCTAGTTCTAAGTCAGTCGTTGGTGTTGCAAGATGCCAATGTTATAGATCATACCGAATTCTTCGACAGGTCTTGTTTCCTGAACAGTTCTGATTGGGACGACCTCCCCACCGATGGGCTTGACTCCTCTGATAATGTTTTGAATGTCCATTCTAGCGGTTTAAAGTGCTCATGCTATGCGCTCAACGTTATGGGTCGTGATATTGTCAAAATGCGCTCGCTATATAGCGACAGTGCTAATGGCACAATTTAGTATTTTAAAACAGGATATTATTGTACGAGTCATCAGCAACTTCCCGCGAGAACAGTGATTGAACGTTTTGCAGAGAAAAGATGGAGCTATACAAAATTGGATATATTGAGCTACAAACAGTGCAAACTACTTCGCACTAGGCCTTTTTCGGGCTTTATAGTTCGAGTCTTTAACGACATAATTCACAGCACATGGGCATTGGTTGGCTTTCGCCAACAAAGAGTTTATTTGAAGAATGATATACATACGTGTGTCTTGTATAAGATGCATTCCTCATTCCTCTCCTTGAACCGAACATTCCAGCCGAGCATGACATCCGCTGTATACATTTCTCCCCGAATTGCGAGGGTATCTGGCGCCGAGATAAACACTCATGATAGCATTTTACATGATTAGTGTGCCAGGCTGTTCATTCGATATGCGCATCATCCGTTATGATAAAGGTCATATGGCTGGGAAATGCGAAGATGCCGGAAGATTACAACGACGACGACGACTAAATAGAAGACGTAAACTTGGAAGCTGTAGCTTTATAATCTAAAAAATAATCATTGAAGCAAAGCAAAGGCTCTATAGATCACGAAATAAAATAGGAAGGTATTTGAATTTTGTATCTTTCTAAAAAATCAGTTGAGATGGCTGGGTAATTTGATCATAGATATCACCTCATCTCGTTGGACATCAAACGCCGAATCGTTGCTGAAAAAGAAAATCGCTGGAAACAAGGAAGGCATCGCCTGTCGACCTTTGATATATGCTGAGATAGATTCCTGTTCTATAGCGCCATGCCGTCTGATGCGTGTGGCACCTCGATATTAAGACAAAGAGTAGCAATGGAGTCCCATCACAGCTCCATAAATGCAAGTGATATGTATTAGATCACACCGCCAGATGACGGAGCGACAGAAGCATCCCCATGGACTCGAGACCGGCCCGAGTTGACCAGAATTAAAAGTGCAGACCTCGCGGTCTACGATCAAGACGCTGGAGCCATACCAGTAGGACCAGCCATCGAGTCGCCGTTCTCGCAGGGGCGTTCAATTTCGAACCCGTCGCATCGATCGACGAGGCTCTGGTAGTAATCCACAAGCACTTCTGGTTGTGGAACGATGCGCCATTCGACTTTGAACAGGAATTCTAGTTCCAGCATGGCTAATTCCGTCATGCCGATTCCGCCCACTCGAGCATATGTCTTGTTGGTCCAGAAACTGTCGCTGAGTCCCTTGCTAGCGACTGTGGCGCTGGTAATCAGGAATCGATGAATGGTGAGACTGGAGACGGTGAAAGCGGGGTATAGTGCGCACAGTCGATCAATGTAGTAGACCATGCTGAGGAGGATAGGGGGTGAGAGGGTGGCGTGGGTGGTAAGACGCTGCAGGTAATCTTGGACGGAAATTCGGGGCGGCGAGCGCGAGTGGAAGCGAGTCAAACGGCCTTGGTGTAGAGGGATCTTGTCATTGAATCGGATCAACTCCATGAGCATACTGGAGATCAGCACGACCATGTCACGGGGTTCCGCCAATTCGTACTCCGTGGGCAAAATCTTGACATCAGGCTTGGAGGCACGCAGACGCTTAGACTGCGACCTTTCCAAGTCTTGGCCATCATAATCGGCCGGCGTCGCATCCGGGTGATGGTCGCTTTTGCTATTGCGCTTGTTGGAAGCGATAGGGGCGGGCATCGAGGGGGCAGTGAGAGGGTTTGTAGGCGAAGCGGTTGAAGCGGCGACTGGTTGCGAGGCCAAGGCCGAAGTGTTCTTCCGGGCGTCAGATGCAGATGTAGAAGCGCGTCTGGCTGAGGTTTCAGGGGAGGGATCGACGGTATGCCGGTTCAAGGCCGACCGGAGTTCTTCAACCATACGTGATGATCGAGGGCTATTGAATTGTGGAGCAGAAGGCTCATAATGCGAATGCGAACCCGTTGAAGGAAGCGGGGAACGCAAAGCGGCCTGTGAAGGCGAGGGCGAAGACGCCAACATATTTTAAAGAATGTAACAGACTGAGCATTCACAGTGCAAGGTAGGACCACGTGGGCGCACAGTCTAGCTGACGCTGTGGTTGGCGTTGGCGCACGGCCGGCCTCATTCTCAGAGGCTCAAAGTACTTTAGAAGAGACTAATTTATGAGGCTTTTGAAGAGTAGAGAAGAGAAATCAAAGCAAATCTTTGGGATCATTACTCTGCAAGTTCAAGAAGTAGAAGGGGAAGGGGGCAAGAACATTGAAAATCTTGATCGCTTTGGACCAGAAATTACATGTTGTCAGTGGCTGCTCATATGACAATACCATTACAATACAAGGTTGAAATATACAATGATTGTACTTGGCTTTTCGGTTTTTTTTTGCGCTGTATTTTAGTATAATATTGTACTATATGGGCTTCAATTATTATACCTCTACTCCTTACATATACAGTATATGTAGATTCTCACATTTGCAATTTGCAATTATTGATTCTTTCGTACCTTGTATGCTATATTTCTCAGCCCTACGCATCGGGGTAACAGTCACACCGCAAAAGTACCAACGCCCCCGATCAAGATTCTGCAAGCAATTTGATTCTCCACCAATAGTAATTTGAAGACTACGGGCGGTATGCCCGTAACAGAAGACGGTATAGATAGGTGTTAACACTTTTGCCGAGTCACTGTATATCGGATGGACCTTAGTGGCAGAAGTTGATGCATATGTACCGCATAGTACCCCGGGGCCCTACATTTGTCTTACTAAAAGAATGAAGAAAATTACACAAAAAACATAAAAATCGAAATATTTTAATGTTAAATTTCGAAGTTTTGGAACCAATAGCATAATAAGAAAAATCAAAGAAGATTTATAAAGACTACAATGTACAACGTGAAAGAGGACATTGGTGAAAAATATTGTATGAGTACCGAAAGAGGAGTTTCCCGGTGCCGCCCTTCCGTTTCAAGACGGTGAATCATGGCATTACGAAAGTGCGGAGATACTGGGACTCCGGCTTTACAGTTCCGGCTTGCCACATAGCAAATGTTATACCCTTACTTCACATGATTAAGTTTTAATACGCACTCCTCTTCACCTTTCAAGATCCATATAATCAATCTGCATTATTGAGACTCTCCCGCGGGAGGGCGTGATCGCCGGACGATGACGCGAGCTGCCGCACCACCGATTCTGCTACAACTACACAGCGCCGAATCGGTTTCATCCCAAATAATAGCTCTACGGAACCTGAAGAATGAACTCATTGGACATGATCAGCGTAAGGAGGCATATATTGCGGAGGGCATCATCCCAGCTCTAGCGCAAGTGCTGACATCGAGATGGCCGGGAACGGCGGAGTTCAATGAGTTCTCGTTGCAAGATCGAGCAACTCGCAAGTTGTCAGAAGATTATGATGCTTGTCTTCAAGCCACTTTAATTGTTGGAAGCTTGGCACAAGGTGCGTATCCAATTTCGGAATGAAAAGAATACTTCCAAAAAGAATCCACTGACTGACTGCTGAGTAGGTGGTCCAACTTTCCTTACTCCGATATTCGCAAGCAACATACTCCCCACCCTACTTTCAATACTCTCGTCGCCAGATTGCCCTGACTCATTCTGTCTTCCAATTCTACGACTGTTGAACACAATTGCGGATCGATTGCCGTTGCAGAGCCAGGAACAATGGCCCCGGGACACACAACTTGCGGATCTTGTCTTCACTTCTGCAAACATCAGCTTCCTTAGACGAACTCTATCGCAAGACTACAATAATTTGCGCTGCCAGGCCGCCATCGAGTTATCGGCTGCCTTGATTGGCAAGCTGTGCACGGAGGAAATCCACAAGACCGCACTAGCAGAATCCGGGGTGCTGGACGCTCTGGCACTCAAAATTGCGTCATTTGTCGTGGCCAAGGGCTTCGTTTTACCTGGAGCAGAGGATCATCTACAAGAGCCGGGGGCATTGGAAGACCTACCACTCCCGGCCCCTCCATCCGCCCAGCTAGCGCCCATTTTGCGCGCCGTCGCCGTCATCATTGAACAGTCCAAATGGAGGGCGGAGCATTTTTTGTCATCACCGGGCATTGTGACGGTTTTTCCGAAGCAGCTTCCGGGTTTCGCTCCATCTGATATTAAGAAGGGTCCGTGGGGATCCACATATTTGTCGGGCTCCGCAGTGCCCCGTCATCTTGGCGCTAATCCCATGGAGCAGCTTTTGCCTTCGATTCCTCTGGCACACACGAAGTCATCGTCTAGTTCTGCCAACTTCCCGCCCCTTGGCCATGGAGGTTCTCAGCGACGACAGAGCCATTCATTCCCTCCGCCATTTTCACTGTCTGAAACGCCTGTCCCGGAAGACGATGAGAATCCAATTGTTCCATGGCTACTCTGCATCCTCCGCTCTGAGAGCGGAATGATACGGTTGATGGCCGCTCGTCTCGTCACCGTTCTCTTCCGTCTGGGATTGGCGAAAAAGCAGCGGATCCCGATGTTCAGCTATCTGTTGATTCCCATCTTGATTCGGATGCTTGATAGGGACTTTTGCCTAGCAGATGAAGATGGCGCTAATTATGATGGACTCCTCACATCTACCCAACGTTTGAAAGAAGAAGCACCGGCTGTCTTGGCCAATTTAGTCATGGATGACCAAGAACTGCAGAGACATGCAGTGGAAGGCAGTGCACTAAAACGACTTTCACAACTTCTCAAAGAGACTTATAACCCGGTTTCTGAGACCTCTCGTCCAATGTGGCATGCAGAGGATGCACCAGCCCGGGATATTGAGACTCTTTCCCCAGAATGTCGCCTCGGACCTTCCGGCTACTCCCCGACCTTGTGCCACGTAATGCGCTACCGTGAAAACATCCTCAAGGCTCTGGCGGCGCTCGTTCCATTCAAAGACGAGTACCGCAAGGCCATTTGTGAGCATGGCGTAGTTCCTTACATTATTGATGCTCTCAAGCCAAGGCCCAGCGATGCACCGGTTGATGCCTCGATGCCCAGCAATACTGCCGAGGATGGAAACCCGATTCCCACCATTCTTGCTGCCTGTGGCACAGCTCGGATGTTGACACGATCGGTTAGCGTGCTGAGAACTAGCCTCATCGATGCTGGTGTGGCCGACCCACTGTTTGCTCTTCTACGCCATTCCGACACTGAGGTGCAAATCGCGGCAACGGCTGCAATCTGCAATCTGGCATTGGATTTCAGCCCTATGAAAGAAGTATGTTAATATTTGACTCTCATTTCACTAGATGTAACTAACATCATTTTCACAGGCAATCATCTCTGCCAACATCATTCCCATTCTTTGCGAACACGCCCATTCATCTAATACTAAATTACAAATCGAGTCGCTATGGGCCCTGAAGCACATGGTCTACGACACAGCAAACGACATTAGAATGAACATCGTCCAAACCTTAGGTCCACAATGGATCATGCAAGTCATTTCGCAAGACCCAGTCCGCGCCGCCTTGAACAAACGAGGCCTGGAAGAAGAAATCGACAGTTCCGGGATAGCCATGGGCCGATCCAACTCCGCCGGCGAACAAGTCGACATCCTCAATCCAATGGAAGACGCAGCACAATGGGACGAAGACCTGAAAATGACCGACACTATGCCCCCTTCTAAGATGAGCTTAGACATGTTTCTGCCGGACGCGCGCCGCCGCCGCAAACTCGTCTTACACGGCACCCTTGCACAAACCACGCAATCCCGGCAAGACGACATCGCCGTCCAAGAACAGACCTTCGATCTTCTCCGCAATATGATCTGCGGCCGCGATGCCCCAGAAATGATCGAGTATCTGTTCCGCGAGCTCGGTCAAAACGACTTCCTGGATACAATCGCTGAAACTCTCCGACCACAAACCATCCAACTCCCCCATCGCCGCGAATCAGGGACCCCTCTTCACGTCCCGAACGAAATCATCACTGCTGCCGCAGCGCTGATCATCCACTTGGCCGCTGGACATCCTCGCCACCGCCGCATCGTCGCCTTCCACCGCGACCTGCTACGCTCTTTGGGTAATTACTTCAACCACTCGCACAAGGATGTCCGGTCGAATTGTGTTTGGGTGGTCATCAATCTCATATACGAGGAAGATCAGAACGATCGCGAGGGATGCCGTGAGCGCGCGGTTCGGCTTCGCTCACTTGGGTTTGCGGAGCGATTGGCTAGTCTTGAGGATGATTCGGAATTGGACACTAGGGAGCGCACGAAGACTGCTTTGCATTTGTTGAATAAATTGTCCCCTGCATAATTGGTATGTGGAGTTGGGAAATGGGAACTACTACCTACTGTCTAAAGTTAAGTTTCAGCGAATTTTATACAAAAGTTTCTGTTCATGTACAATATTCTAGTACGATATTGCACTCCCAAGCAAGGCTTAAGATGAAGTTGATGTTTTTTGATAAGAGCTTTATCAAGGATTACGTCATTGATATCAAATCCATGGATGGGTCTATACGCGAATACCAAGCTGCTACATGTATTTATTGAGCCTCCAGGGCTCCTACGAGCAATTCATATTGCGTTTGAGGCACAGCTAGAGGATTCAGTTTTTAATATTGGTTGTTAGATATACCTACCATCACAGTCTGTTATTTCGATATGAGTTGATCTAGATATATACCTTCCCTTTTAGGAAGGACACGCACTCTACGTCATACCCCACCTTAGCTCTTAAGCCCACATATAGTTGAGCTAAACTTCACATCACACATAAGTCATTACGCAGTGAATAATATATATCAACGCCCTTAAGAATAGCTACCGCCAATATTTTCTCAGAGGACGATTAACTTTCAATCGTCAACGAAACCATCACCATTTTTCCGACTTTTCAAATCCAAGAAGATAGCTACCAAAGGGCTCAACCAAAAAACTATAATGTCTCCAGTCCCAGAACCCATCCTCCAAGCCCTCTCCCTCCCCAAAGATTCCTCCCTCTCAACCACTCCAGGCTCTGGCTTCACAAGCACAGCAACAATCCACACCAAATCGCCCACAAAAACAGACCCCCAAGAGCATACCCACTTCCTAAAGACCTCTCCGAACGGCTCCAGCGCCTCAGAAATGTTCACCGGCGAGTCAACCTCCCTAAACGCCATCGCCACCTCAGTCCCAGGCTTCTGCCCCAAAGCCCTAGCCCACGGCGCTCTCGACGCCAAAACCCACTACCTAGCCACCGAATACCTAAACCTAGGCGAACCAGGCAAATCCAAAGGCGAAGCCAGCCTCGTGCACCGTCTAGGCAAACTGCACAGCACTCCAGCACCCGCAGATCCAGAAACCGGCCGCGTACGCTTTGGCTTCCCGGTCCCGACGTTCTGCGGCGACACCAAGCAGCCGAACACATTCCACGATAGCTGGTGTGAGTTCTACGCCAAGGAGCGGCTTCTCACTGTATTGGCTACGTCTGAGGAGAGGAATGGGGCGGACACGGCGCTGCGGGATGCCGTGGAGAAGACGGTGGATGTTGTTGTGCCGCGGCTGCTTGGGGATGGGCATTTAGGGTTTGATGCTGCGGGTGTTGGGAAGGGGATTGTGCCTGTTGTTGTTCATGGGGATTTGTGGAGTGGAAATGTTGGTCGGGGCCGGATTGGGGGTGGGGAGGTCGGGGATGTGGTTTATGATCCTTCGGCTTGCTATGCGCATAGTGAGTTTGAGTTGGGGATTATGAAAATGTTTGGTGGGTTTGGGGGAAGGTTTTTTGAGGAGTATCATAAGCTTGTGCCGAAGACGGAGCCGGTGGAGGAATATGGGGATCGGGTTGAGTTGTATGAGTTGTGAGTTTTTTTCTTTCTTTCTTTTTCATTGAAGCTTGGGGGTTTGCTAATGTTGGTAAGGTATCATCATTTGAATCATCATGCTATCTTTGGGGCATATCGTTCCGGTGCTATGGCGATTATGGAGAGGTTGATTCGGAAGTATGGGGAGTAGTGGAGTTTTGTATGTAAATGATATTCCTTTGAGGCTCCTCTGCCATTCGCTAGAGCAGTTACTGTGTAATAATGCCCACTAGATTGAAAAAGGCAGACTTCGCCTCATCTATCCAAACGTACGCAACTGTGGCCTGAGTTACTTCGCGAGGTTCAAATTAGCGACGCCTTACTATGTTTTCTTTTGTCAGCTGAGCCTCGTGGTCAGCTAGAAACTTAGTACCCGGGGGAAGGGGAGGGGGAAACAACCGATAATCTATAAAAGCCCCATTTAAATGCTCGTTGCCTCAAGACGAGCTCGTCAACCATCCACCGTTATTACCGTACCGAGACCATGGACGAACAATTCCGAGGATTGACTGAAAAAGTGGAGAGCCTTCAGTCAGGGCCTACAAGAGAGAAATTCTTGTATGTATGTTTTACTTAACAAACTGCATCTTCCTTCAGCTAACTATGTGACATTGGAAAGATTCATGCCCTCTAAATGCAAGCAACCGAGGGCGATGTCAACAATGTAAAACCTGGAATGCTCGATATGGCGGTATCGTTATCGCTGATCTTATGTGGGTTCCAGGCTAAAGGCTCAATTTAGGAAAAGCTCAAAAGGAGAGCATGGGAACGCTCGAGAAGAATGTCAAAGGACGAAGCTAAGGCCAATTTATGCTGTTTGCAGACGATTTGGTTGCTCGTTATTCCTGAAAGATCAGATGTCACATATACTATGTACTTGATCAACAATGTCTATGTACTTGATCAACAATGTCTATGTACTCGAAGCTTTTCTGAAACTTTATATTTTAAGCGTAGGTCTACGGCTTGTTGATGTTCTATTTCCGGTTGAGAACCGTGTTTTTCTGCAATATGGATACATTGATTAATTTACAAACTGTTGTACATTATTAATTTTTTACACTGGCCCTCAGCACTGTGTTGGACCGCACTAGGTCGGGATCCCATTGGGACCTGCCTTCATATCGTTCCAACTGCAGCCCCTTCATGCATTTCTCCATACTCCATTTCCTGGACCCAACCTCTGATATTATCACACGCCCCCTCCGGCCGACGTTTATACTGCAGAAGGAATCCTTGGACTTCTGCCAGACTGAACTGCCTCTCTGGTAGACACCCCGCAAAGCGCACCGCCATCTCGATCATCCTTGCCATTTCCCTGTTTTTTTCTCCCGACGAAAATTCAGGGTTTTGATACATGTCGCTATATAAACTCAAGAAGAGGTCTCGCAGCTCCTCCCGAGACGGAAGGTCAAATCGAACATGAATATCCACACGGCCAGGTCGAATCAGCGCGCGGTCCAATTGCTGCGGCGCATTGGTAGTCATTATCAATATGCGGCCCTCGTGGGACGAAACCCCGTCAATGGCATTGAGCAACCCAGATAGAGATACAGACGTGTTTTGTGCCTTGCTCACTGGCCCTGAAACATAATCCTGGCAAGGCCCTGAGTCACTCCTGTTCAACCCAGCAGCATCGACATCCTCTAAAAGCACCACGCACCGCGTCGGCACCTCGGAGAATAGCCGGGTGAAATGGGATTCTGTCATGGTTGGATCTAGCAAGCTCAAGACATATATATCTAGGCCGAAGACGCCTGCAATCGCAGAAGCAAGGCTCGTCTTGCCTGTTCCCGGAGGCCCGGAAAATAGATATCCACGCCGATACGGGATGCCGTGGTTGGCGTACCATTGTCTTGTATGCGGATGGAGGTACTCGTTGATATCACGCAAGAGAGCTTGTTTCTTGTGCTTATCCAGAATCACAGTGGAGATATCTCTGGAAGGCCGCGAAGCAACCGAGTTCCAGCGGACGATGTCTTGGGAGTAGGACGTCGTGCGGTAAACAGTGATGCTAGACACCGAAACTTTACGACTGTATGCACGAACTTCGTCCAGGAACTTCTTGATTGGAGAAAGGGACAGGCTGATACACTGCAGCTTAAGGGGTGTATTCATATCCAATTGCGGAGGCCGGATACTATCCGGACTACTCGCTGCATGGCTGAAAAGCATCCAAGTCCGTTTGAAGCGGAAGAGCCGGGATCCGTGGAATGGCCTCAATTCTAAGAATGAGTTGTCCTCTACCTGTCGGTAGCTAATTAACTTGTCGGAATCCAGCGGCTGGGGTGAGCGCATAAGAGCTTTCTCTGAGTCGGCATTGTTGGTTGTTTGAGCTAGAACGGAGAGAAAGTTGCGATCTCGGAACGCATGATCGTTCATCCAGCGAACTATATCATTGTAGAGGGGATCCTCTGCTCTTACGTGTACTGTTGACAGGCATATGTTTTCTGCATAGCTGTATAGTACATGCCCAGCAGAGCGGAGGGAAGTGATCAGACCGACCACGATAAGTCCGGAATTCACCAAGGCAAGAGGATCCCTGTTTATAGTTTTGCGGATTAACTCCACAAAAGTGTGGATTACTCCTCGGTTGGTAGACATGATCAATTTCAGATCGATGTTGTTGAGATTCAAGGGAGAAATTCTAGACTCACCGCCCTGGTAGGTTAATTTGATTGGTCTGTGCATTTATATTTCTAGAGATGCTGTACATGGCATGTTTATTCAATTTGAATGTATTTATATATTTGAAGAGACAGATCACATTTTTCGGTGGACGTTGTACTATCCGATGTGTACAATGCATACTGTGTATGCTAGCGTGGATGAGATCTGCCGATTATTTATATGACCTTTACCCTTTCCTCTATAGTAGGGGCAATTCAAAGTTCTCTCTCTTGTTCTAGACTCGCAATTCCTCAAATATCGAAGAAAACTCAATTTGGAGACTCTCGTCATGATCTGCCATCACTGCTGCCTAATGAGGAAAGAGAACAGCGCTGGTTCAAGAAGAAGTAAACAATTGGAAGACAGGCACAGATGATTCCAAGTGCAATTTCTGCACAGGTGATGAGATTAATGCGTGAGGCTGTCTATGTCCTGCACACCGAGTTTTGATATGAAATCACCCATAACAGCCGGACAATGGTCACAATAAACACTAGACCGCCAGCTGACAGAATAACGACAACCCTTAGCTTCTACAAGAGGGACAGATGGAGCAGTGAAATCGGTGGTATCGCTAGAGCGAAGATGACTAAAAATGATTACACTGAAAGTGGTGTCGGCAAGGAAGACCTTGAACACATTGAGACACCTGTCAGTATCTTTGAGCCAAAAGGCTTCGATAGGGTTGCAGATGCGGATCTTCACAACTAATATTGCGATGGTATAGGCTCCTAGAACCTCACTGAATATATAAATGAAAGCAATTTTCGATATGGTGCAAATTATCGTGCGAGCATATATAGAATTGTCAAATTGACTGTCAAAATAACTGGACCGTATGGGATGTTTATTATATATGAAATATTAGCTAGAATATGGGTAAATATAGGTTGTCTGTACATTGGAGGACCTTAGTTGCCTTGAAGAAAAGTACTATGTCGTCTTTCGGGATATCCCATTGATGGTATCCTCTGCTCCCATATGCGGCTGAAGAAAATAATGGTCAATTCTAACTATACCGGAAAATATTCTTTCGGAAACTTACACACTATATGAAGCGAAAACCAAATCGTTGCTAACATCTAGATTCTTCCAGTCAGCATATATAGAAATCCACTACTTATCCGGGTTCTCGTACCCATGATATTCAACATTTCCCTGGTTCCAATAAGTATATATATAATATCAGACAACTCTGGGCAGCTGCTTACAGTCCTCAACATAAAGCACATGCTGAACGCATAGCTTGACATATATTCTGGTTATAACAAAGCATGCGACGACAGGGAGGCAAATACATTGTGTCACGATCAACCATAAGTGAATCCCCCCGGATGGATGACTGAAATCCGATATAGCCCCTCGCGGAGGTGGAGCAGCTGGTTCTTGCGACATGAAAGTCCATGAAGATAGTATGTCATGATATCATCTTAACTTACAAGTTACGGAGATCACGATGAATGATCCCAAGGGAATAAAGGTACTTTATCTCGGAGATTATCTATAAAGTCTAGCCTTTATAGATAGTAAGGGGATAATTGTATCCTAAGATATATCGGAATTTAAATTTTTGGAAGACTAAACTCGCCTCTAGCGACTTTTTAGTAATTCAACGATATAAGCTATTTTTAGTACTCTCGGGTAGGATTTACCTTAGTATTTGTGTAGGTACCTAATTTCGCTCTTATATTTGCCTTTCTTAACATAACTTTTACTAGAGTCAACTTGGAATATTAGGAGCAAGGCAAGAATTGTATAAAGTTCCTGGGAGTCGTCATCTAGCTCTGGAAGCGGTGGGGTATTCACCAGGGGGCGTAATTGGTCACTGATGATTTAATGATCGCCGTGATCGACTGAATTAGGCAGAGTTTGTTTTAGGCGAAGTATATCGCCAAACGTAGTGCCGGGACCATCAGCCAGCAGGATGCACTGGTGCTAGTACCAATACGTGTAGCGAAACACCGTCAATCAATCCCAAACTGAGGTCGATCACCCGCCGGCCACCAGCAGAACCAGGATTAGACCGTGCTCTTTTTGCCTTTTAATCAGTCCTCAGTCGCTGAATTTCCGACGTAAACGGATTCTTGGGTGATTGATTCATCCTTGCTGATATAAGGGAGGGGGTTGAAGTAATCTCGAGGGACCCAACTCTTTGCTCAGCAGAAAAAATTTGCGGCGGTGACAAATACAAATAGAAAATCCGAAGGTTGGCGGCATCCAGCTCTAGGTCTTACGTATTAAGAGAAAAACACTTGAGGTATCACGGAGGGTGGAGTACGGCTTTGCGGTGTACGCCTGTACAGCGATCTGACACATAATGCATCATACATCATACATCATACCTACCTATGAAGTTGTGTATATCTTCAGTCTTGCATATTCGAGTACAGTTCGATACCCCACATACTCTCGCTACATCTTACCAATCAACAAAACAGCCACGATCGGCACATACGGTGTGTGTAGACGGCAGACTTTTCTCTTTTGTACCAGAGAAGCCCATCAAGGGAAATGCTCAAACGACTGAGATCAAGTCCTTGAGCTGGCAAGAGCGGATGGCAGCGCTTTTCAAATTATGGGCATGTCGTTGAACTGCGCAATGCAGATTGACGGATGAGCTGGATCCCAAACGGTAAACACGACTTTTAGCGTCCTGTGTTATCGATAGGGGTGTCTCAAAAAGTGCGATTTTCAGCACCGAGAATCCACCGGCCCTCATCCGAAGAAATGTCACTTGACAGGTGTCAGGTTTACCACTCAAACCTTTTGTTCGGCTCCTAAGAGCTGGAATTGCTGTCAATTGCTAACTGAGGCAACATGAGTTCGTGAACAGATTGTTTTATCTCCGGCAATATGATTGTTGCGATAGAGGATAAGCGCGAGGAGCGCCCTCTTACGAAGGAGGAGAATGATGATCAACATGAGCGATATTCGAAATCATCATCAGTGACTCAAATGATCTCTATCTGCATAAACAATGGTTCTTGGTCGTCGCAGTTCCAAGTGCATTCAAATCCCCAGAGTTTGAACTTGCATATCACCACCACGGTCTATCAACAGCCGGGCCGCAGCTTCATGGCCGTTGCGTATCGCAAGATGTAGTGGGGTGCGGCCATATGAATCCTGAGATTCTAGGTCAGCCCCTTTTGCTATTAATTGCATGATCATTGCCTCATGACCTCCCTGTGCTGCATAATGTAGTGGCGTGCAGCCCATTAAATCTTTAGAATCCATCAACTGAAGATCAACGCCCTTTTCAAGCAGTATATTAGTGACTGCTTCGTGGCCACCGCAAGCGGCGGCATGCAAAGGGGTTCGACCATCTGAATCTACAGGTTCCAGATCAACTCCTTGCGCGATCAAGAGCTTAGCCACTGCTTCATGACCACTGCGTGCTGCCTCATGCAGCGGGGTACGGCCAAACAAGCCTTTCTTCTCGGGATCAGCCCCATGTGCCAGTAACAGTGAGGCTATATCCCCTTGCCCATGAAAGACTGCAAGATTGAGAGGAATTGAACCAAGATTGGTATGGGATTGCACATCAAAACCTTCCCTGATCAGATTACGGGCTGTTTGTAATTGTCCGTGCTCCGCAGCCCAAACCATAGCCGAACCGTTGTTATGTCGAATATTTGAGGAATAAAGGTAGGAATTAAAGAAAGAGTACAAGTCGCAGTTCGTCTGTGCTAGAGCGTTGATATCTCTTTGTGATTCCAGGTTTTGGGCGATAACTTGCAGAAGTTCGTTTGCGAAACTGAGCAAAGACATGTTCAGATCCTAATACAGGATGTTTGGACTGGTTATGAAAGGAGTAAGTGCGATATTAGGTAGATATCTGGCCTGAGTGTTAGCACAGAATGACCCGACTTTTAGGTGAACCCTATCGGGAATTTTAGAAGCACAGATCTAGCCAATTAGGCACTAAATCTTTAGCCGATCAGATCACCGATCTGGCTAGCCAACATGCGGTGGATATAATCTGGTGAAGCTAATTCGATCCATTCTGTACACAACATGAAGACCCTGTACAATAACATCCTGTATATATCGATCACGATTGATGTGACTGAAATATGTTAAGGGGACGTATCACACGGGAACCAATGACGCACCTATCCCTCAATTTAATGCGGCCCACTCAATGATTGATATGCGCTAAACTCTTGGCGGTGGGGCCACAAAAGAATTCCGATATGTATATCAAATAAAAACTGCAGTACTTTAAGCCACTATCTTAAACTCTCGGAGGCAGGTCAGGTGCTTTGAGTGCTAAACCGAATGTAGCTCGTGAAGATGCTCGCGAACCAGAAACTGTCGGTCGATCAACAGTTCGCTGTTTTACCAGTGTAGTCTGGAGAAATCGTCGTAGCCTGATAAAGTCACCAACCAACAACGCTCAGGCGTGGCTACTGCAGTCAACCCTGGCTAGGCGGCCTGTGCGGTTATCGTGCCGGCTCGTAAGATTCCCACCCGGTTCTCACCTCGGTTCTTACCCCGATTCTCATCCTGTCTATAGCGCACTCACCCTTGTCACCCCCAGTCGCGCGACCGTAAAGCAGCGCTCACCCATTTCTCACCTAGGTGATACTGACCGCACATAAGCCGATTATTCTGCACAGTCAATAGTCAATGCGCCCTCAGCAACTAAGCGGCACTCTAGGGTACGTGCGGGTGACATGGGTAAGAAGTCTCGAGACTAGGGTGAGAGAGGTAAGAAGGGGGGACAATTCTCACCCTTAGGGTAATAGGGGCCAACTATAGGCCTCGAGGCTCTTCTCTTACTCTGTCATGATCTCATTTGATTTTCTTTGTTATTCAAAATATATTCTCTAGAAAGAGCCTCTAGAAAGTATTCTAAGAGCATATCGCAACGTACCGCATTACGTGGTTTCACACGTAAATATTAAAATTAGAAGGAAGAAGAGGATGATACTATCTATCACTATGAGCTAACGGCTACTGCGCTAGAAAAATGTAACTATATAGTTATTTTCGTCGTGGAGGAGCAATCGGCTTATCCCATCCATATGAAACCTAGATATGGAAGATTATACCTAATGCTTTTTAAAATTTCTAGGAAACCAAGCTTTCGGGGCTCTGGCTGAAACAGGTTTTGTACACAGGTACCTTGCTGCCGACACACGTCTTGCCCAGAGAGGCTTGTTGGCGCGTAACACTTTGATTCAAAGTAGGCATAGAATAATTGGTTCTTGTTTGATCAATATCGGTTATCTTAACCTTTCGCATTCGATTCGAGCATGAAATGGAGGTATCATATCCAAAGCTGTCGTTGGAAACCCCGAAATGACGATAAAGGCCGACGGTTTTACATATTTCGGGCCATAGCAATAAAAGGTTATTGAAGCCACATACTGTACTAGCCACCATAAGTTGATGTGGAAAAGCTTACTAAGGAGGGGCTTGTACTTCTGCCCGACCTTCATTCATTTCAAAGTTGCTGATTTAGTTTTCGACGGGCATCTTATGACGTTACAGTCTTCTCTGCATATGTCCGATCCCGCTAGAAGCTCGTACCCGGTCGGTGTACGCTAATCTGGAGCAGCCACCGTCTACCAGTACCAGAACTATTCGTGCGTTGCTCAAGAATAGCAAAAAGCGGACAGCCAAAGTACCCGGCGTTTCTTTGACAAAATTTCGGGTGACTAGCAGGACTGGCCTTTCTTTGACGTAAATCGGGGCGGCTCGTAAGAATCCTAAAAGCCCTTCGCTGGTTGGTGGGCTTTGCAGTCTCCTGAGCCCGTTGCCTCGGGTTGCAAGCTTCTTTCACATTTGGAGTCCTGGTGACCGACCTAGACCGACCACGGCAGGTTTCCAAAAAAAAAGGGTGACAAAGAAAGCCAACTGGGAATTTTCCTTTGATGGAAAACTCCTACCGGCTTTTCTAGCCGGCTTTTGGAGCGGCCCTCGTTTAAGCTCATCGCTCGGAGTACATAAATGATGTGATGCCCTCCCTAGCCCTGCTGTGAACACTTGTTCATCTATAATATTGCCTTGTTTCGCATACACTCAACTTGCTCCCTCCACATAACAAAATGGCAAAGAGAAAAGCAGCCGGCAGGGTAAGGGCACAAAGGTCAGAGCAACAGGATGCTGGGGTAAGGAATGCAAAACATCACTCTACTGCCTGGAAGCAGTATCGCCTCGAATTTTACATATTGACCGTGCTAAAAGTGACATGGTGTCACCATTAACGACCCAGCCACTCTAGCTCAGGCTAAAATTATTGCAGATCGGCCGGCTAAGAGAGAATGGTTAGTCCATCAAAGGTACTTTTCGATAACACTCTATGATTACTCCTTTGACTGATTGACTACTTTCTTTCATCGCTTGTTGTATCCTACTGACTGGAAGATTTTGTCTAGAGACGGCGCCACTCTCAAGCAAACGATCCAGACTCTGCTGCAAAACGCGAGGAAGCCACAAAATAGGACTTAGACATCGAAGAACGAGTGAAAAAAGCAATGAAGGCAACTCGTGAAAAGCCTATACCAGACCCACGAGGCACGCCAACTAGAGCGCCGCCACCGGACCACTATGACCCAGGTGATGAGTGGGCAGGTATCGATGCAAAGTTGCTTAGTCGGGAGGCTACTTCTCTGGATAATGCCATGTACCAATGGACCTACAACTATGCAGATGACGAGCCAGATGCGATCGAGGCAAGAATTACTGCGAAAGATAAACAAGCCATCATCGATTACTTGGGTGATTGGTGTCTATATAACGACTGGGACTGAGTGGTTGCCTAATTTTCACCACTGGCTTATTTAGGTCGCTTCCAGCAACTCCTAACAGCAACAGTCTTGAAGAATGTTTTTGAAAGTGTTGTCTGGAACCCTTTCTTTTATATGGACCTAGGGGAGGACTGGGATGGTAGTGGAAGCGACCTGCCACCCCCGTAAGGTGTAGAACCCAATAGACTCTTTCAAAAGGCTCTCAAAGGTATGTCTTGTGGCCTATGCTGTCCATTGTATGCTGAGGACACGACCTTACTGAGTACTTCACGTCATAGTGTCTGCGGCTGGTGCCCATCATTGGCGTGCATCATCAATGAGACTCTTGAACAGATACCGGGCGTACGACGATTCTGATACTCCTTTGATGGAAAAAGAGGCTATACCGGGGATTCGAGCCTATAAACTTCGGGAGAAATGCATTGATCAATCCACTTCCAACATTCTTGACAGCTCGAGTCTCATTTCGCCAATGTTGTCTCAAAGAGAGTTGAGTCCGGATGAGACTAAATCCCGCTATCTGGGAATACGGAATTGCTACAAGAACGCCGGTAAGGTGGCGGCTCGTCTTCATCTTCAAAAAGCTGGCTTTCAGTCCGATGAGAGTGTCAAAGAGGTAGCCCCCTACCAAATTCACAGCCGCAACCCAGATAACATTAACAGATGGGTCGCGTCTGCTTTCAATGCCCCAGGTATATACAAAGAGCTCCGCGAAAGGAGAAGAGTTGTGCTGGTTCTATGGCCTGCGACTTGGATTATAGAGTGGAAGGTATCTCCCCATGTTAGAAAGTCGCGGGAGGAAATCGACGCGAAATACCCTCCAGACTACGACCGGTGCTATCGAGATGGAAAAAGGTGTCCATCATGCTGTTATATCATCGGGTGTTGTCATAGTTGAGAAAGATGGAAGGGAACCTCCGCTTGACGCGTGAAGCTTAAAGTGTTTAATTTGTTTTTCAACATTGTCCGGCTATTTGTCCGACTTGGCGTAGGCTTCACCACCGTACTGGGTTGCTTGACTTTTACTATTGTTCCTGGATTCTCTCGTTTCCGCGTGCGCTCAATTATATTACAGTATGGGAATCATGAACCGTTCGCAAATCCTTGTTGTAGTCTGTCTTCCTTGTGATTACTAGCGTCTCTCTGTTTGCTCTGTGTCTCGGTCTACCTCTGGTCCATCAAACGAGGGATGTGTCGGCGACAACGCGGAGCATTCTTTTCTTAGAATAATCGACGGAGGGCTTGGGGATCCGCGTACCATTCACCTTAAACCTGACAGGCGATGGAGGAAACATGGAAGGAAGCAATAATTCGAGTGCGAGAGCGTAAAAAAGTTAAACGGTAGAGAACCCGGGATCTATCTACTTGAGTTTAGGCCAAGGCTACTGACATCTCACAACAAGGTTGTTGTACAATTAAACTGCCTGCCGGGTGTGAGTGTGGTACGAAGGGTCATAGTCGCTAGCTCTTCTTGGCCTAACTCTGACCTAATTCCTTCCCCAGGACCTGATCCCATCTCAATGTTTGGCACATACGAGCGCTTTGGGCTCATTCCGGCGAGAAAGACCGATTTGCGATCTACACGGCTTCATGCTTATGGGAATAGCTCGTTCGTTTGTCAAGAATGGATCAGATTCAGTATGAATATCTCCATCTGTACGCCCTGACTAGGACATGGACGCTGCTTTACTGGGACAGTCTGACTTGTAATATAAAGAAGCGAGGTTTGAATCCTTTGGAAAAACGGAGATTGATTTATTTTAAGGGATAAGAAGCCTCAAGTTCAGAGAAAGACCTGGGAACGAGGTAAGTCCTTCGTATATGGGGGTCTGTGTAATGGGATTTCAGGTACCTTCATTCTCCTCCGGTCAAAAATCAAGCACAATGGCAGAGACTAGGCAAGAATCGGATAAGAAGAGGGTACACTACACCATCTAGACAATAGGTTTGACAGGATCAGAACACTTCTTCGTTAAAAGCACCCACAGTGAGCCTCCGGGGATGATCGAACCCTATTTCTTGTATATAGCCCAGTGCACCTCCTGCTGCTTGATGTTACCCTTGCACTGCATGACTCCCTTGCCCTGCATTTTACCGGTTCCGTGGCCCCAGTGCTTCGAAGTGTGTCGGATGATATCAACGACGTCCTGTGCCCCGACATATTCGTCAACATTACCTTTACGACCTTTGCCCTCAATACCGAAAGTACATGTCCCAAAATTGAGAATTCCGAACTGCCTCTCGATCGGCTTGATCCATCTTCCATTGGTTCCTTCGATGTTCTTGACAATTTGAAGACAATCGTCGATAAGTGGCGATCCACTCGTAGTTTCTTCGATGTAGGTTGTTTTCGATGTGGTGCAGTACGACAAGCCGTTGTCGTTATTGCATGGGAAGCCTCCCCTTTTCCTTGTGCCATCTGTCTGGTCGGCGTGTTCCCATGATTTGCGGGCTAGAGCCTCACTACACACGGGGAGGCGCATGAATCCAGGAGTCGTGATTTCCATCTTCTTGAGGGCGTCAAATGTGCCGGAGTCTTTTGGATTCGCCTTGTCTCCGCCGTTCTCATTGCCGTTCTGCTTGTACGTTTTAACAGATCTAGTAGGGTCATTTATCAGCGATCTGTAATGAGGAATTAAAGCAAACTCGTGGAAAAAAGCAAAGACTTACCCAATAATGATATCCTCGACCTTGAGTCCATTCCAGGCCTTGCCATCGAGCTCTTTGACGCCTTTGGGCGAGGAAAATGCACTATCGGGGCATTTGCAGCCTCCCGGAATTCCGCAATTCTTGGGGCAAGGGTGCGATTCACCATCAGGATCCGCCAATTGGTACAGCCTATTTTCATAACACGCAGACTTCAAGTCCTTGGTGTACTTGTCGCCATCCTTATCATCGCAGCTTCGACCTGTGTCAATGATGAAAGGATGATGACCCGAGGCCTGCCAAACGGCGGGAATGGAGTATGCCCAAAAGGTAGTTAGGAAACCATCTTCCACCGACTTCTTCTGAGCATCTGTTGCTTCGATCTCCTTATCCGAGCGCTTTGTCATATCTGGATAGGGGATGTCTTCCGCAATGCCGTCGAGAAGGCGTCCGTCCGCTATCATGGTGGTGAGTCTTTCAATGGCCTTGTCAGAGCCATCAAACAGGTCTGCCAGATCCCTTTCAAAAATGTACGCCCAAGCTTTGAGACTCTGACCCATGTACTTAGAGAACTCGGCTTGCTTTTCAGGTGTCCAGTCATCTCTGAAGATGAATCGTAGTCAGCTATAGTTTCATATCAAACTTAGATTTGGAAGACCCACACGTCCGGATCGCCCTTCAGATTCGTTGCAATCGTGACAGGACTGGTAAGGATGGCGTTCAAGGTCGACTTGTGGTGATCTCTCGAGGCGTCGGTCTTAGCGGCCATCGCAGGTATTCCCGCCAGCACTAGAATGTAAATTAGCAAATAGAGGAATTTGACTAAATAAAGTTCATAAGGAGAAGAGTACCATCGTCGAAGAATTTCCCGCCAACTGTTGGCACACCCAAGGCAATCAGACCTAGTATGGTGTTTAACCACGAATCGTCGTTCTTTGGAGGAACAGGCGCAAATGTGTTCTCCAAATCAGGGAGAGTGTTGTCAATGACAAGTGCGGCGTTAGCCACAAGCGCGCTCTTGAATTCGGCATACATCTGGGCGTATCTATTGTTAGCTGTGTCCTTTCAAACTGCGCCTAGTGCGGGAGAGGGGGGGGTAGAAATAGTGATTACCTGATGAATCGCGACAATAGAGTTCCAGATGAGCACCGCGGCAGCACCTGTCTTGTCATTTGTCTCAACCTCGAATTCCGAGCAGCTTCGAGTCTGCACGCAATTGGAGTCTTCTTGAATAGAATGACATTTTGCCCCGTCGGAGTTGCCAAGGAAGTACAAAATTTGTGACGAGAACTGATCACTGATTTCTTTGCCTTTTTTAGACTTGTCTCGGTAGTCCTTCCAATCCGCAATTATATCACTCCAGGCATCGGCGGCGCCAAGCTTTTCCCAGCGCGTCATGGGGGACCAATAGGGAATCTCCCTGTAGTACTCGTCGTCACAGCCGATCTTAGTCCAGTTGCCCCTGCGACTACCAGTGCCTCGGGGCGTGATGACGCCAGACCTCGCTTCAAGTATTATACCAGGCCAACCATCGAATCCCTCGGGTGCATCGTTGAATTTTTCTAAATCGGTGGCCCAGTTGACTGTGCCGCCCATACCAAGGGATTCGTACATCTTGGCTCGCTGAGCCCTGATTTCGGGGCTCATGTAGGCCACCCAATTTGTGTCATCGTAGACCATGATGTTGCTGTTGCTGTGGGCGTCAACGTAATGTTTATTGACGCGGGATGAGTTGTGCTTAAGGAGTTGATTGATCTCGGCATTTGAGATGTAGCCCGCTGTATCGGTGCACTCTGCCTTATCGGCATTGGAATCCAGTCGGCCACCAGTGAATTTGCACAGCGGTCCATCGCAGTCTGCATCGGCCATTCTGAAAGATCTTCCGTAGCTGCTGACGCCGACGACTACCTTGCCCGAGTCCACACCAGCCTTGGTGATTAGGGAAAGGGATTCTCGGGTCTCCGTCATGTTGACATGGCTCCGCAGACAGCTTCCATCATCGCAACCTGGTTGGGCGTTGGGATTACCCGCATCCCATTGCCCGTGCAAATCATAAGTCATGAAGACAATATAGTCAACAATCTTACTGATCTCCGCGATAGGGAAGCCCTTGAGGTACCAGTATGAGCCAGGAGCAGCAATCGAAACAGATTTATCTTTAAGAAGATTCTTCAGAATCACAAGGAAAGCGAGATAGTTGGCTCCTTCATTCTTGTCACCAGGCGGGGTTCCAGGAATATCAGGGGCCTGTTTTTGTTAGTGACCGATCACACTTTCGGACTTAGAGAGAAATGGCGCATAGGGCTGTACGTACACTTGGGTATTCCCAGTCAATGTCGACACCGTCAAGGTTGTTATCGTTCACGAAATTCGCAATGTTAGTCGCAAGCTTCTTGCGATTAGCCGCGCTGGTTCCTTGGCGCAAAATCTGGTATGTGGATGCTTGGGTAGAGAAGTCCCATCCACCGAAGCTGACAATCCTCTTAGGACCAGAGATATGCTTGAAGTTAAAGAACTGATAGTTGGTCGATTTGTCGTTAATACTGATCTCGTAGTCGGAGGAGATATCGGCAAAACCAAAATGTAAGTGAGTATATTTTGAATGATCAATTTGCGTCGCATCTTGATACAAGCAATCACGTTTGAACTGATAACCTTCGTAGTATCCGATGCTGCGGAACTTGCTGGGGGCATTTCCTTTCACGATCTTCATACCGCAGTGTGAGATGCAGCCGTTGGTGCCGGCTTTAGCAGTACCAGGGGCGCCCGTGTTAGTATCGGTGCAGAATTCCGCTGTGGTTCCGCACTATAGGTAGTATTAGTGAGCTCAGTGCAATGACGGAAAGCAGATTGGGATCATACGTGACCAAATATGTTGCAGCAAGCATTCAGTGGGCATGGGTTGAGGTCGGCAAGTTTGCTCATGCCTTTTGGAGGCTTCGTGCCAGGAACCTGGGGACCACACTGGGCATCAGAAACCTCAGCCGGCATGGGCGGAGATCCTTTGCTGACACAGATGACAGAATCTTTGAAGATATTCTTGCACCCAGTCCATCCCCAAGTCTTTTGATTGAAATCATCGATGTCTTTCTCCGTAAGACCATTAGCTGCACCAATCGTTGAACAACTTTCGCCATCGCCAACAGTGGTTGTGGCACATGATCCGTCTTTGTTAGGCTTTGGGCTAAAGTCGGGAAGTGTACCAGAGGAGCAGCAAACGTGCTGACCAGGCTTTAACGTCGAGCAGAAGCCTTTCGCAGAGTTGTATTTGGTGAAGTCAGCCCCGGAGATACCACACCTCGAGGCGATTGCGGCGCAGCTATCACCATCTTGGACCTTCTCTGTTCTGCACTCCGCCCTAGAAGATAGTAGATTCCTCTCCTGTTGCGTAGATGACATAGCAGGCAGGGGTGAACCAGAGCCTTTCATTCTGCTTGTGGTCGAATTTCCACGCTTGATGGAAGACAGCATAGGAGATGTAAAGTGGACACTAGCCGTGAAATTCGTGACGTGTTCGAAGTCAAGGCACTCGGCATTGGACCAGGATTCAAAAGCAGACTGGATGGCTCTAAAGGTGCCATTGCTCAGAGCTAGAAATCCAAAGACGTGTTGAGAGTCATAGTGTGGTCCACAGAGCTGCATAGCTAAACTGTCTCGACGTCCATCGAAATCGTGGGAATCGTCGATGAGAGACTCTAGAGCCACATCGCTAATGTCTTTGCTTTTTGGACTGTTGCCAATGTAGATACCAGCTGAAGTGTCACCAAAGCGAGAATATAGCATAGCTGTCTTGCTAGGAGAAAGGTGTCCGCGTGCAATATAATCACGCATTTGTCTGATCAAGGAGCGGTACTCGGATTCAGTGCCTTCTGAATATGATGACCAGCCGATCTCATAGTTGATCTTGTGCTCCTTCACAGGGCGAGCAAGTTGCAAATGGGCCTGCGAGTTTTCTCTCCAGTCATTTCCGTATGCCGTGCAAGCGAGGATACGGTGATGAGAGTCGGTATCATCGACATCATCGTACAGATTAAAGCCATAGAACAGAGGCAGGTCACACCTTTCGAGCTGTTTCATATGGTGGTAGGTCGACCAATTGGAGGGGTTGGGTCCCGTGACAATGCATCGCTCGGGGCAGATGTTGTTAAACCCCTGATAGCTTGGACTGGCACCCAGTCTGGAGTTTCCCTGACCGGAGACGACCGCAGCTGATAGCAGTATGCCTGCAGCCATGCCATTCAAAAGGGACGCCATGGCTTTGGACCCCTCGTGGCGGAGATTGAAAAGAGTGTAGTGTAAAAAAATGAAAAGAGTGATGAAAATTGACCAAAAGAGTGTATAGACAAATGAAAACGAGTGGCTGTCGGAACGGTGAAAGTCCCAAGAATCTCCCCGAATCGAGAGGTATATTGATTCTGAGAAAACAATGTCTAGCGCTGGAGCAGCGCAAATAAATATGCAATCTTTTCTCGCCCCCAGCCTGGGAGTGGACATGGAATACTTCCGAAGTACAAGTCTCTCCAAGGCTGCACTGGATCCGCAGACCCATCTAGTATGGCCCCTGGGTTTGATTCTATCACGAACGACATACCCACGCGGATACTTTCTTCGAGTCCGAGAGCTGGATCCCTCCGGTGTCTCAGAGAAATGCGCCATAATCTCCGTAGAATGTCATGGGGTATAGTACACCCAATTGCAGAGTTTGAACGAATCACACAGGGGCCGCCAAGAGTAGCAAGTGTCCCCCAAGGACTGGCTTGACCCACTGCACTGAGAGACTTACAATGGACATAGACTAGGGCTATTGAATGCATGTACACAATGTACGGAGGATTGTGTATCCGTATGTAATTCCGTATTGACGTGGCCCACTTTAAAAGGACCCTTTTTTGCGACCCCGAACTACGAAACCTTCTAGTCTCCCTAGCGCGCGTAGTCCCGTTTGTGCCCGGAAAAATTACAACACATTTGGGGTACTTCGCCCTACCGCATCAAGACTTCCCTGTCTCTCGATCTCTTCTCCTGACATTGAGAGCTTTACGATCGATACCAATTGATATCAGCTTTTTCTTCTAGACTGTCCCAGTCATCCATTGTTTCACGACACCAGACCTTTCCACTCTATTATTGCCGAAATCGCAGGATGTTCAACATCAAGGCACGACTTCTCGCCCTCGGCCTTATGGCATCCCTAGGAGCGGCCAATACGCATGACTTGGGCTTCGGAGAGATCGATCTGATCTTCCCACGAAATGGCACCTTTGAGCCGATGGTGCTCATGCCCGTCATCTTCGCATTCCAGAACCCCAAAGTGATCAGTGGACTCTATCCATACCTCAGGTACGGTGTGTGGCCGGCGGATCTCCCAAAAGGGGATCACAGAATGGCCGCCTATATCAATGACGGTGAATTGGACTTCAATACGACGGACCCGGTGCTATACCTTAAGGGTAGCATACCAAGCACTCTGCATCCCGAGAGTCTGAACACCGAGAATGAATGGGAATTTGCCTGGGGACTTGAATGGACAAATTGCTCTACACCGGCGAATGGGACCACTTACGACAACAAGCCCGAGGTCAACTTCAACGGCCCGTCCGATAGCCATTCCATCCGTTTCACTACGAAGAAAGGGGCAGGTCAGCCCAACTTGACCGCCCTCACCGCCGATGATAAGTGCGATGACATCTCCGCCATGGCGTTCAACGTCACGAAAACTCTCATAGCTCAATCAGGCTATCTTAAAGGCGACAAATGCGCCGTGCTCGAGACTCCGGCGCCTACGCCTTCTCCTTGCAAGGTCAGTATCGTTCCTTCGGCTGCCTCGAGCATGGCAGCAGCCATCACTGCAGCTAAGTGCAAGGGTATTGACCCTGTTGTGAGCTGCCCAGCCAAGAACGGCGGGGCTGCTATCACTGATGTGGCTTCTTCGCTGAAATGGTGGACTGCTGGTGTATTGACTGTGGGAACGCTCTTGATTTAGATGCAATCCCGTTCATATTTCCGATGTATTAGAGCGAGCTACATATATGAAGTGCTACTGCCACAACGAGAGTTGGAGATTTCAGTATCAACATATTTTTCAATACAAGAAATGAGGCCATTGTAGGGTCGCATCCAAGCTGAATTGACAAAGTCTTTATCAATCAACGTTGCTCACTTGTTCGGAAAGCGAAGTCCACCCCGCCCCCGGCCCTTAATCTATAATATCACCACTAAAATCTCTAGCCGTGGGTCTTTGCACACTGGAGTCTACCACGGATCACAAGCCAATACCTAGACGGAGTACCTCCGGCCACCCCAGTAGGTATGACCGGGGCCATAGTAGCCTTGTGGCTTGCCAAGAGTCATGTAAAGCTTCTGGTAAAATTGAGCCCCGTGAGACTGCATATACGAGGAAAACGTAAAATTGGACCTCATGGGGTCGTGAGATATTTAATATGCTTGGCTCTTGGCCTTTGTTTAAGGTCCCTACAACCTGTGAACACATTGGTTCTGCATCTCGGAACTCCAGGACTCGTTGAAATCTGTACTAGAACAAGCTTAGTGCTGCAACCTCACTCCAATTTAAATCATGGCACTTTCTTGGCATTACAAGTAGCGGCTTGAAAAACCCACATGAGGGTAAAATTTTCTTGTGCTGGTAACTTTTACGTTATCGGAGCCGCAAGTTGCCTTCCGAGTATACAGGGTCTATTGACAAACTACACTACGGAGTACTCTAGCACCTGCATTCACCAAGCACCCTCCTCAATGCCAAGAAAACTGGCCTGTTAAGTCCCACAGCGCTCTTCCGTACCGGTCCTCTTTACCGAAGTCTTGAGGTTGGGCGCGATTGAATCAGGGAGCCTTAAGCCCTTTGACAGCATGGTATCCGACAAACTTTTGTATTTACGAGGACCCAAACAATGACAGTTCCATAGGGCTAGATTATACACTGCGGGTGATCTTCGGTAGGCTTCAAGCCATTGCGGGCGGAACAATCGGGTGGAAGGTGGGTCAAGCCCTGGTAATCTAAATGTGGCCAATTAACATCAAGAATGAAAGTCCTGCCGACCCCTATCCCTTTTCCCGGGCCGGCTCACCAATCGGGACATCACGACTGAAGTGCAGGTGGAGATCAGGCCAGGCACAGGGCGGTTTCGAAATTACTGCAATTTACCTTACCATAATGGATTATGATTGAACTGAGGCAGCACTGCTCGTATCTATCGTGCCGGTGATTTTGGATGCGGGTCGACGAATTTCCCAGAGACGACCGAGGAATTCCAGTCAACCATATCGTTGGTGGCCAATTGTGTCGAAAGGCTTTCAAAGTGCATATAAAAGCACCCAGTTATTCGACGCTACGGCCTAGTCTGGCTCAGATTGACTTGGTCCTGAAAATCATTACTAGGGTTCAACAATATAGTCACCATGTACGGAAAGTGGGTTCTTGCCTTTGCTCTCTTGTCGGAGTTGATTGCTGCACGCTCCATCGGACATGCCTTTTCTCGTCGTGGTGTCGACTGCACCTTCACAATAGCTGCCAGTTCTGGAGACACTTGTGAGACCTTTGCCGACAGCTGGGGCATAACAACCAAGGAGCTCAAGTCCATCAATCCTGATCTGGACTGCGCCAAATTCGATGACACCGCTGAGTATTGTGTCTCTGGTGAGGCAAATGATGATGATCCCACTAAGACTACCGCAACTTCCAACGCCGCTGAGACCACGACCGTCGTGACGACCTCCAGCTCGACCGAGACTACTAAGACTGACACCGCGACCTCTTCGGCCAGTGACCATGAGCCCACCCAGCCAGGTCTGGCTGAGAACTGCGACAGTTTCCACAAGGTTGCGGACGGGGATAGCTGTTATAATATTGAGGTTGTAGCTGGAATCACCCATTCGCAATTCTTGAAATGGAACCCCTACATCAATGAAAGTATGTTTCCACATCTTCATTCACATTTCTTTCTTCCCCAGCTTAGCTAACCAACAACTCTCAGAGTGTACAAACCTCTGGGGAGACTACTACGTCTGCATCCACGTCCCTGGAGCAACCACCACTTCTGCTGCTCCCACGCCCACTGACGGTGGCAAGACCCCCACGCAGTCCGGCATTGCTGAGAACTGCGACAAGTTCCACAAGGTTGGTTCCGGTGACCAGTGCGACTCCATCCAGACCGAGTACAAGATCACCCACAAACAGTTTATCGACTGGAACCCCGCCATTGACTCTGGTATGTAAGAACCATTTAAAGAATATCTCCGACCCAGCTGCTGAACACTAATTCTTTCCCGCCTCAGACTGCACAAACCTGCAACTGGACTACAACGTGTGTGTCCACATTCCCGGCGCCACTAACACCCATGGTCCTACGCCGCAGATGCCCAACTTATCCTCGGACTGCAAGACATACCACAAGGTTGCTGATAGTGAGAGCTGCGCTGTGATTCAGAAGGAGGCTGGTGGTATCACTCTCGCTCAGTTCCGTAAGTGGAACCCGACCATCGATGCGAATTGCAGCAACCTTTGGAGCGGATACTACGTATGCACTGGCGTTTAATATCCCATAGTACATGATGGTCGCTGTAGAGGGAAGTTGGCATCAATATGATCCCTGGAGTCATCACGCGAGCCCGCTGGTCGATTTTATGTATTTCTAGTCTAGACACTGGTATGAATCTTGATCTTGTTAAATCTTATCGAAACCTGGCAGGAGAAACCTAGACATTCATCGCACATGTGAACAAGCCCCAGGGCTGCAGTATATCATGAGGAAAGATTGGTGAAGTTAACATCGTCGGTTGTCTATTCTCCAGTTTCCATGGATATAGAGAGCTTGGGATAAGTGCCTATTAATACTCAAGTATGGACTAGGTATCTCTGTGATCTTCCCGGAGTCGACGCTCGGTAGGATTCCCGAATTCAAGAAAGGCACATTCCTAAGTCATCAGATGGGCATGTATCTGTAAACGACTTTGGCAATTCCAAGATTGTCAACCAGGGCCATGAACCCGAGGCCCAGGGTCCTTGGTTGGAAACATCGCTTGGCAAATTCTATATTTTAAGAAGCAGCTTTGAAGATGCTACAGAATAGCTGACGAGTGATAGATACATTTGAGAAAGAAGATTGAGAGTGAAGAGATAGTTGATGACAACAGTGTTCATGACAAGCGGAGCAAGTCGTACAAGGAGATAGGCGAAACCGAGGAAGCTTTGAAGAAGAACGGTTAACCAAAGTAGGTTAAATAAGAACATATAAGCATTTGAATGAGAACATTCTGACCACGGAGTCTCAATGAATACATTTAAACGCTTAAATGGAAGCGTTTTGATGAATATTCTCGTTGATAAAGAAAGTGCCTTCTAGTGAGTCTTCACAACGGGGCTGCCAGAAGTGTCAAGGTCGGCTTATTGAAGAAAGAGTATATTGAAGACGACACACAATCAATTTCCCGCAGACCACACTTATCAGTCACCCCTCCGTATCCAATCCGCATCAAGTAGAGGGCCTTTCATCGAGTTCTATGCACTTTTTGAAAGCATCCGGTAGATATTTGAGTAGCAGAGACTACAGCTGGGTGAATGTGAGATTGATATTACTATTGTTGAACAGCAAAATGGCTCTATGGTACTCAATTCAATGCTCATATAGTGTCGACCCTCACAAGTGACGCTACCAAGTGCCTCCAAACGGGCCTACTATCCTTGACCGTGTCTTTGGCTCGGGGCGCCCTGAAGGAACATAAGTAACGCTCTCAGTCTCGGGGCTTTACCAAAGAGTATTAGGATAGCTTTGAAAAACAAGACAATGTTGCCTGTCATAAACAACTAGCGCTATTCACACACGCTAAACACGATACCACTTTTTCATATTTCTAGTAGAGGGTCTGCTGTAACACCTAGCGTTGGTCCATTGAGATCGACCTTTTACGGGACCTTGCCGGCAGAGGTTTGAGGTGGACTTGACTGCTGCCGATATGTGGGGCCATGTATCTCGATCTCACTTATATTGGATGTAGGTTGCGAAATAAATAGAAATCGTATAATGTTAAGTTCCTTTCCGGTACAAAGAAAGCCGTATGATGCAACTGCACTAGTCAAGCAGTGAGACTCAGTGATGAATATAAGGCGAGCAGCAACGAAACTACCTACATATGCTTGCAATCTAAGGTTCTGGAATTCTGCAGCTAGCATGCCACTGCTTATTTGACACAACTAACTTTAGAGATCGGCATATTGGGTGATACCATATATAAGGATCAGCGTCCTATATGAAGCTGCCATGGACCCCTGAACTAATCCCTGAGATGGAGATGCAGAAATAATGTCTATGATAGGTGGTTTCAAGCCACATTAGCCATCATACTGGACATGTTGTCCTCGACTCGTCCCGTTGGCGTACTTGATTATTGATGGAGTGAACAAGCCGATCCCGATCTTTATTTAATTCTGTTACCAAATAATGGCACCCTTGATTCTTTCATCAGAGTATCTGAAGAGAAGAGGCTGGAATAGTACTAATATATATCTCTTCAATAAGTACCAAATATATACATCACATCAAGAAAAGGAGCCAAAACGAGCAACACTATATTTAGAGCAAATCACTCAAGGCAAGGGCAACCTTCTCCTTTTCATCGCGAGCCAGAGAATTAATTGTCCACTTCCACAAATCCTCCTGCTTAGCCTCGTCATAGCTCGCCTGACTAGACTTGATCAGCTTCACACCCTCAAAGTACACGCCACTAAAACCTTCCACATCCGACCCAATGGCCAATCGAGCTAACGACGCACCGGAATCCTCCGGTGTGTGTATATTGGGCGTAAGAACTAAACGTAGGAACGGGATGATCCAGGGCAAAACGTATATCCACAGGAATCGCAATACGGGGTTGGCTTCTCGCGCAATGCTTGTACCCGGCATAAGGCCGGGATCGAAAGCAGTTGCTGTCCAGTGCATCCCGCTCTTTCTATTGATAGACTGGAAGCGCCGATGCAGAGCATACATGTAGAGCACGTTGGCCAATTTAGTGTTGGTGTAGTGCTGGCGACCGTTCACTTTGGTCAATGCAGGCGGCGGATGAGCCAAATGTTCGGCTGAGGTGTACTTGGCATCGGGGAAACCGCTCTTCTGGGCTGGATCGTGTGTGCGACTGGATACGACTACGACGCGCGCGGTGTCGGCAAGGTACGAGCTTAGAAGGTATAACAGCAGGGCATGCCCGATGTGGCTGATGGCGAAGGTCTTCTCGAATCCGTCATCTGTATACTCGGCGCCGCCGGGAAATTGCAATGCTGCGTTGAAGACTAGCGATTGGATTGGGGGGAATTTCTCCGCTTTCCAGCTTGCTGCGAACGAGAAGACATTGGATTTCTTCGATAGATCGAGCTTCAAAAAGCGGACGTTCTTCTGTTTGAGAATTTTGTTGATTGTGTCCGCGGATGCAGTGGGGTCAGATCGCGATGCGATGATAATTTGGTACTCGGGGTGCTTGCGCGCAATATTCAAGGCGCAGTGGTATCCCAGGCCAGCAGTGCCGCCGGTGACAAGGACGCTGCGATGAAACTTGCATATCATTGGTAACGTGAATAATTTAAAGTTGAAGGATGTCCAGTATAAGATAAAACATTCTGTGGGAAATAGTGGTGGGTGGGCCGTGCTGGCAGTGCATGGTGGTGATGCATCAACCTCTTGCGTCAAAGTACCTTGATGTGTCGTGTTAAAGAGGTGAGCTGAAAATTGCAGATGTACTAAGACTAAAATACCACAGATCAGCATCACCCTACAGTAGGTATAGCCGATCAATTGATCAGTATCAAGCCATGTGGGATGGGTCACTTATAGCTCTAGCTAAAATAGCTGAGATGAGGTTTGACGATAAGCATGAATACCTCACAGTGTCGTATAAGTGGGGTCAGCTGAATAGTGCAGATATACCAAGACCAATGAAATCCAGATCAGCATGAACTAAAAAGCATGAACATACAGTGGGTCTCGGATAATGCCGATCTATTGGAAAGATCGGTATCGGGAACGTGGCGTTGTCCGTGCTCATCGGAAAGTTTGCAATGACAATTACTAGCTGATACAGAAATACATTACCATCGTTATGCGAAAGTCCTGCTGGTAGGGGCAATTTATAGGTACATGACGTGTCAGATCACACGTATACTGACAATACTAGTCTTCTGTATTAATTTTCATCAGCTTCACTATTAATCAATAAAATATTACTAGTTATCATTGTTGTTTGCATTGATAACCAAAGATACAAATCTGCAACCACACAGAAGCTTCAATACCCATAGACATTCCACCCCAGAGGGACCCAATTCAACGCGAGTGTTATCGCTTCTGTTCTTTGACTATATCAAAGATGGTTCAACTGCCAGCAATCCATTTCAATGAACTCAGTCCGCAGTCGTTCCAGGAGTTCTCCGTCCCGCGATGGGACGTACACAGCCCAAGTCCGCCTCAAGGCCTTCCAGCAGCCAGTGCCAGCTATTTACCGCTGGCACCAGCATCTAGTTCATACTCTATAAGCCACCATGAAGCGGAAACCGAGCGACAGATTATATCAAATCAAGAAAAGGTATCGTGCGTGTGCTCACTATTGTCTAATCTCGAACAGTATTGATGAATCCGGCCACATCATAGATTATCTCCGCGCCTCTGGATTATCTCGTGAGTCTACCAGGCAAAGACATTCGCGGAAAGCTCATCTCCGCCTTCAACGAATGGTTCAAGATACCCGAGGAAAAATTGGAGATCATCAAGCGTGTAGTAGGGCTGCTCCATGTGGCTTCGCTTCTGTATGTTCCCAGTGCCTTGAATCAGGATGTGACGCTGATTAAGTATAGGATCGATGATATCCAGGACTTTTCCAAGCTCCGACGTGGTTTTCCTGTCGCACACAATATCTTTGGCATCGCGCAAACAATAAACTCAGCCAATTACGCTTATTTCCAAGCTCAGAAGGAGGTGCTCGAGCTGGGCAAACCGAAAGCGGCTGAGATCTTTACGGAGGAGCTTCTCAGACTCCACCTAGGCCAGGGTATGGACCTTTACTGGAGAGACTCTCTCACCTGTCCCACGGAAGAGGAGTACCTCGACATGGTGGCCAACAAAACCGGGGGGCTGTTCCGGCTTGCAATCAAACTGATCCAGCTAGAGAGTGACAGTGATAAGTACGTTACCTATTCTCCCGCTGATAACAACCCCGTATTCAAAACCAGAGCAGAGAGCTAACCAAAGTCTGAATAGGGACTGTGTACCATTGATCGATCTGCTCGGGATAATTTTCCAGATCAGAGATGATTATCAGAATCTCCAGAGCGATGTGTATACCAAGAACAAAGGCTTCGGTGAGGACATCACCGAGGGCAAGTTCTCCTACCCAATCATCCACAGTCACCGCAGCGACCCAGATAATTGTCAGTTGGTGAACATTCTCAGACAGAAGTCCGAAGATGAGAGTGTGAAGCGGTACGCGATTCAGATTATTGAGTCTACTGGCAGTTTCGAATACACTAGGCAGAAATTGGTGACCCTCACGGCAAAGGCTAGAGACATGCTGGACAATCTTGGATATACAAAGAATTCGTCAGGGCTAACGAGCATTCTGGAGTTTCTGGAACTTAAACAATAACCATCGAACTACTAACAGATCGAAGCTTTTTATTTACTACGAATACAAGTGAGTTGCTACAGGACTTATCTAAATATCAGAACATGAAATTGGTAGGCAGCGACATAGTAGACCAGATCAGAACAGACTTCAACATTCTTTTCACTTTGCCCCGGGACTCTTTTCGATGCGTATCCATCATACACCAACCGCAGATCCTCCATGCATATCTCTGAGCCTGATTACTCCTGATTGGCCTTCTATCCTCTGCGGTCGGAAAGTTGATGCATAACTATCCTAACTGAACAATGAAATAGCCAGCAACAGCAAAGGTCAACGAATGACAGCTCAGATCGAACCATATCCCGCTACTATTATGGTCCAAATACCAAACAAGAGCCCCTGCGTATAGCGTCGCACCTACAATGTATAGGTTTTCGTAAAATATGCAAATGGCGATAGAGTAAACCATAAGGAGGAACAACTTAGAGCGACGAATCGAGCCCAGTAGAACCACAAGCGTGCGTACGCCCTCCCTCTTATCTTCATCAAAATCACGCATATCTAACAAAAACTTTCAAAGGCCGTCAGCAATTGACAACACTAGAAAGTTGGTTACCAACTTACTGAATAACACGTTCTGTCCATTATTACCCATAAAACCAGTTTGAAGGCGTTCCATGGATACACAGGTTGGGAAGTGTAAGTTGGGCTCATGATTGACTCCACAACTACGTAAGTCCCGCATCCACGGATTAACCCAACAACAAATGGTTTCATACCCGGAATCCGTTTCACGGATACATACTCCTTTTTCCATTATAAGTAAATTCAAAGAGATGAAAATCCCATAGTAGTGCTGGTGCCGTAGAACAGCATGTTTTCAAAGTCGTTGACAGCGAGCATTGTGTAAGTGTTGTGACAGCGATGACGGACGATAAAAAGATCATCCATTGTGCAAGTTGGAAGACATTGAGAGCATCTTGATTCCTTCTCTCTTTGGCAAGCTTATGAGATTGCTGATGATCTTTGTAGTGGTCCAATGCAATAGACACAAAATGAAGAGACGTGGTCAATGCTGCCTTTTCCCTCGATGAGTTGGATATGAAGTGACTAGAGTGGGATCTAACTTACTGCTCTCCAGTCCGCCAGACCGTACAGCGCATGACAGATCAGGCTTGAGAGACCTAAGCTTCCAATACACATTGACAATGGTTGCCAGATAAGTGACTTTTTCAGTCTTGTAATATCTGAATCCATGCCTGCAAATTCGGGGTGACGAGAGTAAAGAATATAGAAGGCGTCTCTGCTTCGGTCGAAGATTAAAGGAAGATATCCGTATATCTCAATTATGAGGTTTTGAAAGATTCAACAGGATCGCCGAGGCTTTCCGAATTGCTTGTCAGCTCTCAGTGTTTATATACTTAGTTCCACGCGGCGTATTTACGCCAGACATGTCCAATGTGTTAATCAGTGCACCAAGTGGGCATCAAACTTATCGCCATTGAGACAAAGCTACGTAGCCCCACTGTGATGAGCAATATTACGCGAACCACCTAGTCCAGCCTTGCAGACGAACAAGGCCGAAATTCTACGAATTAGGATCACTATCGGACGCTTCGAATTGTTGAGCATGGGCCACACGCAACAGTGGCATACGGCTCATGTTCGGAGATCGTCCAATCGGAATGTGGGCTACGTTTCAAAGAAGACTATTGGTGTCCACCGGGCAGTGAAAGTTTGCGCCTTCAGAAATAGTTCGCAAAGGCTGTAATTGACTATTTGCGCTAGTGTGCCGATCCTATCTTTAATTAAATAAGCTGCATACATCACAGTCTCCCATGGTCAGGAACCCTTACGCCGCTAGTAATTTTACGAGCTTGCTAGTGGGGCGGATGGACAGTGAGATCAATACAGCGGTGTGGGCCACTGTCAATCTTAATCTCAGTTGATCTTTTATTTGTTTCTATTTTCAATATGAGCGTCTTTGTTTTCAACTGAGCGTTCCAATCATCATCAGTTACCGACTATGGATAACTACATCACTGGGACCAAGCTTGGCTTGGTCATGTTGTCTGTGACGCTGGTCGCGTTCTTGGTTCTACTAGACATGGTGATTATTGCGACGGTAAAATGATACACTTGCTGGCCTGGGCTAGGACATGGATCTGACCATGAGTATGAAATCAGGCAATTCCTCGCCTTACTAGTCAGTTTCATTCCCTTGAAGATGTCGGTTGGTATGGCAGTGCGTATCAGTTGGCTAGGTGTGTATCCACTGGAAACATATCCTGAACGGGACTGATACTGACACTCGATATAGTGCGTCTCTCCAACCGCTGGCTGGAAAGCTGTACTCGGAGTTCCGCTCAAAGGTTGGTCTCAAGTTGACCTGTGATTGAAAGTCAAAATCGTCCCTAATGATCTAAAGTGGATATTTCTTGCTTTCTTCTTCATCTTTGAACTAGGCTCCCTGGTCTGCGGAGCGGCCACATCGTCAAAAATGCTGATCATTGGACGAGCATTGGCGGGTATTGGGTCTGCAGGGCTAGTTAATGGAGGTTTGACAATTCTATCCGCATGCCTACCTTTGCATAAACGGCCAGGTATGTCGATCTGACCCGTGACTTGCTGCTTCGTGTAGCTGACCATGAACAGCGTACATTGGAGTCTTGTTAGGTGGTAAGTATCGGGCCTTTATTGGACCAGAGGGGAAAGAGATCTGACTTCTCGTCTTTTTCTTTAGTTTCTCAGCTCGGCGTTATCTGTGGGCCTGTGCTTGGTGGTGCATTCACCCAATATGTGAATTGGCGGTGGTGTAAGCTGACGCAAGCCAGTATAATATATGGCAAAAGTTAATCTAGGCTCTCTATTCAGGCTTCTATATTAATCTCCCTTTCGGCGCTCTTGTTGCTGCCTTGCTGGTCTTCATTCACATCCCAGACAATGTTAGACCGCGAGAGATCTCCGTCCTACAAACCATCCTGACCAAGCTCGATCTCACTGGCTTCGGACTCTTTGCACCGGCGTCCATTCAATTCTTCATGGCCCTTGAATATGGCGGAAACCAATATGCCTGGAATAGTGCAACGGTGATAGGACTCTTTTGCGGTGCAGCAGGCACCTTCATCGTTTATTTGGTCTGGGAATACTTCCAAGGGGATGAGGCTATGATCCCATTTTCCATGGTAAGACAACGCACGGTGTGGTCCAGCTGTCTTGTCCAGCTCTTCTTCTGGGGGGCGCTCCAGCTCACAGCCTACTATCTACCTATCTATTTCCAGGCTATCAAGGAAGCATCGCCAACAATGAGCGGCGCCTATATGTTGCCCATTCTCGTCAGTCAGTTGATATGTGCCGTGTTGTCAGGGGCTGCTGGTAAGCGACAATTGATCTTGAAATGAAGATTTGGTATATGAATGAACCACTGCTGACCGATTTAGTCGGCAAATTGGGCTACTACCTCCCCTGGAGCCTGGGCAGTGCCATATTGATGTCGATTGGCAATGGATTTTTATGCACCATCTCCCTATCCACTCCGGTCAGGGAATGGGTAGGTTACGAGATCCTGGTGGGCGCCGGTCGTGGACTCGGGTTACAGATGCCGGTCATCGCGGTTCAGAACACGCTTCCTCCCGACACAGTTTCGATTTCTATGTCACTTCTTTCCTTCTCGCAGACCTTTGGTGGCGCCGTGTTCTTAACAGTCGGAGGCACCATCTTCACCAACAGTCTGAGTGTGATCTTGCCGACCTATGCGCCGGGCGTCGACCCAGAGGCGGTCATCGCGGCGGGAGGAACGGGTCTTCGCCAGCTCATCAGCAATCCAAAGTTGTTAGCCGGGGTCCTGATCGCATACGGCAAGGCCGTCGACCGCGTTTTCTACCTTGCGCTGGGCTGTGCCTGCGCCACGTTTTTAAGCTCGTTAGGGATGGGATGGAATGATATTCGAAAGAAGGAAGAACCATTGCTGGATGCAGTGGAAGAGAAGAATTGAGTATGTCGCCATCGCAAATTGAAATTAGAGTCTATAGAACAAGTTGCAGGGAAGTTGAATAATATTCTAATTGGCTATCACTTCAGCTTTGTTCGTCTCTTTCCTCTTTCTGTTTAAGTCCCTGCATATATAAGGATATTGGGTTATTGTCCCCGATGCTTATGTTTCCTACTTTACCTGTCGATACGCATAGAACATTTCTCGAACCCTGCTGTAAGTGGCGAAAATGATTTCGAACGGACCTGTCTATGAAAAGCTCGAATTACGACTTTTCGGGCCTTGCTAGTGAGGCGACAGTGAGCTGACCATACTAAAGCTTTAAGAAATATGATTAAATTACCTAGCATGCGTCTATCCTTGTGATTCAATAGCTAGAGCATAACGCTACAAGCAGGCTTGGGATTTTGCCAGAGAAGCAGTAATATGATTCGAACAATGCAGGGGAAAAAACCACAATGCATGGCAGAAAGTTGAGTATGAGGAAGAGAAGTCCCGGTTGCGATATATTGTAATTGAAGGGAAACGGTAAAATAACAGTAACTTGAGGAAGAGTGGCGAACCAAGAAAGAGTGGTGAACATATTTGAGGACATCTCAGAGGTAGGATCAAAGCAGACTCTTCAATTTAGGACGAGTGTTCAAGAAATAGTCACTGTAGATGTATGAAAATATAGAAAGAGTTCTGCCAAATTCAATACAATTACTTCGCTCATCCACTCTGCGAATCACCTGCCCGCAGGGAAGGCAAATCATTTTCATTTGTTACTACAATTTTTATCCTTCAATTCCGACTCCAATTCTGAAATCCTTGAAAGTGTCGAAGTCTCTCATACACCAATTTTGCAATTTGAGACTTACATTTTCTCCGCGACGTAGCACATCTGGAGTGATCTTTGTGCTGGCTTATACAGTCATTCTCGAGATTGGCTTGACCAAATGGCACTTGATAAATGTTTTCTGAACCCAGCGCTAAGGCCATGGCGTGAATCACACATTGAGTGGGTCGCATCAACTCGAGGGATGTTGTAATATGCGGCTCGTACAGTATAGGTTAAGTTGAGGTGGAGGGCTTTCGCGGTGAGCAGGTACCAGGTCGCGCGACTTTGGGGGTGTGGGCTATGAGGGAACCGATTTCTGGGGTTTCCAATGTGATCATTTCAGTCGTACCTTTTGAGAGGTGGTGATGGGATGAAGGAAGATAAATCGAAGATACAGACTGACGTCCGTTTGGTGAAAGTACACCCTCATCGATCATTATTGGCGAGTTACGTCACGACCGGCCAGCATTGATTCTCCTTATTGTTTTAAACCACTTCCTGTACCGTCACTGTCATTGCAGAGGAGCATGATAGAACTGAGATTATTTGAGAATGCCAGATCATGTATGGGCGTTAAACATTGAAAGCAGCATATTGGGCCTCTCTCAAAAACTATGTACGTAGATAAACATACATGCATGTGTCGGCATATACAACGGGCTGTAACTACCTGAACAAGGAAGGTCCTCCAATACCAAATAGTGACTCAATCAAATCCAGAAAACGTGAGGGTTGAAGCAAGCTCAAAGACATTTTCATCCTTCTTGGCGTGTTCCTTGACCAATTCCTCTCTCAACTCGAGGGCCTCACTCAGATCCATTTGTGTCGCAGACTCAGCGCCATCGCCTTTGGTCCAGCCAGTCTGCTGGGGTGGAACGTTCCGCGTAGAGCAAATCCGGTAGGTCGGATCGACAAGAGACACAGTGAGAAAACGGCAGTGACCGAGTTTGCTCTTTTCCTGAAGCTGCAATGGGCCCATTCGGCGCTGGAAGGCGTTAGGGAAGGAGATCAGGCGGCCCGGAGGCATCTTCACCTCCCCGAGCTGTTGCCAGGCCGGACTATACTGCATGTCCTCGAATCCGAAAAGCCTTCCAATATACTTGACGTCCCATAGGGCATACTTCAGGATTAGTTCATCGATCTCATCTTCATCACGTCCCTCGTTTTCTGAATCGTCGGCGCCGATTCTGTCGTAGACCCAGGTACGGACCCCTAGGTTACACCTCTGCCGGAAGCTGATTTGCGGCTCGGAAATTTTTTCCGAATCAAGCGCGTAGATGGCGTTCGCAACTATGCGTTCGTTTGCATTTCCTTCGGTGTGCCACTCCTCGCCGGGGAAGGATGGCGTCTCAGGGTCTAGCTCGATGCTGTGGATCCGGACGACAGTCTGGAGACCCTGTTCTCGAAACTCATCCTGCAATGCAAGGGTGTAGAACTGGTGATCGTCAGGATCGTCATCCTTTGGCTTATACATCCATTCGTAGGGTGTCAACCAAGGGTTTGCTTTAATGAAATTAGACAGCTCATATTCCGTATTACAAACCCAATAGTGGTGCGCCGGGCCAACGATTGCTTTCCCGGTCCTGCCTGCTTTCCAGTCCGAGTACGAGTACGCGGTTCCTGGGTCCGAGTGCTCAAAGACGAATTTGCATGCATACTTGGTCAAAGCTGTGCGAAGTAACCCCCAACGGGCCTTCCAATCATCCGGGATCCTTTGTGTTCTGACCTGATCCCAGTATACCTTATCCTTGGATTCAGGTTCCTGAAGGTACGCCTCCACTTGAGCAGACATAGCTTCATATTCTTCCGTAGATAGTTTGCCCTGGTCTTCCTTGTGGGGCAATTTTTTCGCCCATTCAGGGAACTGGGCTTTCCACCCAACTCCGTAAGTGCGGATTCGTATAGGCTCACGAGGCCAGGAGTCACATTTCCCGTAAAATAGGCTAATCGCTCTCCTCCACTTATTACGAACCAAAATCTCGTTCCATTGCTTGATGCTGCTAGAGATCACGGCCTCGATCGCGGAGTACATCTCACGGTTCGTCGGATGGAGATTGTTGATGTAAGACGAAATCCGAATATCCGTAGACCCAGGAGGACCTGCGAATTCCACTTCACATGGCAGCCACTGAAATTTCAAGGACCAAATATACCGACCGTAGCCCTTTGACAAGGCTGTGCCTTTTGCCAGTTGTGGGAGTTCCGAAACGATCGGGCCCTTTTTTTTACTACGTGACGACCAGGAATTCTCGTCCATTCCACATGATTGTCCTCCGACCAGAATTTTCGTCCTCCCATAGACAAGGGGAAACAAAGATGGGTCGACGAGATTTACCACAGCTGACTCTGACTTCTGCCGAACGGATTGATGAGATAATAAGTCGACAAAATTCGGCAGCTGTGACTTCAGATCGGAAGAGATTGCCGTATCAGATTAACAGACACCGCTGCTCGTGTTAAAAACGACTAAGCGGCCTTCTCGGTCGAACTGTTGAGCCTTGTCTTGCAACTCTTTCAGGCACCAGTCCCACGTTTTGTCATTGATCAGCGACGACGATGCAACGGACTCTTTTCGCCACTGAGCGATAACTTTCTGGTCAAAGATGGCGCGGTGCCAATCCGGTCGGTCGGTTATGGTGTTGATTAGATCTAGGATGGCCAGTTCTTTGACTGTGAGAACAGGACCACACCAGTCATTGACCCCTGTGGCGAATTGATCGTGGGAGAGTGACACATTGATAGGAAGATCATGGAGGCCGGGGACTTTTAGTGAGATTGTTTTATTATCCAAGGGAGTCTGAACGACGTCGGCCATTATTCAGTGAAATGGTGGTGAGTGACGCTGAGAATAAAGACGGAAGAAACCTCTGTACTTGTAAAAATAACATGATAGAAGAAATTAGGAGGTACGTAGTTATAGTAATTGTGGACCTCGGGACCCTTGGAAATTATCCCCCAATAGGTAAGCTCAATCGTTGGAAATTCTAGACCAAGCTAAGAGCACTTGTTCGGTGAGCGACTCGTTTGCCTCACGAATGATCCCCTGATGGATCACGAACTTCAGGTTCTCCATGTCACCTCTCTTCTCCTGGATTGCCTGAGGAGTATGAGAAATCATCTTGGCCGAGATAGAAGGAGAGCCGGGGATTGTCGCGCCAGTCGCCTTGGAAGACGGCTCTGATGCTTGTTATTAGCTTACCAGTGTTGGCGGCTGTGCGTTCGTCACTATCATGGTTGGAAGCAGGACGCCCGGCGATGATTGCCTCGGCGAGCATCTCATTGAGATCTGTCTCTGACTGCCTTTCCAACGGCGGGAGAATAGCCTTGGAAATTATCTCCACGTGCTCCTCATCACGCCGGAAAATATACCTGAAGGCCATGGGGATGGCAATGTAGACGGCTGAGCCCGCGAGACCGCGCTCGCGGCGCTGCTGCCCCAGGCTCGCCATATAATTATTTGCAGCAACTTACGCAGACTACCCAATAATTTCAATGACAGAGCTCGTAGAGGAGAAATAGATGAATAAATCGAGCTGTTTGACGCTATCGCTACCGCTAACGAAAAGCCCATCGAGGTTCCTGGATCCGTAACTTTCGGCGCGAGCACAGTCGCAGAGTCGTGCCAAGGCATGTCGTAGAATAATACAGTCGCGAAGCACCATGGCGGCGTTCGTGAGGCTGCCGATTGGGGGGCATGGATGGTTTGATCTGGTGTAGACGGTACGAAGGGAGTCTATCTTTGCGATGTTGAGAGCCATGGGACGGACGGTGGCGCTCTTGTGTCGAGTGCTAGGTGTCTATCGGCTGGCTTAAAGAGCTTGGTTCTTTGTAGCATAAAAGCTTTGTATGTGATAAAATTACGTAGCATAGCTTCTAAACAACTGATAGCCACATCTCTTTCAGTGAATTATGGCTGTCCAAAAGACAAAGAAAGATCTTGGTATCAAAAGAAAGCCGTATGGTCGAAGATTAGAAATCAAAAGGCGGAAAATAGTCGAAATTTCCCCATGGACTTGCAAACAATCTCGTAGTCAATATCAACGACTGTGATAATTTGCGGAGAAGTTCCGAAGAGGCGACTCGTGCCATTGACATGTTGCTTAGTGACCCATTATGTCAAGCAGGAATACAATGCTTCAAACCCCAAAATGCTAAATACCCATTGATAGGCTTTCTATCTTCGCCCCCATTGCCAACCTTCAAGCTCCTCGGGCATTCTGTATCCACTTCTATATTCCAAATATCAAACCGCTGATCAATGATAATTTCCTCCCGCTAGTCGATTCATACCAGGAAATTTTCTATATAAGGAGAATCTGCTGGCCCAATTACACTCTTCGCCTTCAAGATAAAACCTCCTTTTTGCTCTTGAACCTTGGAACGAGACTTAAAGCTTGGATATGGTGCCCCTTTAGAGCTCGTGATAAAGCAGAGCTGGTAGCGCAAAGAACGCGGCTCCTATACAGTACATAAAGATTTCGAAAGAGGGAAAAATCGTCATCGGTTGACATCAACATTCTCCAGGTACGCTATGGGCCGGGTATGCCAATTAGATGGCTATTATGGAGTTGACGTTGGGGGCCAGTTTCACTTCAGGAACATTGAATAGTAGTTTTGTCCAGTAATCAATGAAGATTGCCCCGGTACAGGTGTTGATTCCACTGATGTGCCAAGCCCAATCCACTAACACGAGATGGGGGCGGCCTTGGCACGGGTATGGCTTTCATATGTGATCTCTGGACAGAATACTATAATCGGTCATGATATCAATTGACTATGGAGAAAGTGCAGTATTAAAATAGGGGAGAGGTATATAAAGAATCTCCTTACACCATTTAACAAGATCAAAATCAAAAGTAATCCACATACTCATCTAAACAATCAATCTCCAAATCACCATGGCTCCTCTCCGCAACACTCTTATCTACCTGATGACTGCTACATTCACAACAGTCTATGCCGAGCATCTAAGAGTCGTCTGGTCATCTGGCACCTTCTCATCGATCTCTGGTCCTAACGGCGGCAACCAGAATGGCGGATACAGCGGCTTCGCAATCCTCAATGACGCAGGCGATGCAGTCTACGATCAGGCTTATCCTGACGACCATTCACCTTGTTATACTGGAGGCCGTGAGTTCACCATCGAGGGCGACTGCTGGGCTACTCCACGCAAGTTCCAGTGCACGGCCGACTTTGGAGGCCAGCCCCAGAGCTGTGAGGTTAAGGACGGCGACGGCAACAGCTTGGGTGCTGCTGATGCACAGAAAGATACCACTTTCATTGGCATCGCCATTGGTATTGATGCTAGCTGTGTGATCGAATTTGATTCCGACAGCGACGGCTGCCCTATCGATGATGGCAACGGTCCCTTGCATGTTACATCGGGTTAAAGGGCGTTGCAAAACTGCTCGAGACAAGCAAATCTTGCGACTTGTTTCTATATCACGTTGGGAACTGCCGAGATATCACATGTGCCCAGGTGATTGATGAGATTGCCAGACCTGCGGAGTTACTAGCTATGGTCCTGCTCTTTTTTGATCAGTTAACCAATACTATAATACGTGCTGTTGCTAGTATCTCACGGATTTCTGAGCAGCTAAACATGCAGCTTTAGCTTGCTTTGGAATGTATATTTGCAGGTCATTTAATTTTCCTTCCCCTCCCCCCTGGTAAATCCATCTCGGGAAAGCACGGCACCAGGCTACGATAAGCGGTTATTAAGGGATTCATTTTCGTACTTTTATCGCAAGTAGATACTGTGATTGGACATGACATCATTGATTGGGAGAAATTAGATAAGCCAATTTTCGATTATCACTTTGCCTTGTCCCAGACCATATTTTGAGGGTACATGAGTAGTTCCAGGCTGCGAATGCGAGTGGCTGAAGGTGAAGGGCCTGACAGAGAGATTTGAGTAAGATGAAAGACCTGGCTGGTTGCTTTTAAATGCAGACAAATTGTCAATGAAACTACCAGTGAGACTGAATACTAGCATCCAATATAGAATAAATATGTGGGTGACACTGCTCAAAGTGAGATGGCTGATGCGATACGATCTGGTCGCGGAGTTCCTTGAGCAATTTGTGATTGGACATTCTGTCTTTTCTGGAAAAACTAACTCATCTTCGTACAATCAATGTTTGCTCCCAGTTATCCTGTTATGGTAGGAGATACAAAACACATGAAAGAGCTTTGTCGTATATGATACTTCGGGGCCGGAGAAACCCATCTCCGATCCCCAATTCCGCAACAATGGCACGTGATCGAGATATCAATTCAATCACTCCCTACTCATCTTCACCTCGCGAGTTCCGGAGATTATTTTTTGACATAGAAATCAGGAGCATTAAGTCTCCTGACTCCGTCATGTTGCACAATTTCCAGCGTGAGCCTCCCCGAGGGGGCACAATGCTGGAACCTGGCCTTCCAACCATCCATCCGTCTTTCATACAAGTGGCCAATCCGTACATATTCGAGCAAACTGTTGAGAATTGCATTGCTTCAATGGGTGTCAACCCCCTTCGTGAGACTTCGCTACGTCTTCAGGGCGTGGCGTGGCTTGACGGGGTGCGGAGAGCTCTGAACCTGTAAGTGGACTCCAAGCAAGGCGCAATGCAAAAAGGATCAGAAAATATATCAAACACTAGCTGATCATGCAGGCCTATTCGTACGTTTGATACGGCCGTGGGGTACTATCACCGATTCCGTTTGGTGCATCCAGACAACGAGTACAACTTCTCAGTGAGTTCGCTTGGCTCGTGCTTTCAAATGGAGTATGCTAACCTGGCTACAGGATGCAGCGGCTGCGGCTCTATTCACAGCATGCAAAATTGAAGACACGCTCAAAAAGTCGCGAGACATCGTCTGCGCAGCGTACAACCTGAAAGTATCACCTTCTGAGCATTTATCAGCTGACGACCCTGTAAGTCACAAAGTCAACGACATGACAGTTGAATATAAAACTGACGGTTAGTCCCAGATGTTTGAAGGCCTTGCGCGAGGCATCATAGGTCTTGAACGACTGATGCTAGAGGCCTCTGGCTTCGACTTCCGCACCCGCCACCCTCAAAAGACCCTCATGAAGCTCGGTCGACACTACGGCCTACCTCGCGATTCAGAGGTAGCAAACCTAGCCTACCGAATCTCAACAGATCTCTACCGCACATTTGCACCAATCAAGCAAGGATCATCAGCCATGGCCTTCGGCTGCCTAGAACTTGCAGGGCGACTCCTGGACCAGCGTGTCCAGCAAGTCGAGTCCGGAGCAGACTATTCCCAGTGGAACACGACCCGCGCAGAAGTAATGGGTAAGGAATCATCATTCCAATCAGAAACATCAACACTAACAACGCCAGAAACCCTCTTCGACCTCCTAGAACTGTACACACACCACCGCTCGCAAACAAGCGTCGGCTCCGAATTCCCCGCGGACAGATTCCTAACCGTCCGCATTCCACTCAACCAAGAAGCCAGCGAGCAGCATATCCCGCGGTACGCAATTTGGGTCGGCCAGCCTCAAAAGCCGAGCAATGGCAGTGGAGACCACGTACAGGAACCTCGTCCCACTCATCCGCTCACGCCCATTGCCGCGAATGGCGAGAGCCAGAGGACCGGTGAGCGGGGCCGGGATGCTGCTGTGCGGTTCATGCTTGATCCTGCTTGTGCGGATGATGAGAGGAGGCAGGTTGAGCCATACTTTAATGTTGAAATGGAGGAGTATGAAGTTGAGCAATGAGGATGCTGATCGGCTTTGCTTTACGCCACAGCGTCCGTGTCGAGTGGGCCTTGGGAGTAAGTGAGCTTGATTTTTGAATTGTACAGGAGCGACAAAGCTGGGATCTGCGCTCCTGCGATGTTGAACGCACGCACTGCCCAAGGGCTTCGCTGTCTCGGACCTGTGGTGCTGATTATGGTATTCCAACGCCCTTGCGGACCTGCCGGTACCTTGACTGCGCACATTCCTGGACAGAAGCAGCAGAATGCATGTGCCATAGTGATCTGAGAACTGCTCGTCTGATCCATACGATTTCCCGATACCCCGAACATCTATGAGTGACGAAAGATCAATGAATAGGTGCAAATGAGAACTATCAATGACCAATACACAACCTGCGTAGATGATACCGTAGAAATTATTCGTTATACATCTGGGAAATGCATAAACACAAGCAAATAAGCTCCAACGTTTGATTTGAAAGCTATGTACAAATCTACAGTCCGCCCGCCACACATCCAAGCGAAGGTAGAGACAAGACTGGCAGGCGAGAGCCAAGACGCGACCTCCCCCACGGGGGATTTGTCGGTTCCAACGCGAATATAACGAAGCTCCAGGTCAGATCAACCGAGCACGAGTCATCAAATTTAGTTAAGTCCAGTGCCCGGCATAATCGGCAAGAAGAGAGGAAGGAAGGAAAACAAATTACTAAACACAAGGGTAGAGAAACAACCATGAAGGGGAAAAGGAAAATAAGTCCCCGTGCCTCGGGTGTAGATTTTTCAGGACAACGGAGCATGGGCTTCGCCATGTTTTGGATGCCGTGTTGAAAGGCGGGTAAGGCGGGCGGGGTGCATGGTGCATGCAGATTCCATGCATCAAGCAGGTCCCGGAGGAAGATAGGAGACGGAGACGGAGACGGAGAATCGACACGGCAGATCCACCGGGAGAGTTGGAAGCACGGGGTTGAAAGGTCCTCGTCCTCGGTATGAATTTGAAGAAAGAAAAGCGTCATAAGTTTGGGAGGACTTTTTGTTGTCTAATGGGGTTAATTCAAGTTCATCGGCGCTTGAGCTCGGTGACGAGACACTCCAGGATCTATTGGATGTTAGTAAATTGAATCCTCATGTATTTGTTCTGGTAGAACATACCGATTCTGAGACAGCACCCTGATTGTAAAGGTACTTGCCCAGGCCGCGGACGACCTCGAGCTGCTCGTCAACGGTAAGACCGTTGATAGCAGTTTCGATAATATCGCCCACGCTGGCCTTGTAGACAGCAATGAAGCTGTGGTAGTACATGTAGGAGAAAAAGCCCATGATGAACTGGCAGTCCATGCGATCGGTGATACCGCCGTGACCGGGGATCGACTCGCCGAAGTCCTTAATCTTGAAGGTGCGCTTGAGGCCGGATGCAAAGAAACCGCCGAATGGAGCAATCAGCGAGGCGAAAGTGGCGAAAGCCAAGATGTGGAACTGGATGGGTTCCACATAGAAGGTCTTGTCCAGACCGAACAGCTCAAGAGAGTAAGGCTGGGCTGTGAAGACCGCGTTCGGAACACATTCTAGTCCAGTCAGGGCATTGGCGCCCAGATCATTGACAGGGCAGATGAAGTACTTGTAGCGCATGAGGAAGCTGGTCATGAAGTAACCGAAGCCAACAGTGCAGACCCATGCGCCAACGAAACCCTCGACGGTCTTCTTTGGGGAGAGCTGAATCAACTGCGTGCGTCCGAAAGAGATTCCACAGATGTAGGCAAAGATATCGTTGGTGATAACCAGTGCAGCGGGGAGGAAGAACCATATCATGCCCTCGAAGATGTTGTTCATCACAAAGTGAGCCTGAACAATGATCAGGTACAAGGCCATATGGGTCCAAGCAAACTGGGTGAACTGGAATCGGTAGTGACCCTTCTGCAATGATCCGACAAAGAACACGAAGCCTATCAATTCATATTAGCAGAGACCAACCGGGGTAAGTCAAGGTACTTACCCATGACGTAAAGAGTGAAACTGATGAATCGGTGGTGGTTCGCGAGCGGAAGCAGCACCTTATCAACCAGCAAGATGTGTTTGAAGTAGTAGATCACACTCTCTCCGTATAGGAAGTACATGGTTGACGCTAAAAAGTACCAATTCAACGATTTGGTAAACCGTAAGTTCTTCTCCTTGTTGGGGATGTTGGCGATAGCAATGACCTCCTTAAAAGAGATGATTTGAATTCCAGTAATGAGAGCGATGATATAAATATGACCGGAGAACAACGCGACGAAGAAACCGGCAATCATTACGAAGGTCCATATCGTCCGGGTAATGAAGGTCTGCTTCTTCTTCTCATATTCGGACTGGGGGTTCTTCTGGATTTCAAGATCGCGTCAGATGTATATTCCGAATCCTTTCAGAGCTAGAACCAACCTCTTCGACTATTGTTGCGGGCTTGGACCCGTTGACATTTTTGCTGGGGCTCGCGGGCTCCGAGACATCGCTGACGTCGGAGGATACACTAAGGCGGCGTTCACCATTATTCCGGCGTTGAAACCTGACATTACGGCGGGATTTCGACATGATGGGATAGTGGTGAGACCAGAAAAGAAATTCTGGGAAGGGGAGGTGGGAGAGGAGAAGATCGTCGAGAAGTTGAGAAGTAACTGGATGAGCTCTCATGTGAATCCGAAAGCGGTGTGTTATATTTAATTTGTACTACTTTTTTTTCTCATTTCAATTTGTTTATAAATTGTTCTTTTATTATTTATAAATTGTAAAAATTGAGAAACTTGATAAATTCCTGAAATTGTTGTTGGTTGTATAAGAAATCAAAATTGGCTGTGTTGTGTTTGGTCAAACCCCCTTCTCCAAACCTCGGAAGCACGATGATCAGTAGCCAACTCAACTTTTAAGACTTCATGGCGGATGGATGACGACGACGATTACGGCTCTGACGAGTTTGACTCTCTGCCAGCAAGTACTCTGTATGAGCTCGAACAAAATGCTTTCCAAGCAACTCAGGCAGCTTCACATCAGGCAGCTTCACAGGCGCAGCCGGTGAACCCGCTGCGGACTCAGCCATCATTCAATGCTGGTGCCTTGAGACCACCGCCACGTCTACATACCGGATTGACCAACGACTACAATACACTGGAAGTGGGGGAATTGGAGGCCGAGGTGTATGACAATTTTGAGGGACAGCATGTCGTTCCGCATGGCCATGTGCTTGGGACTGATCAGCAGTGGGCTGTCCATGGACAGTCGGTCGATGCAATGGAGTTGGACGAACACTATGTTCAGGGAAATGCCCCGGAGATGGATGCCCAGCTGTTTCAGGTACATCCGCGGAGTCGAGACTTTGCCTAGGATGGAGCTAATGAGAATCGCAGATGGAGCAAGAGCGAAAACAGATAATGCGCGAGCTGGCCGAGGCGAAGATGCAGGTCGAAACAAAAACCGGGGAGATCTCAATCATTCGAAGGAAACAGGCGACGATGACACAAGATTATGACCGGCAACTAGCGGCTCTACGGAAATCTATGGCCGATGAGATGGACAAGCACAAGCGGGAGGTTGAAGCGGCAATGTCCCAAGGCAAGGTACTGGCGACAGAGAATGTCTTTCTTCAACATGAGCTTGCGGACGAAGCCTATCAGCATCGAAACTCCAAATCAAAACAGCGGGCCGAGAAGCCAGCTCCGGAGACCCCACGAAAGTCCCGGGTGCTTCCATTTCGGGATGGATTCGATGATGACGAAATTGCCATGGTATCGCCCAGCAAATCTGCAGCGCGGTCCAAACGTGCCACGCCGACAGTGCCCGGGAAACGGAAACGGCAATCAAGTCAAGATGGCCCTGTGCCTCTACAACTTAGTCCCGCCGGCGGCGAGGTCGTCATGGCTGATGCTCCTGCCGATATGTCCGAAATCACCGAGGTGAAGCGCAAGGCTGCAGAATCGGGACGTCACCAACGATTTATGATGCGGCTTTTGAGCCATCGCACAACCGTTGGCGAAGATACTGATTTCGAGGCAATGGTCAAACTTGCGTTTCCTTCAGAACCGGACAGACCCATGTCCAGCATCATTATGGAGGGTATGGCTCATGTGGAGCCGAGCAACTACATCTTAGAATATACCAAAACTATTGCCTCCCTATGGCAGCGTGCCATCAACGAGAAATTCTACGAACCGATCCCTCGATTTGAAGCTATCATACGATATAGCTTGATGTCAGATGATACCCCACTCCCAGAGCTCATCACACCTTTAGTCGGGGTTCTCCAAGACTCTGTGGAAATTAATGCAGTTCCTCGTTTCAAGTACGCCCCAGCATCACGGGATAAACGAGTAACCCGCCAGACCCCACAGTCAGATCTACAGCCTCTAGTCGACTCAACCGGTGCCATGCGTCTACTTTACCAGATCGCCTGCGGTGTCCTGCATGTCCGAAGCGCAATGGAGATATTCTGGCAAAACATCCGAATATCATTTATCCTCGTGATGCTCCACCCATCGCATCCACTCGGGGATATCGTCCTTCTAATGAACCTCCTTTCAACAAGCATCCGGTCTAACTCGTTCGGACCGATCCGCTCTTCCGACCAAGACCAACTCGACGTCCAAAAATGGATCGTCGATCGCCTAACCCACATGCTCAGCGAACCAGCCATCCCAGACGAAGGTGTCGACCCATACACATCCTACGACATCTGCGCCATGCGCCTGGAAGTCCTCCTCCTGCTGGAATCTCTAGCCTTCAACCCGATGGCCCCGTCCCAAGGCCAAGGACACGCAAGCACGATCCTCGCATTGCACCCGAATGCCCTAGCGCGCATGTTCAGATCTCTACACGACGAGCTGGACGCTCTATACTCATCCCCGCCTGAGTCCGATCTGCGCGTTGCCTTGGTTAATGGGCTTATGCGGTTGATTTTCGGGGTTATGCGTCAGCATGGTTCATCTATCAATATGCAGGAGAAATTGGCCTGTGTTCCTGGCAGTAAACAGAAGCATCTTGTTGTCTTGACTCGGTTGGCGTTTTGTGATGGGACGGTGCTAGAGGCTGGCATTGATGATGAGACTGTTGATATGGCCCATGAATTACTTGAGGAATGGACGAATCCTCAAGAAGCGGATTCATTGGCGGAGGTCTTCTCCACTTCTAGGAGAGAGTAATGGTCAAATACTGTATGATTATGTTTGCATATCTCATGGGCGCAAGGTGCTGGGGTTGCAGTTCCGGGAAATTGTAATAAATAATGAAAAGTACTTATGTTTGCATTGCTATCACGATTTGTGACTTCTGATCTGCTGTAGCCTATACAGGCCAATGTGATCTACATCTCGTAAAGTGTAGCTGAGCAGGCAGTTATCCATCACAGGATTGTTGCGTTTTTGCTTCTTCGCTATTTTAGCATTCAATTTGTGTCATAGCGATTTAGTATTGTGATCATGAAGTCTGCAACAGACCCTCAGCTCGCACATATGGAGACTGTTTTTTGCAATCTCCATCTTTGCGTGAGGCATCTGGAGCCGAAGCACCATGCATGCCCAAGGTGTTATGTCTATCATCCAATCTCAAGATTCGGCTACGTTATACCGACTCTATCTGAATAGGACAACGATCATTACTATCCTGCTTTTATAGAGGCCGAAACCCAATAAATCACGACTCTCCTCAAAAGGATCAACCCATTAGCACTCACTCAACGTGCAAGCAGTCTTCGCAGTGCTCTCCATGGTCCATCGTCCAGGGTCTCAAATATGACAGGGAATCGCACAGCTCCGTTATGGGAGGCATGAACTACCACATTGAGATCCTCTTCGAGGATGGGCTAGCTGGCTCGTAAGCATCCGAAGAACCAATGCTACTTCCCCGCCACCGGAGCTACGAGAGTGTATACTGGAGAGTGAAGTCTCGAACTTGCAGTTCTTGCGCAAGACGCAATTTACTGTTTCTACGGTCTTTGACTTAAATCCTGACCAAGATAACCCTGTCGGCGTTGATTGTATCCTTATGGAGAAGTTGTCGGGCAAGTCCTTGAGCTGGCATGTGACTACTGCAGAGCAAAGGAAGGAAGTCATGAGGCAACTTGCAGATATATATATTGAGTTGAGAGCTTTCCCCCTTTCCGCGATGGGCTCTTTCAATCAGCAGAACTCCTGTCACGGTGACCTGGTCGCACTAGAGTCTTTAGCCGACTTTCAAGGCTTGGATATGAGAATCCTCAGGCGTTTTGCTTCCCTAGAAGAATATTACAGCGCATATCTTCAGATGAGATCTGGATTTGATACTACGGCAAGAATCACTCGTCGATCGCCCAATCGATAGGTTCCTGGTCCATCGTTTTTCCCCCAAAAACCCTCCCAATGGTTTTTCCAACTCATCTCGATAACGGAATGTTCTACTTGAAACATGCAGACGAAAAGGGAAGCTACATCCTCGTTAACGATAACTTCAATATCACAGGATCATCAACTGGGAATGGGCGCAAACACATTCGAGATCAGCAGCTTATAACTCGCCTATTATGGTTCTTCCTCTTGCCGACTTTCACGATGTGGATGTCCATGTCAGTGAAGATGAGACATTCTTTGCCGAGTGTTTTGAAGAAAAAGGCCACTCGGACCTTGGAGAGATACTTGTAGATGGACGACTTCTCCATCGATTTCAATTCTGCTGTGGGTATGATGTTGATAATTGGGATGGGTTTGTTGCACATTTTGTTGGGTTCCCAGGGTGCTGAACATGGAGAAAGACTCAAACTGGGATACCTGGAAGACAGGGGCATCGGAAACGTATCTAGAGGGTGATCAAATGGAGCAACTTCTCAAATTGACCTGAGGTTAATAAAAGCGTGGAAGTCAGGAGCTCTCTGGATTGATTCCCGACTTTACATTTTGAATTGGGGCAGTGTAAGCAGATTTGAGGCTAGAAGAACAATCAACGGAAAGGAGGAGAAGAAATCTATGTTGTTGTGGACTTATCTGCAGATGAGCTGTAACTATTGGAACATTGAGTAGTTATGTGCAATGCGACGAAGGGCTGGTTACAATAAAGAGATACACGGCAGCGGCAGTATGGGAATGCGGATGCGCCACTCAGTGCTTCACTAAATACTTAAAGCTCCGTTGATTGGAGACTGCAAGGGAATAGGGATAGATGGGTACCTGAGAGGAACAAGGGAAGGGAGTCGAAGTAGGTTGCATCGTGCTGCCAAGCTTCATTGAGCAAGTATCCCGGCACCAGGGCAGCTTGGAAGAGGCAGAACGCAACGAGACCTCGACCATGAAGGTAGTGACGACAAGGTGAGACGCGACAAAAGCTAGAAAGAGCCGACGGGCTAGATTACTTATGTAAGCTGCTTATCTACGCTGCTGTGTCTCTTCTCCAATCTCGTGCACAAGGCTCAAGAATTGATGAAAAGAAGAAATTCCACGAATGGAGGGTGCCAAAGAATACGCCTGTCAATGACCCGAAGGCCATTGAACAAACTGTTCCGCCGCGCTGTGCAATGCAGGGACCAATTTGTGGTGGACCGCCTTGTTGATCGCAGTCACCCAAACAAGGTAAGTATGAAGAAGAAAGAAAAAGGAGAGGAAGACCGCGGCGAGCAGGGAGTATTTAAGTGTTTTCAGACTCGCGCTAGTGCTAAGCGAGATCTGGTTCGACCAATGATATATGGTCACGTGCGAGCAAACATAGCAAATACGGCAAATGATGCATATTATACAAACCTCACAAACATTATCTCCACCTTGCTATTCAGGCACCCAGTTTTAGGGGTCACGTGCTTGAAGTTTTCAGAATGCCGCATCGACAGGCTAATTCATATCGTTAGCTGCAATCCAAACTTAACGAGCCGCCACGATGAGAAACAGGGCTAGTAACACCTTGTCGAAAGGCGTATGTTGTTACCACTGTGCTTGATTCCATTCAATTCCTCAGCTAACCTCCTTCGCTTCAGAAAATCCGTCAATCATGGAGCAAATACAACCTGTATAACATGCAACGGTTCCGCAGCCCGCCCACCACTCACCGCACATTCTTCCAACAGAAATGGTCTGCAAAGGCTGTCTCCCGTGCTTACCACGGTGAGCAGGTCCGCGAGGGCCAATGGAAGCGCATGTTCTCCCACCGCATCAACAGCGTCATCCCCATGAATACCGCCGACTTGGCCGCCGATGATGGATCCCTCATGTCAGCCGGTCGGGGCTCTGGATTCAACAATGGAGAAAAACCTGCTCAGAAGACCCGTCCGACACCCTATACATCGATGGCCTTCGCGCCCCTGGAACGCCGATTGGACGTGGCCATCTTCCGTGCTTTGTTCGCCAGCAGTGCCAGACAGGCTAGGCAGTTTGTCATCCACGGAGCGGTTACTGTGAATGGACAGAAGGTATGCTATGAGATTGAAAGCTATCAATTGATCAGATACTGATTCTCTTTGCCTCTAGATGAGACACCCCAGCTACCTCCTCAACCCCGGAGATCTCTTCCAGGTCGAGCCGGACCGTGTTATGTTCGCTACCGGTACTCCGAAGACTAAGTTAGAACGTCGTGAGGGCCGGTTGGCTCAGCGCAAACAGCCCGAGGAGGCTGAAGAGGAAGCCACCGAGGCCGATGAAGTCGAGGAGGCAGAGTCAAAAGACACCCCGAAAGAAGACACGAAGAAGACACTTAAGACCCTACTTTCCCAAGCCAAGACCATCATGTCCACCGACAAGACAACACTTCCCGCAAAGCGCAAGCAAGAGTTGCGCGGCTTCCAAAAGGCCGTCCGCCGTGTCCTATCCCGATCCGAATCCAGCACCGTCCTCACCGACAATCTGGAAGCACAATTCTCCCAGCTAACGCTTCTCCTCAACGCCAAGCGCAGCGAAAAGAAGCCGGACGAGGATATCAAGAAGGACGAGGAATCCAAGCCTGAGAAATCCGAAAAACCCGCTGTTGCAGACACCACCGCTAGCGACAAGCTCTCCGAAGCCTTCGAGCAAGCAACACTTGGCAATGACGTCGACGCTTCAGAGCTCGACGACGAAGAATTCGACATTCTCAGACGCGCTCTCACCCAAATGCGCGATAACCCAATCGACAACACCAAGCCCTACGCTACCCCCTGGCGCCCACGCGATTACATGTCTGCTTTCGCATTCATTCCCCGCTACCTCGAGGTCAACCAAAACATCTGTGCTGCTGTGTACCTGCGTCACCCTGTAGCACGCCCTGGCTCTGCTGAGGTACCTACTCCCTTCGGCGAGTCGATTGCCACCCCGGCTTATGGCTGGTACTTGAAGAGACGTTGGTAGAGGGATTATCAGCCTATAGGCCATGCCTCTCCTGCTTTTGTCTTTTCGCTGTCTTGTGTACTACTCTTACTATTTCCCTAACTTCCCACCTGTTGCATATTTCTGGATCATGTTGACCATGGTGTTGGTTCTCGTTTTGCTTTGCCTCGGGGCTTTTTGTGTCCTCCCTCTGTACCACCATAGCCATGATGTGTTTTGAATGGATATATATTGATGCTATTGTTTCTTTATTGGCTAAGTCGTATGTCTGGTTGCCGTGCGCCTTGGCTATATATTCATTATGGAAAGGATTGGTATATATATTTCTGATACAATAGTATGAGGTTCAGATTTATACTGCAAACCATCGAATTTTAGATCAGTTTGATACAATCATAGCCGAACAATGCTTCAATAACTTATTCAACGATATCATAGTACCTAGGTAATTCCTACAGAACAAGGGAATGCTGCAGTAAAGAGCCAAACCGATATAAACGCACGGACCCACTAGAAAACCTCCATATTGAATCGATCGCAGCTCTGATTCTATCCCCACAGATCGACACATCTGGACTTGGTCTTTAGCCATCTCCATGATGTATTGAAGCTATCCTTCCAGAGTCTGCAACTTCCACACATCGAAAACTCGCGACTGAGGTCAGCAGCTATCCTGATGCAGCGCATTCAACACGAATACATCCATACATCATACCGCCCACCCTCAAAGAACACCTACTCAGCCGTATCATCAGGTCTACGATCAGGACACAGCCCGGATTCCCAGTCCTTGTCCGTGTTAGTCCGCAACCCGACATTGGACAACACACAGAACAGCTCAGACTCAGGGCAGAATATAGCGGGGAGCCATTCACAAGCATCTGCACTCCCCCCAGACGATCTATACTATGCGTCGATGCCAGTGGGCGGCCAAACCTCAGGAGTAGGCTCAGCAATAATGCCGACACCACGAGGCACAAAGCGGCACCGCACAAGCATCTCGGACGAATCTTCGCGCCAACACCGCCGCCTCACCACCAAAGAAGAAGTAGCTCTCTTCGACATATGCAACCAAAATGCAGCCACATTCGGCAACCGCAGCAACCTCTGCAAATGGTGGCAGACCATCGCATCAGAATTCAAGCGCACCCACGAAGGCCGCTCCTACTCATGGCACTCCGTCCGGCGCAAGGTAGAAATGGTGACTAGACAGCGGATCAAATTCCTCGAGGACCGACATCGCGACTCAAACGCCGCAACCTCAAGAGCAGAAGAAGCCATGAACCCGCAATGGCTCGCGGCAGTCGACGCCTGGATCCCCACCTGGCAGCACTGGGAAGAAACAGAGAACCGCCGGATCGCGAAACGCGACGAGATCAAGAACCGCAGAGTATCACAGCCCCAGCCCTACGGGCGGGATTCCAAAACCGACGATTCATGGCGCCTGCCAGGCTCCACAGCCACAAGCCCTGACATTGGCGCTGCAATGATGGGCATACTACCCTCGAACGAAGTAACAAGTCCAACGCCAGCGCCAATCCCACCACCCAATTTTCTCGAATCACCGCCATCACCCACAGCACCAACGCTGAAGCTCCCGCCGGGCTTCGAAACAATGTTCTCAAATCCCGTTCAGCCCCCGCTATCCTCTACACCACCGGTCAACGACGGTCGCATGGTATCGGCTGTTCTCGAGACCCTGGGAAAACTCAACAAGCACCTCGACGCGGCGTCCAGCGAGCCAAGTGCTGCGTCGCCTATGTTTTCGGCTCTGGTGCAGGCTGCTGCGGAGGCTCCAAGTAAGGATCCAGACGTGAATGTGAATGCTCATGCGCAGGTCACGCATGTGGACATTGAGCGCATGAAGCAGGAGTTGAGAATTGAAATGCAGGGGCAGTTTCGACGAGAGTTGGAGAGGAGTCGGGTTGCTATGGAGGAGAAGCTGGATTCTGTGCAGCAGACTCAGGAGATGATCCTTGAGATGTTGAGGCAGGAGCCTGGGCGATGATTTGCTATTAATTCATGCTTGTACTATTATTTTCTGATATGATACCCATTACCGAAGCATTCTTTAGGGAGCGCACCAATTGATTACATTCGCTTTTTGAATTTGTTTAGACTTGGAAAAATTCGGATTTCAACGGACCCAGACGATGGTAATTGCTCTCTACTCTAGAACAGAAAACCAAATAAACAAACATAAGAGAAAATAGTCATCGGGCTAAATTACAGATAAATGATAGACAGGACGGATTTCCCCGACCCATCACACAACGATTATAGGCTCTTCCCAGGACATCCAACGAGATCCCGAGAAATGATCTAGTAGTAGAAGGTCTCGTCGACGGTACGTCCACGCATCCACTTGGGCTCGGAGCCACGGACGTAGATGTCCTCGAAGAGAATGCGAGAAGTGTTGTCAGGGACGGGCATGGCCTCGGCCTCGGCGACCTCAGCGTCGACGTTAGAGCGAGCAGTCTTGTCGAGGCTCTTGAGCTCCTCCTCGGAGCAGACGCCCCACTCGAGGATCTTCTGCTTGAGACCAGCAATGGGGTCGTTGGTGCTGCGCATGCGCTGGATCTCCTCACGGCTGCGGTAGGTGGTACCGGGGTCGGACATGGAGTGACCACCGTAGCGGTAGGTGACGTACTCGAGGACGAGGGGTCCGTTACCGGTGATGGCGTAGTTCTTGCTGTACTGGACGGCGGCCTTGGTGGCGAGAACGTCCATGCCGTTGACCTTAAGACCGGGGATGTACTGACCACGCTTGTAATACTCGGTGAGAGCGGAGGAGCGCGAGGCGGAGGTACCCATACCGTACTTGTTGTCTGCGGGAAAAGTTAGTGGATCTGCGCTGAATGGAGAAAGTCACAAAGATGGAGGAAAAACATACTCTCACAACCGAACAGAACGGGGAGGTTCCAGAGCTTGGCCATGTTGAAGGCCTCGAAGACCTGACCCTGGTTGGAGGCACCGTCACCGTAGAGAACGATGGAGGTGTTGGGCTGCTCGTTGTACTGCTGAGCGAAAGCGAGACCAGCGCCGACGGGCACCTGGGCACCGACGATACCGTTTCCACCGTAGAAGTTCTCGGCGAACATGTGCATGGAACCACCCTTGCCGTACGCGATACCCTCGCGGCGACCGAGAAGCTCACCAATGATGGACTTGACGGTACCACCGCGCATCATAGCGAAACCGTGGCAACGGTAGGCAGTGATGACCTTGTCCATGCGGGTAATGGCGTGCTCAATTCCGACAGCGACGGCTTCCTGACCAGTAGACAGATGGCAGAAACCCCGGATCTTCTTCTCCTTGTACAGACGATCGGCGGCCATCTCCATACGTCTAAAAGACCGTTAGCGCCAAAGACCTCGCTCCCAATTCCAGTTTATATCGTACCTCATGGCGACCATGTCGTAGTACATTTGCTTGAGCTCCTTCTTGGAGGTCTCGAGGGTGTACGGGGGCGGGTCGAGCTCGTAGGTCTCGAAACTCTCATCGGAGAGACGGACAGTGAACGGCTTGTCCTCCTCCTATAGTAGCGCAAGTATAACCATCAGCAATGGATCTCGAAGCTTCCGGCGAGGTTTTCCAGTTTTCCGGATAGGGCTCAACAAACCTGCGGGACTGGGGTCTCGACATTGGCGGACGCGGCGTCGGTGGTGACAGTGCGACGGGTGAGAGGAGTGAAGGCATGACGCCTAATAGGCGCAGCCTGGCGGACCGCAGCACGGAAGAGCATTTTTGTTTGAATTGAAGATGCGTAGTTGGAAGGTGATAAGCACCTTTTTCCCAACAACTCGAATCAATTTTCCCGGCTTATGTCAGCCATCCACCCCTTCCACATCGGGGCCGCCCGGTGAGCGTTGACCGGCGGAAAGCGCATTCCGATTTATTTTGTATACTTGCTGTTCTTTGTATGAGCATTGCATCAATTTATTGTTCAATTGGATGATATTTGGAAATTAGATATGGATTTAGGGCCTTGGGGCTCGAGGCTGGTACAGAAACCAGACATCCCAACAAATATCAATGCATAACGAACGCGCATCAGCATTTCTGTCTAGGTGAAGTATAGAAGTTGAGCAAATTGAGCCACTAACATGATTGTGAATTCCTATCATACATCCTTACTCATTAGTGATGCACAAAAGGTGAGATTCAATCTACAAGAGGTTGTAGCCAAAATCACAAAGTATCATGGTTTTTATGCCTAAGGAAAGTGAGATTGTAACAGATATATGTTGCATGTATTGAATGACAATTCTTAACAATGCAAGCCCCTATGCATACTGCAAATCCCACAATTGGAATTTGGGGAAACAAACTGTTGATCCATATCAATGTATCCCCGGAGAGCAAATGAAAGGAAAATCCCGAATCTCGACAACTTGAGTACAATACTCTCGCCAAGGACTGCCATATCTATAATGCAAAGAGAGCCCTCGGTTTGTTCTAGCACTTTTCAAATGCGTCGTCCCCGTTTTTTTCTCGGCTGCCATGCCTTTTTTTCTTGCTCTTCGTCAGACCCATCATTTTCCTCCCCATACTCCCTCTCGCCTTCTTCCTCTATGGCCTCTAGATTGCATTCCTCCTTCAGCTCTTCGCGTGAGCGGCCTGTCATCTCCATCAAGACCTGCAAGGCCTCCTCTAAAGAAGCCCTTTTTCGATGAATGAATTGGAATCTCTCAACAAACAACGCAGAGTGATCAGTCTCTGAGTCATCTTCAAGCTTCATCTTGCCCTCAAAGTGGTCACTGATTTTGTGGGGATCAACTTCCCAAAACTGGCGAGGCGAGTCGGCCATAAACGAGGCGTAAATGAGAACGGTGATTTTGACTTCTTTGAAGTCCTTGAAAACGTTGATGAAGTTTGGCTCGTGTGTGGTGAACCCGTCCCAGCCACTGATCACTAGGATGGCTTCGGCTCCGGCTTCTCGTGCCCGTTGAATGACCGAGGTGACGTATTGGATTTCATCGCTTGTTGGTGGTAAGGGAGTATTGGATTCGTGAACGAAAGCACAGTAGGCACGAGGGCGATTTCCTAATTCCCCATACTTGGATCTGAAGGCACGTTCAACATGTGACATTGAGCCTCGGAGCCATATCTTCTGTCCATGAACGGTAGAACCATTGTGGCACTTGCTGGAGCGGGCAATGAAAATGACAAATGGCCCTGTGGGACTGTTGGACGAGAGAGCTTTATTAACCAAGGTTACTCGGCGAATGCCCGGGTCAGAGGCCATGCTGGTTGACATGAAGTTTGAGTCGTGACAATCGAAGAGATGACAGAGTAGGAGATATGAAGAAGATGAAGAGGGAGTGGAAGAGATGGAAAACATACATGGGAACGAGCGACAACACAAGAACATCACTTTCTCTACTTATATGTACATACAAACATGTACATATGTATGTACATATGTGCCAAAGATGTCCTTGCTAATTCGACTATTTGTGATATTTTGATGCATCTATATATCTCATCAAACTCTCAAATTCAAATTTGCCCTGCGTTTCTGATTTGATACGGTCGACTATCTTCGGAGATTGGGTGTCTGGTTGCAAATAGATTATATAGTGGATCGTAAACCCTAGGAAGGCCTATCTCATTTAAAATGGCTATAGATGCCTAGTAGATAGTACAATGATCAGTACTGTCACATATCGATAACAGCATAATAGAGATGTATCTTTGTGGATTGACTAGGGGTTGTTTGTATCGTCTGAAACGGGATCTATTATATTAGCAGTACCAGATTTGATTATTGGACCTATTCGCTTCCAACGAAATTAAAGTCATTGGTAGTCCCATATAAAGGTTTGATGACTTGACATGGAATGTATTGATTTAATTGTGATTTATTTTCATATATCAGTACTTTTTATAAAGATTTATCTTATTACTCCGTTTGCACGTAACCACATGTTCTTTGGTACCCTCACTATTGCTTTGCCTGCATAGACGGTGGAATAATAGTTGAATTGAGCGATACTACATCTCATTTTAGCTTCAATTTTATATTATATCCTCTGGGCCATCGTAGTCATATATAATTGCGCATATAAAATCAGCGATTAAATAGTCTCACGATGCGATGCGCCGACTACCCCTCGCCCAACAAGTTCAACAATAAGAAGTCAAGCACGTAAAAGAAGCGATTGGTTTTTCCACAAGACGTGTATTCCATATCATGCTTCATGGACACGCAGTTCCCTTCCTTTGATTGCTTCATTCAGTTCGTTTTGACTCAACAAAGAGGCTAATAGTATATCATCAGCACACAATCGAACCAAACAAACAAAAGCGCAAGAAAAACACGTCGATATGTGGACAGGACCTAGCTTTAGGTCTGACCATGGGACTGGACCTGGACCAGGACCAGGCGGCCGTCATCCGGGAGACCGCAGTGAGGTTACCAATGGAAACCAAGTACGGCCTAGGGCAAGTTTTGACGAGGGCTCTTGCTAACAACCAGAAGCAGAACCGTCGAGATGAACATCGAGATCACAGCCGAAGTCACAATGGAGATAGGCCATGGTGGTGTGCGTTATGCCTCAGATTTAACCATTCCATTGAGGAGCACGACGAATCATGGCATTACGATGCGCATCGCAGGACTTATAACCTTCGACTTCGGGGCCCTTACGGTTGGGCCGTTTCTTTCAGTGGCTATGGCACTCCTTTGACCGTGAGTAAAGACAAACACCGTCTGGCTGCCTGGTATACTTCAGTACCTGACAGCATCCAGGGCTCCACTCTCTGCGATGATAGACTGTCCCAGGGATATCAGTTCGGTACTGATAGCTTCCACGCTGCCAATGTCTTCCAGGCTTTGCAGGACGTGAGTCGAAACAGGGATCATCTGGTTTCATGCTATACTTCGGTGACTGACAGGATCCAGCGCCCACACGTATGCCCGGCTTGCCCTGATCTCGGATATGGCGGGCAGTTCTGTCCATACCCTTGGACTCCATTCATGGGGATTTCCCAAAGCGCTAGCAGCGATGGCCCAGTGAGTTGATACAAGGCTGAGGTGGGATGGCCCGCATAGTTGCTGACTATAGTATAGATTCGAAACACACCCGACGTCGGCGATAGACCGCCCCGCATACATCTTGGTGATGGAATCTCCGTGAGTTGAGCCACGGTCGCTGTTGGATGGCCGGTATAATTGTTGACTATAGTATAGATCCTCAACACGCCTGATGCTGGTGATACACAGCCTCGCATTTATACTGGTGATGGCTTCTCGGTGAGTTGATATACGATTGATGTTGGACGGCCAGTATAGTTGCTGACTAAAGTACAGGACGGCAACATGGCCAACGTCGACGCTGGATTGGGACTATCGTTTGATGCTGGGGCACCATCGCACCCCACCGAGGACTACCGTCTCCTCACTTAGCCTGGTTCCGGGATCAATTGGTAGCTTGAAGAGGAAGAGCTGGCGGGGCTGTACCGTTATGCTCTGCAGTTCCATGACATACACCCGGCTTTCTTGGGATACTTGAACGCTTATTGGGATTTGCGCCAATCCCAATAAGCTGGGCCGAGAGTTGGAAGGCAATGGAGGCGACGGGTGGGTTCGAAGCAGCAAGAAATACATAATCAAGAAATTTTATGGCTGATTGCACAAAAATTAGCATCTTAGAGACTTTTTAACTAAGCGACTTAAACATAATCCAAGAAAGATTATCTGGCTCATAATATCTTATTCAATGGTTTTGACCTCACTATTACTCAGCCAGAGATTTCAATACTGAGAGCTCCATTGTTCGTTGATATGACGAATGGGGAAAGTGGTCTCGTCTAACAAAGGCTCACTTGGCAACGGATCTCTCATAGAGTACTGAGGTTGACAGTGAGCAGGATGTGAAGATAGAGGGAGGATCGATGGTTGTGGGAAGATAATATGGACATCTATGGTCTGGGGGAGGCATGTGAAACGGGTTAATCATGCTCGGCGCCCCGACAAGCCCTCGGGGCGTAAAGCATGTAAGGCAGTCTATTTAACTTGGACAGCACTGGATATGATGTAGCGTTTCTGCAAATGTTGAGTTCATTGTTCCGTAAACTGTGTTGTGCTGCCTGCATTGTGTACATATGTACATAACCAGGAAGCAGAATTATTCTAGCACGTAAGGTAGACGCGATAAGTTACCGTATAAAAGAGTAAACGGATACTAAAGAGGCTCTATGCATAAGCTTTCGTAACTAACTATTCTCGATAATTATCAAGCTGGATATATGCTCTTAGACCTCCAAGATGTCCATGGCTTCTAATTATGTAGTATCATCTCGATAGCATCATGCAGTTTGATGTTTGTGCCTCGGCTCTTTATTCTTTTCAGATTCTCCCTCTGGCAAGTGAACGGCTTTTGCAATCTAGCTTTTGTGGCCCAGCCTTATTTCTTCCACGGAAGACGATACGTAGTCTTGATCATGCTTGTCTACAAGCTACATTGGTCAAAACATCAAACATTCCACAGGACACCATCCAGACACAGACACCCCCCATTTATGGGGTGTCTATTTTGTGTGGAACAGCATATACGCCGTAAACATAATATAGAATTGCATAAAGTTTTTTTTGCCACCACCGAGAACTCCTAACCAAACCTCGTGTCATCATAGCTTTTGTTAAATAGAGCAGTGGGCCTCTGCAGATATAGAAGCATGCCCGGGTTCGGTGAGCCGACGGGGCTGAGACAAGCGCGATTTTCGATGACCACCAAAGGAAGAAAAATGGGTCTTCCATCAAGGACACGAACCTATTAGCCCCATTTGGATCTTGAGATTTACTAAAGTCACCATGAAGGTTTATGGGTTCATTCGTCTTTAGGCAGTTCCATTATGGACGCTTGGCTTGTTACAGCATTGTACTCCGTACAAATCATGTATTCAAGCCAATTTAATACCCGTTTAGCCTTGTTAGACTGACAAATTTTGCGCTATAAACTTATGATGGCTATATTCTCTACATCAGATGCAAAACCTCCGAATGATTTGACCCACAACCAATCGGGCAACACCCATGCATTGAGCATAGAGCGTTTTTGTGTGAATAAATTTTAAAAAAACAAAGCACCTAAAAACTTGCTTTGCACATAAGCTAGTCATACTTCAAGCCAATAAAATGCAGTGCCAAAAACAAAGTACGAACTGAACTCGATACATCACAGAGCCGTTGAGATGCAAAGCATCCCCAACGTTAAATAGATCAACTCAACTCTATAAGCTCAAAAAGCAAAGATCCCCGCATTCACATGTCATAATTATCAATTAGAAGGACTCGTCCAAAATGACAAAGTAGACACATCTCAATTCTTGATCTAGGCTCAAGCCGATACGAGTGTATTGAACAACACCAAGACTCGGATTAAAAGCCATAGCTCCATTGATCACGGCGCATTGACGGGTTCATTACAATGTCTTGAAGGGCAAAGAGCCCCGACAAACCTGAAACAATGACGAGTCGATCAAGACTTAAGTACTAATAGTATGCGATCGGGCCCCGAAGCCAGCTCTGGATGGCTCAGGAGCTCGGGATTTCCGTCTTTGCTGGAGTTTCCTGCTTTGTTGGCCGGTAGACGAGAACTGTTTCAGTTGTGATCCTGACGTATTCTATACGCAGCGTACGCAGAAATGGCTGGTGTGTACTAGTACCTAGTTACGTCTGAAGCAGCGCGTAGAGTGTGTGATGGGGCGCATTCCAAAGGATTGTAATCCACCGGGGCGCCTGCATATGCGTGCTTCGATGTACCTACTTGCGTAATAGTGTATGTAGGGAGGTCCTTCGGGCGACCGAAATCCTCTCCTTACATCATTGATGAGGGGCATCGAATAGCCAACTTCTAGTTAGTAGGTTAGTTTGATGTAAAGGGAAATCCAGCTTGTGACAAGAACCAGGCCCGGGTCAAGTAGCCCGAAAGGACATAGATCCGCTGTGCTGTGCAGGCGTAGCGGCGGTCTACTGCATCTGCTGCATACACTGAACTTTAGGTATGCGTTCTACGTACTTTGTGTTTATAGAGGGGAATTCAATTCAAAGTTCCAGGTCCGTGTCCTGTGCAGTGAGGTTCCGGGTCTCAGGAACAAGCAAATGAGACCTACATAGCATCCACAACTGTAAACATCCGATCGTTTCATTTCTAACTTTCTATACGAGGCTCCGTACACTGCAACGTGTCGTCAATACCAATAACATAGCAATGCTTCAATGATCACTTCGCATCCTGAAACAATAGTCCGACACTGGCACTACGATACTTGAACTGCACGATACCACAGCGAATTGATAGGGCGGAAAAGCCAGCCCCTACCAACTCCGCTCTGGAAACTTTCAACGGCGACGATCATTGATGTGAGAAGCAGCCGAAAATTGGTCGTCTCAAGACCAATTCTCAGATTACCCGTTCAGGGGCCTAGCCCGAAGCTGTCACCACACGTGGTCTTAGTGACAGCTCGAATTGATCTACCGAATGTCTCATTGCACAAATACTGCATTCCATTGATGTATGATGTACTCCGTAGGTACCTACACACTAAGCCGCGTATTGTGAGCGATCCGATTCGCGACCGGTACGCTGGATGGAGCATGGGGAGTAAGTGGCGCGGGCAACGGTTTCGATAAATCCAACATCCAAGGCACCGGAGTGCCCGACGTACGATGCAATACAGGCTATTATTGTGCGAGGACGCGAGTCAGGGCGGATATGACAGCGCGAAGTGATAGCGATCGACGGGACAAACCAGAAAATTGAGACAATAGGCAGGCTAGAGGTAGCATGGACGGTCTGCAGTGCCTAAAAAGGTAGAAAAAAGGCCTGAAAAGAAGGAGGCTGTCGATCCCATTGGAAACGACATTTGCAGGGATCCATAAACGGGGATAATGGGGGTGATGTGCGCAGGGAAATTCCGTTTCTCGACGCTAGCGGGTGGGTGACCCGCCGGGAACACAGTAGGAGACAGGAGTTGGCTGCAGACTTGATGGAGGTAGTAAGTAGCATTCAATGGTACAATTCCAATATTGTACAATGGACAATTGTATTGGTGCTTTGTACCGGAATTATTCACCCTGGGAAATCCCGAGGTCACAGACTTTAGTTTGTAAGCGCTAGCCATATAAATCTCCGTTGGAGGAGCGATCGTCAATTGCGGAGAGTGTACTAAACGCCACAGGAGATTTGGGGCCAAGGATCATTACAATTGTACAAGTGACGGGAGTTGTCGATCCCGTACTAACAGCCGAATGTTGCAAGTCATAGAGAGGTTCTGGGGTAATGTTACCGTGGATTGTGTTGGAGAGAAACGTCATTATACTATATTCGAAGGATTCCAATGTTTCCAATGTTTCCAGAATCCTTTTGGTGCCAAACATTTGGAGGATCGACAGAAAAGTTGCCACTGCCCACCGCGTGGTTGTAAGGGTAGTGGAGTGGCCCGTAATACTAGTGAGTAACTTAGGGGACTTATAGTGATTGGACTGGTGGGGAGACTTATTATTCCGCTCCGAAGTATATCCACAGTATAATTTTGGTATCACCACTTTTTCTCCGTCTCGGGACAACGCTGGGTTCCGGTTCTTACTTGCCGAGGAGAGGCGAATAGAGACAGACCATGGGAGAGAACTCCAAGGATTGAAATTAAGCATTTTAAGAGCCTCTGAGTGGTTGAAGATATAGCAGATTGTGTTCAATAATTGGGTTAACCTTATACAATATTGTAGGTATGAGAAGAACAATAATTAGATTCTGTTATGTACATTATAACCACATATACATATGTAAATATGTCACTTTGTAAATACGTAACAATTGTTGAAAAACTCTAAGCAACCATTAATAACAAGAATTGAAGAATTAACCTCCGACAAAAGATCAGATCGCAATATGTACGGAGTAACCAAACTCCTGGTCGCATTATACTCTAAGCCCTAACTACAATATTGTACCAGGTAAATTATTCTGTTGCAATGAAAATGTTTCTCACTCTACGTCTACACACCTTCCTAATATAACTTTGAAATACTGTAGTCGATTACAGATTTAGGGTTCAATATTCAATATAATATATAAGGTCTAGACGATAAGGGGGCCACGTTTAGCATGTGCAACAAGAGTAGTACTCCATAAAAATGTCCTAATTCTCTTAATTCTCCTAAATTCTCCTGAAGAGCCCCCTCCTATATAAACTAAATAAGTTATCATAGGCTTAGAATGTTTTTTTTAACTAAACTCCCTTTTTTTCCCTCTCTTCTTTTCTCAGGGGATATCCACATTTTCGTATCCATGGCTCAGGGTGGAATCGAGATCGTGCCTGATGGAGAAGATGCTCAACTCGTCTTAGTTCAGCACCTATAGGTTTAGTAGTCCGTTTAAGTCCGTCATCCGTATACCTAGGTATGTCTGTAATCCATTTACTTGGGTCCCTATTTTTTTTTTTTTTTACTCTATCTCTCCTAGTGTTCTTTGTGCTCATCTCAGACCCCCTGTTCATCTTTATTATTTCTCTCTCTTCTTCTTCTTCTTCTATACTAGTCTCTCTTTTTTATTTTATTAATTTTTCTTCAATTAAATGTTGTAATTTTTGATTAATTTTTTAATTTTTCTTACCTCTTACTCCTTTCTCTTTTTTTTTCTCTGAACTATTTTCCCCACCTCTTTGTTTCCCTTTGAGTCGATGTGGAAACGCTCACCTAGATCGGAGTCTGGGAACGACTCAACTCAACAACTCTCTGAGCTGGGTCTCCTAGGTCGACCTAAGAAGTCTAAGAGTGAGTTGTCCTAGATCTGAGACCTTTGTTCACGGTCTAGGTTCGATCCTACTCCCCTGAATTTCTTCTTTTAATCCCTTGTCAATAAAGACGTCTATGGACTTTTGATCATCTCGGCGCATTGAAATCTCCACCTTGCTAATTCGGAGTGACGTACAGAATTACAATCGCAGCCAGAAACATCTCGTTCGCCTTTTCATTCTTTACGTTCATTTACTCGAGGCGTGGTAGACAGGCCTGGCAGCAGTCTTTCCAATCAGACCAATATCACTCGGTCTAGAGCACCAACAATAGATTCTACTCACTACCCGGAATCCGGCCCCGGGCACTCAAACAGATCACGAGCATCCTTTCATTCACGATCTGGACAGACTAGCGGCCCGATGGAGATTGATCGCACACGTACACGGAGGGAGAGGACCTTTGTCGGCAGCGAATGCGCCGTCTGTGAGGAACCCTTGGAGCATACCCTGCGCGGCGAGCGCATACTGCAACTTTCTTGCGCTCACGTCTCCCATGAGGCTTGTTTCTACGAATACCTACGCGAATTTGAATCACAAAACTGTCCCACGTGCAATGCGCCGTTGGCCCTGGACACAAGTCGCGGTGGCAACGTGCTGGATATCGGTATGTACTCATTTACCCCTCCCTCGTGCAGGAATCGATGACTAATGCTCCAGCAGAGAAAATCAGTAAAATCGTCCGCTCAGTCACGACACATGATACTGCCACGGTGCGCAGCGGCTTGACGACTCCGACTCCGACTCCATGGGAGCAGCCGTCCGGCTCCAGCCGACGGCCACCAAGCGATTCGGGGAGCCGCTACACCTCCGCTACAAGGGAGCAGTCTTACCAGCATCAGTCCACTCGGGAGCAGGAGCCATCATATGCCCCCTTGAAAGAACAATATACCTCCAGAGACCCAGTACACAACCGACGCGACAGTCGCGACACTCGCGACACTCGCGACACGAGCAGCCAGCGCGAGCGCGTAGAGCGATTGACTGTCGGCTCTCAGAACCGTCAACCGCACTCCCGAAACGGTAGCGCGGCAGGCTCCTCTGGTGACTACACGGACGGCCAGCACACTAGCAGTGGACGGCGCCATGATTACGACGTGCAAGCTATGGAGTCAGATCTCAGTCCTCGGCCTGGCGTCGCCAAGAACCCCATACCTGCGCCCATTGTCACCGTCCGCAGCGAGTTCCCGACAATGAATCGATCCCGTCAGCAGCAGACCCTTACATGCTTAATTACTGTCGAGGTGCCGGAAGGCAATTGGCGGCCTGATATGGATGACCTACGACACACGCCATCTGGGCAGTCGCAGCCTGACGAGCCGTACACGGGACGATTTGGTGGACAGGATGCTCGATCCATTCAGTACGAGCCGACGGAGAATATGGATGAAGTTTCTGAAGAGCTGAGGAACCGGGTTGATAATTGGCACGGACTTGAGTTCAATCGGTTTGGAAAGCTTCGTCTGCATGGGCATATGCGCGTGGGCAAGGATCGAAATTCGTGGCAGGAATTGGAGTGCTACCTTTTCGGAGAAATGCTTATCTGTGTCAAGGAGAAGAAAACCTCTGATTCAAATCAGTTTGATGAGAGTGGGCGACGCAAGCCTGTGAGATGCACGTTGAAGGGTTCGATTTTGATCAAGAAGCATCTCAAGTCTATTGACGCCTCGGCTGACGACCCTATTCTTGCTCTGAACCTTTCTGTCAGCGAGCTGCCCTGCTTCTACCTTCGGTTCCAGAACCGCAATCAGCTGGAGACCTGGCGCCGATCTCTGATCGATCTGCATCCCGTTGAGAATATCTCCCGCCAGAATGATTACGAGTATGATAACTCCGGCGCGGAGGAGGATGATTACCGTGGAAGTCGGATGCAACGACAGGCCTCTATTAACTCGTCTTACGGCGCTGGAAAGTCTATCAACACTGCTATTACCGATTACACCAACCCCGACGTGGAAACACCTTCCATTAACACCATTCACATTCCACTCGATCTCGTTGTGGTTATCCCGGTCTCCTCTTCAATGCAGGGCTTGAAGATCACCCTCCTACGTGATGCGCTCAAGTTCCTCGTCCACAACTTGGGTCCCAGAGATCGCATGGGCCTTGTCACCTTTGGCTCTAGCGGTGGCGGCGTGCCCCTGGTGGGCATGACCACTAAATCCTGGTCCGGGTGGCCCAAGATTCTCGAATCCATCCGGCCCGTGGGCCAAAAAAGTCTCCGTGCAGACGTGGTCGAAGGTGCTAATGTCGCCATGGATCTTCTCATGCAGCGCAAGTTCAACAACCCTGTTTCAACCATTCTTCTGATCAGTGACTCGTCCATTTCCGACCCTGAAAGTGTCGACTTTGTGGTTTCTCGCGCCGAAGCCGCCAAGGTCAGCATTCACTCATTTGGTCTCGGACTGACCCATAAGCCGGACACGATGATCGAGCTCTCCACTCGCACCAAGGGATCCTACTCATATGTCAAGGACTGGATGATGCTCCGCGAATGCGTAGCCGGCTGCCTAGGCGCATTGCAAACAACCTCCCATCAAAACGTGAAGCTGAAGCTGCGCCTGCCGGAAGGCTCGCCCGCCAAATTCGTCAAGATCAGTGGCGCTCTGCACACCACTAAGCGCGCAACTGGCAAAGACGCCGAAGCAGCCCTAGGCGACCTCCGCTTCGGCGACAAGCGCGACGTCCTTGTCCAACTCGTCATCCAACCTGATAATGCAACCCAGGACAACATGCCCCAAGATCCCTGGGAAAGCCTCGTCTCCGGCCTCGAAGCCCTAGGCGGCGGCCCAGACGGGGACGAAGCCCGCGTCGTCTCCGTCGAAGAAGTCCCCCTCATCCAAGCAGACCTCACCTACGGCGACCTCCTGCGCGACGGCCACCTCACTCACTCCCCACGCCCTTCTCTCCTAGCAATCACCATGCTCCCGCCACATCGGGCCAAGAACAACCGCCCATCCACCCCACCCATCCCCCCACACCCATCCATCGTCCAGCGCCGTATGGAGCTCCTAACATCGGACATGCTCACGCGCGCCCTCACCCTCGTCTCGCGCGGCCAGCACGATCGCGCAATGCACCTCCTCAACGAAACCCGCAGCATCCTCAAAGGCCTCGGCAAAGGCGGGCTCCCGCCGCTCCCGCCAGCCCGCGAAGGATCCCACGGCAACACGCCCGTCTCCTCATCACCCAAGTCCTCGACCTTCGACTCCCCCGCCTCAGAAACGAACACCATCACACCCACCTCCGCCATCGACGCGCACACCATGGGTGCGCTCAACGCGGACCTCGAATCCTCCCTCGAGTGGATCAATCATCCCGCCGTCTTCAGCCGCGACTCCCGTAAGGCCGTACTGCAAAGCATTGGCGTTATTTCTTCGCAGCGCGCTTATACCTTCCGCACTGCGTCCGAAGCACACTGGGCGCAGCGCGTTTCTGGTGTGCGGCGGTTGACGGAGAAATCGAGGGACTGGCGCGAGACGGGGGATGATGCTTTGACTGAGGAGTGATGGATGCTGGATGCTGTATGCGTTTAATGCATGGATGTGGACGGAGTCCTCCTTTTGCGCCTTCCTGTGGTTTTTTTTGTTGCTTTGCGATATTTGTCCGCGATACACTGATACAATACTTGTTCTTTTTCTCTTGTTTTACGGTCCATCTGCGATGACTTTGGGCTTTCTCATCCCTATGATACCATTTTGTTCCCATGCTGGAAAGGGCTTGCCGGGGTTTGTTGGTTTTCTGTGGGAGGCTTGAACATATGATTCACGATTACTGAATTTACATAAGCCTACATAATTCATTCAATTCGATTTCTGAGGTTTTTGTCGTGTAGAATTGTAGGGTGGCTGTGGTATACCAGGTATTGCAGGTGTGCTATAGTGGGGTACTTGGCTGCTATATACGAACCTGGTTAAATGGTGGGAGACGGTTAAAGGATGAAAACAAACGAATAACAACCTGTATGGATTTGCGGAAAGAACATAACTGTGGTGGTAGGAAGTTGAACTCGCAACGAAGTTGCCCCGGAGTTTGGTCTGCTTATCCCCGGCGGATAACCTCACCTTCAACTTCGTCACTTCTCTCCACGCAAACACATTAACCTCGAGATATTCTCCAATCCAACCTGCACATATGAAGAGTAAGAATTAGCCAACAAATCATGTTCCGCCAACCAATACGCGCACTCCGCGCACTCCGCACATTTCCATCCCACCCAGGCGCAAGCGCAAACTCTCTCCTCATTGCGCCTCGACATCCAGTCCACAGAGGCCTCAATCAACTCACAAAGCGATCCAGCAAGAAAATTACCCAGTCACGACCTCCCACCCATCAAGTCAACCGCCCCTTCACAACAACTCACCGCACCAACCGCCAGCAATACCACCGCTTCACCAACACCCGCCAACCACTCTCCAATCTCCTTCAAGCCGCCAAACCCCACCACTTCGTCTTTCTCGGCCTCACCATCTCAGGATTATACCTGTATAACACCGATGAAGTACCGCAAACAGGACGCCGGCGCTTCAACTGCGTGTCGCGCTCGCTGGAGCTTAAGACGGGCATCGAAAGCTACCGAGACATCCTGAATGCCGAGCGTGGAAAGGTCCTACCTGATAACCATCCAGTAACGCGAATGGTGGATGGTGTGCTACGGCGGCTTGTGGGTGATGCTGAAGGGGACTGGAGGGTACATGTTATTCAGGACGATGGGGTTGCTAATGCGTTCGTGCTTCCTGGGTATGTATTGGTTTCTGCTTGCGTGTTTTGGTTTGGTTTGGGGAAGAAATGCTGATGCTGATGCTTTTTTAGAGGTAAGGTCTTCGTTTATACGGGTATCTTGCCGGTTTGTTACGACGAGGATGGCCTGGCTGCTGTGCTGGGTCATGAGATTGCGCATGTTGTTGCTAGGCATCCGGCTGAGCGCATGAGTAATAGTTTCTTGACCCTCGGGGCTGTCCTGGCTATGTCCCTCTTTTTTGATGTCTCTGGGCAGATTTCTTCTTTTCTGCTGAATTTGATGGTTAGTCTGCCGAATTCGCGGACGCAAGAGGTAAGTTTGAGTATATTGGGGGCTTAGAACAGTGGCTAATGGGTGTCTTCAGGCTGAGGCAGACAATATTGGGCTGAGTATGAAATTTGGTGTTGGGGAGTTGGAATTCGATACTGACTTTGCCAGTGATGATGTCCAAGGCCTGTTTTGACCCTAGGGCGGCTGTTAAACTGTGAGTTTTGGTCTTAAGGTGTGAGTATGAGTTTGCATCTGGAAGCTGATCGTCTGGTTGCTAGGTGGGCTCGCATGCAAGAGCGAGAGAAACAATCTCCGCCGCAATTTATGTCGACTCATCCATCGGTAGGGATCGAGAATGAATATGGAGGTATACTTGCTAACTTATCGCAGAACTACAATCGGATGGAAGCAATTCAAGGATTGTATGTTTCTTAAACTTCTTGTTGTCATTGTTACTAACCTTAGCCAGACTTGACAAGGCTGGACATGTCTATAACGAGAATGGATGCAATGAAATCAGGGGTCACAGTAAGATATCTTGTTCCTTCATATCTCGCGATGCTAACCTTTCAAGTGCCTGGTTTCCGAACCGCCTATAACGCAGTCACCCGGGGTTTGGTATGATCAAGGGAATTCCGTGCATTGATACCACTGTACAATAATCTTAAAACAATGCATTGAATATGAGCCTTTCTCAACATCGATGAGTTATCAACTAACTGCTCCAGAGCTGCAGTATATGGACCTCCTTACTAAAAAGTTTGGTGATGGCATCCTAACGAAGTGTTCCCGCCCTTCTATAGCCATTTTTAGATGTATCATGTAACTATATAACTAGCAATTGACCACTTTCTTCTGATCATATGCGAAAAAAGCCTGTAGAAGTTGTATACTTCGCTGACCGCCAACTGGCGGGCTCCCCCTCGTGCAAACGGAGCAAACCCACCACCGCAGCTCCAAAAATTGCCCGGCACAACAGCTCCATCCACTCCCTTACATCAACTTTGATACCCAGTCGCATTTTCCCAGACGCGACATCAGATCATGTCACTTCAAATCCCAGGTCCCTCCCAAGCGGGGCTTTTCAAGCAGGGTTACCAGAGGTAAGTCGAAAAGTTGAGCCCGAAAACCCGCCCGCAATAGGGACCTCCTTATCTGGCTCCCAAATAACTCCAAGAAACAATTCAATTGACTGTCTTCCTCCTACCTAGCCACGATGCGGAAGATGGAGCCGTCATCCGTAACATCGAAGCCTGCCAGGCTATCTCGGGTACCGTCCAGACCTCCCTGGGCCCCTATGGCCGCAACAAGATCGTCATCAACCACTTGCAGAAGATGATTTTGACCTCCGATGCGGCGACTATCCTCCGCGAGCTCGATGTTGTTCACCCCGCTGCTAAGCTGCTCGTTATGGCCAGTCAGCAGCAGGATGCGGAGATGGGCGATGGTACCAACTTGGTCATTGTGTTGGCCGGTGAGCTGTTGAAGAAGGCAGAGGAGTTGATCCGCATGGGCTTGAAGACGAGTGATATTGTTTCCGGATATGAAAAGGCTCAGAACTTTGCCATGGCCACTCTCGAGGGTATGTTCTTTTGCTTGGTTGGTTGACAAATGAAGATGGCTGATTTCGTCTAGAGCTCGAGGTCGACAGACTCCAGGATATGCGATCAGCGACCGAACTGAGCAAGGCTCTCCGCACAGTCGTGGCTTCCAAGCAGTCCGGCACCGAAGATACCCTGGCTGCGTTGGTTGCCGAGGCGGTTCTGGCCGTGCTTCCCCAAAATCCGCTCAACTTCAACGTCGACAACGTGCGAGTCGTTAAGATTATGGGTGGTAGCTTGGAACAATCCAAGGTTGTCAAGGGTATGGTCTTCGGCCGGGAGCCGGATGGAGTTATCAAGAAGGCCAGCAGAGCTAAGGTCGGCGTGTTCAGCTGCCCCATCGATATCAGCCAGACCGAGACCAAGGGCACAGTTCTCCTGAAGAACGCTCAGGAAATGATGGACTTCACCAAGGGTGAGGAATCGCGTCTGGAGGCTGCCATCAAGGAGCTCTATGACTCCGGCCTCCGCGTCCTTGTTGCCGGCTCCACCGTCGGCGACCTGGCCATGCACTACCTCAACCGCTTCAATATCCTGGTCGTCAAGGTTTTGTCCAAGTTCGAGCTCCGCCGCCTGTGCCGTGTTGTCGGCGCTACACCTCTTGCCCGTCTGGGTGCTCCCATGCCCGATGAGATGGGCCAGATCGACGTCGTCGAGACCACCGAGATCGGTGGTGACCGTGTCACCGTCTTCCGCCAGGAGGATGTCAATGCCGTTACCCGCACAGCCACCATTGTCCTGCGCGGTGCTACCCAAAATCACTTGGAGGACGTTGAGCGCGCCATCGATGACGGCGTGAACGCTGTCAAGGCCATCACCAAGGACCCCCGCTTGGTGCCTGGTGCCGGTGCCACCGAGATCCAGCTCGTGGAGCGCATCTCCAACTTCGCCGACCGAACCCCCGGTCTTCCCCAGCACGCTATTCGCAAGTACGCCGAGGCCTTCGAGGTCATCCCCCGCACACTCGCCGAGTCTGCCGGTCTCGATGCCACCGAGGTTCTCTCGCGCCTGTACACCGCACACCACCGCGCCTCTAATGCCGAGTCATCTTCCGAAGAGGAGGGCAGCTCTTCCGAGGAGGAGGATCACTACTGGACTACAGGTGTGGATCTTGAAATTGGCGAGTCTGACGGTACCCTTGATACCGTTGAGGAGGGTATCCTGGATCTTTTGGCTTCTAAGATGTCTGCGATCCGCCTGGCCAGTGAGTCTGCCCGGACGGTGCTGAGCGTTGACCAGATCATTGTCTCCCGACAGGCGGGAGGCCCTAAGCCTCCGCAGGGTGGAGGTGACTGGGACCAGGACTAAATAAAAAAAAAGGAGAAATGAGGGTCTGAACGCTGTTTGATATTTGAGGCCTGATAGATCTTCGTACGATGATACGCTTATTGAGAACCATTGTAAATTGGACTACCTTTCTCTACTAGTAATCTTCTACAATTTACAATTCACAAATAATTTCTATGATACTGTATATTATATCTTCTTTCAAAGACAAAAGAGAAGAAGAGATAGACCCATCCAAGACTTTATCATTTCTATGTTTGCCTTATAGATAAACATCGACGCCTCAGGCACCATATAATCACGTGCCACTCCCAGATTTTCCTCGAATGTTTCCTTTTGTCTTGATATCAACGAGCGCGATTTCATATCCCACCACTTTTGTCTAATCCCCTTATCTCTGGAGCTTCCTGCCTCATCCTAATCTCCGCCATGTCATTCGCTACCCAGACCGCAGCTCGCTGCGCCAGACAGCTCTCCGGCTCCGTCCGTCCATCCTCCCTGCGCATCGCGACCTCCGCATACCTCACAGCCCGTCGCACACCCAGCACCCAACGATGGGAATCCACCGCTGCTGCCCCCACAAACCCTAAGATTTCCCAGATTGTGGACCAGATCAGCACATTGACCCTGCTTGAGACTGCCGACCTGGTCTCCAGCTTGAAGGTGGGTTTACCAAATCAATTGAGTGGCATTTTCGAATCAAGACATGCGACATAGTCCATCTCTACTGCCGTCAAGGCTCTTCCCGTCAATTCCAGACTCAATTGAACCAACCGATTTCACACTGGACCATCACTAACAGCACCACAGACCCGCCTGAACATCCCCGACCTCCCCGTCGGCGGTTTCGCCATGGCCGCCGGCGGTGCCCCCGGAGCCGCCGCCCCCGTTGAGGAGGAAGAAGCCGCGCCCGCCGCCGCCGAGAAGACCCTCTTCAACCTGAAGCTCGAGTCCTTCGAGCCCACTTCCAAGCCCAAGGTCATCAAGGAGATCAAGACCATGCTCGGCCTGTCGCTGGTTGACAGCAAGAAGTTCGTCGAGTCTGCACCCAAGATCCTGAAGGAGTCCGTGCCCAAGGAGGAGGCAGAGAAGATCATCGAGACCCTCAAGGCGCTCGGTGCTAAGGCGATTATGGAGTAAAAACTGTATCAGAAAGGGATAGATTGGAAAGAGAGCTCGTTTCTTTGTCTTGGAGATCTTGAGCTCTTATTGTTTGGGGCTGATCAAGGCAAAATGTACATTATACGCATTGTGTTCTGGGACCGTCTGGTACAGAGGGCTCGTTTGGTTAATTGATGCATTTAGCACATGCTGCTTTCCTTCAGTAATAAGTAAAAAGTAATTATTAAACTGTTTAATTGGTCTTTAGCAACATGAGTAACCTCAATCGAGTCAATCGAGTCGAATTGATGGAGTTGGTGTATCACTAAATGGCGAAAAAGCAGTGCATACATATGTCGGACTGAGCTTTGGGGTTCCGATCTCCAACTTACAAAAAAAAAAACTCCCATCTCAACAACACACAAGTTCTACCAGAGCCCTCATGACCAAAACACGAGCGCCTCTATTATGGCGTCAACTACACCAAACCCTCAATCCTACATCTCAATCCCTCCGCACAAGCGCGCAAGCATGCACAGCTTTGTCCCGTCATCATGCACGACCCTTCCACACCACCGAACACCGACCAGCACGCCAAGCACCATCCCTCCGAGATGCTGAGCGGCACAAAGTTCCCACTGGGGGCAAAGATGTATATAAACTTAAAAATGGCTTGAGCGTTGACCGCGATGGTTTCTGGTGGGGTGCGCTCAGTGCAGATGTGAACATTATGCTCGGAGAGTTCGAGGAAGCCGCGCATATCCTCTACGAAATGTCTAATGAAATGAACCTGATCCCCCCAGGTGTTAATTTCGCAACCTTCAAGTCTGTCGGCGAGCAGGTGATCAGGAAGTCGCACTCCGAACTTCCCTCGGCGAAGAGCGTGCGCACAATCTCAATAGGTAAGGGAACATAAAATGCATACTATGGCCCATAAAACATATCCCCAGAAACTGACTACATACCCAGATGTCGACGCCGTCTACCGAATCGCGTTCATGCTTATGGTCCTCCCAAAAGGCCAACTTGTTTTGGAATGGACGCGAAACGCCTGCGCACAAGCCAAATCCCGCCGTGCCCTCACCGAAGTAGTAAACCGGTACATTGAAATACCCGCCATCGACATCCACCGCAACAACGAGTGGATTGCGACAGTGAAGGACTTCGCCCTGGTAGACGGTTACCCACAGGCGATCATGCTATACGCGAAGATCCTCACGTGGCGTGGCGAAACCGCCCAGGCTGCCAGTCTCATGGAAAAGGAGATCCTACCCTATATCTCGCCCGTGGCTAGGAAGCCCGTCGTATGGAAAGACCTGACGTTATATGGGACTATGGATTCGCCGCTGCGGCTGTACAGCCTTGCTATTGCCGATACAAAGGGGATCGCTGCTGCTGCGGAGCTGGTGCGGCGAGCGGCGATCGAGTACGCGGAGCCAATTGCGTTGACAGAGATTGCTATTGCGCAGCTGGAAACGAATAACTTTGAGAAATACGAGGAGTACATGACCATGGCGGCGTCGGCGGGGTACGGCAATGCTTGCTACCACCTTGCGAACTACTACTATCGAGTTTCGACGGGCGAGTTCGCGTCGGCCGAGGAGGAAGCAGTAAAGAGGAAGCAGGCTAGGAGTGCTGAGGGTGCGGGCTTGTTCGGCTCACTTGATGGTATCCGGGAGTGGGCTGGTTCCTTGGTCCACAAGCCTTTGACTCGCAAAGACTATCTCAAGCTTGCGAGTGAGTGGTACAATGTTGCTTTTGCAACGGGTGTCTCGAATGCTGGGTTCATCTTGGCTCTGATTTCTCGTAACGCTGGCGATCTCGAGGAGTCACGCATGATGTATGACGCAGTTCCCCAAGAGAATCTTCTCAAATATTTGCCGGCAAAGGCTCTTCGAGAATTGGATACCAGGTGGGATGACCCGACATTTGAACCTGGTCTACCGCCTAAGCTCTTGAGACTTGGTTGAGTCGCCCTGTACAATAATCCTTCATATGTATATATATATCCCATGCGTTGTATAACATTTTGTCCGAGCTTGGCTTTGATTCATCTATATATCCCCTTGAGCGCACGTATATCTCATCTTAAGTTCCAAAGCAACATCATCAAACCCGTTACGGGCATTGAGGAGAGAAAAAAAAAGTCCAACGCCCGCCCCGATTCACCCCCGGGTCCAATTTTCATATCAAACACCCAACAAAGACAAAGCGATCAGACTCCAACCCAACTCTATGGGACCAAAAGAAATGCATATGCAAAAACACGACACGACAAGACCATCACCGCCTCTTCTTCCCCTTCCCCTTCCCATGCCCTCTAGTTTTCAACTCCACAAACCCCAACTCCTTCAACCCCTCCGCGAGAATCGACGAATCCCGCATTCCAGGAAAGTCCTTAGCAGGATACACCCGGAAGGGATCCGACCATGCCTCTGCAAGGATAGGCATGGACTGCCCCGTATCCTCGACGGAGCCCCAATTCATCAGTCGGAACTGAAGACGGTAAAGGCCCGCCGAGCGAATAGACAGATCGGCAAAAATGAAAAAGGTAGCTGGGTGGTGGAGGCGACTGGCCGCGCCGAAGATGTGCACACTAGGGTCGGGGATGGAGGAGGGGTGTGCGGGTGCTGAGTTCGGGTCTGGGTCTGCATTTACGTAGAAGGGCGACATGAACGCTTTGCCGGAGAGCAAGGGGGTTGAGAGATCATCGTCTGTGCGGGCGATACCGCCTGTATCTCTTTCGTGGTCTCGCTCTCGCTGGGGATCGGTGTCTGTTGGTTCGGCCCAGGGGGAGGAAGGCGAGACGGGGAAGAGGAGACAGCCTACTGTAAAGCGGGGGTCTTGGAGGAGGTCGCGGTCTTCTTGGGAGTTTGGGTCGAAGTCTGTGAGGAGGATTTGGACGATTGGGGGTGGGTCGACGGGGCGGCGATCTCGATCACCTGCGCCGCAGGCTCGTGCGGCGACGGGCTGTTGGCGGACGTGGAGGTGGTATCTGGATTGGGTAGATGGGCGTCGCGGAGGGGAGTCTGGTTCTGGGGAGTGGTGGAGGAGCTTGTCGAAGCCGTGGGGCATTCTGTAGGTGTTTCGAGATTGGGGTTTCGGTTCTTGTTTGATGGTCGGTGGTGTAGGGTTGAGAGCTTGTAGACCTGCGCTTTTATCCGACCAGACGGGACTGGGCATGGCTGTAGAACTGCTGCTATGTCTGTATAGATATGTTAGATCGTGTTCTTGTACCAACGTATGGTTCCGCTTTGTGTGACCTGACACAGATGTTACATGGGATTTTGTACGGGATCTCGAGCCAGAGACATCAGGATGGATGACTGACAGATAGAGGTGATTCATTCGACAGAAACAGAAAGAGAGGAACTTTACTGGGACTCCACGTCATACGTCCGACTCTGTTGACTATCATAGTTATGGGCTTGGCCCAGGGCTGGGTTCGGTCCCTCTTCGTAGGGTGCATAGTAGCCACGGGGATCAAAAGTTCCTGTTCGTAGTGGAAGCATTTGTGGTAGAGGTTGTCGGGTCATAAAGACATTGTCGGCTGGAGGCATATATCGTGGATCTGCACTTCTCTCGGGATACCCCAAGGCAGGAAGCCGAGGGGCGAATGGTGTAATCCCAGGTCGTTCACAGCCCGTTGATTGAAATTTTTGAGACTCATATGGATAGGGCAAAGGTATCGGACCATATTGATTGCGGGGGACTGAATCCATGTATGGACGATCCGACGTGGGATGCCCACATTTTTGAGGCGGCGACATCGGTTCTTCACAAGGTGCACGAGCCGACAATGGGTCCTTGTGTTATTGTTTAATGGGTTTTGTTTCTCGCCGTGTTCGGCGATTCAACAGAAGCATTGAAGTCCGAGCGTGTCAGATCACGGAGTAGATTCAACGTCTGTAGAATTATATATGTTCAATATGTTCAAGGGGTAAACGAAATGGAGAAGAAAATTAAAAAAAAAAAAAAAAAAACATGTCAAAACATGAATGCATATCCTGGATCTGCCTACGGTCAAGGCATCTGATAAGCCGCATGTGAATGCAGCAAGTTAATAGTGTTAAGTCTCCAAATCTTCTGTGGAACTCGGGATCTATACTTGCCTCCGAAGGGGAGGGAGGGGGGGGAGGGATTGGAGAAGTTGAACTAGTTGAACTTCATAGAAAAGTGATAGAAAAGAAAAAAAAGAAAACTGTTCAGAAAATAAAATTTGCCCCAATATTTACCCAATCACTTGGGGCTGAATGTGACAGGGAAGGTTAAGTGGAGATATCAGAATGATTTTCTTTCTTCCCTTTTTCTTCTTCTTTTTCACAGGAAATACACACCCTCAATTCTAGACGCATACGATTGGGTGCTGTACCCACCGATGGTATCAAGGGAAGAGCCGGGGGGAACGGGCCGAGCGGGCATGTTTTTGCCACGAGAAAGGAGCAGTGGGTGCCTTGTGTGGATATTGGTTCTTGGTGCGTGGGAGAGCTGAAACCACAACTTGGTTCCTGGCAGCAATTTGCGTTCAAGAGTGTCCAAAGATGGAAAGAGTCAGAAAAATAAATAATAAGAAGGTTGCAGTTGTGGAACTGAATGGCAAGTTGATAAAATTCGAAAGTCCATTTAATTTTTATGTCGCCTGTAATTGACCCATTTAGTGGATAGTTGGAAAAAACCAGTAAAAAAGTAGAATAAAAGTCAAGTCTTTACCTTTGGGCAAAAGGGTTCTTTTTTTCTCTCTTGATCGTCTTCTTCTTCTCCTTTTCTTACCCCTAATCAATGCGGAACTACAATATACAATATAAAACAATATTGTACGGTGTAACGAACTTGATGCCGAAAAACTTAGATCTCCGCTTTATAGAGTAAAGAACAGTTGTTTCGTAGAAAATTAACCAGGAACAACGTGTCGATCTATCGAATCTTGACCGACTTTGGAATGAGCTGTGACCAATTTACCGGGGTTTGGGACAGTCTCAGTGGCGATGATTGGCGTATAACCGTTTCTTGGCAATTAAAGAACCACACAACGGGGAGGATCTGTTCTTTACGTCAGTGGCACTTGACTCATCACGATATTGGCTTTGGAATCCCCTCCCCCCCCGCATGCTCCGAGCAGAAAAGGGCAATATTTCGGAGGGAAGATGGGGGAGGCATACCCTCGATACCCTGAAGCTTTCCAGGAATTCAAAGGTCAATTAGCGTTTCAAAACATAACGCTCTGACCATGCGTGGGTCAAGAAGTGGATATTTGACACTTACGATGGACCAAGGGGCTGTCAGATCGATCGACGAGGCAGCTATGGTGAATTTGCAGGCGAACGAACTAAGGTTAGATAAACGAGCCCGAATGGGTCCATGCGCCACTGCCTCCACAATCCTTTTTCTCCAAGAACAACAATTCGAGAGACTCGGATCCGACAATTGGCCTGCCTTCTACCGGTGGTTTGGGATAGTGTGGGCCGTATTTAGTGTGTGCGCCATATTCGTAAGCATCTTGCAGAAACCAAGCAATTGAAGAATTATGTCCTTGTAAAGGTTGAGACAATTTGTCGAAGCAGGCTGAACTTCAAATCCTATCGGCTGATGCGGCAGATGTAATTTTTTATTCCACCGTGGTGCTCTTGCATCGAGCCTGCGCAAATCAATGTGCTGCTAACGAACTTTGAGTGGCTGCAAATCGGAATTACCGGCCCTAGAAAGAAAAGGTCTCCACCCAGAATCAGACTTTTTTTCTCGGTACAATTTATGCAGCTGGGAGGTGTGGCTGCGCTGGATTCCCAACAAGTTTCCCCATCGGGGTTCTTGCGGAGTTGCCGCAATCTGCACGCCACTGCGAGAAGCAGGGATTCCATGTGCTCGTCGTTGCACAATTGTATGGAATAGGAAATGATGTTCGCATAGGCACATTACCATTCATGGTCAGGTACATTAAAGAGTTGACAATCATTCCTTCCAAGGTTGTATCCTTGTTGTCGATCCTGTACTCCGTAATCGAAAATGGTGTGACCCAATGGCTTGGGCCTCTATGGATGTGGAAACCCCACCAGAGTGCGTGTGGATGAACCGAGAACCGAGCAGGGATTGGAATACCAGTTAAACGGTTGTGCCGAGATGATCGGCAGACGTTGTCAATTGGCAGGGAATATCCCCGTTGTGCTTGATGAGATGGGTTGGTTGCCTCGGGGGCAACCTGGGAACTGCCATGCAGATATTCTGCCAGTTGACGATAGTATCACCGCTATGTACAAAAATCCTTGTTAGTGCCCAGCTGTCGTTATTTGCTTAAATCTTTTGATTTTGTACATTGAGATTGCTTTATGCTACTGGAACTAATCATAGTCCAGATCTAGACTTGGATCTATATCCAAGTGGTAGGGTCCCCAGCAATTCCGAGGGTGTGTGGGAGTTCCACTAGGAGATAGTGCCTGTTCCTCGGAATTGGAAGAGAGCCTGATATGCATCAAAGCACCAAGAGGGCCAACCGGCATCGGTCCACTGTCAATAACTCCGGTATTCTGCCCGACATACAGTCCGAGAAGTTCACCGAAATGACGATCCCAAACGACAATGTACCCGGAGGACTGCCATGGTTCGTCCGGACTATACCGCATATCCATGCAGCCAAGTTGCATTAGATGTAAGGTATTGGCCCCCGACTGAGGCGCTCCACCAACGATCAAGCGAGCCCGAAGGAGTCCGAGACTCGGCGGAGAACTAGGTTTGGTGGAATCATGCAGCACAGAGATCCTGGAGTCAGACAATTCTATCGGTGAGTGCTCCGGGAACCAACACAGTTCGAATCCTTCAAACTTAGAGCGAAATTCCTGTAGCCGCTCTTTCCTGTAATCAAGGTGCGTGACAATCTGCAGAGATTGTCCGTTGTGGTCATGCAGTAGATCAGCGATCCTGGTCAATGCAGCCGGTGACTTGGAGCATCCATGGACGCGAAGTTCTGCGTATAATTGGCCTCCATGACTTGAGTTGACACCGCTTTTGTTATTCTTGGGCACAAGTTGGTCTCCAAAGGCTTCCCATATTGACTCTGAGGGCTCTGGAGCCGTAGTGGAATGTTCTTGGCTTTGAGGGTCCCACTGAACCCCCATTCTCTGGCCCATGTCTTTGAGGCGAGCCTCGAGTAGCTCAAGATAGTCTTCTCCCCGTACTAAATCAGGTAATGCTTCACCCACAACAGGGTCATCCACGAACACCTGGAGATTTGAAAACCTCGAGATGAACGGAAGAGTGTCACCACACCGCTGAGAGACATCTTCTAGATATTTCACTGCAATCTCCGAGCGGACGTTTTGTATTAATGTCAGCACTACTTGATAAGCAGCGAGGCAGCTGTGATGATCTTTGGGCTGGAGATTTTTCAAAAAGTCGTTCCAGCATTTGTGAAGTACCTCATCGCTTCCAAGCCTGGCAAGAAGATAAATGTATTCTTGACCACGGATGTGAGAGCTGAACCGTCCGTCGGGCTGATCGATATGCTTCCTCCAGTACAGAATATCATGCAGTATGGGACGGTTCTGGGGAACTAGATCCGCCTCGCCCTCCCCTGTAACTGCAGCAAGCATGGGAGTTGGATCATAGTTTGGGTCTTCGAAAGTCTTGCAGTCAAGTGCCTCGGAACATTGCTGAACTATGCGTATGCTCTCCCTGGCGCCTAGAACTGGCAAGCCCACAAGTTGATGGTTTCTCACAAACTGCTCAAGAGCGGAAGGCGAAAGATCAAGCACCGCAAGAGATATCCCTGTAGCGTACGTCCCAGGCTGAACTTGGAGCTGAAGGCGATTGAGCCTTGCAATAAGGTCACTCACCACTGTGATGATCTCTTGTATTGTGTTTTGTCGTTGACAGCGCTGCAAAGCAAATCGCAGCAACGTGCTGTTTTCGGCCTGCAAGAGTTCCGATCCATGGGCGTCTTTGACATATCTCTCAATCAGACTCCGCAAGAAAGATATGTTGGGGGTTTCCGCATCGAGGCCTCGCAGCAGCTCTTCGTTGCGTAGGGTAAGGCCTTTGAGAGAAGTCCATAATGAAGCAGGTGGCGAGTTTGACTTCCAATCAGTAGAAAAAAGACCGTTCAGATACCCCGATAGTTCTACATCAGCATCCGAGCTCTGAATTGGCTTTGTTGAGCCTGTCAAAGTGAAACGAAGAAGCTCGGACGGTGATGGGTCATGCAGTTGCTTTGGGGACTGGATCGGAGTATAAAGGTTGCGCACCAATTGCCGTGATAGTAGACAAAAATGCCTTTGTCTTTTCTTTTGTAGCAACAGTCGAGTGTACACCCCTCCCATGTTTGGTAGAATGGGCGACAACCCGTACCAAATAACTAGTTGATCGGAAGATGTGGAGAAGATAAACACGGCGATAAGGGGCAAGTCTGGGGTTTACCCGGCAGATCAAAAGCGGTATACGCGGAATACTGCCATAGAGCGGTACCAGGAGCGGTATGACGGGCCGTATTCACTTTTATCTCATCGACCAGCTTTAACTTCTCAACCTCGCTGCCACAACACTCGCCGCATTACACTCGCATTTGATATTCATCCTGGCAAATAGTATTCAACATGGTACGAACACGAAATGCAGACAAGGCTGTAAAGGCCGAGGGGAAAGAAGAGCAGATCGTCGAGCAGGCGACCGAAAACGACAACACTCACGAAGCACACGTTGAAGCACCCGAGACGAATACCAAGGCCCCTTTAGAGGAAAAGAAAGATGACGCTGCTCCCAAAGCGAACGATAGAATGGCTAGATTCAAAGCCTTGCAAGCCCGAGCTGTAAGTGATCTTCAACTTAACTTTGTTGGCTAGTAGGCCTGACCAACTTGGATACATGACTGACACCAAATTAGAAATCCGCGACAGAACGCAACTTGAAAGAAACCGCAGCTGAGTCTCAGCGCTTGACTACCGATCCTGCTCTGTTAAATAACTTGTCCCGCAAGCATGCATTCGCTTCACACAACCTCCTCAAAGCAGACACAGAAGCGGCTGGAGAAGACTTTGAGCGCAAGCGCGCATGGGATTGGACAGTTGACGAGTCAGAAAAGTGGGACAAGCGCATGGGGAAGAAGCAGCGCCACCGAGACGATGTGGCATTTAAGGATTATTCTCAGGATGCCCGCAAGGTGTACAAGAGACAGTTGAGAGATCTGCCGCCCAATTTGGAAGCATACCAGAAAGACAAGATCGCTGCTATTGAAAGAGCTGCTGCCAACGGTGATCTTGAGATCGTGGAGACCGAAGACGGCGAAATGATCGCAATCGACAAGAACGGGAGCTTCTATTCTACTGCGGATTCAACCGGCTTTACAGACAGCAAACCAGATCGTGCTGCTGTTGACAGACTGGTCGGTGATATCCAGAAGGCCGAGGAAGTGCGCCTCAAGAAGCGCAAGGAGCGTCGTGGTGGCGATGATGATTCGGATGTGACATACATCAACGAGAAGAACAAGCAGTTCAACCAGAAGCTGGCTCGCTTCTATAACAAGGTCGGTTTCCACCTGATTAGCTTTTTTTGGGCCTATCCACTAACAGATCTATAGTATACAACCGAGATTCGGGACAGCTTCGAACGTGGCACTATGATCTAATGCGAATATGAACTTGATTGCGATATTTTACATGAGTGGAAATCCTGGGCCGTGCTTGGAGGCACCAGACATCGATCAACTAGCAGAGATTCCAACCGTTTTCCCGAATCCTCACAAGATTTTAAAACGTGGCTCGACCCCCAAACTTAGAGCATCGTCTTTCGCCAGGCCTTTGTTGCAAGTGCCTCAATCTGCTTTGTGCCAACTGCACCCTTCGTGGACTCATCCTCCAATGCTTCGACCACCGCCTCACTCACAACATCGACTTTGAGAGGTTTTTCAGCCATAGACCCAAGGAACCCCAGCTTGTTCCCAAGGAAGGTGTTGAACTCAGATGCAACAAAGCCACCCAGTGCGATTGGCAGTGTGAATTTCCGGCTGGAGTCGTACATGAAGCCCGGGCGTATGAAGATGCTCCGTAGATCCGGAAGCGTGGATGTGATAGTAGCCTCCGCTTCTCTCTTAGTGCTGATGTATCTAGCCGGCAGAAGTGGAGCTCCCGCAGCAGCAGAGATGTAGACAAAAGTTGGAACGTGTTCATTGGTGGATTCCTGAGCTAGCGCAATAGCTATGCCACAATAGCATGTTAGTATTTCATATCTCCCTAAAATTATTCGAAATCGATTGTACATACCTGAATCTCTGTTCATCAATTCATAAGTCAATTGTCCATCTTTTTCCTTTGGGTCCAAAGCTTCGCCCTCTTGTCTTGTTAGAGGATTCTGGCTCCCAAGCTTAGAAGTGCTAAAAGCGCGCTGGAGGCCGCTGATAATAGGCTCTCTCCCTTGTACGACACCCTTGTAGTCAGCTTCTAACAGAATTCCCATTGTATGCACAACAGCAGAAGCACCATTGAGATATGACTTGTAGCTCTCGGGCTTCAAGATATCGGCTTTGGCCCACTCCACGGAGCCTGCCCAGCTGGGTCGATCTTTAGAGTCGGTGACTGCGTCCCACCGGGGCTCACCGGATCGGCTAGACGAATATCAGTATTGGCGCTTTATGCATATTCATACACAGGGTAAAGCTACCTTAATGATGTGACCGTCCATCCCCGTGCCGCTGCAGCTTTACAGATTCTGGATCCTAACATACTTGTTAGTAAAATTGAGTCCAGCGATTGTCTTGTTTGGATATCATATACCCAGAAAGCCGCTGCCTCCGGCGACAACCAATCTTTTAGCTGCCATAATATAGCTCTGTGATAGCTCCGGAGAATGATATCACCAAATTTGAAACAACAAGATGATGTGTTGGTCTTGCTGTCTAAGATTGTAATTGAGGATTCCGAACTTAGGCGCAATCAATTTCGAATTTTATATTTTGGAAAAGCTGAAGAATGGAGTAGTCTCTTGATTCGTGAATCCCTAGGTAGCGTCATTCGGTATCCTTTGCCTTTCTATCGGGCCATGTCCGGATTATCATTGTTCCGTTGCGACTTTCTTGCGCCCTTGATCGACCGTAGAAGTAACCATTTAATACAACTCGTTGATACTCAAAAATGCCATCTGCAACAGGAAATAAACGTGTCAGGGTACGTTATTAGCCCGGAAAATATTATGGAATGCCAATTAACATAACTTACAGGGCGTCTCCGTCTTCCGACCATTCAGTATGTCCAGCGCGCATCGTCGTCAACAGTCTCAAACTAACAAATACAGTATTTGGGAGTGTCGCACACCCATTCGACCCCGAACAAAAACCCGAAGACTGCCCACCCGACCACACCCACAGATGGCAGATCTTTGTCCGCGGAATCAACGGCGAAGACATCTCCTACTGGCTCAAGAAAGTGCAATTCAAGCTCCACGAGACATATGCGCAGAACGTGCGCACAATCGAGCAGCCACCCTTCGAAGTTTCCGAAACAGGCTGGGGTGAATTCGAGATCCAAATCAAGCTTTACTTTGTCCCAGAATCGAACGAGAAGCCCCAGACCCTATGGCACAGTCTGAAGCTTCACCCGTACGGGCCGGACGCGGAGGGAATGAAAGAGCGTCGGGAAACAGTAATCAGCCAAAACTACGAAGAGATAATTTTCAACGAGCCCGTCGAGCCCTTCTACGAAATCCTGACTGGTGGTTCGCCAGGTGCACCGGCTGGCAAGAGCAAAGGGAAAAATACTAGGCAGCCAGCTCAGAGCAGGACAGCCAATATTCCAAGTGGGGATTCTCCTGGTAATCCGTACAGTCGGGTTACGGAGAACAAGGAGCTTGATCGGCTGGCTGAGGCCACGCAGACGGTTGAGCAAATGATCAGGGAAGAGAAGGAGCGCTTGATTGAAAAGGAAAAGCTATTGGCTGAGCTTAGGGAGAGCGAGGGTGTTCCTGCCAACACGAAAAAGCGGTGATTTCCGTGAATCCTCATTTCAGTCCAGACCAAGCTATTAGCCGTGGTTGGCTTTTGAGAACACTCAAGATCTGTTGGCCGATAACCCCTCACTCCTCCGATCCTAACTTAATGGCTGAATGCTCAGTGCCAAAATGACTTGACATGTGTCTCGCCGGGGCTTTTCTTGGTGCTATCGCGCGCCATGCCATCCATGGAAACAGATATATCGGCCCGAAGCCTGTATTCTTCCGGTACTTCCGATCTGTTGCTTTTTAATCCCAAGTGTCACCTTTCGGTCAATGTTGGGATGAAACCATGTTCATACGACACACGACTTGTACATGTTACCCCTCACCACTCGCATGCATAGCCTCACGGCGTGACGAGTCCCACAAGTGTTTCATCATTTGTCAGAAAGCATAGCAGCAGCACAAAGCACCGAGAATACCTACCCAATCAAGATTGGAATGGTTCTCGGTCTGCGGACCTATCATTGATTGCCAGTTCGTGATATTACAATACTCTCTCAAACAAGGATCAGCCCATGGAGGTCATTAAACAATGATAGTACTTGTTTGACATAACATCAAGTCACTTCAGAGTACAATAGTATCAACAAGTCTATCAAACAAATATCGGAAATAAATGGTCGTAAAGTCGTAAGAGCTCTCCAGCGAACCTTTAGCACTTGGCATCCCGCACCGTGTCCCTCGTCTGCTTCAAGAAAGGCATCAAGTCTGTGCCACCAGTACCAGAAAGCGTATGGTTCGACTCATCCCTTCCCTTCATGCTAACCGTGGCCAAATTGACCTTCTCAACATCTTGTGTAGGTTTAGGTCTCCTCGCTGCTAGCACGATGTACCGGGTGACCATCTGGATGTGTGTATCCCGGAACTTCATAAGCTCATTCACAGCCTCATTGTATGCTTGCCGTTCAGGTGACTTTTCCCCAGCAGACAGGATGAAAGAGCGAATGTTTGATCGAGTAGTCAGATCCTCAAGGAAGCGTCGGTCAGGACCAGGCATGTACTTGCGCATCTCCTATAATAGTCGTCAGCACTGCAACATTCAAACCGTTAAAGACTGGAAGCCTCCGGCAATGAAGCCCCAAGATATATCTTACATGAATGAATGTAGGCCCAGATGCTTTCTTCCCGCCCGTCGCAGAATGTTCGACTCCAAGGAAGATATCAAAGGCTTGAATCAATGAGCTCTGCGCATTACTACCACCACTCAATTGGAGCCAGTTCTCGGGTTTTTCATCTCCACCAACGTCATAGTAAACACCCTTCGGCAGACCGGCATGGCCCATATTCTTGCTACCAGCCAGCAAAGGTCGAAGCTGATGGAAGAAGAAGGCTGCATCAGTATGCTGATACATTCTCTTGAGAATGATAGCGAGATCATTGAGTCCATCGGCAAGGGTGTACAACAACGCAGTGAGAATATCCGTAGCGTTCACAGCAACTGCTTTCATCGCATCTTTCATCAGCGAGATGAGCTTTGTACCACGGGCCTCGATAGCAACTGAAATCGCCATAAACCACTCTTCATCCTTGGCGCCCGTGAACGAGGTCTGAACCTTGAGATTGTCCGGGTCGGAGATGTCTGCTCCCGGATGTCTTGCCTTGAAGTTCCACAGTGCAAGACCTGCATAGGTAGCGCAGGCAGGGATCTCGAGGTGTGCTGCTATCTCAAGGAAGGGCTTTGCAATTGACGGAGGGAGTCTCTGTAGACATTTCTGTTAGAATGGCAGGTTTGTTACTTTGACTGGCTGTACATACTTCACTTGGTTTATCCCCGCCCCAGATATAACTGTGGGACAAGTATCCCATGATCACATATGCTCGCCGCCATTCAGGTTCTGTTTTGAGGTGTTCCGTCGAGCAGATGGGCATGGTATCAATCTTATTCCTGATCTCATTGGTCTTGATGAGGGTGGGTAACCGGTCGGACAGTTCTTCCCAGGCGCTATAATAGGGATTCAATAGTTTCGTTAGGGGGGCAGCATTGGGAAGGAAGCCGGTGATGGCATAGTCCTTGAAAAGATCACTGATGGTTGATTCTGTAGTTTGGAGCATGTTGAGAGGTGTGCTGACGAGGAACCGAAGAAGGCGAGCACAGTTTTTATAGCAGTATTCCAAGGTTTCTTTCTCAATGATACGATAATATCATGAAACTGAAACAATACTATATTATCTCACAGGCCCAAATTTCTACTACGGCTTGCATCGGGGCATTTAGTCAATATCTATACAATCCGGAAGAAACGCGGATACACATCCGTGTTCCGCCTCCGGTGTATGACGACGGCTATCTAACTGGGCGCTGTTCTGTATTGTGGGCTCTGCCTTGATAGGAACGTAATGGAATGCACCTTGTGAATTGGAGTAGTCCTTATTCAAATGATGTGATTGTCCTGCAGGGCTAGCAATCAACTTGCATCGTCAGATCACATGTAGGCCATCTGCACGCAATGCATGGAAGCCTGAAAGAGTATTGTAATATGAAAATCGAGGGAGCAGAAGCGAATGAAACTAATCATGAAAATGAATCTCATAGTTAGTGCAATCATTATTCATGAAACAGGATGGTGTACAAAGCCGATCTTCATCATATCTTTCTACTAATCATTGCGCTCTACCGACAATACTAATCTATATAGCGTAGTGGGTGACTTTCTCTTCCTCATCTTTTTATGTAATTCTGTGCTATTTCTATGCATTCTCTCTTTGATCTGTTTCCGTTAGATTTTCGTCCTAGGCTTGAAATTATAAATGATAATCTAATCGGGACGGAATACCAGAGCGGAAGCGGATATTGTTCCGGGTTGCATTGGAGGTGCAGCTCCCCCGTCCCTGATTCGATGCTTCCTTCTTATAAAAGCAGTAGTACGTGTCCGAGCTGCAACAGCAACTTTCCCCTCGTTCATCCCCCGGCGATTTCTTTTATTCACCCTGGTTATTATCCGCCCTTCTACATACCTGGTCATTGCAACAGCACCACCAAGATGACTGCCACAAAAGCACTCAAGCCTGTATTCAGCGAGGAGGCAGCATCGCAGGAATATGCGGCATCGTTAGATGCAGCGGATCCTCTGCGCGAATTCCGCGATCAGTTCATTATTCCCTCAAAGGCTAATCTTGCAACTAAGAAGCTGGCCAAGCCAGGTAAACTTATTGTATGCACCAGGCGTCACTTGATGAGACTAACGTTGTCCTACAGGTCTTTCGTCAGAGCCTAGCACATACTTCTGTGGCAACTCACTAGGCATTCAGCCCAAGGCTGTATCGAAGTATATGGAAGCCCAGCTGGACACTTGGGCGTCTATTGGTGTCTGCGGGCACTTCACCACTCTCGAGGATTCACCTCTATCGCAATGGCAATTACTAGCCGAGCAGGCGGCAGCTTCGATGTCTAAGATTGTGGGTGCGCAGCCTGAAGAGGTTGCCGCTATGGGCACATTGACTATGAACCTTCACCTATTGCTTGCTAGTTTCTACAAGCCTACAGAGACAAAGCGCAAGATTTTGATGGACTGGAAGGCATTCCCATCCGATCATGTGAGTTTTGATCAAACAAGAAATTTGAGTTTCAACTGACCGCTTCATAGTATGCAATTGAATCACACGTTGCTTGGCACGATCTTGATGCAAAAGAGAACATGGTTCTCATTGGTCCAGACGAGGGCCAATACGAGATTCAAACAGAGAAAATTCTATCAATCATTGACCAGCATGCCGAAGATGCAGCTTTGCTTCTTCTCCCCGGTATTCAGTATTATACTGGACAGCTGTTTGACATCCCTACAATTACCAAGTACGCTCAATCCAAGGGCCTAATCGTAGGATGGGATCTGGCGCATGCATACGCAAATGTTGACCTGAAGTTGCATGACTGGAACGTCGACTTTGCAGCTTGGTGCACGTACAAGTACGGAAATGCCGGGCCAGGGGCCATGGGTGGACTTTTCGTCCACGAAAGACATGGTCAGGTTGATTACAGCGCTGGGCCCGATACGCCTAAGTTCCGACACCGTTTGACAGGTTGGTATGGTGGTGATAGGTCTGTGCGGTTCATGATGGATAACAGTGAGTTCATGCTATCTTTAATATTCTTCCCATTTTCTGCATTTCATCTCATCTCATACTTCACATTGAAAGTCGAACATGTACTAATTCCCACCAGAGTTCAAGCCCATTCCTGGAGCGGGTGGATTCCAGCTTTCCAACCCCTCCGTCATAGATCTGACCTGTCTTTGCGCGACATTGTCTGTTTTCGACCAGACATCCATGGCAGATCTACGTCAAAAGTCTATCAAGTTGACTGCGTATCTCGAATACCTGCTTTTGAAGGATACAGATGAAGAAACACGTTTGTTCGATATCATCACGCCGTCTGACCCCCATGCGCGTGGAGCTCAGTTGAGTGTTTTGCTTAAGCCTGGCTTGCTGCATAAGGTTTCCGAGCGCCTGCAAAATGCAGGCATTATCTGTGACAAGCGAGAGCCTGGTGTTGTGCGTGTAGCGCCGACACCTTTGTATAACACTTTCTCTGAGGTGTTTAATTTTGTCGAGGAGTTCAAGGGTGCATTGGCTTCTTCATAGACGCGAAGATATAATGTATGTATATAAAATGCTTCTACGAGTTACTCGCTTTCGTTGTCAAATTGGATAGCTCTGCGGATTACCATAATCGGCCATTGAGTTGGAATATAAATACAAAGCGATTTTAGAAGTTCCCAATACTATCCCAATTATCTCCACTGCGCAGAAACTCCTGCCCCTGAGAGAAGAAATTCGCAGCAAGAATCGAGAACTCGTCATTGGACAGAGTAAGCTGCTGAGGCGAGACTAAGGAACTCGATGAATAATCCTGGCCCGGAAATGCAGTATTTGCGCTGAGGGTCTGAGCCTGAATATTCGAAGCTCCTTCTTCCTGCACAGATAACCGGAAAGGTGCCGGCAAAGGCGATGTCTGGGATACTTCTGCGCCGGAAGAAGAGGACCCTGCATATAGAGATTCTCCGAATAGACGCCGAGCAGAGTCAGTATCACTATTAGATGAATATTCCAGTATTTCCCAGAATCGAGAAAGATCAATTAAGAGACTCTGATTTTGTGCGCCTGGGTCCGATTGGTAGGTTGCTGAGACGGCATCCTCTAGTCGTTGAAGTCTGTTGGCCTGTATCAATTACATGGTTAGTTTTGTTTCCTCAACTAGATACCGGGTAGGGCTTCGTACCAACCGAGCCATATGCGGCCATCTCTCTCCTATCCGTTGCACGAAATTAACGCACTTGGTGAATCGTTCACGTTTTTGTTCTCTGATTGTCGAGTTATCTGTGAAACTGAGTTGGAGCTCGATAGTGGCTACTACGGCAGCGCTATACCCCAATAACGGATCCGATACCAAGAACGACTTTTCTTCAAAGTAGTTGATGAAATGAATGATCCAGGTTGTGTGAGATGATATTAGATCCGAAGTGTGCTGCAGAAAGATCTCCGGGATGGTACTTCGGAAATTCCTCAGACTTAAAGAAAGCAGAAGGGGATGATTGAGAAGACACAGACTTGTGTGGTACATGAATTGGTTCAGGAACCATGGACCCCAGTATTCGCGATGTGTCTTCAATTCCTCGAGAGATCGTTCGCCAAGGTTCGCAGGTTTGAACCTGTGGATATATGGCATGCGAGTTTCGAGGTCCATTTGCAAGGCAAGAATTTTGGAATACTCGGAATGAGGAGACCAGGGTGGAACATTGCTGGGTCGGCCATGAAGTCGGACGTATCGCGCTGTTTTGGCGAAGACTTCGCTGAGCATGACAACGTAGGAAATAATTCCCTCGTCTTCCATGTCGCTGCGTCGCATTTCATCAATTGATTGCCCCGGGGAGAGAATAAGTGCCGGGCGAGCTGGACTTTTAGGAAAAGGGGGACCTCCTAGATCTGCTATGTCTAGTATTGAGAAGTCGCCGCCATGGAGTCGTTTGAGCAGACATATACTCCAAAAGCAGCGTCTGCGTTCTTCTCGAACTATTGCGCTCATTGGTGAGCGAGGCTCGACTCCAAGATTGGCACACTGTGCAAGATTCATCGCAAGGCTGCTGTGGATGCTAGAGCGATGTGTGTTGCCATCTGTGAAATAATGGTAAATCAGTCAAATTATACTATGCAATAAAAAGTTCGGCGCATACTTGTAAAATCTACTAAGCTCAGTAGACAGAGGCATTGAAGAGTGAAAAGTTCCACTGGCCCTTCTGATACTCTTTTCATGATAAGCCCTCTAGCAACCTCGGCATAACCGTTCACGAGGCTTGCAGAATCTGTACTATTGTGGTAGGTATAGGAAAACCGCGAAGCTAGTGCCAATATGGCGAAGAGAAGCTCAGCCTCGCGCGTTTGAAGACTGGCGAGAAAGCCATCTCGGTGGAAGAGGGGAAGTGGCTGAGAATCACAATACAGAAGGTATAGCTCTGCAATGGGGATTATCTCTTCCCATGGCGGCAGTGTAATAGATGAATTGGGCATTTTCAATGTCACTGGTGGCACAAGGGGCTCTGTTGATATTCGAGATTCACCTCGCGAGCTGTAAAATGGAGTTAGTGATAGATCTGAAGTGAATAGGAAAGGTTCCTACCCGAGGACGTTGAGAACCTCTCCAACTTTGCTTTCAAGGCTTCGCAATCTATCTTCCTAAAGCAGAGTCAATATCTGCATCAGCATATAGAAGGGCTGATATAGAAGAATACCAGAACATGAGAAGTTCGAGCTTCCAGCTCTATTGGCCTGAACAATTCTTCTGTTGGTGGACGACGCCGCTCCTCGGCGTAAATACATTGCTGTCGTAGCCTGGCGCACAGAGAGCAGACCGGCTGCTCTCCAGGGCATTTGGCTTTCTTGCGCCTGGGAGATATGTTAGTGGCAATGCCTGTAAAATTCTGGTGTGTTATTTACGGACCTGCAAGGCTCACAGGCTTGGCGGACACGCTTAGCTGGTCGCTCTGTATTAGAGAAGTTCTCGTCTTCCATAATCATAGTTGGAAAGCGGAGTGTCACGCATGATTTTCGGAGTTCATTGTAGGAGAATGGATGAAGTATGTCCAATACCGGGGACCAAACCGGACCAAACCGTATCAAGAAAGCTATACTCTTGATGTGTTTACTTCCTTCAAGACCAGTCTATTGATTAAGTAAATAAGGCGCGCCATGAAATGTGCGTGCGTTTGTTGGAATGAAGACCACGATATGCGTCGATGTTGAGATAAATGGTGACTAAGCGATGTTGGCCGCCCGCAGGGCGCCTGAGCGGCGGCCCAACCCTAGCCCTGGAGCCCTGAAGGCACTGAAGGCGCAGGTTGCAAGGCCATCCCGCAGCCAGTACGGACTACATTGGGTCTAGAATCTCCAAAAACTACTTTTATCCAAGGTATTCTGCCGCAACGATATAAAACATAAAAAGTTAGCTGCATACTATATATTTGCGATTGGAAGAGGGTTACGAAGAAAACATCGACAATGTCAAGAAAGACTTCCCAAAGGAAATTAAGCGAAGCATACAAAGTCGGGCAAATGATCAAGTCTCGTAGGCGTCCCTTATCCAAGCTTGTAATTTCAGCGTGATCGACGTGGGTTTGAAAGAAGCCACGCCATGGAGGCCGTCCTTGTCGCACTACTTGGTGAAAAAATGGACTAGCACCGGGTGATATATGGACTAGGTGTACATTAGCCAGAATGGGAGCTAATCCATTTGCTAGGTCTATCGCCGCCTCCCCATTAGATTCCACATTGCCGTGGGTGTCGAATCGGGAGATAGGGACGAGAATGCTAAATAGACAGGGCGACGTAGCCAACTTGTACCCGAACTCATTGATGTCTTGAGGTTTATCGACCTTATTACACAGACTCGGCATTTAAATGCCATGATGTGTAGTCTGCATTTCGGCATAGAATGGTGTAAAATTTCGAGTAAGCAGGGTGGAAACATTGTCTCACAGCTCCAGGTGATATCATGTAGACCCGACAGTTGGCTCACAAGAGCGTGCAATGGCCCCCAGCTGCCATGTTCAGGCCGGGGCACAGAGTTAAAGAGGCCGCGGATATCGTTTTGATAATAAGTTGCAAGGCAACTCAACTCTTCCGTGTTGTCGCATTGATTTATATCCTCAAAATCGGCATTCATATACCCATCTTCAATCGCAGGTAGGTCTCCTCGGACTGATCATTGACAGACACATGGAATTGCGGGAGTGATACTTGCGGTTCACAGATTTACTGTATGTCATGCAAGGTAGCCTCTAGATTAAGACCACTCACCGACGCCAGAATTTTTGAGGCGCATTATGCAAGTGCTACTTGGAATTGCGAATACGGTTTAGCGGACATATCATACAAAAACGATGCATGAAGACAGTGACCATCAATTAGGATCTTGTTCAGGACGGATACTGTTCCAGTTGAAAATACATATAAGGCAACAACAACTCTTGGATTGGCGCTTGAATTGATATATGTACAGCTCCAAATCCGCGTGGCTACCAACCCATCTAACCCCTTCTTGGAGTAGAAATACACCTTAAAAAACAACAAACACCACAGCTCAACATCCAAGAGAACTAAGAATGGTGTTATCCATCCCTATCCAACTGGGTCTCATGACCGACGGTTTAGATCCAGGTCTTGTGGCCCTGTAAACGAGTCAGTATGTCAATTCGGTATATGAATTACGTTCTTCCAGGTAAATGGAAATGGGCAGAGGGAACTCACGAAGACCATGCGGCACATGGCGTAGGTGGTAGCTAGTTCAATTAGTTATCGACTTCATTTCATATCGGAGAAGGGATCCACTCACCAGCACCGAGGCCGTAGACGGAGATGAGGTAGGGGTACATAATGTAGCCGGAGCGAGAAGTCTGTGACACATTTAAACCGTCAGAAATTTGCTAGAGCGAATTGAGGGTATATGGGCCCATTTCGGCTAGGACTAACCTTCCACCATTGGCGCTTGCCATCGTGGTTCTGGAAAAGACGCTGGTAGTAAGGCACACGGTTCTCACGGAACACGAAGCTAAAGGAAGTCGATCAGTATATTTTGCAATAACAAAGCGAGAACGCTCGTCCCGCAACACCATCAATTGCAATTGGACCCGGAGGATCGCAGGAGGAAATTCGATAGTCGTCTCATGATCGGGTTTGTGCGCAGGGAGATTGCTCAGTGATTCGAAGGGAACACGTACCCAGCCATGCGGGAGCTAGTAGCGCGGAACATTTTCGCGGTTGGAAGGTAGAAGGAGCGGGGATTGGAGATTCAACGAGGGCGAGATGGTGTCGACGAAGTTGGCCCGGAATGAGCTGGATATCGCGATCACGTGCCGTCACCTGATCGAATCAGATGTTGTCTCAAGTCATCAGTGCCCAAAAGGGTATAGTGGCAGAAAAGCACTCGGACGCGTATCAACTTTTGAATTGATAGCAACTTATTTGACGTCAGGAGCTAGAAGGATGTTTGACGTCGAGAATTTGCTTTCCCGACCTTCCTTCGTTAAACCCTCATGCGCCCGGCGCTTCTACGACTGTTGAAGAGGCCGTCCGCCGTCTCGATCCTTGACACCCTCGCAGCTACACCGGTCGGAATCGAACAATTGGAGTCGAAGTATAGGTGTTTACGATGCAGTTCACGGAGCGCCAAACAAGAATTACCGGATGAACATAGAAACAGTCCTGCACGACATACCCTTGAAAATCCAAACCGAGGGAAACGGCCATTCAGCTTTCCCATCTATGATATCGAGGAAGCAAGTGAGCGGTCAATCTCTGCGCACACGGATGTCGCGGAGGATCAGACGTCTCTCAACACCGCACAATGCTCTACCAAAGCCCTCGCACTTCGACCGGACAGGCTTGAATTCGAATCGGACGTCGGACACCTCAACAACATTGGAACGCGATTGGTGGACAGTTCGGATAACCGATACAATCTGGACTTGTGGGAGGAGCTTCTTCGGTATCGACAGCGCCATTACGGTGACAATGGCACGCTTGACATATGGGAAGGGCTCACCATCCGCGTGGATGGAGTCCGGCTTCCAATCGACGGAGAACAAGCAGATTTCTTCTGGCAGAGCTTTGTGGACTTAGGATTGAGGCGAAGGCTGTTCCTTAAAGATGTTTTTGAATATGCCGTCAATCTCCTGGAGAAATCCAACAGCCAATGGCCGGGGCTGTATGAGCGTATCGTTGGTGGGCTTCTTGAACAGGGCGCGCCGAATCGCGCGGTTGAGTGGCACAAGAAGCTTCAGGACTCTCAACTGGCAAGCCCAAATGACGCACTAAAAATATTACCCTCGGCGCTCCGTCTATCGTCTCTTCCGGCTGGCACGGAATTTACAACCTCGGTCGACCTCGAGTTCTTGTCCTTACCACCGGGATTGAAGGCATTCCAGGCCATATGCTCCGCAGTCCCCGGACATCAGTTCTATGGACCAGTCATTGCAATGCTTATGCATCAGGGCCATGGAGAGGCAGCAATTTTGATGCACTATTTCCTCGCGAAGCGTCAGGATCATCCACAAACGCCTGATGATATACAACCCTTGCTGGACTACGTTGAGAAGTTCGGTCTACGGACAGAGTTCAATCGGCTCCGCGGTTATGTCAAAAAGCGATTTGATACACAAGCCTCGATTGACCAACCTGGTCCGAAGCCCTTGGCCCAAAGAGGAGAGAAAGGCCAAGACGAAAAACCTTTCAAAGACGACCTCGGGGCCAAACTGTTTGCCACTCGGGCTCTCAACTTCGATATGGTTGTAGGTGGTCTGAAGATGCTTGGTGTATCAGAGATCGGTCCCCGGACCTTGCGCGAGCTGGCCACCAGAACCAACGGTAATCAGGATCTACTGGACAAGCTCAAAATCCTCAAGCAGTCTGGAATATCCGTTGGAAACACCGTGTTCTCTCGCCTGATCCAAAAGCTTGCCGCCCAAAATCGGGACATTCTCCTCTCAGACATTCTGCGCAGCGACCAACACCCTGATATTCTCGAAGACAGGCGCACCCAGGAGTCAATGTTATATTCTTACTACATGGCTCGGGATTGGCGTTTGTACAATATGACTTTAGCCATATTAACTGAACTATACCCAGGTGCACCTGATCTCTACGATATTCATTTCAGGAAGCACATCGCAGCCTGGGAACTTGGCTCCGCATGCAAGGTTGCCGACGAGCTAGCCCTACAGAACCGGACATTGGGTGAAGAGAGCGTGGATTTCATGGCCGAGCAGGTCCTCACCCCTCGCCGAATGAACCATCGCCCGCCGCCAGGCCAACGTCTCTCCGCCGTCGAGGAAGTGGTCTTCATGTTCAAGATTCTCAAGCGCGTGGTTCCCGCAGGAGGCTATGTTAGCGCGGCATTCTGGGTAGAGATGCTCAAGCGTCTCGGCATGGCCGATGCATGGGCAGACTGGGACAAACTTGAACAATGCTGCCGCTGGCTCGTTAGCCAATACGCAGACAACGATAAAGAACCGCGGGCGCATATCTCGCCCAAAGTCGAGGCCTCTACGCAAACGAACGGTCGCGACCGACGAATGCTTGACCTAGTCTTCACCCCACAAATGCAAGCCGCCATCGTCTCCTGGGGTTTCATGTTCCGCGTGCTTGACACCACCGCGTCGAGATTCGCCATTCCTCATCCTAAGAATTCCGGCGAGAAACTCATTCCCTGGGTTCGGGGTCTCATTCTACTCCGAGAACTCGAACAATCAGGCCTCCGCCTTGACAAGCGTTTAATTTCCCAAGCTGTACGACACCGACTTGCCATGCTCTACAGCCACCACGTTGTTTCGGCGCGACGCATGAACCGCATGCTGCGACGTCGGAATCCATACCATCTACAACAAGTGATGAATGATGTATTCCAGGCCTGGGGCGACGCATCTCTTTTCGATGGCATGGAGCAGAATCTGGCGCAGTTAGTCAATCCGCCTCGGTCGGCTAGGTCGAAGAAGCGGGCTCCGGGGATACGTTTGTCACGGAAAGGATTATAAGTCTTGTTGACTTCCATGTACATTAGCATTGTAATTGTAAATAATAAATACCCATTTCAGTTGAAGTCTTCCGAGATCCTTTGGCTCATACAATGCCGAGAAAATGTACACGTATGTTTTTGCGCAGTTGAGACATGGATCGTCAGGGTTGCCACTTGATTTAAGTAGAGTAAAGGCACCTAGACCAATTTATTGAATAATGCCAACGCCTAAATGGACTCTACGACAGGCTGCGTAAGCATTCAATAAACTGGAGCGGCAGTGCAGATCCATTGATCTAAGAATAGTTGAGACGGCAACGCGGCCCCGGAGATGATCTTGTAAACATTCTGTGTTATTATTCTGCTTCTTTCTTCTTCTTTTTTTGATTGTATCTTACATTATTATACGTTTTACTCATATTAGTTTGTGCCATTCAAAATTATGCGTGTATTGAACTTTTTGGCTCTGTTGCCAGCGGTTTTAGCGAACCCTTTGGTTAGACGCACCAACAGTACAGCATGCAACAATTCCCCAGACCTCTGCTCCAAGTCCTATGGAGAAATCACACATCTCGGTGCCCACGACAGTCCCTTCTTGCGCGATTCCAGCACAAGTAATTCGCTAGCCGGCGACCAATATTACGACACCACCACACAACTATCAGCCGGCGTCCGCCTAGTAACGGCTCAAGTGCACAAGAGCAACTCACAATGGCGTCTCTGTCATTCTACCTGCGACCTGCTAGACGCAGGACTTCTCAGCGACTGGCTGAAAAAAATCAAGACCTGGCTAGATGACAACCCAAACGAAGGTAAGTCCCCTCACGTGAAGGTCTCCAAAGTCCAAACCTAACCTAATTACCGCAGTCGTCACAATCCTCCTCGTCAACTCCGACAGTGCCACAGCCTCCGAGCTCAACACCGAATTCGAAACAGCAAACATAACAGACTATGCATATGAGCCAACCTCCCAAAGCACAGCCCCAACATCATGGCCAACCCTCCAAACAATGATCGACGACGGCAAACGCCTAGTTGTCTTTATTGCCTCGATCACAACCTCTGAATCCTACCCCTACCTAATGAACGAATTCAACTTCGTCTGGGAAAATCCCTACGATGTCTCCTCGCCCTCAAACTTCTCCTGCTCCCCCGACCGACCCTCAACATACAAGGGCGACGCGGCCGCCGCCCTCTCCGCCAATCTCCTCCCTCTCATGAACCACTTCCTGTATTCATCTGATCTGGCCGCCTTCGACATCGAATACCCCAACTCCAGTTACGTCGGCACGACGAATGCCGCGTCTGGCGGCACAGGCAATTTGGGCGATACCGCATCGACCTGTAAGCAGGCATGGAGCGGGCGGCAGCCGACGTTTATTATGGTTGATTTCTTCAACCGTGGGCCTGCCATCGATACAGTCGATAGCTTGAACAATGTAACCAATCCTGTTGGGAGGAAGTCTGTTACAGAGGCTTCGACTAGTGGGGCTTCTTCAACTAGTAGTGTTTTCAAGGCGCTTGTTGAGTTGGCCGACTCGGCGAAGGCGGGGACGACGGTGACCATGGGGAATTGGATCTGGGCCGGTGGGAACTGGGGGAATCTTCTTGGTGGTGGGATTTCTCTCTAAATTTTTTTTCTGTTATTGAGCGCGCACTTATGACATGACACGGGCATTGGTTGTACATAGGCGTTTTGGATTATAGAGCAGCGTGTGTACGTTTGTATGGTCGATTATTATGCAGAAAATTTATATAGGTATACAAGCGAGTCAATTGCAACGCATACAATTCATTATCCTATCTAGGACACATATCCTAAGCCTTTTGTTGATCCTTCGCCAACAATTCCCGCACCTTACTCACTTTATCCTCAAAAGACTGCACCTTATCGGTTCTACGCAAATCAGCAGGGTGGAATGAAGGGGGAAGAAAGAAGCAACTGACCTCGACCCAACACGAATATCAGTCTGAATCCGAACAATCCCCTGTCGGTGGAGAATTGTATGCGCCTGACCGATAACCTGATGAACCTGGTCCCAGGAACCTTCTATAGAGAGTATCAGCGGGGGTCGCACCGTCACCTCAGGGCTGTGTAATGCGGCTGGATTGTAGATCTGGCTAACCCAAGAACTTGTTCCACATAAAAGTGAGCTAAGTAGGGATTGGCAACCACTTACCGATTGTTGTGCCTGCGGAATGCATGACATACTTCAAGCCGCATGTTTCGATCAGCCGCTGGACGTCGGCGATCTGGTCTGAGACTGAAGGTGATGAGGTGCCGATCTATGTTGGTAAGTATGGAAGTGATGTACTTGGTGGGGTTTGTTTACTTACGGGGATTAAACAGAAGTCTGCGACACAGTGGGCGGGAGTTGGAATAGACATTGTAAAATGGATTTGAAGGAATAGCGGAGACTTAGTAAAGTTCTCTGGGATGTATGGAATTTTAGTGGTGAAGTTGAAAAGACTAAGTCAAAAACAAAAGATCCGAGTCAAAAAGGTGTCCGCCATTGCTGCAGGGCTGACACATTTGGCACTTTATTAAATTTTACATCACCACACGTTCAGTACGGAGTACTCCGTACAGCCATACAATCAAGATTCAGCCCTGAAGAGCCCCGGCGCTATATATATCTTAATAAACTTATTATAACACGGCGCATCTACCCCCATCTTGCTGCACCTCTACGATTTGAGGTATCCGATTTTCGCTGACCGCCCATTGCCCATAGACTATCGGTGCATTGCTTTCTTTCTGATCTCCGCTTTGTTCGCTGAACTTTGATTATTCCTGGTTCTTTATCCCTGATTCTTGATTCCTGGTCCTTACTTGATCATCTCCCGTCCCATCTTGCTCCTGAAGAGTCTCAACATTCAGATCTCAAATTCAAACAATGAACTGGTGATCGGGCTCTAGTACGCCACTATTGAGCCCCCACCCGAACTAAACCCTGCACGTTTTTCTCCCCCGGGTTTTTATTTCTTTGGACTTTCGATTGGGACAGTTTCCGGGGCACTTTCTCTCGGCCTCTTTTCTTCGGTTTCTCCTTTCTCGATTCCTTCAGAAGAATACCGCTATATCCTTTGTCTGCACAAGTGACAAAGTCATTCGAATCCCTAAACATTACGGACAATTTCGATCAGAATTACCCGAGTGTGATTCGCCGCAAACTAACCCCGGTTTAGCCCTAGGATCCAATTAAGCTCACTGGATGCATGCACCAGCAATCTTGATAGCTTGCCTCGCATAAACATCCGAGGCTGTTCAAAAAGCAGCTCCGTCATGACAAAGATCTTCTACATTTCCAACCCTATCCTATCGGATGACCAAGCCCAGTCTACTTGAACTCCCGCGGGGAGTTCAACTAATCTACCTCGCCGAGGGCGGGGCAAATGTCATCTATCGATTCACAACACCTACCACCCTTCCACCCCAACTGCAAGGCAAACTCCTCCGTCTGCGCAAGAAAACGGCAGCAGACACCCCTTACAAAGACATCGTCCGCAACTTCGATACCATCATCCGCCCCCTCTTCACCCCGGACGAGCTAGTCGACCAAACCCTCATCCGCCTCCCAGAAGGTCTCATCATACAATGCAACGAGCAGCTCCGCGCCGCAGAGCGAAATAGCCAGCGCCCGCCAAAGCGCCACGGCAGCTACCTCTCTCTGACCGAGCCCTTCGGCCTCCTAATCACTGACATGACGACCGCCAACGACCCAGGCGCGACCCTCGCAGAGCTCAAGCCGAAATGGCTGAACCAGTCGCCCACAGCACCAAGCACGGCATGTAGATGCCGCACCTGTGCGCTGTGGGAGATGAAGAATCGCGAAGCAATGCAAGCCGGCAGAAAAGAGCAGCGCTCCTTCTGTCCGCTAGACCTCGTCTCCGAGCAATACGAGAACGTACTCCGAGCAGCAGGCCTGATCAAGTGCAAGGACCGGTCGCGGCTGGCTCGGATCTTGTTTCGGAATCCGACGTTGTTGAGACTGCAGTCTTTGCAGAAGACTGAGCGGGAGGTCGGGCTGCTTGGGCCTGAGGGGCGCGCTTGGGACATGTCACTTGCAATGACGTTGCGAGACTGTACAATGTTTGTGAGAGTGAGTATACTCCTTGTCGATGTTTGAAATTGAATTGCTGATACCGTTAGATCCCACATGATGAAAAAGCGCCTGTTGAGATCCGGCTCGGAGACCTGGATTTGAAAACCGGGGCTGGAGGCAAGGCTGGGTATTGGAGGGAGCTGGAGACGAGGTTGATTGAGCAGGGCTGGTATCGGGGGTCGAATGGCTGCCAGGAATCAAGTGAGTGTGCGTTGCGTCGTGCGTGATCTATTCCTCGCTCTGTTTGATCTTGCATAAGTGCGGTATTCCGTCATTTGGGTGATTTGGGGCACTGAGACCTCGTGGTTCATTGGCTTGTACAGTAGATGATCTAATTTTCGGGCGGCTTTTGTTTTCATTTCTATCTTTGGGGGTTTTATGGTTTTTTGTTCCATTGCATTCATGTTGGCTTGCTCATTAATACGCGATAGGCGATGCTACGGCCTTCAAATAATTGCGAGCAAATTTACTTATCCCGGTCCGAGAGACATGCACACGTACAGCAGTTGGAAACCGAGAGCGAGTACAAGAATAACATTTGTTGCAATATAGCCTGGAGACCGGTCTAACCCCGATTTTGTCCACTTGATATACTATATACGCGCCGAAATCAGCAACAAAACCTAATGGGTATAGCAGCGTTTGCTTGTTTGCGCATTCGCTTGGTTTGCTTATTCATGTTTGGCATGTCACCCTAGCTATAGATAGAGAGCTTTTTCCTCAGATCTCAGAATTCAAATCAATTTTCATATCAACTATTCCACACACATAGTGGTGATCACATCAGAATCTCCAAATCTATCAACAATGAGTAACATTCATCTTGGAATAAGAGTAGCATCGTTTTTCTACCGGGAAGGGACCGCACCCTTCTACCGGTGCGTGAATAGCTTACCCACATATAACATGTGTTATCAACCGAACCATCTATATGAACCTAGGATCTAACCGGTCGTTATAGTAAATCCGGGGAATCTTCTAAGACCTGTGCTGAGCGTGAAACGAAGGACCAGACGGGCTTGGAGTTTTCGTCGATAAATCTGTGTAGTAGGGTGTTCAGAGCAATATTTTCCTACTATCTATATGTGTGTGGTTGAACAGGAGATGGTTGAGCCGAATGCTTGTTTTCCTTTCTGTTTCCCTATTATGTTATGGTTTGGCATACATTGCTTTCTGTGTATCGACTTTACGTGTGTATAACAAGGCCAACAAGTACAGGGTTTTGAAGCCCAAGGAGCATGAGGTTTGGGGGTAGTTCTCCTGAGATCGCCTAATAACCTTTGGAAAAGAGCCTTCCTATAAGGGCGAGGAGTTGGCTTTTTCTTCTTGTAAAACTGTGCAAAGCCTCTCCTGGGCTTCTGTTCACATAGTCACCATGCTTGTTCGTGATTTTAGAACTTAGAGCCTTCTTATATTCTGCCTTACCTAGGTACCTCTTCACGAAGACGTATAGACAACCTATTTAGCTATCCAAGAAAGTGTTATAGGGAGTTTATCATCCCGAAAAAATGCATAGTAGGCACCATGAGCTCTCCACTAATTGAAGTGATAGACTTTGTCAAACTTCTCCATTAAACGTGCTGGGTCGACCCTACGCTTCCATGGAAAATGTCCAGTTCCTTCGTACTTTGCAGCATATTTAGCACCGGTGCATTGATATGAAAGTCAGAGGAGTCAGCGTCTGAATCAATCAATATCGCTTACGATCCCTTTGGCCGTTTTCGCACATCAAAGCCGCCTACCGGTAATAGTAGGAGAGGTTCACTGTCTCCTAGGGCAGCTAAGAGGTACTTCAAAAGGTGCACCCTTAGCCGTATCTCGTGCTTTATCTTCCCATTCCTTGCGTAAGTCACCACGGATAACGTTCCTTTATCAAGTTTTTAGTCCTCCGTAGCCTCGATAGAGTATAGGCCACCATCTAGTAACGGTGGCGGTAGCGAAGCCCAGACATGATATAACTTATATATCAATCAGGGAGTTTCAGTGAGATAATGGAAATAAGTATTTAGACATATCGTGGAAAGACTAGTCGGCCTCTACTCATCCTACGATAAGTTCACGGCGCTGTTGAACAATATGGTGTGCAGGATCACCATCAATGCTAGCATACTTAGCCGTAATCTAATTTTCCAATTTACATATCAGTGGCCTGATCGTGTTTGACACTAGAGAAAACAAAAAGCTGACCGAAACAAAAAGAAACCATGCTTTAGATTCTTCCTGCACTTGATCCTTCGGTATGTCCCACTCGGGTTGAAATCGCACCGAGGAGGGAATCCCACTAGACCATAGATGAAGCGCCCCGTTCATATTTAAATTTACCGTGATGTGGCCAGAGAGTCAGTTCAGGCAAGGTGTTGTGATAGATCTCAAGTTATACTATTGGTCAATTCAGGGATCCATTACACCTATCGTATGATCTGCAGTTGAAACTAGCGTGTGCAATAGTGTGTACGGTCATTTAACTGACTCGCTGACTCTTACGACAAAAATTACAGACCCTCGGAACGAGGGTCTACCACCTAGGTTGTATAGATGCACGATTTTACGATAACAGCCTTCTCGTTCTAATACAAAAAACCTATCATCTTGGAAATAGCTTTATTCGCTATTGAAACTATCTGTAAAGTGATAATTTAAACTACATTATGTTTCAATTAGCTCTAAGATTTGTAATAGAGATATTACAATGTGGTGTTCCATGCCTGTCGCCGCCGTAAGAACAAGATTACTGTTGCCATATGTGTAGCCATGTGGTTCCCGAATCCTGCCAGGTTTGTGTTTCCCCATAGCTTTAATAGCTGTAACTTCAATAGCTGGCCTTCCATCTGCTGAAATGAGTTTAGGAATTGAGATTGCTTTGACAGATGTACATGGATTCTCATTACAATCTTTTGCTGATCAAGATCTTATCAATCCATGGATCGCCTTTCGGGTGGGAGCCGGTGTTTCATATCTAGTAAATCAATCGGTTTTACATGTCAATCCAGCCCATGACGAGTTAGACCAGCGCATCCGAAGTGGGCTTGGGGTTCCAATAATCGAAAATTGCAGCTTGGAGGGATATGCTCAGCCACGCCCCCACACCCCACCTCCAAAATCACGCAAAAGATCCCACAAAAAGGCACGCTTTAGGTCTTTCCACTAGAACCAGTTACTTTGCTTATGTTGTATGATTTCGTCAGTGATGTTAAATACATCGTTGAATACTCGTCTCGTCTTCTGGCAGCCGACCTCTATTGATGCCTTCGATAAGCTTCCTATGCCTCCGACGCTGGCTGACCTAGCTTAAGTAACACGTCCTTTTCAAGCTCTCTTATAGTAGTTTTCGAATTCAGCTTGACCTCTCACTCTTTGGACTTGATTCCCGCGAGATAAAGCCGAAATACGCTAGTCCTGTTTAGGATCACCGCTCTTTTAGTTAGGCAGAACTGTGGAGGTAAAAACTATACCTCATAAAAGGACGTATTGTAACAAACTTGTAATGATACATCGAATCTCCTAGAGCCCTTGGTAGACCTGGCGATCTGGCAAGATCGTCTACCCGCTTTCTGCCGCCTGTTTATACAGAGAAGACCAAGTGGGACAAGAGAGAATAGGGAATCACAAGCGCAAAGGTGATCATGTCATTAGAACTGGAGTGCTATATCCTCCTTGCAATATCATCAATATTCTACCTCTCAGTCTTCTACCCAAGGGCAAGACGTCTCGACCCTGAAGGCCGCGGTTGAACCGATTGTTGTAATATGAGGCTGGTGCAGATCAGGAACCAAGCCGAACCATCGGTTATGATAAAGAATCAACCGCACATCAGGTTTCGTACTTGAATAGTTGCTATTAATCTGTACATTCAGTATACACCCCCCTCAAAATTCCGCTTCGTCTATATGAAACAAATCCAGCCACCAAGCAGATCTCAAACGGTTAACGCAGTCGAATGTATGGAGGGCACGATCAAAATATCTTCGCAGAAACTTGCGATAGATGGAAAACGTCCATTTACCACGAAATTTATCTGTTAGAGCGGAAGTACCACACCGCCGATGGTACAAGTCTTGTGTGATTACTTCTTCGAGTAACCGAATCTCTCCTTCGACTAGGATCTATCATTTTGGACTCTTTCGAGTAGAAGACTTGCTACTGCCTTCATTCCATCGAGATTCGGGTGAAAGATGGGGCCGCGTCGAACCACTGATGCAAGGTCAAATCCTCCAACCCATGGTTCTTTGCTGCCAAGTGCATGTCCCAGGCTGAGTTCGTGGACTGGTACTCTCTCGCACCAGTTCCCCCTACTTTCCGCTGCAACTGCATAAGCTTGTTGCAGCGCAGAGGCGACTCCGCGATGATGTTCTAGTTTTTCTTGACTGAAGGGAATATCCTGACCAGGTCGTGTATCAGGTCCTAGAACAGCGAGATATTCGACAACAAAAATACGAGCTCTTGGGGCTCGTTTGTGTATCTCATCGAGGACCCCGCCTAGTCTTTCAGCCATCTCACTTGGGGATAACGGGTCAGACGTTTGCGCTGGTGGTTGGGAAGAAACAGCTGATGTCAACGCCCTTACACCTTGCATAATAGTATTGAGGATTGCTCCCGGTAAAGTCGCAACCCAAGCATCGTAAAGCATGCCACCGATATAGTTGATGTCGTTGCCACCGGCAGTAATGGTGATTATATCCGCATCTTCCGGCAGGTTGGAGATTTGGACCGGGAAGGATTTTTTAGAGAACAGGACGCTTTGTGGGTCGACAGTTATATTAAGAAGAGTTGCCCCAGAAACAGTTAGGTCGGTGATCTCAGCGTTCAGCTGCTGCGCTAGGAGATGAGGGTAATTCTGCCCTGATCGCATAGCAGCGCGTGGTTCGATTTGCGGGGGGACGCCGGGACCAGCAGCAAATGAACTTCCAAGGCTCGCAATTCGGAGCTTCTTATTTTGAGTTGGCATCGTAAAACCGAAATTCTCGGTAGCAAAGAAATTTGCAAGGAAGACTCTGGATTTTGAAAGACAATGGTCGTGGCTTCCGTTTTGGTCCCGAGGACGATCGGCCTCTACTTCTAGAGGCCGAGAATCTCGGAAAACTGTTATGCCGAGTACTTTATGACTTGGGTACGCCTCTCACGGGAGATCATTTACGATGTGGGGTATCGAGGTCAATCGTTTCTAGTTAATAAGTGAATACACTCTTGAAAGTAACTAGCTTAAGTAGTTACCATGTAAGCTACGTAATCTACGTAACGCGCATCAGGTCCGGCGAATACAGTGACAGATAGACCAGTTTCACCCCTGCGCCAGCACACATTTGTTCAAGTCGCTCCGACCGGTGAACCCAACACGTTTATCACATCCAGATCCATTACGTTTAGGTATAATAAGAACGTATTATTTTAAAGAAGGAAAATTCACTACTTACCTAAGGGGGGAACCATAGCTTTTTAAGTCTTAAAGACGAAACTCTTAAGAGAGGGGGAGGTAATATTATAGATATACTAATCACTAATTATATATAAGGACCGTAACTACTAATAGGCTACCGAGAGCTAACCGATCTATCTATTATCTATATTATATACGATACCTAATACCTAAGTATCCTTAGGATATCCTAAGAAGAGAAACCATAATTAGGCTTAGTAAGTAAGAGTATAATCCGCCTTAATTAAGATCTACCTATCCAGGATATCTACCTATTATATAGGTTATTCTCCGTAATAATAAACCTCTACGACCGATAAGGACGATAACTACGTAATTATATAAGTAGTAGAACGGGTCGATAGTTGTAACGGAGTAGATCCTGAATCTTCAGAGTCCTGCCATGGAGACGGGTTGTCGCCAGCATGTCACTGTCGATCACAAAGCATAGGAACCTCGCGCGACATCTTCTAAGGTTAAGGAATAGCTGTTTTTGCAAAATTGTAGATTCCTAATGTCTGAGCTACTCTGTGCAATAGTGTGTGAAATTAATGACCCTGTAATTGGCCGTTTTATTACGCATAACAAACGGGCCGATTGATTTCAGCCAGGAGTTGATCACGGCCGATCCCTTGAAAAGTGGACTCTCATCGCAACTCGGCAAAAAAATTCGAAAGGGTCCCGACTTGTCATGGAAAATCTAGCATATTATAGTACATAAGAGTCGCATTTCCCCAGAAGTGGGTCAGTTGAAACTTTGCTTTGAAATTATCTGAGGTAACAGCCAGGATGTTCGGTCGATCTATGAAGGCAGCAGCGCTATTGATCGCACTTCTCATTGATGGCAGTCAAGCAAATCAGCCGAATAGAGGCCGTTCCGCACATCGCGCCCATCATGCTCGGAGATCGGAGCCGGTTGATAAGTCAAATTATCGATTCCTGACGAACAAGACCGAATGTACGCTTCGTCCCATCCATTCCTTTGATTGGGACTAACCAATGGCAATACGCCCACAGCTCATGTGGTAGAAAGCCTACCAGACGTTCATTATGACTTAGGGGAGATGTACTCGGGCTTTATGCCCGTCCGGGACAATGCTTCCCTGTTTTATATATTTCAGCCGAAGCTTGGGGAGCCCAGTGACGACCTCACAATTTGGCTCAATGGTGGGCCGGGATGTAGTTCGATGCAAGGATTTTTGCAAGAGAACGGACGCTTTACTTGGCTACCCGGCACCTATGAGCCAGTTATTAATGAATACTCATGGGTCAATTTAACTAATATGCTGTGGTAAGTCATGGGTATACTAGTAGTATACGCGGTTCGGTAATCGATAAACTGACTGTGCTCAGGGTCGACCAACCTGTTGGAGTTGGATTCTCAAGTGGCGAGCCGACTGCTACGAACGACGAGGATCTCGCTGACGATTTCGTCAAATTCTTGAAAGAGTTCCAACAAGAATACGGCATCAAGAACTTCCGCATCTTTCTAACTGGTGAAAGCTATGCAGGCCGCTACGTGCCCTACATATCCGCCGCTATGCTCGACAAGAACGATACCGAGTACTTCAACCTTAGCGGTAAGAATTGAGAATTGCCCCGAACAGCATTATGTTAGTCGCCCATTCTCATTCATTGTAGGAGCTCTGATGTATGACGCCTGCATCGGCCAGTGGGATTATATCCAGGCTGAGCTCCCATCTTATCCCTTCGTCGAGCAACATGCCGAGCTGTTCAATTTCAACCAATCTTTTATGGGGGAGCTGGAGGCCACTTACGAACAATGCGGTTACAAGGAATATTTCGACGAATATTTCACTTATCCGGCTTCTGGATTGCAACCCTCCAAATATATGAACTACTCCGACGTCGATTGCGACATTTACAACATGATCTATTTTGAAGCTTACACTCCGAACCCATGCTGGAGTCCTTACAAGATCAGCCAAACATGTCCATTGCTATGGGACGTTCTGGGATTCCCCACAGATCTAGCCTACGAACCAGGCCCCAACACCTATTTCAACCGCACAGACGTCAAAAAAGCTCTGCATGTCCCCGAGAATATTGACTGGGAGCTCTGTAGCATTGAAAGTGTCTTCGTGAGCGAGAACCCCGGGCCCGAGCAACAATACGATGAGTCTCCCAATCCCACAGAGCACATCCTGCCCCGGGTTATCGAAGCAACAAATCGGGTTCTGATATCGAACGGAGATTGGGACTATCTGATTATCACAAATGGAACGTTGCTCGCAATCCAGAACATGACCTGGAACGGCGAGCTTGGTTTCCAGACTCGTCCTAGCAAGCCTATTCATATCGACATGCCTGACTTGCAGTATGCTCCCGTCTTTGACGCCCAGCTCGATTATGGTGGTCTCGATGGCCCGCAGGGCATCATGGGGGTTCAACACTATGAACGTGGTCTGATGTTTGCGGAAACCTTCCAAGCGGGTCATCGACAGTCCCAGGATCAGAGCCGAGTGTCTTACCGTCATGTTCAGTGGTTATTGGGTGATGATGAGCATCTATGATATCCTTTTTCCTTAATCCTCTATTATCTAGATGATTCAGATTCATCCATCTCAGCGGCCTTAGTCACCTGTAGATTAGTTGAAAGTACGTCTTAAAAATTCATTTGGGTTCACATCCATTTTCAATGCATCAATTTGTCGGAAAGCTCGATTAGTCTCGATTTGAACATAATAGCCTGAAATCAGTGCTGCACATAGATTGACCAATTGGCTATACACGCCAAAAGATTTATTGAGGATAGAATATCGTTAATCATCAACGAGAACACGCCTGATTTGGTTTCTACTCCATAGAAACATCCTCTTGGTGCCTCTATATCTTGCCGCTGGTAAACTAAAGCAAACAGGGTATGCGTATGCAAAGAGACAATCCAGCATCAATGGAAGAAAGAGAAACCTCAAAACGAAAATGATTTGACCGGGTAATCGAATGTACCTGCCAAGGCGTAGCCAATCTTGCTTGGCGTTTGCTTGACATGCTTGATTATGCTTAGGACGCACAAAGCCTCAAGTCACAAATCAACTTGATCCGAATACCCAGTCTGATACAATGACCGCAACGGTTGCAACCTAGGAACGTTAGTCTACATATACTGTAATGTCTCTCTACACGGTACTCACCAGCGAAATATCCACACCAGGCATTATAATAACATCCATAGCAGGCCTATAACCAATCTTAGGGCCCAGCAAAGCCAGCCGTTCATTGTGATGGATGCTCTCCTTAACCTCAGCAACCTTCCGATCTCCATCAACGATATCAAAAAACGCCAGTGCATTCCCATGCCTCTCAATATTCAACGTAAGCATCTTCTCGTCGAGCCTCTTCCCGCCAAAAGCAGCCGCATTCTCAAAAGAAAGATTAAAATCCCCAAACGAAGTTTTCCCTAGCGCCCAGCGCGGAGACCCCGTAGCTATCGTCGCAGTATCGCACCCGGGCAAACTAACGGACCAACTATTTGTGCGGTACCATTTGCGATGAAGCTCGAAGAGCGGCAGACCCGATGAATCGCGAAACTCGCGACACGACCGGTCGCTGTATTTGCGGCCGGTTACAGTAAATTGCGGCGTGCCGTCTTCTTCGGTGATCTTGTATGCGACGGCTGATTGGGGGCTGCCGAAAGGGCGCAGGACAAGGGTTGTTTTAGAGCGCGCGATGTATTGGTTGCGGAAGGCGATATCGCGGTTCGGAGAGCGGAGCGTTTTGCGGGGCTTGGATGAGGAGGGGAGGGACATGCGGGCGTCTCGATAGGATAAGTACGACATGGTTGGTTGAGGTGGCTAGTGATGCGCTTTCCTGCTCTTTATACGTATACGGCCGGGTGTAGGTACTTAGGTAACTATTAATTACCTGGATGGAGTAATTTTGCGCTATATATTCCTACTCATGCGGCATTTATCCCGTCCAGTGTCGGATGATCTCACTGATAGCTGAGCCACAGTTGCCAAGAAATGTACATGAAGCTATAATAGTTCGCTTTAACTCTAGAGATGAGGGGTAGTTACTAATTAGTGGTGGGCTTGAGGACGTTAGGAGCCTGTGGCTGTTTTTTCTTCTCGGTTCGGTTTATTGTTGACGGTATCGGCCGCTCGAAAATGTTGCATTGGATCAATGAACTAATTCGTCTTACGTTGGACAATCGTGGACTAATATAGTAAAATCGTAGCCTCGGGTATAGTTTAGTCGCCTATATAGGCTGAGTCATGCAAATTGCGGGCACCTAGGCGCAACATCTCTCTACTGCAATACAGCCTCAACCTTCCATATTAATAAACATGGCCGGTAAATTTGCCGTCAAGTCTTTGGACCATCTAGTCCTCACGGTCCGGAACATTCCCAAGACCGTGGCCTGGTATACGAACTACCTCGGCATGCGGCACGAAGTGTTTACATCGCCAACGAACCAGTCCGTTCAAAGGTAACCCCTCTTTCTCCAATTTCAGAAATTTATGCAGAAGCAAGGGTTAACGATAGTAGACATGCCCTTATTTTTGGTTCTCAGAAAATTAATCTCCACCAATCGGGCAAAGAATTCGAGCCCAAGGCTCAAGACGTTCAACCAGGAAGTGCGGACTTGTGCTTTTTGACTGATCAAGACGTGGAAAAAGTTTTGGAAGCCTTTCAAGAAGCTAGAGTTGAGGTGTGTTTTCATGATATTTGTGGAAGCATAATACTGACAACTCCAGGTTCTGGAAGGCGCTCAAGTTGTAGAGAGAACCGGAGCTGTTGGGAAAATCCGAAGCGTATATGTGAGAGACCCTGATGGGAATCTCATTGAGTAAGTATCCTCATTACATCCCCGGTATTGGCTTGACTGATTTTCATGACAGGGTTTCGAACTATGTATGAGTGACGGTAATCATTCAACATTGCAGTCATCATCTGGACACTTGCAATTCAAAATGGAGCGATATCATATTATAACAATGCCCATGCCACAGCACCCATCATTGCAGGAAGAACAGCATTCTGCTGGATTCCAGGCGCAGCACCTGTACTTGCCGAAGCAGAGGCCGCAGTTGCAGATGCAGATCCCTATACCATTAGTTATCGAAGACCCCCAAGAATACGAATGCAACATACTGTCGATGTAGCGGCAGAATCAGAACGAGCACCCGTCGCTGTAGACGAGCTTCTCGATGTAGTAGTAGTGGTGGTGGTGGTGGTAGCGGTAGCGGTAGCAGCGGTACCCGACATCGCAGAAGAAGAACTTGGCGTAGCATCGTCACTGCATGACGAGGCCGCAGACTTGACGTGATCACCGTAGTACTGCCAGATGTTATATGTGAGGGCACATTCCAAACATGATCTCAGATCGGTGGTGAATGTCGAGTTTGAGCAATAGTCATTCGACTCCGAAATCAAGATAACTTCGCCTGTTTTCGAGATGGGTCAGTAGCACATCCTAAAAGTAAGTCTTTCCTCGCTATGTGAGGCGCCGGGCTTACCGCATGCCTCGTGGCAATTGTATAGTGGTGAGCCAGGGGTGATGTCCTCGCGTTTTAGGAGCGAAGACAGATTAGGCCACTGGAGAGCGGCGGTAGAGGAGATCAAAACAGCGAATACAGCTGAGAAACGCATATTGGAACGAAAAAGTATAGTACAATTGAAAGTATTGGTGGTGCAGTGGTTATTTATGAGAGCGATGTATTAAAAGCGACAATGTAGCTTTATAGTCTCTGGAGAAGCAACCCACAGACTTATCTTCCGACATATTTTCATTCGGAGCCGGCCACCCAAAGCTAGCTCCTCCAGCCCAATTCAGTCTATATTGCCAAGCTCAGTTTAGCAATTGCTGCCCCACTTTAAGTGATCGATGGCACGCTGTAAAGCCGAAGCCCGAGTGTCAATTTGCGAGTGATTTTGTTCAGTGAAATAATTCCTGGCCATCTCCCAGTCCAAAGAAGATCGCGAGTTCAAGTAAGATAAATATTAAAAAGACGCGAAAGAAGCAAATTAAGAGCGTCAAACGACAAATGGGAAAGAAACTGTGCCTCGAATCCCTCGGCCTCGGCCCCTCTATCAAACCCTTGGCTTTCGGGAAAATCCGAAGCGAAGCGAAGAGGGTCCAATCAACAAAGCCACTTGATCTTATCAATCTAATCTCATCACCCCGGCGAATACTCTTCCGGTCTATATCCCTGTTAACCTTGGAAGAGTTACAGTCCGGATGAGACTAGTTCTTACGGTTCTGTTTCTTATTTGACTGGTTTGACTAATTCCTGCTATCTTTCTCCACTTCGCTTTTCCTGTTGCATCTGGATATTCGCTCTTATATTGCTGGGCACGCTAATATCACATGGTCTTTGATGAATTGCTTTTTATTGGCATAGAAGGTCCGATAGAGGGGTGTGTTTAGCAAGCGAGGTGCTATGTAGGATCCGGTTCGACTCCATCTCTGTCAAACATGGATTGGGTAAATGATGCCGATATGGCCTGTCATTTTGAAATGCCCATGCCCAATGCCGAGACATTGAATAATTAATATATAAGTATCTGCAGATCTCAAAAGTGCGGTCGTCACAAAATTTCCCAAAACTTCATATTCTGTCTGCGATATATCATCGCTTAATCAAAACATGCTACCATATACACCCCTACTGGCTGTCGCCGGTCTGTATGCCTCCCAAGCAAGTGCCGCCGAAGCAACAGATATGGGCCCTGCCGCCTTCCTCTGGCCTCCCGATCGAGCATGGGGAGCAGCACAGGATAACACAGCGCCGTGCGGTTCCTCTGCCGGCGTAACGAACCGGACAGATTTCCCACTCAGTACGAACTGCAACTCTCCCTAGCTATCTACTACTAAAATTCCCAGCCAATGGTCAGGTATCTCTCGTCCTCCAGGACGAGTCATACAATGTGAACTTAGCAATTTCTTACAGCAACGGCATGTGCAATCCTCCTACCCGACTATGAATATAAACTCTAACAGCCCAGACCCAACCTCAAACACCGACTTCACAACCCTAGTCTCATCAACCAATTTCCCGGACCTAGACCCCGGCCACGAGTGCTACGCCGTACCAAACCCAGCATCAAACATAACCTCTGGCTCGAACGCAACGCTCCAACTCTCGTATCTGTCTACCTTTGACACAGAAAAGAATAGCACTTTCTATGCATGCGCGGACATCACTTACGTCCCACTTGCGTCATTCACAACCAATGTTCTTTGCTTCAATGTCTCTGAGCCATCGACCACGACGTCGAGCTCGAGTACTAGCTCTGCGACTTCTTCTGATTCTTCGTCGTCGTCCTCATCTGGGGGATTGTCTGGGGGTCAGATTGCGGGGATTGTTGTTGGGTGTGTGGTTGGTGCGGCACTTGCTGCTGTTGCGCTTTTTGTTCTTTGGACCAGGCACCAGAGGAAGGTTCAGAGGGACAAGGTTGTTGCTGTTCGGATGGGGGATTGGGGGAATCAGGATAAGACGGTTGAGACGGGGGTTTGAGGGTAAATTATGCAGAAGGGGGAGGGCAGTGAGATGGATGAAGGATTTTATATGCTCTGCTATGTGACTTTGGTGCCTTGCTAGTTTGAGAGATCATTGTGTATGTATCATTTTTTTAGTGCCGAGCTGTACTAATTGTATTTAAATGTTTCAATTTGCAAATGATTTTTGATAAACGATGAGTATCAAATCATCAAGATATGTAGTATACATATGTACGTTGTACATGCAGAATTTTTACCATATAAATGTTCAAGTACGATATTATAAACAAGTGATGTAATCCTCTTCGACGTCATCAACTGAAAACAGTGAAAACAAAAGAGTTGGCCCTAAGCCCTATCGCCTAAGGAAAAATGACCCGTATAAAAGATGTGAAGGGATGCTTGTTAACCCCTGCAACCCTCCAAACTCCAGGAGAAACGCGCAGGTTACGCCCAAGTCCTAACTATGCCTCCGCTTCGCCCATTTTGATTCATCCGCCCTGGACATGGCCTTGGAGGATGAAATTGAGATCTGGACATCAACAAAAATTTCAAAAAAATTAACAAAATCGCGTTTTGATGAATATATTATCCATCAGGATTTATTTACTAATCAGAGACACTTGGTTATCAATGTGAAAGTTAATATGATACTATTCAAGGTCTCTACTTCCGGGATCTCCACTAGGCGGGAATCCTCCCGACTGGATCAGGTACGTTTCTACTTCACTTCATTTGTTTCATATGTTTTCATTGCATAAGGTGATGTTAGTTTATCCGTTCCTTACCTTTTATGGTGAAATTGATACCTTTTATGTTTCAAGACGGGTCTCTGAGTATGCGAAGAGATTATTCCTTGTTATCGTTAAATTTGTCCTCGATGGATTGCTAACTCGATTGAAGATTTCAGATAAAAAGTGAATAGCATCGGTCAGATTCGATCTTCTCTAGATTATAAATAAATTAAATATCAAGATGCCTTCCCGTATGAACCTCGCTGCTCGATTTCTATTGCTTCCCTAGAATATTCCCTGGACCAACCGATTATTTAATATCTCGTGATGCTGATAAACCGATCACATATCCGGATAAACAAGGCTAGCTCCGTAATTCCGCACTCTGCTCGGCTTAAATTGCTTTACGCTGTGACCAATTTAACCATAATCCAAAGACCCATATTCCACCCTGGGTATAGCGCTTATCTACATATCTACCGTATACATATATATGTGCGAGGTCCGTACACACGGAATAGATACTCTCTATTAAAGAACGGAGAACCCCCCACCACCAACGCACAAAAATGGCGTCTCGTCTCACTCGCCTAAGCACATATCTATCCAGACCCCTGCAAACCAAATTGTCCTCCCACTTGCCTTCCAAATTTCAATCCCAAGTCCAATTCCAAATCTCCAAACCCCGTCCCTATACCACAGCCCCAATGTCTGAATCCCTGATCTCCCTCGCCAAGCAAAGGCGCACGATCTACAAACTAGGCAAAACCAGCCCAGTCCCCGACTCCAAGATCGAAGACCTAGTCAACGCGGCTATCCTGCATGTCCCCAGCTCATTCAACACCCAGTCTACGCGGCTGGTTGTCCTGTTGCACGATCAGCACGAGCGACTATGGGACATCGCCATTGAGGCGTTCGAGGGCCTTGTTGCGTCCGGCAAGGTCCCGCAAGAGGTGATGGACAAGCAGACGCGGCCTAAGTTGAATGGATTCAAGGGGGCGTATGGAACAGTATGTCGCTTACTTCACAACTACACATATATGTGTAGTTATATTTACATGTCATGTCATGTTTAAATGCCCGTGATGTGATTACTGATCGTTCAATCCAGGTCCTTTTCTTCGAAGATCCCAATCACATCAAGCCTATGCAGGAGAAATTCAAAACTTATGCAGAGCACTTCGTGCCCTGGGCCGAGCACTCCAATGCTATGCACCAGTACTTCCGTGAGTGTGCCCATGAACCAAGTCATACATTTGTACACTTTCTAACATGCACAGTCTGGACCGGTCTCGAGTCCCTTGGCTTCGGCGCGAACCTGCAACACTACAACCCGCTCATTGACGCCGGTGTTGCGAAGCAGTGGAATCTGCCCAGTGAGTGGCGCTTGATTGCGCAACTGGTCTTCGGTAGCCCGGAGGATGTTGCTGGGGAGAAAGTGCAGAAGCCTGTCGAGGAGCGGGTGAAGGTCTTCGGACGGCTTTGAATACTACATGCATCTGAAGGATTGTAGTCATTTATGCAATGAAAAAAGGTAACATTGGCATATTAGAAATAGAATATATACAGAGAAAGAGAATACACGCACCACTTGCTGCTAATAAAAAAAAGTCAACAACAAACATAGAAGCACCCTGATCTACCCATTCAGATACCACTCCCCGTCTCCAAGACACTCGCCAACAGTAACAGCTAGCACTTATTAGTATAACCCCCCAACAACCAAGCGTAATACGAGACTCACCACTTAACCCCCGCCTCCCAATCTCCCACAGCATATTATCCACTAGTATCTCAACAGTAGTCCAATGCGAGTCATGCGCAAGCACTAGATTGCCCCCGGCATCAATACCATCAAGGAACTTCTCAAACGAACGCCAACTCGTTCCCGGATCATCATGCGCATAGTCCTTGGTATCAACACTCGCCCCGATGACATGGTATCCAAGCTCGGCCATGGTCTCCAGGACAGTCGGCGAATGATGTAGAAATGGGGCGCGCATGTAGGTAGGGTAGAAACCTAAGATGTTGGAGAAGGCGTTTTCGAGGGTTTTCATTTGCCTTTCGATGTCTTCTTTGGAGAGAGTGGGGAGAGATGGGTGGGACCAGCTATTTTGTGTTAAATGGGGTCGTGTGAAGGTTATAGAAGAGAGAAGGCAATGGTGTATATCACTCACGTGTGAGAGCCCAGCTGGTGCCCTTCTTGGTGGGTGCGGCGCACAAGATCTGGAAATTGGTCTATTCGGCCTTTGTTGCGGCCGTTCAGGAAGAACGTTGCTCGGGCGCCGTGCTGAGCGAGGGTGTCGAGGATTTGGGCTGTGTAGATGTATGGGCCGTCGTCGAAGGTTAGGGCGATTGTTCCTGGCACGGAGCAGTGGGTGAGGATTGTGCCGAATGGAAGGTCGGAGGTTTGGTTGTATCGTTTGTCTGGGAGTTGGGGGATGAATGGTGGGAGGGTTATGTTTGCATAGGTGTATGGATGGATTGCTAGGGAGAGAGGGAGGGCTCCGAGGAGGAGTAGCCAATGCATGGCTGATAGGTTGGATGGATGTATGTATGGGTTAAGGATGTTAAGGGTTGGAGGGTTTGTGTGGGTAGGTGGGAATAAATACTATACGATTGTGGTTTCCATAAAATAACATTTGCATTGAATCAAGTCCAAAAACATCCCCGCGATAGATTCATATGAATACACGATTATAAAGGTATCAAAAGGGTAGATAAGACATTCAACCCGTTCTTTCGAGAACGAGAAGATAGAAGAAAAACCCCTCAATCCAACTAGCCCTTACGGGTACTCCGCTTCATGTTACGGCGCTGATCCTTCTGAGCTTCACGGTCAAGGAACTTGCGCTGCTCGTCGGCGCTCATACCACGCAGAAGACGCTCACGCTCTTCCTTCTTGATCTTCTCAGCGGCAATGCGGCGCTCCTCGGCCTTCTCTTCCTCCTCGACACGGCGCAGCTTCTTGATCTCTTCCTCACGGACATTGCGGACCTTGCGAATCACCTCGGCGCGGAAGTGAGCGGAGGCCACAAGCTTGTCGGACAAGCGCAAGAACTGGTTGAACAGGGGGAGAGTGGAGTTGTAGCCGGCGGCAGAGGAGGCGAGGTTGGCAGAGAGCTCAATGCGCTTCTTGGGAGTTGTCTCCTCAATCCTGGGGTTGTTAGCTGGGATTCAAGCATTTTCATTAGCTGACTTACTTGGTGGGGCGGTCGACCGGCTGATCGGTCACAATCAGGTACTCGAAGTCATTGCCAGCCTGCTCGATGGCTTGGATCAATTCCGGGGTGAGGAGGGTGTCGCTAATCTCAGCACTCTCGGTCATCACAGTCACCCACGAGGGCAGCTTCGGGTTATCCTTGGAGAAGGTGATAGAGGCATCGTAGCGATCGTTACGGAACTTGCGCATGTGGCTCTTGTGCACGACAGCCCAGATGAATCCATCGTAGGTAGAGCTAGGAACCTTGACAGGAGCGGTATCCCTAGAAAGTACAGGAACCAGGTCCTTCTCTTTTCCATCGAAAGCGTAAAGCAGAGCCTCGTATTTCTCAACGGGCGGCTCCCAGCTCTCGAAGAAGAAGCTAAGACCATACTCCATAACGTAGGTGATGGGGTTGTACCGCTTAGGCATCTTGATCGAGACATCAAGGAAAGCCACATTCTGACGACCAGTTGCATACGCCGCGAACTCAGATGCCGACTTCTCCTTCAGCACGGACTCGGGATTCGCCAGTTCGGCGGTGACACCTTCGGGAGCCTGGCGGGAAATACCATCAAATCCGACGACAGCAAACTCCTTCTGAAGGGAAGGAGTGTGAGCCTGTGCCCAGGCCTTCGCCCGCTGTCTGTTCTTGCGCCCTCCCCACAGGTGGAAGAGGACAATCACAAGAATGACCGGCATGATCATCGCCTCCTGCTTGAAGTCGCTGGGGGATGTCCTCTCCCACACTCTGTACCAGGCCGTATAGGGAACGGCATTGGGGGTGAGGGTGTTGACCGCCGGAACGGTGGTCGAGTCGGCGAGGAGGGACGCGGGTGATGGGTTGGGAGCTTCGACGAAATCGGCGAAGTCTAATTAGAGTTAGAAGAGCAATTGGATGGAGTCAATTGTATCTTACCATCATCTGGTTTGGCTTGAGAGCCAAACACGTTCTTGAATATGCCCGCCATGATGGATGATGGAAGGTAAAGGAGGAGAAAGGAATCGAGAGATGTCGTGCGGAGCTAAGTTCCTCCCGGGTCTAGCGCGGATGTCTCCAGCTTTTTTACCCGCCGCTTTTCTATTCGCGTTTCTATTCGCTTTATACAGTTCGATACACATACTATGTAGAAAAATAATTAAGAGAAATCACCAAAAATCCATTCGATCCAGGCCCTATTCCAATCCTTTATGCCCATCCCGATAAGAATTACAAAACAAAAAGTAAGAGCTCAGTCAGTGTGGTATCCTGCAAAAGCCCAAAACAGAACTCAACGCCAAAGTATCATGAACCCTTTTTTTGTACAACCCCGCTGATAAACAGACTTGGGGAGAACGCCCCCAGTGAACAAAAGAAAAACAAAAGAAAATCGTAAAAATCATGCTCGAGACGTGCTCAAGGGTGAATACAATGCAACGCATTCAGTGACCATAGGCCGGGGGAGGAGTGTCTTCATGCTGGCGACTCCAAAAGCCGCTGCAGGCATTTGTCATCATCTTGTCCTCGCGCATTCGTCGAGCGATTTCACCGGCCAGTCTCTCAACCAGAACAGATTCAACGCTATCAGGCTTCTCCTCTTTAGTAAATGGGAGAGCAGCAGCAGGTAAAGGAGGACGAGCGGACGGTCCAGCCTCAGCCTTTTCCTGAGGGAAACCTCGGATATTGGGGCGGGGTGTGGCGTCCACGTCTTCCGCCTTCGGTGCGCGAATGGTTTCATGGGAGTATGAGAGATCACCATCGCGGCGGTTGCGGGACAGGCTCGTCCGGTGTCGCTCGGGAATCATGGGTAGGTGGGAATCATTTGCCGCTGACATCGGTGGTGTCACCGGGTCATCGGACTGTTCACTGACAATTGGAAGAGGAGCAGAGGCAATAGACGGGGGTCTGGAGGACTCTGTCATGATGCTCTCGTCGCTGACACTCATAGCATCATCGGTTGTCTTGGGGCGGCGCAGATCCACGACGCGCTTCTTGCGCTTCCGCGAGTGAGCCTTGGAGTGGCGGCCAGCTCCTAGGCTCAGGCCGTAGGTGCTGGTGCTGAAACTGTGGCTTGGTGTGGAGGATCGACTCATGGACACCGTGCTAGCGGTTTCGTGGATAGAGGACATGCTGCCGATATGGGAGTGGGTTCTCGAGAGGTTTGGGCTTAGCGGGGAGATAACGCTTGAGGGGAACTCGCTGGTGTCGGTGGGAGAGGTCCATGCTCGATATACAACTTCATTGATCGAAGGGGTGAACAGCGATAGGGTGCGTTGCGAGTCGGTCAGAGCGGCCAAGCGAAGCAGATTCTTCTGCGAGAAAAGGGAATGCGTCTCAACTGATGAGTCCAAAGAAAGCGATGCGATTTCAGACTCGTTGAGGGCGTTTCCGAGTGAGTCGACGGGGTCCTGTGGCGGGCTGGCCAAGGGATCTTGGCCAGGGCCTTCACTCGTTGAGGTCGTGTTATCCCTCTCGTCGTTCATTTCCTCTCCTGTGCGATATTCGGGAACCCATAATCGGAGCGATAGTCGATGGATAATGGCAGGAAGTTCATCCATAAACAAGATCCGTAGCTGGGCCTCGATTTCTTTCTGTAGGAAGTCGCGCACAAATGGGATCGAATCGAATGTGGAAGAAACCTTGAGCGACTCCAGCGGATCATTGCGGAATACAACGGTTATTCCTTTTTGTTTCGAAAATACTAAGATAACAAATCCCGATAACTTGAAATCCGACAGTGTGATTTGGAGCGGTATTGTGAGCGGGGTACTAAAGTCGCGACAGTTAGCAAATATTCCAAGCGCAAGCGATTGATGAGCTATCTTATAGCTATCACATACGCAGCAGCAAGTGGCACAGGCGATGCGAAAGTCGGTCGTGTGAGGAGGAAAGTATTAAGTGGATTCGCCTGAACTCGGGTCTTCAGCGTGAGAAAGGCGTCGCCGGTATAAGACATTTTAAAAATGCCGCGGAATCGATCCTCAGCCAGGTCACCGATTTCCAGGATCTCCAGTTCGGGTGGGATGGAGCCCAGGTTTAGTTCGGTGACATGGATATCATCGACGATAATGGGAGGTTTGGGCGATTTATTGAGGGCGGCAGTGAGAAGATCTTGGGCGCGAGTGTAAAAACCCGCGTCTGCCATTAAAGGCGACCAGTTGAAGTTGAACGCCATGCCCGGGCATAGAAATATTAAATTAAAGGAATCATGGAGATGATGGGGTAGATATTAAAGAGTGCAAGAGTTGAAGATTCGAAAGGAGGCGATGAAAAAACCAGGAAAAAGGAAAAAAAGGACTTCCCGAGGCCGTCGCGTGCCCCGACCACACATGCTTTCTATCTTGTTTTCGTTTACTTTTCTTTCTTATATTGCATATTGTATATTGTTAAAAGCTCTTGATTTTGTTCTGTTTTATTCTATTTTTCAAATGCAGTTTAGTTTTTACTATCTCTTCTATGATATCTTCTTTTTGAAATGATCAGAGGGTACGTCACATCGGGTGTCTTGCAGGTACCTCCACCACTTCCGGTCAGCCCCGGTACTGAGCCCACTGTGGACTGTGATAGGGCCACTCATCATCCGGGGATCTTAGTTGCATGTACCTAGACCACAGTCTATGGCACTATTTTTACGAAGTAAACACGGCTCGAAATGTTGTTATTTGAAACATTCGAGGCTTCACTCGACTTCATGTATAATGTTTTATGCAGATCGGCAATCCGTCCCCACGTTTTATCTGTACATAGGTATACAGTGTAAGCAAGGGAAATGCTTGGTTGTCTCAATATAATATAAATCTAAGACTTCGATCCCTACCTAGGTAGAACCCTAGGTATAGCTTGGTTATTGAACAATAATAATATACGAGGATCTTCACTTACTACTGATCATCTCTGACAAGAACCTTGGAAGATCGATCTGTAGGTTTCTCTATGTCTACTATTGATCGCCGGATATACTAGTCCTTTGAAAGCCCCTGAGTACTAGTAATTTGTTACACCCCTGAACAAGTGTCAGACTTTCCCCTGTATCATCCAAGTCCTTCTTTGCATATAGCAAGAAACCTTGGAACATAGCTAAAACAACAGGAATATACATATGTAACTAGTATATACTCGGTACATATGCACTGTATAGACGAAGTATACCAAGCATGGAATGTTTCCAAGGTTTCACCGCGGCAACCTTGCGCTAAGCCCAATTAGGTTAAAAGTCAACACTTTCTTTCAACTTTCCCGAACACCATTTTCACGACTTCATTCCACTTAGCCCTTGCGCCACTAACACAGCATATTAATCTATACACTGAACACCAATTTATATCTCCATGTCGACACGATCACCCTCCCCATTTTCGGGCCACGCGACAATGGAGTCCAATTCCAAAAAGTCCGTCGCACAGAGAAGAGTATACGGGAAACGCAGAGCGAATGCGCCCAGGGCGGTGTTCGACGGAAGTCCAGCCAGAGAAGCTACATCTAAGAAGTTTGTAAATGTCGACCCTGTGAAGAGCATACAAACCAAATTGGCCGAAGTGACGATCGATGATATGACCCCTCAAGAGGAGGTTTCAGAGCCACCCAAGTGCGAGGATGAGGAAGAAGAGTCGATTGAGCCTACTAGCCAGCAATCAAGTCTCTCTTCGGCAGTGGATTCTCCTGATACCGAGGCAACTGAATCATCTGTCAAATCATCTTCAGGGAAGACGAAGAGAACTCAAACAATGATGGAAGTCAGGATATACAACAAATCCTCAAAAGAGCCACTCGAAGCCACTGCAGAGGCTACAGATACCAATTCAGAGCCGTCAACCACATCCGAAGCTACAGACGCTCTATTCGAACCCACACAGTCTACAACGGAGCCATTAAGCACAGCACAAGATCCCACGGACGAGGATCAAGAAAAGCTCAACGCCTTGGAAAAAAGGCGAGCGGTGAGGAAAAAGGTCCCCGCTTCCAGGCGCTCATCTGGAGTGGTCCACGACAACAAAGCCAGCGAATATGTTCGCCCGATCCTTAATGAAGCACTATCACCAATTGCGGCACAAAGCATCCAAAAGTTCGGCTCGTGGGCTTCACGCTCGGCAAACATGTTCGACGTTGCAAAATTGGCAGAAGGATCTTACGGTGAAGTATACAAGCTTCATTTGCGCGATGAAGCATTTCGGCCAGTGGTATCGAAATCCAAACTGGCGAAATTGAAATCCTATGGCGACGGTGTTTTCAAGGTCGTACCCCTGCGGGCGAAGAGCGGTCCGGGATCCAAAAAGTTCACCAGTATCGAGGAGATCGTCTCCGAAGTCAAGATGCTCAAATACCTGGACCCGGTTCCTGGGTTTGCTCGCTTCAGAGAAATCCACGTTGTGCAAGGCCGTTTCCCCGAATCCTTCCAGAATGCGTGGGACCACTATAAGAAGACCAAGAACGACTGCATGAATCCTAACCCCTCCAATAAAAGAGCATACCCCGACACGCAGCTTTGGGCAGTCATAGAAATGGACGACGCAGGTTGCGAACTAGAGAAATTTACTTGGTCTTCTATCTTCCAAATCTACGATATCTTCTGGGGCGTGGCGATGGCATTAGCCCGAGCAGAGGAATATGCCATGTTTGAGCATCGAGATCTGCATTTGGGCAATGTCTGTATTCGTTCCACTCGCGAAGACGGCTGTATGGACCCTCCAACCGAGCACGATGTCGCGCGCCAATGTTCATCCAGCGGTTTTGGAATCAGCGCGCTTGAAACCACCATCATCGACTACTCACTTTCTCGCGCGGACCTTTTGCTCAGCGACGACCCCAGTGGACTCACTGAGATTGCATCGTCGGATCTGGACAAGAAGCAGTTGTTCGATGCTATTGGTGAGGATGAAGATGAGATCATGCAGCGAAACACCTACAGATAGTATGTGCTGTCACCCCTAACCTTTAATCTGACTAACAAATACCAGTATGCGTGCAACCCTCTACTCTGGCAATCCCACCGAAACAGAGAAACTCCCCGACATTCCCGGCATTTGGGCTGAGTACTCTCCTCGCACAAACTTGGTGTGGCTATTATTCTTGCTTCAGAGTCTTCTCAAGAATAGAAAACCTGAAGCTCAGCCCCAGCGCAAAGCTCTTGCTCCTTGCTCGCCAAACACGAAGACCTTGAAATCAACTGGCGATTCATTGAAAGCACCTAAAACCAAGCCTCTGCAAGGTGGTATCTCTCGTCTCAAAAATACCCTTGAGGATAGACTGAAGTCCGTCCTTGAACTACTTGATTTGGAGACTGGTCACGAAGACATGTGCTGTGCGGCAGATCTAGTTGCATACGCCATGGACTCCCAGTGGCTAGGCGAAGAGGACTTTTTCTGAGCTTACTGCTTGTGCATTGGGTGCATGGCGTCTTCATTTCTCTTCTCTTGCATATTTTTGGAGTTTGACAGCATGCCTGGACAGGCAATGGCGTGTATCTGCATATAAACTAAATTATCTCTGCATTCTGCATTTTGCATTCATATTGCATTCATATTGCATTCAAATACAACAGCTCAAGGAGCTGAGCTTCCTAATACACAACGCTGTCAAAACGCCAGCAATTAGATTGGATATCAGACAAGTGGAATTCATCTTTGACTTCTATCAGCCAAAAGGCATGCTTGAAACGCTCTCTATGCTAGGTTTGAGAAGAAAGAAAAAAACAAGCAAACGGCACACCGGCCTTACCTCCCACTTTTCTATCCGAGCTGTATAAACCCAAGTCAAACAGCTCATCCTGAGACAAGGTACAATGAAACGATGAGTTGCAAACGCCTCGGCTCCAAATTGTTTTTGGAGGTTTCGATTTTTTCTGTCGTCCTATCTTTTGTTTTATTTTGATGCAAGCAGTGACTGGGATTAGGACTGGCAACTGTTCGCACGGGAAAGGTTGACCATCAGTTCTGGTCGTTTCCATAGCGAGAAGGACTTCTGGTTGATCCAGCCGAGGGATTCGGAGGGCAGCTCGATATCGAAGTTCCAGAACACTTTGGTGAGCAGTAAGCGCATCTCTGCGTTGGCGAGACTGTGGCAGTGTTAGTTTTTGTGTAAAAGTTGGAATTGAATCAATCAAGGCCTTGATGAATTGAAAGAGCTATGGATGCAAGAAATCATTAAATGAAAGAGAATAGGTTTCAACTTACTGTTGGCCAAGGCAATTCCGAGGACCCCACGAGTAGGGCTGGAAGGCGTCCTTCTTGTCGTCCTCGAACTCGATGGTCTCTGATAGCCAACGCTCTGGGATGAAGCTATCTGGGTATCTGAAGTGCGCCGCAGCATGGAAGGTCGAGTAGGGGGACATCGAGACGGAGGTCTAGAGAAAAGACGGCTTTTTTTAGTATTGACACATCACTTTAGATCAAATGAGGTTGCAGAACATATCCAGATGAAGCAAAGATAAACAAAACAAGATGATTAAAGATATCACATTTCATAAAGACAAAAATATTGCAACTCGTCCATTGTCCATTGCAATATAGAGACCTCTGTAGAAAAGCACTCACCCCGCCAGGAACGTAGCGTTCATTGATCATTGCACCACCCTCGGGAACAATACGAGGCAGCATGGATGGAATGGGTGGGTAGACACGCATGCTTTCCATCAGAACGGCATTGAGATAAGGGAGCTCAACAAGAGCAGCGAGGCTAATATCTTCCTCCTTGGCAAATGAGCCACGGATCTCCCTAACCAAACGCTGGTACTTGTCCCGGTGACGATTGAGATAATAAACCGCACCACAAAGCAACGCAGCAGTAGTCTCGCTACCAGCCAGCACAAACACAGCAGAGTTGGCATCCATCTCTTCAAGAGACATACCAAGACCTTCTTTTGTGTGTTTGAGGATGTATGAAGTGAAATCAGGACGAGTAGTACCACGAGCAAGTCGACGACGGACTTTCTCAACGCTGAGGTTGAAGCTCTTAGTTCGCTTTTCGATCAAGTCCTTAGGAACCAGGAACTTGGCAAGTGGTAGGAGGAAAGAGTAAAACCAAAATATTTTGAGGTATGCACTTGCCTTGACCGCGTCCAAAATGATAAGAACCCACCAGTGATATGTGCTGCTCGATAGACAGCCGAAAGGTTCGCCAAAAGCGAGGTCACCGATGAGGTCGAAGGTAGTGAAGTTGAACCAGCGGGCGATATCGATGCGCTGGGATGATGTATTCCCCATAATTCCTCGGAGCTTTTCGATCAGCATATCAGCATATGTCTGCAGGATTTCCTCCTGCGCCTTGAGGGCTTTGTTTGAAAAGGCGTGGGTGAGCAAACGACGCATGCGCTGGTGCGCGTCCTCCTGGGCCGTGATGATGGCATTTACTCCATTGGGAGTGGGAGCGTACAGGGCTGGATCTTTTCGGAAGACTTTTTGGCCTTTCTTGCGGTGGCCATAGATATCTTTCCAGCCGGAGGCGGCGCGGTAGGCTAGGGCATTCGGGGCAATGCGGACGACGTCTCCATACTTGTCATGGAGACTGGTTATGACAGAATGCTGCTTGCCCTGGATGTCCCAGACAACGTGGACCAGAGGGGTGATGGCTGCTAGTTTGGGGCCGGGGTAATCGCTCAGCGGATGCAGAAAGAGAGTGTAAACGCTCCAGCTCGCAAAATAGGTGACCAGCTGTAGAATAGGATAGAAATGAGAGGTCAGCTCGTTGGTTTGGTCTTCTATGTACTCACCAAAGCGGGAATAACACAAGTCAGTTTCCAGAATGATAGCACAGTCAGGGCTTGATTCCAGCTTTCCATCACCAGGGAATTGAGAGGCATGGTGAATTGAACAGAGAGATATGTGCTAAGTACAGAGCCAAGTCACTCTAACTTTTCAAACCCCGATAGAAACAGGATCCCGTCAAACGGACGGAGCGGTGTAATGCAAAAGAAAGAGACCTGGAGAGAGAATCAGAGAAAGATAAGTGAAGTTGGGAGAGGCTGAGTAGGGACCCGGAGTTTGATTGGCAAGAGTGTTTGATGAACTATGCGAATAGACATCGCCATAAACCGCAAAACCGCCCCAGCCCAAACCGCGTTTGGGGAGGGCCTTGAGGCAGTTCTAGAAACCGCCATAGCTTAGGGTGTTCAGATCAGAAATCGCAATGGTTCCTTGGGGCCCCAATGGTTTATAAGCTGGGGCAAAAATGCAGAGCCCGAGCTCTTCATTATTTATACATTGTGCTCCTGTATTTTTTTGTATTTCATTTACTTATTTAAATGAGTTTCAATTTGAGTTTGAATCATGTTAATGCATTTGGTTCCTAATGATTATTATATATATCCTCATCGCGTCTGACACATTTATGAGCCCTAAAATTGGTACGTAGCTGAGTACTACCCTCTGGATTAACTAGAGGGTGGAGTAGGTTTAGCCTTATATTCACCTAAGGGTGACTTCCCTCTCTTCCTTCGCTTCTTTCATCTCATCACGTATAAAGAATTCTTATAGTAATGTTGCTTCCTGGTCTTTATTGAAACTTAGTGTGCAACAATACATTATCAATTCCTAAATTGTCGTTGCACTTATGTAAAGTTGTTACCTAGTTATATAGAGCCTTAGTCGACTATCTTTAATACTGTGTAAATATATATATTTACACAATTTAACATCTAAGAAGCTACAAACTTAATATTCACTAGCTACCTTTTGTTAGAATTGATAAAAGAATAAAAATATTAAGACACTATAACAGATTTATATATATAGATGAGTTACCCCTATCTGTCTATAATTATAGTAAATTTGAACTGATATCATTACGAGTGACCAACACAAGGTTAGATAACCATTAATTTATTGTGATAATTGAGTAGATTCATGTACGATAAGACTTCTAATTGATGCAAAAATGGGGCTTCGGTGATTTTGTGGTTGGGGTCCCAATTGCGGCTTATGACGAAGTAGTATCTAAGACAGTTTAAGGGCTAGAGTCTTCGATTCTCGCGATTAGTTCAGCATTGAACCATACTGCTGCTTTCTCTATCTATCTTCCGAATCCATCTAAGTCCAGAGACCCTCGGAACAGGGTCTTACAGTATTCTATCATATACCGTAGTTTATAGGGTATTTCAACTTCCTATCCGAGCGGCATGGTTGATCTAAAGTATACATCCATTGCACCTTATACGAGGCTATAAACTATTGTGGATTGAGAAAAAAAGAAGGAATGGGCCGACAGTCTTCGACGGTGAGTCTAGAATTAGGGCTTGTTCCTTTCTGGGACAAACGCAGTAGGATTAGAGGCAGAACACCGGCCTACGAAGGAGCACTAGGAACATTGGGAACATCGAGAAAGAGGTGGAAGAGCTTCATGATTCGTGATTAATCGTTATATGTAAATCAAATATATATTCGTATGCAAATGAGCTTAAATCATCTAGCAACAGAAAAGCTCAACAAGCTGCCAGCTGCCAGTCCACCAACAAGAACCATGCTCATGAACCCACCAGCAGCTGGCCGTTCATCAGCAACAACCCAGTGATTGGCACCCATCATACAACTCGTTCCAAGGTACCCATTGGTTGCACCAAAGAGGAACTGCACCACAAGATAGAAGATATCACTCTTGACAACAGCACCATGGCCATTGATATTGCAGAGCTGGTAAATCGGGATGAACATAACACGAGCAATGGCCACAATTGCAGCCATCTGAGGATACTGTCCCAGGGACATACCCGGAATAGCAACGCCCATTCGTCCGGTCAAGTCACCCAAATTCCAAACTAGGAACGCCAGTGGAACAAAGACACTTGAGTCGTATATCCGCGAGCTGGCAGGGTCATTGACGGACTGGATCTCCGCCGTGTATACGGGAAACACCATAGAAATGAGGAAACAAACGAAGACGGCAAATGCCAAAAGCCGCAGCTTAGTGAACAAAGTCCACAAACTGACAGTCTTTGAATGCAAGCGCTCCTCAATAGCCTCATCATCATCTCTGAGCTTCTGCCTTGAGAACGGCTGCTGTCTCAGCAGATAAAGAAAAGCCAGCAGCGCAATAACCGAGACTCCTGTAGAAGTGATAAAGTAAATAAACGCCGATCTCGACGACGTAGTCTCCGGCATACTCGGGCCATCTACGCTCCCAACCTTATGCTTATCCATCGGTGGCCAAAAAAGCACAGATAATATCTGCACAATACACGGTAACACACCTGCAACACCCTGACCAACCATAATGGCCTGTGTATATTCATCCCTGCCAAAGCTGGAGACGTACGCAAAGACACCATTCTGATTAATACCCGTTGCCAGACTGGCGCCGAAAACCATAACCATCAAGAATGCGAAGTACATGCGCGGCGATGAGTCGGTCAGGACAATAGCGGAAAATGCCAGGATCGTGAAGACGGCACAGTTCATCAATAGTGAGAGCGTTACCCGCCACGGGTATGAGGCGTTCTTCTGGAGCTTTGCTAGGGTGTATGCTGTGGCTAGGTTTGTGACTGTTGACACGGACAGAATCGAGGGCTGATAGTGGAGTCTTGTCCAGTCGTCTGATTGGAACCGGCTGAAGAAGTATGGTGCTGCGGCGAGGAACATGTTCCTGTGGAGCTTGTTAACTTCCGGTGCATGAGTTCAGGACTCGGGATAACTTACCAGGCCCATAGCATTGATACTCCTAGGAGGAAGAATATGCCATATTGGAGTTTTGAGAAAGGTGGTTGTTGTTGCGGTGCAGAGCTCGCCTCGTCGCTATTATCCTCTGCTTGGGAGTCATCAAGGCGCTCATACGCCGCTGGGCGGGCGATGAGACTTCGAATACGGTCCATGATTGATGGTTCTATTATTTGCCCTTTGAATTGAAAGGTCAGTCCGTAGAAATGAGGAGACTAAGTCAGCTGTCATGCGCATGAGGTCAGGTCGTGACGCCCAGGCGGCCATGACCGATTATTAAGCACTATAGCAGCCCGGAGGATTGCGAGCGAGGTACGAGATTCCCCGCAGCCTATCATTTGATTTGTATCATACCTAAACGTAAGTCAGAAACTACATTTTGTTTACTGACTAAGGTGACGCTAAAGTATTCAGAATATAATTGATTTTTTAAGGTTTGTACACGAACGCTGCAGACCTATTTTATTACATAATATGCGTGAGAGGAGTATGAAAAGAGACCAAGAATGCGACGGGGGGAAATGTATTCAACAAAAATTTAAACAAGAATAAAGGTCTTGTATAATGCGGAGAGGGTCAATTGGAAAATGTATGGTACGATTAGTTCTTGCGAGAGGTCTGCTCCTCCACCTCTGCGGTCTCAGGCTCTGATTCAGTCTCGATGTCAGTCTCCTTCTCGAGCCGCCACATCTCATCTCTTTCAATAGGCTTGGCTGGGGTAGGAGGTGGGTCACCGCCACTCATTTGCCATTCCATGAGTTTGGTAAAGGCGCCGTCCGGGTGAGAGCTGAGCTCTTCGTAGGAGCCCTGCTCGGCGACCTTGCCGTCATTTCCAAGGACAATGATGGTGTCGGAGCGTTTGATTGTAGAAAGGCGGTGGGCAATACTGATCGTTGTGTTGTTGCCGCTAAGCAAAGTGGCCAACGCGCTGTTAACGAGGGTCTCGGACTCTGCGTCTAAAGCGGAAGTGGCTTCGTCCAAAATCAGGATATCCGGATTCTTGATGAGGGCTCGAGCAATGGCAATGCGTTGCTTTTGGCCACCAGAAAGTTGAGCTCCGCGAGCTCCAACAGAAGTATCTAATCCATCGGGCTGTGAATCTGGTTAGCAGAAATAATGATAATCAAAGCTTTGAGACTTACGAAGTCACTGATGAATTGGCAGTTAGCCTGGCGGGCAGCAGCGATGATCTCAGACCGCGTGGCATGAGGCATGCCGTAAGAGATATTTTCAGCGATCGTCCCGGAGAAGAGCACCGGCTCTTGTGAAACGACACCAATCTTCCTCCGAAGAGACTTGGCGTTCATTCCCTTGATATCTTTCCCGTTGATCAAAACGCGGCCCTCGGTGGGGCTGTAGAAACGAAGCAGAATTGACGCAATGGTTGATTTACCACCTCCAGATGGTCCAACGACTGCAACATTGGATCCCTGGGGGATCTCAAAGTTCAATTCGTTGAAGATCTTGACAGCAGGACGAGTGGGGTAGCTGAAAGTGACATTCTCAAATCGAATTGGACCGCGCGCAGTCTCAACTTTGAGACCCTTGGTCGGGTGGATTGTGGGTGGACGGTCTTGCAACTCGAAGAGTCGACTCGCTGCACCCACACCTTTCATGAGCTCGGAATAGAAGGCCGAAAGCCCAAACATGCTGGAACCTGCATAGGCAGTGTACATCAAGAACGATGTCAACTCTCCGATGCTAATGGCGCCTGATTGAACCATGCCGCCACCTACATACAACAAAGTCATGATAGTCAAATTTCCTGCCAAGCCGGTTGAGCTGAAAAAGACTGCAGAAATCAAAGACTCTTTTTTACCGAGGTCAAAGATCTTGCGGACTTGCTTGTTGTAACGATTGACTTCAAGAACTTCACCGGCAAACGACTGACTTGTCTTGACATTGCCTAGCCGTTCCTCGGCAATTTTGGTCAACGATCCCAAGTTCTTCTGGATTTGGCGACTCAGGTTCCTGATTGCTCGGCCGTAGAACAGAGCTCCTAGGCCGACTGGAGGAAGCAAGACAAGCAAGATAGCAGACAGCTTAGCACTGGTGTAAGCCATCATTGTGAATCCAGCTGCGCCGCTAACAGCAGCTCGCAATCCATCAGACAAATTCTGCGTGATACTCTTTCCAACAATGACAGTGTCGGAGCTAAGGCGCGAGATCAAGTCCCCAACCCGATTGGCATCGAAGAATTCGGCATCCTGGATGAATGTCTGACGAAATAGCTTGGAACGGAGCCTGGCAACGATTCTCTCACCGACAATTCGGAGAATGATGACACGCCCATAGTTGGCTCCAGCACCAACAAGTAGAATTGCACCAAGGGCAGTGTAGAACATGGGAATACTCAAGCCAAACAGTTCACCGGTTCCCTCGTTGATACCCTTCGTTGCAGCATCAATGATCTTACCGATGGAAAGAGGAATTGACATTGTGATTGCCGAGGAGACCAGAAGGAAGAAGAAGGCGAGTCCGAGGGCCTTGGATTCAGGACGTGCGATTCTCAGCAATCGCATTATTTCTCCAAAGCCGGACTTCTTCCCGCCATCTTTATTTAGTCTGGCGCTCATGTTCACTTGAGCTGCCTGCGCTGCTCGCTCAGTCAATTCGAAGCCTTTTTCCTCCTCCGGTTCCGGAGTTGGCCGGTCAGCTGTGTCTTCGAATTTCGCAGGTGGTGATGGTTTGGCCTGAGATAATTTCGGCGTAGACGATATAAGACGTGCTTGAGGGATGATGTGGGATGTAAACAGGGTATATTTGGCGCTTTTGACTTGAAGCAAGAGTGGATTGGGCCCATTTCGGAGTGCACCTGAGGCGGTCGTATAAAGGCGGTTCGACCCATTGTTATGGCCAGACGTAGCAGTCTGCAGTGACGGTCCGGGAATTAATTGGCGCGCAAAGGAGCCGTGTTGTCTCAGGCATTGGCGTGGGCTAACACCCAGGGCCAGAGACACTGGCAACCGAGCACCGCGCATTTCGGAAGTATGTCGGACGATGGTCGAAGGGAAAGTTTGGAATAATGTCACCGATGAATACCACAACATGCCATATCTAATCAAATGTATTCAATTTGAGCACATCACATGGCATTCAGCTCCTCGGGGGGGTTGTCGGAGGTGTGAAGTCTAGAGCTTCGACGTCCGCGGCGTCGGCAAAGCGGTTTTCGGGTCCGATTCTGCTCGGTTTCACCGCCGATCATGGAATCCGGTCGAGATCTTTGGATACTTCGTCTGTTTTGATGCCAGGAAATTTTGTTTTCCCTTCGTTTTAGCTGTTCAATCTTGTCAGAATAATCTTGGAGCTCGTGAGATAGTTGTTTGTGTTGGAAATTTCCCAAGCGCACGTCTCAAGCCTTTTCTTTTTGCTCGCCGAACATCCACCCCACCTTATACTCTTACACCTTACACCACGATCCAAAATGGTGCTCGACTACAGTAAATGGGACGCCTTGGAGCTGTCTGATGATTCGGACATCGAAGTTCATCCCAATGTCGATAAGCGCTCTTTCATCCGAGCCAAGCAAGCTCAAATCCACCAGCAACGCGAGCAGCGCCGTCATGAGATCAAGACCCTGAAGTACGAGCGCATTATCAACGATGGACTTCTGTCGCGCATTGACACGCTCCTTGCATCTCTCAAAAAGCACGAAGACTCGTCAGCTTCCCCCGACGAGTTCATTTTCTCTACCATTATGGAATTCGCCAGCAACCCCGCCGAAGACCAAGCCCCCACTCCACCAGAGGGAGTGTATACAAACGAGCCGGAACAGCCCAAGTTCTCGCAAATGATGAGCTCTCTGGTGGACCAGGTCAAGAAGGAGTTTGGAGACTCTAAGCCCGACAACCTTTTCAAGGCATACATCGAGGGTGTGAACGTACACTTGGAAAAGATCCAGGGACTTCAAAAAGAATTGCACACGAAGCTTGCGCAGCTTGAAAAGGAGGAAGGTGCCAAGATTACCAGCGATCAGCTGCATGAAGGCTTCAGTCAATCCCACGTTGCTAAGGTTGCCGAGAAAGAGAAGGCCGTGGCTGCTGCCAAAGCAGAGAGCTCCGTTGAGCTGCTGAACCCCGGCGCAGGAAGCTCCGCGTCCAAGGCTGACGATGAAGGCGATGATGAAGATCCTGCCGACGTGGAGATCAGCCCTCTGGCAAAGAAGTTCGCCAACCTGAAGACTGGCGACTACAAGGCCTACCTGCAGTTCATCTCAGCCAACCCCGAAATTGTCGCCGAGAAAGAGACCGACGGTCTACTTGTTGAGGCTTTCAACAGCCAGCTCAAGGGCAAAGAAGACTACGCCCGTCAATGCGTGCACCAAGGTCTGCTTCTGCAATACTGCCGCTCGCTCGGCCGTGATGGCATCCAGCTATTCTTCACTCGGTACGATTTTTTCTAAAAAATCTTATGGGTCAAGCGCTAACATGTAACCATAGTATTACCACAAAGGATCACCGCGCATCAACCTTGTTCCTCAACGATGTCAACGAAACCTACGCTCGTATTAAGTCTCGCTCCGCTGAACTGAGCAAAGAGGGCTCAGGCAACGACCCTGCAGGCGTGGAGCAGATCCAGCTGCATGCTGTCGACCCCAACACCAAGATCACCATCAACATTCCCCCCGCTGACAGCAAAGACCCGACTGAGATCGAAGTGCGCAAGATCTTCGATGCTTTCCCCCAGGATCTGCAGAAGGCTCTTGAAACCGAGTCCTTGGACGAAGTCAACAAGGTTCTTGGCAAGATGTCCGTCGAGGAAGCGGAGGTCGTTGTCGAGGCTTTAGGCAATGGCGGCATGCTCAGCTTGGAGGAGGGTATCGTAGATGCTACCACGGCTGAGGGTCAGAAAAAATTCCAGGAACTAGAGGAAGAAGGGAAGGCTGTTGGCGAGCCCGGCGGCGATGTTGCCGAGCTTGACTAGGAGATTCCAAAAAACGGTGACGATGTGATGAACGCGTTCATTTTCTTAGTCTAAGGACTTGTTTTCAGCTACTTCCTGCATCTTTGTATTTCCTACCTTTCATCTTTCCAATGATTTTTTAAGGCGCGTCAGTCGGACGACATCGCTTGTTGAAATGCTCTATCGCTAAATGTTATTTGTCTCCAGGTATTCGTAAGAGTACGTCTGGGAAAGCCGCTGTAAGCTAATCCGGATGAAACCCGTGGTATTAACGATGCTATCAATTTCAGAAACTAAATTACAAACCCCCTAGACTTCGCTGCGTGGAGTGAAATAAAACAAAGAGAATAAGGCTCAGCAGCTAGAGATGAAAGCTGCCAAATGGGAGGAGAAAGATGTAGAAGTCATATCATATGAACTCAAGATGACCGGCGAATACCGCATCCTTGAACCGCAAACTCCAATCTTCTAACCCCGCGATTAAGCAACCAATCTAGATACCGGTCGAGCCAGGGGCCTCCTGGTCCTTCCGGAGATCAAGCAACAGCTCACGGAACCGCTCCTTTCCAGAACCGCTGGCACCGCCCGCGGAGCCCTTGCCCGAAACATCAACCAACTTGGCAATGCGCTCCCAGCTAGTTCCACCGGCAGAAGTGTCTTCCCTGTTCGCAAGGAATTGCTCGGCTTCAGTCCGAGCGAGCGAGCGATTCTTGTCCGCCTTGTTGTTGTATGAAACGTAGAAATCGTCGATGTCCTCCTGGGCCTTTTTGACGGTAGCGGCTTTCTTCTCGGTAGAGACCTCTGCGCGGCGGGCAATCTCGGCGTCGCGCTTCTCACGCCATTCACTTAGAGGGATACATGTTAGCCCAGTGATCCGGATTGGAGCCTGACGAAGGTAGATCGCAGAGGGCATGCGCCCTCATGACCCCGGACTCTGGAATTGAAACTTACCGAACAGCATCACCCTCATCTTCTGTCTCCTGGGTGCTTGGGTAACCGGTACGGGGGAAAGGTGAGCCGGAGCCAGTAATTGTACCACCGGGAGCAACGCGCTGAATAGATAGAACCCCTAGTCAGTATTGTATTTATCATGGGGTCACTGGCCAATTCGTACCTCGTTCTGGTTCTGAGTTTCGACGGAAGGGAAAGATGATTCGAATTGACCGATCTCCTCAACTGGCTCGTCGCCTCCGCCCAGCAGATCGTCATCCCCGCCGACATGGTCTTGGGCAGTAGCGAATTGATCTGCGTCTTCACCGAGTGCGGCGCGTTCACGGGCAAGGAAGTCGTCATCTGTGGCAGTGGGGGCATCGGCCACTTCGGTCTGGCCTGCGGGATAGGTTAGCTCCGCTGTAAGGAGATGTAAGTGGGTTGGACTTGCCTTCAGAGAAGTCCTCCAGGGAAGGGAATCGGTCAGCCATGCTGGTGGTTTGAAGTTCGTTGTAAGAGTGAATTGAGAAATCAGAATCAAGCAGATGATTGTTTGGAGAGATCAATGTGTCAAGTCCAGTATAGGCAGAGGTGTTGACAGGTGTGGCCGGGGCGGGCTCCGAGCGCCGTTCTGCCATACCGGGGGCGGTAAGCTTATCCATTGTTTCAAGCTTCAGGTAACACTTGTACTTCACTAAAGTGTAAAGTTGAAAGAAGAGAGGTTGATATTTTCTTTCCAGGGGTTCATCTTGTTTTAACAATTGCATTTTGGGAAACAGCTTTCCACGCCATTATTCACCTACTCTTTCCCTCTTTCTACTTCGCCCGGATTCTCTCTCTCTCTCTCTCTCTCCCTCTCTCCTCTCCGATCTGATTACATCTAATTCGAAATTTATTGTCTCGATCGGATTTAAATTTTTCACTATGGCTTTTACCGATGATGCCGTTAAAGCAAAGCTCTCGGCTTTGAATGAGTCGCAGGAGAGCATCGTTACTGTCGCTCAGTGGGTCATGTTCCACAGGTACACAAACACTTGCTTTCACTTCGAGGAGACAAGCTAATGATCCTGCAATAGGCGCCATGCCGAACGAACTGGACAAATCTGGCTTCACAAGATTCGCGACTCTCCGCCTCCTAAGCGCCTCAATCTGATTTACCTCGCCAATGGTGCGCATGCGTGGCTTCCGCCTTAGTGTAGCTATTGCTAACTAGATACACAGAGGTGGCGCAACAATCCAAAGCGCGTGGAAAAGATGATTTCCTAATCGCCTTCTCTCCGGTTCGTTTCCCTTCGATTGCTTTCGCCATCCAACTAACGGGAAACAGATCATTGTGGAGGCTACGTCAACGGCTTACAAGGGCGCATCGCATGACTATCAACAGCGAATTCGCCGGGTTATTGAAGTTTGGAGACAGCGCAATGTTTTTGAGGGACCAATTCTTGATGCAGTGGAAGCTCGTGTAGATGGTAAGCCGAGCCAACCGGCAGCTTATTGCGACTGAAGAACGGCTAGATTGACGATGCTTTAGAAATCGACAAGAGTCGCTCCACCACCAAGAAACCGACTCTCGGAGGCTCATTCTTCAAGCATCCTTCCGAGGGCATAACCCCGTCGGAGCTGCGGCCACTTGTTCCATTGCAGATTGCTCTCACCAAGGCCACCGTCAACTCTAACACGTCCAATGCTGCGGCCACTTCGGAACACGATAAGCTGCATGACCCCAAGTCCCCACAACCCACCTTGCCTGTCCATGCCGCACGTCTGAGCCAACTCTTGAAGACGCTCGCCAATGCAGAGAACTCAGTGTCTGAGGTCATCAAGTCGCGCCGTGCCCTGATCGACGGACTCGAAAAATTCCTCGAAACCAACCGCGCGGAGCTGGCGAAGGAAGAGAGTCTCGGTGCAGAGCTCGCCCAAAAGAAGAATGCCGCAGATGCCAAAAAGCGTGAGGTTGAAGACGCGATCATGAGCGGTCTCTCCAATGAAGACGTCTCCACAAGCGACAACAACAACGGACACAACGATGCATCCGTCCGTCCAGAAGTCGAGGCTCTGACTCCTCCCCCAGTGGAGGCTATCACGCCGGTTGGATCCCCGCAGCCAGAAAAGCAATCTATTCGCCGTGGCCCTTTCACTGAAGATGCCGACGACGATACTACAGAATGGCCGAACATGGATACAATCCACAACGTTGAACAATCTGGCAATGGTGCTTCGGTTAATGCGCAAGACAATGGGCATGCCAAGAGACGCAAAATATCGCACGGCGAGGAAGATTATGCGGCTTTCGCTGGTGGCGACCTGGATCCTGATTTGGCTGATTTGGTCAATCAGGGTCAACAGTAGGTGCCTCCGAGCATCTCAGGGTGACAACATAGGCATGGCTCACTGCCTGCCATCTGTTGTTTGATTTATTCTTCTCTTCAATTTTCCGGATAGAGGATACCCTCCTCTCCGTGTCTTTCCATTGTTCTTCCACCCTTGTCTTCCAGTACATGCTGGATCATTTGATTGTATGAGTGAGTGATATCTGTAACATACGGCATCTTTTTCAGGTTTTTGGTCCAATCTCATTTTGTCCGCTGAAGCGTCTTACAAGTATATCCTACGTCGTATATTCTCTTTCAACCCTCAATATAAAGATGCAGGTGGGCTAAATATCTTCTCTCATGATCAGATTGATCGCATTAAATATGACTCAATGCTATTCGCTAAAAGGTATCATCGGAATATGTCAGGATCCATCCACCGATCTCGAGCGAATCGGTTCGACAACTGGTGTCTCCGCCCGCGGTACAACACAGAGCGAATATTGTTCGAAGATTCATCTTCAGGGGGTGGCGGCGGCGGCGAACTGTTCCCTTTCGGTTTTACAACCAGCACAATAATCATTCCTACAACGACTAAGAGCAGCAGTAGCATAATCTTGCGTTTGGTAGTTCGTCGTTGGTAACCGGTGGCCTAGCAATCAGTTAGTACACAAAAACGAATGCAGCTGTATAGAAACATACCACTTTGAGTTCCTTATCCGCTGCCTTGACCTCAGTGCCCATCCGCTCAACATTGTAATCAATCCGATCAAGCATAGTCCCCTGATCAATGATCATACCCTGCAATTCGCGGAAAATATCTGAAAGCTCAATAATGCCCTTGGCAATATCATTAATTTCTCTCTCTCGCTGCGCAATCGCTGCATCGTTCGACCCCGTCCTCTGCGAAGTCTGCTGCAACATAGTTTGCGAAAAGGACCGATCAGCATCCGACTCCATCAGCGACGGATCCGTGTACGGATTCTGCATTGGCGTAGGCGCCCGATCAAACGGCGTCGCTATACCCTCTAGGTCCCTCAATTCTGCAATCCATCAGCACACATCCTCCCCCAAAACAAATAGCAGACTGTGGTCAACATACTTCGCAAATAAGTACTCTGCTTCTTCCGAAACCGCGCACTGGCCTCCTGCACGCGCGCCGCAAGCGATATCTGGATATTCTTCGCCATTGTCTCCTCGCCACTGGATACTGTGCCCTGCTCCTTCGACTCGGAGACCATACTGGAGATGCGCTGGATCGAGCGCTGGCACTCGTGGAAGGCGCGCGTGACATCCTGCGTCAGGCGCTCGATCACGCCTTCGTCCTGCTTGCGCAAGTCTTCGTCGCCAAAGCCCGGGAGGAGGTGTTTCTGGTGCAGCTTGTCTAGCTGGGAGGAGTTTTGGGCGATTTCCGTGAGCAGCTCGGAGACTTCTTCTTGGACGTCTATCCAGCGGGGTGGGAGGAGGTCCATTTCGATGACCATGTCGCCGTCCTCATCGTCGATGAGACGGCGGTTTTCTTCCGGGTGGGAGGGTTCCGAGAGGCCATTTGTGAAGGTGGGCTTTTTGGCTGGGTGATGGATTAGGGATTGACGGTAGGAGAGGTAGCTGCTGCGGGTTAGTTTGGTTTGTTCGTGACTTTGGTGTTTGGCTTTGGCTTGGCCGGGCTTGGGGTTGCATACAGGTTTGTGCGATCCCGCCACATATTGGGCAGGTTTGGGTCAAGTCAGATGTGGGTTTATTGTTTGTTTATGGGAATCATGGTTTGCGAGTGATTGACAGCTAGCAGTAATTTGGAATGTTGGAGTTGAAGCCGGAGACGATAGGAGCTCCAAGACTCTCCACATGCATCGGAAGGGGTCACGTATTGCCCGGTATTTACGGTGTAATCAGCCGCTTTTCCCCACATATAGTGTTGTATTCTCGGTATTCTCTGTACCTTTTGTATATCTGTCATAAAGGTCTGACAACTTCAACCTAGAATTTTCGAGAAAAATGATAGCATGTATAATTTCTGTAATTGGACCCCTTTCGAGGTTTTTATGATGGTGCGAGTCTTGGTTTGTTCTATTCACTTTACTGTCGGGACTATAAACTCAGCAGTACGAAACGACTAATCAACCAAAATACCTTGTTAAGACCTGGGTCTCTTATACAGGCATTTACTCTGCACTTCAGGGCTCTTCAAGTGAGATTATAATAATATTGAAGCCCCGCAACTGTCAGCCCTAGAGAGAACAGAGCAAAGCCAAGACGTTGCTAATGCAATTGCTGTCTGATGCGGACACAAGCGCTCAATATAGTTCAAGCTTTCCGCAACTCCAAATTGGGTATTATCACAACATAGCTTGGATGGCAGAAAGACCTATCTGTCAATAATAACAGAATCAAATATTCCTTAGTATCTAGAAGCCTAGAAGGAAAAGTAAAAGTACAATATAAGCAAAACTGTCAGCTGAGGCGAACTTCAGCCCTGCCTCCACCGCCCTCAGATGAAACAACTCTGACTGGATCCCCTCAGCGGCTATTTTGGTAAGGCTCCCCTTAACTTCCATTTGACCCCTCCTTTCTCTATTACTTTTCCCCTATCTACATTCATCATGGTAAGTATTTGTGATTTGAATTATCCCAGTGCCAGAACAAACACTCGCCCCCTCCATTACCATCGCCATGTCTCGTCAAACCCACAATGCAGGGCACAACATCCGTATCTCGCTGACCACATCTAGGCTGATTCCCTGACCGAAGAGCAAGTGTCCGAGTACAAGGAGGCCTTCTCCCTCTTTGTAAGTGAGCCCACATCCCAGCTGGAAGATCTCAACACTAACCAGCGATCTATCGCAAAACAGGACAAGGATGGTGATGGTGAGTGATCGCGCTCGTCAGCTCAGTCGAGTTCGCAACTCGAATTGGCCCGAAAATCTAACATGTCATCCCAGGACAAATCACCACCAAGGAGCTTGGCACCGTCATGCGCTCTCTTGGACAGAACCCCTCCGAGTCTGAGCTGCAGGACATGATCAACGAGGTTGACGCCGACAACAACGGCACCATCGACTTCCCCGGTATGCCCCCCCCCGTTATCAGCCCCCTCCCCCCAAAAACCTGCCATTGACAAGCGATAGAATTCTTGACCATGATGGCCCGCAAGATGAAGGATACTGATTCCGAGGAGGAGATCCGCGAAGCGTTCAAGGTGTTCGATCGCGACAACAACGGCTTTATCTCTGCCGCCGAGCTGCGCCACGTCATGACTTCCATTGGCGAGAAGCTGACTGACGACGAGGTGGACGAGATGATCCGCGAGGCGGACCAGGACGGTGATGGCCGGATCGACTGTAGGAAATCCAACCCATGGAAGATTTGCCCACATGCTAACTTGCCTAACAGACAACGAGTTCGTCCAGCTCATGATGCAAAAATAAAAGTTGCATAGGATGTGCCTTTGTTTTCATGTTAGCTGATGTCACTCTAACGAGAATGTTTCTCTATCGATTTTCCATTACCCATTTGCTTGTAGTCTATGGCTAGAGGCTATACACCGATGATTTACGATCAAGCGTGTGCTTTGGATGCAGATGAATGAACTAGGCGGTATCTTGGGCCAAGTGTTCAGAATTAAATGATCACTCCATCCTTCCAATCGTAGCTCGCAAACTGAAAGTAAACATCGCTGTAAAACCTATACATATTACCGATTAAACCTCAAAACCTCCATAAACTGCCTCGCAACGTCCGTCCCAGCAGAAGGATCCGGATCTTCATCAGCCCTCTCTTCCTCACCACCTTGACCCTTCCCCCCATTCACCTTCCTTCCCAACCTCTCCTTGACCTCACACCCAACACCTGGAATAAGATTCGCCTCTCTCCCAACCATTCCCAACCTCCCCCAAAATTCCCTAATCAACCCCGCTGTAGCCGCATACTCAGCATCAACATCCTCCTCCCGAACCGCATCCACAAAGCCCTCCAAACCCCCTTCAACAACTGAAGGGCCCCGCCACTCAATCTCAACAACCGTCCCCCTGACCCTGGCAGTCGGGAAAGTCTGCCGGACATCACCAACCCGCACGCGGAAATCGCCGATATCATACATAACACCATTCACAGAAACAGTGAGCCGATGGCTCCAGAGCGGCTGGCAAGCATAAGTGAAATGCTGGAAGAGCCCCGCCGCTGCCGACGGTGGGACAGTCGTCATGACCATCGGCAGGGCGGGCGAGTGGTCAGGCGCGATGCCGTTGACTGGGCCTGTTTGCGGTGCTGCTGGTGCATTCTCCGGCTCGGAGGTGTAGATGAAGGCATGGTGCGGGTAATGGGTCAGTGAGAGGAATTGCATGTATCTTGGGCTTTGGGGTTTGGTTGTGTTTGGGTTTGGGAGAAGGCCTGGTGTGTCGCGGAGCAGCTTTTGTTCTAGACTCCAGCGGCCGATTGGGGATAGTTCTTCATCTGGGAAGGATGTGCGGAGTCGTTCTGTTATCTGGGGGAGGGCTGTTGAGGAGTTGGGATTTGAGGGGATGAAGTAGACACTTGGGGTTGTTAGTATTGGGCTTGGGTATGGGGTATGGGGGAGGTGGTGAATTTACCCTGTGATTGGCATTTTGGGTGGTTTGCTTTTTGATTTGATGCTTGAGGGACAGGCCTGGTGGTGGGCTGAATTGACCAGGCAATTGAATGCGCTGGTAGGATAGAATTGATTGATTATTTAGAGGCTACTGCCTTGCCTAGTGGGCTGGATGTATTCCCAGCAAATCAGGGTGAGCGATCCTGATGCTCTTTTGCTGAAGTCAAGTGGCAGATGCAGTGACGATAAGGTCTTCAAAGTGGCGATAGTGGTCTGTAAGCTGATTAGTATAATTATTGAAAGCTGAAAGATAGTAATACCTTGATTTATACAGTAATCTATGTATTTTGTTAATGTGGAGAGAGTAATATTAAGTTCATTGATCTTCAGATTGAAAGCCATGAGAGCATAACATCGAAGTGCAAACAGTGCAAACAAGTTACCCATACAGAAAAACATTGGAGCTCAATTTTCCTACCTCTTGTTTATTCAGTACTACTACACTATATGTTTCCAATCATTCGGGTGTGTTAGTATGCAAGACTTAGATCTTGTATCAAACTATCTTTGGCCAAGCTTTAAGATCCTAAAAGGTTTAATATATGGGTGTAGTTACTTTGTTCCTCTATTACATATAGTAATATTCCAACAACAATCCTTATAAATAAAAGGAAGCAATGGAGCCCCTCGTATATGAGACAAGGCGCTCTGTCTCAAACGATCTCACTCTACAAAGGCTTTCACTCCGAAAGCCGTAAGGATCGACTTCATGGACCTTTTCCCCATTCAGGGGCCGTTATGGAGTTAACATCTTGGCAGGGTTCAATGTGTAACGGGACTTGACTCTTTTAGTCTACATATTCAGATTCTAGACTAGTCTAATAATAACTAGACCCTGCAGTAGTATTCTCCTAGCGACTAGAGTAAAATTCCCATAGAATCAATCATATAATGCGAAGTAAAATATTAGCAAAGCGGTCGATCATTGGAGTTGATCAAAGCATAGACCTCTCCCAATTCTCATGACGTGTATCCTCCAATTCTCTCCCTGTAAACATTTGTTCAATTCAAACATTCAATGCACTTCCGACCACTGACACTCCTTTAATTCCTTTCAAAAGGTTGACCCTCAACCATGTATCCTAAACGCAAAAGTCGCCCTCTCACAACAGCTATATTTCTCATCGCCGCCATATACATTCTCTTCTTCTGGCTACCCAAAACACAAACATTCCAACACCGCCTCCCAAAACCAATCTCCAGACAAGACAAAACACTCCGTTCAGATGCAATCCGGCTAAATAAAGTCACCGAGAAATACCCTGTCAAAGAATTCATCCAATTGCCTACAGGATCAGCAACAATTCCTCGCATCCAGTATGAATTTCCCGAAGAAACAAAAAGCGAGCGCAAAGCGCGCTTGAAAAAGCGCGATGCCATCAAAAACACTTTCCTGCATTCCTGGAATGGATATAAAGAGCGCGCCTGGTTGCGTGATGAAGTCAAGCCTGCCTCCGGCGGTGTCACCGATTCCTTTAATGGGTGGGGCGCAACACTGGTCGATTCCATGGATGCGCTGGTGATCATGGGTCTAGACGATGAGCTTGAGCTGGCTCTTGAAGCTCTGAAGGAAATCGACTTCACAACCACGAAAAGTAAACAGGTTCCTGTTTTCGAGATCATTATTCGCTATATGGGCGGTTTTATGGCCGCCCACGACCTGACCGAAGGCAAACATCCAATCTTAATTGAAAAGGCAACAGAACTCGGCGAGATGATTTACCATGCTTTTGACACGCATAACCGCATGCCTTCCGTCCGCTGGGACTGGACCAAGTATGTTATGACAGTTCACAGGAGAAAGTAAAAGCGAAAAATTTACATTCATTAGGTCCGCCAAAGGCGAAGAAATTACTCCCTCTGCCCGAAGCAGTCTAGCAGAAGTCGCATCTCTGACCCTCGAGCTCACCCGTCTAACCCAAGTAACGGGTGACCCCAAATACTACGACGCCGTCCAGCGAGTCATGAACGAGCTCGAGATCGGCCAGGACAAAACTCGCATCCCGGGTCTCTGGCCTACATGGATAGACATGGACCGGATGGATTTTGACGACACAGAATTCACGATTGGCGGATGTGCCGACTCCGCCTACGAATATCTCCCCAAATCGCATATCCTTCTGGGCGCCCAAACGGACAAGTATCGCAAGATGTACGAAAAAGCCATCAAGGCATTCAACGACAAGCTGCTATTCAGGGCAATGACTAAAGACGAAGACGCGCATATTCTCTTTGCTGCCAATGCTGTTGGGTTGCGCGGTAATTCACAAACGCTGCAATACTCGCCTGATCATTTGAAGTGTTTCATGGGTGGCTCTGTGGCGATTGCGTCGAAGATTTTCGACAGGCCGCAGGATATGTTTGTTGCGCGGGGATTGACCGATGGGTGTGTTTGGGCCTATGACATTATGCCGACTGGCATCATGCCGGAGATCTTTAAAGTGAGCCATTGCAAGAAGATTGATCATTGTCCTTGGGACGAGGACAAATGGCTGGGGGATGTGATTTCGCGCTCTATAGATTCTGCGGAAACGAGACAGAGAGCGGAGGATGAGATTGAGGCGGAGCAGTTGCCACCTGGTGTGACGGAGATCAAGGATCCGAATTATAAGCTTAGGTTGGTTCCTTTTAGTTTGTGTTGTGCTGTACGCTGATGATTTTTAGACCTGAAGCTCTCGAGTCTGTCTTTATCATGTATCGAATTACTGGAGACAGGAGTCTTCAGGATACTGCCTGGCGCATGTTCCAGAACATTGACAAGGCGACACGCACGAAGTTCGGTCATTCGACTATCAAAGATATCCGCCATAAAAAACCAAGCTTTGAAGATAAGATGGAAAGCTTCTGGCTCGCGGAGACTTTGAAATATCTTTACCTGATCTTTTCTGAACCCGACCATATTAGTCTGGACGATTATGTGCTGTGGGTTTTGCTTCTCTTCACTTCATGCACCTATACTAATTTTCGAACAGAAGCACTGAAGCCCACCCCTTCAGACGACCCGACGCCAGCAGTCACCCCAAATCCCATCGATGAGATAGTATTTAGTCACAGGAGTTAAAGGCATATTAATCATGAGCTACAAAACTCATTTATGTTGAACATTGGTCAACGGTCTCTCAATGAATACAATTTCGAGAGTTTGGCAAGATTTTAGCAAGCACAATAATAATGTGAGGTAAAATTGAGCTCCACTAACCGGCGGCATATATATTCTATTCAGTCTTCAAGGACTTTGTGGGAGGTTCCAAGGTTAGAGATTGTCAAAGGGGGCCGAATGTCTTGTCTATCTATATATAAGCTGAAACATCAAGGGCCTTTCCTTCAACCCTTCTAGGTCCCTCATCTTCATATTGAATAGAATAGCGAACCTCCTTCCTAATAACCATCCGATCCTCGTCATCAGGAGTATGAGTCTGTGCACTCGCACCCCTCTCGTGCCGACTATACGGTCTCGGTACAAGCTCTATCAAATCCGAGTCTGTAGCACAATTCCCCTGTACCACATGCTTGGCTTTATCTATCTTCGGAAGACTCTTTCGCGCACCGAGCGGAAACATCGATGTGCGCATCGGTATCCGATCTAATGTAGTATTGTTGATATCGCCCTCGGCATCGCCATCCAGTATATTCTTGCCAGACAACACATCCCCACGTGATTGATTCGAATTCTTGACCTCCCCCGACCCAGAAGCCGGTACCATTGGCGCCGTGCCAGCTCGTTTGCGCTGCACGCGCGAATGTGATCTCGATCCGGCCATTCTAGAAATCGTTCTAGAGTTCTCATTTGATCCCGACCCAGACCCAGACTTGGAGTCTTCTTTGCGTGATCGCGACGCACTACTTTCCAGCGTCGAGTCACCTGCCGTTCCGTAATTTGTGCTGACGGCTGCCATGAACGGACGGAGACAGAAGACGCTGCATGCTACTAGGGCATAGTGTAGCTCAACTTGCATCCATACTGTTGGTTCGACGGAGGCGAGTGTCATGTCTGTTTGTTTGAGGGCGGTGTGTAGGGCTGAGATGTGGAGTAGGGAGAAGATTATCAGGCTAGAATTTAAATCAGTGTTAGAGGGTGGTCGAGGTGGTTGGGTTTTACTCACGGAAAGCGGAAGATAAATGCAAAGCCGACGGTTAATTTGCGGTGAACAGACATGAAGAGACCCTTTAAAAGGATAACGGCTAGTACGAAGAGGAGGATCTCTGTAATGACGTCGACTGCAGCGATGAATTGCCATCGTTGATACTATTGAATGGTTAAGTCAGAGCAAGTGAATAGTATCAACATATACATACCAAGTCTGGACATTGACCATTATCGCTGCGCCATGGTGTGTTCAGCTCGCAATTAACGAGTATAATGAAAATAGCTGGGATAACCCAAGCTGTGCATAATGCCAGTGTCGCCCAAGATGCGCGGTTATGCTGTTTCTGTGGTGTCAGGCGTAGGTAAATAGCCACGACACAGCACTTGGATAGGTAGATGATAATTAAAGCGATGGTGTCGCTTGTTGCAATTAACTAGATATGTAAATATTTCACGACAGTCTCAGAATCGATTCTCACTCACAACCTGGATCTGATCAAGTCTCCCATTTTTCAGCAGCGATATTGAAGTCCCGAATCCGCGCGAACAAGCATAGAAAATCAAGCTCGATTGCACAATCGCAATAGTCTACCCAAACTGTCAGCATTCACAGACTTATACACAAATGTTAAATTCCTGGATCAAACACCCACAGTAGCACCTAACAAAACCCAGTCATCCCTCGCAAAAGGCGGGATCAGCATAAGCCGCACATAAAGCCGGATCAAAAAGCAAACGAGTGAAACCACCAGCCCTAAGGCGGCGGTGATGATCACCCATGCGCCATGGTGTAGGTCATCCACGACCTCAAAGGGCGGCGACTGGCCTGCCGGCACATACGGCATAGCAGGACACTAATCGATATGGAGGAGAGTCTGCGCGCGATCATGGATTGGTCTATGGGGTAAGTGTGTATATCAGTGTGTGAAGAGGGAATCTGCAAACACTGTTAGATCGAGCCATGTGGGCCTTGGACTGGGATTGGCGTATACAATTGCTACGCAAACTCGATAGTTGGATATGGGTGGTGACAGGCAATTAACGTACTTTGCATGTCATATGCCGACACCCGATAAAGGCGCATCGAGGCCGCTGGGATTGGATTGAGCTGGGGGTTCATGGGTTATCCCTTCTTTCGGCGCTAGCCGATGGTTGATATATTGGACTTTGGTTTGCCTGGAATGGCGGTTTGCCTTCTCTCCCTCACGTCGCACTATCAGTGTTATCAGGTTGTACATTTTGTGCAATTTTAGGGCATGGCGTCCCGCTGTAGGGTAGATCAGCGTGCACCCCTTCACTCATCGTGGATCGCTGGGTGTTGTCCGATAGGCTATATGGTTTGTGTTGGGGTAAACCAGCTAGGGATGTGCATGCACCCGCCATTAAGTGGCAATGTGGCGGTATCATCTGGGGGATAAATAAGCACCAAGGGGGATGATTTGCGCCCGAATTAGTTAGCGCGTGTGATGCATCAGAAATGTCAGATGGGATGCCGAAGATAATAGGTTAAATGTAAACACCTTCGAAGGTCGGTTTGCTACATCCTGACATTTATGTAGATATCACAACATTTGCTTCTCTTCAAGTGATTTCCAGTGAAATACGATATCGAGTACTCACAGTAATGGCCACCCATAATCTACGAGCTCCAACCCAACCCAATCCAAACGCTCTAACGCCCGAACCCGAGAACCACCCCTTGGCATGCAAGGTCCCAATACTAGCGCCATTCCGCCAGACAAGGGATACTAAGTCTCGACCGATTGCCAACCCAATCCGACCACTCGCAGTCAAACAACGATGTGTCATTCCGGTCCTTCTAGGTTCTTCGAACATATGGAAATTTCTCCTAGCCATGCCTTGCTCCCACGTCAATGCCACGCTCCAAATTCTGCAAGCCGCTATGATCATTTTCTCCTAAGACCTGCTTCTTTGGGTTACGCTTCTGTGAGCAAAGTGTATACATCAATCCTGATCCTTCAGGGCGCTTGAATGTGACCGTGACAGTGCCAACTTTGGCTTTTATTTATTCTCGGACCTTCCTTAGGATCTTGGATTTTCTATCAATATGACACTCTTTAACAGGTCCCGTCCGGACTCGCAGCATGTTATGACGCTTGACGATGAAGAATATGCGCAGAAAGGCCTGGTTGAGCCCAGGTATATGGGTACCGTTGCTGATCAACGGGATATGAATGCTCTCGGCAGAGTCCAGGTTCTGAGGGTATGGTTCCTGTATCCCTGAGGGATTTGATTTTGCTGACACTCCCTAGAGGAATTTTAGATTCATTTCCATTGTGGGCTTTGGATGTACCCTGATCTGCACATGGGAGGTTATTTTGACGTATGGTGGACCCTGCATGACTCGCAACCTGGTTTATGCAGCAGACTCTGACTTACCGTTAACAGATTGTTATCAGCCGGCCTGACGGACGGCGGTACAGCCGGCTTGATATGGGGATTCATTGGTGTTTGCCTTGGCTTCGCCCTTGTTTATGCAAGTGTCGCCGAGATGGCTTCAATGTAGGTCCCTTGTAAGTATGATAGTTGACGACGCTAATGGATAGACAGGGCTCCCACTGCCGGTGGACAATATCATTGGGTATCGGAGTTCGCACCTAGACGAGGCCAAAAGTTCCTAAGTTATATCACAGGTAAGACAGCCTGCCTTTCATATAAAAACCGCTAACAAAACAGGGTGGCTTTCTGCTATGGGATGGCAATGTGCTATTGTTTCCATCGCTTACCTCGCTGGAACTATCATCCAAGGCTTGATCGTGTTGAATAGACCCGACTACGATTTTCAAAGATGGCATGGCACCATGCTGGTAATTGCGATCTCAACATTCTCAATCTTGTTTAATACGTTCCTGGCCAAGAACCTGCCTTTCGTGGAAGGATTAATTTTGATCATCCACGTTGTCGGTGTATTTGCCATTATAATCCCGCTGTGGGTTCTCGCCCCGCGCAATAACGCCCACGCAGTTTTCACCACGTTCAATAATAGTGGCGGCTGGAATAGTTCCGGGACTGCGACGCTGGTTGGTTTATCTACCACTATTACTTCCATGCTTGGCTATGATTGCTCGGTTCATATGTGTAAGACTTCGCGGATTCTGCTTCAGATATAGTCCACTGATCTATAAACAGCGGAGGAAATCAAGGATGCATCAGAGACACTGCCAAAGGCCATCATGTCTTCGGTCGCAGTTAATGCCGTACTAGGCTTCATCATGTTGATCACTTTATGCTTCACACTTGGAGAAGTCGACAGAATCCTCGACACCAACACGGGATTCCCATTCATTCAGGTCTTCTACAACACCACCGGTAGTTTTGCCGCGACAAATGCAATGACATCCGTGTTAATTGTAACGCTGACAGCAAGCACAATCACCGAAGTAGCAACCGCCTCGCGACAGCTCTGGTCGTTTGCTCGAGACGAGGGCCTTCCTTTTTCGTCTTTTTTCGCATATGTAAGACATTTTTCCAATGCGATAGCCTGGCCCGAAGTTACGGATTTCTAATACAAACCAGGTTACACCGGGTTGGAACATCCCCCTGAATTCCGTGATGGTTTCGCTAGTCGTCACGATCCTGCTTTCGATCATAAACATTGGATCACAGGTTGCACTCAATGCTGTGGTTTCGCTAACGATAACATCACTTCTATCTGCGTATATATTGTCTATAGGCTGTGTCTTCCTGAAACGGCTACGAGGCGAGGCACTCCCGCACCACCGATGGTCGTTAGGGAAATATGGGTTGGCGGTGAATTTCGGCGCATTGGCGTTTCTTTTCCCGATGTTCCTGTTTTCGTTTTTCCCGCTGACAACTGATGTTACGCTTGAAACGATGAATTGGTCTGTGGCTATGTATGTTGGTGTTGTCGGGTCGGCGTCGGTTTATTATTTGGTGAGGGGGAGACATCACTTCATCCCGCCGGTGATTTTAGTGAAAAGAGAGGGGGAGTAGCGGTTGGTTATCTTTACTTGTTATTACTTGTGTGATTAGATATGCTTATTTTGATGACTTGATGATGTGACGTAGCCTGGATATACAATGCTGGACTGTCATTAATTGCTATCGCCACTACTATTTGCTTACATCTGTACATATATAGATACTCAGAATATTGCTAAAAACATATAGATTCTTTTTATAAGGAAGTTACATATATAGAACTGAACCTTGTACATTGCGGACGCTAGTGTGTTTTCTGTCAACAGCTTCGCAAGAGTAATTCCGAGATTCCGTCAGCCGTACAACGAGGTGACACAACCCCTATTGCACATTACATCAGCATAAAGACGGGAAAATAACATAAGTTGGTGCCCAGGAGAAGGGTTTCACCTACTGATTGGAATAAAAATAAGTTATCAGATGGAAACATTCTCCATAGAGTACCCTATAGGTAAATTGTCCCATGCATTACAGCATACAATATACACGCACCCGCGAAAAAAAAGGATACGTTTGCCCTGGTAGATTATAACAAAATCAGGTTATCAGATGGAAATATTGACTTCTTAACTCCTTGTTCCGAATGCGCAATACCTACGTATATTGCAAACATGTTTACGTGTATGTATCACAAGAATGCATCGGGAACAAGCGGCGATACCGCGTCACCGCGTCAGTACAGCATTGAACCTTGTAAGGTAAGTTTAGGAAATTAACGGCAGGAAGTGACACACCGAAGGTTCTCAGCCACGCTCCCTGAATTCAGGAGTCGGGTTTCGAGCTAGAGGTTACTAAATGGCCCAGTCAGCTCGCGCCCATGCCGCAGTCTAGCCGGTTACCATGCTACTTTTCCAGAACACCCTAGCAGCTCAGCTGACCCACTGATTGATATCGAACGGCCTGGTGTCCCCACTCTGAACCGGGTGGTTGGGAAATTGATCGGTATAAAAAGTACACTACCGAAAGGAAGGACGACCAACGGGATTGCACCGGACTGAATCCGACTACATAGTCGGAAAGTGGGGAGTTTATGGCTCCATTCTCAGGGGTTTGATGTATACATCATACGATCGAGAAGGGGGAGTGTAGCTAGTAGTACCTAGGTATACATACTCACAAACCTACATATGTAGGTAGATTTAGCAAGTTATATGTAGGCAACTTGTGGTAGAAAGCACATGGTCGGAGTTGGGTGTGAAGATCAAGTTAGGTGTACGTCTTGTGTTGCCATGTTGACTGTAAGTTATCAGATGGAATTACTTTCTTAAAAGGGATGACAGTTCCGTATCTGATTGATCTGATAACCGAGGTAATATGTATTATTACCGTATCGATACATCTTCAATCTGATAATTTCCGGGTATTTTTGGTTTTTCATATTTCCACATTTTCACGTTTTACATTCAAGTCCTATCAATCAGATTATCCCTATTTAAATAATCAAAGACATTTGATCTATAAAGTACCCAAAGTATGTTCAACAATACTTTATACAAGGTGAATCGACCTAGTTCATTCTGTTGGGACCGGCTTTAGACTGACCCGACCGGTTGTCACTTCGGCTCTGTTGAACGCCACCGATACGAGACAATACTTCATATGCACGGTAGATCTGGAGAGATGGATACAACAGCCCCAAATGGAGCGCCATATCCAGTAGTTGAACCCTCAATGCTGCTGACACGTACTAATGTTATTCACTGTAATTTTGGAGATCCTAAAATGTTCCCTATTAACAAAATACAATATACTCTTAAAGCGTGCTCCGTACACTTTACCGGAACCGTGTTACATGCGGAAGAATGTGGCGAATCTGATAAAATCCTCGACCTCCCTTCCCTGTGTTTGACGTATTGTCTCAATTTTGATTACCGTTTTATATTTCCCGTACGGAACTACTGTCCCGAGGAATTCTTCGGGTCCACACTCTCCATCCTCATCCCTCTCACCTTCTCTCAAACAGCTCCATTGATAGAAAAGAAAAAAGGGGTGAACTCTGATAGCTCTTTTCGCAATCACGTCAAGACTCTTATACCCCAGTTTTCCTTTGTTGCGACGGTTTTTTTACTTTTCACCACCCCTCATGGGTATGTGCTGCACGCTCAACAATTGAGACAAACGTTCTAATTTATCGACACAGTTCACGCAGTGCAATCCGTCATGCCGTCTGCAACTTACGCTTCAACGGGGAACCGCCCCCGCCGAGGCACCTACGCAGAGATTCCGGTGTCTTCGACCTCCCACCCAGATAACCCAATTCCAGAAGAGCCTCGAGGCGTGCGCTCGCTTTCAGTGACCGATACCAACTTCAATGTTATTTCCCAGCCTTCGTCTGAAGGCACCGAATCGACCGGCATTATCACCCCGGCCACCCCTCTCACACCCCCCAACGAGGCTGAATCGGATGAAGAGCTTGCAGGTGAGAAAACCGATGGTCGCCAACGACGACGGGCATCGACTGTCCTGATCTCGCAAAACTCGGATGATATGAGAAGAGTGCTGGAGAATGTCGGCACAGCAGGTACCCAGAAGCTTCAATCCCTCTGCTGCGGCGGGGGTTGCTGTCGAGGCCAGGCATTGCGTCCTGTAGATGGACCGATCTCAGGCTTCAATTCGATCGTCGGACCCGCCAACAACAAGGCATTCGACAGCCTAAAGCTGAACCTCGATCTCCTCACCATGGACACCGAGCTTTCCAGCATGGCCCCCCTCCCCGAGAAAACCGTCTTTTTCAAACCAGTCCCCGCATCGGCAATCGACATGACCTTCGGCCCTGCAGACCACCCACCGGAATTTGTGCAACCGCACCCGCCCTACAACGTCTACCGTGCGCCTCTCTTCCACACGCGTGAGCTGACCGGCCCCGGTGCCGAAAAGCGCACTTACCACTTCGACATCGACGTCACCGACTACCCTGCAGAAAGCGGCATGGTTGACTTCGTCGTAGGCGGCGCAATCGGCGTCTGCCCTAAGAACAAAGATTCCGAAGTCGAAGACGTCTTCAATCTCCTCTGTGTCCCTAAGTCCATGCGCGACAAGAAAGTCCTAATGCGCACCACCAAGGGCCGCTGGCCCACGATCTGGGGCGATGACAAACCCCGCGAATTAATTACCACCCGTCGCGAAGTCCTAAGCTGGTGCTCTGATATCCAATCATACGCACCCACAAAGCCCCTGTTCCGCCTCCTCGCAGAACACGCCAGCGAGCCAAATGAAAAGAAAATCCTTTCCTACCTGTCCTCCGCCCAAGGCCAAGGCGCCTTCTGCGACCTCCGCACAAGCTCTTTCGTCTCACTCTCCCAACTCCTAAACGCCTTCCGCTCCTCCCAACCACCCCTCGACGCCCTCCTCTCAGTCCTCAACACTCTCATGCCCCGCTTCTACTCCCTATCCCAGGACCCGCAGATCTCATGCCAATACAAAGGCTCCGAATGCCGGCGCTTGATCGAAGTAGCCGTCACAGTTGCCGAGTCGGAAGATTGGCGCGGCGGATCCCGCACAGGCGTCGGGTCCGGATATCTCGAGTCTCTCGCCCGGCGAGCCATCGAGGCGGAATCCAGAGGCGAAAAGCTAGACCTTCACATCCCCATGTTCAGGGGCCTGATGGCGAACCCGCTCGCCACTCGCTTCGCGTCGGACGGTCCCATGCTGCTTATCGGTGCAGGCGTCGGCATCGCGCCATTCCGCGGCTTCGTGCAGCGCCGGCTGCAGTCTGCCAATTGTGCAAACAAAGTCTGGGTTCTGCAGGGTGTGCGCGATTCATTGCTCGATGAGCTGTATTCGGGTGAATGGGGCGTCCATGAGGATAAGGTGCGGACTGTCGTTCAGAGTCGGAAGGGCGAGTCTCGTTATGTGCAGGAGGAAGTTCGACACCAGGCTGATTTGGTTTGGTTCGTGATTAACTCGCTTGATGGACGCGTTTTCGTTTGTGGGTCTGGGAAGGGTATGGGTGAGGGTGTGGAGGCTGCTCTTGTTGAGGTTGCTATGGCCAAGGGTAACCTTAATGCCCAGGAGGCAGATATGTTCTGGCAGAGGAAGAAGGAAGCTGGACAGTATATTGCTGTGAGTAATTGTTGCGAAATTTGGGTTTGAACATTGCTGACATTTTGATTCAGGAAACTTGGTGATTGTTCAGCTGTCGAGGCCTTAGGCCCCAGGGGTTATACCTGCTTACGTGGGTGATTGTCTTGCCCATGGGATTCAATCCGAGTGTAAGGACGCTTCGGTCACATTGTTGATCTTTGACCTGTTCTCATCTGTACATATTTTGGTCTTCATCTGCGCACTCCGGACTCACTTTATGTTCCATTTTGCTTTGAGTTCCTCGATCCATCGACACGTTGATTTCTGTCTCTGGCCGATTTTCCATTGCGCCCCAGATTTGTGGGCTTTTGTCTGAATGCTGTTCTTTTAGCGGGGTGGTTATCTATTTTTCGGTACTGTTTACATGTTCTTGAAAATTTTTCATCTGATTCCAACATTTTTGCGCTCCTCTTTCGGTAATACGGCTTCATATGTGTTGATCCTCGACTCAAGAGGTTTCTCATGACTGCATGTACTGTATATGTGCACGAATCGTTTGCTCTGTCTATATGGATATCCAGCTCTTCCTAAGGCTGAATTCTATACTAGTCATTAAAAAGGCATAAAGTGGCTAGAGAGGCACCCATAGTAACCATTCAGGGGCTTAGATCATAATGCCCATCACTGAAAAGCTGCAGCCAAGAAACTGTGATAGAAAAGCTCTTCGTAGAAGGTCAAAAAGGTCAAGGAAAGGCTTCAACATGCGGGTATAGAACAAGTCATAGTGCTACATGGATCAAGGAATACCTAGATAGCAGCGATAATATCTACATAGTTAACCTGGGTAGTCTAGTCCAGCTTTACTATCAAGAACGATCATCCATGGATATTAAGTGGCGATAATGGCCATCCCTTTATGGATGGTCGTGATAGCTTCATATACAGCCGAAGACAACAATTAAGCAAGGCATTTAAACCTGTCCCTATTAAAATTAGCCCCAATAGTGAGGTTACTTAAAACAGACGATGTATTTGCTTGCCAGCATTGCCCTATTCTGAACTATGTAAAGGCCTTTCCTAGAAGAGGTCGAAAGCCTGATCTAGTATAAATAACTCTTCGCGCCGAAACTAGCATAGGCTAAATATATCTGACATTTCACACTAACGACGGGCCCTTCCAGATCTAGCTGATCAACCGACGTTAGCTACTCTTTTCGTCTGTGTAGTGCCCAATAGAGTGAAGCTGTCGCCACAAACAAAGAAAAGGACCCGACAATCTGCCTAGTTTCTGGCGCTGGGTCAGACACTAGTGCATAATTCAACTATCAATCACCCCAGTTCCCGTCGCTACACGATTTCACAAGTCAGACCACAGCGCCGGGTCTATTGCAGGGCCCCAACTAACCACTTCTAGAAAGAGTATCTACGCACATACGTCATCGACAAAACAAAAGGACCAAAAAAGCACTCAATCTAACCAATAACAAAAATAGCCCCTAATGTCACCTCACACACCGGCGAGGGATTGGTGGCCTTGTTGTGAACCACGCCCTTGGCGCATACTCGTGCATGAACTACCGTTCGTGACACGAGGATATGCTAGGGTTGTGTGGCAAAGGCGTCTAGCAAACAAATCGGAACCGGGAACATGCTGGGAGCCATGCACCTATCATACCGGGAACCTGGAAATTGAAGGTTGCGAACTGAACTGCTCGGGGTTGGCTTTTATGCAATGATCCATTTTCGGGTGCCTTGCTTGCTGCGGTGCTACACTACAGTGTATACCGCTATATCAGTACCACCTGGATATCCCTAACTTTGGCAGTTCCAGGTTTCGGGATTTGCTAAATATGATGTGACCTTCAAATGAGGCAAAATTAGGGGAAAGAACAGAAGAAGTGTCTCTCTCTTTCTCCCCTTCCAAAAACCCGCAAGACACTATTGATTCTAGAAGGGTTCTTGGCACATTTAGCCACGCCAATAATAATAGAATTGGGAATTACTTACTGGGTACTTCGTATAAAGGTAATAATGCCTAAATAAGCCATCAAATGTAACATACATCCATTAAAGAAAAAAGAATAAGGTTAGTCCAGAAATGATGGGAAAATCCCGATCGGCCCAAGTACCAAGTACCGGGAAACAGAATGACAAATTACTTTGGACAGTACCTAGGTAGCTCCACAGATCTGGAGCATCTGGAGCAATTCTTCCGACGCTACACTAGGGCATACAGTAGACTCACAGTAGAGCAATGCACGAGAGAGAAATCGAACTTACTGAGGGGTGTAGTACTATTTTGGATTTTAGTTAAAAAACTAAATTCAAAAAAAGCTACGTATGTGCCATCAACCAACCCCTCTCTGACCTCCATTCCCGGGCTCTAAGAGGACCAAACACCCACATTTTAGACCAGTCATTTTTCCAAGACGATCCCAGTTCTTGTTCTGCGAGATCCGATGATCTGCATCCCTCCATTTCATGCACGATCTCGGGATCTTGTTGGGCTAGAGAGGTATGACGATCGGCTCGAATTCCAATTACTTGTAGCCACTTAGCTACTTGAACTTTTTCTTTCCAATTGAATTTTATTTATTGATTTAAATTCCGAATTTTTGATTACGATGTTTCGTAGAAATCGCCTAGAATCTAGTTCTTGGATTGTCGATATTTGAGATTTGAACTTCGGTTGTGTATTGCCGCCTCAAAAACTTGGAATAATAAGTGATTTCCGATTTTCAGGCTGCCAGATCTCGCCCTGGAATGACGGACGAATCAAAGATGACCTCGGGCGATCCATAGCTTCCACGAGGTTGGTTCAGGATTGCAATTGTTAAATAATTCATTTAATTAGAAAGGGGAGGAGGACATCATCTGTCTGAAAGGGTGGATCGGAATCTTAGCCATCTGTAATATAATCTAAGGTACAAGTCAGTAAGGCCCGGGATTGACTGCCATGTTGAGCGATCGAGACAACTTGGTGACAAGACCATTAAACCTTGAAGTAAATTGGGGCAAATGGGGGGTTTGGGTTTGCGGATTTCGTCCGAAACGTCACGGCATTTAGGGCCGGGAGAAGGGTGTCAACATTAGCAGGGCTGTGAATTGAGGGATTATTACTCCTTATATGGAGTGTGTTATGATCATGTCTTTAAAGAATAGCCAAACCCGTTTGAAACAATTCCAATATGACAGTTATCTGTTCTCTTTTAGCACATAGAATAATACGCCACAAAGGATTCACCAGGAACCCAACCAATAAGAGAAAACAACTCACAAGTCCTTGAGAGAATTGACTCCATTGTTCCGTGACACTCTGATTGGCACTGATCACATTTGTGCATTTGGCCCACTTAGGATCTCCGACATCTTAGCGTATTTGCGGCATTATTGAATTGTCAAAATGTCACTAGTTTCCAGAGCGGGTCGAGTCTAGTTTAGTATGTGTCGTGTCAAGCTGAAGTACGCGATACGCAAGATCACTGCGCCAAAATAAAATAAAAAGAGAGCGGGAGACGGAGCGATCGGTGCCAATTATGTAGTAGACTGTCATACAGACTTGAGATATCATATGCATCTAATGTCAGTGCACTAATGCGTCGCGTGAGGTAGACACCTGGGCACCTGAGCAAGAATAAAGAATTAATAACAATAATAATAACGAAGCCCAAGCGGACCGGGTGATCCTTGATCTGACAGAGAAGGAAGAAGACGAATTTTTTTTGGAAAAATAAGTAAAAAATATAAAAAACTGCCCCAATCCTTAAACCCTCTAAAGACTCGAAGAATAAAAAGAAAAGAAAGAAAATAGCCCCCAAAATCTATGCCACAAGTCATCTCGAAGGAAGTGGAGATACAAATTGAAGAACCCCTACGCGATCTATCCCTGGCCAATACCAGCCCCTCTCCCTTTCGCCTATGGTCGATCGATCTCCGTGCCCACCCATGAGAGGCTCTAGGCAATCTACGATCGAGCCGAGGCGTCACCTCTACGTGTTCCCATTCGCTCAGAATTCTACAAACCTTTGGTTCAACCTACCCGGGATAAGGTCTCTCGGAACGCGATCTTGTTGGAAGTGACACTCTTTTTTTTACGGCGATCTTTTCCTTCGACTCAGAGACTGTGATTAGATCCACTGATTGGGTTGACTTTTTTTTCTTTTTTCCTTTTCTAATTCCATCAATTCCTTTTATTACTTTTATTACTTTAATTCTTTTATTGTCTGTGGATTATCTGGTTATTTTATAGTTGACTATTCGGTTACTTTAGTTACTTTTTTTTATTAGCTTGTACCATACAAATCCACAAATATCACGGAGATGTGCCCAACATATGACCTGCTTGTCTTTTCCTTTCCCATGGGAATGAATTTCTGAAAGAAAAGAAAGAATTCTCCACTAAAAAGCAATGAGAATGTGATTTGATTTTAATTCCTTTTAGCATGACTCAGGTATATGACAGAAGTTCCTCTTTTCCCCTCCTTACTCTTGCGGCTGTCGCTGCCGGACATCCCCCTCTTCCCCAGTTCTGATCTCATTTTTCATGGATGTATTTCCTTAAGACTTATACAATATTAGTTTTATACTTTTTTTGATACGTTTGATCCTTTGATACTAATTTTTCATACCTAGTTAAGTACTTGTCTCGACTTGTTTTATCTCGGTTTCAAACTAAGAAGATCTCTTTTTTAGGTAGTCGAGAATATTGGTTGCCTATAACTTCCTTCAAACATAGGATCCTCCAATTTGACGTACACTAGTGAACCACCCTTTTCGTTTTGTTTGTTTCTTTCCTTTTTTTAGGAATTGACTTCGCAGTTTAATTTTAAAATAACGTCTGATTTCGTTTCTTCTCTTTATGTACTGTATGTACTTGAATCCTTCCGAGGAAAAACCACCAATAATCACTTACCATCACGAAAATCGAAAAATAGGGCGTGGGACCGGGGAGGAGTTCGTGAGATACGCTAACCGGACAATGCCAATTGACAGGAACCCTACAGAACCAAAGAGAGATTGGCGCTGTCAACAACCTTATGAAAAAAAAGTGCCTATATTGATTTACGCCCCCTTCTCCGCTCTGCATGCCTTTGGAGCACTTGTGGCTCTTCGTACCCACCCTCGATCGTCATTTTTCGGTGGCCCCCCCTGTTCTTGCTTTTCCATGGACATGTAACAGCTGGATGTCTCTTTTTCTTTTTGGGATATTATTTTAATTTATTTAATTTATTGAGATGGGGCTAATTTTTTGGTTAAAATGTACGGGCCCTGCATTATTTGGACTTCCATTTGCCCTCATTCCCCAACCTTGCATATAATCTTGGCCTTTCTTTTTTATCATGTCGAGGTAAAATCAGCTTGCTTTCCCCGGTGAGTTTCTGACACTTTTCCCCTTCTTATATTACCTTGGCTTTTCTTGGTTTTCTTATCTTTTCTAGACTTCTTGTCTTCTACCTTTTTGATATTCTTTGATATTCATTTCTGACTGAGTATAGATCTACTTTGTGATTTGTGATACATTGTGAACTCTTTTATTTTCCATTCTCGGGGACAATATCTAGCTTTGTCTCTCCCCCGCAAATACCTTGTCTATATGTCACAGTCCCGCGAGTTGGACGAAGATACCGATATGGCTATTTCGTATACATCCCAGCCGTCCACTGGCCACCCAACACTCCCCTCATTCCGAGAGGTAAGAGATAATAATTGTTTTGAACAAAAAAAACCATTCAAAAAAAAACTAAAATACTAATCTCAAATAGCTTCTTCCCCCTCACCTCCACGATGCAATCGAATCAACCTCACCATACTCACCACGCCACTCACAAGACCGCCCAGGCTCCGGCCACGAAATGGCCGATCCCCGCTCCATCCCATATGGCACATCCCAAACATCTAAAATGCCATACGACGTACACCACGAATACACAGTGACCCGCGAACGAATGGATCCCGGCCACGCCATGCGTCTATCCGACTCCGCATCCCGCGGCCCAAGTCCCATCCTCCCACCTATCCGCGACCTGGACTCCATCCCAGGCCGCTCAATGACCCAAAAGGGCTATGAGCACCCTCCGAGATCAGACCCCTTCGTTACTCAGGAATATCGCCAGCCCGGGCCGGCCCCTATGGCTGCTATGCCTGATCGTCATAGTGCTGAGCACTATGCGCCCATTATGCGTCAGTCGACGTATGGTCACCCTGCTATGGGGTATGAGGAGCAGGTGTCCCCGCAAATAATGGCACATGGCCAGCAGGCCAACTTTGGCATTATGGGCGACCCTATTGACCCGAAGACCAAGCGGAGACGTGGAAATCTGCCTAAGCCTGTTACGGATATCCTGCGCGCTTGGTTCCATGAGCATCTTGATCATCCTTATCCTAGTGAAGAGGATAAGCAGATGTTTATGACGAGGACTGGGCTTTCAATTAGTCAGGTATGGGTCCTTTATTTTATATGTTTTTTTTGTTTGAGACTTGGTTTGAGGATGTCCTGCTAATGTGTTTCACAGATTAGTAACTGGTTTATTAATGCTCGTCGGCGACAGCTGCCTGCTTTGCGGAATCAAATGCGCAGCGGGGCCGATGCAGATTCTCAACGACAGTCTCCTTTTAGTGATATGGATGGCTCGGAGCACCTGCCCTCTCCTCATCACTAGAGCGGCGATGAACCCGAATTGATCTGGGTTCGATCACGGCATTTTCTGCTTTCATTTACAACGTCCTACGACATTGACAACGTCAGCGTTTTATTCACTTTACGATTGGGAGGCATCTTGTTTTTCCCTACCATTTACGAGTTATGGGGTTGAGGATACGGCAAGCTGGATAGAGTGGCATCTTTTTTTTTCTTCTTCATTTTCTCCTATATGTCTTTTTACTATGTCTGTCCCCTTCTTTTCTTTTTCTTCATTTTCCTTTTTGCTTTCTACCAGATCTTTTTCTGGGTCTACATTACATGTCGCATTGCCGTCCGGTACGGAGACTTTGGTCAGACATCATATATTGATACCCTTTCTCTTTGGTTGCGTTTACCAAGCGGGAACTTATTTTGTTGCTGAGAATCAAATGGGCAAAGGGGTACATGGAACACTGCCGCATTGGAAATTCAAATCATTTATGGGATTTATTATACATTTGTTACTGACTTGTTTCTTTGTTGCGTCTTTCTTTTTCAATTTGGGCATCTCAATCACACCAAGCGTGTGTCTTGAACAGACCCTCGAAAAATTGCATAAATAGGTGTTTAGAAGGGACCTCGGCTTTCAAATATTCATGACACATTGATTATTTTACAATTTATGCTGACATTTCATTATAATGATCGTTTCCCTATCCAAGGCTCTGTCAGCCAGTGCGAACCCGAATATCAACTTTGTGAAGAATAAAGCAGATCCCAGATATCCACCGCACAACCCGTCTCCACCAAGCATCCATTCCCTCGGACCTGATATATCCGTACTCTTACAAGCATCCCGCGTAAACGTGGATCTTGCCTTGCCAAGCGGCACGAAGAACCGCTTTTTCCATTCGCTGATCTTGGGTGATCTTCACGGCTTATGAGGTCCTGGTAATTTGGTATTTGACTTCAGGAGTTGATATTGGTGTTTGCATGGCATTCTCCTCGGAGTGTGGGATGCCGCTTCTTCCCAAATTCTTCCCAAAAGTGATTTAAAGGGGGAAATCCCGACAATAAAGAAAATTGGAATATACTTGCACGCCGGATCCCAGGTCAAAAGGAGAAAACGAGGTTGGATTCCGGCCCGGAGGAAGAGCCAGAACCATGGGTCGGATAGTCACTAATGCCAATTCAAATTAATGTTTTGTTGGGCTCCAAAAAAGATTAAAATGATCCATAAACTAGTTGTCTTCGGTCGTGAGATCGAGTCCACTTTTAGCCTTTTATTAAATTGTTTCCTTTGTATAAAATATGGACCATGACGTCGAACCAAATATCAACGTCATGGCTACCACGGTCGTTGTCGTTTTTGACCTTTTGACAGCGCTTAGAGTTCGGCGCGGATAGGGGGAAGTCACCATGTGCCGAGTCTCGATGTCATATTCTGACTACGGAGTACATAGTTCAATCTTACATTATATTGAGTTTCAATTTGAGTTGAAGCTGAAAGTAGATATAATAATAAAAGTAAAAACAAAAATTGAACTTCCCAGATGACATGAACTGACAGGAACCAAACTAGTTCTTGAATTAAACTTCAGTTGGAAATTGGAGTTCCGAGCCTTAAAAATCAAACCTATCTGCCAACTTTTCTTGGGATTATGTCTGATCCACTCAAGAGTCTACAAGGAGCCACATCATACCATGGAAATGAGATTGAACTAGTATGCCACGTGAATACTCCGGATTCGACCTCTGTGTCTTAATATGATCGCCCGCAAATGGAGCCACCTCGGGGCTTTTTTACCCTGGTTGACAGCGGAAATATTATCAGAAATATTATTATCCAGTGGGCTGGGAATATTAAAAGATCACATTCGAGAATCTTGATATGCTGAACCAAATAAAGATAAAGTTTCTCTACTATTTAGCTTCCTTTCTTCCTTTCAGCCCTTCAGCTCATCCAAGACATACCCGGATGCTGCGGCCGAAAGCCAACGAAAATTCTGAGGTCGAATTTTTTTATCAGACCACACTGGCTAACAACAAATTGAAAAAGATTATGGTACAATTTGTACATGATGTCTTAGATGTCTTAATTCCTTAACTACTTTGACTTTCACAAACCCCTGAAAGACCGCATTTACGGGGTTTGACATGACCCCAAAAACTTGACCGCAGATCGACTTCGGCCATCTTACCGAGTATCTTCGCCGGGTTAACTGCCCGCCCCAAATTGGGGTGCTTAGGCACTACTTCACAGACTAGGCCACTTATAATCATAACCAAAATTGAGATCACAACGGACATCACAACGCTGCCATCCACTTCCAACGCATATTGCGAAGGTACAAAAAAAGCCAGGATCAAGGTTACATCTATCAATTCAAATCAAAAGTCAAAACAACATACATAGCCGTCTTACCATGACCAATGGGCGGGGTAGTATACCATTACTTGTATTTAGAATTCAAAAACATGCAAACACAAATAAGCAAGCACCCGTGGTCTCGAACTACGGGATATGTACGAGCAGGGGTATCCCAGTAGATCCAACACCAGTCCCACATAGACAACAGCGGTTATGCAAGCCACGAACACAAACCCCAGTATCTAGTGACTTCCGACGTCCCGCGATCAAGCCCAAATGACAACAGAAGACGTGCAGCATGCAAAAAGCCCGCCAACTGTCGAATCACACCTCCTGGAAATGTTTAACCCCTACGTCACCAACCTAGCCGAATGCGTCCCTTGTCACTTGAACAATGCCCAACCATACGCTAACCTCACGCCTTACACCCTCCTACTTCCTCCGCTCTGTCTCCGCCAAACGAGTACGATTGCGCTCGTTTCTCGGACCATACATTTTCACGACCTAGCTGCCTGCATCCGATCCATCATATAGCGGTGAAATAGATGACACACGTTATCGAACACGCTCTAGCTAGCGGTCTGCTTGCCAAGATACTGTACATATGTCCTGCGAAGTACCCTTCTGTGGCTGCTATGCTACGTTGGCATACGTCTAGTGCGTCGGAAGTCAGTTGCGACATTCGTAGGTAAATGCAGTACAGAATGGAACTAATGCAACCTCCCACACTATTTAATTATGGAGTTCCCAATCTTAATAATATTTACCCAGGTATAGCTTGTTTGTATTGGAGATCACTCCGCTGTATCCCTGTCAAATTTGATCGGGTTTTTTTTACATGCATGACATGTCTGTAATGAGTATTTTTTTGGTATTTCGATACATCACATAGGTCTAATGTAGAGCAACTTCCTAAAAGACTTTACCTTTTTTCCCCAAAAACTTCTCGAGTACTTCAGGTCCTCCTTTTCCCCTCATTCATTCTGTGTCTTTTTACCCTAGCCTTTTCCTCTTGGCTCACTTTCTGCCTTTATATCTTTAGCCTCACATTCTATAGATGTCCGGAATGTCCTTTTTCTGTACAAAGGACTCCGACTAGGATATACCTATGAAGAAACAATTTATTTTTCGTTATTATATGATGGATGTACCTAGTTAGCAGTATTTGCTTGTTTGTGCATTCGCATTGCTTGCTTATCCATGTCTGTCAAGCCCCCCTAGCTTTAGATAGAGAGCTTTTTTTCCTCATAGATCCCAGAATCACTATCCTTAATATCATTCATATCACTTTTCCACAAATAGTTAGTTGTCATCATTATATTACGCCTACATCAATTCATATCATACATAATATTTTCCTCTTCGTGAAAGCTCTTCCCCTAATCAAGCCATTTTGTACCAAGGGCTGCTTCCCTCTGGGCAGTGATAGTATCTATTGATTATCAGTCGCCTGAATAAGCTTCCCCAGAATTCTAGAAGCGATGCCTCAAGCGGCACGAATAATCGTTCGAACGCACGCTAAGCACACACTCCTCCATTAAGCTTAAGGTAAATTTGTCATGTAGTACAGTGAAACACTGCAGACCAACCTTATTTCTTCTCCTAACAACAGCACCATTAGAATCCGGCGCATAGATACTTGTTTCAGTAAATGTTCCAGTGGAATGCTTCTCGCTCTCTTGGTCCATGGCTAAAATGGAGTATACTGCTAATGAACATGGATGAAGTCGAGGCTTGTTGTGTTAAATTTAATTGTTTTACTTTCTTTAGTATATAAGATGTTGCGCACGGACTGTTTGGGCATCGACAGATCTATATGTAGTTAGCGCATCGAATACGAGAAACTTGAGCCGTGAATTTTCGTAGTGCTTACGGAGGGAAAAAAAAAGCATCAGCTTATTAAAGCGACCCTTCTAATCATTCGTAGGCATCGACCTCAAAAATATCCGATTATTTCCTGCAATCGCTCACCAGGCAAAATGCGCTTCCTGAGTGACGACCTTATTCTTGACCCGACAGATCGAGTTCCCATACAAGTTCTCGGTGCCGGTCTCCCACGCTGCGCAACGAGCTCCATACAAGCCGCACTTGAGTCTCAACACATAAATCTCACACCTTGTATGCACTTCGCCCATGTTGCACCGCACGCTGATCGTAGCTCCATCGTTCTAGCTGCGTTGCAAGAGAAGGACACGGCACGGCGCCACAAGCTGCTGCACAGATTATTCGACGGCTTCCAAGCGACAACTGACTTCCCTGGCGCCATGTTCATGGACGACCTTATGGATATGTATCCAGACGCCAAGATCGTGCTGAACAAGCGGCCCGGTGGTGGCCAGAAGTGGGAGCAATCAATCAAAGTGCTTACCTGGGCGGGCTCACCCGTCTACCTTGCAGTTTGCTACTTGTGGAAGACTGACCGCAACTTGTATAAAGTCTGGTATGCTTTCTTGGAGCATACTCAGTGTAATTTAGGCTTGGCTGCTGATGAGCTTTTGACGGCGAAGCATTATGATGTGCATAATGCGTGGATTCGCGCTGAGGCAGCTAAGCGAGGCCGGGAGGTTCTGGAATTTGAGCCTCGAGATGGATGGAAGACCCTGTGTGAGTTCCTTGGCAAGGATGTGCCAAAGGACGAGCCTTTTCCTCATCGAAATGATGCAGCTGAGGTGCGAATGGTAGTGCGGATTTTGTATGCTCGGGGAGTGATCTCTTGGTTGGCCTTGGCTGGTGTGGTATATGGCACGGCGAGGTGGGCCCTGAAAGGGAAATTATTTTAGATCACAACTTAGCCTAGACATGTTGCCATATTCTGAGATATAATAAAACAGTATCCCTTCAAGTGATAGTATAAGAATGACCCCTTAGCTAACCGGCGCTGAACCAATCATTCTTCATTAAGCATCACGGATGAGAGGTATATAACTTTGACTTCATCCTGCCATATGATATACAATAGAGATAAAATCATTATCAGTAAATTCCGTTTCAGTTTGCTCTCACTTTTGCTTCATCGCACAGTTACCGTCCTGGACAATGTACGATTCAATTGTCTCCCCTTCCTCACCTCCTTCCTCATCGGACAAATGTGCCCAGGGACGGGTAACATCAGATCCGCAATGAGCCTGCATTAGACGAGATCCGTAACTCCGACCACGAGGTTTTAACCATATGTACCAAATTAGTCAGCCCAAGTGATGTAGTCCTCGCTCTCAAAAAGGAATCTCTTTGGCATAGCACAACATCAATGGCTGTCACCAGATGGAATGACATTGAAAACACACAACGGACGTTGACTCCTAAATGCTCTTTACGGGAACAGCAATTACAAACTCAAGCAGATTGATGAAAATGAGCTACCCTCAGTATCTGAAGGAACTTTGGACATGGTCGAAAACAGAGCAGACCAAGCAATATACCCATTCACCTTTTGTCCATCTCGGAGAATGCACTGGCCCTCGTTTGTTTGTCCTCAAAGTAGCCTACAGCGAAAAGAGAGCCAAGTTCGAGTTTGCAATGAATGGCTCTGTACACCAGGGGACTAAGCGAATCATACTAGAGCAGTGGGTTCTGAAGCAGAAACCCACCAACGACCACACAAACCGAGTTGTCGCAATACATGTTCAAACAACGTGGATTACAAACCCACGAGCCCCTGAGCATCCTAATATTGGCGGACTCTTTGTGGTGTCTTTTAGGAGCCTCCCGTGACAAGATCGACAAGGCAGCGAGGTTGATTTCATCATAACTGATGCGGATATTAGAAAACTTGCTCTGGATTTATGGAAAGTCGACATAATTCTCGCTGCTCAGAAGAGGTAGAGTCTTCTTGGTATTCTTTCCAATGTGTGTAATTTTAGTTTTTTTGATCATTCTTCTATGCAGATCGATGCGCGGTTCGTCCGACCAACCCTCTCACCGGTTCACCACAATACTGCAACGTAATGTTAACCTTGCTTCATGTACGCCTGTGTGTAAACGATTGTGGGTGGTATGGAATATCACGCACGTATCGATTATTGGTTTGAGAACGCGGAGAAAAGTATCTGATATGACGTGATACCGTTCCTCGCGTGAGAATTTGGAATTCGCCTCTCCCTTGATGCGCCTTGACTTGAATCTTAAATTTTGGGGTTTGATGTGACATACTCCGCAAATGGGGTTGCAATGGCATGGTTTTGTTCTTTGCACGAACTATTGAATCTTGTCATATTAATTCCAGATTTATGATCGACGGACCCACCGTTCGACACTTACTTAGTAAATCAATAGTACCCCTTAGTGTGCCTTAGTCTCACCGTGGCATTTTTGACGGGTTCGCTCTTATTCTGGAACTTTGCCCGGAGGTTTGTATTTATCTAGACTAGCGTTGTGTTGCTATGGGCGAGATAGCCGATGTCTTTTTTCTATACAGTTAGTTACTTACTTTGCAGACCGTCTTTTGGCTATACGCAAGCTTGGAATTTGCGGTGTGAACTTTGCCTCGAATAAGAGGTGTTATATACTACTGTCGGATATGATACCCTCATTAGATTATTTGTAATAGGATGAACTATTGAAGCAATTTCATTAACACAAACCGGTGGAATTATTCATACCTTTTCAATGGATTTTGTAATGGCGCATGCTAGCTGGCAGTCTGCAATGGAAGATCAGTATGGATTTGAGTCAATGGACTCTTGTATCGGTTTCGTATGGTGGTATAGCAATTTCACCGAGCCACACCTGTTGTACCTCGGCATCACGCTCATCTCATCACATTCTGCGTATCATAAAGAGGCAACACAAAAGCGACTACGTCGCGATCTACTATGCGCGCATGAATTGGTAACCAGACTACACGCTCGTGCATTGAACTACATGTAGGGTGCAGCATCGCACGAGCAAGAAATAATCACAAAAATAGTTGAGATATCACATATCATGTATGAGATATCAGACATCTGCCATAGATGCCAAAACATATCACAAGTCAAATTCTCAGGCAGTGCAAATCCCGATCATGCATGCTAATGTACAGTTGACTTAATTAGTATCAGACTGCCTTGAGGAGCATGGCGTACGTGTATAGAAGTACTATGGCTGGAGGTCATCGCTGTTCGACTCTATAGCCAGCTCAACACCTAGATCTACATTTTGGTTTATATCCAGATTATTCAAATGAGATCCATAGTTTCTATTTCTGGAACGCAGGCGATTCCATAGCAAACTTTTCCTGCCTCTTCTCTATGCTTCGCTCGCTTTAATTTAACTACAGTCTTACCTCACTGCCAGGCTTTAGTACCTAGCTGATCTGTTTAGCTAGGCTCTTGGATCATGCTAGATGTATTCAATCATACCAAACTAAGATTTGGATATTCGTATCTATAGCTAGCGGTGTCTTTAATTGACTGGTGAGATTATTCCTTACTTAATTTTAGTGCTCAGATTATGAAGTATCTCTCTTTCAAAATAACCCTGCTACAACTGGTCCATCATTATCCCAATTTATCTTAACGCTCCAGATATATGTGGTTATTAGCGTACATACGACATCCATGAGCTACCCAAGCAGTATCAGGAAGCAATTTGTGCGTTTTAATCGACATCTTCAGGCTTTCCACTCACCAAATCCAGGCATTACTGATTGATAATCCTTGTGTTATGTTCAGCAAATCCAGACGTCATCCACGCGTAGTCCAATACATATCTATATGAGATCTAGGTGTTTTACTCGCTAAGTCTGAATACTTCTATGGGCTGTCCAGGCAGAATCCTGAGACTATGATGACGTTTTACTTGAAAGATTTAGGGATTATATAGTATAAGCTATACACGCGTTATTTCAGAGCTATTCTTCTGCTTCATCAACCGAATTCAGGCGTTATCCATAGACAATTCATTTATCTTGCTTTTCATATCTAGGCTATCCCAGTGAACTTCCCTCGCGGTTTACCCGCGATATTTAGACGTATCCTTGAAGCTTTGGAACCGTTTCAAGGCGCTAATTCCTTGCAGAGTCTTTGGTTCAACATGAACATGTCTGTGTCATTATAGGTGATGTGGGACCCGTTGAAATGAATGATTAGCTTATTAAGTTTTTCTAAAGACTCCTCTGGCTATACATTATTGCACTATTCATTGCTACTAGGGCCTTGATGATCTTACAGGAACAACCTTGAAAGATGACATGGGATGTATAACCTCCAGCTCTCCGTAGTAGAACTCCCAATATCAGTACTAATTCTTTAAACTCCCAATTTATAACCGCAATATGTTTCGTCAACCTTGGAAAGCACCTGAGACAGGCAGTGATACTTAGTGTACGCTGGCAAAGCTGCGGTTGATCTCCTACGAAACTGGGGTTACGAGGTAATCCACAACGCAAAGTCTTTGCATGGCAGGGTGAGTCTTCTAGGTAACGTTTTTGGGCCTATGATTTAACTAGTTGGATGCAGTGTTCTTGCATCTCACAGGTATTATACCGCGAATATGTATAATCAAAGCTCTGGAGGTCACGGTGACATGCCCAAGTTGTCATCGCAGAGGATCTTGCCCCGTGAAATGCACAAGCAAGCTCCAGAAGACAATGAACCTGAACTTGAAAAGGGTTGGTTGTCGCGAGTTTCGTCTTATCTTTCTTTTGGTCAGAGCACTGAGACTACAACAGAGTCTGAGCCTGATAACAAGTCTGTTCAAACAACTCCAGAATCTAAACCGCCTGCTGCCTCGGGTGGTCAAATTCCGGCGGCTGAGACGAAGAGTCAGTGATTTTTGTCTGGCTCATTCTTACATTATTAGCGATATCCGGTTATAGAGGGTTTGGCGTGCATTTGCTTTTGATTGCTTCGGTCTAGATACCCTTACATATCAAAAAGACTGGAAGCTACATGTCTTATCATCTGAAGGAAGACACCAGAAAAGAGAAGGCGGAATCTGTTAATATTTCTCTCCGCCCTTTGCTCTTCTGCAAGCCCATCTTGTCTCATAATCAACACTTCTCTCTTCTCTTTCAACTCAAGTGACTGAAAAGTTGGCACCTCTGATTCTGATGTCGATTCTGACAATCAATGGAAACCTCCGAAACCTATATATGCACCCTGAAACTTACACAACTCGAACACTAACCTATTTTTTATCACAAAAATCCATGCGAGCCTTTTTAACTGACTTATAATCGTGATACAGCAGTGACCGCTTTCGCCTTCCATGTCAAATACATAAAGAAGCTGTTTCAAACCCTAATCATGTGATCCGCCAATCCAAATGTGGGTAGCATGTAATTAATCCGTTTTGTAGCTAACCAGGTAATTTATACCATGATCGTAAGATACAAGTATGAAATATACAGTCATTTACCCCGATCTTCCAGCCTGGTAGTCGTTGAATGGGCAATCTGTCATATCTGGATTAGCGTGTTATGTGACAAGGATTTGGAAGAGTATTTCAGTCATCTCAACGTGGAAGGCGATACCAAGAGCTACCGTATAGCGAATATTGATGAATTGAAAGTCACTTAATACCAAACTTATACAACTTAGAGAAATTGGCTGTACATTGAATAAACAACGAAGTAATTCAAGGGAAGAAAGAGAAAATAAAAAGTATCATCATTGCCCTTGCAAAAACATCTCTCTTATAGCCGTCGTCTGCAGTTCCTATATTGGCTCAGCTAGAGAAATTAAAGTTTCCCTAAACGATTCTATGATATCTTCCAGACTCTTTTGATCCCCTTTAATGTCATCTTCGGTAATATCCACACCAAAGTTCTGCACCGTATATGTTTTCCATGTTCTTCTCAGATCCTATAGCAAATGATATGCCCTCTCGCTTCTCGCGTCCAAGCTCTTTGCCAAAAGGTAGAAAGAACTACGATTTTTGTGACTAACTGTCGGTTTGAATAATGAAATCCGAGAGAAGTGGCTAAATGCTTCAAGTAGTCGCACGGTATGAGGACCATAAGCTTGATGTAAAAGCATGACCATAATTCCACCTTGCTTGATTCTTTGTAGCGCGATGATTATCTGTGCGGAAGACAATCGAGGAGCCTTATCTTTGACCCCTTGGGCCCGTGCGTGCGCATGAAGAACCTATCTATCGCAAAACACAATATCGAAAGTCTGGCCTCGAAAAGGCAGATCATTGGAGAATTCGGATGCTTGTGGATGATTTTGTAAAATTAGATCAGGAAAGCCGATCTCTGCAGCAAGCATCGTGATGTCGATAAACTTGATTGTAACACGTTTGTCCTTCTGCCAGCCCGGAAGAAGAACGTCATGTCCACCTTGGTCTATTGGTAAACTAAGACCACACACTTTGACACAAGGATTATATTTCAGGACGGTCGAGGAATATCCTCCGGGTGCCATGCAGATGTCGAGGGCCTGGAGGTGTATCGTCTTTGATCGAGGTAGGATCAATCTCTCCATGGTTTGAATTTCATCGCCAATTCTCTACATCATCTTAAAGAAATAAACCTTTGACTTTTTACTGGTATGTGTGGCACGTGTTTTCTGGGACTCAAAATATTTGTCTGCTTCAGGCGTCGCTTTGACCTACCAAGAATGTTTCGTCCTGTTAGTTTATTAATGTAACATATCAAAATGTATACATAGCAAATGCAATGATGTTGTACAATAATGATATCCGTAGAATCCGCGGATCAGTGGCTCGTCCTTATAAGTCCACTAGTAGGCAACTCTTTAGGTCGTTTGCCCCGATTTTCATTGCTGTATGTTTCCCCCGGAGGGCCCCAAAATAGACGTGCGCTTTTCGCACCACCGCCATCTTGGGCCAGCCTTAAGTCGTTTTCGCGCGCTCGTACTCGTTGACTGTGGATTTTGCTTTGACGTTTCCTCCTATTTCTTGCGGCGATATCGTCTGCACTCTTGCCCGTAAATATTCTTCTTAGTCAGTCCATGAGTGCTAGTAGTCGATTGGGGTTATCAGATGCGGTATCTGCAGCCCCACAACTTTTGAATGGTGCCAGTGAGACCAATAGCCAATGGACTGGAGTGTGTTCTGTAGAACAGAGATCTTTGTCTGCTTTTACGGATCACCGTTAGTATCATATGCGACCACATGAAATTGGTCATACATACGCTAGATGAGATAATTTTCAGAATGATTGATGGTGTTGCCTTAGGAGGTGGCCTTCTATGTAACCTTAAATAGAAAGCCGCAGCCCCATTTAATGGTGATGCCGATCCAAATGAAGGCCCAACATGTGCTCAGCCACGCAACCTTCAAAGTACAATTTCAAGAGTTAAACCCAGTAGATCCTGAAGAGTAGTTAATTTTGAAACCCAAATTAAAGCGAGGAGCAGGAAACACCCCGCAATTAAATGTTAGACGCAAGGGGCATTTTATAAGTGCATGTATGGCATTGCTAAGACCGAAAAAAGTTCGACGCGGCGATAAGCGAGGCCGTGTAGGGGCCGTGCAGGGTTCAAATCACACAATGATTAGGTACTATGAATTGGGGGCCGTTCCATTTCCGCCTTTGACATCAGCTTATATTCCTCAGCGTTTTAAGCCTGTACTTTCTCTGCACTCTTGTACCTCGTGCTCGGCGTGTTACCGCAGTATACTGTACGAACTAAAGTGGAAAGAGGTCATCGATTCATATACAGACAAGCTCGAAATCAGTTTCATCTCTATACTTATACTCTCTTTAATTCTTTGCTGAAATTTGTTTTGTATGACGCTATACCTTTTACGGTCAGATTACCCCTAACCCTCACTTTCGACAATATTCTAGTACGTTAATCAATAATGGCATAAAAATAGCTATTGTATCATGGTTGTATGGGCTATGCGTGTCTAGAACTATGCGCTTGCAAACAAGCCAGGCTGGCAGGAGATTCGGTCGGTTGTCTGGCCACTACACCTCTCACCCCCTCCCCCTTCAGTCAACCACGTTCACTCTACGACTCTACTAACACAGTGGACCAGGGACGCGGCAATAAGATTTTCAAAGGAAATATATTAATCGATATCTCCGTGAAGAGAGACCTAGATCAATTTATAGCTTTCTGTGCCACCGTGCTTATCGAGGTAATAGTTCCAGGGAAAAAAGATAATTAGGGAACTAGCCTCTGCTCGGGCTACAAGTGGCTATAGCTAAGGTCAAAATCCATCCGACTGATCCCCGACTTTACTCCACTACAGGGTAGCGTGGCCAATTATCAGTCGGCCTGCCACTTACGTTTGAGCTCGAAGCGTTCCCGATATTATTGAATAATATAACCAGGCTCACTTTCTTGCCAGCAAGAAAAAGCTTACTCCAATCCAAAAGCTGTTTTTTCCACAGAGGTCCAATCAATTTCCGTTCTATCAAATCTCAGGGTGAAGCCCTTCTACCGAGTAGCGGATACGACAATAGAGGTGTCATCCGAATCAAGTTTTCGATAACAGATATTTGGGTAGAAGTAGTCCCTTGATCTTTGGTTGCAATAAAAGCCTGCAATTAAATTGAGGGGCAAGAACCAGATATTGTTCTGTCTCTTTCACCACCGTCCTGTTATTAAGATTGACCTTCCACACGATCAAGTAGTGGATAAAGGTCGGTGGACCCTCGCCATATATTCAACCTTGCTCCCAGTCACTGAACTGAAGCAACGGAAGACTGTTTTGTTGCGAAGCAAATTGTTGTGGAGACGCGTAATTGACAGGGAAGATGGGATTGACGTTGATACAGCTTACGTCGAACGCGGATGCGGGTGACCCAAAGAAGTTGCCAGGTATTGGTGAATATTATAATGTATCAACCCCCGGGTCAAGCGCCATGCTTTGTTGAACGCCACAATCATCATGGCTAATGAGACAAGTAGAAGTCACTTTCTTAAGCCTTCGATAATAAGAGATTAAGGGTAAACGATTATCAGTTAAGGAGGCTTACACCATCAGGTGCCGTTGAGAATATTATTCGCCTGCAAACAACCGCCAACTGGTCAAGATGGTCGTTGGCCGCTAATATCACTTATTAAGGGTTCTAGGCCAAGGAGACATCTCGCAAGTGATGACTAGCACACACCGCACAAAAGGAGGAGGAGACGAGAAAGAGGTCTCCCAGCAGATCATTAAGTCATATGATGCTAGATGGCCTTTCCTACATGATTTGCAGAGATTCACCATAGCATTCCATGGAATTTCATAAGCTTTCTTTTCATACGCATAATGTAGTCTTATGTCATATATTACTATAACTTACATGGCGCAGTAATATAGCCCTTGCATTTGATACGGCCCGCTCAATAAATAATCTGCACTTAGGTCTTGGCAGTAGGGCTTAGAAGGAGAATCTCAGTGTGTACTCCGTACTGGTCAAGGTAATTTCGAGAATCACTATGCACGGGCCCCATCCACTCAACAACTGTGCGACACTACCAGCCATTTGAGATAAGGATTGATCTTGTCTGTTCGAGTGATCGAACACATGATTGAGCTAATTAGGTCAATATGGGACCCCGAATCATAGTTTTTGTTAATCATTTGATTGGATGTCCAGGCGATTTATCCTTTGTTAGACCCAATACCGCATTCGATCGACAATGCGCATTATAGCTATAAACACCAAAGTGAGTCGCCTGATATAATTACCTTGCATATGGCATAAATTATAGCTAAAATAGATTGTCAGACTAGCGATGTGCTCCAATGTTTACCAGGTACGTTGTACCTATTCTCCACTCAGTAGTTTCCACTTTAATGGGGTACCGTGATTTTGATTAATCTCAGTATTTATTCTAGCAGATGCCCCTCGCTCAATGTCACTCTTATTGTCGAACATTCAGCAGCTTAAATTTCGACACATCCCGCAAAGATATGGCTATAGCCGACGACTTCCAGGACGATGCTCCAGTTGAAGCGCCTCCTGGTGTGATGAATGCAAAATCCATTTGCGATCCCCTCACTGAAGTTATCGATCCCGCTCGGGCTATATTTGAAAAATGGAGTAAGATCCCGGCCTGTGAGGTCGTCGAGCATGTCAATAACATGGTACACCCCGCATCTCCCTCACCTTCGAGTCTGAGTAAATTCTAACCACTGTCTAGAGGGATCGCGCGTATGAAGTGGTATGTTATAAATTCTTCTTGGCTTGAATTAACTTGGCTTGAATTAACTTGGCTTGAGATAACTTGGCTTGAGATAACTTGGCTTGAGATAACTAATTAAGTTATTACAGTTTCGCATGCCACATATCGGTCTGTACGGATTTCTCAATATCAATCTGTTAGACTTTGATTGTTATCCGGAGATTCTAGAGTCAATCAAGAAAGGCGCTCTGTTTCTTGATTTAGGGTGTGGTTTTGGGCAGGAGGTGCGCCAGGTGGTCGGTCACTCTGAAATACTGCATATTCACCCGTCAATATGGTCACTAATAGATGTATTCATAGGTTTTGGATGGGGGACCTCCGGCAAACATCTTTGGAGCAGACTTATCTAATGACCTGATGGACTTTGGCCATGAACTATTCCTTGATAAGGAAAAGCTTGGTGTTAGGTTTGTTCAAAGTGATATTTTCGACCACCAGTCAACCCTTAGGTTGGAGTTTCGAGGTCGATTTCAAGTGATTCACGCGAGCAACTTCTTCCACGTTTGGCCATGGGCGACGACAATTGAAGTCGCTAAATATGTCCTCGATCAACTTAGTGACAAACCCGGATCAGTCATTCTAGGTACCCAAGTCGGTACAAAGAAGGCGAAAAATGTGAGATTCCCTCACGTTAACAAAAGCGCTTTTTTCCATAGCACAGAAACCTGGAAAAAGCTCTGGGCTGTGGTTGCACAGGAAATGGCTATTCAGCTCGATGTCCAGGCGACTGAATCTGATTTCACTGATCAGGATAAAAATGACTGGCCTGAAGAATTGGAATTTGTCCGCCTGCGCTTTGTCATTAGAAGAGTGTGATGAGTCATGTTTGGTTGCACCGTTGGGATCGACATTAAACAATCAGTTGCCTCAGGGACCCTGGACATCTTCGTTCGGGGACGGTGGACATGCATGCGAGACAAATGTAACGATCCTGATCAGACCCTGTTTCCTATTCCGGCTTAGCGCACGGCATCACAGCTTACTTGCGAGCCGCACTATCCTCTTCTATCCTTTTTACACTTAGTATCGCGTACTCAACGCACTTATTTCTTCGTAATCTGGCTTCTATTACAACAAAGAAAAGAAAAGAAAAGCAAAGAAAATGCCATATGATCAAAGGATAATTCTCTATCAATGTGGTATATTCCTTACTTTTTGTACACTAGAATTGATGAGCTCTAGGTCTGCAAAGAATGGCTCGAGCAAGACGCGCGAGTCGAAAATTTACGGCGTACGGAGTCCGTCACCTGCAATAATACTTTGTTAACTATGCAGCGTAACGATTTAATTATAATCCCTGGCCTCTTTTTATACCTTTCTCATAATTGATGATAAATACCCAGATTGTATTCTGCTACTTATTAATACAGATTTTGATATGTATAAGTACAGTATCGCTTCCGGAAGCCTTTCTGCGAGGTGGTTGCACCGGGCATCTACCATCACTTTTGTGATACTCGATAGGCGGCCGGGAGAGATTGGGGGAGACCTGGCACTGCTGAATAACCGCATGTTCTTTCGGATGTTAGTAACAGAACGCTCGCTGCATTTCGCTACTTTTGCCATTTGTGATGTGGCGAGTCTCTTTTTACTGCATAACATGTGAATAACAAGGTCATGCTGCCAGGAATCGATATTTCGAGCCATATTGTGATGGATTGGGAGGATGGGATGACATGCTGAGAGGGGAGGGAACTTTTTTTGCGAGAATTATTTTTTGAGGGGACTGATGAGGGAACTATTTTCGAGGGCTATTTTTGGAATTGTAATTAAAAACATGAACATACCACCAAGTCTGTTTCATATGCGTTCGGTACTATACCGTTCGAGATCGGAACATTGTTACAAGTATCTCAGCTAACCAAATCAGGATTGAGTGTCATGTGATTAGGGTTGCAAAAGGCATATCATATACATCCGTCATGGAAGGCAATAACGGACGGCACTGTAACACTCTTCACATCCGAAGATAAGTTTAGATACAGTGGGGTTTGCCAAGACTCGGCATACAACCAGTTTTGGCTCCTAAGGCATATTCTGAGTTTTGTTTCCATCGAAGGCCGGCTGGCCCAATGGCAAGGCGCTTGACTACGAATCAAGAGATTGCAGGTTCGATCCCTGCGTCGGTCATTTTTTTTTCTTCTTGAATGAATCATTCATTCAAATAAGTCCAATGGTTGCGGCTAGTGAATTTGCGGCAAAATTTGGACCAGAAGTGGCGCAATTGGTATTTTTTGATGTGCTCCTTCCTGACTGTGAACCGGGCCGCGATTATTTTGTGAGAAACCCAGGCGAGGTTTCATTAACAAAAGTGAAGAATAGGTAGAGAAGGGGAGGGGATACCAGTGATTTTATAAAAATTGCCGGGGTAGCTTAGTTTTTCCTATATATGCTATAGCTTTTTCTATACATGCTATGAGACTCTAGAGAGGTAGGCGTCGGTCATCCAAGAGAAAATGAATAGAGAAAACCAGCCTGGACAAACATGATAGAAGCACTCGAAAAGAAATCCGACCATCTGACAGTATCTCTCATACGTCGAATAAATATGAATGGCGAATGCCAAGCTAGAGCATGCACAGGGATGCACAGTCCGCGCGCTAGAATAGGGGTTTAATCTAAAGAGCAAATCCACCGCAGCTTCGCAAAGCATATAAGCTAGAAATGTTCTTCGAAGGCTAACCTAAAAAGACTGGGCCGTCCCGCGGCAAGCTTGAAAACGCCACGGAGTATTTTCATGTGAACGGCAAGTTGACTTGGAGACTATCTATCTGTATGAATTCTTCAGACAGCTACGACGCTGCTATCTGTTGACAAAAGATACCGGGATACTGGGCCTAGTATGTTGCTGCAATATCGGGAGAGACTGTACCCAAATCGGAGGTCATGACCGAGCTCAACTCGTATGGATGACAGACAGGGATATTGTGAACTAGGCGGGTCGTTATTAGACTCACCGGGTTCGTATCCATCAAATTAAGAGGCTATAATAGACGTTAGACCCGAACACGGATCAAGTGTTGTTTATTTCCACCAAGGACATGGTCAAAGCATAGATTTAATAATTATGACAGGTCAGCTTTGCAAATCTAGGAAGACCCTTATCTCTGAAACATAGTTACCTGCTCCATACTCCATTTGATATAACTCCCGCAACACTCTTATCTGCTAGTAACCAGATCGAGAATCCTGTCTGCTCATGGATAAACTCAAATTTGCCTAATGTACGAGCTTTTGTAAAATGACTCGCGCATTCCCTTTGAACCAGGCGCGTGTGGCTTCATGCACCTATTCATTGGATGGTCTGCAGTCATACAGCCTTGCAGGGAACATGCAGAGAAGGAACAAGGAAGCAAACAAATCTCCTGACAGCCATCATAACATCAACCATGTCCATAGCTTGATTTGACAACAATGAGCTCTTGATCCATGTAGACTTCTCGACGTCATCACCAAAGAGGGGTTGTGGCTTTCATGCGCGCCGTGACTGAAAGCCTGCTCTTGCATTATCACGCCGCTGGAAAGCGCACAATATGCTTTACCTAGATCAGCATGCAAAGCATATTGATGTGATCGACGGGTTCTAGAAGCTTTTGAATTTTGAGGCTTGTCTAATACAGCCGCCACACCGAAAGCTGACAATGTGTCCTTACTGATCGTTGGAAGAATGGTATTTGCTGACCTAGGGTCGAGCAGGGCTTTTCATGTAGAAGGATTTACTGGTGATTTAATCTCGAACAGGACATTGTGCTAAGTTCAGGTATCAGTAGGCGTTTCGAGGCGCATCGCCGAATAGCTTGATCGGACCCAGCCGCTACAGCAGACTTGGCAGGTCAAAACTCTTACGCAATCCAGGCATTAAACGAAGATAGCCCGCATGAGCCCACGATGGGGCGATAACCAACACGCACACTGTGGAGGCGGATGCATACTAGCTTCGTTGTCAACGGTCGTGGGCCAGTCCATGGCCGATTACCCCGGAGTTCAACAAGCCAAGACATCCCAAAGTTTGGGATTTGATCACCAGGATCATAATATATTAATTAACATTGGGTAAATCTGACCGCTTCTTGCTCGGAACTTCCGTGGAAGACATATTACCACTACGCCCGGAATGGCAGGCAGTTAGCCATCTGCATAAAAGTCATATTGCCTTCCGTAGAGTGGATCCTTGCACAAACGCAGGGAAAAAAGAAGCCTCGGGTGACTGTTATATATTCTTCCGCATTTCCACATTGCCACTCAGAGTTGCGCGATTAGCAATTTAGAGATTGCATTTGCATATCGGCTGGATTACTTGGGTTAGCGAATTCGAACAAGCACTATACCCAAGCCCAGGGCAACTTATGTTCCCCTTAATTCCGATCGGCTCAACGATAAGGTGAACAAATATCCGGCAACACCCACATTATCCCTCTTTTTTTGGCTTTCGCTTAAGATACATTGTACATAACCATGGATTGATTAGCTTTGGGGCTTTTGGGTGCCTAAAACCCAAAAGGCACGGCTGAAATGTGCGATATCAAGGACTCACTAAGGATAAGAGTGAAAGAGAACTAAAAAGGGGCACTAATGCACTAAGTGGCAAGAGACCCGTCGTTAACCGGGTCTAAAGTTACGATGTCACATTGCTTCGGCCCTCCAATCCTGATAGCCATTTCTTTTGAGACAATTGCACATGCTAACCAATGAAGTTATGTTCTTTCGTTCTGCCTGCTGTCTCTCCCCACTTGGATTCTATTTCTCCCCACTTAATGATCAATTTAGTAAAGTGATTGCAAAATCAAGCTCCCTAGGTCTCGCATATGGCGGAATTCACCGAAGGGATGGAAAAAAGCAAATAGAAGACCCTGTTTCAAGATAGGAGAAATCGATGGATCTTTTGATAATTTTGGCCAAATAAGACGAGCGAGTCAAGAATAAAAGCAAAGAGACAAATGAAGCATAGACCGTGCCAATTTACCCCCTCTCCTACGGTTCACGTCGGAGATTTGTGCAGGGGTTATAGCCAATGCGCGCCTATCAACCCCTCTCGATGAAAGTCTGTACCGGCCAACACTACCTTTCTAGAAGCCTCCGGGAGATAATCGGATTGGTGGATGCACTTTCGATTACCCCAGGTCCACCATGAACGGGCTCAAACGTACCTGCGCAGGCTGTCTCGATATCGTCAGTAATCGGCCACTTGTCGCAATTGGCTAGCAGCTCTCACTCGGTCTAGCGATCCGTTATTATAAGGCTTGGATCTCCCTGATAACGATGAAATGATCTTCAGGCCTTTAGGACTTGGCTTTTCGAAGGGTCCAGTTGCTGATCATTGATATTCTGCCCTTTCTCCAATCTTTTCCCATCTTTCCCGGCCCATCCGACATAGATGATTCCTTAAAACAGTATATTTACATTTACCCTTCTAACATCCAATGCAATGACGAGAACCGGCCCTGCAAATAGTGCTATCTCTTGGGAAACCAAAAGCCTTATCCCCGAGGATGGCGGCAGAATTGATTCGGTCGCTGGTCAAGATGTGAGGCCCAAAGGACGCATCAGACGATCAATGACTGCTTGTAATACATGTCGCAAGCTCAAGACTCGCTGTGATGTTGACCCGCGTGGTCATTCTTGTCGTCGCTGTTTATCTTTGAGGTCGGTTACGCCTTAGATTCGTGCTGTGATTGTCACACGCCCGATCGCTTCACTCGGAATCTCTTGTTATGCATATCGAACTATAGCTGACCACGTATTGTTCTATAGGCTTGAATGTGAGCTCCCAGAGACAACAGACCGGTTCCAGGATAACGCATCGACCTGGTCGGACGCTAGTGCCGCTATCCCCTCAATAGAGGAACGGCTTGTGTCACTTGAGAGAGGCATGGGGGAGATGATCCATCTAATGCGGCAGATGGTAAACCACTCGCCAAGTATGTCCAGCAGTTTAACCTCGCAGGCGAGAAGCAACAGCATAGACGACACAGCTTCAAATGACAGTATGCCATCATCGCTATATCCCATCAAGCCAGCACAGGTTATTCGAGATCTGCAAGCGGAATGCTTCGGGGAGAGAGATCAGTTTCCCGCGGATGCTGATATCCTCGGAGATATCGTCACTCAAGGAATCGTAGATTCTAAGCTCTCCACGAAGTTGATTGAACTGTGTGTTTGAACGTCTCTACGACTAGCTCTTGCCGCTAACAATGTCAACAGTTTCGTGGAATACTTCGGCCACTGGATCTCAATAAATCATTCGTCCAGCATTCAACGGTCAAATACGCTTCTTTTCAATATTGCGTGTCTCTTGGCTTCACGCTATCTTCCTGGTTTGCCGCAACACACCGTACGGGATATCTCACTTCATGTACAACATGCCGTGGCGAAGATGCTGTGGAAGCCCCCACCTATGACAAGCGATATGCTACAGGCATTGACATTGCTTTGTCTTTACTCAACCTCGGTCCATAAAGAAGGACTAATGGATGACTGGTTGCTGAGCGGGATCTCGATCAACCATGCCCTAATATCCTTCAACTTCCTTAACACGCGGCCTGGAGATAGTCCTAACACAGACGAGCTCCTCGGGCAGTTGCGTCTGTGGAACACGCTCTGCGCCACACAACTACAGTAAGTCACCACCTATTGATAAAGCGAATACACAAACTAACACCAAGCCTCAGCTCGGCTCTCGCAAACGGCCGCACCGTTAATATCCAGCCACAATACATTGATCAATGTCCCCGCATTCTGGAACACGCAGGCGCCACACCAGAAGACGGAAGAATTGTCGCAGAAATTCAATTATACCGCATAGCCCTGAAACTTCAACACAGCCAACATCGCCTCCAATTTGCGGAACCAGAGTACGAAGAGATCGAGCGCTGGAAAATGGAATGGGCCCATCTCCTAAGTAAGCTGACATACCTATATATCAACCCCCAGCACCAAATTAACATCCTCCAGCCAACAACGAAGACTCAACCCTCGACCTCAACCTTTGGTTCTGTCAACTCCTCCTACACCGCACAGCAACACGCATCCAACCCGACAGCGACCGTCTAGTTCCAGAAATTTGCGGCAACGCCCGCCTTATAATTTCCAAATTCCTCCAAACCCGCTTCTCCTCCGCACCAGCCTTAATCGACCACATCTACTTCATCGTCGGCTATGCAGCCCTTACACTATGCGACTACAACCTCTCCGATCCCCTAATTAGTCAGGTCCGCGGCTTCATGCTGCATCTTGCGCCGAGTGGCGATAACCTCTCGTACCGCATTGCCTGCATAGTTGGTGAGGTGCAGCGTCGCTATTCGGAGGCGACGACTGTTGTCTCGGAGCATTCGTCGCCTACGGAGGTCAAGAGTGTACCCATCTTCGGGACGCATCATTCTCGTCAGGGGATGGATATTTCGCAGCTTATGCCTGCGTCCGAAGCGCTCGATTCGCTGGTTGAGGGGTACGACTGTTTGCAGCAGTTGATGCCTGGGTATACTGTGCAGTCGTCATTTGAGGCTCCGGATTTGTTTCAGCACTCGGCGCCTGTCACCGGGGGTGCGATGCCTATTGGCATGGTACCGAGGGCGTTGCATGACTGGTGATGATGTTACGAGGCTTTTGGGAATCGGGAATTGGGCATGGGATGGAGCTTGGTTGGGCATAGATATTAATGGAGTTGGTGGCTCGGTGGGAGCATGTTGAAGCTTGGTACGTGGTTATTAGGACTGGATGCACGCTGTGTTATCTATCACTTCTTCCTTAGTCGGAGAATGCGTAAAAGCAAAAGCTCAAGACGGAAATAGTTGAGACTTGTTCAACCAGGCTTTCTTGATTTATGATTTTAATGAAAAAGCAGCAATTGCAATGAAACGAATTCTCTATCACACAAGTCTGAACTGGATAGGGTTATTTAGTCTCAATTTCCTATGTACTAAATCTAGGAACATAAACTCGTCCCAATCAAAGAAGTAGGATAGAAGATCCTTGGATCTCCACCTGCCATGGAAACAGGGACATTTCCACTGTCGTCAACTGTAACGCTAGAGCACGTAATAATTTCGGTCAATTTAGTGCCGGCTTCATACCCTGTATCAGGTAGAGACAGCGAATACGAGCTGCCCCCAGTACCGAGGTTCGAAAGGACCGTGATTGTCTGCGAGCCGGCATCGCCCTTCCGCATGGCAAGCGTGCTGCTGTCTTGATAGATTGGGTAGTTCTGACAAAGTTCAATTAGTCTTTGCGCCTTTTATGATCTCTGCATAAGCCACAAATAGTCTAGATTTTATGAACATACCTTGTAAGTAATATACTTGTCACTCTTGTAGATGGCCTGGTTTCGAACGGCATTTGCCTTTCCGATGAGCTTGTACAGATCGCTGTCTGTATTGTAGCTAGACAGCCATGTAGCTTCGCGATTGTTAGGGTCACTGCCGCCCTTGTAGTGCTGTTCCTGTCCTGCGTAGATGATGGGAATACCATCTGCCATGATAGTGAACGCGGCAGCATTTTTGGCAAGAGCCATGTCGTCGGTATAGCTAGATTCGGGGGAACAGTATTAGCATCCACTCATCCAGACAAGAATGGATGGAATCATGTTGAAAACAGCTTTCACTTACGAGGCAAAGCGAGGATTATCATGATTTTCCACAAAAGTTCCTAGAAGGGTTGAATCCGAGCATTTCGATTTCACTGTATTGATCATGTTGTATAGGTCACTGATGCTTCCTTTCGTGGATTGGAAGGCTCTGAGAAGAGGATAGTAGCTGTGTTTTGCAGAATTAAATTATGTTCCGTTCTCAATATCATCGATCAACTGGCCAGCTTACATGGGGTAATTCAGGACTCCATCCATAACTTGCTGATAGGGACATGTATAGTCGGCATCACCGTCGAAAACCTCGCCTACGCAGTAGACGCCCGCGGCTTTGTTATAGCCAGGCCAGAAGGCCTTCTCGACATGTTTGACCGTGTCGACGCGGAGACCATCGACTTTGCTCTATTAGCGCTGTCCTTTATTCACATGATTGCAGTAGCAGCCTAGACCGAGAAAAATACTCACTTGAGTAGTTGGAAACCAAGGACCCAACCCAGTCATACCACATAGATTGGACATCTTCGCGGTCTGTGTTCAAATCTGGCAGGGAGACGCTAGTGTCACCGAGCCAGCAGTCTTGCACGTTGGTTTGGTTACTGTAGTCGCTGACTTCGCAGTAGGAGTGGAAGTACTTTTGGTCATTGAATGGGTTGAACACAGAATAGTTGATGTCAGTACCTGAGCCATCATAGCCCTTGAGATGAGTGTCAGCATTGGCTCGGATTCTAGAGAACAATCGATGGCTCAACAGACCATGTGGTTAGCGACCACATCAACCATGAGGTACATGCCGCGTTTGTGCAAGGCGGAAGCAAGATCCTTGAGATCATCTGCTGTGCCATAGTTTGGGTTGAGACCGTAGCTGCAAGATGATTAGCAATGTTTCAGCTTGCGTTTGGCTTTGTGTTGATATTCACATATCTTGCTGCCAGTAGCCATGATAGGCTTGGCCGTACTTGGTGTCTTCGGTCAACTGCGCAGTCACGGGGGTAATCCAAATAGCCGTGAAGCCCATTCCTTGGATGTAGTCGAGCTGTCGTAAGTGGTGAGTTGGGAGGCAATTAGTCGACAAGAGGGTTGCTAACCTTGTTAATGATTCCGCGCCAAGTACCACCGCAGTATTTCTAAGGCAACGTATTAGCTATACTCTTCTGCACCAGATGTATGTTGGAAATCTGAATCCATACCCTCATACTAGCATCGCAACTAGCAGAGGTCGAGCCATCGGTTTGAGCAAAACGATCGGTGAGCAGGAAATAGATCGACTGCGAACGCCATTGGTCAGGGGTGGCTGCAATAGCAGAGCCAACTAAACCTGCAAGCCAGGCAAAGCGCATAAGCAACATAGCTGTGAACATAGCTGTGTGAAATCTTGACCGTGATTCACTGATTACTGAAAAGATAAACAGTGACCAAACAAGATAAGATTGCAAAGCAAAATTTGATGCAAGGGGCTCCTAACTATATACATATATGAGAACTCATAGAAAGATTCCAACATCAATAATGAATAATTTAGCAAAGCCAACAACCAGTAATCATTGGCACAACAGCCCCTAAGCCCATGAAACACAAGCTCTCACACTGGAGATCTTGTGTAAATCCCCTTTAAATGCCCGCCCCCTGCCACAGTTAAAAGCAAAAGGAATTGACAAAAACAAGGTTACGTTCAAGAATATACTTGCATGGTCAAATCCTACAATCGGGTTACAGTATTGCATGTAATCCTCAGGGGAAATTAAACATCCCTGTCAGCAGAACCCCTGACACGGGCGCGGGATCACCAGGGCTTGGACCCCAAATTTCCAGGGTCGACAAATGGGGGACTGCAACGGGAGTTCTGAATGCCATTGGCTCATTGAATATGCCGATCGGTTGCTTTTACTCGGGTTTTAGTCGGAGGTCGTAGTCGGCTTGTCTGGTTTCCGCAAAGTTCAGTTTCAGCTTTGCGGGCGAGCCTCAAGGCTTCCCTGTTCCTCGATGAATCGTCCTCCAAACAAGCCACCTACTGTACCCCTTCTGAGAATGTCTTCCCTTACTCGTGCCGGAAATCATCTTCCAACAACCTTGACAGTCTCAACAAATACGCCGTCTACAAATCCAAACTAGAACGTTCTGTTTGATGCTTAGTTAGTGGGGTGAACTGGCAAATTGTGCTCAATGTAATGCACGCATAGTGCAATGGGCCTCTACCGGTCTCAGAGAAGTATAATGTACTTGCTTTTTCTCTAGCTATCTTCTTTCGTTCTACCTCATTCAGGGGTTTAGTCTTCAGTCCCTAGAATAAAGAATCTTTCTTATCAGGCATCCGTATCCCATTCATGGACGGCTCTCAACCAGGATGTGGATCTGAATAATTGAATGGGCAGTTTGGGAATCTGACCAGTTGGCTATAAGATCACAGCTGATGCCAGATCATTGCTGAAGACGCTGCGGAACTTTGAATATGTACGTATCATCGTAACGTTTGAATAGGCAGTTTGGAAATGCGACTGGGGCCTTGCAAGATGATGTTCCTGCGCTGGTGTGCAGTCTAATGCTAGTAGATATTACGCTCAAGCTGTCATAGATGATATATGAATAGGGGAGAAATAAGAATAAAGCGACAATTAGTGACTATCAATCTATAGATTATAAGACGAAAGCAAGCACGGCCACTACTTGCGTTTTGCGTATAATTGCAATCCAATAATCTACCACTTCAAAGTCCAGTTTTCACCGAAAGCACCCTCCTTGGTGAACTTATCCAAGCCGCTAACAGCCAGAACATGCGAAGTGGCATTATAACGCACTGAGGGAACAGGAACGGTCTTTCCATTAAATTCAACAGCACTGGGCTTCTGCTTAACACCCAGAACAGTAACGTTGGCCAGAGGGTTCGACTCCTTCCAAGAACCCTTAGCCTTCGCAATCAGGCTGGACTTCTCGACGCGGAAAACAACATCCAGACTCTCATCTGGGAAATTGCTTTCTCCGTCATCGATATGAACGGAACCGGAAGCAGTACCATCGCCACTGAGCGAGGCAAGAAGGGACCAGGGCGTGTCGCGAGACTCCTTGGTAGTGAGCTTGGGCTCCTGCATGGGCAGGACACTGCCGCCGCGCACGAAGACCGGGATGTGGCCTAGCGGAGCGGGGATAGTAGTGTTCACACCGGGTTTAGCTTCCACAGCTGTCTGTGTGTACCAGTCATACCAGACCTCGCCGTTCTTGAGCCCCGGGAAAATACCCTTGACGGAGGTAGCTTGGGGAGCGAGAACGGGAACGACCATGATCGAGGGACCGAGCAGGAACTGAGTGTCGACTGCGGCGAGGGATGGATCTGTGGGGAATTCCCAGGCCAGGGCGCGCATGACGGTCGAGCCGGTTGTGTGAGCTTCGTGGAAGAGGGTGTAGAAGTAGGGAAGGATTGCGTAGCGGATTTTCATGGCGGCCTTGGTGGCATCAATAACGGAGTCCCACACGTAGGGCTCTTGCGGGATCGCAGAGAGGGTGTTGTGATTTCGGTAGAAGGGGAAGAAGGCAGAGAGCTGCATCCAGCGGTTGCAGAGCTCCTCATCGGTGTTGCCATTGAAGCCGCAGGTGTCGACTCCGAACATAGGGATACCAAAGAGCGAGAAGGAGAGGGCTTGTGGGATAGAGAAGAACATGTAGGCCCACTTGGAGGCGTTGTCGCCGCCCCAGTGACCGGCCCATTTGCCGGAGCCTGCGAAGGTCGAGCGGCCGATGATGAAGGGACGCTTCTTTTCATCGACCTTCAGGAGACCGTGGTAGGTGGCGTTAAGGATCTGGTGGCCCCACAGGTTGTGCACGTCGTATTCCTGGACACCGTCGTAATGAGTGGCATTGGGGGATACTGCATGCACGTTGAGGTCATGGCCGGCCTGATCATGGTTAATTACGTATGGTGGGTATTCGATGTTGCGCACTCCCGCAGTGGGTGTGGTCCTCAGGTAAGAAGTGGAAGACGAGCCTCCAGTTGCAGCAGCAGCAGCTTGACTAGATGAAGCCGAAACAGCAGCGGCAGCTTCGGTCTTGTTCGTCAGCTCAAAGCCTTCTGGGTAGTCGTAGATAATATTGCCAGGCTCTCCAGGCAATGCGAAGGGAGGGTGAGATGGGTTCATGCTAAGGTTGCGAGAGCCACAGCTTCCGACGCAGAAGGACGAAACTTCGTTCATATCAATCCAGATGCCGTCGATGGCCACCTTCTTGTGGTACTCCACGATCTCATCCGCCCAGAATTCATTGGTCTTGGGGTTGTGCCAGTCAGGGTAGACGGTGTATCCAGGCCAGACAGCGCCAATATACTCGCTTCCATCGGGGTTCTTCAAGAAGACGTCGTTCTTGTGTCCACGTGTGTAGGTATCATAGCTAAATAGATCTTAGCAAACTGACAGTCTGATATCTGTTTCGACTAGGGCTTGAACTTACGCATCAGAGGCATTGTTGGGGTTTGGAATGTAGATAGCAGAATCAATGATGGGAACGTAATGGCGACCACTCTTGTGTAGTCTGTCCAGGAACTTTTCGCCCTCGCTGTAAGGGTAGCGGTGCTTATCATTGTCAAAGTCTCGGTAGCCATGCATGTAGTCAATGTCATTCCTAACCTTGTTAGATTCATAATCTCGAAAAGCATGGCGTGTAAGCATTACCAGATAGTTTCGAGAGGGATTCCAAACTTCTCAAAGTTGGCGACAACCCCTTCAACCTCAGTCCAGTTGTTGTAGCCCCAGCGGCACTGGTGGTATCCAAAAGCGAAGTACTGCTGCAAGGCTGGCAGTCCAATTGTGCTGAGCTGATAGTTCTTGGTGACATCCACCTGGCTAGGTCCCGAGTAGAATGTGAGATCAATGGTACCACCCAGTGTGCGCCACTTCAAGGCCTCGGGCTTAGTGATGATCTCCTGGCCATGGGCGTTTCGGGAGAAAACGCCGTGAGAATAGGAAACGTAGTCCTTGGATTGATCGGCCTTGTCGCTAGCAACAAGGGTGTGATGGCCCTTACTGTCAACTTCATAGTAGCGGGTGTCCAAATAGAATGGATGAGAACCGTACAAATTGCTAGCGGGATGATTAGCATAGATGAAAAGTTTGTAGGCCCGTGTCAGAGTGGTTTGAATTGTGGACTCACGTATCAATAGGGTCGCCGATATCCGACGCATAGAGAGTCAAAGTAAGGTTATCCAAAAGGCGCAGCTGCTGGATATGCTCTCCAATACCGTAAAGATTGTAATCCTTAGGCAAAGCAGTCACAAACTCGATAAACTGATTTTCAAATACCAAAGTCGAGCCAGTAGTGTCAAAAATAGCATCACCGGTAGCCTTGCGAGTCACCTTGAAATGAAAAGAAGGCTCATTAGCCCAAGTGATCTCAAGATCACTCTCCTTCTTCGACGCATGCTTCGCAGCGCTAGGCCGGGGAACCGTATTCTCATCCAACAAGAACCAAGAAGCATTTGAGGAGTCGATGTAAGTCGGGACAATTTGAACATTCAACCGGTCGTTGGCGAGATATTCAATAGAAAAGTCCAGGGAGTCCACGTCCGTTCCGTAGGCGTTGCATGCCTTGCCCGCGAGCTTCAGAGTAGCGGTCAGTCCGCGGGCCGACTCCTTCACGTTCGACGCCTTGTACCCGGGACAAGCCTTCTGGGCGTCAATAGCATCGGGATCATCGATGTTGGCAATCAGCTGGGCGCCCTCATCTGCGCCAGCGGGAATGGTGAATTGGGAGTATGCGGGTGAGGTTGAAGACGCGACTGAACTGGAGCCTGAGGCTTTGATGGATGTCGAGAAAGCACCGTAGGCTGTTGGCAAGAGCGCAACACCTGCTAGGAGATTCTTCAAACCATGCATGATTGCTACTGAATGTTAAACCAGGAGGCCAACAGGCATGTCCGAGGGACGCTCTTATAGTCTGCTACGGGGAGAAATCGGGGAGCTGTGATACATAGCAGGAATGACTGATGACATCCCGATTGCCGAACAATATTTCCGTTGATTCTCCGAATCGCATCCCTTCCCGAGTGGTTGAATGTTTTTGCGGGGTTGGTTGACCTAGACCTCACAAACAAGTTGGGGCTGGGATATGCGGAGTTTACTAGTGTTGGACCCCTTGCGTCCCTTGTGCGGATGAATAGGGTAGATCTGTATAACGTGTGACCAGCAAAGTACACAAGCCATACATTTCGAGAATCGTTGTCCTACCAAATAATATATTTAGAAATATTCAATCATTGCGTACAAAAGATGTCAATCCCGAAGCTGCCGCTTGAGACCAGATAACCAGCTGTATGTAATGAAAACGATCATATTGAGCCCATGCAAGATCATCCATAGTCCCACAACGTCTTGCCTAAATTGTAGAACAGTCAGTAGTACACAGTGACTAGTACAATATAGTGAGGTAGTAGCAACACGATAATTGGGATAATCCTCTCCACAGCGTAGAAAACGCCGATCATTGAATTCCACACCAATGATTGGCCAGCTGTCCGATAAATGTCCGTCTTCTAACTAGAAATTCCTCGTGTATGATGGAATGTCATCATCATGCAATGATATGCAACCAATACTAGTCTATGCCAATCTGCGGTGAGTCCTTTCTCTCTAGTGGAGAAGCTTATAACGAGCCGGGAGAGCCGTGGGCACAAGATTCACTTCAAAACCTGGAGTCTGGAGTAACTCTGGAGAAGCTCGCAGGAACCTCGGGATCTTTTTGTTCCCTGATTCCACTAACAACCGCAGTATTTATACGTTGTATGTCGGCACTGTACACTGTACGCTTCAAACATCGTATAATGTAGCCCATTTTCCACGGGTGTGTTTTCAACGTTACGTTCGGCTTCCCGAGGAAAGCGAAGACGAGCCCTGTCGGCACTTGGAAAGGTCCAGATTCAAAGCTATGTGTGAACTAAGAGAAGCCGTGAAGAAATTGATTGGATCGGGTAGTGTTGAGACGCTGGGAAAGCGGAGATGCGGAACCAGCACGGTTTAGCGGTGGTTAGTGTCCACTTCCCATATTAATCGAATTAATCAGGGCAGGAAAATCGCGCATCTTGCAGCCAGTGACAAGGCCTGAAGTCAACTAGAGAGGCTAGTCATGGCCGACTTGGCCCACGCGCTTCGTTTAAGATGTGGCAATTCCAAGTTTGTTGATGTCGCTTACATTGTACGGGCCGAGTCGGTTGACCCTGAGTTCTATAATATTTTAGTGAAAGGGCCATAGCGTTGAAGGGCCAAAGGCACCGAAGAACAGAGTGAAGAGAAGCATATAATACCTATGTGTAGGTACGGAGTACATATGTTTAGTATGGTCGAGTCCCTGTAGGTCTCCAGGAACGATCGGATCTGCGGGGCATCCACGTTAGATGTCGGGCCGAGAGTAATAATAGCGATGCGAATGAGTTCATATATGGTATACTACATGACAAGCCATCAACGCTGTGTGTGCATGGGCCTTTGCGGGGTTTTCCTCTCTCCGCGCGCCCTTCCCCAGGTTTCAACATTATAACGACACTAATACTCGCGGAAACTAGTCCTCCCGCGAAAAAGAAATACCATGACCTTTAACATTCGCCTTTAAATCCTAAGAATGAAAGCCTCAAATCAAGCATGCGACAACTGTCGCCGCCGCAAGATTAAATGTTCCCGCGAACTCCCATGCGACAAATGTCAACGTCTTCTCCTCTCCTGCTCCTACAGCGATGTCCTCCGTCGCAAAGGCCCCAAATTCCGCACTCTATACCCTCTAGCCCCAATCCATCCATCCGGCGCCAATGACACAGAAAAAGATCAAGATGCCGATATCTCAGACTACCATTTCAATTCACCGATTTCGCCATTTGGCGTGCAAGACGCCCAATTCCAATTCTCGGATACTTTCTCCAACCTCCCACCACCAGATCTCGTCTCTTCGCCAGGCTCAACAGAGTCAACCGTCGAATCCGCGAACGGCTATAGCTATGGCTATCTCCACGCTCCCCGTCGACTCTCGTCGCAGATCCTGCTCGCGCACGTAAATGTTTATTTGAAATATCTGTTCCCGATTATGCCGGTTGTGCGCGGGGATCAGCTCCGACTGGATTGTCATCAGCCCGGGCGGCTGGGCGCGAAGCGGTATGCATTCTTGGCGGCATTATGTGCCGCTACGCATATTCAGTTGAAGTTGGATGGGGCGGCACCGGTGCCGGAGCCTGCGTCGCGGAGTATTGGTGATGGGCAGTCTTTGATGTCTGGGGAGGAGCTTTTGGCGGAGGCTGTGAGGGCGCGTGGTGAATGTGATCTTTTGGAGGAGCTTGGGACGGAGAGTCTTTTGACTTCGTTCTTCTTGTTCGCTTCCTATGGAAATTTGGATAGGCAGGAGCATGCTTGGTTCTTTTTGTGTCAGGCTACTTCGTTTGCTTTTAGCCTTGGGTTGCATCGGGAGGCTACGTATGCAGAGTTTGAGATTGAGGAGGCCGAGGAGAGACGGAGAGTCTTTTGGCTTTTGTTTATTACGGAGAGGTGAGTGGTGAATTTGTTGTTGAGGTACTTGGTGCTGATTTATTTTGTTGTAGAGGATATGCTCTCCAGCAGGCGAAACCTGTCATGCTGCGCAGCTCGATTCATAAGCCACAGGTTCTTTGCTCGGGTGACCCGATTCTGGCATATGGGTTTATCAATCTGATCAACATCTTCGAGAAACTAACACCGAACCTTTATGACTGGGTATCAGCTGGGGGCGGAGACAGCATTTTAGAAAGACCGCCAACATCAGCCATCCAGTCGAGTTTGTGCAAACCAATCTCTTTGGAGGGAGTACTCGAGATTCAGCAAGTCGATATATTGATCACCCAACAGTGGTTGCAAGCAATGATGTGGAAGTTGTCCATGAGTCATGGCGCACAGCCCGGTTCACGCGATGATGCAGTATTGCCATTCCACCTTCCGGTGATGGTAGGCAAAGCTGTGATGGGCGTGATCGGTGCTGCATCACAGGGCGCGGTCGACGCGCACGGCATTGGAATGGTAAGCTCCCCAGACGAGACTGTACTTTTATATGCTGACTTGTGTGTTTAGGAACAGAAACTCTTCGATATGGGTGTTTCTGTCGCCGACGTTACACGATCTCTTGGATCCAAGGCGGTGCACCGTCTGGCCGAGTCGACAATTGACCCGAACGAATTGTTGTGGGGTATACTTCACACGCTATCTCAGATTCGTGGCTCGCCTTCGTATCTCTTCCCAACATTGTTGGAGCGTTGCAAGTCTGTGCTTGGGCTTGACTGCAGCATCACGACTGGGAACTTCCTCCCTATACTTGGTGCTGCAGTCCCGGATCAGCTGGCTTCATGGTCTGGTCAACACATCTGGGATTACTCTGCTGGAGCAGAGGATATTGAGGTTCAAGATGTCAGCGACCACTCTGAGTCAGGTCCTCATTCTGTTCCACAAGAATTGGGTTTCCGGAATTGTCTATTGGGATGAGCTTGTTTCTCGACATTGGGCGCGGGTTTTTGTTGTATGATACCATTTGGAGTTTATATAGATGGATTTTTAGGACAAGGAGATACCGTATCGGATATAGAAACACGACCACTATATCAATGCTTCAATCAAACCAATATTGTGCTGGAAGTTACCTGTGTAAGGTATCGCGCAGCCCAATGATAACGGATAGACTTGGCATGTTTGGCATGTTTGCCTCGGCATCGGCGAATCTCCAATTTGAAGATCATCTTCATGCGACTTCATTTTCTCTCAAACAATGCGCTGCTAGTATGTCCACCCTTTGTGATACTTAAAATAGCTCTAGCAGAATCTCAATTGACCCATTATCCAGAGAACATCTCCAACATCCACCCGAACCAAGCTCAATCGCACCCAACAGCCAGAATTAGCCGACGAGCATAAAACCTCACAAACAAAACCATAATGGCCTCTCTCCGAGGGCGAACCCTCCCCCTCCGAGCCCTCCGCTCGAGTTCAAGATCAATCCGCCCCCTCATCCCAACCACGCAATTCCTCACGAACCCAACCCTCGCCACGAACACCCAAACCAGAACCCACTCCGTCTCCGCCTCCGAACTCTCCCACTTCTCAGCCCTAGCAAGCTCCTGGTGGGACCCAATGGGCCCCTCCCGAATCCTGCACCTAATGAACCCCCTCCGCCACGAATTCATCGCCTCCTGCCTAGCAGAAGGAACCCCCGAGGCCGCCCCCTCACCCTCCTCCGCAACCCTCAACTATCTCGACATCGGCTGCGGCGGCGGCATCTTTGCCGAATCCCTAGCACGCACTATCCCCGCCACCCCAGAAACGCCAGCACCAACGCCCACACGCGCAGCAAGCATGACTGCAGTCGACCCCTCAAGAGACCTAATCAACATGGCGCGCGAGCACGCGCGCAAGGACCCAGCCGTCCACGCACACTTGGAGTCTCAGCGCTTCAGATACCTGAACACAACATTGGAGGATGTCCTGGCATCCGGAATCGGACCGATCACGTCCAGCTCTTCAAGCGCAAGCACAAGCACACAATACGACGTGGTGACGCTCTTCGAAGTTCTCGAGCACATCGACCCGCAAACTAGCACGCCGCTCAGCTTCCTGAGCAATTGTCTGCGCGCACTGAAGCCCGGCGGCTGGCTGATTGGCTCGACGATCTCACGCACACTTCCGTCATTCATTCTGAACCAGGTTATTGCGGAAGCGCCATGGCCGATTGGTGTTGTGCCGCGGGGAACGCATGAGTGGAGCAAGTTTGTTAATCCACCTGAGGTGAAGGGGTGGTTGCAGGAGGGACTGATAAGGGCTGCGGATACGGCGACTAAGCGTGGGGGTGCTGCTCAGGTGCAGGGTATGCAGTGGAAGTGTGTTGGGGCTATTTATGTTCCTGGGTTTGGGTGGAAGATGGTTCCGGGGAGTGAGGATTATGGAAATTACTTCTGGGCTGTTAGGAAGGGGCTTTGAGTAGAATAGTAATCTGGAGTTGATATTGCATTTGGGGTCTTGTATATTAGATGTTTTTCATGAGCTCTTTCAGCTTGGCTTATTGCATTGGTTTGTATATTTCATCAAGTTCATAAAGTTCCACCTTCATAGTCGTACAGAGCGCTAATTGTAGAAGACCTCTGCTAAAATCCATGACACCTCGAAGCACACAAGAAAACAGTCTACTTCTTTCCCTTCTTTTTATTCTTCTTTTTAGGCGGCTCAGGAACACTGACCGTCCCCTGCTCAACCTCCTCACCCTGCCCCTGCAAACGCTGCGAACCGCTAATAAAGAACGTGAGATCACGGTTCTGCTCTAACAAGTCAGCATTGGAGCCCTTGAGCTCCTCGACCTCTTTAGCAAGCAAATCGAGCCGTTCCAACATGTTCTGATTCATAGATCGTTCCTCTTGATACTTTTTCTCAAAAGAGCGGACCAAAGCCTCGAATTTCTCGGCCTTTTTCTCAGCCCTGGCACGATCGTGCTCCAGAGAAGGTAATGTCTCAAGGGTCATGATATCGTACTTGGCTTGTAATTCTTCAAGTCTATCCGAGGCAGTGGACGCATTGACTTCTGCTACTGCTGCAGCAGCACTGGATTGGGATGCTTTGTCGACTGCTCGCTCGACGACTTCTTCGAAATACGCGCGTTGACTTTCGAGCTGGCTTGTGAGAAGATGCGTATACTCGACGCTCGTATTTTCCAACTTTTCACGAGGAACAGCATCACCCCAATCTGTATCGAGGGCGCTGTTATCTGCAGCTGGTAGCTCAACGAGTTTTCCGTCTGTTTTGCTTTGGATAATGCGGTGGACGTAGGCGTCTCCTACGTAATCCCAGACCCGCTGGGAAGTGAGGTCCATCGAGAAGGCGTGAGCGGTTTCTTTCCAGTGCTGGAAGGCGTGGGCGCCGTCGTAGCGGCCGCACCCGATCGTGCCGCAGATCAAACACGCCCAAAGGTTTTCTTCGGTGTGGCAGACGCCGCATTCTTGTTGTTCTTCTTCTGGATTCAGACCCGCGTTACCTTTGCGGAAGTCATCTTGCGTATAGCGACACACGGGGCAGCCGCTCCCCTTCCATTTCTGGAGACATGTGCAGTGAAAGACATGTTGACATATGATCGTCAACAGCCCTGTTGTTTCATCCATTCGCTCAAGACAAACAGGACAAGTAGGCAACTCAATAAGCGCAGGCGTGGGCGGCGCAAGAGGCTTCCCAGTTAAAGTCTGCGAAGGCGTCGAAAGATTCGGCGAAACAAGAGCACCATGCTCAGACTCGAAATCCAGTGATTCATCAACGACCTGGATCTCAACGGTCTTCACAAAAACAACGTGACAAGTCTCCGGCTCCATACTATTGAACACCTTCCCATTCCACTCCTTCTGCCAATCTCTCGCCTGCTTGCCACTCCGGAACTTCATCAAAACCATATACCGATTCGGCCGCGTGGTCCTAATCATCCGGAAATGAGTAACATCATCCATCGTCTTCTCGCCCATGAACCCCAGAAAATCAAGTGGCGACAGATAACACGGCACAGCGAGGATGCACAGCGTCTTGCAATCATCGTCGATGTTCTGCTCGGGAAACGGGTACGCCGTCAGACTTGGAGACTTGCTACTCGCCGGAAGAGCCTGTTGTCCGCCGGGGTGCCGGGCTGCAGCCGCGGAGCCTTTGAGGTGAGTGGGCGAGTCGTCATTGTTGAGATATGGTGTTTCTTGCGTATCGCGGTACAGATGAACAATTCCCGAGACGCTGTCGACAATCTCGCCTTCGAGAGGGATATAGCGGCCTCTCGTGCGTAGTCCGCTCAGGATGTCTGTGCCAATTCCTGCGGCGACGAGATTGTCCGGCTCTGGGGTGGTAGAGGGACGCTTGGGGCGTTTGGTCGGTGCGTGTGACGGGGGCACCATGTCAATGCACTCGATTGTCACGGCGCCGAAGCGCTTGTCTTCTGCGAGGGTGGTGGATGAGCCAGAGTATGCGGCGGAGTTGGAGGAACTGGTGGCGTTGGTTTGGGGTGGGGTGTGAGGAGAGTGAGTGGATAGCTTTTGATGATGTGCGAGTGTGGTTTCTGGGATTCGTGGAGTGTTGTGTTCGGGTGTGGGGTATAGGATGGACCTAGGCGATTGGCTTTGTCGAAATGGTTGCAAAGCTTCCCGTGCAGAGTGAACGAGTGTGGCTGATATTCTAGAATCTGATTGAGAGAGCTGCACGCTAAGATGGTAGAAGTAAGCTGGCATCCCGAATGCTGGCTCACATTTGGAGCTCCAAATGGTCGAAAGAGGAAGTCGTGATAACGATAAGGATCTTGGGGGAGTTTTGATTACATAATACTTCAATGTCACCTGCCCAACGCCTCGAGCCTTACGCCACATCTAATTTGGTTCCTGACATGCGAGTGGCAAAGAGGCAAACCGAGATCGCTTTACGAGAACGAGGTGGCAAGCATTTTAGACGAGATGTAAGCATCCAGACAAGCCGGAACAGTTGACAAAAAGCGTTCACGTGCTACCAAAGACAGTGTAAGCCCAGTAACACAATGTAGCAAGTCATAGACGAGTTGCGGAGATCAGAAAAATGTCAAGATTAACAATCGAGTCTAACAATACTACAAGACTATAAGATAACCCATTTGGAGACAAAATAAGAAAAGTATTTAAGAGTCAATCATGACTTGTTTAGAATCCTTAATAAAGGTGCCGTCAAGACATCACATGGAATCGGCGATAACTACATATAAGCCTGGGCGAGAATGATAGAGACAAGGAACATAATGCGTGACAAATTATCACAGCAAAAAGCTGCTTGGTTAAATTCGTAGATCTATCTATGATAGAAGCGTTAAAGAAAGAGAGAAAGGGCGAGGAAAGCCTCCAACGCAATAAAGAAGCCTCAGCCTCGAAAAACCGACCAAACGCCATATGCAGGTAAAAAGCTCATAAATTACTGACCGCCACGCAGACGCAACACCAAGTGGAGGGTAGACTCCTTCTGGATATTGTAGTCCGAGAGAGTGCGGCCATCCTCGAGCTGCTTACCAGCGAAGATAAGACGCTGCTGGTCAGGTGGAATGCCCTCCTTGTCTTGGATCTTGGACTTGACATTGTCAATGGTGTCTGAGCTCTCAACTTCCAAGGTGATGGTCTTGCCGGTCAGGGTCTTGACGAAGATCTGCATACCACCACGCAGGCGGAGGACCAGGTGAAGAGTCGATTCCTTTTGAATGTTGTAGTCGGAGAGAGTGCGGCCATCCTCGAGCTGCTTGCCGGCGAAGATCAAACGCTGCTGGTCTGGTGGGATACCCTCCTTGTCTTGGATCTTGGACTTGACGTTGTCGATTGTGTCTGAGCTCTCAACTTCCAGGGTGATGGTCTTGCCGGTGAGGGTCTTGACGAAGATCTGCATACCACCACGTAGACGAAGGACCAGGTGAAGCGTCGATTCCTTTTGGATATTGTAGTCTGAGAGGGTGCGACCGTCCTCGAGCTGCTTGCCGGCGAAGATCAAGCGCTGTTGGTCTGGTGGGATACCCTCCTTATCTTGAATCTTAGACTTCACGTTGTCGATAGTATCGGAAGACTCAACCTCGAGGGTGATGGTCTTGCCGGTCAGAGTTTTGACGACTAGAAATCTGTTAGCATGATGCGAGTGGACAGGGGGAAGTAAAGTGTCACATACAGATCTGCATACCACCACGCAGGCGGAGAACCAAGTGAAGAGTCGACTCCTTCTGAATGTTGTAATCAGAAAGCGTGCGACCGTCCTCAAGCTGCTTGCCGGCGAAGATCAAGCGCTGCTGGTCGGGAGGGATACCCTCCTTGTCCTGGATCTTGGACTTGACATTGTCGATAGTATCGCTGGACTCGACCTCAAGGGTGATGGTCTTGCCGGTAACTAGAAAGAGAAGGAGTCAGTAAAGATATTCAGGGCACGGTGGCGAGTGAGAGTCGCGGCGACCTCTCAAAGCCAGGCCAACGATAAAGAGGAGAACACGTACGGGTCTTAACGAAGATCTGCATGATGAATTCAATAAAGAAAGTGTTGAAGGAAAGGTCGGAGAGATGAAGAAGGAAGAAGGCCGAAAGAGGGGAAGGATCACCTTATGTAGGAGATTGGGGCGAAGCGGTCTTAGTCAGGTGCAAGTGACGCGAGAAGATAATGCTAGAAGGCGCCGGATGTGAGTCAAACGGGTGCCTGGGAACAGCCTATCACTTTTGACGCCACTGGAAAATTCCAGACTCGCCCCTTAAAAGATTAGAGTATTAGAGTACTTCAAATCTTCCTCCTTAAATTATCTCTGTCTACATACTACTACTCCGTACAACTACATACATCATAGGATCTATTCTCTTCGTATTCATGTGGCGCAAGAGGTGATGACGTTTAGTTGCTTATCGCAAAAAGAGGGGGTGGACCTAAATGGGACCGCTAGTATACAAGGTACTTGGTACGGGTCTCTACAGGGCTCTTTGCTCTCCTATCCGGGTACAGGGTACCCGCACCTAAACTTAGTAACCATCACCTGATATGCCGCATCCGGACTTCACCGCTATAACTTGTTTACTCTCGCATTTTATACTTCAATATTAGGGTAATATGAAGAGATTGCAAAGCTAGAGAAAAAAGTTAGTTAATAACCACTTACACTCAAATGACAAAAGTAAGAAAATTACACTTAAGTATGTACATATGTGCATATTGACCGCGATAACAGAAGGTACGTGACACAGCAAACTTCAACCATATGGTTAATTGAGGTATAATTTAAAGCCCGAGGGCAAAATTGTATAAACAAGTTATCGGTCCGACTCCATCAGCCGGCCGACTTGCCGCAGCGGCACAAGATAAAAAAGTTAAAAATAAAAATAAAACACCTCGGCCGTACACGGTCATGAAGTTCGTGATCCTCGTTCATCGCTGAAGACAAAGCTGTGCGGAGGTATACACCAAAGACAAGAGATCCAAAAATCGCAAAAGTATTTCAAAAAGACATCAAAATTGAAAGTCAAAGTATGAGATAGATATAAAAAATAATAAAGGAATAACGAGATAACGAAACAGGCTGGAAAAACACTAGATGGAAACGTAAAGACGTATAGACGTATAGACGTAAATGAAAGTCGGGTTCGGTACAGAAAGTCGCAGCTCGCTAGGAGGCGTCGTCGTTAAAGAGTGGACACGTAGATACGGCTCGCGCATCAGTTCATCGAATTCATTGCTGGAAGCATGTGGAAAACGATCGTGGGTCGTCGTAATGGGTCGTTTAATTGGCGCGAATGACTAGTCGCGAAACAAATTTGTTAGAGAGGCAGTCGAAGTCGCCGCGGTTGAACTTCTGGCCGGTCCGGCTGCGGAGGTAGCTTTCTGGGAGGGATGTTAGCAACATGTATAGTTGTAGATGAACATTGTGTGACTTACCATGTTGCTCAACGTGCTGGCGCACTTCAGTCATGGTATTGCAAACGTCCGGATTGGAGTACAGGAGCTGGTGGTGCTTCTGCGAATCCCATTCCGTGAAAGGAGGAAGCTTCTGCGAGATAGCCTGGAAGAGGCCGACTATGACGCCGACCGGGGTCGTTTCCATATCCGTGCAGAATTTGTCAACGGCCGCGGGATCGGGCGTGCGGTAATGGCTGTCGAATTGCATTTCCTCCCACACGGCGAGAAGAATAGATGCCAGGATGAAAATCGTAGGCCAATTCTTCAGCTTGTCACCGCTGTAGACGCTCGAGTACAGCGCTGACAATTCTTCCAGGACATCCTTCTGCAGTTCGCGCCACATGCTCGCCATAGCGCACTTGATCTGGAAGTTGATCATGACGGGAGCCATGGTCTTTCCAGAGAATTTGGAATTCTGGTTGCTAATCTTGCCGAGGAAGCCTTCTTCCTCGCCGATTCCTTCGACCATCGTCACATGCATAGTTAGGTTGTAGGCGACGATGAGTTTCAGCGCTTTACGGATAACCGGGAGCTTTGTGCGGAAGTAGAAGCGGAATGCGGTCTTCAGCATTTGGGTCAGGAATGGCGTGCCTTCAAAGTAGTCATCGACGAATTTTTCAAAGGTGCCGTTGCCGTCGATGTGGCGGTCCAGATAGTCGGACAACATCGCGTGTGAGATTCCCTCCATGCCGGCTGAGAGCTTGGCGGTCTCGACTTCATATTGTGTGGGGTCCCGCTGCATCGATTCGACCCAGTCGACTGTGAAGCACTGTTCATCACGGACGTAGACTTCGCGTGCGTTGATGGGAAGAATCTGTCCGTAGCCATGGGTGATGAAGAGTGTGCGTTCTTGATCGGAGAATCCCTTGATATTGCCGACCGAGAATCCCATCGAGATGTGGCGCTCGTAATCCGCTTTCCAGTCTTTCATAAAATATCCAATCTCCTTGATATCAATACGAGTGCAAGGAACCTGCCATAACCTGGCGTGTGATGGCTGGCAGCCCGCACAGGGCTCACCCTTGTCACAGGTCTTCTTGAGGAATTTGCAGCGGAGACAAGCGCGCAGCTTACGGATTTCGCTGGCTTGCTTGCGCTGATCGGGCTTGAGGGGACCCTTTCTCTTTCCGACCCGCTTTTCTGTCTCTGGTTTGCCGGTTTGAGATTGCTTTCGGACCTTGGTCTCGGCGGTCTTGGCGGCGATGGGACTCTTGCGAGATGGTTTGCGGCTTGGCGGTGAGGTGGCTGATTGGGATCCGGCCGAACGGGCAGGCGAGGTGGACTTCTTGATTGGCACGGGGATCGGTCTCACCATTCCGATGGGACTGACGATAGACGGAGAACGAGAGCCTGGCGAGGATTGCCCACGACGGACAACGGCGCTACTTGTCGGGGAGGTGGCGGGCATCCCGATCGAGCTGCTGTACGAGTGACTGTGGGAGTGACTATGACTATGGCTGTGGCCATGGCTATGGGTGTAGCAGGGCAAATCCATGTTGTTTTCGGAGGCGGGAGAGCCAATGGGATGTGCGATATCCACGAAACTGCCGTACGATGTCGAGTAGGAAGACTCCGAGAGACTCCGGTCATGCAAGGTTTGGGTGGGGTTCACGAAAACACCCTGTTCGGGATAGCCAAAGTCGAGCGAGCGGCGGTGATCGATAGTACTCCAGCCGTTGTCACTGCTGGATAAGGAGCGGACCTCCAAATAAGTATCCGTGGGCGAACTGCTCTCCAGCACGGGATGCGGGGCGTAATGAACATCCGGGAGTCCATTGGGGAAAGTCATCAGATCCGCTTGGAAATCCTGATACGTGAATGGAACCATATCAACGGGTGCCATCGGCAAATAAGGGCCGTCGAGTAGGCCGGCCCCCATCTGGGCTTGTCCAGACATGAGATTCATGGGCGAAGGCTGCATGGGAATACCATAACTGGTGGTAAATTGCGGCGATGGGTCTTCGGATGAGTATGGGAGGTGGTGGTGAGGGGCGTGTTGTAGCGGTTGGAAGTGCCAATCGACCATGAGATTTGAATCGTGGGTCACCGACTGTTCCAGGGGGTGACCGCTGTTTTGCAAAGGTGAAAGATCATGACCTTCGTCGGGCCGTTGGGACGCCTGGTCGACCGGTACGGGCCATGTATGCTGTAAATAACCTCTGGAATCATAATCGACGCCTATCAGGCCATCGCTTGTTATATCGACATTGGACATGACTTTTTTTTTGAGTCAAAACGACCAGGTAAAGAGGTAGAATAGAATGTGAAGGGCCCAGCCTGGATGAGAGGACCTACTTCAGAAGAAGTCACACAGTCATCGAGAAGAGGGAAAGTGAGGCGGTGGGGGGTTCAAAGCAGCGGTGAGAGAAGCTGCGCTAGGGGAACGATGTGGAGAGTGGATTCTTTTGTATTGATACTAGTATTTTAATGCCACGGTCAAGTCACGAGTGCAGGAGTAGTAATTAGAGGGTATATAATACGTTGAGAGTGGTGTATATAGTATGATAGCGTGTATAATTGGAACTAGTCCATACGAGTACTTAAAGAAGAGAGATAGAGTCCGGAGCTACGGAGAATGAGTTGTTGATCCCATGATCTTGGGTATTTTGAATGTTTTTCTTAATGGGGAAATCCTACAGCTGTCTAATTTTTAATTAATATTTTCTTTTTTTTTCTTCTCTGTTGAATCTGTAAACCCTGTTTTTGTATACTTCTTCTCTAGTGACTCTCCTTCTTCTGTATTCTTTGCTTTTCCCCTATGGTTCTGACTTCAGATTCTTATGTTTACCTACATATAGGTACTACCTAGGCCCACGGGTAAAGATTTAGAGGTTTAGTCAGACACGGAACAGCAGCAGATCAGTGGAGTGACAAAAAAAAGGAGGGAAAAAAAAAGAAGAAAAAGGAAAAAGAAAATCGAAAATACCTAGAAAATAATACTAGACCAAATCCACCAAATACAATATTGTAGACTCAATGTTGAGCCAAAGTGCGTATCAAATGCAAATCTTCCGTGGCGATATCTTCTCGATCTGACAGTCGCATCGTGTTCCGCCTAAGTCCTTCCTAATCAGATCCAATCATAACCCTGTCTCGTTACCGCGATGCCCGTGATTCGTCTCTCAGCCCATCCAAAAGGTTCTTAGTGCTTAGCGGGCCAAATCAACATAACCCGTGCAGTAGTCTGGACTATTTTCGATGATAGCGTTGTCCTCGAACATCATGTACATAGTAATTTACGTACTCCATAGTAAGCAAGTCATTAGACCCCGGGAATCTGTTCATAAGTTGTTGAACCCTGTTCTTGTTCAATCTGACAGGTCATTTTTCTGCGTTTTGGTTCCCTTTCCATTTTCGCACGGCCTCCATATGCAGTAAGGGGAAGTCAAATAGAATCGCAAAGAACCGAACGCCATTGTATCTGCACCAGCCAGTTGTGCAGATGGAAATCGGACCCGTCACATCACATCACACATCGTGGTGATTTATGCAAAACATTTTCACGGACGAACGAATGATCCCTGGACTTGATGCACTTAAATATGATATATGCAATATGCATGTCCACAAACTTGAGAATCGACTAACTTGATTCGGAGGAAAAACGTGAAAAGGGCAACGTGAAACTATTGTCCGAGAGACATTGACACATATGTACATATATGTACATCTGGATAGTGCACAGTATATCTACAAGAACCACATACATAGTATGTATAGAGAGAGAATCAAATATCGAAAAATCAAAAGTCGCGAAGTCGAGAACCCCGCGGGCGGGGAGAAACAAAGAACTTCAACTTCAATTCAACCTCAACCCATTCATGAACACGAGAACAATAGCACATAGATTCCTTGAAAAAAAAAGACACCTCCAACAACAACACAAATTCCCTAAGAATTCTTCAATTGATGCCACTCCTCAACTCTCGCAGAAAAGTTCGCTTCCAGAGTCAGAACCAACCGCCCAGCGCATCAACCACAAACCCCAAACCCAAAATGACGCGCCCGGGCATCCCGGTCATATTCACCCAACCACCGGCAATTTGCGACCCGCTCGACACAGAAACAACAGATCTGCAAACTTCGACTCGGGAGAAATGCCTACCATTCCTAAAAGGCACCCATAGCAGTCAAAGTGACCACAATGAGCACGGCGTGCCGGCTCTCAAGCGCGACCTCCATGTAGCCTACCTCTACGACTCGCTGGAGGACTACCCAGCTGGCTTTGTAGCCATGGACGCTAGTCGGCCCTGGATGGTCTACTGGGGCCTTGCGGGGTTTGCCATGCTGGGCGAGGATACGTCCATATTTAGAGATCGGTGGGTTGCTTTTGTTTTATTTTTGTTTTTTTTGCCTTGTAGACGCCTTATGATCTGCAGAATCAGGAGCTGACGTTCCCAGTGTTATTGCTACGCTTCGGCCCATGCAGAACCCCTCTGGGGGCTTTGGGGGCGGACATGGCCAGACTTCACATCTGGCGGGCAGTTATGCAGCCGTGCTGTCGCTCGCAATGGTTGGTGGTGAAGAGGCGCTGGGACTAGTTGATCGACATGCGATGTGAGTTGTTCCTTTCTCACTTGCATATATATGCGTCTGACATATTTTTTCTTCTTCTTTTCTGCAGGTGGCAGTGGCTTAGTCGGGTTAAGCAGCCTGATGGCGGGTTTCGGGTTTGCGAGGGCGGCGAGGAAGATGTGCGGTAAGTGAAACTGCTAGTAATGGCGATGGGCTAGAGCTGACATATCTTCAGAGGCGCGTACTGCGCGATGACGATTATTTCCCTATTGGATCTGCCGCTCACTTTGGCGGATGGGGAAGCGCGAGAGGCTGGTTTGGAGACTTTGACCAATGGTCTTCCCCAGTATCTTTCCAGATGTAAGGGTTGTAGCTTTTGAAGGTGTGCTAGGGCTAATTGTTACTAGGCCAGACGTTCGAAGGAGGAATCTCCGGCAGTCCGGGGTCTGAGGCCCATGGCGCATATGCCTTTTGCGCACTGGCATGTCTTGCTATTATGGGGCCTCCGGAGGACGTCTTCCCCAGGTACGGCGCTACTGCGACTCTCGTGCGTTCTCCATACTAATGTTGACAGACATATGGACATTTCCATGCTTGTATCATGGCTCTCAGCACGCCAGTCTGCGCCGGAAGGTGGTCTCTCCGGAAGAACCAATAAGCTGGTGGACGGATGTTACAGCCATTGGGTTGGTGGCTGCTGGCCATTACTTGAATCTTCATTGGATGGTAAGCCTGGGAGCACTGAGCCTCCAGTCAACAGTCTTTTCAGCCGCGAGGGCCTTACCCGCTACATCCTTGCTTGCTGCCAAGGTAATGATGGCGGTCTCCGCGATAAGCCGGGAAAGTATGTATTCCCACAGTTCCAGTGGCACCGCATTGGCTGACAGAACCAGACACGTTGATTCTTACCACACATGCTATGTACTAGCAGGACTAAGCGCGGCTCAACACCACCACTACCGCACTGATTCGAGCACTGTATCGGAAGGTTTTTCCTCTGCATTTTCCTGGAAGTCTTCGCCCAGCCACGCCGAGGATAGTGTATTCTCGGAAGGTGATCGGCTAGCGCCACTTCACCCCTTGTATCTGATCCCGCACAAGGATGCAGAGAAAATGCGGCGCTGGTCGGAGGACCACCCACTCGCCTAAACGGAGAACCACCGGAGAGAAGAGGGACACAGCGTGGTCGTCAAATTCACCTCTACAATGTAGATACATGTAGCGTAGCGCAAGAGTGGCACTCAGAGGCTCCGAGCGAGCATGATGCACGACTTGTCTTGAATTCAACTGCAAGCCCCGCGGTCATAGCATGGGAGCCACGCGAAGGCAGAAGCAAGGGATGGGACTATTGGACAGAGTGAAACGCTGGAGTCCGAATTCCAGGCCATAGCACATTTTATCTTCTACAAGAATGTATCGTGATGCTTCACCGTTTTTTCTCTTTCCCAATTTCTTCAGCTTCTCGATCGATCAATCTAAAGTCAGTTTCGCCGATCAAACCCCCTCGATAATCATGTTTGCCAACTGTCCTGCACGAGGCCCAATACGGGCGACGTAATCGTCACTAGCATAAAGATTAATCAAACGCCTTTCCCATTCCCCACTGCCAACTCATCAATGCGTCTGCCGAGTAACTTTATGCATGCATTTCCTCAGTGCTGAACCTACCTAGCTTCCTACCTCAGCACTGGCTCCAGCTTCCAACCCAATCCGCTCGCAGTCAATCCACCCATAACAAACCAATCCACTATCAACCACCCAATCCCTTCCCAAACCCACGATATAACTCCGAATCCAAACGCGCTGCACGACACGACCCCCTTGGCGCCAGTTCAGTGCCACTTACTCGCACCGCGGCAATGCGTCTGCGGGGCAAGACATATAATAACCGAGAATATACGAGCAGAAACCACTTCCACACAGAATCAACTAAGCCAGGATGTTGATTCAGATACTTGACATTGTCTTCACCCGGGCTAAATGCATGCTGGGCATAGTCCCCGAAATTTTTCTATCTTTTGATCGGCGAATTGCAGAAACACCTCACCCCGGTCTCGTTTAGTTTTACTGGCAATGAGCTTGCCAGCGCATCATGTCAAACCCGCCGACGGAACGGGTTCGGTACTGTTACCTGTGTCCTTATTTTTTACGGTTATTTTTTGCTTTTTGGAAGTTGGGAGCTTGTAGTTTGTAGAAGTATTCGCTAGATATCTTGTTTCTATTCAATTTGACTTGGTCCTTTTGGATTTGCTAGCTATATAGCTATATAGTCACTTGAATCTGCACTTCTCAGTACTCTAGTGAATGGAATTGCATGAATTTGACTTTCCAATTTATTTTCCTGCATTGACAGAATTGTGCGCTGTCGCAATTGCAACCGTCCTGGTACAGGTAAGAATGCATACCCCCCGCCTATCCTGTTTAGATGTAATCAGGTACTCCGTACTCCGTACAAGGCAAGTATATGGGAAGCAATTGAAATTGCTTTCCCGAAATTAAATTCCTTTTTGCCTGTCGTACGGAGGTCCTGTATTTGTATAGGTGGTCATCTATCACCTTTAATTCCAACTTTCAATCTCTTCTTTCCTTCTCACACCATTTATCTATCCATCCGACAGAAACCTCCAATCTAACCATAAAACCATAAAGCAAACGCAATTGAACAACACAGCAAACCCCGGTTGGGCATATACGCATCAAAACTGCACCTCGGCCCTAATCCCATCAACGCCCCAATGCGTCCCGAGTAATCTCGGAAACCATACCTCGATCTGTGGTCCTGAGCCTAGCCTCGCCTCCAAATCCAAATCCAAAACATGTACTACATCCTCTACCTAAACAGTATGTCTGTCCTAGCGGCACCCCATTCCTATTCTTAGACACTGGAGCGAGCGCAAACAAACCACAAGCCTAACCATCCGTCCAGGCCTCTGCCGCCGCCGCAACTGGCCCGAACCCTCTTACAATGCATTCCTAAATGCAGGCGGCTACACATGCATCGTGCGCGTCAACAATCGCGAATACCAGACAGATGCAGTGTGCGGGAGCGAGACGCTTGCTCGTGAAAGCGCCGCTATGCGGGCGTACCTGATTTGTCGCAACTTCTCTGTTAATGACGGTATGTACCCGGCTGGGCATGACCATGGCGGCGTGGTGCAGGGTATTCCGGTTGCTATTGGGACGGGGCGGAAGGGGGATGAGTCTGGGTCGGCTTCGTCGAGATCGAGTGGGAGTTGGAGCGGGGAGAGTAGTCCTGAGCGAGTTGTTAGGACTGAGAAGCAGGGGTTTGGTGGTGTGAGGTTCTAGTGGAGGGATGAATGGGAAACGGGGTTATGATTTATGATTTTTTATGACTACGATTTGCTTGATAGATGAAAAACTGCGAACTTGGGCTTGATGATGGTATGGATCATGATCATTAGAGGGTGGATTGGGATTATTCCCTGCTTGTGTTATTCTTTTAATACTGTTGTGGAGGCTAGCGATGAATTTATCAATGACATTGTTCTATTTGAGATATTGCCCTGGTTTGGTAATTTCGCTGCTAGGAAAAGCGATATTGTGAGTGTGTGTTCGTTGATATATCTGGGGTCAATTCAACCCCCTTGAAGCGAAGAGACATAGTTGAATCATATCAACGTTGTGGGCAATAAAGCCCAATGTCTAAAATATATAAAACAATGCATTGAACATTTAACGAACTAAAACATATAAAACTATACTACATGTCACCAGCATCGTAGCTATAGGCTATGTCTTTCTGAGGTTTCATCTTCTCGAACACTCCTTCAAATACGTTATATGTCACTTCTCGGTCTCGTTGTTTCTCATAAATTAACAAAATAGAAATGAGACTTTTTGAGGATCACCCTAGGAACTTCTTTTGCGAAAAGTCTTAATCCTCGGCTTAAATCTGATCTTCTTAAAGCCAGAGCTTGGGCTGCCTCGCTTCTTCTCGGAGGGAGATTTTTCATCGTCATCCTCAGTTTCTCTAAAACGCTTCAGAGGAGGAGAATCAACGACATTACTGAGGAAGACTGTACCCGGTGAAGGGGTGAGCCGGAAAAGGTTGAATAAGTTGATTTTGCCATGCGCTAGGTCAGTAGTGTTTAAGCCAAAGAATTCACGAGCCTAGGCTCGAACAATAGTTTCCGGCGTCCTTGTGCGATCAGGGAGTGTGACGTGAACCATGCCGGGCGAGAGAGGAGCTTTCGGGGAGCTCAGTGAAATCATATGTGCCAGCAGGAAGAGTGGCGTAAAGGGTGTAAGGTGAGAGATCGGAAGTGGATGGGACATCGGGTAAGTCGATATCCATAGCATTAGGACTGGGCGTACCAGTACCCATGACGCCTGGATCACGCTCAATTTCATACATAGCAGCAGGAGAAATATCGGGAGAGTCGAGCCTTTGGATGTCTGGGGATAGGCGAGAGACTGGGAATGGCTTTAGATTCAAGCGGGAGTTGGAGCCGCGATCAGACTCGGAATCCTCAGCAGGAACAGGGCGCTGAAGCACACACCCAGGAATCAAAGATGACGAAGAAGAAGCGGATAGGGCAGGGAATTCAGCAGGAGCATCAGCGGGGCCAACCTCAACGCCACCATCAAGGCCATCATCAAAACCATCATCACCCTTGTCCGGGGAAAGAACGTCAGAAAGAGAGGCAGACCGAGAAGGAGCATCAGAAGAAGCAAAAGAAGAGGTAACAAGAGCGGGGGCAGGGGCAGGAGTACGGACAGGAGGAGGAGCAGTAGCATTTCAAGCAGAAGGGTGAATAGGTATAAAATAGTTGACAGGGACGGGAACAGGACCAGGCCTGGGACTAGGAGCAATAAGTGGGAGACAAGCGGGAGCTGGAGCAAGCAAAGGCCTAGGAGCAATGGAAATTGGAGTCTAATCGGAGTGGGAATCGCAGTAGGAAGCTTAGTAAAACGAGCAGCTCTCTGAGCAGGAGACCCAGGGAGAGCAACCTGCATATCTTCAGGAATCATGGAATCATCAGCATTGATGCTCATTGTGTGATACCATCTGCGATTAGTGCGTCGAACCTGCAGAGTCATTTCTTACAAATGGTCTATAAGCAATTTACTGTTAATGAACCGAGTCCAGATGTTGGCGGGCAGTTAGCCCAAGTAGTCGCGGAATATTTGTTTGAGCGTAGTGCCACGAGGGTTATTACCCATGAACATGCTTCTACCATCTTTGCCTTTTTTTAAGGTGGGAATTCAGGATAGGCACGTAGAACCTGCGAGTGAAATTCAATATAGGTGCTTGAGCAGCGCGATCATCGGCAGCTATGCCGAACTCCTGAAACTAGTTTCGCCTGCGCGAGATGTTTGTTCTTCCGGGGATACGTCCAGTCATGGTCAATGAGGATTTGAGTACCCACGTGAAGAATAGTTGGATTAATATTGAGATTGTTAAATTGAGGCCGATATTCTTGTTTGAGATGCTTATTGACATCTGACACGGGACTCGTTCACTATTGAATTTCTTTGGACTTGAGGGAGAGAGTTCGGGACCCGTTGTCAACGGCCTCCCATAGAAACTTAGATTTAACTTGAAACCTCAATGCAAATTGTTTATTGTTGAGCAAAGAGAAAAAAGACGAACAGACAGCCTGACGGTGACAACAAGACCTAACAAAGCAGTGAAGAAACAATAGGATGGTCACAAGCTCTTTTTCAAGCTGCTAAATCACTCGCAGCTTTCATGCCTGATCACAATGACTCCATCCAGCAGAAAGAAGACACCACCAACCTCGGTAGCTACATATGTAGCCATGCAACGTCAGCAAGCTACTAGTACCTCCAACAGATAGCTGAAAGACCTGTAGCATTTACCAGGCTTTTTCTGAAATTCGCTCCATTTACCACTTATTTCGGAATAGAGGCTTCTTCGGCATAAAATGTAACAACCAGAAATAAAGCATATTGGCAGATATAATGAGGCCTTTTGTCTTGAAAACAAAGCATAGGAATTTGAAACATTTCTATTTACGGCAATAACTGTCCTACCGTGAAACAGCTCACATCAGTTGGCTTTCGCGTTCTAAGACCGTCGCCATCACCGACTCGATTATGTTGTGTCCACTAGAAGAACTCGGGGACCGCGGGGCATCTATGATCTTTCCCTCAGTATCGAGAAACGGCGTGCTCACCTTTTTTTACCGCCTCTTTCAATCGATCAAGCAGTTGTAACGCTAATTGAGCGATTAATGCAACATGGTCGGCCGGGGGTTCCACATCAAAAACCCCAATTTGAAGCGACGGCAGCGGAATAGGCAAGCCTTCAGTCAAAGCCATACCGAATCTATCGGCGGAATTCGTGAAAGTGATATCATGAACCTCTGCCAGTCGCATATACGTGGACAAAGCGCGTAAAAGTGACATTTGGTCGAGAATCGGTTCCAGGAATCGACAGTCTATCTCTGCATATTCAGAAGTCCTATAATAAAGAAGAGTGCAAAGACAACTGCCTGCTTCTGATACTACAAGGGGAAATATGGTCAATGATGCAACCCTCGATGGAAGAGAATGAGGAATATTACTAGTATTTCAATTTGCGTATAATATATACAGAAGGGGAAGTGCCATCAATGTGGCCGGCCCCTACAACGAAAATTGCCAACAATCATATATACTCACCCTGTGGCTTCGGCTTCGCCGTTGAAAGTTCTGTGTCTATCCTGTCCGAACTCTTCCTTGAGAGCGATACGGGAATGCCAGATTCCGAGTCAACTCGCGCGACATCTGGGACAAAGTCTTGTTCTTTGAGCTTATTGGCGACCGTGGCTTCAGTTCCCTCAGATCTGCGTTCGGAAGGAATAAAAATATCATAGTAACGCGGAAACACGACACCGAGCAGAATCAAGAGTAAACAGAAGTGCGCCAAAATGAACCCGGCGATCATCATAGGGTCGTATCGCAACGTATAGAATTCGGGATACGCGAAACTGAACACAATGGCTAGAATTGGTGCACTGATATATCGAAGAAGAATGGGCCAGAAATGAGGGATGTTCCAATTTCCATTACCACCAACGATGCCGTTCAGGTCGCGTCTCAATTGATTACCCTGCAGATGTTAGTTTGTTCTTCGTGCAAAGGAACCGACAGCGCAACTTACGGAATAGAACGCCAAATACCAAAATCGACCGAGAATCGGATTGCGCCCCCAGAAACTGGCAGCTTTGATAGTTGGGGGTGTGGAAATGAGAACGGAAATAGTTGAGCAAGAAATATACAATCCAAATCCGGCACCGGCACCGGCTGCTGGACTGGAGATACCATGTGAAACCGCGACTCCGATGATTTGGCCACCAAAGTAACCAAAGTTATACACCACAAAGGCAGGCAGTCCCGTCTGGCTCACCACATCGTGCCAGCGATACACTGTCGTTGCTCCGACAAGTTCAGACCACACAACAAATATCAATGCCACGTTGTTGATCCATCGGTCGATGCCATCCAACAGGTAGAATCCAAACTCGGTGCAATATGGCAGGCACATGAGGAAAGATATAATCGTGAGTGCAGTCACGATGACAGGTCGTGACAGTTTCATACCCGCATCTACGGCCAGCGTAGCCGCCGCATCGAGCATCACGAATGCCGAACTGAAGCCGAGCACCACCAAGGTGAAAAACAGGAGTATAGCCCACCAATTGGCGCCAGGCATGTGTATCACAGCTTCAGGAAGCGTCAGGAAACCGACCACAAACGCGCCCAACCTTTCACCATCCTGTGGCCAACGTCGGAGATATCCCACAACGCCAAATACTGCAAAGGCGGCAAAATTCTCAAACAGAATGTTACTTCCGCAAATAAGGATGGCGTCCATCACGGCGTTTGAGTGCTTCGAATTATAGGATGCATAGGAAGTGAAATAGCCGAATCCAATGCCAGTGGAGAAAAATACCTGTCCAACAGCAGTTTGCCAGACGGTTCCGGAGGCGAGCTGGTCGCTCCTCCATGTTGCCCAAAGAAGCCGAATACCCTCGCTCGCATTCTCTAGCGAACAAGCGCGGCCGACGATAATGATTGTAGTCACGATTGGCAATCCCATAGTCCAGTAAACAACGCGGCCCGTAAGGCCAACTCCACGGAAGATAGAAATCCAAATGAGGAACCAGATGAACGCGCTCCAGCCAACCGTCTCCCCGATAAGCTTAACGCCAGGGTAAACTGTATATTTGGCAACAGCATCATTGCCTGCAGTGAGACTCCCCGGAATCGGATCGACATTTGCGACAACATCTCCCATATAAAATTCCTCAATCCTGCCCTCCCACGGAAGCGGGCTGGTGAAAGAATTCCGGAAATAATTCATGATCCAAGCCAGATTGACAGTAAAATATTGCACGACGACAAAGCTCACCAAAATCGGACCGAGACCAACGCCCTTTAGCCGCTTATTGATGTTGTTGAATGCGATCACCGTTCCGCCGCGGTAGGCTTGTCCGATTGCGATCTCGAGGATGAGGGCTGGGATGGCGACTGCAAATACGGCAATCAGATAGGGAATAAACCACTGTAGGCCGTAGTTGTTGTAGACAACCGAGGGATATCGCAGCAGGTTTCCCTGGCCTGCGCAGCCGCCCATCGCAGCTAGGAGAAAGGCTGCTCGGGAGGGCCATTGATCACGTCCATCTTCGGACTTGTTTGGAGGAGGCGCGATCCAGCTTCCAATTTTGCGTAGATATGGGGCGGCCCTGGTCAGCCTCAGCGCGTATGCGGCTTTGCTTGGGAACTGGGAAACCTTCCTGAGGTACGGGGTAAGTACCATGATGATAGCGGTGTGGGAAGGTATCAATGTGGGTTGGGAACTTCATGCGGCGATAAAGATGCACCTTTCAGATAAACAGGTGAGGAAGAAGCTGACAGCAGGACGTCGCTCGGCCGCAGCGAACCACAGACACTTTTGCATGATTTCGACGGATGCCAAGGAAGCTGCCAATCATCCTATCCTGTCTGCTTGGTCGCCTCGGACCTATGTATGCCAAGAGGCTTGGAGAGTAATTTTATACAGGATCCTGAATCATGGAACCTGAAATTGACGGCTTGTGCGATGAGATGCCTACGCCAAGAGACTTGGAAACATCCCACTGGCGGCGACAGTGCCCCATATCGCGGTAGCGGTGGTGAGATTGTATGTTCCAGGCCCAGATTGGCCAGCCTTAGAACTTGGCTTGGTCATGTGAGATCACATGTAGACCTTTAGCGAAGAAGTGGTTCGGATTCTCTTAAGCTAAGAGTCGGGATCCCTTTGCCAAGGGCGGCATTCTTGGCGTGGAGTTGCGTAATTGCATGGCGCGGATTGCGACACCAGCTGGAATTTGCACTTGTTCGATGCTATGTAGCCTTTGATTACGGGCATCGGAATTTCACCGATGGCCACACTTCTTTTTTTAATACATGAGTACCTTCGCCTCCAGACCAAGGCTAGGTAGTCATGAATATCATCATTCATACAACCACTAAGACAACCCGGAAAATGCCAAGGATTCGCTCATATGGGCTCATGGCATGGCTAAAGTGTTATCGTAATGAAGCATACTCAATGCGAAATGTACTTGAAAGCATAAATAAAATAGAATATGATTCATTCATCTCGTAATTTGGATAGTGAAAGGGAGCCTTGATGATGAAAGCTATCACCATCGCCTCCCGTTCACCTACTCTGATGTCATCTTGTTCACATGCAGTTGGTTCCTCACATTCTCCTGCCCTGGACATTTCTCTTCTTCCTCAGAGATGGCATAAAGCTCAGGTCGTCATCGTTTTCATCGTCTTGATTGCTGCAACATTCATTATCACCGTCGGGGAATGCGGTTCGTCTTCACAAAGCGTCCATCCCCAGCATAGGGCTGACTGAGGCTGAAGGTGTAGTAACGCTGGAAAGCGGATGAGGGGGCGGGTAGCCCGAAAGCGTCATTTCTTAGGCTCAGCGGTCAGCGGTGGCTTGAGCCACGAATCCAGCTGGAGAGTTAGGCGGAGGAGGTCCGATGATGTCAAATGCGATAGCTTGCTGAGCACTACCAGGGAAAAGATGGGCAGGTATAGCTAAACAATTGGAACTGCCAGCGCTAGTGGGGTTGTAGGGAGAGAATCTGGCACCGGGAATTGTTAAGGAAGACCCGGGGAGAGTTTTCCCGGCATGAGGACGAACAGCGATGGAAATAGGAATCGGCAATGACTGTGGGGGGCGGGTTGGAGAGTGAATAGATTGAACTGGAGGAAGGCTGAAATCCGAGGGTGGTATTGGGTATAGCCAGGTGTAATCAAAGTGTCGCAGAAATTCAAAGAGCTCGTATAGGGCAATTGTGAGTTGCCGTGGACTTGTTATGAAGGCCTTAACAGCAGGGGGCAGAACTCGCTCGAGTCTGATAAATGCACGTTGGACTTCAACGCGGCATATTTTTAGAAACTCCAAAGGATCTCCACTTTCGGCGAGGTAATCTCGTAGGATTGGGTCGGTGAACATTCGGAGAATTTGTTGGACGTACATATATTCGGCGTCAGTTGTGATGCCAAGCGCATCCAGGTATTCTTTTGGGTCGGTTGTGCTCATGCCAGGAGGAAGAGCGGACCCTTTGCCTTTTTTTGATGCCATTTCGAGATGTATGGAGCTCAAAGAATGGATATGAAGATTTAGGGGATCTGTTATGGATGGGACGGTGAGCTTGGTTGTTGGACTTTAACTCCTTTTTCGAAAACATACTCACGGCTCGAGTTGAGGTTTGTGGTGAGTGGTGGACTCCGTAAATCAACCGTCGGATCTTCGTTTCGGTTGACCTTTGCAGCTCTGTATCATCTAAGATGGGATGTTGCTCTGAAGTTGAGAATGTTGGTGATGCGGCTGTTGAAAAAGATGCCGGGAAGGAAAAGCAAAGACAATGTGAAAGGAAGCAAAGTTTGATTGTGTAGAGAAAACCCGTCGACGACAACTGGATATTACTCAATAGTCTTATTGTTCCCAATCAGGTTATGTATAGAATCTGATAGAGTTTAATCAGCTCTGCAAATGCGGCGAGAGATAAACGAACATAAATATTGATCATATACAACCGACCAAATTCGCAGCCTTGACACCGGGATATCCATATCACCAACCATCTCCCATCTCCCTCACAATAGTCGGTCATATGCAAGGTCGGTAGCCGGTCGAGTAGTGCTTGAAACACAATACAAATGGGCCATATAACCCACCAGCATGGGCCGAAGGGGAACTCCTCGTTGTATACCCGTCCATTGTATCCCGTGTACACTGACATACCATATGATGGTATGCTCTGCAATTCTTTCTTTCTGCTGGTGATTTTCGGGTGCTTTTAACCTTCTTAGTTTGGACCCTCTATTCGATGAGTATATGACAGGTGATCCCCTAATATCGTTGCATTGGAAGACCTTTGAATAAGCTGTTTCTAGACCTTTCAGATACCATGCAATTTGCATTCGCATGCAATTGAGCCATATCCACTTCTTGGGTCTTTCTAGCGACTATCCGTCTTTATGTTTCGCCGCAATCTCCAAGTCCCTAATCGTATACTCGAACCTCCCACGGCTCACAATAGAGCTGTGCTCCAAATCACTTTCCCGGTACCTCCGATCTTGCCAAGACCTACTATCAGCTTCTATTCTCTTTTAATAAACAAGTTTGCGTCACACATTTTTACGAACACAAACGATCTCATACAGGCTTCTTCAACTTTGAACGAATGTTGACTTACGCGGATACCGAGAATCTTTCCTACCGCAGCAAATGGACCAAAGCCCGTGGGAAAATAAATATACAACCCGAAGCATTACGGACCGACACTCCCACAATGGACGTATGGGCCCACATACGCGATTGCGCTCCCCAATATTGACGAATCGACGTTAGGCTCGAAACACATACCAGAAAGTCGACTTGTCAAAAATGGCCCTCCAATCACACTTCAATATGATGTTGACAGCAAAAGCCTCAATTTCCCCGAATATCATTGTCCCACCAAAGAAAAGCCCAGCTCATCAACCGCACAAAGGACGTACGGCCCAGTAAACAGACTCTCTCACGACGAACACGTTATAGAAGCTTTGGTATTCCGCTACCTTTACGGGAAAGAAAACGACAATAGTAAAAATGTCGAAAGAGACGGCGAGCAGAAAGAGAAGGGGATTTTATACGCACGCTAATTCCTCGCACCCTTCCCATGAATCGGTGCTTCTTATCTTACCCCCACCCCAAAAGGAGGAAAGAGGAGCCACCAAGAGAACCCAGAGAGACTACATACAACATCGACATGCCCGCGGGCTGCTATGTTGGTGATAAAGATAGAGCAAAACAAAAGTACGAAGCTTGCAAGAATATTGTTCGAAGGAGGTTGGCGTGATAATCTTAAATAGGGATCCACTCCAAGCTTGGCGAAATATCTAACTACTTTAGGTAATGTGCGGGGAACTTTTGTGAGATCATCATTTACGTCTTTTTGTCACTCAATTCTCAGTAGTGGACAAGTGGAAGATTTCGAATCAATGTGATTATCCATAGGAGGCACAAGCCCTGAAGTTTTCTGATCAAACTTATATAAATCCCTCCCTCTCCCACTCTTAACGATATCACCTACAGCATCATCCAACCTCTTCCCATTCTCATTTTCTCAAGATAACCTACTATACAATGTCTCCAACTAAATCTTTCCGTGAGATCATTGGGGTTCCTCCCTCCTCAGCCTCACCTCAAAACTCAACCCTTATCATCATCGACGCACAGAATGAATACGCCACTGGAGCTCTGAAAACCGAAAACGTCGCTGAGACCCGCAAGTCCATTGCCAGACTTCTCGAGAAATACCGCAAAAGCGGTGACGGCAAAAATATCGTGCACGTTGTTCACGAGGTTCCAGAAGGCGCGCCCGTCTTCACACCGAACACCGCCTTAGCGCAAGAGTTCGAAGAGCTCACCCCCAATGCGAACGAGAAAGTCGTGACCAAGAACTTTCCCAGCTCGTTCGCAAAGACCGATTTGCACGAGTACTTGCAAGGCCTAGGCGACGCCGGAAAGAAACTTGTGTTGGTTGGCTACATGGCGCATGTGTGTGTGTCAACCACAGCTCGAGCAGCTGCTGAACTTGGATATGATCCAGTCATCGTCAGGGAGGCCGTTGGCGATAGGGATATACCCGGGGTCAACGCTAAGACTTTGGTCTCCGTTGTTTTGAGTGAGTTGGCTGATGGCTTTGGCACAGTGGTCTCTGAGCAGGAAATTGGTGCCTAAATATTTTTAAAGAGTTGTCATTGATTCATCCGAGCCAAAAAATTATAGACCATGTATTGAAGAAGATGACGGAATATCATTTACACTTTTTCAACACCTAGGCTCTCTGTACATGCTTGCACGTGCCGCAAGAGGGTAGATGGCTGGGACATCGAAGCCCTAGTTCAAAATTTCAGAATCGCTAGGTAATATGCTGTGGGAACTGAACATTATCGAAATTTCACTTCGTGGTCGATGATCTCTGTATGAGAGTTGATACCTACCCTGTCGTAGATAATACCTTCGCTAATCACCCTAAAGACGGCAGTTTATAATCCATTTTCGAAGGCTTCTAGGCCTCTATTTTTACGGAGAACCTAGAAAGAGACAATACCGAGATCATAGTTCGAAGGGCAAGCATCTCAAGAATATCGAAAGAGGCGGCCCCTTGACTGCGGGCCCGCCCAGATGAACATAGCAGCACAAATCGCGCAGTCACACAGTCGCACAGTGAAAATATCTAGTGCGGAGACCCACGAGATTGACATCAGATTGGTAAGTGATGGGAAATTCAGCGGTTATCGCGTCGCAGATCCAATGTGCAAACATGAACTGACCAAGCGTACGATATTTCAGTACGCCTGTAGATACATCGACCCAATTATGTTGCATCCTCCCTGTGCATTCATTCAGCAAGGGTTCCTAGATGATTACACTGAATTAATGCTGGGGAAGGTGCATGCCACGGCAGAAAATGGTGGCTGGATCTTCTGAGATCTACGATCTTCAATACTATTTGCGTAAGACAACACCCGCTCCAATGCATTGAATATCCCTGTGACGCACAATTGTAAAGTAAGGTGTGATTCATTGGCTGCAGATACAGCCACACTTTCAATAGTTCGCTCGTTCTGCAGAATACCTGAAATAGATCCCATGACTTCATCGTACCCAGCCCTGGACGGAATTTTTCTTCCGGTGCTTTTCAGTTGAATATTTTGGCCACCGCGCGCTGTCCTTGGGCTTTCTTGTTGTGAATTGTGAAAGGTTCAGGATTAGGAAAATGCCAAAAATCGTTGATACGAAAGAGCCTGAGCTTAAAATCCTCGTGACAGGAGTAAGAAAAATATATAATCCATGGTGTAGGCTTTTGGCATTTTACTAATGTTAAAAATAGGCTGCGGGATTTTTAGGGTCAAATTTGGTCGATTTTCTCCTTGAAAAAGGCCATAATGTGATCGGAGTTGACAATTTCCAAAGTGGCTCGTCGCAAAACCTAGACCACCTCAAGAACGATGCCCGTTTCGAGTTTCTCAGGTATCGTCAATCCCGTTCACTCTGAACCTGACCTTGCGCATAAAACTCATTGGCCCAGTCACAATATCCAAGATGCCCTTCCCGACTTAGTAGGGGTCCACCAGATCTACAACCTAGCCTGTCCAGCAAGCCCAGTTCATTATCAGAAAGATCCAGTTTCAACCTTAAACACGTGCTTCCTTGGAACCCAAAACTTGCTTGAGCTCGCGAGATCAAAACGTATCCGCATTCTTCACACAAGCACATCAGGTTAGCGATAAAAGACCATTACATCAATAACCCCATATTCCAAGCCGTATCTGACCAGAGATATATCATACAACAGAGGTTTATGGAGACCCCTCCATTCATCCCCAACCTGAACACTACTGGGGCAATGTGAATTCATTTGGGCCAAGAGCTTGCTATGACGAAGGTAAGCGAGCCGCCGAAGCCCTCTGCTACGCCTACAGAGAGCAACACGGTGTCGACATTCGTATCGCTCGCATCTTCAACACGTACGGGCCTCGTATGCGTCCGAGCGATGGTCGAGTCGTGTCGAGCTTCATCGCATCTGCACTTGCTAGTGAAGATTTGAAAATCACCGGCGATGGAAAATCAACTCGCTCGTTTCAATATGTCACCGATTGTACGCAAGGTCTCTACAGTCTTATGGGCAGCGATCACAGCCAGGGCCCAGTCAATATTGGTAACCCCGGGGAGTTCACTATTCAACAATTGGCTGAACTTACTATTGATGTTGTCTCGCATATGTCCGGTCATCCCAAGGTTTCAATTACGTATCTTCCACCGCTTGTCGATGATCCGGTTGTTCGTAGACCGGATATCACACTAGCGAGAAAGGTGCTAGGTTGGGAGCCAGTTGTTCCGCTGCAGGACGGATTGCGGAGAACGATCGAGTGGCACATTGATCAGAGTAGGTCTCATTGATCGAAGGGTTGTGGCGGGATTTATATAGTTTAGATGAATCTTTAGGGCTTTAGGCTCATAGTTATAAGATCATCTCCTTCGATTGAATATGTTGAGGCAGACGATTGTTTGTTGGATTGATATTGATTCCAGTATTGACTTATTCTCTTGCCCTGTGATTGATTCTCCCCGGAGCCAAGCGGGTTGCAGTATTGGACCTCGCGAGTTTGCTTGAATACAACAAATTCTATAAATCTTGATATCAATAACATGGAGATAAATAGAAATCGCTCCCCAAGAGTCCATTAATCTCAAGAATTCAATACTAGCATCTTGAAAGGGATCTTGTACCCCCGAATCTTTCTTGACGCTGGGTGGAGATAGATCACGGGACCTGTTCTTGTGCCCAGCGATAAACATGATGACATTGTATAGCCGTTTCTCTTCGCGGTCAGTCTGTAGAGCATGAGTGACCACCGTGATACAGGCTGATACTGTTGCCACTCCCTTACGGACACTCACCAGGCGAAGGATCAGGGCACTACGATACACAGTTTGGATGTTGCAATCAGGCACGCGGATTCCAATCAGGCCCGACGTTCGGAAAGGTTAACTTTCCATCCTGCTGTCAATAATGGTGCCTTCAAAGCACACTCGCAAGAGCATATTTCTTATCAATAAGATCCATCATATGCAATCTCGAGCCTATCAAATTTAAGCAGCTGTCATAGAACGTGGGTCCGACAAATATTTCCTCTTTTGGCATAGGTTATCGCGGGAAAGTATGTACATCATAAGTAGGACAAGGAGACCGTCACCAATCACGGCGGCTTGTTTGGTATAACTATCAATACCCCAGCTGGACTACATTTCTTGGCTTGGGGGAGATCGACCTATATATTGCCCGCCATCGCAAGTATGCCTTTCAAATCCAGCTCGTACTTAAAAATCCTCTGTGACATACCGATTTAAATTTTTGTTTCTATACATCAAGTCAATAAATACCATGGGTGACTACACACCAGATGTCGAAACTGTTCCGGTGTCTACTTCATCGGAGAAGCAGGCCGAGAGAACTGGCGTCAAGCCATCAAGTGGTGTTCTTTATCATCAACTTCGCAGGGAGCCTCTGAACATTGTCGGCGGTAGAGGTAGCTACCTTATCACTGATACTGGGCTTGAAATTCTCGACGCCACATGCGGTGCAGCTGTTTCTTGTCTGGGACACAGCGATGAGCGTGTCCACGAAGCCATCCTAGATCAGCTCAAGAAGATACCTTACTGTTACTCTCTCTACTTTACCAACAGCGCCGCGGAGAGTCTATCCAGACTTTTGGTGGACTCCACTGGAGGAAAGATGTCTCGTGCATTTATTGTGAGCTCTGGTAAACAATTTTCCACGCGCCTAGATTAATGCCTATCGCTAACAATTATGACATTCCCCAGGTACCGAGGCTGTCGAGGCTGCCGTCAAGATGGCAATTCAATATTTCACAGAGCTGTCGGTTCCAGAACCACAGCGTGTGAATATCATCTCTCGCAAGTCATCATATCATGGAAACACGCTTGGCTCCCTTGCCGTTGGACATCATGCTTCTCGCAGAAAGATCTATGAAAGTCTCCTATCAAAGAACATAAGCCACGTTCCACAATGCTACCCATACCGGGGAATGGAGCCTAACGAAAGCAATTCGGAGTACGTCACAAGGCTAGCTCAAGAGCTAGAAAACGAGTTCCAAAGGGTGGGCCCAAATTCTGTCGCAGCTTTCGTAGCTGAGACTATGCCTGGCGCCGTGAGTACAGCAACGAAACATCTTTCTACTCATTTCTAACCATTTTGCAGACACTCGGATGTGTCCCACCACTACCTGGCTATCTCAAAGCACTCAAGGCAGTCTGTGAGCGCCACGGGGCCCTATTTATTTTGGACGAAGTAATGTCCGGTATGGGACGCACCGGGACCCTCCATGCCTGGGAGCAGGAAGATGTCGTTCCCGATCTGCAGACTATTGCTAAAGGTCTGGGTGCCGGTTACGCACCTATTGCAGGACTGCTTATCAACAAGCATGTGGTCGATACACTGAGTAAGGGAACAGGCGCATTCGCCCACAGCCAGACGTACCAAGGGCACCCTGTTGCCTGCGCTGCCGCATATAGTGTGCAACAAATCATCCAAGAAGACAATTTACTACCCAATGTTCGAGCGATGGGTGAATATCTAGGTCAACTTCTTCATGAGCGCTTGGACAATCATCCTCGTGTTGGTGATATCCGAGGCAGGGGACTATTCTGGGCTGTAAGTATTCTTCTGTCTCTTTCATGACTCTCACTGACTCTATATTAGATGGAATTTGTGCAAGATAAAAAGACAAAAGAGTCGTATCCTCCCTCCAAGGCGCTTTCTTGGACTCTGCACACAACGGGCCTCAAGCCTGAACATGCCATTTCTTTAATGCCTGGAAGTGGTGGCGCCGATGGTATTAATGGTGATCATATCATCTTGGCTCCGGCTTATAATACCACCCGGGCCGAGATTGATCTCATGGTGGATCGGACTGTTCGTGTTATCCAGGAGGTTCTGGGTGAATGAGTGTACACTTTGCACAATTGAACCTCCTTTTTATGTCATTTGTATTTCCCCGTTTTGGGTATCACTCGCTATAATAACATAATTCCATGCGATGAACCAATTTTTCTTTCTTTCGATTCATAAACGGGAAGTTGTTTTGTGTTGGGATGTATATTTTCTCCGCGTTAATGTGACTCCAACCTCATAAGCAAAGAACATACAGTATTCAATCTAAATACCAATTCATTTAATGGTAAAATGCAAAATCGAATCGTTTTCTTGCGAATCGCTCCACATAAATTCGTGATTTCGTACCGGTATGATGTAGCGCTAATCCCAAAATAGACAGTGACCAGCGATGTAATTGGCCTTAGATCATGTGACCGACATGGGCCCCGGACCATATGCGCAGTGAGATAAGCGGGGAAACAGACTGAAATCACTCTTTCACATTGTACTACTACTATGTGTCGATCGCCACTAGCCCTGTAGCCCTGTAGCTCCTGGTCGAGGAATATGCGAGAGAGATACTCACGGTCAAAAAAGGGTATGCCGGTCCCCATCACAAACAAGAGCAAGCGCTGATGAATTCAAAGGATGTCTACAATGTCGACAAAAACATAACAAATGTGACGAACAACAGCCAAAATGTTCTTCTTGTGTGTCGAGAAATTTGGAATGCACTTACTCATCGAGCCTGAAATGGGTCCAGCCTACAAAACCAATGACAACAAGACATAAGCCTCGTTCTAAAGATGCCCATCAAATGACGGAACTAAGCTTGCTTGGTCAACCGCTGGCACTGTTCGCAGGTGCATGTTTTGAGTCTGCGGAGGATAGGTCTGCCTGGGAATATTGTATGTTATCCAAGTATGCAATTGGAATTTGAGAGTCTGACATAATGCCTACAGACGTGAGGATGGTCTCATCAAATGTCCCCGCCCTAGATGGCCCAGACAATCCGTACAGACAACTCTCAATACCAGCACTATCATCACCAATTATACTCGAGACTATAGTTTGCATATCAACAGAGCACATGCTCAACTTCGGCCTAGCAAGCATCGACCTCGCAGCAAAGCGCCAGCAACGCATGCTGCGAACTCTTGGCCAAAAGCTCCTCAGTATCAATGATGAAGCAGAAAATGACCCAGGCACAATAGTGGCGATCAAAAAGCCCGAACGAGAGGCACTTCTCATAGCCGTCGTTTTACAAGGCATTGTAGTCGCACAAACAGCAGATGGCATCCTAGAACCACACGTCAAATGTGCATCCTGGCTCATGGAAGCACTGGGTTATTTCGACTCCATACCACAAAATCCAATCGCACGCATGGCAGTCCAACGCTACGGCATGGTCGACGTAATGCTAGCCATCTCTCGACAACGAAGACCATACGCGCCCCAGCACTTCATCTTAAGCCGACCTGACGAACACCACTGGGACACAACTGAGCCATCATTCCATAACATGACCGGATGTCCCCAGCCTTTAATGTGTTTCCTTGTCCGAATCGCCCACTTGGCATGCGACATAACCGAGAACCCGCATAACAGAGAACGTATCCTCGTCGAAGCATTCCAGCTAGACACCGAGCTTCGACAATGGGGTTCTCAATACACAGGAATTCTACCGACGAAAGGCGAACGGAGCCTTCTTGACATACTGACAGAATGTTTCTACTGGACGGCGCACCTCCTGCTATCCAGACGTGTATTCCAGGACCAGACTTGCTCGCCGCGCGTGCAGTACCTGGTCCATGTATGCTTCGGGTTGATGGATCATTTGTCGACGGGATGTGGACCTGATTCCTCTTTACCGCAGCCGTTCTATCTTGCTGCGAGAGAGGCTATCTCGGCCGAAGACCGTGTCTGGGTCCGAAGGAAGCACGAGTCTATGACAGCTTATTATCGTGAACAGCAGAGGAATGCGGCCATGGAGCTTATTGAGCAGATTTGGGAGACGACGGATGCGCTTAGGGAATCGGAGAGCGGATCCGCGGTGGAGGGGGGACTTTCTGTTGTTGATGGGTTTGTGCTGGCGCTTGATAGAGGGGCGAATTTTTTTATATTTTGATTGTTATTTATTTGGCGAGTTCGGTTCCTTCCGTTGCCCCGAGCTCCTCTTTTTTGCTTTTTGCTTATTTATGATGAGTTGTGATTCGGATAGCGATGGGTCCTAGGGGTATTTACCCCATTTGTAATGTCGGGATCTTGCATTTTTACAGCGATTGAAAGGGTGTGTTAAATTCGATGATTACTGCATGCAGTAGCCGAAGCAAAATAAAGTGAGCAAGGATGTGTCCTTCGGAGCAAAAGTTACGGGGGCATGTGTTGTAGGTATACGCAATATCGGGCTTGAAAACAGTTGGCTTGACGACGACTTAAAATTCGCTCTTATTGATTTGAACAATGACGCATGGTAAATCATTCGAATGAAGCAATATATTGTTCATTCTAATACTCAAACTTGGAAGTGCATATGTAAGTGGTCCCTACCCAAGGTTCACTCCAAGACTATCAGGGGTCTAGAATGACAGTTGACAGGTCATTAACCAATCATACCATTGACGGGGCGGGTACCTGAATGGCCAATCCACGGAAGTACATGTGTAACTTCATGCTTATTGGTTGACTGCCCTCTTACCCCTGGGTGTCCAACAGTGGCACCCGTGGCTGATAATTGTCGAACTAGAGGATACCGTAACAGTACCGAAATATGATTGAGGTACGTTACATAACAGCTAGTACATAAATGTCCACCGCATAGTATTAAATTTCATATGTATAAAAAGGGTTCGACGAATTGTTTTTTATTGTCGCTAAATCTCTACGGAGAACCATGAATACCTTTGCTTAAAGAATAGATAGGCATATTTTGGCCCTAACTTAGAATTAGTACTGGTTCTGACGGCAGTGAGTCCCAAGGCGCGTTCTCTCATAGGACTAGAATTCCAACATGAATCATGGAACCCCGCGCGCTAGCCAAGTGTTTAAGGATGCTGCATCGTATGCCCATGCTATCCAAGAGGCAATGTCTTACACTCTCCGAGGAAGGGAGCTAATCTCTCTTGATATTGAAGAAAAGAAACATGAGACAGCGAACGATTTAGTAGATCGCGTTGTGCGTTCTTCCACTTCCATCCCTGACCTCGATCTCCGAAATATCTTGCCTGAGGCTATTGAGGTCAGCGGTTGGAGTAGTACGGATAAACACCAACGTCATTGCCAAACGCATACTCAACGAAGCCAACGGAAAATGCTCCTTTTACCGTGTACCGCTCTCTATGGTTGTGGAAGTTATGGAGAGAAAAATAATCCGGAACTCGTGTCTCTTATGGTAGACCTCATAAAAAAAAAGAGGATATGAGAAAAGCGGCGCCATTTTTAATATTGAAATTGTCGAATATGTCAGTCCTGAGCGGGAAAGTTCTCGAAGATGTTCCCAAATGTAAAATTGAACTGAAGTTTCGTCTTTTGGATCCATACCAGGAGTGTGCTGCATAGTGCCATATATATTATGACAAGAACAGCGTGCGCAGTTCTCGGGGAGACTACTGATGAAGACTATCGCCAGATTTCTCGCGAGTCGAGTCCGAAAGTTGCTTCTGCATATTATACACAGTTACGGGGTTAATAGTAGGGTCATAGATTTTGGGCCCGATCACCGATCACTGGTCCTGAACTCTACAACTAGGTTTGAATATTGTGGCCGCGTCATTTCTAATTAAAAAGCTTTAACTTCCTACGTTTAACATTTGAATGTTGTTTGAAGAAATTGCCCGGCTAATCTGGACTAGATAGTGTGGCAGCACGATCGTTCGAGGGAAAACAAGAGCGCTGTTGGACAAAGACCTAAGCTAGCGAACGGAGAATCTCAATGGGCAATGAGACGCCGTTTTTCGTAAAGCGAAAGACGAAGTCCTTAAGGGCCTTTTCTTCCTGGTCAGCAATATAACGCTACTTTTCTACCTTCTCTTCCTTAGTTGGACGCCCGCTGGTGCGATGCTAGAGGGTGGTTGGTAGGATATTGGTGAATCCTAATTTAGCAGACCAAGTTATATAGCCAGCATAATAGAAACTTGAGATAAGGCGAGAATTGCTATGTATGTCATACGTATAATTAGATCCGGTGGTCACTAGACTTCCCTACATGTAAATACTGTGTACACATGTGGTTTCTACACCGTGAATGGGGGCACATTTAGAGACGACGGATCAGTTTTTCCGAAGCCACGGTAATGTAACGGACCCGTATTGGTACATCACCTCTCCTTTCATACGTCCTCTGAAATATGATAGTTTGGCACGGTTACTACTTACTCCGCTCACCACGGTATATAGGTATACATACATGTACAACCTACATAGCATATGTATCTGTTTCGCCTTTGGGCAATTGTTTCAATATTAATATGAGGTTAAAGTTTTGTCCATTTTCATACATTCCACACTTGTAAAAGATGATCGAGACTATCATAAGTGCCGGTGTTTCAGATTCCCCACGGATCTCACGTGGATGCCGTTCGGCGGCATTTGGCGACGATCAAGCGGTCCATAGTGGTCGATAGAAGTGGGTGTTTGCTTTTCAGGCTGGTATCTTTGGTACCATTTGACGCCACAGTTCCCATGACAGGCCTTTACTGCCTCAAACCCCCTTCCCCTGTTAGGTGTTACAGAGTGTTGGACAACGACTTGGGAAAAGTACGAGTCGAGTAAGGGGAGTGCAGGCGTACCCCTCTCCAAAACAATAGATTCTGTATTCTCATTGCTCCAGACCTCCGTTGTATATGCAAGTTAACGCAGGGGCCAAAATCAGGATTTTCGTCTCCCAAAGACGTAAAGACCCAATAACGCAGTTGGAAAAAAAAAGATCATAGCCATACTTAGTGACGAATGTAAAAAAAAAAGAATTGAATCGAGGCCCTGAGACGAGGAAGTGAAAAAAAATAACAATGGGGCCCTGTTCCCAAAGCCCCACGAGGTGCCAAAATCTAAGTAAAACTAAATTACTTTGGGTTCCTTGGTTTCCCCGTTCTCTCTGATCAGTCAGCATCCCATCTCCTGATCTTCTTCTTCCCCTCTCTCTCTCTCTCTTTTCAGCCTTTTGCCCAATTTCTTATTTTCATTCCTTTCTTGTGCTAGGTCGCTCGTTTCATTCTTTTGCGACGACCGTACCGCTCTTTTCAACACTTTCGTTTCATCCGAGAACGCGCCTTTCCCCCGTTCCCGCCCCGTTGATCGATTCAACCTGGGCATTGCGATTCCAATCGACTCGAGATATATCTTGTTGAGGAAACAATATCCCCTGCCTTTATTTTCCAGCTGCCTAGGCCAGCCTTTTTATTTATTGCCTCACTTTCGCTGGACGCCTCTGCGACGCGCCCTTAACCCAACCTCCCCAGTCTCTGACGTGGACAACTCAATTCAATCCCTACGCCAGACTTCCATTCATTTTTGACCTAACAACACTCTCGCGCCTGAGGCTGCTTCGAGAGAAATAAGATTTCAACCCATTCGTCTGTTTCCGCATCTCATCATTTTGTCGACCGGATCGTCACACATTGCATCCTTTCTTTCCGAAAAAACCCCCCTATACACCAAAAAAAAGCATATTGCACATTCAAACACAACATCAACTTCGTGTGATACACTTACCCCCGTACAACGTTACACTATGTCTTCGTTGACAGAGATGCATTACCCGCCATCCGGCGCAATGGCGCCCACGGCATCATCGTCGCCCCCGGACTCTACGCCCTCTCCATCGACTTCGAGTGCTACCACAGCCCATTCCTCCGCACGTCGACCACCACGCAAAAGCACCTTGACCCAGCAGCAGAAGAACAACAAGCGCCAACGCGCTACTCAGGATCAGCTTGTTCTCTTGGAGATTGAGTTCAACAAGAACCCTACCCCTACTGCAGCTACCAGGGAGCGCATCGCCTCGGACATTAACATGACTGAGCGCTCTGTTCAAATTTGGTTCCAGAACCGGTAGGCATTTGTGATCCGGGAGTGTTTCTAATTTCGACTTTTACTGACTCAACATTAGTCGCGCCAAAATCAAAATGCTAGCTAAGAAGAGCATCGAAACCGGTGAAGGATGTGATTCTATCCCGGAGTCCATGCGCCATTATCTCGCTATGCAATTCGACCCGAACAAGCCCGGTGCAAGAGATCCCTTCGGACGCGCCGGCGCATATGGTCCCCCTAGCATGTACACGAATGAGACTAACCCGTCTGGCAAAGTTGGTAGGTTTGGCACTTTTTATAGCTTATTGGTCGTGTTCAATTGGCTAACATTACCAGTTATTTCACACTTCACTTGTCGTTCCCTGACTGTCGGCAGCTGGCGGCGCATTGGACAAAACGCCATGGACTTGGTTGTTTTCTATTCCCCCGACAAGGCCTGCATGACCTACTATATAAACAACGATGCTGCCGGCTACAAGATCGAATATCCGTTCGCTTATATCAAGAACATCACCTTGGAAACCGGGGATCCTAGCCCTGGCCCCAATGGCGCACCCCCCGACCGGGTGGACTTGTCGTGGAATTGAACCGTCCACCGCACTTTTACATGGATTCATCTAACTCTGGAGGATTCTACCAGTGTGGTGATTTCACCGAGGAACAGCAAGCTAGTCAAATCATGGTTCACCACCTGGGAGGCCATCCCAAGGTTTTGAGCGTTCAACTTGCCAAGCTTGTTTCTTTGGAGTCTTTCCAGAACCGCCTGGCCTATAACAACAACAGCTTTGCTGTGCCACCCGCAATGTCTCCACCGTTTATCCAGCGTCCTGCATCCCAGCCCAACCAGTTCGCCGCCTCCCCTTACATGAATATGTACCAGGACAGCAACCACTTGGGCTTCAATATGCCAGCAGCCCGCGGCCACAAGCGCCAACGAAGCCGTTCCGTCCCCGTCGCAATTGATATCTCAACCCTCCAGGGACCCATGTCTTCCTTCCACGTACCACCGCCTCCGCCTCCATTTAACCACACAGAGGCGGGCATCTATGCTCCCGTGCCGCAGTCCGTCCACCATCTCCCCACTGACCTCCGAATCGACACCCAAGGATATGGGCTGGATTTCCGGACAAATCCAATGTCCGCAACAACCACCGGATCTCCCTCAGACTTCGCCAGCCCAATGTTCAGCAATGGCGGACAGGGCGAGTCCACCCCAGTGGCCAGTTTAGGACCGCAATTCAACGTCCCCTTCGTCTCCGGTGGATCCACAGATGCTTCGACAATGGGCTCGCACGCTCCATCTCCCTACGCCAGCATGAGTCCCGCCGATCCCCTGATAGCAAACCACTCCCCACCTCTATCAAACATGTCCCATGGCTCATCCGACATGTACGGATTCTCGCACGATCAGCAATCTGGCTTTGATGACAGCCTCTCAATGAACGACATGTACTCCAAGCACCAAGTCAGCTTTATCTCCCATGATACCCCCAGCTTTGAACTTCCTATGCACGGCATGTCTGCCCACCATTCTCCCGGAATGGGTGATTACAAAGATTACACTCATGACATGACCAACTTGGATGAGATCAATTCGCAGGGCATGCCCACATCATGAGCGAAGTATTAAAATGTGTTCTCCTTTGTCATTTGATGTTTCACGGCCTTTTTAAAGTGCATGCGGCGCTAGCTGATGGGTTTTGGTTTTGGGAATTTCTCATCGTCTGACTTGGTCGTTGGGTTTCGGAGTTTTGCAAAATACAACGACTGGGTTGGACGATTCTCGTCTCGCTGGCGATGGCCAGGGAAGCAATTTCACCTTGGTTTCTGATGTTTTATTTTTTTTTTCTTCTTTCTTGCGTGACATACCCATGTGTCTTGTTTGTATCAATACCCTTTCTATTCTGGGGCAGGTCCTGAGCGATTTTTTTTATATTTCTTTTTCTTCCTGTTTTGCCGGTTGTTCCGGTTGATTTCAGGACTTCTTTTTGCCCGGTCATCCTACCCTTTTTTTCTTTCTTACTTTTTCTTCTGATCTTGACCGGGATCTTTTTGGATTTTTCTTTTACGTGGTTATGCCAAACAGACCGACTTGGACAGCGACTCCATACCTTTCAATTTTCTTATTTGTTCCTCTTTTGTTCAGTTTGAGCCTCAATTTCAAGCCCAGATCTTCGGGCTCTTTTGTTGTTGTTACAATGGTTTTTCTCCTCACCACGAGTCTGGAGTCGGTGGTTGCACAGCGGTCCCGTCGGCACCTATTTGGATCTGACATTGCCAGCGCGGGTTCTAATGCGCAGAGTTGTGATATCTTCTACGCAGCAGGACGGCGCTGGTTTGGCGGTATACGAGTGTGGGGGAATAACGCTAGGCTCCGAATCAATTCATTTTGTATCGCATTCCATTCCTCTTAGATCGTAACAATCAACATTAGATATTCGCTGTTATACAAGGGGTATCTTATTCTAAGATATAAATACAGGCCATATGTCTTGATTTAAATCACTCAAGTTTTGCCTTTCCCTCCCACCCCTTGGGCAAAGGCGCTTCAAGCCCCCTCCCGCGGAGGAACTTCTCTATCCAAACCTCCATCTTCTCCAAAATATTCCGCTCGGGCTTACCTTCCTCCCCAATCTCAAAAACCCCCTCCTTGCACCAAACACTCCACGACCCCATCATCCCAGCCATGAGAACATCTGTCCCCAATCGATCCCCGACAACGGCAATCTCATGCGAGGACTCAACGACACCCCGGTCCCGGAACCATTGCACAACCTCGTTGCCACAGAAAGGCTTCTTCTCCGTACCAGATGGAAGTCTGAAAACGGGGATCTTAAGATGCGCAAGCTGAGCTTCTAGATCGTGGACTTCGTTGTCGAAGGATGCGTGGCTGCCGGCGCGGTTTGAGACGATGAGAATTGAGTGCGGGTTTTGGGAGATGTTGAAGGGAGATGTTGGGGAGTTGCGGAGGGAGGACAACTTGGAGAGGATTTGGGGTGGGAAAGTAGTTGTTTTTGCGGCGCAGAGCGTGTTGTCTTTGTCCAGAACCAGGGCGCGGATTAAGGGCGTGCGTGATTTTTCGAGAGCGGGTTGGGCTTGCTTCGAGCTTACTAGGTGTGCGCCTAGGTTCTCGGGGAGATGAGTGAATGTTGGGATGGTGAGGTGCGGGAGGAATTGGGAGGGTTGTTTGAGGAGGGTTTGGACGGCGTAGTTGAAGCCCCAGAGGTTGGAATTGGGGGATCCAGCCATGGTGAGATATTGAGTAGTTGTGGAAGGTTATTTGAGGCGTAACTCGGCTAGTATATGTGCATTTCTGGTGGTTGTGGTGAAAATGTCGAAGTTGGAGGTTGTTTGGGGAGAAACCCAAAGCGGAAAGGACGTTAGCCGCAAAACTCACCTTTCTCTGATCTCTCTCTACCCGTCCCACCATCAACCACTCATTGGCCGCCTCTGTTCCTTTTTCGTTGTAAAGGGAGCTTATCATTGTTGTTGAATTTGCTAAACGTCTTCGATTCTCACACACTTTACCCGTTAAAATGGGCAAGCTGACGTCCACGATCGGTATTCCCATCAAGTTGCTCAACGAAGCGCAGGTGCGTTACCTCCCACCAGAACCGCCGTCCTTTATCAAAGCGGCGCAAATGATCAAACATATCTGAGATTGAGCGATTAAATGGATATAGCGACCGGAAAGCTAACGTCGTTTCTTTACAGGGTCATGTCGTGACACTCGAGATCACATCTGGTGTTGTCTACCGGGGGAAGCTTTTGGAAGGTGTGTGATTGAAGTTCCTCAAGCTTCATGATGACCATTTCCATGGCGAATCGGTCTCAGCAGATCTGGGGGATGCTTTCTCTTGCGCAGATTGATACTGACATTTTTCCAGCTGAGGACAACATGAACGTTCAACTGAAGGACATCACTGTCACCGCGCGTGACGGTCGTGTCTCTCATCTAGATCAGGTATACATTCGCGGCAGCCACGTGCGGTTCTTCATTGTCCCCGACATGCTCCGGTACGTACCCCTCGATATCAAGCTTTGAAACGCAACAACAGCGTCAGGTTTGCTGCCAGAACAATCACTGAGACTCTTCTTCGCTTAGGAATGCTCCCATGTTCCGTTCACGAGGCCAGCGCGGGCGCGGTGTCGGTTTGGCGCGTGGTAAGGCTACTGTGCAGCGTGCGCGTGGCCAACGCGGCCGGGGTTGAGTGTGGATGAAATCGCAGTTTCAAGGCCTCGACTCAGAGTGGCAGGCGTTTTTCTTTTGTGCTTTCTTGGTTAGGGGAAATTTACTTGGGCTTGGTCTTCGACTGCTGAGTCTTCAAAATATCGGCTTTTCTTATGAGAGCTTCGTCCCTCACGATTCAATGAATCAATACCCGACATACTATCTCCCGTACTGTAGATTTGAGGCTAGATCCGACGATATCAGGCAGCTCTCGGGCTTCTAGCACCCATAGCTGTGCATGGTAGCTCTAATGCCCCGAGTGAATTGTTGCAGCATGAGTAGGTATGACATCAAACAGCGGCGAGTCTACAGCTCGAAACCTATAGGGCAGCTATTCTATTTCCAACCCACCAGCTTTGGGTTGTAATACGTTTGGTTAATACCTACCGGTGCTAATTTATCCACTCCGCACCATTTTTTCGATGCGGGGGACAACTTCCCTTTTAATCATTACACATCACACGTAACATTTTCCAATGGAATGAACACAAATCCCAGCAACACGAACATCCAACCGATCACTTCCAAAGCCCTCAATTGAGGCCAATCTACCACCATGGCCTCCCCCGCATTACCGACCAACCCTCGAACCGCGACCTCAAAGTCCAAGATCAAAAACATCTCCAACCCACGCCGCCTCCTCGTCCTCACCCCAACAACCCAATCCCTCACAATAATACCACCCCTGCTACATTCCCTAACGGGAGTTCCAGTTCTCAACCCACCACAACAGCCAGCAGCCACCGACTCAACCCCGCCATCCGACCAAACCACCTTCGCCGGCTATACATCCCACAGCCCCCTCCGACTCGAAACAAAATACTACAACACCGAAGTACCAGTCTGGGTAGATGAAATTCCCTTGTTAGACACCGCCACAGCAGGCTCGCAATGGAAAACAGACTTCCTAAGCGCAGAAGCTGAGATCGTGCGCGAAGCCGTCGGCGCATTGGTTGTCTGCGCACATGCGCCTGATAATAGCGGTCCACCTCCCGAACAGAATTCAGAGCAGCAGGATGTCGCTGAGAGAGGAGATGTGCGCGCGTTGCGGGATATGATGCGCGACATTGGAGCTGTTAAGGAACGGATTGATGAAGAGCGCGGTGGGGTTGGTGATGTTCCTGGTGTGTTTATATTGATTGGTGCGAGGAAGGGGGCGGCTTCGGGACCTGCTGCTAAAGATGATGAGTCGGGTCTTGATGATGATCTTGGGGAGATGCTGCCACTGTCTGTTGGATGGTGGGAAGATCAGTTCTATGATATGGGATTACTTGGATGGGAGGTCGTTGAGTGGGATCCTAAGGAGGGGGGTGGTATCGAGACGAGGAATCAATATGGAGGTTTGTTGATCGATCTTTATTGACTTGGATATGACTAATTCTGATAGAACGTGAGGGTATGCCGAGGATCAAGGAGGTCCTTGAGACTCATGACTGGTCTATGAGTGGGAGTTCTGTTCTTGACGAGGGCGACGATGTAGACTCCGATGATGGTCTTGAGGATCAGCTCTTGGGGACGTCCCGTGGGTTCGGCAACGAGGTTCATGAGCTTGAGCGGGAGATGTTTGGTTTGCGGATGGCGATTGAGCGCGGTGGAGGTGATGGTGATGAGGAGGATGATGATATCGGGCATGACGATGGGGACGATGAACTTGATGTTGAAACTATGGAGGCACTGATGATGCGTATGCAGGCGATTAAAGGTATTTTCCTTTTAGACCCCTTACCTGGCTGAACTGACCTTGCTATAGATATGGGCTCTGAGCTGCCTGAAGGTGAGCGGAAACGATTTGCTGCAAAAGCCGTACAAGAAATCATGCGTGAGCTATGAGACATTTGCCATGCTTCAATAGACGACGATTATCATGGGGCCTTAGCTCACCCCATATGAGTTCTTGGCTACAAATTATATAGTTATGCGGGAACATGATTCGTTGAACAAGTGGTTTCATTATTGTAGAAACTCATGGCCACAGAGAGTTTATTATCCATTCATCTACTAGATACAAGGAGACAAAGGAAGGTTAAAATTAAACTCCACGCTACTGCTTGTACACTGAAACAGCATTATCAGACCAAATCTATTTATTTTTGGGCCAGCAATTAATTAGAGCTAATATAAATACAAGTAAAAAGCCAAACCAGTTTTTGAGGGGAAAATTTCAGCCTCAGTTTAGCATTAGCCAGCCATAAAGCCAGATCGTCAACCCAACGGTACTCTCAAACTTCGTCACACTCGTATATGCCGAATCTAATCAGCACGCTTCTTGCCACGGAGAACCTTGCGTCTCTGGGCAATCATGTGTGTATAAAGGATGTAAGAGCCTATTTATCAGTTAGAAATGCCTACCTCTAAACCATTGAATTGAGAAAGAAGAAACCATACCAGGCACATAGATAACCAGGATAGCAATAAGCGCATACTGGAAGAGCGGGTTCAACTGTCCAGCCGGGCCAAGCGCCTGAACGATAAGCGTGCACTCGCTGGTAATCCCAATCGGGTAGAGCACATAGAAAGTGTTATACCTGCGAAATCACAAGGATCAGCAAAATTCACTAATCCATTAACATTAGAAACGCACCTCAACCAAGTCCACCAGCTTGGCACCGACCCCCCAGACAAAGTGATAGCAAAGAAGCCATAGCGAATAACCTCCGTAATCCCCCAAGCAGCAACACAGCCAAGGTAAGCATAATCCCCAAGCTGTACTGTGTTGGCTCCAACAATGTCTCCACCGAATTGAGCCATGATCCCCCAAACAAGCAACAACCGACTGGCAACCTGCATAGCAGTTGTCATGAACGGCGCGCGCACGAGCCCAACCACGCTATGCACGACCTCGAGAAGGGCGAGCGACTGCGTCAAGAGTAGCGGGGAGAATGTCTCCTTGAAAACATTGTGCAGGGTCGAGACATTGATGGGCAGGAGGGAGGCGGCGTAGACGACGCAGCTGCCCCAGGCGAGTAGGTTGAGGGTATTATAGGTGAAGAGGTATGCTTTTGTTAGCCCTGCAGGGGCACGCGAGGCGCTTTGTTTGGTAGCCATTGTTTTCTGACGGGCTGGAAAGGTCTTGAGGCGATTACTAGGTCGTTTTGTGGGAGGTTCATATTTCGTTGGGATCGCGATCAACAAAAAAGGGACGGGGCCGAGGTTGAGTGTTACGTAATCGTTCTGGAAGGCAGAAGCTTGTGGAGAAGGTCCCTAGAGTCTGGGGTAGAGATGATCTCTGGTTTGTTCTATTCGGTGGTTTGCGGTGGTTTGGATCAATGTTGCTGTTTATGCTTGGTGCTATACAGCGTATTGTACAATATAGCTTGATAGGTAGGGTTCTAGCTCCGGACTGAAGATATGGCATACGCTGGCCTATCATCGCCCTCGAGAATAAGCTAGTCTTTTCGTGATGTGTGCCGAAAATGGCTCGTTACAGGGATATCAGATCTGGAAATGACGAATTATTTGCCTAGTCTCTTCTTTCTTGATTTCTCTGCCGAGGAGTTGGCTTTGTTTGATTCGCTTAGGTCTTCGCAGGATACTGACTGCATGTAGTGCCAACCAAGCGGAATTCTTCCTGCCCTAGGCTAGTAGGATGCATGGACTAGAGGGCCCTGGTTGGTACCACTGCATGATCTAATTTGGACTACTACTTGTATCGTCTGCCGGTTCTATGGGCAAACAAGTTCTGACAACTGTTTGGCGCCTGCCCATGTGATTGGTTTGGGAGGTGGCTGGGAAGTGGGTTGATATCGAGATTATCGATTCAATACGATGTAAAAAGTAAGGAGTTCAAATCGGTGAAATTAGTGTCGATTGACCACGTCGAGCATTTCGGTATGTGAGTACGTTGTACTTAGTACCTTGTTCATACTTCGGCATAAATCTCTTTTGCGTAGACTCCTTCTGCACGTCTTAATTACCGAAGCACAGAACTCAGTCCATCCATCAAATTTCCATGTTTTGCATTTGTACAACGATATTCTAGACTTATCTGTACCCGTGGACGCTCATCTTCGAATAGACATCAATGAGCCTCGATGTGCCTTGCATACAATGGGAGCTTGATGCCTCTACATTGTATAATGAGGGTACGCTGTACGTAGAGGAGATCAAGTGTATAAAATGATGTGTGCATGTAAATATGTACATGATTAATGATTTAGCTAACTATATTGCATGTTGTGTAAGCTTTGCGCATGGAGTGTAATATACATTTCAACGGAATACCAGCAATATTGGCCAGTATAAGCTGATATGTATTTAGAATACAGATCTAATACAAAATGACGATACAAGAACGCTGATGACATCAGAGGCTTTAAAGGGCTGATTTGGCTCCATCACGATGATGTCATGGCTGATATCAGATTATCTGATTGGTGGTTATACATACTTGGAGAACCACACGCCAGAACAGGAGGAAAAGAGAAGAAGATGCATTTTCTTATATAAATGAAAAGGGCGCTGCAGTGCGCGTTCGCCATTTAGAAATTCATCTTCACATTGGCCTTCACCACGTAACAGCACGTTATACCTACCTCGAACCGAAAAACGAAAAAAAAGCAACGTCACCGGAAGCGAAAAAATAATAAAAAATAAAAAGCACCAACCGTCATCGGTGACAGCATAACCGCTCGTGTCTTAGAGCAATAATATTACCCTCGATTTCACACCTATGAAAGAAACAAAAAATCCAAAAAAGACCGTGGATCCATGTGCTCACATATGGATCGTTCAACTCGCTGCCAGGACTACGTCAGATGAGAAAAGACTCATGCAAAGACAAAATCAGAAAGGAAGAAGTCCCGGATTGGACACGGTCCTCGAGGGTCCAGACCAGCTGGATCAGGTTCTCTCTGTGCACTTGACCCAAGACTATCGTGCTTTTCCCTGCTGTGCGAGCCGGATTTATTTCAATATTACGTCTTTTCCCGTTTTGCGGCTAAAAATGTCACCATAACGCTAGGTTCTTTTTTTATAATTCTGTCTCAGAGAGGCGGAGCGAGTCACAAAAATATCTCTCGCCTTATACATTCATTCTATCTGATGCTGCCTACTTGATGGTAAAGCTAATCCAACAGACTTCTTTCGGTTTCACCGCGAATGGTTCCACGTGTGACCCATTCAGGAATGAACCCAGTGACGTCCCCTGCTGGGATCGGCACCCCGATGATGTCGACTTGCTGGCCCCCCTGCCGCTGCCAGATCTCCAATGTCCATTGTAGGCATAGGCGCGGTCCTATGCGGTCAGAAAACTTGTCGGGTTCTTATGTTTTTTATTACCCTATCTGTCTCCACACGTACTGTTCAGTACATTTCTGGAGGGGTTATCCCGTTGATTTTTGCGTCTTTTCCTTGCGGTGGAGCTTTTGGTTGTCCGTTGGACTCCACTGGATTGTCGGACTTTGCGAAAGGCCTCCGAATGATTATGATCAAGCGCTTCAGCCTGAGATGAGGCTGAAAATTTTTGACAAGTGAATGACTTGTATCAAGTACAGTATAAGTACTAACTCAATGGTTGGCTAATTTGAAGCTCTCGGAGTGGGAAAAAAAGAAAACATACTAAACCTGTTCTGTCGGATGTTTGTCTGCATCCACGGAGGCTAAACAAAAATTGGAAAAGACTATATATCCATTGACAAATCTAAGCCCAATAGGAAGTCGTGATATAGATTGTAACTACTAATAAATTGCTAGTTGGGTTGGGCAATCAATCTCTCGAATCTCTATTATATTATAACGCCCATAGGGAAATAAGAATATATCATGTATAAATATGTGAATGTGTGAATGTATGAATTGATTAAAGTACTGTAATTTAAAGTCTTGATATAGTTTAATCTAACGATACTCTAGTGGAAATTGTTGTTCTATACGTTGTAGAGGAAATATATGGTAATTGCCCATATAGCGGAAGACCCAGCCGTAGGTGTGAAGTGCCGATAATCTTCCTTACCCACATCTTCTTCTCTCCGCCCCTCTTCCTCTTTTTCCCCTCCTCTTCTTTAACAACTTCCCCCTTTCTTACTTGTGCTTCTTTTTCTCTCTTTGAGATTTGTGTACTCCTGATCTTCCTTTGTCACTTTACTCCGGTAGGATTTGGTGATTATCAGAGCTTTTGAACAAAATTTTTTCGAAAAATTGAAGGTGGGACATAATCCGAACTGCCCCTCGCTATTTTGAACGCTTTCGCGATTGGACTGTTGTCGCATTTTTTTTTTTCCTTTCTTGTCACTCGTTTTCCTTGAGTGGGACCTTGGCTCGTGGCTGCAGCTGTTGAGATACGCTAGTTCACCTTTTACAAACCGTGACTGGGTTTATATGCGTTGAATGGTTTTTCTACATACCTCCACTCCCAAGTCCCCTCTTCTGATCCTTTCACCCCTCCTCCCCCTTCAGGTATCTCATATCAGATACCCCGCTGTGATTTGTCTATTTGGTTGGTCTTTCCATGTCTACCAGGCTTTTCCTATCATACGATCCGATCAGGTGGCTGCCGTACTTCAACCCCCTTGACCTTAGACCTACGGTCTCTCCCTTTGCCCAAGATCCCAACCCTTGCTACCTTGGTACCTGGATCCGTAACACTCTGGCTTTGTAAGACAGCATATGCGTTGTGTGCTGATATCTGCGATTCTGACGTCCTTGTTGTATCATTGATCTCCATTTGGGGCTACTTCACAATTCGACTTTGCCACTTTCTTTTATTCGTCCAGGATCTGGATCTATTGGATGAAGTCAGACTGACTGGGGTTTGAAAACAGAGATCGGCGTATTCCATCTGGATTGGCTGGGTATCAGATCGGACCAAAATTACAACACCCTATTGTTCATCCCGTGACGATCTAGGTGCACGAGATTCCTCCCACCTGCTCTTATAAGCATCTCTCTCACATCCACACAACCATGGCGCCATCGGATACTCAAAAGGCCGTCTCAGTAAGTACCGCTCGTCTACTGAGAACCTGGTCTGTGACTGACTGGGAACAGGCCAAGCAGCAGGGCCCGCCCAAGCTTTCTGATTACAAGGAGATCCTTGATGAGAGCACATTCGAACAGATCCTTGAGATGGACGATGATGAAGAAGACCGGGACTTCAGTAAAAGCATCGTTTACGGTTTCTTCGAACAGGCCGAGAACACTTTCAAGAAGATCCAAAAGGAAATGTGAGTGGTCAAGCTCTGCAGCGCGTCCGATGACGTATGCTAAACAACACACAACAGAGATGAAAAGAACCTTGACGAACTTTCCGCCCTCGGCCACTTCCTGAAGGGCTCATCCGCTACACTAGGCCTAGTCAAGGTCAAGGACGGCTGCGAGAAGATCCAGCACTTCGGCGCCGGCAAGGATGAGACAGGTACCATCGATGAACCGGACACGGAGGTTTCCCTCAAGGCCATCAAAAAGACACTCGACGAGGTCGAAATCGCCTACCGCAAGGTCGAGAATCTCCTGCGTCGATACTACGGCGAGGAGTTGAAGGAAGAGGAAGAGAAGAAACCAGCCGCAGAGAAGGAAGAAAAGAAGGAAGAGAAGCCCAAGGAAGAAAAGAAGGAAGAGCCCAAGGAGACCAAAGAGCCCGAGTCCAAGCCCAAGGAAACCTCGAAATAGTGGCCATGCGGGCTAGTTGATACCCTGCCACCCTCCCCTTTTTCTTTTTTAGCGACGGATGGAGCATGGCAAATGGCTGTTTGTTTTTCTTTACCTTTCCCCCTTTTTTCATCTTCCATCTTCATCGCCCACCCTCATATTTATTTGGCTTTGGCTTTGGCTTTGGCACGTACATAACACCCCTCCATTTTTCCCACGGGAAACGGATCTTCTGGTCTCTCACGTAGGTGCAGGCGCGAGAATCGTGACGACTCCGGGGAGTCTTGGATAATACCGAGATACGGAAAACCCGAGTGCCGATGTCAGGCCCTGTTTTCTTTGCTTTCTGTTTAAATTCCATTTTCCTTCCCGCATTACATCTGTAGGCGTCGCCTGAAATGTACCACATATCATCAGATGTGCAAGTAGCATCGACTACAATCATATACAACGGACAATTCCACGCCTCCATCAACGTCCAACCAAGAATCTGTAATATAAGAAGAAAGTTACAATAGTTTAATGCCTACATTGACCGGGGTCTCTGTCGAACTTCCATAAAACTATATTTTCAAGCCCGGCAGGTGGCGCCCTAAGAAGCTTTTTCAGCCACTTGCGCGGGCCTGGGGTCCCCGGATAACCTTGACTCAACATGGTATTTCCTCCCGGTTCGGGTGTGATGCACGAAGTAATCGTAAACGGGCTTCGATCGATCGACCTAGCGGCGAATTATCTATTGGCGCCCTAGTTTTGTCATTTTGTCGTTTTCGGCCAAAGGTGTCGTTTCAATCGTCTGCTTTGCTCTTTTGGGTTTTAGTCGTGGGGTTTCAAAGCTCACGGATTAAGAGAACTGGTCGATCAGATATTGATTTTAATCGCTGGATGCTCGGATTCCATCGAAGGTTTTGGACGTACTGACTTGTCTAGACTCTCCCTAAAGTTGTAGCTCTACTGTGAAGGTTGGCTCAATACGGAAGCCTATGTCAGTTACCATCAATCATCTGCCACCTGATTGGCCACTGTATCCGTATCTGCGTCCAATCTTGCATGAAAAGCGCATTGCCAATTGATGTCGGAGAGATGCAGTATGGATGAGTACGGTGCGCTTTTGCATTTGACGAATTTCCAAGCTGAGCCGCAGTTTTTTTTCTGCTGACTTCAAGCTCTACAGGACATCTATTGGATCCTTGATATGACCTACTTTCAAAGAGAGCGGTCATCTTTACATTGTGGTCAGATATGGAGATCCCAACCTCAGGGCTGTCCCAACCAACATCCAGCCCTCAACAGTCCGTGCTAGTCTGAAATGCAGCAGCGGAATCATGCAGTTCTCTAACGCCAAATTGGGTCAACAACATCTTTGCCTTGACTGACAACCCCTTCGTGATCGTCAGCTAATTAAAAGTGACATTAGTGAATGATATTACCGTCAAGATACAATATCGGATACGCCTTGGTCTCTATTGTGATATAGCCATAGTTCACTTTCCCATCAGTGATCACTCGACTGCTCGGCATATACCAACCCTACAACAATCGATAGGGGTCACAGAAGCCTCCCAGGGCACGTCACACGAAGCTATTTCAACACGACACAACGGATTTTAAGAACAATACGGAATTTAGGTCTGTCGCCACGTTGTGTGTCTTGTTCAACCAACTTTGATCACGGATTACTACACGCCAAGTATATACCGGCAATGCACCTCTCACACCCATTTCAAATCAAGTCCCGCCGTCTTCCAACCGGGTCATTTCCCCACAACCGAAGCAAGTACGCGTGAACGGAAGCCCGCCAATGCGATTTAAATATCTTCAAATTTGACTTCCGGTCTGTCGAATTCACTCTATTCTAACCTGGACCGCATCCCGGTCTGGCTGGTCACACGATAGGCCCAACGAGCTTTTTGGCAGTAAAACTCCCACAAGTTGACAGTCAATCGCAGATACCTTGTTCGTTCTTAATTCCCGCTAGCAAGGAGTGATCGGAATTTAGCGATGCTGGATAGGTCTCACTGAGCCTTGATACCGAGGTCGCTTGCAGCATGCAGTGTGCAATTTAATTAATATCTTGTAGCTTTCTCCACAAGACGGCTCCACGCGCACGTTTTCGGTCCAAGCTGCGGCTTTCCAACATTGGCGGTGGATCTGTTTTAATTTCGCTTGCGGATTTGCACAGGTGCGTGGCAAGGAGCTTATAGTTACGAAGCTCAGCTGTTCCCGGTCTTTTATGTTTGGTTTTGGTTGAGACGCGTATTGAACACTTTGCAAAGGCCTCGATATTTCCCTTTTCTCATGCATGCAAGCATACATATATCTCCTACCCGTCTGTCTCGGATAATGGACCTAGTAACTCAATAAAATTCTCGATCAGCCAATCTGCAGTTGGCTTTGGCTTCTGATCGCGCTCAGTCCCCGATCTCCTTAAGTCTAAAATGACTCCCCCAGTGAATATATCTCGCCATTGAACTTACTGCGACCGGCGATGCACTTTGAAGAGGAGAGGGGGAAATTCAGATTATGGAGAATAGCAGGAGGTTTCGTACCACCTCTCGACCTACTCCATTTGTTACTTTCGATGTGAACCATGTTCCGTTTGTCTTGCTCATCCCAAAACCTGTTTCTATTGGGAATACCCAATATTTTTGAGGCATTGTCTCAAGCCCCCGTAGCCAATATACACACAGCAGAAGAGTTTTCAGGTTTTAACCCAGCAATTTCGAACGATTCGGCCCGCGGTTTGATGCAGTCCGGGGTTGTAAGTCAACGGGTGTGCAGAAATCGTACACACATTGTGCCACCCCGGCTCCGTAGCTTCTGCACGATGCACGATATTGTTTAATTCTGGAGGGAGAAGGGATTTTAATCACCAGCAAAGCGAAAGGAAAACCATAGAGTACCCATAGCACATCTTACTCGTGCACTCTTTCCTTTTCCGCTTCCCCGTAGCAACAACCATGCACGCATTGCTGAGCGTTGAGCGATGATGATGTGGCTTAGCCTCGAAAGCTCCCTTGGATCCCTGCGATCTGCTGTGTGCTATCCCCATCTATCTGATTGCGGGTCTGGGTTTGCGCCATCCCCACTTGTCTGATTGCTTTTGCTTCTCTCGTTGTCTCGCGCCGTCCGTTCGCTTACCCTGCTTCATTCCGGACTAATCGTAGATATAATTGCATGGACCGGCGCGGATTCGGCCCCGTGTAGCAATCGTGGCTAACGGCCGTTGGGAGCGCCGTTGAGATCTGTTTGAGGAGCTTCTCAATTGATATAAAGTCCTCCTTGGTCTCGAGTTCGGTTTCCAGATCAGCTTCATATTTGCATCAACAGATTGTCCTTCTTTCTTTCTATCTATCATATTTTGATATTCAAGTTGCGTACAGTCTCACTGTCATTGGTACTTCTGTTGGCTCAACAGCCAATCAACCAACAGACGAGAAGCCACCTCGCTCGACTTGTCATACTGCATCGATAAAGCATCCAATCCGATTCCATTTGGAACCAAACGCTCAATGATGCCCGTCGGCCCTCGAGTATCTAAAGAAGAGTTCATGCACGCACTGGGTCTAAACCCCCACGATCTCCATCATGAACAATTTTACCGAGCCATGCGAGTAAGGAACCCAATCCAACCTAAAATTCTATAGTTTCCAATTTAACACAGCCAGGACGAAGCAATCATGGTATACAACCGCATGAACCAAGATACCTCAAACCTCCTCGACAATGTGCGCTCCGACCCAGCAACCCGTCCTCCATTCTTCTGGCATCACATCAGACCAGACCGTCAGCGCTGGGCGATCCTAGAGATCTGGCGCAATGCGGCGCCACTTACCCGCGCGCTATTTGACCGTGGCGCTACTAACGGCGAATATGGACCGAACTGGGTGTCTGGGTGGTTGCTGTACAGTGTTTTTCGATCTCGGGATGTGAGGAATAATCGAAACCGGAGGAAGGGGGAGGTTGGGTCTTCTGCTGGTTCAGAGTCCGGTATGCATCTGTGCCTAAAGAGTATTCTGGTACTGAACGAGAACTGACTGTTATAGATAAACAACGGACTGAAGGGCAGTCGAGGGGGTACTATGATCCAGTGCGAAATGGGACTCTATGAATTATTTGTTACTTCGTTTTGGGGTTTGCTGCGGAGCTTCTATGCTTCGTTCCATATCCTATCTACCTGACATCTGTTTTGTTGCATAATGGGTCCGATATATGAAACAAGGATCATCGGCGTACGAGATCCAAGAATGTAATGTAATACACGCACTACAAAGGACAGATGCTTTGCGTACCCGAAGAAAAAGAAGAAAGGAAACTAGCAAGTAATATTTCAATCATCCTCCTTGCCATCTTTGTCGCCAGAGTCTTGCTTTTTCTCGTTTTTCTGTCGACGATCCGACTTCAGAAGCTCCGTAACACGCTGATCATGTTCATCAGCGCGCTCATCCCATTCAGCGTCATACTCAGCGGCAATGCTCTTAATTTCTCTGCGCAGCGAGTTTCCTTCATCAATAAGAGACTCCCAAAGCTGCAAATCAATCTTATGCAATTGGTACAACTTCTTCTGTCTAGCACTGATCGTGAAATCAAGCGCAGACTTGTAAGAAATCTCCCGGTTGTGATACAAAAACCACAGATAACCACCCATCAGGGTAGACAAACTGACCAGATAAGTCACAGGCTCCATAGTATCCCATCCAAGGTCAGTTTCAAATGTCAATCGGTAGACGGTCAACCACCAGATGGCCAGGATTCCAAATCCACCAATCGCCACACGCTGCGCTCCGCGATGCGCAAGGGCATCACACTGTTCTTTGACGTCTGCCATGGTTTGAATGCGACGTGCAAGCTTGCGAAGCCGCATGCGAAGGTAATACGTCCGTTCGTTGAAAGATGGCACGGCAACGCGGATCTGACCTAGACCTTCCGGTGCGCCTTCGATGGTGACAATAAACTCTCCCGCTCTAGCGGCATCACGGATAAAGTCCCCGACCTCGGTGGCTTGGGACCAACGAACGAAGCGCTCAGGTTCACCCTCGGGGATTTCCTCGGAGCTTGGATTGCGCGGATAACTGATTGTTTCGGCATCTTCTTCGTGGGATCGGCGGCGCTGGATAGGTCTGCTGCCCTTTGGTTTGCTGCCACCGACGCCGTCATTGCCGGGAACGTAATCCCTGTCTTTGCTGTTTTGGTGAGCCTCCACATCAATGTCGTCCTCAACCTTCTTTTTGGGTTTGATGGCGTTGTCTTCGTGTTGAAGGGCAATAAAGGATACGGCAGGTGGGCGAAGTTTGTCGGTTTGGCCGATTATTGGGGGTACTTCGGATTGGATGAGTCGTTCTAGGTATGATAGTGGTTGTTGGGGGTGGACGAGGATAGCGATGGGTTCAATCTCTGTGAATCGTGTTGGTTTATTGAATCACCTTTTTAGCATGAAAGTTCACATACCTTTATCGTGACCTTTGTTGCCAATCGTTGTTAATGGAATGATCAATTTGAACAGCCGTGAAGGCGTCGTCAACATTTTTCCTGCTTCAAGTCAGTGCCAGTTTCTAAAGGATATTTGTCGAGGCCGAACCTTTTGTCATTCGTTCAGGTCGTTGATCTCCTTCAATTGGAGGCTGTTTCCCCTTGTTATCTTCATGAAGAATGGTATGTTGAGGCCGGGCCTCCTGATTGCCCTCTTGAACTTCGAATTTCTCCAAAAGTTCTTCGGTCTTTTGATTATCGCCAGAGACCTGCGTATGATCCGCCTTACTGAAGTCTCTGGTCTGAAGCCAGCTATAATATTCCCGCGGAACTGTAGCCGACACAGCACATCGCGGTCTCGTTGTTGATATCACCGAGGCCCTGTTGGCGATCCTCCCGCCAAGGGATCTCCTTGAGAAAGAATGAATGTGTCTAAATGGGGACTCCGGGATTTTTCCAGCCCAACTATTCAGACCCGCCAAACCAAGTCTCCGCGAGGCGGAGGGAGCTCCGCGCTGCGAAATCATTCTCGTCGCCGTCGATACGGCAGGCGCACAATTCCGTGCTGGGATGTACATTTCGAAGACAATGTCTCCAGTTACTTCAATGGACTGGTTGTGTATATCGGCGTCGCATCAGGCGAAAGGAGCAGGAGCACAAAGTAGTATAATCCGGGGGAATCGGAGGAGTGAGTTTAGGTAAACACAATTCAAGGCATGACGAAGAGGCTTTGCAACAACACGCGTGGGGATTTAATATGATGTATGACGCTAAGAATAACTCAAGCAATAAACTAGCGAGGATGATCCAGGCACAGAAGAGCTCATCTCAATCTTGAATTCCAAGGAATCGTCTGACGTCAGAGAACTGAAACATTCCCGGCACTCAAGGCGGTGTGGCATAGTGTGTGGCAGTGCATGATCTATACACGTGTGGCGTTTGTTATTGGTGAGATTTGTCAATACAAATTTGGTAATTATTGGATGGGGATTTACGTTCTTTTTTTCTCTGACACGCAAGGTGTATGCCTCTCCTCACTAGACTGATTGATGGTGAATTGGTAGTAAAATATGGGTACATTATATATATATATCAAACGCATGGATACCTAGCGGTCGACCCACCCTATTGGTTAATTAAGTAGCTGTCTTACTATACAATTAATGTGCGGTATGGGCATTGGTTATATGGTGAGATGGCTACCTATCAAGAATGAAGTTACTGTACATGTAGATCTTCATAAAGGCCCAATTAGGAAAATGAGAGAGGAAGACATCTACATTGCGAAGGGCATTAATGTGAACATCTGTCACAAGTGGAGAAATTCCTTGCTGAATTTCTTTTTCAAAGTATCTCTGTAAACTTCTTTGCTAATATGTTCCATACTAAATTGGTTTCTTCCATCAAAGTTCGATTGCATCACTGTGTCAATCCCTATCTCTTCTCTTGTCGCGCCTGGCCTGCCATTTGAAAATACAATAGATGCTAATAAAGAGCAAAGAAGCTAATACAGAAAGACCAAGATAGAGCTTTGCACCAATATGCCAATGGGGTGCCTGCGAGGCAGGATACGCGGCGACAGGGAGGAATGCACTGAACAAATACGAAAACAAAGTACCGGTAGCGAAGAGAACCGTTCGTACTTGGGGCTCTTTTTCAAGATGGGCAGAGGCCCAAGCGCAAAGAAGCATGGTAGAAACCCTATCGCAGTCAGAAAATGTCAACTGTAAAGCAGGATAGTACACTCACGCTCCAACATAGTTCATGTACCAGCCAGCCATGTAGGCACTCTCACTTTCAGGTCGTATGATCAAAATGATCAGCGACGTGATATTGATTACCTGGAATTTGGATTAGCGTGGGGTACTTAACCTGCTAGAAACGCCCTACCGAATGAAGAAGCAAAAATGGCAATCGAGTACCGAGATAGTCACTGAAGCCACTGAACAGCAGCTCCGCAACTAGTTGGAGTGCCTGGCCGGCAATTGGTAGATAGTTGAGCATACCAACCGAGCTAGATAATTGATTAGTGCAACCACTTGAGAGGGATTATGGAATACTCACTATTTCAAGCTCCCATCGGCATTTTTGAGGGACTTGAGCCAAAGGTTGAAATAGTTCGAAGGCGTGGTGTTAGTCCCTATAGACCAGGCAACTATAAATTATGATTAGATAGTCTGATCCCTCTGCATAGTGAACCATGGATTGACTCACTAGAAAACAACCAGACATGCCAGAACTTGAAGCAGCGCAGAAATGTTTTGAGGTTAATTCCCAGCTGCGGATCACGACTGATTCTGCGAGTTCGCTCTTCGGCGACAACTTCAGCGAAGAATTAGCAAACCTTGACCAAACATAGATTTCAATGGGTATCTACATACCAATATCCTGAGGCCGAAGATAAAATCTGGCAAGTGGATTCGGGCGATCCGGCTACATACGTATTGTCAGCTCGAACTAATCATTTAGAATAATGCTGATACTTACAAAGCCTGGCAGGAAAATGAACGCCAACAAGGCGATAAAAATAGTGCAAACACCCTGTAAGATTAGTACGCACCATGAAAGTAGAGAATCACCGTTATAAAGCTTACGTTGATAATGAACGCCCATCGCCAGCCGGTTCGACCAAGCGCACCTTCCAGATTAGTTGATAGTGCACCTTGCATCGCACCAGACAACATCGCCCCGACGGGTTGCGCAATGTTGTAAAGGCTCATTCGGAGAGCCATTTCATGAGGCAAGTACCATTGGCTAGATTGCAGAGTCAGCATGCATGACTTTTGAGATGAATTGAAGTATTGACCTGATGATGGTAAAATATCCGGGCCAAGTTGCGCCTTCGAAAAACCCGATAAGAAAACGTAGGCCATAAACCTAGGCATAATACTGTCAGTTTGACCAATTGTAATGATTTGCACTGTCGGTCTTTACCTGCTTTGCATTCGTGACTGTAGATAAACAGCAAGTCAAAATACCCCAAATGACCTAAACACGCTGTCAGCGTTTCTGATAAGCAAACCTTGGAAAAGTATTGTTCACTTACCTCGCAGGCGGGTAACCAGATTGAAGGGCCAACGTGGGAAATTATGATGCACGAGGGATATAGCATAATCATGTAGCCGATGCTGTTCTTGTGAATAAGAGTACTGCACAGCAGAAACAACTATGACTTACTTGAAGAAAGTGGTAAAGTAGTTCAACTCGTTTCCATAGAGTTTGAGATCAGTTTCCATTCCAGAGACATAGGCATTGCTCTGATGAATCGTCAGAATAATATATTACTGGAGATAGCAAATGAACCTACAATGTTGGTTTGATCCAAATACTTGAATGCGTATCCCAGAAAGCCAATCGTCAAGAAAAAGATATCCAAGCGCCATACCTGGGAAGCACATCAGAATCGCAAGCATAGAAACATGGCGGTGTTCATAGACATACTAAAGACTTCTCTTCCTTTAGGTCAAATTCTACGACGGGAGCAACTGTGCTAGTAGCATTCTTCGTGGGGGAGACTACTTGAGTCGTCATATTTGAAGTTCCTCTATGTGCATGTGACGGCAAAGAATGAAGCTTCCGTCTCAGGAGATACCATGTGATATAATTTCTGAGTTGTATACTATCGCTGAGAGGAAATATATGTAGTATATAATTTTTTTAGTCTATTGTGATCTGTTGTAAATATTGACATGGGGGCAGAATGGCATCATTCTAGTAAGTAAAGGCGTATTTGATGCTTGTTCTAACCAAGACTTTACAGCGGTACCGACCTCAAGGCTGATTCAACTACATCGTAGTCTGTTCCAAGAATTTATAATCAGTGTTAGCTGCCCTGGCTGACTTCTCTTCCTTGGGTTAAATTTATCTAGCCACCTATTTCGAAAGTGTGTAAAAATTGAGATTGGTCTAGGGGCTGTATGGCACCATCATAGCCACAATGGTGAAGTTTTAGATAGCTTAGCGTATCTTCATCGAAGCAGCAATATGACGCTCGTATTATGCCATAAGCCACTTAGCGCATTTAGTAACTAGTCAGTCTTACGCAGCTGCATATTAATTTCTATTCCCACCTGCAATCTACATCACATACCTAGGTACATGAAAGCCCCACCTCTGTGCGACCATGACCTATTGACTCTACAACGGCTAATGACTAAAGCAGTGTTTCAAAGCTAACACCAGAGCCAGATATAGAGCTCTAAAGGTGTGTATGGTTGGCCGCTCGAGAGGTGCGCCAGACTAGATTCATCTATTTTTATATGTTACAGACACAAGCAACGTTACAAGCCTCCACCGAAGAAAAAAACCATCATTTTCAGATACAACTTCAAAATCATCTCACTATGCCTTAATCCTTGGTATTCCAAGTAGGTAATATAGAGGGCATGTTGTAGACATGGAATACGAAGATTCCCCACCTTGGCGGAGTGACTCACAACTCATGAATCGAGGCACAGCATTTTAAACACCGATTTTGTCAGTAAGGTCAAGCGTATGACTTTGGGATATTTTCTCAAACTTTGAGACCAAACCCAAAGATACCGACCATAAAAATCATGACGAAAACCTCTGTATTCCCTTTCGCCGTCCCAGAGGTGTCAAATGAGCGTGTGAAGCTCGTCGCCTTCGACCCAGACAGACACTGCGATACTTTTTTCCGCTTGTCTTCTCCACATCCTGAGATATATGCGCATATGCCGATGGTGGCACCCAATTCAGCAACCGAATTCAAGTCCAGGTTTTACAGTGATTCAACTACTAATATCCTGTCATTCTCCAACCCACAATCTTTTGCTTTCGCCATCATCGACAAGACCTGTCTGCCATCTACCGAAGACCCAGAAGGTGAACTGGCCGGCACAGTGAGTTTTATCCGCACATCTCCGACGGACTTGTGCACAGAGATCGGTTTCATTGTTGTACTGCCACCTTACCAACGCAGCCATGTGGCAACAAATGCTGTGGGACTTGCTCTCCAACTTGCGTTCAGCATTGGATTATGTCGCGTCCACTGGTTAACCAGCACGACAAACCTTGCAAGTGCCCGACTTGCAGAAAGGATGGGATTCGAAAAGGTTGGAATGATTCCCTGGCACATGCGCTTTGTGAAAGGAAAACTTTGCGGTAAAATTGGAAATGGCAAGGACTTGCCACCAGGGAGTGATCCCGAGGATTTGTGGAGGGACACACTCAGCTTTAGCCTGGCATGGGATCGATGGGATACTGCAGCGAAAGCAATGACAGAGAAGGCCATGGCGAGATAACTGTTAACGAGATCGAGAGCCCACACGAGAAGGCTGATAGGAGGATGGCAATCAAACGCCATTTTCAGACATACTGGGAAATTTATGATGTAATATGATTTGAACGGATTTGGCTTTCTTTGTTCAGATTTAGGCGAGGTCTCAATAATCTAACGCGACAGGGTTCATTTGTTCAGCCGATATTAGTAACCTTTTTGCTTGCTGAGAAGTCTGTGATATGTGCCTCATCATCATGGAGTGATCTTTCATGCTTGCAGAATTTCCTGAGTGGGATATTCTTCCGAAATAGCTGGTCGATTTCTTCGAATGATCTTCCATGGCATTCTGGCACGCAGAAGTAAACAAAAGCAATCGAAGCGATAGAAAGACTACCGTAAATAAAGCCGACCTTTGACTGAAGATTTGCATAACCGGAATCCATAAGATATGGCAGACTAAACGAAACAGCGAAACTGAATGTATTATCAGTCTTTGTCCAACTTCACGGACAATAATGTCAACTTACAATGTCAGAACATTTGCAACAGATGCAATCCGTTGCGAGTTGTCTCGTAAGCGGAGAGTTGGTATCTCAGTTGTGACAACATATGTCAACGCTGCCCATCCTATATTGAAGCCTATCGTGAACAAAGAAAGCATTGCAACAATTGCTGACTTTTGAGAATAGGACGGAATATTCACGCCAAGCCCCCCCATGGTAAGTAAAGCTGTTGCTTGAATTGCTGCACCGATCAAAAGCAAAGGCCTGCAAACGTCAAATCTCACATGAAAATGTGTTGAGGGAGGTGATCTCACCTTCTGCCAACCCTATCGTTGAGGTAGAGGCATAGTAAAACTATGACAAGTCCGATGAAGCCATTAATGACGTTGAAGTTGAAGCTGTTTATCGTTTGCAGGGATTTGACATAAATAGTGCCATATTGCGAGGCAAATGCCTGTCCCGTAGCCTGCTGGAAGAAGTTGAGCCCAACAACAATCGCTGTTCGCTTTCGGTTAGATCTTGAGAACAATTCCTTGAAATGACTCTGCTCTGGTTCATTTTGCAACCCCGTTTGAATTGAAAGGAATTCTTCCTCGATTTCATGCAAATCGAATGCTCTTTCTCGTAACTTTGTTAAGTTGGCTCGCGCTTCTTCCGTGTGACCTTGAATGAGAAGCCATCGAGGGGACTGCTCGCGGTTAACATCGGAGAACATCACAGGAACCCAAAATTGAGAAGATCTAACCTCTGGAATAAACCATATGAGAGATGCTATGATGGTTGGGATGATAAAGAAAAGCCCCAAAGGTATCCTCCACGAACGTTCATCGTGTATCTTGCTGGTTCCATCGCAAACCCAGCCAATCACCATTCCTCCGAACTGAAGGACTATGTCAGTATAGACGACCTTTCATTCTCGTTTAATTATCATGACCTACCACAATGGTCAACTGATATGTGCCCACCATGAAGCCACGAACTTGGGTGGGAGCAATCTCGGATTGGAACACAGGAACGACAGAGAGTTCCATGCCAATATAGATGTCTAGTCGCGTCAGAAGTTGTTCAATGAAAAATGTCAATGAGCCCACAATTGAGGATTCTCGCGGCTAATATTTGATTGCTGGATTGCGAAGTGGTGGTAATCGTGGCGGTAGCCAGAGCGTAGATGCTCATGACAAACATACACCATCGCCGGCCGAATCGGGCACTTATGAAGCTGCCAATGATCACACCTAGAAAAATGGTCAAATTGAGGTTGTTTGATATTATTGACTACATACCACAAGCAAAGGTCAAATAGGGCAATCCGTTGAAGTATGACTTCCACTGAGTGTCGAGCGCCCAGGCTTTGGTTTTGGCATCGTAGACCCCAAATCTTTTCGCAAAATCATCCATGGCTTGCGTCTGGGCAAAGCCCTGGTTATCAAAAGCATAGTTGAAGCTGGAGAGGGCGATAAGGCTACATGACAATGCTAGCCGTCGATTGAAGTATTTTCGAACATCGTGGTGGCCGAGCATTTTGATGTTAGTATCGCAAGAAACTGCCTAGTCCAATTCTTCATCACAATCAGACACGGAGGTCCAAATTTACTTTCATCCTTGTCTTATATAGAATGAGCTTGATGATAGTTTTGACGACATGTTACGCGTGATAGGTACTCCTAGCCGGCACCGGCTATTCTACTAGCCGCCAACTGGAGAGAGAAAGGAAGGCCTAGATTCAGAAGCACGCTATATCACCATCAACGAGATATTTACATACTCAGCCACTCAAATAAGCTTGGAGTATATTGAACTAAATATTATTGATGGGGTATCGGGAAAGACATTGAGTTCAAACAACCCTTGGTGGTCGAAGAAAAACCTCGGTTAAACTCCGAAAGTCAAGAGATCGTAATCCAAATGGCGAAGCACGCAATTAATATGTTATTTCTGACGGTCCGGCACATCACTAAAACAAGAGAGATTTCCCGTTGCTGGTGTCTGTTAGCCGCTTGCTCTTCAATCCAAGAAACAAATCTGCCCGACTATTGGAGATGGACCCGATGTCCCCATCAGCTCCCAGCGAGGAGGCCCACTTGACGCAAAGTGGAACGAAACGTTTACGTACCAGAAAAGCTTGTAAGCCATGCCATCTACTCAAGGTAAAATGTTGCGGGTCATTGCCAGTCTGTCAGAGATGCAGCAAAAAGGGGATATCATGCGAGTATGCATTGTCAAAGCCCGGTTCCGGGACTCGAAAAAGGCGATGGGTCATCGCACCGAGTGAGACTCAGCGAATCCATCCATTGTTGTCACCTTTGGTATCACCTGAAGACATATCAGGTGAAGGACATTTCCTTCCAACACTACCACCACAAAATACAAGATTCGAGGACATTGTCCCAAATGGAGAGAAGCATCTTGATAATCCAAATTTCGAGCCAAAAGAAGGGCTTGGGCTGCAGAAGAGCGTTATCAGGCTTTACGTCGACGCCTACTTTGAACATATAGCGCCTCTCTGTGAAAATGGCTTTATTCACCGAGCTATTTTCCTCCGAGCGTGGACATCTGGAACCGTCGATCCCGCCCTACTAAAAGCAGTATGCAGTGCGTCGGCGGCATTCATGTGTACCGAGCCCTGTACAATTGAATTCAGAGAAAAATGGCGGACTGAAGCAGAGGCATATGTTTGGTCAAATATTGGACGGCCATCTATGGCAGTACTTCAAGTTCTCGTGGTAGTGATTTCCCAGAATTGTGCATTGTCTCGATTCCTGGCTTTGCAGCCGATGCTAGGCATTGCCGCAAAAATGGCATACATGCTCCGTCTGAATCATGAAAACCCGCAGCTATCCTCCATAGCTCGCGAAATCCGGCGGCGTGTCATGTGGTCCATATTCATTTTGGACAAACGACTTGCGGCTGGACAGCCAGATTTGATCTCATGTCCCAAGGAGCTAATGCATATACAACTGCCGTCCAATGAACGAAATTTCGAACTCGCTATTTCCGCCAGAACAGGAAATCTATTACCAGCACAGATTGATGAAAACGACTCCACAAGCCTGGGTACCAGAGCATTCTTCTGCAAACTTTCCAATATTCGGCATGAGATTCTCCAGTGAGGACCATTACAATGTAACAAGATTGCTCACCCATGCTGACAGACTGTTAGGTACACCAGGAGAGTGATATCAGAAGGCTCCAAGCCGCATGACTCTCGCAGTGAGCTTTTCCAACTAGAAGCTGATTTAAAAGATTTTAAGCAATCACTGCCGGAATCATTGACGCTTAGCGAGCGCAATCTCAACCTACGAGCCTACTCCCCACATTTGCGGCGATACGTGATGTTACATACTGTGTGGCACCAATGTCACTGCGATTTGTATAGATTTCTGCTACCTGGAATGCGAGAGTCGCTATCTGATGAAATCATCAGTAAGACAATACCTGAGTACGCCCTATATTGTCAAAGACGAGCAGTAGAGCACGCAAAAGCACTTGTTACTCTCTTTATAATGGTTCAAAAAATTGGCGATCAAGCACCCCAAGATCCAGGAATCAGTATTTGCATATTTCAATGCACGCGGATCTTGATACGATCTCTTGAAATTGGACTTCTCGGAAGTCATTCCGCCGCTCTCGAGACCCTTTGCGAACTCAAATTGGCAGCGGAAATACTTGTACCTATCACCATGGTAAACCACTCTGCCGGCCAATTGGTTAGTAACACAATTCATTACTTTGCAGGAACCGTTCGCCGCTTCTGCTTCTGTGCTCTGGTGTTCATACTGACGAGGATGAATTGTTCAGTACAAACAGATTAAAAGGCTCATATGCACAGCCATTGCCAGTGGATCCGACCCAAGCTACGAGAGACAGCAGGGATCAATCACAAGAGGCATGCAGAAGGAAGGTATGCGCGATCACAACATACTCGATATACTAGCTCGAATACGTCGACGTGACCTTGAGAGAGGAGAGGAGGTCCTTCAGCACCACCCTATAAGTCCACTTGCCACGGCTTCGAATGAATCAGAGATACTCTCACCAGATGGAGAAACAAATTTGACCAATAACGAAGCTAACAGAAAGGAAATATCAAGACGAGCGCGTTTGGAGGAATCCCTTTGGTATGCGGGACTTGAATCTGAGCAGATGTTTGGCCCACTGGACGCGGTATTCGATGGATTTGGGGGACCATCTCTGACATTGGACTCTCAAGAACTTGAGCAATTATACACGGAACAATTATAATATTGCAGATAAATAGGCCATGTTTAGAACACACATTGACTCAGGTTGTCTCAATTCTGTTCCGGTACTGTTCCTCCGGGCTCTCAAGCTCCACCGGGGGAAATCGAGGATCTTTGTGGAAGGGAAGCAGATCTGATGTGTGCATCATCCAGCGAAACATCTCTGCCTGCATCTCTTGAATAATATGGCCAAATTGCGGGTCTGCAGCCACGTTGTGAAGCTCAGCAATATCAGTTTTCCTGTTGTACAACTCGGCTGGTTCATACAACCGATACACATATGTCCATTCCGCACTTCTCATTGATACTGCCTTTCCGACGATCTCCGTATTTTCGTGTTGCAGAAAGGACTTGATGTCATATGGATAGGGGGCCTGCTCGAGGAGCGGCTCTTCCGACTTGAGAAAACCGCCTTCGGTGTAAGCATATTTCTTTGGATGTTTTCGATTGCTAAGTATTGTCGGCAACAGCGAAACACCATTGTGAGGGAAGTTTTCAGACACCTTGCACATTTCGAGGATAGTAGGGAGCAGGTCGACCATCTCACAAATGTCATCGTTGGTTTTGCCAACAGGTAATCCGGCACCGCCTATGATGAGAGGTTCGCGAGCAAGAACTTCAGAGACGCCGCTGGGCCACTTTTCAATCATCCCATGGTCTCCAAGATACTCCCCATGATCGGTGTAGAATGCGGTGACGGTGTTAGATGCCAAACCCGTTTTTTCTAGTGCGGTCATGACCTGCCCAAATTGCGTATCAAGGCGGGAAATCATGCCGTAGTATGTCGCTGTTATCTCGGCCCAGATCTCATCAGTTGCCCGCTCTGTGCCGTAGCGTTTGCGGTTCTGTTCAAAATATCGCGGTTCGTAGCCTGTCTTCTGCTCTGGCTTGGATGGAACTGGCATTTTCTTGCGGTCATACATGGAGAAGTACGGCTCCTCAACTTGAAATGGGCAATGCGGAAAGATCAACGGTAGGTAAAGAACCCATGGACCTTTGGGCGGCCTTTCTAGCCACTTGATAGCGGATCGCACCGCAGCTTCATCGTAATCAACCGTTTTATCCTGACTGCGGAGACCTTTGTAAAATAAACGGTCCCATATATCTTCTGACACGTCCGCTTCTGCCGCATCCCCCTTTCCAAACTTCGGCATCCACTCTGGGGGCACCAAGAAGCCGTATTCGGTCACGCTTAATTCAGTGACGGTGGGCGCAAAGGTGTCACCCCTAGGAGACAAACAAGCAACGTGGTATCCGTCCTCCTTCAGCGCGCGAAACATGTTGGGCTCCCAGGGTTTGATTAGATTTTCCAAACTTCGATGGCCGGAGACATGTGGATATTGTCCCGTGTATAGTGAACACCGGCTCTGTGAGCACACCGTGGCCTGCAAGTAGCAATTTGTAAATTTTGTCCCACGTGCAGCGAAGGCATCAATGTTGGGCGTGTGGACATGAGGGTTTCCAAAGCAGCCAACAGAGTCATATCGAAGCTGATCTGGCATGAAAATTACTAAATTCGGGCGAGATGCTGCCTTTTGACTTGTCCCATCATCCACCGGACCTGGTTGGTGTTCTGGTATGGGCGATGAAAGCCTAACGGAGGCCATATTGAGTGAAGATGATGCCATTTTTGGTATTTGGTCTTCCTATTTCATCAAAACCCAGAATTTATAATCATGGACTGAGAGTTTGCTTCATACTCAGAGATTTGGCCCTTGGTACCGGAAGCCGGTAGGCTAGTAGCCGGCGACGGGCCGTAGGTAAAGTACCTACCCGGTACTCCGTCTTCCCTAGAGGCACAATAAAGTATCTACCAAGGTGTAGAGCGGCTGCGCTCTGATAAGCCGATAAGCTTGGCGGCCCGGCCAAAGGCCACCACAACAGCAGGTCCAGCGTTACTCGCTTTAACGGCCGGAAATTCGCTGATATACGAAGAAGAGAAGAAGAAGAACACTATATTTTCTCCATGTTAACTCATATTCAATCAAGCAGGCTTGTTTCTTTGGGTGACATAAATAATGCCCGGGCTTTTGCAACTATGACGGATTCCTTATTTTGAGCGAGGGTCTCAATGTGTCCCTCTACCCATGCCTTCCTTGCCAGAACACTGACTGTCTGGGCTCTGAGAACTCCATATGAGCCAGTCTGCATTGGGGAAACATGTTCAACAGTCAAGGTCACAGTCGCGCCAACATTGTCAGGCAAGCCTGGAAAGCAATACCAGCCCAGTCCTTCGTCGAGCATTGCAGCCAGAAGTCCACCATGGACAATCGCGGGATAGCCAGAGACATCCTTTATAAGATAAAAAAACGACACTAAACTACCTCCACTATCATTTGAGAAGACATATGGCGTTATGTATATTCTTTTCAGGCTCGCGAGAGGTCCTGCAGTGAGGTGGTGTTGTCGGAAGTATTCCGGAAAGCCTTGATATCCTCTCAATTCTCGAAATGCTGTATTTTCACGCAGATTTTGGACTACTGGCTGAGATTCGATGAAGTTCGATGAAGTTCTCAACCTCAATTTCAAACTTGGTCATTATTATGGCTAGAATGGATTGGTTTTGGACCGGCGAATAATCAAGAGTAACACTATTGAAAGAACTCACCAAATATAACCTATCCTGGACGTCAGATTTCTCTGAATATGCTCTGATAAATTCGAAAATCAAATTGGAATATACGACAGAAATATGCCCAGGTGCGTAGTTTATTTAAAGGGGCTTACCATCATATTGCTGGGACAAAGAGGCTTTGCCTGGAACTTGATCTACTGTGGCATAATTTCACGCACGGCAGTCGGATAAATAGAACCCACCCTTCTAAGTTCCATGTTTCTTTCCTTGATTGGAATTGTGATATTAGGTACATCACATACACACCCTGCGCATGCCTCCACGGGGCAGACCTGAGCACCCGCGTTTTCCGCAATCGCTGCGTGGTAATGAGTCACTTTTTGATTATTTCAATGACCCTGTTTGCGTCACAAAAGTCCGTGGTATGTCTACCTTGGGTCGAGAACATGGCCAGTGTATCTAGTCTTAGCCGTTCTTCGGCGAGAACTCTCTCCGCCGTAGATGAATCAATGAGACCTTCACCTCAATTATCTTCTTGTCAGACCCAAATCTACAGTGCCAGCAAAAGTGCTGGCTATAGAGGCAATTCCCGTGTATCATTCGAGTGTCTGAAGTCGTCTACTAAATGGCAACCCAGCCATCTCCATTCGACATAAGACGCTCGCCGTTAACAACTTCCAATTTCGGGCCAGACTCTCCAATCAGCCCAATTATAGGAAGCCATACCTCCTTTAAAAATTTGGCTTTCGACGTCCATGTCCTTGAGTGACCACTATGCAAAGAAACATGCAATGCAACGGTAGCCTTTTCTGGTCAATTAATCGATTCGATTGTATAAATCTAGATAACATTATGTCATCATGCATATACATATTTACTTTATAGAACCATATTGTACATGAGAATAGATTACTTATAGAGATCAAATAATTCATCAACTATCGCCACCGCCGTGTTGTCCTCGCCGACTGTACATGCCTCGTCATCACTTTCCCCCACATCGTCACCCCCTGAGATTCTATCTCCTTTCAAAAACGCCTGATCTCTCATCGTTTTCTCCCAACCATGCGAAGCATCCACCCTCTCCCTCCGGTATAAACACCCTTGTTCCCTTCTTTGCATCAACATCGATATGATCATATAATGAGATAATCATGTTGAGGTTCAGATCCTGAGTTGCGCGTCTAGAGAGGTTAGTGGGCAAGAAACAATCTGCAAATTAAGAAAACTTACAAACCATGCCCAATAAACATTGCTATCGTCATGTTTCGACTGTTCCCCACGCCCATCCCAGACAAACTTTAGTAGGGAAATGGGCACATGGTTGCCAAGTCCTCCATGGTGTTTGACATGGTCAAATCGCAGCAACACATAGTGTCGAGCGAACGAAGATAAGGCATCAGCCCCAGCCATAAACAGTGGCATGACCAGCAACTCGATAAGGCGGCAATCTGCAGGAATTTCTGCAACCGCATCCAATATTGCCGTGACTGAGGTTTGTATGATGGGTGCTTGGGGTGGTTGGCTTACATCCAGTAATCGGGATGTGTGTAGTATACATGCATGGCGGAATGCCTCGGCGACTGCACCCCAGCGAGGATCGTCATTTGGATAATTGTCGGGCGTTAGATTCCATGAGAACAACTCGTATCTGCAAGAATTCAGGGAGGTTTGGAATTCTGATTTGGTACTTCTGCCCATAGCATGGCTTTTTGCATGTTCCATGACTTTGCCCATGATCAGGAACAAAGCTCGAGGACAACCATTGACCCGCTCGAACTTCAAGTCTCCAAATGTGGCAATAGACTCTCGGAGTTCAGAAGAGAAGCATAATCGCTGTGGATCTGCAAGTGATCGGATAATGTCCAGCCTATAGCGTGCTCTGAGCTTTGGTCTTGAAAGAAAGCAAACAAAAGCAACTTACCATGCCAGATTGCCCAGGAAGAATACTGTCCGCTCATGGGTCTGATCCAAAGTGCCAGACAAACGCAGCTGGTTGCAAATAGACAGAGCACCTGTGATATGGGCACCATGGGTAGAGATGCTGGATTCAAAGATCTTGTCATAAAATCAGACTTAGTGTCATTGACAAAATGATGTGAGTTGCAACTCACATCCTGAAGCAACAATACTTGAATAGTAGCAAATATCCCATCTCGTTCATTATCATCCAATTCAACCGACAAGCTATTTTGAAGTGTTTCTCCGAGACAACGGATAGCTCTCACTCGATACTCGACAGCCAAGGTTTCTCGCAAGTATAAATCTTCTTTTTGAATTCCCATATGGCATGCCGTCAATCCTAGAACTGCATACAGCAGACCAATTTGTTCATATGCTAGCGGTAAAACATAATCTTGGTATGGATTGTCTGCAGTGGCTGAGACTGCAATTTGATGAGGACATATTATCTGGTCATCTGGTAATGTTCTGGTCAGCCAAAGAATAGCTCAGATGAAAGAGACTCGAAAAACAAACAATATGCTAGCAAGACCTCCGTTCGTTCTAGCATTAACAAATCATCTAATTCGACAGTTCGCCCCCGGATTGGGGCGAGTGATGGCCAACAATTGACCCAATTGCTTCACTATTTCGGCCACTGGTCCGGTAATTATTGTTTGGTTGCTGTGCATTCTCCCCTCGAAGAGAATAGGCTGCACGGTCATTGTCAATTCCCGCCAGCGTCTGGACACCGTGGCTGCGGGATGCAGTGGGAACTGCTTTGTTCTTCCACCTGCCCCGGGTTGCCAGTCCCGCGAAGCGAAATTTATCCGGATAGCCTTTACATTCAAGGCCCTTGTTTATGCATCTTTGGCAGACAGGTTTAGTGCGGTCGCATTTGCGACACTTTTCACGGCATGTTATACAAGCTGGGCCTGGAATATGTCTCAGTGCCATTGCTTCTATATTTGGTGCCAAACTAACCTCCCGTGGGCATTTTATCGCTCAAATGTGAATTTGTTGCGATGATCGCAATTTGAAGGTGTAATGGAGGCGAAATCAGGTTCAAGCTGGGGCAAACGCCACGTGACGCTGCCTAGTATTGAAGCTTGGAGGTTTTTCGAGCCGCTGTGTTCTACATCGTGATAGGAAATATTTCCTCATGATATGGCATCATGTGTTTTGCTGTCATTTTCGAGGACATTGCACAAAAGTGGTGTGTTGGCGATATCCATCAGGCCTCCAATCAACACAAGGCCAACCGATGTCTACATATGTAACTATGTGTACCGCATTTTTCCTGGTGGGTGAGATTCTCTCATTTGAGCTGCTGCCGCTTTAATTAGGACGCTCAGACTCACGCTCTTGGAGTTTGTAGATATCAGCACGAGCTCATAGTCAGTGAGTGGGCACCCAGCTGAGGGGGTCTACAAAAGACTTGGGTAAGATTTTTTAATACTATAGTTCCCTTGCAGATTTGTTCAAATTCCTGTCATCCTAATACTAATTTACATACTCAGAGCCCTAAATTGACCATAGATCCTATCTCTATACAGGCTGACATCCTCGATCGTACCTTAGTGGGCGATTCATTGATTCCAAATCCAGCAGCTGTCAATTCTTCTATCAATCCTATTCATTTAAAAAATATAGAGCTCTTCTCAATAGTTCCTTTTATTAAGTACACTATAAAGGTAGAGAAATAGCTATAGCATACCCTGTACTCCTTGAAAGAGAGGCTGAATATAGTTCCCACTATGGGGGTTCAACTTTAAATAATCCGGCCGGAAAAGCCTGGGAGGCTAGAAATTAGGTAAGATTTTTCTAGTCCCTGCCAAGTCTTTTGAGCCCCCCTCAGCTTGAACCCAATCCCTGCGAATTGTCCATGCCCGAAATCAAGACTAATTACAACCAGGACGGAGTACCGAACCTCAATGACCCTACCATCAGAAGATATAAGATATCGGTTGGATTAAGAACAGACTTATTTTTGAGGATAGTGCTAGACGTAGAAGCCTTCAGCAATGATATTACTCTCCTATCGAGTAACCTGGTCAGCATACACGGTAGAAGCGCTGGAGAATCTAAGTAACGTCTATATTGAATTTTTGAAGATACGTATGCCTCAGATATCCAAGTTGCTTACCCAGGCTTTAGCTCCTACCTCCTAGAGTGAGTATTACACCAATCCCATGTCTCAACCGAATCATTCAGTAGTCTGACTCTTTATCTTCCTCTGAAAGTATATACAGGAGTTCCCTAAGGAACTTGACCAATGTAGTCCGCAAGTCCCAGTATTCCATTTCATATCCATCCGTAACAAGTCTCTTTGAACGGCTCCCCTGTTCTCGTTTGATGATTCCGAATGCTGCCCCCTTCCCTGTTGTCTTTTCTCCCCCTTCTTTCACCTTTTCTTGATCTACCTCATGCAGCATTTCAAATATCGCCGTTGCCTCCAGATAGACAACTGCTAAAGGCCAGGGAAGGACCACAGTAGGCGTTTGAATTGAAGTTTGCCGTGGGCCCGAGTTTCAACCATCCATCCCACGTGCCTCCATGGTCCATACGCAGACATTCAGTGCCGCAAAGTTTGTTGCCATTGATATCATCGAGATACTTCTTGATTGCGCCTGCGATGGTAGCCTGCTGTGCTGTCGTATCGCAGTTTCGGCCGGAGGAGTAGTAGACCCAGGACATGGACTCGTAGGTTCCACGCATGGTGTTGCAGGAACCTTGATCGGACAGTTCCTTGATAGTACTAGCAAGGGATTTTGCCATAGCAATCGCAAAGTTCGTGATCACAACACAGGATGCAGTTGCAGCGAGAATCCGCTCGCAAACTGTAACGGAAGTTCGCTCCACAATGGCATGATCGAAATCCCTTGTCTGAAGGCTGGATTCGGTTGTAGCGGTCTCGTTCAAGCTAATTTGCAACCATCTGTCTGGTGTTGGTTGCCCATCGATAGATGAAGGCCAAGTAGAGGCCTGCGTTGATGTTGAACAACAGTAGATTGCTATCAAGAGGCCTTTGATTAGACGCATAGTAGGCCAAGCTGTTGAAAATGATAAGACCGGCTAAACAACAAAGACGAGCAATATCTGGCAGACGGTCCAAAAGACTGGGCATCGCTTGAATATTCTCAGCAAAGGTAATCAAATAGCACTAGAAGTTTCCGTTCTTTATATCTTTGGTTATGGCCCCCAAAATAATCTGCGACCTAAGGTAGTGTCCGTGAAGATGAAGTCTCAAGACATATCAGCCCAATATCACGCTAAATCCTGTACTCATTTATAGATGGGGCTTTGTAAGACTCTCGGCCGATGATATGTAGTGGGGCAAAATATCGTGGATCGATCTTCAAAGTACCCTGGGTAGAATTTGCCCCGGCCTGATGAACTTTTAGGCTGGATCCTTGCCCAGGCGGCGCAGATAGCTTGCTGACCGGAGACCAAGGCGCCCCAAAGAAGCACAGAGAAGGTCTATATGATTCAATATCGAAGTGAAATGGGTGAACAAAAAGTGTTTATGATTCAAGGTCTTCGAAAGACCAGCAGGACTAAGTATGAGGGATTTTTCGAACTGAGAGCTAGTGATCAGGTGCATGGGCTAAGCTATCTATCCGCATGGCTCCGTTGTTGAACCTGCCTATGGAAAGAGACTCTACAATTCCGGCAAAAATTCGGACAAACTTGAGTAACTAGTTTAGTCGCTATGGTGTACGGAGTGCTCCATACACAAAGCCGATTCATGTTCCAATCACGCTACAAATTACACTGTAGCGGTAGTAATGAATGGTTAAACTGTGGTTATGTAGACAATAAGTCGGTTAAAGGAGGGCCATGTATGCATTTAAAGTGGTGCTTATCTTGGTTGAAGTACGGTACCCTAGGACTGAAAATATCAGCTAACAGATAAGTCCTTCTCCACCTAAAGCCTAGGTCGGCGCGATTCCGAACAGTTTCACAGCCCACAGAAACAGGCGGGTCAAGTAAGAAGCCGCCAGCCAAAGACAGGATCAAAAAGACCGGTATGCTTTACTGGTCAACGAGTTTCCATGATTTTCTTGTTCTCGTCCGAGATTGCAAAGGATTCTGCGATTAAATTGCTCGGAATGTACATTATTACTCTGAAATTTATTTTCAAGATAAATTCATCTGCTACTTTCGTCTGTCACGTCTCAAACTGCGTCAAGCTGTGTCAAGGAATTTAGGGCTCAGGAGAGGTGAATCCGACGAAGTTGACCATCTGGTCAGTTGATTAGCACTAATGTTACACTTACTTATTGACAAACAAGTCATCGAACATACCCAGTTTTCTTGCCTCGTGGTTTGTACGTAAGCACGTATCCATATATCCTCATGAACAGACACGGCGGTCCTAGATTGGCACAACCAGAGTATCACCCAATTGCCCACCATCAATTTGGCGTTGCGAGCGCTCATATATGGCACTGTACTTTCTGGGCATTTTGTGCATGTTGAAGCTGCAAACAAGGTTCTTCTCGATGTGTGCGAACGCCTGGACTGAATAATCAGCCGCGAAGTTTCATGAGCATGAAACAAAAACCACTGGGAAATTGCTACCCCGGCTAGGTCAAAGGAACATTTCAATGTGAGCTGGAAATCGGGAAATGAAGATCTGCGGATAAACAATGCTGGGGCTTTACGAATCATGTGCAAACGAGTAAATATAAACAACTGTTTACTTCAAAAATTTCAGCCTCCTCCATTGCCCTGAAGAGTGTCTGCAGGAGCACATCCACATCTTCCATTCCAAAACTAATCCTCACACTATGTCTTGGAATACCAAGCTTTTCCAGGTGGTCTTGTTCCTCTTATGTACCAAGCTGTGCATAGGCAATTGAAAGCGTAAAAGTTGTCCCTGAACTAAAACCTTTGCAGCTATAGATATCTACCATGTCATAGAACCTAGCAGCAGTGACCGGATTTCGACATATAAGCGACTTACTCCTCCCCACTTCATAGCGCTCCGCTACACATGTCTTGCAAATTGATATCAACGTCTCACAGATATCGACCACCCACAACGCGGCTTTTCTTCTACAGCAATCTACAATGTAAAGTAATGAATATAGACAAGTCAAATTGAACTAAAAAGGCAAGGTAAAATATAAACAACCCTTACCAGGGTCCATTCGGACCGAAAACCAGACTACCAACTCAGAGCCGGGGTATCTTGATCTGCACTGTACAGACAAAAAGGAGAGAAAAAGAGAACGCCTTCCAATCCCAACGGGACATGGAAAAGAATGGCCGCAATCGCTATGAGGGAATGTCGAAGAAAGCAATAAAACAATAAAACAATAATCACCACAAATATACAAATCCAACTCATTTAAGCTGCCCTTTCCTGACAGTCCCAAAACCTTTACTGAAAAGCTCCTGGATCTCAACAGAGCCCCGCCGCCCATCAGGCGCAACGGCAGCCGCCTCCGGCGCCAGGGGAACACTCCCGTTGTGACTCGCCGTTGCGCTGGTACTGGTATACCCGTCCAGTTCTTGTTCCTGGGCAACGGGTTTGTCCATAACGCGCGGACGAGCTAGGAGTTCGCGGACCTGGCGTTCGCGTGCATCGAGTTCGGCGAGTTCCTCCGCCTCGCGCGCAAGTTCGAAACTGCTCTTCTTGGTGCCATGGTCCCAGCCCTGTTGCAGTTCTGAAGCTGCTGCTTCCTCGAAACGTTTGCGAATATCGAGGTCTTGTTCGTACTCTTGGAAGATGTCGACGTCTGTTGGGAAGAAGAGGGCACGCAGGGTGGAGACCGTGAATTCGAATAAAAGGACAGAAAAAACGGATAGCAAGAGCACGGTCCAGAAGAGAAGGTTGTGCCCTGTATGTTGCAAGAAATTGCCTGGGACGAAATATACGCCTTTGCCGGATGACATGGTGTATTCGCGATCGAGAATCATGTCCCAGACGAACCAGCCGCCGACGGAGATGATGATCACTGCCACTGACATCCAGGTTTTGTTGTGGACTTCAAGCGCTTGCAGTTTGACGTTGATGACGATGATACAGGCAGAGAAGGTGAGGAGACCGAGGGAGAATATGTCGTTGTCGCTTGGGTTAACGCGCGCAAGACCGTATAGTGACCACATTGTGAAGAAGATGATTACTGCTTCGCAAGTTGCCATAAATGACCAGCCGAGGTACAGCCAGATATTGAAGCCGCCATGCTTTTGTCCTTTGGTGTAAAGTTCCGGCACGGCGAGTAGTGTTGAGGCCGCGAGATCCTTTGTGAAGATTCCAAGGAAAATCACAGCAAGCGAGGTGAAGAGAGTATTGAACATACTTAGACTCCACGGCTCGTATAGACTGGTTCCGGTGTAGCCGTTCCAGCGCTGATACAGCGCCTGGGTCAAATAGAATAACATCTCTTTCCAGAATGTGCCCAGCGTATACTTGCAAGCTCGCATGTAGTTCCAGCGGCCGTGCACGAGGAGAAGCTTGAGGAGGAAGCGGAATTGCGCAATTGAGTAATCCGATATACGTGCTGCTTGCAGTCCTTCCTTACCGGTAATACCGATTCCAACGTGTGCCTCCTGGATCATAGCAATGTCGTTTGCGCCGTCACCGATGGCGAGGGTGATAGCGTCGTCGAGGTGTTTGCGGATAGAGTTGACAAGGAAAGCCTTTTGTTTCGGGCTGGCGCGGCAGCAGATCACCGAGTCGGCCTTGATGGCGAGCTGGAAGAATTTCTCACGCACAACGTCGTCCACTTCGATAGAGGAGAGCGTCTGGCCGTCGACAACGACCACGGAGTGGGCCACTCGACCGCGGGTGATCTCCGCGATAAGATGATCGATAGTCTGCTCAACGTCGCCAATCTCTTGATCCAGGATCGTCAAAGTCGAGTACTCCTTAACAAGACGACACGAATGTCCAACGTTAATAGCAGTTTCGCGCTTATCACCGGTCAACATCCACATCTTGATATTTGCTCGCCGCAACTTATCAATAGCTTCTGGCACACCCTTCTGCAATTTGTCCTCAATAGCAGTAGCGCCAGTCAACTCAAGCATCTGCTCGATCTCTTCACCAACCTGCTCAATCTTCTCCTGTCGATCGACAAGGCTAGTACAAGCCTCTTGGTACGCAGCCTTCCAATTCGAATAAGTCTTCTCATCGATGAACCTATGACCATACAACAAAGTCCGCAAACCGTCAGTCGCAAAGTCGTTCAGGTGTTGGAAGCAGCGCTCAAAGATAGCAGTCTCATTGACAACCAGCGCTTCCTCAACAAGATCCTCATCCTCTTCGCCATTCGTTGAACTTCCAGAATCCGAGATAGCAGCTGAGGGTCGGCCCATCTGTGCTGATGGCCGAGGGCTATAATACTCGATATCAGCCTCGCGATTCAGCATGCCGCCATCCGTCTCGCGATCCTTCAGCCAAACATCAATACTGGCACGAAGAGCCGAGCCTTGTTGGCCCGTGATCGAAGAGCGACGACGTGTAAAGCTAGGTCTCGACATGCTGCTGCGCACGCCAGAATTTTTGCGACTATGATGCTCGCTGTTGCGTCTGATGACCTGGTTGGCTTCGGCGTTTTTGCGTTTGCTGGCGCGGCGCTCGATCTCGTTGGCCTTTTCTTGTGCCAGGGCTGCTTGCTTGAGGAGGCGCATGAGCGTTGTATCAGCACCTTTGCAGAAGAGGCAGATGCGCTGGTCGGGCATGCGGACAATGACAGACATGCGCTTACGGGCGCTTGAGAATTCAATAACGTCCATGATTTCGTAGACTTCATCGTTGATTGTTTGATCGGGTCCGTTGGGTTGGGTACGAATTGTGAGGGTGTTGGATTGGCGGTCGTGGACCAGGTAACCTAGTTCCTGGGCTGCCATGACAAGGGCGAGTTCGTCTGGCGATGAGGCTTGGAAGGTAGTATTTCCGGCTTCGTCTTTTTCCGGAATGCAAGTGTGACAAAGGGCCATAGACAGGATGAAGAGCTTGGCTTTCCGGGCAAAGATGGTGTATGGCTTGCGCTGGATGTAGTCGATCATCTCGGCTGTGCGGTGAGTGGTGGCAGAGCGGCCAGGGCGGATGGGTTCGACAGCCCCGGAGACATTCGAGGAACGGGGCATCTGGACCTCTGAAACATTCGATTTTCGACCGATGGCCTTCTTGCCCTTGGTGCGTCGCTTCTTGTGGATTAGCTTGGTGTGGTCGCCTTCGCGAGCAGCTTCCTCTTGGAGATCGGCATCGTGCAACCACGCAGTACCAGCAACACTCATCTTGCGGAAGCGCATCGAATTGTTCGTCAAGGTACCAGTTTTATCAGAGAAGATATAGCTGACTTGACCAAGTTCCTCGTTGATAGTTGATGTCCGAGCTTCGAGTGGAGTGTCGGTTTCAGGGTCATACATATCGATATCATTCAGAAGCAGCATCTGAGCAACTTTCACGATTTCCATACTCACGTACAGCGAGATAGGAATCATGGTGTTGAACATGATCAGGAACGAAGTGAAGATAGGACCGTAGCTCACGGAGGCATCGTTGAGATACCAGGACTTCGATTCCACGTCCCGAGACCAGAACCTGTAGGCCACGGTGCAGACAACAGCCAAGATAACAACCAGAACGACGATCAGCATCACAACGCGGTTGACCTTAGCTTGGAGTGAAGGCTTCTTGATACGTGGGTTTTTGTTGGCGTTCATGCGAATCTTGCACTCCTCGCCAGTATAAATCACCATACCGAGAGCACGGTCCGTATTGCGAAGAATACTACCACGGTAAACGATCTCGTTGTTGGTCAGGGGTAGCTTCTCCTGCGCGTTGACTGTGACATGGCCATCGAATTTGTAGAGATCGAGATTAGGGTCTTCCACGACGAAATGCAATGAGTTGCTGGTGATGTCCTCGATTGTGGAGCAGACCTTGGAAACAGGCTGGCAAGGCTGCTTATTCTTGAGATTGGTCTCACCGTCAAGAGCCATCGTCTCAATATAAGCAACACCATTAGGTCCGCTGGCATGGAGCAGAGCGATATCGGCAGGAATGGGTTGATCTCGCTGGAGCTTGATCACATCTCCGACACGAATTTCCTTCCATTTAATCCGCTCCCAATCTTGAGAATTGCTGATCACAGAAGCACCGTCTGAAGTATTTCCATGGCCAGGTCGAAGCACCCAAGCCTCGCGATTGTTCTCTTCTTTGTCAAGACGATACCGGCGCCAATCATCGAACCCTTCCTTACCCATGGAAATACCAACGAAAATCAAAAGCGGAACAATGGTCGTATAAGTTCCCGTCGTACTGAGACCAGGAATCATCTGCAGGATAGCGACGACCAAAAAGTAAAAGTTGGCTACTTTGGTGAATTGCGCAAAGAATTGTCGCGGAAAGAAACTCCAAAGACTATACCGGCTGGACCGAATGTAATTCCCAATATAAGACTTCCCAGTCCGCTCATCGAGCATAGCATCCACCAAAGCAGGATTCAAATCGATATGGCGACCATCCTCCGTAGGCGGGATGTCCTTGATGCGCAGCACGAATTTCTGCACAGATGTAAGAACCGCCTGCAGACGCGCAACAGCCAAATCCTTCGTCGCCACTTTCTTCGACCAACGCTCCTGCGCAATATCCTTCAATCCTTTCTCCGAAGGCTCAGACGAGACATGCGTCGAGAGCTCCTCCTTGTGGGTCGAATCGGCCGCTGTCGGCGCGGTGGTCAATGTATTCTTCTCATTCACGGACGTAGGCGCATCCGGTTCCCGAACCTCACCCAGTTCAGCTAGGGCGAGGTCATCCTCCGCAGCAGTGGTAATGGTCTTATTAAATATCGAGCGACGGAGCGAATACCCACGGTTTCGCGAACGAGACCGACCAGCGGGCTCGGGCGCGACGGGGGAGACGGGGGAAAGTGTATTTTGGGCATTTGGAGGCGAGAGGGGCGATGTAGGCGATCGTGCAGCAGTATTAACGGTCGGAGGCGCCAGCGCTGTGTTGACGGTCAAGTTTCTGGGAGGGGGCCTTGGTTGGCGATTTTCTTCTGCCGAGGGGCGATCGAAGTCGGTCGAGAAGCGGACATGTTGAGATGAGATGCGGCGACCGGAGTCCGAGATGGCTCGTGAGACGAGTGATGGGCGGCGGAAGGCGTCGTCTTGAGATTGTTCGGAATGGCGCTCGGGGGAGCCCTCGGCCTGTGGTTTGTTGGACATAACGGGCTGGAATTCCTGCCTGCGCGGGACAGGCCCGACGATCTCGGTACTGCTTTTTGCGCTCCGAGATTCTGTTGACTTTTGTCTCTGGTGCTAGGGCTGGGCTCAAATTAAAATAAAGATATCGATCGAACTGGGCATTCTGATCAGACTGTCACTAGTCCACGAGAAAGTTCCCCTATCGCAAAAACGAGGGTGATGCGGTTGCAAACGAAGGTCCGACGCAAGGATTACCGCAGGGTGCAATGATGGTGAACCTTTACAGGAAAATAAAAAGAAAGAACAGAGCAGAGAACACAGAGCAGAGAATAGGAAACAGAAAACAGAAAACAGAGAGGGCCACAAACACTCAGCCAAGAACAACTGAGGCGAGGACACACGGATCCGGTACCTAGGTAAAGAACCCAAAACGGTCTAGTGTTCCAACTTTTCGAGATCCCCTAAGACACAAGAGACTCAATGATATACAATATTATACGGAGTAGATATGTGAGCATTCAATTCTGATAGGTATAGAAAAAGTGGAAAAATGGGTTAAGGCAAGTATAGCAATTTAAAACTCTAACGGGAAATGGTTCAATCCAAGTGGCTCCAATGCTCAACCATAGGCATCAGCCATTCAATATTGTACAGAAGTATGCCTAACCTCCACTATGATAGTCCCTACAGTACCACCAGGCACAGCCCCCTCATCCACGCAAGTCAATTTAAGAATAAACCGAAACATTATCTGAACCCATGGGGCGTGACAGTCAGGCCCGCCGAACCCGTACTATGCCTCTGGCCATTGGCCACTCACATTCCCCGGGTATGCCAAACCCCCAGAGTTGGTCTGGATGCGTCTTGAAACTAATTTCCCATTACGTTGTAGTGGCAATCTTTGTTTAGAGAAAAAATCGAAAGGTTCCACCCATTTCGTACTATCATTGGTCTGATTCTGGTGGCTTGCACGTGTACGGAGTAATCAATTAAGGCTTAATAAGTCCGTGGGATGGAGTACAGAGCACAGTATACCACCTGTAGTTTATCATAACGGACCATAAACCTTCGTGCATATATTTACCTGCTCCATGATATGGCGCAAACTCCCCTGGTCTTTCTCCAATATCTATACGGAGGAGAAATATCTTCGTTGGCTACAATATTCATTAGTTAACCATAATCCAAGTTCACCTAGTTACATAGTAGGCAGCCATAATTCTCTATTACATAATCATGTCATGCGTGCCCCAAAAAGGGCTCCTCGAGCGCTAACTCCTCCTCTTAATGCAAGACTTGCATGGTTAAACCATGTGCTCAGCCGAGTATCAGGTATTTCGCAATTATAGCGATCGTATGGCGCATGAGTTCCAGTTGAGAGTAATAATACGACTCGATCGGTTATTTGTCCTCCTTGTCAACCGTACTTAGCTCGCGGGATAAGCGGTGCTTATTCACTTGTAAGTTTATCACACCCGCTATCTCTCGTTTTAGTAGAAAAGATGGTGCGTGATAATTACCTTGCGATAAGTATAAGGTATTAATCAGCCAACCATCTCCCTTAAAGTGGCCACTTAATATCGCGGAACACATCTGCTCCTTGTTCATCACATCACGCTGAGTGCCATTGAAATTTACGCTAATCAGAATGACTGCCAGTCGCTTCGATGTCTAACCCGATTAAAGGGCATGGATCTTCATTTATCAATCGTCTATATGACAAGCAACCTTTTACTTTCTAGATTGGGACGGCCTGTAGACCATCGATCCTTCTTCGGGTGCAGCAAGTGGCATCGCAGTTGATTAGTTGAACGCAGCCATCGTCCAAAATATGAAAAACATCTTCAATTTCTTGATGAATTGGCCTGCAGTTCCAACCACAAAACTTGCCACTACCTAAAACCTGGTTGAATGATCTTCCGCAAACAAAGACCTATCAAGAATCAGTATGATAGCAATGAATGCAATATTTCCAGAGAATGTAGAAAACTTAGTGCTAGCGTGGAGACAAGCCTAGAAAGCAGAATACTAGGCGTCAATACTATTCTGATCATTTAACGCAGAGAAAGTAGCTGATCTTGAATCTTATAACTGGGTGAATGTGTCAAGACGTATTGCGGCATTTCAACAGAAACTCCACTATTTCGTCGGCTTTCTTTCCGAATAGCTGCGCATTGCGGCTACTTAACCGTTCGGGTAGATCCTTTGACGTCGGCGATATCAACAAAATTATATAGGGGTCACCTGCCCTGCATTTTGGCCTACAGATACGCACTGCGCGCCTAGAATTATCCGTAACGGTGCTGCTCATAATGAAGGGTTTGTATTCAAGGATAAGCACCGTTGGTGGCCTTTCGGCATTCTTACAGGGCATTGGTTCCTAGAAGAGTGGAAGCTTTCAGCGTTTTGACGGCAACATGTCCTGGTTCTTCTCATGTTGGCTATGGTAATTCGATGCTCAGTTTCTTGCGCAGATACGAAAGCTAACGATACTCCAGGGGCGGTTCGCATCGAGCGTCAATTCTATGAGCTCGGCCAGGTATGCGCAAACGCTTGCGATATTGCATTGACCAATTTAGATACTCCGCTACCAGTCCAAGACGTCAGCTATGATGGCCTTCGCGAAAGATTACTGGAGCATGGAGCTATTCTAGATGTATCTCTGGTAGGCCAGATTTCAGATTTCAGTTTTCTCTAGACCCGGGGTAGTGAAATTTTTAGATCAGCTATAAAGGGCGGGTTCTGGCTTCTCCTTCAGGCCTAGCCAGTATTTACATTTTACTAGTCCAAAGCCAAATTATGGTTTGAGTCAGCGCAATTTTCAACAGGAGTCGTGCTTATGATACCGGACTCGTACGTGACCTACGGGCTGGGGGTTGGTCGCTGATATCAAGAGAAAAACTACGATCAGGCTTGGCCGAATGAAGTGCCACAGCCATTTTGGCAAAATTGGGAACCTTAAAGGATAGCATTGAAGATAAAGTTGAATTCAAAAAATCAAAGTTCATGGTCATCGTGAAGAACCAATCCTCCCGTCTTCACGGTGGAAACCCGTAAAAAGGCACGTATAGCCACTAATAAGGTGGTTTCTGCTGACCATATCCTTGCTGCTGGCCATGAGCCGGTGGCTGCTGTTGACCATGGGACGGCTGCTGGCCATACCCTTGCTGCTGACCATAGGCCTGTGGCTGTTGCCCATACGCTGGCTGTTGACCATACCCTTGCTGCTGGCCATGAGCCGGTGGCTGCTGTTGACCATGGGACGGCTGCTGGCCATACCCTTGCTGCTGACCATAGGCCTGTGGCTGCTGCCCATACGCTGGCTGTTGAACATACCCTTGCTGCGGCTGGCCATAGGCCGGCTGCTGGCCGTAGCCTCCGCCTCCACCACCGGAGCCTGGGGCAGGACGGTTGGTTGTCTCGTCCTTGGTATCATAGGATTGGTCAATGGCGCCGAGCATGAGTTTAGCACACTAGAAAAGTTAGTGCCAATTTTTTGTAGAATGTATGGAGAACGTACCCAAAGCTCTCGAGTCAGATGTACAGGTGGGTTCGCGCGGGACATTTCATCCTGCTCGACCTCGAAATCTAGAGCGTGTTAGTCACAAAAATATACATGAATTTCGTGTCACTCACTGGAGGTGCAGTCGATCAAGTGACCGATGTTAGGGTCCTCGTCGAGAGTGCCCAAGAAGTCGCGAGCACGCTGATCGGTGCCAACCTGCGAGAACTGGAACTTAACAGCACCTGGGCCATATTGGGTCTTCCCGACCTCAGTCGAAGCGTAGATAATAGCCTCGCGCACCTTGTCTCTTGGCTCACCAGCCGGTTGTCCATCGGTAATGGTGATAACAAGCACGGGCTTATCAAGTCTTCTGGCACGGGCAAGTTGCACGATCGGGTCAACGACCTTCGACCTGAGGCTTGTGCCAAGAGGAGTCAATCCACTGAATCTGACACGAGAAACGAGGTTGAGAACGTCTTGCGTGTTGCGAATGCCATCACCTGTTTCGGCAGAGTTCATGAAAAAGATGGAAATACCGTTCTGGTCGAAGGTTGAGGCAGCGGTCGCGACGATGCCGAGAATCTGTTTCAGCTGATCCTTTCGCATTCCATTCTCTTCAAATTCGATGGATCCGCTGTCATCTACGTACAGGACTACGTCGAAGAGTGAGAGCTTCATCAAATCCGTCGCCACCTCCATCGGGACGGACCACTCGCGCATAATCTTTTCGAGCTTGAACGGTGCCTCGGCGGCAAGCGTCTGCACGAGTCTGTCGAGGCGCTCGCGTGGGTAGAAGCTTCCGATATTATTCTCTTGGATGGTGGACACCAGTAGTGAGTGGTATGCTGCGACGTTTTGCTGGGTTGCGGGAGGGGCCGCGCCGCCGGACGGTGCACCATATTGGCCGGGTGGTCCTCCAGGTCCCTGGTTTGAGCCCTGGCTACCGGGGTACGGAGAACCCTGAGGGGGCTGGGATGTCTGAGGGTACGGGGGTGCCTGGTTCTATCTAGGTCAACATGTGTCTTCCAAAGCGATCATCAACGGCGCGAGGCAATAATCAAACACAACATGGAGGGCAGTGCAGCAATGTGGGGGTATGGGGAATCCTGTACATTAGGCGGCTGTCTAGGGTAGTGTTGCTGTCCAGGATATCCTTGTGCGGGCTGTTGACCAGAATAGTACTGTCCAGGTTGTTGTGGGTACGGTGTACCCGATCCATAGGGCTGTTGAGCGTTTGTCTGGCCCGGGTAGGGGGAATTAGTGGACGCATATGGCTGCGGAGGTGGGGGTGGACGGTTGTAGCCCTGGCCTTGGGGAGATGCGGGGTAAGGTGAATGCGACTGTGTGGAATAGGATGTCGATGGAGCCGGAGAATAGGAAGTGTAGGGGGCGGATGAGCCGTGATATCCTTGGTATGGTCCTGACATTTTTGATGGTCGAACGAAACCAAACTAATCGCGTGTGGTGTGGGAGTGTAGCGTGGGGAGAAAAAATAGATGTGAAGGGAAAAACAAACACAAAAATCGAAAGGAAAAAAATAGCTTACCGATCCTTGGGAGGCTGCCTTGCCTGGATAAGCTTGATACTGAGGCTGAGCCTGATTCTGACGCCGATTCTAATGATTAGCACTTGGTTTTTTGTTTTTTGTATTATTTTTTTCTTCATAAATGTTATGACGTCAAGGAGGCGAAGTAGAGAACAGGAGATTTAGTCTGCAGCTGATGACTTACATTGCCGACCTGCAATGCTGCAGGAGTAGATCCAGCAGGAGTAGGTCCCCCAGTAGGAGGAGGTCCCCCAGGGTATCCTGATGGAGCACTGCCTACATACGTGCCACTGTTACCCCCAGTTGGGTTCACTTGCGAGGCGTTTTGTGCGGCGGCGAGCTTTTGAGCGAACTAATGAGATATTAGATTGTTCTCTTGAAAATTGTAGGACCGTGAACTTACACCCATGATGTGACTTGAGAGGAGAGAAGAGGAGAAATAGAAAACGATGGATGTCTCACGAGTTAAATAATGAAGTGTTTACCGCCCCTCCTAATTAAGGCTGAGCCGTATAACACCGGTACGGAGTACCTCGAGAGGACTTGGCGTTCGGTGAAACTCTCACCAAGAACCGGTACCTCAAAGTGCAATACATATAAATACAGACATGTACATATGTACATGTTTTGTTAATAAAGTACGTGATCAACTACATATGCATGTACATGTATGTATGTATGTATGTGCCCAGTCTTGCACAAAGTTCCCCGCGGTATTCTGTATCTTCACGTCACTAGCCCTCAAGGTTTCTATGCTTAATTCAATTAGTTCCAATACGAAGACGGAACATACAAACAATTACTAATGAAACTCCTTACTTCACTAATATAGTTCATAGAATTCACAGATTTCATATATCTCATAGTTAATTAGATGAAGCTCAAAGTTGTATGCGAAACAGCTAGCTTGCCGCCTAGACAAAAGGACAGTCCTCGGGAAGCGCTGGGTGAGCTTAGGCGCTGTTGGAGGATGCCTAGGTGGATCCACAACATAATCAAACAAACCACCTCAATGCCCACGGGCCCTGTCATCGACAATTTCCCAAATGGGAGACTGAAATTAAATAATTAAAGTGACGTGATATTAACTCTCAAACAAACATAATTAATCAGCGGTATAATTAACCATACCATGTGTCCAATGTGCTGGTTTCCTAACTTAAAGACTATAGATAGGGTATGGGATGAGTATATGGTTGGGTGGGCTGTTGAATTTGAACTCTGACAAAATTATATTTCTTACGTAGGTATTAGACATGGAATAGCGACGCTAGATTCATGATAAAACTAGATAATATAGAATTTAATCTGGCTGGCTGCACCATCGATGTGCGCCGGCATTTGTATTTACCGTAGCATTGTGCGAACTAGTGCGCTCAAAAGAGACTCAATCGGAATTATCGAATTGACACTCAAGTCGCCAAGTTTATGGCACAGTCTGCCTACCTCCGCGAAGCCTGAGTGATACGGGTCTAATCATCCTTCATGGACTACAAGGTTGCCACGATTGACGTCAAGCAGATCTTCAGGGAGTCGGGAGCGGACATGGTTTGATGGTTTCGGATTAACATGTTATAAATATTCGGTGGCGTCCGCGGATGGCCCGCTACAAAACATCGGGTATCGGGCCGACTTGTTCGACCTGGCGGGGTACAATCGTCTCCCGGAGCACTACCTACAACTCTCCATATCAAATTAGACTTCACTGTACACGCTCCCTGGTGTTCGTTCTCTTAACTCTCTTTCTCCCGATATACCATGGATATAGCCAAAAAGTTCGAAAATGCTTCCTCCGGCGAAGTGATCAAATGCATAGACATGCACACAACAGGTGAACCAACCAGGATTGTATATGCAGGATTTCCTCAACTCCACGGAACCCTCCTGGAGAAGCGTGACCAAGCCAAGAACAAACACGACAACATCCGGAAACGCATCATGCTCGAGCCGCGAGGCCATTACGATATGTACGGAGCGATTATCATCACAGACACGGAACTCGTCCAAAGCGGAGAGGCCCACATAGGTACCCTCTTCACGCATAATGGGGGGTTTTCGACTATGTGTGGTCATGCCACTATTGCACTAGGTCGGTTCCTCGTTGATACCCATGACTTGACGGTATTTCCGAAAAGAAATGAATTAAAGATCGACTTGAAGAGTCAGCAAGTTGAAGTCAAAATCCATGCTCCTTGTGGGCTGGTTCGTGTTACTGTGCCTACCTCTGCGGATGGAAAAGAGTCTGACCCTTCGCGTCCGGTAACCTTCGTCTCGACGCCTGCTTATGCTGCCGCGATCGGTCTTGAGGTTCCGATTCCTGAGAATCTGAGGTGGCCTCAGCTTGCCGGGCAAGACTCGATTACCCTAGATATCTCCTACGGTGGCGCGTTCTATGCACTGATTGATGCTCGTGAGCTTGGGTTTGACGGCCTGAGCAAAGTCGATCTGACATCTATTGGAAATGTAATCAAGGGTCTCAAGGCTTACTTGATAACTCAACCGGATGTTGTTCAGGCTTTGCAGCACCCTGAAGATCAACGGTTGTCTTTCCTTTACTCCATCATGGTAGTGGACCAGAGTATTGGATCGAGGCCACCAGGCGTGGATGGTGCAGAGACTGGTCTTTGCTTCTTCGCTGAGAATCAAATCGATCGATCTCCGACTGGTTCTTGCGTCACTGCTCGCATGGCTCTTGCCCATGCGAAGGGTATTAGGCCATGCAATCAATTTTGGGCTTATAATTCGCTTGTATCTAATCATTTTGATACTGGCGCTTTTACTGCTTCCATTGTTGAGGAGGGAATTAAGATACAAGGAGAGAATGGTCCAGAAAGACAGGCAGTCGTGGTTCGTGTTGAAGGGCAAGCATATTATACCGGTGCTCTGAGCTTCATTGTTGAGAAGGATGATGTGACCAGCGAGAGTGGGTTTACTATGGGAGGTTGTGCACAATGGGACATTTGAACTGTCATCAAACTCAAGCATCTTAACAGAAGGCATACCCAGAAGCCTCCACGGCAGGGTGAAAGTGATACAGCAATTAGACCGAAAGTGTGATACACTGTGATCCCTTCGTTATAAACCTCCAGTCAAAGTTCTCTTGCAGCATAAAACAAATAATCTTAGGAAACATGGCAAGCGACCATTGATTTCTTCTCAATACTATCTCCCAACACTGAGAAACTCCCATGCAGTCCCTTTGCCACTGGGGCTGGAAACCAACCTTCTGTCATCGTAGTTTACCTGTATCGGTTCAAACCAAACTCTCCAATAAGATTGTCACATAACAAAAAGCATTTGACCTCCAGTAGTAAGGCATTGCCTCGGAAAGAAAAATGCCCCTTTACTATCCTCATGCTTCTTCGCTGTGGCCACAAATCCCCCGCGGTCATCGTGCCCCAAAAAGGTCCCTGAAGCTTCATTTTGAAATCCGAACTACCTGTCTTCGTGCTCTTTACAATGCCAGTACAAGTCACGGCCACAATTTATGTCTCGAGCAAGCAAGCATGATTCGCCATTCTTAATCGCAAGGTAGAGGTTCGTTTGGGGATCGCGAATTGTGTATGATTGCCCCGGACAAGGCGCCTGTCCCAGTATCCTCGTACTTGACTGGTCAAAGTTTCCCGACACGCCTGGGACTTCGGAATAATATGAATCAGTTGGTGTGATGATTCCGGTAGAATCCCCGTTTTAGATGATATTGAAGTATGATACATTGTTGTGGGGGCTAGGAAGGGGTTCCTGCCTTCATTGGCGAGCTGTCAACTTGGTAACCCAACTCGCTTCTTATTGCCTCTCTATTTAGCCTTTTCAAGATTAATTTTTAGATGAGTGACGATCGGATGAAAGAACTTACAAAATTTACGGTGAGGATCAGAATAATGCTCTAGAGCTGTGGTCTTTTCATAGAAGCGGGGCAGTACGCTGATGCGAAGGCACGTGGTGTAGAAAGCTCTGTCAAGTGATCACCTGCGACTTCTATGTAAGCGCCATCACTATCAATCAAAAGATCCGATTTCAATCAATGATGGGAGATTATTCTTTCAAGTTTGCTGATAATAAATCTTATATACTTGCCTAGTGCGTTAGTAAATCTATCTGTTCCTGGTTCATTCTCTCTATATAATCTGGACCTCGGTAGCGTTCGTTGTACCTAAGTAATTAAAGGCGACGGCATGTTATTAATGAGAGACGCAATTGACTAGAGGACTACCTGCATGTATAATTGTAAGAAACCAGCCGAGGCGAAATGAGATAGCGTCGAACTAGATTTAAAGCTATTACTGATACTAGCCAATCATCATCTCGGCTAGACTGGAGATGATCGAACCGTAGTGAACTTCGCGGAGAAGCTTTCCCGAAAAAGAGGGCATCAGGTTAGAACTACCGCGCATCACTATATTGTGGGGCACTTGGCTTTATTGATGAGGCATATTCATATGATTTTTGCGTCTGCTTTGTTCAATTAAACCAATTCCTTGTTTATAATCATGTTTTTCTACAGATCACAATGCAAGAAAAAGAATGAAGAAATGTCGAAAAGGTCATTGATAGGTAAAGCGAGCAGTCCCACTCTGAGTGACATAACAGACTGAATGAGCGATGGTCAGAAAGGCTTTGAAGATCAATTTACATCACACAATATGTCACTGAGCCCTGAAATGGATATGCAGTTGAGTGACCTGCCGTCAACATCGGTCCCCGACCCGGTTGAGCTACCGAACAGCATACGTCGATCCCCACGGAATCATGTTGCCTGTGATGCATGCCATATCCGCCGTGTGCGATGCGACCTGGTATCCCCGCGACCTTGTTCAAACTGTCTGCTCAAGAGCCTGCACTGTGGAATTACACGCAAGCAACGGAAACGAGGACGCAGGGCACGATCCGAAGTGGCACATACCGAGGTATATGCACCGCTAGGTTGCAACAATGGAAGCCAGGTGGACGATAAACGGAGTCCTGTATCGCTACCGGCCATGTCAACTACGGGTTTTACTCCCACCCCAGCTTCAGTCACGCAATCGTTGTCGCCAGAAACCAATGAAATCGATACTCTGTTGGCTTTGTGCTCTGAATACTGTAGCTCTGTTCCAAATTCCTCACAGGCCGCAGCAGAACCAGAGGTGCATATCGCAGATAAATGGCTATCGACGATTGATCTGTCCAGGAATTTGCCCGACTTGAGTGCAGAAGATGACAGGCCTCTATCATCACTGTCAGGTAATTGGAAACCGGTCAATATGACTCCTAACATCCCGAGCCAGATATCTCCAATGATATTGTCTTCACCAGCAACAAATCGCCTGGGTCAGGAACATGATCCAAGTACATCGCCGCCGTTGAAATACCCTGTTTTGAAGGCCGTGATGCCCATTCTGGAAACAAACCTGTCTCCACAGCTTGTGTGCCATTTACTCGAACTTTATTTCACTTGCACATTTCCAAATCAGCTGCATATGGTATATCGCCATTTTCCTTGTTACATTTTGCGCAAGCGCGCCTTTCTGACCGATGAATTTCGACCCACCAGCCCTGCACTATTGACAAGTATGCTTTGGACCGCCGCTCTGGATGATCGGGCCTTTTCGTTATCGGTCTCATCCTCGCAAAAAAGCAAAACTTGCCAGTTCCTCGGCAATTTGACGAGAACGTTGCTACGAGGTTCGGATTTCGAGGGACCTTCTTTGGCTGAGTTTGGAAGTCCATCAACGGCTGGTCATCTGGACCGCGTAATCACTTACATACATATTGCGTCGATTTTCTCCACTGGGCAAATTGCCTCAAGCACAACGTGGTATGTTATCTTCTGTCCATCACATGTTACCTATTTCCTAATTGCTTATTAGGTGGAATGCGGCCTTTGCTCTAGCCCGACAGCTCAAACTGAATCAAGAGGTGGAGAACGCGCCATATGTCAATAATCAAACCAATCAAGCCTTTTGTCAAGGGCTAGTATTAGATCGGCCAAACGAACCTACCCATTTCCATTATGAAGATGCACAGCCAATTCTGGATTGCATATGCGAGGAAATCCACGACCCAAGCTATCTCGCTTTGACACAGGAGCACCACGAAGAGCGAAGGCGAACATGGTGGCTGCTTTACATTATGGATCACCATTTTGCGTTGTCTGAGAAACGCTTGCCACATTTGCTTGATGCCGAGTGTGAAAATCTGCTGCTTCCACTAAATGAAGCCTCTTGGCAGGACGGTGTTGTTCACAATGACAGATTCAGTCGTCCGGGGCCTCGATGTGTTCACTCAAAACACCAGATCGAACATCAAATCTTCCCCGATTTTCGCTGTCATGATTCTTCATTCTTTGGGTTCTTTCTTCCGCTCATGGCAATTGCCGGGGAGATATCGAGGCTCAAATATGGGCCGTTGCAATGCGATGAAGCATACGAAATTCAAGAGACTGAAATACGACGGCATCTCGAGATCTATCAGACTAGTTTGATCACTCTTGGGGCATCTCCAGCGCCGCTAATTGTCGACCCGGAAGTGTCTGACCAACTTGTCAACGCACAGCCATCACAGGATTACGCTTGGCAAACACAAACTGTGATTGCTTACTCGTCATACCTAGCCCACGTTTTCCATATATTGCTAGCGGGAAAGTGCGATTGGCTATTCTTAATGGAAGATCAAGAATTTTGGACTTCTCCAGTCTACGCATCTACAATCTTGCACATAATAGATGCGGCATTTTCGTTACAGCAGATCTTGAAGTTTGACCCGGACATCAGCTTCATGCCTTACTTCTTCGGCGTTCAGCTATTTCAGGGGAGTTTGCCGGCACTTTTGATTGTAGAGCGTCTTCAACAAAGGTCCGGCGAGGATCTTCTCAGTGCCTGCGAGATTATAATACAAGCTACCGAATCATGCATTGTCACGCAAAGTACATTTTATCTGAGGATGTTTCGGCAATTGTTACGCAGCGCAGTCTCACAGGCTTGGGGTCGTCCTATGAGTGCTGATGAGATTCGACATCGCCGCAAAGCAGTATTCGCTCTTTGGCTTTGGACACGAAAGGGGACAAATTGGCCTGCTGAATTCGATATTCCCTGTCAAGCCTGATTGATCAGTATTCTCTCTTCTCATTGGACCCTGGCGGCATGGGCAGCAAATATACATCTGAGGTGACATAAAAGCCACACCACTGTGCATGGAGTAGACTCCAGACAGGTATCATTTATTTGCTAGACTCTCCCAACCGTATGGATTCACTTACTTAGGGGTGCGAAGTAACTGTTGATTCCGAATTTGTGAAAGGGCTTGACGTACGGGGGCACATAAAAGTAATAAATGTATAACTACCAGGTAACGACAAGGTAATTATCCTTGACAGTATGTGCAAATTTCCACATCAGATTTCGAAATTGAATCACTCTTTGAAAAGGCAAAAAAAACAAACAAACTGCAATTATAAGAATGGTGGACTAGAAAGCTAGAGTTGGGGATAATTTGAACACATGCAGCCAAGGGCGGTCGAGCTTCCCTCTAAAATTATTTTCATCACAAAGCCGAAACATTCAACTACCACACTTGCAATAATGGCCGCCCCAGTACCATTAGATCGCCTGCCTCCCACAACCACCGCTTATGTGATCGCGACAGCCATCATCGCAGGAGTCACCGGATACTTCATCGGCCAAGGCTCCTCACTCAACCTCTTTAAAGAAAAGGAAGGCTGGCCCAACAGTTACGATGTAGAGGTCCACAACCACTCCTCCGACGAGGGCGAGGAGGATTCTGAAGAAGAGGAGACTGACGAGGAAGACGAAGGCAACGGCGAGGAACTAGCCAGCTTTAAGCACAACACTGAAGAGGTGAAGCTGGTGCTGGTTGTCCGGATGGACCTGGGCATGACCAAGGGTATGCGATCTACGAATAACTATCGTCATGCATGCCCATGCTAACACCACATTTTTCTCTAGGCAAAATCGCCGCCCAATGCTCCCACGCCACCCTCGCCTGCTACAAATACTTCCAAGAGTTCGCGCCCAACTCGCCCATCCTTAAGAAATGGGAGCGCGGTGGCCAGGCCAAGATCGCCCTGCAAACCCGGTCTGAGGAGGAAGTGCTACTCATGCAGGCTCAAGCCATAAGCCTTGGTCTTTGCGCGCGCGTTATTCAGGATGCTGGTCGCACTCAGATCGCGAGCGGTAGCAAGACTGTGCTTGGAATATTGGGACCCAAGAGTGTGGTTGACGGCGTGACGGGACACTTGAAGCTTTTGTAGATTGCATGCCTTTTTGTGCATAGTTACAGGCGATGATGACCATGACCTCAATGTAGAGCTTTCGGATTGACCGCGTTGGTAGAATTACCGCGCGATAACGCAATAGTGCATCAATCAAATCGCATGATGTGGATTTTCATCAACACTTCCTAGGCGGTTTCCAAGGAAACGAGTTCTAGCAGTAGCTGCCAGTGCAAATTCTTTTTCTACAAAACTACAGGTTCTATGCTAAGAGATGTTGGCAAGTCATGGTTTGCCTCTAACCTCAGAGGCCAACGGCCAGTCGGCAAAGAGACATGAAATATGACGCCGCCCGCAACCAAGCTGTCAAGCCGAGCTCACCAGTGGGAGCTCAAGACCCGCAACACAAGGCGCAGACAATTGATCTGGGATCTGTCGACCGGAAACCGTAAAGGCCATCCACGCGAAGAAATGATGGCTCCATTCAGTCGAACTGCCCAGCTCTCAACCATCACGAGGACAGGAAATCTGGACACAAATCCGTGTTATAGGTGAAGAAGAAAAAGAGAAGAGAAAAGAGCGGAAAAGTTCTTATTTATCGGTCGAAGTGGGGCCGCTAGGACGATTTTAGTGCGCTAATCCTAAATGGGTATGATAAAGTCAGGTGATCAGATTGCGAGGTTATCGTTCTGAGGTGATTGCGCTCAAGAGGCGACTTATCAGCCTAATTTCACCTTTCCTGTTCTATCTTTTCTTTACTTTTTCACATTCCGTCAAAATGGCGGACGCTCTTTCAATTGAGCAGAATAACAAGATCCGAGTGGCTCTCGGTCTCAAGCCACTCCCTGTACCAGGCGCCGGTCCCCAATTTAAAGAATCCGACAGCGAGTCCGACGGAGAAGAAGAAGAACAGGCCAGCACCATCGAGACGCGACAAGCCGCAGCATACGACAATTACAAGAAACACCAAGATGAGGCCGACGCGAAACAAAGAAAAGAAGAAAAGATCGCCGCCATTAAGAAGGCGCGCGATCTCGCCCAAAGAGACAAAAAGCTCGAAGGCGCAACACTAGGAGAAGAAAATGGTGCTGAACTCGATACCATGGCTTGGCTCTCACAGTCCAAGAAACGTACAAAGAAAATCGAGAAGGAGCGCGCCCGCCGACTCGCCGAGGAACTTGAAGAGCGCGAGCGTCTCGCAGCGGCTGAGTATACTGCTGCGGATCTGGCTGGTATCAAAGTCGGACACTCTGCGGGCGACTTTGATGGTGGTGAGGATCACATTCTTACGCTGAAGGATGCTGCGGTCGATGATGATGAGGAGCTCGATGAGCTTCAAGACATGGATCTGGTCGAGAAGGAGAAGTTGAAGGAGAAATTAGAATTGAAGAAGAAAAAGCCGGTCTACGATCCTAACGCGGAGAATCAGGGCATCCTTTCACAATACGATGACGATATCGAGGGCAAGAAGCGGAAGAGGTTTACACTGGATGCTAAGGGCTCAACCGAAGAGCGCGAAGCAAAGCGACAGGAGGTCTCGAATCAGCTGAGGAAGAACATTATCAATCTCGAATTTGAGCCAGAGGTACCGACTTCCGATTACATGGACATCAGCGAAGTCAAAATCAAAAAGCCTAAGAAGAAGAAGGCCAAGACTACAAAACAAAGGGCTGTCATGGACGATGACGATCTCGCCCAGGCTCCTGAAGCGAACACTGCGCAAGGGAACTCCGCCATGGACATTGATTCTAGCGCCGGCGCACCAGTTCCTCCACGCCGCAAGCCCACTGAAGATATCTCTTTCGCTGACGACGACGATCTCCAAGCCTCTCTTGCGCTGCAACGACGTGCTGCCTTCAAGAAGCGCAAGAAGATCAGCCCTGAGGACCTTGCCCGCCAACTTCGTGAAGAAGAGGCGCAGACCCCTATGGAGATAGAAAACGACGAGGAAGAGCCCGGTCTTGTCATTGATGAAACATCAGAGTTTGTGTCCAACCTACAAAAGCCTACACTTGAAACCGAAGAGAAGCCCATCGCTAAGCCAACACCTGCGGAAGAACCCACTCAACCGGAGCCCGAGGGCGAAGGCGTGGAAATCGATATGGATCGCTACGGAGATATTGAAGATGAAGAGGAGCTAGCCGAACGCATCAAGCGCGACGAAGCGGCCCAAAACAAGCAACCTGAACTCACCGTCACCGGCCTCGAAGAAGAGTCTACACTAGACGAGGGTCTGGGAGCCACCCTGAAGATGTTGCGATCACGCGGTTTAGTGAAAGACAACGATAGTGGAACTGCCAACGCCCTCATGCGCGACCGCCAACGTTTCCTGGCCGAAAAATACAATCGCGAAACCGAAGCCGAGCGCCGAGCCCGCTCCCAGCGCGAGCGAGATCGTACCTCCGGCAAACTCGAGCACATGTCCGCGCGCGAACGTGAAGAACACGCCCGCTGGGAGAACAGGCAGCGTGAACAGCAAGAAGCGCGCCAGATCGCTGATGTCTTCAATCGCGAATACAAGCCCGATGTTCAGCTTCGCTACGTGGATGAGTTCGGTCGCAACATGAACCAGAAGGAGGCCTTCAAGCAGCTCAGTCATCAATTCCACGGTAAGGGTAGTGGAAAGATGAAGACTGAGAAGCGTCTGAAGAAGATCGAGGAAGAGAAGAAGCGCGAGGCTATGAGTGCCCTGGATAGTAGTCAGAATGGTGGTATGAATAATGCTGTCGGTACTGCTGCCAGGAAGAGTCGCCAGGCTGGTGTGCGTTTGGGTTGATGGAATATTTTTATTTTTGTATGTACAAAGACCCAAATATCATCATGCAGAGGCTTTTCCTAAAAGGGATAATTTCCGCGTTGGACATGTCCTGCCGAGCTGTATACTCCTTACATAGTTAATTACGTTAATTATCGTCGATCGGGCAACTTGTCTCCGCGTGTGGGGATATCGCTTTACCTTGGAAATGTCTTGTTGCTTAGCGAAATCCATTCTTTGGGTCTATGGGTCATTGAAAACCCTTTTGTCATATATTGGAAGTAATTGTAGGTCTTACACTCTTCAGGAGTATTATAGCCGAAGTGAATCGAAATATTTCCAGTCAATAATAAAAATATAGTTACCCCAACTGTGCTTTGTGAGGGGAAAAATGTGTGGAGAATGACAAGCCTCAATCAGTTCACCGGGGATTCGAATTTCCGATGGCGTGCGAAGCAAAACCCCGGCATTTAGAGATGGGCTGATGATTTGTATTGATTGAGTATATGGGTTATGTATTGGAAATAGCTGGTAGGTTAGCGGTATCAAGCTGCTGAATATCAACAATTCACAGAACAATCAAACCCTGTCTACAATATATTGCACAATATTGTGCAATACTAAAATACGAATAAAATAACAAGAGAATAAGGTAGATCTCTTACTGGCACAAATATAAATCAATACGCCCTACGCAAAGGATGCAGCCAATCCTTATTCGCACATCTCCCCATTCGAGGTATCAGGTACTTAGGCCGAGGTAGTGTTACATACCAAATAATAGGTACCTAGTACCACTATCACATGAGTCAAGGCAAAACATCGGGACTTTGTCTCCGACCCTTTATTATTTCTCTCCTCCCGGTTCTTTCCTTTCCCCTTCCCTTAAGATTTAGCTGTCCTTCAATTTGATCTTATCTTCATCTCTCTTGTCATTCACCATGCTTTCAACTCTCCGCGTCGCCAGCCGGTCGGCTGCCTCCCGTGAGGCCAACATGCGCACCGTCATGGTCGCTCGTCACGGCTCGACCTGGGCCAATGTTCCCCAGGGTCCTCCTGTAAGCTTTTTTTAGGAGCTTCTATCACATCATTGAAGCCCTAGAATTCCAATTCTGACATCAATGGGACTATAGGATGCCATTCTCGGTATCACCGAAGCTTTCAAGGCCGACTCCTTCAAGGAGAAGATCAACCTGGGTGTTGGTGCTTACCGTAAGCCGTCTACAAATAGTTTCATTTTGCACAATGGATTACATTGCTGACGAGAATGCGCATTTCGCAGGTGACGACAAGGGCAAGCCTTACGTCCTGCCCTCCGTCCGCACCGCTGAGGACAAGGTTGTCGCATCCCGTTTCGACAAGGAGTACGCTGGCATCACCGGTATTCCCGCTTTCACCACCGCCGCTGCCGAGCTCGCCTACGGCGCCGACTCCTCTGCCATCAAGGACAACCGCCTTGTCATCACCCAGACCATCTCCGGCACCGGTGCCCTCCGCATTGGAGGCGCTTTCCTCAAGCAGTTCTACCCTGGCGCGAAGAAGATCTACCTCCCCAACCCCAGTTGGGCCAACCACAAGGCTGTCTTCTCCGACTCCGGTCTCGAGGTCGCCCAGTACAGCTACTACAACAAGGAGACCATCGGTCTCGACTTCGAGGGTCTGATCGCCGACATCAAGGCCGCCCCCGAGCAGAGCATCATCCTGCTCCACGCCTGCGCCCACAACCCCACCGGTGTCGACCCTACCGAGGCCCAGTGGCGCCAGATCAGCGATGTCATGAAGGAGAAGAACCACTTCGCCTTCTTCGACATGGCCTACCAGGGCTTTGCCAGCGGTAACGCTGACAAGGATGCCTTCGCTCCCCGTCACTTCGTCAAGGAGGGCCACAACATCGCTCTGTGCCAGTCCTTCGCCAAGAACATGGGTCTGTACGGCGAGCGTGTCGGTGCCTTCTCTCTTGTCTGCGAGAACACCGAGGAGAAGAAGCGCGTTGAGTCTCAGATCAAGATCCTCATCCGTCCCTTCTACTCCAACCCTCCCATCCACGGTGCTCGCATCGCCTCCACCATCATGAACGACCCCGCTCTGAACCAGCAGTGGCTCGGTGAGGTCAAGGGCATGGCTGACCGCATCATTGAGATGCGCTCTGCTCTCCGCACCAACCTCGAGAAGCTCGGCAGCAAGCACGACTGGTCCCACATCACCAGCCAGGTAAGACTCGCAATCTGAACGATGCAATTCAACTCACTGACATACTCTAGATCGGCATGTTCGCCTACACTGGCCTCAAGCCCGAGCAGATGGATGCCCTTGCCAAGGAGGTAAGATTTATCTTGATCAAAACATTGAAGCCCGTCTCTGACAATTTTCCCAGCACTCCGTCTACGCCACCAAGGACGGCCGTATCTCCGTCGCCGGTATCACCTCCGGCAACGTGCAGAGACTCGCCGAGTCCATCTTCAAAATTACCGGTTAAATCCACAGCTTACGAAGTAAACTTCGAAAGAGATATACGATAAAATGAGCGTAGGGGGGCGCGAGAGAAACAGGGCCCGGGCAGGACTTGGTGCATTACCCCGGCCCTTTTGTACTGATATCTAATGTCTCTGTTTCATATTTAGCATGGTTCAGCTCTGTCCGTCTTAATGGAGATTTTGGATTCTTCTTCTATTTTTTGGGTCAGCGCTCGCTTATGAGTTAGATGGTCGTAGTTTGTTTTGTATTTTGAACCAACTTGGTTTTTTCAAACTAAGTCCACTGCTTGCATGATCTGTTGCATATCACTGATATCTACTTTATCTTCACCATTTGCTCGACACTGACTGCAACCTTCACCCTTGGGACCGACAATCAACAATAGAGCCCTCAGGCCAAGAACCATTCAGCACTAGGACTCCCGCAGTCCCGAGTCACGTTATTCGATAATCGTGGTCGGCTTGGGGTGGGGGTTCTGGAAAGAGTTCATTCTATAGACGCTGTTGCTGGGCCGTTAGGTATAAGTGAGCTGGGTATACTGGTGACTGTTGCTGAAAATGATGAGGTGGAAATTGATAAATGGATACAGCAAGAGAAGAGATACGGAAAGAGAGAGTGGGTACGGTGTGGTAATTCGTACAATCCTCTAAAGATATTGGTAGTTGAATCAATCAGAGTATGTATTAACCTGGCAATTTGAGGTAATATGCAATAGAAGTAAGATTTGTTCAGGTTCCCGGTCCAAACACCAATTGCGCCAGTTCAGTCTTTTGAGTGAGTACAAATGCTCAGAGTCCCATCAGCCCGCCAGAGCTCAGCTGGTAGCCCCCTCCGGGAACAACAGAGGGACATATGCAGCCTGGGGGTGCATCGGCTGGAGAGTATGGGTACCAGCCTGAGGATGGAGAGGGGGCGGATCGTCCCATGACTCGGGCGAAGATACTGGCAGGTGTACCATTGGGACCCTGGCTAGCGTGGAGAAGGCCAAAGCGGAGGAACACTTCGAAGGTGGTAACGAGAATTGAGATAATGATGAGGACAATGATAATCCAGGTTTGGTCTAATGCGTAGCATGTCAGTAATGCAACTGGAATAATATGGGATGAATACTTACGGGAGGTTCTAGTGTCAGCGATTGAATCAGACAGAATCTCGGCAAGATCGAGGAATACACGGCATCGCTCGTTCAGAACCTGGATACGAGGCTTGATCTCCAGGTACTCGCGCACGGCGATGTAGAGCGGGTACAGGGTTGGCTCGCTCTCCCAAAAGAAATTGGGAACATCAAGCATATTGGATGCTGGTGTAGATGTTAGTATATTATCAGGGTGCAAAGTGATAGGAAAACTTACAAAGGTTGACCTCAACGCGACTCTTGAAGAGACGACCGAGAATACGGAAGACCTCTTCGCGCTTCATGCCCAATTGGCCTGAGACAGCAAGTCGTCGCGGAACATCTTTGGCGTCTGCCATCTGACGGGCCATGACTTCCTCAAAGAAACAAAGCTTGGTGCTCTGGGAGATGCCATGACTGATAGCGAGCTTGATCATATGATCACCACTACGCAATGTGATCATATCATTGTAAACACGCGGCCGCGAGATCTCAGTCGAGTACTCGAAATGGAACTCTTCTGTCTCGAAATCTTCTTCGTCAAGCGGCATTGTTGCCAGCGGGGTAGGAATACCCGTTGCTGAGGATGGAGCGAAGGCCAGATCAGCGAGTAAGTCTTTCTCCTGTCGCTCGGTGAAGTTCCAGAACACAACAACGCCGTAGCTGAAGACAAACATCTCGGCAACGTTGTATAGCGTACGAGCCGGAGCTTGTGACCTTGAGGAAGAGGAGGGTGTAGTTGGTGGAGGGGAGGGACGATCGCGAATCAAAGCATGGGTATCATCCGTGCTGTGTCTTCGGCGAAGGGCAGGTTCCGGTGAAGCAGGCCTGTTTTCCTCATTGACTTCAGACGGTGGAATGGGTTGCAGCGCATTGACGCTTTCACTAGAGCTGGCAGCATGCTCATGCTCATCGGAGTGGCCACGAGCTTCCTCCGTGATTCGATTCAAGAACTCCCGGTTTTCCTCGTGGGCACTATGATCCGACGAGTCTCGCGGAGACGCTTCATAGTGATGCTCATCCTCCGGACGATTGTGACCACCCACCGAGTGCTCCTCCGGCTCGAGCATGTAATCATCGTGGTGATCACGAAGCTCATTGCGCTCAATTTCCTCATCGAGCAAAGACTTGCCACCAGGGTATTTCAGCACAGGACTGCTCCTCAGCCGATACCCTTCATGGCCCGGCAAAAGAGGCAGGTGATAAGCCGTATAGAGACAATCATCGTAAAGTTTCGTCCGGCCACCATGCTGCTCCTTAACAAAAGCAGCCAGCGAACCCATCTTGTAAGCCTGCGCGGTACAATAAGCCGTAACTCGAGCAAGTTTCTCCGTTCTCCGCGCTTTGGGTAACCGCTCCGCATAACTTTTCGCGCGCTCCGGTGCAACACGACGTTTCCTCAAAACTTCCTCTTCAGCCAGCAGAGGCGCAAGATCATTATCGACACCAAAGTCACCACCCAGTCGCTTCGATACTAGAAGCTGGTGCCTGACCATATCCGGGTCGATATTTCTCTCCTTGGCCAGACGGGCAACAAGTTCTTCATCCACCAGCTCCGTACCATCGACCTCGTCGTCATCATCTTCCTCGGTCTCACCCTCCTCCAGCTCATCAGTATCAGGCAAAAGGACCAGCTTCTCGCTGACCTTCGTTGTGCGAGGCGGAAGACGCGGCTGCGCAGCCAATCGACCGGCTTTACCAATGGATCCTGCAACGGCACTTGAACTGCTGCTTCCCGAGGTTCCGATCAAGCCGCCAGTTGCGGATGCAAGACGGCGCGATCTTGAAGGTGGTGGGGGACCTCGTTGTTGCATTGAGGGCACATCGGAGGCGTATTGAAGGACATTGTCGACAGTTATGAAGCGGGTTGCAGGCGAACGGCGTCGACGAGGAGTTTGAGGGGGTTGCTGGTCGCGCGAGTCCGTAACCTATTCGGTGCACGTGTTAGTATCTACTGGAATTTGCCTTTGCGTGAATTGGTTCACAGGGGAATCGTGGGAGATTGTACCAAGACGGTCGGACTGCGTTGGCTAGTCCCCCGTCCGCGGGCCGGGGGCGTCATTGTCAGTCAAGGGAAGATCGGACGCCCTCTTTGTATTTAAAAGAAATTGTCTACTTTGCAAGAGCAGATTTTGCGCCGTGGGGAACACGATTTTGCCGTAGGTGTAACACCTCCATGTATGATGCTCCGAGACAGCAAGTTCGATACGCCTTTTGGACTAAACCTAATGCGGATTAGTGCATTTACGGCCAAATGACGTCCACTGTTTTTTTATCATTATGTCAGCATCACTTACCAATCACGAGATGTTCCCGAGGTCCCATAAATTCTTCTATAATAGTGTCGGTTCAGGGATTTGGAAGGCTTAGAAACTTGAGGATTAGCATGTTTAGGGGCCTTGAGGGATTCTAGATACTAGAAATGTAGTAAAATATGCATAATATGCCTATATGTTGAAGATTATACTAGCCAGTCCCGTGACATCGCCACGTGCAGGCCTGACTAATCATAATGTCGTATTGGTCCCACTAGTTCTGAAATGGGACTAGTTCAAGGCGTTTTAGGCGATCTGGGGTAAAGTGTTGATCAACGGGAATTGGTTCTGTTGATATACAACTCGTAAGATGAGATAAAATAATATTGCATGTTATTTGATTGTTTGCAGAGACCATAAAGGACCTGAATATGTTTGTGTGGTGATAATGATAAAGATGGGCTAGCCATTCGAAAGAAATATGACTTTAACATGAAATGAAAGCAATAGATAATAATAACGAAGTGGGGGATAAAAATGCTGGAAGTGAAAAAAAAAAATGAGAAAAAAAAAACCTTAGTAACTCCGTGTCTGTCGGTAGATGTTTCGCCAAGTTAAATGCGTTCAGGATGGGGATGGAAATGCCGAAAAGTAATTCAAGAACGAAGACCGCGGCGGAGTTTGCGATCCTCCTCCCAGATTTCCTTCTTCATTTCTTCCAGACGCTTGTGCTGTCGCCTCAGACGATCCAGCTCTGCAGTGGGTGGAGCTCGCTGTTCCGAAAGGTGGTCATGCAAGGTCCTGTATTTGGCCCAATGGAGCTTGAAATCCCGAGACTTTTTCTGCAATTTCTGCCAAAGGATTTCATGGCTCATGGGCGGAGAAGCACTGCCTGTGCTACCACCGCTGGAGGTGCTGACCGCTCGATGGCGCTTAGCCTCCAGATTTCCGGTGGGTCGTCCTGCCTGTGGGACGGAGAACTGGTCAGACTCCGCCTTGCGTTTCAACGATTTGGTAGCGGTTTTGGCGACACCATTGGTGTGAGCAGGCACTTTGGCAGCAGGTTTGTCAGAGGAAGCAGCTGGGCGGGCCACCTTATTGGTTTTGGCAAGTTGGGCAATCAGAGGCGACGACGAGGATGAACCAGATGATTGGTTTTGACTGTCGGATCGGTTGCGACCGGTAGAATCGGAAGCGTTGGCGGGAGGAGAATGGCCGAGTGGGGATGGCTTCTGGGGCGAGGTGGAAGGCCGGGAAGGAGGACGCTTGGAAGCTGTAACGTTGTGGGCTGGCTTGGTTGGTTCAAGCTTGGGCTTTGCTGTCTCAGGCTTAGGGACCTTGGGAGTAACCTTGGTAGCAGAATCAGATGGGGCCTCGGTAGCACGAGGCTTAACTGGGGCCTTGATCTTCGGTGTCTGAGTCTTTGGGTTAGACGAAGCTCGCTTGTGTTCAGGTTGTTGCTTGGGTGCAGGCGCAGGAGCCGCATCGGCCATTTCGGTGTCATCGTTATCATCTGAGTCAAGGACGAACTCAGCGGATTTTATTTTGCTGTTGCCGTCTAGCTTAGCAGGAGTTTTCCCGGCGGCCTTCTTGGTGACCCGTCCAGTAAGGGTACTGTTGGTGCTCTTGAGCTTGGTTGACTTCTTGGTCACATCCTTATCGGAAGTTCGAGTCTTCTGCAAGGTCGATGTAGACTTGGGCTCAGATGTAGCTCCCTTGGGTGCGACGCGATCGGTCTCATTGTCCTTGCCCATGTTCTCAGCGCTATTGACTTTGGCTTTGGAGGCAACGGGCTTCGGAGGGGGAGCAGTACGGAGATTGAGTCGTGATAGGCACTTTCCTTTGCCTCGTTCGGCCTTTGGGAGAAGCTTTTGCCAAATTGGGTCGCTCTTGGAGATCCGCATCCGATCGTAAGCAGAGATACAACCTTCAATGGCTGAGGTTCGATCGTCTGGAGTGTAATTGAAGTTCCAGGGGTCAAGTTCCTTGTAAAATTTGTCCTTCAACCCATATTTCTCGGCATTGATGCGGTTCTGCGTGCCATATTTCTCACAGAGGATAGTGCCGTCCTCGATTGTCATGCGGGTCTGGCGGGCAAGAAATTTGGCCGATACGGCACGGATGGCGAGCAGGTGAATGGTAGGAGTCCTGGCGGCTTCAAGCCTCTCACGATCCTTATCTTGCATGATTGGAGCAGAAGTAGGAGTCATTGCGAACGCAGGAGACTTGGGGGCACCCAGTGTTGGGCTGGCGGTTAAAGATCGAATGGCGGCGGTTTTGAGGAAGCGGTCTTTTTCAAGTTCAACCTTGCTTGTAGGTCCTTTGTAGCCAGACTTGCTACCCCGAAGACCTCTCAACTCATCGGGATGTGAAATTATGTGAGTCTTCTTAGACTCTTTCCCTCTCTCGTGAGCATTCAGTTTTTCTTCTAAATCTGCCAGGGCCTGATCGGTGGCCGCAGTAGCATTTTTAGCCTTTTCCACCTCCAGGCTATGGCTCAAAATACCCGTGAAATACAGGGACTCTTTATCGGAGCTATGATATATCTCGGATCGGTGTGTTTCAGGATACGCATGGAATGAGTGGGATTTGCCGCCGAAGTGAAGTGAAGGGTGCTTCCCTAGACGAAGTCGAGCCGGTTGTTCCTTCCTCAGACTCTGAATCAGATCATCGAGGGTGCTCTGCACCAAATTCAGCCGCATGATCTGATTCGGCCTTACGGAGAGGTCCCCGGACTGCTCTCCGAGGTGGAGAGACAGCCCGGTTTGAGGAATCTTTAAACTGGTCGACATTGTAGGGGAGGTCAGGGTCGAGAGGTAAGAAGGATTTGAGGAGAGCAGGGTCGGATGGCAGCGTGAGAGCTGCAGGTCAGGCGGCCAACTGCACGAGGGAGTGAGGATGGACCATACGCCATAAGATCGGCGAATGGAATACTATGTAGCAATGCAAATGCTATTTAAGTAGATAATGTATAGACAGATTGAGTATATGTGAGAAAGAGAGTGAGAGAGAGAAAAGAGAGGATGAGGAGAAAGAGGTGAGAGAGCAAGGCGAAGCGGAGAGTGGGGAGAGCTGACGGTGGTAAAATTACAGGGGATTTCCCGAATGGTTATTAATTAATTTAGGTACCAAGTACTTATGTTAGTACAACATAAATAGTCTATAGTATTATAATAATTTGTATCTATTTAAATTACTTATGAAGAATTCACTAAAAACTGTTGTATTTCCATCGAGAAAGAGTACTCAGAATATAAAAATACAATGAATTAATTTGGAAAATACTCAATGCCCAAATTTCAATATATGGTGGTTACTGTAGTGACTCTTGTATTATCCTCGTACAAAAAGGTTGTAAGGTCAGTGCTGTCTCAGGGCCTCAGGGCCTTTGTTCCAAGTCAACGTATTAAACTCTTTTTTTTTTCTTTTCTTTTTCTTCACCGAAACTGTCTATTGTAACACAGTAATACATAACTAGCTACATAGTCACATGTGTAGTTAGATGTACATACAGTATGTAGTTTGGTTTATTTGACTAAACAGGTGCATGCCTACATGTAAGTACCTTGCGAACTACCGGGGACTGGAGTCCATCTATTCCATATTCTATAAGCCATCTACCTATCCATGCATAAGTACTACGGTAGATCTCCATTTTCATTTACTCAAATGAACAAGTATGAACCCTATACAGGTTATAATACATCACAATACCGTGAGGAGAGAGAAGTCTCCATCAAAAACGGGGCTTCCCGAGTCCAGACTTGTTTTCCGCTTATAGCGGGTGCGGTCGGGTTGCTTATGGTTGTTTATTGCTCCGAGAGGTTGAATCAGTCTAATAATATGATGGACTGACTATTTACTTCGTTATCTGGTTTGTTAATTCTCAGTTCTCATTGTTGAAGACCTTTTAGAAAAACCGTGCTTTTATAAGAAGAACATCTGAAACGAAACAATAAAAAAAAAACCTGCATGGGCACATACCAAACCAAAGTACACCAAAATCCTTCTCAGTGACAGCCCGATCACCCGGTTCGCTATTCCTTTCCCTGAGGAATGCCACAGCTTTGCCCCTCGTTCATGCACCCAGGCACGGATATTCAACCCGGAGGTGTGTTACCGTCCTATCGTTTCAATCTTTCCTCTAACTAGTAAGAGATTCCGTCTCCTTTCGATGGGGCCAATTCCTACCGGCTCCGTAATCATAGTGGATGGACCTTGTCTTCTTCAGCGTGGGCCTTAAACCACTTAGCCTAGCTTCTGTTAATAGTACCCATTGTGATGGTGTATTGGCTAGGATATAAGTCCCAAATCCTCAATGCTAGGTAATTGCTTACTGGATGTTTCACAACTGTATGGAAAAGCCCAATGGAGCAATGGGAACCAAGCCGTCACGGTCCGAAGTGTATATTGATTGTATTACGGCCTTTTTTCTTCTTTTTCCATCGGCTGCAGTTCCGCCCCTAACTAGTTTGGATCGGTCATTTCGACTTCGATCAACATTCTTCATGGGGATTGGATGATGCTGTGGCAAATATGCATCTTTTTCAGAAAAAAATTGCCTAAGATACGCATACAATGTATTACTTACTATCTCAGCTCGGAGAAGGGGACCTTCATACCGTGGATCCCCTTGCGCCCTTCGGCTTATGCCACAGCTACGAGAGCCTGCTAGTCAGATAGTCTGAGACAAGGGAAATATTAGTCCCTTTCTGCATAGTTGCATTGTCTGCCTTGCTAAAAAACCTGATCTGATCTTGATCTGCGCATTTAAAGCCATGCAGGTCAACTCCGAAATTTCGGAGATCTTTCAACGTGAACCGGCAATTGGTCACTTCCACGACAATAAATCTCGTACTCCGTACTCCGTAGACAGTGACTCATGGAACCTGCAACGTCTACACCGTACAACATGCAATAAATATCAAGACCATCGACTAGCTCATATATAGCAACCTGGATTTCATCGCAAAACCAAAAATGGCCCAAAACAACAGAGCCAAGACCCTTCGTGCCCTCCACCAACCCGGCAACGCCCTGCTTCTGACAAACGTCCACGATGCAGCAACAGCCTCACTGATCGCCTCACTGCCAACCGCCGCCGCCATCGCAACAGCCTCCTACGCCATCGCCGCCTCGATCGGCGTAGATGATAACGCACTCACAAAATCCCAGAACCTGACTGCGATAGCCGCCATTGCATCCGCTGTTCGCGCCATAAATCCCGCAAAGCCACTAACCGTCGATCTGCAGGACGGTTACGGCGATACGGCCCAGTTGGCCGATACCATTAAGCAGGTCATCGCATTAGGCGCTGTTGGGTGTAACATTGAAGATATGGATGCGGCGGGTGTGCTGCGGTCGGTGGGTGAGGCTGCCCAGCGGGTGGAGACTGTGGTTAAGGCTGCGGCGGAGGCGGGCGTTCCCGACTTCGTTGTTAACGCCCGGACGGATGTTTTGGGGGCCGGCGGAACCATTGATCAGGCTATCGAGCGTGGCAAGGCATTTTTGGAAGCTGGCGCTTGTACGGTGTTTGTTTGGGGTGGGCCGAGTGGGAGAGGCGTTTCAAGTGAGGAGATAAGGAGATTGGTTTGTGCTTTGGGTGGAATGGTCAATGTGAAGATGAATCTTAGGGAGGGCTTTCTTGGTGTGAAAGAGATTCGGGAACTGGGTGTTGCGAGGATTAGTGTCGGCCCTGAGCTGTGGAAAATCGCTATGAAGGCTTTTACTGATCAAGCAGAGAGCTTGTTAGCTTTGTGAGTTGGGTTTGACAAGTGTATATATATGATTTCTTCCAAAGTTCGTTCTTGCGCTACCATACATACATATGTAATTTCACACGCCTTGTCTCGACTTTAAAGTGATCGGGGTTCCCAACTAGAATTCTAGATGGAAAACTGGTCAAAACAAGCTTTGAAGTCAATAGAAGCACATTGTTCAAAGCTGAAACAACATTTTCCACGATCCAATGTTTCCTATCTGCGAAGTTCAAAGCTACGTAGCCAAACAATTCAACATACTCCAGCACAACCACAGCCACGATCCTCAACTCCGACGACAAATTCCACCTGTGCATTTATTCCCGTAGCAACAATTGGCGTCTGCGACACAAAGCCCATTATCTTCACTGCAATTAGGCCAATGTTCGTCCGTCGAGCGGCATTTGCTAGCAGCGCAGTAGCCCGAGCAGCATTGCTTAGACGGGTCACCAAATACACAATTTGCTAGTAACAGTAAGAAAGCGTTGTACATGTTTGTATGTCTAGATTGGGTTCTGTTCTTACAGTAGACTCCCTGGCAGGTGGCTGTCGGGACACAGGCTGTGATAGTTGTCGAGGTGGGTGAGGTGAAAGTTGCTGTCGAGCAGAATTCAGTCAGGACGCAAGCGTCGGCGGTGCCACATCCTCTTGCTGGGCATGCCGCTGCGTCTATTTTAATAGAAGAGGTGGTTAGCTAGATTAGCTATCATTGTTGCGGCGTGGATGTTGAAGGACATACCAGTCAAAGCGAGGTGAGCAAGAATAATGAAAAGATTATAGTAATTCATACTGTCGCGCTCGATATCTGGACTTTGATTCACCTCCCTAGGTAGGAATTTAGTTAGGCAGCTTCCAAGATTATAAGATATATTGGTAGTCTGTTTTTATCTTCTCCTTGACCAGCTGCTGGCCATCATCTATATATATATAACACAACACACAGGACGTGAGTGCGCAAACAATCAACTTCCAAGCAAGCTGAATAGCATATGACCCTATACGAAGCCATCAACAGTACTATGAGCGCGAATGTCTCAAACCTAGATAGACGTCTGGTTGTTTCCCCAGAGTTTCATCTCTACCCGCAGTTGAGGATCTCCGGCGCCACGTGAATACGAACCTCAACACGAGGGGTCGGGTAAGTATGAATTCAATTGGCCTTTTGAGTGAGACAATATTCGCTTGCTAAATTTACTTGAACGGTGGGTTTGATCGATTTATATGGTATGGTTGACTGAGACAATGCTAGCGGGATCACATCGCTGCTTGGGATGCATCGTCGTGCGTTATGATCACCTGAAATTCGCATCAGATCCGAGAGACTGGGAGTATATTCCAATAATAGGCAGAAATACCACACGAATGTAATGAAAATACGTAGGTAAAATCAAGTGCCTTCGAGAATTATGTGGCTGATGTTCCCGGAGCATTTGCATCTTGATGCTCGGGAATAGAGACAGCTGAACTGGACCTATAAGCCAAAGTCTTATAATTTACAGTATCAAGCTCTAACTCTGACATTGATACCATACGAGTTGAAACAAATACCAGAAGGAACCAATACAAGCCCACACGTGTAACTCAAAGTCGACATCCAAAACCCAAAGCTACATATGTACTTACGCAGACATGACAAAAAAACAGATTAGTCCCAAAATAAACCCCCAACTCTAATAAGCATTGTCACGTCACTTAAGACCCTCAAAATCATCCAAGTACAAGTATGCACTACCAACCCTCCATATCCAACGTCATGCTGTACCCAACAAGCAATCCCGCTGGGCAACGTCACACAGAAATGGACAACCCTCCACTTCAGCCCAAGAGCCCATAGGTCGAAACGGGTAGCATCGACAGGAACTAGTACAGAATAGGAGTGTTGTGTGACTATTCGAGAGACGTAGGTACACGTAGACCTGTACTGTCGACTGCCGGTATTGTTTGCTCTACGGAAGTTAGCGAAAGACGCAATGCACTTAGGTACCTATATATACATGTGGGTAGGGGTGTAGGTGATTACATATGTAGTCAAGACTCGTGGCATAAACCCCTCTATTGGTACTTTTTGGCGGGACTGGGTCTGTGGTCCTTGATGCATGTCATGAATGGCCGTTGTGCATGGGCTTTTGCTCAGGGCTTTTGTGACGGATTAGTGGTATGCTTGGGGCTATCTATTTGATTTGCATGTTTGTAGATAGCGAACTTGGCTTTACTCGTAGGATACTATCTCAACTTTAAGGTGGCGAGATAGCTGTCAGAGTTGCTAGATTGGTATTATTGTGCAACCTACTAACCATTCATATATATCTAGTATTACTATATGCTCGGTGTCTCAGGCTATCAGTAGAGCGAATATTCATGCGAGAAAAGCAGTAACACAACACCACCGTCTATTGATATCGCGCTGAGATAAAATGAGTACGCCATCGGGCCTCACATGGAAGGTATTCATGGGAACAGTAGCAAAAGAAGAAATAAAAAACAAACAATAAAAGACGATATTAGATATATGAGACAATAAAAAAAGCAGAAGCAAGACGATCAGAAAAAAACAAAGCCATAACCAGATCCCACCAGACACCACAATGGAGTCACCCTAGCAAAACAAACGCAATCCCATTTCCGAACCCATCCATTGATCCCAATCCCACCAATCTATTCCATGGATGCAGTTCCTCATCTGATCGTGTCTCGATAAATGTCATCCGCACAACAAAAGAAAATAGGGGTGGGGATGACAGTTGAAAAACAAATAACGATGGAAACACGATCAGACCGTCCGACTCCTTCCTGTGCTGGTTTCCAATATAAGTACAAACGGATTAAGAAAATGCATGAAAAACAAAGGAAAAAAGGGAAAAAAATTTCGAGAGTTACTCTCGTGGGAATCAAGGCTTATGCAATGAAGTAGTGTAACAAATGAAAACACAAAGAAAATTCGAATATCACTGCGGCAAGACACATGGTCAATTGCATCATACAGCTGTTGACCATGAGTGGTCACCCCGGGACTTCATATCGTAGTTCTCGGGCTCGGTGCTGGTGGGCCGACGAATGGTTGAATTGGGGAAGTACATGTGCGGCGGCATCGATGTAGGGTAAGCTGGGCCAGTGGGCTCGGGATAGGTGAAGTCGTTCGCGGATCCAGGCGAAGGCATGCTACCGTGAGACGGAGAAGCCCAACCAAGACTGGTCATGTGGGGACTTCCATTCACACTGTTGGGGCGATGGTCGCTGTTGGCCGGAGGCTCCAGAGGTTGGGGTGGCGCATAAGGATGCGAGGTCATAGAAGGTCGAACGTGGGGCGCACTGCCGTAGCTGGATAGCGAAGGAGATGTCGCGGTCGGAGAAGCTCGAGGGCTGCCTTGGGAGAAATCGCCACGCACGTGGGGTGGGATAGGACCGGTGCCCATGTAGTAGTCGCCGGCAGATCGGTGCATGTTCAGTGGAGGAAGTTCACCACCCGGAGACATGGAGGGGTGTTGCGCAGGTGACGGAGTAGAGTGGATGGAGCCATGCTCAGAAAACATTCCTTCGCCAGGACGGCCACGATCCTTGTTTTGTCGCAGCTGGGCCTCTGTTTCTGCCGCAGCTTCCTCGATTGTCCCAGTGTGGTGGTTTTGGTGTCGAGTCAAAGTAGTACGGCGGGTAAACGTCTTTTGGCAGTTGGCGTAAGGGCATTTGTAGGGACGCTTTCCGGAGTGGATGCGGCGATGTCTGGCCAACGAGGATGAATCGCTAAAGGGCTAGATTCGAATGTTTCATTAGCATTGAATCGCACATAAAACTGCTTTTTGAGATATACCTTTCCACATCGCTCACACATGTGTGGCTTTTCTCCAGTATGCACACGGGAGTGTACCGTCAATGCCGAGCGTTGAATGAATTGTTTCCCACATCCGGGCCAGTCGCAAGCGTGGGGTCGGACACCAGTATGGATGCGCTCTGGAGTGCAAAGTCAGTAAGCGTACATTTTCGGATTGCCAAAAAGATATTTGTACCATGTCGAGCAAGATCGCTGCGTCGGGCAAAGCCCTTGTTGCAGGTTGAGCAATGGAAAGTCTTCGGTGGTGGGTCGACACCCGCCCTTCCCTGGGGCATAGGTTCCTGTTGCATCTGGGGATCGCCAGCGTATCCTGCAGGGGCATAGGCCATGTTTCGGGGAGTCGATCCCGTGGGTTGCGCGTAGTAGAAGCCATCGGCCAGTCCTGCATCCATTTGCATCTGGGGAGGACCGTGAGGTGGGTATGCATTCACCGGGTTCTCCGAGCCACCTGATTCGCTCTTCATGGTGGGCGAAGCTCCGGTGTGTAACTGTGCACTCTGCTGAAAGTACTGGTGTTGTAACTGTGCTTCGGCGGCGGCAGCGGCTGCGGCGGCGGAGTTTTTCCTGTTCAGGATGGTCGTGAAGTCCATGACCCGACCCAGCAAGTAAGCAAGGGACCGCAGTCAAGGACTGCTTTCGAAGACGTCCTTCAGCAGACCTGACAGCCTTGATCCAACGACTATCCGTTCGAAAATCGATGACTCGAGTTTCTCGATTCGTTGTTCCTCGATTGGGGGGGCCGGGTTTCGAGGGGTAATTAGTTGAGTAGATCGCTGGGTTCCAGGTCCGTCGTAAGGAGTAAGATCTAGAAAACGAAAGACTGAGATATGGTCAGTATCAAATCTGAATGATAGATGATAAATGGAGCTCGAAGTGGCGAGATTTCGCGACTATGCGCGTAGAAAGATCTCTAAAAACCAAGGAACTCACGCTGCGTGTACCAGAATTACGTTTTGTGCTTGACAAGTCCACTCCGCGAAGAATGAAACGGGGTAGATTCTCCACTTCCCTGCAGTGGAATGCAAGGTTGCGTATGAGGGGATCAAGCAATGATAGCTAGAAATCGAGCTCTCAAAAAATAATGTTGTGGTCGGCTAGAGGCGGAACGCGTGGTGGGTTTGTCGGTGTAGGGTGCAAGAGAGATATGTCAAGTATCTCCGCTGGTTATTTCTATGCGAAAAGAGTGATGGTCAGCATCATGAAAATATGAATATGATGATCATCGCGATCCCGGCTCATTTCCACCGCGATGCTTGGCTGTCAGCCCGTGACCTTCTCACCTCTTGCGCGCCGTGATTTCTAAGGAAACCAGTCATACACTAGGTAACGGGGAAGACGAGAGGGAAAAAAACCAAAAGAGCGGCGCGCAGGGATTATTTGGGGGATCACGTAAAACAGATGCGTTGGGCAGCCACAAGGAAATACATAAAACGTGTAACTCAATACATACCTAAAGAAGCTTCAAAGTCGAAGATCATGGGATTTAGGAGGAGGGTTAATTGGGATGGGAAAAATAAAGGAAAGTGAAGGGTTAAAGAAGTAAATGGTAGAGAAAGGGGAGAGGGGATATAATTATTTAGGTGTGGTAGGTGCCACTGTCTGCATTTCAACTACATCATTATTTACTTCTTTTTTTTTGGTATATATGTATATCTATTCTTTTATTATTATTATTATTATTTTCTTCTAGTTGGTTTTATTTGTTTTATTTTCTTCTTTAATTTTCGAGGTGATTATGATTGGACATTTCAAATCTGTGCAAAAGATACGCACTTAGATTAATTCTTTTCTTTTTTGCTTCTTCTATAAATCTTCTAGATCTTCTATATCAATTTGATATCTCTCTGTTCGATCACGAAGCTAAACATCCCAACTCCTATACCCAACTCCCTTTTTGCTTAGACCCATTTTAGTTCTCCTAGTTGGACCCAGCGAAGCCCGCTAGAAGGAAACATGACCGCACCAGAAGGCCCCCCGTCAGCATTGGCTCCACAACGTGCCTTCTCCCCGAAAATGGTGGATACAAAAAGGTACGCCGATCTGAATAATTCCGATTTATTCGAGAACCCATACTCCTGAAATTTCTCTAGTTTAGCGCAAGGTTTACAAATTACGAATTTAGAGAGGGTTGAAATAACCCTAGTGTAGTTGTAAGTATTGTAGCTAGTTTGAACTAACTGACTAGGGTAATTCTTGTTTTTAGCATTAGGGGGCAATAATACATACCCAAACTACAACTCCTGAAGTCAAAAAAGAAAACATTGGATGTCAGATGTAATTCCCTTCGGCTTTGGCGATAAACAAAATTAAGGGAAAAAAAAGAAAGAAAAGAAAGAGTAAATTAAAAAGAAACGGAACAACTAGATAAACTTTGATGACCTGCATGTTTTTCATGGTGCGACACTCGTGTTGAGTGATTATTTATTACAATGTACGAAGGATGGAGCACTGGTATACTACCATTAGAATTATCATGGATGAGCAAAGAAGCGGAGGTTCACCACCTCGATAGTCTGTTCCGACTATTGCTAGCCGAATGACGGTGGAAGGCTAAATGGAGATTTGCATGACTTCTAGAAGGTTTGATGCATCCACTTTGGTGTTCTCAGGTTACAAGTACAGATATTGTACAATATTGTACGTAAGTCTCAAGTGTCATCACAATCATCTTGATTTCCCCCCTACTTACCACCTTACCTAAATAGGTAATGGTAAAACAAGTTGATATACCATATTGTACAAAGTCATCCTTCGATTAGTTGTAGATGTCCACGGCTTGATAACTTCTATACATACATAGTTACATAGTTACAAATGTATGTACAGACAAGACTCAACGCAATACAATCCATCATAGTAGATAGACATTTGTAGTTCTCAAAACATCAAAACCAAGCCTAACGATCATCAAAAAGTATTGTAATTAGACATTAGAATCATCAGAAAACTGACATACTACAATATTGTACTTGAGGATTACACTTTTGTTCTTGTATGGTAGGACAGAAGAAGAAGCAGATGGTCCTCTCATGCCACCCTCTCTCCCTTACTCCAGTCTTTTTCTCGCGAACATTAGGACGATCCTGCGACGGAGTCAATCCTGTGCGCATCGGTAATTACACCCCCATCTTGTCCACCCCTTTTTCCTTCCGGGGACACTAGTGGGCACCGGCTGGCTTCAGCCTCCAAGGACCCCACTGCCACAAAGACGGCACGGCTCTGCCAAGCCTTCTCCTGACCTTCCAGAAGGCCACCAGAAGGAATTTCGAACAGCCGTAGAAGCCGTAGAAGCCGTAGAATAAATCAAACCAAAACAAAATAAAACATGGCCCGTTGGCTGCGCGGCCCCCATCCTGCACGGTGCGGAGCCCTAGATCAAGGCTGAGCCGATGCACTATACCCTTCACATCGAAATAAATAAATACTCAACTGAGACTGAGAACTGAGAGATAATTTAAAAAAGGGGGGTTGGGCTACACCCTGACTGGTCCGTCTCCTCTCATTCCTATTCTTTGTCGTGATCGCCTCTCGCACTGTATCCTTCCCCTCACTACAAAGTACACTGTACATTGTACCTACATATGTACCTACATAGGCATACTAACCACTCCTGACCATGACGCACCTGCCAATTTTCGCTTCCCAGACTCCTGCGGGGGGTTGCGGAGATTATATCCCGAGTGACGATCCGTGTTAAGCCGAACTCGAGTCTCAGGGTTCACCAATCACCAACCTGATGATATATTTTAGTTCGCTTTAACTATTGCTTTCCTTGATTTTGCGAGTTCTCTCGTATCTACCTAATCCATAAGGAGAAAAGAAAATCGAATTACCGCGGATTAGGCCGACACATATTCGCTCGACACGGGGCGATCTCCACATGGTTGTGGCTGAGACGTGTCTTAGTGTATCATGTCTACGCTAGTCTCCATATTTCTATTAGTAGAACATCAGGTCGACCCCCTTGTGATTGTGGCATTTTTGTATTTGCAGCATACAGATCAGTTTTAGGTTTCGAAGCTACATGGACATATAGTGCCTGACAAATTGATTGCTGCAGACTCTAGACCTGATCTCACATTTAGGCAGAAACTATTACAGTTTCCTGCATATCACAGAATGCAGGTTGCTTTCGTCCCAATATTATATTCGAAGTCCTTCTGAAGGCAATTAAGCCGATATCCACAAAAATCCAGGAACAGCCGCCAAAGCTATGACCAAACGGCCCAATTTTTTGTCTGCTATGATCCATTCCACACTGATGTCACCATTGTCCTGGGGAAATTGAGCTTTGGCCCACTGATGTGCCCAAGTCTTCACACCAAAGCAAATAGTCCAGATAAGTCGCCACTAGCTCGTCTCAGACTCATCACCAACGTGGATCGACGTGGCAATCGACCAATCTCCATGAACACCCTCATAGCGGTGGAGTGCCCAGACCGTACGTTGCGCAGCCAATGCAGCTAATCAAGTGTTGCGTCACGTTACGAATTGTGGTCCACGATCATGGGCTCCGAGGAATGGAGACAACATACATACAACAATGAGCTACAATCTATGCTAAATTTGATTAGCGACTTGGACCTGGACTGAAACAGAATTTCACGCCACTATCTTCGTTTCTGGTTTTAATCTTAATTGCCTTTACAATGTTTTGTATACCCGTTTTTGAGCTTTTTACTGTAGCAAAGAAGAGAAAGACTGTTCCAGACTTGGCTACACTATTAACATGTAATCTCCGTGCCTCAATATGAAGGCTCTTCTCCAGATTGAGCCTTAACGCCCTCTCCACATGGTCTCACATCGATATCTCGATCGACAGTCAACGCCGATCGATCTTCAGGGGTTCCATAGGATCTCCGCTGGGTGTGGGCTTGCGCTAGCAGGTCTGTTGTCAATGCCGTTAGGAGTGGCTACTGTCTTGATGTTTGCGGAGTTGAGCGTTTGATCCGCGGTAGCGTCTTGTTTTCTCAAGCTTGGGGCTTTGGAGTGTCGTTTTATACTTTTCTGGGTGGTTTTGATATCGGAGGTGGGTTAAGGACTATCCATGAGGTAAGGTCGATTTGGGAATGGTTTCGTGGCGGTATGGTGGGATGAAGAAGGGACGTGTAATTTTATTTAGGGGGCCATTGGCGTTTTAGATGCAGCTCCACATCTTTGAGATCAAAAGACGATGAGGATAGGTGTTTCTTCAAGTAGAAGGGAATCATACATACGCTCATAGACCAAGGGTACCACTATACATCTGTGAACATATAGGCTACGTTGACCTCCCACCTAGGTATATATGTTACTTTTGACAACCTGTGTGCCATAGTAAAAGACGGATAGCGGCCCGCCTGTACTTTTTCTTTGCTCTTGTCTCCCGAGGTCCTGATCGATATTTTTTCCTACAAAATATATGTGTATATTGAAAATGACAGGCATATCCTTCGATCTATGCTCACAGTTCTCCAAGGCGTTCTTACGTGTAGTCCCAGCTTCATACATGGCATCATAAAATCTCGATTGTTCCCATTCTCTACATTATAGTTATAACCTTGGCATGTATTCCATTCGCGTTGACCTCTTAGAAAAGTGCACATCGAAGAGATAGATGTGTTCGTAAGTATCTGTCAAGTCCAACAAAAGCCTTGAACGATCTGATTTCGCAGAAGCAATTACAACCCTATTATCCTAACATGTGGACTTCTTAACATATTCGTTCAATTTAATCCAGTAGGAGAACAACACATCAAATCCAAAACAAACATGTCACATTATTTGACTCATCTCGGGCACTCATTATACTAGAGCAAATAGAAGGTGTATCTCAGATCTATAAACAACAAAACTCCATGCAACTGATTTTCCTTCACCCGTGCTCCGGATGAGCCAATTCGGTCGGCCACCTGGGCCCAAAAAAGAAGTCCAAACAAGTTCTGTACAAGGCAAAAATCAAAGCCTATTTACCTCTTGCGCCATGACAGCTCCAGGATCTCATCGCCCTTCTTCGGATCACGAAGAACATACCACTGCGTCACACGGCCATTCTCCTCAACGACGGCATCCTGCAACTGAAAGCTCTTCTTATCCTCGTCCTTACGACGGAGCGGACCAAGCTCATGCAAGTATGACTCTTCATTGGCGCCGTTGTGCGCATCCCACGTCTGCTCCATGGCGAGATCGCCCTCATCGGGGTCGTAGTGGTACTTGATGACGGAGTAGCCATTTGTCAGGATCCAGCCATCGCCAAAGTGCCATTGTCGGAGGAGGCAGGTGTCGCCGCACAGCTCGGAGATCACTGCCAACTTGGGCATGTCGGCGTGGAACCATGATTTCCAGTGATGCACTGTGAGCGGGGGCTCGCGGCCGGACTCGAAAAAGCCGGATGCGTCGTGCATCAGGTCAAGCTGACGGAGACGGTGGTCGACTGTTAGGCGGGTTTGGGTGTAGCGGTAGACGCAGATTGCGATGCGGCGATCACCGGTGAAATCCATGGCAGAGCACTCGTCATATTTGTTAGTGATTTCTGTCATCAGAGGACGCGATAAGAAGACGCCTGCGCCTCCGAATCCGATCATTCCGAATGTCGCAATCTGCGGGATCGACTCTGATAGCCCGCCGATGTACATGGACTTGGTGTGATCGTACTTGTCCAGTGCTTCCACCAAGCTGGCCATGGATAGGAAGAAGGTATCGTCATCGATGATACAGCCCCAGCGGGTCGACTCCCGGGCATTTTCTTCCAGAAGGGGGATGAGGGCGAAGTATCGGTGCAGGTAGTCATCGTCCGACTCGGTGATGAACAGGTTGATACCAAGATCTTCGGCTTTGGCCTTGACATCACGGATTCCATTTTCCGATCTATCAGTTTCAATCAAAGCGAAAATACGAGTCCGTGTGTATCCAGCCCAGTGCGCGAACGCATCGAGAGAATCGTTCAATCGCTCCACGCTGGTGGCGACTCCGAAATCGATGTGTGAAGCGATCGGCAATTTTGGGGGTTTGGGAACTGTCACAGCCATAGGTATGGGTATCGAGCATCCATCTGCGGCTCCCTCGGTGCCCTTCTTCACACCCAAAAGCGGCTGCTCGAGCCGCGTGGTGTAGGGCACTGGTTCCTCCGTCGTATCGACCACAATTTCACGGCGGGTATATTGAGCGACGTTAAGAACGTCGAGTCTGGTCAACAGATCGTAATCCAGTTCACAGCGGACATCTGGGGAGATGGTGATGTTGGACACCGTTGTCAGCGGCATTTTGATCGGCTCTGCTGAGGGCCATAGCATGACGACGAAGCCTATTATAACCAGAAATGCGACACCGAATCGCATCATTTTTTTCCAAGCCCATGATGCTCCTGGGAGCGACCCATCCCGTGGGTTGAATAGCATCTTGTGTGTTGTGTGTTTGTATTTGTCGGCTTCTACCGCATTGCGGAGACAAGGGTTCGAGGGTCTAGAGCACAATCAAGGGCCCACGATGGCAGGCGGATGAAAGTGAGGAAATCGCCGACTATAAAGAGAGATTTGGGGGGTTAATGAAAAGGGAAAAAAATTATCAAAGGGACGAGACGGGACAACGAGGGACGATCATGGTTTCCATGGTATGAAACTAAACGCCAACAATTCTTTTTTTCCCAAGGGGTCTAAGGGATGATCATGACGTGAGGTCACGTGCTGTAGCTCTTCTATGTTCCTTAATGAGAGAAGGTTACAACAATAAAATATATGTTGAAATGGTCTGCAATTGGACTATTTCCTATCAACATCCTCTTATTATCTAGGAAAAATCATTGTATGATACCATGACTCCCAAAGGCAGCATTCCCAAAAGAGAAATCTACAACCCTGCCAATGCCAAGCCCGCCCTAAGCCCCCGGCCCCCACATCCGTACGCGTCTTTTTCCGCCCTGTGCACTACGGAGTACTTGCAACTTCAGACTGCTCGCATGGTACGGACCACAGATGCCCTCGGGAAAAAAGCCAAGCCACTACTTTGTCCCTATAGTAAGCACTAGAACCCATATCCAACACAAGAAATTAAATACGCAACGTTTGTTGAGTGCCTCATTCCAACATCGATAAAGAGTATAGTTACACATAGCTAGCCGCTGCCCCTTAAACAGGCTGGATTCTCATGGGCTCGGACATTTTCTTTGCTTCTTCCCGTCTGAAAAGGCTTTCAGACGATCCCGATGACGATCGGCCCCGGTCGATAACCACAATAACTATAGTGGACAAGACAATTATAGGTGTAGCAAAAGCTTGGTTGTATATACATGGACTTTCAGGGTCCAATGGAATGTCCACTTTTCAGTGAATCTTGTGGCTATTGATATAAATACCATTAATGTACAAAGGTACTGTGGCCCCTGGAGGCGTCGTCTTTTGACGGAGCCAATCCGGGCCGAAGAATCTGTCAGGTGTAAAACCTGTACATACTTTGAGAATGGTGAGACAGACCAATGCCGCTGGCCTTGGTCATATGGTCATACAGCTATCTATATTTATGAGATTATCACTCAAGACCTGTATGCTCTGCCTAGGGTTCCATCGATCCTTTCAGATGGCGTCACGGCAACGTCGAGAAACTTACTTAGGACCAACTTTTCTCGGGAAAAAAGACAAAAGAACAAACAGTAAGCTTATCATGTTCGGTGGTATTCAAATATCAGTAGAAGAACAAAAAACAAAAGAAAAAACAAAAAGACATGCCCTCGTCCAGGATCGAACTGGAGACCTTCGGATATCAATCCTGTTGCCAGGAATGTCATATGTTTTAAATATGAGACCAACGTCATGACCAAACTAGACCACGAAGGCAGTGATGGATGACCAATTGGGCGCTGGACAGGATACAGCCTCAAGACACAGGCTTTGGTCCGTTGATCAAAGACTCGACGTTTCGAATCTTATCCCCCATAGGAGGGCTCCAACAGTTTGATTGGCCAATCGAGCATCACTTAAATCTATAGCTATCGGCCGTAAATTATGCTGTCGGTCGGCAAGCAGCGATTCATCACACTGTTATACTTTTTTTGTATCGAGTCGAGCTCTTCGGCTATATTCTCCCGAGGTCCTCTTACAGTGAGTTAATTGTTGGAATTGAAATGATTTAAATTGCAACTGGCTTCTTTTTTGTCCACGGTCCCACTCCGCCCGTTGCTATGGCTTCGGCTATATAGATCCATGATCATCATATCGTGACCTTCTCTTTGAATGACTGTACATTGCATGGCTGCAGATACTTGATATTTCGAACTGAAAGCTGTTGCATTATTGTCGTTTTTTTTTTGAATCCAGGGATATCCCCTGTCGGCACGTGGAACGTCATCCTCTGTACCACATTGTTTTTCATCCATTTCTGGTTATTCTACAAACAAGCCCTGCTTCTTCGTGTTAATTTTGTATCATACTAGATAGAGTTCACGACCCAGCGTTTGAGTCATTGTAATCTACGGCAATGACACATGAAATCTTGTGGAATGCTTAAACGCTCGGCCAAATGATCCTCTCTAGCATCTTCTAGAACGAGTCCCGAGACGGGATGGAGGCAAGGACCGGTCGAAGAATTTTTCTCTCGGGCATTTTTAGGAGATACTTAACTATCAGCGGTATTTTGTTCAAAGGTGCTCCTAGGCGAATGGGGAACCATGAAGGTTTCTACTTAGCCGCATTGATGTGAACAAAGAGACAAGGAAGGGCAAGACTGGATTTGATATTAGTAGCGAATCTGCTGGTTTCACAACATTACCGGCTTCTGATAATGAGTCGTCTGTAAGCGCTTGGTTTCTGACCGTGTATTGCAATATCAGTCACAGCGGTTACCGCCTAATGACCAGTCAACTGGCTAATTGATAAGCACGTGACTGCTACGGTGATGCATAAGGCCTTGGGCGCAGAAATCCACCCGATTGGGAAAGACCACTTCCGCACATTGGTCGTTTGATATCAGTTGATCCGGGGAAATCTGCAATCGTGTCATTTTGGACGAAGCTCACGATCTGATCCTCCAATAGAGATCTACACTTGCCATCCTTCTCACCCAATCCCCGAAACCCCACCAACCCCCGCCATGGTTGCGCAATCGCTAGCATCGCTGTTGCAGCGGGCGTCGATTGACGACCACGAGGAAGTCCTCCAGTCGTGCAATGCCGTTCTCGCTAAGTCCAAGTCCGATTTGAAAGCTCAGCACATCAAGGTCATTGCTCTATTAAAACTCGACCGCTACGAGGAGGCCCTCAAGACATTCCAATCCGGAGGCAGTGCGCTGAAGCAAAGCGCTGCTCTGGAATATGCCTATGCATCATACAAGTGCGGCAACTTGGAGCAAGCTACAGAAGCTGTAACTCAAGCGGCTGCTGGGCGTGGTGCTAGCCACTTGGAAGCGCAAGTGGTATGGCGCTCAACACTTTCCTTTGTGATGTTTCGGGGACCATTATTAACACATGTATTTTATAGCGCTATCGTGCCGAGGATTTCAAGCGGGCAGCCGAGCTTTATGAGCAACTTTCCCGAGATACGACCTCTCACAGCCACGAAATTAACGACCTGAACATCAATTCATGGGCCACCGATGCACAGCTACAATGGAAAGGAGAGCCGGAATTCGTGCGCCACAACCGATTGTCGAGAGAGGATTTGGAGTCATTTGAAACAACCTACAATGCAGCTTGTTTGAACATTGCAAAGGGAGAATTCAAGCAGGCTGAGGTATTGCTCAACCGAGCTCAAAGTCAGAACCCTACGTTGTGCCCGAAAGCTTGAGCTCAACTGACATTTTTCATAGATATTTGTCGGACATCGGAGGACCTTTCACCTGAAGATAAGGCTGCAGAGCTGTTGCCAATCTCGGTCCAGCAACTCTACGTGCTTATCCAACTTGGAAAGTTGGAAGAGGCCGAGGCGGTTCTCAAAGATATCTCCATTGACAAGTAAGGCATTGCAAATATATGCACTACTATAAATGACTAACATGTATCAGCATCTCTGAATTATCAACGAAGAAGATTGCGAGCAACAACATTGTGCTCGCCCGTCAAACTGCAGCCAACCCCTACATCCTATACAAAGCCCTCCACAACACCCCAGATGCCACCAAGAACGATCGGCTGTTCGACTTTCAAGACCGTGATATCGTCGGTAACTCTCACGCCGCCGACCTTCTAGTCCAGAAATACGATGGCGTCATCCGATCCACGAGCCGGGCCTTGTCACAACGCCCAACCCCATCCACCGATGCCGCCACGAACCTCCTTTCCGTCTACAACGCCGCGGCCCAGGCACGCGGTCAAATTGGACAAAAGGCCCTCTCTCAGATCGCCCCATTGCTAGAACGCCGACCCACAGACCTCGGCCTACTCCTAACAGTGGTGCAGCTCTACGTCGGCAACGGCAACACTACCTCCGCCATCACAGCAATCGAGCGAACCCTCCGCAGTCTGGAAGAGTCAATCTCCGAAACCGACCAGTCTGTCCGCTTCAGCCCCGGCCTGCTCAGCGTTCTGGTCTCCCTATATCAGCTCGAAGGCCGCAAACTGCAGATTCGCACAACCCTCGCCCAAGCCGCCGCTTACTGGCGTTCACAGCCCCAAGCCCCAGCATCTCTCATCCGCGCCGCAGCCGCCTCCCTCCTGCACTCCGAAGACCGCGCCGATCTTGCCGCAGCGGGTGAACTCTTCAGCACACTGCACAAGCAAGATGCCGATGACCGCGTTTCTGTTGCAGGATATGTCGCCTCCCAGGCAACCCTCAACTACGCGCAGGTAGAATCTCAACTGGACCAGCTACCGTCCGTCAGCGAATTGATCGGTGACATCGATGTCTCAGCCCTTGAATCCGCAGGTATCGCGCCATCTGCATCCTCTGCAGCCGCCGCCGCCGCTGCCTTCGCGGGTGCGCGCAAGCGTGCCGCAGGCCCTGATGACCGCGCCAACAAGCGTGTCCGGAAATCTCGCCTGCCAAAGGACTTCGATCCCGCTAAGAAGCCTGATCCTGAACGCTGGCTGCCCATCCGCGATCGCTCCTCTTACCGTCCCAAGGGTAAGAAGGGTAAGCAGCGTGCTGCGGCTCTTACACAAGGTGGACCTGTCAGTGAGAAGGCCGAGAAGGCTGAAGAGTCACCCGCTCAACAGCAGAAGGTTGGAGGGTCGAACGCGAAAAAGAATAAGAAGAAGGGAAAGCGGTAAGGCAATTCCACCTGCATCTAGCTGAAAATCGTATATTATTGAACAAGTTGGATTGCTAGAACTTGATATGAGTAGACCATCAGTTTTGTGACTCCACGACACCGCAACAACCTGCATTAGATGAGTCCGGACCAACTTAGACGGGACTGTATGATAACTCCATGGCAAAAAAAATCCTTAGACTTTCTTTCTTGCATCACTCTCAACCAAGTGGCGTGCTGATAGTTCCACATTGGCGGTTGTAATGCTCAAAGACCATCAACAACAACCGTAAATCCATAACGGCATCATCAGCTGTCGTCTTTGCCTCCCCGCCAACAAGATGAGAATGTAAAGCCAGAAACTCTCGCTCATAAGCCTCTTCGCACGTACTAACCGTCTCAGTACGTTTAACCCGCCTGACACCCCCAGCCCCATTCTCCTCCACCTCCGCCTCCTCAACAACAACCTTCACAAAAGTTCCGGTGCTAATCTTCTCCCCCGGTCTCGGAAAATCATACTGAACACTGACCGTCTTCCGCGCACCGTAAACAGTAAGGTGGGCATCACACCTCGGCACAGAATCAACACCCGCCTCATACAACAGTGTAAAAGGATGGCCACTGCTGTCATTTGTATAGTGAAAAACAGCAGAGTAAAACGGATCTGTAATCGCAACGCTGGAAACAGCATCCGGGAACCCGAGCGACTCCCGCATCACTGATAGATCATGGCACCCCAGCATACCCAGGTATCGGCAGAACGCAATGCGGTTGGGAGTGATATCGTCGCCAAAAACATCTTCCAACAGTGCAGTGAATTGCTCGGGATCATTGTGGACGGCCGGTTTCCCGCCTGTGTTCATTGGCCCGGCGATATGGCGACAGCGCGCGTAGTAGATGCGGCCCAGGTCTGCGAGCTCTTTTTTAAAGACATCTGTGAAACAAGGGGCGTAGCGGCGCGCACAGCCGACGACAACCTTGGGCGCTGTTGCTGGGTGCTGTTCTTGAGCTTGTTTTATGGCTTCGCGGATGCGGCGAAGGCTTGGGATGCTCATTGTCAGGGGCACTTCGACCATGACGTGTTTGCCGGCTTTGAGGGCTGTCACGGTATATTGTTCGTGGTATTCCATTGGGAGGAGGTTGAGGATTAGGTCGACTTCTTTGTGGTTGAGGATTTCGGTGATTGGGAGGTTGTGCGGGATGTTGAATGTTGACTGGCATTGATTCGCGAGTTCTGGATTTGGGTCGTAGATTGCGCTTAGGGTGTAGTGGGTTTTGAGAGTGAGGAGGACTGGGAGGTATGTTTTCTGAATTGCGGCATTGGCACCTAGGATACCGAGGCGGAGCGGCATTTTGATGCTTATAATGTTAAATGTAGGGATGTAGATGGGGTGGAGGTTGAGGTCATTGAGAGTAGAAGGTTGAAAACAAAGTGCAAGTCGTACTGTCCTGCCAAAGCATACATACGCTGTGACATCAGCGGGTATGACTATCCAGGGGCCACTTGAATAGGTAGTTCCATGGATCATCCTAGTTTTACCCCGAATTCATTTCAGGATCTCGATCTATCCCGATCTAGAACCTTGCATATATTGCTGATCCTTGATAGATCTATATTGGTTGAAATGTTCGACTTGACCACAACGGAATTGACAGACAAATACAATCATCTACATATACACTGATGTTGATAGGATATTTCAACGTTCAACTACCTAGGTACCTAGGAATGTCCAATTTCATATAAGCTTACAAATTGTATAGATCAATATCAAACCTAAAGACCCGCTCAGTGGAGTCACCCGTTTCCCTATATTGTACCCAACCTCATATAATCGAGTATTGAACCCTCCCAAGGTCTAGAAATACCGTTGCTAGAGAAAAGAATATTGTTTCCTAATGTGAATGTCAAACATAGACATATACCGCAAACGAAGTCTCACGGTCAAAATTGGGCTCTTCAATCTTTATACAGCCATCAGATTGTAGTAGAGTGCATTCAGTGAGGTATTCAACCACGTTATTTCTCTTTTAGTTTCTCGTTTCTCTTGAACGACCACATTCCCTTTTCTCTCGGTTTTCTCCCCCCGTACAAACCGTTCTATAAAAGCTTCTTTAGGCACGATCTTTTCTTCTCTTCATTCGACTCTCCTAGCCTTCAACATTTCTCCTTCAACCCTTGATGCAGGCTATCATTTGGTCTGTACCTCGTCAACTCTTTCACAACCTTGCACTCTGAGCCTCCCTTAGCCTGTTTCTTGGTGGGTTCTTTTACTGCTTTTAACTCTTCACTCTTCCATCTATTAATTGGACAACTCACTGACTCTTCTGAGTATCCGAGACAGGCTTCAAGTCACTCGATCAGTTCGTTCAGCGTTCATTCGACTTCTCCAACACAAAAAGTAAGTCATTATTCCTCGGGATTCAATTTACCGGGATTTGATCTGCCTGGTCGTTTCTATCCATTCTTCTGCTTTTGTCAGTTGTTGAGACAACCGCGCTGACCATTCTCCAGCCCAGGAGTGGTTTTCCAAAAGCTCACTACCTTCGATCCAAATCTGCCTCTTTGATTTATCTCATCTTGGCAAAATGAGAGTGAGTTACCCTTCTTTGGAATCCAGCTGCGCGCCTGGCTCGATCCAATACAACTCCAATTCTAACGCTTCACATGTCCATCTAGTATACCAAGGAAACCGATGAGCAAATCATCCGCCGATGGACTCGTACATACATCCAGTTGTCTGATGAGAAAGACACTCTCTGGCCTATTTTGACTCCAATTTTAGAACAAATCGACGAAATCGAGGAGTTGGAGCAGGTGGGCGAATACAGAAAGCCCAGAGTGACCCCACTTAGTCACCTGAAGCCCGGGCTCATGCAGAGGAGAAATGAGTTGCAACTGCGCATACGGCATATTGACGAGTTTCGGGCAATCTTCCGGAGACCAGAGATGTTTCAGGAGCTGTCTGAGGCCGTGATGCATCGATTGCTTCGCCGTGTGAACTTAAACGATAGCGACCTACCGCTCGACATGCCAGGTATTCGGTCTTTCTTGAATAGCGTGATTGCTCCCGTTCCGGTGGTGCCAGATGACGAGCCCTGGTTTCCGGAGGAAGCACCAGTGGCTCCCCCTGTGGAGCAAGAATCCCTTCCATCTCCTACTGCCCAGACTTTGAGGCAACCTTCTCCCGTCCACTCGGGTTGGGGGTATTCTCCTCCCTGGCCAGAGTGGGAAGCTTCTCCTATTGCAGAGTCAGTTTCACATTCTTCTCCCGTCCACCCCGATTGGGGGTATTCCCCTCCCTGGTCAGAATGCCAAGGTTCTCCCGTTGCAGATTCGGTTTCACATACTTCTCCGGTCCACTCAGGCTTGGGGGATACCGCTACCCAGTCAGTGGTGGCCGCTTCCTCGGGACATAGCCATGTGCAAGACGATCTTGATTGGGAGGTGTCTTGGCCCTCCCAGGAGCCGACTACCGAATGTGCCAGTTGCTGTGAGGCGTTCTCTGAGCAACATGTGATGACAAGCAAATGTTCACACTCCTATTGTCAGAATTGTGCCACTCACATGCTCGAGCATGGTTTGAGAGAGGAGGTCTTATTCCCACCCCGTTGCTGTGGTCAAGAATTGCCACTCAAGCAGAACATGACCATGTTCAGTGATGAGATTTGGGTTGGCTACTTGGATAAGGCTATTGAGCACAATGACAAAGATAGGACCTACTGCCACGATCCCAAGTGCAGCAAGTACATTCCCCCAATCAATGTTCAGGCGCAAAATTGTTTGTGCTCGGCATGCAATAAACAAACCTGCAAAATTTGCAAGAAAGCCGCTCATTCTGGTTGGTGCTGTGACAAAGGGGACGATACATTGTTCGAACTTGCAAAAAAGTTGGGCTGGCAGCGTTGCTCTTCCTGTCGCTATTTCGTCGAGCGCAAATGGGGCTGTGACCATATCACGTAAGTGTATTTGTCTCTGTCTCGGTGAATCATACTAACATCCAATGTCTAGCTGTCTATGCGGCTACCAATACTGTTACAAGTGTGGGGCCGAGTGGAAGACTTGCAACTGTGTGCATATCCCCGAGCCCGCCGAGGACCCGGTCCTGCAAGAAATGGGCGAACAATTGGGTGGGAATTTGGGGTTTGCTTTGGCTATGGCCGAAAGACGTTTGGCATTGCAAACCTGGGATGTTCCCGAGGAACAACTACCCTTGCGTCAGCTCAATGCTACCGCTGTGCTGCGACGTCTGTGCCACCATGACCGAGTTTGGACTCAGCCTGCAGGGCATGTCGCTTGCCCTGGATGTCCTCGTGTCGTCGTTATTGATCTTTACGAGTGCAATCTCTGCGGGCTGCGAGCCTGCGGGCCTTGCCGACGATACCGTCACACGGAGGCCCAAGACAACTGGCCCGAGTTGCCGTAATATGGAGATCTTACAAATTGCCTGGCCATGAACTCCGTTCATGGAGAAATGTTCTGGGTGAAGTTCCGAAGTTTTGCTTCGCTGGCTTCAATTTGATGAATGATGATGGGAAGAAGCTTCTTGGGTTGCGCGACTTCTCTTGTTTCAGAGGTATTCTGGGAGATTGAGGAGGATCGAAAGTTCTGCTTCTTTGATTTCAGTTCATTTTGTTTCAAAAAAGTTTAGAAAATACAAAACAGGGGAGAACTGCGCTTTGCTTTGGTCGAAGATTAATTTACAGAAACATCTCAAGGCATTACAGGATTGAGGGAATAAGCTGTTCTGTTTGTTAGTCTCAAAAGACAAAGGAAAATAACCACAAAAAAATATCAATAGGTCAATATGACCGAAGAACAGAGCAGAAAGAAAGTATCAAAATCGCAACGGTGTATACGATTAACAGGTAGAGCCTCAGCCTAGCACTTTAAAACACTGAAATCCCACATCAAACGAGACCTATGTACGGAGTAGACATTAAGCAAACTATATACAATATACAAAATAGAATTTAAAAATATTTGTACATATGTAGAGAGAGATCATGAAGTAATATTCGAAATCATTGCCACAGTTCTTAGACTAATGCGAAGTTATACACCCACATCAATTAGATAGTATATAATGTCTAATACTACCGCGACGATCAGCTCTCATGAACCGATCGGTACGGAGTAGATCTCCCAATTTCCGTAACTGAGACCCGAGAAACTCCGCCGCTTAGCCTCCAAGGTTTGGTCGATCAATTGCTTCATGTCGTAAGAGATAGACGGCTGAGAGTCCCGCACCCACCAGACCCTCCGAACTATTGAAATCGTGCATCCGGACCTGCATCAAGTGTCATAACAGATGTAGATCTATCGTTGTTTCGAGAACATGTAGATCCCAACCCTTCACTGCCCCAGTCTTATAATACTAATTGATTCTCCCAAACAATCTCTCCCAAACCCTCAGATTTTTCTTCAATCAACCCATCAAAATGCAATTCAAGCTCGTTTCCATCTCTCTCATGGCCGCAGTGGCCTCGGCTCAGCTGTCGACTTCTCCATCTTCATCTCCTTCGCTCTCATCCTCTATCTCCTCAACCGCCACCCCTTCCTCTACCTCGTCAGCGGCACCATCTGCGAGCGTGAATGCCGCCGACTTCGACTGCGTGTACCGTGGCTGGGGCTGTGATTGGAAGAAGTCCGAATATGGCTACGGCGCCGATTACTGTGGCTCTTCTCCCTTCAAGGCCGGTCAGCAGCTTTCCGACGGTAGCCAGATCGTGGCTGTCTCGAAGGACGGTTCGGGTGACTGCGCTTCTAAGGCGGGTGATAAATGCTGCCAGGTTCTTGCTGCTGAGCCTTGCAAGCGTGGTGAGAAGTACCTTGAGTGCTCGAAGCCTCAATAGGTGTGTTGTATGGTTTAGTGAATTCCCAGGTTGAGAGGTCTGTTGGCTGATGTGTTTATAGATTACCGGTATGCGAGTGGAGTTCAACCATGACATGATGATTTAGAAAGCGCTCTATGTACATTATGTCCAAGACTATTATTTTGGAATTCATCTAAGATCATGATTATGATCTAATGCTTATGGCTTCACAATGGTAGAACGTTAGACTTGCTATTACGTCCCCGATTTAGGGGCTCTCTTACATTCTCCACCATACTACAAGCCATATTCTTAGGTCAATCAATAGCACTATCATAGAAAAATAATCAAACCTACTTGCCACCATGGCTAAGAGATATAGATACCTTTTCCTCTCTTGCCTAGAAGCTCCTATGAATCCTTATTGGATAGTTATATCGGCTTCCGGAAAATAAGGTATTAGTGGTAAATGAATGCTCCATATATCCTACCCTAACAAAACTTCGTTCGACAAAAGAATTTCTTGCCTCCTATGAAGTACTCACTCAGGGACATATTCTTAAAGTGTCTTATTTCATAGTCCTTCCTAGGGAAGCATGTGTTTCTGCTGATTGGCTGCCTTTCACTATCAAAATAATAATAACTCGAAGAGGTTATTACGTTTTTGCTTCAATTGTATTTCGCAAGACATTAGAAGTCATATATGCCTTTTTCTAGCCAGACAACCAGGCAATACCTCAAGAATCCGTTCCTTAATTAGGCTTCTGGGATAACATGACTATCGCATGAATCAATCGTTCTATGTTTATACTGTACGGGGTACTCCGCACAATCAATGGTCCCTGGTGGTCTGGTATAGAGGCCAGGACTAATCATTATGACCGCTTTATTGAGGTTTCACCTAGGTAATAATCATAAAAACTTCTAGATACCTAGGATAACTTTATACAAAGATAAAAGCAGCTGAAAACAAGCCTAGATCCAAGAGGCCCTAACCTCCACAGGTTAGCTTAACAAAGAATGTGAACAAACCAAAGTATCATGTACAACCGTGAAGCACAACTAAAAGGTCACTTAGTTAGTGGTACTTGAGCGAATGTGCTCCCAAGGCTGGAGACAAGTGCTACCGGGGTTCTTGCCAACGAGCCTGTGCCTTAAGCGCCGGAGGCCTAAATGTGTGTGTTGTCTAGTCATCGGATGGTAGCTTGTTGTTGGTTAGTTGCGAAAATAGATTATGCGAATCTATAAGAAACTTGAAAGATATACTCAGAAGTCCCTTAGCAGAATTCCGGTCCGAATGTGAAAGAAAGCCTTGCAGATATCAATATAGCCAGCAGTAAATTGCCAGATCCTAGGTTTTTGGGATGAGTTTTGTACAATGTCGGCGAGAAATCCAATAAGAATTGATTCAACATGAGGAGTTCGTTTTATGTTGTATAAGATGCTTGCTTTTCCTACTTATGGCAAAATAAGGCCCGATCTTCCGTAGTTTTGTCGTTGCCACAAATAAGGTTGTAGGTGTTTTGTTCAACATAAGAAAGTAGGAAGAAATCCAAAAAAAAAATTTAAAAGGCATTTTTCTAATCAAATTAGAGTCTTTTGAAGTCGGCACAACAATTTTTGGGGGTAAGAAAAAAAAGGTAACCCCCGGCGAGGGTCGAACTCGCAATCTTATGATATTCTTTTCCGAGAAATTCGGTAAGTAGCTAAGAGGAGGTTAGTAATCTATACGTTTTTACTTTTGGCATAGGGATACGAACAAGTCATATGCCTTAGCCAATTAGGCCACGGGGGCATCTATATTTCAAATTCGTTAAACCTATATACTGTATTTAGACTCAAATCTATCATACAATCTTTTAAAACGAGGCTAGCCAACAGCAATAGTTATACTAAAGATTTCATTGATGAAAGTCTGCCTAATGACAAACCGAATATATACATACATACTTATACCCTTCCTATTCAATATTTTTATTCTACAATATTCCTAAGTACTACCCTATTTATTTAATTATCAAGTATATATAGTGATAAACTCCTACCCTACATTTTATAAGTTCTAGCTCTTCGGAGAGGTCATTGGCTAGGTGAAAGAAAGAAAAAAAAACGAAGGAAAAAAATGCTCATGGTAGGACTCGAACCTACAGCCTTCAAGACTCTCTATTGCATAGAAATTCCTCTTACAAGGAGATAACTATAAGCATGATGAACTAACCAATTGTTCTACATGAGCGTTCGTAAATTAACACATCGTTAACATAAACTAACTATTACAATAAATAACCCACCATATACAATCTAAATACATAACTAGTATAATTAACTACTTCTCTCTACCTCAAACAGCTCCAAGGTCGCTTAAGTCATGCGCTCTATCTAATTAGGTCACGGGAGCTTCTGCTTCTAAGGCTCCTTTAGTATTTAAGCTAGGCTATACATTTTCCGAATCGAGCGTTCCCCAAACAGCGAGCCGACGACAAAGACAAGAAAAATAGGAATCGCCGAGATCTGATATGAAGGCCAGGAGTAGCCAGTACAACCGTCATATAAAGGGTATGTACGAGGCCTTGGCTTGAGAGAAGGCAAAAGCCGTGATAGAAGAAGACAGGGAGGGGGTTTACTCGGGCGCATATTACTACATCTGAACACAACTTTGGAAGATTGGTATCAAGGAACCATCGACGTGCCCTAGCAATGATGACAACGTCTAGATACCTGGGACAGGTTTATTAAAAAAGTAGCTGAAAACAAGCCTAGATCGAAAAGGCCCTGAACCCGACACAGATTGCTCAACAAGGAACGCAAGCCAACCGAAGTGTATCGGATTCATCGCAATACACTATCACTTATTATATACAACCGTAAAGAACAACCAAAAGGCTACTTAGTTAGCGCTACCGGCGGGAGCAGCACGAGGGGCATTGCCAGTAGGGCCCGTACGACGGCTCCTAATTCCGAGGTTAGACAAGAAACAAAACAAACAGCACGAGTCGACTTACATCATGGTACGGCTGAAGAAACTGATGCCGATCATGAACAACCAGCTGGGAACAGCGCCGAGGCCCCAGATGATGTATCCCAGAGGGATATTGAGCTGGTACTTGGCGAGCAAGCCGTCAACGGGGTGGAGCGCACCCTCGTAAGGAGAAACCTTCTCATAGGTCTTCTTGGAGTGAATCTCGTAGATAGTCTCGGGAGTGACGGTGGTAGAGTTGAGGTAGATGGTGCGGAGGGGAGTGAGAGCGCGCTCCTCGCCAGCAGGCTGTTCCTTGGGGACCTGGTAGTACTGCACGGATGGGGCGCTGGCGGACCAGGCGGCGCACAGAACCTGGTTGGCTTCGCAGTCCAGGTATCCGAGGTGAGGGGAGGTGGGGTCAGCAGAGAAGAGGAGGACGGATTCCTAGTGATAATGGTCAGGTCTCATTTTGGGGTGAAGACGCGTCGCGGCATTGTGCTGATAAAGAGGGCTTACCTTGAAGGCCTTCTCGGCCTGGGCGCAACGACCGAAACAGGTCTTGTTGCCACCAGTGGTGAAGATCAACCAGTCCTCTTCCTTGGGGCCGGGAGTGAGGATGCTTTGATAGTTGTTCATGGATACCGGGGTGACGCTCTTCTCAGAGATCTTCTCGGCCAGCTTCTCGATCGGGGCGACGGGAGCTGCTGTCGGCACGTACGACTTGACCTGGTTGAACCAGCCCTGCACGCGGTCGGCGAGAGGGACCTGCTCCTGGGCCATGGCCAGGGCAGGGAGAAGAGTGACGAGCGACGTGAAACGCATCTTGAGGGCTGACGCGCGAATTCCAGTTAGTAAGACATGTTTCGAGGACAATGAGATGTTTGAATATAATTCAATGAGAAAGTAGATCAAGATACATACATTTGACTGAAAGGCGCGATGGCAACGATAATAATTGACACAGTCGAAGACCAGAAGGAGGAATGGGTCAACAAGTCAAAGACAGAACGACAGCTGGCCTGAGCGTTGACCAACCACATCGCTTTAATTTACTTCCCACTCCCGGTCCCTTTTCAATGGCGCCATGACATTTATTTCTACGGAGTATGTGAGAATGTTCTAGATTTGTTTTGTTCTGCTGTTTCTTTTTTTTTTCCGAAGAAAAACAAACATGATATTCAATATCTTCAAGAGGAAATTACCCCGTTTTGACTTGCATAAACCTCCTGACCCACAAATTTAACACTACAATGCCTAGTTAATGCCTATTATAGTATGGATGGAGTATGGAGTATGGAGTATAGGTTTTCAATAACACATATACATGCCAATAACTTCCATTCAATACTGAGCAGGTCTAATATACTAATTTTACTTTTAAAACGGCCTACAGGTGTAGTCATCCTGCCCGCCTGCTAGAGAAACTATGAATAAGTGGCATTAATCACCTGGGCAGCAAACAGACATTCAATCTAAAGATAATAGCTGTCTATGTGTCAAAACATAATGCGTACGTGACATCAAATTAAACAGACACTTAAAGCATACTGACACCCCTTTTGACTATATGCAGGCCCTGTTCAATGAGAGACTTCCGGCTAGCCAGAAGACTTCTCAGCTACCGTACAAAGGCATCAGCCTGTACCCCCTGCCGAGCGCAAAATCATCAAAATCACTAGATAATGTTCAGAAATATGGCTAACTTGGCCTTTGTCCTCTTGTTGAGCACTTGATGGCTCACCAATGGAAGTACCATATTGAAGCAAATTGGGTTCGAAATGCTGTGTTGGATTTGGAGGTGTGTTCATGAAGAGCAACCAAGGGATCGGTGAGTCATCACTCGGTGTAAATTTCTACAGTTCTGATCTATCTGGATGGCTATGTTATGTTGTACTAGCACCGGCGTGGAATATTCATTGTGGTGGGTATATATATATATGAACCTCTATGGGAGTCCATCGAGTTATTTCTCCTCAACGGGGGCACGCCACAACCCCCACCAACTGTGACATCGAGTGACTCGAACGAGTCTCAACCTGAAACGGGTATCGCTCCTTGAACGATCGATCTAGACTGGTCACCCCAACATTACTACAGTGTGTGACACAGCACCGGATGGCGTTGGACCTGCAAGTATGTTAGTGACATATTCTACGAGTCCAAAGTTGTAACATACGAAGCTCTTTGAATAGGTTATTGGCAAATATAGCTGCCGAAAGCATGCTGGACTGGTCTTATTTCAAGTGTGGATACTCCTACCTTGTGTCCTTGAATAAATGATCACTTTCGCAGCGCAACCTCCAGGGCTTGGAAGCCGTCCGCTACCCTGCTATTACCAGAAAACTTTTAGCCTACTTACGGCTTTTGCCGTAAACTTTCTAATGATGGAGTTCCGGAGAAGCCCACTTGTACACTCTCCTTTGATGATGAACAACGGTGCGCTCCATCGTCCTTCTTACATGATACATTAGGGCCAAAGGCCACCGAACAAGGCAGGCTATGACAGAATACACAGAGTTCAATATGACAAGACAAGCCTGGGTGAACTTAAAAAAAAACGAGATGACAGCAATCAAATTATATGGGCCAAGATGTCCGTTCACAACTCTAGTCCTGGAACCAATGATCGACTTGATAATCCGATAGCTCTTATCAAGCACAATTAATCATAACCGAACAATTATTACTGACTGAACAAAAAAGAAGATTTATAATGTAGTTAACATATAGCAGTCAACAGTAGAGCGATGATACTGATGTATCAAAAAAAAACAAAAAATGCTCACACTCGGAGTCGAACCGAGGATCTCATCATTACTAGTGATGCGCTTTACCACTAAGCCATGCGAGCTTGTTGAAGGGATGTCCTTTTATTGAAATAATAGGGGAAATTGAAAGAAATGGTATTCATCAGCATCGCAACTATGTCAGGTTGAGATACTTATATGTATATTAGTGTTCAATGCCGGTTGACCGGCGGATGCGGATATCTTCTTGTTGAGTCTGGATATTTATTTTATGCCTTGTATGATCTTCTAGCAACAAAGTGAACGATTGAGGATTGACAGTGACTTGTAGCAGCCACAGTAATTCAGCATCTGGGTGATTGTCTTATGCTTGATGACAGTTGATCGTTCACGGGGCGAGCAGTGACTCGGAGGTAGGCTAGGCAGGTGTCCTTCGGTCCTGATCAAGAGTTTGTTTTCCAGTCTTTTATTTTCACGCAATGTACTCTACAGTTGTTTACGGTCTACAATGTATAGAATTGGATGAAGATGAAGTCACTGTAGCTTCTTCTGCGCTTATATACAAATTAGAGAGAACTCTCTCCAAACACCAGTTCTTTTTGAGTCTCCAAAAAAAAAAGAAAAGGTAGACTTTTCAAACCCAAACATGGAAATTGTCCAAAATATAAAAAAAAACATCAAATCATCAATTATTCCGCGCTCGACATAGATCGGTGCGCGGAGCTAGATGCGGGAATCAGTCTGCGCAAGGATTTGTTTAATAGGGAAAATCGCTTATGCGTTGAGACCGGCGGCCTGGGCCGCAAGGAGCTCCTTCTCCTTGACGGCGAAGGCCTCCTGCTCCTCGGCAGTCAAGTCGAGAAGGGGCTTGTTCTCGCCGTGCTTGAGGTTACGGTGGTAAGCACGGATGATGCTGTCGGCATCATCGACGGCAATGGGACGGATGTCAGCCATGGCCTTGATCTTGGCAGTGCACTCCTTGTATTGAGCATCAGTCATCTCAAGCTTGAGCTGCTGAGCACGGGACTTGATGGCGTTCCAGCCAGTCAGACGAGAAGCGAAGTGAACGTAACGGGTCATGCCGAAGTCGGCGGGGTTGATGATCTCGTAAGTGCTGGGGTTATTGAGGATAGCCTTGGCGTGGATACCAGCCTTGTGGGTGAAGGCACAGAAACCGGTGATGTAGTTGTTGAAGGGGATGTTGACCTCAACGGCCTCGGCGACGAGGTCCTCGATCTCCTTTAGCTTCTCGAGGCGGTACTTGCCCTTGACGTACTCGGGGGCGGCGACCATCATACGGGCCATCAAACCACCGAGAGGGGTGATACCGTTGCGCTCACCGATTCCGAGAACGGAGGTATCGATGTGAGTGGCACCAGCCTCGAGGGCACAGTATGCGTTGGCAATGGCACAGCCGGTATCGTTGTGGAAGTGAGTCTCGATGTCACAGCTGACAACACCGCGCAGGACACGGACGAGCTCGTAGACCTGGCGGGGAGAGGCACAGCCAACGGTGTCGGCAATACCAACACGGTTAACGCCGACCTTGTCGACGGCGGAGTAGATGGACAGAAGGTCGACCAGGTCGGAACGGAAGGAGTCCTCACTGGAGAAACGGATCTCAATGCCCTTGGACTTGACGAACTCGATAACTTCAATGGCGGTGTTCTTGATATAGGTCATATCCTTGCCGTGGGAGTGCTCACGGAGGTAAGAGGAGGTACCAATGACAACATCGCTAGATACAGTCAGTTTGAATTCAAGTTTGACTTTGGGCAAAACACGGATAACTCACACTCCATCAACACCGGTCTCGACGGCAATGCGGGCATCGTCCATGTGGCAACGGATGTGAGTGAGGATCTAAGAATTGAATTAGATACCAATTCCCCAAATTTTGTCCTCGTGACCAGATAAAACCCAACGTACCTTGGCCTTCAGGCCGAGCTTGCAGATAGCCTCGCAATCAGCGCGAGATTGCTCAGAGGCGCAGGGAGATGTGAGCTCGATCTATTGGGGTCATATCCGTCAGTCTTTAAATATTCATTGCAATCTTCATTCTCCAATGACTCACGTAGTCGACACCGAAGTCATCGAGGGCCTTGGCGATCTCAATCTTCTTCTCGGTATCGAAGAAGGCGTTGGCGAACTGCTCACCCTCACGCAGAGTAGATTCAATAATCTGGAAGCGGGAGACATTGCTCAGGAAATCGGTGACGCCAACATTGTGGCCGTAAGGGTTGCGGGAGGCGGAGGGATGGGGGTTCTGGCGAGTTTCAATGCCAGTGAATCCGTCGTGGTCTGGAGAGGAATTAGTCAATATTTCATGATCAATGCTTGTCACCACATACTATCGCCATTGGCACCATTGGCACCATTGGTCTCGGGGTCGGCACCGGGACACATTGTGTGGTGGGGTTATATGTGTGTGTGGTGGGGTAGAAGTCGAGGTTTGAGGAATTGAGTAGGGAAAAGATGAAAGCTATGGATCAAGATACAAGATCCAAAATATGCAGATATTTATCTTTTTTAGAGGGGAAAAGAAAGAAGAGTCATAATCTCTATGTAGTGGGCGGTGTAATCCCTATTGCGTAGTAATCGACACTCGCTCGCTCGGCGGCAAAAAACCGAAAAATTTCATCTGCGGAGGTGGGGTTTTGGCCTTTTTGAGACTCTCACTGCACATATATATGCAATATACGCTTTTGATTTGTAGGTTTTTATGACCCAATGTATATCATTGCCCAATTCTTCATTTCCTAGTCCTGTATTTGCGAGAAAAAAAATTACCATACTTATGTGGCATTCCTCCCCATGAGCCCAGTTCTATACTACATTCATGCTTGCGGAGCAGAACCGACATCGGACTTGACCCGCAGGGTCTGACTCATGTATTCCCTGTGGACGTCGCCGAATTCCAAAATCAGTCTTCTTCAATTGATAATGACTTCTTCGGTGATTATTATGATCTCTTTGATAAGAGATCCATTGGATGAGATTATTAAGTCGATCATGAATTTCAGGGCTAGAGTTGTCCACTTGGTCCATATAATTTGATTGATGTCATCTGAATTTTTGGGTTTTAAGGGTTTGTCTCTACATACTCCGTACATAATCCAATCATTCCACATTTTACCGTTGAATCTTGTAATGCGGTCGTTGGCCACCTGGGCCATCTATATACGTTATACCAAACACATAGGTACATACCCATGTGCATATTTGGGTTGAAAAAAAAATTACCGACTTCTTCAGCGCCTTTTTTTAGTCTGACGTAATTGGTCCAGACTTCAAGGTTCCTTGAAGTTGTTTTGTTGTACTCGCAGATTTAGTATTGATGAAAAGTGGCAAAAAAATGGTTGGGAGACAGGCTATACGGAGTAATTAATTAGAAATCATATATGGATTAGTGTCTTCAAAGAGAAGCCAATTATACAAGATTAATATCACTACAATGCTACAGTACTATAGTCCCAAGCGACTTTCTTAATCATACGTACGGACACGGATTCATGTGGCAGCCGAGGCCCCGGTCATCTTCAAAGTCCCTACTAACGCAACCTCCTCATTGCCACTCCCCAGACCCCCCAAATCCCAGGCAATGAAGTCCTCCATACTACCGATCGCTTTGCAAAACAAGCTGGCAGGCTACAGTGGCTACAGCCGAGTCTCCAGCGCCCATTTATCAGCCCTGAATCTAGACCTGTAAGTTCATATTCCCCGCGGGATCCAACCCCAGACGCCGACGATCCTAACAACTCCTAGCCTCAAAAACATCCTATTTATCCTTTTCATCCTACGATACACCCGCAAAACCTTCTACTCCCTCCGCGGCTATGGCATCTTCGGCAGCATCCGCAACCTCTACATCTCCCTCCGGCTCTTCTGCTACGGTCTCTTCCTGCGCATGCCCGGCGTCCGCGGCCAGGTCGATAAGCAGGTCACCGAGGCTATTACGAAGCTGGAGGCGAAACTGGTGAAATCTGGACCGGATGTTACGCGCTATCTGACTTTGCCGAAGGATGGATGGTCTACGGAGCAGGTCCGCGCGGAGCTGGACAAGTTGGCTGCGCTTGAACATACGCGTTGGGAGGATGGGCGCGTGAGCGGCGCTGTTTACCATGGTGGCGAGGATTTATTGAAGTTGCAGGCTGAGGCTTTCGGCCAGTTTGGTGTTGCGAATCCGATTCATCCGGATGTTTTCCCGGGTGTGAGGAAGATGGAGGCCGAGGTTGTCGCTATGGTATGTTGTACTGACGGTTCCGGGTTTTGAGGTTTGTTTGAGAACAATGGCTGATTGTTTGGCAGGTTCTTGCTTTGTTCAATGGGGACTCTGGTGGTGCGGGTGTTACTACCAGTGGTGGCACGGAGTCTATTCTTATGGCTTGTTTTGCTGCGAGGCAAAGGGCTCGGGCGCTCGGTATTAAAAAGCCCGAAATGTGAGTTTCAATGGATGGTTTGGTCATTGGTGGCTTGGGCTGACGAGTATTTATAGGATCATTCCTGATACCGCACATGCTGCATTCATTAAGGCTTGCGACTACTTCAAGATTACGCTACACCGGGTGGAATGCCCAGAGCCCGAGTTCAAGGTTAACGTTGCCCATGTTCGCCGTTTTATTAACCCTAACACTATTCTACTTGTTGGATCTGCCCCCAATTTCCCCCACGGTATCGTTGACGATATCCCCAGTCTATCAAAACTGGCCGTCTATCATGATATTCCTCTCCACGTCGATTGCTGTCTGGGATCTTTTGTCGTTGCACTCCTCAAGAAGGCCGGCTTCCCTTCACCGTACGAAGAACAAGGTGGTTTCGACTTCCGCCAACCCGGTGTGACCAGCATCAGTGTCGATACTCACAAGTACGGATTTGCCCCCAAGGGTAACTCCGTCCTGCTTTACCGCAACGAGTCCTACCGCAAACACCAATACTTCATCTACCCTGACTGGTCCGGCGGTGTCTACGCTTCTCCCTCTATTGCGGGCTCGCGTCCTGGCGCTCTCATCGCCGGCTGCTGGGCCAGCTTGATGAACGTCGGCGAGAACGGCTACATCAAGAGTTGTACTGAGATTATCAACGCCGCGCGGAAATTTGAAACAGCTGTCCGAACAGACCCGACCATCTCCCTGCACATGGAGGTCATTGGAAACCCCATTGTTAGCGTTGTTGCCTTCCGCAGCAAGAATGGTGCCATTGACATCTATGATATTGCTGATGACTTGTCCGCCAAGGGATGGCACCTCAATGCCCTGCAGTCTCCCCCTGCTATTCACTGTGCCTTTACTATCCCCACTGCCAAGGCCGTCGACCAGCTCGTCGCCGATCTGACCGAGGTCATTGGCAAAGAGCTTGAGAAGGCCGAGCAGCGAAAGCGAGAGGGCAAATCATACGTGCTCAATCGTGGTGATACTTCCGCACTTTACGGTGTCGCCGGCAGCATCCCCGATAAGAGTATTGTCGGGAAGCTAGCAGAGGGCTTCTTGAACACTTTGTACAAAGCTTAAGTCTTGTGGGCATCCTCTTTTCTTCTTTGCACCTTGTTGATCCGAACTCTGCGCAGGGTCTCACCCTGATATCTTTAGCTGTCATTACCTGTAATATCGGCGCGGTGGCGTTATTATTATTTGTATGAATTGCACATGTTGATCCCCGTCATTCCAGTGATGAATGCATATAGTACAATTTGCAGGATATCAGCCCAAACCTGGGCGTAGAGTACATAGCTGAGATAGCCAAAGACAAAAAGAAAACAAAGCAACCCGCTCCATGCAAGGAAACCAAAACAGAGAAAAGAAGAGAACGCGGCCAGTTCATGCATCCAGGGAGTCTTTCATAGGACCATGACCCTAATCCTCGAAAGGAGGCGCCTAATTCCATGTTGCAGTGAATCACTGCCAATCCCGAGACACCACATAGCATCTGGTAACCAATTACCGGCGAAGATCACGCAATTGGTCTTCAATTCTCTTCTCAACATAGTATCCGGGATCAGGCTTGCGCTCAAGATGCACTTCCTGCTTCGTAAGGCTGAATTCGCATTCTTCAACCGCAACAAGCTCTTTGACTTTCATGACCTGACCCGCGACGGAGGGCGAGACGGGGTGGAAAACGGTCGCCATACGCTTTTTCAAACCAAGGGCTTTGAGGACATCTGTTGAGCGGCGGGGGAGTCCAATGGCCGAGCGGAGGAGGGTAATGCGGAAGAAGGGCATTTCGAGAGATTTTTGTGTTGAGCGGATGAGAGGTGGGCGTTCGATGATTTGAGGTGTCGGGTATCGTGGAAGTCGACCTGGATTGAGTGTAATGAAGGCGGCGCTGGATTGATACGATCTCAATTCATGAATGGGAATTGCACCAGATATCTGACTTGATACTTTGGGCGGAGAATTATCGCGGACTTGGAGGTCCCGCAAACTCAAGGCGGTGGGTCACGTGTGTGTTCTGCCAATGACAACAGTAATCTGATAGCGGGATATACTTGCTTCACCTCAATTCATTGAGGTTATGGACTGTGTCTTGCTTGGCCTGACTGTACCTGTGCCTTAATTTTCAGTGATTGCGCATTAATTCTACCGTTGCGTCTCATGCCCGCATTCTTGACACCTCACCCCTCGACCTAGCTTCGAACCATCCAGCTGCAACGACACGAGATCCCCACCCTACCGTGACAATGGCGCAGGCCAGCAATATAGACACCACGGTTGCCCTGCCGCGCCTGGAAGATCTACTGCGACATCCAGAAGATTTGGATAAGATCAGTGGCCTGAAGGCGGAATATCTCCGGAAGAAGACGGCTGTTGATCTGCAGCTGCGAGAAGGTCTACGAGACCAGCTTGAGGCAGTACAGCGCAGTATTGCTGCTTTGACAGAAGGACAGCGCCAAGTGTCCAAAACGAAAGATGAGCTCCAAGGCATCGACAAACTGTGCGCCGAGTCGCAGGATAGCGTGGAGGATTTCGCGCAGATTGATCAGCTTGCTCGGATCCAGCGACATTTCGATGCTACGCTCATGATGAAGCGCGGACTGGAAAATTTCGGTTCAGATCTTCAGGAAGTGGAGGATTTGCTCGAGGAGGATAAGGTGGATCTGGAGAATCAGCCTAACCTTCTCCGTGCCCATATGCAGATTTCGCGATTGCGAGATTTCCGGGATGAGGCTATGGACCAAATCGGCAAGGCTCAGGATCGGAGTAGCGAAGAGACGCTTGAAGAGTATTTCGAGGGGTTGGATTCTGTCATTGATACATTTGATGAACATCTCGGTATCGCTTGCGGCAACATTATTTACTTGGCGAAGGAAAACAGAGGCATGGTTGTGCGACTTGCTGTTGTTGTGATGAACGAGGAGAAGAATGATGATACAGTTAGAGCTTTGCAAGAAGCCCAGAAGGACCACAAAGATCTCGCGAGTCGGTTCAAGTCCATGAATATTGGCCCAAAGACTGTACGCGGATACAAAAGCAAATTCATTGAGGCCATCGAGGCTCGCGCCGATGGAATGTTCGAAGAGACTTACAGGAAATTTCTCAAAAGACCGACCAAGTTACCACAGTACTGCGAATGGTTTTTCGAGGATCTGGCCACGGTCAAGGAGTACATGCAAAATCTCGTCCCGAAAAAATGGAAAATTTTCAGAACATACACCGACATTTACCACCGCATGATGCACGACTTCCTGCTCGACATGATCGATGACACTGAGGAGCCGGTTCCATCCGACAATCTGCTCGAGATCATCCACTGGAGCGACATTTACTACAAAAAGATGGGGGATCTAGGCTGGACACAAGCAGATCTTCAGCCCAACATCCTAGACGATCGAGAGCCACAATTGGTCCAACGATGGCAGAGCGTCATCATCAATGCCGTGGAAGCATGGATGGAAAACGTCTTCAACAAAGACAAGAATTCTCTCGTCGAACGCGCCGCAGACGCCCTGGACACTGATGCAGAAGGCCATTTCCGCACCAAAGGACTGGCCGACATGTGGCGCATGCTTCACGAGCAAGTTGCGGTATCAGGTGGTACATCTCGCAGAATCAACACCAACGGTGAAGATGACGGTAGCGTCAAACTTCAAGCCAACCGCACCGATCTAGTAGAGGGTGTAATCGACGCCATGTTCCGCGTTCTGAAGAACCAACAAAGCGCATGGCAAACACTAGTCGACGAAGAGTGCACGAAATACCATACCGGTAGCGCAGATCAAGAAGGCGTACAACTGCTGCAGGACTGGATGATCGGTATAGCCAACGACCAGATCTCGTGTATCGACGACAACGAAGAAACAGGTGCGTTTGGTTATTTGACGCGGTTCAAGAATGAGTTCCTTCCATTTGTCACACCTAAGTACATGGCTTCCACGGCGAACATTGAGCTAGAGGCACTGCGCGACGGATATGTCGATTTGAGCACGCACTGCCTGGCGCAGTTTGTGAGCATTGTTTTCACAGTGGATTTGGATACTGTGCTACCTGACATCTTCACGTCAAGGTGGTATGGCGAGTACGCCATGAAACGCATTACATCCACTTTCGAAGACTACATGGCAGATTACACACCGGTGCTACACCCGTCGCTTGTAGAGATTTTGGTTGAGGAGCTATCCGATGAGCTGCTCGTGCGATACCTTTCAGCTGTGCGGAACAAGGGCGTCAAATTCCGACGTCATGTCGATCCATTCACCGAGAAATTCAAGGACGACGTCCTTACTGTCTTTGCGTTCTTTGAAAATTACCCCGATTCGTTCGAGGGGACCATCAAGCAGAAGTGGAGGTTGGTTGAACGGCTTGTTCAGCTTCTCGATACGGATAAGGGTCCTGCGCTCGTGGAAGTGTACGAGTCTTTCAAGATCGAGTATTGGGATCTGCAACTCTCTTGGGTTGAGGCTGTGCTGCGTACTCGTGATGACTTCGAGCGTAGCATGATTACTTCTATCAAGGCCAAGGCTGCTGGACTGTCTGTTGAACGTGGGATGGAAACTATCATGAGCAGGGTTAGATGATTTGGTGATTTGAAACGAACGTCTTCACGGATATCACATCTGGTCACTCATATCTACGTACCGAGGATGGGGCGAAGTGAATCTGCTAGGCGCAAGTATCTGTCGTCCGAGCTCCTCCTTATCGACGCTCCATCTTCTTGATATGGAATTTGTGTCTATGCACGCGCCGCCTGTCAAGGTAGTTTCACCGGCCATCTTGCGGTTGCCGCCATGGAAGACATATCGTGGGTCCTTGTTTGGTCAAAACCGAGGCCGAGTTATACACAGATGACGATCATCCATCAATAGTATCCCAAGCAGGCTTGGGATCTTACTTAATACCACAAGCAATGAAACAATGAAAGCACATTTTCTGAACAACTTATTGAATGGAGATGTTGCCCAAGAATTATTCTTAAATACATGCATGCTCTGTAGCCTCCAACCATGATTCTTTGTTCTTTCAATGAGTATTAGTTGTATTGAATTTCGCTTGCCAGTGAAGAGCGTGCATCTGTTGATGACAGAATTTCTTGGAGTAAGATTTTGACTACAGGTGTTACACTGGTAATTTATTGACGACATATGAGACAGCTATGTAGAACTCATACTCCGCTGTGCAACGGCCAGATATTCCTCACCAAGACGCTCACTCAAGCCGTTATCGTCGATGGCACCGGGGTGTAATTTTTTAGCACCCATCTCGCAGATGCAGATGGTATCTAGGGGGATATCTCTCGCCCATATATAAGAGTGGCGGGATGCTTGTGGGACCGAAGTGGCCAAGGATGAATTGTCAGTGGATTGAGCAACCAAATTGCGAGCATCGAATGTGATGCGTTTGGATGAGTTCTTGTGTGTTGAATTTTTGTTGCGATTGCTTTGTCGTCCACGGACGTATATCGTGTTGACAAGTGTTGCATGCAAGAGAAGTGGTCGAGTCTTTGGATTTCGTGTCATTGCCACTGTGTATGGGTCCAGCTTCTTTAGTGACTGCTGATGGGGAGGTGCATCATGTAAAAGGGGGATAGACTGAGGGTTTGGTGGAGTTCCCTGGGTAGACTCTTTGGAGAAATCTCGCTCTTTTGGCTTCTTATCGCCATCAATTTGAATCAACCCTGCCTCGATGAATTTGTCACGCAGCATCACACAGAAAGGATACAACCGACCGGTGGGATCAACTGGGGAAGCATGCAAGACAGTTGCGGATTTCTCCCGCGGTAGAGCATGCAAAGACTCCAGGGAAATAGTAAAAGGTGGCTGTGAAGTAGAAGCCATGTTTGTTTGGGAATGTTGTGAGATGGATGATGGTCTTGATTGGCCGCCGTTGGGTCGCGAGTTGGTGGCAACTCGCTCGGCCTCAGCCATGAGACCTGCTAAGTCGAGAGACTGGAGCAAAGAGGAAGCTTGTTGCAAGCGATCTTCTGTATGAAGGCTCATCACCCCAATCGTGAGATGGAGTGTCCCCAGTGGACGAAAGGCTTTGCCGGGAATGCCCAAGCCGGATGGTTTTGTCTGGTCACAAGTTCTAGGGTCTGACACATGGGCAGTTTTGAATTTGGAAACAGAATCCTCTAACTGGGGGATAGACGTAGAATTGATCAGAGGCAGACAAAGAAAATGAGTCAAAGGTGGTTTTTTTCCTGGACGTAGTTTTTGGAGGCTCGATGTGCCTTTGGTGTCTGTCATGATGTGCCTCAATTGGTACTTATGAGTATAAGATAAAAGCGCGAAGACGTTTCTAGCGCGGAAACTTCCACTTCTCCAAAAAGATCTCATGAGTTCAGTCGCAGCTGTGGCGAGCGCAGTTGTGGCGAGAAGGAAGTGAAAAGGCAAGTCACAAACGCAAGTGGGCACGGACCTGACCTTTGAAAAGGATCCACAACCTTGTGTTAACATCAACATCATCATCATCATCAACATCAGCACTTACTTGAAGTATGAAATACAGCTATAAAAGAACTAGGTCGAGCAAAATAATATTGAAAGTGAGTAATTTTTATTTTTTTATTTTGTGATAAAAAGACTCTTGAACGACTGACATGGGAATCGACCACAAGCTTGGGAATATCATGCAACTGGTAATGATTAGTACTATTTCATTTCGGTTTCGTCAAAGGAACACTCACATGTCCCTCACTCTAGCGATTGATATAGCCGGGCTAATCGTATAGAATCGAGAGTTTGAAAGGCCCTAAAAGCAGCGGAGAAAAGGCTCTGCTGTCAGCCAAAGGACTGGTGAGGTTTTCAACTCGTTCACGATCAAGGCAGTGACCCAAAAGGTCGAATACACCGCAGTGAATTCAATCGCTGGAGTTCTCACCTGGTTGTAAACTGGAAGATAGAGCTCTGCGAATTTGTAACTGGGTTGGAATTCATTGAGTTTTTTGGATTCCTAAAAAGAAACAACGAGAAAAAGGGTCTGCTGTCAGCCAATGGACTGGTGAGGCAACTCGTCGGGCACAATCAAATATAGGCCGCAGGCCGAGAATACAAAAGTGGAATCGCTAGAATTGCAGACTCACATGGACATGTTGGACAATTTTCAGGAGCCTTCGGATGCAACAGATGGACCTGCGTTTTGTGTCTGGTAATGGTCAGCGATATCACAGGAGTAAGTACAGAAGGAGTGCCACCATATGTACATACATACATATGTACACAAGGTGACATGATACCACGGGGACATCAAGGCATCAAGGTAAAAAGACATAAGGGCACGATGATATAAAAACATGAAGTGAGGGCAGATGATGAGATGGAAGGAAGAAGAAGGAATTTGAAAAAGGAAGCGGAAAACAAGACAGCATGAAAGCTGGGAAGAGACGCGATGAGACGCGTGAGAGAAAAGTTGGCAAGAAAAACAGTGGAAGTATACACACCAAAAAAAGGGCAATAGCCAGTCGCGTCAATCGACGTAACGTGCCATGCAGCTACCTACTAAGAGGATTGCTATCTAGATGTGTCGTATCGACATGGGAAGAAAGCAAGTGATGAAGAGAAAGTATTCATGCTGATGGAACCGAAGAAAAACAGTCTGCATCCGTTTGGAGGGGATGGAGAATTGACAACGAAGTGGATGGGGCAGACGAGAGGGAGATGAAAAAGCGAAGGAGAAAAGAAGAGGAGTTGTGGCGAGAAGGAAGTGTTTATAGGGCAGGAGAGGGGCTCTGTCTAAGTTGGGCAGCAGAGCACTTCTATTGTTCTGTGAGCTCAATGGAAAGTACTAGCACCTCACCCACCATGTTTAAATTTCCGACACCGGGATAAGTCGCGGAGAGTCGAGTTGATCCACGGAAGGATATAAACTAAGGCTAAAATTGATAGCATTAGACCTACTTGGGCAGCGGGCATCATGTGTGGTCCGTTCAGCAGTATATCATATGACTTTAGTTGGAAAGGTCGGGATTTGAGAGCACTACATGCTATGTATGTACGTATGTATATATGAATGAATCGATTCGATATAATTTCAAAGCGATTACACATAGTCATACTGCAAGTTGTAGGATACAAGAGATGCCAAAGATGACCAGAGAAACATAAGCTGGTCCGGTGGCCCCAGGGCTTGATAAGCCACAGTAAAGAAGCAGATATACATAGTATGGTAGGATATAAATTAGCATCGACCACAGTAAATACAGGGAAACCATGATTGAGCGAGCAACAACAACAGCAAATGTTCATGAGGCGTCCTTCTTGCGGCCCTCAACGACACGCATAACATCTGAAGCACTGTTCTTGTCACCCTTCTTCTTCTTAGGACCACGCTTCCTCTTTTGCCCACCTCGTTTGTCATCATCAAAGTCAAGCAGAGGGCCCTGATCTTCCTCGGCCCCGTCTTCGTTGCGACTTCCTCCGAAGCCCATGTCCATATCGGCAGCGTCCATCGCGTCACGTCGACGAACCTCCTCCATAAACTGTTTCTGTCGAAGAGTTGGGCCGTCAATGCCCTCGCCCGAGGTAGACTTTGGCGCGAGATCTGCAGCGTGCTTTAGGGCTGCAAGGATTGCAGGATCTTCAAATGGCTTTAGGAATTTCTTGGGCTTCTCTTCTGCTGTCGTGCTAGTTCCGAAGTAGTTTCTTGGTTTAGCGGGTGCTATTTCGCCAACAGGCTTGTTCTCTTCTTCGCTGACAGAAGCTTTCTTGGGTTTTTGGATAGTCGAGTCTACCACTTCGCCGTCTTCATCAGATGATGAGCCGTCGTCCTCAATTCCGGCAAGAGGGTTGTAATCATCTCCAGCGCCGGCAAAGATATCTTCATCCTCGTCTTCGGGTACCGCTTGCATGGCAGCACGGGCGGATATCTCAGTGGGAACTTCCATACCCAGAGGTTTAGCGTTTTTATCGGGCATAAGCAGGTCGCCAGCAGCAGATGCAGGCTCTTGGACTGGCGGATTGGGTTTCTTGAGCTTGCTCATGCGTTTGGTGTTTCCCTCTGCATCAGTGATGATAATCACCTCCCGTATTTGTCCGTTCTTGTCCGTCTCCTCGAACCGCTCCGTTTTGGGCTTTCCGTCGCCCAACTTCTTGAACTTTGTGCCAAGTATCGACTTCGGTGTAGCGCGCCTTGCCTCCAACATTTCCTTCAGGTAGTCATTGCGACTCTTTGGCTTTGCAGCCGGTGGTGGCATAATCCCTTGTTTCTTTTCTTTGTGTTGCTTCGGAGCAGCAGCTAGCTCTTCAAGCCAGTTCTTCTGGTCCTCTTTTGTCAAGTGCTCGAATGCCTCGTCTGCATCTTCTTCCTGAGGGGGCGGTTCGGGGTGTTCGGCCGGTTGTGACACATCTTCTCCGGCTCTGATCCTTTGCACAAGTTTCATGTCGAGTCCTTTCACCATATGAGTGCTTTCTAGATCACCTCCTACTCCTAGGGCGTCAACCCGTCTGTCGAATTCATCTTGAGTAATCTCTTTCGAGGTGACCATGGCGGCCAGCGCCTTAATCTGCGTCTCGAGTTCCCTACTCTTTGCGTCATCGCTCTGTGAGTTCCTCAACTTCGCGCGATCCTGGTAATTGGTCGGCAATACACTGCCTTTGGGTGCTGCAGATGACCTGAATCGCTTGGAGGGTCGGCCCTCAGCTTCACGGTTTTTGTCTGCGAGCTGTTGCTGAAAGTCCACATTTGACACGGAGCGTCTGTATCGGCCATAATGTTAGCTTAGATGAGAAGAAATTCCTCCTGGAAAAGATACGCACGGCGTCATTTGGATGCTGGGCCGGATTCGCGATCCAAGTGCCCTACCCGGGGTTGCGCCACCGGTGGATACATTGCCACCGGGAGCTGCACCTTGATCCTTGGACCTTGAAGATGCCTGGTCGGCAAGCAGGCGCCGAAATTGCTCGTTATTCATGGCTGCAAGCTTAAATAGCTTAGGATTGAGGTTTAAAAAAGCTCACTGTCAAAAGGTGAAGATCCCTGGGCCGGCTTGGCACTGATAAGATAAGCCCCACATGCTTAAACGTTTGCCCTAAGAAATCATACCTACGTAGGTGTCTACATATATATCTTTAACAGGAACGGATATCGATCCTTAGAATCGAAGACAGAAAAGGTTGTGAGCCCTGATGCAGGGGCAAATGTAGTCCCTTCTTAACTACGGTGAGTTTTAAGCGACCGCCCTGGAGCCCTTCACGTCAACTCTTTCATCTTTTTGTTTGGACACAACATGAATATGTATGCTTTTGCTAAATCTTGCTCTGATATCTTTTTCAATACATATCTTACTCCTTTCAAAATTTACCAGGTCTGTAAACTAGGAATCCCTTCCAGGGCTTCAGTGTGCTCTTCGTCTTGTTTCCCTCTGCAAACATTCTTTAAACAGCTAGAAATTATTCTACGTAGTGATACCATGGCAAAATAGCTAGGACAAGATGAGACTAAGTCGAGCTTATTTAACTTGGTATTTGAATCATAACTACCTTGATAAATAATTCGTGAGAAGCGTGTGGATACAACAACAATCCATAAGAATGCAAGACGAAAGGAGACGACCAAATCAATTAAACACAATCATCGTCCCCAATTCGCTCAAAAAAAAACAACAAAACGCAGATCTAATGTGCACGCGCATCAATCGCAAAAACGGAAAGTTTCTTTTGGTGTTCATTAGATAGTCTCCCAACCGCCATTGTTAATCTCCGATTCCAGCTTACGACTGATCGTAGCAGGGATGGAGTGAGACAGCCAAACATCGCGCAGGAGCCTGTCGTACCGTTTCTGGTTGAGGATGAGTTGACGGTTACGGCGGAGACCGGGGTCGACTTCGCCGTGGCGGTCGAGGTAGGGCGCGTAGTGCCAGGATCCGTTTGTGTTGTGGAGGTAGAGGACGGTGCACTTGCGAATATTGATGAATAGACCGATGTTCTTGCCGCATCTGTGATAGAGAGAGAAAAAGTTAGTATAGTACGATGACATGCTGGATGAGGTGGAAGTACTTTTGAAGATGCTGGTTACAGCCACCGAGCTTGTTTGTCATACAGCAAACAGCCTGCGAGCAGAAAATTTCTCCACAGAACAGACAAATGCTGGGGTCGCTGAGCTCCTTCTTGGAGTTCGGGCAACGGCGACGGTTTGCTTCTTCGATCAGGTTATCGAAGTACTTGGGCAGACCGACAAGCTCGAAGATGGCAGGGTGGGACAGACTGGGCCAGAGTCGGTGGTCTTCGAAGCGGATACCTGAGCGCGAGGCATTCCAGTGGAAGATCCACCCCGAAATGACCGCATCGAAGGGACTGTTGCTCTTGCGTGCAGGCTTGACAGACATGAGGATCTCGTCGATGGAAGGCAGGTGGAGGGCCTTGGTGAGTCGCTCAAGCTCGGTTGACTCGATGTCGAAACCGGTGTTAGGGAACTCCACGCCGTGCTGAACGTGGAGAAGAATAACTGCCTTGCGCAGGAAAGCCAAGCCGTAGCTCATGACAAGTCGACGCACAGCAGCAATAATCCCGGCCGTCGCAGTTTCCTCTCCATCTTTGACGTAACCACTCTCGGCGGGGAAGGAAGAACCTTCAGCGCGGCCGACGGAGTTGGCCTTTAGTTCAGCGACAATAGAGTCAAAGAACTGTTTCGTTACTCCAAATTGCTCTTCAGAAAGATTGTTGGCCTGCGAAACATGGTCCTCTGGGTGATTCACAAGCTCCTCCTTCAAGCCCAGTGGCCAAAGAACAAAAGTAACAGCAACCTTGACAATTTCAGCCACGAAGCACATGTGCACCAGGTGACGGATATCGATGTGAAGAACGGGAAGCAAAGACAATGAAGACTCCGCGAGGAAGACAAAAGTATCAACTGCGAGCAGGGGCTCAATATTGCGAACATCGTTGAGCAACGGCGTCCCACTCAAGCAAGGGTGACCGGCAAGCAGCTGGCAGATTTTCTGTCGGTGCATCTCATGGAACTCGTTGGTTGGGCGAGTCTTAGATGTTGAAGTTGAGTGAAGACATCCAACAGCAGCATATGTCAACGCAGTCTCCGACAGAACGCGTAAATGCGTTAATGTCAGCGGGGGAATCTTATCCAGCAATGTAGAGCCAGGCTCGGACTCGACACCACGCTGCGCGATCTCCACAGCAGCGATGCTGAAACCGAAGCTTCGAATCAAAGAATCGGTATGCACAAGGTCATCGCTGTTATTCGCTTCGGTAGTGTTGTTGAATGACGAGGTGACATGATTAGTATTCAAAGTCTTCTTGAGACGCCTGTAGATCTGGAGCAACTCTGACATGGAACTATCCGAGGGACTTGACAACTGTTGAAGAGGGCTGGATGGCGAGAGATCTTCGGTAGGAGGGAAGATTCCTGGCATGGGCATGCGCGCAGATGTAATGTACTGCGCAGCCGCGCTTGCCGGGAAAGCCGACGCCATCAGCTGATCAATCTTGGTGGAAAGCGGTGGAACCAAAGACTTGGAGAGATAATCAATGAACAGGTCAGTGTATGGCTGAGAATAGGCCTTTTCTTTCTCCATCAAGACTGGGAAGTTTTGCTGTTGGTTCAAGGCATGTTTCAGGCCTAAATCGATCCACTGATCAAACGAGTCGGCAGGACCAAGCGGGAGAAGAGGAGACTCCTCCTTGCCCTTCCAAGTGATGGGAAGGAATGCGTTTCCAAGAGCCTTGCAGAGTGGACAGACGAACTCTTTGAGGGTTGTGTTCTCGGGGTGCTGGCGTGCAATTTGTTGAGTGTGGCGTCTTTGCGTTGCTCCATAGTATTGCTCAAAGCAGGAGTAATGCATGATGTGTCCACAGCCTGTAGTCACGGGTCCACGAAGGGTGCTCTTGGGGTTGAATCCTTTGCTCAGCCCAATCTTCTCGCTAATTACCTCACCACCAGAAGAGTCCAGACGCTTGATCGTAGTGTGGTTCTCTCCAGCAACACCAAATGGCCGCATTTCCTCAGCAGATCGATCCAAACTCGAGGGTGTTCTGAGCACCTCACGAATTCTATCAGAATCCCTGATATCAGTCTGACGTAGGATTGTGCTATCTTGAACCAGCGCAAATGTACCATATAGTCTAGAGTCATTGGTCTCTTCCTGACAGAGGATACAAGTCCCACTTGGATATTTCCATGTTTTTTTCTCTGGGGTAGCATCCGCGTCGGACTCCATATCACTGAAGTCTTCCTCGCCCCAATCAATGTTACCCTGTTGGGTCAAGAATTGTTGCTGCTGAGCTTGGAACTGGGCCATGACCTTGGCCTGTCTCTCGAGTGCCTGCTTCTTTTTGGTCTCCCTATCATTGTCCGCATCGATTGCAGGCGAGTTGGTGTCGATTCGATCGAAGGGGAACCTGAGAGACGCAGTTGCAGAAGAGTAGGTACGAGGACGCTTTTGCCACAGACGTTTTAGAATGTGACGAATCTTAGGACCAGAAGCTGAGAATTCGGTCGTGACGGAAATTCTCTCTAGCAACCCGACGATGGTCAAATTGCCTGCCTTGATCTCTCGTGCTTTGGACAAAGCGTTCCAGTTGAACGAGTTAGAGTGATCTTCTACCATATCAGTCTCTTCAGAGTCATCTTCCAAAACAGCAGCCAGAATAAGATGCAGAATCACTTGGAGGAAAGTCTCAACGCGGGTGGGTGGAATGCTTGGTGTGCACTCTTTTGAAGAAATGACATATTCCAGACATTGGTGCACAATCTGTGCAAACAGCATAGTGCCAGCAAACCGAGGGAGATTAGAGAACACGCCGGAGCTGATGGGCCGGAGCTTAGGCTCGAAGACAATATCAGAGGCATTCTTGCCTGTCTTCTTTGCCATCCACTCCTTGTAGATGTTTTCTGCCTCATCTCTTTGGTTCTTAGTGTAGTGCGCACTGTAGGGATCGATAAGGTCTAGATGTTCCGGCTTCAGTTCGAAAGTGCCAGAGTCACTCAAGCCCTCAGGAGGACGGAAGTTCGCAACATCTTCCAACACGTCTTGGAACATGTCAGATTCTAGAAGCTTGTCACTCAGACGGGTCGAGAGATCGGAGAAGGAGAGCGGCTTGAAACAGAGGACGTGAGCGATGTCACGCTTGATGTTCTCGTGTGTTAAGTGAGTACTATCGTCGATGGCCGTCAAAGATGTCCGGTCGGTCAACAAAATGACCAATAAGTGGACGAACTCCTCTGCTACGTCCACGATCTGGGTGTCTTCATACCCAGGACGAGGCATGTAGTTACGAGCCATCCACTCAACCATGCCAAACCTATGGGCAATGGAGGCAAGAACCCTGCTAGGATCGCAAGTCACCAGAGCTGTCTGGAGAAGGAATATGTCTCTGTAGTAGGCAAAGTCACGAGAGGAGACCCCGCGGTACTGGGACATCTGATGACGAAGACTGAGACCATTGCGAACCCACATTCCGGCCTTCATCTGTGCTAGCCATGCGCAAACTCTGAGCGGATAGTCGAACATGGCAAGAAGCAGATCTTCCGGCCCGAGGGCAAGCAGAACATCATCAACGCTGCTAGAGTTGGCAGCCTTGGCAGCTTCGATCTTGCCCTTTGCGTTGATGGCAGCATCGAAAAGAACACTGCGCAATGTGTCGCTACTGATATTTCGCCCGCACTCAACAAGCCAAGACAAAGTGTAGTGAAGCGCATGGTGGAAACTGATCGATCCACGCTCGACCACGAACTCAACTACACGGTGACAAGGGACTTGGCCGGCGGTGCCGACTTCGAAATCGAAAGGTGGCAGCAGCTTGAAGCGAAGCTCCTCCTTGATTTCTGCCTGATCGAACCGCTTGCGTTCGAGACCAGCGGAATGAATAATCGCGGTGCTGGTTGTTGTTTTAATCGCTCGAAGTAGATTCACGCCATCGTCAATTTCAGGGTTGCGGAAAGCCTCGCAGAATTGACGGCACAGCCGGTTGATCTCCCGCATGAGAATAGAGGCACTGATCCAAGCGTCTGTTTCGTACTCGACGTGTTCGCCAACAGCGCGGACGTTGGGGCAAATGCCTTGTGACAATTTGACGAGATCGAGGAACTGAGGAAGATATTGGTCTTCAGTCCGTACACGATGTTGGACATATTCGGATTGAAGAAGGTATCGAAGGTCGAGGAAGAAGTGGTAGAGACGTCTGTTGGTGACTGAGCCAGCATCAAACGCCAATGTGGCATTGGGGTCAACGGCTGAGGGTTCACCCACTTGTCTCGTTGTTAAAAATGTATACAGGATTGACATCACCTTTGTCAAAAAGTTTCCTCGTAAAACAATCTCTTCGGTGATGGAAGGTGTTGTAAGAAGCTGCAATGACAAATTGACAATGGAGTGGTCCGGCTCGCGGTCTGCAACAAGATACAATTGGGCCAGGGCTGTGTACAGCGCAGACAAACGCAGACCCATAATGCGCTTGAACTGGGGGACATTGACAACAGTGCTAATGTAGAGATCACGCAGATCAGTTCGTGTTTTCTTCCACAGGCGCAAGTCATAAAGCACTAGCCAGTCCAGGCGGGTACGTTGCCACAAATCTTCGTAAGGAGGCACCTTCTCACCCGCTGAAGGCATAGGTGGCCGCACTTTCCAGTGATTCTCTGTGAGGGATGGTCTCTGCCTGCTGTAGGTAGGGCCAGGGGTTTTGGGGATAGAGATGTAGCCAGGAGGACCAGATTCGGGTGCAGGACTCCGAGATGCAGACTGTTCGCGTTCGGCTGAGGCCCGGTTTGCGGACTGAGCGGGCGCTGGGCGAGGAGGAGGTGGCGGCTGGCCATTCAGACTGGCGAGAATGCGCTCGGCTAAGGCAAGCTCATCTTCTGCACCCTCCAGGTCCATCTCATCGTCATCGTCTTGACCATCCTGTTCGGCTTGCAGACGGGTGAGTTCCATTTCCATTTCGTCGTCATCCTCGTCGTCGGCGTCATGAGCCTCAACATAATCTTCATCCTCATCCTCCTCTTGATCAATCACGTCGTCTTCTTCTAGAAGATCGTCATCATCGGTGGTCAAAATGACTTGACCATGCGTAGGAAGATTGATCAACAGGGTGCGACCTGGTAGGTTCTCAGTCTTCTGGTGATCGTCGATACCCTGCATGCCGATATCTTCATTGTAGCCACCGCTGCCTTTTTCCCACGGGGCAAGCATCTCTTCACAAATAATTTGTCGGAAGATCTCGTTGTCCTCAAGAATTTCACAGCCGGCAATATCAGCCAACCATTCCACTATCGTAGCACACATCTGCTCGCGGAAAGTATCCCGCGAAGAACGCACCGTCACAGTAACCTTGATATCTTCGATAATTTTTGAAACATTCAACAGCCTATCGAGGTCCTTGGAGTACTTGATCACACTGCGGCCAAAGTCGTTCGTTTCATGAGCCCGCGCAACACCAAAGCTATCTCTCTCACGACAAGCACGGGTAACCTGATGAGAAACATCACGCATAGTATGCTTTTCGTCATTCCATAGCATGACCGAAAACTCAGGCTCTTCCTCTGCTTCATCGCCGTCGCCATAATGTTCAGGCCGCAGCCGAGACTCGACTTCATCCTGTCGAATGCCCTCCACAGTCTTGGGCAAGCGCAATTGTTCCGGAGAGCAAGAAATGACATCACAGAAATAGTTGAGCGCACGTGAGATGGTCAAGCGAATTGAGGCCACAAGATCAGAAGGCAATTCTCGCTGTGCTCGCTCTTTTCCCTTGGCGTTGCCGCTATCAGTATGGATGGCACAGAAAAGTGGAAGCCTCCATGCTTCGTCATCACCGCAATCACAGCAGCCGCAGTTCCCGGAGGATAGCGAAATTTGATATTGGTGACCTGTGTGGTCGGAAGAATCGAAGCATCGACTACACAGTACGCAGGTATCGTCCGCAGCGCATGTTACGCATCGATATGTGGCCTCACCAGCTCGGAAGATATGGCCGCAACGCTTGCCTCGTGCTGCCTCGCTATATTCGGCTCCCTCCCGGGCACCCTGTGCTTCTGCCAGCTTCCATAGTCCTGCTGGGGTGCCTTCTGGGAACAGTTGCTGCAGGAGTTCATTGTTGTGCCCCACGAGCGATCGGAACAGCAACTCTAGTAGGTCTCTTTCGGCCGCAGGGCCATAACGGTAACTGTGTTTCTTAGGCAAGCGCAGGAGACCATCGCCGAGGAGCTTCGAGCATTCCTCGAGCATAAGCATGGCTTGGTTGGTCGGTCCGAGTCTCGTGTGGTCGCTCGGCGTCCACTGGGTGATATAAGGTACCGTTCGCGACAATGCGCTAAAGATAACCTCAGGTAGGAGTCGTTCGATATAGGATTTTCTTCACGGATATGCAGTCGGTAGGGAAATTTTCGAAGGAAGGGAAGCCCGTCAGGTCGAATCGGTTAACGTGCTCACGCTGATCACAATAGTTGGTGGGGGGAAGAAAGGATGAGAGGCAGTGGACCGATGCAGGCGGATCAGCGACACGGTGAAGTCATATGCGATTCAAAAATTGAATTGAATGTGGAGCTCAAGAGCGGAATTTCAAAGACACGAAGGGAAATCAAGTCAAAATGGATATATGTAGAGAGCGCAGTACGAAAGATCAATTTTTTTGCTATGACGATGAAACCCTTGTGTAAACGCCACACGCCACGGCCTAATGATCACTTACGTTGGGATCTAGACACTCCTTTTTCGAACTATACGCTTGCAGTTCGTCTTTCTATTCCTCGTTCTATCTATCTTTCTATCTGTCTTTTTTCCGTGTTTTTCTTGATATCCTTTATGGTCTCTTCTTCCTCATTCCCTTTCAATCGTGGATATGTAGCGGCTAGCTATCCCATCATATGACTGCAATGGAATACCTGACTACAAATACTTTTTTGGGCACCATATATTCGGGGGGAGTTTAAGGGACTCTGAAGGATTGAAAAGTCAAAATACAGATTTCCATCTATTGCGTACAATCCCACTTATGGGATGAGAAATAACAAAGGCATTATCGGCTTTTCCATGCCCATTTGCCGGCTGTGACAATTATTCCAGACAAATGTCGAGACATTTACTCGTCATCCTCTTCCTCCTTTACCATGTAACGGTGCTTGATATCCTTCCATTGGCGCTGTGTGAAGACATGGGAGTTAGTGTGGGTTCTATTGGTATTGCAAAGGTCCCGGGGTCCAGCGAGATAGCGGAATGGGGAAAGGAGGTCACATACGCCCTGGTTCCAGGTGTCCCAGATCTTGTTGGAGCCGATATCGAATGCACTGATTGAGAATAGCATGGTCAGTCTGATGTATATCTCCGGGAGGACCGAATGTAACGCACAGCTCGAAGGCGAAGGCACCGGCAAAGGCAGTGGTCAGGAGAACGGTGTTCTTGCGGATGAAGGTCCTAAATACAGCAAAGAATGCATCCGTTAGTATTCAATTGGATAATTGCGATCGCGATCGTGGGATCCAGGGGAGACGTGCGAGTAGATAGCGTTTGCGAACTGTCATGCGAGAGGTCAGTCAAATTACCGAACACAGGTGAAATGAGGAGCAGAAAGGATATACATACACCAGCCATTGTGAAGAATTTAGGTGTTTTCACACGACCAAATGAGGGGATTGAACAAGAGGATGGGGAGACGAGGGTTAGACGTTGAAGTTGCGAAGTCGAACGAAAAGCTGCGGGAATTGCCGGTCCGCTGATTGGCCGAGACTCCGGCCTTCCGCACTCAACTTTCGCGTTGTTTTCCTCTTTTCCGATCTCGAAATCTTTGGAGCTGGACTCTGTCGAGTAAATTATTTATGTTTCAATTCAATCTCTATTCTGATCGAAATCCTCTCAGACCCAAACACCATGTCCGACGTCGTCGCTAAGTCTGGCATCACAACAGATGCCAAAACCGGCGAACGATACATCCCCGCCTCAGTCCGTCCCGATGGATCCAAGCGCAAGGAAATTCGCGTTCGCCCCGGCTACAAACCCCCAGAGGATATCGAACTCTACAAGAACCGAGCAGCAGCGGCATGGAAGACTCGCGCTAAAGGCGGGGTGCCAGGTGCCGAAGCTTTGAGCAGCGAAGAGGACAAGGCCAAGGTCGCACCGAAGCCCGCTACTGCGGCAGCAGTCCCAACAACCGCTTCGAGCAACAAGAATGCCAAGCGCCGTGAGGCCAAGCGAAACGCGAAGGATGCCGACGGCGTAGAGGGCAAGGGCATAGACTCGAACAATTGGCGTGCCCCACCTGCTCCAACACCCGCACCTGCACTCAAGGAAGAACAGCCTGTCCAGGAGCCGGTTAATGTTGAGGCTGAAAAAGAGAAGAAAGCCCGCAACTTGAAGAAGAAGCTCCGCCAGGCGCGGGATCTTCGCGAAAAGAAAGAGCAGGGAGAGGGTCTGTTGCCCGAGCAGTTGGATAAGATTATTAAGATCCAGGAACTTGTTCGGCAGCTGGATGTACTGGGCTTCGACTCCAACGGTGACAAGAAGACAGGAGAGAGCAGTGAAGACGCTTGAAAGCCTTCTTCGCAAATGTTCAGAGGCGGGGCAGGACGGTTTCTTAAATCGCACTGATCCCCGCATCCTCATATCTTGAATAATTGTTCATGTGCACACCACCATTGGGGTTTGCTACAGGCATCCAACGCTTCCTGTCTCCCCCCACCGGGCTGCTATAAATTATCATGGCAGGTGGTCGGTACCGGACATGGACAAACCATCCACATCCTGGGGCTCATCGCGCCAAAGCGATCTTCCAACTTCCCGGCCAACTATCGCTTCGTCTCATGACCCTGTGTCACATTTGCTTCCCGCTTTCGTGTCCCTGGTAATACATCTCGCGCTCCTCGATCCAAGGAAGAATCCAAGTAGGAACCGCAGAACCCATGTGCGGATTGAATCCTTTTTTGTTAAGTGAGAACAGCTGGGAGTTGGTTACAACTTATAAATTGAATGTTTGATATCCGGCACACGCTGTTGATTTACAATTCCATGTTCCTCTCAGAAGTACTATACAAATCTCCATTTGCTGTGCAATCCTTAAAGCTTAATAGAAATATACATTACTTTATAGAAGTAAAAGACACGAGCCAGGGACAGTCTCAAATGGTCGAATCAACCAACCGAACGGGAGACATGACAACCCCACCTTGGACGTGCCAATTCTCGCAATCGAAAGCAGCCCACGGACGCCAAGGATTAATCTCACCCCCAAGCTTGAGTCTCCCAACACCATATGTAGCAGACAAGATACCTTGCTTAACACAATCGCCGACACCGATACCATTATACCAGTTGCCCGCAAGGACAAGCCGGTTATCAAACTCATGACGGACAACTTCCGAAAGATCGTACATACGGTCCAGATGACCAACCGTATACTGCGGGATAGCATCTTTCTGCAGACGACTCCGGGCAATCGTCGGTTTATCGGTGATATTCAAGTGGCGTTTGAGCATGGAACAAGCCATTGCCACGGCTTTATCGTGGTCCGGATACTGTTCCATGCCATCCCAGTAATGGCCGCCCATCATGACAGTGAGTTTTGTTCCTGGAGCAGTGTCTTGACTGACTTCTGGGGACAATGGGTCGGGGCCATTGCCTACACTTGAAGCCGAAGCGAAGATTACGCCCAAACCACATTCGGGGTTTTGCTCGTAGGGGATTGAGCTTGGAATTAGGTACCCAAAGCCTTCAACGGGGAGGAGATTGGGGTTAGGGTAGTAGAGGTTGACGACCATGGCTGTTACGGCGTAGTCTTGCTTGCGGAGAAGGTATGGGGTGTGGTTGGCGTTCTCATATTTGCGATCAGTGGTATGGTGCATGGTGTTGGCGAGGGATACTGGGGGAATTGTGGAGATGACATGGTCGAAGTTGGTCCTGCTGGCTTTGATGTTGTCGATTGTTGATCGTGATTCAATCTATAGGCGGTTAGTATTAGTCCCCATGATAGCATAGTGGTTGAGCGTACCGAGATAGTAGAGGAACCTTGCAGTTTACTCAATGACTTAATTGTTGTGTTCTGGCGGATTTCGACTTTGGGAGATTTCTTCAACGAAGCAGCCAGTGCTTCAACAAGCTGTCCAACACCCCTCTTGAAGGTGAATGTGCTAGCTTTTGCGACAAGGGTTTCCAAGGAATGTTGACGTTCGACCAATTCAGGGCCGGCAGATATAGCTTCAATGGCCATGAAGTCATCGACATTTCGAGTTTTTCTTTTAAATCCCCGGGAGATAAGAGAGCCGGTGACTCCTCCAGAAATGAATCCGCCAATGCCGCCAACGCCACCCTCCAGGTTGCGCAATCCACCCAACAATGTCTGAGCACTCAATTGCTCTATATCTCCAGCATATATTCCGTGCATTACGGATGAAACAATGTTTTCTGCAACATCGTCACCAAAACGACGTCGAATAAAGTCCGCGACAGACTCGTCTTTCGCCCAGTCGGACAGGTGCCGTGGGGGACTCAAGATATCCCTAAAGATTCCTGGAACAAAATTTTTGAACAGCGGCTCATCCAAAGTCTCCTTGAATCGCTTAAGATTATCAATGAGTGAAAGTTTGCGATCAGGCACTGGTAATTGAACCAGGTGGTCTGGATAGTAGATGAAGCGATTGCGGGCCGCAGGACTCGATTTCGGGGTGACAATGAGGTCTTTATACAAGCCTAGATTCGTAGCCTTCAGAAAAAGTTAGAAAACTGTACCCATCTAGACTAAGAGGTGCACGAAAGCAATACTTACCAAGTAGAGTAGAGGGAGTGACGTTGGCAGCGCGGCCCTCAATGTGCGCGGTCCATACTCAAACACCACCTCGCCACTCTGGGTAGGCAGGATTTCGGACTCGATCCATCCGCCTAGTCTATCTGACTTTTCGAAGATCACGACTTGTTCACATTGAGGGTCCTGCGCTAGTTGCCAGGCGGATGTGAGGCCTGTTATACCAGCGCCCAGTACGGCAGCATTGTAATGACGTGTTTGACCATGGATGCGGGAGGTCAATGGCCTCTTCCTGAGTGCCCTCGAGGCACATTGGAGCCGCATGTCTGCCGGTTTGAGTATGAGTTGGTTGGTCACAGACCTGAAGCAGCAACGAACCGCTAAGGTTCTTGGGATGTCGGGCCCCGGGGAGCTTCCGCTCTTACTTAAGCCTGGGAGAGATCCCAGTCCGCCACTCTACTTTACGATCATACGAGCTGGCACAATAGTGGGGAAGTTTTCGAAGCTTGTCTTCGCTATGGTATTATTCTTTTGAGAGATCAGAAGGGGAATCTATGTACAGAGCAGATAACAAAAGCAAATGCGTAAAAAGTATGAACGCCCTTCCCTCCAGCCATTTCTCGTTCATTGATCTGAATTGTACATGGTATTATTCGCTTTGGAAAACAGGCTCTTGAGGTGATTTTTAACTTGCTGCATTTTCCATCGTATTGAGTCATGTCAAGCGGAGTCACGCGGTCATTTCCTGGTTATCGGTGTTCTCCACAGGGGTAGTGCCGGGCTTGATCAATTCCTCGGGGCCATCGGCGTCTGAAACAAATTTCCGCTCACTGACATGCTCTCCGGAACGCGGAGTCCACACCTTGTCGGCGAAGGAGCCGCGCTGGCCTTCGGCATGCTTGTAATGACACGCGGGATTCAAACAAGGGTTGAACTTGCAAGCGATTTCGATGTGTGTGAACTTGCATCCTTCGGTCTTACAGTCAGAGCCATTGCGGCAAACTGGCATACTGGGGTGTTTGAAGTGACAATGCGGGTTGGTGCAGTTAGGGAAGAATCGGCACATGGCCTCGGCCTGGTGGGCGGATCGCACTGCGGGTGAGGGGTGGCGGCCGGTACACTTCTTGTTCTTGCAAGCTGCCCCGAAGGAGCAAGTGTCAGAGGGATCGATTGAAGTGCCATCGGGGGCAGCAGGGGACTGGTGAGCGAATGGGCAATCTGAGCGCGAGCATCGGGTGTTGAAACGGCAAACACTGTCGGGATTGCTTTCGTCCTGCTCGCCTTCCATATCAACATCTGCTGTATCCGCACCCCTTGGCCTGTTAGGTCCACGCTTTCCTCCGCGCTGACCATTGCGCTCGACCCGATCAAAGAGGGAACGACCTTGCTGGCTGTTGTGACCATTTTGGAAAGCGGGATTGACGGCAGGCGGGACGAAGCCCGGCATGAGTTGAGACATCATACGGGCTTGTTCCTCCAGCATTGTCATAAGCTGCATCTGGTTTTCGGGAGTCATTTGACCCATGCTATTTGGGCCCATGCTGCCTTGCATTCCCATCCCACGACCCCCGCGGGCGTTAAAGTTACCAAATCCTCCTCTTTGCCCCCGGTTGTTGTTACCGATGCGTCCGTTTCCATTTCCGCGTACGCGATGCAAAGCGGCGTCCGAGCCACGGTCCAAGTTGCGGTTAATTTGGTTCAGCATCCTTCCTTTCCCGCCTCTGCCGTTGCGCATAGCTTTCGGGCCGGTGGGACTATCGATAGACACTGTCAGCAAATTATAAATGGAGTTGGAAGCAAAGAGTGAAAATACCTACATTGAATCACTTCCAGCTTCACCCATCTCGTCATCCTGGCCATTTGCCTCTCCAATTGATTGGGGCGCGTTTTGAACCATGTTGTTGAATCCAGCTGAAGAAGGGATCGCTTGGCCCATGGAAGTGTCTTTCGAAACCGCAGGCACTCCGTTGATCTGTTGGTTGAGCTGTTCGACTTGTCCGAACAACCAATGCGAAAACTCAAGGGCGGCGGTATCTCCTTCCTCAAGACCAAGGAAGTCATTTGACAATTCAGTGGCGATCTGCTCTTGTGTCTTGCCGTTGACCAACATAAGAACAATGTACTCGATCAGTGGGGATTCTTGGCCGTCGCTCCAGCCCATCTCGACCAACTTCGGCTGGATCGCATTTGCGACTGCCTGCGCGAGGGGTGATTCCAAGGTAATTTGGGGCAACATTGTGACGGAGGTTGGTGAATGAAGGGAAAGTGGCAAGGTGTGGAAGATTCACAACGCGAGAGCTGATAAAAGAATGGGTTTGCGCCACCTGATAAAGGCGTTTCAGATGGATTCAGATCAAGCGACAAAGATGGTGGTATAATAATAGTACCAGGGTATTTTGTCAGGTAAAAGGAAGAGAATGTTGGTAAATGTATCCACCAGTTCTTGAGAAGTCAAAGAGTTGGATAGTAGAGAGACGCAAAGCTAAAAGATCCGACTAAAACAGACGTTTAGTCGCATTTGTGGCTGGAGGGCGGTGTGGAGAGGTGGCGGTGCAATATATCTGGAGGAGGCTGATATCTCTTTTGCTGCTGCTAGATCTGCCTTGAGACCTAGAAAGTCGAGAAGAGCACAGAAAAAAAAGCAACAAAGATTTTATAAAGAGTTCAAAATATATACTGCACAAGGCCATGTTTATCACAAAGGCTGAGGCATTCTTTGTGTTGAAACATCTTAGCCAATAGGCGTTTAGACATAAAGTGGCGTGCACAGTGTTGATTGTGAATTGGGAACAAAGAATCGAAAGGTATCAAATCGAGTAGTCTATAACTATCATTTGGAGCATCAAGGGGCTCTAGGGCTAAAGCGACACGCTATATGCCCTCGGGCTATCCTCCAGTAGTAGCATTACTAGACGGTCCCAAAGCGCAAGCCAACAAGTGACTATCGAAAGTGTTGACAAGTATTGGCGAAACAATATATACAGCGTTAGGAAAAATAGTGGATATTAGGGAACAAAGTCTTACCTGGGTATGCTCCATTCCTTGTTCTTGTACATTATGAACACATGTGTAGCTGGTTATTGGATATAGTAATGTATTATTATTGCAGTGGAATTGTAATTACTCCGGTTGCCAAACCTCAGAGGTGTGTACCTGCAGCTAATTATGTGATATATCAATTTCTTCTCTTTTTTCCCCGTTTTTTTCAAAGCATATAATAACCACCTCTCAGCCCCCAAACCAAACAATACATTGGAAAGTTCTCCAAAGATCAAAGAACACCCGAGACATACCAAAACGAAACAGAATGGCCGAGACCTCTCAGACAAACATTTGGATTATACCTGCATTATCTGCTATATCCCTGCATTATGCCAAAGTTAAAGACTTCGTTCCACACAGGGAGTTAAAAAAGACTGTCGATCCCAGAATCATATGCCACCCTGCCGAGGTGTCGTGTCATGTCGCCACGAGCCTACCCCAGATTACCCCGGCTACCCCAGTAGACTCTTGCAAGGATGTGAAACCGAGCCAGCGATGGGCCCAGAGATTCACTGCGCGGGGCACTCTTGATGGCTCTCAGACAGCAATCGCAAGCCAATCATATACAAAATCAAAGCAATCCCCTTACCTTAAAGAGCGGAAATGAAGTCATGACAAAGCGGGGCTCGCAAGAACGGCCACTTCTAGCTGTCACGCTATTCCCGTTTGGGACATTGAGAACACATCACTCCATATTCTTTGGGGAACCGGGGGTATGATTAACCCGATGTTATAGCCTGAGCGGCTTGTCGCATGGCTCATGTGGCATTTATAACGCCAGATTCCGCCATATTTATTGTCTCACATATTATTTCATACACATTTTTGACTAACTGGAACACTATCTGCCCGATTGGCTTCAATCGATATCATGATTGAAGACCTCTTGGCGGGCACAACGCCCATCCGGACCTCATCCTGGCTGCTGGGGCTGTTCGTTATTTTCTGTGTATTTCGCAAACTCCAAGCCTCAGCACAAATAGCACGTCTTGGCGCCAGGGCCCCAAAGATTAAATTCCATCTCCCATATGCCCTTGACTTCATCTACAAAGGACAGCAGGCCAACTTAGCGAGCCAAGACCTCGAATTTTGGAATGATTCTATTGCGCAAGCAGGGGGAAGGAAGAGTGTCAAGACCGCCGAGCTTGACGCTGGTATTTCTACCCGCGCCATCATGACCAAGGATCCGGAGAACATTAAAGCACTACTTACCGGTCAGTTCGCCGACTACGGCAAGGGCGAGTCATTCCACAAGGAATGGAAAGAATTCCTAGGCGATAGTATCTTCGCCACAGACGGAGAACTATGGTCTCGCTCTCGCCAACTCATTCGTCCAATGTTCGTCCGTGAACGTATTGTCGATACAGAAATCTTCGAGAAGCATGTTCAGAAACTCATTCCACTCCTCGGAGGCAGCGGTTCACCCACCAGTAGCAAGGTGGTCGATGTCGGCTCACTCTTCTTCCGATATACTCTCGACGCAGCAACAGACTACCTCCTCGGCCAAGGAACAGACAGTCTTGACAACCCTGAAACAGGCTTCGCGGAAGCATTCAGATATGTCCAACAACGTCAGGCAGAGTTATTCCGCTTCGGGTGAGTCAATCCGCAATCCAACCAACGCAAACACTCTAACACAAACCAGAGTCTTCAATTTCGCCATGTCAAAGGTCGAGTTCCGCAAAAACCTAAAGAGAATGGACGAGTTCATCCAACCGTACATCCATACCGTGCTTTCACTTTCGACCGATGAATTAGACCAAAAGCTCTCAAAACGCGAAACCTTCCTAGACGCTCTTGCCCGGTTCACTCGCGACCCCCGCGTCCTCCGTGACCAACTCGTCGCCGTCCTCCTCGCAGGCCGCGACACAACAGCAGGTACACTATCTTTCACGCTCTTTGAGCTCTCCAGACACCCAGAAGTCGTTTCCAAGCTACGGGCCGAAATCCGGGATCGTCTTGGTCTCGGCGCTGACGCCCAGAAACCCTCCTACACAGACCTGAAGGAAATGAAATACCTTAACGCAGTCATGCATGAGACGATGCGCGTCTACCCTGTTGTTCCGTTTAATGTGCGCTACTCGTTACGAGATACAACGCTCCCTCGTGGCGGCGGGCCAGATGGGTTAGATCCTATTGGTGTGCGAGCCGATACACGAATCATATACTCTACCATGCTGATGCAGCGGGATCCGGATTTGTATGATGGGCCTGAGTCAGAGAATTACTTTGATCCCGCGAAGTGGATTCCTGATAGGTGGGTTTCTGGGTGGCAGCCTCGACCTTGGCAGTTTATTCCTTTTAATGGGGGGCCGAGGATTTGTATTGGACAGCAGTTTGCGACTATTGAGATGGGGTACACTATCATTAGGATCTTGCAGGCTTATGAGAAGATTATTGCGCTTCCTGTTGGAGGCAAAGAGAAGGTTGAAGATCCAAAGCTTCGGTTTGAGGTTACGCTTAGTCCTGGATCGGAGTTGAATTGTGTTTTTGTTAAATAATAATGACTGCGGACATGGACTAGCCCATCGATATACTCTACTTTTTAATATATCGAGCATCTACTACTTATTTGTTTTAAGATTCCTAAAATCGGTTAGCTCCAATTCGTGATAACATGAGAGCGTAACAATTGAATGTTTCTTCAGGTCTCTTGGACAGCCTGACTGAGTACATATGTATGCAGGTAACATGCATGTACTCGGTGAGACGACATTTTGTATCTAAATGAGTTTGATCTCTCAATATAACTTTCAATATGAATTCTGTCTACCTGAATTCAACTCCAGATTTCATGGAAATGAAATCATGTGTCATGTCACACGTCCAATAAACCGCTTCCTCCGGGGTGCTTTCATGAGACAGGTCATGCCTCAAGTCCACGATATCTCTAGATCTTCGTTTTCCATGATCTGTTTTATCTTTGTCTCATCAACAGGCACCTGAACTCCGTAATCCAAAAACTTGACAATCTCACCGCCATCCATAAAGCTCACAGATGTCTGCTCAGGTATGATGATACCCTGCCCGGCGAACGGTGTGTCAAGAAGCGAGCACCCGAGCGCAGCCAAGATCCCATGCCAGTTCGTGTCTCCTCCATAGATCTCCGTCTTCCAAAGCACAGAACGTGCGATAACTGACGCAATGTGATGAGCTGCCTCATTCGATGGCGATCCGCGCACCCGAATCGTAATGAATTTCGAGGCACCCTCGGCGTCCCGAACGACCAGCTTGGCCATATCAGACATGAACCCGTTGAGAACTTGTTGGAACGCGACAAAGCCGGCTGACCGCTCTGGGGAGACGTCCACCGCGGGCTGGCTGGGAGAGGCTGCAGCAGCACCGTTGGCAAATATGGTGACCATGTCATTGGTTGATGTATCACTGTCGATGGAGATGCAGTTGTATGACTTGGACGCAGCCATTTTAAGGAGGATCTGCAGGGCGTCGGTTGTTACTAGAGCATCTGTGCAAATGATTCCCAGCGTGGTGGCCATGTTGGGACGGACCATTCAGGCACCTTTGGTAAGTCCGCGAAATCATTTTGGGGTATGTATCAGTTGTACTCCAAGCGACCGCGGCCTCGAGCCAGTGGTCATGAGTATTCCCTATCTTTTGGGACAATTTCGGTAAATTATGCAGAATGTTGTCAATTGGCAATCTGTTAGGTCGGTTAGTACGTCCAATGGAGATCAAGACTCGATCAACATAGAAACAACGAGCTTGCCGTTGGGCACCTGCGCCTGTATGCATAACCATCAGAGATGATCCATCATCCATCCCATCGGATATACATTCGGCAGCCGCACGGCCCATGGCGGCCGCATCATCAAGTCCCACCTGACCGGTAAGAGTGTTGGCGCACCCCGAATTCGTAATGACACCTCGCAGCCCAGCACCATTGGTACGGCGCATAAGCTCGCGGGTGACCGTCACAGAAGCAGCACAGAATTCATTCTTGGTCAAGACTGCGGCGCCTGATACCGGGATGTCGGACGCGACGATGAGCAAGTCTGGCTGAATGTTCCCTGCAGGCTTAATGCCAGCACGAGCACTACCCACTTTGAACCCCTTTGGATAGCTCTCCGAGGTCGGGATCAATCGCTGCTTATTGGCGGGGATTAGGCTGGCCTCCATAGAGCTCAAATTTATTGAACTTGGTCGAAAAGATGCGGAGCTGCGCACATGGCAAACGGAGTCGCATCTTGGGTGAAGGAAGAGAAGTTTTGAAAGGCGCGAGAATGGCCCCCCAAGTACAGGTACGCGACCCACTGCGGGACTGCCCCGGGACGGGCGCGCGGAGCCCGCGAAGCCGGTGGAGTTGTTGACTCCCTAAATCCACAACAGCCGCTCCAGGCCAATTGGTATGAGCAGTTGACTAGTTCTCACATCACTGTTGAAATTCGATATTCTACAGAGCATTTTGATATGTGACCGATAAATTGGAACAAAAAAACTAGCCCTGATTGTTGTGCGAATTGGTCCCGGGGCCTGATTATAGACTGACTATACCATTGTATCCGATCTTGAAAGCAAAATGACTCAACTGGATCAATAGTAATCCAACTTCTTCAGCTTCTTTAGCCTCTGTAAAATTTCCACCTTCCGTAGCTCCAAGAACAGATCTTCTTCATCCATGCCATTCAAATCGTGCACAATATTCACTAGCGGCTTAGGTACAGAGTGAACCTCAATTTCCTTGACAGATATATGGGTTGTTCTTTGAATATCGTCGTTGATGACAGGGGCTTTAACAACTTCGGAGATAAACGAGTGGTCTGAATTATGGACGGTTAGTAGAGGGGGTACCTCATTCTCCTTCACCGTCAGATGATTCTGATTGTCAATTTCATCTCCATCCGTGGCTTTCTGGGATTTAAGCCATCCCCTGCTCATTTGTACAGCCTTGGTCCATTCTCCAAATTTGTCTGCGCTCTCCTGTAACGAGACTTGAGGCTCGAATACGGCACCACCCGCACGGTTGATATCACGTAGTTCAGCGAAATTGCGCCAGACCCCGACAGCCAGACCGGCTGCAATTGCTGCACCGAGAGCTGTTGTCTCGCGCATCTTAGGGCGATAAACGGGGATGTTGATCAAATCTGCCTGGGTCTAGTCATGTATTAGAGTGTCTCTTTCGAAATGAATCAATGGGGTAGACTGCATGCCTGCATTGCAAGGTCTGAGTTGCTCATTCCACCATCTACGGCTAGCTCAGAGAGTATATGGCCGCTGTCTTTTTCCATTGCGTCGAGGATTGCTTTCGTTTGAAAGCAGGTTGCTTCGAGGGTTGCACGGGCAATATGTCCTTTTTGTGTGTATTGTGTGATGCCAACTATGCAAGTTAGAGAAATACAATGGAAGGGTAATGTCGAAACTCACAGATCGTTCCTTTGGCATCATCAATCCAATAAGGTGCAAATAACCCACTAAACGCCGTGACAAACACACATCCACCATTGTCATCGACAGAGTGAGCCAGGTCGTTAACTTCCCTCGACTCTTGAAAGAAATTCAAATTATTTTGCAAGAACTTAATCCCAGACCCAGCAACAGCAATACTCCCCTCGAGCGCATAGATAGGTTTCCCACCAAAATGATAGGCCACCGTAGCCAGCAATCCGTGCGTTGAGAAAACAGGCTTCTCCCCGACATTATACAAAAGAAAACAACCTGTCCCATAGGTATTCTTCGCCATACCCGGCGAGAACCCTTTCTGCCCAACCAGCGCGGCAGACTGATCTCCCAAGCAACCCATAATGGGCACATTAGCCAGCACCCCAGAAGCAACAACGCCATACGCCGTTGGATGCGATGAGGGCACAATCTTGGGCAGATGAACCCTCCCTCGGATTTCGAAAAAGTCAAGCAGCGTCTCGTCATACCTCAGTTTCTCCAGATTCACAAACATCGTTCGTGACGCGTTTGTTGAATCCGAGACAAAAACTTTGGCAGCCACACCGTTCAATCGGTATACGAGCCAAGCATCGACTGTACCAAATGCAAGGGTTCCGCGGTCGAATGCATCCTTGACTTTCGGGACGTGAGCGAGCATCCAGAGCAATTTCGTGGCTGAAGAGTATGTTGAGAGCGGCAGGCCGCAGAGTGTTTGTAGTACATCTGCGCCAGCTTTCTGTTTTAGGTCGTTGACTATCGATTGCGAACGCGTGTCTGTCCAGACGATACCATTGTAGAGGGGTTCACCGGTTTCATTATCCCAAACTATGGTTGTTTCGCGTTGGTTGGTTATTCCGATACATTTTATGCTGTTGCGACTGTGGCCTGCTATTTCGAACTTTTGGACTGCTTCTTCGATGCAGGCCTCTACTGATGCTATTAATTCGAGGGGGTCGTGTTCGTGCCAGCTGGTTTTGGTTAGGGCTGGGTTTTGAGAGCTATCATCTGCACTTACCCAGGATGAGGATAGATTTGGCTGAACTCGACTTGGTGTGAGGCTACTGGTTCGCCATCGCGGTTGAAGATCAGAAATCTGGTACTTGTTGTACCTTGATCTATTGATCCCACGAATATCTCAGATGATTGCATGTCAAATGTATGATTTTGGGGTGTTACGGAGGAACAGATTTAAAATGTAGGAAGAGAATTCGTCTGTTGGGACAAAAAAAAAAGAATAGAGACACCACGAGAAAAAGCAAATTACTAAATTACCCAAGGAGCCCCGGAAATAATTGAGGCATATATCAATAGCTTCATGGTCACACAGCGGGGTGCTGATTCGAGGAATGAGGGGAAAGACAAGGGAAAGGATTGGTGGAATTGACAGTCAAATGTAAGTGAGAAAGACTGTACAACTGACATTGGCTCTAGCGACTTGGCTTGAAAGCCATGAATTCTATTGAAATAACCGAGCTCCAAGACGTGTGTTTGAGGGTAGGGGCTCACCTGCATCTGTTCGAAAAAAGGAACACATCTACTAGTTCCCGAAGTCACGATTTTGTCCGCATTCTGTCACTAACTTGCATATTGTGGGGGAGATCAGCGGACTACGGACGACTCGGTTGAGTTGACGAGATGTCGGATTTAATCGATGCAAATGCGCACTGACTCGGTCTTACTTCTTTTGTCATATAATTCTCCAGGGCTGTCGCAAACTTCCCCCTAATCAATCTCGGTCCAAATGGCAAGACACGTCAACATCGCCATTTCTTTTACACATGATTATTAGCCTCGTTTGATATCTTTAATAAATCCTGCGATGATGACCGATCGCCGACATGAACAACACATTCCCTACATCATCTCTACTACCACACCCGCACACACGGTAACTTCCGAACAGCCCCGGTCTCGATACTACCTATAAAGTATATGGTCACACGGAAAATGGCCAATTGTGCCACTGCCGACGGGCAGCAAAAGGCGACAAAATACTACCCTCAGCGTCATGGGAACAGCCAATGCCTTCCCTTTTCTCTCTCTCTCTCTCTTCTTTGCCAATACGGCAGAGAACGCATCTCTGCCAACGTAACACAAGGGACTTTCTAGAAGATTGCAAACTGGTCTGCGCTAGAAATTCAACATTTGTGTTGACGATGGGTAACAGAAGGTATAGAAGCCTGCTCTGTTATAGCAAATACCGGGAAGTGGGAACTATACACGGTATTGCGGCGTCCCAAGGCTATCCCAAGACAAGCCAAGCGGAAGCAAGCATTGGGTTCCCGCTACCCAGGCCAAACGACCTACAAACGAGCGATAAGGATAACTATCGGCAGAGATGTGCTGTCAGAAAACATTTTCCTATGTGCAAAAGAACCAAAAGACACAGAGACAAGAAAGAAGAAACGACAAAAAGGACAATGGTCGGCCCAGCCAGCTCAAAGCAGAAATACGTACACTTGACCATTCCGAGTCTGTCCGGATTTGACTTCTGGTATCTCCCCTGCAAGCCCCTACGCGTCTGCGAGAGAAACATACACAGCACCACACACATCGACAAGAACAGTCAACAGCCAATCGAGCCAGCTCTGACCAGGCCCAGAGTTTGAAGCAAAAGGGTCGGTTACACGGTAGTCCCTGGTTCTACCCTGATTATCGGGACATTCTATTTTCGTGCATTCCCCCCGTGTGCTATATCAAGCTGAAGCCCAGTCCCCGAGCCCCCATCTCGATGGCTTCCTGGAAAGAGGTTGAGGTTGAGCTTGATTCAATGTCGAAAGTACCAGAGACGCTGTCTTCTAGTCGTATTAGTGGCTGTGACTCGTTGTGTATGGCTGACAAGAGCGAGACCGTCCATCATATCAATCGGGAGGTCGAAAGTCCATACACCCGTCCGCTACTTTGGTTCAAAGTCAGGGAATATTGTCGTGATGCGTTCTCGGAGTTCTTTGGGACCATGATATTGATTCTGTTTGGGGATGGGGCCGTGGCTCAAGTACTTCTCAGTCATGGACAGAAGGGCGATTATCAGTCGATTTCTTGGGGATGGGGGTACGGCTCTATCTTTCCCCCTATATTCTTTACTATCATACTAAGGACCATCATCGCAGACTCGGAGTCATGCTCGGGGTATATGCCAGCGGTGCATCTGGGGGCCACATCAATCCAGCTATCACATTTGCAAGCTGCATGTTGCGCGGCTTTCCCTGGCGCAAATTCCCTGTTTACGCATTATCTCAAACCCTGGGAGCAATGGCAGGCTCTGCCATTGTCTACGGCAACTATAAATCGGCGATCAATGCCTACGAAGGCGGGCCCAATGTCCGTACAGTCCCAGGCTACTCGACAACCGCAACAGCGGGTATCTTCTGCACCTACCCGGCCGAGTTCATGACAAAGACAGGACAATTCTTCTCGGAGTTCCTCGCCAGCGCAGTTCTAATGTTTATGATCTTTGCCCTGAAAGACGACGGTAATCTCGGCGCTGGACCATTACTGCCTCTCGCGCTGTTCTTCGTTATCTTCGGCATTGGTGCTTGCTTTGGATGGGAGACAGGATATGCAATCAATTTTGCACGAGACTTTGGGCCTCGACTTATATCATACATGCTTGGATATGGACATGAAGTATGGTCTGCTGGGAACTATTACTTCTGGGTATGTTTTGTCTTTACATCATTGTGAAACCCTTCAGCTTGCTAACCTTGTACTGTCAGGTTCCTATGGTTGCACCGATACTAGGTTGCACTTTTGGAGGATGGATATATGATCTATTCCTGTATACAGGGATGGACAGTCCGATTAATACGCCTTGGATGGGGATCAAGAGGTTGTTTGGGCCTCTTAACCAAAGGCGAGCTGCATCGCACAGCCCCGTCTGACACAAATCGTAAGCCTCACTTCAAGAATTCAGGGCTGTAAAGGTGGATATGGCAATGGACATGGTCTATTTCATCTTATTCATGATTTGTTTTTGAGCAGTTGTGTACAAAGGGGTGGATTTCGTTTAAATTTTGATAATAATATTTTCTCTGCTTTTAGCCAGTTCTTTGCAGCATTATATTAGCCTCGGATATTCATAGCCTCAGATCCTCTTTCTCTTTTGTTCTAAGGATATTTATCTTGATATGTCCCTTTCCGCAGTGAGAAATTTTTCAGGGGTCTACGTTGACAATGATGTGGCCAATAGAACTCGAGAGTTATGCGCTATTTCTGTATATTCTTGACTATATACTTCAAGGTTCTTTGTACGCAGTAACTTGCATTGCATTGCGTAATGGCTCTTCATCTGGGCTGCATACTGCCAGAAACGAGCACAGCATCTGCAGCTATGCTTTTCAACTAGCACATGACGTTTTCAGCAAGAGAGGCATTTTGCGGACAAAGATCCAAATAAATCAAATAAGTTCAGGTCAAAATAGAGTGTCTACAGAATCCTCCAAGATGACCAAGTTCTCCGAACAGGTCATCACAGCCCTATGTACTTCCTTTTTGTGGCTTCAACTTTGATTCCACCCTCTGGCGTAGCGGAACCCATCGTAGATGTTCTTTGACGGTATTTATAGGTTCCCATAAAGGAGGTCTACCCTTTTATAGTCGGATGATCTCTCGATTCTTGGTCCTACTCTCTGGCTCTACCTTTGGGGAAAAAGCGTAGTAAATTGTTCCAGCATCGAGTTGGACACAACCACACCTCCACAAGAACAAAGACAAAGTTGCTCTGGTTGGATCTGTGGGTGAATGCTCTCCATAGGAAAAGGCAATAAATTTGATGTGCGCGCCATAGTCAAACTAGCCTCGTTACCCGCCAGTCGTCCCAGTCTGCACCGGGATACAAGCTACGAGGTCGTGGGAAATTTTGGCTGATGAATCGCTTAATCAGGATGGCAATTGTCTTCGAGGCACGATCAATTCGCATATGGCCTGGTCCAAGGACATCAACTACTAATGGGACTGAGAATAATTCTAGAATGCAACGTATGATATTGGTACACGAAATACATGCCACTATTTCACACAGATGGAAAAGAAAATGAACTAACTAGCTGGACGGACAAATCATGACAAAATGCACATCTTTAGCGCTTGCCCTTCTTACGGGGAGCCACGACCTTGAAAGCAGACGTAGCAGCCTCTTCCTCGCGCTGGGCAGCAGCGACAACAGTAGCGGCAGAGCCCTTCTTCGCGACCTCGCTCCAGCCACCGCCGTTCTTTTGCTCACCAAATGCACTAGGCGAGACAGATTCGACAATGCCCTTGTCAGCGAGCTTGCGGCGGCGGATGAACTCCTCCGCGAAGCGGCGGCCATCTAGGGTCTGAGAGTTGGCGTAGACGGAATCGGAGATGATCTCGGCTTCGGCGGGCAGGAAGAGAAGCTGTTGGACGAAGTCGTCGACTGGAGATGGAATGTCAGTATATAAATTTCACAAATTGTGATTAGAGAATGAAACATACCATTGATGCCGGTATTCAACCCCTTGCTCAAACTGAGGGTGGCCCACTTGGTGAACTCCTCAACGGCCTGGTTAGGATTGGACTGGGAATTGCTGCCACTGGTCACAGCGCGGGAAACGGTGACAGGGCGGGGCTTGGCAATTACGGGCGAGATAGGGACAGGTCCGCTGGAGGTGCGGGGTCCAAGAGGTGCAGTGGGAGCACCCTTAACCTTACCACTGGCACCGACGGTGGTCCAGGCGCTGGAGCCCGGGACAGCAGGAGCAGCGGGAGCAGGACCCTTGCTAGCAAGATCGGCGTAACGCTTTCCGGTGGAGGAGGGAATGGGCGGGCTGGGAGTTGCAGCCATGGCGGCGGCAGCAGCAGCACGGTTCTTGCGGGCTTCCTCTTCCTTCTGGATTTGAGCAAGGGTCTTCTTGGCGGCGGCACCGGTAGGGGTGGGCACGCTCTTGTTGGCCCAGGGAGAGCCGGTCGAAGCTGGGGTGGCAGGAGAGCCAGCGCTGGCCCAGTTGGCGGACGATGGGAGGCCAGGGGCAGCCTGGGCTTGCGCTTGGCTGAGACGCTCCTGCTCGGCGAGGAACTGAGCACGGCGGGCAGCAGCAGCAACCTCCTCGCGCTGGGCAGCAGTGCGAGCCTCGGCTTCCTGGATCTCCTTCAGAGAAGGACCCTTAGGCAAGTCATTGGCCTCCTTGGCCCAAGGTGCGACAGAGGTAGGAGCAGCATCGACAGGAGTCTGAGTCTGAGAACGCGAACCAGTGGCGAGAGACTCGGCAACGTTTTGACGGTTACGCTGGGCAGTGGGTGCGGGGAGAGGCGAGGCCGAGGGAGGGGGAGGGAAGGGCTGGGGCATAGCATGGTCAACCTTCCAGACCGACTCAGGGGCTGCGTGGCTCTGCTCCTGCTCCTGCTGCTGGCGCTGAGCGGAGGCAGCCTTGTGGACTTGCTGGGACAGAGTCAGGGGCTCGGCACCGGTAACAGAGTCCGTCAACTGCTGAGCTGCCTCCTCCATCTCGGCGGCAACGTCGGCTTCGTGTTGCTGAGAAGCAGCGGCAGGGTGGGTAGGCAGGCCCTCGGCGGTGCGCATACCCATCTCGCCTTCTTGGGCACGAAGTGCATGGAACTGGCGGAGACGTTCCTCGCGGGCTTGCTGGTCAAATGGATCATCCTCATGAGCTTTATCGAAATCATCCTGCTCCTGCTGGAGCTGGGCACGATCCTGGAGCATCTGAGTAACCTGCTGAGACTGCAAGAAGTTATCAGGCTGACGGCCAGCAAATGAGCCGGTATTGCCGAAGGCGAAGGGATCTTGACGGTTGACGTTCAAACGATCAAGTAGAGCAGGGAGTTGATCCTGGCCGCCGAAGTCGGTTCCCAGCATACCGGGATTCGACAAACCGCCCTGTCTACCAGGTGCGACTCCGTCGAAGAATCCGGCAGCACCCTGAGATCCCTGTTGCAGAGGAGCCTGGATGGGAGATGGCTGGTAGCCAACGGGAGAGGTGATACTTCCGAAGCTGGGCTGGCTCTGAAGGCTGTGCGCGCTGGACTGATGCTGCAGCGGGGGGTTCATGGAAGAAGAAGGAGCTCCAGGAGGCGCCATCTGCTTCATGATGGCCTGCTGCTGAGCCAAATGCTCCTTCTGTCGGGCCATCAAGTATTGTTCTTCCTGCTTGCGGCGTTCAAGAGCATTTTGCTGCTCGGCTGTCAGAGTAGTGCCAAAGCTCGGGAAACTACCAGGGAAGGGAGGCTGGGCAGAGCCGGCGGTGGTGTTAGTCCACTGAGCAACAGCAGGTTCCGGGCCATGGGGGAGGCCAATTTGGGGCACAAGGAATGGTTCGCGTGAGTTCCCAATGCGTCGGACTAGCTGAGCCAATGGCTCGAACTCGGTGTCCTCAAGCTTCTTGATTTGCAAGTCAGGGCTGAAGAAGCCAGCCTTGAACCAATCATGCATTTCAAGCCCAGTCCATGGTCCTTGGATGTTTCCTTGCGGGTCCCGATAGATCCAACGCATCCTATCGGGCATGACCATCGTCCGTTGTTGGGAGGTAGGAATAGAAGCGCCAGGTGTACCGCTAGGCGGGATATCGTGGCCAGCTAGGTTGGCCATAGAGCCAACAGCCGAGACAGGGGTCTGGGAAGTAGGTGTGGAGCCGGGGTGGCTGGCCTGACCCGCCTTCTCAGCCTGTTGAGGATCGTATCCTTCCAAGCCCACAGAGTCCGGTCGTCCTTGCTCATCTTGCATCGAAGAGAAGAGAGCTCCCAATTTGCTCGATCGGCCAATGCTTCCGGTGCCAGTCATACCAGCATGGGGGCTGAAAAGGCCACTTCCGCCGAGAGTAGACAAACTCGGAGATTGAAGCTCACCACCCATGGAGCCAAAGATAGGGTCGCCGAAGCCACCCACGAAGGCAGATCTCTCACGAGTGGGAGTACCGACAGCGGCTCCAGATGACCAAGTTGAAGCTCCAAGAGAAGACAACCCCCCCAGACCGCCAAGACCAGAGAAAGTGCGATTAGCATTGACACTGGAGTTTTGGCTGCGATCCACGGAGGGAAGATCCATGCCCGAGCCTACCCGTCTAATCGAGCCGAATGGGTTGGAAGGGTCCCGAAGTCCACTGAGACCAGGATGCTGGGCCTGCTGGATATCCGATCCATCAGTATCGACATCCTCCGCCTCTGCCCGATCACCGTGGCGATCGCCGTGCGGGCTCTGGTAAGGATTGGTGTTGGTCGGACTTGTGGGTTCGTGGCCCTGGAGAAGACTAGGGGTTGGGTTCCTAGAATTCTCCTGGCTTTGCATCAACTCACGGAAGCCAGGAATGCTAGAGGTCATGCCAAATGCGCCAAACCCGAGGTCAGCTTGAGGGGGACCCTCAACATCCTGAGACCCGCCAAGAGCAGCGCTTCCACTGCGAGGTTCGTCAAAGGGATTGGTTTCGCTTCGATTGACACGTGTCTTGACAGCCTCTCCCCAAGGCGACTGCGAACGCGCATCATGGTCGTTCTCGGCAAGCCGTTCGAGGTTGCTCAGAGGTTTCTCCCTAGCGGAGCCAGAGATATCCTCGGAGCTGTCCTTCGACAACAACCCCTTAAACCTGCTTTCTCCACGGAGGCTTCCGTATCCCGGCTTCTTTTCAGTAGTCGGGGTGTTGGCGTTAGAACCGAGAGAGAAAGCCCCAAAGGCACCCATCGGAGAGAAATTGGCGTTGTGCGAAGCCGAGCCCCAGGGGGAGTTCGGTCCACTCACGCTCGTATTCAGGGGATTGGTGGAGCTTCGCTTGAGAGAGCCGAATGGGGAGGAAGGGTCCTCCCTCCCATCCTTGGCTTTCTCGTCCAACTTCGGATTGGGTTCTCGGAAATCGGTCTTGCGACGCAACAGGGCCGGTGGAGGGGTAGAAGTGTTGGCCTCGTCGCGGAAGAATCGGGAGTTGGAACCGGTAGGAGACATGGGGTTTCCAATCGATTCACCCGTTTCCCTGCGGCGAGGACCAGGGCGCCCGGCAGTAGGAGAAGAAGTGTTGTAGTTATTGATGTGGCCCTGGGGGTAAGAAATAGAAGATTTGCGACCACCAGTACCGGGAACAGCATTTTCCTTCGCGGCGTTGGTGGGCGGCGGCTTCAGAGGGGAATTGACCGAGGCGGCGAACAACTAATAAGCTTTTTTTAGCACTAACACTCAGAGCTTTTCCAAAGACAAGTCACGAACCTCTCGCTCGTCCTCCGTCATACCCGTGAGCCCGAGGGGTTCCACCTGGCCACCGTGGTCCCAACACACCTCAGGCCCCGCGGAGTTGTTCTTGTGGTCGTCCCGCTTCCCCCACGCTCCGTTTGCGGGAGCTGACACTGTGTGAGGATCCCAGTCGGCCACGAAGTATTCCTCCACGTTTTTACTCAAGGATCCCTCATCACGCTGCGATTTATACAGCTCTAAAAGTTCATCCTTAGAGTACCGGGAGTCCCCATTCCGTGCAATGCTAGAAGTATTTGAGCTCATGTGAGGGGGGATATACGCGCTGCCAACGGGTGTCGAGGCAGATGCAGGCTGGCTACTATCCCGGTGGTGAGGATTGTTGGTAGCAACAGAAGGACGGCGGAAGGTCTGCGTAGCTCCGTTCATGCGGTTTCGGGACCTGGTGGGCATCGAAGGTTAGCGTTGGATATCTTGAGCTCAAAACATTGACCATCGCAATGGCAAAGCACGGCATCGAAACGAGTAGATCGAGCAAAAGCTATCGTGGAATTGGCGGTAAGGCAGGGTAGTGCTGGCATACCATTCTCCGCTGGTCGAACCATCCCCCTCCGACTGGGGTCCTGGGTGTTGCCGGCGGCGGCCGAAGCGAAACTCGATGGAAGTGGTGTAGGCATTATGGTAGAAAGGTTATTCTGGTCGGATGTTGATCCCCCACGTGATAACCGTTGCTGAGATAGTTCGTCGCGAGACCTTTGGCGGGTTTGCGTGCGAATGTGTGATGCGAACGGATAGGTCGCAAGACACGAGATAGTAAAAGTGGGTAGAGTTGAAGGATGATAGCTGGAAGCTAATCAATCGAAGAAGTGGTTAAGAGCTGTAAGAGAGGGAATGCAGTATGCGAGCGCCAGACTAACAAGGTCGAGAAAGAGAGAGATCGAGTTTCGATTTCGCTTGGGAAGTTTCCTGGAGCAAAAATGATTAAGCGGTGTCCGTGGCAATACGCGTTGGGTATGTGTAAATACACAGTATCAAATCATTGGTCGCGTGATTTGCCGCCTTGAGAATGTACATTACGGTGTATTGAGAAAACCAGTTTTACATACCTGGAGCCAGCCACTAAGACCAGGTATTCAATACACACACAATACTGTGTCTTCACACTCTGTCCAAAGTAACCTCTACCTACCCTCAATCATCAGCAACTAAATAGTTATGAAGGCTGTAAGTACCATGGGGAAGGGCTTTTGTCTGTAAAATTCAGTTGCACTCATAATGAGACATACTTTTGAGGCGGATTCTTAGTTTCCCCCTCAAAGCCCAAAAGCCTATAGATCGCATTTGAGGTCGTAGGTGGCTTGACAACGAGAGTTGTGGAACTATCGGGATAGACGTGTATCCCCGCTATAACCACACTCCTTATCTGATTGGGAGCTCAGCTGCTTTCAAACATTCAAAGCACATATGAAGGATTGGGTTGCAGGTTTGACCTGTGCTTCCTTTCATCTCTTCGCAAAGGACACAGTCTATACAGACTTTGTATTCCTCAAGAGGTCAAATAGGAGGCGGAGTTGAACTGCATTACCATCCCTTTATACGCAACCTCTGCAATGCTGGGCAAACCCCTGTCTCAAAGTAACAAGGTTATTTCTTTTGATTTGGGCTGAACTTCCAGTTGTATTAAGAATTCCATTATATGCGGTGCATGTTAATAGGGCTGTCTCAAAGTGACTCCCTTTGTACGTCTACACTTTCATTCACTGCCTCGTTTGCTCTGCAGTCCTTTGTACTCTACGCCGACTACAACTCCCTGGCTTGTTATCTTGCTGAAGTAACACAGAGACAGGGAAGAAAAAATACACAATGAATGTTCTAGCCCGAATCAATACGATGGGCTCAGTGTTTGAGCTTCATAGATGATTTCGAGCCCATATAAGTGGCATACATTTTCTTCGGCTATTCCCTCTCAACAGTTCTTTTTCTCCAAGACAGTTCAGTCAGTCATCTATGAAGTCTAAGTTTTGCTGACCGGCAGTTTTCTTTCTATCTTGTTGTGTTTCCATTAGTGTTCTCATCGTCGCCTTTGACCGGGAATGAGGCGATCCAGACTCACTGGAAGAACCAAAGCCCAAGATACAGAGTTCGGTTGGTATTTCGCTGGAAAATCGATGGACAAGAGACATTCACGGGGCCGCCGAATCAGGCTGATCCGCTACGGGCCTGATATGGAAACTTGTATCCACAGTCGATGCCCTTCGCCGCCGCCTGTTCCAGAGAAGCCAATTTGTACATGCGGATGCGAGTTTCACGCCCAGGAAAGACGTTCTCAATCACCCAGTAGCAGTACATCTTCGGGCTTTGAGCCGGGTTTAAGATGCAAATCGTGTGGTGGATTCCATGCTACCAAAAAGGATCGATCTCCGCAGGCAGAGAAACCGGTTTGCACCTGCAACACCCGATGTGAGCTTCACATCAGAGAGGACCGCCCCCGGTCTCCAACTGAGAGTGAATCATCGGATTTGGAACACACCAGAAAATTTCATTGTCGCTACTGTCGCGCTGAGAGGCGTGAGCTGGGTGCCAGTGGCATGCGTCCCACCACAGCCAGTAGCAGTGACTCTTCCGCCTATGAGCACTCCAGAAGACATCGTGGTCGTCGCTACACTGTGACAAGGGAGTCTGAGACTTCCCCATCCGCAGAGAGATGGCACCGAGAGGTCTACACTCGCACCAACACTCCTGCAACATCGACGAAGTTGAATTCGCCCCGTACATCTTTCACAACTGCGCCACCCCCGCTTTATCATCACCACTGTCACAGAGCAATGTACTATGAAGAGCATCCCGAGCTCTGTCGGGCCTTTCATTCACCTGTGCCAAAGCCGACGCCAACACGGACGCAATCTCGTCAGTCAAGTGGGAAGTCTCATCGTAACTCCCAGGAAAAGTCCACTCAGCGTCAGCCCGGATGTACCTGTGGAAGACATCTTTCTCCCGAACATGTCTCATCTCCAAAGACTGGATCGCCGAAGCCCGCTCCCAAGTCTGGCGTCCTGTATTGCACCTGTTTCCCCACGGAACGGTTCTTTGTCGATGAACCGGGATATTACACCGCTTTTGAGGATGATACTGCGTCTGAGACCTCGATGTATGCAATGCCCGCAAATGACGGGGATCAGGGTGAATCGTATTGTCCTCTTTACCACCGATGCCGTCCGAGGCTCGAGCGATATGGGTGGGTTTGTGGGCGGAAGTGAGTTGTAGACCTGTTTATTTGATCACAATTTGGTGTGTCAATGTGGTTGAAGGGTTTCATTGGATTGTTTGCTTGATTCGCCCTAGTTGCTCACTTTGCTTCGTTTCCTTTCGAGGGGGAGGCCGAACGCCCGACAGTTGATATCTTGTTGAAACAACTATCACCCCCCCCCCCCCCCCCACCTCAAAAGCCGCGGAAGCCCAATGAAATCTTACTCGAGAGCTAGATGTATGTGCATTGTGGTCTGTGCTTTCTTTTCATATGCCTTGGAGATCTAGAATCTTTATTTTTTTCTTTTGTTCTTTTTTTCCTTTTGCAATGGCATTCAGACTAGTATCCGTTGGTTGATCGTCACTTCCACGTTGAAGTAAATCGAAACTTCGTTTGGTATTTTGACTGTATCTCTGATCTTTTCCTATCGCCCTTCTTGGCTATGGACCCTCCAAGTAAAGAGATACTTAAAATGCACTCGTCATGAGGTAACACACCTATCTCTGCAGTAAAAATGATAGACGTATGATACCTACATACTTTCTAAGAGCTGCAAAGAGCGGTGTAGCCAAAAGGACCAGGTATAGGTTGAAGACATCTGGTCTGAAAGTGTAGGGTGTGCCTGAAATTTGTTTATGCTCGATTTATTCCTCATAATGTATATTGCTGTAGGTTGCTAGGCCTGGGGGTGTTTTGGGCTGAGCAAATATATAACCATGAAAATTGACTTGCATCATCCATCTGAACATCACATTGAGATGTGTATACTTTTGAAATTGTGCCAGCAACACAGAGCAGTTTCCAATGATATCTCCAGGTCAATCAAATGTGCAAAGTTCACGATGTAGTTCGGCCATTCGGAGAAGGTAAACCTCGGCTATGATGTTCAGTGAGTATCGATAAGGATATTCTGACCCCCGCACGACCACCTGAGTAAATCTTCTGGCTTCAACTCGATTCATTTCGTACACAATTAACAAACCCCAAAATGTCGAAAGCAATCTACATCTCCCCAATTGATGGCAAGCCTGGAAAACCTGGCCAAGTCTACTATCCGCTCTCTCTGCGCACCATACCCAAGCCTTCCCCGCAAGGGGGTGAGCTACTAGTGAAATTGACGGCCGCGTCACTCAATCACCGTGACCTTTTCCTACGCCAACACCTCTATCCAGGTGTTACCTTTGATGTGCCCCTACTAGCAGATGGAGTCGGCTTTGTCGTCGGTGCTGGCCCGAATGTCCCCAACCCAGAGTCATGGCACGGCAAGCGTGTTATCCTGAATCCCGGTGTTGGCTGGAAGGACTCGCCCGATGGACCGGAAGAGGCGACTGGATACAGAATTATGGGCGGCACAAAGGTCTATGATAAGGGGACACTGCAGGAATATATCGCTATTGAGTACTCTGAGGTTGAGGAAGCCCCTGAGCACCTAAATGATGCGGAGGCGGCGGCCCTTCCCCTGACTGGGTTGACGAGTTGGAGAGCTCTCATCACCAAGGCTGGTGATAGGAACTCTGGTAGTGGTGCTGCTGTTCTGATTACTGGTATCGGTGGTGGTGTCGCTTTGATGGCACTGCGATTTGCTGTCGCTCGTGGCGCATACGTATTTGTGACTAGTTCGAGCCAGGAGAAGATTCAAAAGGCTATTGAGTTGGGTGCGACCGGTGGTGTTAACTATAAGGAAGAAGGTTGGGAAAAGAAGCTGTTGGGTTTGCTCCCTGCCGAAAAGAAGAACTTCGATGCCATCATCGATGGTGCGGGTGGTGATTCTGTTGAGAAATCTGTCAAGCTGCTCAAGGTGAGTGTCATGACTTTTATATATAACTTCAACCACGGATATAATGCTCACATTCGCAGGCTGGTGGTGTCCTTTCTATCTATGGAATGACAGTCTCTCCCAAGATGCCCTTTACAATGGCCGCTGTGCTGAAGAATATTGATATCCGAGGCTCCACGATGGGATCTCGCAAGGAATTCAAGGAGATGGTCGAATTTGTCAAAGCTAAAAAGATCTTTCCTGTGGTGTCGCGCGTGCTGCAGACCGATCTGGACGATCTAGCTGCCATCGATGGACTGTTTGAAGACATGAAGCAGGGCACCCAGTTTGGTAAACTCGTGATTGAGTTCAGCAAGTCGACAGGAAGTAAGCTTTGAATAGCATATATGCTGCGATTGCCATGAAGCAATGATATCTGCCCATAAACACACATGTGCATACAAATAGAGATGTTTTGTACAGCGACTTCGAGTTCGTACCTTCCCTCGCAGCCTCACCTCACTTAAACCCAACTCGCTTGCATTCTCAATGTCTTCATCACTCATATCACTCATCCTCTCTTATTCCAAATCGAAGCGGGTAAACGAAACCCGGGTTTGCTCATTGTGTAGCCTTCCTTTCATTCATTTCTCACTCCACCCCTTATCATGGGTGCAGATGAAACACATTGTTCCGTCGGACGAGGTTCCAGTATCGTCTCCCGCGAGAACCGAATTTCGCGTCGTGTATCGGACAAGGTTTCTCTGTGCGTCGATAATCTGTGGGACGAAGGTAGCTTCCAGGTATCATCCCACAGGAAGGGTCGATCCCATGGAGCGTTTGGCTGATGTTAACAATCAAGTCCTCTAACGCTACTCACTATGCCCTCCAGACCATTAACGATCACATCGAAAGCAGACTGGGCAAGCTGCAAGTCAATGTCACCCGCCTGAAGCGTGAGCTTTGGCTACTTCAGCGACATGTCAAGGAGTTCCACCATCCCCTGTTTGAGAACTGGGAAGCCGACATGCTCACTCGTCTTATCGAGGTTGCATATGTGAAGGAGTATCGCAAATTACCTGGTGGTGTGGTGATTGGAAAGGAGACATTCTTCGAACGTGAAAATCTCACGCATGCGTACAGTCTCGCGGCGAGGGATGTCCGGTTGAGTACTGTTCGGAAGCTTGGTCTGTCAGATAGATACCATGAAGCTTTGCAACGGTATCCAGAGGTGAGTTGCTACTTTCTTCGTCGTGGTTGGACGTACCTTTGATTGGTCTCTGGTTTAACATGCACCAGGTCGCCCCCTATCGAAGCCCGAATCCTTTCAGGACAGAGACCGCATTTGCCAAATGGCTAATCGAAGAGAGAGAGAACAGACCGGAAATCTATGGATTCTGGTCCAAGCTTTTCCCAGTCTGCTACGACCGCACCGTCCAACAGAGCGCCTCCATCTTCTGATCCCCTCATCGTCACTCTCTCGTCCGGTCTCCCTTCTCGTGTTTCTGACAACACACAATAGAACAAAATACGGCAAAAAGGGGCGGATACAATATTGCTTTGTTATTGAGGCATGATTCCTTTCCAGATGTTTGTGGATCAATTACTTGGTTTCCAGGTTCTAGCGTGTGCAAAAGTGATCATTGTGTCTCATATCAGCTTGCCATGTACCAAGCCTCAAGCCTATTCTTATCACCGAAAGACCGAAATACAACGCCTGCTTTTTCGGTCATACGTTTCCGATGCAAGTGCCCCATGAATTTCAGAGACAGCCATAATAGGTCCATGAACTAGTAGTAGATGATTACCGGTCTACCATTTTGGCCTCTTTCATTATCAATTATGTATAGTTCGGCAACCTACCGGCCGAAAAATTACTACCGTAGCATCAAAAGCCCAAGAAAAAGCAAACCAACAGTTTTGATTCACCGCTACAGGCTATCAGACTCTCACTCTACAAATAGCACACCCCACTCTGATTCGCGTAGAGCAGCACCAAATGCCGATCAGCAAGCTCTAACTCTGGTCCAATATCCCAATCAATAAACAACTAACACAAGCCACAGAAAACAATTGACCAACTCAGCAACTTAATAAGTCACACAGTATACGATGTGATAAAGTTTCCGCTCGCTAATAATAGCACTTTTTCTAAAAACCCGCTGAGACAGCTCTAAGCGGTATACACCTGCACGGCTCGCTGGCCTTGGCATGGTCAGCGCACCTCAGTGGCGGATTGATCAACCTTGTGGAGCAAGCGCATTCAGGGTCTACGTCGTACCCCCGACTACCCCCGACTCGGCTATGTGCCGAAGTTATTTTGTGGCTTTCAGTTAGTTGGTTAGTTAACTTTTGTTTTTGTTTTTGTATCCACTGGTCTTGGCTATAAACAGTAAGAATGGACCATGGCGACGATGTTAATGGATATCTACTCCGTACTAGTTATTAAGTTGCGTAAGCACTTGTCTCCTAAGCTTGATCTAGTAGTTTATGCGAAGCGAGAGGCGGGTGTGAAGTACAACGGACGTTACGACGAACTTTACGGGAGATATCACGAACAACAATGCATTGCAATCTGGTATTACGGACATACTTTTAGGTTTAATTCGGAGGTCAAAATTGGCTCTCGGTCTCAGCCTAAATGCAACAGGTAGAAAACCCGATCATGTACGGAGTACATATATCTAGAGATTTTAAGCTTAGAACCCTCTAGGCAACCAGCCTCCTTCAGTAAGAGATTTTGGGTTCCAAGGTCATTGTCCCAAGTTACAGCATAGCACCCTGGGCTTCAAATCCATAGATTTAGCCATTAATATGAAGTTTGCTCAGTTTTACATCGGTTAACACATTTTGGTTTATGTGATGCTATTAAATCGATATTGTCGATATTTCATAGGAAAATGGACGGTTCTTGTATGACATCGTCCTAATCCAGATCTTGTAACACCTCCTAACCCGTTGTTGGACGGCGCTAACACCTCATTTTCTAGCTGTATAATTTAATCGTCCATATAATTCAGTATAACTATATCAACCGGATGACTTTATTGGCGTTCATTAAATCTATCCAGATGGGAAATGAGTATTGTGGAATTATGAGACTTTGCTTTACGAAAATGGTAGCTTCTAGAGTCCTCCTCATTCCTTCACTCATCACGCAGTGAAGCCTTATAACGGGCTAATCAATCCAGACGGCCGCAGGGCTCTGATTCAGGAAACTCTTCCCGAAATATTCCCTCAAACAGGCTTGTTTCCTTCAGCAACTTGTCGAGTCCACATGGAACGACACGCAGTGCAGCGCCATCCTCGAGTAAACGATCCACACGGATGTCCTAATCCAACGTTTTATTCCAACAGTCTATGTTTTGTTAAGTTTTGCCTGAGGTACTTCATATGACCCACACTAGAGGCATCTATTCGAAGGTTACGACAAATTTTATAGGAGATGCTACGAACAAAATCGGATTATAATCCGGCGTTGCGGACATCCATACCTAGATACTTTGTTGGTTCTCTTCATTCACCACCGCTTAGATACTAAACCCTACTCTTATTTTCGAAGCTTATGACTATATAGAGACTATCTTCCTATGTTTAACTTCCATGTAAACTCAGACCTTATATGCTTATTACAGACCTATTCCAGGGTTTAATATATTGTCTAAGCAAGCTAAAGTAGTATAGACTAGTAGGTGGCATGGCGAACGGGATCAAAAATGTGCATAGGTGTGTACCGGTGGTGGTCTAACGTAAGATAGACGGGACATAAATAAAATTTATAATAAATTCACCACGAATGAATCTACCAGAAAAGATACGTGGCCGACCTAGCTAATGGCCTTTCTGCTGTCATAGATTTAAGTGCCATACTGGCGTAAAAGATCTCGATCACTATCGCTGTAGTACCAGGGTTTGCGAGATACTACGTCGCGTAGTTTGTTGATCCCACCTGAACGTCATACCGTGAGGCACAAATTCCAGCTAAAATGGCAGATCAAAAGATGGGAGCTAGAGATCAAGTCTAGTTTCAGGATGTAGTCATCACGAACCGTAGGGTTTTTATGGGCTGGGAAGTTATGTAAAAGCCAAAACAGTTTGTCGATCTCCAACAAGTCTCGCAAACCATGACACGTACTGCTGAAACTTGAGAAGTCCCGAAAATCGAGCTGTTAGATAAATAGATCAACAATATCAATTTGGAGTTTGAGGGGTGCCATAGAATACCAATGTTTCTCGTCTGTGCGAACATCTTTCTAGACTTAGGCATAGATGGAAGCTTAGGTTGACGAACGCGCGCCATTAAACTGGTAGGAGATAGAACAACAACTGTAACCGCTCTATAGACTTATAACTCACTATGGAATTGTTATGTGAAGACAACTTCGTAATATAATATACTCGCAAAAGAGACTCTAGAATTGCTGTGGTATCACGTCGCCTGTATGTTGTGAAGAACCACAGTATGTGTTGAGAATAATGAAGGCATACGTTACGGTCGGGGTCGTCTTATTTAGATGTATATGATTTAGCTCCTGGAGAGATATTTGATGTAACTCATCGCCTCCTCCGGGGCTTAAAACGATTGGTGAACCACCAACATTGTCCACGCTCACCAAGCTTCGCTGTACTTTGCACCGAAGGCTTACCTACCTACCAGTTAGCAACCCTGAGCATTTCAACTAAGTCTAGCTAGTAGTACTAAGGCTGCTAGATTTGTGATAAGTTTAGAAAGTCGTAGTATATGTACACAGGAGTTGAACATAGGAAGGCAACCTAGGGTTAAGCTGCGAAAAACAAGGTCAGGGCTTAGTACCTAAGCGGTGGTTAATCGGGAGAGCCATCAAAGTATCCATGGATGTCCGTAACACCGGATTGTAATACGATGTTGTTCGTGACCTTTCCCGTCATGACAGACGCCTCTAACGTCGGTTGTATGAAGTACCTTAGGCCAAACTTAGGGGACGAATTCTCACACAAAATACTAGCTACTCATCCATACAGCCTATCAGCTACATATTTAAAACAAATGGGTATTTAATACGAGAGATAGAGGATAATGTAAGGCTTTTTTTATTTACGATGGTAGTATGAAGTTCGAACGGCACACCGCCTTATTTTGGCACCTCACTACTTCCAAACTTGGTTCAGTACAGACTGTGGCGAAGAGCATATTTCGGTCGCATTGCTAAACTGTACCTTTTTAGAAGCCCACATCTCCATCCATGCCTTTTTTGGTGCTTGATCTTTGGTACAATGGGTATGCTATTACTTTTTTTTAAACTTTTGACTTTGGTTTTTACGCTGTTGCTTAAAATCAGCATCCACTAGGGGAATATAACCACCATTATGCTTGATTATGTGGTATATTGTACCTAATGTACCATAGATAGAAGGTCGCTAAGAGTATACATTAACCCCTCACGCCCAATCCAAGGAAAGTTGAAGATGAATTGAGTTAACCTGTCAGAGATAACCGAGGTTCAATCCAAAAATGGCTGCTGCCTAGCTTGGCAAAGGTCCAAACTTGGCATTCTCTTAAAAATCCCAAGTCTGATGCGCTAAGCACACAAGGAAGAAAGTGGATACGAAAAAAATGGGTAATGCCATAGAACTTGCAGGAACTTCAACTTAGCTCTTTGATAGCGTCGGATCCGACATGGGATGGGGGTGTCGTGTCCGACAGTTGACCAACGGGAATCGGGTAACCGCTTAGCGGCGAACCAGCGAACCGGCGAACCGGCGTACTCGATTTGGTATGGTTGGAATAAGGAATGCAAGAGCGAGCTAAGCCTTTAACGGGCTGCGTCATGCTAAAACTTAGGCTAAACTATTACTAAAGTCAGACTAAAGCCATAATGAGTAAGGCTGTGTTTGAATGTCGGAGGAGAATGGGGTCCCGAGATCCCGATGACAAAAATATATGATTCCGTGCGTTGTGATTTGTTGAAATCTTTACTCTCCACTCGGTTCACGGAGATATTCTAGCGCTGTAAAAACAAAGGCCGTTGCTTTTGATTTTAAATAGCTTTAGGGTTATGAAACTGATATCAAAATAGATGTTAGATGTTAGGTATGTTTCAAGTACGCTGTATGTAGGAGTTCTCCAGGTTCGATCGTTCAGACGGGACAACCTGAAACGTTCATACCTCGCGCGATGGTTTCAACCGTCGCTGATCAGTGTTTTTGATTCAAGTTTTTGATCTTAATATCGATCTTGACGTGACTAGCGTTATTAAGGTTTTTGGCGCGGTAAAAATGCCGGATAATTTCTTG